AACAATCTTGGCCTTCTTTACTCTGGTCAGGGAAAGCTGAAGGAGGCAGAGGCGATGTATCAGCGCGCGCTGACAGGCTATGAGAAGGCACTGGGCCCTTATCATTCTAGAACACGCATGGTGTCAAACAATCTGATTTGCCTTCCTCACTTCAACACTGGAACCCACACTCTTCAGCCTGAATTGACGCACGGTCCTATAGCGTTTGATGGAAATTTCAAAGACTCAGAACTGTCCAGACCACGCCGGAGGGGATTTCTGTACAAGCTTTTCAATAGAAAATAAATCCTAGTTTATTACTGAGTATTTATTTATATTAGTATTCCCTTTTTATGGCAGTATTCCGCTAAACCACTCATCGGCCCGGAAAGAAAGAGGACCTCCAAAATTACAATGAGTCAACCAAAATCACTGCTAGGCCACAAAAAGCGTGCACACACCAATTGGGCTTTATACAGTCAATTTCAGTATTTTCCGGGTTGGTATAGTGTTTGCCGACGACTGTGTAATGCCAACATGGCTGTTGTAGTCGGCCGTAATACCCGTCTTGGCATTGGCTCTTGTAGCCCTGGAGTAATTCTCTAAGGAATGAATGAGAGCATCAATTTTCATACATACTTGTTGATAGATTGATTCTCAATAAATCTCACCTTATCTTACCCCATCATTTCAGGGCAGCAGCGTGCGGCAGCGCGCGTCTTCCAGTAAAATTGCAGTGTAGAGATCTCCTAGAACAGACTGGCGTGTCTTGGTATTGAGGTTCTAGAATGAATCTAAAGGGGTGGTGTAACTATTATCCCGAGGTATTTATTTCTATAATAGAATCACTTGTGGCCTTTTTTATGCTGACCATCCATTTCCTACTTCCTTCTCGAAAAAGGTACCAAGACCATAATCATATAAGGCGATATTGATCTCTCCCTTAACTTAATCATCTTCGCATAAGCCTTGGATTTATTCCCACAGGCCATATCTCACTTAACTTCATTACCATTTGAACTACTCCTCTCCATCGCAGAATTCCTACCAAGTGAAAAAGACCTGGCGGCATTTTTACAAACAAATTAAACAACATACGCCGTGCTCCAAAACTATCTGTACCAAAATAACATCTACTTCCATGGGACCAGCGCCCTCCTTTGGGCCGCCAAACACGGCCACGCCGGTCTAGCAACCAAGCTCCTCGAAGCTGGCGCGAGTATCGGAGAATTTTCGGGCCCCATACCAGACCACAATCCAGGTAACATACGAGACGTGGCACCCGGAAATCCTCTTGTACTCGCCACTGAGGGCAATCATATTGAGACCCTACAGGCGCTACTTACTGAAAAGCGACCGGACCAGGCATGAAAACCTGGTCAGCTGCGCGGGGCTCTTTGTGGAGCGTTCAATTCTCACAGCCGTGAGGCCGTTGAATTATTAATACAGCATGGCGCACCTTTGGATTCGGTCGATGGGCGGTTCCCCGAGGACCATTCTGTATTAGGCGAAGCCATCATATCGTGCTTCCTGTCTATTATCCCCGTTCTTCTTAAGACCGGCGCCAAGCCTGGAGACAAGGAGACGCCGACTCCCCTTGAGCGCGCTATCAGCACTGATCAGCCGGAAATGGTTCAGATTCTGGTCGAGGCTGGGTACCGCCTCGCGGATGATTATAGTCTTTGTACCATAGCCGAGCAGGGAAATAAAGCTCCAATGGAGATAGTTATCGATCTTGGATTAGACGTTGAGATGTGCTGGCAAGGGGCGTTATTCGTTGCCATCATACACGGCCAGCGCGAGATGGTTGAGTTATTGATCGAAAAGGGTGCAAACCCACATTTGACGCATGATGTATTCACGCGGGATTATGAATGTTGGCGCTACAATACCATCGGCTTTGCGGTGCTGTTTAAACAACTGGAAATTCTGAGGTTGTTACTTGACATGAGTGTCCGCCCTGAAAAAGAAGACCTCATGTTGGCCCGTGATGAGAGATTCGAGGAGGCGGTGGCTCTTTTGAAGGGGTACTCGTTCGATGACGTGCCTGAGAAGCAGCATATATCTGAATTCCTCGATTAAAAGCTTCGTGAGAGACGTGAAACGGATCTTGAGTTTCAGAACCTGAAGATAATCACACCCCTTGTGGACCCCTACTGGACACATGGCCAAGAGAACCATGGCTATTGTGCGAGACTCTATATGCTAGGCGAGGCTCTGGATGACGTTGTTCCAGATACTGTCACTATTGAAGCTGTTGCTGGGCAGAGAAGGACTATGAGGAACCTCGGCTTCGAATAAGCTGAATTATTAGAGTGAAAGTCCGCTGCGGAGTTGTGGAGAGAATCTTACCCTGTACTTTATTATGGGAAATGGCGTTATTAATATGACTCGATAAGTGTTTCTCTTGTTGTGTATCCTTCTGTTCTAGAGGGGTCGGCTGAGCGGTTGGTCTTAAGGTAGGGAATTCAGGTCATTCCTGGATATTTGATATGCGTGCACACCACCGTATTAATACATATATGAGTACAATTGGAATCTCTCCTTTTAGTTATTTACCGTAATAGATAGGCTACCTAGGAAGTGATTCCATCATACAAATATTATTTCCGGGTGGAGAGTCACCCAAAAAAGGTGGAGCCCCATTTGGTATTGCCGCCTGAGATACAAGCCTCCTTTGGGTGTATTACTATTTCCGCTTGGTTAATTATGGTGTGCAGAACAGCAAATCAACTTTCAACGTCAGACGAAATTCTCAAACCCTCGAGGTACATGAACGCTGAGTTTATGTCACAGGATACAATCGCCATTCGAAATATCTTCACCGTCGTTTTCAGCGTCGACATTTTGTAGCTGGCAAGACAAGCCGTGGTTACGTTGTTGGGCGCCATTACTGCGGATCGAATGTATACCACGGAGTCGGCTTAATTGGTTTATTGCACGCCCTTACGTGCATATCACCTTGGTAGAAAAGGGCCTCCCTTGAGGTGCATTGTACTGGATTAGTCATATTATATAGTCACTAGTTAGTACGTGTTCAACGCTGTTGAGCAAGGCAATTGGCTGATGGAAAACTTCGACAATGTTACATTCCAGAGACAATTGCCAGCCCAGTTAGGGTTAACCCCAGGATGGGAAGAAAGGGAGGCCTCACCTCCTGCTGTTATACGAGAGGAAACCAGACTAATTTATTAATCTAAAACATATTCAGTCATCCTGCAAGCTGCGACTAGTAATTGCCGACTGGCCTGCATAAATAATACATGGATATGATTAAACAACCCACTTTCCTTCTCTTTGCTTTTTTTTCTGCAATGCCGACTGACATCTAAGACGGCTTTTTGCATCCTCATATTTCGTGCTCTCTTATCCTCATTCGGAGCCATTTGCTTCATCATGGCCTCTCAAGCACTTAAGAAAATGGAACCCACCAGCTCGCAAGAAATAGAAGGCCGACCGTCGAGTACAGAGACAGATGATGCCAACTTAATACGTTTGGGGAAGCGTCCGGTCTTGAAAGTGAGTCCGCAAACCATGCGATCGTCTGTCCTTCGCATTCTTGCTCATCATGCTTAGCGAAACTTCGGTTTAATGTCAATGCTGGGTTTCAGCTGCACAATCCTCATCACTTGGGAAGGTATCGTTGTGTAAGTTCTTCACAATATAATCTAATGTCTGATTTGGCTAAGCCGACTGACATACGAGACAGACTATTCTTACAAGCGTTCCAGAAGTAAGGAATTCCACCTTTATACTCGTGTTCCATAAGATACTCATGGGTGGATGGGTTCAAGTGGCGGCCCAGCAGGAGCCGTATATGGTTTCATCTTTGTTTGGGCGGGAGTTGCTGCGACCTTTGTGGTATTATCGGAACTGGCATCAATGTATGAAACAGCTTTATCGCCGCGTAGTGAATCTGGGCTAACATCTTCCTAGGGCCCCAACTTCCGGCGGACAGTATCATTGGTGTTCCATGCTGGCACCTCCATCCGCCATGAAGCTCGTCAGCTACCTGACAGGTGAGCGCTTCGTCGGGACCTGGCTTTCTATATTCTGACACCGCTATATAGGCTGGCTCACTGTCATCGGATGGCAAGCGACCTTTGCAACATCCTGCTTTCTTTCTGGGGCGCTGATCCAGGGGCTTATCGTGCTTACGAACTCTATCTATAAGCCCGAAAACTGGCATGGAACACTCCTCTTTTGGGCCGTTGCTATTTTCTGCGTAGCGATCAATAGTGTAGGAGGAAATCTGTTGCCGCGCTTCGAGGCTCTTATTCTTATCCTTCACATTCTTGGGTTCCTCGCCATCCTCACCCCGTTGACAACCATGGCAAACCACTCGAATGCAAAGGAAGTGTTTACCCGTTTCCTCAATCTAGGTGAATGGCCAACTCAGGGGTTATCATTCTTCGTTGGTCTAGTTGGTTGCGTGTTTGCATTTGCGGGTGGTGACGCTGCTGTTCATGTGGGCCTTTTACTCTCAGCTATCGAACGACCGATATACTGACTCTGATCGCTAGATGTCGGAAGAAATTACGAATGCACCAGTCGCTGTGCCACGCTCTATCATGCTTAGCGTCCTGATTAACGGGACTTTGGGCTTCAGTATGTTAATTGCAATGCTATTCTGTCTAGGCGATATTGATACTGCCCTTGAATCTCCGACTGGTTACCCTTTCATGGCAATATTCCTCCAGGCGACGCGTTCTGTGGCCGGCACAGCAGCTATGTGCTCTATCATCACGACCATGGGGATCTGCACCTCAGTGGGCATGTTGGCCTCAACATCCCGGCAATTCTGGTCGTTCGCGAGAGATCGAGGCATTCCCGGTTGGCGATTATGGAGCAAGGTAAGTTGCTAGCTCCTTTTCTTCTAACTAAAGCACCGCATTTCCCCTACCTCTATCGCTCCAAGTGTTCATAGATATTAATAGATACTCTAGGTAACCTATAGAGCTGCAATTCCAATCTACTCTGTAGTCCTCACCACAATAGTCGCTTGTCTTCTTGCCCTGATCAACATCGGCTCCTCAGTCGCTTTCAACGACCTTGTCTCAATGTCCATCTCCGGTCTCTATCTATCCTATATGGTTGTCGCTGGTCTACTCCTCTATCGACGCTGCACGGGCGGAATCTGCCGGTCCGGAAACAATGACATTACTATTGTCAACACAGCAGGCGCAAAGCTCGTCTGGGGCCCGTTCCATCTCCCCGGCATCTGGGGGATCTTAGTAAACACTTTTGCCCTTATATATATGACCATTGCGGTCTTCTTTAGTTTCTGGCCGCCGCAGCTCAATGTGACTGTGGATACGATGAACTTTAGCGTGGTTGGGACGGTGGGTGTTATTATTTTGAGCCTCGTTTACTACGTCTTGAGGGCGAGGAAGGTCTATGATGGTCCTATTGTGGAGATACAGCTCTGATGTTCTTTTTTAGGCTTGGAAATGGATTTAATTGGGATGATAGTAGTTGAGGTACTTTGTATCATTTCCACTAATGTATGTTCTTGGAGCTCCCTCTCATCGAATAACCCCGGAACCGTTCCAACCTGAGATGCTACGCTAACAAAATATTCCATGTCCGGCCTTTCCGAGTAGAGGAAGAGGTATCATGATATGACAGAAATTCTCCTTTAGTAGGGTTTCCGGGAGCTGGAGCCATATAAATAAAGCAATGGCCGGTGATTCCAGACGCCAACAACCTCCCTGTTGTAGAGACCTACTGGACCTCATCTAAAAGCACATAACGCAAGCCGTCATCCACGAACACGACTTTTCAATCAATATCCTCCAAGCCATCGACTGTATGCACCGATAAATGGAAACATATACTAGGTCACCATTCGTAATGTCAGCCATGTCAGCATGTCAGCACCGGCCAGGTCCTTCCTAGCTGTCAGGCACAAGGCAAAAGTCAGCACTATAGATCCATCTAAAGTGCCTATACACAGTCCTGGGGACAGTCATAGGCTTCTGTTGGCGTGGCCTATGCCCAGGACACCTCAAATCATCGTCGCTCACCCATAATTAGCACCGCTCAAGCCACACAGGAAATTTTACACAATGGCTGTCAGAGAGGTGTGGCACGCCATATCCCAGCCTTTGGGCTTGTTAGGAATTGTTGGCATTGTATTCATCACGTTTGTCGTCTACCTTATCATCTATAGCCATACCGCAGGCCTCCACCACATCCCGGGTCCATTTCTCGCGCGCTACACGAACCTACACGCCTGGCTTCACGCCCAGTGGTATTGGGGCACGAATGTGTGCTACCTCCGTCGCTTACACTCCACATACGGCGATGTGGTGCGCGTTGGGCCACGTAGGGTTAGCGTGAGCAATCCGGATGCTATTCAGGCTATATACGGGATGAAGGCCTCCCTGAATAAGGTAGGATATGGAGCCTTGTGATACTGATCTATACGGGAGGAGTTTCTAATGGAAGACGATTTTATATAGTCTGAGTTGATCCGCGCCGCCCAGCCGCTCGGTAAAGGCCCTGAGAATCTCTTTTCCGTCCGTGACAGCAAGATCCACGGACGTATGCGCCGCGCCGTGGCCAATGCCTACTCGGTCTCAACGATTGTGCAGTACGAGCCGCGGATTGACGACACGCTTGGTGCGCTGTTCAAGGTTTTGGAGGGCGAAGACCCAGAAACAAATATTGGGCGGTGGGTGCACTACTGTATGTTTTGGCGATCTTGGTGTTAATCGGATGAGATACTGATGAGATGCTGCCATTGAGACGTATACGATGTCGCTGGGAACATGACCTACGCTCAACCGCTAGGCTACTTGGAACAACGCCGCGATGCGTTGGGACTGATCAAACAAAGTAAGTTCTCCAGTACCAAGTGCCGCAGAGGGAGAGAGGCCTAACTTTGACATCAGCCAAGATGCTCCACCGATATATCAACTGCACCATGCCGATGCCGATCTTGCACGACGTGGCTAGTTTCGTAGTTCGCCTGTTCAAGGCACACAGTTACACTATCTTCTACCTCCTTTCTAGGCGGAAGGTCCAGGAGAGGTTGGATTCCAGCACAGATTCAACGAAGAACAGAAGCAGTAATAATGAGACGTCCTCCAAACCCGATATCCTTGCGCACTTCGTCGCCTCGCGGGAGAAATACCCCGACTGGATGACAGAAGACCAGATTGTCAATCATTGCATGGTAAACGTTGTCGCTGGCGTCGGAACATCAACTACATCCATCAATAACGCGCTCAAGTACCTGGTGGCTCACCCAGAAGCCCAAGAAAAGCTGTACCAGGAACTGCAGGCTGCCAACGTCAGCTCTCCAGTGAGCTGGCGCGAGACACAGGCGCTGCCGTATCTGGAAGGCTTGGTGCGCGAGGGCATCCGTCTACGAGACGCAAGTAGTTTCAACCCCAACGGCCGCAACGTCGGACCTGAAGGTCTAGAACTCCCTGGAGGTGTGTATTTGCCCCCGGGCACCGTTGTGGGCATGAAACCGAGTGTAGCTTCAGTACAAACGCGGACCTTTGGAGAGCAACCATACGAATTCTGGCCGGAGCGATGGTGCCGGCGAGACGGCGAGCGGGGGGAGGAATACGCCGAACGCAGGTCTAAGATGGACGCGGGCGATATGTCCTTCAGTGCCGGAACCCGAGGGTGCATTGGTAAGGGAATCGCCCTGATGCAGATCTATAAGTTTGTAGCGACCCTGGTGAGCCAGTATAAGGTGCGTATGCTCGTTTTTGGGAGGATGGTGATGTGATGGGGTTGCTAATGTTTTGACAGCTGCTTCCTGCGACACGTTGCGACCATCCGGAGAGCAACTATGAGTTTTTCTGCGTTTTGCAACGAAGAGAATCAGTGTAGGATGGGATGTTGATGCTCGCAATTAGTTCAAAAGGAAATAGCCGAATAGTTTGAAATCAATTTTGTCACCATAAGCTGTGTTTGACTATGTAGACAAGTCTGCGTGGAATTGATATCAAGGAAGTGGAAATGTTGAACGCCTGTTGTTGGAGTGAAATAGATCTTCACTACCTTTTGGAGTGCTATCTGCTAAATGCCAAGTACTGTAGCGATGCCTTGATTTCTAATATCGCCGTATCGGACAGTCGTGGTGCTCCACCGTTCCTCTCAGATCCGCTATGCTGCCTCTAGTCCTTCCGAACATGTACCTGCATTCCATCCGGCAGCAGACAGGCTCTTGGTTCCTCGACTGCTCCGCTTGGTGGGGTTGCAGAGTCCAATATAGGCTCGGTCTTAAGGGTCCACTTGTTTTCTGCATAATATCCTGCTGCTGATCCTCCGGCATGTGACATTTATAGTTCCTCGGGTGGGGTGATGGTTAGAAAGCCCTATTTGGACGACAGCCTTAGCACATAGGACAGATCAAAAATTCCATATCACGTATCCATTTCTTGAATAAAGCTTCATAGGTCACAGAGAGTGCTCGAGTATATCTCTCAAGCGACTTCAAAATCAAGGAAATAAATCTTGCGAGAATCAATAGTAGGAGAAAAGGAAAACAGAACTACGTAACGCTCGGTACACTATCACTAATGCTCCGTGAGTCCATTAGTGAAAGGAGCCCTCTCAACGCTCGCAGCATTGATCGCAGCAAATGACTGCTCGAAATCGGCGATGATGTCGTCGATATGCTCCGTGCCAACAGATATACGGATAGTATCCTCAGTAACCCCCGAGGCTAGACGCTCCTCCTCGGAGAGCTGCTCATGAGTAGTGGACCAAGGGTGGATGGCGAGGGTCTTGCAGTCTCCGACGCTGCAGGAATCGGTCAGATTAGCTATATCTCTCGAGTTTCAAGGTGCAGGACACATACTTGGCAAGGTTGGAAATCAGCTTGAAATTGTCCACAAGCTGGCTACCAGCCGAAGCTCCTCCTTTGACGCCACATGCCAGCACACCACCAAATCCACGCTTCAGGTAGCGTTTCGCGGTCTCATGATGTGGGTGACTCTCGAGACCGGGATATGAAACCCAGCTGACGTTCTCATTTTGCTCGAGCCAGCGAGCAAGGGTAATAGTATTGCTCGCGTGGCGCTCGCACCGCAGGCTCAGCGTCTCCAGACCAATTAGAAGCTGCTGTGCCGCAAAGGGGTTCAAGGCGCAGCCGAAGTCGCGCAGAAGTTCGGCGCGAACCCAGACGGCGTAGGTGAGGTTTTTGCAAAAGTCCCAGAATTTGAAACCGTGATAGCTTTCCGAGGGCTCAACGAACTGCGGGAATTTATCAGCATGCTTACTCCAGTCGAATCGGCCGCTGTCGATTATGACACCACCGAGCGTTGTACCGTGGCCACCGATCCATTTGGTGGCACTTTCCACGACGATGTCAGCGCCGTGCTGGATAGGACGAACAAAATAGCCACCTGCGCCAAAGGTATTGTCCACCTAGTCAAAGAGATCAGCTGCGCACAGTAGTAGATGGAAGTTTCCACCCAGATAAGGGAAAACGAGGAGGCTATGGAAGGATGTACGTACGATTAGTGGGATTCCATGGTCATGGGCAACCTTGGCGATGGCCTGAAAGTCAGGGACATTAAACCGAGGGTTTCCAATGGTCTCGATGTAAACCGCTTTGGTGTGATCGTCAATGGCAGCAGCGATATCCTCAGGATTGTCGCCTTGGACAAACTTGGCCGTGATCCCGAAGCGGCGCAATTGGACTTTGAACTGATTGTAGGTGCCACCGTACAAATTACTCGTCGAAACAAAGTTATCCCCAGCCTTGGCCAGTGCGGATATAGCCAAGAATTGGGCGGCCTGGCCGGAAGACGCTGCGACGGCAGCAACCCCCCCTTCGAGCGCTGCAATACGCTTTTCTAAGACATCTACCGTCGGCTATTAACATTTAGTTAGTTGCTCCTCTACCGCTAGGGTGGGCGGTGGGGGCCGAAGTCCATACGTTTTGGATCCGACTGTAGATGTTCCCAAACTCTTTCATGCCGAAGAGCCGGGCCCCATGGGCGGAGTCATTGAACACATAAGACTGGATGATTTGCTGTCAGTATTGCAACAAAATGGAGTTGGTTAAGCGTATGATTGGCCTCACTGTAGTGGCGTAGATTGGAACTGCGCGGGAATTGGTTGTGGGGTCCGGTTTCTGGCTGCTCTGCGTTAGCTGTATGTTCCACGTATTAGTTGTATACTCTTCTTACCCAGCATGCAGCTGAAGAGTCTCAAAGTGAACGTTGGGGTTCTTGGAGGACATATTTCCGGGGATGGTGGTACTGGATAGACGGACAGATAGATAGAAAGAATGAAACTGAACTGAAGTCGAACACTGCTATCTCAAGCAACTGACAAACAGCAGAAGAAACGAAGATAAATCAACACTAAGACCGTATACAACGTAAGAGGTCCATGTATCCAGCCCTGACCGCTCCAAGCAAGACATCGTCAGCCGTCATCACCAGCATAAGCAGCATAAGACTTCAGTAATCCTCAATATCGACCAGATTACAGTGACCTTCACCATTGCAACGGCGATGACAGGCGTCTCTTCGATGAGTCGGATGCGGATCACGACTATTTTCCGGCAATTGCATCTAGTGGGACTAAAAAGACACGAAGGATCGCACTTGACTCAGCCAAGGTCTGTTATTCCAGGTGACAAATCCTAATCGCTGCATGTCGATTGAGTCGCGGTCCCTGGTTAGGGCCTTGGGGCCAGTGTTGCGTGCCACGCAGCCGCCCAGTAGGGCATATTCCCAAAACAGTATTTCGTCTAGTCGGCACTTGTCCGAGTCATTTGAATTTCTTTTTTCGTTTGCTCACAGACAAAACATTCGAGAATTGCACGGATACTACTAGGCAAGGATTACTGGCTTTCGACAGACTCTAAAATAGAATGCTAACATCCTGTCCGCGGTGATTCCTAGCTCTTGAAGAATTGGCCGGGACGCGATATGGTACTTGAAGCCATTCATCACGGCAAAGCTGGATAAGGGATGCTTTGCCACAGCGGGACGCTCCGACCCACAGGGCTATCTAACATAGATGAAGTTGGAAGGGAACCCTAGAGTGCCTAGAAAGAACACGTAGCGCGTCAATATTATACGCAAACTTAGACAGATAGTGTTAAGCGGCTTAGAGAGGTTTTGGCCCCAAACTTAGATTCATGGCTTTGTTAATTAATAATAATAAAAGTTTTCTAAAAAGGCTCAATTTGAGTAGGGTGATTCCGGAGGCATTATTAGATCTAATAAAATTAAATTTTTTTTTTTCTAAAATACCTATATAATATTATAACAAAAGGATCAAGTTGTCACGGATAGAGGTTTAGGCAATTTGAATGAGTGGTAGTCACGTGACCCTTTGTTCATAAGGGCAGCACAACACTAGCTTCATGTTTTCTTTTCTTTTCCTCTCTTTAGCTTAGCCTCTTGGTGATAGACTACCTAATCAACTATTGATTCAGATGAGTCCCTTACACAAGTAATATAGATCGAATAAAATTGTTATATGGCCCCCTTTCGGAGCACTTCTCGTAGAATTATGCCTCAGGCATCGTGCAATGCCAACACTCACATGGTCACGTGATCATCTCACAACCACCGAGAACCCTAAATCTTGTGTATCTAGCATATGTTTTGCTCGGAGCAAGCCTTGTCCCTAAAAAAAGACAATAATATTATCGAATCCCTCCTATAGTTAGGAAGGATTAACATATAGAGATGGAACTTCCCTTATAATTTATAATAGAGTATAAGATTATTGCCAACTTGCCGAAACAGGCGGTTTAAGGTAGGTAAGGCCTGCTCAGCTGCGCGGGAGACTTACTGAGCGGGACGCTCCGATCCACAGGGCTATGTAGTATATATAAAGTTGGAAGAAAGCCCTACTCCGTAGAATACCGAAAAAAAAAAACATAACTATACTGATTGTGCACATAATTATTACTATTCTATATAAACTTAGACAGATAATTCTAAGTAGCTTAGAAAGATTTTGGGCCAGAGATTTAAACTTAAGAGTTAGTTATTATTTTCTTGATTAATTGATAGTAGAGATTTTATAAATACAACTCAAATTTCAGCCTTGGTGGAGCTATTCTGAAACTATTGTGAAAACTAAAATACGATTAATTTATAAGAATTATATAATACTATAATAAAGCTAACTATTAAGTAACGGAAATACATTTAAAGCAAACATACTTGAAGGCTTTTCTTTCCCCCTCATAATTAAGAGTGTTAAATTAGAGCGATAGAACCTCCCTCATGATTTATAAGATTATCGCCGGCTTACTGAGGTCAAGAGACTTGTCACTGAGGGGAAAATCTTCTCATCTCACACCTGCCAAGACTGCCAAGAGCTCCGACATGGTCGATAGAGGCCAGACTCCAAGGGCTGATCGGCATTTATAGGCCAATAACAGGATCAGATAAACTAACTAACCACGCAGTCACATCGAACAGCGGATTTTGACCAGGAGTTCCTCCCCTGCAGCGGTAAAATTGTAACCCCACGTAGGCAGTGAGGGAACTAAATGGCGACTTCAAACGAGGCTAGACGTCATCTTGTCATGATCGTCCTTCACATACCCCAAGCTTGAGTCGCCCCCAATGGGTGTTTCTGAATATAAACAGCAGTCATGTCTCCGACCCACTCGGCTGTCAGCAAATTCGTTCTGCTTAGAAGTACTAGGATGCTTTTATCAATGGGAGTCAGAGAGAGGCAATAAGTACCCCATGGTGACAGACAACTCGGAGCAGCACGTCTCACGGGTCGGGAGTCCAACCGCTGCTGGAAGGGAACCATCGCCTAGTGCTGCTGACAATTCCACTACTCGTCCCCCGACGCGTAAGAAGGGCGGCAGATCCCAAAGCCCACGGGCAATGGAAAGAAGAAGGTGAGTTCACTGTCCTTGGCTTGTCCTAAACATAGCTCACCACATCGTCGGCTTCGGAAGGCTGCAGAATAGGATCGCACAGAGGAACCACCGTAAGGAGAGATGAACAGGATCTGTCATTTCCAGACCACTAACCCCAGCACAGGCCGCAGGCTCAAGGAGCGTACTGCTGCTGAAAATATGGAAGATGCCCGAGAATCACAGAGCACATCTGCCTCACAGCCGTCCAGGTCGGACAATAGCAGCAACCACAGTATTAGCAGCGGCAACACACCGCAGCAAGTACGATCCTCATCTTCTTCCTCTTCGTCGTCGTCGTCGCATGCCATGAACGTAGCCTTACTCACCGAGGAGCTGCATAAGCCGGGTATAGCACTGGGGCTCGACTCAATGATGCCGGAGATGACTGAAGGGGACGCTCTGTCGTCCATGCCCGGGTTAGATCTGTTTTCGGTGTCGCCAGCGTGTCCTTGTAATGGGGTAACAGGGCCATGTGCTGCACATCTTGAGGAAATCCGGTCGCAGGTCCTAAGAGGCCCCATTACGCAAGATTCCCCAGGCGTGGCACGTCCTAGAGTCAGTACAGTCTCATCATATCGAGACTCTCCAGTGCAGCCGACGCAGTATATGGACAGCAGTCCGAGCAGCATGGAACTGGTCTCATCGCACGACTCGCAGCCGCACCAACCTTTATCAAGCAGTAATGCTGCACGATCAGTGCCATCGGCGATGATGTTGGATGGCGACTCATCCAAACCAACTGATCACATACAGAGCTCATCAGAAGATTCCGTAATATCAAACGCTGTGATGCAAAACACAGCGCGTTTCAAAGCAATCTTGGAGGTTGTGCGTGCGGCTGGGTTTGCTGACTTTGACCGAATGGCAGCAGCCTACTATACTGCGCAGTTTGAAAAGAACAGCCTACCGGAGATAACGCAGCGAGCTAGTCGCGGACGGCGTCTAAATAAGCTGTTGCACGAGCTGCACGAATGTAGTCGTCAGTGGTCGCCGTGGGAGTCTCGAGGTCTGCGCGAGGGTGTTATTGAGAGTGCCAGTGAGTATTGACGAGCAGTACATTTTATTCAGCATAACAACATTGCTAATTCAGGCAGCCATGGAGTGCATCGACGAGATCGAACGCATCGCTAGTGATCATCTTCAAGTACGAGCCCACGACAGTGACTTAAAGAAAGATTGCATGGACACCAAGGAGGTGATTCAGAACAGCAGCGCCGGGGCCCTATCTGGTCTCCCAACGCTGCCAGACTCAGTGGACAGCGCAATGCAGGATGAGGTGAGTACTCTACTCCAGAATCAACCGAAGGGTGATAACCAGCTGAACTGACCAATTGCAGGCGCCGTTTCTCTGGAGTCTGGTTACTGAACTTGCCGGACCAGATGGTATTTACTGCAATCGTGTATCGCACGCGGTTCTGGCGCTGTTGGCAGATGCTCGACGGAGTCAATATTCGTGATGCTCTTGACTTTTTCTTTTGTTCTTTTGTGCTTTTATGATTTTATGTACAGCAAAATATCCAGACTAAGCGACGGAAGCATGTATATAGGCGCCATAAATTTCTCGGCCTGTAGCAGTTCACATATATTATTCGACCTCAAACGCTATACACAGCTGCAAGCCTCATGGCACTTCGTGAAGTTGCGTATAACTGGAGATTGATATGCCAGTCCCTAGGTGATAGTGTTACTGTTGAATTAGAATTCCGTTCGCCGCGAGCACAGCCAGTCCTTCCGAAATATCCCCTCCTGCGAGGAGAGAAGGCATCGACTCCACCATAGAATGTTGCATTGTATTGAGGCTGGACCGACTGGCCTCGTCAATTTGTTGGATGGCTTTCATCAATTTTTTCACCTCTACTGGATGGCGAGGAACAACATGCCCATCGTGGTAATCTATGACCCTCGTCCTCTCCGGGACGCACATCTCCGCGATGCGCTTTCCATCCTTATACCATAGATCTTGTAGCCCCATGGCATTGACAGTGTATCCTGGGAATTTGCCATCAGCCTGGCCTAATATTGCCGACAGCATGCCAACCATGTGCTGCACACCCTCCATCTGAAACGTATTGCCCGTGGTACCAACCCCAATAGCCACGCAGAAGCGCAGGTTGGCCCATATCGACTGCCCAATTAGGCGGAACCCGAGCATCGCCAGGGCAATCAGAGCACCTTGACTGAATCCAAGCATTGCGGTGATTTGGTCGGGGCTGACATTCTGTGCATCAAGCCGAGACTGGATATGGCGGGCGGCGTCAAAGAGCTCGACTAGACGTTGAGTTCCTGACAGTTGGATGTTTGCTGGGGCGAGCCAGCGGTAGTAATCCGGCATGTCAGCGAATAGTGGAAGAACTCCAGGTCCCGGTTCGCTTGGGATCGGCGCATCGAGAAAGACCAAATCAAATGTTTTGGATAGCTCCTTGGCTAGAAGGTGGGCCTGGATGCTGAAGATGGCACCGGAACTGCCCGAGCCATGTAGCATTACCATCACGGGCTTCTTGGTCTTGGGATTGACGTTTCGGAGCATGGTGAAGCACAATTACAGTTTGAAAATGATGAGACCAGAATAACCCAGCAAAGGTATGATAGCCAAACCGATATTCTCTATCTAAGGATGGCCTGGCTTTGAGTGCTGAATGATCAAGTATTGTAATTCTTGGCTTAGGGTTAGGTAACTGTGTGCTGACAATCAGCATTTGGCTGACAGCGGGTCAGCACCCATCCTTGTGTTGCCCCTGGAGAAATGATCATAGTTATGCAGGACTATCAGGGTTAAACCACCTGGCTGACTATGAGTTCCCTGTCTTCCTCTCCACTGCAGCACGTGGAAGTCAGCCCTAAAGACAGGCACCGCGAGGTTGCATACATGTTAAGGCTATCTATATCTTTGCACTACACAAACAGAGCTCTTCTCATTCATAGCACATCTCATCTCGTTTTCTTTTCTTTTTGTTAAGGGGTATCTTGCAGGCTGTACCTCGTGCAGCAACTTTCACTCATCGTCTCCCTTTTGTTTCTGTTGTTTTGATCAATTTAGCTTTTTCGAAGCTCGGTGACATATCAATGATCTACCCTTGAACCAGACAAGGTACGTATGTCAAACATCTACCTGGACTAATCCTTGCATATTAGGACTAGCACCCGTCGAACATCTCAAACTCAAGTACTTTCTCATCAATTGCACCATATCAAAGTATTATCAAAATGCCATACGTCAATGAGCCCATAGCTGTTGTGGGCAGTGGCTGCCGCTTCCCTGGCGAAGCCTCGAATCCCTCCAAACTGTGGGATTTGCTGCGAGATCCTCGTGATGTCCAGCGTACAATCGACCGTTTCCGGGCCGATAACTTCTATAACCAAGATGGTCATTACCACGGGTCGAGTAATGTCCGGTCCGCCTACCTTCTTGGGGAAGATACCAGAGCATTCGATGCCCAGTTTTTCAATATCCCTTTGAGCGAGGCTGAGGCAATTGACCCACAGCAGCGTCTTCTCATGGAGACTGTCTATGAGTCGCTAGAGGCGGCTGGAATCAGCACTAAGACACTGTCTGGCTCTAATACTGCTGTATATGTTGGGGTGATGTGTGACGATTTCTCCCAGATCGGTATGGTAACACCCTCTTTGACAAACTCAACTAACTGCTAATCCCAACTTTTACAGTCTACGGGGACAGTGAAAACATTCCAACATACGCTGCAACGGGCTCCGCCCGTAGTATCCTTTCCAACCGGATCTCGTACTTCTTCAACTGGCATGGTCCATCCATGACGATTGACACGGCTTGCTCCAGCAGTCTTATTGCCGTCCATCAGGCCGTTCAGGCCCTGAGAAGTGGCGAGTGTCCGGCTGCCATCGCTGCTGGGACCAATCTTATCTTTGGGCCCACTATGTTCGTTGCCGAGAGTAATTTGAACATGCTCTCACCCACTGGGCGCTCTAAGATGTGGGATACCAGTGCTAATGGCTATGCCCGTGGTGAAGGTGTTGGGTCCGTCGTTCTGAAGACGCTGTCCGCAGCCTTGCGCGATGGGGACCATATCGAGTACATCATTCGCGAGACTGGGGTGAACCAAGATGGCAAAACACCCGGAATTACAATGCGTAAGTAGTGTGACAGTAGACTGTTTCAAGGGTAACATTCGTGTTCTAACCTCAAGTATAGCTAGCTCTACCATGCAGGCTTCCTTAATTCGGGACACCTATGCCAGGGCCGGCCTGGACCTAACTAAGCGTCGTGATCGGTGCCAGTATTTTGAGGCTCATGGAACTGGTACCCCAGCTGGTGATCCCCAGGAGGCGGGTGCCATTCACAGAGCATTCTTTTCTAGAGAACGTGCTATTGAAGAAGGCTTTGATGATGAGGATATCCTCTATGTCGGGTCTATCAAGACCATCGTCGGACATACCGAAGGGACTGCCGGTATTGCTGGATTGATGAAGGCTGGCCTGGCGATCCAAGAAGGGATGATACCTCCAAACATGCATTTCAGCAAGCTGAACCCTGACATTGAGCCCTATTATGATAGCCTAAAAGTCCCGGTCCAACTGCGGGACTGGCCCGAACTGCCCACAGGAGTTCCTCGCCGCGCCAGTGTCAACAGCTTTGGGTTTGGCGGTGCCAATGCGCATGCCATCATCGAGAGCTATGATTCCGACACTGCTGTTGATCCTGCCTGTACTCCTGTCTCTTCTAGACCCTTGGTCCCTCACACGTTTGTGTTCTCGGCGTCTTCGGAGAAATCCCTCGTTGCACAGCTCAAATCGTACATCACGTTCCTGGATGAGCACCCTGATTTTCCTATTGGTACCCTATCTTGGTCTCTCTTCCGTCGCAGTGCACTCAACTTCCGCGTCGCCTTTGCCGCAGACTCACTCACATCTCTCGCGTCTCAGATTGAGAAAGCTCTGCAGGATTCCCAGACCAACAACAATCCCTTGGGCGTCCGTGTAAACCCTAAGACTCCCCGAGAGATCCTAGGTGTCTTCACTGGTCAGGGTGCGCAGTGGGCCACTATGGGCCGTGAATTGGTTCTATCCTCGCCTTTCGCAGAATCCGTCATTGATAACCTCGAGAGATCCTTGGCTGACCTACCCGATGGTCCCGACTGGTCACTAAAGAGCGAAATACTCGCCTCGAAGGAGACATCACGGATTGCCGAAGGTGTCATCTCGCAGCCTCTGTGCACAGCCGTCCAGATCATGGCTGTTGAGGTATTGCGGCGAGCAGGGATTCATTTTAGTGCTGTAGTTGGGCACTCGTCCGGTGAAATCGCATGTGCTTATGTCTCCGGTTTCTTGTCCGCGAGTGATGCAATCCGTGTTGCGTACTACCGCGGCAAGTATACCATCCTTGCCAGGGGCGGCGCCATGATTGCCGCTGGAACGGATATGCAGGACGCCATTGAGCTCTGTAACCTGCCAAAACTCAAGGGCAGGGCTCAGCTCGCTGCTAGTAACTCGTCCGCCAGTGTGACCATGTCGGGAGATGTGGATGCAATTGGCCTCGTTGAGGCCGTCATGCAGGACGAGTCCAAGTTCGCACGCAAGTTGAGAGTCGACACGGCCTACCATTCATTCCACATGCGTGTCTGTTCAGAACCTTATGTCGAGTCGCTCGTCAAGTGCGGCATTCAAGTGACAGAGCCCGCTGCAGATTCCTGCCCTTGGTATTCATCCGTGCGGGACGATAATGCTAAGGTCACTATGAACATGGCAACTGCTCTGCAGGGTACCTACTGGAGAGACAACATGCTTCAACCGGTCCTATTTTCTCAGGCATTACAGGCAGCCCTCGCTGCCAATGGGGCCCCTGGGCTGGCAGTCGAAGTTGGACCTCACCCTGCTCTTACAGGCCCCGCAAGTCTGACGATTGAAGAGGCTACTGGGTCTGCAGTGCCGTACTGCGGTACCCTGGCTCGAGGCCAGAACGACGCCCTCGCCATGGCGACGACGTTAGGATCCATTTGGACAATCCTTGGCGCTTCTGCCGTTGATATGCAAGGCTTTCAACGAGCATTCAATCCTGATGTGGCCTTTGAAGTATCTAAGATACTACCGACATATACATGGGACCACGACCGGATTATCTGGAACGAGACTCGCACATCCAAGGCTCACCGTCTTCGCTCACAGGCTACGCATCCCCTCCTCGGAGCTCGAACAGGAGATGAAATCGATGGCGAGCTCCGCTGGCGCAACTATCTGAAGCCCAAGGAAATGCCCTGGCTACATGGTCATCAGATCCAAGGCCAGATGGTTTTCCCTGCGGCAGGGTTTGCAGTGATGGCGATGGAAGCAAGTAAAAGCCTGGCAGCTATCGAGGGAATTAGCTTGCTGCAGTTGAAAGACTTCAGCATTCATAAAGCACTGTCATTTATTGATGACAATGCAAATATCGAAACCATGTTCGTTGTATCAAATGTTGTTCGGGATAATTCCTCTGTCACGGCTAACTTTGCCTGCTATGCTTGCATGAACAAGGATTCAGGAGAGCTCTCCTCCATGGCATGCGGCCAAGTGATCCTGACTATCGGCGATCCATCTGGTGATGCCATGCCGGAGAGGCCGAAGTGGGTAAACAACTTTATTCATACCGACGTTCAATACTTTTACGAATCTCTCGCTGAACTGGGATACGGGTACACCAGCATGTTCCAGGGTGTGACTGACTTACAGCGAACCAATGGCGGCTCCAGGGGTACTATCGTTATCCCCCAGAATGAGGAGACGCCCGTGAGCCAGCTACAGGACTGGATTATCCACCCTGCTACGCTGGATGTAGCCTTCCAGGCAGTGTTTGCCGCCGTGGGTGCTCCCGGCGACGGCCGCCTGTGGACACTACATGTGCCCACTTTAATTAGCAGCATCACTGTGAATCCTAACGCTTGCCAGATGAGCTCCGGAATCGAAACTCCGGTGCCCTTCGATGCTTGTCTTGCTGACGCCGTGGACGATGGTATCGCTGGTGATGTAGATCTGTATGATGAGGACGGCAAGTATGCCATTGTCCAAGTCCAAGGGCTTCATGTCACGCCTCTTGCGAAGCCCACCGCCGCCGATGATCGGGATACATTCGCATCTATAACTTGGGACATGGCAACACCCAATCTGGCCATTCACTGGACCGAGTGGGCAACCACTGATGACGAGGAGAAGATTGCCAATTTCACAGAACGCCTATCGCTTTACGTCCTCAAGGAACTGTGCGAGACGGTATCCATTGACGAAGTGGAAAGGAATGGTACTCAACACCAGCGCGCTGTACTAGAGTGGGCTCAACATGTCGTGGAAACAACTCGGGCCGGAACACACGCAACCTGCCGAAAGGCATGGCTAGCGGACACATGGGAGCTGCTCGAGAAGCCCGCACAGCGGCTAGCGAAGGAAGACCCACAGATTTGCCGATGCCTCTGGGTCAGGCAGTATCTTGCCCCTTTCCTGCGCGGAGACCTGTCCACTGAAGAGATATTAGACGCGGGTCAGGCGGTGCATGGTGGCCTATACACCACTTTCACTGGCTACCAGGAGTACCACGAATACTTGTGTGCCTTGATCAAACAAATCAACTTCAGGTATCATCATCTGCGGGTCCTTGAAATTGGCGCAGGCGAAGGTGACGCCACGAAGCCTGTGCTTGACGTGCTGAATGGCAACATCACGTCATATACTGCGACTAACGTTGTCATGGAAAGATTATACAGCTTGCGCGCTGTCCTCTCTGATACCAAGGGAGATAAAATATACAAGGTTCTCGATATTGAGCAGGACCCCACCGAGCAAGGTTTTACCAGCGGGTACTACGATCTTATTGTCGCCAGCAACGTCCTGCACCGGACCGCTGAGCTCGAAGAGACTCTTCGAAATGTCCGTAGCCTTTTACGACCGGGTGGATACCTCGCTCTCCTTGAGCCCACCAGCCGTGAGTCGTTGGCTCTCTCACTTGGAGGCTGTATGTATCCCAGCTGGTTTGGTGGCATTGAAGACAGTCGCAAATATTCTCCGCTGGCTTCCCAGAAAACATGGGATACTGTCCTTCGTGACGCTGGATTCTCCGGCGTTGATACCGCTACCCCCGAAGAAAGGACGTTTACAGTGCCGTTTTCTGTGATGGGCTCTGTAGCAACGGATCGACAACTAGAAATTGTCCGGAACCCACTGGACTATGCCGGCGCCGTAGTCTCGGAGGTGAATACGCTGCTTATCATCGGCGGCAAATCTGTGAAGGTTAACCACCTTGTGCGCGGTTTGAGAAAGATCCTTTCGCCGTTCTTCAATAAGATCATTGAAGCTGAAACCCTGATGGACGTTGATGACGAGACAATTGCAGCTCAGCCTACTGCCATCAGTCTTACAGAGCTGGATGAGCCTGTCTTCAAGCCATTTACCGAGAAGAAGTTCAAGGCGCTTGTAAACCTCTGCGACAACCTGCACACCCTGCTGTGGATCACAGTGGGTGGTAGGGGAGAGAACCCATACATGGGCATGATGGTTGGTGTTGGTCGTTGCCTTGTCGGTGAGATGCCCAACCTGCGGCTGCAACACCTCAACTTTGATGGCAAAGACATGCCATATCCTGATGTTTTGGCCCACCATTTACTTCAGCTACACCTGTCTTATAACATCTCCGGCGAGACAACAAAACCTAATGATCCATTATTTACAATTGAGCGAGAGCTTACGGTACAAAACGGCAAGCTTCTCATCCCGCGGTATCTGCCTGTCAATACGATCAATAATCGTCTCAACTCGGACAGGAGATTGATCACGCAGCAGATAGACCAGTCCACTGTGGCTGTAGAATTGAACGCTACGGGCTCTTTCTACAAGCTTCGTGAACATGACCAGCCAGCTACCACCAAGTATGAATCAGTCAAGGTCACTGTGTGCAAGGCCTTGCTCAGCGCCATCCGGGTTGGTAGCTACGGCTGTCTTCATGTTGTGCTGGGCAAAACGGAAGCTGGGAAGAAGGTCATCGCTTTATCTGAGAAGAACCAATCTATTATTTGTGTCCCGAACTCTTCCGCTGTCAATGTCGAGGTGGCAGATGACCACGAAACCCGATTTTTACTGTCCGTTGCAGCCGAACTGCTGGCGGCCACTATATTGAATGATATCTGTGGTCCAGCACTTGTTCACGAGCCAGATACTGTGCTTACAAGTAGCCTCCTTGAGCTTGCCGCGCAGAAGGGCATAGCTCTCACGGTAACATCGATCTCCTCAGCTCACAATGGCGTCACACTGGTTCATAGCTCATCTCCGGATCGTTTGCTAGCGCGCATCATTCCGAAAAATGTCCGGGTTTATACTGAGCTATCGGAGTCAAGCACATCAAGTGTAGTTGGCTCTCGGTTTGAGAAGCTGCTTCCCGTTGGCTGCGAGGTGAAGCGTGCGTCGAGCCTCTTCAGCTCGAAGGGCTTTAGCACAGGTTCTGTTACCATTGGTGCTCTCGATGAGGCAGTTCAGCGATCATTGCTATCACTGAGCCAGACAAACTACCAGACCCACGTCATCCCAGCATCAGCCATAGCATCGCGGAAGATCGAACCTCGTGGCCTGCAAATCATCGATTGGTCGGTCGATGCTGCGCTTCCAGTGACCGTGACGCCTGCAGACGAGAAAATCACTTTCCCAGGAGACCGAACTTACTTCTTAGTTGGCCTGACTGGGGAACTGGGACTGCAGCTGACGAAGTGGATGGTAAGTCGGGGCGCACGATATCTAGCCCTGGCCTCGCGGAATCCCACAGTAAACTCGGAATGGCTCGAGCTGGTGCAATCCGAAGGCGCTGTCGTCAAGACATATGCCATGGATGTGACTAGCAGAGCTTCCGTCCGAGCCGTTCATAACCGAGTCTGTTCCGAGATGCCACCCATTGCAGGTGTTGCCAACGGTGCCATGATCCTGATCGACGGCCTGATGGCCAACAAGACACATGCAGATTTTGAGAAGACACTCCGCCCAAAGGTTGATGGAACGGTCTTCCTGGACGAAGTTTTCAACAAGAACAACCTAGACTTCTTCATCGTTTTCTCCTCTCTTGCGGGTCTCGCCGGAAACATCGGCCAGACAGCATATTCGTCTGCCAACGCCTTTATGTGCAGTTTGGTCGCAGGCCGTCGCATGCGCGGACTTGCCGGCAGTGCCATTAATATGCCTGGTATAGTATCCTATACTTCAAGCTAGACTGAGCTAACTCTTGCTATAGGTATTGTCGGACTCGGCTACTTGAACCGCGACAGCCGGAAACTAGATCGTCTTGAGAATGCCGGCTATGTGAACATTAGTGAATGGGACTTCTATCAATTTTTCTCAGAAGCCATCGTTGCCGGCCGTCCAGGTTCGGGTATTGACCCCGAAATCACCGCTGGGTTGCAGCGGATCGATATCGACCGTAACCCTGACCCGCCGATCTGGGCAAAGACGCCACGATTCCAGTGGCTCAGAATGATTTCAGCGTCTGGGGAGATTGGGGACGAGGAGCAGCAGGATGGCTCGTCTATTCGCAGCCGCCTCGCTGAGATGACCAACAAGGATGAGGTCCACAAGTTGCTGCTAGATGGGCTTCTCAGTACTCTTTATACCCGGCTCAACATGAGTGCTGACCAGCGCGGCATAACTCCGGACACGGCAATTGTCGAGTTGGGAGTTGACTCTCTACTAGCTGTCGATATGCGGTCCTGGTTCACGAAGGAACTCGACCTGGATATGCCTGTCCTGAAGATCCTGGGCGGAGCAACTGTCAATGATCTAATTGACGACGCTATGAAGCGGTTGTCACTAGACCTCGTGCCTAACCTGACTGCCGAGGGCAAGAAGCTCGAGGAGGCGCCAGTAGCAGACCAGGAGCAGTCTGACTGGCCCAAGACAAATCCTCTTAGTGGGGAGGACGAAGCTGCAGATGCGACTTCAGATAATCTTGCTGAGGTTGCCGAAGAGGTTGAAGAGGAGCCTCTTGTAATCGTGCCTCTCGATTTACCCATGTTTGATGAGCCAGCAGACGATGTGCATGCTTCATCGCCCACGCAATCCAAAGAAGATACTGCGCTCAGTTCTTCTGAAACTACGGCTAGTTCCGTTTCGGGTGAAGAATCAGCTGTTGGGAAGCGCACTACATTTTCCTTGTCATCGAGTTGGTGTGAGATGGAGTCGTCTTCTGAAACTTCAGCGCCTTCGGACTCTGGCTTAGAATCTAGTACTGAGCTCGAGCCGCAAGTGGATCTCAACAGAAAGCTCCATCATGGTGCCACGACTAGTATGCCAGTAGCACAGCTTTTCTCGGCTCTGCCAGAGCACCCTGACAGTCTCCCAGAGTTCACAAAGAAAGTCAAGATGTCCTACGGGACCTCAAGGTTTTGGTTCCTAATGCAGTACCTTCAAGACCCCACTACCTTCAACTTGCTGTGCAGTATCAAATGCACTGGGCCCATCCGCTATGAAGAGGCCGAACGTTGTGTTGTGGAACTCGGTAACCGCCACGAAGCGTTCCGGACTGCATTCTTCGCAGATCCCGAGAGAATGAACGAGCCCACGATGGGTGTGCTGAGGGAGACGCCGCTCCGACTGGAAAGACGCTACGGTGCGTCTAAAGCCGACGTCGACGTGGAGATAGAAGAGCTTCTGAACTATGAATTTAAGTTGGAGCAAGGCGAGACCACCCGTATCAAGATGATCTCGCTGGATGACAACACCCACCACGTCCTCTTCGGCTTCCACCACATCGCCATGGACGGATTTAGTTTCAACCTCCTGCTCGCTGAAATCAACATGCTCTACGACAGAGAGCCAATGAGGCCGGTCCAAATGCAATTTAGCGATTTCGCCGAAACCCAACGTCTCCAGTTCGAGAATGGCTCTATGGCTAGTGAGCTACAGTTCTGGAAGGAAATGTACAGCATCAAGCTTCCTTCTGGAGAGCTCAAGCCAGACTTCCCTAAGCCATTACCTCTGTTCAGTCTCGCTCGTAGCTCTCGCCAGAGCCTTGACAACTACGAGTTTGAGGAATCACGACTGGTCCTGGATGCTCGGATTGTCCGCCAGATCAAGTCTCAATGCCGTCGCCACAAGATCACCACATTCCATTTTTTCCTGGGCGTACTGCGAACCTTTCTTTTCAGACATCTTGAGGTTGATGATCTTGTTATCGGCATTGCAGATGCTAACCGTGTCGACAACGCCCTGAATACAACCATGGGATTTATGTTGAACTTGCTAGCTTTGCGGTTTAGGAATGAGCATCAATACAGAACTTCGCCATTCAAGGACGTCGCGCTAGACGCCCGTAACATGGCTTACAATGCTCTAGCCAATTCCAAAGTCCCCTTCGACGTCCTCCTAGAGACGCTCGATATCCCCCGATCCACCACGCACAGTCCACTCTTCCAGGCCTGGATGGACTATCGACCATTTAAGCCTGACTACATGCCGAAGATGTTCGGGAGTGAGGCCAGTGGCACTCCAACTGTTGGCCGCAACGGGTATGATCTGACACTCGACGTCAACGAGGTCAACGGATCAGAAATCCGGGTGTCCTTCCGCACGCAGAAATACTTGTACTCGGCCGAGTCCACGCAGATGCTTTTCGACAGCTATATGAGACTAGTGACAGCATTTGCTTCCAACTTCGATACCAGCGTCGATTCTGTTCCGCTATGGAATCCCAGAACTATTAACTCGGCAATCGCCTTGGGACGTGGTAAGTAGAAACCCTTTCGTAAGGCAGCCAGAACATAAAATTGAGGCTAAAAAATGCATAGGTCCGAAACAACAATCGGAATGGCCCGAGACGCTCTCCCAGGTTATCGCCAATGTTGCCGCGCAAAATCCCGATAAGGTGGCCGTCAAAGATGGAAATAACGTTATTCTGACCTACGCAGATCTTGAGCAGCGCGTTCAGTGCATCAGCCAGGCTCTTACTGAATCTGGCGTCAAGCCTAAGTCCCGCGTCGCTGTTTTCCAACAGCCGAGCGTCGACTGGGTATGCTCGCTCCTAGCCATCTGGCATGCAGGGGCTACCTACATACCACTGGATATACGAAGCACCCTTCCTCGCCTGGTGATCATAACCAAAGCTGCTAAGCCAGCCGCAATCCTCTGTCATGCAGAGACGGAGGGCGACGTGTCGGAATTACAGTCCACCGCTGCGGTTGTTAATGCTTCAGGATTGAAAGATAATGTTCCCAGGAATATCACTAGGACCCAGGCGAAAGCGAATATCCCGGCCGTTGTTCTTTTCACCAGTGGCTCGACAGGAACACCCAAGGGGGTTGTTCAACGCCACTTGGCCTTCCGCAACACCATCGAAGGACTGACCCGACAATACGGGATCGGGGTAGAGAAGATCCTTCAGCAGAGCGCATACACATTTGACTTTTCTCTTGAGCAAATTCTCTGCGGTCTCACCAATGGCGGGTCGATATATGTTGTCTCCAAGGAGAGTCGTGGCGACCCAGAAGCCATTGCGAAGATCATCAAGTCCGAGAGCATCACCTACACTCGTGCCACACCATCGGAATATGCCAGCTGGATTACCTACGGTGCCCAACACCTGGTTAAGGCTTCTGCATGGAAGTTCGCCTGGGGTGGAGGCGAGGTGATGCCCCAGTCTCTGCGCCTTAGTATCGCCAGCCTAGGTCTAAAGGGCCTGCGCCTCTACAACTCCTACGGCCCAGCAGAATCAATTACATGCACCAAGACCGAAGTTCCCTATACTGATGATGACCTCCAAGATATCGAAAGCGAGATCCCAATCGGTCGCCCCCTTCCCAACTACTCGGTATACGTGGTCGATCACAATCTAGCCCTTGTGCCAGCAGGTGTGACCGGCGAGATAGTGATTAGTGGTCCCAGCGTGGCCCAAGGCTACCTGAACGACGAGAAGCTAAGCGAGGGCAAGTTCATCAGCAATACATACTCTCCCACCGATGGCCCCATTGCCTACCGTACCGGGGACGTGGGCTATCTCCGGGGCGACGGAATGCTGATGTTCAAGGGTCGCATTGCCGGGGATACACAGATCAAGATCCGTGGCATGCGCATTGATCTCGCCGAGATTGAGAACTGCCTCATCACAGCGAGTGAAGGAAATCTTCATAAGGCCGTGGTGTCCGTCCGCGGCGGCGGAGCCATGCTTATAGCGCATGTGCAGTTTGCGCCATCCCTCAACGCAGACGAATCCGAGCAGAATGCGATTCTGCGGTCGCTGCGCTTCAACCTCCCATTGCCCGTGTACATGACTCCAGCTATGCTCATCCCTGTGGAGCAGATGCCAGTTAACGCGCACGGCAAAACGGATCGTGCCGCGGTACAGGCTATGGGTTTACCACAAGCCCATCGTGAGCACACATCGAAGGAGCTGAGCGAGACTGAGCGTCAGTTAGCAGAGATTTGGAAGGAAGTCGTTCCCGGTGACGTTGCCGGTGCTATCAAGATTGACGGCCATACCAGCTTCTTCGAACTTGGCGGAAACTCACTGCTGCTTGTCAAGCTACAGGTGCTCATTAGCATGCGATTCAATGCTAAGCTATCGTTGGTTGATCTCTTTAGTGTCTCGTCTCTCGGCGCCATGGCTGCTAAGATTGAGGCCGCCCCCCCTGCAGAAACCGTTGACTGGGAAGCGGAAACTCGGCTCGACGATAGACTACTACAGCACCTCTCCAGCGAAGAATCTCAGGTCAGAGGCTCTAGTCGCAGAGTCCTTGTCACCGGATCAACAGGCTTCTTGGGTCGTCGGTTGATCCGATCCCTCGCCGAATCAGATGAAGTGAGCGAAGTACACTGCATTGCCGTGCGTTCTAGCACTAGACAACGCCCTAGTCAACTATCTGAAAAGGTCAAGGTATATATGGGTGACCTTGCAGCACCTCGCCTCGGCCTTTCAGACGAAACCTTTAAATCATTATCGTCCAACATCGACCTCATCATACACGCCGGCACTAGCAGGTCGATCTTCGACGGGTATCAAATGCTCCGAGGTGCCAACGTTGACTCGACAAAAGAACTGGTGAAGCTGGCAGCGCCACGGCAGATTCCTTTCCATTTCATCTCCAGCGGTACAGTACTTAGTCTGGGGAGGTCTACGCCGCCATTCGGGGGCTCGGAAGGCTACACGGCCAGCAAGTGGGTGTCCGAACAGTACTTGGCCAAGGCAGCAACGCAGCTCGGGATCCCGGTCGCAGTGCATCGTATCACGTCACCACTGGAGGAGCCAACGTTCGAGGTCACAGACAGTCTGGTGGAACATTTCCGGGATCTCTCATCCGTTCTGAACGCTGCTCCAGCACGTGGCAATATCAGCACAAGTCTCGACTTGATCAAAGCCGATGACCTGACCCAAAGAATCGCTGCTTCAGTATCAGGTCCTCCATCCCACAGTAGAAGCGACGGTCAGGTTCGACACATTGAGCATCCGTGTGACATCCGCATTGATCTAGACACAACAGTGTCGCGGATCCTTGAAGGAGTAAAGGCCGAACTGCCCTCGCTCCCTATGGTTAAATGGATGGCACAGGCACGAGATGCGGGCTTTGAGTGGCAGATCGCGTCAATGGATCATGTCCCATTCCGGGAATAGAATGAAGGATGAAAACGAGTGTGAGTTATATATGTATATGTTTGCAATGAACCTTGTGAGATTATGTTTGTATATAGAAACCCATATGTTATGGTTATTACTGTTCCTGTCGATGAGATTGATCAATGCAAGAACCCCTACTTCAATCTTTTCCATTGACGTAAACTCAACAGATAAAACGAGGGTGTACTATCACGTGTCCAGCGTCTGGTGTGTGATGGGCTCCTTTACCAAGTCTATTTACCGCGAAGTATGTTACTGTATCGCTATCTCTGTAATATCATTTAGAAAGAGTGTAAGATATAGATACTGTAAACATATATCTCTATAATTGAATAATAAAAGAATAGTCTCTTATGAATTTGAGTAGAAATACCTGATAATAGAATATAACTGTAATACATATACGCTGTAAGTATAGGTCTGGTATTACTAAACTTTACCGACTTTAGTAATCGCGTCATATTCGACCTATTACACGTGTAATATAGAGCTAATTTTGCATAAGTTTTATTTTTAAAAACTATGTATGATAGAGAAATGTATGGAGCATATATATTTCATTGTCATTATACTGGCACCTTAAACATAGATACAGATATATAAAAATATCCAGATCGCTAAGGGATTCTGCTGGCCAGGAAATCGGTAAGGTTATTGCGGAGTCGCGGTGGCCGCCAAAACCTGCCGTAGATCGGAACGGCCCGAACGCTGCGGCCAGTGGCTGGCTCAGATACCGGGATCCACTTGATCGCCATGCTTGTTTGGTGGCTTGATGACTGCACGGGCCCAACGGCCTGCTGCCAACGCCATGCCCCTTGAATTTCTAGATGGAGAACCACCACCCCCTCTAGCACGAGGCGGTATGGAGAAATAACATCGATGGGCCATTTGTAGATCCAGACGGAATTATTCTAGACGACAAAGACATCTTCGGAGAGGAGGATATGAGTTTATCCCGCACGCTGGAACTTTTTCCCGGAGCGCATTACCAATGGAGGCGGTGCGGCACCGGGAGAAGATTCTTACAGATATGATATATTAATCGAGGTGGGGGAAGCGGAACAGGAAGTGGAAGATAATGATAAGAGTGGATATTCCATCGAAGTCAGAGAGCTTTGGGCGAGCTGCGCTCGAGAGATCCGTTGCTACAGTATAGCGAGTACCACGCTGCTTGTATGGTGACTCGTCTTTTTGCGGAGGATAAGACGGCCCCTGATGGTGGAGGGTTGCTGCATGATTTTCTCGATGGTTGTAGGGATGTGGTTCGGCAGTGGCGGACGGAGGACGATGACGCGGATGATGATTTTCGATGGGGCGTGGAAGGAAAGCTGTTGGAAGACTTTTTCTCTTGGATGAGGTGAATTTTGTTCTGCCGGTCTTTCAGATGGTGTTCAAGGACCACCGTATACTCGTATGGCTAGTCCTACTATTATTCCTAAATTAGAAATCGGTGGAGTCTAAGAGAAAAATATTCCATGCGCTAATGTGGCTGGTTCGTTGAACAGAAAACCCCAATTTAATGCTCTAAGATGCTTTACTCACAAACCCTATGGATACTGAGCAGTGTGAAAGATCAGCCCAGTCCATATATCCCGCGCATTAACATCTAATATAGATGTCGTTCACAAGACAATCCTATACCATCCTGAACGATTCCTGAACCTTAGCTTTGTTTTTCGGTAATCACACCCCAAAGCGTGTAACGACCATCTCCCCATTCCCATTGGCAACCTTGACACCAGCCACAGCCACCTCCGCCCTCACCAACTCATAAACCGTGGCATTAGAGTCAATATCTAGCACCTCATCATTGACTGAATCAACCTGACCATAACCTCTCACTATCATGATCTTCGCTCACATTCTGGGTCTGTCGCTCTTAGGGTCAGTAAATGCTGCTACACTCGGGAAACGCTTCTCTAGTGCAGATTTTGCAATTGGTGAAACGGACCCACACGTAAGCAGTGAATGTACCTACTGGGCGAACTCGATCAAGTCGACCGACACTTGTGCTGCGCTAGAGCGCTATTATGGCATCAGTAATGCGCATCTTGTTTCCTGGATAAGGGAGAGAAACGCTTTCTATGAGGGAATGAAGATGGCTGACAGCTGACTCAGGCACTATCCGTAGAACCCATCCCTGCAAGCGACTGACTACACCCTGAGTGAGGGATGGAGTTGTTGCGTGGAGGCTTCCGCAATTGCGACCACCACCAAGACGACCACCTCCGAGAAGACCACCACCACTACGAAGGCCCCAGCAACTACCCCCTCGAATTTTACAACTGCAAGTGCCACTAAGACTACGGTAGGAGGTCCATCTCCCACTCAGACTGGGTTGATCTCCTCGTGCAATGCATTCTATTACGTCCAAAAGGATGATTCCTGCTGGGGTATTACGAATTTTTATGGAAACTTTACTCTGGAACAATTCTACTCATGGAACCTGTGAGTCTATTCCAAGTCCCACATAGTGACTGGATCACTAACTGTTCGTGCATGAGCTATTGCTGTTAAAACCAACTGCTCCGGACTTCAACTAAACTACTATGTCTGCGTTGGCGCTGTCGGTTCCACTGCTCCAATTATCACCTCGAAGACAGCGACGGCGTCACCAACAACCACAACTGCACCCCACTCACCTCAGCAAAGTGGAATTTCTTCTGATTGTATGCTACCTACCTTCTTATACATATCTCATACATGCTTTGCCTTACTCAAGATCCCAATTGATCATACCCCAGGTAACAACTACTACTTCGTAGAAGCCGGCGACGAGTGTGCCTTCATAGCAGCCAAGCACGGCATCGCACTTAGTAACTTCTACGCCTGGAACCCGCAATAGGATCAACATGCGGCAGTCTCCAGGCAGGCTATTGGGTCTGCATTGGTGTCTCTGGTATACATTACCCCTTCCTTCCCCTATCGCTCAAACTAACACCAACCGATAGGTGGAACCACCACAACCAACCACCCAAGCAACCACTGCAAAGACCACCACCGGCACAGCCCCCGCCAGCACTGGACTCTCTCCTACGCAGTCCGGCATCGTCACCGACTGCTCAGCCTACTATCAGGCCCAGGGAGGCGACGACAGCTGGTCGATTGTAAATAAGAAATATTCCTACCTCACAGCAGCCAAATTCTACGAGTGGAATCCAGCCATCGGCACAAGTTGCAGTAATCTGCAAACTGGGTACTACTATTGCGTTGCGACTAAGAACAAAGGACCAATGCCGAACGCCATCAGCACATGCGCCAAATGGCATCTTGTGGCTTATGGTGATAGCTGCTGGTCAATCGAACAAAAGCGATTACCTCAACGCAGTTCGGTAGCTGGAACCCGTATGTGGGATCTTCCTGTGCGACTCTGTGGCAAGGATATTATGTCTGTGTTGGCGTTTAATGAAGTGATTATGGCTGGTGAGGAGGAGTGAGTTCGGCCTCTTGCATGGCTGAGTTTTACTCTACAAGCGGCTTCATGAAATTGATGTGTCACGAAGCTACAAGCATCTTTAGGTTGAAGGGCTAGACATACATGCATGTGTACTTAAGAGTTGTGATAGCATCGGTCAAACTGATCATTCAAAGATTCCTATCGGATGACAGTTGTGAATTGATGAGCCAACCTAAATTAAGACATGAATTTGTGTCCATATATATACACATCGTGTGGTTGTATTTCAGGCTATAGATATAACAGGTATCCGAGCTGCGCAGCTTGGGATTGATGAAAAGTAGACAATACATTTATATGAGATTAATAAATATAAAATATTTAACACATTCAACAGTATATTGTGGCAATCTTAGAAACTACTGAAGAAATATGCATATATATCAACTGCCTATTTCTACTAGTTTTGCTTAATATTGTCTTATCTTAAGGCTCTATATGGAGATTATTCTCATCCCAATCATCATTCCTATTCCTACTATCTACAGCTATCCTACCACTAACATCTAAACGCTTGTCGGCTGATACGGCAAGCTCCAGGGGTTACTCCGCAACAACGATTTCTTATCGATTTCTGCCGGCAGAACTCATAACTTGCTTAGTTTCACCATCTGGCTACTAGTCCTGGACACCATAATGTTTTCTCTCCGTTGGATCTACATATCATTCTATTCCGTGTTCATGGTCGGCTGTCTCATATGTGGCTTTGCCCCAAAAAGCAACATATTCACTGTAGGCAGTGATTGATGGAATGGCCTAGTCAGACAATGTCAGATGTATTGATTTTTAGAGATCAAGGGAAAGTGATAGTACCGTTGCGATGACGAAGACATCCAAGGACTTCATAAAGGGGCTGAACCATATGCCTATAAAGATGGTATAGAGCTTGAAACCGTGCATCGCCATGGAGTTGGGCTCTACGCCCTCGGTAGGGTTTGCGTGTTGCATATCGTCTGCACGGGCCGAAGTCTCTACATCAATATTTGCATTTGATAAAGCCATGTTCTACTATTGAGTGTGAATCAAGTGTGAACCATTTGGCTAGAGTCACTCTGGACGCCTGGCCTTCAAACCCAAAGCCTCTTGCTTATGACGCCGGCCACCTGGAGATTATAGTCAAAGGCCTTTCTATATTCAAGCCAATATACCTAGCATGGTATTTGGTCCCAAGGGTAACTCAGGCCCAGTTTGACTTAATGAGATTCAGAAAGGTGGTAATTCAATTTACAAGCAATAATAGAACTTCAGCATAGACAATGACAGTGTATTATGTCTCACCATATGTATAAGCACCGTAAATTGCCGGAGATTAAGATCAATTTTTTAGATTAGTTGTCGATATTTAAGATTAAGGAAGCATTAAGATCTTAGGTTCCTTATCAGATAGTATGATATTGTTATAAAATAACATTCTAAAAGTATGAAAAAGTAGTCCCAGGTAGGGGCCGCTGGGGGCAGAACCAGAAGTCAATCCGATCTGACACGCATGGTTCCAGGGCATAAAGCGAAATAAATTATTACTTGGCATTTCTACCTGCAGAATACTATGAATATTGTACGCTGCTACTTGGAAATCTTAATGTTTGGTCACCCCAAGTGAGCCGCAATGTCAGCCTGGAGACCCGACTTAGGGTTAGTGTCAGCGCAGTCAGCATGTCTGACAGTCTATACAAAGTCATGCCTTCTGACAGATTGAAATATCATCCTGTGCAAGCAATATATCTCAATGCAAACTAGACGTTCTATAAACCAAGATTTCGATATTCCGTGTTATCTCCTGTCAACCTCAACCTTAACCGTACCGATTCAAGCTCGCGACCACCAGTCCAAGTAAGCCCTGCCCAGGATGGCTCGAGGCTTTCCTCCCGTCGAATTAGATCAGACATTATACGATCTTTACTCGCTTGATGGCGGCGATCCAAACTCAGTGGCCCATGTCATTGCCTTGGCGCCTCCATTCAAGTGCGCAGCTTCGCTGCCAGTGAACACCAAATACATCTACCAGACGCCCATGGCCCCACCTCTCGATGCAGAAGTGTATGCCCGCATCTGTCTGGGTAATGGTGCACAGAACCACGGCTTCATGTCTGGGCCAATTCCCTTGTACCTTTTCGACATCGACCCACCGCCCTACGATATAGCCAACAAATCTGTGGAATCGCCCCCGGCCGCACAGACCGACGCTCAGCGAGTATACGATTGCCTGGTACCCTGGCAGCGACCCAAGCTGAACTTCATCTCCGATCCGGATGCTTTTCGGCCAAAACCAAATGTTCATATCTCGCCATACCCACCGCTAGACTTCCTAGACAATCATCCCTGCATCCTCAGCCAGGAGACACACTACGGGCTACTCTCAAAGCGCAACCTAGCACTATCCGGGCTACCGACACCGCCTTCCGATGTTATTGAAGGCCAGCTATCTCCAGAGGACGTGCAGGACAATTTCAAAGTCGAGACAGAGACACAACGCATCCTGGACGCCGTACGGGCCAAGCCAGCGCCATTCGTGGTCAAGTTCCCGCAATCATTATCGGGCCAGGGGGTGTTTGTGATCCGCGACGAGACTGCTAAAAAAGCTCGACTGCCTATTCTCGAGACAGAAGTAGCGCGCATGATCCGCACGCTGACACCGGATAACGTGCAACTGCAGCCCGTCAGCCTAATACTGCAAGAGGTGGTACCTGGCGATAACACCAGGAATCTGTCGCTGTTCATCACACGGTCGGGTCGTGCCGTGCTCATCAGCTGTGCTGAGCAGTTCCTCGATGCGGAGGGCATCTACCGTGGTAGTATTCTAGACTACTGTCAGCAGGGTGAGCTGGAAGCGCAATTTCGCGACACTATCGACCAGGTGGCTGTGTATGTGCACCGAAATGGGTTCTACGGGCCTATGGGCGCTGATGTCATGACTGATCCGACTGACGGGCGTCAATATGTTGTTGACTTGAATGTTCGCATCACCGGTGACTATATGATGGGCCCCCTGCGAGGCCACTTCCTGGAGCGGCGCGGGCTGACTGTGTCCTTCGTAATTACGCCGTTGGTGGTGCTGGGTAACCGGGACCAATTCGAGGAGCGATTCGCAAAGGAGATGATGAACGGTCGTCTGATCATTATTGGGTGGGCAAGAGGAAAGGGAGGGCGTTCCGGGCGTCATGAATACAGCGTGGCTTCGGTGGCCATTGGGGGGAGAGATCGAGAGCATGCGCTGGAGCTGGTGGGTAGGATAAATGAGTTGGCATTGTCGAAGCCGCAGTGATTTTTTCAGGGTTGACTTGTTCATCGCAATCAGGATCACATACAATCTATCTATTGATTCTTCTTTTGAACCATCCTTTCTAGCTCGCTCAGCCCAAACATCCTCCATGCCCCTAAGTCCAGCATCCATTCACCTACAACCGATCCCCAGTACAGCAATTGAGCCATACCACCGTAGTACATCCAGTCGGGTCGTCCAAGCCCCCAGAACCTCCACAACGGATGGACCTCCGGACGCAGCGCGCTGTCCACCACCTCGCGAGCAAAGTCAGCCGTTGGCATAGGCCGAGACGATGCTTTTTGCGAGAAGCCACGTCGCGCGAGATATAGATGGCGCACCGGCTCGTAGAGACTGTCTGGTGGCAAGTCGCCACGCACGGAACTGCCCATGTTGCTCTGCACTGTGCCTGCCATGAGGACCTGCACACGCACACCAAATGGACGCAGCTCCTGACGCAGGGTGCGTGAATAGGCGGCCAGAGCGGCCTTACTGGCGCTGTAGACACTGCCGAACACGTAGGGCACAAGCGCTGACACAGACGAGACGTTGATGATGAGTCCGTGCGCAGGGATGAGGAGATCAACAAAGGACTGCACCATAGCCATAACTCCAAAAAGATTAGTTTCGAAGACGGCCCGAGCGTCATTGATGACAGTATCGATGGCTGGGGTGACAAGGCCACGGCCGCTAGAGCTATTAGCGGACGTAAATGCAGGTTGTGATGTGAAGCATCAACTCACGCATTGTTTACTAGAATATCCAATTTGCCTTGAGTCATCTGACCAACTTTCTCTCGACAAGTAGCAATGCTTGATGCATTATCAACGTCCAGTTGTAAGGCGGTTATCCCGTGACGGTCGAATTCGTCGAACAGGTCTGCGTTGCGGACTGTCGCGATGACATAGAATCCTTGTCTCATCAACCATGGTTTAAGACAGACACTGCCAATTCTGTCGCTTACCTCTGGCCTGGAACTCAGTGGCAAGTGCAAACCCGATGCTCCCGGGCGTGCACCTAGAGAATATGCATCAGCACGTTACTGTCCGAAGTGCCTATCCTGGAGGTATACGCATACCCGGTGATCAGGACGGACTTCCGCGAAAGTTCCATCCCTATCTCCTGTAGCTTTGACCAGATACTAGCCTAACCACAGATGCCTCGTGGAATATCTCCGTAAATAAATAGCTCCCCTAGATGCTGGTGCTGACAGCCATCTGTCAGACATGTCAGCCTCCGTCTTTCCTCTTTCGGGAAACATTTAAGGCGTCACGCATTGTAATCCTTGCTCCAAGTCCAGGTACGCCATTTACATCTATTCTATTTTGAGCTCACTAAAACCAGAAATTTCGATTTGAAAGTAAATTTAGCGTGATTTACACATACGTCTATAGGTATAGTGTCGACGAAGACCAGGATGTCACGTCTAACCCACGCCGTCTCCTCGCCCTGTCTACCTGCGATTCAGTAATCCCCAGCCGGCCACACATCTGCCGGAATATTCCTCCCTGTCGGAAGAGGTCGAGCGGTAATCCTATTTCTGCCACTGCCCCTGCCTCCATCACGCACACCCGGTCATATCCCAGCACAGATCGCAGTCGGTGCGCGATGTACAGCACAGTTTTGTGCCCAAAGGCTGCTTGCACAGCACGCTGGATACGTTCGTCCATGGCAGCATCGAGTGCAGCGGTAGCCTCATCGCACACCAGGATGCGGCTATCACGTACTAGTACACGGGCCAACGCCAGCAGCTGGCGTTGACCCAGAGAGAGATTCCCGCCCCCTTCTTGCACGGAGTCACTAAGGTGTAGCGTCTTGTCTAGTCCGCCGGCCATGCGTAGGGCTTCCCATAATGGTGCATCGTCGGCCACTGCGTCAAACGGGTCAAGGTTGCTTCGTATGGTACCCTCAAAGAGTGTTGCATCTTGCGGGATAATAGATAGGATGCTCTCCTGGATGTTATTGCTGCTATTCCTGCTATCTCCACGAAGTTCTGACAGCCCGAGCTGGGAGATGTCCATACCATCAATGCTGATTGTTCCAGCAGACAGTGCCGGTGTCAGCCTGAAGAGTGCGTTTACAATGGATGACTTGCCAGCGCCGGTACGACCGACAATGGCGACATGTTCACCAGCCTGAATATGCAAGTTGATATCACGCAAGGCATCGGGGAGACCGTCGCGATAGCGCATACTCACATTTGTGAAGTGAATCTCACCAACCGCAGCCTTTTGCACTTTTTCAGATAAAGACCTATTCAAGTCTGGGTCCGAGATGGTAACATTCGTCTCCTTCTGCTCACTGTTGACATCAATAGTGTCATCAGACTGGTTGGCAATGGATGTCTGAAGGCCTTCTCTCTCTTTAGGATCCTTCTCCTGCGGCAGCATATGGGCATAAGTATGAAGCCGTTCTGTGGAGTTCATGGCGCTCTCAACATCCGCCCACTCGCGCACCACTACCTGAATTATCTGTACCGAGTTGAGCATCATGCTCAGTGACAAGCCCGTCTCCGCCGGGTTACGACTGCGGCGTTCCACCAGCACCAGAATACCCATTACTACCACGAGCAACACAGTCCCTGCGTCCTGGCGCAGACTTAGCCACCGCTGCATGGCAATAGATGTCCAGGACGCGCTGACCATGTCGTTCACAACATCACGCAGCGCCTCTGAGAATACCTTCTCCATGCCATATGTCCGCAGCGTCGACGCTCCCATCAGGCCCTCGTCAAATCTGGCCATCACCGATGACCTCCGCACAGATTCATGCCGCTTAATCTCACGCGCCGACGCCCGATAGTACAGAGCTAGGAAGACAAGAAGAACGATGAGTGCCCCAACTCCGATAGCAAACCAATGAAAGTAGGAAATAATGAGTGCGAACATAGCTAGTAGGCCACCCAGCGACAGCAGGAACATCCGCAGTGACTCTGGGAGCGCATAGTCCATGGCCTCAATATCCGCCGTAAAGCGGTTCATATGCCGACCCAACGGCGTTGTATCAAAAAACACAATCGGCGCCCGTAATACTCGCTGGACCGCCTGGTTTGCCATCCTCCAGCTGGAGCGCGAGCAGCAGATACTAACCATAAGCCCGAACACATACAAAAACACTACTTGGCCAGCGGCGAGTGCCACATAGATAGCGATGTACGTGTTTCGCGGCAGGTGGAACCGGTTCGAGCTCCACCATGCCAACCATTGCATCGCCAGTACTGTGCTTCCTTGGGCTAGAGCTAATAGCCCTAGACTGAGCGGCACCAACAGGATCGCGTTATGTGTACGACCAATGAGCGAGCCGTAGACACTCCAGGACACGGACCGGGTAGCTTGGTCTTCATCTTGCATCAGTCGGTTGTTTATCTCACTGCCCCCGCTGGCGGCGACGGGATTCTTTGTATGTGGGTGGCCCTCTCTTTTCATCTCATCCATTTCTTCTTCGTCTTCCTCCGCTGCGTCATCATCTTCGTCGTCGCTATGCCCACTTCCATGGAAGAGGCGTGTAAACTCGGGCTCCTGCGCCAACAGCTGCTCAAATGTGCCCACTGCACGGACTCTACCCTGATCCAACCAAACGACGCGATCACAACACCGGGCCATAGCTATGCTATGGGTACACAACACACGGGCGGAGTCAGACATAAGGCCACAAAGAGCCTCGTCGCGCATAGCCCGGCCGACAGTGGCATCTACAGCACTGAGAGGGTCTTCAAGCAGCACCAACTCAGCACCCGAGTAGATCGCACGCGCCAAGCTGAGACGCTGCTTCTGACCTCCAGATAACACAACCCCACGCTCGCCAACCACCGTCGAGTCACCGTGTGGGAGCCGAGCCAAATCGCGCCCCAGCTGGCAGGCATTCACTACTTGCTGATAGCAGGCCTCATCAAACGGTCGACCAAAAGTTATGTTATCCCGCACTGTGGTGTTATGTATCCACGGCTGCTGCGGACACACAACTGGCGTTGCGCCCCAGACAAGACTACCAGATACTCGAGCCATGTCGCCTGCTAGAGCTGCTAGGAGCGACGTCTTTCCCGATCCAACGGCACCCACCACGCCTAGGAGCTCGCCGCGGTGTACTGTCAGTGATACATCACGCAGGCGGAACCGTGATAGCATCTTTTCGCTAACAGGGAGAGGAACGACGACCGACTTGTCATCCTTATTAGCCCCTGACTCCCGTGTTCCCGTCTCCTCGCTCCCGTCCTCCCCATCCCAGACAAATATGCCTTCCCGGATCTCCGCTGCCGCAGGAAGATCCAACTGCAGAGTTGGCTTCTCCATCTCCTCTGCCAGTAGGTACCGTTGTATGCGTCGCAGGGCAGCCCAGCTATCAAAACAGCCCTGAATACAGATAGGCAGGTACACGAGTGGCATACGCAAGCTTGTGAACAACGCGACGGAGGAAAATACAATAGCCGGTGAGAGTTCGGTGTTCTTTAGAGCGTAGGTGATAAACGCAATCATGGCTGTTAAAACTGGCAGCGCCTGGGAAAGCGCACCAACGGCGGTGCGCACGGCCAGAAAGCCTTGCAGGCGGCGCGACTCGCCACGGCGAACGTCAGTGATGAGGCGAGCAAAACCAGATTCCCAGCCAAAGCACTTAATCAGGCGGATGGCTCCCAGTACCTCGTGTGTCAGCCCGATCCGCTTCTGGGTGAATCGGTCGATAGCCTCTCTCTGATGGAAGAGCAGACCGACGCCGGTTATCAGCACGACGAATCCTGCGATGAGTAAGGCCAGACCGGCCAGGGCGCTTTCCCGTAGGTTTACGATCACTGATCCAGTAAGCCATTAGTTCATGCGCGGTTAGAAGGGAAAGGGGGAAAGGGGTGGATGTGACATACAGAGTGCAACGGCAATTAACAACGCTAGCGGAGATGTCCATACGATGTGCACGGCGCTGGCCACCTTGTCAATGCGTGCCGAGTCAACAGTCAGAAGCTGAGTGATATATCCTGTTGAGAAATCCTGGTTATTGTTTTCCCTACTCTGTTTTCTATCTTGTTCGTATGGCTGTCCATGGGCATCCTCCTGACGTATTGCCGATTTTCTCGCCCTCCCCAGCACCCGGACCGATTTTTCAAAGATGGATGTGATTAGGACAGCGCGAATCCGGCCGCCAACGAGCCCCAGACGCCACATATATGTGTTGTGGGCGAGTGACTGCAAGATGAGCATGGCCACAATCCCTATCAGGAGACCAATGCCTTGGGAAATAGGGGGCCCGGGCTCATCTAGATGATCGGAAATGTACGAGTCAATCGCGAACTGGATCAAATATCGTAGCGTGTACGGTATTATGACGAGCAGCACATCAGCCACGACACGACACGCACCGCCGATCCAAAAGTCGCGCTTGAATGTGTCGTATAGGGCCCAGAATAGGGGGGAGGTCTCGCCACGTTGACGGCGACTTGCAAAGGCATGCTGCACTACTGGCATCAAAGTGTGCGTGCTGCGATCGGAGTGGACTGGTGGTATATCATGAGTCTGGAGTGGCCGCTTGAATCCGGTCTACAGTGTATTAGAGCATAAGTAGATAGGGATAGGATAGAGATACCAACAAAAAGAAGACCCGAAACCCAGTGAAACAACAGACGACTGGTCCAAGTAGCTTCATGCTCGGGCGTGCCGCGTTGTTGGGCTGGCATGTCGGTGGCTGGCCGCTGTTCTGGCTGTGAATACCGGTTGTGAAGAGGAAATGGCCCGAATGAAATCGAGCTGTGGGCCTGGTTGGTTTGAGTCGGTAAGCAATAGTAAATCTATATCCACCGAGAATAGCTTCGGACATCCTTACAAATTAGGGTCCGACTGCTAGACGGTCATCAATCATCCCTGGTCAGTCACAAAGCATCAAGTTAGGCCAATAGTCAGGATATGATATAAATCGGGAACATGTTTTCGGCATTGGTCTTCTACGAACCTGAAAAATGCCTAGTATCATAGTGAGAAGTGAAAAAGATCATACGAGCTAGATATACGGGCTGACAGATGAAGATATCCCTACTGATGACCGGTATGTCAGCCACCTGTCAGCGTCAGCCTCAGCCAATGCCTCAAGAATTCCTATTAGGGTAACTAACCAGTCTCAACGATCGACTTGAGGTACCTCTGCTGTGGCAGTCCTCATAATCTTTTATTCAACGGTCATTCTTGAATTTTAGGCCAGTATACTCATAATGCTGTTTTCACCGCTGCCTCTCGTCTGCATCCTGGTTGTCGTCCCCGTAGTTGCGCATGCCCTACGCAACTGGTGGAGGCTCCGAACTCTGGCAACCGAACATGGCTGTCGTCGTCCACCGCAGCTCTCACGACTGCAAAACCTTCGGCAGCAAATGGCAGCCCTAACAGCGCATACCTGGCTCGACATGTGGTGCCAGCGTTATACCACGATTGGCACGACCTTTGAGAGCGCGACGGTCGGTACGGATTCCATCATCTTCACTATTGAACCGGAGAACATCAAGACCATACTAGCGACCAGTTTCTCCTCCTTTGCGTTAGGAGAGCGACGACGCAATCTATTGAGCCCACTCGTAGGCATGGGTGTATTCACGGCAGATGGAAGGGCATGGGAACATTCGCGGGTAAGAATTATAGCGTGTTCTTCCCAGTGTTCGAATAAATTCATGGTTCTTTGACTAAATCGCTGCAAAAATTGTATGTAGTCATTGATCCGCCCAACTTTTACCAAGATGCGCATCGCTGATTTGGACCTGTTCGAGTCACACTTTCAGGACCTCCTAGCCGCTTTGCCGCCACGTAGTCCGTACTCAGGCCTAATCGAAGTCGACCTGCAGCCATTGTTCTTTCGCATGACGCTTGATTCGGCCACGGAGGTACTACTAGGCCGCTCGTTTCATTCGCTGCGGGCTCCACCCGGTTCGCCGTTTCACCGTTTCATGGAAGCCTTCGACTACGCCCAGCTCAAGGTGCACACGCGCGACCTGCTAGACCGTGGGTGGATGAAGCCGCTGGGTCTATTCCGGCGCTTACTGCGTGGAGGACGCAAGGATCGCTTTGATGAGGCATGTGAAACGGTCAATACTGTTCTAGATGAAACGATCAGGGAGTTTCTTGGTCAGCTACATGCTGGGGGCTCGTCGCAGGAGAAGACAGACCAGGACCACAAGCAAAAGCTATATGTGTTATTGGAAGAAATGGTGCAGAGCACGCGCGATCCGCTCGAGTTGCGATACGAGCTTCTTAACGTGCTCATTGCTGGTCGTGATACAACGGCCTCGCTCCTCAGCAATGTGTTCTTCATGCTAGCGCGCCGTCCGGATCTGTGGACAGAAGTACGCACAGAAGTCCTGCGGGTAGTTGGTCAACGGCCGCCCACATACGAGGCATTGAGAGACCTAAAAGCAGTTCGAAATGTACTATTTGAATGTGTGTTTCCCCGTTCCATGTCCTCCGGTAATAGGATAAGACTAATTCCTACATAGGCCTCCGTCTTTACCCACCCGTCCCGTTCAACTCACGCTGTGCCACCACCGATACAGTTCTCCCTCGTGGTGGTGGTCCTGATGGGCAGTCACCAATTCTAGTACGTGCTGGGCAGGCCGTCAACTATCATGTGTATGCATTGCACCGTAGGCCCGATATCTTTGGGCCGGACGCAGTTGTGTTCCGCCCCAGTCGATGGAACGATCCCTCCCTGCGGCCGGGCTGGGGATATATCCCGTATGTTCAATAATATTTTGGGATTTAGAAAGTAATACTGACACAGTTCAGGTTCAATGGTGGTCCTCGCATCTGTCTCGGTCAGCAATTTGCTCTGACGGAAGCATCGTATACGGTGGTCCGGTTGATACAGCAATTTATTGCGATTGAGCGCCGGGATGTGGAGCTCGAATGGAAGGAACATGTAGCATTGGTGACCAAGAGTCGCCGCGGGACGAGAGTAGCCTTAGTTTTGCCAGAGAAATGATGTGCCAGTAGGCTCTTCTCTGTATTAGTATAATGCCATTTACTTGTACGCAATTCAGCTGCTCTTCCCGAACTTCCCCAGACCAGATACACTTACCCGTCTCACTGTTCATCACCAACGATGTATCAACATGGTCACTTAATCTCACGCTCACTTCATTTTCGTTTCAAGTCATCAGGATATGCTAAGCTCTGATGACTTCAGTCGTCACTCCCCAATATAATCCGAGTTTATGAAAACTTCGAGAAAAGTCTAATCGAGATATGAGGAATATTGAACTGTCCACTTATATCTCTACCTATGCAGCAGCCTGAATTGCAGTCCCAACCCTCCGATCAGCCGTGCGATATACCAGCTTCTGCCCATTAATCTGTCCCTTCCGAATCAGCGCCACACCATCCAACAGCCCCTCAAAGCCGTCAGGTTCCTCACGAATCGGATGCGTCTTGAGCTGACCAGCCGAAAACAGCGGATGAATGTAGGGGAAAAAGTTTCGTGCAAACTCGCGCGCCTCGGGCTTGCCTTGCGTACCGAACGGCTCCGGCCAGCTGATGGGCAAACCGCGCATCCAGGTCGCCAGAATCCAGTCTGGCGCAACGGTGCGACGGCTGTCTGCCGTTTCGGGGTACGGCTCGAGACCGACATCTGATAACAAGTTAGCATTGGACTGAACAGGTACAGAGTATATGGAATCAAACGGACATTTCCCACCGCAACGTCCCAGTGCCTGGTAGCAGATCTTCATCGTACTCTCCTCCGTAATGCAGTCGAGGGCATATTCCAGTGCGTTGCCTGTCGATGCCCGAATGTCGGCTCCGCAGGTCGGGGACCGGTAGTCGAAGCAGTCGTCGGCACCATATGAGCGTACGAGATCGAAGTTCCGCGGCGAGCAAGTGGTGATAACGCGCATACCGCATCGCTTGAGTAGCTGGATGGCCATCGTTCCGGTACTTGTGGCACCACCGTAGACAAGCACAGTGTTCGCGGCTGCAGTTGCCTCAATATCGCTGTTGTCTTCTTGGGTCTTGGGATCCAGAGCTGTTCGCAGTCGCTCAGCCGGTAGTCCCAGCGAATGAAAGAGTGCCATGCTCGCCGTTGCGATACGCAGACCGGCCCCTGCGCCCTCAGCAAAGCTCATCCCATCGGGCATCTGCAATGCCATGCCCCCGTCGACCGATACGTATTCGGCAAAGGCACCACTCTGTGGCCGAAGACCCTCCATACCCTCTGCAGCGCCGGCGATGCGATCTCCCAAATGTAGACGGCCGGCGGCGACGACCTCGGCACCCATCGCGACGATTGTTCCAGAAGCATCGATCTCCATGTCATAAGTTAGATGTACATAGAAACATAGGGGGAAGAGGACGAGACCAGCATACCCCGTAAGAAGCCCCCGGTTTCACAAACGGCCCCACCATCTTCGTGTCGACCGGGTTTAAGCCAACATATTCCGTCTTGATGATAACGCAGTCCGGCAGCAAGGGTGGAAGGGGCACGTCATCGCGGATGCAGTAGTCGAGCTGGTCATTGGCCACGATGGCCCGTTGTGTTGCGGGGAGGTCAATCGAGACAGCCATTGTGATGTGATTTGATTAGTATACTATGGGTACAGGGTGGGTGAGGGAGTGGTCTATCTATATGTATATATATCCATGTAGACAAACCAACCTCGTAGTGATATTGGCTAATGGTGATGACTGGGCTGACTGGGGCTGACTATGTCATCATCGTGGGCTGACAGTAACAATTCATCCAGGCCAGATTCAGAACTATACGCACGCTTCTTGAACCGATGCTTGGTTATGTCTATTTTCTCTATTCACAGGAAAGTTCGATCACTAAACCAGCGGTACGTTCTGGCTTCCTCGACTTCCGCGATCATCGTACGCCTCCGTCCCTTTCTCTTGAGTCAGCGACGGGATCTTCATAATGGTGACGCTGGTGAGGGCCACGATGGCGACTTCAGGTAGCATGGTCATGATCAGATAGGCGGTGGAATCGCCCTTGACCGCGTTCCATGTCATGTCGGCGGTGATGATGAATATAAGCGAGTATACGATGCGAATAGCCAGTATCGGCACACATAGGGCCACACAGTTGACCGTGCGGCGCTCGATGGCCGGATAATCTGCGCGGCGCAGCCAGAACCAGACGAATGTGCCGGCCATCCACAGATAGATAACGAACAGAATGGCGATACCGGCGCGACTGTACGGCGTCGGTAGTAGTTGACCGTGCTCTTTTTGCTTGACGGCCACGAAGCCACCGATGGAGATACCGATATCAATCCAGGTGATAACTTGTGGTACAATGAAGACGAAGCGGCGCGCGACCGGCACGACATTGTTGCTACGGCAGTCAGTACTGCGCGAGGGGAGATTTGAGAGGAATACACATACATCCGCTCAAGCATCTCTAGAAGGAGGAATATGATCAACAGCACCCCCAGTGACTCGCATACAAAGACACCAGCCCATAGGCCATCCGTATCTTTGTTGATAGTGCCCAGCATACACCCCGCTCCTATCAATCTGAATAACGCCAATACCCCGATACAAAACCATCCAATTCGACGTGTCCATCGGAAGTGTACTGCGGCGAGCAAAGCCGCCGAAAAGCAGACAAGCTGCGCAACCGCAATGCCATCTCGGTATCGGAAAACGCCGTCACCCGCTGTGTTGTTCATGGTGAAAATGAATGTAAGGTAGACTGACTGGGCCAGCGACCGGAGAGAAAGAGAAATAGAAGAGAAAGAAGACAGGGAAATCCCCCAAAGTGGACAATGGGGCCCCTAGTTTCTTGGCTTACAGGGCTGTATTCGAAGTTCTCTCGCATCGCCCGCCACGTAGCGCTTGCCGCCCATGATTGGCGTGCTAAAGGGTTATGCCCCAACTGGCTGACACTGGCTGACAGTCACCTTGGCTGACAACCCCCATGTCAACCCATCCCGCAATTGAGTAATGATAGTCTATGATATATGCATGTCCCGGCCGTCGATGCCGCCCGTTGGTGGCGCCGTCTAAAGCATTTTTGCCTCTCCATAGCCCAGGCCATGGACTGGATTACCCCCCTACGTAACCTAACCCTGTTGTCTATAGGGCTGCCGATTGCCGTATGCACAACCGCGTCCAGCGGCTCTCTAGCCTGTCTACGTGATGTCCGCTTCTATGCCGTCCTTTATGCTAGCTGGTGGTTTCATTTCTTGCTGTGGGCCCTCTACCGCGTCTTTGTTCACCCGAAACACTTGTCGTCCCTGCGCCATCTGCCCGAGCCAACAGTATGTATAACGTAATCCGACCCATTCGTTCCACTTTGCATGAAATGTCGATCTAATGTTATCTGTAGGAAGGCCGGAGCTGGTGGAATGGCTATGCTCGCCAGGCCTACGCTAGCATGCGTGGATCTGCCATCGCCAACTGGCAGACCACTCTGTCGCATCACGGCGTGTTCCGTTACCTAGGCCTCTTCAACAGCGAGCGCCTCGTAGTTACAGCGCCAGAAGCAGTCATGGAAGTCCTGCGTCGCATAGATGAATTCATCCAACCAGAGTTGCTTAGCCTACTCGCCTCGCCAGTCATCGGCCGCGGGCTTGTATTGCTCAACGGCGAGGAACACAAGCGTCATCGCCGATTGCTTCAGCCATCCTTTGCGCCGCGGCAGATCCGCGCGTTACAGCCGTTGTTCTGGAGCAAAGCGCGCGAGGTCACAGATATACTAAGCAACTTAATCGACACCTCCGCTGCCATACCAAGCGGATTCTCCCCTCCGATCGAGGTCGACTATTACGCCGGGCTTGTCGCCCTAGATGTCATTTCTGTGGCCGCGCTAGGCGTCGACTTTGGCGCCCTGAGACACCCGGACGCTGATCTGATTCGCTATTACCGCGACACTTTCAACCCCAGCTTCACCTTCCTAGCCATGTCTTTCCTACGGCTACTGTTCCCACGGGTTCTCGTCGAGAGCATGCCTCTTCGTCGCATACGGGAAGGTAAAACAGCCATCCGCCTCCTCCGCCAGACCTGTACCGATTCAGTACGCGAGAAGCAGCGCGCCATGGCCCGCGGAGAGCTACACACACGCGACATCATCAGCACGCTCGTACGCGACCGCCACATCGACAACGAGGACGAGCTAGTCGTGCACATGATGATGATGCTAGGGGCCGGACACGAAACCGTCGCGGTAGGCATTACCTGGGCGCTGTACGAGTTCTGCCGTCGTCCGGAGTGGCAAAAGCACGTACGCGCAGAGATCCGTGCCCAGGTACCCAGTCCCGAGAGCAATGCAGAAGACCTCGATTCCGCCTCTCTCGACATGGACGCCGAGCACATGCCATTCTTGAACGCCTTTGTGTCAGAGGTACTGCGCTACTGGCCGCCGGCGCCCCAGATCGTGCGCACTGCTGCCGTCGACACAACGCTCGCCGGCGTCGTGGTGCCCGCCTCGACCAAGATCCAGCTGTCTATTGTTGCCTTCAACCGTGACCCGCAGAACTGGGGTCCTGATGCAGCCGAATTCAGCCCTTGGCGATGGCTGCAGAATAAGGAGGGTAGTGCGGCGGGTGGAACCCCGTCCGTCACCTATGATGCTACGGGCGGGGCCCTTCACAAGCACGCCATGATGACCTTCATCCACGGGCCACGAGACTGTATCGGCCGCATGTTTGCGCGGCAGGAAATGCTGACCATCCTTGCCGCGTGGATGGGACGCTTCGAGTTCGTCCTGACCGAACAGGAATGCCTGGATGAGAAGCGGGTTGCTGTGTCGGGCAGCGGTATCACGTCTAAACCGCTCCATGGAATCCACGTGCATGCTCGCCGGGTAGATGGGTGGTAGTATCAGTAGACTCTGCTCAGTCCTTTCTGAAGCGATCCATAGGGCCTGTTAATATCATAGGAGTCTAGGCTCTTATGTAGGTGGATTTCACTCGATCGTGACGTCAAACCTTATCTCTGCTCTGCACCACAGCATGTACAAAAAAGTGCGCTCTCAGCTCCTATGAATATATCTTTACGACTTGTTGTGCATACCAGTGTCTCCCGATAATCGAACGTCGACCAGTAAGGGTCCTCCAGACCAACTCTTCATCCTCTCCTGAACGACAGGATTTTTGGCTCAACAAGTGACTCCACTAATCGCCCACCAGCTTAGTATCTGAAACAGGACGTGCAACAAACCTCGGACGATACTTCGGTTGTGGAATGCGGGTTGAAAAACATAACACAAAACAGAATAAGGGCTCTAGACATCCAATATAAGAGAGAAGCAGATCAAAAATTAGTGGTGAGAGAGGTGAGAAAAACGATCTCGGTGCTCTCAGAGACGTACATGGTTCGAACATAGCCACGATGATGTCCGAATTAGATATGTCTCGGTCAGCGCCATAATGACAAGGCAGCAACACTGAACCCCAGTAGCTCCACGTGCGGTAGATATGCCCGCATTAGGGTATCAGCTTATTTCGAAATGCCGCTCCTAGCCGGAGGCTGAAGAACCGGGAGAGGACGATTCTGGGCTGTGCTGACCAGGGAATTGATTAGCTTGCCGTAAGAGTCCTTCGTCTAGCTTCTAATAGGCCAATGACCAGGATAACCTTCCTTCTGTTGCATTGAAGGTGAGACATCATCTTGGCCAGTGCTCGAGCGTCTGACAGGCGATTGTAGGTTTAATCAACAGGATATATATATGTGGGCTTTATATGAAACTAGACCAATGGCTACTTGCTCGTTTCCAACGTTCTTATCAGTTAACTAGACCCCGCTTTCAGGCTGCATAGCTATGTATATCATATTCGTTTATATCTTTTGCGTACATGCGTGCTCCGCCTCAGTTCAAGGTTAGGGTCAGATGCACTTCAGACAACATTCCATCCAATTGTCCCGCTACAGCTAGTATTCAATTAATAAATTCGTTTTTCAATCTTTTATCCACTCAAGTTCCGTAAGACGCATTTTCCTAAACAGGAAATCTTCCTGCCATGTTGAATAGTCTAGAATTGTTCCTTTAGACTTCCAGCCAAGTCGTGTGATAAGAAATACGGATTTGCAAATACTAGCGCTTACATATCACGCCTGGTCCAACTGTAGAGATTCAATATGCATCGAATACTCGATCACCTATTGGCACATCTCTCCCGTGCCTAGAGAAAGCCAAGCAGTGAACATATTAAGGCTTGTAGAGGTGGTCTGCAGAATAGCCAGATGGCGTCCAAGTATATATGCCTTAGCATTTGCCCTGGCATATGCAGGTCCCTTCACACCTTACTTCTACTTTGAGCTTAACAAATTATCCAGAATCACCACTTTATACCTTATTGTCTTCAGTGGGATATAGCCAATATGCCACACGAAACACCCGCCCCCGTGACCACAGCCCTCGAACCTTTTCAGGTCCTCAGCAAAATCCTAGATTTTGCAAATGACGACCAACGAGACTGGTGGCACAGTACCGGTCCCATGTTTGCCAAAGTCCTCAAGGATGCAGGCTACAATATCCATGCCCAATACTCATACCTATGCCTGCACCACAAGTGCGTGGTGCCGTATCTGGGTCCCTATCCAACAAACAGTCAAAGCCGGTGGATGAGCATCCTCAGCCGGTTTGGTCTACCTTATGAATTGAGCTTGAACTGCTCTGACTCAGTTGTACGGTTTGCGTTCGAGCCTATCGGCCCGTTGTCCGGGACTGAGCAGGATCCATTCAATGCACATGTCATCTGGGAATGTCTCGGGAAACTGGTCCAGCTGGGTAGTGGAATTGACCTCCAGTGGTTCACACAGTTCAAGAAGGATCTGGTCCTGGATGATGAGGAAACGAGGTTCGTCAAGGAGAACGGTCTGGACGAGGGCCAAGTCTTGACTCAGAACAAATTGGGCGTGGATCTGAAGGGAGGAAAGTTCGAAGTCAAAATGTACATGTATCCTTACCTTAAATCGGTTGCCACTGGTATTCCGATTGAGCAGCTGGTGTTTGACTCGGTGCGAAGAGTGGATCAGGACCGGAGGTTGGCAGTTCCACTATCCATTCTGGAAGAATATATCAACTTCCACAAGCACAAGACACTGTCCACCCGTCTCATATCCTGTGACTTGGTTGATCCTAGTCGATCGCGCATCAAGATCTATGTGGCCGAGCAGACAGTGGACTGGATGCACCTGGAAGACCTCTGGACACTTGGTAACCGGCGCCGAGACCCCATTACCATTAGTGGCTTGCAGCAGCTCCGTGAGCTGTGGGATCTCCTGAACATCCCTGAAGGGCCTTGTTACTTCCCAGATGGCGGCTATCTGGAACTCGGTGCCAAAGTTAAGGAGCGACTTCCTTTGCTAGCCAATTACACCCTCCACCCGAATGACACCTACCCAGCACCGCAGATCTATTTCCACACATTTGGTGTAGGCGATGCGGCGGTTGCCGACGCCATCGCTACGTTCTGTGAACGAAGAGGTTGGACAGAAATGGCCCAAACATATAAAGACAATCTCTTCTCTTACTAGTGAGTATCCAGCGATGCCATAGCTTTCATCGATATACTGACAAGTATATAGCCCAGACGGAGACACCCAGGAGATGAACCATCTTCAATCACTGGTTTCATTCTCTTACCGAAACCAAAAGGCTTATTTGAGCGTATATTTGCACAGTTTTGAAACTGGAGGTTGGAGAAAGTCGTGGATCAATGACACGACGCAGGCACACCTTTAAGATGTTACATTAAACTGTTTTTATGCCTTATGTTCTATGTTCAGACCGAGTATATTCCTGTGAACAGCGGAGTTCGTGTAAATCATAAGTGGAACGCATATATACAATATACATTTTTTTTCCTTGGCCTTCTAGAGCACACTAAGAGAATTCCCTGGTGGAGTAAACTACACATGCGAATGGCCCACATGGTGTGTGCTTAAGCCATCCTAGTTTAATATACAAGTAGCCACTTATGCTCATTCCCGGCCAGATCCTCGGCATTGAGACTTGCATGTCTAGGCATGCATGAAGTGATATGGCAACGGTCTTGGGCAGGCACTATGGTTAGCAAGTCAACTATATGTAATCCCTATTTCTTTCAGGGAAGATGATGATAGGCAGCTCTCACTGCCCTTCGGTTGGAGGGAATTGCTTTTAGGGGCCCACAGTTAGCAGATTGGAAAGCTGATCCTCATATTATGTTGAGAGTAGAAAATATCCTATGATGGTCATCGGCGGTTAGTATAAATATATTATAGGGCAGATACACTACATGTTTGGCTAATAGACATTGAGGGCTATCAACTTCCCCCAAGGTCCTTGACCGATATTTCTATAAAAATAGCCTTCTGCACCAACATTTTCAAGTTACCTTACCAGTATTTGAGATATGAGTACGCCTCTATGTCGCTCCCGCTACAGATAAAAAAAATTATGGGAAGAAAAAGAAAAACCAGCGAAGAAGTTCAAGAGTAAATTGCTCCCAGAATATCTATAGTTCAAAAGAATTATCTAACAGCATCATAAACATTACATGACAGGTCATCATTGCAAAAATGACATCAGAAAGGAAAACGCAAAAGGTATAAAACGTGAATGGCTACCTTTAACACCGAGACTTGATTCGTTTCAGTAGCGAATGATTTAAGCCGAAGCGGCCTTGATGTCTTCCTCGTTGCTCATGATTTGGACCTTGATAGCTCCCGTCCTAGGGTTTGCAGCAGTCTCAAAAGCCTTGATAGCGTCCTCCAAGAGGAAGCGGTGTGTAACAAGCTTCTTCAAGTCGATAATCCCGTTCTTCACAAGACGGATGGCACGGGGCCAGGTGTTGCAGTAGCGGTACTGGTACTGGAGGTCGATCTCCTGGGTGCTCAGACGCATGAACGGAATCGTCATCTCATTTTTGCCCACGCCAATTACAAAGACCTTGCCGCCGAATTTGACGCTCCAGATAGCGGATGCGACACTGCTTTCCACACCCGTGCACTCCAACGCCAGCTTGGGCTTCAGGGCATCAGGGGCGGAGCCATTGCCTTCATTGAAAGCATCGATGATGCAGGCGGCGTTATCCTCAGCAGAGAGGTTGGTCTGCACCTTGTAGGTGATAACGTCGGGGACCAACGACTTGGCGAATGCTAATCTGCCCTCATCGATATCGGTGATGACAATGGGGGTGGCTCCCGCGGCGCGGGCACTGAGGAGGGTGATCAGACCGATGGGGCCAGCACCAGTGACCAGCACAGGGTCACCCAAGCGAAGCCCGCTTCGCTCAATGGCCGCAAGAGACACACTAAGAGGTTCCAACATGGCTCCATCCTCGTAGCTCATGTCGCCGATCTTGTGACACCAGACCGCTGGGTGATTGACATAGCGACGCAGCAAACCATCCACTGGAGGAGTGGACAAGAACAGCACCTTTTCACAACCATTGTAACGTCCCGTCAGGCAAGGCTCGCAGGCGTGGCAGGGAATGTTGGGTTCTACGGCGACACGATCGCCAGGCTTGAGGTGTGTAACGTCGGAGGCAACGGCAATCACTTGACCGGCGGACTCGTGACCCAGGATATGGTCTCCCGTGACAATCATGGGACCAATGCAACCAGCATGCCAGAAATGCACGTCGGATCTATATCACCCTTCGTTAGATTCAGAACCCGAATTTCGAAAAAAAAAAAAAAAACCAGAGCGCATACCCGCAAATTCCAGTGCTGCGGACTTGGACGGTCACTTCACCGGGCCTCAAGCTCTCGCCGCTCTTCACCTCCTCCAGCGTGGGTTTTGATTCTGCGACCCAGAGATCGTGCTTGGTGTTAGTGTAAACACCAATGTTGGGCTGGTCGAGAACAGTTGCGGAAGCCATGGTGTACAAAGAAAGGGGTCAAGGTATTCACGGCAAGAGGGCTTTGAGAGAAGTGAAGGAGCGGAACAAGAGGAACAAGCAAAGAGAGTCGGGGAGCCGACAAGCTTTAATAGCTGCCCAACAGAGGTGCCCCTCCAGGATTCAAAAAGGGAAAAGGGGAAAGGAACATTGAAATATTTTCAGTCCGACCCAACTTGAATGTCACTGAGGATCCTGATAGCGCAAAGCAGACGGTCAACCACCAATTGATAATACGGCGCGCCGATAATATTACTCCATCTTCCTGCGGGACCGGGTGGAGGCATCGTCACTGGCCCAGATTTTATTTAGCCGGTGCCCCGCGCCCGCGGGGTTTTCCTCTGGGGCGTCACCGTTGGCCACCGTTTGAAGTCATTGTCCTGGTTGAGTCTCCAGAGAATAAAACTTATTACCGTATCTGGAGCGAGTAGCTTCAGCTTGACTGGGAGTTTAGAACGGAACAATGCTGACCGTCTTTCTATGGCAGCCATTCACATTGATTGGTATGGCCCATGATGCTATAGGAAATCAGAGCCGCTTTCGGTGTGTGTGTCTCCGCCAATACTGATATGACTGGTAAGGTTTGCCGTACGGAGCTGTTTCTGCCAGCAAGCATAATGAGCTAGTAGAGTATACTATAGATGTCTCTATCCTCTCAACTCTGAGCACTGTTACAGTGCGTTGAGACACTTCCGGAACAATTGCTCATTAGTTTGGAAACTCCTCAAGCTGAGATAAGGCTCATGAAACGATAGTAGTTCTAAACAGGTAACGAAGCTGCATCTATCTGAAACTAAGGTGCTACAGGAAGCTGTAGTGTTCTCTTTCGGTTAAATACTGATTTTTAGCCTTTGATGACCATTCAAAACTCCCATTTCTGATAGACTTTTCCGCCTCCGCAAGCAAGGCAAGCAAAAAAAAAAAAAAAAAAAAAAAAAAAAAAAAAAAAAAAGACAGAGAAAACGAATCCACCGACACTATCCAATATTCTTTTCTTTCAACAAATCATGTAACATTCTTTGGGTAGTAGTGCCTGGGCCAGAACCAAGTATTGTTCCCAGAGTGGCAATTCTCCGGTGGAAACTCTGCCTTCTTTGGTGGAGAATCCAGACGACGCTCTCTCCTGTATCCACTTCAATGGCTCACTCGGAATCCCCCAATCTCCCTCCGAACGCGAACCTTTGGACAGTCATCGGACGGACTTGTTTCTCCCTCTCGGTTTCACTACGTACCGTACCGTTGCTCGGGCCTTCCGAAGGATGGTTCGATCTATCTTGCATATGCAAGACCCAACACTACATATTGCAGATTCCTTCCTATGGATATTTATATATAAAAGTCTCACACCATAACAATGCAATGGAACAAAGGACGGTAGGCAATGGAGAGAACATCTAACGTTTAGTAGCATTGAACTTCTTATAATTCCCATAGTTAGAGATCGCATCGAATTGGCTCTTTGAAGTTCATTGATGCATGACAATTTCTACATTATATGGTTCAGAGATACCGCTAGGCCATCTTGGTCCAGATGTTACAATTGCCCATTGCCCATTGCCCAGGTGTTCTTCTATGGTGTTTTTGATTCACGGAAGGCATCGAACAGGCACCTTCCGACGTGATATTGCTGGCAATTTCACCTAACTCATGCTAGGGTGTCAGGAATGACGTCTAACCGGTTGCCATTGGCCAGGCTTTCCTGTCAGTTCCTCCCAGGTCTTCTAGAGAAATTCTAGAAGAAAAGCTTAATGCATCCTCCTGTTATGAACCAAGCAGCCCTAAGCACGGAGTAGCGTGGTCGTGACTTTGCAGACATCAAAAGTCTCCGTAGATAGCGAAGTAGTGAATGTCTATCATGTTCTGCATAGTTGGAGCTTACAGATGCCATATACATGGAAGAACATTTTGTTTCCTTGCCTTAGTATCAAAACCGCATGTGTTGCAGCTTCAGCAGAGCTCGCCTGACAATCTGATCCAGCCTAGCAAGAGTTCATAGGACAGACGGCCGTTCTCTTTAGCAAGTAGCCCCGGTTCTTATTTCTTAATTGTTTGAGCCCAGCATTGGGCGTAACTAATGGTAGTTTCAATCTAGTCTCGTTATCGTGGCTATAGCTTTCATGGATTTTAGCTTTTGCTTCAGCCTTCGAACTATAGGGGACGGCAAGGGAAGTATCAATGCTCATCATGGACTAGAACAAGGTATTGATGGGGTTGTCAACTATGGAGTCGAATGCTAAATATTCTGCGATTCATGATCAATGGGACATGGTGCCGAGTGCGAGGATTGTATGCATCGTAAAACATAAATACTTGAGCATGGAGTGGTAAACGGGATGTCAACTGGAGGGAGAGAAATGGCATGTCCGGTGCACGTGACCCGCGGGCGTTTTCCCTGAACTTCCCGAGCCTCAAATCTCAGATTCTGGTCCTGCAATTGCGCGACGATCCTGTATCTCCGGCTCTTGACCACCCCGCCATTGGACTCTTTTGTCCCTCGTCTGCCACTCCTCTCAGTCTCTCTCACCTTTTACCGTTCTCTTCTTTTCCCGTGGCTTTCAAGATGCACGCTACAGCGACCCGTGCCGTGCTTCGGCAATCGCAGTTCCTGACCCGGAGGACCGCTGTCAGATACGCCTCTTCGAGCCCGGAGTCTGCTCAGAAGGCTGGCGAGGCTGCCTCCTCCGCTGCCTCCAAGGCCTCTGAGGGTCTCTCTCGTGTCACATCGACCGCTGGCCCCGCTCTTTCGAATGCCGCCCAGGGTGTCGGCAGTGCTCTGAGGAAGGTTGGTGGAAGGACCGGAAAAGTCATCGCTTTCGTCGATTGTAAGATGATAACCCGTGTTTTGGCCGCTTGATTTCTTGCTTCTTCCTGCCAGTAGTGGAAACAACGGTTGTCATCACCATTGTTACCACAAATCCTGCATTCGGGGAGCACCCAGCCACCACAAGCTCCGTCGATATGGGTACCAGCATTGCTAACCATAGGCCGTGATGAAACAGCTATGATACCCCCTACCGTCTACTACAGCAAGGTCGGCCTTGAACTCGCCAAGCTTGTTTTCCGTGGACAAAACATGACTCCTCCGTAAGCGCTTCCATGTGACCGACCAGTGCCGGACATTGACTAACATTGTGCAGCAACCTGGCCACCTTCCAGTCCTACTTCCAGCCTCTGATCAACGCTTTCCGCAACCCTGCCGCCCTCAAGAACGCCAACTTCATCTCCCCTCAAGATATCGTCGCCCGTGTCCGCGGCGCCAACAAGAAGGAACTCGCCCTGGCTGGGGTGACCCTTGCGGAGGTGATCGGATTCTTCACCGTTGGTGAGATGATCGGTCGGATGAACATCGTCGGCTACCGGGGCCACCCTGAGCACCACGGAGACCACTAGATCAATCGCAAGCACTAATACATGGCCTGTCTTTTATATTTCCTTATCTTTTCTGTCTGCGTTCTGTACTATTGTATGATAGACGATGGAATTTAACTGTTGTCTGAGGTAAACTACGCGCTTTTGGGGGATCCTTTCTTCTTATCCTTTGGATGTTTGATATCCAGGGGTATTATGCATGTCGATTGTTGGTCTTCTCAAGTGTTGTTTTCCTTTTGTGTCAAAAGTGGGAAGTCGTATAGATGTCCGTCCAATCTTCTACTAGACATGCGTTATCTGAATTGAATCTTGACCACCTAGACACTTTCTCCGTAGTCAACGTTCACCTTACAACGCGCACATTCTACATTCACTAGTAGAAGTCCTCTCATAAATGATATTTCTAGACCTGGGTCCCTTGACTTCCATTCAATACTAGGAGCATTTTTTTTGTGGAGTCCGGTTTTTAAGGTACGGTACCAGATGGAGCAGGCCAGCCTCTGATTGGTCCGTGCGGGAAAGAATCTCAGCTTTCCAACTTTTTTTTTTTTTTTCTTTGATACCGAAATCCAGCCACCAGCACAACAAGGGCCCTTTATTAAAATATCCTGTAAATCTGTCGCAGTTTTTCGCACGGGGCATATTAGCTCCCGATCACCACGATGGATGCTTTCAGGCTATTAACCAGGTCAACCAAGTTCAAGACCGGGTCCACGCATTCGTCTGCGACCAGCCGACTGCCCTCTACGGGCAAGGCAGAAAATCCGCAACTGTTTCGTAATGAAAAGCTACTTGAGGAGCAGAAACATGGGCAAAAGAGGAAACGGGGCGCCGTGGCGGAGGAGTCGGCTAAGTTGGAGTTGAATTTGGATTTCTTCTCTTCGAACATGGGTTCGTCGAAGAAGATGGTGAAGACGGAAGAGCCTCCGGAGAAGGTGGAAGGGGGATCTGGCTCCGAAGACGAGGATCAAATGGATGAGGCGCAGCGTCGGACGATTTTGAATTCTCACAAGATCAAAGTGACGGATATGCGCGACCTTGAGGAGATCCAGCCTGTGCAGGCGCAGGACGAAGAGGAACCAAAGAAGAAAAAGAAGAAGAGAAAGCACAAAGAAGAACCGATTCAGACGCTCAGTAAGAAGGAGCAGAAGAAGGCGCGGAGATTATTCCCACGTCCTCTTGTTTCTTTCAAGGAGCTGCGCAAGCTATATAAGATCTCGAGCCGCCTTGCGGAGAATATTGCCGAGCAGGGGTTTACTGTGCCTACTGAAGTGCAGCTGGGGACGTTGCCTTTGTTGCTGGGTGATCGGACGATTTCTCAGTCGAAGACGGATGAGGCCGTTGAGCCGGATCTTTTAGTTGTTGCGCCGACGGGAAGTGGGAAGACGCTTTCGTTTTTGATTCCGGTTATTAACAAGATTGTGCGCCATCACCATGAGCAGCAGGAGGAGAAGGGCATATATGGCGTTATTGTTGCGCCCACTAAAGAGCTAGCGAGTCAGATTGTTAATGAGGGGAGAAAGTTGGTGGCAGGCACGGGTGTTAAGATTACGCTGATGAAGAAAGGCATGCGCGTGGTGGAGCGTGAAGATGAGGATGAGGATATTTTGAACGAGAGCAATTCCGAATCTTCCGAGTCGGAGGACGAGAACGCTACCGCGAAGAAGACCAAGAACAAGGCCCCTGTCACCAAGAGCGACATTCTCGTAACGACACCTCTGCAACTAGTCAATGCACTCTCTGCGAACAAAACGAAGCCCCTGGCCACTTTGCCTTTGGTGAGGAGTATTGTTCTAGATGAGGCAGACGTTCTTTTGGACCCCCTCTTCCGCGAGCAAACCCTTGATATCTGGCGTGCTTGCACGCATCCCGAACTTCGAGCTAGCCTTTGGTCAGCTACGATGGGCTCAAGCATTGAAGATCTCGCCAAGTCGACCATCAAAGAGCGGAAAGATGCCTCAAGCCTCACAAAGTCTTACCCATTATACCGTCTTGTGGTCGGATTGAAGGACTCTGCTATTCCTAACATCCAACATAAGCTGGTCTACGCTGCAACGGAACAAGGAAAATTACTAGGACTGAGACAGCTTCTTCATCCCGCGGCCGCGGCCGCATCAGATGTTCGCCTTCGTCCCCCGTTCCTAATCTTTACGCAAACTATCCCTAGAGCTGTGGCACTTCATGCAGAACTGCGCTACGATATTCCGCCCGAGGCTGGTGGATCGTCGCGTATCGCGGTTCTCCATTCCGATCTATCTGACGGCCAACGATCCGAGATTATGAAGAATTTCCGCAAGGGCGAGATTTGGATTCTCGTTACAACAGATCTTTTGGCTCGCGGTATTGACTTCCGCGGAATTAACGGTGTTGTCAACTACGATATTCCGAACTCGGCAGCCGTCTACGTTCACCGGGTTGGTCGTACGGGTAGAGCTGGCCGTGAAGGCGGTGTTGCGGTGACGTACTATACAAAGGAAGATATCCCGTACGTCAAGAGCATCGCCAACATCATCGACGTTAGCGAGAAGTTACGAGGAACGGAGGGCGAGAAATCGGTCCAGAAATGGCTCCTAGACTCCCTGCCCGATCTCAGCAAGAAGGACAAACAAGAACTGAAGAAACATGGTGTTAAAGCCCGGCAGTCGAACGTCAAGGGTGTCACCGACGACAAGAAGCGCCGGCAAGCAAAAATCAGCACGAAGAGCGGCTTTGAGCGGCGCATGGAGAACAAGAAGAAGGGCGCCATCGCAGCAAGTCGTAATCGCAAGCTCCAACCCAAGTCAGACGCGGAATCTGATGACGACGACAACAACTAGGGGGCATTCAAGTCTAAGATAAAAGCCCATAATCTTCTGTACAAAAATGAAACTTACGATTCCCCAATCCAACAATGGATATCAAAGCTCAAGAATTATCATTCTTTTTACTTTCCTGTAAGAGCTGCTCAATTAATCTCCGTCTCAAAGTAATAGGCGCAAACGCATTGTCCAACTTATCCTGTTCCTCCAAAACGGATTCCAACTCATCTCCATCCCGATCAAAATAAACGGCCCAATCCCCATCTTCCTCCTGCACCGCATAAAAGTCCTCAAATTCCTCCAGCGTTATCATCGTCTCGTCTTCGGTCCAATCCCACGGGCCAACGACATGCTCCACGCTCACTGTGCGATTCCCATACTTCAGCTCATGCGTATTTCTATCCACATAAATCCAGCCCAGCATAGGCGGATTATCCGATATGGAAGTAACCAGACCCAAACCCCGCTTCAAATGTTTCGTCTCCTCGAGCTCCGGATATTCAATGTAAAAAGAAGTGACGGTATGCGACGGGACCTTCCGCTTCAAAGGATTTGGATCATCGAGATAAACCTAAAAACCAAAGATTCTCCGATCAGTCACAGATTCGTGCGAAAAGAAATACCGTGGTAGAAAAGCAATTAATCCCTGGAGCCATACCTTGTTATTCCGTAATACGAAGCGCTTCCCGCATACTTCGCTATCTTCCTGGGTTTCGCCGCTGGTTTCGACATCGATGAGGAATTTGGCCATGCGCCTTTCGTCGTTCTTGCGCTCGTTCGCTTTGCGTTGTTCGCTTACGCCCAGGGCGACGCCTGTTACGGTGGGAATCGCGGCTAATGATAATAGTCCGATGACCATTTTGGTCGATTATTTTTGTTGGATCGATAGTATTGATCGAGCTGGAGTGGATAACTATTGATTTAAAGCAATGGTATATCTTGGTTGTTTGGACTGTAATATGTAATATGAGTTGAGTATGTGGAGGATTAAAATAGTCCCATTTGAATGATATATATGTACAGATAAAAGAAGGAAAAAAAACTAGAATTAATATAGATATGTGGCAAAGTGACTAGTAGTTGATGCTCATTGATTTAATCCATAAAAGTTGAGAAAAAGGGTCAGGAAACACAATGCCGTCATAGGCCCGGCACGTGAGCAGCCATGGTTGCATCGCGTGCCTCGTTACATTTTATGTTGAACGGAAGTTACTATTGCTCTAGTATCATGATATCTCTCATTCGGACTGAACAAAAATATGATTCGCGCAGGGAAAACTATCATGGAATGTTCTATACTAACGATGAGCCAGCCGATCGCTGCCAGGACATCTATGTAGTCTATATCTATTCTCTATCGTCGCTCGTGGATCGTGCATTTTCGTGACATCGTGCTAGTCCAGTCGATTTGAATCGGGCGAGGCCGATTGAAAATTCAACTGGGTCAGGCTAGAGCTTCTCGCTCCATCCCCAGACGGACCACCAGCACCGGACCGCTAGCGCTCCTCCATCGGCCGACTCCCAATCGTCATACCCTACCTCCTCTCCCTCATCGACCACCGCAAGACCAAGCTGTTCCATGCGCTGCCGGAACTCCTGTACCTGAGGCAGATATGCATCCCGCAGTGGCATTTCGGTCACGACACGTGCGTCAAGGCCGCGGCTCAACCAGTGCCCGATGGTGTCTACCAGCCATTTGGGATGTTTTGCGGAGTACAAAGGGTCGGCAGCGAGGATCAAGTCGTACTGCTCCTCTTGAGTGGGGAGTGGCTCGGGCACAACCGACCAGTCCAGCACGTCAGTCGTGACGGTCGCGGCTGTCTTGGTAAGCAGCTCCACATTCAGAGCTGTGTTGTGGGCAAGGTTGGGAACAATATCAGGGAGGTCGGTGAGATGAATCGAAGCCGATTCTCCACGGATGGCAGCGAAGGAAAGCCCTACGAGGCCTGTTCCTGCACCTAACTCTAGGGCCCGAAGCGTGCGATCTGCCTTAGGAGTAGGGGTGGTTGTCTCGGATGGGACGAGCTGCGGGGTTGATTCAAGGAGAGTGTGGAGACGTTGGGAGAGAAGGTATGAGGACACCCAGGTCTTCATTCCTAAGTTGTCGGCAGTCAAGGATGGTTCGTGCAAGGTCAAGGTCAGCTCTTCGCCCCACGGACTAGGGATCGTGAAGACACGGGACATGGCAGGCATCGCTATTGGAAAGCCCAAGGTTAGACCACATGAAAGCCTGGAAAACACAGCCAACTACAAAATTATTCCCCATACCGGTCCGCCCTGAGCGCTCGCTAAGCCGAGCAGCGGCAGCATCCCAGACGGCTTCCCGAAGCTCATCGGTATCTAGCCATGACAAGGAACTCGAAATGAAAGACGTCAGATAGCGGGTTACCCCAGCCGGGTGAACAGCTGGTGCCTTCACTGCTTCATGACCATTGGAGGTGAAACTTCTTGGTTTGATCGCTAGGAGGTCTAGGGTTCGTAGAATCTCGGTGCCGGACGGTTTGGTATGGATCTGAGGCAAGTCGAAGACTGAGACGCTTATCAATCCACTATCTCTCCTATCTATTCGGGAAAACTGGAGAAACATACCATGGAGAGGCTCGTCGGGGTCCGCGCTGATCATTGTAGCGGTCTAATCTCGTAGCTGGGTTCAACTCTGATAGGTCTTGGACCAAATAGGGAGGGAGAAGAGCCGTTTCTCTTATTATATTTGCCGTACCCGTGGCAAAAACCGATTTGGGTGGATTTCCGACCCCGAAAAACACAAGAGAAAAAAAAAAGTCGTGATTTCCAAAAAAGGAAAAGACGGATCACGGCGTTCCGCGGGTCGGATCCGCTCTAGGCCCTGATAAGGCTTGCCCCTTAAAATCAGTCTATTTTACAACAGTTCGTGATATTTGGATTGTTGTTATATAATGTATTAATATAGCTACAATTGTTCAGCAATAACTCCAGACGCCTTCTACTAATTCTCACCTAGCCACACATACGTACTTCACCCTAACGTCGACTTGAACCCTTGATAGGCTTGTTCAATATCAAAGGCCAGTTCCCTCGCCTGTTCCTCACTCAACTCCTCTGTTGCACGCATCTGGTTCAATGTGATCAGCCATTGAATGATCTTACCCCGACTCTCGAAGTCCCCATCCGTCACCTTGTTGACCGACTGGATCACTTCGGAAAGCAGTGGGTGCAATGCATCCTTTGACACCATGTTCAGCTTCAACGCATCAAGGAAAGTGATGAAGTTCTCCGTGGCCGTCAGGATCAAACTGCCAGAAGCACCTCCAGTAGGACCTGCTGCCGATCCCATATTAGCTGCTGGGGCGTTATGTGTCGCCTGCTCGACCGTAGCAGGAAGTCCGATACGAAGACGTTCAGTAGCACGAGGACATTCCAACTAGTGGAAGAAAGAAAATAAGCCCTGATCCTTGCAGGAAAGGGAAGCACAGGGAGAACTCACACCCCACGTTCGCTTGAAAGTCTCTAGGTCGACAAACTCATTCGCGACAGTATCGTCGCCCAAACTCGATTTGTACTGCTTCAATAGCCGAGTGCACGTTTCAGTGTACTCCGCTTCCGTCACCACATCCTTAATGTAAGCCTTCTCGAGACCGTCCAGGGTCACTATTATACTGTAGATCTCCGCCAGCGACTCGTAGAGATCGCGCTCGGCCGAGCTGGAGGCCAATCTAACTTCCTGGCATGGGAGTTAGCCAGCTGCCCCGCAAGCAAGCTAGACACCCCAGCATACCTCATCAAGGTTGATGGACGCAGACAAGGCCGGGTTAGGGGTAAAGCTGTAAGGGGTTGGCGCATACGCCAAAGGGCGCTGAGCATACATCGTTGATTGCAATATTCCTATCTATATATCAGTTTGCGACGGGGCTGATAGTAGGTTATGATTACTATGCCGGAGGGGGACTTCCAAAGGCGGTGGCCCAATTGGGCGATCGGCGCCGCCCTTTTCTGCCGCAACTTCTAAATTTTTTTACTCCAAAAAGAAAACCTTTCCATTTGGTGCACAACTTCCCCTACCATTGATCTTCCCCATTTTGTACTTTTGATCCCATTGGCCCGGTCGGTTTGGGACACTGTGACACAATGGCCGGAAGTCAGAAGAAATCCACCAAGAAGTTCGAGAAGAGGCATCTGAAAGATGTCCTCGAACAGCGAAAGGCGGCTGCCAAAATCAAGCAGCGTCACCATCTTAAGGAGAAACGCAAGGCGGATAATGCTAAGGCACGCGCCAATGCTCACGATTCCGCGGACGAGGATCCGGCAGAGGCGAAGAAGCAGGATGCTTTCGCTGAGATGAATGTGGACGACTTCTTTTCGGGCGGTTTTGACATTGCGGATGCCGACGCCGGTCAGGCGAAGAAAGCAAAGAAGAAGGATGTGACCCCAAAGACGGGCAAGCGCAAGCGCACAGAAGATCAGAAAGACGAGGATGAAGCGTCTGCGGCATTAAACGGCGACGAGGAGGACGGTGTCCCTTCAGACGACGAAGCTTCCTCGGACGCCAGTGGACTCGACGATTTCGATGCGCACAAGGACCAGCTTCAAGCGTTGAAAGATAAGGACCCGGAGTTTTACAAATACCTCCAAGAGAACGATGCAGAGCTCCTGGACTTCGGCGCTCATGGCGATCTCGCGGAAGTCGACGAGCTGAGTGAAGGCGAGGAAGAGCAACCAGCAAAGAAGAAAAAGAAGGCCGCTCGGGCGGAGGAAGAGGAAGAGACGGTCGACAACACACTGACCATTCCGATGGTGAAGAAATGGCAGAAATTAATGGAAGAGCAAAACTCGATTCGCGCAACGCGCCAGATCGTCCTCGCTTTCCGGTCGGCCGCCTACCTAAACGAAGTTGAGACCCAGGAGCAGAAATACACTATCTCAGATCCCGAAGTATACCATGAACTTCTTGTTACCGCGCTTGGCTCTGTCCCGAAAGTCTTGTCGCACCACCTCCCCGTCAAAGAGTCCGCCTCCGGCAAAGTCAGGGTGTCTATGGATTCGAAGAAGTTCAAGACCCTCACGCCTCTCATCAAGTCGTATACCTCCTCCGTTCACCAACTGCTCCTAAATCTGTCCGACGCGCAGACGCTGAAGCTCACCCTCTCTGCCGTTGAACCTATGCTTCCTTACCTACTTCAGTTCAGAAAGCTACTCAAGGTCCTCGTCAAAACAATCGTCGGTATCTGGGCTGATGTTTCCACGACTGAAGCCACACGTATCACGGGATTCCTTTTGTTGCGGCGTCTCATGATCATTGGAGATGCTGGGCTGAAGGAGACCGTTCTCAAGGCCTCCTACGAGGGAGTCGTGAAGGGTAGTCGAAACACCACCGTTCACACCCTCGCAGGTGTGAACCTGATGAAGAACTCCGCCGCTGAGCTGTGGGGTATCGACCAGAACGTGTCCTACACGACCGGCTTCAACTTCATCCGCCAACTCGCTATCCATCTCCGTAGCAGCATTACGAACACCTCCAAGGAGTCCTACAAGACGATCTACAACTGGCAATACACGCACTCACTCGACTTCTGGTCCCGCGTTCTCTCCCAGCACTGCGATGGCCTCGCGGAAGCCAAGGCCGGAAAGCAATCCGCCATGCGTCCTCTCATCTACCCCGTCGTCCAGATCACCATCGGCGCGATGCGACTTATCCCTACCGCAACCTACTTCCCCCTCCGCTTCCAACTCACCCGCGCCCTTCTCCGTCTCTCCCGCTCCACAGGAACCTATATCCCGCTCGCCCCGGCACTCCTCGAGGTCCTCAATTCGGCCGAGATGCGCAAGCCCCCGAAATCAAGCACTCTCAAACAACTCGATTTCAACACCGCCATCCGCGCCCCGAAATCATACCTCCGCACCCGCGTCTACCAAGACGGCGTCGGCGAACAGGTTGCCGAGCTTATCTCCGAGTTCTTTGTTTTGTGGACTAAGCACATCGCCTTCCCCGAACTCTCCGTCCCCATTGTGGTCTCCCTCAAGCGCTGGCTAAAACAGGTTAGCTCGCGCTCCGGCGGCAACAAGAACACCAAGATCAACCAGATGATCCTCCTCCTCGTGCAAAAGGTCGAAGCCAACGCTCGCTGGATCGAAGATCGCAGATCCGGCGTCACTTATACCCCGCGCAATCGTGCAGAGGTAGAAAACTTCCTGAAAGATGTCGATTGGGAATCCACCCCACTCGGCGCATTCGTCAAGTCGCAGCGGAAGATCCGGGAAGAGAAGGCCGCCCTTCTCGAAGAGGCAAGACGTGAAGAGGAGAAGCGGAGAGCAGAGGAAAAGACCGCCGATAAGGAAGATGTGACCATGGGTGGATTCAGTGCCGATGAGGGAAGCGATGACGCTGAGGATAGCGAGGATGCCGTCACTTCTGATGGCGAGGGTGACGAGGAGGAAGAGGAAGAGGAAGAGGACGAAGACGAAGACGAGCTGGAGTTTGAAGAAGAGGAGGATTAGATGATCTATAATTTCCTTTTATGCACCCGGCACTATTTCCATATCTCTTGTACCTATTGAAGACATGTTTTCTTTTACTTTGATGCCCACGTATACAAAAGTCAATAGGAGATCTTTATATCATTTCTACCTTCTTTCAGAGATCTAACATTCCTTAGAGCTTATTAACCCAGCCTCTGGAAGAAATCTGGTCGAAGTTCAGCATTTCGTCACTTGACCCACAATGTCACAACAAGTAGGGTTCAGCTTCCAGGAGGATAGCCTCCTTCTGTCCACAACTGGGAGACTTCTCAAGGCGCTTTCTGATGCCAACGTCGACGTCCTCGCAGTGACGGCGGCAATCCAACTGGGAAAAAGCCTCCCAACAAACCAAACCCAGCAGAGTATTGCCTATAATGCAGTGGGAAAGCGCGATGCCAATCGCTCGGCGTTTCTCGTGAAAGGCCTGAATGCTGAATGGGTATATGATCATGTTGCCCAGGAACTATGCCAAACAAGAGCATGGTGCGCCACCCTGTTACTCCAAACTCCTCGCCACCTCCCAAGCATGGCCTGCCTGCGCGACCACCGGCTGAAGTTTGTGTGCCTACCAATGCGGGTGGTCAGTCGTCTCCACCACCACCATCAAGCTCCCAATTCCAACCACGGGAAATCACTGCACCAGAACCGTATACATATTCAGAGACTACTCAACACGATGCAACATTTCCAAATGATTTGGCGCCTTCAGCTCAGAACCGGATATGATTTCCTGCTGCTATCGTCAAGAGAACACTGGTATCCCAACCAAGCCGCTTCCCTTTCGGGGAGACTCTGCAGAGGATGGCCTACTGTTTCCGAATATACCTAGCTCAGATGACGGTATAGAAGGGTTCTTCAGACTTCCAGGTGCACAGGATGACATTCCCATTGACCCGGTAATCCTTGCCAACCGCGGGTCTTGGGAGGACATGGATCCCAGTTATCAATCACACAAGTCGCCGACAGCCTTATCAATTCCGAGACGATTTGTCTATATCCTGACCCTCCAACCCCTCTTTACAGCCCATCTGGCCATGATCGAGATTCCAGCGAAAGTGCTGGTGGTCAGAATGACAGCACTCGGACAAGCGACCACTCTCATATCCATAACAGTCGACATCTGCGTCCTTCCCAACAAGGCACCGGTTCCGACACATCCTACCCTAACGGTGCCCGTGGGAATCGCCACGTCAATGGACAGTCCACAGGTACTAAGCGAAAGACGCAACAATTGGATGAGGGCGCTTGCAAACGGTCTCGAAGCCCCTGTATATTGCCGTTCAGGGAGTACTCCTTCACCGTCCTTCATTCTCACTTTGTGTCTCTACCACTCGACGAGCATTCGTAATTCCTCCTCTTGGCTATTCAAAGGTGCTTTACCACGTTGTATATCCGACTATTCTCTCACAGCTTCTGAACAAGGAGATGCGCGGGCAATCAGTCACTCGACTCTCCCTGATGTGGTTGAGCAAGCGCGGCTAGATAGCACGGAGGCCCAAGAAAGCTCGAGGAAAGGCATGAAATGGTCCCCAGAGAAGGAGACCCTTCTGCTGAAGCTGAGAGGTACGAGAAGCGGCCTTGGGCAGAGGTCTTGAGGATAATTTCGGAGGAATATCCAGGGAGAAGTCCACGCGCGATCCAGGTATACTGGAGTACGACTCAACAAAAGAATGTATTAACATTTTGCGGAAAAGATGATGCTATATTGGAATTCTGAACGGTTTACAAACTACATGCAATCATCCTCTCCTGCGAGCATAGTACGGACGATGAGGATAACCGTGCTCGACGACTCTGGCTCAAACCGACGACCCCAGCATGAGTAGCAACCTAGGTCAACACCATCACCCGGCTGTGTACTTTGTCTTCCAGCAAAAAAAAAGGCATCTTAACAACTCGGTTTTCTTCAGTCTCTCCAGTTCCACTGCCACCGTGTCGCCGCCGTAGTGAGCTTGACGATGGCGGAGAAGATCTGGGACGCGAACTCAAAGATGTCCCAGATGACGGCTTGCCCCTGCAGCTTAGGTGGCTAATCATTGGCGCAAGATGAGATGGTCTGCGTATAGTCTAGTTTTATCATTGTTCTGAAGCTTGTCATACCCAGTATCAAACTCAGTGGAGGAGTAATAGCAGCTCCCACTCCAGTTTAAGTGAGCGCTAAGTTACCTAAAAGCCGAAACGTGTTGACTATCTGCGGGAAATTGTTCGGCCGTGTCATTGAGCGTTTCGCAAGATCCTTTGCCGAAGCCGTGTAAGGCAGCGTGATTCTGCAGGCCATACTAATGAGTAAGACTAACAAAGAATTGGTTGCCATAAATATATGCTGACGATCAAGCTTTCCCTACCCCGAACGACATGTTGCTGATGAGCAATTGGGAGATGCAACATCGCGCTTATTCAATTGGCATAGAAGCTACGATGATGGAATTTGGCTCGATGACGGTCAAGGGGGTATTGAGTTGTTCGTCGCCAGCTGCATCCTTGGATTATTGACCCCGTTTGATAGCCAAGGTGAGCCAGTTGAGGAACCCAAAGACCGTGGGCTTTGTGTTGAGCGTATTTTGCGGTTCAATGGTGAGGTCAAGAAATATCGAAAGGCAGGAGTTGGCATACCCTGAATGACTGTCTACATATCTACGACGTTTGAGGACTTATGCTTTATATAGAGCAATTTAAAGATCTCCTGTGTCTATTATTTTTATATCCTTGTCTATCCAGTAATCGACAGTTCAGAAACAAGCTCAATAAACTATTATAGAAAAAAGAACTATACGTAAAAAATCTTTTTCGATACATTTAAAATAAATAATCACAGAGACAATAATTTAAAAATTGGTAAATTCAAGCTTTTTAGACTATAGCCTGATAGTATCATTACCCTCCAAACTTCATAAGAGAACATCCCTGCTAATGGTATCCGACTTGACAAAAGTTTATTTATGCTCTTATAATACCCTAGACTAGATACATTGCCATGTCCCTCCGGCCCCTAACAGGTAGACATAGAGCTGTGAAAGCAACGGCACTCAATTCCTCATGCTCACGCGAGGTTGAGGTAATTATAGACACCAATGCCTAGACAGACAAGTGTACCCCCACCCAGCCCTCTGAAGCCCGCCGCCGAAAGTGATCCGTTCATAAAGCATACAAAGTTAGTTACAAGCTCAGCCGCATCGACCGCGATTTCAGCCATAAGAGCCCGTTTGAGGTCACGGTTGGGTCGGCCCTGGGCACTTAGGGTCAGAAAGAGGTGACTCCAGAAAGTGACAGATGGGAAGAACGATGGTTTCATCGATAAACAACTTACAAGATTCTTAATGCCTGAGGGCTCTTGGGCTGTGTAGAGCAATGTCCCGATAACAATGTCCCTGGAAGCTACCAAGTTTGAAAAGACGGCTGTGGATGGCTCATAGGGAAGGAAGAAAGTGGAGGCATCTAGTTTAGGGGCGAGAAGAAAAAGAAAGCCGCCAGCAATGCGGCCCATAGAGAGAAGGGTCACGGACGACATATTTTATTTGGTCGATTGCCTGTCTTCGGAGAAGATAATGAAGTGATGTCTTCAAAACTCTCCAAGGCAGCTCAGAAGCGTCGTACGAAGAGACAGTCGATCCTCCCCGATGCTTCTGTCAAGCCCATTATAAATAGTCCCGATCCGCTGCCTCTACACCGCAGCCAACTCTCGGATCGGTAGCGAATGGAAATACAGAGACATGGATCTCCAGAGGGCAGTCTCCCTTGGTCAAGGGCCCTCATTTGATTCCACATGGCCCGCGACTTTGGTTCATCAGTTTGAAAACATTGTCCCAGATTCTCCGCAAAATGTAGCAGTCAAGGAAGTAGACGGTGCTTCGTTGACGTACACACAGCTTGCCCAGAAGGTGGATATGATCGCTCTAGAGCTGCTACACCATAAGGTGAACCAGGGATGTCGCATTTGTGTTCTACAAGAAGCATCGGGTGACTGGGTCGCATCCATGTTGGCGGTTCTGAAAGTCGGGGCAGTTTATGTTCCGCTTGATCCCAGCACGCCTGTACAACGACTGTCGCTTATCGCTGGTGATTGTAAGCCTGCTGCAATCCTCATCCATCATTCCACACAGAAGCAAGCCACGGAGCTTGAAACACCTTCGGGGACCCCCAGGATCAATGTCTCTCGTCTCACGAAGCCTTCCTTTGACCCCATAGAAATCATTGCGCAGGCCGATGCCCCAGCTATTATCTTATACACCAGCGGTTCAACAGGTACTCCGAAGGGAGTTGAACTCCAGCATGCGGCCCTGAAACATGAGTTCGATCTCTGCGCCGCGACATATGCGCTGGAACCCTCGGACGTTGTCCGAGAGATGGCGAGGTTGGGAGCGAGGTTTCCTCGACTCTTGAGGAACGCGGGGCAGAGATAATATTCTTGACGGGACATGTCTAGATTGAGGTTATAGTCAGCAATGGATAGCATTATTGTATAGTTTGTTTAATGCAATCTCTGTTTACAGGGATATACTGTTTCGTCCCCCATTCTTGTACCTGATCTCCTGGCTAGGCTTCTTCACCGGCCCAAACCCGGCCCAAGCCCGCTGTAGGCTAGGTCTTACGCCCAGTACAGTAGCCTAGAATACGCTGTAGGCCCCCCATTGGGCCCTAAACAGTGAAAACATATAACTTTATATTAAAAATTGTGTTTTACTGATTAAGCAATTCTATTATAAGACCAGGTTTTTACGTAAAATGGGCTTTAGGGGGGGGAGGGGGGGGGGGGCTATTGGGGCTATTGGGGGCCCATCGTGGGTTTAGGGGTTAAGCTTGGGCCCTGAAGAAGGCAACATAAACGGTCTTCGGTTTACACCACTGAGTAATGCAGCGGCCAATAAATAAAAGTATCAGGTTCTGGATTCCTAAACTACCTTAAAAATATAAGCCTATGAGTACATGATAAGTAGTCTTAAAAAGGGGCTGTATTCGTCATGATTAAGATTAATAACGAATATTTGCGAATATAAGCATAAAGAGAAATGAAATGATCAACAGTGGCCAAATAATCTGAAGCTTCCTAGCTCTGAGGTAACGGCCATTTGGCCATTTCGGTTGACAATGAATAGATATTACAGCATCAGTGGCCTTTGGGCACATACAAAAACGTAAAAAAAAAAAGAAAAAAGAAAAAAAGGGCCTGATTCATGAAAGGGCCAACAACCCTACTCTGATAATCATAATCATCATAAACAAATAGATATTTAGCTCGGGCACCAAGCATACGAGCCATCTCTCACGACCCCCTCCTCTTTACTTTCGATATGTCTTCTGCGTTTAGATCTATTATTCTTATACAAACCACTTGAAGAAGCAAAGTACATAGCAGGGGGAGGATGTTGGGTATCGTTCAGCATGCTGATCACGTTTGGAAGATTGTCATACATCTGCTTTAGAATATATAGAAAGCGTGGTACAATTACAGAGTACAAGATGGATCACCGCGAAATCAAATGACAAAGACGTAGTTTCACCACCAGGCCCATGATGCCCTAACACCAGTAAAGCCATACTCTGTCGCAGGCACCCAGGTTCTCTCTTTACACCATTCCAAAGCGAATTGCTTTTCACCAACAAGAATGCCTGGACACGTCCGGCAGTCAGCCGTGGTCGAAGGACATCCTCTTTGCAAATGAGACAAGGCAGCTTGCTAAAAGGGTGTTGTTCAACCACTACTATCCTCCCAGACTGTATTATGCTCTCCTCCCCCTACCTTACAATGTCCAAGACAGTACTTCGGTCTGGTAAAGTTTCAGAATAATCAGTTTCCTCACCTTCGTCTTTGACCACCACGGAGATATCGGCTAGGAGAGAAGTCAGGACTGTATACTACTTGAAAAGCCCGCTTTGGCGCAATATAAATATAAATATATATATATATATTTCTTAACACAGTGTGACGTGACCAAGAGTTTAAGATTTTACTTATTTAGGCTGCTGATCAAGAGACTCCCATGGATGTTTTTCTCATAACACAGTTTAAAGTAAATATAGGGTTGAGGATCTATCTAGATGGCTCATACAAGTATAACCTAATATATACCTGTAAATTCTACTACCCCGAGGATCTTTAAGAATAACTGACAATTTAGCATTCTAAATAATTATTATCCTCACACAGAATTCAAAACAATCGCTATCAGCGGCAGACGCACAATTTTTAATTATAACAGAACCCTCAATAACTTTTTTCATTAGGATTAATACCTAACTCCAGGCTATCATAAACAGTGGTAGAGAATATAGAGCCTTCATTGTCAGTTGACAGCAAAATCTTCAGATTAGGAGAAAATAAAAATCCTCTGTTACATTTTCATCTCTGATCTGGCCATGGGATGTGAGCGAAGATGCATCACCTCGGTCCTCTGGCTCGAGGAGCAGCCCCTGGCCAGAGCTGCCCCTGGCTAGAGCTGGGACATTGGCCAAGTGCAGTTTTCCGTCACGCTTTCCCATCCTACGGAGTTGACATCCTGGGAGCTCTGCGGTGATAGAATCATGATGCTGGCATTGGACTGCTCCCATTTGTGAACAGCTGCTAATTGGGCATTTGCTGCGCTCTTGGCAGTTGGCGGGTTGCTCGTGTTTGCTCGTCCGTGGCCTAATTTGTCCTTTTACGGAAGATTCACGTTTCTGTTTGGCCTTCACATATATTACAGTTGGGTTACTCCGTTTGAAAGCCTGGTGCAAAGCTTGAAAATGGTCGGAATGCGTGGTAATGGAACCCTTCAGACTGTTGATCCATCCTTGTGTTTCACCTGTTCTTCGGCCTGTCAGTATGTAAGTCGGCCAAGTTCATGTCCCTCACTCACCTGGATTCGTTTTGTGCTCAAAGTATAGTTGAACGGGCATAGTGAAGTGAAGACTCGATATACTTTGCTGCTTGAATCGAATCATTAATATAACTCCAGTTCAGAGCAGGACGCGAAGATGGAGCGCCCTTCCAAAAACCTTTAATCCATCGCTTAATATACTTTCTAACCTCACTTTTCCAGCTTGTTTCTTCGCCGTAGTAGGTTTCCAGGGTTTTATAAACCTCTTCACGTCGGATACAAGCAATTTGGCCCTCCTTAAGCAGAAGTGGATGATACTCTCTTTTCTGCCATCCACAATTACACTAATTGTTTGAACTGACTCTGTTTTTTCTGCGAAGTACACCATCAGAGAATTTGTCTGGGGATGCGAAGGTAAGGAATTTTGTCTCCAGGTCCAAAAGCTTGCCTAAACTATACCCTCTCGATACTTTCCAACACCATATGATATCAGCCGGAGGTCTTTCAGAAGAGTCCTTGACCTTGCGGACGAATCTAACGAGAGTTGCTACCAGTTCCCCAAACGTAAAGACACTTGCATCTAATCCAGTTGGCTCAGCCATGGCTTTTCGAGAAGATTGCGAGGTGGGTGTTCAGCAAGGACGACTTGGAATGGTTCATGATTAAAGAGAACTAGAGAGTGGTCCGGGTTTGATGAACTATCAACTAACTACCTAACTTATAACTAGTTAAACTTCTCTTGACTTACTTACTAGTAACATTCTTGAGCCTCGTAGCGGGCAACATTGAGGAGGGGAACGAATAAGTTAGCAACTGTGGCAAAGATCCTGGTCAGTACAGGAAGCACAAGCATCATCCAACCATTTTTCACATCCATGCCACTCAACAACCATCATTACAAGGCTGTATTACCATGACCTACAATATCAGCCTTGCGCCACAAACTGCCCGGTCACAGGAGTGAACCACAGCCTACCACTATAGAGACAGAAATGGGGACGCAGGCTCCCAAGATGTGAGTCGTGCTGTGTTGGGCTTGGAGTGCAGAGCGGCTTATAACTGCCTAGCATGTCATGTTAGCAAGATCGCTATGATTGCGCCCCGGCGGAAAAGAAAATTGCTTGGGAATCTCTTAATTGCTTAGTATTGGCTCCTCTCGACTATAAGCTTTGTAATCGTTAAGGTACAATGGATATAAAACATACCACAGTATAGAATGGTGAAGCTTGGTTTACACGTCTCTGTACACTCTCTCCATAGGCATTATTTTGCTCTACAAGCTATGTCTACTGGTGCATCTGATCGCTGTGTTCTTTGTTCGCCCTCGTTGATACGTTAGAAGTCCCCCCATCCGAGACTCCAACGTGGCCGTCCTCTTCTCCATTGTGTTCTGGAACCCTAGCTGATAGTGTCGGGGCTGCCTCAGGGGTCTTAGGCGGCTGTGGTCCAGATTTCTCGGTTACTTTGGGGCTCTGACCAGACTCTGCGATACGGATGCTCCCCTTCCCACTGGAGACCGGGAAGAGATCATAGATCATGACCACCAGCATCAATATGTTGAATATCGTGGACAAATCCAATGTGTGGGTCCATCCAGCCCAAATCACCGACCATATTCCTCTGATGAGCAACGTAAGGGAGGTACTGGAAATTGGGACTCGGCCACTTTTCGTAGAACCGATAGAGTTCGCCATTCCCTCAAACCATGCTGCCGCAGACGGGGTACGCATATAGAAGGGTTCCAATATGCAACGGTCCCAGGAGTACGGTACATGCATACGACAAAAGTAATCAAAGTGGTCCTCTAGGCTCGGAGCCATAAAGGTCTTCCATCCAGCCCGAACGCAATCCGGGCAATGGCTTGTTCCAGAGATTCGTTTAGCACATTCGGTGGCCATGCAAGTAAACGAACTCAATGGATATTGCAAAACAATGTTAAGCCGGTCAACCCAGAAGTCCTTGAGCCTGCCCTCGTCATCGTACGGCTCTTGCTCTCTCAGCCACCGCGACCAGGAGACCAGCATCTCCGATGCAACTTCGCGGTCGCCCCAGAAGTATTCCTGATGCTTTGCGTGACAGTAACACCTAAATCGGTAGCCCATATTCCGTAGTTCAGCTTGGACTAGTCTTTCAAGTCGCTTATATTGCTTTATCGGAACAGCGGGTTCTTTTCTTGCCTCCCAGTGTTCGAGATTGCATTTATTCTTATGCTGGTTGAGCCGATCCTTCATATTTACTGCCCTGCCAATCTTGTACACCCCAGTCCGTGCCGACGGGTCATACAGAATGTAGGCGTAACCTTCTTTCTTCTTCTCGCTATTCTTGGGTAATCCGCGTAATATATCCACAATTTTTAGTATAATGTCCTCATTTGTCTGCAATTTCGATTTGGATTCTGGTGTCAATTCTCCGTTGCCTAAGTCGCCAACAGATACCTCGGTTCCTGGAGTCTCGGGCTGGCCAGAGAAAGAAAGCGGGGATTTGGATCTTTCCGTCTCATCGCCAGGCAACGCTGTTAGCCTGTCATCCGGTGCCCTTGGCGGGGGTGCAGTGGAATTCCTCGTCTCTGGAAGCCTGTTAGGCGAGTCTGGAACATAAGAAGTAGGGCCTGTGCGATTTGGTTGAGCAGCTGGTGGCCTATGGTTGTTACTGCGCTCATGATCCGAATTTACTAGATTAGCTGCGTCTCGGCGGTTCCGCGTAGGCTTCATCGTGAATCTCGGTGCATTATCCTCGGGGGTTGCCGGAGAGCTGGCAGGTCTGCTTTCAGGAGAGCATGACTCCAGGAACCGTCTTTGTGGGTTTCGGCGTAACTCATCGTCGGGCACTTGGGAGAGGTACGCTTGTACCGTTTGATCTGTGGGTGAACGAGCTGTATTCCCAACTTTGCTGCGCCTCTTCGCCACGCTATCCTGTCGCTTGTCCAGTCCGGCTAGAGTTTTTGCGCGTCTAGCAGCAGGGGAAGGGCTTCCACCCATTGCCGGAATGTCATCGTCATCATTGTCGGAGAGGAACCCGCTGTCAGGAGTTTCAACAGATGGTGTCGCATGCGACTTTTCTGTATATGGCGTGTGCTGGTGGGCATCGTTGGAAGAAGCAGCGAATAGGGCAGACCTGGAAGACATCGGAGTAGGTATACAACGGGCAGCTGTCGACTATGGATATAGAACTTAATGATCACGCATTATTTCAGCACCGGCGAGGGGGGTCTCTACAACATTTTATAACATTAAACAAGTGGCTGGAGAGGGGGTTCCGTACCCCAGGCACCCATCCAGGTAGCGCAGTCTGTCTGATGTTCCCAAGGCCGCACCGCCACGGGCTTTAACAGGAAGCCAAGGGTTATACCATGCTAAGAAACACCCGATGCTACATTGAGCATGGGTGTTCGCATCACCCGAGTCATTCACCTACAGTAGTCCAGACACTGGTTGCATGGGCCTGCAAGGATTGCATTCCTCCCTTCCCCGTTTTGACGACAGTGGGCGCTAAAGATGTGGCTTATCTCGCAAGGCTTCCAAAAAAAAGCATAGTTTCCTCTGTGCACATACCGGAACCTCTGTAATGGCCAGGGGAGACGCTCGAATCTAAGCCTTCCCAGGAAGTTAACTCCGTCTGCCTCAGGAGTAGTTAGTTTGCTCAGCCCAATCCCCTAGCTCGCTTTCGGGATTTGAGCCAGTTCTTACCCGAAATTGGATCTTGGAATTGGATAGCGACAATGTAGGTCATTAATTAGCATAACAATTTCGTCCACTTGCGTTTGTTAGCACATATGTAGATAGACACCGCCATGTCTTGCATCAACTATCGTCAGTGCCTATACCCTAGTACCTGGGATCTCAAGGGTTACACTTCGCATCCGGAGCCCCTGATTGGCCCAGCTTTGATGTTCCCGCGTGTACGTGTGTTGTCCAGGGTGTGTAGCAATGTACCGCTCCCGCCTATATACCTGCTTTAATATAGCCTATATTTCTTATCCCCTATCTCCTCTCTGTCTTGACCCTACCACAACTATATATGTATATCTTGTACGAACGTGTAGACTCTGTGAGCAAAGGCGGTGAGGGGCGAGCGCTACAACGGAAAGAGAAAGTCTCAACCTGTCTAGAAAATCCGGCACATAGGCAAGAGAAGATAACTGATAACTCGAACTAATACATTAACAACTTAAATCGAACGAACAATTAAGCCAGAAAGCCAGAAAGTTAGAAAGCCGGAAAGCCGGAAATACAATATCAAATCAAGAACATGAAAGAAAACCAAAATCCAATCTGTGTTAAGAAATTTTCAAGAATGCAGCATGTTCACCAAAACAAGGATTCCACATGCTGTTCTCTGCAAACAGAAACCTCAAACAGCCCCAACGGGCATCCTATCAGCCCCCCAAGCACGAGATTTCTCCCGTCTCAGCGCGGCATCTTCCTCTTCGGCCCAGGCAAGGGAATCACTCGGCAACATGACAGCCTGGTCAATAGCAACGGGGAGACCACGATGACGGCCACGCAATGTAACTGCCGCCAGGATCAATTTGCTAATAGTATGCCAAGCACTGCAGAAGGAGCTGTTCTTGCCGGGGTAGCCGACACTAACGCCGACGCAACCGTAGGCGGAGACAACCTCGAAGATGATGTTAAAGGTAGAGTAGTTCACGGGGTCGCGGTTGAAATTAGACGATTCAGCGATGGAAATGAAGAGGACTGCTAGGGCAATCCACCAGATGTCGTGGCTGAGTTGGGAGCGTAGCTGTTGGTGGACGAAATAGCTACGGGAGCCTTCGGTGGTAGAGACATCTTGCCGTCCGAGAAGGTGGTGTCGGACCAGGCGAACGAAGAGACCCGGTGTGGCTTGATCGTCGGCGTCATATTCTGCGCCCTCATGGGCATAGACGCCCAGGGAGCGTTCTTCATAGACGTTGGTGTTCCTCATGGTGACGAGCACGGGGAACGCGGAGACGTACATCATGAGGACGTATAACACGAGCAACCCCTGTCGAAGTTCGGAGATGGTTACGACGTAGAAACCTCCAGAGCGTACGGCTGCAAATAGATAGATGTCAGAAAAGATAAAAAGGGCAGTAGGTGAGGACGACTGGGTTCGAGACATACCTAATGCTTGGAACAAACCATCCAAAATTCGGTAGCCTGCCGGCAGTTGTTCGATCTGTTCATTTCCGATTGCGAGGATCTCGAAACCGGCCCAATCAATGCCATTCAGGACAATGATGGTTCCCAGCAGATACCAAGTGTGGCGTCTCGGGAAAAGGTTGGTATAGACCTAATCAATTAGCAGATGTATCGCAGTCTCCACTTTCATCTACATACCCTTCTGGGATGATCCAGGATAAAGTCTAAAGTAGTCCTCCATGTCTTCCATGCCGGACCATCTGGAATCATGCGCCTCATAGCCCAGATTATAAACCGCAAGAAGCAGGGATAAAGGGTGTTCCCGGCGAGAATCAGGAGACCCATGGTGAGAAGCGGGTACACACTTGTACGGATTAGTATGTTTCAAAGCATGAAAATGCAGCTGAGGGACGTACTTCTTCTGCAGTGCAACCATATTTGCGTCCAGAAGGGACATCCCGCTGTTGACAAATGCAGAGACAGCAAAAAAGGCTCCTGTCCAGAACGGGGAGAGACCGTTCGTCCGAGTGATTTCTGGATGGTTTGCTTTGAGCCAGCCCCCCATTCCAATAATGCCCACGAGCAGGAACATTAACCAGTAAAGAGCGACTATCACTGCCACAAACGAGACAGCCTTATACTCAACTCCCCCAAGTCTCTCGCGTTCGTCGGCGGTGAGGCCATGGAACTGAGAGTTCCGCGAAATGAGCCCCTTAGAGGCGAAGTACTTCTGTGTTCCTTGGATCATGCCCTTCAGCCGATGGACGTCATCGTCCTCCCTCAAAGGCAGATTTTGGGGGGCATCTTTCGGATGGTTAATCAAGTCAGGCCGAGCGCCGACTCCCACCATGGGGAATACTCGATGGTTCTGATGGCGCGAGCGTGGTCGTGCACCTATCGTTATTTGATCGTCGTCAGACCATTTAATATGGTCGTCGCCCCTCAATTCGGTCGGTTTCTCTACGAGACTGGCTTCACTTATCTCGGATACCTTGTTGTCACAACTGGCATCCGGGTTTGAAGGCTGCCCATTGGCAACCGTGGCGCCCGCTCCTTTGGGCGGCATGTCAAATTCGGACGTGGGACGTGACTCCCTATCCTGAGCCAACCTTTTTGAGAGGCCTTTCAGTTTTGATTCAAAGGCCTTTTTCCGCACGAGCAGAACAGCGATAGAGATGGGGATAGCGTGCCCCAGCATCAGGAGCGTGAAAAGAATAGCTTGCTGAAAAGTATTTAAGGAAGATAGGTCCACCTAACGAGAGTGTAAGTGGGGGGGCGTAACTGGAGCGGATAAGGCTTCCGACGCGAAGGGCGCAAACTTACAGTGTTCAAACCAGCGCCTGTCATGGCACTGACACACATGAACAACGCATCAGTATACGAGACGCTGCGAAAGGGATTTGAAGCTCCCCAGAAGATGACACTGCAGATCAGTGGAGCGGCAAGAAAGTAGGCATAATGAAGAGTAATGAAGTTGCATGGCGGTACTACCGCCATGATGCTTCGACCAAGAGGCCGAAGCCAGCCTCGTACTACATATATCACTAATATTAGAGCGAGGTTCAATCAACCGTATCATGGCTAGCATCAATCTCAAAGAGAGAGGCGGAAAGTGGACACTCACAGGTGACCGTCATCGGCGAAATGAATATATTCAATGTCACCCAGCACGCAAGGGGGATCTGTAATGCAACTGCAGTATGATAGTCGACGTTTCGGGAACTTTGGGAAGCCCCTATGACCTCAGCTAGCGAACTGAAGAAATAGTTCTTTGCTTGTAATGGCAGGGCGCACACCGCTACCCGCAAGGATGTTGTTGGAATTTCTGATGTATCTTTAGTCTTGTTCGATAATGCATGTCGATTCTGGATGAGAGATGATAAGATATGATGATCGGTGACCACAAAAGAGGCGCTATTCAGTACTGTGAGAGAGAAGAAGAGCTGGTTGCCGGTAATACCGCGACTAGTACAGAGCGATCGTGATGAAATGAATACTAAAGTTTGATAACGGTAGTAAATAGTCTCTAAGTTGAATTTGTAGACTGTATGAAAACTGGGGCAAAAGCGTGTTATTCCATTTCAACAGAGCCTTGAGTGGCAAGAATAAGAGTTCAACGTATGAATCAAGGAAATCTGTGGACGGAAGCCAGGAAGATGCAGGTGCAGATGCAAGAGAAAGGAAAAAGAGATAATGAAAACATTCAAATTAAAGAAAAGGGAAAAAAAAAAAGAAAGCGGCGGGACGGGGCCAATCACCGGGCTGTGGATCCGCAAGCTTAGCTACTCTTGGCATAGCCTGCACTGTATGTTGTATGGTAGGGCTGGCGGGAAGTGACAGATTGGGACATGACGAGGTCTAGGAATTTCATGATTGGTAGTAGTAGTAGTAGGAGCAGTATTATTACTGAATTACCTATATAGTACCACTGTAGTACCTCAGGTACTAGTGTTATACTAGTAGTACTAGTAAGTACTATACATGTATGTCCCTCATGGATCGACTTGCTCTTCACGGATCCAGTGACCACTTTTCCCACCCTTCTTTTCGAGAAGTTGCACCCCATCAACCATCATCCCTTTATCGACCGCCTTCAGCATGTCATACACTGTTAACGCAGCCCCCATAGTCGCCGTCATAGCCTCCATCTCCACCCCCGTACGACCAAGGCAACTCACGGTTGCTACAACGCGCATTGCACCGTATCTCGTGGGCTGATCGGTTTCATTCGGAGGAATTGGATCGACGAGCTTGACGTCTACTTCGACACCGGTGATTCCGATGCCCGGGTGACACAAGGGAATAATATCCGGAGTCTGCTTGGCAGCCATAATACCTGCAATTCGAGCAACACTGAACACGTCCCCCTTGCGTGTCCCACGCCCCTCTCGGAGAAGCTCCCACGGGCGCGGGTTAGAAAAGCGCACGAGACATGTCGCGGTTGCAGAGCGTTCCGTAACAGGCTTTTGACTGATCTTCGTCATATGAACCTTTTGCGCGGAGGTAAGGTGAGGGAGATCGGGGTCAGAATCTGTTGGAAGAGAAGCCGTCTTTTCCTGGCGCTTTGCGTCTGACGGCTCCATTCTAGACGATGTGCCCCTATGATCCCCATGGTAACAACGGGCTTGGCCAGGAAGAGGTGGATTGATATGAAGCAAGTGAGTCGGGATCCTTGACCATGGATTCTTCTTCTTCCTCGAGGAAGCCGCCAAAGAGTGTCCTGAGCTCCTGAGTGCCCTCATGGGTCCCTTATCTAGATCCCGCCTATCAGCATCACTCTCGGAAGCCAGGTTCATAATACAAGAGCTCCGCTGAGCCAGCCGGTGGTAATCTCAATGGAACGAACGATATCTCAGCGTATGCATTACTCATGACACATAATAACATCACATTGGTTCGCCAGACAGCCGGGGGAGAAAAGAAAAGAAGGTTGGTTGCGCCTACCCACCAATGAGAATCATGGGCCTATTCTTCATGTTTTTCAATTCGCCCATGCCAGCATGTTTTGCTTTCTTCCGTTTGACAGCCATGCCAATAACGTCCAGGAGCTCTCGTTCTCTTTCGTTGACCACCCCACCCTCCTCCTTGATCCGAGCCGCGCTATCCGCAGCCTCGAGCAATTGTAATTCATTCATAGTGACCTCGTCGATGGGTTCCCCATTATTTGCCTTCCGAATAATGTCGCGCAATGATACCTCCGCATTGCCAAATAGACACACTTTCAAATTCCCATCGGAAGTGATGCGTAGACGGTTGCAGGTTCCGCAGAAATTATGCGTCATGCTAGTGATGAACCCAACGCGACCCTCAAAACCGGGGACCTGATAGGTTTTACTCGTATCATTCTTATGGCCCACCACCTTTTCAAGGGTGGGATACTTCTCTCGGATAACCGCCAGCATTTCCTGGTATGAGAGCATCTTCGTCTCGTTCCATCGGTTTCCATCAAATGGCATGTACTCGATAAAGCGGACTTCGATGGGGCTCTCGCGTCCCAGCTCCACAAACGGGATAATCTCCCGATCATTGATCCCGCGCATTACCACACAGTTGACTTTTAACTTAATCCCTGCCCCTAGTATATTCAGTTCCAAGACCCTATCAATGCTTTTCATCACGGCATCGAACCCCTTCCTCCTCGTCATGATTTGAAACTGGAAAGGATCCAGGGTATCAAGACTGAGGTTGATCCCCGTCAGGCCAGCTTCGACCATGGCATCCAATTTGCGGTGCAACGAAATCCCGTTGGTTGTCAGGCATAGCTCCCGAAGGCCGTTACGCCGCAGACCGCCGATCGATTGCATCAAAGGGACAATATCCTTCCGGACCGTCGGTTCTCCTCCCGTCAAGCGGATCTTCGTGACACCTTGCGAGACAAAAAGGGAGGATAGATAGACGATCTCGGGCGAGGTGAGGAGGCGCGCTGGTGGCGAAAGCTCCACGCCTTCTTCTGGCATGCAGTACACGCATCGGAGGTTGCACCGCTCCGTGATACTGATTCGGAGATAGTCATGTTGGCGATCGAAAGTGTCCGTCAAGAATTCGGAAAACGGCTTCGCGGTTTTCAAGGCAGACCATCGCGCGGACGGTTTTCGGACCGAGGTGTCAGGGTTGTGGAAATAGGTCGCGGGAAGATTTTTTGCATCATTCTTTCCATTCTCCACAGGTGGTGAGATTGTACTATAATTTCTTAGACGCACGGCAGCTCTGTTGCTACCGATCGGTAGCTGTCTGAAGGGAGTGCGGGGAGACCTCCGAAGCGATGGTAGAGCGGCCAACAATCCGCGCCGAAACAATACCTCGGTCATCGTGAGCAGGGGTTAGGGCCTCGCGGTGACGCAAGCCCAGCACTATCGGGCATACCACGAGTGTCTGAATAAATTCACAAAGAAAGTGGCGGGCATTTGGATCTTAAAAAGGGCCGAAGTTAAAGGGAAGGAGGGGAATGGATCATTGACCCTCGCATAAGGTTCCATACTTATCAGTCATCGAGTCAACCGGCGCCATTTCATTCGCCGAGGTCTCTTCTCCGTAGTCCTAAAGCAAGTTCGGAGATGGCCGCGCCGTTCACCGGTACCGTGACTAGTATGACCTTGAATGGGTCTAGCCGACATAGGAAGTACTACTCAATCAGGTATACAAGAAATTCTCTGAATTCCCTCTATAAATAATTATTTTTTCGTATAGAAAAGAGGTCAAGTCCTGGGAAGCATCTTCTGCACCCTCTTCACGAGACTCTGTTCAAACTGCTCCACCCCGTTGCTCTGTTCCTTGAGGTTTCCAGCCTTCAGAACATACACAGCTCGCCTTCTACTCTGGGTCTCGTCTGTCTCTTCGTCGACACCCTCAAAGTCGTCATCCAGTTTATGTTCCTCGTCGCGTTTCCCTTCAATGACGGAACGCACCAGGAACCGGTCATGCGAGACCAACAAGATAGCCCCGTTGAAGGATGATAGCGCAGATGCAAGGGCCGTAACAGTATGAAAATCTAGATGAGTAGTGATTTCGTCCAGAATGAGCAGGTGTGGCGAGTTCCAAATCACTTGCGCCAAAGCCAAACGAACCTGCAATAAATCTAATTAGTAGCTGACTCAGGATGAACAATGATGGCATGTGGTGCTCACAAGTTGACCGCCTGAGAGGCGAGAGACAGGAACATCCGAGGCGACTCGACCCTGAAGGCCAAGGCTTGCCAGCAGGGCCCTCAGTTGGCCTTCATTCAAGGCCCCCTCGGTTTCTTTGGACATAAGTCCCAACGCGGTTAAGCTGGGGTCGGCCTGCCCTTGTTCTTGAAGGTCCTCGATCGAGTGTTGGGCGTAGTAACCAAGTTTGAGTCTCGAGTGTGTCGATATCTTCCCTTTGGCTGGCACCATGTTTCCCACGAGGAGACGTATCAATGTAGACTTTCCGCATCCATTGAGGCCCATGAGGCCGACTCGATCTCCCATATGCATGACAACGTCCACTCCGTTCAGTACTGGGACCTCATTTGACTTATACTTGAAGACGATCCCTTCCGCGGAAATTAGTGGCCCTGGATACCGTAGTTCTGTGGCGTCAGGTAAGATGATCGAGACACCCTTCTCATCTGTCGGAACCTCGATCTCTTCTCGGGCACTCAAGTGCCAGCCCACCAAGTCTCGGTTCAGTTTAAACCGTCCTCCAGTAGCACTCACTTGAACGCCCATCCTATTATCCAGTTTCTTTTGCCGCGACTTAGCCATACGCAACTTATTCTCATCATTGGTTTTCTTTCCCGCTTTGGTTGTTTCACGGATGGTGGCTTCCATGTGGGCCGTCTGGCGCTCCTGTGCTTCCTTCATTCGACCCCAGTACAGCTTTTGCTCTTCGAAATCTTTCTCGTAGGCCGACAGGTTCCCTTTGAAGTAGTTGAGCTTCTGGTCTCTGAGAATAATGATCTCTTCGCAGACCGCATTTACGAAATCCCTATCGTGGGAGACCAGGATAATAGTAGTTTGTGAGGAGTCCTTCAACTGCTGAAGATAGTTCTCAAGCCACACCACTCCTAGCAAATCTAGGAAATTGGTGGGTTCATCAAGGATCATAAAATCCGGATTCTGGATCAGAACACTGGCCAGCATGCATCTCATACGCCACCCTCCGGATAATGTTAGGAATGGCCTGTCGAAGGTGGATTCGTGAAAGCCTAAGCCTAGCAGAATTTGACGAGCTTGTTGCTCGATATCAACTAGTTTCATCTATTTGCGTAGAGTTCAGCGACGGTTATCTTGGTCGTGATCACATCCATACTCACAGCTTCAAACTGGGCCTGCAGCTCTTGCAGTGTATCCATTGCGGCCTGTGTGTCTTCTTGTACAGTTTCGGCCTCGATTGATTCTTTCTCTTGGTGTAGCCTACGAGGGTCAACCAGAGGACAGAATATCCTCAACCCAAGCAACTTACAGTTCCAGTGAGGCTTCGAACCTGGTCTCGGCGGCTTTGAGATCCTTTCGGGCCTGTAGGCCCCTTGCTCCGCTCTTGAGGCTCGCGTTTTTCTGGGCCAAGAACAGCTCCTTTTCCGTCTTATCATGACGGATCTTGCGAATGGCACTGACAGGTTGTAATGGATCCTCCGTCTCAAAGCTCTTGGCCAAGTCTTGAATGCACATTTATCAGATAAGACAGGCAAAATGCAGCAAGTATTGCAGAAGGTCAGGGAGCTTACAGTTCATCTTCCGAACTACCTCATTCCGGGAGTGGTCACTGCTCAAAACATACTCAAGTACCGTTTTCTTTTGGACCTCCCCGTCATCGAGCGCAAAGCTCTTGAGGTCCTCTTGTGATGCGGCGTCGGTCTGTTGCAGGATGGCTATACGGGTCGAATGCGGTATACCAGGGACAAGCTTGTCTGCCATGGCTCGTAGGAGCGCTAGATACAACAAGTATTAGCTTAGCTATCTCACCTGCCCGCTTTTTGTTGCTTTAGAATTGATGTGTAATAATCGAATACATACTCGACTTTCCCGTCCCATTCCGTCCTATCAGTCCATAGTGAACCCCTGCCTTCAACCGCAGATGAGCATCTGAAATTAGCTCTCTCGTATCCGGCTTTCCCTTGGCTTTTCCTTTGGGCTTTGCCTTCGACGGATCCTCCGCTGTATCTCGTGAAGATGCAACAGCGATGGTGAGGCCATCCACATCGATCTTTAGAGTAGAGTCATTAGTCCATGGGAGAACAGAGAAACATTGACATTGTAGCGGTTTACCTCCTGCGTCGGCCTATCATCCAGGAGATGAAACCGGGTCTGTTTGCAAGTGGCGAGAATCGACGACTTCATTATTCGACCTTTTTATCAGAGATTAAGCTCTTCAATTCGAGACACAAGATAGTAAGATGAGAGTTCAAAGTAGAATTGAACGTGTCAAGATATTTGGTAAGAAAGAATAACTACTTCATTATCCCCGTCTCAAGCTACTCTCTACATCTCATATAAATAAAGTAGCATCCCTCCGTCTCCATGGAAAAGAAGGGTCCAACCAGTAAGGAGGCTACTCTGTGTTACATTCGCTGAGGCGAAGATAATGCATAACTCTTCATTTCTCCACAGAGGTGGGGGGATTGAGTCACTTGGAAGATCATTTAAGAATCTAACTGAGAGCCATTGATTGAAAGAATAAGTTTGGGGGTTCGGGGTCCCGAAGAGGAATAGCCGCGCCTATTGGCCTGAGGAATCAACTGGGCTCAGGCTCGTGTTCCTCGATTGTCGAGCGTCTGCCGAGATTGCCCATGGCGCCTTTTTATGGGCGAAGAAGTGGATTGCATGACTCACGGATGAGTCACGAGAAAGATCAGGGCACTGATTGGCTCTACCATAAGCGAACCGAGTATAACTTTTTAGAAAAGGGGTGATGCAGGTATGTGTGCCTCCAGATAGAACGTATGCTACGTTTTACGCATCAAAGGCCTCACTCATACTTCAGGTTTATCTTGTATGATATCTTCAACAGATTACTCTTGTTATCACATAGGGGTGTACTGGCAGTGTGCAAACACATCCTTCTACTCAACTCTATTCAACTTATACTCGTGTGCAATGACGGACGGTAGAGAACTAGATCTAGCTATCAAGCACAGAGAGAGGTGTACAGTCAAGCGACTCGCACTAAAGTCGATAATATCGATATATATATAAGTTCTACTCAAATAAAGCCTCATCCACAGTAGACATAGGCCTTCCCGCCTAGGACTATGCTTGTCTAATCGATCTGGTCTATATATGGTATCTAGGCTGACATCGACATGGGACATCAAAAGGCATAGCTGGTCGTTTCCACATATGGACTCGCCACCATGACACAACAATCACATATACAGTCCAACACCGAGTTCTAGAATCTCGAGGAGTCTAGATAATACGAAGAGGAACACTCTAGCCCTTTCCCTTAAAGGTACAGATATTCATGGATACGTAGCTAGATCGATCAACCAGTTGAGATTGAGTTGCCATCCCCCCCATTCAGCACGAACTCTAAGCCAGTTGGACACGAAGTCAATTCGTTGAATCCCTTAGCAGTGGACTAGTGTATTACACCGTTCGACGTTATCATGATGAACAAATCTTCCTGGGCCATGTTAGTGATACATCGCAAACCATGGGGTTATTGACCGATCTCCAAGGCCTTGGCTGCTAATTTACCCAAAGCAGCAACAACCGTGTACCTTGGCCAAAATTACAGACCCGATCTGTTGCATCACATCTTGCAATTCCGACGTCAAGCGGAGATACCATGATCTCATATCGACTTTAACAGAGAGGTCCGAAAAGTATAAGTATAGCTGATACTGATCGCATTCGATAGAAATTCTATCAAACCATACCATAACAATATCACGACTCAGTCTTCAAGGGTCTTCAACAAAACGGAAGAAGCATTTTATTTCATCATGGCCTCGAACACCAACCCCGGAAACTTCAGCAACCGCCCTCAGGAAGAGGTGCAGAACATTGCCAGCAAGGGTGGTCAAAGCAGCCACAGGGGAGGCTTTGCCAGCATGGACCCCGAGAAGCAGGTAAGGTTCTCGTCGATCTCGAAAGCGCATACGCCAATACTGATCTTCTCTTCAAAGAGGAACATCGCTTCCAAGGGTGGCCAGGCTTCCAGCGGAAGCTTCGAGTCTGGCGATCCAAGAGCCCGTGCTGCCGGTCAGAAGGGTGGCTCGAGGACTTCCTACGACTTGGACCAGCCCGAGGAATAAGCAAAGTCATCAAAATCAATTACCAGATGACGTTGCTGTCATCGTCCCGGGTGGCACGATGACATGATAATCCACCTCTGTACTTTAACGAAAAACTTGCTGACATGACTCCATGTATGTACCTATGAAATAACTTTTGACTGGAAACGGCAGAAACAGTATCATTGATCTCCAAATATGAGAGTCTCCCATCAATTCGTAGTTGGAAACATACCACGGTACAAGTGATGTCCCAACGACGTAGGAGTTCTCCACATGAACCAACGGTGCCCAATCAAGGAATGACCACATATTTTTTCCGTTTTCGATCAAGTGACATGGGAGAATTCCAATCTTATTCAATACAATCAATAGGTTCTATGGGGATGTGGCATGTAGTGGCAATCGAAGAAATGCTGTTGCCTTAGTGGGAGAGTGAGCGTTCACCAAAACACTGCCACACTCAAGCAGCTGCTTTTAGAATTAGCTTACGGCATAGCGACTGCCACATTTTACTTGCTTCTTTTTGATTTATTGTTTTGTTTTATTTCTGGGTCACTGATGCAGATGATGTTCTGTCTTGTGTTCTATGCTAGAACATGAGCCGCAACAGTTCTCCATGTTCTGCACAACTTGTAACTCAATTTGCCATTGGACTCGTAAACCCCGCGGTATACCCGATGTTCAGCCGATGCAGCGACAGTAGATCACACGGTCTATATTGGAAATTTTTATACGTAATTCTTAATATAGTTCAGATATATCAGGATCTATTTGTTATCTACTACTTCACTGTTCCGAGATATATAGTCTCATAGCACTTGGTGACAGATTGAGAGGTTATATAGTGGGGGTTAAAATGATAAGAAGGTCATCACATATATATGCGCATAACGTTGGATAATCGGAAAAATAAATAAGTATGGTAAGACAGCTATTTTCATATTGACGCTCTGTGCCAGTGTTCGAGTTGGTAATTCTGGAGAAAGGCCCAGGATGCTCTAACCCTCTAGAGATATCACATTTCACTAGGTGCTACTCCCGACCTACATCGATATTGCTAATCGTGGTACGAAGTACCTTCACACCATGTTACCAGATTACCCCTGGACCCCTGGTTTGAGATAGCGCAGCGAGGGTTACGTTGTTATCAAGTCTATAATCCGATATGATTATATCGTACTACGGTCTGACGACGTCAAGGATACGCATTGACCTATCGACACATGTAGGAGGGAGTCTACTGCTATACCGACTAGTAGATGTTAAGAGCCTCCGGGAGAAACGCCCCGTCCAATGATTGCGGATCTGACACGAGCTCTACCAGTCTATACGGAGTATGTTTCTATACTTGGGCGTGGAAACACGTGAAATAGTGCGTAAGCTATGCGTCGCGTTGGAGGGCATTGTGTATTATGCCTGCGGAGGACATCTTTAAACAGTAGGTCGTCGTATAGTTCAACTTACCGGGGTTCCCATTTTCAGGTCCTTCCTATATGCTGCGGGAAGTTCTGCCATTGTCTGAGGTGAACGGATGGCATTGTTCTATTGGGAGCTATTGTCTCTTCTATTGGTCATCTGTGGTGGACGGTATACATACATGGTTGGAGGATTTGTGCATTATTCTTGCCGGGATCTAGACTGTTCGTAGCAGGTTAGGCTGGGACGCTAGAGAGGGTATATCATCTCCGAAAATAGCAAGTTAGACTTCAACGCCGAGACTAGAACTTATGGTTGAGTTCGGGTAAGGCTTCACTTGGTAGCACTAATTCATCTATTGATCTTCCGTTGCCTATTTCAAAAATTTAGCTCAATAAATAAGGTGCTTGAGGTCGGGCTAGCCAACTTTTCGGGGCAACGTAGACCCTACTAAGCAGACTAACACCACCAAGCACTGCCCATGCCAGGGAGTTGAAAGAGACTAAAAAGACCAGGAGAAACCTTTTCCTTGCGGTATTTTCGGCCTATACGGCGGCAATGGTCTGGACTAGCGGCGAAGTACTAGACTACAAGGCCGGATAGTTGTGCGCGTTGTTCTCCAAGCCCACCCCCCCCCCTTTTTTTTTTCGTGCTTCTTTGTGACATGCTGTAGAACTGTTGCTTAGTATGGGGTAGTACCTTTGTCGGAAGTGGCTATCCACGTATCTGATTAAGACGATTGAGTCCAGCCTTATATATACGAATTAATGCTTACGCGGCTTTAGGGGATTCTATGCCATCGTTCGGTCTAGGGCCGGCTGTCAAAGCATTGGAAAAATCAGGGATCGCACGGTGACATCAAATGCGGATGTTTTGACCGAGGGAGCTCTCCTTTTCACCGTTTCACATTTGATTTTTTGAGACTCGGCTAGGTTACTGAGTCAGTATCATTGGTCCGTGTTTCATACTGATTGCAAGACATCTATTTCACGGCCAACCAAGTCAGAATTTTCTTTGATATGTAGTACGTGCTGCAGACTTGTCGACAGAGCGAAGTCGGACTTCCTGCAGGTGGCGCTGGCCATCGGTGCAAGTCTCGGAGGACTAGCTTAGCGCATGGACCGGCCCAACCTAAAAGGAGATGGATATTCCAGCTGGACAGAAAAGTAGGAGCGGAAGATGGCCGGAGAGCAACGGACCAATGGCTGAGCATTGCACCGCCGATCCACACCAGCGAGACGCCCACCGGCCGGAGCACACTAGACTAAAGGGGGTCGAGGAAGGCATTGGGCCCTATTTTGTTCTCCAAGGGAATCGGTTAGAACTTAGCGTGTAATAGTAGGGTATGGGCGTTTGCATAAGTGGCTATGTCGTTAGACGGGAGAAGACTCTTAGGTCGATGCCAAGCTTTGCTTCCGGTGACTATGAGATCCACTGTAACCCACTTGAAAAATTCCCACCAGCGCCAGGAGATTGAAAACTGAGGATCCAGGCGCGTTCGCTTCATCAATAATGATTGACCCATTTATTTTCCAGAACACTGATGGGAAGAAGGGAAGAACGGAGAGGCATCTAGATGGCGGAAAACAGGAGTCGTACGTTATCTCTTGCACTTGAGGGTTTGGCTAATTGGTTCTTTGAATCTCTTGCGAGTGGAAACGTTGGTATGTGGTCGTCCATACCAAATTGACGTCAATTGGCATTCCAAGGAACAGAAGTACACTTTTTCCACCAAAACCATGTGAACATGTGGTATGTTGAGTAAGAGTTGGAGACCACACATGGTTAATTTTGCTCTTTTTTTCCCCCAAGGGGGAGATTTGTTTCTAGTAAATTATTGGTGTATGGGGAGCGCCACAGGCGTCACAAGGGAGAGAGAATAGTAAAAGAAAGAAGAGGCTCGGTAAAGGATTAGATGTGTCGATTCTCATTTGCCGTTACAGTACACTAAACGTGACCTGAAACGGCAGAGTCACATTGAAGGGAGGGGAAAGAGGAGGAAAAACAAAAACAAAAATAAAAAAAATCCTACCAAGGGTATTGTACGCAATTGGATTGATTTGCCTTACCTACCTAGACAAGGAAGGGGGGGGCGGCTATCCGTTCATTGATCATCCTTTTCTTGGTAATGCAGCTGTTGTATGTATGTATGTATATACTGTATGGACTCCATCAGTAACTTATCTATTCTCCAGTGACTAGGCAACGGTAATATCACCCTTCGGTATGTGGTCTACAGACTGTAATATCTTACAAGGGACTGTCTTAGGTTGCGAGCATGGAAGTTTCCTCATTCGAGAGATCTAAGGTTCAACAGGGCATTTTCTAAGTAGCCTGGACGTTCATCACGGTAGTAAACAAACATGAGATCTTATCGAAGATCCCAGTCTCGTCTGTATATCCAGGGAAGGACAGGGAACAAGTGGATTCCCCAGTAGGGTACAAAGTGTCCCAAAAGCCCTAACCTTAGTCAGCAATGAACCTATCAGAGCTGAAGCGGCAGTGGAGTAGCTGGCTGAGTCAGCGGAGGACGCGCAATCCGTTCTGAACCTGATTTCTATTCTGGGCGTGGAGAAACGTCCCACTCCGTCCCAAAATTCCCCTGGCGCCTCCTTCCCGGGCGCGAACTCCATTCTCTCTCCTCTTTCTTCCCTTCCCTCTTCACTCTCCCCTATTGTTGCCAACTCTTCCTGAACCCAACCTTTACACATCTTACCCATACACTCCTCCTCCCCCCCCTCCATTTCTCGTCGTCGTCGATCTTCTTTCGCACCACAACACACCATTATTTTTTCCCTTCTCCCCACTGTCGTACCGTGGGTTATCTGTGCTTAGCCTGTTTTCGGTTTCCTCTCGCCGCTTAATCGCCTTTATTAGACTCGACAACCTCCACCTCAACTCTCGCTATCATCCGGCCCGATCGGACGGACACATCCGCTTTCTATTCATCCTTAAAAAACTAAACAGTCTCCCCCTCAAATCCCTTGAGGCGCAGAATTCACACACATCATGGCCACATTAGCGGAACATCCGATTGTCGCCCCGTCGACGTACGACCAAGATATCGATACCTTCCTCAACCTCGACCAGCTCACCTACACAACCTCAGAGCCAGCCAGGCCCAAGGCGGCCCTGGCTCAACCCTCGATCCCGACCACAGAGTTCAACGCAGGCGATCTTCGAAGTGCCAATTTCGCTGCAACGGGTCAATCGCCGATCGCATTCCAAGGTCCGAGCCATCAGTATGACGAGCACAAGCAGCAGACCGGTCTTCCACCAGGGGCTCTAGCTCAAGCAATGACTTTCAACCACACGAATGGAATGGGCTATGGAGGTGCAAGCCCGAGTTATATGATGAATGGGGAGATGTTTACCGGAACCCAGCTGAAGCGGGAGGACGCTTCGCTGGATTTCAACACGATCCCAAGCCGTAACCCTTCTGAAATGGACCTGGAGTCCGATAACATGGGTACAGTTCCGGGCTATTTCTTCTCACCGAACCCCAACAAGAACCAATTCGTCGACCCCAGTGCCCTCGGGGGTCAGGAGGTGGTTCCCGCCGGTCCGTCCACCCAGGTCGGTCGGATGTACCCCGGAATGCATCAGCAGCAGGCTGCGATGGCCAAGGCGGCTCAACAGCAAAAGCATCACGAAATGATGCGCCAACAGCAACAGCAACAATTACAGCAGCAACAGCAGCAACAGCGTCGCATGGAAGAACAAATGCAACACAACGGGGCTCCTCAGGCCCAGCCCACTCGGAACACGAACCCGATTGTGGAAGAACGAATCACGCGCCTTTTGCAGCAAATGAGACAATCCAGCTCGAGCTCGCCGTCCGACTCGCCAAGCCCTTCTGTCTTGCCTCAGATGGCCAAGGCCAAGAAGGATGAACAGGATATGGATGAGGATGAGAGACTACTTGCCAGTGAAGAGGGCAAGAAACTGAGCAGCAAGGAACGTCGTCAGTTGCGCAACAAGGTCTCTGCACGTGCCTTCCGGTCCCGTAGAAAGGGTATGGATACATGATCTCTTCAGTTCTCTATTTTAGTCTGGTAAACTAATATCATCATAGAATATATTGGCCAGCTTGAGAGTGAGGTTGCCGCGAGAACTAACGAAGCTCATGAGTTGCGTCTTCAGAACCGCGCTCTGTACGAGGAGAATGCTCGCCTAACCGATTTGGCACGCATGCTTTTGTCGTCCCCGAACTTTTCTCAGTTCTTGGATGAGATGCCTGTCAACGGAATCCCCACCGCTGCCCAGCCTCCTCAGCAGCAGCAGCAGCAGCAGCAGCAACTTCCATCCCAGCCCCAGCAGCAGCCAGCTATGCAGGCCAACCTGCCAAAGGATGCAAGCCACGGTCATGGGAACCAGGAATTTGCCATGCAACAGAATCCTCCAGTCGGTATGGTTGTTGTCCCTAACCAAGGACTCGACGTAGCTGCTATGGGCATGAACAACGCTGGCTGGAACTCGGGTATCGATATTAACTACAACGCGTCAGTGTTCGCTGTCTTGGAGGTCCCTGAGCCCCCCGTACTCGGCACCGAATTCTTGTCTGGCAAGTCGTCGGGTGTTGGATCCTATATACCCGAGATCCCGACCGCCAAGGATGATGCCCCCCTCATGGACCGTATGCCAGGGGCTGAGTCCACGGAGTTCAGCGTTGGCGTTGAGAACCCCAATGTTGAATTTGACGAATCGGATCCTGCCTTTGCTCTTTTCGCCGATGTCCCGACTGCTTCTCGTCAAGAATCGGTCGACGACTCTTTCATGGGAGTTGAATCGGAAAAATCTGCGCACGCATTCGAGCTGGTTGTTGAGAATGAGTCTCAAGCTATTGTAAACCGCTTCTCCTACCTCTGCCACAACATGGAAGCCGCGTTTCAGCGTGTTTCCATGGTCACATCTCATCTATCATGATTCCCCATGTCGCACCTAAGCCACCTCAGATTAACTAAGAATTTGTAAAGTTGGTTCTTGTGATGTTTTTCTTTTTTTTTTTTTTTTACCTAGGCGGTTCAGTTAGCTGAATCCGCGTCCGATTTGTAGACACAAATACCTTTTCCTTTGTTTATGATCCTGTGACTATATATATATATTGCTTTTTACTTGCGACTCAACTAGTTTGACTATTGACTTGCCAGTGCTTCTTCCATGTTTGAAAACTTCAGTTTTTCTCAACTTTTCCCCTTTAATTGCTGGGTTGGATGGAGTCAATTTGCTGGGATCGTTTCCTGGCAGGATTTACGGGTCTGGATTTTAATTTTTGTTTTCATTTTTCTTTTCTCTTTTCTCTTTGGATTTGAAATCGGATACCTTTTTGGATTGGCTATTGGGAACCAAGTTGAAACTTACTGCGAATCAATACAAAAAAAATTTCAAATCTTTGTAGAATGTGCTTTGATGTCATGTGCTGTTGTTGTTGCCACTAGAAGAAAGACAAAGGCTCTGCAGGAAATACCAAGATAACTACTTTGGTACTTTATTCAACTCCTCCCACTTCAATCTTTCACCCCCTGTGCAAACAACCAACCTCCACCCACTTCGCCCTTTTGAAATGGCCGTTCGTTCTATGTCCACTTTAACAAAGTCTTCTTTTTCTTAGTCAAGTTGGCTTCCCTTCCCTCCTCCCGCGGGCTATTGTTCAGAGCCTTTCGCGGAAACGTCTCCCCATCGATCATAGCCCGCTCCTCGGTCTCTTTCGCGCCCTCGTTGTCTCGAACTTTTCGGTACATTCCCAAAGATACCGCTAAATCGAAAACCATCAAACCAAAGAACTATACATCGAGGAGCCCTCTTATAAAGCCACAGAAAAATTCGCGCGGCCTTGAATCGATCCTTCCTCGTTCGCCGCCTGTACCCGCTCTGAAAACTCATCCATATCCACTGAAACGGGATACATATATTCTCCGGGCTCCGAGACTGACTGCGCGAAAGGGAACAAACTACCTACTCTACGACCCCGCTTCTCACAATTCCTCAGGTCTCAGCTTCCTACCGACCCCGCCAACGGGAAGGCAACCCATGAAGTTCTTCTACCAGGTCGTGACGACCCCCACGGCCGATACGCCGGGCACGACGGTCCTACTTCAATTTCCCGAAAAGCGTTATTTCTTCGGACAGATTTCTGAGGGCACCCAGCGGGCGTGCACGGAACGTGGGGTCAGATTCACTTATCTCACCGATGTTTTTCTCTCGGGTCGAATGGAATGGAGCAATAATGGCGGCTTGGTTGGCGTGATTCTTACACTGGCTGATGGGCTTGCCAGTATTAACAATGCCCAGGAGGCGACTGCTCGTGAAAAGGAGGCCCGCCTACAAAAGTCTGGTCAAAAGCCTGCAGCCAAGTCCAAGTTGCAGCACGGTAAGCCCATTGCCATTCAGGGCGGAGAGGCCGTCCCACAACGGGGCACCTTGACGATCCATGGGGGTAAGAATCTGGCGCACACCTTGGCCACTGCGCGGAGGTTTGTTTTCCGGAGGGGTATGCCGGTTTTCACACGGGAATACGACAGCGAGAGCATGGCCAAGAAAGCGTCCGTGGAAGCGGATGATCCCTTCAAACAGCCCACGTGGTCCGATGATAATATCAAGGTATGGGCTATGCCTATCAGCCCTCCCACATCTTGGCGGCCCAAGGGCGTACCCCGTGCTGCCCCTCAAAGCCCGAGAAAGAGGAGCCTTGATGAGTTCAGAGAGGATGTCTCTCAGGAGACCCTCGACCCACACACTCGAGATCAGTTTATCAGACAGTCGATTATTACCGACATGTTCAATTCCAACTGGAAATTAGATGCTCTAGTTGAAACCCCTCTGGCAGAAGTGAAGATGCCCGCAGTCATGTTTGTCCGCAATCCTGAGACCAGGGCGCTTGAGCAATACACAGGTCCCGCTCCGGGCAGCCGTGAACCCTTGCCAGATATCAAAGTGCTGGTGCGCCAACCTTGGCCAGGTGCAGCCGTCGAGAAAATTCCCTCCACAACCTGGTGCGATGAGGCTATGTCTTATATCGTACGAAACCACGACATCAGAGGCAAATTCGATTCTAAGAGAGCGCTGGAGCTGAAAGTCCGTAAAGGCGCGGACTTTGGACGGCTAACAAAGGGTGAAAGTGTTACGTCAGAAGATGGAAAGACTATCACGCCGGAGATGGTTCTGGGACCCCCACGACTTGGAAAAGGTCTAGCAATCATTGACCTGCCTACCCCAGAATACGTCGAGAGCCTTGTCAGTAGGCCGGAATGGAAGTCACCTTCTGTGACTACGAACCTCGAAGCATTCATTTGGATTCTAGGCCCCGGGGTCGGAGATCATCCCCAACTCCGTGAGTTTGTTGCAAGTATGCCCCATTGCAAGCACACCGTGTCTAGTTCAGACTATTGCCCAAACTACTTGGCTCTCCCAAGTATTGCCGGGTCTTCTGTTCGTATGGCGCAGCTGAGGAGCGATAACTATCCAGTACCAGTTCACGACAACGCGAGTCTTCCCCAGCTAGGAACGCCTACTCACGGCTCAGAGATCACAGCGAGAAGCGTGCAGAATTCGCCATTTGAGGCTATAGAACCTGGTCTCATCATTGACATGGAACCCAATTTCAACATCAACCGTTCCGAGGTTGCTCCAAGATTTAATGCAATCGAGGCAGTGCGGCAAATGCCTGTAGCCGTTCAGAGGCGAATGAGTACCATCCACAAGCGCGTTAGAAAAGAGGAATTTCAGGAAAAGTTACAAAAGTTCCGGAAGGACCTTCCAGGGGCCGATGTGGAAATCACCACTCTGGGCACCGGTTCATCTGCCCCGTCCAAGTACCGTAATGTGTCCAGCACGCTTGTCCATGTTCCTAGCTATGGCTATTATTTACTCGACTGTGGTGAAAACACACTTGGCCAGCTCAAGCGTGTCTTTGAGCCCGAAAAGTTGCGGGAGGTTCTACAGAACTTGCGGATGATCTGGATTAGCCATCTCCATGCAGACCACCACCTTGGTACTGCGTCTGTTATCAAGGCTTGGTTTCAGGAGAATTATCCGAATGGGGATTCGCGAACAAGCACTATTGAGACAGATATGTCCAAAATACTCAAGGAAAAGCGCTTGTTTCTCGTATCTGACGAACACATGGTGTCGTGGCTCGAAGAGTATGCAAGCGCCGAGAACTTTGGCTTCGGGAAATTAGTCCCCTTGTCCGCCTATCCTGCGATTCACAACAAGGCGCTCCGGACAAAGTTCGTGTACCGGCACTGCCGTGCGGACGGCTCTTTCCCCAACTACGAATCGGAGACTGCAAAACCCCAGACTACAGAGCTTGCTTTCGACAACGAATCATCTCCGCTCACGCCAATGCTCCGGGAAGCGACAGGGCTTTCCGATATCCTAACCACAAGGGTGTCACATTGCCGCGGCGCCATGGCGGTTTCACTGGTCTTCCCGGATGGCTTCAAAGTTTCCTTCTCGGGCGACTGCCGGCCTTCAGCAAGCTTCGCACACATTGGACATGGATCCACTGTTCTCATCCATGAAGCTACCTTCCAAGACAACATGGGTGTGTCTGCGATTGCCAAGAAGCACTCGACGACGTCCGAAGCCCTGGAGGTTGGCCGTAGAATGGAAGCCCGTTCTATCTTGCTCACGCACTTCAGTCAACGGTACCAGAAGATCGCCCATGTGGAGAAGAACCAAGGGGCCACACAGCGCGAAGAGGTCGTGGTTAAACCGGAACAGCCCGATGTTCCAGACAACGAAGCAGAAGAGGCATCCCAAACGCCAACCTCCCACGATTGTCCTTCCATGTGGGCCACGATTAAGGTACAGGAAAAACCAGAGGTCAAGGTACCCATCGTCGCCGCCTTCGACTACATGCGCATCCGCGTTGGCGATATGCCCATCGCACAGGCGTATGCACCAGCAGTCGAGAAACTCTTCGACATCTTAGAACGCACCTCAGAAGAAGAGTCCGAGAAACACAGACAAGAAAAGGAGAAGCAGGAGGCTGCGAGATTGCAAGAGAAGATGAGAAGAAAGGCCAAGCATGAGAAGAAGGCGAAGGCCGGTGTTGTTACCGAAGTGGAACCCACCCCTGCCCTCGCCGAAGAAATGGACGTCGACAAGAAGTCCCCAGTCAAGCGTCATTCGGCCTGGAGCGCCAGTGAGAGTGAAAGCGGCTGGAGCACTAGTGGCGATGACAGCGAAATCGAGGTCTCCAGGAGACCCAGCAGTCCGAAGAAGACCGAAAAATCTTCTATATAAATACGAATTGGGATAAAATATGTTGCTACATACTGTACCATATACATATCTTGGCGTGGTTTCGGGGATAAATAGAACTTGGCTTTAAAAGTGGTTCCCAGGACTTGGCTAGGTACATGCCTCATTCAGACTCCATCATTACAGCTGAGACATAATACAAAAAGCATCCAAGGCGTTCGTTATATATTTGAAATCGAAAGAGTAAATTCTGCCGGTCTCTCATTTCTCCATCCCAAAAACCGAAGTAAGACAGCTAGAATAAATATGTTGACCGTAGACATTGAATGGCATGTACATGGGTATGCATATAGATGTCTATTGACTTAGAACCCAGAAACGATCTTCTCCTTGTCATCCTTACCATACAGGCCCTGTCCGAGATTCTGTACACACTCTTCCCTCCAGTTCTTAGGGGTGAACTTATCAACGATGTCCTTGAAAGCGTCTAATGTGCAGAAAGTGTCGTCTCCAGGAAGATGGTTCTGCGGCTTAGCGCAACCAGGGATCCGGACTGGGACGTCATTGTAGCGGAGACGAACATAGTGTTTCTGCATAGACTGTCTTGCAGAATCCGGGAAGGACGAGAGGGGGGCACGGGCTGTTTCGGAGGGAGGGGGCGGGACAGTCGAAGCGTTCGACTTCGAGGGGCCATTCAGGAACGAGAAAAGGCCGCCGGTCTTCTTCGGGGCGATGGCAGGATCGGAGAATTCCTCAAGGACGACGCCGACGTTTTCACCGCTGGATTTGCGGTCCGCCTTCGAGAAGAGCTCGATGGCAATAGAGGAGGTGAACGGTGGCCATTTGCCGTCGGGGGCGCCCAGACTGTGCAGGATCGCGGCGAGAGTGGTATCGTGGCATCCGCTCATCGCGAATTTGATCGCCTTGCCGGCTTCAGGGGACGATCCGGAGGCTGAGGTTTCGCTGCGCCAGGCGCCGTCGACGGCTGTGCTGACCATGCGGTCGACTACGTCGCCTAATAGGGCTCCGATTCCGAGTCGTCGGTATTCGGCGCTTTCATCGTACCCGGTAAACCATTCGTCGACGGCGATTTGTTCCATGTATTGTCGGGATTTTTTGTCGTAGAATTCAGAGGGGAGACGAGTTGCGGGACCGTGGGCATCGGTTGCGTTGACGGTGTCGTTGATTCCGGAGAGACGGGGGTGGGAGTCGACGGCAACCTTGGGAGAGTTCTCTGGCATCCACTTGGATAGGACGCTGTTGATGTAGCCCATTTGTTCGGAGTCGTTCCCTACACGGATATACTAATCAGTTCATAGTGTTTTTCCTGTTCTCGGATATGCCCATCCAACGTACACCGTACAGCGGCCTTATCAGCAAATAATCTTGCGAGTTGTCTAAACCGACGGCAATTGCCTTCGTTCGGGAATAGCGTTTCCTCAGACACTGAGCGCGCCACAATCACCGGGGGAGGGAAATCTTGGGTACGGGCACTGGCTGGGTACATGCCCCAGAAAGCCTGTTGCAAAGACTCGAGGGCTCGTGGGATGGGCGTGGCTCGGAGGTACATGTCCTCGGTGTCAGATTTGACCTTGGGCATGAACCCAAGCTGATCGACGTAGAGATGTCTCAGGCGCTGACCGAGGGCAAAGGTTGTTTGCCGTCCCCTGTCTGTTAATTCGCCGTGCTGACTGTTGTTGGGAGCTCTTCGTTAGCAACATCCTTCGTCGAATATATAGTATTCCGTCATTCGACTTGCCAGATGCCCTCGATATCCCCTGTAGCGCCCACGGCAACCACCGCCTCATCTCTATCACCAAATGCCTCCGTCTTTTTCCGCCATTCGAAGCCCTTCCATTGTGAGAGATCCTTATCACTAGCGGCCATCTGAATCATCCGACGTGCAACATTGCAGTACGGCCAGTCTTTGCAGGTAAATGCAGGTCAGTCTGGGAGGATATGAAAATAACTAGGCATGCTTGAGGGATATTTACATTCAGCTAGGCCTGCCTTCATGGGTTTAGCTGTCATATCACATCATCAGTTCGAGGAATGTGGTTAGTTCTCATACATTTTGAAATCGAGAGGACACCGGCGTCCGTTCACCTGAAGCAGTAATTAGCGAGCTTTCCAGGCACCTTGGTCATCCGAACCGCCTCACCATGACGGAGAAACTATGCAGGGGGTTAGATTTTTTAAGTTCAATTGTAATTCTAAGCCAGTTGTCTTGACTTCGCACGTACCACCTGGACCAATTGAAGCTTTAAGTCCCGCGGATAGAGCTTCTCGAGCTCTTCCTGGGAGTAAGGTTCGCGGGGATTTAGGGATGTCATTGGGAAATTGATCGGCTGCTAGGTGTGCAGGCAAGGGCATAGTTTAGAGGAAATGTAGGACAAGCTAGAAACGCCGACTCTCTCATTGATGACGCCAGAAGGCGGTGGGCGGTAACCTCCGGCCAATCAAGGCCTGGGCCGCGGTCACCTGCGGTCAACGAGCTCAAGTGATGAAGAGGAACCCTAGAATAATAACTACGTGCCAGAGTTGATAAGATCCAGTTCTGTCAGCTCTATTGATATACTCAATCTCTTCAGTTATTGGACTTCCACTTGATTCATGTTCACCCTTATTCCTTCTTGAACCAGGATCGATAAGTACTTCTACCCCGTTCATTAGCCAACCTTTCATACAATGCAGCTTTTCTTGCAGTAGGCTGAGTTGGGGCCAAATCCGGAATTTTAGTTATCCCCGGTCACGAAATACCATTTTCATTGTAAAATATAGTTTTATTGGTAGCTGAGGGTGTTAGATCTATGTTCCAAAGGGTATAGTATAGTAGGAGCAATATATATTGGGTGATAGTCTCCACTCAAACTTCACTGATCATCATGTCATTCTGCAGGCCGTACGCCACTTGCTTTGAATAAAATTCATGAAGCATATACCGTTCTTAGACGATCTGCATCTCGTAAATCTACTTGACATAACTAACTTATCTAGTCTCTATATACCCGCTAGAAGGTACTACACTACAATATGGGTGGGAGGAAGAAGGGAAAGGGATAACACAAAGGCGGAAAGATCCATTGACCAATCGTGCCAAGACATCGGACTTCTTGGTCTTATCACAACCGCCAGCAGCATCTTCCCCCAACCTCTCCATCTTTTGAGTACTTTCGCTCTTGACATAGATGAAACCCTCCAAGATAGGAAGCTAGTGATACCTATAACTGAGTTTGCTGTCAGTCTGCGGCATTTATTCAGAAGCATCCGGCCAGTCTTAAAGACCCCACATCGGCAGGAGTTTCCGCAACTCCCCTCCCCCTTGTTCTGCCAATCAAACTAAGTAGTATACGCCTATGTATGCTCTGCGCTTTTACGCCTTGATTTGAGCTGGATTGAACTATTGTCAATCATGAGTGTCAGGCTCTAGTGAATAGCAGACCTCTCGCATTGGCCCTGTGCTGCAGCCCATACCAACAGTTCTTCTAACTAACCTGTCTGGAAATCAATGATTCCCTTGGTTTTCCCCGATTAGTGCACAATCTTGTACAAGTGAATGGTTTTGTTTCTGGGGGTTAAAGCGTAGCATTACCCTGGCAGTAGCTGGTCAATTCACTGTGGATCTTAAAACAACCGCATAGTAAGTTTCTTGTATATAATTGCCTTCCTCCTCGCATGCTAATGAGCTTGAATTTACCCAGGAATTACTACCTTACCTTCGTTTTTGATCAGTACTAAACAAAAGAGTTGAATATATGGAGGTAAGGGATACAGTATTCCCCAGTTTATCATGCCTTGAATTCTTCTTTCGTGTACCTTGCACTCAACTCAACAAATGTGTTACTGTCCCTAACATCTCATGTACCATCTCCTATAAATATTTTTCGGCGCCGCTCATTCCATACAAAAGAACTATGAATCCACGACCGATGCGCTCGGAATTGCTAACAACTTCTTGTTTAGCCAGCAGGACATTCTGCGCAGGCGAAGCCGCGCCAGGAGGTTTCAACTAAACCTCAAGATGCCAAACCCCGTCTGCTACTGATGGGTCTCCGACGGTAAGCTCCCATCGCCTCGCGTTTGAAGAATATGCTAACAATTACCAGGAGCGGAAAATCCTCAATTGCTAGTGTTGTCTTCCATAAAATGCCTCCAAACGAGACACTCTTCCTGGAGTCAACTACTCGCATTCAGAAAGATTCCATCCAGTTGGTCTACTCCTCTTCTCTTGAAAAAATAGCCATACTGATAATGCGTCACAGCTCATTCATGGACTTCCAGGTTTGGGATTTTCCTGGACAGCTGGAGTATCTGGAACCGTCTTTCGACCTCGAAGATATCTTCGGCAGCCTTGGCGCACTTGTCTGGGTGATTGACGCGCAAGATGACTACCTGGACTCGGTCGCGCGGCTGAACCGTACCATCCTGACCGTCCAGCAGTATTACCCTAACATCAACATCGAAGTCTTCATCCACAAGGTTGACGGTCTTTCGGAAGAGTACCGCACCGATACCTTCCAGGATATCGTGCAGCTCATTTCGGATGAGCTTAGCGATGCGGGCTATGAGAATGCCCCCGTTCATTATTATCTCACGTCCATTTACGATTACTCGGTTTTCGAGGCGTTCAGCAAGGTGATCCAGAAGCTGATCCCGAACCTGTCGACCCTGGAGAACCTGATCAACACACTCGGCAACAACTGCGGATTTGAGAAGACCTATCTATTCGATGTTCTCAGCAAGATTTACATTGCTTCCGATACGCGCCCTGTCGACATGTCTTGCTACGAAATGTGCTCAGACTATATCGATGTGATTGTGGACATCTCGGAGCTATACTCATGGGATCACCCTGACCGCAAGCCCAAGGGAGAGCAAAACCAAGAGGCGGAGAGCCATGTGGTCCTGCACGACGAGACTATGATTCACCTGATGGAAATGAACAAGTTCGTCTTATCTTCGCTCTCTGTATATTTCGACAAAATGCGCTGACCTTTGCTAGATACCTTTGTCTCGTATCTGTGATTCGAAATCCCGAGGCCAAGGAGAAGAAGGGCTTGATTGATATGAACTGCCGTACCTTCCAAGAGGCCCTTAATGATGTCTTTTCTCGCAGCTGGGAACAGGAGCAAGAGGGATCTGAACAGGGGCCGGTACAGGGACAGGTGACGGAACATGGGGAGCCGAGTCCGAATGCCTGATATTGAATTTGTTGCCGCTGCAGCGCTGGAATATCCACTGAATCGTAGTTCACTATCTGCCCGCTTTGGCACTCTGAGAAGCAGATTTTAGTACAATACCAATCTTTTGTGTCAGTAAAGGACCGAGATGCTTCATTCCTCCCGGGATCTCTTTTAAATGAAATCAGTTACTTTCTCAGAACCAGGAATATCCAGCCTGATCTTGTGGAGGTCTGATATACTCCGTGAGATAAATTATTCCTATTTTTTCCCCTTTACTGGGTGTTCGATGGAATGTTGCCATATATTCAAGGCACAAAGGCACCAAAAGCGGGTCGCCTAGTACTAGCGCTTTTTTTCCTTTCCTTTTTTTTCCTTGCAGGATAAAAAGCAGCTCTTCAATCTTTTTTCCTTTTCCTCCCTCGACTCAACAATTCAACCATACAACTTTATGTCTCATGAGTTGACCCCAGTGACTACTCAGTCAAGCATAATGAAGCTTGAAAGCAATTTACTAATCACTAAAGCTAACTCGCCAACCTCCCATCTTCACTAATATCATGGTAAGTCAAAGCAGCATTTTTCTTTCTATCTTCACAGCACAACTCCCCATTCTCGATGATGAAAATTTTTCCCACATTCGCAGTTTCCACGCTAGCCGTCGCTAGAACCCAATCTAGACGGCACTGTGCGCATTACTTCCTTGGATGTCTGAGAGATATCTCCAATCTTGGTCTTTTTGTATCCTTTTGCACGTTAGAAGACTGGCTAACATGCACCCAGTAATGATCTAGGTCCTTTTTCAACGGATATATGGGATATATGACTATGGAAGCTCAGTCTGGCAGTCGGTCTTGCACTTGAATACTTCGTGATTGATCTCAGGGCATGGTCTGCATCAGATATAGTAGCTAGAAATTCAACAAGATGAAAAAATTTGTTTGATACCGTGCACCATCTCCCATATCAACCAACAAACACGTATTTCTACCAATAGGAAACCCAGCAATTAACACCACCTGATTAGAAAGCTCAGCTCCAAGCTCTACCTACTAGTAATCCCATCACAAACCCAACTTTAAATCCTTCCAAGCAGTCATCTACTTCCAACGTCCCAACCCAAAACCAGATAGATGAAAATAAAAGAACACTACAGAAAGGTGTCACGTTGTCATCTCACCACCCGAAACACAAGCGGAGAACCAACGGAAATTAAACCCTCCGTCCGCTCTCCAACCTACACTCACTATAAGAATGAAGTAAAAATACTTCCCAAATTCCAACCCCGTGAAGCAATATCTATATTTAGCTACCAACCTCATCCAAGACCATGTCGTCCCTCCGTCAGCGACAACAACAACAACAGCCCACCAAAGAACCATCCACCCCCCAACCCCGATCAACCGCCCCAGTGAAGCCGTCCAACCGCAATGCCAAAACCGGCCCCAGCATCCTAGACATCATCCGCGTGCTGGTTACCCTCGTCGTCGCATCATGCGGCCTATCCTACTACATGACGTCGTCCGAGTCCGTCCTCTGGGGCTATAGACCCTGGTTCACCAGATGGCCCGTCTTAATCCGGTACCTGGTACGCTCTGTCTACGTGTCCTCCCTCATCATATGGATCTCGTTATGAAAGTTATGAACGAAAACGAAAGGAAACTAATAGAATCTGAAATAGCAAGGACCCCTAACCCTCACGCCCCAGCAGCTATCCCTCTACAACGGCACGGACACCTCCCTGCCAATCTACCTATCCATTAACGGTTCTGTCTTCGATGTATCCGCCAACCCGCTCGTGTACGGACCGGGCGGACACTACAATTTCTTCACGGGGAAGGACGCCACGCGGGCGTTTGTGACGGGGTGTTTCCAGGAGGACCAGACACACGATCTGCGGGGCGTGGAGGAGATGTTCATGCCGATTGACGAGGAGGCGGAGCTGAAGGCGTTGAGCAGTGGGGAGAAGAAGATTCGGCGAGAGCAGGATCGGAGGTTGGCGAGGGCGAGTGTGCAGAAGCAGGTGGCGCATTGGGAGAATTTCTTCCGGCATCATAAGAAGTATTTTGAGGTGGGGAGGGTGGTCGGGTTGGAGGTTCCCGAGAAAGAGAGGGAGCTTTGTCAGAGTGCGAGGCAGCAGAGGCCGAAGAGGAGTAGTTTGAATAAGAGGAATTAATTGGGTGATTGTATGTACGTGTATAGTATGGATGGGCTTTGTAACTTTTTTTTTTTTTTTGGTTGCGGCGGGTCTTATCGTTGGGCTACGTATTTGCTGGGATTATGTTCTCTGCTCTTATCTGTCGTGGTCCTTACGTCTGTTCCCTGCGGGGAAGGTATTGAGTCGTGGGTGTGTATATGGGCTTTACTTGATACGTTCAACAGCGTGGATGATATGACTTCACTCCGAAATTGATTGATTCATTGAACCACTATACATCATTTGCCCAGCCAAGCTTCCGAATTTGAGAGATATCATTCGTAAAATGGAAAAGGTCCGCGAGAAAAGACTAGTGAGGAAACGTTTACTCAGCGGTAACGGCACGGGCTAAATCACCGGTTAGTACACGATGGTCGATATTCAGCGGTGCGTGGGCGAGTTAAAGACGTACTGTAGATGTTCAACTTGGAGTGGCCGACAACCTTCTTGATCTGGCCCTTCTCCTCGAGGTCAGCAAGAGCCTTGCGGGCCAAGCTGCCGTTGATCTTAAGACGATCGACGAGGGTGGCGACGGTGATGAGACGGTAAGACTGGACGTCCTTGTTGAGACGCTCAGCAACCTGCTTCTCGAGGACAACGGCGTGCTGGGCCTTGTCCTTGACTATTGCAGAGAAAAACCACGTCAGTTATTATTGTTCCACTAGCCGGCGTTTTCTAATAGTCGTTCATGTCCAAAAAATCTCCTCTGCCCACACAAAACTCGCTTGGCATCTTGCTCGGAAAAAGGATCGTTCGAGGGATGGAAGATGGGAGATGGTGAATTGCATACCCTTGCCCTTGGACCACTTCTTGCGTGCGGGAGCCTATAGATAAATTATTAGTATAATCTGGACGTCCTGCTGTTCGTCTCAGTGTGCGGTATGAACTCACCATCTTGACTGTCTGATCTGGTTGTTCGACGACGGATGGAGAGCGCGACTATCAACGGCCGGAAGTCAGAGTCCAAGTGCGAAATTCGAGTGGGGAGACCTTGGCCATCACGTGAATAAAACCCTAAGCCCTTGTTTGCTCGGTTAGCAGAGTCGCATGAAAGCATCCGTGATTGGCCGCCGGTATCTATATGAATGCCTCAGGCATTATTGGTAAACTTATACATGTTCCTGATGGCATACTACAACTAGTATCGTCATATCATAGTCGATCCAAGTATAACTGTTTCCAATATATTGGGGAATAATATTGCATTAATCATAAGTGTTCCTTTAGCTACCGGCTCATCCCACTCCCAGTAGAAGCTTTACTCTTAATGGTATTGAGTACTTGGAACTGCGATGTGCCATCTTCACCTTCGATATGACCAAGGGTGTAGTCCTCAGTTGTTCCAAACCAGAACTTTGCATTGTCTCCCTGGTTTGAAGGTAGCCACCTGGCATCATATCGCCCGGTATCGCTTCGTGAAGTAGGGATACGAATGATTGACGGTTGACCGTCAGGAGTCCAGGATCGAACAGCAGCAAGAGCACTGTTGGCAGTGACTATAAGTAACTGTGTTTCCGAGGGATGCCACACAGCCTGTCTGACTGAATGCTCATGCACTAGGGCGGACACAAGCACAGCAGCTGACTCCAGGTTCCATATCCATACAATGTTTGGCCGTGTTTGGTCTACTGTGGCCAGGAGGCTTCCATGGAAGCTAAATGCCATGATTGATACGCCCCGCGGGGGACCAGATGATTCCGCGGTGATGCTAAAGGCAGAAGAGCTTGACGATTCGGCGTATTCAAGGGTACCGTCTGCAGTTGCGTAGCGCTCACGCCAAATACTGGGCGAGTTGTCGTCAATTTGGAAGACGTGAGATAACGTGGTCGAACATGAGAACTAGACCCGTCAGTTATTGAGCTGGCCAAATGAATGAGAATATCAATGTGGAGTGGAAAAGACTTACTGTCCTGCATCGTAGAATATCAACAGTTCCATCGACCTTCCCGATGGCGAGGTATTCCGAGACACCACTGTCGTTTACAACGGGACTCCATTCTATACCTCGAACTCCAAGGTCAAAGGAATCATCAAATCCTGGCGGACCAATATACGTCCTAAAAGGCTGGCCGTCGGCAGTAAATACAAGGACCTTGGTACCCGCGCTGGCAACGTCCCAGACGGCTATCCATCGCCCGTCAGGACTCCATTTCAAGCCCTGAGCATCTACGGTTGGTAACACCGCACGATTTATCAGCTCGTACGAGCGGAATCCATGAATAGTCAATAAATCGACCGTATCAGGCTTCAGCAGAACTGCGAACTGTCCTGTCTTCGGTCGGTATCCAAAGCCATTATTATGAGCAAATTTTGGAGACTTGATCACCTGGCTGCGGCCAGTATCCAGGGCGTACACAGTTAGCTTCGTATTCCAGGCATGGAAGACAATGACTTCGTTTTCATCGCTACCGAAATCGACGTTCAAAGCACCAGGCTCTACGCTCTCAATTTCCGCATGTAATTGCAGCGGGAGCAGTTGCCATACCAGAATGCGTGAATCACTTGCATGGAGCACACGTCTGCCTGGTGGGGTTTCCTTTCTGGCTGCATAAGTATCTGGCGATATAGTGTAACTTGCTCGTGAGAACTTTAAGAATTTTGACGAGCTTTCTTTGACTTTGACAATCTCCACATCCTGGAACCCCGAAGATGTGGGATTTAGGTGAAGGATCAGATCTTTTCCGCTTGTCTGGGCGGCATATTCCCCATGCTCGGACAAAGATATGGATGGCGATACTGGATATCGATCAGTCTTGTTTTATTTTATTTGGCCGGGTGCAAGTAAACATACCCCCTGCTCCGGTGGAGTCCATTGTTTAATTTGACTCGGGCGAGGCGCTAGTAGTTCAGTGACGGTCGTTAGAACAGTGGTGGTAATTGTCAACAGTGCCAATGCTTCTAACGGTGTGCATGATATCTGATAGTGCACATTATTATCCTAACACTCCGAAGAGCATCCCAGAGAATTGCAGTTCTTGTAGGTCTCCATTCATTGGGCATGATACACTAATAGTTTCCACTTTTGGACGCCAAGCCAGGCCTTTGGATTACATAATCATATCAACAAACTTGGCTTAGGCGCTCTATTTCTTCTATTGGTCTCGGACAACCTGAGATGCTTGCTTTGTTTTCAATTGCTTAGCACTAAATTATCTGCTGTACAACAGCTTTGGCTCGCATACTGCATTGATACTCACGTGTATGCACCAGTTGCTGCTGGATAAGATAAGGCGGAACACAATTGTTCCGGTCCGAGATAAATCAGCCATCGAAAAAAAGTTGCCCGCATGGCGAATAATCCGGGGAATAATTTCTAGCTAAATAGCACCCTCACCGTCCCTCGTTAACTCTCGCTCCGCAACCATAGGGTTCTTGCGCTTTCTTGCCCCGTGGTTGGGGAGACAGATTCCTAAATCACGGCATTCAAACCTCCTCAAGATGACGATTTCCGAGACACAACCCGTTTCGCAAAGCAACGGCGAGGCGCAAAATGCGCCTGCCCACGCAACTACACAACCGAGGAAGAAGCTGCAGGGTAGGGAGTTATACAAGAGCATAGGGAGTCCTAAGTATATTGTGGCTCCTATGGTGGATCGGTCTGAATTTGTAATTCCTACCACATTCTGTTCCGCAGTGTTTCTTGATCTAACAGTTGATTCCAGGCCTGGCGCATGCTTACTCGCTCGTTCATGCCTCGCGATGACCCCAGGCCACTGCTTGCATATTCGCCCATGTTCCACGCGCGCTTGTTTCGTGAGCAGGCCGGCATGCGCCTGCAACATTTCCAGCCCACCCGCGCTGCTATCAAAGGCGATGATACCCCCTATCTTGACGGAAACCCTTCAATAGACCGGCCTCTTTTTGTGCAATTCTGCGCGAACGACCCGGATGATTTCTTGGAAGCTGCGCGCCACGTAGCGCCATACTGTGACGCTGTAGATTTGAATCTTGGGTGTCCTCAAGGGATTGCGAGACGAGGTCACTACGGGGCTTTCCTTCAGGAGGATTGGGATCTGATCTATAAACTGATTAACAAATTACACAACGAATTGGATGTCCCCATTACCGCCAAATTTCGCATACAGGAGTCGAAAGAGAAGACCTTGGAATACGCAAAGATGATCCTATCCGCTGGGGCAAGCATAATCACCCTCCATGGACGCACGAGAGAGCAGAAAGGTCACAATACGGGTATGGCGGATTGGAGTTATATTCGTTACCTTCGTGACAATCTGCCCCCGGACACGGTTATATTCGCCAATGGCAACATCCTGAACTATGATGACCTGGAACGTTGTCTTGAAGCGACAGGTGCTGATGGCGTGATGAGCGCTGAAGGAAACCTGTCGGACCCAGCCGTGTTCAGCATTCCTCCCGCTGTGGGAAGTGAAGGTAGGGAATACTGGCGTGGCCGGGATGGAAAGGGTGGATACCGAATTGACGCCATCTTCCGGCGGTATCTGGATATTATCTACAAATATGTCCTTGAGCAACCTGTACCGGACAGGAAACCCCTTTATCTGCCGTCAGACCCTGACGAGCCGGAAACAACGAAAACAACGATAGAACCCGCCGCAGAGGAGGCCGAGGAAGACGGGCCACCAAAAAAGAAACAAAAGCGTGACAAGTCGAAAAGACCCAATTCGCCCAGTCTTGGGGTGATGCAGGGGCACCTTTTCCAACTACTTCGCCCGATGGTTGCGAAACATACCAATGTTCGGGACGCACTTGCACGGTCAAGGCCAGGCGACATGGCTGCGTTCGAGCATACCCTGGCTCTCACCGAAAAGGCAATTAAAGAAGGCCTTAAGGAATACGAGCAATTCCCGGAACGCTTTGAGACAGCTCCTAACCAAGAGCTCACAGGCTCCAAGGCGACGATTGCCGAGTATGGCAGGCCGTGGTGGGTCTGCCAACCACACATTCGGCCCCTGCCTGAGGAAGCCTTAGAGAACGGAGCCCTCACAGAGAAGAAAAAGAACACGAAACAAGACAAGACCAAGACCGAAGCACCCGCAGAGAAAGCCATTACCCCTGCTGAAGGGGCTAGCGCTCCCGAAAGCTCGACCAATCCGTCAGCTGCAGCAACACCGGACGCCTTGGTAAGCGGTTAAAGCGAACGTCTCGACACAGCATCCCCATTCAATACAGTTAAAGCGCACCGACTATAGACATCCTACCTACCTACCACAGAAGCCCACAATACCCACGACAGTTACGGTATATAGAGTTCTAGACATTTATGCATAGCATTCTGAGTTCAAATATCAACTCCAAGAAACCACATACCATCATGGTCTCTTGTCCAGCCTGGTATCTCAGTAGAAACAAAGCCAAAAAAAATAATAAATAAATAAAAATAAAAATAAAAAATAAAAAGAAACCTCCAACTCCAAACCCCAAATCCAAAACCCAACCCTAAAAATCCAAAACCAATTGCGGCGCCATCTTCTCAAGATCCTCAACCTATAAACCCAATCCCACATTAGCAAACCAAACCCCTTCTAAAAAGCCGCCGAAAGAAAAAGGTGAGAAAACAAGAAAGAAAGAACAAACCTCAAGAAATCCATCCCCAACCCCCCTCTCAACCCCCGCATTCCCCTCCGCCCTCTCGAACGCCGCCCTCGCCAACGCCTCCCTCACAAAAACATCCACATACTTCGCCACAACCCCATTTGCATCCTTCGCTAGCTTCGTCTTCTCATTCTTGAAATGATGATGTACCAATTTCGTCAGCAGCTTCGGTGGAATAGCCGGGTCGCTGGAGAGAACGTCGGGTTCGTGAGCCCGCGCGTTGGTGATCTCCGCGAGGATGTACTCTGGTTCTTCGGAGGGGGAGCGCGAGCGACTATCAGATTCGGAGCCGGAGCCGGAGCCGGAGTCGGAGTTTGACGCTGAGGTTGAAGCTGAAGCTGGGGCGGGGGGTTCCGAGCGGCGTGTTTTGGATGAGGAAGCTTTTGCGGGGGCTTTGGCTTTGGTTTTGCCTTTCGCGTTCGGTTTGGATGCTGTTGAGGGGCCGGCTGTGGCGGATTGTTGGCGGCTAGGGGGTTTGAAGGGGAGTTGGCGGCGTTTCGGGGCGGGCTGGCGGTCTGGGGGCATGGTTGTTTCTGGTCTCTGGCTTCTTACGTGGGTTTGGTTGTGGGATAGATAGAGTAGATGGTTGTTATCGTACATTTAGTGTTGGAGATGCGACGACGCGCTTCATGACGCGAAGTCAGGTGATTTGGTCAATACTTTATTGCGCAATTGGGTATTATATTGTTTAGATTGATCTCTAGGATAGCATGCATTTTCTTAAGTCACTCGGAATAATTTCCCCAAAAATTGGTTGTTTTGACAGGGACTAGATATAAAATGCTTTGTAGTGCATGTTCTCACTATCACTCATCTTCACCCTTCGGCCGTACAACAGTAACATCCAACCCCGCCTCTTCCAAAACCGCCCTCGAAAGCGCCCACTTCACGCCAAACAGCCCCGAATTAAACCGACACGACCAGAGCTCCCCAATCTCCGTCTCTTCAGCCCGCAACTCATCAATCTGTCTCACCATATCCGCGACAGCAAGCTCCGTATTCTGGATAATGACATCAGCCGTACTGACTCTTCTTCCATAATTCCGTGATGTAAACAAGCAGATGATCCAGTGCTTCTTATCTCCGTCTTTGTGGTCTTTCTCCTGAGGCGGGATAATGAGAGCTGTCCCCTCCGGTAGTCGAAGATTTCTGGTAGGTTGAGAATTGTCCGGTTCATCTGATGGAGTCGAAGTCACTCTGTACGCTGGATTAGATTTATACTTTTGACAATGTGTGCGGTAGATTCCGTATGCGGCCGGATACTGTGTCTGTCAGTGGTTGATTGAACAACGGTATAAGGGGTGATATACTACTACCTTCTGCGTGAAAGCTCTTGCGATCCCGTTGCCCCAAGACCCAAGGCAGTTACAGGCGTCTGAGTGAGGCGAAAAGTTAGCTGTCGAGTTATGATACGGCTTAGATCACATACGGATTAAAGCTGCCCTATCTGGTGCGTCGAAGAGATTTCCTTGTACCTCTCTTATGTGAGCCATTGTGAGAATATTGGCGGCCTATTGTGTCGAGATTTCTCAAGTATGTGCCTTTGGTGCAAAACAAAACAAAACAAATGAGTCAGGAGAGTGGTTGCCTCGCGTAGCTCGTATTTTATTCACTACGGAATTTAATTCGGAAAGTTGGGGTGCTAGACCAGGAGTAGTGGAGTTACATGTTAAGCTATCTTAAACTGATGCCGAATTCAAACAAATAAGTCCCTGCCGTATGGGTTTGAGCCAGCCGAATCACTTAAAAGAAAAGACATCAAGCTTTCACTTAGCTATACCATACAAGGGAGACGTAAGAGGGGAATGAGAGGGAAATAAGAAAATGAATGAGAAAAGGCCCTTCGCTACTACTTCTCAGCGTGAGGCTCCATGAGGATGACTCACACGGTGGGAAAGGAAGTGTCGCAGGCTCTTATATTTCTTAGCGTTGCTTTGGCTAGACCCTTCTCCCATTTGAGAGCCATCATCAGTCGGAGTGCCCTTTCCTCTTGCTGATGTTGACGGTCGGATGTTCGCTTCGGGGTTCCATGAAGAAGTTGTTGCTTCAGAAAGAGCTGCGCTTTGGGCGCTGTTCGATTTCAGCCTTCTACTCAAGGATCGCGAGATGCTTCTGAGGATACCAGAGTCATCATTCTCGCTCCGCTGATCATAGCGCGTGGTTTGGCTCGCGTAGGTCACGCCGTCTGTCGCAAAGTTCTCTTCAGGAACCGGAAGGTATAGGACCACGCCTCGATTGGACTCGATCTGTAAAAGGTCCCTAAGAGCTGACTGGATCATAATGGTGCAGCGAAGGTTGATAATGGTGGCTATGAGACATGGAACAGCGTAAACTTTCAACACGTATGCAGGATCCTTCGAGATACCAAAGTGAATACATGCATTTTGTTGCACAGTGACCATCATAGAACCTTCGGGCTTCTGATAGGCCTGCGCCAGGCGAGAAGCGATCATTGAAGCAAGTGGCTCGTCGTCTAGAACCTAGCCATACTGTTAACTTCCAGAAGCCACCAAGCCCCAAATAGGACGTAGTACATGCATACCATATTGCTTATTTTAATCTCGGCCACGATAACGGAGTCTAGGGCAACTCGATCCCTGGGATCTCGGCGGCGAGTGCCAAATGTGTCTTCATAGTACTGAAGCTTCGTCTGACGCATTGGTTCCTCTCCGACGCTTTTGCGGACCACCTCGAGGGACGCTGGATCTGGAGATGAGCGGCGAGTCAAGTTCGGAGCCACCGAGTCATCTTCATCCGTTTCCTCCATGAACATGGGAGGTCTAGGGGGTAGTTTATCGAGCTTGCTTCGTTGTGCCATTGTGGCCTCCGAAAAAGCTCCAGCCGACATGGCCCGGAATGTCACAGGTGATTCAAGGATGGGAACTGTCGGGGAAAGGCTCGTAGAGGATGCTGCCGAGGGGTTATGCCGTCGTCTCAGGAGAGATAGATCCAATTTATGGTGCCCTGGGGTCATTTTTCTTGGAGTCTTATCCAAAGAAGTCGACGCCTTCAGGTTGGAGCTATCGTCCTTCAGCTGTAGCCAAATGAGCGGTATGAGGAGAGAGGAGGAAGGCTAAAAAGGCAGCGAGTCGCAAAAGTCGCTCCTTCTCCTGCCCTGGTTTGTGCTCTTCATAGCAACAGGAAGGCGCTACTTTCCATCCAGGGGGTGAGGTGTGCTCCTGCTGTGAACACAATCCGTGGAACTCAGTACTACTACTGCAGTTAGCAGGACTCTCACTTGCACTCCGTCTTCCAGTGAACACTTCCATGATATTTGAAACTAAGCCAACCACTCGAGACAACCAGGAACAGAGTAGGAAAATAGTGTCTGTTCGAATGATCCAGTATGATTGGAAATGAGTGGTCTAACGATAATATGACTCTTGATCTAAAAGGGTTCGAAGGGAAAGAAAGAGCTGCAATCTTTTTGGCCGTTGGAAATATCTACTTATCATTGTGGTGATGGCGCCATATATATAATATATATATTTCGCAATATGTCTCTCCTTGGGTAGGTATTTCGGCCCATACCACAGAGTATAGGACAATTTAAGTGATTCTAGAATTTAAGCTGTAATTATTAATACAGCTTGAACTGGTCTAAGGACTAATGTTATGATAATAAATGGTGAGTACGGCGGAAAGTTTTCTATGTTGCGGTCTTGGCAGGCGGATATCTTCTCTCTTCTCTCTTCTCTTCGCGATTTGAGGACCTCTAGAGCTCCCAACGCGTTCCTCAAGGAAGCGGAATCCCCCACCCGCACTTCGCGTTTCACTGAACGATGCATGATTCTAGTCAAAGAATCCTATCAAGATGAACGACGCGACAACATCTATGCTCGCAGAGCATTTCAGTTATACACCGCTGGTCAGTATACTTGTAGACGTCTTGCCTCAAGAGATGCGCGCTTCCCGTACCCCTCATATACCCACCCCTTTTTTCTGTCAAGATACCCAAGGCTAATCAATTAATTGTAGTCCCTGGTAGATGACGTTATCAACTCGATCAACAATCTGATATATCAAGCTATTTCAAGTCTTGAAGCCGGTCTACTCTCCACCCCTCCCGAACGGTTGGGCTTTTCGCACGCTAGCAACGGTTCAACCATCCCAGACACTGACGAGGATGGGAACGTCGTTTACCCCGAGGCAAAGTTAGAAATAGAGAATGGACTGCACCAGTTGGAAACACTCCTTGAGTCGACAGTCGACAAAGCCTTTGATAAGTTTGAAATTATTGTCTTGCGAAACTCGTTTCGCGTGGATGATGATTTGCTAGGATGGATCAGGCTGAAGCATTATGAGGTATGCGACGAGCTTTAGTTACTATGCTCCTGTTCACGAACTGACATTATATTTTCTGCCGCAGGGACTGGACCTAAATCCAGCTTCGAACACCCCTACTCCAGAGACAATTACTGCTTTGCGCAAAAAGCTACAAGAAACCAAGAAGTTGAACCGAGCGTTGAAACAAGAGAGCGCCCGAAACGACGCGATCATATCCCAGTTACGGTCTGTTTTGTCCACCGTCAAAGGGACCGACGGCGCGACAGGTGCGAAACAGGAGGGCGATGCCGAAGCGCCGGCGCTTCCTGCGAACAAAGACCTGGATCTATCGTTCTTAACGGAAAGCCCAGCGGCCCAGCAACTACGAGTGGGCGCTGCTACTGGACCAAACACAAAACATACCCCGCTTACCACAAATACGACTTTTATATTATCTCAGCTCCCTGCGCTACAAGCGTTGCTTAAGAATCTCCGGCCTAAACTGGCGACTCTACCAAAATCGGCGGATATGACGGGGGCGGATACTAAACTCGACGAGAGAAAAGAATATATCGAGAGCAGGATCCGTTTGCATTTGGAGCGGACCGGACAGCTTGGGGTGGGCAGTGATGGCAATCCCGTCGTCGCCGGACGAAAGATCGATATCTCCGAAGCGCAGGCGCTGGAGGCGGTCGCGGGAATGCTTACGCAAGGCGACAAGATGTCAGAATAAGAAAGATCATGAACGGGAATTGGACGGCGTGGTTCATTCGCCATTGGCTATCGTGAAAGGAATCTATTCTCGGCATGAAGGTCAAATTGGGCCTAGGCGGACCAGGATACGCTCCATGTCTGCTGGTTCCGTCTGAATGGGACCACGTCCACGTTGGCTGACTGCAAGATGTTTACGATCTTTTCGTCTTTCTTTTCGAGGGTGATGAACTCCTTTTGCTCCTCGTCGATGCCGTAAAATGCGCGGCCAAATTTGCTCATGAAGCCTTCGACTATCTCCGGAGTGATGTCTTCCTCCTTCAGAATGCCCCTTTCACAGGCTTGCTCGAAGGAGTCGAGCACGACCTGGGTTGTGTATGGCTGAGTGAAGACACCGGCAGCGATCTTGTCTCCTCCCCTTTTGGAAGCCGCGGGGTGAGGGGCGCTGTCGGAGCCGAAGAAGAACTTGGGATTGCCCGACGCCGCGGTCCGCAAGAGGGCGTCACGATCCGCTGGCGTTTTAGCGACAGGCTTGCAGAAACAGAATGGGTCACCAGCCCAGCTGTCGATGATAATCGAAAGATGATGTGCGGTAATGCTTTTGGTCCCTAACCGTCAGTCCAGACTAATAGCAAAGTGTAACCGGGAGACAAACGTTGCTGCCACTGTGGGGCCACATTTCTTCACGGCTTCTACAGCGGCTGCTGTAGTACAATGCTCCAAGATAATACGCAGCTTCGGGAAGCGCTCGTGCAACTGCAGCAAGGTGGGCAGGAAGCGCTCCTCCGCTGAGAGAACGGTTACGTCGCCTGTCGAGGGGACCTCTCCGTGAAGGTTCAGGATCATGTCCTGACGCTCCATCTCTTCAAAGACTGGGTAAAATTGGGTATAATCCACCACACCGGAAGAAGAGTTGGTGGTGACGCCGGCTGGATAGCTCTTGACGCCGGTGATGCCGCGCTTCTTGGCCTCGATGATGGTTTCCGGGGTCACGGTCTCGTGGAGGTACAGCGACATCAGGAAGTTCACATTGGGCTCAATGGCTTGTAGGCGCTTCTTGTAATCGAGTGCGCGGTCGACAGTGGTCACTGGCGGGACAAGGTTTGGCTAAATAGTGATTCCAGTCCCATAAGTAACAACACATGAAACAAGGTCCATTGAAATCAATCAACTCCTTACCATGACAAAAACTGTATTCACGCCCCCTTGTCTGATAGTAGGCGTAACCAGTTCCATCATCTCACCATCCCGAAGGTGAACTATAAGTCCCATCTGATCAATCACTTTTCTGCAATTGTAGAGTACATGAACGTCAACGCACCATGGAAGTCGGCCGACGCGGGGAGCTTAACTCCCTGTAACTTGGACAAAGGCATAATGAGAGTCTGATATGCGTTCTTTAGGATCCCAATTCAGGGTTGTCGGTTCAAACAGCTAGCGGCGAAGGAACGGAATGTTGCCCGGCTCAAGCTGGCAGACGAATAGCTTTAGATGTAGATATCTGCGTTCCTTTTCCCCGCCATGGATTTTTGTCTGCGGAGCAAGGCAAGTGAATTGGATTATGTGGGGGCTTCAGTAACAGTAAATGAATATATTTATTTATGTCCAATCAGTTTCCTTCAATCAAAAGACAGGGTGGTCGAGTGGTTAAGACGTTAGACTTGAATCCCAGCTGGTGACGACATCTAATACCTTCGGGTGCGCGCGTTCAAATCGCGTCCCTGTCGATTTTTTGTTCGTGACACGTAGCGTGGTCACGTGACCAAACAACATATCCAACATATCTGCGAATCAGAGATAGCCTTGGGACCCATTATTTCCCAAAGTAGACCTAGTGTTTTCCTGTGAACCAATGACGTCCATCTCTTCTATGCATGCCTTTGCCCACCAGTATAACTCCAATTACTTCAAGTCTTGTCCTTATATAAAATAAACTCACTTAACTCTGTCCCATCTACTATACCTGCCTGCCAAACACCAGTTTATCACTGTTTCTTTCAACGGTCAATACTGATGTTAGAAGATCTCTTGCTTGCTGTCCATTGCAGGTTGCCATGGTTTTATTAAGATTTATCGTCTCCATCTAGCGTATATCTACTTGACGCAAACCTGAAGCATACACAATCATATAACTAACCAGCATACCAGTGACATTCTTCCATTGCAATCATAAATTACTCTTTGGCTCCTCTTTTCCTTTACGTGCATAGCTATAATGCCAATCCGCCTGCTCCATGTCCGCCCGAATGGAGTAGTTAGCCTCCGCATCCTCCAAAACCGCCATATCCAGCTCTGCTACCGCCATGCCTTCACTTGACGTCCCCAGACGCACCAACGGCCCCGCATACGGAATCGTAACCTGCGACAATCCACAGTAATTCCGCCCAGGAGGACCCCCCGCATTAGCAAATACCACCGCACAGGTATTCTCAAATGTGCGCGCCGTAAGAACACTATCCAGAAACAAAGATTCAGCCGAAGGGTTCCACCGATGACCGGCATCCGAGGCGCCGCTCCGCGTCCATAACGTCGGCACAATGATGATCTTCGCGCCCTGTTGCACGAGCTCCCTCCATGCTTCCGGGAAGGCCAGATCCCAGCAGACAAGCAGCCCCACCGGACCCAACGGAGTCTGGACGACCTGGTGCGGGCTAGTTCCGGATGATCGCAGATGCTTACGCTCTGTTGGGCCCCAGAGATTCTTCTTGGTGTACGAGCCGAGAATCTCGCCGTTGTTGGAGATGAAGTAGGTTACGTTTTCTAGCTTGGGTTGGGTTGGGAGAGCGGAGCCGTCTGGAATGGTCTGGACGATCGATCCGGGGACTATGCAGATATTGCATTCTTTGGCTAAGGCTTGGTACTGCTTGAGGTAGGTCTCCCAGTCGGCGCATAGGGCGACAAATCTAGGGTCGTTGGGGATCCAATTTGTTAGATGGAATTCTGGGAGCACTGCGAGGTGACATCCTTGGGCGGCGGCATCGCGGATGAAGCTGACAGCTCGAGCGAAGTTTTCGGCAGGGCGGAGAGGCTGGTATGTGTTAGCTTGGGTAACCTGTGGCTGGCGGGCCAGCTAATTGAGTGTTTGGGGAGTGAACACAGCAAGGAAAATACGAAGCTCACCTTGACATAGAGTTGGATTACGGCGATCTTGAAGGTGGGAGCCATAAAGAGCAGCAAACGAGAGTAGAATAGAACCCTGACGATAGATCCAGCCAAAACAAAAAAAAAATCAGAAAAAGCGGCATTTTAGGGCTTATGTGGCAGTGAACTGGATCGTCAACTGCATCACGGTGAAGGCATCAGCAGCCGAGGCAACATATTGACTCTAGCAAAGGTGAAAATGCAAAACGTCTTTTCTTTACCAGTCTTATCAAGAGAACGTTTAAGTGAATCTTTAATATTATAGTCTTGTCACGCCGTGTCTGCCTTTGGCGCCGTTATTGGTTCGAGGGTCTTTGATATCCTGTCCTTTTATAGCCGTAAATGGACAATATATCATATATTAGTACACCTTTTCCGTGTCTAAAGCAGCTACTTAAGGTGCTTAATCCCAACTTTGTAGATTTACGGTGAGATGATAGGATGGATATCCCGCCCAGGATCATGACCTACTCGGAAAAGACCGATTATGATCAAATCCCAGCCCAATCATGGCAGATTATTCGGATGTGCTGACGAGGACAACGAAGCTGACAAATTCACAGCTCCTGCCGAGGTCCCATAGCTCTTACATGGTTTGAGATATTCTTTTTCTCTCTTTTCTATTTTCTTACTTACTAGTCAGTACAGTAATTTTGTTGCTATCGTTTGGACACCATGTTGTGCCTGAGACGGCGACATGCCTTCAGCGTCTTCCTATTTATAAATATGCCCTCCCCTCCCATGAATATATACCCACACATGAAAGAGAAAACGTGACCATGACTGCCACCGATGGACTTTCCGTGAAACCTCAAGAGACTGTTGCACCACCTTCAACGATTTCGAAATCGCCTGCTCCCCCAAATGGTGGCTTTGCAGCCTGGGTGGGTGTGTTCGCTGGCTTCCTTTTGTTCATCACCACTTGGGGGTTTTCGACGGCATACGGCGCCTTTCAACATTTTTACCAAACGAATCTATTGAGCGATAGTTCACCATCGCAGCTTTCTTGGATTGGCACTGTCAATGCTTTCTTCCTAATTTCTTCTGGTGTTATCGCCGGCCCACTGTTTGACCGGGGTTTCTTAATTCACCTTATGATTGCGGGATGCTTCTTAACTACGCTGGGCCTGATGATGCTAAGCCTTTCTCACAAATACTACCAAGTGCTCCTCTCCCAGGGTTTCTGCTGTGGAATTGGTAGTGGACTCATCTATGTGCCGGCCCTGTCTATGGTGTCTACTAGTTTCACGACTCGGAGGGGCATCGCTGTCGGCGTGGTGACCTGTGGCGCCAGTGTTGGTATGGCCTACCCGATCGCTTGTTGCAATAGGTACTCAGGGCTAACAACCGTCAGGCGGAGTTCTTTTCCCCATAATCTTCATACACCTGCAGCCTCGGATCGGCTTTCCCTGGACAGCCCGAGTCATGGGATTTATCCTGCTGGGCTGTTCATTTATCGCGGTTCCTTTACTGATGCTGACCACAAAGCCGAAACGCGGTTCTCCACGTCAATTGATCCATTGGGATGCGCTCAAGGAGTGGAGTTTCAATGCCTACGCGGTGGCTAACTTTCTCATGTTCTTGGCCTATTTTGTACCGTTGTTCTACGTGCCCGTTTTCGCCTCGCAGGCGCTCCAGACTTCGACCGATATGAGCTTTTATTTCGTGTCTATCTTGAACGCTGGGTCCGCCGTGGGCCGATTGGGGTCAGCAGCATTGACTCGACGGCTAAGCGCTGGCGTTATCCTGATTACCAGCGTGTGTGCATCGGCGGTGTTGATCTTTGGCTGGATTGGTATCACCACACAGTCATCATTTATTACATTTTGTGTGCTGTTTGGCATCTTCTCCGGTGTGCTGATCTCGGCCAATCCCCTGGTCATCGCACATCCCGTTGTCTCGCCCACTCCGGCCATGATTGGCACGCGCATGGGCATGCAATGGTTTGCAACCAGCCTTGGAGTATTGATCGGGGCCCCCATCGCGGGTGTGATCGAGGGCCGCGGTGGAGGCAACGGGTACCTAGGATTGCAGGCCTTCAGTGGAGCCATCATGACCGGCGGAGCGCTGTTCTTGATGGTGCCTCTATTGGCCGTCTGGCGATATGACCGCCGCCAGAAAGAGTCAGAAAGATAAGACTGCATATCCACTAATGAACTGCTTCTGCCAGCAGGCGTGAAGTGGACCCCCTCGGCTCAAGGCTACTATTCCACTGTGCCTTCACCCACGAGTTCTTCCTTCTCAAGCCCTGGTCTCTATGAGGGATGTCGAGAACTATTTACGCTCTCGCTCGTGGCCTCGAGAGTGAACCCTCTCCAGCTGAACGCAATACCCTTACATCTTCTGAGTCTAACGCAGCCTTCAAGACCACACCAATCCCAACAATATAAAAAAAAAAAGAAAACACCAGAACACCAGAAAACCCATCGGTCAAACCCAATACAAACCGCCAATATCTACCTTCCTTCGGCGATATACCAAGCCCTATGCAGCTCCCATACCCCACCCGTGTAATGTAATCCCATTACTCCTGTATCTGTACTACCCCCCCAAAATAAACCTCAATAATAAACCATCACACCAATATACCATCCAAAAACCACACAGCCCAAGACCCCTCACCCCCTAGAATCCTACACCCAAACCGTAATATCCACCGTCTTCATCACACCCCCCCCCTCATGCGTTTTCACACGAGTCAAATGCCTCATACTTTCCGTACTAGCACTCGACCGCCTAATCCCATTCCCATCCCCATTCTTCCGCCACGACGATATATCCGTCCTTACCGACGGAGCCATATTACTGAAGCGCGCAGGATCGGAATAAAAACTACTCTTGGCCCTCCGCCCGCTATCGTACACGCTGCGTTTCGGAGACCTCAGCTGTATCTCATCTGGGAGGCGGGTGGTGAGGAGGTCTGAGTGGAAGCCGGCGGAGATGTGGCAGATGGTTGGGAGGCAGACGATGGTGACAGATATGTACATCATGGCTTGGGAGAAGATTACTGAGGTGACCGTTGTCCCTGGTTATTTAGGTTAGCTTAGTGAAGGGGGAAACGAGAGAGGGGGAAGGGAAACAAACATGGAGTGTCTGGGGAGTTGAGGAATGGGGGGAGAAGAGCTAGTTGGGCGATTGCGAGGGCGATGAACACCGTTTTCTTTGCTTGTTAGTTTGGTGGGCTAGTGGAGTATAGGGCAAGGGAGACGTGCGTGATTCGAGTTGAGAAGAAACAGAGGATTTTGACTCGTTTTCCTAGTCGCATTTGGACGTGGCACGTCATGAAGAAGGTGATTACGAGGATGATCACCTCGGTGAGGATGTGGAGGGCTGACATTGGGTAGATAATTGTGCCGGCGCATCTGTCTGGGGTATAGAGCCAGGGTTCGGGTAGTCTGCATCGGAAGGCGAGGCCGAGGGCGAATGTGGTCCAGGTGGATGTGAATGCGATGGTTATGGTGCAGGTCTGGCGGATAACTTTGTTGAGGGTTAGGGTCCAGAGTAGAAGGGTGGTTGATAGTTTTGATAGTGATAGAACTATGATTAGGAAAAGTTGGGCGGCGTAGATGAACTGGTAGGTGTGAGTTGGGATATCGGCTTGATGGAGTCTTAGGGCTAGGCTTTGCTGGATTGACGAATGGCCCCCGCTGTGAGGGTGTCTATGTGTTGTCCCGGTCCACGGTCAATGGATTTTTACATGAGATCTACTTGTATGATTACAGTATCTTCATGAGGGTGATGTATGGCTAATTTATGTGGTATTCTGCTCTATCGGTTGGGTCCCTTACCAGAGCTACCCAGATGGGAGTATTGACCACCGGCCGTCCCTGCTTGAAGTATATGGCGGACCGTAGTTTGGCCGCGACGAAGATAATGAAGGGATCTGAACGGCCACGGAGACGAGAGTGATAAATAAGTGTCTCACGATTGTCGTTTGAGAGGACCGGAAATGGAGCATTTTCATTGGACATTGTCACTACGAGAGGCTACCATAGTCAAGACGGAAGCAGCCGGAGAGGATCGAGTGAAGTGATAATGAGGGGAAAATAGCCTCGGAAATGACTATAAATGTTTGCAAGTTTGTCTTTCTATTCGTTGCTAGAGGTTTGGAACACAGATCCCTGCTTGCTACAGTGCAAAATTTCGGTTTGAGGGCCTCGCTCACCACGCCCTAAGGGCCCCAAATCTGACTTTGCCTGATAGTAGATCTGTGTTCCGGCGCATTTTACAAGAAAATGCCTTAGAAAACATGGCCACGTACATGTTTGCCACTCGTAGAATGCCCAGAGACCCCGGGGGGGGGGGGGGAGGTGGTTGTCATGAGACAACGAAGTTACTTGGCAGTGATGAGGTAGGGCTAATTCACCTCCTCGGTAGAGACTGTCAACCAAGTGTGAATCCTCGAGGGACAAAGAAGACCGGGAGTATGACTACTAAAGATGCACTACAGCTATTCCGCGCTTTTAGTCTTCTCCCCCAGCCTCCACTGTGCTATAATGTCTCAATCGTAATGGTGGACACTATCCCAAGTGTATGCGAGTACCGATCCTTTGGCATGTCGGTTCTTTGTTGACCGGCCTCTTCGGCCTTTCTCACTGCACCTAGATCGCGAAAATTCTCCGGAGAGTGAAATGAATTCTTTGCTAGATATGGATTGTCTAGGTTTAATCTATTGTCTTTCAACATTAAGCCTAGATGGAGCGGAGGAGAGACACTCTTTGGGATTCTATCGTTCCTCTATCTGACGCCGACGCCCCGCCCTTCAGAAAGAGCACGTCTCCTACAACCGCTTGTTATGGTCATGGTTCTTTGTTATCGCCTCTTTGTAATCGTTGAAAAGGTTTAACGAGGATAGGAAACATGTACGGCGACGAAATTGAGATGAGCGCCAGTGCGGGCCCATTAAACTTATGATGGCGGCGTTGAATATCGCCAGGGACAGACGTTGGAGGTATGCTGCAACCACGTCTGTTTCATCTTTGCGCTCTGTGACGCTGAGTCTCATATTTTCCCTCTGAGATATTTTTTTCTTCTCTTGGCGTTTTCAGCCACCTTGGTCGCTTCGTGGGAGACAGCGGGTGCAAGTATACTGGCGGGCCTTCTTAATGGAGGTCCTACAGCCATCGTGTACGGGGTGATTGTCAGTTCAATAGGGAACTTGGCATTCGCAAGCTCTTTAACTTAGGTGGCTGCCGTGTATGGGATATTGAATACACTTCATAGGGCGGAAATCGCAATATCACTGGACTTACATGCTCGCTCCTGGTTATTGTAGGTTCTTTACTTTCTTTTAAGGTAAGTCGGCCTAATTGAGGTAGTAAGCTTTAACCAGCTAATGTACTTCCGTACAGGATGGATTACAGTATGATTGATGTTACTTCATCTCGAAACTCACCGCGGAACCCCGCTAATATTGATGTATAGGTTTTCTCCCGGGCTCCTCTCGAGGGTATTGCTCTGTTCTTCTTTGGGAAGCAAACCATAAGAATGGTCGTTCTAAGCCATCCTGAATACGACCAACAAAGTGCTTATGTGGGCGACCTTTCTCATGCCAATCGTCATTAATAACATTGCTTGTTCTCTACTCCCACTTGTTGAAATCGCTGCGGGCAATTTTGTCTTCTTGCCCGTGTTCCTCGCTGTTTTTCTCATCCTAGCCCCCCAGAACCCTGACGCCTTTATTTGGGACAACTTTGTCAGTGGGCTTAGTGGCTGGGATGATCCTGGGGTAGTATTCTCCAATGGACTTCTGGACCTATGCTTGGTTTTATCATGGTGTTTGCTTGCGTGGATTGGGTGGTTCGTGGACGCCTGAAGTGGAACGGACCGACAATCGACCTGTCTAGAGAAAATACAAGACGGTGTTTTAAATTGGGTGGGCTATAGTTATCAAGCTCAATGCATATACAGGGGAGTCTTTTTGACCAAAGTTTTTGTGTTCGCTCTTTTCCGTTTGAACCAAGGCATAGTTATAGCTTAAAGCCTCGTAAGACTATCTCTGTTCAACGTTCATTTTGCCTTTACCTTTTAATAATGACAAGACAGATCATATAGCAACCAGTGTTTGGCCTTTCGCTAGTCACAGTTAATTGGAAGCGCCAGGACTAAGGTCAAATTGAAACCCCAATCTATGAATATCTCTTTGTGCGCTGAATGGTGGAAAAACCTCACGAATCCTGGGGTGAGATGTGACGCGGTGAATCCACTCATTCCTTTTACTTGTAACTTCAGCTACTATAGATGACATTGTCTAGAAATTGCAAGGCTTATGGCCTATTAACCTTCCATAATCCCATCCCCTTCGCGCCGCTCCAGACTGCTGTATCCTGCAAATAATATCGTCTAACCGCCTTGCCCTACACTGCAAAAGCATGTGGCGCTTCGTTTAGCGTATCATCATGCTCGAATGATTAATCCCGGCCTGATCCATTTTTTTTTTGCAACACCTAAGGTGGTTTCTTCCACCAAATAACCGTTGATTGGTTCCGTCCACATCCCATTAAGCGCCCTGGGAAATCTAGAGCAACCGTGCATGAACACATCTTTTCGAAGATGCGGTCGGTGCAGAAACCTGCAGAAGTTTATTTTTACCTGAGCGCTTATAGAGGCTCCATGACTGGTGTGATCTATACGAGCATTAGTGTGAGCCACTGTAATGCTGGGGAAGCGTCTACTTGTGGATGGATCGGGTTTAGAAGTAAGTTTACCATTCCAATGCCTCGAGTTGACTATAAACCCCCATTACCCATCGATTATCTCTGCTGTGTTTTTAGCCTTCGTGTGGTGGGCGCTCGCTGTTTTGTTTATCTTCCAGTCCCTCTTTTCTCACTTTTCCCTCTGTTTTCCGGCAAGAGTCACGAACACATTTTCTCTTTTTTTTTTTTTTTTTTTTTTTTTTTTTTTTTTTTTTTTTTTTTTTTTTTTTTTTTTTTTTTTTTGAAACGAAACTTTTGTCAAGAACTCCTTGTCTACTCTGTTTACGAAATATAATCTCTATATTGTACTTGATATGGATGCCGGTTCAACCAGTTCAGTCTCCTACCATGTGTCCTGCGCCTCCGATGCGGATGAGTCAAAATATCTCAAGAGAGTCCAATACCTTCGTTGGATCCGGCTTGGGCTTGGAGTCATTTTGTTCAGCATTGCGGTCTCGATCATCGCCTGCGAGACAGTTCCATATAAGCAATACCGGTCGACATCAGCATACGGGAGGGTCGGGTTATATCTTTGGCCCTTGAACTTCGACATCCGTCCGACTGTCGCACTGCTGTCATGCGGCTGTGTGATTGCATTTCTGAACTTGGCATACACTATCCTTGCCCTTATTCCGTCTGTAAGCTCTTCATTTACTCACTTATCCTCCGTGATGCTGCAAGTGACCGTGACCGTGAACAAATCCATTTGCTAACCCTGCTAGCCGCGCGCACATATAAAGCAATTGAACCTCTTCGCCACAGCCATTGCCATTGCCGGGTTCCTTGTTGCACTGGCCGGACTTGTATTTGCCATCCATTTACCGGGATCGAATCCCCCAAGTGGGTTCTCGAAAGTAGAAACCCTGCATTCGTGGACCTGCAAGTGGAAAACGATGCACGGCCAATTGAGGACTAATGTGGACGACACTGCTACACCACCACCCGGTCATTTCGCTCGAGACTGTGGTCTCACCGGGGCATCGTTTATCCTCACAGGGCTGGTAGTTGGGTTGGAGATTCTTATGGGGGTTGCGGCCGGTGTTGGGGTTTGGTTTGAGCGTAGTGTTGCGAGGCAACGAGAACAGGATGCGTCTCCGCTGAGAAAAGTGGAAGTCGCGCTGAAGTATCCAGGGACCTGAAATATCCTCGTGTTGGCGTTGGTGAATATTTGTGTGAGGGTAAATTGAGAATCGGATATTCATCTCACTGTTGAACAGTGAGGGTTTTCTTTTACTGTGTATGTTAAAGGTATACATGGTACTGTTTGTATACGTATGCATTCGCTGTGTTTATCTTTTGGTGTGTAACAAATGTAGCAAACAGCAGTAACACTTCACATCATCTGTTTACCTTTTCCTCTTTCCTCCCTCCTCCCTACACCAGGACTCGTAGATTTTGACAGCAAACATTCAAGTCCATCTTCTTTTAGCTCTAACCCCACTGCATATCATTTCCCACCCCTCGTTGGACCCCAATCTATCATGACTGAACCGGTTTCTATTGCACCTGAAGCTGCGGCATTAGTATGCAGGAGCCTACAAGTTTCTCGACCACTCTTCAGATTCTACTCCGCAAGAAAGTGCGAGATCAAAGAGCTGGTTCCAACTGCCAAAAGGCTCAACAATCTCCTCGCTATCTAAGAAAGCTTGACCAAAAACGTGACCAAGATGGGACGTAAATTATCCTTCGCCCTGCGCGCATTACAACTTAGAGATCGAGAAATCACCCCGAGGAGATTGCTGAGCCCAACCCTCTTTTCAGGCGTACTATGGCGTACAAATCCAAGCTGGCATTATGGCGGCTCAAGGGTCTGGACGTCCCGGATACTACATTAGATCACCGTTCTATATGCGCAAAGCGTCACGAAGGAGCAGGCCTATGGTTTGTCAAGGGCGGTCATTTTACAGATTGGCTTGCTCACGATAATTCTTTCCCTGGCTGAATGATCCTGCGGGGTATGGCAAGTCAGCCCTTCTCTCAACAGCTATCCAGTATACGCTCTATCAAGAGTATGCATTTCAGCCAAGGAGGCTTTCCGTGATGTCGGTATGGCATTCTTCTACATTACCTTCAATGACAGGTCCAAGTGTGATGGTGCAGCAATGCTTTGAAATGTGATCCAGATATTTAAGCGAATGTATATATTTGTGGATGCGTTGAACGAGTGCTCTGCATATCAGAGAAGCGACGATGGGGTCACCATGGACATCAGCAATTACATCTTATCCCGATTGAACACTATTTCAAGTCTCCATGAACAACACAGGAGGACTACGAAAAAAGTCCAAAAAGCCCTAACTGAGCATGCTAGAGGAAAGTAAGCGACATATCATCATCATGATAAATCATCCTGGGCTGACATAGAGCTAGCTTCTACTCCGTTAAACCCCAAATGTGCTTTTGAGATCATTCCTTCATCTAGGGCTTTCTCCTTTCAAAGTTGAGCTATAGTACTCTCGAAGCCCGATCTCCCAGCAAGGGAGCTACAACTACGCCAATGCCTGAAGCTGAGCCCTTGAATGTCCAGCCTGTAGCTGGTCCGCCTCCAAGCAAAATTGCCGCAGCTATTCCAGCCATGTAAAGCTCTTCGTAGATCGGAGAGTATGGTCTCTGGGTTCGAAGTTTATCCTCAAAGAAGGACCGAATCAACCGCCAAAGACAGAAGTACAAACCATCAAATTCCTCCCGCAGCATACATACCACGACCCCGGTCCCGTCAGTCGTTACGGAAAGGGCCGAAGACTCCAACCAATACTTCGTTCTCATGGACCAACTAGATGGTCAGACGATATGATAGACTAAGCATGACCTGCCTTAACACCGCCTCAGAAGGAGCACATCGCAGACCAAGTGGCAAAGTGCATCCAGCAAACTACAATCACCTACCGTACAAACCCGTTGATGGTGGTCCATTCAGCTCTGATGACTGACATTATCTCCTAACAACCCTCTTCATCACTATCCCCCCTCCTACCACCCTCCCCCAAATCCACCCCCCAAACAACACCCGCAACGGCCACCCCCAAACCCCCTGCAACAACAAACGGCAACCCCAACCACCACCCCTCCAACCTCAAACCCACCCGAAACAGCTCCGCAAACCACGGCCCAGAAACCAAAATCCCACAAGTCTCCACAACCGTAATGCCCGTATACACCCGTCCAAGGAGCCTCCCCGGCACGAAACCCGTCACCAACGAGCGGACTAGATTCCCATACCCTTTCCCCAAAGTCGTTATCACGAAGCCGGCCATCGCACCGACGACGGTAGGCGACCAGGCGACGATGAAGAAGCCCAGGGAGAGCATGAGGATGCTGATCCTGGCGAGGAGCAGGTCCTTGCGGGCCTCCGGGAGGCTGAGGCGTTGAGTTAGGATCCAGGAGGCGGAGGGGAGGAGCGTGGTGGTGACGAGGATGGTGGAGAGGGCTTTTAGGGAGATGATGAAGCTGGCACGGGAGAGAGGGAGGGTGTAACGTTCAGAGAGGTATTGGATATTGAGGCTTTGGGTGGGTTCTTCGAGGGCGTTGATGAAGAAGGTGAGGGTTAGGAGGAGGAGTTTGGGGTTGTGGTGGAGAAGAGTGGTGGTTTGGGTGTAGAGGTGGGGGGTTTTTGCGAGGAGGCATTTTGATTTGGGGGGGACGGTCATTATTGGTAGTGGTAGTGGTGGTGGTGGTGGTGGTGAGTCTGAGTCTGAGCCTTCGTCTGCTGGGTTGTTGGTGGGCTGGTTGTGTGGATTTGGATTTGCAGTTTCGCGGAGTAGACAGGCCATGAGGAATGTGATGCATGCGCAGATGTAGCCTAGTTGGATTGGTAGCCATGGTCCGTAGGCTTCCATTAGGGTAGACGAGAGGGGTGTGGCGGTGGTTTGGGCTAGATATTGGCCTGTCATTATTCGGAAGAAGGCTGTTGCTCTGTTTTATAATCTCTCATTAGCATGCGGGTTTTGTAGATTGTAGTGGAAGGATATTCGAACCGTTCATTCTCGGGCATGATATCCGCGATGATGGTTAGGATCATGGAAGACAAGACAGGAATGCCACCTCCAATGATGCTGAATGCCGGTGCTAGCCACACGAGACGAAGGGGGAAGGTTTTCCAGAATGCACACACGAGGAGCGTAGCGTTCATAGATAACAAGATCCCTCCCACGCTGAGAAGAACAACGGGCTTTCGGCCCCATTTATCAGCCAGCAGACCGTATGGAATTGCTAAGATGACGCCTAACAGAGGAGATTAGCTTAGCTAGTAGTTACGATCTACTATTGCGTTGCTAGTACGTACCGGGAATGTAGGTGAAGAGAGCTTCATAGCCCCGGATCAAGGCGACGTCTCCCTGGACCGGGGCGATCTTGCACCACTGTTCTGGCACGTTTCCTCCTGGATCAATGCGACTGGGATCACTTTTTTCATAATACTGATAACAGATAATGCTCTCGTACAGTCTGGTCAGCGGTATGTTGATCGACAGAACCGCAAAATCACCAAATGTGACTAGCAATACGCATATAACGAATATCGATAGCCGCCCCGTCTTGAGGGGGGCCTTTGGGTGGAGTGCAAGATCATCCTCGCAGCGGGATGAGATGGACAATCGGTGATCCTGTAGAAGAGGCTCGGCTTCATGCGTTTCTTCTCGACTTATGGAAGATCCTCTTGAGCGTATGGACATGGTCTACAAAGTAAAGACCCTATCCTTGTATTGCTGGGTTATGGAGGAAAGGGAAAGGAGAAGGATGCTAGGATGGCTTGCCACTGAAATAAGTTCTAGATAATGGCCCCCACATCTGATAGAATATGTACTGCTTCATGCCAAGAGGCTTCGTTTTGATAGCTGTAGACAACCTCTGATAGCAAAGACGAGCATCCTTCTTCACCCCGCTGAGCAACTTATCTCGGTCAGTCAGTAAACCATGAGACAATAGCCCCTCCATTCTATCATAAATATTGACCTACTGCTCCCCGCGGAGGAGACAGCGTTAACAACGACCAAGGCTGACATTGTCGATAGGGCTGACAGCGCAGGTGCTGACTTTGCATGGCTGACCAGTTGACCAGCTTTCCATTATTGCTGACGTGTCGAAACAATGTATTGACTTCCCATGATTACCTATAAATTCAGTAGATCTATCTATTCGTACATGTATCACCTTCAAAAACCATAATCAAAAATATACCAAGGAAGAACCATGCTTCGGCAACAAATATCCACGCGCGCAACAAGTCCAGGCCGACCCGCCGTCGGTCAAATGAACATCCTCGGCTCCCCACCGATCATCATAAAAACCGCCATATAAGTGATAAAACAATTCCATACCCAACAACTTCACCTCAAACAAACCTCACCCAGAGAAGTGAAACAAAACAAAAAGTGAAAAATGGGCAAAAGAATCGAATGCTACATCGACTGCGGCAAGTTCCTCCCGTCCCCTAACTTTACCAAACTACCCACTAACAAGTCCAATAAAAGTGTCGCCATACAGCTTCTACGCCTTCACCTATCTGCAAAAGAATGCCGCTGCATTAGAAAGCCTAGGTGTCGAAATAGAGTAGGCCCCTGCCCATCAACCAATTTTCCTTTTCTAACATTTTACCACTCTAGGTATATACCCGTCTTCCTCGGCGGAATCAACGTGAGCAGCGGTTAGTCTACACTTTCCCCCGTTTCTTTCAAGGAGGAAAAAAAGGAAAAAAGCAAAAAGAAAAACACAAGTAAACGGCGAGAAAACACCCCTACTTACTACTCAAACCAAAAAAAAAGGAAACAAACCTCCCTGGACACTCCCCGCCAAAGCCGCCTACTCAAAGTACGACGGCGAACGAGCCCAGAAATACTTTGGACATAAATTCGACATCCCCTCTTGGTGGCCCATCTTGTCGCTTTTGGTATGCTTTCCCCATTCTCCCTCGTATATGTAAAGAACTAGGGTATAGAATAATCTAAACTAACCAAAACAAACCCCCCTTCCCAAAGCCCCAACGCTCCCTAACCTACATCAAAGCCCACCACTCAAAGCAAACCCTCGCATCAGCATTCAAAAGCTGCTTCGAGACGATGTGGAAGGCCCAATTGGATATTTCCAAGCCCGAGCATTTGGCCACGGCTCTCGGAAATGTCTTCAGTGCTGGTGAGGTCAAGGAGATTATTGCTGCGGCGGGGACGGCGGAGGTGAAGGCGGAGTTGGCTGCGACGACCGAGAGAGCCGTGAAGGAGTTGGGGGCGTTCGGGGTGCCGTGGTTTTGGGTGTTGGATGGGGAGGGAAAGGGGGAGCCCTTCTTTGGGAGTGATCGGTGGCATTTTATGTGGGAGTTTTTGGGGCTGCCGTTTGAGGATTTGAGGTTGAAGGCTAGGATTTAGATTTAAGGGGTGTGGGAGTTAGTTGCTGTTCTTGTTCTTTGTTGTGTCATGTGTGAGGCTTGTTAATTGAGATTTTGTTGTTGTATATCATACATAGACGGGTTGGTACTGGGCTAGGTAGGCGATGATTGAAGATTGTATGTCTGTTTAAGTGAATAACAGAGAGGATAAAAGCAAGCCGACTATTCTACATCTTCGCCCGTAGCTTCGTACTATCCATCCGCATTCCCTCGTCATCTTGCTCTGCTACTTCTAGCACCGGGAGCTCCTTTGGCATGATGCGCCGTGGGTTGGAGCCTGGGACGACCGAGTACTTGGAGAAATCCGAGACACCGCAGTACTGGCGGAGGAAATCCTCGTCAAGCGCTAGCATTCCGTTCACAGTCTCAGCTGGGGTATTCAGAATGCCGATAACGGCGTCGGAGAACACAGTCTGCATGATGTGGTTAGAGATATGTTCACTGGGGGAGGGTGGCCAGGAATCAACTATACCGGCTTTCTGAGGTTGGCTTTGCGAGAAGGATCACGCGATGTAGCCACTTCTGTCGCGGCAGACTCGGTACTCTGCAAATGTTAGTTAATTATAGTCTGCCAGAAAAACAACTTGGGGAACGCACTGTCGCTGGCCAAAGACTTGTAATAGCCATATCCTTATGACCCTCTCGAACGAAATCCATTGCGAGACCTCGAGTCAAAACGCTCATCGCAACCTTGCCTGCTACATGTTAGTCTCGCACTATTCTGAAACGTGACGAAAAGGCTAAAACAGGGTAACTAACCCATAGCATAAGCAGTCTTCCCCCTGAAAAACCTCGAGTAGATAGGCGGTGACACAACAACAATGCGCCCTTTCCACCTATTCTTCTCAAACTCAGGTAGGGCTGCCTGTACAGTAGCATACAAGCCCTCAGGGTTAACCCGCTGCATGAGCTGAAAACGCTTTGTGGGGGTATTCGCCACAGACGACCACCAGATTGCTCCGGAGTTGTAGACAAGGACGTCCAGACTTCCTGCGAGGCGCACGGTCTCTTTCACCATGTTCTCGACTTGGGAGACATCACGGACGTCGACCTGGATTGCGAATGCTTTGCCACCGGCCTCTTTGATCTCCCGTTCAACAGTGGCAATTGTTGACTTGTTGGAGTTGGGATCTGGTGGAAATGGGACGGTTTCATAGGCATTGGATGTGGTCTTGGCGGCCACGACGACTGGGATTTTTGTTAACGATGCCTCTTCGTTCAAAAGGATAGGAGGCTATAAACGTACCGGTGTAGTTATTCTTTGCTAGGTCAATAGCGATTTGCCGTCCTAGGCCGCGCGAAGCACCCACTACTAAGGCAACTGGCTTGTCTGATGTCATTGCTAGAAACTGAATTATTTCGCGGATAGATGTTGTATATATCCAGGCGGTACTTAGATAGTGTTAGTTCTCTTTATATATATCGTGAAATTATAGGGTGTTGTTAACCCCGGAGGAAATCCTCTCTTTCTTTTAAGTCTGGGAAATGTGCCCTGTTGATACCGACCCGAGCTCGGCTCGGCCCATTTATATAACATTAATAATCCCCACCTGTTTACCATACAATCGCTTTGGAGATATTATCCCCGCCAGTTCAAATTTCCAAGGGTTTTTTTTTTGTATTCGAGCATCACTAGTATTGCAAAGACGTTTTTCCCTCTTAAAGCATATACTATATATGAAGTCCAGGTGCCACGCACTAATTAACACAGCGAAAGGGATCCTAGAGGGTTATATAAAAGGCCTAGACTGGGAGAAACGTCCGCCCTGTCTTGAAGCGGTCCCTTTATGGCTCCCGTCGATGTCTGGCTTATTTCCGAGCTCGTAGTTCAACGAATTAAATGAAATGGGAGACCACCTATGGGATCTTTTTGGACAATTTCAAGTCTCCTTGAACTACAGGAATAGAGATGCTCGTGTGAACATTCAGTGGTTCTCCCTGCATTCAGAGACTCAAGGCAAGATAGGTTACAGTCGAATCTTCTGCCGCACGTCTTCAAGCATAGCTGTAAGAACTCCCATGGTATCTGTAAGTTTAGAAGCGACATACGAAATCGAATGTACCACCAAACAAGACTATTGTTTTAATTTAATTTTGCATTCCTTTTGCTTGGATGCGTGTGGCAGCACTTAAAAAACCATCCGAGCTTTAAGTACCTACCGCTGTCTATTCCTGGTTCTTGCCAATGCGAATTATCTCCCGGAGATTCCACAAAACTGCAGAAGGCTCACAGCTTTCTAGCGTATCTGCTAGCCCGGTTGGAGATACATGGTCGACACTATCCGACTGAGACCCGGAGACAGACCCAAATGGCGTCTGGCCAGCCGTCTGTGATACAGAATGTGAACTTCGAGATTGATTCAAGATAGTTTGCCGCTTCTGCGTTTCACGCGCCAGGGTTTGGAATACAACTCTGCTTTGCGGAAGGATGACCTGCTGTATCTTCGATCTTTTAAAGGGCGTTGGTCTCCGAGGCGCATCCACATCATCTTGTTTGTCGCCGAGGGCACGTTTTTGACATTCGCCAACAGCGACAGACAGTAAGCGGCTGAATTGATCGGGCGTCGTCATTGTTTGGAAGAATTCCAAAAATAGTTTTGCAATCGGCCATGTCTTAGATAACGCCTCCAGTAGTTCTAGATTAGATTCAAGCTTTAGCCTGATACCGTGCAAGAGAGATGGTAGCGAAGCATCCATTTGGTGTTTCAAGGTGACGAAGGATGTCACAGCATGGCAAATTCTATCTGTAAATCAGCTTTATACAATAAATTGCAAGGAAGGATGGGCAGTCCGTTACATGGACGAAGGTGAATATTGGAGCTCCCCGTGTGAGAGCAGTGTCTCCAATATTGAGACTATGGTCGACGCAGCATGAAAGGCCGAACTCTGGGATTCCTTAGATGAATAAGGAGCCTGCAGAAGATGCAATTGGCACACAATAGTGCTAGAAGCAATTAGCATGCTGCCATCTTCTCTTTTATGAGGTAGACCCACTAAAACGTAGAAAACAAGATCGCCGACAAAAACGTATGCCGGGTTTGTCGCCAAGTTAGCTCCGGTGGACAAGATACGAGCCACTCATTTAACCCTAGCTCGCACTGTGCAGCCCCAGAGGCTCGAGCATCTTGTGTAGACCTCGCAGAAAGATTTAAGCATAAGCCCAGATCCATAAGCTGACACAACTTGACATATTCTATGAAAAAGCGAGCTTCGATTTCGTTTGTGAGGTTGCCTGATGATGCTGGTTCGTCGTACTCGACAAAGTCATTTTCTGTCAGCGGCTCTACCGTGCAATCCTCAGGATTAATATGAAGAGGCCGGCCAAATGCTGCAGCTACAGAGCGGTCCCGGGTATACAGTGTCCACCATATCCGCTTGTGGAGGCCTCGTTCCGATGGCTGGAGATCGATATATTTCTCACTAATTTACTCAGTTGAGATCCGCAAGCCTTTGCCTCGACACATTACCTTTCGTGAAGCCCTAGCTCCTGCGCCAAAGCAATACCGAGTCGACTCCAGTAGAATATCCCGCTTTCGGTAAGGTCTTTAATAAGTCAGCACTAATAGATAGTGAATCAAGACGGTCGAAGGGCCTACCATCAGGACCCTCCCAGTAAGCGCCTAGTAGAACCACAGCTTGAACAATCGTAACCAAGTTGCGCTCGTATCCCGCATCGTACAGAGCCTTAGCTTTCTTATAGAACGCGCGCGGAGAAACCGTATACTCCTGCGAATCTTGTTGGCAGAGAGAGAACCGGGAAGCAACCATGAGTATCGCCTGTTGCAGTAGGATTGACGGCGGATCTTCCGTGTCGTTATACTGCCTCATGAAGGCATGGCGATCTACGACCGGTAGTATTGGCGCTACCCATTTGAAGAACACGTCCACAAGAGCATCTCGGACCGCTTTAGGCGGGAGGCCAAAAGCATCTCGACGGGTTAAAATTTCCAACTCAAGCGGCTCAAGATGATCGGGATGACAGATAGAGTAATACTGTGCCATAGAGACTTGTTCGTGATAGATTCATCGAAGGAATGGATGAATTGTCTGCTTATCGACGCCATTTCAATCAAGGCATCCTCGGCCCAACCCTGATTGGCTGGATAAATGGGAATTTGTATTGAATGGCCTTTGATTCCTCACCGCCATGGCAGAATTTCTTCTCTCTCACGCATCATCGTCGCTTCTTTGGATCTGCGACACTTTCCTACTCAGTTGAAGAAACACTATTTTTCGACCAGAAACCATGTCGGTCGACCCAGCTACCGTACCCGACATCGATCTCGTAGATGAACAGTATGACTCTGAGGAAGACGAAGATTTTCAGCTAGACGCTGCCCAAGATGATGATGACATTATATCTTCCGATAGCGACGACGAGGCCGCCGAGCCCGCGACCAAAAAACGCAAGGTGGGGAGGAAAGAACCTGGACAGGAAGATGATGGTCTAGACTCCGGGGATGAAGCAACGATCCAAAAGGCAAAGGCAAAAAAGAACAAGAAGCAGAAAGGCAATAAATCAGGGACAGACGATGAGGATGATATCGAATTTGATGACGAAGAAGGTGGCCCTGGCGGCTTCGTTCGGACTCGAGCCATGAAAATGCGAACGTATGCTCTCTACCCCCTTTCATTTCATGCCATATTCGCCTAATGCTTACTTTGCCGTGGTATAGCCAAGAAGAGCGGAAACCTCTGGCAAAGATCGATGGAGCAACGGTCGATGTGGATGCGCTGTGGGCGAAGATGAACGCCTCCGATGCTTCTTTGGATCCACAATCAGTTCAGGGTGAGAAGAAGGACCATACGCCGGTAAATGGAGACAACAAGGATACAGAGATGCGTGACGAATATCTAGTCACCGAGGACAAACGAGAAGCGAGTCAATACTCAGAGGAGATGGTGAAAATCAAGCGAACCTATAAGTTTGCCGGCGAAAAGATTACGGAAGAGAAGATCGTTCCTAAAGATTCGGCGGAGGCCAAGCTCTATATGGCCAACGAAACGGATGTCGAAACAATAACTGCCGCCCAGAACGTCACAGATCCTAAAGAGACCCTCAAAAAACTTCGCCGCCCTCTCCGCAAGGTCTCCCGCTTTGACCCGAACCCTACAGGATTTATCAAGAAGAGCTGGGAGAAACAACCTACTGCAGAATCAACAGGAGAAGAGAACGCCCAAGGCCCTAAGATAAATACTGTCGAGAAGTCGCGTTTGGATTGGGCTGCGTACGTGGATCAAACTGGCATCAAGGACGAGCTCAGAACCCACAGCAAGGCCAAGGAAGGTTTCCTCGGGCGCATGGATTTCTTGGATCGGGTGGGCGCTAAGGAGGAAGAAGAGAGGAGAAACGTGCGTTTAAAGGGACTGTAGAGGGTTTGTTGAATCTCTCTTTCGCTTTTGCGCAACTACATCGGAAGCGACTTACCACACCCGACGTCATATGTCTCCGATATGTCCATTGGCTCATTAAACCCATGTTGCTATTACAGCTTCGAATGCACATCGGTACAGACGAGGCCAATTGGCAGTCGTTCGCGTTGAACAACGAAGGCTTAGGGTCTCCTTTGTCATGCTGATGGGAACATCTACTCCCAACTCATACGAAAATCATTACGTGTCTTCTACTGCTCTAGAGTGGTAGTGACCAACTCAAACCAGTGAAGGCCCGGGTGCCCATTCAGCCGCCTTCGATTTGTACGGTCGTCCGATCTTATCTGGACACCACTCATCATATCGGAGTGATACAAGTTTAGAGGATAGTCGTGCCATTTCTCGTGGTCTTCATGGCCCTTTCATCACTTCGAGTACGAGGGATTATTCGTACGCCACAGAAGCACCAACCTTGTACATTAACCACTATCAGTGACATAGTCTCATACAGAATCAAACCATCCTAATCATAATATGTAAACATGTCATTGTGCAACCTAACAGACCGGAGGACATATAGTTTTCATCATCTATACCACTTTCATCTCGAGTAGATCGTTTTAACCCAAGCGAACAGATTGGTTAGCCCTTTCTCTCCGGAATCGCCAGGCTGGCGCGGAGGCATTATTGCTCTTCGACTTCGGCAGGTACTTGATACCCGAGGAAGAACATCCAGGAGACGCGACTGACATCAAGTTAGCGCTCTCGACAATATTCTATATCGCCTAGACTGGGAAGTGCTTACGAGGGTCAATTGGCTGATACTCGCCGGTGATAGCATTGCCCTTGATATTAAAGAAATACCAGATCTGGTTCAGTGCACCTTTCTCGCAGCTGATGTACGGCTTGTGGCCACCATGGACTTCAGCAAGCGCAGACTCAATCTCGCTCCGTTTGTAAGTCTTGGAGGAATCGGGAGTGATGCCAGCTATGGCGAGGGCCTGAGACCATTAGACTCTGATGAGATAGGAATGAAGAAGCGGAAAAGAAAGAAGGATGGCAAACCTTGTAGCTATCCAGACCCTTGAAAAGCTCCACGGCCTTTTCCAGATAATCGCCTACCTCCTTCTGCGGGGAGTAATCCTTGTAGCAGCTTGGTTCGATCGTGTTGATGCAGGTTCCTTTTATTATTATTTTTTTTATACAATTAGCGATCGACTGACCTCCTGGTGGCGCTTCCGGCTGTGTAACGAATGCTTACCGTGCTTGTTCCACTCATGCTCCCAGAATTCTTCATCATCGCCCTCATAGCTGGGCCAGTATTTCTGCATGTAGGACAGAAGTTCTGTCCGGCCCTGATCCTGAAGGATGGAGGTGATGTTCGAATACTCGCGCGACTTGTCGCAGAATTGCCCGTAGCTGCCATCGCAGTTATCGGGCCTAGTAATTGTCAGCTCTAGTCAGGTCTGAGCAGACCGTCTCCTTCAGACATACCAGAGTCCATGAAGGGTCCAGGAATCAGAGGGACCAGTTGGGGGATCGGTGTCCCAAAACTGGGTCAAAAGAAGTGCACCTCCTGGAGAGTTGAAGCAACAAGAGTCGGACACTGCGGTCGTGTTCTGACAACTGAAGGGAATATCAGCCGGGCAGGACTCAAAATCGAACACCGCGCCTGCAGCCAATTGCATGGCACTCAAGGCAACCATGGCCGTGGAGGAGAGAGACGGAGTAAAACGCATTTTTCGTGAAAATGCGTTGTAAACACTAAGAGAAGCTCTAGCCTGGGAGAGTTATGAGAGACGACAATTGGAAGAGGCAGGCATTGTGCCTATTTATTTGTACGCGAGCCCCATCTAATCGGAAAAGACCAAGAAAACAACGGTGGTTAGTTGACTACTTCGCTTCGGTCCACTGACTGTTAATAGCGGCACATGTCGTGATAAGAGCCCTCTGATTTGAGGACCGATAGAATTAACTGGTCGATGCGCAAAAAGCAAAGAGAATCGGACAAGACCGTCTAGACCCGCTTATATCCTGATTCCGTTAGCCACTAAATTCCAACCACCCACAGCCCACAGCCAATTGGGCATCGTCTCGGTGATCTGGAGTAACAGCCCAGATGTTCCGTCGGGGCGCCTTCGGTGTTAAACCAAAAGGGAGTGGACAGGAGAATCAGGCCAATGTCGATCGCGGGTGACTTCTTCAGCGCCGTGTATCAGAACGTTGCATCGTCTAAATTGACCATCCGTACGCTCGCTCTGTTTCGTCCGACGTCGTAACAATGATATCCGTGCCCATATCTTTAATTTAATGAATCCGACGATCTGACATGAAAAGCTGAATGCAGCAGCGATCCGCTTGCTAGCTCTAGCGGGGATAACAACTCGACAAGGTGCTGGGGAAGAGAAAAGGTCGAACAATAACACCTTCACAAATGTCATACAATTTTATGAAGGGCTAGCCGTTGGTGCCAGTGTGCCCGTCATGCAAGACGGTCATGGGATTACCCCAGATTAAAAAGTAAATGATGGTAGCCCCTGGCGATCACAAACCGAGGACTGTATTATTGTTGCATGCTCCTGTGACCCCCAAGGAAACCATTGTAGATGAGTCGCTCATGCAGCGAGAGTATATTGTAGGTCAGCAAAACTAAACTGCTGTTGCTGGCAGCAGCCGTTCTTGTAGGCTCTTGTGAAACGATGATTCCGCCGTGGAAAAGTGAGAAATCGAGGGCTATATGATGTACACGAGTAGGGATACAGACACGTTAACAGGTTTCAACGCATATGTTCCTGCTGACGGACAGGTTCGAATGGATACGTGTATGTGCCGACAAGAGCATCGGTCGTTGACCGACGACGATTCTAGGATCGTGTGGCAAAGTATCGCAAACTCCCAAATTATAATAACTAACTGTGTCAGTCCTTGAGTTTTTATGGCACCGAGGAGGCAGCAGACCTCAGACTAAGTTCCTGAAGCTTCACGCGAAAACTGACAGGTTCTATTTCCTTTTTCATGATCAGGAAAGATGAACATGCTATCCAGTTCCACACGCGACATCATCAACATCCACGTCAAGCACTCCCGTTCAGAGGCTGGGCCCAAGACAGATAAGTATTGATTTCGATTCGGGTGAGTTGAATTAGGGAGAACATGATTACACTGCATATGGTTCACATTCTTAGTATAAATGGGAGGTAGCTTCCTCGAGCCCGGCCATGAGATACTCGAGGAAGCCATTAACAGATTGTTCGATGAAAATGAAAGTAAATTCGGAAGTCATAAGACTGGCACAAAGAAGACAAGGGGAAATGACCCGAGATGTATGAGTAACGCCAGAAGATGAAATGCGACATGTCCTGTGAACCCGATCCGCTAGCCTGACAGCCTGAGGCCAACTACAAAAGATACCCACCACCTAGAAAAGACATTTAGGGAGCAAATCCATGATTTCTCCCGTCAGAGCCAGCTATTGACTTCCAAACATGCCTCGTCCGTGGATAGCCGCAAGAACTTGGATGTGTCGATCCACTGAGTCACAACGCAGTCCGATACCGGCAGCCCCTGTTTGAAGTATGACTATCAAGAAGGAAACGCTACAGGTCAAATTCCATGAACCAGACTCTTTTGAGCTCCAGAACACCAGCCGCCCCATTCATTGAAAATTATAAGGGCATATCACCAAACCAAAGTCAAACCTCCGCGATTAACCGGCATCTCGGGATCACAGCCCACAATATCAAGATACGGATGGCAAGCAACAGCCCAACATTTCGCATCACCCCAGCCCGTACTGCAGATCACATAGAAGCAGCCAAAGTCCTTTTTAAATCCTACGCTGAATGGCTAGGGATCGACCTGACCTTCCAAGGCTTTGCCTCCGAGCTACAATCCCTCCCTGGCCAATACGCTGCACCGCAGGGGGAGTTACTACTAGCCTATAGTGCCGAAGATGTCCCGATTGGATGCGTGGCTGTTCGTCCTCTCAAGAAGAGTTCAAGTGCAGAACGACAAGACCTGTCAGATGATGGAAAGCATTGTGAGATGAAGAGATTGTATGTCTCCCCCGAAGCGCGGGGAACGGGACTGGGGAAAGTCCTGGTAAATTCCATTGTTCAAAGAGCGAGGGACCTTGGGTACAGGGAGTTGAGACTCGACACTCTTCCCTGGATGGCGGGCGCTATTCAGCTATATAAGCGGGTGGGATTCGTGGAAATCGCTCCTTACTATGAGACTCCTTTGGAGGGAACGCTCTTCCTTGGATTAGATCTCGCACGAAGTACAGACCCGACTGACTGCTAGTTAGCTAGGTGTTTGATAATAATCTCTGAGTAAGTAATGATCCCAAATCCTAGAAATATCTAGCTAAGGTAAACAGCCGCCGCCTCCTCAAGACTCAGACTGTTGAGCTTGAAATTTTGAAATTGGAGCACTCATCGCAGATTCCTGCATCATGCCAAAGTGGTTGTCATCATAGTCTGAGAGACGGTTCAGACAAGCAGTCTTCGTATGTACGGATACGCAAAGAACGGAGTATTGGTTGTCTCAGGCTTGAACATAACCAAGCGGACATCAACCAAGTCACCAATTAAGGCTTTTAGATAGAAACTCATTGTACAGAGGATATACCTAGCCCCATATGACCACAGAGCTACGTACGTGACTGACCGATTGTCGATGGTTACCTGGAGGTGTTCGTGAAGAATTTGCAGGTGGGCGCTATTTAAACGGGTGGGATTATGTAATCAGCTTTAGTGCACACTAACTTAGTTAACTAACTAACCTAGAGTTCTTTGCCCATAGCATAGATTATTACCAAATGCAACTGCATAACGGGCGTCGTGATCGAAAGGCCTTCTACTGTACCTATGCATTCTTCGTACAAGGCTGTTGCTCTATGGTATTGAATAAGGTGACAAAAAAACGATCAGGTCACAATAAACCCTCAACAAGTGTGCTCAAGCGGGAAGGCGCAGTATCACCAATCTCAACTATGATCTCCAATATTACCATTACCAACCGGCCTAAGCAGAACCTACAGTGACAAGAAAAGGTCACGTTGATGGCTTCAAGACCCACGCACAGGGTTTTTCTGAACCTGCAACACAGAGTGGAAGAAAAATACATGAATAATCGCGAAGGGGAAGACTACCCGGCATGCATGTGATATCATACAGTCAGATGAGCAAACCAGTTTCTGCAGCTGTAGTGTAACCATCTCACCGGTATCTAAGGGCCAGCCTATAAGTTGCTTATCGACCGGGAGGTAGAATGATGGGATCTCCGCAGCCCGTAAAGTAAGGGTCGGGTGGTTGGAACAGTTTGGCTCTGTTCTCGTAGTATTTCGATGCAGATTGGGTTCATGTTCAGTCGGTGAGGGATCATTCTCACCTGTCTGTATATCTTGGTTGGCTGCAGGGTCCGAAACAACCGCTCACTCGAGTCACACCGGCAGTCGGTCCATGGGGGACAATGGGCTGTTAGGCGAATGGTTCATGCGAGGCTGCCATGCTAAACTGCTTTGGTCGGGTTGGGGATTGGGGATAAGCCTCCGCTGTAGTACGAATTATCGTTCGCCTTGACTTTGGAACTGTAAGATTGAATGGAGAGAGCCAAGAGGTAGTATCGGATTGTTGTGGGTGCCCGTGTATTGGTGGGAGTCCTAGAGCAAGCTTTGATAGAAATGCTGTGTATGCCATCGAGCGGGACCTGTGGTGCTCCTGTCAATGAACTGGTGATTTGATAGGAAAGCTTAAAATAAAATTAAAAATATGGTAAAAAACAAAAATCTAAAAAAAGGGGGGGCGGGAGAGATGAGGAAAAAGCGTTGGACAAAGGCACATACACTTAAGAATACTACCATAGGCATGGGGTCTCGGGTGGATGTTCTTGTCGCGTCGAGGTGTTGGGTGGACTCATTCTACTCGGTACCATGGCTCACAAATTCCCTGGAACCAAATAATTTCGACTAGAAGACTCGACGTTGGTCACGGATAAAAGCAGATGGTTACATTCCATGCGCGATATAGAATGTCTGTGCAGCGGTGTCTTGATTGGATGACTACTCGGTACTAAGTAGGTACTACCTAGGGAGGTTGTACAAGCTACACCATTGGTTTTCTGTGGTAGGTGGAAGCTTTTTCCTGGGGTCCACCGAGTACATGTTTAGTCCCAATTGCACGAGTCATGGAATGTCGCACAAAACGTCAGATAGCCACTGGTACAAGTGGACTACTTCCCCATCAGTGTTAAACCATCCGCCCCAAGGTGTCTAGACCAAGTACCAAATCCAAATTCACCTCAACATATTCTCCAAGCTATTTGGAGACTAGCTTGCCCCGCATCGTCGCAGATCCTCCCGCCTGTGAGACCGGAGATGATGTGATACAAGAAGTTGGGAAGTTGGTACGACCCTGTTGGTATGGATGTGCAACACCGGAGGCTTCTCTGGTGTAACGACTGTCGAAGTACGAGGTAAATGATGAACAATGTGTGGGGATCGGCGTTAGGAAACACATCATTGGGTAGTTCACTCAAGTAGTCGGAATGCAAGTTAGAATTAATTTAATTTTAGGAGGTGATTGTCCATAAAGGCATAGTCTGAACAGGGGGGGCGCAATACATACATCGCGTACAAAGTTCATTATGTATTGTGACTTGGACGATGGTACGTTTACTACTAACGTCAGTCAACAACAGCTTGGCGGACCAAAATGACAACATTCTCTCCAACAACCATAGTGGCAAATTTACCCTGTAAAAGATAGAAAGAAAGAAAAATAAAATTAAAAAAAAAGAAGAAGAAGAAGAAGAAGAACAAAACTAAACTAAAAATCTAGAGAATCGAGAAAAAAAAAACAAAAGGTAAAACAAGAGCTAAAAGAAGACCAGGAATGGACTAGGACAGTCAGCGATCAAACGCGATGGCATGTGGGGACTATTGTCCATTAAGCTCAAAGAGAAATCCCGGTTTCTGGAATCCTTAGCTGAACACCATAATCCCGAGATGAGCAAATGGTATTGCGCCAGCTCCATGAGGGATCAAGACGATCGTTTACCAGCTCGTCAAAGCATCGTCAACAAATGTTCCATGGTCCCCGCCAATAGGGACAATGCCTTTAGCCTGGAATGTGGGCTAGTGGAAATAGCAACAACCAGTGGGGCCGGATCGGCGGGCGGTTTGACCTAACTGACGCATGTCTGTACCTACTTTAGTACCACTGGTTATGCGACGTACTACATACAGTACATACATACATGAATGATCCAGTTGGGCACATACCTCCTACTAGTACCGGACCACAGACTCTATCCGGGAGAATCCCTCTCCCCTCTCTCTTCCCCCCAACCCACGATACGTAGTACTACTCTTGGGTGGCGATCGACATCCAATTAACTTTGGATCTCTGAGGGCACGCTAAGCCACCCACCAGCCGTCAAAGCTGATGCATCAGAAAGCCAGGAGGGGGACCACAATACGAGGCAGGAACTCGTCGTCAGGTTTCAATTGCTTTTCTTGGATTTTTGCAGTAGCATTGAGTATCTAGTTAAAGATTATTTCCGTGTATAGTAAGTAGTAGTGCTGAGCAGTCAATGGATCAATCAGATCAAAATACTCGACAGGGCCACCCCTCAGCGTACAATACCCCCCTTTTTTTGGTTTCACTCCCTCCCAATGATGTCGTATTATTCGAAGTGCGTAGATGGAAAGCCTCTCCAAGAACCAACAAAGGAGAAAAGAAAAAGACAAAGGAAAGGATGCAATGTTCACATTAAAAAAAAAAAAAAGGATTTCAAGCTGAAGGGGTAGAGAAAGAAATAATATCAAGTAACGTCAGTGGAATATAAGCAAAACTGTTTTACAGAAAACGCCGCGAAGCGCCGACCAAGGTCTACCGGACCCCATACGTCTGTAGCCTTCTAAAGACAGAATGAAATTAGGGTGCCAAAGGGTATCATATTGCGATCCACCCATAATATCTTTTCGTACTGATTCAATCATCCAACACGTCGACACTGTATTCACGGGTATCCGGCATGGGGTCGTCCAACGTTGAGCCACGAATGGGTCGCCCGTCAGCAGTGAGCTGGCCCCGGAAGTCCGGATCGTAGTCCTGACTGGTCTCGTCCAGTGTGGCAACGTATCGATTACGACCACCCCGCTTGCTGTGTGTCTTGGTGTAATGAGCATTGAGATTGTCGCTGCGGGAGAAGGCACGATGACAACCAGGGACCCAGCAGACATGGGGCTTCTCCTTGGAATGGCTCTTCATATGTCTCTTGAGATGCTCCTGTCTCTTAAACCGGCCTTTACAGCCAGGCTCTTTGCACTTGAACTGTACCTGTTTTATAATAGATGGCAGATTCTCTAGCGACATGTTCTGACGGGAAGATTGCTTTCGGATCATCTTCCTTGAGGGCTGGCGTGGAAGACGAGCGAGGCCATCGCGGAATGGCGGTGACTGCTGGAGATCATCGAGATAGTCACCCGCACCCCCGGAGAGGCGGCTCATGGGCGTATCCGGACCAGATGCAGTGCCAAGTGAGCATGATCGAAGCGGGGTACCCGGGCTGTGTGTTTTGAAGGTGTGAATTGACGCAGGGAACTCAGAGTACGAGGGCGGAGGAGTTACAGGACCCACTTGGGACGGTGCAATTGTCTGGGGCGCAATTGATTCAGTGGCCTGTGGTATCCACGGCATCATGTTCCCCATGGACATGGATGTCGGGACACGCTCAGGCTGGTGGAAGATAGATCGGGAGAGGCAAGGATTAGTGGCGGACTCTGGTAGGTAGGCCGCATGAGGCCGATAGTTGCTGCGAACCATAGGCGGGCATTGAGCCATAGTATGAGGATATGGAAGGGAGTGCGACCCGCCCTCATACGCCTTTGGTGCATCGGAGGGGATCCAGAATTGTTCCACATTTTCATCGTACCCAGACAGAAAGTCCGGCATTAGGGGGGCGCGTTCCTGTGCCTCCATGCCACCATAAGCCATGCTCATGTTTTCATTCGAGGTCATTCCCGCTAAACGAAAGGCACTCCGCATAGGGGTAGTTCCGGTATGTCGCTCGTATCCATGGCCTGGGTATGAGCTAGCATCTTGCCAACCGGGGGAGGCCAGCGACCCCTGGCTATAGATACTTGTTGGGGTTGGAGTGGGGGAGTCCATGGGAGAGAAGCTGGAGCTCATTGAAGGGCACTCGTTAGAACCCAATGAGGAGCAATCGACTTCAACGGTGAGGTTGTTCTGAGATCTCATATCTTCAGTCTCTCCTAGTTCACGGTCTTTTCGAGGTTGCACGTCAATGTTTGTGCCTGTTTTATGACGGTTTAGTGTTTAGATTTATGGAAGGAATGTAGCTGTCAAAATCAAGCAAATGAATGTAACAAGGTATGTATGGTATGACACAAGGAGAGTACGGGGCAGGGAATGTGCAATGAGGAAGTATGGTTTGCAAGCTAGTAGCAGCACAATAGAGAGTGATGGTTGGAGAGATAGGATATGTTGGTTAATGAAGGACTATGCTGCCCGAAGACACTCAAGAGAAAGAATGAAGGAAAGTCGGCATGGGATTAGAAACAGAGAGGAAGGAAGAAAGATGAATGTGAGGTGAGGTTGGGGAATGGAGGAGGGGAGGCGAGGTGAAATAAACAAATCGCTAGGGCATATAAACCGGAAGGGTAGAAGGACCGATCGCACTTACAAGTCGAGGCCATTACGATTCTCAGAGAAGAGAGGGCAAGCAGAAACAAGAGTTCAGAAAAGAGTTCAAGGCGCGTCGCGTGCCTGAATGGCCTAAGCAAGGCCAGGAATGTAGACTATAGAGTTCCTCGAGTAACCGCCAGCAAATGGTTGAACGGATGTCCCAAATTGGAGAGGGTGGAAAGGTGGCCGGTTTTCCAGGGCACCGTTTCCCAGGAGCGCGAATGTCTCTGGATAAAAGACCGCGACAACGTGGACTTGAGTGGCGGAAAGTCGAGATCGCCGGGTAGGATTGGCGTCAAAAAATGCTCCTGGATCGCGGAGGTCCTGATCCTGTGTTCTGAAAAGAGGATGGGCTGGTGAAATAGGTCTCAGTCGTATAGTTATAAGGAAAAGCAGGGAGAGAGGGACCAGCAAGGGACGATGGATTCTAGGAAATTGAAGACGCAAGTGCGGATAAAATGTCTTAAATCTATTAGAGGGGGAAGAGAGGAGGAGGTTTGAATTCAGAACTAGAGATTAAGGATTCTGACTCTGGATTTATGAAGGTTGATGAGTTGTTGAAATAGATGGAGGGGGGAGAAGATGGGAAAGTCACTCTTGGGGGGGGAAGTGAATGATCATATTATAGGCTTTTACTCTTTTCGGGAGAAACAACAGCAGCGAAGCAAAGCATACCATACCAAAGCATCGACAGGGAAAAAAAATTGAAAAAATAATAATAAAAAAAAAGGCAAGAAAAAAAAGTAAGAAAACCGAAAACCGAAAATCGAAAATCGAAAATAGACTCTTGTTCCTGTTGCCCTATGGACTGTAACTTTTCTTTCCAACGAACTCCCTTCTCCCGCCTTATGGAGCCCCCTCACATGCCGTTCCTTTTTGTTTTTTTTTTTTTTGGTTTTATTTTTATTCCAGTTTGATTTAGTTCATTTTACCCTCCTCCCTTGAGGCCAAAATAACCAAGACTAATAATTATTACTATCTACTCTAAAAAAGATACTAATTCTCCTAACTTTATACTCAGTTTAGTTCTATTTTACCCTTCTTCAGGTGGGCCCTCATGAAACGCAGGTATGGATTAGTACGAAAGATGTACTCCCATAGGTACGTACCACTTAGTAGTACTCCAAAATACCTGGTGGTCCAATATCCAATCAATCTAATCATGGCATCACAACGACCACCTTCTCCTCACGGAAAGGGAAAGGCCAAAAAAAAAAAAAAAGAGGAGGAGGAAGAAGGAGAAAATTCCAAAATCCCAAAGCATAAAACGAATGGGTGTGAGGCAAAAACCCATATGGAATGTTCGAAACTCCCGAGTCTACTCGAATCAACAGCCACTGTAGGGGTTAACGACGATGGCCATAAGTTAATTTTCTTGTTTAATTTTTTATTTAAATTACCATTATTATTCGCAGTATTATTATTAATTCGATACATACATGCATACATCAGCAAAACTCAACCTTAACAATAGGGATCATCAGTACATGGCATAGGTCCATCGTAAAGTCACCCAAACTCTCGGAAATCCATTCCCCGGGGTTGACTTAAAATGGTCGACGCTAAGGCCGTCACTAACTTGGCCGGTCGTAGTGTCGTTTTTAGTGTCCTACATCCATATCCACCCGGCGTACGCTAAATCTATTTAGGCTCAGGCTATGATATCTGGAATGATCACGGTACCTGTAAGACACAAATCAGTCAAACTCGTCACTCTAACTCCCCAGAAGAAAAATGAATTCGGTATACTCCGTGCCCACGATCATCAAGCCCCAGGGCCCTGAATGGTGATCAACGCCACCAATAAATCTCCATGTGGAGAAAAGAGGTTTTACCTCACCATTGAAACATTATTGAAGATACTACTTCGTAAGGAGACTATTAATCAATCCCGTTAAATTCAATGTCGAAATCTAAATAGGTCGAGAGAGGTGAGGGCAGAAAAGAGTAAATAAATCAAGGAAAAGGAAAATCGACTCTTCTTTCATAAAGAATTAGAAGAATATAAGGGCTCCACTCATCTGTGAGAATGAGGTCATTTCGAGTCCTCATCTTGTCCGTGATCTTCATCCTCTTGCTGCTGGCATGTTCAGTGCACGGTTCAGGTACGCGACCTGCATATTATGGTACAGAAGAGTGCTAGTAGGAATACAGACAACTGGGACGCCACTAGAGGCCATAACGCTAAGCAATTATTATCGATCGTCTTCGGGAGTAACGCCACCATCTAGACCACCAGGGTCGACACCCAAGGTGGGAAGGAGGTTAGACATTCAAAGTAGAATTAGAAATTAGAATTAAAAGAAATAGTAGTAGTAGTAGTAGTAGTAGTAGTAAGTAGAAATAGTAAGAAAAATAATAAACATCAATAGACACAGGGATTCCAAGGCTGCAACACGACTATACTATTTACTATCACTAGTTTCCTTGGTAGTAGGGAGAACGTTCAGGCGGTTGAGAAAGGGTTCCACCAGTTCCAACATCGTTGCCCAAATCCCGCAAAAAGTCTAACCAAGGAACATAAGACGAAATAGGTAATGGGCAAATACCTCCTTGGACGGTTAATGCATGGTTTTACGTGGATAACAACGACAGAGATGATGATAATTTAACGTCTATGTCGATTAAGATTATAATAATTCCCAGTAGCCAACTCTAATCATCCTCCACCTCCAAAATGAACGAAATGCAACCCTTCTTGGGGCGTATCTGGTAACCTCCAGGGTTTTTTTATTTTATTTTATTTTTTTTCCTGTAAGAACAGGTGGTTCCTTCGGGTAACCCACCCCGGGGTATATCGATGATTCCATGGTTAAATTCCAATAGATCGATATGGCAGATTCGCTCATGATCTACGATGCGTGTTAACCGCAGGTACTAACTAGCATACCGAATGCGCGCCGTCGAAGGGAATGATTTTGCTTCGTAACGATAATGTCAGTCAGTCCAGCAGGATCGCCGTCGGTCTTAACGTGCCTGGGGTACCCTGGGTCAAAGCTGAGACAAGGTAAGAAGCTACTGGCTCAGCTTTCAAGATGGAAGTACTATCTGCACTTAATTGGCAAGTCAGTTGACAGTCGGTCTGACTCGAAAGGCCAGTTACGGGCCAGTTACGAGCCACATACCTGAGTTTGATGGATTTATTCATGTACTGTACTGTACATACATACATACATATTCTTTTTCAAATCATGAGACTGTTACATGCTCTGTTTCTTCCTGAGACTTGCAAAAAAGGTGGTCTCTGAGATTATTATTATTAATGTGGAACCTTCAATGGCCATCCCCATTTTTCTAGAGGTTCCACTACTATATACTAGACTTGATGCTAAGCTGACGATCAGTGATCAGACGCACATCATCCGCCAAGGCTAACACCAACAATGGATTTGGACCAGTCGAAGGCCGCGGCATTGCTTGGTTTCTGCAGGTCTGAGATTCATTCTTTCCATTTCAATTTAGTTTTATCTATTTTTTTTTTTTATTTTTCTTTCTGAGTACTTCTATGGTTGGTATTGAATTTTGTTTTTTTTTCGATGTTTCCCCCCATCGGGACCAGCCAGCCGCACGTATCGCAAGCCCCCTAAGGAGTAACGTATGCCTGATTTCCCCTCTCCAAGCCTAGCCTACTACCGCCACACTCTCTGGAATGTGGGGTGGGAGGGGGGGGTCTTAGTCTTTAAGATGGCGATAGGACCGAGCCGGCTTTTGCACGGTGACACTGCGTCATGAATTTTGTGGGTTGATTCCAGCCTCGTTTTCCTGTAATTGTGAGTGACTCTTCGGGGCCCCCCAATGACCAATTTCTAACGGCTGCATGTTGCTGAGAGCTTGAGGTATGCACCGCCAACCGGACTCCTATTCACCCAAGTCATTCGACCGCCTTTCCTGAAGCCGAGTTTCTGATCTGTCACGCGTCAGTTGGCGCTCGATTCAAGGTATGAGGGACTCTAATCGTCACGCGAGAATGAGGCCTCATAGTCGACCAGTCAACTGTCTGGAAATGTCGCTGAATTTCTTAACTCCAACGCGCCGAGAGTGATTGCACATGAAGGTAATACTCCAATTGCCACTGGGCTCTACGGTGACTTGCGCGTGTTTTTTCCGAGCATCGTGGGCGATCCCTCATGTTCTCACCGGTCTACTTACCAGCATAATTAAATTTTTGAAGATACCACACCGTGGTCGCTGAGTCATTGATGTCCAGCTTAGGCTCTCACATCCTTAGAGATCTCTCGTGTTTTCGTTCTCAGCTACGTCGACAGTTTGCCCGTCTCTCTACATCCCCGTCGGTCGGATCTCGTTAACGATGTATGTGACAGCAACGACTGATCGACGGACGCCATGTCACGTTCACAGCCAAAAATATTTCAACACTCCAGCCGAATATGCATAGAACGACCAGGCCGTCCTAGATTCTGTCGCGGTACAGCTTCAGACAAATGCGGTGTGTACACAACAGTGTGGGTGTTGGATGTTCTAGTCCTCTCAGTCAGGTTTTCTTCCCTTCCTCTCTCTCTCATTTATCTCGTATTTTATTTTTACTTTATTTCTTATTACTCTCTCTTCTTCCTTGCCCTTCAGTGAGTGGATACAGGATTGCCCGGGAGCAATAGGTTGTTGCCTATCGGTATAAGTGGGCGATGGAACCCACAAGTGCTATTGAGTTATTTGTGAGCTCTCGGGTGGGCATCGCCAGTCTCAAAATACTAATAATAAAGGTGATGCGTCAATACCTTCAACCGAAGCCTGACAGTGCGTCTTAGGAATAGGAATAGCTTCGACAGATCCCAGAGTTCGGAGAACCCACTTGGCGGGGACCCCCATCGGTTGTCCTAAAAAGGGTTAACTACCATCTCCCACCGTATTAGTGCCTGAGGTGTCGAGTAGATCTGTGCTCCATATTGTGGGAACCAATGAATCCACAAGGATCTCACGTCCGTGCCTCGATGTAATAGACATATCGATTAGACACTCGGACTAGATAAGTAACTAGAATCAGTATATATGCTCCAGTGCTTCTAGGTCTAGAACTAGTAACATATAGCATTAGTAGTACAGTACATACACTATCTACTACTAACCCTCATATCATATGAGGTCCAGGGGACGGGGGTTGCTGAGCCACCGTGTCACAGCCACAGATCCTGACTAAGCCACAAGTGATATATCAACCCCGAGAGTCTTCCAGAACGGCAATCCTCCATCCGTGGCTTCCTGCAGGTGTCCCAGAATGTCTTCGTCTATCGATTTCTTTCGCTCATCCTTACTCCATAGGGCTTTGACCCTCGACATGACAATGATGAATAGTGAGCTGCTGATCTTCCCATCCATCCCCGACCAAAACCTTCACGATTCATGGCCATGGATGGATGGATCTCAACAAGCAACGGTACAGTTTCACATTTTTTCTTCGAATAGATTGCCCGGGCCCCAAAGTGGCGGGCGGATTATTGACCTTCTATCACTTCTAGACACAAGGATGTTCATATCAAGGAGCTTGGTCGGACTTTACCTCCCATGTATGTCCTCCTTACTACTCTCGGCTTCGGTCAAATCCCCGCGCCGTCGATTGTCTCCATTCGCCCTTAATGTTACCTACCTACTCACAACGGCTGACAGTATGTTCCTAATTGTACCTCTTCTTTCTCTTGTCTCTCTCTCTTTTTATCGTTTTAGAGCCCTGCCTTTCTCTCTACTCTCAATCTTTTCTTGTAGCACAATTGGAACTGTACTAACGATAGGATCTAGCTGGAACGAATCGTAATTCCCGGTTGTCTCTAGTGTATAACATAGAAAGCTGCACAACTGTCTATCATCGAACTCAGAGCACAACTACCTATGTCAAGGATACATTACAAAACTCATTTGCCGAGGGAACTAAGATCGCTTTTTCCTCACCTCCGTGTCTTGGTTGCGAACCCCTGCAGCACGGGCCTGTATGCCGCAAGGAGTCGACCGGACAATTGAGGCATCCCCAGGTCCTCTTTAGTGTTCCTGCGGTAGAATGATCTTTTTACCCCACTGATGATGCTGCCAAGACCGTTGGTGAATCTTGTCTTCTCTGGCTTTTTGCTTAGCCTTGTTTGCATCAATATATTGGATCCGGAGGGGCGACAAGGATCAGCCTCATTTCGTGCACCCCCCCCCCCCCCCCCCCCCCCCCCCCCCTTTATGGTAAAGGCCCGGGCCTCTGCAGCTCCAAAACATATCGAGACCCCTTTTTATGAATCAGGCCATTATTTATTCAACGGCTCTTAGGCAAATCGGAAATGGCGGAGCCCACAACACGAATCCCTGTTCGCATCTAGACTTTGTCGCTAGAGATCTATTTTTCAGGCATAGCAATCTTCAAGGCGACGTCATGACTCTGAAACAAACTTCCCCTTCCAGAATTCCTCTATGTGTTTCCCAAAACTTACGAGATTACGATAACGCCCAGCAAGGTTCCTGATATCCGCCACAGTCGAAGTATGCGCCCCATACTTCCTGGCGCCGGAACAGCTGATCCTTCCTTACCCTAGAAGGTGAAGAAGCGCAGGCGATGAATGTTTGACTCTATTCCAGGTAACAGTGGGCTGGAACTGTTACAGTGATATTGCAGTTTGAAACCGCTCGGACCTGCCTCTTCGAGGCGAACTCTGTTGCCGAAATGTTTCTCTGCGTGCCATAATCGAATTGAGCCGATTCAAATTGCTTAGCAGTCCCGTCCCACTTCCGGTTGAGCTTGGACAAGATCAAGATTGTAATTACTTAGGGTATCGTCAATGCGGCCTGACGGCCGAATCTATAGTTCGATCGTAGCGCGCCATATATCTCCGAGAGCATTCTGCTTTTGCACCAACCCGGGTCGAATGCTAGCCTCATTAGGCCAGATGGTGCTTGGACCCATTTCTGCAACAAAGATCCAATAAGTCCTGGATCTTGACCATGGAATCGGGGTTGCCCATTCGAGCAGGCGCATGGGCCCTGGTAGATGAACAGCACTTGGAACCCGCATACTTGTGCCTACGATGGGCGATTTACTTATTGATTGCCAAGTCAAGCTGTCAGTGTCTACTATGTATAAGTGTATGAGCCTCCGGTGTTAGAAGCATTGGTGCCGAAATCATCTTGAGGGTTAGTGCTGCAGGTACGTTGAGTAGGATGAATCTCCGAAGACCCGGGGAATTTCCCAACCTGGATAACATCGGTGAAGAGATTTTCAATATATCTCCCCTCACATTCTTCTTTCTTTCTGTTCCAAATAAATCAGGAATCAATATTATCTGATTGGTGATTTCTTGACGTGCCGCATAGGGACCTCGATGATTGAATCGAAGCAGGATCTACACCGGAGTGGGACAATTAAGATCCTCACTTGTCTCACCCACAGTCCATTCCCCCGTGCTTCACCCTATGCTTGTCTCGGCGACGTTTATGCAGGGCAAGGCCTATAGTTATCGATTCCAGAGCTTTCCTTGTTCGTGCGCCAGTTGAGTGGCCAGAAATGGAAGATCCGATGCAGGCGGTCCATTCTCTTATTGAAAACCCCCTTGCGTCCAAGCACCTTTTTCTCCCTTATCACAGTCTCCAATAAAAGCGGATCAGACCTTATATCTTGCCACCATAACACCATCGATCAATAACAACGGATTGAGTTGCATTGCATTGCATTGGCGTTATGTCTAGTTCCCGGTTCTGGCCAATGTACGGGAAGAGCAAGCTCATCCTGGCAATAATCAACACCACTCGTGCACCATGACCGCCCATCTTACCCAACGTCTGTGGGGTTTCGGGTACCTCAGAGTGCCTAGATGTCCTTGCGCAACGTCTATCAGGTGCTCTTCTCATTCATTCTCCACTGCGTTACTTTATTGATCCATTTGGCAAGGTGGCCTTCGCAAACTATTGGCTGCTAACCAAGTTATGCACCGTAATATTTCGCAGATCCATTAATCATTAGGGAAGAGTACTTTCGCTCGAAGCACCTGACAGTCTTCTTTTCTTCTTCTTTTTGTTCTTCAGATCCGTGCCTCGAGGTGCTGTGCTCAGACTTACGGTGTCAGTGATCAGGAGAAAGGCAAAAAAACGACGACTGAGAACCACCCCTGTGGCTCTCAATGTTAGCGAACAAGTGTTACAAAGATCTATCAACTTCAAATCCCTAGACCGCTAAGCGCCCCCTAAGGCCCCAGCAGTGCCCAACCTTGCCCAATTCCAATTCAGTAAAGTTCCATAGTTGGCCTCTCTGGAATGTACATCTGCACCCACCATCCACAAGACTTCCCTCCCTTAGAGCCAATGCCAGTCTAACGGTCTCCTCTCCGGCCCTTCCTTCCAAATTTATCCATGCATACAGGATACATGCAGCCGTACTACTCAAACCCGTCCAATGAATGGCCCCCTGCCTCTCCCCAAAACCAATCTGGTTGGATTTTCGGTTCGGTGTGAAACCTGAATTTTGACCTTTTCAATTTTACTTTTCATTTCCCTTCTTTCTGGACATGCATACAATATATGGTTTGAGCACACTGCACGTATGTATGCAGTGGAGATCACGTCGATCACGATCTGAGCACTCAGCCTATAAGGGCTTGGTACCTTTGAATTCGGTGGCTTGTTCCCTTTTGGGAGAGGGTTGTACCTTGGGGTTGTAGGGGGGGATTATTGGGCTTGAGGGTCTGTGTCGGATAAATTGCAATACGTAGGATGACGTTTTGTACAACAACGCTATTATACTTGAAGTTATTCACTTCGCTGAGTTGTCCTTTGGTGATTGGGACGCGGCTAGACACGAGAAGTAGGTCTAGCATTCAGGATACTGTTTCGTGATGTGAACTCATTTTTCCAGAGTCGTAGACGTTGTTTGTCTTTACCTGAACGGTTCCGTGAGGCGCTTTTCTATCAAAAGCCATATCACCACCTACCACATAATTTTTTTTTCATGTCCTCCATATATCCAGATACCAAAAGAAAGTCGTTGTGTCTAGAAGATATACATCAGACGTATGACTTGATACAGCTTTCCGCGAGCCCTCAAATCCAGCCCACTAACAGACTGCCTATGTCCACGTCAAACATATAGATTCATAACCCCCTCCTCTTATAGCCAGGCTTACTTGACACTTCATCCACACAAACCCTTACAGTATAATGTAATCAGAGGAAATCCGCAGTCTAGTTGTTCTACTGCTATACACCTAACAGTCCATACGTTCATTTAGTCCTCGGGCAGCAAACCAGCGCCATATCCACCTAGCCAAGCAATTCGTTCTTTTAATCTATGGGGATTATTTAATGTAATTCCGTAGTCAAGAGCTGATGCCCAAAAATAAGCTATATTCCATATTACTCTTTTTCTCCACGATTTTTTTTTCATCTTTTCTTGATTTTTCCCCCATGGTATTGTTGTAACTGCGCTACTTTTCTGTCGCTAGATATATATTTGCTCTTACCCGAACATCAACGAGCGGCACGAGGTGTTCATACATAATCCCCAACCCCAATTTCCAATTTATATTATTTACTCAGCCTATAATATACGACGGATTACTCGAGGTTATTTCACCTTGAAAATGACAAGCAAAATGATTCTTTTCTCGGTGGGTGCGTGCCTGGTGAAATGTCGAGCTTTCTTTCCACTTCAGGGTGTGGGTTGGACTTAGTTGAGAACAAGTTTATAGGGATACGTGTTGGTGTGTTTGGTCGAACAGTAGATAATCTCCTCAAAGCGTTCCTGTCACGATCGTTCAATGCTTCAATATAGCGGCTCTGATGCAGTACCTTTACATGTAAATTAGATGGAAGGCAGTTAGTGAAAGCGCTTATTGAACAATCGGCGAGTATAAATTTCATAGTCTGATATAGCTATATTTCATGTCTACACGAGCATAGCCCTGTAAGCTGATTCTCCAAGATGAAAGAGCAACATCCAAAAAGCATAAGCGCATTTCAAAGGGGACACCTGTACAAAATGGTATCAAGTCTGTTCCTTGCTCCCCGATCAATCAATCCCTTTCCCAATGTTACAATCGCCAAGCACAAGAACAGCAAAAATGAGGAGAGAAAACAAGAAATTGAATATAGTAATCGAACCAAGGTCAAGAAACGCCAGCCTGTTTTATCGCAAAATCCCGGCCCCCTGTACAATCTCCAAATGAGGCGAATAATAATCACGGGCCCATGAAGCAAGAGATAGAAGAATGTCACTCACTATCCACATCTGGTGGGCCGAAGGCAAAGAGAGGAAAAAACAGATATAGAGTTAAAAAGGTTGCCAAAGAAGTGAAGAGAAGATTTGCTGTTTCGTAATCGATAACATTTCAGAGCGATTAGTTGCCCATCCCATTCTGCATCATGTTTTGTTGCTGCTGTTGCTGCATCACTTGAGCCTGTACGGCCGCAACCTGATTAGCGCGTTGTTGCTGAGCAGCATCACGTTCTCGTCGAATAATTTCGTGAACCCAAGCTTTAGCATTTCTTTCAAGCCCGGCATGATACTGTTGCGCAATTTGCGGTGGGTACTGATTAGGTGGGCCGTACTGCGACATCAGGCGACTGGCCATCTCTTGTCGTAACCGTAATAGGCGTTGTTGATAGAGCTGGTTGTATCGTTGCGCCATAGCTCCTTGCGCCATGTTGACTCCTTGGAGGTTCTGCGGAAGCTTTCCACCGTTGGCCTGCGCGGCTGCCATCAGCATCTGCTGCTGTTGAGGGTTCATCTGAGAGCCACCCTGATGCACTTGGTTTTGTTGACCTTGTGGCTGCTGTCCCTGCGAATGTTGCTGCTGTTGCTGTTGCGCCATTTGCATCTGCGCGAACTGCGCCCGCATAAGTTGTTGTTGGTAAACTTGAGGGTTCGGAACGTTCTGTTGCTGTTGTTGGTGGCTCTGCTGCTGAGCCTGCAACATCTGCTGCTGATGTGACTGGATATTTTGCTGTGCATGCGCATTGGCCTGATATTGGGCAAATTGCTGTGGTGTGAGTTGGCCATGTCCAAGATGCCCTTGCTGTGCAAGCATCTGTTGTCTCTGCTGCAACAACATCTGCTGCTGTTGGGGTGTAAGGCCCATACCACCTGCCATCTGCGGGGTTCCCATCATAGCTTGGTTCATCACCGGTGTTGCGGCCACTGTGGAGCGACCCGGACTGGCGTGGCTCATTCGCTGTGGCGTAACGTTGCGCATTATTGGTGTCGCATGTGACATAGCGGGCGTTCCTTGAGTCATCTGCGGAGTTCCATGTCGACTCTGCCCTTGCTGGCTCCTCGAAGGCGCCATTGGGTGGCCCATAACATTAGGGTGGGCATGCTGCAACGCGGAAGGGGGTCGCGGAGGGCTGCCAGCGCCCTGCATAGAGGATGTCATGCTCATTGGCACGCCTCCCTGCGTCCCCATGGCATTGCCAGGTAACGGTGATGAGGTGTTGTGCGGTGTCTGGTTGCGAACAACTGGAGAAGATTGGGGAGCTTGGCTGACTCCGTTTGCCTGAGGCATGACGTGTCGACCCTGTTGCTGCGCAGCAAGCTGCGCCTGCACTTGCTGTTGAGCGGCGAGGTGCTGTCTTCGAGAGTCTTCTTTAGCTTGCTCTTCAGCCTGGCGTTGCTCCATAGCACGACGCCTTTCTCTTTCCTGTTCTTGCTGCTGCCTTTTAGCTATTTCTTGTTTCAACTTGATTTCGTGCTCCCGTTTCGCTTTCTCCTCATGCTGCATTCGAATGTTTTCGAGGGTTTTAAACCGAGAGAAGCGAGGTTCGAAAGGTGCACCGCCGCTTGTATCGTCAACAACCGCAGATTTCGGGCCACCCGCGCCCCCTGAAGTAGCTGGCTCCAGTCGTTCATCCATGATAAGCATAAATCGCTCTTCTTCAGCCGCCAGTGCTTCGTCAGCAGCAAGCTCTGCCACTGTTCGCTTTCTTCTTTTGGGTGATGGAGGCGGGTCGTTATTGAGAGGGCTCTCCATGTATTTCAGTAGATCTTCAACAGCTTCCAAACTCTCTACGGGGTCCAAGAAGAGAGGCGGTGCTAGCGCTCTCGTCAATTTAGATTCGCACTCTTGAAGATCCTGCGGCTCGACGAGCATCTTCTGCCTTTTTGCAACATGCCCGCGTTCGGGTTGGCTAGACGAGCCCCCAGGAGAAGGAGGCGTAGTAGACGAAGGCGCTTGAGTACGGGATGCAGAACTCGTAGCCCCTTGTTTTGTAGCCTTTGGATCGGGCGTAGTAGCAAGCAGAGTTAGCTCTGCTTGTAATGAGCGAGAAGTCGGATGAAGAACAGTCGTAAACATGCGAGGGTTGGGAGGAGGCTGTTTGTGTTGAGAAGAGCTTGATTCGCTCTTTTCTGTTTCATCGAGCGAATCGCTCGGTAGCCCTTCGTTGGTCTTAGCGTCTGACTGGGCTCCCCCAGTTTCCTTTGGAGTTGGCTTTTCTGAAGTCAACTGGTTTTGTTTTGGGTAGGGTACATAGGCTGAGGGAGTAACGTGTTCGTTGTAGTTGTGAATAGAGAACGGGGTATTACTATCATTCGTCGATGGGGCAGTCGACTTTCTCGCTTGGGCTGACACAGACTTGTGGTCGACCACCCGCACAATGAGACAACCTATCATCATGATTTAGGACGACGTAACGCAAGCATAACAATAGAGTCAAGAGCCTACCTTCATAAAACCGAACGTTGGCCCGTAACAGCTCTTCCATCATATCGTGGGGAACAGTCCCGGCACGGATATGCTCGATGATGACCTTCATTTCAGAATTATATGGAAAGCTCCCATCTTGTTGCTCAAAGCGGAAATGGGTAGGGTGAAGATGTAAAATGAGAGATGGAGGGCATTTGGCGTATTTCTTTAGAATATGTGACGATGTCTTGACTGTAAGGGATGTAGCCGTCAGCACACAGGGGCTCCGCACATAGAGCTTGTGGACACTCACCGTAGGGCTCAGGACATTTCTTGCCCAGCCGGCGCTCATTGTCCGTGGATGGAGTCCTAGCCAATGGCTTTGCTAACCGCATTCCTTGGTCGCCTGGCCTTTGCGCATCTTTTTTGGGCCGGTTAATGGAGCCCTTCACGCCATTCGAATCTGAGGTGCCATTGACACCATTTGTAGCTGCACCGCTTATAGAGCCCGTGGTTGCTGGCTGGTTGGAGCCCGGAAGGCGCTTTGAGGACGGTTGTGGGGAAGAGGAGGACTGCTGAGGTTTTACCCCATTGACCCCGGCTTGAATAAAAGGCGGGGGCGGCCGCTTCATCTTGGGTGGATGGGAGGTGGGTTTGGTGATCGCTGTCGCCATGTTGTCGGTGAAGGGGATGCGACGCGTCTATGACAAACGGCTTACGAATGCGACTTCTCAAAATACGAATCCGAAGATAGTAGATGGAAACGTTGCTCCGAGTATGATATAACCGGAGCGCGAGACATGTGGGGAGCGGAGGACGGGACCGGACGACGATGAGTAGGCCGGAGCTGACGCGGAACTTTGGACGGAGCCCGGAACCGTTAGAATAATAGGTTACTATTGTCCATCGAACAAGCACCTGCAGAGAAGGCAGGGGAGGTTCGGCGAGGCTGATCGGGCGACGGAGGTGGTGCTGCAGAGGGAGTTTGGTGATGCCAAGCCGCGGGCGACGTGAAGGAGGTCTGGGTCATGTGACTACTGCATCGGGTTAGGGCCAACTGACTATACATCTAATCTCAGCGATGTACGGCTTCATCTACAATGTTGGGCGCTTACGTTCACAATAGGATTATATACTTAATTGCTTTCATCTACAACCTTTGTGTGGCTGTGGCCTGTGTGAAACAAAGAAAAGGGGCCGTGATATTGATATCTCTCCAAAGGTGCTTTTTAATCTCAGATATAAATAGACCATATGCAGTAGACACATTACCAATGTAGAAAACACAGTTCGTAAAACTTGGGGGAATCGAATCAGGGGTCATAAAGGTAATGAAAGGGGAAATAACACATATGAACAGTGGAACAAAAACATATCGACAAAAGCCGCCCATGGAATCAGCACAGGACTTGACGTCTAGTCGAAGCCAGATATTCTTCGTCGCCAGTCATCCCCTGTACGGAGCACGTCAACTACATCTATTCTCTTGCCGATGCCAGTTGTGCCCTCTTTTTGCCACCACTTTTCACCGCTGTCTGCCAAGGCGGACTCATCCTCGCTGTCGACAAGGCCGCCTCGCTCACCAATGACAACAACTACCTGTCTGACCCAACGGGAGATATGGTGTACCGGCTCCCCTTCCTTTCCTGTGAGGGATTCCTGCACGTAAACAGTGTCAGGAGAGATGTGTCGCACGAGGTGCACGTAGCCTGTGGGGGTGCTGAAAGGCATAATTGTGCTCTCCTTCTCAGCAATTGCCTGCGCCTGGGTATACAGAGTTCTGAAGAGCGGTGTCATAGCTTCCTGGTCGACCTGGCAAGAATCTGGACTTGTCAAATCGCCACTTGGTGGCTCACCTGGGGAGAGAACTTCTTCAGGAGCGATATTCGAGTAAGAAGACGTAACGGACATGGTTGGGCGGGACCCATTGCCTTGATTAGGGGCGTGCTTCAGGCCCGGCGCATATATCATAACAAAGATTCGAGTAGTATCGGGGTTGACATGCTCAGGAAGGTGGGAAAGAATAGACTGCGGGATGATTAGTACCGTGAAACCAAGAAGCTTAGACATCAACATACCACATGATCGGAAGTAAGCTCTTCTGGGTCCAAACGCGATGCGTCTGATGACACAACAATAGCTACCGTTTTCTTTTTTTGTGCGCCAGAAGGGGTGCCACCAGCAACTCCAGAACCAGGAAGAGGGCTCATGGCCGGAGCAGCAATGTCCGGCTGGTCCCTGCGAGCTCTTGATTCTACCTCTTCCGACCATCTGGAATGATCTTCAAAGTCGCCCCTGTCCTCTTCTCGGATCGATGTCAGAGCACCGCCCACAAACGCGCCCGCAGCGGCCACACCAGCTGCAACCCGCTTGCTAGCACCATCGAAAATCTGTTGAGGACTAGGAGTACGTCGCAAGGCTCCCTGCATGCGGGCCACCATGCTAACGTCGTCTGTATGTTCGCCATGAATATCCGTCGCTGTTGATCTAGCATAATCTCCATCATATCCACCGGGAGGAAGTTGGTCTCCGCTAGGGCCCGGCGCGGGGAAGCCATCGCCATCTCGGGGGTAATCGGGGTCGTTATCCTCCTCTTCGGTGCGTTCACTCCAGATCCAGGCTGCAACACCAACGGCCGCGACACCTACTGTCAAGGCCAGGGGTACCCAGTATCCCAGGACTGTCCGCCTACCCGACGAGCTGAAGCCAGTGCCCGCTCCAACCCGCCGACGACGAGCATCCTGGGGGAAAGACATTGTGGTCGCTGAGGTCAATTAAAGCTGGCGCATAAAAACAGGTCTCTCGCGATAACTTAAATCACATTTCAATCCTGTTCTAGAATATTGGGGGGGGGTAGGCTGGAAAGATCAAATGAAGGGCAGGAAAGGAGGAGCACCCGCAGGGCTGGGACAAGGGCCTCGGGCCACCCGAGAAACATGTGGCTGGTGATTCCAGCTCTTGTTTACCACGGTGTTTAGCGCTACGGTATTTGTCGGAAGGGAATGTTTGCCGGGTTTGCATTCCTCCATATAGCTATCGGCACGTGATGGGTGTCCTTTGATCGAAATAGTTGTTTGATCAAAGGTCACAGGGAGAAAACAGCACCATTTGGCCTATATATTGATTTTTCCAGTGTGCTTGGGATAATACTCTAGATTGTACTTTGATTCGACTCCCGACAGTCATGCGACCATCAATCATCCTGACACGTTCCCATACTTTTGCTTTTCTTACCCAACTACAATGTCATCAGGACAGATCTTACCATATGTAGCTGTTGCCGTGACGGGGCTTCAGGGCCTTCATTCTCTACGGGCCTGTCCTTCTCTCAACACTTTCCCTCTATCCCCGAAGAGTATCCCAAAGCTGTGATACCGATTGCGGATTTTCTGATGAAGCGGCTCAGGTAGGTAATACGAGTAAGTCGTTACCTCTTTTCTCCATCACTTAAATTCTCGCGCCTGGATGGGACTAGCTCCGCTTAGGTTCAGCCTCTCAAAGCTCGACTGGCTCATGACGTTGGAAACACTAAAATAACGAACGCAAGACTAGAAAAAACCGACTGCCACCCGCTTGTTAAGCAGATGTCCTGGGAAAATGACGCCGGGTTACGGAGACCGCGACGCAAGCAAGGAGGACATCATTGTGAAGGTAATGAGCACCACCAAAGCCAGTAGCTCGTATTTGCATCCCAAGTCAAGACTTCGGCGTCGACTCCGAGCCAACGACCGAAAAGGACAAGCTCCACAACTCCCCAGCCCTAGCTTACGTTCACCCGTCTATCCCCTCAGCACAGTTCGTTAGACATGTAGATAGATACACGTATTTCCCCGCTCCTTCTGTCTCTCCTCACATTGTTAAACTTAAATTCGTTAAATTACACCATTAAGGAAACCGTTATAGGTGCAAGTGGCCACATACCTAGCTGATTCCAGGCTTGAGCAACCTACAGAACGAAAACAAGAGCTACCGGACAGAGGAACAAGGGAAACAAAAACATGCCATTTCAAGCTACAACTCCCACAACCCGATTTTACCATTACTCCGCCGCTGTGATATTAGTATGTAATTCTCGACCTCCTAAACAAAGGAACGAAAATAAACCCAAAAAGCCATCCTGCAAGGCAATGACGTCACAGCCCTAATGCACGTGAATAAGAACAAGAACAAGATCCATGAAGACCACGTCAAGTCCATTCCCCTGCACCTGCACGAAATGCCAAACTATAGTAGGTTCACATTCATGTGGCTATAACCCGCAAGTAGAACAACCAATGTACGAAGCACATACAGTTGCCACCCAAAGAGGACGAAACGAATTAAAACCAGGAAAGTAAAAAGGGTCTAGACCGAGACGCATATCTTTTCCTTAACCTTTAGTAAAATCCATACTGTCTCCGTGAAGCGGGAATCCAAAGCCTCCAAGCACATGGGGTTCCAGTTGCGAAATATCTCCGATAGGCTGTTTGCCTTTGCCGCAGGTTCCGTCGCCACAGGGGCCGGAGAACTGCAATTGGTCGGGGTCACTTAGGTCGAGCATGCTCGGGTCGATGGTTGAGAAAGTAGTGGTTGGACTTCGGGGGATCAGGATGGTGTTTTCTAGGCTTGTGGGGAAGAGAGGGTCTTCTGTTGGATTGATGGGCTGTTGGGCTGTCTTTTCGGGGAAGAGTGGGTGTCTGGATGTGGATATGTCTGGGTCAGGGTAGATCTGGTTGATTGTCCCTCTTGGTGTGCTGTGGCAATATGGAATGATTTGCTGTGTATTGTCAGGTATAGGGAAAGTGTTGTTGTAGGTGATTGGATCAGTCTTTGTATGGTGATTGAGGTCCATCCCATGAGAGGTCCCATTAATGTGTACATCTCCATCGCATTCAGCTGCGAATAAGGGATGATTGAGACTGTTTGTGTGTACATGAAAGCCGACTTGGTGGGTGGCTCTCTCGTCCAAGGCCTGGGTGTGGTTTTCCATCGACGGTCCAGGCTCTCCGAGCGGGGATAGGGAGCGGAAGACATGATGGGTGTATTGATTTTTGGTTATTGGAGCCCTGTTGGGCGCCTCGCACGGACGCCCATCACTCCATGGGCGTAATAAGCCCGGGTTCCCAATAGCATTATGAACTGAGCTAGCCTGAGCGTCCATCGGCGGCTGAATGGATTGTCCCTGAACGTAAGGTCTAGCCAATGAACCGGTTCTGATGTGATTATAGCCTTGCTCCCCTGTCCCAATAGAGGCCATTATACACTGCGCTGGCATCGAAATGTTACCGTTAGACAAGTGACCAGATCTCTGCGCCACATGCCGGACCCCAGTCTTCGGTTTATCACCAAGCCCCTGCCCATCAGGAGACAGCAGTCCGATCATATTAGACGACACAAAAAAGAAGTCACTAGGGCGCCGATATCCCGCCATCGACCAATTGAGATTCGAGTAATCCAAACGATCCCATTGCTGAAATAGAGCAATCATAATATCAAACGCATAGCCCGGGTTCATATGGAAATCGCTCCGGCCCCTAGTACAAAGATAAGTCTGGATCTCCAAGCCACGGACATAAGGGTCTTCCTTTGTATATTTGGCCTTCGCAACGCCGGGCTGCAGCCATCGCTTGTGGTCACCTCGCGCGTAAAAGCGAGCCACCATATCAAGGAACCCGCTTTCGTCTGCCGATACGCCGAGAATGCACTCCATATTCTGGACAGTCATTAGTAGACGCTTCATAGTGTCGGGCTCGCCCCGACATGGTTGACCATGCTGCTGACATATCCAGCAGTCGCTCTCCATTAGCGCTGTTGTTGCTGTTTGTTCCTCATGGTTTCTTGCCTCTTCGAACGCACATGTCATGTATGAGACAACCAGGTGGGTACAGGCGTGCCAGAAGATGACCATCTGACACATCATGGATTGCTGTGCGGAAGGACTACTACTTCGCGATATAACCAATCGCCTCAGCTTTTGTTGAAGCTAATTTCTTGCGGGAAAGATTTGCGATTAATGTAAGATCTGAAGGATGCAATGATAGATCGGTACATAGAAATAAGTCCAATGGCTACATAATCTGGTGATATAGGACAGGCCATGTTTTCTTAGTGTTACTGGGGTCAGATACTAGGGACACATGATTTAATTTTTGCACGTAGGAGCTTTGGGTGAATGAAACAGTGAATATAGATTCAGGATCATATTAAGAAGTGCTTGTTTAGTACCCTCGGCGGGAAGGGAATTCAATGTCCAATCTCTTTGATCGAGGATTGACCTCATAGCGCATAGGAGGATAGAATATCATGCCGGTTAGCTTTGGATATATTGTTCGTAGACCTTCAGAATGAGCACAGGCAAGACGTCCCTACTCATTGGTTTGCCTAACTTAGAATATACTATGTCTACCTTTAGAGCTTAGTGGACAGCTTAAGAACAAGGCTAGAGGTATGCTTAGGGAGCCTCCTAAACTACAATAGCTTCTATAACTTCTGCAGCAGACAGGTATACGGATTTCACAATACAATTAATAAACACTTATCAGCAAATTGACGCGCAATGGGGTCTAATCTCATCCCCACTAAATATGCACGATTCTATGTATAGAATTAAATAAAGAATAGAATCAATATTGGAATATAGTGCTTGAGGCTTGAGGCGCGAAATTCAATTAGTTCAAGCTCTCAGCAAACTATGTCTACCCATATAGCTTAGATTCATCACACGTACAAATTCCACGAATCGTTTGATTCGGATGGATATATGTTCTAGCACAGTATATACTCCCCATAGCCGAAAATCTTAGAGCCACTATGGAGATAACAAGAATGATCTCTCTAAGATATATCTGATCTTTGCTAACACCGCGTTAGGGCATAGAATAGTGAGACATCCCACACTATTCTACCAATCAAGGTATGTACCATACATCCAAGGCACCAAGCTCCGCACACACAATAGCCCCGCCAAAATGGCAAGTGTAAAGACACAGTCCAACCAACCGTGATGCAAGGAGCGGGCGCGACGTGCTTAACTTTTTTGGTGGCGGGCCACCGTGTCTAAAAATATCATAATTTTGAGTCACTTTCCGCCGTTGACGATAGAGACTGAGTTTCCGATTGATTTGTTGATTCTGACGTCGGAAGATAGGTACGTAGATATGTACCCAGCCTTCTGTACTATTTTTCTCGAATCTTCTTATATTAGGTAACTTTGTTGCAGATTAGTATAGAGGAATCGAGCATCAATCAGGGTATGTAGGAGGGTGTAAGACACGCCATTCCCGAGCCCAATCGAGAACAAGTCGAACCATCTAGGCATTGACAGGATGAGAGGTATCCACTGCATGTCTCAAACCTCACTCGACACACGGAATGTAAGGTATCTTACAAGTAATGCAAAAGGATAGCATTTACGTATTATCTATACAAATATCTAACTTGATAAGTGTACATACCGAGCAAATTTCTTGTTGGTTCGACCTAGATATCTGGTATCTTGTCGCAAACATCCAGAGGTATAGATGCACCATGTATGTGCGTTGATAGCGCTAGATAAATTATATCAGCAACTAAATATTATCTCCGAGGCATAGTACAGTAGTGCTTCCCTATAGTAGCAGTGGCATGCTGCGGGTCACATGGGTGGGTCATGACAGGGAAGTTTGCGTCGAAGGGCTGTTCATTCATTCTTCATGCTTTGGTAGCACTGGGATGATCAAAGTGTAGCCTATAGACCTCCAGTTTTAAGTATATAGAACGAGAGATTAATGGAGAAAATATCCGGAAGGTCAGAGATTACATAAATCAAGCAATGTCACAGAGATAGTTTAGTAGGTCAAGAAAGTATTGACTTCCATAGAAATCGCTTATCAGGCAAGAAAAAGAAGAAAAGCTTCGGTGGATCTCAGCCAGCCATCCCCTCATTGTCAAAATATCAAAGTGTCTCTTTCTTACCGGCCGAAGCCCCGCTTAGTGACTACCCGTTAAGGCGACATGCAGATTCCACTAATCGTGGGCTCGTGGAAATTTTTGCCCGCCGACCTAGTCATCTCGTCCACTTTACACCAATGGTAAAGAATACCAATTCCAGCATGTATTGAGGTCCAGTCATAGGAAACCGCGGAGGAGCTTGGCTCACAAATCTAGTGGAACGATTCGTCCTTAAAGAATGATCATATGACTCTTGGTGTTGTTCTGCGGATAACCTCTGCATGGTACGAAAGAGACGCTGTGTGACCTGAGCAGTGAATACCTCGGCGGAGATATAGAGATCCCCATCAACTGTCCAAGTGGGATATTCCTGGGTAATGTTATTGTTTCATGTTGAGGCATCTGCAATGCATCATGGACTGTCCTGTATGCTTGGTGAGATGTAACCAGTGGAAACATACATTTATATATATAAAAGAGTTAAAGGACACTATATCCACACATAGAGGAAAGCGAATAAACCATGTATTGAACCTATTGCCATATAGATTAGTTAAATACCCTAAGGTTCTTTGTATTAAGGGTGTTGAATGAAGATTGTGTACTCTGTAGGACTGATACTCCATACATGTGGATGAGGCAGATGCGGGGAAAACATCCAACCGTGCCTGGAAACCCAGGCAGAGTTTCCAAGAATTGACTTTGCTGGGTTCATGGCCCAACCGTCAGGTACCTTTACCGAGTAAAACAAAAGACTGTACTACCCATGGTTTCTCCAGCATTGTATAATTACCTAAGCATACATTTGCACAAGTTGTGAGCATTGTGCATCATTCACAAGTTCGAAATCCATGACCATATATTTTGCCGACCGTATCAAATGTTTTTGGCGCTTTTTCCAGTGCAAGCCTACTGTACTCCACACTTTCGGTTGTTTCCCCCAGATATACCATGTAACTACGCAATCTTTGTTCATCTGGCGACTGGGATTAGACGTGATCGCCCCTTGTTGGATCCTTCTATTATAACACCGCCCCTGGAACAACGTTGATCTTACCTGGGAAGGGACTGGTGTAGACATGGGTACTGACTATTCCCTTTACACATGTCACCCTGAGAGCTTTCGGGGTTCCTGAATAAATTGACAAGAGGAACGTGCGCTTGATCTTCCAATCACACCGGGTTTTGCTCTGGCCACGTAGGAGTTGTTGTCATGTTGGAACCCCAGATTGTCATCATCAACCCAACCCTGCAATCGGTAACTATATAGTGAGATTTGTCATAAGATGAATCACCTCTTGAGTAGGAGAGTTGCACTCCGCATTGGGCAAGTGACAGCTGCTAGGTAGAAAGTTCAATGAGGGGCTAATTTTTTTTCTCTCTTTGCCAGTGGGCAGGATAAACCCTCATGGAGAGGGTCGGGCAACACGGTAAGATAGAGGGAAAGAAAAGGGAAATGAAAAATTAGAAAAATGAACCAAAAAAGAGGCTCAGGGTTGATTTAAACTCTTGCCCCCCCCCCCCCCCCCCCCCCGGGAGGCGTTTGAACGAAAATCTCCGGATTGTGTAGATGATACTACTTAGGAAAAATTTTGGGGATAGACAATGACAATGAAACCTAGTTGCTCTTTTACGATAAGGGCGAATGAAACGGAGCTCCTGCCAATTTGAACTGAGGATCCCTATCCCCGTATCAAGGAGCCACTTCGTACGAATTACCAATTCATATCCACTTAGCTCCATCCTCTACATTTGTTCTCCATCACACTCCCGCAAATCGATGGAGCCATGGTACATCGTCTGTAGATTGAAGTTCGGTGTGACTCCGCACCGTATGATACTTTCTCCATACTTCTCATAACACCCACCCTTCCGCTTCTCGGGTTCGGGTCCTGTAGGAATTTCCACTGCCGCAGTTCCCCACCCCAAGGCATTTGGAGTGTGGCCATGGAGTAGGAGAGAGGAGGGAACCCCAGCGTGGATGGCATTCCACGTTAGGTGACTCCTAGGTCACGAGAATTTAAAGGTTGATTATATCCTGACTCGCAGGGGTGTCCAGTGCCTTGGATCAGATACTAGGATAGGGATCCATCCAAGGTCCGGTACCCCTCAATCCTTCTACGGAAACGAGCACAGATAAGATTGCAGATGAAACGACAACTGTGCCGCGTCAGTAGGGAAAATCCCAACAAAGCGGAGCAATTACTTCCTCGTCTGGTTTGATGGAACTTTCACAATCTTGATAAGAGTTTTCGCTTTCTTGCGTGAACGGCAGAATGTGGAGAATGATGAGCTGTTGACTGTCGAATGAAATCTGAAACCCGGTGGATGGGGGTCCATGATATGCACCCGCCGCCGTCAATTTAAGTGACGCGGTTGGCGAGCAAAGGCCCGGAGTCGAATCAAGTGCTGGCTTGTAGTGTCGATCACGCGGGAACTCCTTACATTGATCTGCGTGAGCGACTAACTAACTTTTCTTGTTTTCTCTCCTCATATAAATCCACAGGAAATAGTTGATTACGGTGTTAGGAAATGTAGGTTTTTTATGCTGGAAAAGCTGAGGGCAACAACTACGGAGACGGTCCATTATGAAATAGCCGACCGTTCGTTTGCTAAGGACGGCCATAATAGGTATGGTCCGATATGTTGGAAGGAAAAAAAGAAAGAAAAAAAGTGGGCCGCCGATTATCCGCATGCATGTCGGCTCAACCCAACCGAGATCACAGTTCCCCCATTGATTCCGAAGCAAAAATCTCGAACAGGTGAGCCATATGTGATCCAGTTCAAATATCAACGGCTACACCGACAAAATGTCATGGATACAAAGAAAGAGCAGAGAACGGTCTGAGAGTCAGATGAGATCCCGTGGCGCATTTATTGAAGTTTCCCTAGGTCCCTCACTTCATGATCCCAACGCATTGGAAACCTTGGGAGTTTAAAACGGCTTATAGGATTTAGTAGGTAAGCGAGCCATTTTCTTTCGTACTCCACGGGTCGTTGCCAGTCTCCCGGTTCCCTTAAGACAGCCAAGAATCGTATGGTACCAGAAACTTAATTTTTGAGTATGGTATGTTTCACTGTGGTATTGGTCGCTGTGCATTACTTGGTATAGTTAAACATTTTCAGTATCTTTCCTAACCTTGTATATCGAGAAGTTAAAGAAATATATATATATACCTCTATCTCTTTATTGAATGCCTGGGAAGCATTCGAATCTCAACTAGATCTACTTTCGACAGATTTAATGCTTATGTGCTAATGGATATTAATGCATCTTGCACTGCATGAGTAGACTAAATCCTAATTTCGAGATTATTTCCTTTTGAATGTACATTAGTCTTATCATTGATTAGGCACATCCAAATGTGTCACGTTTTCTACTTCATCTCTTCTAACTTTCTCCTTTCCTTTCTCTCACCATCTCATACCCTGGCCATCATGTCGGTATATAACTGTCTACTACATGGGGATATATACACATCACATCCTTGCAGATGGGTTGGGAATATTTCGTCTGGACATTAGAAAAATGACGTGCGATCAGTTGAGTGAGATGCCTGACATCACCGACATGCACACAGTCCACTAGTGCATATTCTACAGAGACGGTTCCATCGGTTGCCTCGGAGTTAGCTTCTTTGCTAGGCTGGGTATCCACGGTACACGACCGGAAGTGTAGGAGGCTGTGACAAGACGCGAGAATGGTCAGTTCACCAATCTGGTGCGGGTTATCGATTAGGTTGGTGGAACAAAAGCTCCCTGATCCACGGAACCCGATCGCGGGAATCTTCCACGGTTGCAAGAATTATTACCAGGGGTATGGAAAAGAGATCGTAGGAGTTGCTGTTATTGTTTTTAGCACTGTATGTCCTAACTAAGAAAAGGAGAAGGAGAAGTGGAATCATAAGATCGATGACTCAACTAGATGGCGAAAATCTTGAGGATCATCGTCTGCGTTTATTCTATTCCGGTGGTCGGGGATGACAGGCGCCGATGACATCAAGCTCGGTATATCATTGAAGGTCTGAATTATTAGGAACTCCGTAAGTAGATAGACCAAGTTCTTTCTATTACTACAGCATAGAGTAATTGTCCATGCTCCATCGATAGCCTCCTGTTAGTTAGATATGGATATGTCTACGTCTACTAGATGTAGCGACCGACAACAACTCATGCTAGGTCATTAGTGGCAAAGACTAGCTATCTCCAGGATGTTTCTCCGAATCTCCGTGGTTTTGAGTCGGGGGCGACTCCATCTAGTTGTGATGGCGTAACAGCTAAGAGTTTTAGCAACCGTGTGGTCGCAAATCAGCGTCCAATTTGCTCAAGCGATCGCGCTTCACTTGGTTTACTAGAAATTAAATGGCCCCAAAGGTCGTGGCCTCATGCACCCAGCACGTTCTTGCTTTTTTGTCCCCCCTCCTCTGCCGCATTAGGATGGTCAAAAATAAAAGTACTAAACGTAAAAAAAAAAGGACGCCGCTGATCGTAGATTTGTTGCTACGTATGGATGCATAGGGTCTTTATGAGGTATCAGGTACTACTACTTATACCTAGACATAAGCGAACTGAGTATTTACCGTATGATTATCTTCTCGTTAGGTTGTACCTAAAAAGGGAGAAGAAATCGAATAGCTCTCTCTTATCCAGCGTTTACCCCACAAAGATAAATATTATACATCCATCCCACGAGCGAAGGCCTATATTAATACCGGTCGGGATTCCCGTGACCGTGCTTTTCTAAGAGGTAGCAAATTTGTCCCTACCTAGCACCTAGGTATGTACATACATACATTCCACAGATGGACGTTGTCAAGCCCAACGAGGGAGTTACTGGTAGTTACCTAGGTAGTAGCAACTTAAGTAGTACTAAGGGGGCCCCGCCCGGGAGATAGGTATTTGTGGTATTTTTGGCATACCTTTTTGGTACGGTTACCGGTACCCTCGAGGTACTATGTAAGTAACTATGTTGACGGCCGGGAGAGACGGAGGATCCGAGTCATAGTGGCCTGGTGGAAATACTACTATTTATGTAAGGTGGCAGTAGGCAACTCCGTCTGAACAGGAGTTTAGCAACTAGTATTCTACTTGTATCAGGCTTTCCGTAAAGGGTATATGGAGTTTCTTTACGATACAGCCCCAGAGTTGTCTTACACATGAATGAGTGGTTGGCTGATGAATTGTAAAGAGGAGATTCAGGAGAACTTAATATGATATTAATATACCAACAATTCTCGATACCAGCCTAGATACTAGCCGGAAAAGATTTAGTCAGAGTATTCTATCTGTACAGATATATAATTATTATTATTATTTTTAATTTAAAAGAAAAGAAGAAAAAATTTCATAATTATAGTAAAACGAAGCGTGCACCGCCAGAGAGGTTTTTTAGCATGACTTGCAGCTGGTGCAATAATAGCAACAAGTGGGAAAGATAATAGGACAAATCAGTTCTCGACCCTCGTTCAGATTTTTATACATATATATATATATATATTTATTTATTTTTTATTTATTATTATTATTATTATTATTATTATTATTATTTTAAATTTCCTCTCCGAAGCTGTTATTTTCATTTTTGAATAAATTAATTCAACTGTGATTGTTGACGAAGTGTAGGTGACTTTGTTTTTGTTAATCTTTATTTTTCCCGTGTGTTCTGATTTTTTTTCTTTCTTTCTCTCCTACTTGCGTTCTGTGGTTCCTTGCGGTACCTGAAATTGTTTCTACTCGCGTTCTTTGGAAAGGACCGGCCGTCAGTCTTGTCTCCGCTGCCTGTCACGATTCCCCTAAAGTTGACTAGCATCCATTCCACACCATCCTCACCTCCCCCATTATCTCCCTATTCCCTTCCCTTTCCATTCCACGCCTTTCAACCCCTCTTGCTCCTCTTCCCTTTTTTTCCTCTCCCTCTACCTCGTCTTTTCTCCATCTCATCCTCATTAATTTCCTCCGATCCAGTGAACGGCCCATCTTCTGCTAAAGTCAGAAGATTAGGTGCCATTCCGAGGATCTGGTTCTCCCCTTTTCTTTCCCTTTCCTTCTTTTTCTCTTCACTTCTTGTTCATTGTCGGCTATTTTGTTATCTTTCCTGTTATCTCCATTTCTTCATTTACTGGTCTCATTTTCGATTTCGCTTTTGTACATGGCTCGACCGCTCTAGACAGCATTCGCCATCCTTGGAGCCTTGTGTTCCTTCTCGCCTTGTCGTTGAACTCTCTCGATCCTCGAGCCTCTCGTTTCAATTTTCTGCGTCTTCGACAGCATTCATTCTCGCATTTACCGAAGCGATTTTCCTTTTTCCTTTCAAGTCGTATCTGTATAATCTATTTTTGCATCTGCTAGAACAGGTACGGACTTCCAATATCCTTCCTAGGAGGCGCGAGTACATGGTTATTGTGAAGGAGTCATCGATCATTCGTCAACCAATCTTTGGCCGACGTTTATCTCCTTGTGCAATCTAGCTGACAGGCTTGTGGTACAGAATCTCTGTTTTTCTTCCTTTCTCCTCCCTCGAGTTACTCCTGCCCCTAGACCTACCTCCACTTACGTTCTACGGATAATAGCGAGTTTATTCGGTTGAGATCGCATCCTCCAGACGTCGTTTATTACGCGTCAAACCCCTTTCCATCCGGTTAGCGGAGGAGAACACCATGGCAGCGTTGGTACAGACAATCCCGCAACAAAGTGGCACGGTCCCTGTGCTTCAGACTCGCCCCTCTTCTTCCTCGGGCGCCTTCACATCCTCCACTCAGTCATCGCAACCGCAGAACTCCCGGAACTCGGCCATGTCTTGGAACACATACAATACTATCGGTGGTTCAGGGAGCTACCGGGTAGGCCACCAGGTTGTGGCGCCCTATGCTTTTACTAGCACTCCCAACCTCTCCAATTCACCCAACATGTCAAATCGGCAGTCATGGTCCCCTCATTTGAGACCGGATCATCGAACGTCCTCTGCTCCATCAGCCCCTCAAGTGTCTCCGAGTCCTGCATACCCCGGAGTTAACTCGCGTCTTGTCAATCACCCTGCAGCTGGTTCTGTATCAACATCCTCTTCCAATTCTTCCGTTCAATCTTATATGTCCAAAGACGACACCGCCATTCCGTCAAGGCAACCGCGTGGTGGTGGTGAACCCCCTCTACGTCCTTTATCCACCGCCAACCTCCCCTCTCCACCCTCTCCCAACTTCATGAACATATCATCACCGACTGTTGCCCGCCCGTCGCCGGACCGGTATCGTCGCGGGACACGTCGACCGGATGGTGCAGGGGCTTCGCAGCCCGCCGCTACACCGATGAACGCACCTGGGTCTGCCCGTGTTCCCTCTGGGACGACGGATGACCATTCGTCACAGTCGAACTATGCGTCTGGATCTAAAGGCCCGGTGCAGGATGTTTCTCGTACACCTGGCCACAACCGGGTGCCTAGTGCAGATGATTCTTCGCGGATGGAGAAGCAGCCGGAACTAGCTAAGAGATATAGGCGGCGGAGCTGGGGAAACATGGATAATGCTGGTCTCATTAATCTACAGCTTCATTTACCATCGTCATCTCCAATTCCGACAACAAGTGGGCATGATTATTTCGATACAACTCATCGGCCCAATTCGGCACAGTCTCATAGAGATGTTTCGGGAGGCAGCCATTCCGCCCATTCTTCAACCTCTTCGGTAAGAGCGAAGTGATAGCCTTCCCGGGTCATATATCACCGTGTAACTAACATCAAATAGGTTCGTGATACAGGGCACACAGAGCTTGCGTCGTCTTCGAACAAGGTCGTTGGTAAACCTGATGATACAAAACGAACTTCAAAGCCCTCCCCGTTGTCCCAACCCGTTACGCAAGATGCCAAACCCGAGAACACTGCACCTGCAAAAGCAGAACCTAAAGAAAAACGCAATCCAACGGAGAGTCTTGCGACACAACGTCTCGCAGAAATTACAAACAACGACTTCAAGAGACCGGGGAAATCCAGGTTGAGGAGGGCTTTCTCGTTCGGAAGTGCATCCGAGCTCTTGAAGGCTTCTGCGCAGAGTAGTCAGAACAAGAAGGAGGCTATTGCTGCAGAGAAGGCTCGACGGGAATTACTGAAGCAGGAACTAGGCCCCGAACACGCCGCCATTGCTGAACAGCAGGAAGCCAGTGGTCTTGGTGAGAGTATCTATTCTCATCACCAAGGCCGCTTCTTCAACAGCTCCACAGATAATTTGTCTGTTTCTTCCACGGCATCGTCAGCCTCGATCATGCTCCGGAAGATGGGCAAGGGGATGAAACGATCAACCAGGTCTCTTGTTGGGTTATTCCGCCCTAAGTCGATTGTGAGCATGTCTTCCAATGATGGTGTCGTCGTTGAGCCTATGGCACCTCAGCTGTCCGTGGTCAACATTGAAGCGGAACGGAAAAGCGTAACTGTTAATCCAGACCCGCAAGATGTTCCTCGCGGTGGGACTGTATTCCCCAAGATAGAACCTAAAGCCCAAAGTTCGTCGACCGCCGAAGATAGCCTTGCAGAGAATTCCCAAACGCGTAAGAGCATTGTGGGAGGTGATAAGGAGCGGGCCGAAGTTCTAGCCGCGGTAAGAAAGGGTATACTCAAGAGTGAGTCTTTTTTTCGTTTTTTCTCTCTCGCTCTGGATCGAAATGGACTTTCATAATCTAACATGCCTGACCAGAAACCGACGCAGCAAACTCTGCTCCCGCGAGCAAGCAGGCTGAGCGCTCTTTAAATATGATTAGGAGCGATTCACCTCATTCTAGCGCTCCTAGCACTCCTGAGGACCAAACACGATCCGACAATCGACGCTCTGACGCGGTTCGAATCGCTGGGGAGGACGATTTCCTACCAGAAGGGCGGTTCCCCGATTCTAAAGGAGCTTCTATCACAGCCCCAACAGGTCCTAAAAGTCTTGTCTTCAGCCCCCGTATCCAGTTCCATGAGACATGGCCGAGCGGCGAATATGATCGTCGCGGGGATATTGCAACCTGCAACCGACTGACCCCTCTCCTTGCCCAGCAAATCAAAGAGGAGCTAAACAACTTCAAAATGGTGGGTCAAGTCGCCATCTCTTCACCTTTTAGTTACCAACTGCTAACATCATCGCAGGAGATGGAAGTTCATGAGACCTCGAAAATTTATACCCACTTCCTCTAATCCGTTGCATTTCGAACGGCGTTGTCTTTTACATTTTTCGCTCTCTCTTCGTTTTCTGGGTGACGTTTGTGTCATTTACTCTGGACGGCTGTTGGATCTATGAATGATGTGGTTCTCCAACCTTGGTGTGTTGACTCGTAGACGTGCTTTTCTTAGAGCAACATTTGGGTTGCGTCTTCAAATCTGCCAACGTGGCCATTGCAAACGCCCCTTTCACTTTATCTGCCGAAATCCGCGAATCCGACCATTCCCTCGTTGTCTCTGCTATGTTCTGGGTGTTAAGGCGCTACCAGCTTGGTTTCATTTTATGCGTTGAAATCTGTGGATTTTACATCGAAGAATGGATTGAAAATTGGAGCTGTGCAAATTTTTCATTTTTTTTCCCTTTCCCTTTCGATCGTTTTTGACCCTCTGGCTCCGATCTACTTTGCCTTTCGAACTTTGAGCTTTGATCTTTGAGCCTCGACCTGTTCCGTTTACTTCTCTTCGAGCCCAATTATGCTTACGGATCCTTTTAATTTCTCCTACCTATGTTTCACCGCAGTCGAGTTGCATCAGAGCCATCGGGTCTCTTATTTTGTGCTTTTACAAGCTTGAAAATGGGCCACATTTCCTTGACTGTTGTCTCAGAGTCTTAGTATCACATTTTCTCAGCGCTACTCGCTTTTCATGCATCGCATGTCTTTTGTACAGCTTTCAGGGACTGGTCTATCATATCTGGTCTAGTTTATTGTTTATTGACTGCTTAGTTGAATGCAACATTTTACTGCCCTTCTCAGGGCAGTAATGATCATAAGGGTGTACCACTTCTTGAAAGACAAGACTATTCTTCCCTATATGAGAATTTTATCATTCTTCGGCTTAAATATTTCATTGAATAGAGTGTACCTCCTGAACCCACAACCCTTAGACCGGCAAATCCTCATAAGAGACAAGGCAACTAGGGTGATCAAAGCTGAGCATAACAACTCAATATGAGAAAAGAAGATAAGCTCCGTTCTTGTAACACTTGGCCTGGTTGCCCCTGGTCTTATATGCTATTGTTGCTTAGATTGGGTGGATGGTACTTGTTTACCTGGTTAGCTCACGGGTGTAGTTCTCTTGATCTCAATAATATACATACTCAAGAAATGAATAGTTCGGCAGCCCCTGGCGATTTACCCGACAGTACCTCGATTGAGTGAAATACTCTGTCCTGAGAGATCTTCAGAAAGGTATAATCGGTACCATCACTGTAAAGTCCGTACACCGAAAGGTGGGTAAGTTGTGTGCGAAGGTGATGTTCAATCCCATAATTATGCAGAGCATATTCTGATAGCACCCCTTTTCCAGTTGGTAAGGAGCCTTAGCCTCGCGATAGGCAAGAGCGTTAGAGGTTTGCCCTTATAAGTTATGATCTCGACGGCGGAGTACCATATCGCTGCGACCAAAAATATTCAGATAAAAGATTTGGAGGATGATACTCTGCCGACCAATGCATTTCAAGTTCCATTCTTGAAAGCCAAAATGAGCGACGCATCTGATGGATCTTTCAGATGGCTCATAGCGGTGACTAGCATTTGTTTGACCACACCTTGCGCTACCGGGTCAGTCTTGGGATCGACGTTAGCCTTCATATGTAGAGCGTACCATCTCTCTGTAAACGAAGAGTACCAGTGGCCATTCTGTTGATCAGGTCTTCGTTCACAACATACCAAGACCCTTTGGCGCGTCGACAAATTTCAGATTTGCTCCGAAGTCAAGGGAGATATCAGACGTGGTGATTAAAAGATACTTCTTCAGAAAAGCCATTGACAAACTGTAACCGTTAACCTATATATGAATAGTTAGGCTTTGCTCTATCATGGTAAGGAGAAAAAGGGCCAAGGAAATCAAGATACGATAAGTGGCCTCTGGTGTAGATTGTGTGATAACTTCATCGCTTTTGGGGCTGTTCTTGTATTCCCGTCAACTGCATAAGTTGTAATTGAGTTCATAAGGATCTCTAAGCAGCTCTCACTCTAGTAGCAGCGATGGGAGCAAGGAGGGTGGCGGCCAGGGTGGTGAGGATGAGCTTCATGATGGGGTTGTGGGGAGAGAAGAACCTTTGGATTAAAGTAGGATATCGGTTGATTGATCGTGTGGCCACATATAGAAGGGCCCATGATTCCTCGTATCTAGGCCTTCTTAATAGTCGTGAGGGCTCACTAATTTGATCATTTTCTGATCGTATCATACGATTCTATTTCGATATCTTCTCTATCTACCCAGCATTTGATAAATTCATCTTTTTTCCTACTATTCTAGCCCTCTGCCATATAATGGTGTCTTTACTGCAGATCGCCAACCGAATATGCATGAAGCTACGTTAAAAGACTTTTAATATCCCTCGAAGCTATATAGGATATAGGACTTCCCATTCATATCAAATACAAATCACAATTATTTACTGTTCTAAGGCGGAAGCTTTAAGCTATTTATTCGCCTCCTTCCTTGTATCGTTCTTCCATTCTTCTATCACTCTATGTCTTCTTAGAACTACCTGGACTATTACAGCGCGGAATAGTCAGAATCCAGCCTGACTAGCCAGCAGGGCTGTGTCCACTCTAACAGTCGCGTTCAACAAAACAAACTATAACATCGTGGTCTGTTAGTCTAACCAAATCATGCTTTGCCTTACTAACACTAGACCCGTGGACTATCGTACAGGTTATACCCATCCTTCTTCCTCAACGGCCCGCCCAACTGTGGCGACGTCGACAATCATGTGATCTTCCAGGGTGTGCGCTGCAAAGGCTGCGTAGATGACCCTCCTGAGCTCGAGTTTAACAATAGCGTGGGCCACTACAGTACGTACTCTGTGTCCTTTGCACCAATAGGTTCCATGGATCTGGTACTGACATTGCGAGGCAGCTATCTACAAGAACCGTGACTACGGCCTGTTCACCACTGACGACAAGAAGGTTGGCCAGTGCAATGTCGACAAGTCCGACCACTTCCAGTGCAGCAACCTTTTCAGTCAAGCAGGTGATTCGATTGTCTTCTGCAAGGCGAGCTTTAATGCCGATAAGGCTAACTGATTCCGGCTGTGTTGGTTATGGAGCTGTCTGTACCTATAGAAGTACCTTTGTCTGGAATAAAATGCGCTTCAAATTGTACATATAGCCTTTGGCCTTTTTTATATGCATTTTTACTTAGTGTATTCGTAATAGCTGTAGTCAAGTTGCGGAAACAATACTTACTAGCAGTACCTGGATTAGAATACGACACCAGAATAAACAATAGCTTTACCAGCAGGTCAGAAACAGAGACCTCGGACGTAAAGTATACCCCATCCAACCCGCCATCTCCGCATAGAAGAAAACCCGAACACCATTCATAAACCGAACCACAGTCACCCCAACACCCTACAAGGAAAAGTACAACGAATCATACATATTTAATATCCACAACCCAAAACCCACCAATAAAGCCCCAACCCATACAGCCTAAATCAACACCCCCTGCCAAACCCAACAAATAATCTTCTCTCCCATTTAACCAACAAGCAAAAGACAAAAGCGGCGTGGAGCATAAATTCAATACTACCTCTAAACGTAACGTGGGCCAGTTGGGGCGTGGGGGTTAGCCGCTAAACCCTAATCCGGAACCTTTTACTTAAGTGACTTTTGATCAAAAACTTCCATCGGCAATTTTCAGTGGCCATAAATCGTCTGATCATGCGAGTTCTGCCGAAAAATGGACATTTTATGAAAGGCCCAGTATAAATGTTCGGGTTGTCTCCCCGAATTTTCTTCATTGGTGCAGGGGGTGGTTTTGTAGGGGGAATTTTTTTCTTTTAGTACTATTGTACTATGGTACTGTTGCGTAAAGACCGCGGGCTATTGCCACAACGATTGTGAATCTTGAGTATGAACTCGGGGTAAAGATAATCACCCAGCCTGACTTAGATGATCCCTGCCCTTTTAAGAGTTGAAGGAACGGAGTCGGTGTGGAGAAGAATTAAGAATTCACCCAAGATTTTGGCAAAAGTTTTGTTTGGTAGTCGGGATTCTATCGGTTGTTTTCTCGGCTGTTAGGTTGTTGCGGACTCGCGGACTTGACGGTTTGCTGGTGAAGGACTTGTCTTTTTTCTTACTGCCGGTGATATGTCGATTTCAGTGGTATCAGGATTTCTACCTTACTGAGACCCACCTTATAGGATGTGTAAGCCTGACTTGACTTGGCCATAGCCCTGAAACAGATAGCTAGGATAGCGGCCAAGTGCCTGGCGAGCTTGACTCGAGCCTCAGTTTATGTCTATCGAGCGCCATACATAGAGCCCTTTTGCGCGTGGCAGCCTTGACCCTGTTGAATATGTTGCTGCATTGGTATTCTGGTCTATTTGGAGGGCCATTGGAGTAAATACATTTCGATAGGGAGTTGGGATGGTTGGATTTGCCATTGATGTTTCTGTCGTTTGCTTTGTATAGAGCCTGTCTGGGTGGTCTGGGAATGAGAATGGGGATGCGTTTGCGTGCTTTTGACGTCGTGAATCATAGCTGTAGAGTATCTGATAGAGTGAAAGGCGTGTCTTGATATATCAATATGTGAGGATTTGACATAAACTTACATTCCAGCTTAGCGTATCTCAGATATCTCAGACCCCTAGCCCCACCTAAGCAACGGGACATAAGTCACTAGTGATTTATTTCGTGCTAGGAATGCACCACGATGATCCAAAAGACGTAGATACTCTTCATAAGTGGTAGGCATGTTCAAGACGCTATTGATATGCCGACTTAGGGGCTCGCCATTGCGGAATGCGTGTACTCCGTATTGCATGTTAGCCTCTATATACTGGTCGTTTCTCACAGAATCGAGTACTACGTACATGGAAAGACAAGCCCGGGGGTAGCTTTTAAACGTATGTTTGACGGTGTGGTAGGAAACGCACGTAAGAATTATTCACAGTCTAACTACCTGTTTTCTACTGTTGAAATTGACCACGAAATTGCCTAGTATTGCAGGCATATGATCATACCTAGTGAATAGGGGCTTTTGTGGCTTCAAGCAGAGTGTTAAATTCCTCTATAATTTCTAGCACATTGGAAGGGATTTCGAACCGTCTATAAATGTCGAGTAGACTTACTTCTGTACGTCTCCTACGCCAACTCCATAGCCGAGGCATTCATTGAGAGATCTACAGGTTTTACTACTTGAACATGCCGCAATAGGAAAGGAAAGACGACGAAGAGCCAAAAATTGGATACATATACGGCTGTGTCGAGATAGTTGGAAGGAGTTCAGTCCGGGAGTTCTGTTGGTTGTACCTGGTGGCCTGCTACAAAGATCTACTAGTTTGTGCTGTAGGGCCCATAACACTTTAGACGGAGCTTCAGGGATATATACGCCATGACTGCAGTGGCTGAAACGATGGAAAGCCCTTGGACATATAAAGACATATTGCAGTAGATTGACTTCTATGTATCGCAGTGGCCAATCTCATTGATAATAAAGCTAAGTGGACCTATGTGGTAATTGGACTAGGACTTGATCTTGGAAGGAGAGTGTTGAACTCTGAGAATACAACGCAGATGACCAACAACAATCGTAATACGCCTTTGGTACTGGTGGGCCTTAGATCTAGTTTTGACGAATAGTAATGTTTCTGGTCTGGTATCACTAGATGTAGGTAGTAGGCATGCATAGGCACATGTTTGGGAAGGTCATATTTTTGATACCTTTTGATACGTGTTTGACGCTCACACCTCTATACAATCCGGCTCAAAATCGATTATATCGGTCTGGTGGCCTGAGAAGAACAATGTGCATGGATACTTTTATCCCTGGAGTACCTCTTCATCAAAACGCACCAAGCAAAGAACCTTGCAGTGGATATAACCGCTCAGTGCCGCTCAGTGCCTGATGTGGTGAGCGTGGTGCTTGGCACCACTTTATAACCAAAAAATTTGATGTCGTTCCATGGGTCACCGAAGAGCCAACCGAGTATTACTCTACATAAAATCTAGTCCCTCCTGTTTTAGCAATGCAGTTAACCGACCACTATTACCTGCTACCTATATTCTCTTATGCGGTGACACCCCAACATCAAAGCAATTCATAGTAATGTTGGAGGAATTGGAGCTTGGCAGGGGTTGAATTTCCGGCGAGGAGCTTGGGTGAGCCATATCGACCAAATATGACTAAAACTAAACCTCCCCCCGCCTCTTTGGGCTTTCCCTCACTGTAGTTTTAGAGAACTCATTTTGAACATGCCATTGACGGAAACGGTGTGTTAAATAAATAAATAAACAAAAGGCAGTGAACCTCACATGAGTGGCTCTCCTTTCCGAGTCCAACAGCACATGCCGAGGCAACCCGATGTATGCCGATCTGCAAGCCCTAATTCGTTTGGCGTTGTTTTGGTGTTGACTTGAGACTGTAGGGGGCATGACGTATGATACTGTATCCTCTCCTCACGAAGGGTATCAGGACTTAGTGGCGACTTTATAACCATTTTTGGTCGGCATGGAGTAGCATAATCTCACACCGACTCTGAGTGTAGGACGGGTAGCCGAGATCTTGGGACCGGAGATGGTCCCCCGAGTCGCGGCCCACGGGGAATGTCCGTGAAGGCGCGGGGGTCGGTATGAATAATAAACCTTGAAAGAGGACACACAATGTTACATACATTTCTCAGCAAAAAAGCTTGATCAGAATCAAGTCTTTTTATGGCTGGTTTAAGCCTTCTCTCCCGGGATAGATAGATCTCATGTTGATTGTAAGATTAACAACCAATGAGACAAAATGTTGACTTTTCATCCCGACGAGATCTATTATAAATCATTTTGAAGGGAAAAGTGCCGAAAGTTCATGACTGTAACCCCCACGGAAGGGAGTGAAATCCCCCCCACGGGACAACTTTTTTCGTCACGAGAGACGAGAAAAAGACAAAAACGCCCCCCACGCCCAATTTCTCTCTGTCTCTCCACATTTATCATCCCACAACTCAATCCACTCGCACTCGCTTGTTTGTATCCCGGCCGGTTTCCTGCATCCTGATTCCCTGACGGCTTTTCCCCGGTCTCCAGACCTCCATCTTCTTACTTCGGTCTTCCCCAGTCTCTTTCCCCGCCTTCAGCTTCCCCATTGGTAGTGGCTCCGTTCCTTGTGTCTCAACCATGTCTAATTGACTGGCTAAGCTCCATCCCGGTATGGGAATATGTCGGGACGCCCAACGGCGGGTCGTCATAGCTGCATGGCTCACGGGTTTTCACTCAAAAAGGTCCCTGATCCCGAGTCTGGATGCATGATCCCGGACGGCGCTCTCTCCTCTCTCCCCCTCTCTTTTCTTCTTCCTTTTCTCTTCCCTTGTTAGACCTCTACCCCCTGTCGTCTCCGCTTCGTCCTGCTGGTCTTGTTTCTTGTTTCTTCTTTATTTTTTCGTCTTTTTCACATTTTAAGATACCCAAGCAGGATTAGAAGACGGGACGATGTCTCGCAGAAACTCCCAGGATGGGGACATTGACATTGACAAGTCCCATGTCGACAATGTCGAGGTTGTGTCCAGCGCCGTTGCTAATGCCGACAAGCCCAACCCTAAGAAAGAGGCACCTGCCTATGTGGCAAGCCTGTCGCCAGAAGAACGGGACAAGGCCGAGAAGGCCCTAGTTCGCAAAATTGACATTCGCCTTTTACCTATGCTGATCATCATGTACATTCTCAATTATCTGGACCGAAACAACATTGTATGTGATATTCTACTCGATATCTTAATTTGCTTTGGCTAACCACTTTAAGGCATCCGCTCGATTGGCTGGTCTTCCAGAGGACTTGGGCTTGCATGGCCAACAATATCCCACCTGTGTCAGTATTCTGTTCGTGGGTTATCTGTTGATGCAGAGTAAGAGTGTCTGACTTCCTGGTCGTATGAGCGTGTTATCCTGACAATTTAGTCCCCTCCAACTTGTTGCTGAACAAGATCGGAAAGCCCGCTATCTACCTTCCTACTTCAATGATGCTGTGGGGTATCATTTCCACGTGTACTGCTGCTGCACAGAACTATGCCGGCCTTGTCGTCATTCGGTTCTTCCTCGGTTTTGTTGAGGCTGCTTACTTTGTATGTTTCCCCGAATCTGTCCAAGGTTCCCTAGACTAACGTTCTTGCTACACCTCTCAGCCTGGATGTCTGTACTTCCTGAGTGCATGGTATACCCGGAAGGAGCTTGGATTCCGTACTGCTGCCCTTTATGCTGGTTCCTTGCTATCGGGTGCTTTCTCTGGCTTGATTGCTGCAGGAATTACTGATAACATGGAAGGCAAAGGAGGCCTTCGTGCGTGGTACGTAATCGAAGCGGTCCACAATACTGATACGTGGCTAACCCTGTCTAAAGGCGGTGGCTTTTCATCATCGAAGGTGCCATCACCATCTTCGTTGCCTTTTGTGCCGTCTTCATTCTGCCCAACTTCCCTCGTACAACATCATGGCTCTCCGATGAGGAGAAGGAGCTGGCTGCCTGGCGTCTGGAGGAAGATATTGGTGAAGATGATTGGGTGGACAGCGACCAGCAGTCTTTCATGTACGGCATCAAACTCGCATTCACCGACATCAAGACCTATCTTCTGGTACGTTAGATAACTGGTTGAGGGATGGGTGAAACCGTGCTAACCTGCTCAGATGTTGCTCATCCTGTGTATTGTCTCGTCCGCTTCTGTGACCAACTTCTTCCCCACCGTCGTGGAGACCCTCAATTACGGCAAAATCAAAACCCTCTGCCTGACTGCTCCCCCCTACTGCCTGGCAGTTATCTGTGCCTTCGCCAATGCCTGGCACTCCGATCGTACCGGCGAGCGTTACTTCCACATCACGCTTCCCCTGTACGTGTCCGTGGCCGCCTTCATCATCGCCGCAGCTACCACAAGCATCGCGCCTCGTTACCTCGCCATGATGTTGATGGTCCCATCATTCTACTCGGGCTACGTCGTCGCTCTCGGCTGGATCTCCGCCACTCTCCCTCGTCCTGCATCCAAGCGTGCCGCCGCCCTGGCCGCCATTAACTGTGTCAGTAATGCCAGCAGCATCTACGCCAGTTACATGTATCCCGATAAGGATGCCCCCCGCTTCAGTATGTGCCCCCCCAAACCAACAAACCCTATATCTCACCCTCTGCACATGGTTAAAAAAAACCCAATACTAACATACCCCCAGTCCCCGCTATGGCCGTCAACTCCGTGACAGCGTTCATCGCCATCGTCGCCGCAACCATCCTTAGAATCATCCTCGTCCGCCTGAACAAGAAGCTCGACCGCGGTGAGCCTGTCTTTGGCGCCGTCCCGGGCCAGGCCGGCTCGCGCGGCTTCCGTTTTTTGGTTTAACGAATTTGTTGTCCAGTATTTTTTCGGTATTTTTTATTTTCAAAACTTGTTTTCCTTTACTGGCGGAAACATGTACTATGTTTTATGCTCTCCTATATGCCGAGAATCTCGGAAATAGTCTCTTATGATGAGTATATGATGCGACATGACAGGATTTCATGTCTGATGAATGAAGCCGTGAAACTTTATTATCTTTCTCAAGCGATTAATTCCCATTTCCCTGATCGATGCTAAGGCTGTTTGTTTATCTTCTCTGGGATTTTTGAATTTTTAGTGTCGTATTCGTAAATTCGTAAATTCGTGGATTGATTTCCTCGAGTCATAAACCAACATCCTGTAAGTGACTGGATAATCGCGAGAGCAGAGGATAGATATAGACATTGCTGACAGGTGTTGCCCCTACAAGACATCACTTAAGGTGCTTGAGTCCTTATTGATAAATTTGATGACATATTAAAGGAAAATGATATGATTAAACATTTGGGAATGCTTCCGTGTTTGTTACTACGGGTAGGCGGATTATCACCCTTGTGAAGACGGTTATATTTTGTGTAGGAAGTCAATGATTTGGAATACGGAAAAGTAAGAGTGCTATGGGAACTATGTAAATATGCGTGTATAAGGTGACATAGGTAATAGAATAAAATAATGCTTTTAGATATCTTGCGCTCTTAAGATATTATTTCCAGGGGGTTTCCATGATCCAGATCCAGCTGTTGCTATTAACATATGCACATGAAAAACGAGGAATCTATCAGAAAAAAACTTAGAAAAAGAGGAGTTGTAGGTATAAAAGAGAAGGGGGAAGAAAACCAGCCGAATAACTAATGTTACAGTGCTAAGACTTGGATCTTTTCTTCGTGGTGAAAGTCGAAAAGGAAACCCCTGGTATCCAGATCGGGTCATGGGTCAGTGATGGTGATACGCTAGGTGTACACGAGGTTCGTGGGACTCATATCCATTCTTTTCTTGCCGTGGATAACGTTTTTAGAACGTGTACTAGTGAGATTGTGATTGGTGCGCGTTGGCTGCCTATAGGATGTCGTAATAGGGTATAAGACACAACGCAGTCTCCCAGTCAGTGTAAGGTGATTTTCGATGTCTTCTTATTCCTGTATTATTGTTGTTCATCTTTGATATTTTCAAGGCTGAAGAGCGAGGATCTAAGCATTCCTGTTCAAGACATCGTAAGGATTCTTGTCCTGGACGCCGGAAACATCTGTGGATGCCTCGGCTTCCTCCTTGGTGACTTGCTTGGCACCCTTCTTCACGGGGGAGAACCCTTGTTCAGGCTCTTGATTGTGGGCAAGAAGTGCCTTCTGCTTCGAAGAGGCGCGTGTCCGAATCGGAGAGTTATCGGCGGTGGTCTGCTGAGACTTCTTCCGGAGCGCCTGGACCTTGTTGATTGCCTCATCCTCGGTGGCTTCGCTGGTCTCGCCACTCATCTCAACAGACTTCTGAATCTCACGGCTCACACGCATCAAAGCATCAAGACCGGCCTTCTCAGCTGCGTGCATGTGAATGGTTTGCTGGGGACTAGGGTCCTTGCGAGACAAGTAGGAGCGAATAAAGAAGCGGACGAAGAGGTAAGTCAGGGGCAAAAGATAAGTCACATTGAGCCAAATTGCAAAGCCCTGGCCGCTGGTATCCATGCAAGTAACCATGGGTCCCACATGAGGATTCGAGGTAGCGCCAGGAATTTCCGGCGCGTAGCCGACGTTTTCGGCAATGCCTTCCGCGCCAGCGGCACGGAAACCGAGCTTCTTGAGCCAAGGTGCCACGCCGGAAGCGGTTGCCGCGGCCACAGTGGAGCGAACAGCAGGTCCAGTAGCAGCAGCCGTAGACTGGGGAGGTAGAGTGTAGTGGACGAATAGGTAGGCAGCGGCCATAGTGGTTCCAAACAGGAACTGTGTGATTTGCATGGAGGTCAGGGAACGCTTAATCATGCCGGGGACACGGATGCGCAGAGCAGTCACGGTGTAATAGGTGTACTAGTTCGCAGTTAGTACGCTGCAAGTTATGCGTTCAACCAATCATACGTACCATCATTGCATGGATTGCCGAATTGACCAGGGTGAAGATCCAGATGGGAGGGGCAATGTAACGGATGCCGGCCCACATGCACATCATGGCACCGGCGTGGTGGTAAGTCTGCAGGGTCGAGCTCTTCTTGCCCTTTGCTAAGATAATAGCGGTATCTAATACCTCGTAGAACTTAGACAAGTAGAAGATCCAGCCCAGGTATGCCAATCCCTGATTCCACATCCGACCGACATCAGTGGGGTCGGGCACTCCGCCGTCGGCTAGTTTGTATTCAGGATTCTGGATGGACCACTGGTTGGTCAAAGGGTCGTACGTGGCGGCGTTACCGTAGCCTCGGGGACCATTAATCTTGCAGAGCGCATCTGTCACACCGATGAGGCCGTTGGGGTCATCCCGGCCCGGCCACGAGTTCCGGAACGCCTGGAACATGCCGGCGAAAGTCCATGCGGAGTAAATGGCCAGGAAAACGTTGTGAAGGATGACGAAAAGCTTGAAGAGCTTTGACTGACTGAATCCCCAAGGCTTGTATCCACGACTCTTGTTCACGCGATTGAGCAGGCACACGGTGACGGCGTACACGCTGGCAATGGTTATGGGGACGCGTACGTCAAGTAATTGGTTATAAAGGGTAGGAGGGATGTTAAAGGGCTGATTCCATGTTGGCTCTGACACCTGAGGAGCTGGAAGAGTGGTGGGGAGCTCGTCCGGGGGGAATTTCAATAAGGAGGCGGGCGGGAAGCCGATGCGCACGACGGCTGGGCCCGACGCGGTCTCGACGTTCAGATCGAACATAGTGATAGAAGCCCAGACCGTCGGGAAGGTCAGAAAGGGGAAATATGAAATTCACTCTATACAAAGAATGAATGCTTACTTCCTCAGGATATAAAGGGAGAGAAGTAAGATAGCAATTTCTCCTGCGGATAGCGGGAAAAGATTTTATGGGAAAAGAAGAGATGAAACAAAGATACAGAGCACAACGGTTGTCGGCAAGGAGAAAGAAGAGCTATTAAATATGCAACACGATCAATCCCCTCTGGAGCTAGACAATGAAAAGCCCGAGTGAATGCAGGACGACCCTAGCAGCAGATAAAGGATCAACTCGGTCGACAATGAGGCAATTGATGAAAAAAAAAAGAAGAATGCATGGAAGATAAATGATCGACTGGCCTCAGCCAAACAAACCAAGCCCTTCGTCTTTGAGTTCTGGGGTCGCCAAACGGTTCGGATCAATCGGAGCGAAGATTATCTCTAGAAGTGGAGCCGCGATGCATTTTGTTGGGAATTTGGCACTGACGAACGGGCTGAGGACCTCGGCCCAACATTTATCTAGGAAGCATCTCTTTTAGATCTTTGGATGCTGTCTTGTGAACAAGGAGTTTCTCATGCACTTTCACTAGGTAGTCCTATCAATAATTAGTCTCTTATCAAGGGATTTGCGCCGTATCATTTAGGCTGAGTGTAGGGACCAGTGCTCTCTAATTGGTCGCGCGCGACGTATTCCCTGATGCATAGATCTATACTAAATATTATTTTAGTCTTCCCTCGGCTCGTAAAAAATGGGACAAATCTTGAGACAGACTCACGAATAGCTGATTGTCATTGGATCGATAGCAGTAGGTAGTCCTTCAGTATGATGGTGGTATGATGATGAACTTGCTTCCTTGCCATGGTTCTCCAAGAGGCGTCAATCATTCTACTACTAAAGTGGTAAGTAGTGGTTGCATGACTCGTGACCGCTGAGTCATCTGTTTCTGTCCTCAGGCATCCACGGCAGGGAGGTTTTACCATGTTATGATATATGCACTGTACTCCCTCCAGAGGATTTGCTTTGACTTGTTGAATTCAGATTAATGACATATCATCAAGGCCGTATTTCAATTTCTCAATATAATGTTTCTATCGACACACTGCAAAGGCCATATTCAATCCAGTGGAAAATGTCCCTGACATGACAAACGGACACCTTGTCCGTACTTAGACCCAGGCTACGAATTGAATATTGGCTGGTATTTGTCTGTACAGCACCCAACGCTATATAAACCGCAATGATAATGGTGTGATGCCTCAATAAATTAACGCCGGACTAGTAATGGTACAATCGCTACAACAACTTTCGATGCCGGGAAAATACCTTTACATGGCACGAAAGCCAAGTCAAGGAAAGATGAGAATAATGATACGAGAACGAAAGAAAAGAAATACAAGAAGACAAACATCCAAGCGGGTATTGACTAGTGGTATGATCAACCCCCCGCTCAGCGTGGTTTGGTTCCAAGTGGCACCGGGGGAGGTGTCGGGGACTGCGTTGGAGACGGCGCATTCACCGGAGTAGATCGCATCCCTGCCTTTTTCGGAGGAGGCGGTGGTGGCGCCTTCTTTCGACTTAGAGTCTCGCTATCAATGCAAGAGTTGGTGCGACTGAGATTGGGGTGAGGAGGCACGGGTGGAGCTGAGTCGGAGTGCGCGGAACTCTTCCGATCATCAAAGAAGCTGTTTACGCGCTGGGATATCCCGTACTTCTCATTGAAACCACTGAGCTTCTGCTTTCCTGCCTGAATCTTGTCATCGTGTTTCTCGCGGAAGTCCCTGATTGCAGATGTAGTACTCTGCGCATCCGCCGAGGACTCAGATAGGTTGCCTCGAGCTGGCGGGGGAGGGGCTTGAGATAGACTCGCCGATCCGGTTCTCATTTGCGAAAATCGCGTTTGTAGCTCACTGACTGGTGCTTGACCAATTGACCCACTTGGAGTGGCAGCTGGGGAAGCAGACCTCGGGGAATCGCCACGGCTCCCGATTCCAAAAGCGGGAACGGAAATTCCCGCCTGAGCAAGGCGGGAAGTAGCCCCTTGATTCAGGTAGCCATCCGAGGACTGTTCTGCTGTTGAATGGGGAGAGTATGCAGGCGGAGGGGTAGGTGGATGGGACTGCGGTGTGGAATTGGTTCGTGGAGGAATCCGGGGCGGGATACTTGGCTTAGTTCCAGAAGCTGCAGGACCCGCAGGTGACCCCATGCGTCTAACTGGAGGAGGTGGGAGGGTACTTGGGTCTACCCCTGTCCGGTTTGCACGATATGGCAACGGAGGGGGCGCTGGTTTCTCGGACTCTGCCTCAGCTTCGGCCTCCTCTTGTTGTTGACGAACACTCTGTTGATGGATCCGTTCCTGCGATAAGGGGGCGCCTAGGCCCCTCCGGTCTGGTGTTGTTTGATTCGGGACAGCAGCGGCACCATGATAGTTGATATGCTTCGGTGGTGGTCCAAAAGCCGCTGGGTCCTTGAGCGATGAAAGAGGCCTCGATATGTGCTCCTCACGATCATTATCCCTGTCTTTCCCTTTCCCCATCCATCCGGCCTACAGTGTAAATTGCAGTGTCAGCCTGCCTTCGGTTGCTTTCTTGTGATGGTGGTAACACACCACTTGGTTAATGCCTTTGAAGTCACCCCTCCAGCTTTCCTTTTGGCCCTCTTTACCCTTGGGGTGCCAGCCCTCCTTGAAAACTCCTTTGATTCCACCCATTGTGGTTGCAGTCTCGGTTCACCAAAGAGTCCCTTGCACGGCTTAGCGCTATCTGAATCCAATGCGAGGTGGATGATAATGATAAGAACGAGAGCGGTATGTCACATCATTACTGAGTCTAACCGGATGTCGCTTAGTGCCGCTTAGTGCCGCTTTTGTACATTATCTCCAATCTCCGTACTGTCACGTGGGCTCTGTTCAACGTACTCTACAGTGAGTATTAATCTTATTTCATTTTTATTTGCTTTTTACTGTGCTATACACATGTATTTAGTGTTCTTTGTTGCAAAACGTCCATACAACACTTGGGCACAAACACCTTTCAGTGTAACCATTTCAAGGTTCCAGGAACCCCTCTTGTAATTTGATGTCCCGCATTCTAAACATCAGTATGCCCTACTCTTCATCATTCCCTACCCAATGGGGTTAGTGGTTCGTATTTATGGTGTCGTCCTGATTGGTGGTCGCGGATCTTATTGTTTATTAGTAGGAAAGTATAGCAACAAGGAATGAGAAAGCTACGGAGCGATACTGCACCATGTCAGCTTCCCTTTGTCTGGAGATTCCTCTCCTCTCCTTTCTTTATCTCTAGGCTCTTTGCCTTTGCAAACCCTCACTCTTACTCTACTCTCTTGCTGGTTTTGCATACCAATTATGGATTATACCGGGAACACAAGCATAGCCCATCTCTGAACGGTATCATCTCTGCGAACTATGTTGTTATATTTTGGTCGATTAGGGCCTCTATTTTCTTCCTCTTGGCTTTCGGTGATGGAGTAGGTTACGCCTAATGTGAGACTCGGACGCGTTTAGTGTTTCATCCCTGACTTAGTTCTGTTGTTGGCAGTACTTCACACACCGTATTCTCTTCTCGTAAAAGCGGCCTTCCCACTTTGCTTCCTGGTTATTTCGTGCGGGCAATTGTTAATAGTATCCTTAGACGTACTTGAGCTTTGAGTTATATAATAGGGTCTACAACTCTTAAAGAAATCACGTCTATATACTTCTGTTGCAAAAGGCAAGACATGGACCGTCCTATAATGAGCCTTCTGAAAGACCTCTTCGCTGTACCGTCCCATCTAAACGTCCACCAAGCCCACCAAAGGCAGGATTGTGGCTATTGGTGCGATGGGTAATCGAACTGACGACCTCCCTTGGGCGCTGGCGGACAGTTTCCACCATATGGCACTACAACGAGTACCATATTCCTGCCAGACCCACTCAAGACGACATCAACACTCCGACAAATGATCCAGACAATCCTAACTTCTGTGCAGTCGGATGACACCGACTCCTCGAAGAAAATTAACTCTATCCCGGATCGCGTTGGATCAACCAAAACTACCATATCGCCCTTGCAACCAGCCTTGACTCCCCCATCTCACATCTCACCAAAAGAGCCAACCGTGGCGATGCCACCAATAGTCTACGAACGTACAGGTCTCCCATATCCACCAAGGATCCGGAGTACATTCGATACTGTAGCCCAATGGGCCCCAAGCTTATCCCTCGACTCCACCACCACAGCTGCGTCCGAGCCTACAACACCATCCACCCTAATCCTAACTACTAACCCGTCAACATTCAGAGAAACAGAAGCGAATAGCAGCAGCAACGGCGGCCTCAGCACCAAAACGACAATCGCCATCGTGGTCCCCGTTTCCCTCTCCAGATTGGCCATTTTCGTAGGACTACTACTCTGCTTCTCTCAGACGCCGTCACCGAAAGCAACCCCCAACCCCAACAAGTCCAACCCTCATACAAACACTACCAAAGAACGAACACACCTGGGATTACGCGTTCACACCAACGGAGCGAACCTCGTTCGCAACCATGGTCCTCCGCAGCCCCCACAACCAGAGCCCCCCAATCCCAGATACCCAGTCGTTGAACCGAGAGCTACCGCCGCCGCCATCATCAGACAGCTGCAACGGCGCCCAAGGCCGCTTCACCGAACAGGTTCACTCCATGTACGCACCCGCTGGAGCTCCAATAGCTTTAACAGAAGCCAACAGTAGTTTACACGAACAGCATACGTCTAGGACCTCGCAATGGCCCCTCTCGCCGTTCGATGATCCCGCGAATAGAGACGGTGATGCTGTTCCCGAGGTTTCAAAGTCGAGTGATCGTCTGGGTACGACGCAGAACAGAGATCTAGATGATATGTCGTCTATTTCATCGATCGATGATAATGACCGATGGAATACCCGGTCGTAGAGTTACTGGTGGTGTGTGCGCTGGTGTCGTAGGCTTTTGGTTGGGCCGGTTAGATGTGATTTCGGGTATTTTGGTCTGGGCCGTCAATGTGTCTTTTCGTGTTAGGTAGGGTTTATTTAATTATTTATTTCTACTTCTTTGTATATCGAGGAATAATATATATTTAAGAGCTGAAATTTGGATTTAGCAAATTCATTTCTAATAGCCCTATTGATAGCGCACATGAGGAACTGCTTTGAAAAGGAGACTGACCGCTCACTTATTTAGGAAGGAAGGCTAATCCTATAATGGAGAGCGGTCCCGCCCAGAACCGCGCTACTAATACCTCGAAAACCACACCTACAGAAAAGAGGCATGTCACGTAGAAAGTAGACCCCTTCTATCTCAGAAGAATGACGTTTGTATTCACCGAAAATTAAACTAAGTAAGTATTTGGCTTAGTGTTTACTTTGGAGTCTATAAAACGTAAACCTCGACTTGGTTGGTGGCGTGAGCATGCTATACTGCCCTGCAGAATATACAGTTTTCAGAGGTCCAGGTTACATAGTGTTCAACTTTTTCTGCCAGATCCTCAGTCAGTTGGCCGCCTGCTGGACAACGGAGGTAGGGAGCAGTCAATCCCTTTGACCCTCTTATAGCCATACCGTATTTTGTTTACTGACTGAATTGCATACAATTTCTACTAGCGAGTCCTACTCCCCTTTCAAGAATACTTAGTTGATGTTCTCTACAGCTCGAACTAGGCTACTAAATGCTTCAACACCTTGTGAACTCCATTATTCCATTCGGCATGGATTTAGTACCAAGTGACCACTTGACATAAGATTCTCACAGAATATGATATAGGAGATAATATGGTGATATTGAGTCTATTCAATATATACAAAACTTTTGTGCCAGCACCAGAGAAGGTAGTGGTGGTGCGTGCAGCGAGGTATATGTACAGTAACATGGTCTAACGCCCACCAAAGTCGGGCTTATAGGCGATCACCTTCCCCTTCATCAGCTCTCTCAGGGCCATCGTGGCGTACTGGCTAGATCCCAGCTGGAATTTCAGAACAACAGCAATCTTGTCGGCGGAGTCCGCATCAACCGCGGGTTGTTGCTTGTTGTTCAGTTTCTCTAGTTCTGTCTGCACAAACTGTTCATCATCCTTGGAATACAACTTCACCTCGGCGGAATAGTCCGCTCCCATTCGGCTGAGGAACTTGCGGTAGCTTCCACTCAAGCTGACGTCTTTCCATTTGCGCCGCATGTCAAATGGATCCAGACCGCCGCCTTGCGCGCTTCCCATGAAGCTCTTGTAAAAGTCGGTCATAGCGTTGGAGGGATAAAGCACGTCAAATCCTGGCAGGGGAAGAACAACGTCGAAGATTGTGTACTTGCCACTGGCGGCTTCCTCGGCCGTCAGGGCGCGCGCGCGTACGAATGCGTCCTTCGCGGCGTAGGCGCTGTCCGATGCCTGTGGCGCAATGATCACCTCGCCGTCTGCATCGACATCAGCGGCAGGGCCATTGGCGTTTTCGTTTTTGTCGAGATGTTCATGAATGAGGACCAAGTCTCCCTCGACGACTTTGTCGCCGTATAGGCGCCACCGCTCTCCTGCAGCGAAGTTCCAGACCAATGATTGGTAGGCGTGCACATACATCAATCGTAGGTTCCGGGGAATCGACTGCAGGGCTCCGAGGTAGTCTTTCGTGGAACGGCCAAGTTGCCGTATCAAGTTGGTTTCGGCGGAGAATTTCCGGGGCAGCTTCTCGACAGCTTCGTTGATTCTACCTGTTGTTTGGAAGATGTGGATGGCCTCTGCACGAGCCTTGTCATCCGAACTGATCAAAGCGGTGGAATTGTCGCCTTCTTGGGCAGCCGCCAGAATATGGGGACTGTAGTGAAGGATGGCATCGCAGGCGCCCTTGAAGTCACCTTGTAGCATCTTCACTCCCACAGTGTCCGTCCGTGTCGCAAAGGTTCCAAAGCGCTGAAGACCATAATAGTTGAAGTAACCTCGTTCACGCAGGTTTCGCAAAGCCGACCCCACAAGCTCGGTGGCTTTGGTAACAGCGGTTTCACGATCCTGGAGATCGATACCTGGAATATCACATTCGCGCAGCGTAATAACGAATTCATTTCCAGCGAGATCACCCAGCTCAAGGCCATACTTGCGATACTCAAAATCACCAAGGGCCGCGTTGCGGAGAGTCGAATTCAATTTCGCAAGTCGGTCGGCCTGCACACGGTGAGCGCATGCTCTCTGCACCGTCACTCCGCGTCGGTCCTTAGTGCCAGCAAATTGGAAGCTCTTGGGGTTCAATTTCAATGAGCGTGCGATAAAAGATATGACCTCCATAGTATCTTTGTTCTCCTTGTAGATGGTAAAATGCAGGTAGGGACCTCCAAGCTCATCCCAGTTGACACGGCCGCGATCCCGACCACCCTCGCGAGCGCCTTGCGCCTTGCGCTTAGTCCGGTTTGCAGCCACCGAGATAGTCATCAAGCCTTCAGCGTCAGTCGAAGACTCGATTTGTGAATTGAAGATGCGACGGATCGCCTGATGCATCTTGATGCGCAGGTCCCGATCATTTACCACAACAGTTGGGAGTCTACCCAAATCACTCGGCCGAGCCTTCTCATTGCTCTGGGCGCGTTTATACAGCGAGATAATTTTCTTAACGTGATCTGCGCCAAAGTAAGATTCCAACAGCGCTTTGTCATCATCTGAGATCTGGAATTCAATCGTAGGTGTCTCCTCTGTGTTGGCTGACGCGTCAACCGCAGCCGCAATCTCTGAGTTCTCCTGTTGCTGGCTCTCTACTGGCGTTTCGGTCTTATTGGTGGAGTCTTTGTTATCCGCTTCCGATTGAGGTCCGGCAAGGGTATGTAGATGCAACACTTCGCCCGAGGGAACGATCTCGTTGACCAAGAAATCGGTATATCTAACATCCAACAATGGCAATCAGTTCAAAGCTTTCCCCACCCCCTCAGTTTCAAGTAAATACCTTTTCTTCAAAATTCCAGCAAATCCCGCATTCTCCGGGCTGACAAATTCGGTAATTCCTACTTCAGCCTCCTTCAATGATTGGGCGTCACTTTCAGAGATTGCCGCGACTGCTCCATCGAAAGGGGGGAGTGTAGCCTCATCGGTGACGGGGGTATTATCAGTCTTGATCCGCTTACGCGGGGACTCAACAAGGTCGGCACCTTCCATTGTGAGTAAGAGCGGCGAGGGTGATGCCAAGTTGAAGCGGGAGCGACAAATAGAGGCTATGAGGCGGACTGTTGGAAGCTTTGATAGGTTTTGCTTCTGCCGCTCCGAAAGGGGCATAGCGTTGCCCTAGCCCTATTTATCTGGTCAGAAGACGGCTAGCTATACTAATGGAAATGTTCATTATTTGATCTGATTTTACCTTATTTTTATTCTGTTATTGGCTTTGCAACATGAGCAGTGAAGGTGTTTTCTTCATAGAGGTCGGAAAATAACTAGAATGAGCCCTCGCTCAGCAAAACCTGCAATAAGTACCGTTATACCCTGCACATAGTAAGCTAACTTTTATCAACAACATTCAAAATGAGGGTAACCTTGCAAAACTAAGAAGACTTTGCCTATTTATTTGAGATATGCTCTTAGTCTCGTTTTCTCCGCCGATGTGCATTTATACTATGAAGCAGCTACTTTAAACTCAATGAAATTTGGCGAAGAGAGGGCAAGGCCGGCGTTCAAGGCATTACCTTAGAACTCAATCTCAACATCATGGACGAATATAATTAAAAGATGTAGTAAGAAGCTCAATATACACTCGAATTATGTTCGAAGCCAATGCGGCAAGCACTTCGGCTATATACGCATCCTTCAGTTCTCTAGTGCCATGATCCTCGCCCATCTCATCGACGTTTCTGTACCTGCTGCTTGGAAGCTTGACACTAATGCACCAGCACTGCTAGATGTGAGAACTACGGTTCGAAAAATATATGTATCTATAGCGAGAGTTCGCATGACATTCCCTGAGCAAGCAGTCTCCATCGTCCCGACGCGGATAATAGGCTAATAGCATGCACTAAGGGCCACTGGGTTAGCGGGAGGCACCTATGCCAGAATGGAAGTTATCAAGGCGCAGTTTGGCCCCCACTGTGGATATCCTTGGTCACTCTTATCTCAGCAGGTCCGATATCTTATAGGGTTCACGGGGGGGAAACAGGTGGGACTACATTGCTTATCTCGGACTAGGCACGGCAGGCTATGTTGTTCACTAGACAGGGAAATTCAAGGGTATATGAGAGCCCTCGCTTGTCATGCAAGATCTGTTCTCACGCTGTAGGAAGGATTAAAACATAGGGGTTGAGCTAGATTGTTGAATGCCACCCCACTAGTAATTTTTACAGGATCTCCGTCTAAAACTTCCCATTCCGTTTTGGTTCCAGAAGACCCGTGGACACTTAAGCGTATATCATACTGTATTAATCATATTACGCCTGTTGCGAAACCACCAATAATATGGTCTGACAGTAAGGCTGTGTGCTCATCTCTAAAACCGATCAACGCCCACAAACGGCGAGAACCGTTCTTTTATTGTCTATTTCTCCACCGTGAACCGAACCATGAGTCCCCTGAAGTCAATACACGAAACCACATTTCTTCTTTTTCTTCGTCAAGGCTTTTTTTTTTTTTTTTTTTTTTTTTTTTTTTTCTTTTTCTTATTAACGTGACAGTTAACTTCACTCATTCGTTTTACCCAAATTACTCGGCAATGGGTTCGAGAAGACAGCGGAAGCTACTATGCGTCCACACCATAGGTACTCGCAAACTAACCCTCGTACTTTTGGCGGCCCTCGTCTACTTTGTTCTCTACCATCTACCACCACCACCAAAGACCAAGAACAATACGGGCTCAGATAGGAAACCACCCAAGTATGATGTGGATACTACGCCGCGATTTCTTCACCTCTCACCCTTTCGAGAGGACCCTGACACGGAATACGAGAAACATGTATCAGAGGCCCTGTTAGAAATAGAGAACACAGCCCTACGCGAAAGCAATGGGGATAGCTCTGCAGAAGATAGAATCTGGCAAATTGCGCTCGGTAAACGTGTCGAGCGAGAAAGTGACTCTCTTGAATTTGAGCAGGAAAACAGTGAGTGGAAGTACTCTGTAAGTCACTACGCCACAAAGGAATTAGTCATGTATCATGCTCAACCTATGCAGCTCGTGGATGACAAGAAGGCATCCAAATTCATCACCGAAATGTTCTCAAGTGTACCGCAACTCAAGAAGTTGTACAATTCTTATCCGTACCATGTTATACGCTCCGACCTTATCCGGTACCTTCTCCTCTGGTACTACGGAGGCTTCTACGCAGACATGGACGTGTATCCTGCGCGGTCGATCAAGTCGTGTCCAGCATTAGAGCCGCTCTGGGAGGGGGATGCAAAGAGCCCGAATGTGTCCCTTGTTGTAGGCACTGAAATTGACGAGCCACACGCCTCCCCACGTCTCATGCGTGAATGGCGCTGGACCCGCCGCTACCAATTGATCCAGTACACCATCTATGCGCCACGTCGCTTTAGCCCCATACTTCGAGAGGTGATTGTTCGAGCCCTATCGCATACAAGACGGCATATCAAGCAAAGCAGCTTTATTCTGGGGCCCCGCTATAATGAGAATACGATTCTGGAGGTTACCGGTCCTGGGGTATTTACCGACGCCGTTTTGGACGTAGTGTCTCAGACACTGCCGCCAACTCACAACTTGGTTGAATCGTCTATAGACGCGGATGCTGACATCGGAGATCTCGTCTCGCCATCTACCGGGGTGACTCAAAGGCGGGTGACATGGGCGCCCTTTACCAAAATCAAGGAACCAGTTTGTGTAGATGATTCAGAAGCCATGAAAGGAAAATCTATGGGGGGTGTCTGTGTCCTACCCATCAGTGTATGGGGGAACGGACAAAGGCACAGTGGCTCCGAGGGTTTTCGCAGTCGACACGCATGTATCAACCACCGCTTTGGCAGGACCTGGAGAAAGGGCTGGATGGAATATTTCTTTGGTTAATTCAGTAACGGTGCTTCTGTTTCATGGCCGGTAAATCTGCGGCGGCCAAGGAGACGCTTGCATCGACCCGACAAAAGAACTTTCGGAAAGCCAAAACGAGGCAGTTAGAATCTGACTCGAGATTCCTAAATATCTTTCGGCAAATACTACAGTCATGAGACTGGGCTACGATGGCCGATCCAAAGGGTAAACCACGTATCAATGACTGTTCTCTAGCGGAACCAGGGATGAAGGCAAGCCGAAAATAACCGTTTGGACCCCTGGCCTACAGCTAAGGATCCGGAGCGTATGGATCCCAACGGGGACACAGTAGTCAGCGAGTATAAGGGTAGGGCAAACATTGAGACCCTTATCTGCCTCAGCCGGACATTGTATTTACTGTATAACTTTTCGAGGCCTCGGTGTATGTTCTGGGCACTGACAGCTTGTTTTACCCCTACAATATATTGCAGCTATAGCTGTTGTCATGTGTCAATTTGATAAGAGCATAACCCCCTAAATCCCCGCTCGTGTCTTAAGAATATGGGATTCTAGACGCCGGGAATTATGTTTTCAATCAGGTAAGACAGAGGCTACGTTATCGTGCAGTAGGACCTAGCACTGTATCATGGTTGACGCAACCCCAAAAAAATTATGTCTTCATCTTCTTGGATATAGTTAATGCAGAGCTCTCTTCGGTTATTCTATCTTCCATCGACAAACTGCACAAGATGGTGGATTCCTTCGTCCGTGGCAATCGCGATCCCGAGGCAAAAACCTTTGCATCCACAAGCCAAGTTGGAGTAAGGAAAGAGGAGAATCTGTTATATGTTCCTGAGCAGTTATGTGTCAAGTGCTAGCCTAGCACATTTAGAGTTATTCTTCATGCTCTCGAGGCTAGAGCCGCTTGAGCTGCTCAAACCTCTTCCGATTAAGAGAAAGAATGGACGCTATGACTACTATGTATTTTGGACCACTCCTAAGATAGAATTATCTAAATATAGCATCGATTTATTTCGATCAAGAGTTACATTCGGTTGAAGACTATTTTGGTCAAGGACGAAGATGAACCTGTTGCTTGATACCTTTATCGACAGGGAAAAGTCTCGAGGAGACAGGCTATTTACTGTGTACTTATTGAATATGCAGGCAAGGGTCATGTGATTCAACAGTTCTTCATTGAACAACTCGGATATACAGTGAGCTGGGAATTTTGTCTTTATAAGGTTATTTATTCAGCTGCACAAATGGACAGAAGTCTATGTTTGAAGGGGAAAGGGGGCACGCATTCTGTCTGTTACCTGGAATATAGTATGTATGCTTTTGAATAGATTTGTAATCTGGATGTGCAAGTCTCCACTAGTACAACAATAGGTTTGCCACTCTGTGGTCCCTTTTATATTGCTTATATTGAGAGAATACTCATGTTTCTCTCGAGTGTTCGAGTATGTATACAAGCTTCTTAGGTTCTGGCTTTTACTGCTTTGTTCACAACCTCATTCATTTTCTTCTATTTCATGTCCAAGTCGAATATATCTTGAAGTTCCCTACATCCTTAGCCTAAGACATAAAGTCACCGACTAGAAGACAATATCACTCACCAGCAACAAACACCATCTACGAGGAAAGAAGACCCAGTCTTTCACCGAGACCGAGATACCGAGTACGGACGTGAACCGTCACTTAAGAGCAATAACCCACTTAGAGAGGCGATCGAGCGTAAGTTAACCCTCTTCAAGAAAGGTGTGATGGTTGATGTCACATAATAAATACTCCTGTATGTTTTTCGATGTACATGATGGAATTAACGCCCATGAAGCTATTGTTGACTCTGACAAGGAAATGTATAGGTTCTGAAATTAGGAAAATATTGTGCATGCTAACGGTTGGTCAGTACTCCGAGTACAGCCAAACCGACAGCCTGCAGGGAGAATATATACGGGTTTGTTACAGGTTCTATATTCGAGAGGACACTAATGAGAGAGTGCTTTATATAGCCTTAGAGATCTCTCAAAACAAGTTTCTCTAGATTTATTCCTATTGCGACTGAGCTTGAGCAGGAGTCTATATTTGGAGAGAGGAGAAGCTGAGAATGGAAAGGATAGATACCCATGGCTTTGTGTCCATAGTCATCATTGAATGCTGTCCTTTGTCTACGAAGGAGTATTTATTTATATTATCTATTAAGCATTGTGAATACTCTCCCAACCATAAAGGACTCAACAACGGTCTTTTATCTCTTGCCTCGCCAGCAAGTCTAGAAGCGTTATAATGAACACCCTAAACTTAATACCATTGACTTCAACGAGTACAGCAGATCAAGGCCAAAAAGCCTTTCCCAAGATCTCAAAGACATCCAACTATAAAAATTAAGCTCATCCTAGCTGGTCGCACTACCTACCCATCTTCACCTCTACTCCCAATCTCATCACAACCCTAAACCATACCAGCCCCCCAGAAGCAAAAGCCTACTTCTTCCAACTAAACCGCAAAAAGCCATAATGGCGACTTGAAGTACCCCCCAAGAGTCCAACGAAGGCATGATATTCAACAAACTCGACGTCGAACGTAAGGAGCAGGCCTTCTCGTTGAGAAGTATTCCAACTTCGTTGGGGTCTATCTCGACCTAGACGCAGAGACAGACACCGACAACGCAGAAGATTTCATCTTAGCTTCCAGACGGGCGTTAGGGCATAGACTGCAAAGGGGAGGGGGAGGGGCGGGCCGCGAGGGGCGCCCCGTCAATCCAAGGGGCAAACCCCCGAAGTAAGGCATAAGGGTTTTATGGAGCTTTCCGTCGGATGCGCTGACTGCCGAAGAAGTGTGCAAGGAGGCGTAGATTTATACGAAAGCATTTGAGGAGCTAGTAGACGAAGGACAGGATTTAGGTTTCCAGTTTGTTTAGATGACTGCTGTGTGGTGAGACTTACTCGTCCCGAGAATGTCCAGAGGGAAAGGATGGATGTTTCCGTGACTTCGATTGGGTATTCTTCTTGAGAAGATCTTCTCTCGAAAGTCTAACCTGGTTTTCCGTTTTACGTTTTACCCAGAACCTGGGAATTTTGTACTAGATGAGTAGGGTGCCTCTAGAGCTATTGTTTTATGGCATGGAAGAATATCAAGTCGAATGGCGATTTCATACTCAGTACATGAAACCAGTGATAAAAACGACATAGAAACAACAAAAAAAAAAACGCTTTGAACGTGTCAGAACCACCATGAACATGGTGCAGACACCACTCTATCACTGAACCTAACATGTCTATGGAAACGTGGTCTATGTATGTTCAAGTACATAGGGTATCTTTCATGTCTTCGTAACGAGTCATTTCCCTTCCCCTCCGTTTGTTTTTCTTTCTGTAGTCTCATGCTTCTTCGGGTAGAGCTATGATATCGTGATCGTTGCTTTAAGCATTGTGATAAGGCTCGCTCTCGAAATTAATCAGTTATGCAAGATTGGTGGGCGTGGCTTTGGCGTCTCTTGTTGAAATATGCGGGACGTATCCAAGTTGAATTGGCATCAGTTCGATTCCACCATCCGATTGCGCAGAGTCAGCACATCCATGGGCTGGGCACCGCCACCTTCCCAGGCAGCTTTAATGGCCTGAATCAACCCCCAAACCGCTTTTCGAGCTTCCTCGCGGCCCGTTCCGGTATGGAGCATGGACTCATAAGGGGTATGCGTGTGCCGAATATGAGCTTCCACTGCCAGGTCGGCCTTGCGCCCATCTGTTTTAGTCGCTGTGCGTCCAACCCGACCGGAACCTTTGAGAAACGCATGGTTGAGGATCGCCTCTAGAGATTCCGCCGGCATAAGTGGGAACCGAGAGCGTAGGACCTGTCGAGAGTGAGCCAGATCTTTCTCGTCGCGAAGTTTGACAGCGTGGGCGCGAGTCTCAGCGGTCTTAGCGGCGGACTCAATAACCGCTGCATATATGTCGGAGGGGACACGAATGCCGAGTGTTCTCTTCCCTGTCTTGTCCTGCTGTTGGTTAGAACCTTAACCAAGGTAACTAGACAGGAAACATTATCCTTACATAAACGGTGTAGACGACGCGTTCAGATGCTTTCGTGTTCGCTCGACAGTTGCGAGTAATGTAAACATCGCCCTTGGGGACAAGCACATATCCTTGAGGAAACGGCTCCCTGTCAAAACAATTCTGTAGGTTACTTTCCCGTTAGCGAGGCATGGTTCTTACATGGCCTAGCAGCTGTAGCCTAAGCAAGGGCCAAGCGAAAGGGTCCCCAAGCGCAGCCCAAAACTTATTGTTGTAAGAAAACCCACGTACCTTTTCGAAAGGCTCAGTTGTGCGCGGGATCAAGCCAAATTTTGAATACCTCCAAGGCCGTTCCCCAACCTTACGTTCTGGGTGCTTGATCTTATTGCTACCACCAGCGCTAAAAAGACCCCCACGGCTACGTCTGGCCGTGAGACTATTTCTGCGAGCCTGGGCTAAGATGGACTGAGGCGATTTCGGAGAAGTAAAGGATTTCGTGCGATTCCTTCGACGGCCACCCGGTTTCCCGGGGACATGTCTTCGAGAGATTCTGTTCGCCGAGGATGTCATAATGTTTCAAAATGGGACAAAACAGAGAACGATGACAGTAAAATGAGAAAATCAGTTCAATTTGGAAGGCAGGTACGATATCAAATTCGTAATAATAGAGGATGAAGTCGTTTAACACAAGAGGCCCTGAGTATTCAGGGACCAGATTCGTTATCACCGACTACCAACATCAAAGGGATTGATAAGGAAGAGAAAGAGCGATGGCCGACACGAACGGTAAAACTAGCAGTCGCCCCCATGACGTGGACCAGTAGCTTGACGTAACTCCTTTAATAATCCATTTTAAGGGTCTTCGTATGTCGTACTATTCAACGAAGATGTATGGATTATGCAGGGGCAAGACGAGTCGATCGTACCCTTTTCTGCCCAAAATTCTTGCGTATCATTTCCCGAGCGGTCAACTCCGGCTCGGCGGGGAACTTGGTGGCTGTGGCGCTGTGACTGGTGACTAAAGCCTGCCTGAACTGTCAGGCAAGAACTACTGGCAAACACTTTTACATCAAATTATCGTTATTCTACCAACTCTTCATCTTCGCTCCATAAGTAGAATTTCTCGGGTAGGTACCGACAATGGTATGCAAATTTCCTGGACAGACAAGTTTCTGGCCCGTTACATGTGTTCACTAAGGTTGACATTGGTGACCCATAAGTATGATTCGGAGCATTATATCACCCGTGGAAGTAATGAAGCATCGGGGGTTGAGCTCCTTCGATCTTCAATTTCGACGAACATAAGAACATCTTCTCCATTATTGAGCCTGAATTCATTTTTTTGGTTGGAGTGTGTTACGATGAAGAAGGTTTTAAGTTCGTGAAGGAGCCAAAGATAGGGCAGTCCTACCACTTTTCTCACCTATATCTACCGTTTCCTTAATTCGAAAGTTCCACAAAGTAACGTTTGCTGTTGTCTTGGGTCATTTGGGTAGAGCCATTATGTAATGAACAATATGTAATTGCTGAACCAGGGTTAGTTTCGGGCTTCATCATAACTGACTTCTGCTTTTATAGACTGCCTATACTGGATGTGTGCGATCATCGAGGCATAGTGGAATATATCCATAATTATAGGCTACCTTTCCGTCATATCTACTTATGTTAGCGCTATGTGATATCTAACTGAGTTTTCCTGTTCACGTCGCATATCTTCGGACGGTGTATATAATCTCGCAACGTTCGAAGCAACATCAGGAAAAGTCGCAAGACTCTGAGAAGGTTGTGCAGATTGCTCTGGTGAGAAACTCTCTGGCAGGGACAGATTCAGGAACTCATTACCCTCGAGATTGACATTGTGGGAATCGGCAATGACGCCGTCCGGTGTCTAGAGATTCTCAGCTAGGAAATCGCAACAATCGGAATTCTGGTCGTCAGTTTCTGGTCCCACCCTACCGGTATTGAGAACACATCATTATCATTATCCACTCTATCTCCTCTAGTGAATGTTGGAGTGAATGTGTTAGTCTCCGTTTCAGTGGACCCCAAAGGTAAAGCTGGCGGAAGGGCTATTCCATCGATTGTTTACTTCCTGGGGCCAATATCATCTGGTGAGCGCTCCAGATTGATCAGAGATGCCTTTGTTTTTGAGAAGCTCGTTGGAGACTTTTCATGCACGACAATAGGCGCACTGAGCTTCTCTGGCAATAAAGCTTCTGAGAGGGGCGGAAAGAGAGAGAAAATACGAATGTGAACCGTAAAATACTGCTCAGTGCTTTTCTCTTTGCAACCACCACCCTTGGCGGTCGTGGATCGGAATTGGAGCCTAAGCCAGGAGAATGGGATAGGGGCAATATAATAGCCACGCGTATCCACTTTTGTGTTGGTTGGCACATGGGCTATAGGGCCTGCGGGCGCCTTGCCTTCCCTGTTTGACTTTGGCACAGTGATCATCTTGTCTTCATCCGCGTTGATGCTCTCCGTTGCAGTGTGTGTGACACGAATCTCACAAGGCTCGCTTTCGACTGCAGGGCTGTCACCAAGCCGACTAAGCCCTTGATGAGAGATAATAGTCCCGCGAATGTAAAAGATATTCCTGCGATAGCATACGACACGTTATCCTGTGCTTGGTCCTTGGAGAAATGTGCCAGAAGTCTGTGCAGCAACAATTGCAGGGTCCAGGTTGGATGAATGGCCAGACCATGTGCGTCTCTCGACAAATAATAATGCCTGATGCACACCCTCTATTCGAGACGACTTACGTGAATCATTGTCCTGAGGTTGTTTGTTAACTGCAATGCTGTCTAGCTTCATGCTCGTCACTTCGTTTGAATATGTGACTGGGATCTTCTTTCATACGCATACCTTGGAAAAGGTGTTTTACATCAGACAAAAGTTGATGGGTTTCTCTAGCTTCTCTGTTCAACTTACTTCCCAGCAGTTACTCAACCCGAAGGCTAGGCCTCTTTGGGCCCGTCGAGTATTTATCTCTTGTTCTTACCTATATCCCAATCTAGCTTCTTTGTTCTGCGGTATATTTTCTATCCTCATAGTCTAGAAGCCGCTAACCCACAGTCTCTTACCATTGACATAATTACCGGCTGCAAACCCATTCAAATGCGGCCAGAAAAATGGGAGTAGTGCGATAAACATGATTTGGCTACCTAGGTGCAGACTGCTACTGCGAGAGCAGACCCGATTATGCACGTCCGGGATGGTAGCGGGCACATCTAACTGTATATTTTCTGAAATTCTATTCCTGTGTCATATTATATCGGGTTGTGACAGACCTCTGGTCGAGGGTCCAAGAACATGGAGATCCAAAAACTATAGGGAAATTGAACTAGTAAATACGCCGCTGATTACGAAGGCTTCCCAGCTGTCAACGCCAACCCGCAATAGACAAAGGCTGTCTCACACTACCTGAACTAAAAAAGCCAAATATAAACAAAAGTCATGTATGGTCGTAGGTGCAGGTTATCTGTTAACGCTATATAGCCATGATCATCTTCTAGGACTACCAAATCTGGGTCTTCTCTGGGTAAGGTGCTGCTCTTGATCTGAGAAAGAATGACGCGATTGAAATGATGCGACCCATTCTGGAATTTTTTGGGGTTGGTGAGACAATTGAAGTTGGAGGAGCTAAAGCCAAAAGCGCCATTAATTTGAGCGTCCATGAAGCCTTGGGCTAAGACTTGGGCTAAGATCTTACTGTGCAAATCTATGTTGATCTCTGCCACATCTACATCTCCTGACAAGGGGTCACCGATTTTTGCAGACTCCGAGTCTACCCACGAATCCGGTGCGACGAGTTTGAGGGCCTGTACAACGCGGCCGTTGAGAATACGATACAGCAGGGCGATATTTGGGAGTAGACCTTTAGAAGTTCCAGATTTGTTGCCAACCAAAACCCGTCGTAGATTCGGACTCATAATAACTACGTCGTGCAGCTTGCCTGGGGTTAGGGTTACATGTGAATGTAACAGAACGATAAGCATGGATTGTTAGGCTAAGATTACTAGTACGTCCTTCCTATACCCCACTTCGTGTTGTAACGTTGCAAACCCAGAGGCAAAACTCTACGTCTTTTACAAAACAATCTCCTTATCCAATTCCTCAACAGTATCTCGAAGATACGTTCTCTCGGTTTTATTTGCTGCGTTGTGGCAGCTTAGCCACTGTGCCTGCCATGGACTGGGGAGTCCGACCGGAGTTACGCAGCACAAACAACATGGGAGAGCATGACTTACAGAGGTAAGACACCTTTAACTTTATTTTTTTGCTTTATGTTTGCTTTTGCTTCGTTTTGGTTTTCCCTGTATTAAAAACGCGCTATAGGGTACTGGGAAATTTATTCCTCATAGGCTTTGAAGGCACAGTTCTGACCCAAGAGCTACGAGGGCTAATAGAAAGCCACTTTGTCGGTGCTATATTATTAACATCAAAGAATCTTAAATGTAAGTGGAGAATTCTTCCGGTCTATTGATTGGGCCATGATTCATGTATACTTGCAGCAGGAGACCAAGCAACGCACTTGATCAGCAGCCTACAATGGTGTGCTTATGCAGCCGGCCATGAACGCCCGCTACTGATTGCTATTGACCAAGAGAACGGGAGCCTTAACTCCCTCGTAGATGAATCCATCACTCAGTTCCCTTCCGCCATGGGCATGGCTGCCAACGGCTCCCCCAGTCTTACCCGACAGGTCGCCACTGCAAGTGCGTCAGAGCTAAGCTGTGTAGGCGTGAACTGGATACTCGGACCAGTTCTGGATGTACTGTCAGCATCACGAGCTTCACCACTAGGAGTGCGTGCCTTTGGAGATGATCCTATAACAGTCCTAACCCACGGCTTGGAGACGGTACATGGCTTCAAGAAGGCACGTGTCGCATGTTGCGGGAAACACTTCCCTTCGTATGGCGATGTTGAATTTGTGGATGGCACCGAGTTCAGTCTCCCATCCATGGCGACTACTATGGACGGTTTGCGAAACAGGGCCTTTATTCCTTTCCAGGCCTGCGCTCAAGCCGGGTTGGATGCTATACTTGTCGGAGGATGCACTCTAAATATCGATGGCAAGGCGGTCAATCATGCCTGTCTAGAGAGCAGTGTTGTGACTGATATCTTGCGACACGAGTGTCAGTTTGGTGGTGTCGTTCTTTCCGAGTGCCTTGCAATGGAGGCCCTCTGCCAGGATATTTGCATTTCTCAAGGCGCAACGATGGCAATTAAGGCGGGGTGCGACATGGTTATGTTATGTCGGACATACCAGTCGCAGCTGGAAGGCCTTGCCGCAGTCAAACTAGCTGTACAGGACGGTAGTGTCCCATTGCAAGTCATAATGGAATCGAACAATCGAATCAACGCCATGAAGGACGGATGCACCTCGTGGGAGCGAGCTCTTAGCCCCCAAGGTCCGGTTCGTTTAACTAGCCTGAGTAAAGATCACTTGATCCTATCCGACCAAGTATATCGAGGCGCAATTAGCTTGGTGCGAGATACGGTTGGCAACCTTCTACGTATTAGGAATATTCCAGCCGACAAAGAAGTACTGCTCCTCACCCCGCTAGTTGGACTGTTTGCCTCTACAGCTACTAGAGCGGTCCCAAAAGATCTAGTTGCAGCACCAAGGGTATCTCGACTTGCGCCGGGTGAGGACACCTTTCAGTCTTTCGGTGCCTTCCTTGCGCATCAGCTCAGGGTTCGGCTGATTCACACATCATACTCAAGCAACGGGGTACGGCCAGTGCACGAACAGTTGATTTCTCGATCATCAGCTGTCATCATTTTAACAGCGGATGCTACACGTAATACCTCTCAATATGGAGTCACCAAACTCGTGAATATGCAATGCAGATATCAGACCTATGAGGGGCGCCAGAAGCCTGTCGTTGTGGTCGCTCTCAGCTCTCCGCATGACTTCCTAACTGACAATGATATCCACACGTACATCTGTACTTATGACTTCACAACACCGTCCCTGAATAACCTTGCTCTTCTCCTCGCTGGGAAGTTGAACTCCACTAAAATACCTCCTTTAGCATTGGCACGACAGGCGAGTCCTAACAACCTTAGAAGAACCAATGAGCCGATGAATGCAACGTGGCTAGTCGAGCCGTACGACGACATTCGTGACCGGTCGGCCTTGGAGAGGTTTTGGAGCCGAATTCCCGTAACACAACTTCCGTCGACACTCAGCCCCGTGGATGGCTTCCCGGGGAAGAAATGCTTTGTCGTCCGTAACAGCACCATGATGACAATTCTTGGGATCGTGGTCATCTCAATATTTGAGTCGCGGCCTGATGGTCAGATTGAAATTGTTCTTGTCGATCCAGATCGAAAGGGGTTTGGAATAGAGAACTCACTCCATGAGCATGCGCTTTCATATCTAGCTTCTGTTCGAAGCTTATCCGGAGTCAGCATAAGTCAACCTTATTATCCCTGAATTAAATGCTTGGGCTGTTCTTATACTAGTGTCCCTAGCTCCAATTTGGTTCGGCGTCATGGGCTTTTTTTTTGGATGTACTGTATCTTCTCGTTCTACAAGAACGGCGGATTGAGTGGCGTTTAAACTATGCAGCTTTGTAATATTAGTGATTTTCGATGCTCGCATCAAACTCAGGCTAAAGCCAGGTTCAATATTTGTATTGACGCTATTTATTGTATCGTACATGCATATGCACAAGCACTTGGCTTTCGCGTTGCCTCCTAGGGGACTGGGTGCTTAGTATATAAACTTAGCCTTCTAATCTCTAGTCCCATGCCCCATTGTTATAACTATGATGAAGATAATTCTGCCTACCTCTGTCCGCTATGGTAGAGAGAATAGCTAAATAAGTCACTACCCAAGAATTTCATTCCACCTCGAATCCCTACAGCATTCCTTGTATCTCTTTCCAGAACTTCCTCTAACAGGGCATCAGAATTCTAAACCCTACAATCACAATCACCCATCGCCTCTCCTCTCGCTAACATCAAAACACAACAAGGATCCATGCATCATACCTTCTTTCGCTCGTACTCAAATCACGGGGGTGTAATCTTTTCTATAGGCGCTAAGATCCTTCAAAACCAAAAGCTCAATCTCGACACCCAGCTTCCAAGTCCTTCATCTAACAAATTTCTTCTAGTCCTAACAAGACATGCCAGCCGACGCTAACCATCATCCCAGACAATAGTCCCCTTTCCCTAGAGCCCAAGCAACCAATCCCTTCCTTAAACCTACAGCTGAAGCAGAAACTACACCCTCAAAGTCCATCGAGGAAGAATGGACCCGTCTTATCTTTACGCTAAAGAGCCATACAATCTATCAGATTGGAACCGAAAACGTCCAGAATTTCACTCTCGTCTAAATAGTCCCTCGGCGATGATATTCCTCCACGTTTTCTCCTATCTTGCATGGAGAGCAAGGTTGGGAGAAGGTACAGAGTAACTGTCGGGTTCGTATCCGATGCCAGAAGAATGATGCGATAGAGCTATCTGATATGGACTTCGTATTGAGAGGGATGGTTCTTGGGTAATTTATTCTGTCTCTTTTATGAGACAAGAGGCTAGGTAGCTGAAAATAGAGGGTTGGTATTTCACACTTGGTCACCTTCATATACTTGGGTATGTGGTTTTATGATATGTTGGGATTACTTATAAGGTATTTTATCTTTCAAACTTGGACAAGACTGGAATGTGAATTAGGATCCACACGGAAAAGGACAAGAGCGGGAAATGCTAGCGTAATATCCAAACTGAGGTCTACTCCCGTGACAACCAGTCAAGCTAACAGTTAAGACGGGAGAAAGTGGATATTTGACTTACAAGAACGGTGTGAGTGAATTCCGTGAAATAATCACCATAGGCTATGTATACCCAAGATACGAGCACTGTCGGCCGAAGTCATAACCTACACAGTTGCACTGTGAATACCAACGGTGCATATAGTGGGGACCAGGGAACAGGCCAGATTATGGGGGTTACCTACAATGGGAATTGAATTGGTAACTAATCGGCATTTTTTTCTATTAGCTCAGAATGGCCAACGGAAATATAATATACCAGCACATTAATTTATGGGCAAACCTCATTACTAATTATGATTTGTTCGAGGACAGGTGCTGCAGTCCGGTTACTCGAGCTACATCTCTAAGCGGCGTCGTCAAGGGGCTGTAGCCCTACAGGGGCTGTAGAATAAAAACATAAAAAGAAAAGAGACAGACAACCTTATCCCCAGCAAGCCTAACTGAGAGGGGTAATAGATAGGGGTTTAGGTACGGAGGTACATCAGATCTCAAGGATCTACCCGACACGAGGGAGAGACATGTCGATGTAAGGTGAGCCATATGTCTGACATATCGGTGGACACCTGCCAAAAAGGCCGCGATCGATCTTTCAAGTTGACAAGGTGCAGAAGGGCATGAGTTCAATATCTTGAGGCACGTTTTGAGTCCAGTGGAAAATGTGTCTTTTTTAGAGTTTCCCTGGTATAAGGGTCCAGATCGTGCATGGCGGCTTAATGAGAAACACTCCATCCATGGAGGTTCTAGATACTCTGATAAAACCGGGGTTGTCCGACCCGAATCCAGCCGATTGTTGAATGGGGGAATCGAAGCGATAGGTATATATGGATGTCCGTAGGCTTATGTGATGTTTAATACATTACTTAATTTTAGGTATTTAGCATTGATAGGATGAAAGGTGTCCATGGGGATGTGTCAAAGCATCATCCGATCTTTCTTTATTCTCGTAAATGGTGGTGGCAGGGGCGGGGATATAAATAGGGTAAGAACAGGTGGTATTTTGACCATGGCGGAGGCGATCAAGAAAGAAAGGCAGAAAAGAAGATAATAATAATAATAATAATAATAATACGTGATGAACAATATTAATTCTTGGCACAGAGAGTGAAAAGTTGAGAAAAGCTCCTTACTTGATTGTCTTCAACTTTAAGCGCCTTGGTCAAACCGAAGTCGGGATGCTGCGTGTGGTTCACTAGGCAATCATCCAGGCGGCCATGTCAGGGGCTCTGGTCATTAATTAGGGCAAAATGCGAGCGGTATGCACGATGTACAGCTATTCCTGCGGGATTACACAACAGGCCGCTAGCTCGCTGCAGGTCCCAATGCTCGCGTGCAGGACTAAACCATCTTTGTGTTGTTTGCTTGCTATTCCTGTCAGGAGAGTCCGGCCGGGAATAGATTCGTTCAGACATGGTACGAAGCGAGTAGTAGTTTCATCTGGTAGGTCATATCCGGAGCAACCCCGGGAAAGGTTATCCGCCCTTTGAAAGGGAATAAATAAAGAAAAGTAATGGTGAATAAAGAATAACAGTCAAGTAAGTGGTGCTGACCGGAGTTTCGACGTAGCGATTAATTTGGTTCAATCCTGGACAAACAGGGGGGAAATCAGTCTAGACTTCCGCCTTGATGTCCGATCACCTGCCCCAAAAGGGTAATATTAGCAGTGGGACGAATCTTTTTTGAAAGAATTCCTCTGGCAGTAAATAGTCTTCACTGCTTTGATTAACTATTCCGAAAACTAACGGTTTGGAGAATCATCAACGTCATCGAGGTGTCTCAAGACCAAGAGAATAAATACTAATTAATTTACTTATATACTAAAAAGGATAAATAGTTGGCGGTATAGGAAAGAAAATAAATAGTAAGTATTTGTACGCCTCACGCGGGGGTGAAGGTGCCCTGGTTATCTATTTCGAGGAACGCGTAGCTACACGATATGTCGTCATCTAATTAACGCGCGGAGTAAAATGAAGGGAAGGCTGGAGCTGAACAAAACCGGCCAGAGTTTGAGGCGAGAGCTCTCACTGGTTGGTGGATCTGGAGCAGTAGCAGTAGCAGGCCCCAAGCAATGGATACACAGTAGTAGTGGTAGCAAAGAGTTCTGACTAGGGCGGTTTACCAGGGTCAGTCTTGTCGTCACCGAATGCGGTTTGGATCGGCGTACCTCGTAAGGAGTCGAGCTTTTATTCAAACCTTATGATCTCTCTTTTCTTCCGAATCCCGCATTTCTCGATCGAAGAGAAAACCCTTCTTTCCAGTGTCATATCACTCCTTTTCATTCCTCCTATCAGTCCATCGTTGATTGGGAAACTGACGCCTCCCGTGGAAATGGAGCACTACTACTATTATAGGTCCAAAGGGGGGGAATGAGGAGACGGGCTGCAAGTCAGACCAACCAAAGCCAGCCAACAAATAGATCGTGCTCAAACTTAACGATGGAGCCCAGTCGATCCACGGAAAGAAGGATGGCTGTTCCTTGTCTCGGGAACCAATGACGCTCCAAGACGGGTTTAATTCGTCGAGGATTATTTGAGATCAATCACCTTGGAGGAATCCATATCAATTTAATATCCAATATTCGCTGAGGGTAAGGTTACGGCTTCTCCGTCGTAGATTCATTTCCATATTGGACAGAGTTTGGTTCATTGCATTTGTTTCTCTTTTTATATATATGTACGTCGACGTTTTCATTCTCGGTTCCGGTCATTTTGGTACACTGTACCACCGGGTAGATAATACTTTTTAAGTATAAAAAAGTACCTCTGTAGTATTGACCGCTTTTCAAATTCCTCTTGTTTGCTGTAATTATCATACATACCTCTTCACTCCAACCCTCGTTTCTGCTCCATACCATGCAACAGATCCATAGATCCGGACTGTCCCCATATCCACACATACACACACCACACGCATATATACACACATATATCACGGTACCCTGGACTATACGATAGGACTACTATAGTGGCTGATTTCCTAGGATAGTAATAGCCTTGCACAACTATCCATGTCTGCCTCATCATCTTTCCCACTCGGGTCTCCACCAGAGTGAGACTAGGGAAGTGGAGGACGATCGAACTGAGGCTTTCTGATTTGATTAAACCGCATGGCTCTTTTTTGGTTGGCCGTCAGACTCACTAATTATTGCCCGGAACGGATTAAAAGTACTGTTATTTTCCCCAGCAGATCCGGATCTCATTTTCTAGGTGTTTTTCATAATTTGTTAAATAAGGGAAAACGAGTAAGTAAAAAAATATCCCAGTGTCCCCATTCAGTGGATCTGCGGATACATAAAAAATTAAAAGAGAAAAAAAGGAAAAGAAAAGACAGTGCCAAAAAAAAAAAACCTGTCAAATCAATTACTAAATTACCAACAGAGAAAAAGGAAAACACAAAAATTCCCCCCTCTTGCAATTAATCCTTCGGCCAAACTTGATACTCTTTCCCCTTCTTTCACTCTCTTCTTTTCTTCCCTCTCTTCCTTCTTGACTTTCAACGTGGTCTCAGTCAAAGAACAGCCGATCATAAAGGGCATCAAAGGCAGGTAACACTGTACGCATTCCTCCGCTCTCTCCCTTTGTCCAAGAGCTCCCATCAGAACCTTCCTGCCATCCTTGTGAACCAACATCCGACTCGCCCTATCTTCATTCGACCTCCTCGCCTCTTTGTCTTCTCCTGTGACCGCTAATTACAAAAGATAGAGGATTATGCTCTAATTTCTTTTCCTATTTCTTTGCCGAGGGGTTCAGTCATATTTTTTGTTTTCTCCCAGCGAGTCGATCCAACGAGCTTCGGCTTCCATGAGCTTGTGGAGGCGTACATTCGTCGGCCAATCGATCCCTACCGAACCCCTCCTCCCTTCGAACATTCCGGACGGCTCCCAAATATCTGGACGTTTTCCCAGAGGGTTGCCTGGCAGCTTGTATTGAATGGTTGCTAGGATCACAGCGTTGCTGACATGAGTTGGGATCACCCCGTCCACAGGTATGTTGTCCATCGGTCTATCTACTACATACCTTGCTCGTCTGCCCCAGGCGGGGCTTGCTTCTCCCTCCACTAGTTTCGTATCGAGGATTGTGACAGATTCTGTCGTCCGGTTTACTGTTGAAAAATTTCCTCATATTCTGTTTGCATTGGGCTTGCCATACGGCCAATTGAGCCGATCTGGAAATTGATTTTGTGGTCCGCGGAGCTCCAAACGAGCTCCGTCTCATTACTCCGAAAGATGATGCTGACCGAGCCCTCAATCATGTTCAGCTTCAGTTATCCCAACGGTGAACCTCAGACGCCCACGAGGACTCCTCCGACTACAGTCTTCGACGATTCGACCTTCCAAACCCCTAAACTCGAATCCAGCTTTTTTGATCCCAGAGTCACCTGGGATACCTCCGATCCATATGCCTCCAGCCCAGAATTCCTCCGAACCCCCCAGAAATTGGGGCTGAGTACGCCGTTGAATAATCCCCTCCGATTACTAAATACGGGCTCAGAGTCTGTCAACGGGCGGAATCTGAAGGAATTGGAACAGGATACGGATACAGCCAAGCGCATCAGAGCGACCAAACCCAATGGGAATCCCGACGAAGAAGGGCTCCGAACGGTGGGATCCGCCAAATCTGCTGCCTCCATTCAGACCCCGCCGCCTAGCAGTGCGTCCAGGAGAAAGGTGTCCGGGCTCGAGAATGTCAGTGGCACGGGACGACGACCGTCGGCCTCGAGTGCCATTGGGGGCCACCTGGAGACTCCTAGTCGGTTGATGGGGGCGTCTCCCAGGCTATTTGGTGATTTGCAAACGTCTCCGGACCCGTTCCAGCTGGCAAATATTGATCCATCCGCCTCGCCTTTCTTTCCACAGCAGAGATTGTTCTGGGACCATGATCTCGAAACGCACGGTTTGTCCGGGAATAATATCGACTTCTTTGATTCGCATACAGCTGATTCATTTCACATGAATCCAAGCTTCTCTCAAGCCTCTCACATCCCGCAATTACCGTTGATCGAGGGGAGTCTAGATCTGCCAGAGTTTAGCAGCAATGCATACGGCCTCACCTCTGCGGCACCCACCGATGCGGCCCTGTTTCCCGCCCCTTTCTCGACCTCCCCTAGAATCCCCGTAGCCAAGGCCGAAGATCCAGCGATGTTCCTGAGCTCTCCAGCTCGTCGCTTTGGAGGGCCCCAGCCAACACCGGATAAGAGACTTTTCTCTAGACCGGGTCGTCAACCCTACCACCATCAGACTGAGGAGTCTAAGCGGGAGCAGCTTCGACGCACGCAGAGTGTCCACCAGAAACTTACCGCATGTGATGACGATGATGATGACGACTTCACTCCTCGGCGGGAACGGCCCACGCTGACTCGCAGTCTCACCCAGAGTGCTATATCCGCTCAGCGACCTGGGATGGGTGGAATGATGTCGTCTACATGTGGCATCCGGAAAAGCCCCTCCAAAAGATCTTCTCCCACGAAGTCACTACGGCAGCCATTGCAGCGGTCCAACTCTGCCGCTACTAGTCTTCCCAGACGATCTCAGTCCGTTGTCCTCAGGATTGGCAAGGACGGTAGAGCCAAAACGGAGATGCAGCCCGTCACTGAAACGCCAACCGGGCTGACGGATCCCATTACCCGGATGGACTTGGATGGTTCGACAACCGAAAGTGAATATGACTCGGGAGAGTTCTCTGAGTACCCAACTGTTTCCAGCCGTAATCCCTCGATGACCTTTTCTGACGCCGGTTCCCGACCACACTCGAAGGGCTCTTACACCTCCACCGCTGCCTCCTCACACTCGGGTCGGGCGTCTCCTTGGGGCGGTTCCTCTCGAGGTTTTGCTAGGAGGCCTACCTATCAACAGGTGCCGGATGACTGGAAGCGTACGCCAAAACGACAAACCATGTTTATCCCCTCAGACTTGACGTACCGCAGCGCCGGTACTATCCCGGCTCCCCTTGCCGATTCCGAAGAAGAGTCTGGCGATGCCCAACATGCACTCCGAAAGGTTCTCCAGGAGAGAGGCCGCATTCCCCGATCCCACACCGTCAACTTTGGCTCCCGAGCCAATCGACCCTCACGCTCCTTAGCGCACCTCCGTTCCTCCCCACCCCGGTTTGGCGCCGAACTGGATCTCAATCTTCAGGCGCCGAACACGTCTCCCACGACCATGACCGATCCTGACCTGGCGACCCCGAGCACCGACCGATACAGTAACCCCAGCAGTGGAACTAGATGCATCTGCAATTCTATGGATAATGGCGGCCACTTGATGATTCAATGGTATGTACGCTCTGCCTAAAGCCTTGCAACCGGTCCACTAACCTCATATAGTGAATCGTGCAGTCATTGGCTACATACCAAGTGTGTCGGCTTAGAACGGGCCAATTTACCATCGGTCTACGTCTGTGTCTTCTGTACACATACCCCTTCCCGGAGGAACCGCATTCGAGTTCCTGTGGGTGGTATTGGCCATGCCCCAACATCGCCATTAGCCCATAAATCCTATCGATTCCGGTGAAAAACAAACCCCCTCATGACAGTGAACCACCTCAAATCCGCGGGCAGACAAATCTTTTGCACGCTTATCATGGATAGATAATGATACGATTCATGTCAGATCGTACAACTCGCTGGGTGGGCTCGACAAGCATCTCACCCACGCTGAGCAATGAAAGACTGACGGCCACATTCTTTCCTGTTCTCCTTTAATTTTTTTACGGGTCTCCTTTGTTCGTTGTGTGACAGCCTTAGACATACCCCATATTTCCTTGAGACATCACCATTGCATATTGGTGGTTATGTTATTATGCATCCCCGGTGAGATACTGCCGTTTACTTTTATTTTAATTGTTGTATTAATTGTCAGGCGAGGGGCCTAAGTGATACCTATGTACTACTGTAACTAGTGACTTTGGACAAATCATGATGGAGCCAGTGGCCCATCAACTGGATAGGACAGAGTATTGAATGAAATGTACTTAATCCAGGACTTGTATATCTAGTCTTCAGCAGCAACAGCAGCAGTAGTAGTAGTATGTCGGACGGTTATCCTCGGAATGAAACCGCGGGATTGTATTCCGCACCAAGGCGGTGAAACACCCCCAGCCGATCTCCTATATTGGCAACCGGTGATTGGTGGACCTGAATCTTATCGGCTCACCGCCTCCGATAGCGCCTGGAAATGATTTTCGTTTTCCAAAAAGTTACTCTTTCCCCCCTCCTCTTGTCTGCCACTCCAGCCGTTCGTTCAACTACTCCCTTCATTCTCCTCTCGGGCCATGTCCAGCTCAATTCCTGGCAATAGGGATCTTCCACCCTCCCAGTATGACTTGAGCACATACTGGGGCCGCGTTCGACATGCCGCCGACCTCGCCGATCCGAGGTATGATGATCCCTCCTACTCAGGGTTTCTTGATCATGCGCTTGATGTCCCTTAACTAATACGCTCTAGGATGATGTTTGTCTCCTCGTCGGGCTTGGAGAGTGCAAAAACCCTTATCTCTTCGTACAAGCAGAGCCACGTCCCCGCAATGACACCGGAGTTGTGGCGTGCGAAGAAGGTGGTAGATTCCACCCTGCATCCAGGTTTGTTACCAATCGATATCGCCTCGAATATGTCTAATAAATGTCTCTAGACACTGGCGAGCCGGTTTTCCTCCCCTTTCGCATGTCCTGCTACGTTTTGTCCAACCTGGTTGTGACTGCTGGCATGCTTACGCCCGGATTACAGGTACGAGCGCTTGTGTAACACGGTAGTAGCGTCGGCTAACATAATCGTCAGACTACCGGTACGCTTCTCTGGCAGATCGCTAATCAGTCGCTCAACGTCGCCGTCAACAACGCGAATGCAAACAAGTCCACACCTTTGTCATACTCCCAGATTGGCAAGTCATACTTGATGGCGGTATCTGCATCGTGCTCGGTGGCGCTGGGTCTCAATGCCCTTGTGCCCCGTCTGAAGGGACTGTCGCCAAGCACCAAGCTTATGCTGGGTCGCCTGGTGCCCTTCGCCGCTGTGTCCAGCGCCAGTGCCCTGAATGTGTTCCTGATGCGTGGCGAGGAGATTCGTCAGGGTATCGATGTCTACCCTGTTCTGTCAGAGGTTGAGAAGAAAAAACGGGAGGAGACCGGCGAGCCGGTCCAGAGCTTGGGCAAGAGCAAGAAGGCGGCTACTATCGCCGTCGGTGAGACCGCTATCAGTCGTGTTCTGAACGCCACCCCGATCATGGTCGTACCGCCGTTGATCCTACTCCGGCTAGAGAAAACGGCCTGGCTCAAGGCTCGGCCCCGTATGGTTCTTCCTCTGAACCTAGGATTGATCCTGACCACATCCCTGTTTGCCTTGCCGCTGGCACTAGGAGCCTTCCCTCAGCGCCAGGCCATCAGCGCGCAGTCTTTGGAGGAGGAGTTCTGGCAGAAGGGTGGTAAGGATGGAATGGTTGAGTTCAACCGGGGGATGTAAAGCACCCTCGTTCTTTCTTTGGTTGGCATTCTAAAACATAGCCTTGTTCGGTTTTTTCTTCTTCCGTTTCTATTACCCTTTTGATGTTGGCGCATCATGGACAGAAAGTCCCAGTCCGTATATAGAGACCTCTGATAGATTACATAGAGATTTCTGATTGACACATTTCTTTTTCGGACTCAGCTCCATACACGTAAGCCCTACTACAATAAGGAACTATACCCGATCCCGTGGTGTCCAAATATGGACCTCAAGCACAGTCCAAGTTATATTGAGGATCTCGGCATAAAATCCAATCAACGATAGACATCAACCTAGACAAGGACCGGAAGAACTTCGAACCAGACCCCTAATCCGCCTTAAACACAAGCTCCAACTCGGCCTTACCATAGTAAGACCCATCCTGCTTCTTCATCGTCAAATTCAGCTTGTCCCCATCCACAGTGCCCTCGAACCTATCCCAAACATTAGCTATCCGCCAAACCCAAATCCCAGCCAAGAACATCAAACACCCTACGTACATGTAATAGGCCCTCTCCCCCTTGAAAATCTCAATCGAGTTCCCGGAAGCCTTGGTCACGGTGCCGTGGAAATTGTAATTGGCCTTGGGATCGCCACTGTAGCTCTTCGTCCACTGGCCGGTGAGAACGGCGGTCGAGCCCTGCTGGAGCCCGCTGTTGAAGACGAAGGTGATGACCTCGTTTTCAGCGGTCTTGGACTCGCTGTTGAGTTTTCCGGAGTAGACACGCATTTTGGCGGGGGTTTGTTGGGTTAAGCGTTTGTTTTTTGAGTGTTGTGCTATGATGTGGATTGGTCTGCTTGCTGTTAGGAAGAGAATGGAGGGTGGGGTGGTGGGTTTATATCTTTGGTATTTGGGGCACTTGGGGTCGTTGGGAGGACTCGGTTGCCACGTCATGATCGGATTTTTTCTGCAGTATTTCATTGTTACCGGGAACTATGCAGATTGACTGAGGAGGTGATGAGTTGTATACTGTAGGCCTGGTTGGGATGGGATAGCTGGATTGTCGTTGATTCGTGGTGGTTGGCACTTGTGCAATGGAGCGGTGCAGGAATAATTTATTTTATTGTCGCAATTATGCATCGAGACGTGATGCGTGTGTGGCGAAGGAGGTGTCTACTTGCAGATATGTTCTTTGGATCATCTAAGAGTGGCGGATGTGCACATAATTGGAGTTATCGGTCCGTTGACTTCATGGCTCGACATGGTTGACATCTTTGTATGAGAAAAACCTAGAATCCGTAACCTTGACGCATTGCACTTGATCCCGGGATAAACTGGGATTGTCCTTCTATTCCATACTAGTTGCATAGTCAGCGATTAAGAAGCTGACTGGGATTGAATAATATTACATGGTTAGGGTTCTAGACCAGCACGGTGAAGAGAAACCAGCCCATACGGAAGCTGGAGTGCCTACGCATACATGCATTGATTAATGTATGTTTCTGCAGTTTGCAAAGGCTCAGCTTGGATCACTTGAGATGGTGCTGCCACAATTATACTCCCGCCTTAAAGAAACATAATACTCTTGATACCGATGTTAGCCATCTTTGACTTTGGGATGTTGAGCATAAAATGCTCCCTTTCTTTCCTTCTGGTTATATTTCGGTGTCTGAACGGAAAGCAGCGTCAGTCCCAATACCCCTAACATATATCGCGATAAATTAGTACTAGATCAAGTTCTCGGCTATGAGAATCATTTCCTGAGAATGCCTCAGCTAGCGACCGACTCACAAAGATGATTAGCGAAGCAATGCATTTAGGACTGTGAACTGTCTACCATTCTTGGCTCATGCGAGTGTAGTACTACAGTATTAGTCCTATGCATGATGAATTTGTCCTCTCTGAGATAGCCTTTTCATTGCTCCTTGTGTGCTTTTTTGGGTCCACTTCGCCACGGCTCGCCGGCATCTGGTGTACAAATCAGGCATCTTCGATCTAGTTTTGATTATCTTGCCCGCTTGGAGAACGGACTAGACTGGCTGATACGCTATTGGCTATTATGCGTAGTTAGTGAGACTTTCCGATGTCCTTCGGTCTCCGGGTTCTGGGCATTTTGAAGAGGTGCAAAGAGGCAAGAAAACTTGATAATACCGGGGAGCGAAGAATAACACTTTGTTTATGACTTCGTGTCTGTCGGTGTCATCACCAGTTTCAATCATTAGTTGTGAAGTGAATCGTGAGTTTCTATTCAGGTTCCAACGAAGTGTAGCGCGCTAATCGTCATTATGCATATGATGACTAGGATAAATGTTCATGATGAGGGATTGACTAGAGGAGAACAGAAACGCACATTCTCTTCCTTTGACTCCTTGCTGATTGATGATCGAGATAGAATGATCCTTATCCCGAAGAGATGTAACGATATTGAGATTATACTAACTGGCGACCTCAATATCTGTCATGGCAAGAGACACATCTAATAAGAATCCTGTGGTGATTGTATGCGTCGAGTGAGGACTTCCTACAAGTGTCTCATTAATATACCATCCCCCGGGCCCATCGGACGGAGTATGTTATCTCTTAAGGGCTGTTACCTAACACCTTTTATAACCCCTAGACTAAGGTTATTGCATACTGACCTTGTTCGGGCCCTGGGGGTAGGGCCAGCACGGCAAGTTTATTATCATCGCCATTATCGTCGAAGATCCTACTCGATGCAATAAAGCTCCTGCAGTCCATGGGATTTGAGGATTTAGAAAGCATGCTCTGTATACTGAAACCTTGACACGGCCTACCGGCCGCCGGCGACCCGGGAAGAGTCCCAAAAGGCGGCTGTATTCGGGTATGATGCTCTAGTCATTCAATTAATTAACCCTAGTTCAGAATGACTCATATCAACAACAACTCGACGAAAAAAAACCCCCAAAATAATCGAACGATTCCAGTCCCAATCTCATACCTCCACTAACGTAACAACCATACTTAACAGAATATGATATCACTATTTACACCCTCCTAAGAAAAAGTGCCCCCAAAATGATCTCCTTCCAAACAGCCCGTCTCAACATCCGACCCCTCCTCCTCACCGACGCAGAAGATGTCTTCGCCATGCGCCGAAACCCAGAAGTAGCGAAATGGGGGTCCGTCCTCAACCATACCTCCTGGTTTCTACCCTATAGTATATCCCAGAACTAACAAAACAACACCACAGCTTCAAACAGGCCGCCGACACCTCCATCTCAGAAACCATAAACTGGATCCTCACCAACAACCTCTCACCCACAAACCAACCCTACATAAACTACAAATTCGCCATCTGCGAACTAATCCCAGACACTACTATCCCTAAGCCAACGGTCATCGGGACCCTGGGCGTCAAACTGTTGGCCTCGTCTCTGCACCCGGAAGACAAGAACCGAGTGCGGTGGGAATTGGGCTACGGGCTCCATGCTTCCGTTTGGGGAAAGGGGTATGCGACTGAGGCGGTGAAGGGGGTTATAGATCATTTTGGGGAGATTACGCAGATCCTTAGGGAGGGGGAGGGGGGGAAGGTTCATGATGGGGTGGTGGTTGAAGAGGGGTTGTGGGCTTCTACTGCGGAGGAGAATCTGGCGAGTCAAGGAGTGTTGAGGAAGTGTGGGTTTGGGTTTATGGGGGGGTTTGTGGATGAGGTTGGGAGAAGCTGTTTGGATTTTCGGGTTTTGGTTTGATTTATGCTATATGGTGTGCTGTGCTTGTTGTTGGTGGATGTACATATATTTAGACATGGTTAATGGTATATATTGAGAATCCATGGAGTGGGTAGGGCTAGGCTGTATGTGTCGGTCTATTGACTCCCTGGGAAGTTGTGTTCTTAAGTCTGGGGTGGTGGTGGTTTGGTGGTTTGGACTGTTGAGGATAATAGATGGTAATGACTTTATGAGGTTTTGTAGCCTGCTCTTCTGGTCATATCTAAGTTGGGAAGTTGATAGAATGGGTGCAGGAGCCTTTGTAATATGTGTTTCTTTAATATATGAAAAACTGGGACGGGTTTACTATAACACAATACACTATCGCTGCGTCTGAGGTGAATTGTTGAGTGCGCTACACATATATCAGATACCGGGAAAGTCCAGCGGGATCAACGTCGAAGTCTATGAGAGGCATACAGCAATTGACATACTCAGAATCTTTTCTGCATATTCTTGTGCTACGGAGAGTTCCAATATCCTTGGTTTAGGGCTTGATCCTGCCGGTCAAGGAAAATTAAGGTTGACGAATATCTAAGCGCGCTCCGTATTGAACGAAAACCATGGCAATTAGAAACTTCCATTCGGCGAGGGAGTCTTCGAATTTGTTTGCAGTCAGGTCAGGATTCGAGATTGTGGATAGTCAGTCAATCAATCTGCCCGAAAGATGATTCAACTTTAGAGAATCAGACAAATGATGGGTAAGAGGAAATTCTCCACAGATATGGAATGCGGGGTGAGCAGCCCTGTTAACTACAAGGTCACATGCACACTTAGCGAAACGCTGAATTGCAGCCAAAGAATACGTACTCTTAACATTTCACTCAGGTACAAATCATCATACCAGACTTATGGCTGACGACAAAGAACGAGCAGAAGCCCTTCTGCCAGTCTTCAAACTTGAGAAAATACTAAATCATGGTATACATTATCGTTCTTCTGGCACCATCCAAAATGAGTTCCCTAAACTAATCAAATGCTTCAGATCAAGCGGGGCGACGAGTATCCCTCCTAGGGCACATTGATGGCCAGACTGCAGTGGTGGTGATCGAACGAGCATCGTTTCCCAATTCGCTCCCATATCTTGCTACCGTACCGAGTACTCTCCAGTGGCTCAAAAACCTCGGAGCAAACGACGTATACCACTGGTATCTCGCAAGTAGCGGTCCAGGAGCAGACGAACCACATCCAGACCTAAAGATCAATCTCTTCTACCCTGCCACTGAAAAGCATATCGCGAAGTACAGTAAGCAGGAAGTCCATGTGGTGCACGAGACACCACAGATCTACAGGGAGCATATCAGACCGTTCATGGAGCGACAGAGAGGTAATGGAAGATTGAAGTGGATGCACAATATCATCAGCGGGACAGCCGAAACTAAGGATGTCATCTATAGAACGCCCATGGGTCAAGATGACAATGAGGGGTTTGTTCTTCTACCCGATCTTAACTGGGATCGAAAGACATTGGAAAACCTACATCTTCTAGGCCTAGTTGAGAGGAGCGATATCTGGAGCTTGCGGGATTTGAGGAAAAAGCACATTTGTTGGCTGCGAGACATGAAGATGAAAATCTCGAATGCTACTATTCGCACATACCCGGGACTGAGACTGGACCAGCTGAAGCTTTATGTACACTACCAGCCAACATACTATCACCTCCATATTCATGTGGTGCATGCAGCCTTGGAGGCCGGTACGTCGCAGGCCGTTGGGAAGGCCGTTGGGCTGGAAAGTATTATTTCCCAACTCGAGACAATGGCGGGAGATGACGAAGCGGGAATGGACCTAGTCACATTGACATACACCATTGGAGAAGCCAGTGACTTGTGGAAGGAGGTCTTTGAGCCTATTGGCACGCTTGACTCTGCATGACGAATGGCATCAGTCACCTGGATGTTAGTTAACCCGCGGATTGCGTAATATCTAGACAGGTATCACTTCAACGTGTTTTTCGGCTTTGGGCAAACGGAGGGGTGCTCATTGTAGCGAGATGGCCTCGTAAGATTTAACCAGAACCGATGTGGGGTATTATGTACGGTCCTTTTGTCCTGGATTCTGTAAAGTGTCAGATTGTATAGGTGGCCGCTTGGTATGGAGCCATGGATGTATGTCATCAATTAGTGACCTTCGTTAAAGTAAAATACGAGGTCTAGACAAGTTTCCTTCTGGGCTCCAGTTCAGCTGACACATAGTAACGCGGTTATATTACGGTAATTACGAGCTTACTGGGGGAGCCTGACAGGGACCACAACTACCACAACTCGACTATCCCTGAAGAATGTTTATACCGTTCGACGTTGATAAAGCAACCCAATCTAGATTCTTACAGTCCTGTCTCCTACTATCCCTTACATACGAAATCCTGCGCTCCTTCTCCACTTTGGTATCCCCTCTTTTCGTGATTTCCGCAGCATGACATTAGGCCTCCTCTCCACCTCGTCTCCTCACATGGGATCCTGGATTCGCCGGTTAGTTGATCTACCCGACTGGATGTCCTGTCTCAGTGTAAATCATGGAGCTGAAGCTGTTTGCGCTAAAGTGAGGGGGAAATGGAGACGACGACGTCTGAATGTACTTCGTGTACTACACCATGCTCCACACCCAGTCTGTATTTGCCCCTTGTTTTCCTTTTTGTTTCTTTTCATTTTGTCTATACAAGGATAGGTCTTCATTTGGTCACCTAATATCTGGCAGAGGCAAAATACAACACACCATTATAATGGCTGATCGTATGACGGAACCCCTCGGCCTCCAGTGAGGTGCTTGAAAAGAGATCCTATAGAAATCAGGTCTATCTAGCCCAAAGTGTGAACATAGTCAGTTTCTCTTGCAGTATGTACGACCTTGATTCAAGGCGCACTAGTGGTAGGTGCATTGTGTATGTTGACTGCTCTTCACCATTCAGGTTTACGCGTTAATTAAGCCCTTCGCATATATATTACCGGAACATAGGTGCCATGGTTCGTCCCCCTGTAATAGCCAATCGGTTCCTCTGCATCGGCTCCCTATTGCGAAGAAGACCAACCTAGGACTGTTACCCAAAGCGTCTTTGTAACATGATCTACTGCAGTGTCTCTCAGTCACATCGGTTGGTATAGCTCAAACCATGGTAGACAAATCCAGCTGAGAAGGTGACGCCACGCCAGCACCAATTGATCAGGAACCCTGCTGTCTAATCACGGGAGATTCAGTGAGTCGTATAGAGAGGATTAGCCTTGCTTATATATAGACATTACGTTCGCCTGTCACTAGACCACCATAGGCCAATGCGCTCCCAGTTGCAGCTTCTGTGGAAATGTATGAGAGTTACTTGTTGGTCCCTTTATTAGGGCTCACGTTCAGCTTCCTATGGACTTTTGTCAACAGAAGGTAAAGCTTCCAATGAGGATAGCATATGTATATTGATTCTCACTTGCTAGACAGAAAAAATAGAGCTATGACAGTCGAGAAATTGATCAGCAGTGATCATAATCTGGAAGAGACGCTCAATGCTCTACAGGAATCGACTATTGCTATCCGAGCTTCTAAGACTGGAGCAGCTACCCTGAAGAATCTCTGGCGTTTAAATAATCCTTTCGTTTCGGATTCAGCAGAACTGCAGCAATCCTATCGAAGGGCACTATTGAAGACTTTTAGTAGGACAAACGGCGAGACCTGGGCGGCTATTGCGCGCTCTGTTTCTGCATCTCTTGATCCCCTTCTTCATCATAAATGCGGCGCCGATGGAAGCTATACGATAACGGCCAACATCAGAGATGTCAGCCGACATGTCACACTTGTAGCCGTCCTCAAGGGTCTCTTCGACATTGACAATGTACCCATAGAGACGCTAACTTATATTGGCTCCGAAATTCATCGACTCACAGTTGGAAAGAAGCAATACGACGCGGGTGCTACGAAACCTGATTATCTTCCGCAAGACCTCCAGCGTTCTGCCGATCGCTTAATTGATATCCTGCGAGATACCTTCGCTGAAGCAAAAGAGTCGAATGAATTGGCCCGGACAGTTCTGTGCTCAGTCTCTGGTACTCCGGATAACTTCAATCCTCTCAACCTGGTCATCCCTGCCTTTGAGGCACCCTGGCGCGGAGTTTACTACACACTTTTGGCAGTGCTACAGCAAGGCCCTCATAGGCCTGAGGATGTGCTAACTCTTCGTGACTGTCCTGCTCACCAACAGCCTCCACCTGCGGCAGTTGCCATTGCGCATGAGTCCCTTCGCCTCTACCCACCTATACGCCGTGTGCGTCGGGAACAGCGAGTAGATATCGAAGCTATACAGAGGGATACCAGATACTGGGGCCCCACGGCAGCCATGTTTGATCCATCACGATTCTTAGATAAGAATGGGGAGTTCGACGCTTCATTGACCGGTCCAGGCTCGGCGTGGATGCCATTTGCAGTAGGGTCGATGAAGTGCCCATCAGCTGGAGGCTACTCAACACGTATGATGATAATCCTCGCTAGCGAGGTTCTGCGGCGACTCTTTCCAAACAATACTATACCTCAGTGGTACGTCGATGGACCGGAATGGGACTCATCGGCAAAGCAAGGTCATACGTTGCGAGCTGGCAGGGACGAGTATGCTAGTGTATATGTTGTTGCTTCTAAGTCAGGGTGAAGATTGGCTACTCTGAAAACCTCGGGCTTGTGTATGATCTATCAATCTGCTTGTCGAATTTTAATCTAGCCTTCCAAATAAGGAAAAGATAATAACAAGAAGGGTCCCTGATCATATCAAGCACGACCAAGAATCCAAGACTTCATCCCCAGCTGGACAAAATCTTTATAATAACTATGCAATACTGGTCGCTTTAAATCATAGCCTGGCTATAATAACTAACATTACTGGTTTCTAACAGAGATGTATGGTGTTGTAAAAAGCTACTCTGCTCTTTCTTCAAAGCCCTGATATGGAAGTCATGACATCAAGTCACATGAAAAATCATCACCAACAATCTTCATTTATGGGGTTGGAGAGGTTCCACTAACATAAACCCCGCATGAGAGTGAAAAATTCCACCATATCATATATCCAGTGTGGGTCACTCATCTACTCTTGGGGTTGGGAAGTCTCATACTTGCCCGTACTGCCACCATGACTTACGACATCTGGAACATCTCCAACGTCATGTGAGACTCCGTATGTATATCAAGTATATTTACAAATTAGCCATTAAGGCCCTCAATGGCTTGAGATTATCACACTTCATGACCTGACGTCTTCAAGATACGAATGGGAAACCTTACATATATGTATGTGGACAAACATTTACTAGACGGGATCTTCTCAAGCGTCATTAACGAATCACTCATGGTGGCGACCAATCTCTGACAGCCTCCCATTCAGACGAGCACACCAATGCCTCTCGAGCTAGTGAATCGTATACTGGCACTACTTCCCCCCTTGGGACCTCACCCGAGCATGTTACAGTTCAAAATACAATCAGTGTTTCCAACTCATCGCCCACTACGGTTACAGTGCCACAGTCGACACAGCTTCGCCTATAGCTCCTAATAGGGACCGCTTTCCCGAGTTACACACACCATCGAATCAGCAGGGCATAGAGGTAATAGCAAACATACATCCTTCCTGAAGTAGCTCAGATAATCCTGTGCTTCTTCCTACTGGTCAAGAACCAGGTAAATCTTCCAATCATCCTTCTATCTAGCCTTGTGCAACTGAGACGACGATAGCTACCGTATTCCCCGATTCACACAACCGATATGACCCTTTGGAGGGCATTACTACCTTTATAGATAGTATGGGCCTGGCTTTTGATTCTGAAAGTCTAATTGATCTTAGGAGCATCCCGCAGGAGCATGCGCCGCTATTCAATCAACCGCAGGCGAGTAAGTACCACATTCGTTTCCCTCAGAATCACAGGCCGGACTATGATGAACAGAGCGAGTCTATTTACCATCCTCAGTCTCCTACACTACTTCCTATCCCGTTGAACCCAGCGGGTAAGACACTTGTCAAAGCTTCTCCCAGGTCTCGCAGTTACTACTGAGTGGCTTCTTACTTTCTTTTGATATCAGCGGTGCAGGCAGCCGTCTACATGCCACAGTTGAAGATTACCGAGGCACAAAGAACACATCTTGCGCAGGCACTCACCCTATTTCAGCATCTGATGCCCGGGTTTACTTTGCCATCCCGTGACTCATTAACCCGATTTTGGAAGCCTACTTCGATAGTCTATCCCCATTTCCCCTTCACGCATGGCCCATCATTCACACCGGAGAAGCATCCTTTAGAATTGATTCTGTCCATGGCAGCAGCGTCTGGTGCTCAATATCGGTATGAGCATCGTAAAGGTGTCCTGCTCTTTCGGGCATCGAAAACCATCTTTCATGAGCGGCAACGGCACAAAGAAGCAGCCTTAGCGAACTGCCAAATGTTAACCCCATCAATTACTATAGACGCCGGCCTTACCCCAAATCCGACGACCGAAGATGACATCAGATACCTTCTCAATCTAGCTATATACGCATCATAGCAACAAGACCCCGAAATCGTAAAGAGTGTTTGTGGTGCTCAGAGCTGACTCGTTCGCCTGCCGAGAGAAAGTGGACTTCGATGAGCTTGACTGGCACACATGGTTACAATAGGAACTGGATAGCCGTGTGAAGCTCTTTGCCTTTGCATTTCTACACCTGCAAAGTATTGTATGTAACTTACCACCCATTCTGCTCAGCAGGCAAGCATCACGTTCAGGCGTTCTTTCGTCCGAATACCCGGACATATTTGAGGAACCACCCAGTCTCAGTTGGTTGTTTATTCTAACACATATCTAATTGACTGAAAAGAAATGCCTTACGTCGCTGAACTTCTACATGGCAACTCGCGCCCGAATCTAGCCCGAATCTAGAGTTGACCCCCTGAGCCAAAATGGTCCGATTCCTTTACATCGACCGCGTTGCTGAGGTTGGCGTACACATGGAAATCAAGCCTTTGTATGGAGCAACCAACATGTACTCTGCGGTTTGGAGTTCGCAGTCCTAGTGAGCAAATGGCTCCACGCTGTAGACCAATTACAACAAGAGGAACCATTAGAAGGTCTGTACCTGCATATAAATCTCACCCAAACGCAACCCCTCCAAATCTAGCATAAAAATCTAACTATAATCCAGAACACGAGCAGCGCCTGCTAAACTGGGTCTGTCGAATCGTGGAAGGATGTCGAACCTCCCTTGACGACAACGAGGATACAGACCCTGACAGTTTGAACTGCGAGAGACTCGCCTTCTTCGTAGTGCAGCTCTGGGCGCGGATCATGCGCGGGAATACTCAATGGCCCTTTATAGACATTATCGGGCATAGTCTAGAACTATACGCAAGCGGACATGATGTACTATTGCGGACCGGGGCTTAGCTTAACTTAGCTTTACCATCAGGCTATCTCTATATACAGTGCTTTTTGAATCTATACACATCTACCACCATTGCGCATGTACCGTATAGACAAAAAAATCCCAATAATATGGTGCCATAAATAAATCCATCAGCTTCCAAAAAACCGGCGGGGGTTGGTAAGGGCTTTTAAAAGCTCTATGGATTGTCAGAGCTGGTCTTAAATAAATGATACCCCATTCATTGTAGACGCCTTTCTCCTCGGCTTTGGAAATCCGCACAAAGACCCCACTAACCAAAGCTCCCAACAAGGATGTCCCCAGACTGACCCACCAGAGAGCTCTCAGTGCATTGAGATCCGGAGAATAGCCCTCTCCTTTGGTGGCACTTTCTCCGATGGTGTCTCCTACAGCTGTGAAAATTGCAGACGACAAATTCTGCATGGTGACAAGTAGACTACCGGCGGAGCCCTGGAAGGACCTAGGCAGTTTTGGAGGGGACAAAGATGGAGGCTGCTGCAAACGACATATCTGGTACAAAGGCCACGAGGATAATCCCAGGAAACGACAGTGCCCAGTAGATAGCATTGGAGGTCTGAGGGAGAAAGAAGGCTGGCCCAAGTGCAAATGCAATCATGCTGCTTGTAAGTACGTAGTAGCCTGGAAAAACATGAAGTGTCTTTGCGACAACTATAGTAGCGATAGTTCTAGACATGGCGATATGAATAACATAAAGAGCGGTAACAATTGGGGGCTTGTCCTGAATGGTGAGGAAGAGCGGACTGCGTAGAACATCCAAGCAACGCTGAATGCCCCGTATTCCAGGAAATGCGATATCACCAATGATACCATGCCTGGCGTCTTCCACAGTCGATTATCAATAAGAGGTCGAGATACCCAGCGATCCACGAAATAAAAGGCAACGAAGAGCAGCACTCCTACTATTACAAGCACGTATGTATAGGGTACCCAGTGAATATGAGCGCTCTGTGTAAGTCCAAATGTGAGAAGCCCACAACCACCCATGGAAACAGCTGCCCCAAGGAAACAAAAACCATTGATGCTCAGCTTGTCCTTATCTACCAGACCGGAGGATGGAGGAAGGGTTGGAACCGCCCCAGTACACAGCTATAGTGCAGAGAGCACACAGAATTGCTGTAGGTCCGAAGACCCAGTGCAGATGGGCAATAAAAGTACCACCCTCTGGCGCGCCAATGCCAAATCCCAATGGGAGCATGGCAGCCATTGAGGAGAAAACTATTGTCTTTCTCTGACCAGCTTTATAGACGCGCCCCAACAAGCACACTGCCGTTGATTGTATTATGCCCACTGCGAGGCCTACCATTGCGCGAACAATGAAGTATAGCACCGTCCGGGATGGCGTAAGTGAGAAAAGCTCGGTGAGATTCCACACCCTAAGTCAGACAAAAGCACCCACAGTCAGCCATTTGGACTGATCAGGTCTGCTAATGACCCTGACACCACGACTGAAACTCAATCGGCAAGGCAGAAAGAACCGATAAACCACGGGGATTTTGATCCACTGAGCCTTAACGCCTCTATCAAAGTGACTTGGTTGACGAGACTGTTTGCTAGTACGATGGCGAAGAGAAGCTGCCCCGTTGAACGAACCACCACGAACACAATCTCCGCAAAAAGCGTGGGTAGTTCCGGTGGTTTGCCTTGTCCCCGTAGTGTTTGGGGCTGATTTTTATCCTTTCTCGCCAATGATCATGCCCCTTCAGGAACATCGCTATCGTTTTCTTCACGGATGTTATCTGAAGGAAGATGATATCTCGACTGAGGTGGACAGAGACTAGGTTGGGGTGGCATTGATAGTTCCATCTACGCTATAAAGGGAAATATAATAGGGTTGAGAAAGATTCGCAGGCATCAGCGGGCTGGGTTACCTACATACGCCCGAACTATCATCGCAAGTTCGCTGTTTTGCCATAATACACACAAGAGAAAACTAATTTTTCAAACACGCCTGAAATTCAGAACTGAAAGGATAGTCCGCATACCCATGACACTGCATCGGTGTATAAAACGTATTCCTGTCATATTCCTGAAGCGGAATGCCATGCTTCAGCCGAAATGGCAGGTCAGGATTAGCCAAAGATATGACGACCAAACATGACAGCGATATTGTGATCCTTGTACTCATGCTGTATTGCATGGAGTACATTCTCCGGTTTATAACCACCGGCAATTAACACAGGAGACTTACGGCCCCAGGTGTCAAGGAAGGTCTTAATATCCTCCTGCTTCTCACAATCTACATTATTGATAACGCGTGATTCGATAACGTGCAAATATGCCAATCCAAGATCCTTGAGCTGGCGAACTAAGTACGGGAATTGAGGCACAGGATCAGCCATCTTCATCCCCTGCCACGTATTCCAGGGACTGATTCTGAAACCCGTTCCGCACCAAACGGCTTCAACAAGGGCTTTGGAAACTTCAATGCCGAATCTTGCCCGGTTTTCTACGCTTCCGCCCCACTGGTCCGTTCGCCAATTACGGACGTCTTGAAGGAATTGATCAACCTGGTATCCATTGGAACCGTAGACCTCAACGCCTTCGAATCCCGCTGCAATAGCGTTCTTGGCGGCGATTGCAAAGTCACGCATAAAATCGTAAATCTCTTCTTCAGTCAAAGCTCCGAAACCGGCGGCACCATCTTCCATAGGGATAGGGATAGGGGCGGAAACTTCGAACCCCCCTTCCTTCCTGAGAGTTCCTGTGTCGGCTACACGGCCCGGCGCAACCAGTTGGCAGAAGATATAGCTACCCTTGCCATGCACAGCGTCGGTGATTTTCTTCCAGGCCTGGATCTGAGATTCGATGAAGAGGCTTGGGGCGTGGGGGACACCGCAGAGATCACAGTTGCCTCGGCGATGATCAAGTTGCCAGGGACTGGGGCGCGCTGTTCTTAGTAGTTCGTCGACATTGGAAGAGGGATATGATGTCTGTCGGCACGTAATCTGGTCAGAGGTGTGCCATGACCGCCCGATGGTTTACTGTGACATTGCCGACGCGCAGAGGCTCAAAGAGTGGAGGCATGGTAACTTCGATGTTAAGATGTGGCTTTGTTCTAGTTAAGGAGCTGCGAAGCGTGAGAGATGAAGCTAAGTATCTTTTTCTGGACAATTTGGCACAATTTCAATTATACTCTGGTCCACTCTAGCAGAGATAGATTCTTAATCATCTCCAAATAGTCAGGCACAGATTTTGGTACCCACCTAGGAGCAATTTTATAGTAGATGGAAGAAAAATGCTTTGGGGTAACTGACAAATCCAGTCTATCATGTCTCCATAGTCATTACCGGAAGCAGAAATTCTGCCCTAAAACCCCAATATGCCAAGACAAATGCATGTACCTTCACCTTGCATATCGCTGCTTAGCTATTGCCAACTTCACATATCTGAGAAGTATTGCAATCCTAGAATAGATAGTGAGATTTATCAGGTTACAAATGAAGAAAATCGGATGTGTTGCCTGTAAAATCGTCTTCAATTGAGCCTGTGACTTCGAAACACCAGAACTACCGCAGAAGCTATACTATGAGCACGGAGAGTCTCGAGGATAGTGAAATTCTCCAGGACCCTCGAACTTTTACAGTCAATATGTTCAAACAGTACAAGTGAACGGCACAGCATGTATCTACAGAATTGCACTTCAAGCATCTATACTTTTGCGGCTCCAACACCTATATACAACTTATCGCAACGAACTCGCAGACAAAGTATCTCTTCGGTTAATTAATCTCTTTAAAATGTAGATTATTCTTATCTGAATATGGTAGGTATATCCAATCAGTGTTCAAGTTGCACATTTGCCCGTGTATCACAGTCTGGATTTAACCCTAACTGCCATGCTGTAGTACAAGAAGAGGAGGAACCTAGATAGTCCATTCTTTGTTCACTACTCTAAGCCTAATTACTGAGATCCAATAAGATTCTAATCCGGGCTGATTAGGTTAAAAAGATGGAAATAAGTTACAGGCAACAAACCAGTTTAATTCCCCCCGCATCTCCGCATAACCCAATCGGTAGCCGAGGCCGAGGCTCTCTTGATAAATCCGGAGTATCCTCACTTCTATATATAAACAGCAATTCCACTGTAATCTATGACTCCAGTATAACTTATTTTCACAGACACTTCTCCAATAACCAATCAATCTTCCAGGATATAACCCCATCAACACATACTATTGCAACACAAATAACACTCGAAACCAGCCAACCATGATCTCTGCGCCCCCCATTCCCAGGAAACTCTGGGAACACGCCAACCCCCAATCAACCCAGATGTGGGCCTTCAAACAAAAACTGGAAGAAGAAAAGGACCTTCAATTCCCCGTACGTCGTACAACCTAATATTTAGCAATCCACGGTCATCATCTAATGCACAACAGACATTCCACGACCTCTACCAATGGACCATCAACAACCGCGCCGCCTTCTGGGATTTCTGCTGGAACTACTTCTCCATCATCCATGAGGGCAGCTACACCACCGTCATTGACGAATCAGCCCGGATAGACAGCATCCCGAGCTGGTTCGAGGGCATTCGGCTCAACTTCGCAGAGAACATGCTCTTCACCAGCGAACGAACCCCAACCGGAGACCAGATAATCACGACAAAGAACAAAGAAGACGCCAAAATCGCCCTGACGCAGATCCGGGAGGGCGGGTCCGAGCCCGCGGTCTGCATCACCTGGGCCGAACTGAGGCGGAAAACAGGGCGGTTAACCCAAGCCTTGAAAGCTGCTGGCGTGGTAAAGGGTGATCGTGTTGCCGTGGTCGCGAGTAATAGTATCGATACGCTGGTTGTGCTACTAGCAACGACTGCGCTGGGGGCGTTGTTCTCGTCTGCGTCGACTGATACCGGGGTTAAGGGGATTCTGGATCGGTTGCTGCAGCTGCGGCCGAGATGGGTGTTTGTTGATGATGGGGCGATTTATAATGGGAAGCGGATCAATCTGCGGCCCAAAATTGGGGATATTGTTGAGGGGCTGCGCGGTATTGAAGAGTTTCAGGGGGTCGTTGCTATGCCGCGGTTTGCGAGTCCGCCTGATGTGAGTGGTTTGCCTAGGACGCAGACGCTGGGGGCGTTCCTGGGTAAAGCGCAGTCGGAGAAGCTGGAGTTCGTGAGGGTTGGGTTCCGTGATCCGTTTCTTGTTGTGTATTCTTCTGGGACGACGGGGACGCCTAAGCCGATTGTTCATGGGGTTGGAGGGTATATTCTCAATTCTAATAAGGAGGCTCGACTGCATAGGTGTCATGGCCCGAACTCGGTTGTTCTCCAGTATACGACCACAGGATGGATCATGTATATGTCCGCCATCTCGGGATTGATGTTCGGCGGGAAGCCCATCTTATACGATGGGAGTCCCTTCCTTCCTGACGTGAAATTCCTCGTTCGAATGCTCGGGGAGCACAAGGTCACTCATTTCGGTACTTCGCCACGGTATCTGCACGAGTTGCGGAAGAACAATGTCCGACCCCGGGACATTGCAGACCTCTCCAATCTTGTCATAGTCACTAGCACTGGTATGGTCCTATCGGAGTTCTTATTCGAATGGTTCTACGATGAGGGCTTCCCGGCTCACACTCAGCTGGCAAATATCTCCGGAGGGACCGATCTAGCTGCGTGCTTTGGTCTCGAGAATCCTCTGGCACCGCTGTATGTGGGTGGTTGTCAAGGACCGAGTCTCGGTATCCCCATTGCGGCATTCGACCAAGCGGACGAAGGCGCTTCTGGGGTCAAGGGAAGAGCTGTCCCGGACGGAGAGCCAGGGGAAATCGTTGCCACCGCTGCATTCCCAACCATGCCAGTGAAATTCCTAGGAGCAGATGGTCCTCAAAAATATTTCGACTCCTACTTTGCTCGGTTCGACAGTATGTGTTCCCCTCACTTCATCAGAATACCCGGTAAACTAACAAACAGAAAGATGTCTGGACACACGGAGACTTCATCAGCATCCATCCCATCACAAAGCAAATCTTCTTCCTTGGACGCTCAGACGGAGTGCTAAACCCATCCGGAATCCGATTCGGATCGAGCGAAATCTACAACGTGATTGACACGCGGTTTGCAGAAGAGATCGCGGACTCGATCTGCGTTGGACAGCGACGGCCCCAAGACAATGATGAATCAGTGATGTTATTCCTGCTTATGCGGCCCGGACACGACTTCACACCGCAGTTGGTGGCACGGGTTAAAGACGCAATTCGAAAAGCACTCAGTGCGAGACATGTTCCGAAGTATGTCTTTCAGACGCCTGAGATTCCGGTAAGTTCTTTTTCCAAGGGCGAGGATATGCGGGGGCACGAGCTAACGAGTGTACAGACGACCGTTAATCTGAAGAAAGTCGAGTTGCCTGTAAAGCAGATTGTTTCGGGAAAGAAGATCAAGCCTTCCGGAACGCTTTTGAATCCTCGAAGCTTGGATTTTTATTATCAGTTTGCGGAAGTCGAGAGGTTGATAGACCCGAAGAGCAAACTATGAGCTATGAAGATAATTTTGTAGGGAGCAATTGTTACGATCATTAATGAGACTAAGAAGAAACTTCCATAACAATATGAAAGGCAGATAGGCCCTCGATTAAGGGCAAGGATGAATATGGAAACTATTATTTTATTCAAGAAGATCCCAACCTCGGATAACTCAGTTTCGAAAACTGGCCAGAAGGCTCGAGGTGATCCTTCACCCCTAAAATAACGTAGTAATTTATGTTTGTAGGCACCAAGACAGCTTCAATATAGAACATCACAATAAAGAATTCATTTGTTCTTGTCATACCCGCCTCGTGTCTGATAAATATACGGGTATGCCATATTCATAGCGTTGATAGTACTATTGTGCCGTCAGTGTTTCAGGCACTATACTCTGTCGGTAGAGCTTCATAGTTCTAGGCCATTTACAATCCTTGAGCATATCATCCTTGGAGCATCGACTCCCCCATCCGCCTGCGAGAGGGATTTCGTCGTAGTTGGCAGCTTATGCCGGCTGCGCACGATAGGCAATTCCACTGTCCATGTAGGATATCATAGTCCAGCCCATGCATACATAAGCATAATACAGAGAAAAAATAGACAAGAAGTGAACGACCAAAAGACCCACGCCGTCTATACGCCAAAAAGTGCTGACCCAGCCGCTCAAGAGAAATAACACATTGAAAAGGGTCTATTTATTGTGAATCATGAGATTGCGGAATGAGTCCCAATGATCGGAGTCGGCATAGCTAAGGAGTGTCAGTAAGGGCATATATGTAAGGACGAAGACCGAGGGTCATACATGTAAACCATGCTACTCTTCAAACTCGACATGAGGGTGTCCGGATGCCAGCGGAAGATGTACATGACCATAGCCCAGCTAAGACTTGCGAATACTGGCCATGCATGTTTCTCTATGTCGGCCCGCGTGCCGGGGGTTATGAGATGAGATAGGGGGTGCATGTCCGGTTGTACGGACAGCTTGGCAAGAGCCAGGAAAACACGGGCGCAAACGTAGATGACAATCTACCACAGCATAAGTTAATTATAGGCCATCTATGCCGTAGCGTCGTTAGTTACATACCTGCTGGGTTATACTTGTCTTGTTCCGACCGAACACCGCGTACCCTCCCAACAAACCAGCAAAGAAGCTGTCGAACCGGCCCTCTTTCCCAACACCAGAGGGGTTGACATTCCGCAGCACGAGCATAGCGCTCTTGTATATGAAGGCGAAGGTTGCGAGGTTGCGGGCATGCTGGCGGGTAGCTTTCAGAACAAGCTTTGCTTTTTCTCGGAAGCTGTATACGGTATATCAGCGCACTGCCAAGTAGAGTCGTCGAACCGAAGAGGATCGCCTTACGTTCCAGAGCGAAAGAGAAAGATCATGCTGCGAAAAGAGGAGTTAACATTTTTCTATCTCATATAAAGCATACAGCCGCTACTTACACCAAAGCATGCGGGAACCGTACTTTCGCACCGTACACTGCGCCATTGCGAACACCTTTCACTAGCGCAAGGAAAGGTGCGAGATCCGGGTTGGTGGCAATAGCATCTAAGCGGGACTATCTAGCAATTAGAAAGACATGAGCAGCAAGTATAAGGCAGATAGCTCAACCTACCATGAGGGCATCCATCGTGACTCGTCGGGACCTCGGCTGGCCGATTGGATGAGCAGCACGAATCGATATGGGACAGTTCACCGACGGAGATCACCCAATCTGCTTTAGATGTGTGGGATCATACGATGAAACTTGGGCGAAACTATTCGTCTCTGAGACAGATCCAAGATATTTGAGGTGCCAGGACCACTAGAAGGTGGGGAGGGCGGCACTTAAGGGCATCGCTGCATCCGCGCAGGTCCCAAAAGATCCCTCGGCATGTGAGACTCGCGCCGAATGCGAGAAAACGTCACTGGTCACGTGGACGTCTACTGACCTCCGAAGCAGCAAAGGCAGTAATAAGGAAATAAAGGCATACACGTGAATAGTAGGTACATACTCCATACTCTTGGCCTAAAAATAATGTAACTTTTTTGGTTTGGAAAGCAGTAGTTAGGGTCTATACACATGAACAACACCAAACGAGGTTTGATATAGAATCAGCTATATTGCTTGGCATAGTCAACCGAGAAACCAATCCGCCTGTAACGCCTCGTGCGTGATAGAAAAAAGAGGGAATTTCATCACAATGTCAACAGAATGAATATATTCAAGCCGTCTTAGCCCTCTTCCGTCCCTCATCCTCGGAAACCTCGTCCACATCCATCATGTCCTCATCCTCTTCATCCGATTCCATGCCTGCACGCCGCTTCAAACCCTTCATCTTTCTCGTCTGCAATCCACCCAGATCTTGCTTGTTCAAGTGCACACGACCGATCTTATCACCGATAGCATCCATGCCAATGTTCTTCTTCAACTTGATCTCCTCGTTCGGCCGCTTGCCTTGCTTCATAGCCTCCTTCATAACATCCCGAGGAGCTTCCTGGAGACGGCCAACCTTGAAATCGAACTTAGGGCCAATCTCTTCCAACTCCACACGCGGAAGCTTGTGTCCACTGCGCTTTGTCCGCAGCTTGTACCACCGCAGATGAATAACAGGTGACAAGCCATCAGTAGGTTCCTCAGCAGCAACCATGAGCGCATATTGCAAACCCTCAACATCAATCTTATCCGAGGTATCGCCCTTGAACATATCCATGAACATGCTCTTCAACATAACATGCGCAGTCGACGTAGGATCATCCCAGGGGCTACCCGAAAACAGCAGCAACGGCCGTAACCCCATACCGACATTCATAGTGAGATTATTCATGGAAGGAATCTGGTCTCCATCCGGGCTAGGAAGCAACAGCAATTCACACATATCGAGCAGCTTGGTGTTGAAAACCCGGGCCATAGTCACACAGTTGGGTCTCTTCTTATTGCTGCTTCCGAACACCACCATACCGCACTCGTTCTTGTCGGCCAGGAACTCAAGGCTCTCTGCACTTTCGAACGGGTGAATGCTCTCATTTTTCTTGTGAAATAGGATCGAGTTGGGCCGTGTAAGGGAGTGGAAAGTTTTGAGGACTGTATGGAGAGGTGCTGGGCATTTTGAGCCGTGCAGTAACAGTGTGCGCTTTGCTCCTTCGATGAGTTGGGGTTCTTTGGCTTTGAGAATTCGTGCCGTGCGCGGGTTTTTGGGTTTTCTGTCGCAGAGATTTCATCGGTCAGTTTCTCCGAAATCATATACTTATTGATATGAAAAATTATGTGCCACAACTTACACTTCTCTGAGCATCATGGTGAAATGTGGCTTCTCCTCCGTGAAAAACCTCTAAATTGTGGCTGATCTCTAGTGATGATCAAAAATTAGAAAAAAAGGCGGAGCGAAAAGTTTTGGCGGAAAGGTCTTGGCGGTCCCTTATCGATAAGCTTATTATCGCCCAACCATTCAGCCTCATTTATACATCAAGAAACCTCTTCGAAGAGAGAAGAAATAATTAAAGGAATAGATAAAAAATTTTTAATAGTTTAAGATTCGCCATTTATAGGATAACTATATGCAGTAATTCATCTCTCTACTCTAACCGCAGCTTCTCGAATTCGCGGATCTGTTCTTCTAAACGAGTAGCCTCGCTCTCAGCATCCCGAAGCTTCTTCTCTTCCATCTCGCGCACCTCAGGCTTAGCCTTCTCCTTCCATGCAGCACCGCTCATAAGTGTAGTCTGACGATTCACAACGGCACGGGCTCTCTCGAGGCTAGCCTTGGCCTTCTCTTCCTGTTCAAGAGCAACTTCCTTAGAAACGCGGAGGAACACTGCTGCCTCAGAGCCAACCGCAGACACCACGCAGCCAGATGGACGAGTGGTGATCTCGGGGCCCTGCACACTAAGTTCGCCCAAGAACTTACCACCCAGAGACTTAACGCTGGTGATTTCATCCGAGAGGGTCTTGTGACTAGTGGCATCGTAGGTTTGAATGATGATGTCTCCCTTGGTCTTAATTTCATATTGGGAAAGGATCGAACGAATGGCACGAGAAGTGTTCAAGATAAGTTCGTAGGCAGTCTCAGCCTCTGGGTCGTTGAACTCAGCCTTGTACTCAGGGTAACGAGCCTTCATGATGGAAATAGTGTTATCATCAGGGCGGCGAGGCAGACGTTGCCACAGGTGCTCAGTGACAAAAGGCATGATAGGATGAATCAAGGTCAAAGCGCCCTCGAGAGCAGTGTAAAGGGTCTGCTTAGCCGACTCCTGAACCTCTGCTGGCACTTCAGGAGCAAGGAGGAACTTCGAGTTCTCAATGAACACGTCACAGAGTTGGCTGTACCAGTATTGGTAGACCGTTGTGGCAACAACATTGAACTCACGTTGCTCCAAAGCCTCGTTAATCTCCTTGGCAGCAGTGTTAAACTTGTGCAAAATCCAGCGCTCAGAGAGGGACTCCCGGCCAGTCTTCGAAACGGTACGTTGGGGCTTGAAGTCATCTCCCAACTTGCCAAGGACGTATTTGGTGGCCTGGTAAATCTTGTTACAGAAACGACGGTATCCGTGGATGACCTGAATGTCGAATGCTATATCACCACCTATTGAACAGTTAGCCCTCAGATTCAAAGCGAGGAAAATCTTCGAGGAAACATACCGCCAGTAGTGTAAGACACGAGCGCAAAGCGCAAAGCGTCAGCTCCACACTCAGGGATACCCTTGGGGAAAGCCTTCTTCTGATACTTGGTAGCAGCGGCAACTTCCTTCTCGGCAAGGTTACCAACGAGAAGCTTGTCATGAAGGGTCTGGAGCTCAATGCCCTCCATGACGTCGATAGGGTCAATGACGTTACCCAGAGATTTGGACATCTTGCGGCCCTCCGAGTCACGAATCAGAGAGTGACAGTACACCTCCTTGAAGGGGACCTTGCCGGTCAACTTAATTCCCAGCATGATCATTCTGGCGACCCAGAAGAAGAGAATGTCCCAACCAGTCTCCAAAACAGATGTAGGGTACAGGTTCTCAAAGTCATGGGTCTTATTAGGCCAGCCCAAGGTAGAGAAAGGCCACAGTCCAGAGGAGAACCAGGTGTCAAGCACATCGGGATCCCTCACCAGTTCGAACTTCTTGCCAGGGAACTTGGCATCGGCCTTTTTCTGAGCCTCCTCTTGGGTACGGCCAGTGACCCAGAGGTTGCCATCACTATCGTCATTCTCCTCGCCCTCAATCTTAACGAAATAGGCAGGAGCCTGGTGACCCCACCACAACTGTCTGGAAAGACACCAATCGTTGATGTTCCTCATCCAGCGGAAGTAGCTCTTCTCTGCAGATTCTGGCTTGATGACAATATCACCATTTTCTACAGCCTTGATAGCAGGCTCGGCAAGGCTCTCCATCTTCATCCACCACTGAGGCTTGAGGATAGGCTCAATAACATCGTTGGACTTGGCACAGCGAGGGATCTTCATAGGATTGTGCTCCCACTTAACATATAAGTCTTTCTCCTTTAGAAGTTCAATGACCTTGTAACGAGCATCGAAACGCTTCATGCCGGCAAAGATACCGCCATTCTTATTGAAGGTACCATCGTCGTTAAGGACAGAAATAAACTCGAGGTTATGAGCCTTTCCACGGTTAAAGTCGTTGAAATCATGAGCAGGTGTAATCTTCACTGCACCAGTACCGAACTCGGGATCGACGTCGGTGTCTGCAACTATCGGAAGCAAACGGTCGACAAAGGGGTGTCTGGCGAACTTGCCGATCAGGTGTTGGTAGCGCTTGTCTTCTGGGTGAACAGCGATACCAGTATCACCAATCATGGTCTCAGGACGAGTAGTAGCAATCTCAATCCTCTCCTTAGTGCCATCAATCTCATAACAGAAGTGAGTCAAAACACCGAACTCAACCTTCTTTTCGTAGCCAGGCACATCGAGCAGGGTACGTCCTTCAACCTCCTTGTTCTCGACCTCCAAGTTCGAGAGAGAAGTGTTCAAAGCCACACACCAGTTGACCAGGCGGTTAGCACGGTAGATGATACCCTCTTCGTGGAGACGAACGAAAGTCTCGGTCACAGCAGCGGACAAGTTCGGGTCCATGGTGAAGGCCTCGCGAGTCCAATCAAAGGATCCGCCGACTCTCCGCAAAGCATTCTTAATGTTGGCATGGTACTCGTGCTTCCAAGCCCATACCCGATCCGTAAAATCCTGGCGACCCAGGTCGTGGCGGGTCTTCTTTTCCTTCTTCCATAGCATCTTCTCAACGACGCTCTGGGTGGAGATACCAGCATGATCCATACCGGGCAACCACAGAGTGGTCTTGCCCTTCATCCGCTGCCAACGGATCATGGTATCTTGGAGGGCATTGGTGAGGGCATGGCCCATGTGAAGAGATCCGGTAACATTAGGAGGAGGGATAGGAATAACGAAGTAGCCCTCAGGCTTGACCTTGCCGTCGGGGCCGAATTCGGGCTGGTAAAGACCGCGCTCCTCCCACCACTCATAACGACCGGCTTCGATGACCTTGGGATCGTAGGCGTCGGTAGTCTTGTCCTTCTCGACCTTGTTGGCCTTCTTGTCGGCCTTGGGGGCCGCTGCGGGCTTAGACGCTGCCTTCGCCTGCTTCTCTGCGAACTTCTTTGCTTTCTCGGCCTTGCGACGCTCGCGCTCCACTATATATTAAGAACCCGGTGTCAGAACTTCCATGCTCAGTCAAAGCACTTATGCGTTTAGGCCGCAGGCGGAAAAAGACATACGCTCTTTCTCGGACTTCACCTTCGGAGGCGCAGCTGCATCCTTGGTGACGACGTCGGCATTCTGGTTTCTTGTCTGGTCATCGGCCTGGGGGGGAGTATCCACCACGGGAGCAGTGGGCTCACCAGCTGTTGTAAAGCGTGATTCAGTCAGCTCCTTATCCATCACTCACGTACGGGCTGGCAATGAGTCATTCCGGGCCAAGCAAGAGAGATACTTACTGGGATTCTGAGGGGCAGAAGGCTGAGCCATCCTAGAAAATGATCGATAGATAGGTGGAGGGAATCTCCAAGGCGCCGATCGCGCCACGAACCGCCGGATAAGTATCTTGAACACCGGTGACTCCAACGGCGATAGAGAGCGAAGAGGGGGAGGGGTTGGTCGTTGTGCGAATGCGGGCAATTAAATTTCCTGGCGCGCAGAGCAAAGAACGGAACGAATCAGAGATTGGAGGTTTACTGCGGGGCCCAGAAAAACACCAACTGTGGAGAACGACTGGTTCCAGTGGAGGGAAAAATAATGGGCCTGAGGCAGATGCCGGGCAGAGAGATAGTCCACGTCAAGATCATAGAATTGAACACCTTTTTCCTGTGTTTGTCTCCTTCCTTTCGGTTTTTCAACTTCTGAATCATTCAATGTGACGTCCAATGAGTCACTCTCACGTGATTATCAGGTCCAGTGACCCCAAAGACCTATCTTCTACTTGGACTACTTTGATTCTTAGATATCTAGGAATATCGGATATTCGGTATGCAGTTGAGACTAAAATTTCTCCTTGTTTTTCACCTTTCCGCCGTAGGGATCGGTTTTGCAAATTCTTAACAGAGCGGCTTCATCTATATAACCTCTGTAACCGAGATATAAAAAAGATTAGACGGGAACTAACCCACAATGCATTGGATGGTCTCCTGAAAAGAAAGCCCAGGTTCGTAAAGCACCAAACTATGTAGACCCTCACGCCTTTCAATGACGTATCAAGTAAGGAGTTGCAGACAGAAAATGTAATCAAAGGGTAGAAAGCAACAAAGTTTGAAATGCAAACAATAGCGAAAAATGAAATCCCATCAACACCAGTCCAGCAGTTACGAGTAAATCGGGGAGGCAGCAACTGCACTAGATTGAAATAGCCGTACTCGCGCAGAACAAACAAGGAGCAAAGCCCGAAGACCCCAGTCTAAACATCATCGGAGATCCTCTCACTTAGTGCGCCAAGAGTAATGAGCTGAGATGGGCTCGGGGGCCCAATGTATTAAGTATATGTCATCTGTTCATCGTCGTCGTCTCCGTCCATATGGCATAGCTCACATCCATAGCGCTCTCAGAGATTCTTGACAGAAGTGACGCAACAATCGTTTGCTCCGTCGCCATTTGCAGTTCTTTCTTGTAATAGCTTCATCTCCTTGACTCAACTCAAGGCAACGCAAAATGTAACCCAAATCGATGATTATCAAAAAGCAGCATATTGATAATGATCGCGGAGGCGCTGAGTAAAAAGCCCGAGACTTCAGTGTAATGTAGTGATAAGGCTCTTGTGCGCGATTCCAATCGACGTTTACAATCCCCTATTGTTCTGAGCTTGCGACTCCGGGCGAACAGGGTCAAAGTAAGGATGGGCCATGGCTTCCTGTGCAGTAAGACGTTCCTAAGGCAGAAAGTCAGTAATTTGTTGGAAAGTCAGAAAGGGTGCCCGTGAACCATACCGCGTGGTCATATCTCAGAAGCTTATCCAAGAAGTCAATAGCCTCATCAGAGACGAAGCGCTGGTTTTCGGCGTTGACAAAGGAATGCCAGGGCTTGCGAGGGAAACGGGAAAGGATTTCATCATATTGAGGATCCAGCTCAATTTCGTACTTGTCAAGGTACTCAAAGAGCTCTTCCGTTCCAAGGACCTTGGCAATCTTCACCAGCTGGTCTGAGTTGCTGTTTCCGTGGAAGAAAGGCTCCTTGCGGAAGATCATAGATGCGAACATCGCACCGAGAGACCACATGTCCAAAGAATAGTCGTACTCCTGGAAGTCGACGAGCAATTCAGGCCCCTTGAAATATCTGGAGGCAACTCGAACGTTATATTCGGTGCCCTTGTGATAGAATTCAGCAAGACCCCAGTCGATAAGGCGCAGCTAGATACGAGTCAGTAAAGATTTTTCTTATAACAATCCAACCACCAAAACCAACCTTGCGCTTCTCATGATCAATCATGACATTGTGTGGCTTCACATCGCGATGCATGATGCCCTTGCTGTGGCAGAAATCCAGCGCCTTCAGGAGCTCATAGACATAGTAGCGGACATCATAGTCGGAGAATCGAGGATAGAGCGTGCGGAAGTCTGTATTGTTCACATACTCGAAGACCAGACTCGGAGTCTTGCTCTGACTGTCGCGGACCACATCCAACAAAGCTACCACGTTGGGGCCACCTGCCAGGTTCTGAAGAATCTTGATCTCACGCTTAATCTTCTTCTTCTTGACTGGTTTGAGGACCTTGATGACACACTTCTGGTAGTTGACCACATTGATGCCCTCGAAGACTTCTGAGTACTTTCCACGGCCTAGGAATAGCAATTGTTAATATTTACTATTATGCACTGACCACCCGACCCCACGATCGCAAAATCGGTGGATGACGGGGAGTTATTGTTTCGCCTTACCAATCTTGCGGACTACTTCGTAGTTCTCCAGGACACCCCAAGAGATGTTAACGCTGTCATAGTCCCAGTAGGACCGAGGCATATGCTCGTTAACATCGGCATAAACGCGCGCCATGGTGATAACGGCTGACAAACAGCTTTCCAGTCAGCCCACAATCGGATGTTGAAGATAAAATGCGGCGGGGTAGAGGGGCGTTCTGATGAAGGAATAATCGCGACAAGTTAATTCGAATTGGAGGACAGACAACAGCAGCTGCAAGACCAGGAGTAAGGGACCCGTCAAACAGTGCAGCCGTGTTATCGCCCCGGACAACGATGAACCAGAAGAGAGTATATATTAGAGTGGTGATCAGAATGGCTGAGAGCGTTTCGCTCCGCCTTCTGGTCACGTGTATTCTTGCGATGGGGAAAAGCGTGATCAGGCTAGACCAGGTTTGGTGTCGGGGGTTCGGAAAAGCTATTGTCGCGGGACGATTTTCTGGTTTCCTTTCTCGGACAGTTCCCAAGTATACTTCTCTTACTCTGAGAAACCAGAGGGGGAAAAGAAAGACCACTTCACAACCTTTCCAAAGTAACCTGGCTTGGTCCTAGCTTTTTAAAAGCTAAATAACTATGTTTTACGATCTGAACGTGCCCTACAGTCCAGACGATCCCGAGATCTCTTCAACGTTAAGCTTTCTTGCAGAACGTATGTCATTTTTCCCGGCCACACGACCTGAACCCCATGTTAGAGATGACCACCTTTGGAATGAAAGCTGACCTGACTTTCAGTCGGTTACACAACGATCGCCATTTCGCAACCCTTGAGCGGGAAGCTTCCTCCAAATCCTACTCCCCCACTACTTCCGACCAATGCTCCCAAGAACCTGACACTACTCACCCGCGTGAACCTAACGCTTTCCGACCCCACGCAGAATCAGCGGCTTAGCACGCTCGCTCAAGCATATGATCTAGTCGCCATTCGTCCGGCCAATGAAAAAGCCTTGTTAAATGCCTGCACCAATCTAGAATGCGATGTGATTTCTCTAGATCTGACCGTCCGACTTCCCTACCACTTCAAATTTAAAATGCTGTCCGCAGCTATCGCACGAGGAATTCGCTTTGAGATTTGCTACGGACCTGGAGTCACAGGGAGCGGTACCGATGCCCGGCGTAACCTCATCGGTAATGCCATGTCTCTGATCCGTGCGACACGCGGAAGAGGGATCATTATATCGAGTGAGGCCAGGAAAGCTCTGGGGGTTCGGGCGCCATGGGATGTGATCAATATGGCATGTGTCTGGGGCCTATCACAAGAGCGCGGCAAGGAGGCTGTTTGTGAGGAAGCAAGAAAGGTGACTGCGCTGGCGAAGTTGAAGCGCACAAGCTGGCGTGGAATTGTTGATGTTATTGATGGCGGAGCAAAGCCGAAGCCGAAAACTGACAAACATGATTCTAAACATAAGAGTGCTGCACCCAAGCAGAAAGGTACTCCTCAACTCGAGAGCAATAGTGATAGTCTCAAGAGGAAAGCGTCTGTGGGAGAGACCGAAAAGCCAATATCGAAACGAGAAATGAAACGCAGAGCCAAGAAAGCTCGACTCGCTGTGGTCGACGATGAAGACAGTGCGGGAGCAACGCCAGCTAATAGCTAAATCAAACGAACCCTGCGGTTCCCAAAGTCTGTATTCCTACAGTAGATTGCTGGGGCTTTCCAGTGCTACTATCCATCATTTCGCTCCGTCGCGTGCTCAAGATGATTTTCAGACCCCGACACTGAGCCTCCTTCCCTTTATACCTTGTGACCATGCCATATCAAACTACCCATTCGCACATCCTATACGTGCTTTACAGGTGACATACCTTCACGGCCACAAGGATACGGAGCAGCATTATTTTGCATTCTAGCTTAGCGAGAGCTAGTTGAATACATCTCATAGGGCGCCGAAAGGATTTTGACTTTGGGCGTGGGTCGAACAACAACAACGGCTCGTTCTTGACAAAAAACTATGCTGCTCCATCATACTATGAGTGCATGGCTTAACTCTCTGGATCCGTCATTTGGGTCTATGAGGAGCTAGATATCACCGGCTACACGTCGAGTTGACAGAATAACGAGGCCGTGTTACACCAGTACGGCAATCCAACACCGCGGTATTTACTTCATATTATGCAATGAATAGATACGCAGCAGATACCAATGTGATCAAATCCTCTAGGTATAGAATATATATCCGGCAGTAAATAGAATACCCCCATTTATTGTAAGCAAGTACCGAGTATTAAGTGCCATATAAGGAGGTGCCGTAAATAAAAGATCCCAGAGGCTAAGTTGTGCCCCAAAAGTTGATGATGGCTATCCTTATCAAAGGCTTCAGGTAGAGCTACATATTCTTCCCATTGAGATATACAACTCAAGATGTCCGACGATCCCAAAAATAGTTCTCTCCCTACATTCGCACTTTAGCCAAAATTAGATTACAAGTCATATCGGGAGTCACATAGCCTTCAAAGTGTACTTTTAGACCGTTTTTAGATATAATAGCTTAGTCAAAGTCGTATTAAAATGCACTAATCTACCTCCTGAATTCAACTAATGCCAGCATGCACATATATCACGTCTCATCCTGTTAAATCATGTCCGTAATGGGCATTAAAGGGTATGAACTGTAAACTTTCGAACTTGACCGCAAAGAGGACAAGAGTTAAGGTATGAAATTTTATATGCAAAGTGGGGTGCAAGATAAAAAAGGTAAAGCGAAGGTAAACGAGGTAGGAGAGGAGGGCCAGATCAAAAGAGAAAAGAAGATCACGAATGCTCGTATCCTCCAGGGAAGACAGGCCATTAGATACGAGGAAGCAAAGTCGTTGCTGCATCTCAGACCGGGAGGGATAGAAAGAAGAAAATTCGGGTCCGTCGTCAACCCGGGGAATGCTCTGCACTATTAGGTGCCCTCCAGCTCGACAAGAACTCTTAAAACACCATCCATCCAGTCAATATTTCCAGAGGAGAGAAGGGCAATCGTCCACTCGCCATCGTTTTGTACAGGAGTCAATCCGTCTGGCAGCCAGACTTTAAACCTCCAGTCAATCGAGGACATATAGGCTGCAGGGTCCAGCGAGGGGTCAGCGGAGAGACCTGGCAGTTGTCCAGCAAATCGACGACAAAGTATCTGTTTCATAGTCTCAAGATCGGGACAGTGACTCGCAGGGAGATCTACCCGCGGTAGAACACGTTTCCCGCTTTGCATGATATTGATTCGCAAAGATATAGGTGCCTGAGGCGTCGCCGCCGGGTGATTGTTAAGGGTTAGACCCGCTGGTAGTGGCGGAAAATTTGATGGGTGCATGGGTGTTTGGTCTCCACTTGACGTATGAACGCCATGCTTCGTAGCGATATTATCGCGAATGATTCGGGAAACATCGCGAGTGATACTACTTGCACTGTCAGGGAGTTAGCTTGATCTCACGTACCAAAAAAGCCTTAGGAGTGTGGCAACACACAATTCGTTTCTGGCAACTTGACTGCGATTCCCGCCTATTCTCCAGCGTAGATCTGACGCTGAATTTGCATGTAGAATACGGTTGATATTCCCATCCTCACATGGTGTAGGGCAGTCATAATCGCCGCCGTGATAGACCTGATAGTGGCTGTCAACAGCAGCTACCAGCCCTCGCCAATCTGGCTGCTGTAGGCCTGAAAGATACCATAGGTTGTCGAGTTCGTAATTCTGATTGTAAGTCTCGTACGTTTTAGAAATCGCATTCCAGTCAGCTGGATAACCATCTAAGAAGAGGTCTGTCAAGCCCAACTCCATGTCTTGTGACGTTGTTCCCATCTCGTGGTGTGTCGGCACATACCCCTCAGGAGGATTGTGCATCTGGAGTTGCTCTTCAACAGGAAACTTCGGGGGGCTAGCACTATTCATATTCTGGAGGCTGTCTTCTGTTTTCCTTCGTCGCCTTTCCTCTGTTCCACCCCCCTTCCTCGTCTCAACTGCATACTGCCTCTGCCGTTCATTGGTAACCATGCGTCGTAGCAGTGGGATGACCAATGAGATTATTTTTTGCTGATCCCGTGGCCATACATAGGTTCTGGGACCTATACCCTCGTTGACCACGTTTTCACCGAAGAATCGCTCGCCATGACCCTCGGCTTCCAAAAAGTGGCGCACACAATTCCAGAGTCTCAGTTTCACCATCTCTGTATCACCCTTACCACGTTGACCAACACACTCGCGTCGCTCTGGGTGCTTGTCATCTAGCATATATGACTTAGCAGCTGCTTGTAGGTGCAGAAAGTTCTCCGGTGATAGTTCCAATGAAGCGAAAAGCTTCGACATGGGTGGACGGGTGTACTTTTTGTTACTCGAGGGTTGGCGGAACAAAGCAGCTGCGGAATGTAAACCAACAGCACGCGCTTCTGATAGTGACTGGGGCGGCGCAGATCGGATATCAAGGCCATCACCACCATAATGATGCGAATTATGGTGATGGGGCTGCTGCTGGTGACCACTCGGTCCAGATGCTGTTAAAGCTGGGTCGAGGGGGTCATCGCGCTTTCTCTTCTTTGACACGGTTCTTGACAGCCCGGAGGGTTGATTATGCTCGCTAGCAGATGGTCCTGGCCCTCGTAACTGTCTCCCAGCAGTCAGCCCTGCTCCAAAGCCTGCATCCGCAAAACTATCATCCTCGATATGAATTTCCGGTGGGTAGCCATCTAGGTGATGCTGATGTCCAGCAGCACCAGCCGCGGCAGCAACTGCGGCAGCGGCAGCCCATTCTGATACGTCTTGCCCAGCCGCTGCAGTAGCAGCTTCTACTAACCCAGCAAGTTGATTCTCATTTGGTGCATATCCACTCGTAGCTATATTTCCGTTCGGGTCAATGTTGGAAGACGGCGCGGTTTGGTGAGCGGAGAATTCAGCGGCGGAGGTCGAAGGATGTTGGTGATTTGAGGCAGAAGACGTCATGTCAGCAATTTGGACGTAATCAACCACAATTAGTAGCTCCGCCTATAGATTCGAAGATGTTGGTGGAAGGAGTATAATGTCAGGGAATCGTGAGAATAACGTTATAAACTCTTGACGCGGGGAGGCAGGTGGACTGTTGTGTTCGACGCTCAACTAGGATGGCAGTGGGACTATCTCGACCTTTATAGCTTGTAGCATCCAGCCCTTCTTGTTAGTTTCCGAGGGCGACAGCTACCTGAAAGCTAAGTGATATCAAGACTGTTTGAAAACGAATACGCTTGGCGAAGAATTGCGCGCAGAATCCCCTTGCTAACTCGCAAAACAAGTCTCGTCAATGGGCTCGCGACTACTGTGAAGCGGCCGCAAAGCCAGATCTCGTAGTCCAAGAAGACTGACGAAGATATGGAGGCTGAACGCTCTCAAACGTCTATCCGACTGAGCTCGCGCGAATCGCGATAAGTTAATCAATCAGAGCCGTTTGTTTCGGCCCAGATGACGCTGTTTGCGTGGTTTGAAGGATGGGCAGACAATGCAAACTCTGTGCAATCGTCACCCGCCGTGGCGACACGTGATCCCTACCCACCGGTTACTCCGGTGACTTCTACGTCATGATAGAATGTGCCAAAATATCCCAAGTACTGAAGCGTCTCTGCATTTGCCAAATGACAATTTGGGGCCAGCCAAATCGCAGTTGGGATAATTAGATATCAACATATTTTGGTGCACATCACGACAATATGAAATACCTAGCCTAATAAGCAATGAAAGTATCCAAACCCAACTATTTCGACAGTAGAAATCAACCGCAACATGGGCTCCTGAGATCACAAAGGAAAAGCAAAAGTATACACAAGAAGATAAGTCTATGGCTGCAGGCGTGAGTGTAGTCATGTATCATGTAGGCGGAGGAAAGATATTCTCCTAAAAGAAAAGGAGCACCGTGGCCGAAGGATCATAATGTGGCGAATCCACAAAACCAAGTGTTAGTCACTTAGATCATGAGCGAAAATATGATGCATGGGGGCATAGAATGCAGTCGCAAGATGACTAGAACCCATCTCCTTGTTTCCAAGGCCTGCCCGCCTCTAACGCTCTCGCTTTTGGGTCCTCCCCGCGCTTGGTAGCGTTATGCAGCATCTCCTCGATTAACCGTTCCTTTTCCATAATTTGTCCCTGGAGCTCAGTGTCTCTACCTGGATCAGGAACTGAAATATGGCTTTCCTCGCCTAGCGTTCCGGCGATTCGCTCAATTTCAATGGCCTCTGCTTCCCCGCGCCACTCCTTGAGCTCCTCCTCTAGCTCTCCCTTCTCTGAATGTAGTCTTCGGAACTCATCATAACCCTCTTCACCACCAAAGCAAATTCCATAGCCGTCGCAATAACAGACGTGCTCCTTGGGACAGACAACATTTTCACCCGTAAACACAACATGCCACAGGTATTCCCAGATTCGGCCGGAAATGTAGTCACTCAGCTCAGTTCGGAGGATCCAGTCACGATAGTAGACAAAACGCGCCTTCGGGATGGCGAGAATCCGCTCACGCGACACGACAAATTGGGCACAGCATGGCTGTGCCAATACATCGGGAATCGGATCGTCCGGGAAGATTTCGCCCCAAGATCTTGCCAACATGGTTTCCTCCTGCTTATGTTCATCCTCCTCCAACGTACCCGGATGCAACCAGTCAGGACAGCCAGGCGCCCATGTGCAGCGCAAGTTCATGAACCCTTGTCGGACTACCCGAGCGGGGTTGAGACGTTGCAGCATTTCAGCAGCATTGCCGTTGAAGATTTCGTCATTATGCCAAGCAAACTGATGCGAATGCATGAAGGCGATAATGTCTGGTAGTTTGTCGTAGTGGTCAATGATATAGCTCAAATACACTATCACTTCATGCCCTTTATTCTTGGGTGGGTGTAGAGGTGCAGAAAGATCATCGACCACATAGACGGCAGGCTGCCACTCCGGAAGCTCATACTGGATCCATTCGGTGTCCTCAAGACCCGCCTGGGGCACCACCAGTGTTTTCGTATATGTCGAACCAACAGGTTTAGGAATGCCAGGCGCATAATGAGGCCGAGGCGCGTAAGGCTCTCTCGATGGCTGATCAACTATCCCACCAACAGTGCCGGTACTGTTCGCATAACCGGACGGCGTTGGAAAAGGGGTTACGATCAAGTCGCCCAAGCCAACAGCTTGCGGCATATGCCGCCATTGCCGAGAGAGACTGCTGACCGTATATAAGAAAACGACAAAGAAAGCGAGACCAAGGAGGGGAATCGCGCGCCGTGAGAAAATCATGAGATGCGGTTGTAAAAGGGTACCCCAAAGAGGAATGAAAGATAGTGATATAACACTACAATTAGTCCATGAAAAGGATGTTAGAACCGGTGGTCATATAGGACAGTGTGTTTGAATATACAGCGAGCGACTCATTCGCAGAAAACCTTCTGGGCGAAGCAAGACCTGGAAATGCGCCTATGGATGCGTCGGAAAAGCTCACAGAGGGACTCACACTCAAGAAAGGAGGTTAAGCTCCATGGAACGGGTAATTAATCTGTCAGCGAGGGTAGTTTTTCTTGTTTGTACGCCTCCGGGGCCTCAGGGGGCCAAGTAGAAAAGAAACCAAGCCACAGCCACACAGAAGGAAGGAACTAAAGTGAAACAGAGGAGAGGAACTCCGCCCCAAGAAAGACGCTCATCCGGTCAAGGGCATTAGTTGTTCAAAACGGAGTCAAAAGTACGGGAGGACTTGGAAGTTGGGGAGGGGAGACACGGGAGGCGGAGCCAGTGTTGTCGTCAGCGGTTATGAAGCCGATCCGCGACTTTATGGTTACAATGCAGGAATCATGAAATCATGACCAATGGCACAGAAGAGAGAGCTTGCAACTTTAATTGTGTAGAAGTCCCCACAGTGAATGAATGAAAAAATGGCAGCATTCGGAATCTTGAAGAATGTATGAGTCGGAATGTGATTGGAGCGTCGGTTTGCTCACACGCGACCTATAAATATGATTTCGTTTCGTTTTGTTTTTATTTGGTTTTAAATTTTGACTCCGAGTATAAATAGAAATATTCCATAGAGACTTTGCTTCGTAACAACAATAACAGAGAAATCAGACTACCGAACCCACAAAAGACAACAATAATACAATGTTAATAATGACAATAATAAAACAGGCGAGGTTCACTACTTACGGCACCATCTTTTTGATCAACTATGTACAGCACATTAGAGAGATCTATCTACCCTACGGAGGAAACAGAATCATCCTCCACAATTCCATATCAGATGGTGATGTTAAATGGATTCCAACATTACAAAAGGGGGAATCACCAGACTGAGTCCCATCGCATAGAAATTCGAACACACAGACAACCCGGGTATGATCTTTCTGCCTCGCTAAGAACGCCTTTGAAGCATGTTTCCCAAATATAGTACGGAAAGAAAGAAGAAAAAATGCGGCTACGAAAGGGGCAATGGGGAGGAAAGTACTTCAAGTAAAAAGAAAGAAAGCTCTAGAGGGAAACCCTAAGTCACGTCTCATCATCCGCGACCTCCTCCACTGTTGCCACCCGCGCTTTGCCCTTAGACGGTGACGACGATGATCCCTCTCCTGCCACACCATCATCTCTCTGATAGTCGTCCTCAGCATTTCCAGGGGGCGAAGAGCTGGTCTTTTCAAGCGGTGCCTCAGTAGTCACCTCTGTCCATTGTTCAGACATTGGTTCGGTATCATCATTTGACGCTGCCGGAGCCATTGCTGACCGCCAATCAGGCGGTGCATGAGAACTAGGATCCATCTGTATAGTAGGGCTTTGGTCATCCCGGCTTACATTAACCGTATTCCCTACAGGAGCGGAGGTCTCAGATTGAGGAATATGACCAGAAGGCTGTGCTGGTGGGTCTGTCTCAGGAACAGTCGGGGTAGGTGTCAGGTTTGCCATTCCATCCGACCTCTGTTCAGCCGAGTGAAGGGGAAGAAGTGACCAGCCTGGAGGAAGGCTTAGTCCCTCTGGAAGTCGAATATCGCCAGCGGCCATGGCTGGTGCTCCGGGGTCTGATATAAATTGTCGGCGGGTCGTTGTGATTGTGGATGACGAAGGAATGGAAGGGTTCTGAGACACATCATTGGACAGATCCAAGGGGTTTGCTTGAGTATTCTGGAGATTCCGGAGCCGCTGAAGCTCGGCCTGTAACAAGCGTACCAAATGAAGCTGTTCAGCGGTTACTCGGAGATTGTTGATTTCTTGCATAATATGTTGTTCCAGTTGTGAGAGGTGGCTTTGCATGTTAGAGACGTTGCTAGGGGCCGGCGAGGGGTAGTTGGTTGGTGGCAGTGGAGGCCGCCCGAAACCAAAACCGAAACCAATCTGCCTAGCTCCAGGATTGCCATTATTTACTGGTTGCAAGGGAGCGTTGCCTTGATGAATTTGCTGGTGGAGGTTGTGGAAAAGGTCTCCTCTGCCCGCGCCGAACCCGATCCGGAAGGGTCCGAACTGGTATACACGAGCCCTTGGCAAGCCATCCGCAGGTACATTCCTGCCAGGGGGCTGATTCCCAGCAGGAAACCCTTGCAGTCCTCCAGCAACCCCGTTGCCTTGCCCATCGTTCACCACGGCACCTGGGTGGCCACGGTGACTAGGCGGCGCGATGACTGGACGTCGACAAGTTGGGCAATTTTGTTGTCGTTCCAGCCAGCTGCGAAGACAGGCAAAATGCAAGATGTGGCCACAGGGGAGCTTCTTTGGACGTAGCCTCTCGGAAACCCGCCCTCTCGGCTGCCCAGCTCCTTCCGCAGGTTGCTGCCAGTGTGTCATTTCCTCACGACAAATAATGCAAACTTCTTCTCGTGAGATCTCCTCCGCTCTGGCATCCGGATATCGCTCGTTCATGTCACGGGTTGCATTGCGGTACCGGAGGAAATCCATAATTCTTCGGCCAAAGGAGCGAATTGTCACCACGACGTCGCGCAGGATATGAATTGGCAGCCCGTAGAAAGTGAAGAGAATGGCAAAGAAAGTGAGATACACCGTCAACTTCAGAAAGTCGGTTAGTAGATCGAGGTAGAAAACCCATCGGCCTTTTTCTTCCCACCCTGCAACATCAAGTTCCATCTCATTGATATCGTTCTCATCGGGCAAATTGGAGGGTGGCGAGAGTTCTCCCGCTTGCGCACTCCGGCGAATGGCCTCCTGTCTGGCGGCTCGAATCTCCTGGCGACGCTCCTCGATCTTGGCCTTCAGTTGTTGATGGTTCACATAAATTTCTACTAGAGAGATCGAGTACCTGGCAGCAGTCGAGCTCGATAAAATGGTGAGAATAGCGAACTCAAAGCCGAACATGACCATCATGTCCGGACGTGCTTGTTCAAGAACAGTCCGAACGCAGTACTTTAGCATGAACGAATTGAACAAGACCGATAGGAGTAGGGAGATTGCAAGCCGAGTATGGAACAAGCGAGGATTAGCTGGAGGTTGCTGTTCCAGAAATTCCACACGGCCTTCTCCAATCCAGCCCCAAACCTTCCCAACGAGTAGGCACACAAACATTACCAAGAACCAGCCACCCAACTCCCCGCGAAATATTGTCATGGCCAGACACGTTTCCGTAACCGCGAACCATGCCTTCTCGTACAACTGCTCGGTCTCAATGGGTCGCAAGGGGCCGTAAAGGAGGCGTTGAAGCCAAAAAAGAAGGAAGCCAGCCGCTAACAGGCATACGTTTGTAAGTATCTACATCCGTTAGGATGTCTCACCAACACGGTAATCCGAGGGCATATCTCGGGATGACATACCATGAGATTGGCGCTGCTCTGGGAAAGGTAAACGCAAGCAGAGTAAAAGTTCGCCCTCTGATGAAGCGCCTTTACAAAAACGCCCGTGGCTAGGGCCACTGAGGCCTGTGGGGTGATAAAAGATCAGATTTCCATTGTATGCGCACCGAGCCATACCTCCAGCAACTTACCCCAGTATATGCCGCTAATCTCATGGCGATAGGAAGGCAGAGGTGGGCGAGAAGCCCGGTATCCTTGACAAAAAGCCGAAAGTAGAAGCCAGTAAGGTCGTCAGAGGGACATCGACAGTAGTTGAGTGAAAGAGGTTCCAAGCATTGAGAGGGGAAAGTAGCAGTGGACGATCGCGTGGGCGGATTTGGAGATGGTTCTGGACAGCTATACTTACTTCGTAACTAGTAAGAGGGATCAATTCAGTCACCGCCCGTCGGGTCTTACGTCAGCGGATGCCCGGTGACTCCCGTTCGAGTAAAGTATGAATATTAAGCTGTATCTAGACTTAACAATATCTATGTAGCCATGACCGGTACTAATCATTTCTGATGTCCAATCACGACAGGTTGGGGCAGGAGAGAAGCAAATGTAGCACCAAGGTCAGATAGAAAGAAGTGAAAAAAAAAATGAAAAGAAAGAAAATTCCAAGGCAGATCCGGTTGGATTTCATCGCGCAGTCAGGTGATATGTACGGAGTACGTATGTACAGTTAATCCACGGCTGACGTCGTCCCTCATTCTGCCAAGATCCATCCCTTCTGCTCTTTATCTGATCTTAATTAAATCTTAGTGTATACTTCTCAATGATTCTCGGGACCTTAGGTTGACCCTTCAAGATTGGAATCAGAACATGTCCTGGATTAGTCAAAGATGACTTCACAACGTGCGCTATTTACTGCCAGCCGTACCCAGACATTAACCTACCTACTTGCTGTCTGCCCTTTTTCAATCGCTTTTCTGGTCTATATCAATTCTTCCATCTCGTTTGTGGTCACTGAATTGATCGGACTACATGATGGCGAAGGCGACGCCGTGGGAACCCTAGGTTTTGCAGATGAATTGCTCGCGCTGGCCGCGTGTCCACTGTGGGGAGTGCTTTCGGACCGCATAGGTGTCCGCCATGTACGCTTCCGTTCTCTATTGATACCTCTAAGACTTAAAGCCTCACATCCATTCGTATAGGTATGCGTGGCTGGCTATAGCATCATAGCCGTCGCACTGGTTGTTCTCGTCCAAGCCAAGAATGTTTATCCACAACTTCTTTTGGGAAGGTTGTTATTTAGTATTGGCGGCTCTGCGGTCTCGACTATGGTGACGGCAGTCCTACCGACCGTGACGGGGAGCTCAAGCGAACAAGAACCTTCAGAGACAGCAAATACGCGAAACAGTTCCAGCCGTGGAGCATTGCCTCAAGCACAATCCGATGGCGAAGTGAATACTCCTTCCTCTCGGCTGGCTGGATTTGTAGGAATGTGTGCTGGTTGCGGCGCCCTGGTATCCCTCGTTATATTCCTTCCCCTTCCCGCCCAATTTCAGAAGTTGGGCTTGTTACCCTCAGAAGCCATTCAGTATAGCTACTACGTTGTCGCCGTAGTGGCTCTTTTGGTCAGCATATGGTGCCTGTTCGGCCTTCGAAACCTTCCTGGCGAGGAAAAGAAGGCATGGAACTCACTGTGGTCGACCCCAGATGAAGAAGATGACCAGCCATGTGCTGTTGGTGGCAAATCACGACTACCATATTTGGACCAATTTGGCGCAGCGGTAGTTCTAGGATTCCGCCACAGTGATATCCTTATAGGCTACGTCGGAGGGTTTGTAGCACGTGCCTCATCAGTCGGGATCTCCTTGTTCATTCCACTCTTTGTGAATCACTATTATCGAGTCTTGGGCTACTGCCATGGTAGCCACAATGAAGGGCTAGCGCTTAGTGCCGGAGATATAAAGCATTCATGCCCCGACGCGTACAAGTTGGCGTCGATTTTGACAGGAGTGTCCCAGTTAGTAGCCTTGATTGCTGCACCAATCTTCGGGTACTTGTCTGACAAGTCTCGACGACGTCATATACCTCTTCTCTTTGCTTGCTTGGCTGGTGTCGTGGGATATACGACTTTTCCACTTCTCCCTACACCCAAATTCAGCGGCGAGGGTGGTAACCCGACTGTGTTCGTTATAATGAGTCTAATTGGTATCAGCCAAATTGGCGCCATTGTCTGCAGCTTAGCCGTACTAAGCAATGGCATTCTAAACGCGAAGCTGAACCAGGATATTCCGAAACAAGCTATTGACGCGGAGAGTGAATCACACGCTGAAAGTGATGTCTTCCCTCCAATCAGTGAAGCGGACAGGGGAGCAGACCGACAGCCGCTACTAGCGAGGCACGAGAATAATCACAGACACCGACAATTGTCGCATTTGAAGGGATCAATAGCGGGTGTGTACTCTCTTTTTGGTGGTGCTGGAATTTTGCTCCTCACTAAGCTGGGTGGTCTTCTCTTTGATGTTCTGTCATCGGGTGCTCCTTTCTACATCATGGCTGGTTTCAATGGTGCATTGCTCCTGGCCGGCGTCATAGGCTGTCTTCTTAGCCGGAAACGCTATCCTTCCGAAATATCTTGAATCCTACCTGAATGTACTTCGAGATTTTAACCGTTCATATCCACACTGACAACCGGTCTGTCTCTTCAAAGCTGCTGGCTTGGACTATCCTTAAGTACAATACCTTAGTATATTTACCCAATTACACACTACCTAAATAGACCAGAACTAACAGGGTTCTTTGCACCTCTAGGACAGTGGAAATAATCAGTAATTATGGAACTCTATTAAGACCGTAGCTCAGGACGCATAAGCTTTAAATTGTTTTTATTGACATATTGATTATATTATCAAGGTATATAAACAGTGGGGCGGTTAGGGGGTTAAGACAATAGACATGGATCAACCTTGTCAAGGGTGTCTAATACCTTCGTCTAGTGTCTTTCATAATTTGTGTTCGTTCATCATGCCTTATCTTCTCCCCTCTCCATATACGTATAGTTGCAACGTTCTATCTAAAGGGAAGCTCGTTACAGAAGGTTACTAATCTAGTAAAGTCGCTTAAGTTCGGAAAGACACAATACAATGGCTAGTAGACTATTGGGTTTCCTACCACTTATCTAGTCATTATTCGGTTCGTAACTCGATGTCTTCATACGCAAGAATAGCATACCCTCTCTTCGTGGTTCATTAAAACGTACCCGTCGGAAGCGGTGAATGCTTCGTCCCTGGTCCAGCATGTCCCTGCTTGCGTGGTTCATCGGAAAGCAGACGGACTTCTAGTCCTGCATGGATGATATTGGTCCGCAATAATCTTATGTGTGCCTCCTTGACGTAACTTGAGAGGCTCTCTAACGTGGCACCCTGCACTTCTGTCCGTAGATCGGTCTGATTAGATACCAGGACCATCTTCTCTAGGTCAATGCGAGAGTCCAAAGTTCCATCTTGAATCAGCCCGATCAATTCCTGTACAAAAGGGGACTTCGATTCGATAGGCTGAGTCTGGCCGCTAACGGCTCGAGGAGCAAATATTTTGGCCATAGAATCAAGTGTTACACGACTAAACGGAACGAGGTACTGCTGGATGGACTTGGTTCGGATGCGAGTATAGAGAGTGCTGACGTGACGTTGCAAGTGGACATCTAGAAGATAGTCGGTTTGGTACGATTCAAGGATCTCTAGGCATGGTCGGAATTTCGAATTGCAAAAGAAAGAGATGGCCCGGCGGATGTGGGGTTCCAGCTCCAGGAAGTTACGGAAAGAATTGTTGTCCAACACGCGCCGCTGGAGCTCATTGCGATCCATCGACGCAAGAGCACAAAGTCCACCATACACGGCCACATCGTTGGACGTGAGGATCTCATTATACGAATCTCCTAGGCTAGGGTCGGTGCTCAAGAAGCTGTTTGCGGCATCCAGATACGCCCCAGAGTGCAGCTGGGACAGACCCAATGCAGCCGACATCTTTGGCTGGTTCTTAGCCTGTTCTTCTTGTTTCGATTGCAGATTTCGCAACCGCTGCACATGAGACTGGACGCTTAACCAGTCTCCACGCTCAATGGCCACATTTATGATTTTAAACAACATTGAGGCGATGTGACTCGGGGTCGTACAGTAATCCCTCATGCGAGAGTAGGCCTTCGAAGCCGATACCAAATCACCAATTTGATGGTAATGCTGTCCGAGATCTTCGTTGCCCATCTGTAGTACCCGGTCAGAATATCTGCTGCACTATTCTCAGGTACTCTGGTATGCTTACCCTTATACTCTCTTTAATAAGGTTGTTTTTATACCCTCTCAGCTCGTGCTCTAGTCGATCTGTTTCCGCCTTAACGACCTTCCGTGTGCGGTCTACCCACTCCTTGTCTAGTGTAGCTTCGGCCTCACGTGGCGCAACATCAGCGAGCGCACGCACTGCACTCTCGTATCTGGAGACATCTTTGCTTGATTTGGCTTCGACAATTGCTGTCTTCAGTGCCTCGGCGGAGAGATATGTGGAGCAAGTGCCGATAAGAAACAGACGGTTGAACCTGGTTCGGCCTGGGAGTAGCGTGTCAGTACGCTAGATATCAAGATAGAAGCATCCAGTATCGTACCAGTATAATTTGCTATGTACGATTCCAATTCAAACTTAGGCGGGTCTATTCAGACTATCAGCATCTCTTCCATTGCAAATCCCCACTTATCGTTTCGCTAAAACCAGCTAGGGAACCGTACCATCAACCTTCACCAAGGGTGTCATAGTAGCCACAGCTCCATTTATGCTCTCTAAGTCGGCATTTCCTGCACCATGTATTTGTCCCGCATATGGGCTTGTCGGATGAGAGTCGAAGGCATCTGGTGGCATAGATTCCATCTCGCTTATTGTTTGCGTACACCCCACAGTGTTGGCAGATAAACCGAAACAGATAACTATTTAGATTCGAACCTCCTCTCTTATGTATGAACGAGAAGAACAGCTATAGCTTCGACAAGTCGTACGGGGCGCCGAGAGCGATATGCGGTAGGTTGAAGTGGACTAGTTCTTGTTGCCAGTAGCGCTATTGGAGATCGCCGCTACGGGTATGGGAGGTATTAATAGCTAATGGCTTCCGAACAGGATCTGGATGGCTACCTCGGAAGAAGTTGGGCCAAAATCGCAGCAGTGGGTGTATGTGACGGGATGTGGAGAAAGGGAATAATGATCTATCTGATGGTCATCATCATATCAACAACCTATTTATCTCCTACCACGTATACACCGCCTTCACGACCGCCCTTGCTTTCAATTTGCACTAGGCTGGCCATCTTGGTCTTAAAACATAAGGTCATGACTGATTTATATCGGGACATTTTCATCCTCATGCACCTAATCACAGTCGAGGCTACTTGTAACGACAAAGCCAGTACTCGATCATTGCGGAGAAAAATGAAGACCCAGAAACCTAACTACTCGGTAGATGACCAGATTCACAGACATCTCGTTTTTCTCTTTCCCTTTCCTTGTTCGAAGTGTGACTTCAGTGTAGGTAATGAGTTACTCGGTAATAAATCTAGAAGCCAGCAGAGCCAGTCAACAGCTAGGACTTTCGTCTTGAGGCAAGAGACACACTTTCGCTCAGTTCGAGCGAGAGCGCCTAGACACCCAGAGTCGCGAGGACGTTGGACTTTGGCATTGGGCCTAATATATCTCGTCAGGTATAGGCATGTCTGATTAGTCCTCCTGCATTCAGACAATTGTGAATATCTCACTGCAATACTCGTCTATAATAGCTTCTGATTCTCCAATAATCCCCATATCACCAGAGAGGTTGAACCTCAGGCTTCGAAGATTATCAAGAGCTTCCGAGGGATTGCTTTGAGTATCATTGTCAACATAACAGCTATGGCAACTGGTTCAGGACTCTTACCCATTCTCAGTAGAAGCAGCAAGAGTATCGCTAATCACAACGTGTTAAACCCAGCAAATTCAAGGTAATGATAGCACTTTACCTATCGGTAGTTTGAACATCCACAAACCTGAGTCATTAGTGGAGTGTTCCAGAGGCTGGGATTATCGAAAGCTACTCACTGGTTCGTCTGAACGTAATCTAAGGCAGAATCAGCCAAATGTTCGTTTAGATCTCCTGGATCTGACTCCGTCTTGGTATCGGGAGAGAACACTGTTCCGGTAAAGGAGCTAGTTATATACTATTAATTCGTTTGTAATCCTTTATGAAGGGATACTCTCACCTCGGGGCTGTAATAGAAGTATCGAACCTAACCCCGTGATTATCCCTAATGCTTTGTTAGTTACCTGCCTACTAAAAAGCACATACCTAGGTCTACCTGTCATGCGCTACACTTGTCTGCAACTGAGCCTGCCCAGTGAGAGTAAGGCGCATATTGTCCCTCTCCTCCACAGGCGGAGTAGCACAATGAGGATCATGGGAATCACGACGATAGTGACGACGGTCTTCACGGTCAGGCTCTCGGTTCACGGGTGCCCGGCGGGGGCGAACATTATGTCGTCCCTACCAGTAGAGAGTTAGCAGGGACTGGTATTTCATAGATTGACACCTTATGCGGATACATACTACATGGCGCCTGTCAAGGTTACGCTCTGGAACATCTCGGCCATGCCTTCTGCGGGGAGGGCGATAGCGACGGCGAGAGGGTTCAACTCGATATACTCGAACCGGTACAGTTCGACGTATACGGTCGTTCAGCTCACTTGCCATATTCGCCTGTTAAGCATGAGATCCTGTATCATCATCTAGGATTCTGTGCTTTACATACCAGATGGAGTAAGGCTTGACGGACCGGACAGTCTACCGCAATGTGCCCGCGCTCCCAGCAAACATGACAGCGCCGGTATTCCTATGTTCACTTTTTCAGCCTAGGGTGACTTTGTCTTATATGGTGAGAAGGGCGACAGCCTTACCCTCGCCTCGCGGACCATGGTACTGAGTTTTTCAAGTCAGATGGCTCTCAACACCATTTAGTACAGTCGCGAAGTAGATGAAGGTCTAAATGCTCAGGAGAAATACGAAAGCTATGGAAAATGTGAGCGACCAAGGAGTAAAGAGGGAGTACCGAGACAAAAACAGCGCAGTCCAAGCAAGAGGGCCGCTGTGGAGAGTAAGAGAAAACAGAGAGTATCAAGTGAGTGAAGTACAAACGGAATGACCAAATAGGAAAGTACAGGTTCCTGCCCAGTGAGTACCTAGTAGGTTAGGTACTTTACTACTAGAACCAGGTAAGTCCCAGCCAGTCTGATCACCAGTAGGCCATTTGTTCCATACAAGAGAAGTCTGGTATCATTACTCTGTGAAGCCTCACACAGTTTATTCAATTGTCTCTCCATGTGAATTTGAATAATTACCCGTACAGAGTGAATTCATTGCGAAGCTTCTGTGGAATTGATATCCCTAGCTTATATAAGGATCTAGAACTAGTTACTACTCACAACTGAATGACATTTCCATACTAGTGTGCCTTATGCCAGGTCAGTGTGTCAGGAACGTATAGTACTCAGCATATAGTAGTCATTGCTCCTACAGCAACTTTCTCCATTACTAGTTTGCCAGTATATTCATGTCTGATGAAATGATCCCTTGTCTTTTCAGTTTTTTTCAAGATTCAAAATTTTATGATTATGATTATTACATAGAAAAATATCATCAAGACATACATGCACCAAAAACGCTCATAAAAAATGAAAATGAATCCTTCATGGCACGCTGAAGTGACAATCATGCAGAGCTAGCGCACGCTATGACAGGAGGTAAAACATGCCATCGATACCGAACAATTTGGCTACGCGGTTTACCCAAGAACCACTGACTCGGGAAACGCCCAGTAACCCTACAAACGTGCCACCCTCACAGCAAAGTTGCAAAGCCGGCGAAGAAACCAGCCATAACGACGGTCAGACCGTAGATGTGGTAAAGATTGGTCGATGGCCCCGAGGCTACCCCATTCTTATCTGGGACGCCCGTGAAAGGGGGCAAAGAAGTAGTCGCTTGAGCGGTTTGGGTAGTTGCAGAAGTGGTAGTGTTGACACGCTTGGGGTCCTGAGCGCCACAAGGGTTTTTCGAACGGCAATCAGACTGGCATGTCGAGTCGCCATCGCAGTTCTTGACGCATTGGTTGTTTTGCTCAGTGCACATAAAGTAGGGGATTGTCTGAGAGTACTCAGATGCGTTAGGGGTCAAATTGTTGCTGCAAATGCAGGAGTAAGTGAGGGATTTCTGTTTCATAGCGGGGTAAAGCACGTTAGAAAGTCTCTTTAGGTCGTGATGGAGTTTATTTAATTACTCACATAGTCGCAAGTGTTATCCTTGGGCTGCCCCGAGGCCCCTGGAAGTTGCAGACAGATGAGAGGACAAGCTGAGGTCTGCGATTGGCACCAATACTCTAAAAAGAGTCAAGTCAGAAAGGCTCATACAGACAATACCAATCCATGGACAAACCTCTCGTTGATTTCGGAACGCTATTTGGGTCGACACTCTGACTCGTAGCGAGACTGGCTACAGTGGCAATCACAGCCAAGGAACTGATGAGAACCATTGTGAATTGTTCGTAAGTTGATGAAGCTCAACGAATGACTATTGTAGACAAAGCTACCCTGGATCTTTCATGATACAACCATTAGATTCTAGGCCAGTTTGCACAAGGGTAGATAGCAATCGGACAGGACATACCAATAAGGAGAAGAAGATTCGAGATCACCCACGACTGAGGAACTGAGTGATAGATAGTGTCCGTATTAAGATCTTCAAATCAGATATAGGAGGGACGAGGAAGTCAGAGAACAAGGCAAAGGAAGGTAGGAGAATGGGGGGGAGAGAGGTAAAAAAGAAAGGAAAGGTGAATGTTTCAATGGCCCCATATATGTACGACTGTACCACCACCTTTGTACTCCACGCACTAAGTTTCCTGCCAACCGAAACGAGGTTGGGGTGGCGGCGCTATCAGTCCCTCAAAGCTTTGTCCGGCTGCCTAGGTCAAGAGCTTCTTGTAATGTTGCTCAGCAATCTAGGTCCATCGGTTTCCCATGTTTTTCATCGAGATCGCTTGAACGTTCTCGAGGGAAATTGACCCTGTCATTACTGCTAAAAAGGGTCCCTGCAGAAAGCTACTGAGCGAATTAATTGCGTCCCAAAAGGAGAAATTATGACTTTTTCTTCTTCCTTTGGGGAGGGAAGAAAACATCTATCACTGTCGATCCGGGGCAGCTTTCCGACTGTGCCGTATACGGTACGGTACTAGGGTCGGTACTAGGGTAGTAGGGAGGGTACTTTGGTAGGTAATGTTTCTAGAAGTAATGCAGACAGACCCTAGTTGCATAACTGTCCATGACGGTTCTCCACCCCGTTGATAGGCTGCTATCTTTGGAAGTGAATCGAATTGTCTTGAACTCTGCGAGGGTCTTGTCTTGCCTCCCCGAGACACCGGAAGAAACAACTCACATATTGGAACGGCCTGGAAAACGCCGGGGCCGTTACTTACGGAGTACGCCTACGTTGCAAGTACCGAGTGGTCTTGAGGAATTTTTTGGATTGGGAGTCGAAATGTCTCACTTTCAGTTGTTGATTACCCGAGGTTTGAACGAATCGATTGGGCCATTCGATGCTTGGCTTTCCTTTAGTGTGACCCTAGGGACATAGTTCACACTGTCACTGCCCCTAAGGGTCTAGTAACTTTGTTAGTGTAGAAGCAGAAGGGAACGTTGGGAAAGATGGAATGATGCGACCGGGGGGGCAAATATATATTACAATTCATATATCATGAGACATGAACATCATGGAAATCCACTCATATGTAGATCGGGTGAAAGAAAGCAATCCTTCTGCATAAATATCGATAATATTTGGATTATCCGGCCATACAGGGATGCATCTAAGACTGGATAGTAATACATAAATGTATGCACTGCACATAAAGAAACAGGAGTGATCCATCCCTGTACGACAGGAGGTCTGAAGCTAAATACCCCTTTTGGCAGGTCCGCCACATGACTTTGCCAAAAGAAAATACAAGTGGGGAATCGGGACAGTCTCGTGACCTCCGAACCGATAACTCAATGAGAACAACTTGCGGAACAATTACTTCCAACCCCATAAATGGGCCCATTTTTGAGAATTTATTGAATATTGAACGTTACGTTTTCTTTCAACGAGGGAGAAAAGAGAAAAGAGAAAAGAAAAAAAAAGGAAGCAGGGTATCGGCTATCTGAAACCTCATACCTTATCAGTGACCTTTTACCATTTGCCTCTTGCATTCCCCGCACGCTACGAAACTCCGACCATTGCATTGAAACACACAGGCCTCCGCAGCACCAGCAAACTTCCCTAGGGTTGTAGTAGAGCCACGTTAGTGATATCAGGCGGCATCCTTGCTTTTATTTGCTCCCCCGCCACCGGCCGCGAGGTTGCATTCCGACTTATATTTAGAACCGTTCGCTAGGGTCGTTTTATTCATTGTCCGTCTTACCGGATATCTAAATGGATGGAGCGAGCGAATGAGGAGACAAGCCTAGTGCCACCGCTACCCCCCTCGACAACACCCAACCCTGATGCTCCCGTGACGACCTCACTTTCAAACGGTATCAGCGTCAGCAATGGCACCGTCTTCCCCCAACCTCGCAATGCTGCCCTCAAAGATCGCCCGGTCTCCGGCATAGTTCCGCCGTATTGGAGTCACCACCGCAATGCATCCCGTGCATCCCAAATCTCCCTCGACCAGCCTGCCATCACCCTAGAAGATCATACGGAGGATCCAGATTCGGAGACGAGCCGTGGGCTATGGGCCAGGAGTGTATCTGTAGACGATCATGTTGTCGTCCAGGGGAAATCCGGTATAGGTGCATATGTGGTGTGGAGTTGTACGATACAAACCCTTGAGGTGTGCATTGCCATTTCCTTGTTTGACCTGGGTTTCATCCCAATCTTTTGTTGCCTAACACTGATCGCAGGGTGGTCCCATCACCGTTCGAATGAGGTATGTGCATCAGACACAAAAACCAAATTTGGCATGTCAAGCTCCGCGGCTAATATTGGTCATGATCTAGGTACTCCGAATTCGACGACCTGAGACAAAAGCTCGAGTCTTCATTCCCACATGCGAAGAGCGCGCTACCAGCTTTACCACCGAAGAGCGTTCTCTGTATGTTCTCGTCCGCACATTAACCTACATATACCATCAGTTTGCTGATCCGACGGCACTAGTCAAATTCCGACCAGCATTCCTCGAATCCCGACGGGTTGGTCTGGAATACTTCTTGAAGTGAGTTCGTCGCATATTCTTGACTTTTAGGGCTTTAATATCGGAGACTGACACGCTGCTCTTACCAGTTGTGTTCTTCTCAACCCTGAATTTTCTAGTTCACCGATCGTGAAGGACTTCCTATTTGGAAGGATGTGTTAATTCCATATGCCGACTGAACTGCCTATATACCAACATAATCACGATGTTACGCCCATCCATACATTGCACTGGAGTAACTGGAGCTCTAAGAAAGCGATTTAACCTGTGCTTTGGCATGACTAGATGTCATCCCTACTACCTATACCGAAACTATATACTTCGATCATTGCGTGTACATAAAGCAACATCGCTTTTGTTTCATTAGTTTGCTGTAGACGACTTATCATGTGGTCAGTCCCTGTGGCCCGATTCCATCACCTTGATCATTCCGCTTTCATAAGCTCATCAAGAGCAAAGCAGGAGAGCAAAGAAAGAAGAAAGAAAGAAAGAAAGAAGAGAGAAAGAAAGAAAGAAAGAAAGAAGAAAAGTAATACAAAGCCTAAACTTCTAGACTGAGACCGAGAAAACCCCCGCCGGAAAGAATTTTGCACAAGCATTGACATTACCACCTCTTAGTTCTTCCCGTCGTCAGCCGTAACCATTATGGCCCGAGACACATTATTTTCTTCCTCCCTCGCCTTCTGCATTGCCTTCGTGTACCGTTTGCCAGCGATCATCCACCACACGAGCTCGATAATGATGAACCCCCCAACGCAGACGCAGGTATAGTTCATGTTCGTGGCTATAGGGTTGTTAATGTTCTCCATGCCAAATATCAGATGTTATATATAGTGACATAAGCAGAAAGAAATGATTTGTAGGACCAACGTACCAGTGACGGGCATATAGAACGGGAAACAAAAGAAGACAATAGCAAAGACCAGCCAAGCAACGGTAATGATGTTGACAGTCATGCCAGCAACATGTGGTAGGGTGAAAGGCCCGTGATGCATTGTACTACGGTTCAGTACCACGTTCGTGAAGATGGGGACGAGATATGCGAGATTATTGATCGTCCTATGTATCTGTTAGTCTACATATCCTTTTTCCTTTCTCAATGGAGCGGCGAAGGAAGGCACAGAGGAAAGATTCTTCTAGCATACGTTGCAGAGCTAAGCATGGAGTTGAAAGCGGTGGTGGATCCCAGATATATACAACCTAGGAGGGCCACGATCACTGCTACACACGTCTGGGCATACAGTGGGACACCAAATCGAGGGTCCACCCGGGCCAAGCTGAAAGACTTAGTATCAAGATCAAATAACATTGTTGTTATGTTGCTCACATTTTGGAGAATGGAAGGCCCTCATCACGAGAAAAAGCCCAAAGCATTCGTCCAGTGCCTGCAAAGGATTGTGTGGTTAAAACGACATGTATATTCGAATTTAGAGGGTGCATACTTAGCTGTGACCCAATCATACAGGGGCCGATAGCAACCCATAGAAGGAATGTCAGTCCGAAAGCACCCCCGCGGCTCTGTGTTGCTTGGCGGAAGATCTCTGCAAGTGGTAGGCCTGTCGGACTGTCTGCCAGGCTGGACCAGTCTTGGACGGAAAACATGAGGCTTAGAAGGTAAGATAGCCCAGTAATGAAGGCAATGATCAGTGTACATGCTATTGCATTAGATTGGTAAGTTTTATGTCATCGAATTGGGTGGGTTGATAGAAGCATACCTAGAGCTAAAGGTGCATTTCGGCCAGGCTGAAAAGCAGTATTAGCTGTACTGGCCCTTGGAACGACATAGGCATATACTTACATTCGGCATCTCCTCTGTGATATGCTAATATTAAGTTAGCAACTTCTTTGGTGCTAGGGAATCAATGCATACTGTAATCCCATCTAAGCCACCAAGGGCGAACAGCGGATTTACCAAGCCTGTGATAAAACAGATGACATTGTTCTCCCAGCCCGTATTGTTCATCCAGGTTCGGAAAACAAACCTGCTGTCATTGTGGGTTGGAGCTGTCGCGGCCACTGTGACCATGATAGTAAACCATGCCATCTGAAGGTACACCACTGTTCTTCCTTGTTAGCATGCACCTGATCATTGATGCCCTAGCGCGACTTGCAGGCAAACTTATTGATGCTTGGAATAAAACGGTTGCCAAACATGACCACTGCAGAGCTCAACACGTTCAAAACCTGATATGCAACAAAGGTCATCCAGGGTTGGAGCTTGAGATCATCGTGGTAGAGGGCAATCAGGGCCATGAGGTTTGAGGCATAGACTAGATTCGTCGAAGCCGCCGTGAATATCCCTGGAGGAGTTAGCACAGATTCTGGTCCATATAGGCAGTGGTACCATTGCCTCACATCCAAAACAAGTAGAACAGCCGGTTGCAAAACTCAGCAGACTATTGTAGCGCTTTGGGGCAATCGCTGCAATCCAGTGGTACATCCCCCCTTCGACTGGGTATGCCGAGACAAATTCTGCCAACGACGTGCCCAAGAAGCACTGTAGTATGAACACAAGGATAAACCCGTAAATGACTGGATTGGTCAGTGTCCTCATCTTGTCTCACTTTAGCAAGGATTAAACCGTACGAGCACCGGGTCCGCCAGCATTGATGGAAGTAATCAGGCCAAGGCCGAGTCCTACCAAGAAACGATGTCAGAATTGGTTGACAGATCACCAGAGACCTTGACTAATATACCAGTCCAAGATATAGTGCAATTGGCAGCAAGCCCTATCAAGCTCCAGACTGAGAAGTGACGCTTCAGTTCCTGCTTATGACCTGGTGAACTGTAAGTGTGCATCTCTAGTATCGCAGTGATATAAAAAAACTGACATACCCATCTGGGCTAAACGCAGCTCATCTGCATTTTGAACATGAATAACTGCGGAGTCTCTGCTATCTAGGGGTTTCACGCCAGGAGAAGAATTATCCGTTGACTTGTCCATGGCTCTGTGTTCAGAGGTTGTATTTGTTGGCCAAACACGTTAAAAAGAAGCACAAGATAACAGGGAAATATTATAGATAAGAAGTATAAGAGAAACAGAGTCAATAAAACACCAAGTGCTATCATTAACACAGTGATGAGGTTATTACAAATAAAGGAAGTAAGGAAGCTTTCACTACTAGAAGTATAGTTAAACCAAATAAGAATCGGTGATTATCTCTTAACTAGTCGGGCAACTTCTAGCTTCACCGGAATTGCCGGTCAGATTGCCGGAGACAAGTGAACTAAGTAGTTAGCAGTGTAACAGTCACTGTTCATGACGGGCAGGGAAGGTCACTTCGGGGACGCAACGCTAATCCTGATGGAACTTAGATATCATCCCGAACTCAGTATAGGTATCTGCTCATGCTCATTCCTAGTACTACTAGTAGTTGCTTAAATATTTCTTATTGGAACAACTACTACACGTAAAGGTGAACTAACATCCAAAGGACACACCACTGACAGTCATGTGGGAGTGGCATATCAGCCCGATGATGATGATATCTAATTGGGGAATAACTCCCCTCATGGCCCCACCCACCTTAGGAGCAGCTTCGCTCCACCGTGGAGGTAATACATTTAGGGCTTACACTACGGAGGAAGTACTTAATTGGAGAAGAAAGGGGAAAGAACTAACTAAGCAAAAAGAAAAAGAAAGGCTGGTCCCAGGGAGGCTCGAACTCTCGACTTCTGAGTTATTAGCTCAGCACTCTAACCAACTGAGTTATGGGACCCGCTTGTTGAATTATTGTCCTCTTTCAGAATTAGATAACCCTAGGTTTAAAAATTAAACCTCAGATCCTCATTCATTTACATTCCGACACCGAACCTGTTCATAAGATGTTATAACAGAACACTCTTCCATTAAAGAGACACAGAACATAAGCCCTCCTCTTAAAACATGGTTATAGCCGACACAAAGAGGAAAACTAGTATGCATGGTACAAATCTAATGGCATTAACATTATGCTATCTATATATCACCAGAAGCTTTGTATCCATAACCTGTCTTCATAGTCAATCTTGCGTGAGCCATCCACAGAAGTCGTAAGTTCATAAGTCCGCCCGGCGGCGTATCTATAGAGGCCATTGGAAGCATAATTACAGAAAGTATATATAGTTGAGAAGGCAAGCGACACCAAACCAGACCAGCGCAGCCCGGGAAGTGGGAAGAAAATGGGGCTTCTCGAAAATACCAGGGGTACCGTGTAGCCGAGTTAAGTGAGTTGGGAAGGAGGTTCCTGTCACGATTGACTGTCGAACAGATAACGAGCCGATAAGAAGTGTCGTGGCGGAATAGAAAGTTGGTCAGCCACAATTAACTTAACCAGGTCATGCTAAACGAATGTTAATGACTTTTGTAGCCTCCCTTGTTCGGATCAACCCCACCATCAGAAGTCTCGGGATTTCCCTCTCCAAGGGCACGATAGGCTTGCTCCCTTGCGGCTGACCGGTCGCGCCGGATCGTCAAGCAATTGATGCCCAAGAATGTCGTGATTCGGTTGATGACCAAGAATGCCCAGTGCATATAGGCGACAAAGGCAAAGAAAAGATAGGTTCGCAGATACAGGAGCTCTACCCATGCGCTAATTCCGGGGAAACCAATCCAGGGCAAGTTCACTAGAATGGCACCTCCGACCAGAGGAGTTTGCAGGACTGTCCAATGGGGAAAGGGCTGTCTCAGCAAATGTGCAAGAATAATCTTCGTGGTCATCCGTCCAAAAACGAACGAGATGGCCCAACAGTACAGAACCAGATGGTTATCGACCAATATCCTCGAATAGGGAGAGAAAAGCCAAGCCAAGTTGCATCCAGTGAAGACGATCATTGGTACCCACTCCTTAAAGATTGGTGCTATAGGAAGATTTTGTTTCCTCCTAGAAGCAACGACGTTGTAGACACAACCAGGTAAATGACCCAAAAAGAAGGAGGAGAGAAGAAGTGGGATCCAAAGGTCCCTCACCGAATTATCTCCAAAGATCTGGGGGAAATTCAAGAACTCGACTATGGGCCGGGACCATATTCCAGGACCGTAAATGCCTGATGCTACTATCAAAGTAATTGCAATGAGGAGGCCCTCGGTAGGGCCATTGAAGTAGCCGAGATAAAGTGTATGCGTGTGATAGGTCTCCCAGGTGGAGAAATACATCGCGAGGCAGGGAACAATAGCTGTCCAGGCGCCGAGTTTCGTGGAGCCGAACCCCATTGCTGCGGTCTCTAGTAAACTAGCGAGAGTGCAGTTCAAGGAATCAATTCCGTGACTGTCTAATGTCAATTTTCGCCTCCCGCAGCCTTCCTGGGGTAATCACTCACTCAAACAATTCCCCAAGGCCACTAGAGGTCCCTGTTCTCCGGGCTTGCTTTCCATCAACGTTATCCAGCGTGGAGTACCTTTAGAATATCAGATGAGACTAATCCATGTGACATCAAATATCAGTGCTTACATCCACATGCCGAAGGCAAAACTGTAATATAGCCAGGAGGGGCCCTAGGATTGAAAACCGTTAGTGCTCGGCGACGAATCGAATAGTATATCCGGTGGTTTTCTTACAGGTCCAACAAGATCAGGCATAAGAATCACTATGAGCATCACATTGCCAACAATGAACATGAAACCCAAAAGGGTTACCATGTTAGGAGCCAGCCACATGGGCAAAAGTTCGACGAACGCATTCCACTAAGGTGCAAGGATCTTTGTTAGACGGAGGTCACGCAACGAATGCCACAAGGTGAGAATATCGTACGTAGTGCTTCAGGACATATCTAGAGATAAAAGACTTATCCACACTCTGATACTTGTAGCTCTTAAGCGGTGCTAAAGCATCATCGGAGAGCGAATCTTGGATCGCTAAGTACGGCATCGTTCATTAGCCCAAAGACTACTTGCCCAAGAAAGCAATTGGGAAACGAACCTTGGATTTTCCTAAAAACCACACTCATTTTGTTTCAAATTCCGCCAATTGGGTGGTATACTCCCGGTACTTCAAAAAAGATGTATCGTATGATTGAATTTAGTTCATCGCGCGAAAGCAAACTATCAAGCAGAGAATACAGTGACAATCGAAGGATGACCCTTAACCAACAATTGAGACACTCTATTAGAGGCACAAGCAAGAACCGCAGTAGAAAAAGGCAAGTGAAGGGATAATGATCTTTCAAAATCCCCTGAGGAAAAAAGAGTGGAACGAAAAGGGAGGGCAAGAGGATCGGCGGACGTTCCATCCGCGGATCGGAATCACGTGCGGCTGGGCGGGCTGGTCTGTGAGCTCCGCAGCTTTCGACGCAACAACGCGACATGAGAAACAGAAGTTGATGAGGAGCTTTGTGGCTTTCCCTTTCTTTTTGATTTTCTTTCTTGTTCGATCATAGCAAGGCTCCATCCGTTTCGCGTACCATGACTTTTGAATAATTTACTTTTTTTCCTCTCCAGCCCTCTTTTGAATACCTCTCATTTTATCACTTCAGGCTATTGCTCCCCGCTGTTAAAGCTTCAACTTCCGCACACAGCTTTGTTCGCATCGCCTGTCCCCATCGTCCATCCATCTCGATATCGACTTAAAAGCGCTATCAAAAGGTTATACGGTCGCTCCTTGAGCTTGGACATGACGGTAGAGGATCTGAGAAGCGCTCGCGGCGCAGTGCACGACTGAGTATTCTGCGCAATGCCTGGTGTCGTTGACGCTCCCGCCCCCTCTGCCTGGCCGGGTATAGGGTTCACTGTTGCGCACCAGAAGGTTGAGCTGGAGCTGGACTTTGCAAATAAGGGCCTTAAGGGGAAGACCGAGATTACGATCCATCCACATTACAAGGAACTTCGTGTTATTCGACTGAATTTTCGACAGGGCGAGATTAAACGCTTAAATGTCTGCGGAAAGATACCGTCAATGAAATATGTGGATCCCTACGAATCGCTTCAACTGTACGGCCCTCACTACCATGGCCGACTGACCTCGAATATAGAAAAATTGCTTAAGTCGCCGCCGGAAGCCGACCTGCTTGTGTCGGTTCCCAAAAGCGTTAGGATTGAAGAACTCGACCCTTTCTCTCTCGAAGCCCAAGATCAAATGGCGCTGCGTGCGACTGGAACTGCCGAGGATGCTGAAGGCCCTCTGAGCACGAAGGCACCAGACACGACACTCCCGCGGTTCACGGCATTAACGGTGAACATTGAATTTACCATTGAAAATGTAAAGGATGGTTTACAGTTTGTCGGGGTAGAGAACGGGGACAGGCGCTACCCGCACGCCTTCACAACAAATTCGCTTGGATACGGGGCTGGTTGCCCTCTATTCCCTTGCGTTGATGACGCTACCTCACGTTGCACCTGGGAGCTCTCGATTAAATGCCCGTGCTCTTTGGGGGATGTGTTCGACCGTAAACCTCGCGATTCATCTGGCACCCACGCTTTTGGACGCTCTAAACCGACACCAAATTCAGGTCGATACATCTCCCCAGATGATGAAGCTTTGGACCTACTGGTGGTCTGTTCTGGTGATATGACTGATGAGATTGTTGATCCGAAAGATCCTAGCAAGAAGACGGTATCCTTCGCATGCACCTCACCGCTATCTGCCCAGCAAGTCGGGTTTGCTGTAGGCCCGTTCGAATATGTCAATCTTGCTCATTTCCGGGAAAGCGATCAAGATGAGCAGCTTGGCCAGAATGCCATTCCTTTACATGCCTTTTGTCTTCCGGGGCGAGGCGATGAGCTTAGGAACACTTGCTTTCCAATGGCGAAGGCGATTGATTTCTTCTCGTTATCATATGGATCGTATCCGTTTTCAAGTTATAAAATGTGTTTCGTAGATGATGCCCCCGAGAATGTCTTGTCGACAGCTTGCTTGTCAATCTGCAACAGCCATCTCCTATTCCCCGAAGATATTATCGATCCAATGTACGACTCAACACGCGCTCTCGTTCACGGCCTAGCGTCCCAGTGGATCGGTGTCAACATCGTTCCAAAAGAACCCACTGACACTTGGGTCACAGTAGGCGTCGCATGGTTTATCACGGATACATTCATGAGGAAGCTTTGTGGGAACAATGAGCATCGCTTTCGACTAAAACAGATGTCTGATCGAGTATGCGAGCTGGACTATGAGCGTCCATCACTCTTTGACATGGGCAATATAATTCAGCTTGACTCGTCCGAGATCGATTTTATCGCACTCAAAGCTCCTCTTGTGCTTTTCATACTCGATCGAAGGCTCACAAAAGCTAGTGGAAAAGCCACAATGCCCCGTATCATTTCTCGACTCTTCCTCAATGCTCGAATGGGCGACATACCAAACGGAGCAGTATCCAGCTCGGTTTTCCAAAAGACCTGTGAGCGGCTCGGCCATGCGAAACTGGACTCATTTTTCCAGCAATGGATTTATGGTGCCGGTTGCCCTCGTTTTCAAGCCACACAGAGGTTCAATAAGAAGAAGCTCGTGGTTGAAATGATGATAAAGCAAGTGCAATCAGAACAGCCTAGCACACGCGATCTGGACAAGAATACGTTTATGCGCGACGTCAAGGAGGAAATTCGGAGTGTCTATGCTGGTGCTGTCCAGCCGGTTTTTACCGGTTCTATGACAATTAGAATCCACGAAGCTGATGGTACACCTTATGAGCATATTGTTGAGATTAAAGAAGGCGTCACCAAATTCGATATCCCTTATAACACGAAATACAAGCGTTTGAAGCGAAATAAACGGCAAAAAGAACGCGCCGCTGCTGCCTCAGGGGGTGACCCTAATGCAGAAACACAGGAAGACGTCTTGCTTTATTGCTTGGGCGACGTACTCCAAAGCGAAGAAGAAATTCAAGAGTGGAAGTTAGCTGATTGGAGTAAGGAAGATGAGGAGCGAATGGGCCAGGAATCTTATGAATGGATCCGCATGGACGCAGATTTTGAGTGGATCTGCAAGCTTTCACTGGTGATGCCGGGTTATATGTACCTTTCACAGCTCCAACAAGATCGGGATGTAATAGCCCAGCTAGAGGTTAGTTCATCTGTGGACTTTCTTGACGGGGCAACACTAACGACGACTCTAGTCTCTGCAATATATGGCAGCCCAACGAGAACACTCTTTAATTTCCACCATTTTCGTCCGAACTCTTATGGATCGGAGGTACTTCTACGGAATCCGTGTGGCTGCGGCAAAGGCCCTTGTTAAACATGCCAAGGAAGAAATTAATTGGTTAGGGCTATTTCATTTGGAAAGAGCTTTTCAGGAATTATTCTGTCTTCCAGGGTCACCCATGACCCGCTCGAATGACTTCTCCGATAGGGCTGCTTATGTGCTTCAGTTGGTTATCCCAGAAGCTATCTCGAAAGTAAGGGACCCCCATGGGAAAACCCCGATGCGCGTGAAGCGTTTTCTCTATGACAAGCTACGGTTCAATGATAACTCCAACAATGAGGTGAGTCAAGCATGCGCATTAGTTCTAGTACTGTACTCATGTTATGTGTAGTACTCGGATAATTTCTATGTCGCTACACTTATGCAGTCCCTTTGTCATGCGATGCTGGGAAAGGTCGAGTCCCGCTCCGATGAGTTGGACGATTTCGATATGGAGCGGGTGCTTGAGTCTCAGGCAGAAGAGAAATTGGAGAAAGACGCCATTGCCGAAATTGATCGATATCGGAGAATGGATGAATGGTCCAGCTCATACCAGAACATCTATTCTCGTTCTGCGCTACGCTGCCAGATACAGCTTATGCAAGCCAAGATAACGGAGTTGGACATCATGCAGTTTCTACCATATACCAGGGCCGGCACATATGACCTTCTTCGTTTGGAGGCCTTCGAGTGTCTCGTAGAAACCGATATTTTCCAAAGTCCCGAACTCCTAAGGTGGTTCATCTTTACCATGTCGAGCGACTCTTCGTCTTGGCTTCGTCGGCGGCTTCATTACCTATTTGGTAAAGCGCTTGCTCCTGTGGCTTTTGGTCGCGAATCAAATACTAAGGCCCAGGCTTCCGGTGATGGCTTGATTATTGAACAAGAATCTTCTACCGAGGTCCGCCAAGCAGATCTCGCGCGAAGGCAGACAGTCACTGGAGCCATAGAAGCGCTCAAAGTTGAACTTAAAGGCGACCAAGTCCTCAAGGAGTCCCTGTGGGCCGCGTGCAACTCTCCGCACATTGGTATCCTGGAGCTTTCTGAATTTGCTGACCTCTGCCGGAGCTTGTATGAAGCGACCACTAGTGTGAAGGTTGCTCTGAAATACCCGCGGTACTGGCAAGTAAAGCATCTCGGGAAGGTGAGTCCTGCCGTATCCTGTCCGAGTGTCTTACAAAAGCGCTAATGTCTTTTAGGGGCACCTGCATTTCACCCGCTCGAGCAAATTCCGGACATCACTTCCATCAAAGGATGCGAATCCTGCAAAACGCAAACGCGAAGAGCCGGGTATGCCACCTCCTGGTCCTCGCATCACATTCAAGCAGTCAAAACTTGGCCCAAGTACACCGTCAGCGAACCAAAGTCCTCGTCCGCAGCCAATTACCAAGCTGCATATTCCGAATCGATCCTCCCCTATACCTCAAGCGCCGCCCAAGCCACCAGCTACTCCATCCACTCCATCTACTCCTGGTGGTGGGGGATTCAAGCTAAAATTAAAATTTGGCCAGAAGCCCAAATAATTTAATGCGTCTTCTATCATTCTTCATTCATGTACCTTATACTATTGTTTTTCTTATTCCTCTGTTTTGAAGGGAGGTTGGTAAAGGAGGCTCATGGCGCGAGGGTGGAACGGAATATCGTTCTCGATTTGATTTTCTATGGTTTTCCCTTCTATTCCCCTGTTCCGGTTTTCTTTCTCAAATGCGCGTCTGTTTTGCCGGTTTCATGCCCATTTAATGCGGTATTCTCGAGCCATGTTATGATTGATGCCTTGCATAGCAAACATCACGCTGCATCGTCAAAAGATTATGTCACTCGAAAAGATATACCAAGGGAACCCTTGAATTTGGTCCCTCAAATATTGAAACTGCATTTTCCTCGTAAACATGCTTGAGATGAAATCGAAGTGCATTCGATAGTTCCAAGAAAGCAGCCGACCCGTAAACTCCTTATTGCATTATATTAATCCCACAATGAAGGTAATATCCAGAGCTTCCTTTATTTGTCGCTTATACGTTCGAGAGCCTGTATGGGGATTGGTCCCGTTAGTGGTATGAAGGCTTATGGATATGCAGCAGATGTACTAACCTCGAGCATGACAACCGAGTTACCGCGAATGACCTGTCCACAATGATCAGTTGAGAACTCCCATTGTAACACATATCCCAACATACCACCATGCCAATAGCAACCTTCTCTCCGCCCTGCTTCTCTTCGAAAGCCTCGTCGAGCACAATGTTCATGAATACCTGCGATATACACACGTCAGACCCGGTCCATACGTTTCCAAACAGCGTCCATTATCAGGACTCTTGTATTCGCGGTCGAAGGGTGAAGGGGTGGCAAAAAAGGAACAATTCCAGCTGCTTCAACGTACATCGTAACCTCTAAGAATACCAATGACTTTGCGGTTGCCGTTCAGTTGGCAAAATACCCGCTTTTCCATGTACTAGTAGAACAACTTTGTCAGCTCCTTTTGCGGTCCGAGGCACAGTAGAATGCGAGTCGCAAGACATACCTTCTTCAACTCGGGCTGTGCTTGAGGCATCTTGGCTGGTCAGTTCTGGTAGATATCCCGCCGTGATGTCGAGGTCAGTCGCGCGGCGGAACTTTGAGACGCTACCGTGGGATTAAAGCTGTGCCGGAAGAATATTGTTCCCGGCAGCTCTTCGAGAGATACGCGGAGCTCAGATTGACGCAACTGTTGAAACAACACGCACTTCCCTGCGACAGGTAATTTATTCTCGTGGAGTGAAGAGCTACTATTGGAGATTTTCAAACTATGAGTTCCAAGTTTGCGAACCGCAGAAAGCCCCGCAAGATTGGCGGGGACGATGAAGAGGATAATGGCGCACAAGGTCAGTACCTTTTACGCATTACGGAACGAGATTACTTCGCTAGATTAAGAGTCTGACAAAAAGCAGATTCCGGGCCTGTTGTTAAGCGCCCTGTTTCCTCCAAAACAAAGCAAAAACCGAAAATGCGCATGTCGTTCGCTCCCGGGGAGACTTCAATGGCCGACGATGGTGAACAGAGTGAAGTGGTAATACCTAAACGACAGGGTCTTGGAAGACGCGTACTAGAAAATAGTGCCTTCCAGAGGTCACTCACACCATCGGGATCAGGTAACCAGCTCCCACTCAGGGTGGGACCGGAACAAGATCGACCAAGTTATAGCAATGAATTTTTGAAGGAACTCCGCGATTCAACACCTTCGACCCCAAAGAATATTGCCGATGATGATAATAAAGAGAAGGCTGTTGATGTTGCTGCGAAGTTTGGCGAGGTTATGAAGGTCACAGCCCCTGCCATCATTCCGAGTGCAGCGGAGATTAGGGAAAAAAAAGAAAGAAGAGCGCGGTTAGCCAAGGAACAACAGTATGGTCTCGCAACAGAGAAGGACTTTATCGCTCTGGAAGATACTATGGAGGATGATGATTGGGAATCGAGAAACGAAAAAGAAGATTTGAAAGACACTAGACTGATTCGTGACGATGAGGATTTCGCAGAGGGTTTCGACGAATTTGTAGAGGATGGCCGGATATCTCTTGGGAAGAAAGCTGAGCGCGAGAGGGCCAAAAAGCAGCGTGAAGAAATGCGGGAGCTCATTGAAGATGCCGAAGGAGTTTCGGACGAGGACGACTCAGACTTAGAAGAAAAGGCGGCCTACGAAGCTGCCCAGACAAGGGCTGCCATGGGCCACAGCAGCAAAGAACATACAGATCGACCTAAAACTCCCCCCAAAATGACATCACTTCCACGACTATCAACTTGCCTTGACCGTTTACGCACAACCTTAGCTGTGATTGAAAAGTCGAAAGCTCAAATGATTGACCGAATGGAAGAACTGAGAAAGGAAAAGGCTGATATAGCTGTGCGAGAAGTAGAGATCCAGGCTCTAGTCAAAGAAGCCGGGGATAATTACGAGAAACTGAAACAAGAAGCTGGCCGCACTCCTGGCTCAGAAGATGATATAACTGGCGAGCGAGGATTGGAGAGCTTTGGCAATTCCGTGGCAGTATCAACAGGGAGCTCCGAAAATGAGTCGTGATCCGCCCGTCTCGTACACACACACCTGCCTTGTTGGCTTTCTTACCAACTTCTTAGGAAAGCATCGTTCTTTCCAGCATTCATTAAGGTTCCCTAAGATGACACCAACCAACCTGCCCCAATGCTGGTTTATGATACCCAACACATCGACTTTACTCACGCATCACCTATTTCTTAACTGATACAACTAAGTCCACTTGACGATGGCACGAATGCCTTTCCTTTACTTTCACCCACTACGTAGGTCTTCAAATACTGATGGGACTGCATAGTGAGTGAAACTGGGAGCTTCCTGACATGTACACTTAACTCATGAGATACCGCAGCCGGCGGGACTCCATTTCTTTCATTGAAACCCCTATTGACAGGAACAATGGAACACGCCTTTACAGGCACTTTGATGCTACCCCAATTGAGTTGTTCTTTGACCTCTTTTTTGTGGCGAATCTTTCTACTTTCACTGCTACACATGAAATTCACAATGTAGAAGCCTTAGGGGCATATATAGGCTTTCTTGGAGTGATTTGGTTCACCTGGCTTCAAGTTACTCTATTTGATATCAGATTCGCTAGGGATTCAATATTCGAACGAGCCTGCAAGGCTATGCAACTAGCAGCTATGGTTGGCTTTGCATCTGCAGGCACACGGTTTACCACCCGTATTCGGGACGAGAACGTTTGGGCCTTCCAGTCATTGAGCCTCTTTCTAGGCGGCAGCCGGATCTTACTCGCTTTGCAATATACCGTCAATAACATCGTCTTCGTCCGTAAACCGATGAAATCCGCTGCCAAAGGCGTGTCCATCATCGCCGCGACACTGTTTGTCTCAAGCTTCATCTATCTGGGGGTATGCTTTCCGCACAGACAAACAATGACCTCTATTGAAGCCACATCCATAGTCTGACCTGTTGAATAGATGTTCTATATCTTCAGGGAGCAGACCTGGATCCGCTCCTATATATGGACCGTTTGGTTTGCTTTGTTCGGGCTAGAGATGTGGGTTGTAATGGGAGTATCTTGTGTGACACCCGGAATTGGTCTCCAAGATACCCACTTGAACGTAAGAATGGGTCTCCTTACGCTAATCATCATTGGCGAAGGGGTCATATCAGTCACCAGGATTGTGAATAGGACCGTGCGGCCGGGGGGCTGGACCAAGTGGTCGTTTGTACACATTCTAGGAGTCACTACTAATGTGGTATGGAGTCTCAGCGATTCGATCTACCCTCCCTTTCAGGGTTGCTGACGTCTCAGGAGTAGTACTTTCTGTGGCAAGCGTATTACGACCTCTCACCAACCAGCATATTTGACAAATACTCCCAGCAAGTATGGGCCCAGCTCCATTTTCCCTTTCATGTGGCCCTGGTTCTCCTCCTTGAAGGATCACAGATCCTTGCTCTGACCCTGGACATTACCTTGAAGCTCACGTACCTCAAGGAAACTATCATGTTTGCTTGTGAGGAACCACGGCCCAGACCGGGGATGGCCATTGGTCTTCTTCGGAATACCATCGAGGATATGGAGATTAATTACAACCGCGGCGCAATAAAAGAAAAGATGGCAATTGATGCAATCCTGAGGGATTTGCCCAACCTCCCCTTGTGTCCGGGAGAGAAGGTGATTGGCTTCTCCATCACGAACAACCGCCTCAACGATCTCGTGGGGAATGTTACCGCCGCTCTGTTTTCCAGTATGGGCATTATGCCTTCAGAAGAGACAAACATCGGGCAGTTGACTAGTTCGCAGCTGCTTAGGATGTACATGGAGATGCTGGGGTTTGTCTACGTCTATTTTTTCGTTGCTGCATCACTGGTGATGTTTCTTTTTGCCGCCTTCGCAATGTTGACTCGTCGCCACACCTCCTGCGCTAGCATTGGAATAGCAGCCCGCATCATTCTCGGAGTGTTCTTGATGAGTCTGGTGTCTTTTGTCCGGCAATTTGCGCTTGCATACGCTTTCATGACGTCTCCTACAATACTCTACGCTTTCACGTTTGTTATCTTGACTGGTGGGTACTCTATCTCCGTATATCTTCTGTTATTCGTTCTTTTCTTATTGCCACAGTGTTCGGGATTGACCGACTTTTGGACCTCTATGAGAGCCAGAAAAAGACCAAAATGAATCTGACGGAAGCGGGAAAGCGTATGCATCCCGATACCTGCTAGCCCCGTGCGTCTCACGGATACTTCCATATCATGTCTCCATTTACAGGTGCATCAGGTAGTCAATCATGGAGATCTACACGGGAACAAGAACGCCCGACTGCAAGCGTATCACATGAGACTCCAAGGCAGCGGCACCTTCTGTCCCATAGAGAAACAAGAAATATTGAATCAACTGTCTTAGTGATACATTCTACAACTTTCTTTCTTTCATTTTTTTTTTTAGATAATAACAATAACAATAATAATAATAATAAATAAAAATAATAGAGCATCCAACTTGTGCTCAAATGATACCTTCTCCTATTTCCTGAGATTCGCAAAGTGGAATTGAGTGAGATTGCCATTACACCAACCCCAACAGCCTTGAAAGGTCCCGGCGTCCATGAGCAACGGTATTGGGTCCGTGCCCAGGACATGTCTCGAGACTTCCATCACCTGAGAAGAACGCGTGGAAGGGTAGATGTGGTACAGTGCGTTCTATGGATGCCACTACAACTCGGGATGGAAAATAAGCGCCACACATATTGTAGCTTGGTTCCTTCCTTGGTAGCACATCAAAGTCCCTCGACCGCTGATATACCCACAAAGGAAACCCCTTGGGAGATTAAATGTGGTCGGGATGTTTTTAGCAAGGTGACACCGTTGTTGAGAACGTGTGGGTGGTGTAGTGCAGATTATGCAGTGAAGTGCAGTTAGGGTTAGTTTTGGCGCCCTCCCTCTTATTTTTATTTCTCCTGAACTAGACCAGGCAATGGAGAATAAAGGGAATAGTATATTTTATGATATTAGCACATAGCATTATGGTCACCCTCTCACTTTATTTTTGTTGTCTAATTTTCAATTTTCAGAATTTTTTTTTTTTTTTTTCGTTTTTTCCTCGACTGAAGAAAGAAAAATTATGGTATTGAGAATTTCCCTATCGAATATTTCTGATGCCGGTTTCCCCGGCCCGTCTTCCGGTTTGTCGTTGGAACCTATCTACGGGACCAAACGGTTGGAAACCCGATCTGTGTCGTATTTTTTGTTTTTCATTTTTAATTTTCTGATAAAGTTTGGGAGAGGTGACAGGAGACTATGTAGAACCTGTGAGAGGGTTTGGGGATGACTGAGGCTGCACTGCATAAACTGCTGTAAGGTGCACTGCACTGTTCTCTGTACCTGCAACGAGCCATAGGTAGATGGCCCGATCATGGGGACATGTTCTGGGCCTCTATATATTTTCTTATTTCTTTTTAATTTACTTTTAAGCCCAGAGTCGGTTTTTTTTTTCTTGTACTCCCCTTCGAAGGTTCCGTGGCGATATTATCTCTAGTCCCTATGGGAGAGATTTTGGACATGGCCTTGGCGGTTTGCAGAGATGGATCTGAGACAAGGAACACTATATTAGAAACTATTAGTATTTGGGAGTGATGGCTTTAATGCCATTAACAAACTGATTGGTTTGCTGGTGTTAAATCTTGAAACGAGACCTGGACAAGCAATGGTTTTGAAAAAAAGAAAAATTTAAAAATTTAAACGTGCGGGAGTAACCTAAACATACCCGAGTGTTGCATTTCTGGGCTATTATCGCTCACTTCGCCAAGTCTAGTTGTGGGATCCATTTTTTAGAGTGACCTGCATATACACGCGATCTATCACTAGTATTTATACTATCAGTATTAAACCCAAAAGCTCAAAGAAACAAGAGAGAGAGAGAGAGAGGGCAGGGTAAAGAGACCCATTAACGTTCAAAGCGTTGAGCAAAATGTCACATCTATAGGCCCAACAGCACCATCCGTATTCTTTCCGATCACTTCTTTGAGCCCAATAAATGTTTCGGACCTCAAGCCTCATTCCTTGACTTATGTGGCCATTGCTGAAGGTGGGATAGGAAGCTGATGTGGACAAAGCCTTATGTTGCTATCCGACATGCCTTTGAAAATAGCAGAAAAAACTGCCGCACACACCGATAGGTAGAGTGCCACGAAACCTTCTTTAGTCCTTTCTTCATGGGTTTGCGGTTCTCATTTTGCCTCACACTTCGCCTCCTACGCCACAAAGGTTTCTCGATTGGACGATCGACCACCCGCCAACCAAGATTGCGACTTATCAATTGATCGTCTAGTAGAATATTGCAGGGAGAACGTTGTAAGCCTAATTGTTACGTTCACCATTGGCAACATCCATGCCTATCGATCCGGCACTAAATAAATTATAGGCCATCGCCTTCATTGCCTAGCCCCAGAAGGGAAGACAAAATCACTCTAGACAGAGCAGGGGATATATCCCTATTAGGGTAAGAGGGTAGATGAAGGATTAGCGTAGATTTCGAGCCACTGCAGGGGGGTCGAAGGTATGAATCTTACTAAAGGAGGCAACAATCTCAATCACGAGATGCAAGAGTCCAAACTTGATCTGAGTTCTTCCATATTCTTCTGAGACACCGCTTTCTTTCCTGCCTTGAAACCCTTGGACGAGCTATTGCTCCGTTAGTCGAATTGAACGAAGCGTATCTTTGGACAAAGCGTACGAAGAGTGCTTTCCGAAGAACCAGTCAGATCACTTCTCCAGTAATAGTAAGTGCCTTTTGGGGGGAAGTCTGAGACATTAAAAAAGTCCGCTTCAAATCTCTGCCCCGTGGCCTATGGGAGGAAACAGGTCTCCTGTTCGGCCTACAGAATCAGCAAAAGAAGAATCTTTTTGCTTTTTGCTCCCGAACGAACCTCCTTTTTGCTTTGTTTTATGTTATATCCCAGGACTCCCGGCCATAGGTTTCAGAGCAAGTCTTGCCTTCCAGGACCTTCTTGTTTTGGCAAATGAGACAACAGGGCCGACTCCAGATGGCCTTTATGCTGAGGTCCAAAGAACTTAACCAACAGGATTGAGGTTGACCAACTGTGACAACCAAGTGAAACCTCACCGGATATATTGGGATATGCTAAATGGCTAATGAGCGCTGCAGGTGTCCCCAGTTAAACCAACGTGCATCGCCCAGCACCAGGATCTTCTGTATGTACTCCGCCAGCATCAATACAAACCATGAATGACAAAAGTGGTGAAGTAGCTGTCAGCAATAGTTATTTGTCTCATTTTAAGACGATGGTCCACGTTCATGTTGATCCCGATAAGCAAAAGACAAGACAGGCCTTCGACAGAGACCTCGTTCCTCCTAATTTGATTCCGAACTATTTCCTCCTTGATGATTTTGGGGGTCTTTTCCCGACTAGTTTCTGCGCCCCGCAAGCTGAATCAGTATCGTGTCCTAAAAAACTCACCGAGTGTGAAGAATCTCAAATGTACAGCTGGCTGGAATCCAACGACTGCCGTTCGATGGGTCTTAACGACATAGCAAACAAAAGTTTGATGACCCACGAGGCTATGAGCAACGATTTCGGCCACTGGCCTGACGCTATTACGTCAAAGTGTTTTGAGAATAGCAAGGCGCAATCCCATGATGATCGGACTCAGTTACCATCGCAGGACCCGTTCATGCAAAGTGCTCGAGAGATAACCATGCACGACGGCCATGGCCAACACGAACAATCCTCTATCAAGCAAGAGAGGTCGATCGGAGAAGAACAGGACCCGGCTGATGATGTCATGTTTGGCATAGCCCATCCAATCCCCAGGCTGCCCAGCTTAATTATGACCGGCAACAGTCTCATAGGTCCTGAAACGGAATCTGCGGCAACACTATCCCTTAGAACTCCTGATAATTCATGTGAGATTCAGTACAACGATGACAATGTCCAAAATCCAGAATGGGAAGCCACTGAGCTGGAAGTATCCGAGCTTTCAGAAGGAAGCTCCGTACGTAATGTCAACAACTTCATTCCAATTAGCGGTCCTGCTACGCCGCCTCCCCGATCGACCTTTGGGACTCGAGCACCCTGGGATGCGCAACGCCAGAATATCAGCCGTGGCGATACCCTCTGGGCCGACAGTCCATGTGGGTTGAGCATGACTGGACTCTGTGGCTACTTCAATAAAAGCTTTGACCATACTCTCCCCACCGTCAACAACGATCTTCACAGTTTGCCGCTGCAGGAAAACGCGTGCCAATATTACACACAACCAGCAATGTCTGCCTCTCAAAGAAGATTCGAGAATGTTGGTTTCGCCCTTGCCAAAGAACATGCGGGTTGTCTAGGATGCGATCCAATCCAGCTCTACTATGAGAACTCCTATTTTCACCACCTTGTGCACCCGAACCTTGCAACCAACAGGAGTTATTTTCCTCGGGAGCAGCTGAGCGGTAAGCAAATTGTTTACCGTAACGACAGTAGAGACGCGTTTCTCGTGGAATGTAAGCGGCGCGGGCTTTCCTATAAGGACATCAAGAGAATAGGTGGCTTCAAAGAAGCCGAGTCAACACTCCGGGGAAGGTTCCGGACACTCACAAAGTCAAAAGACCAGCGAGTAAGGAAGCCTCAGTGGCAGGAGAAAGATGTTAGTCATGTCCATGGAAGTGAAAATTGTTGATGCTGATTCATTCTGCAGGTAAATCTGCTCTGCGAGGCAGTAGATGCCTGCTTGGAAGGCGAAAAGCAAGCTCGTAGCGCTTATAGTCTTAGCTCTCGGCCTCCCACTGCTTCCCAGCTGCCCAAGGTTTCCTGGAAGAGAGTAGCAGAGTACATCTGGACTCATGGGGGTTCATATCAATTCGGAAATGCCACTTGTAAGAAGAAGTGGTGCGATATACATGGATTGAAGATTTGACACTGATTTTCCGACATGTGGAGCCCAGGAAGTCATCCAATGGGTGTATAGAAGAAGGGAGTGCAAGTGGAAGCCTTCCTCTTCCGATTGCATTTGACTATATCCACGTGACCAATGTGGACTGCATAGATTTACAGTGGTCCTCCCAATCTCATGTGGAGTGTCCGTGTTTTACTATCGATACGAAGAGCTTATTAGTAGTGCCTTGCCTGTCGCACTTGAGCTAGTGTGGCTAGCTTCTACCCGAGCTTTCTTTTATTCTGCCTTGCTCCCTTCTCTTCTAATAGTGTGATTTCATCCTTCTGACCCACGTTGAAACATTGTTTTGAAGTCTGTAATGTTTCTTCATGGCAAATTTTTGTATTATCGTTTCTCGTCTCAAATCACTCTTGGTAGGGCATGGGGTTGTCTTAAGGTAACTGAGTTACAGTATTCAGAGTAATGAAAGCTCAAACAGGTCTGGGTGAGGGTACCCAATAGCCGACAGTACCTCTTTCAAGGACTCGGGGTGATGGCGTAGTTCATCCCATTCGGCCTCAGCCTTCACCATGAGCGTACCGGCGAGAATCGTACCATTCAAGGCAACGACACCTGCTTCAGATATCCCTGTTGATGCCGCAGAGTCGATTGGAATTCGGGCGCTTTCACTTCGCCTCGGGCAGATCATCATTACTGAATCGGTCATTGCCAGGTTGTAACTGATAGCAGCCGGGCCACTGGTCGTCAGGGGAGGACTTCCTGGATTCTCCTGTGCGGCTGCGAACGCCGCTCTATACAAGGATATGTAAATGCTATGTAGGGTATCGGCAGAGGGGTTTGGCGGTAACGGAAGGGCGAAATGCGCGAACGGTACCTGAGCCCATCGCAAATATCTGGAACCGGATGATGTTGGTTGCGATGAAACCGCGTCGATCAAGGGCTGCCAGCGCCCCAAGTCACCCTGATACATGGCTTCAATGGGTAGAAACTGTAAGTGTCTATGCGGTTGGCTCGCACCGCTCTCGTTGCCGGAGTTAAAAAAGGCGAACAGTCGCTTGGGACCCGTGCCATTTGTTTTATTCTCCTCACCCCATGCTTTGATGCAGGAATAGGTTGCGTCCAAATCTTCCTTCTCCAGAACATCAGTCTGTAATTTCCATTCCTTTGTCGCTAATATGAAATGGTCGGGAATCACGGGAAATTTATTGAGGACTAGCACGTGAGTTGGGTTCTCTCGAGGTATTTGAGCGATTAAGAGCTCTGGGGAGGGGTCTTGGAAAGGATCGAAGTTGGGTTTCGTGGTAGACTTGTCCGAGTTTGGAGCCCCGGTTGGCTTATTTGCAAGAGCAGGACAGTATCGAAGTTGGTACTAGGTGAGAGTAGAGTTGGAGTTAGCCCTGGCATGGGATGGGCAAAGACCTTACTGGTATCCCCGCAGTATGGATTGTGGTGAGATGTGTTTGAGAGAATAAAAGGTGGCCGGACTCTTTAGCAGCGGTGAAGCGCTTGGCTACGAGTGTCGAAAGACTTTCTGACAAACCCAATTGCATGTTGTTAATGACTGGCAGTTAAATGATTGATTGTTGCGAGGTGAAAACAGCAGATGGACTGCGGGAAGGCGGGGCAGGTGACCGGTAGAGAAGAGGCTAAGACCCGATTGGCGGCTTGTAACCTGTATAGTACCCTCCATAGTACTAGTACATACTGCCGATTTCGTGAATATATATATTAGTACGTTTTCATTGTCTTTATGCTTGTTCATAGATGATCAGGAGAGGAGAGGAGAAGAGAGATCGGACAGTCAATAAATCCATAAAACCCTTTCCAGCCAGGTGGTCACTCTCATCTCAACGCCCCACACCCTGTCACGCTACGCCCATCAAACACCCCAGTAAAAGTGACAAACCCATTATAAGTCATACCATCCCACCGCTGACCAGCAAACTCCTGATCCCCAACCACACTTTGAATCTCAAACATACCTCTTGATTCGATACCCAGTTCCCATTTCTGAGGACACGCCATCCCTGAGCTTGGTGATGTCCAGACCGCGTGCACATCGGGTGAGAATAAAATCTACAGGAACGAATGCATGCGCACTCTGGTTGCGCCTGCGGACGTTGCTGCTCCCTGATATGAATGGTGGGCCCAAACAGGAAACTAGATATGTGCAGAGGAACAGGTCGCTATTGTCGAAGGTTAAAGTAGGTTGAGTTTTTGGTGAAGAGGTCTGGGGCGCCCCAGAGTCGCTCATACCAGGTTAGCGAGGCCCCGGGGGGTGGGGGTGTCAACATTGATTGTTCCGAAGCTCCACCGGAGAGCGATCGACGGAGGGAAATAGTTCCTGATGTTTTATACGCGGGGGGGCTCAGTCGTTGATTGTTCCGCCGAGATATGTACATGCGCCCGGCGAGGGCGTAGTAGAATGCCGGGGAGGTGGCGTGGAGTGTCAGGTGGAAAGTGATATCGTGGTGAGAGCTTTCCATGATCATTATCAGGTTGTCCGGAGACAGGCCAGATAAGTGATAGCCTGGTTTAGAAAAGTTGAAGGCAAAGAGCGCTTCATTTGTAATGGATGTTGGCTGGGGGTAAGAATAGTGCTGGAGGGTAGGAAGGTCCGGAATCGAGCCTCCGTAGCCAGAGATGGATTCGGAGGCGAGCGCGCCCGTAGCAAGGAAGTATTACTCTCCGGTGGTAGCTGTGATAAAGGTGTATCCAGAGATGGGTTTCGCTATAAGGAATTGTTTAAGATGTGGAGATATTGTATAACACGGGGAGTCGGGGCTGCATATACCCATATTAGAGCTGTAGGGGGAGACACTTTACCTGGGCAGATGAGGGTGACTTACATCGGTTATTGCTTGGGTGTTGTCGGGGATGAAAATATACCCTAAAGAATAAGTTACATACAGAAATATGATCCTCAGGGCTAGGTTCATCTGTGAGGCATACTATTAGGTACTTGTACAGGCGAGGACGAAATAGATTGAGCAGTGTTGCAGGAGGGGCAGAGAGCAAGAGAGCAACCATATTCATAGTATTCAAGAGGTTCGAAAAAATGGTTATGCAGTGAGGCAGCCCTTTTCTGCGCAGCCCTCTCCCGGGCCCTCGGAGCAATTGCATCGGCGGTCGTTCGTATGCCTGTAGGGTTACACAGTTGGGTTGGTGATAACTGATCCTGCCTTTTCTTTTCTTTTCTTTTCTTTTTCTTTTTTCTCTCCCTTCTTTTCTCTCCGTTCTTTCCCGATAGTGCTTTTCTCACTGAAAAAGCAAGCATACGTGTATGAATTAGAAAACGACCAATGATCTACAGCTGGTAGGAGTCCAGTCTAGCCCTACACATAACACGCAGCCGAGCTTTAGAGAGCATCCAGATAGCTTCATACAATCTTCACCCCCTTCAAAGTCTAACACCTGGATCATATCTCCTAGCCACCTGTTGCAGAAACGCCACATTGTTTGGACCATACCCATAAATCGGGTCCTGAGCGCTATCCGCATAATTCATATAGATATACTCATTATATGCCCCTACTGACTTGGTGTGTTCATCCAATTCTACCCTCGCGGACTTGGCAAGGTTGTAGAAAAGATTATCATCTACCTCGTTATTCCACTTGTAGTCCCAGACGATGTCTATCACTTGTTATTTACGATACATAAGGGAGGGCAAAGAATTGGGAATAGGATATCATACTGAGCACAGTCTGGTCGAAACGCTCCAACCCAAGCACATTCCCATCTCGGGCCTCTCTGTCCCTCCAGAACAAAGGAACGCATGGTTGAATAATAACGAAGGTATAGATCTTGCTTTAGGCTAGAACCTTGGCTTCCATGATTTGGTCGGTAAGGATCTCGAGAGTCTTTTGAAATACTTCTCAGTTGAGATAGGTTTCCATTTGGACGACGTTCCTGCGAAGATTTAGTTGTTGGCTATACCCAGAAAAGGGACCATTAGATAAGCACTCTCCAATAACTCGGGAGGGGATGAACTTTTTGTTGTTAGATCTAAGATTGTTGAGAAATGCGATGTATCTGTGATATTCGGAATTATGTAGAAATCTCTGAATGCCTAGGGAGGGGGAAGCCACTGGCCTTGTGTAAACCAAAGAGGAATAGATAGCAGTCCGATTAATGATAGAGTTATACGCGAAGAAGCTAATCCACGAGGCGTAGGGGTCATTTGGAATATTATCCCTAAATCTGATAGCAGCGTATATAGTCTACTGGAGTGTTGAGGGATTATAATCATAGATGACGTTTCCACCCCATAGATTCCCTACTGGAAAGACGGTAACTTTAAATATTGTCACAATGCCGAAATTATTTGTTCCTCCTTTAAGAGCTTTAAATGGTCAGCGTTGATGTAGCGATTTGCATTCATGATCTCCCTGCTTGCTAAAACAACCTCATACCCTTGAATATTGTCATAGTCAATGCCAACACGTGCGGTGTAGAAGGAATTCCCACCCCCGATTAGAAACCCTCCAACGCTAACAAAGCCTGTACGCCCCCCGTGACCATGAAATTATACTGATGACCAGCGAGCGCCAGGCTGAATGAATGCAGTGCCTGTACTTGAGTTGAAGGTGGCACCATTCATCAATAATAGATCGAGGGTGACACCGGGTTGGATATTTGACTCACCAACCGAGGTAAAATGGCCAACCGCTACGGATCGCAAATTGGCAGTGCCCGGGATTGCTCAAGGTCTGAATAGCGACGAAGTCATCTTGCGTTGAGAGTGGTTGGATAATACAAGTAGGCTTCAATTTATTCTTCTATTTGGACGGGGGGTGGGTGTATCCACCTTTGTGGTGGTGATGGTGGATACGTTGTGAGTTGCGGAGATCCTACATAATACTACTACCTATATAATGTTGGCGTAAACAATTCAGCATTTAGACTTGAGGGCTTGAGGGCTTCTTCATGTGTGCCCATACGCACAAGGAAGTCTGTACGGAGCAACATTGTCACTGGACAGTGTGCCCAGTGGGCTCAGATGGGATGGGGCCTGGTTGAATCTTCACCAGAAGCTCGAAGATGGCTTGGTGAAATGCAAAGCTCCCTGGACACCCTTCCAGCGAAATACAGGGCTTCTTTCTGTCTTATTGATGAGCTTTCCAGCCCTACTTCTGAATTGACCAGCGCCAGCTTATCACAGACACTTTGTGCGGCATTTCAGATAATACCTGTGAACTTTTTGAGAAGTTCTGGGGTCTCATTCACATCTGTATCCGGCCACTCCTCCAGCGAGATCGCTGCTGTTTATGCTTCTGGAATCTTATATGCCACGGATGCAGTTAGAATTGCACATCTGCGAGGCCTTGTGGCATCATTGGATGCTGCAAAAAGTGGCCAACCAGGTGCAATGCTTGCTGCAGGTCTTCCTGCAGAGTATACCGCGGTTCTCAGGGTATATTTTGGGGACAGAGTCACACTTGCCGCAAGTAATGCGCCATCGAATGTGACATTATCTGGCGATGATCAGTGTCTACAGTAGAGACTAAAAGATGAGAAGAGGTTCTATCGTTTACTTCGATTCAGTACGGCATATCACTGTCATCACACGTATCCTTGCTCCAGACCATATCTAAAGGCATTAGAAAAGTGCGGTATTAATCCTCTACCTGCCAGCGGCACAACATGATTGCACTATTCTCGTTCCCACGCACATGAAGTTCGCGACTATTAATCCTGCCTTCGCCTGCGGTGCAGTTGGTACAGGTACACTCCCCTCCGACGCTGCCATCACAAAGCTCGATGCAGACGTCATTTGCGGAGACGTGGGTTTTTTTCACCTAGAACGACTCAGGGGTGGTCTAAATGGAAGGTGCTGAGATTTTCCCTCTATCCCTGCCACAGAAAAACCGGCTACTGTTCTCAGAGCTCGTCTAGGGCCCTTTAGCCCGGGATATAACGGCTTATATGGAGCCGGTGGGGTCCTCCACTGAAGTACTGGCCGTGGCATGGATTGCACTGCTGTGTATAAAGCGCGTTGAAGCGCAGCTGGCTGAGGATGACCAACGGAACCTTGACTGGCATCGTTCCCGGCTGACTAGCTGGATCGATCGCACATTGTCCTTGACCAGGACTGGGGGACATCCCATTCTATCGGCGAGCTGGTTGGACACCTCACAAGAGGATTTTGATACTTTGTTATCAAAGGGTTCTGTGTCCGTCATGAGCGAGGCCGCGAATGTGGTTGGAACGAACTTGCACCTCTTCTTCCGTGGCGAAGCCTCGATCCTAGAAGAGCTTCGGAAGAACGATATCCTCACCCGATTCTATAGACATGATATGGAAATGAATATGATGAATGAGCGGCTTGGGGATATTCTCGGACAGTTTGTGTTCCGATACCCACGAATGACAATCCTGGAGGATATCGGTCGTTCCCATCACTCGTATACCTTCACTGATATCTGTGGGGTTCTTCGAAGAGGCCGGGTCTACATTTCTGCACATGAAGACCGCTTCATTTTTTTCACTATTGAATATTGAGATTGGCCCTACTCATTAAAACTACGAGGATGGTACCTATGACCTGATTGTTGCGGCCAATTGTCTCGACGTTACAAGGTCGATGACCGAGACCTGACGTATGTACGAAGCTTGCTTAAACCAGGAAGTTATCTAGCTATGCTAGAGATCACGAATACTGATGCCATTTGAGCCACGTTTCTCAAGGGTGGAATTGAGGGATGGCGGGTTGGCGAGAAGGACGTTCGTGCCTGGGGGCCCATGCTCATGTTTCAACCTGGGAGAAGGTGGCAGAACATTCATGCAACCTACTATCCCTGAGGGACCTTGCGGATAGTGAATTAGTCATTAGGTCTAGCGCAGCATCCAACAACAACAATTTCCCCCCCTAGGAGGAGTCGTAAACGGGGCTCTCATTCTCGAGGATCATCTATTTGAAGAAACGATCCTGGAAATCCTGCAGGCCACTTTCGCAGCCAAGGTCCAAGGTAGCCAGCCTCCTGCTAGACGAGCTCTCAGGACCACACACAGACCTAGACTTCTTTCGTCCTGTTCGGCTCAATAACCAGCGTTGTAGGCAACTTTATCGTAACAAGATTCCAAACCTCCCTGATCTACGGAAGCCGTGCCCGTAGCCTTGCCCGTAGCCTCGTCGGTAACATCGTCCATCCCAGCCTAATCAGTGGAGTAGGCTATATAACCCGCAAGGGCAGCGGGTGGGTCGAACACGTTCAAAAGACAATAGGCTCACCCCTGCTCTCCGAGCGTGATCTGCACAAGTTATCCGCTGAAGCGATTCTCGCCGGTCATCCAGAGTCAACCCAAAATCCCGAAGCCATTATCGGAATACGGCTGATCAACACGGCTGATCAACCCAGCCGAGAATCCGGATATCTTCCGGTATTGGAACCCATTGACATGGGAGTCCATCGATTATGCCTCTAAGGCAGCTTCACGGCTCTCGAATACGAATTCGTCGGACTCGATTTAGGTGCTTTTGGAGTCTGTGAGGCTGTGACGAGTATTGAGGAAGTACCAGAGATTGTGTCTGCTGCGTTTATTGCAAAAGTCCGTACTAAATGTAGTCTTGCTGTAAATGTTCCTGTTACGCCGGCGACACAGCTGATGGGCCTTGGGCTTGATTCTTTTGTTGCTGTGGATCTTAGGACTTGGTTCTCTAGGATGTTGGCGGTGGGTATACCCCTGCTGTAGATTATGAGCGGCGCTTCTATTGAGGAATCAACGGGGGCCGCTGTTTCGAAACTACTGGCTAGCATGTTTCCGCATGTTCATGCCCCTGAGGAAGGTTGGGGTGGAGAATGAGGTAGAAGTGAATGGGGTCTAAAACCTTCAATACCGCGAATTCCCATATCTTGACTCTTTAGGTATGCGGTATAGTAGAGTGTGGTATAAATAGTTTGGAGGGGTCGATCCAAACACTTTGCAATCTGAGTGGGCTTTTTACCACCTTCAGAAAGTCTCTGTATATAAGCTCGCTCAGTTAGATTCAGCCGTTGATTACGCTCGATATTAACACTTAGAGGCTCCCTTGAGCCTTTCTAGACACCATGGTTGGTTTTTGAAAAATCGAGGGTTTGACGCGTTCGTCGACGCGACCTGGTGCTTATTCAAATTTTTGACTAAGAACTAGAGTACTCTTTCTTAAGTACTTTAAATATCTACCAAAATATTCTGCTACTTCTTGTGACTGGCAATCAAACGAAATAATATATATATATATCCATCTTAGATGGTGACCATACTCCTACTCAATAAGCCTCTCAAGGTTTGGATTTAGCGTAAGAAAAATGAAGAATCCCCGTTGAACTCGGGTATCGGTATTGAATGACCTGGTTAAAAGTGGTAATAGTAAAACACAGAAAATGCTTTTTTCCCCATCTTGTCCCCTTGAATTCCGAAGGCCCAGCCAGACAGAGAACAAGGATAGATACCGTATAAGTACAAAATTGAGAAGATGGATTCCAAACGAATTGAGAACGAAAACATCAACAAATAATGGTATCACACTACTCAAACATAAGAAATATCGCTAACATCATGCCACGTATGCAAAACAGGAGCGAAACTAGAGAAGATAGAGGGGAGTTGAGAAGGAAAGCAGTATTAAGAGGCATACCCATCAAGATCCACTTCTCCGTCATAGGAATGAGGCAGTGGCATAGCCGCTTGCCCAATAAGATGGGGCGAGGAAGTATCTAGCCAAGGACCACGTTCCTCGTCAGTGGCGCTCAGGACACCTTCAGCGCGCTTCATCGTTTCGACGTCCAAGTCAGTTATATATGCCTCTCGGTTGGTGCCATCGCGAGCGCCACCAGGAAGCTTGAGACGAACTTCGAATTCGTTGTTCAACATCATCTCATCCTTCCACAGACGGCGTTGTCCGTCAAACACACACAAAACGCGCTTTTTCGTGTTGACGCTGCTCCTAGGGCAACCCCAGGATTGCGGGTAACGATCACGGTTATTGCGTCTCTTAGATCCGGTCGGGCGCTTCGTAACAGCGTTGTTCCCCAAGATAGCACGCGAAGAGGTACTCGAGCCGGCCTTGCCGGCTTTCATTGAACCGTTAGTTGGTCGTCGAAGAGATAAGAACTCATTCGAATCGTCATCGTCATCATCATTTTCATCGTCGTATCGATCAACGGTACCAGCCGTGTCGAGCAGCATATGCTTCTCCATGGTCTTCTGTACTTCCTCGTCGGAATCAACTTCAGCCAGTCGTTGCTGGTTGATGGCCTCACTGGGTTCCTCCTGTTGCACAACCCGAAGAACGCAGTCATCCAAATGCTCATAAAAGTCCTGTGCGTTACTGAAAGTAGCAGAGCAAGTCGAGCACTTGCCAGTCGCATCGTTACAGTAGCCGGTGAGAGCCTTAGTAGACCCGGATGGACTCTTCTTCCGGCAGTTTGGAGGCGTTTGCTCCACACCGTGCACTGAAGTGAGGTGACGCTTGAAGACATCTGCTCTATTAAAGCTCTTTTCAGCTGGTGACCCAGATCCTGGACAGAAGCCGCAGACCATCGTTCCTTTGTAGTGAGTGAGTGTATGGCGGTTCTTGTCATACTTGCGGGCGAACCCTTTGATATGATATTCACAGGTGACAATGGGGCATTTCTCAGGCCTCTCCGACCGATGAGTTAGCAAATGAGCCTTCAAATCCTTGAAGATCCGTCCACAATCTGAGTGGGGACACCGCCCTTTCTCCTTGGTTTCATCATCAAGATCGGCGTTACTAGCGGCCGGACTCGGCTGTGAGCGACGGGAACGCTCAGAGGAGATGGAGGATCTCCGGTCATTGATGGGAGAGCCGGAAGGCATCAGAGGGGAGGATATCGGTATGTGGTTAAGTTGTTGTGTAATCGCCTGCTTTGTCTGAAAATCTTCGGTCTGGGGGAGATAAGAAACTTCAGGAGATTGAGGAAGGAACCCATTTTGGTGAAAAGCGTAATTTGACTGCTCAGGATATGGCATAGAAGATTGAGGAATAGTTGTATGTGGTTGCAATGTCTCAATCAAGGAAGGATCTGTCGTTGAAGCATTACTTGTAAGCGCTCTGTGCTTGGAGTTGCGAATCATACAGTTCGACTCACCAACATAGCTATCTGAACCCTTTTTGTGATAGTACCCTTCTAAGTCCAGCGTGCTCCCAATGTATTCATTTGGGAAGATATCGCCCATCACCGCAGCCGGAAGCCCCAGACCGTGGTTAGTATCTACCCAGCTCTCCTGGATGGCCGGGGCAGTTCCTGAATAAGGGGAGCCTATGGCCGAAGATGAGGCGCTTGCAATTGAAGGGCCCGATGCCGTAGAAAGACCAGACATGAAAGGTTCAGAGGAATGCGAAATTGGGGCCGACGGCGGAGTGGCCGGCATGGCCGGGAAGCTAGCGGCGTTATTGGCATCGGAGTATGCATCAATTGACGGAGTATCAAAATAAGACGACTGGGGCATTTGTGCCGAATTGGGAGCTTGTCCGAAGCCACTCAGGCTGTCCACGTTGAAGGTAAAGGGTCCGGTCAACGCGGGATCCATTGTGAAATGCTGAAAGTATGGAGTCTGTTGCTGTCTCGACGAATCGTATGCCAACATTTTGCTTTCGGCGTTGAATTGCGAAGGAAAGAGGACAAAGTCAGGATGATCTCTTTGGGCCTGCATGCCCACTTTTGGCTCAGTGGTTGGTTGATCTTAGTATGTGGGGATCGGAATGCGAGGGTCAAGATCGGAGGGAGAAGGGGCAGTATTGTTTTGGGAAACGAAATGTGAGATCAATAGATCTGCAGGAAGACGAACGTCAGCCACCATTATGTTTTACTCCCCATTGGAATAAAAGCAATTTTGAAGTCTTAAAAAGGTTGCGGTAGACTTGCGCGCATAACAAGATGTGGTTTGGGTTTCGTAAGGAACGGCCCGCACGGGTAAACTTACGGTCTTTTAGGAATGGATTGGTAGATACGTCAATCGATACGTCAATCGACGGCTTGAATGGTATGCTGGGTTGGATTGCTTCGAGGTAAGGTGGAGCATCAATTCGGAGGAAGAAAGAGAATCGAGGCAATGGCGCAGGAGTATGTATCCAACAGAAAGCGGATTGCGTAGGGTTGGATATGCACTGGGGCAATATTCTGCGGTTTCTTGATTGGAATAGGGTTTGCTCAAAAACAAAGGATGATCAAGTGGTAGATAATGATATGCAGGAGTAAAAGATCTAGTATAAATGTCGAATAGGTATAGAAGTAAGGCCCTTGCTTCTCAAAGTAATTGAGGATGAAGAAGGGAGAAGAACAAGAGTAGCTTTTGTATCACTCTCTTGAGGAGTCCAACTAAGAGCCTTCCCGTGCTTGGAGGGGAATGAGAGGCATGTAGAATGGAAGAAGGACGGAGGAGGGGAGTAAAAGCATTGTTAAATGTTATGTGATTGCTGGCCCTATGAGAAGTGAACCATCTGGGATTCGCAGCGGATTGGACAAGACTAGGATTGACCAACTACGAACGAACTAAACTAAGTACGCTAAATAAACCCATCCAGACTACTGGAGGTGGGAACGCGCAGCAAGACAGGGGAGTAGTCTCTAGCGGATAATGTGGGTGGGTGCATGTGGGCGGATGATGTCGATGATGATAGTGGTAAAATGGTGGAGCGCTAGACTGAAAAAATAAAATAAAATAAAAATAAAAAATTAGAAATTCGAAAATTTAATTTTAAAAATAAAAGACAGGAAAGGAAGACACTGGACAGAGAGAGTGGAGGCGCCAAGCGAGCAGGGGCAGAAGGGGCAGGCTGTGATCAGGGCCTAGTTTAGTATCGTATTATTAGCATCGTACCCATGGGACGCTAACTTAGGTTTGTAACTATTCTTACCATACCACTAATCCTGCATTACTGCACAGCCAGGCGGTTCTTCGCTCCCTTTTAGCGATCTACTTGTTTACCTTTTTCCTCTTTTCTTTTTCTTTTTACTTTTATCTTGAGTTCTAACTTTTTTTTTCCTTATTGCTATACTCCTTTTTATTTTTATTTTATGATTTAATATTTACTCACCGTGTCCTTTTTTGCTTCTTCTCGATGTCAACTTGCAGCCCATCAGCAACACCTACAAGGGGGACTTTCCCTCCATACTGAAAACTCTATCTCTTACCGTCGAAGCATGTAGGTAAAGATATAAGATCCTAACAAGCAAGGATTCCAATGTTCATTCAGAAAACTTAACAATTTTTTTTTGTTGCTTCGGCATGCGTAGTACTCTTGAAGGAGGAGTATGCAGAAAGTACTAAAATCAATTTCGTCATGAGGATCCGTCGTCATAGGTAAAATTCCAACACCAATGTGATCCACTTGTATTCAACCAATCCATTTATCGGAACGGTCACAAACCTATCTGTAACATTGTAAGACTAGTATTATAACCTTCTTCTAAGGTATCCGCCCTCTGAGAATTTCCCTAAATGGTTCCTGCATTTTATTTTTCTCAACTGATGTTGAGATGAAAAGGTTCAATTGTTACAATTCCTGACAGTTCCGGACCGCTTTTCCCTCCCTTTTCCCTTAAGGGTTTCTACCCACTTCCCATGACCACACTAGATAGGAGAATGGATGGCTTCTATCAGCACCAATCAATCCCTACCATGCATTGTAAATACTTGGGGATCTGAGCCCAGCCGGAGACACCGTACATACATACGGAAGGTACCTTCCTCACACATCTGTCTGCGCATGTGTCATCGGCAAGTCCGTAGCACACAGACCACCATGGACTCGGAGTTCTCAGTAGCCTATCTGACTATCAAAACCCAGACAATTACTTGAATCGGTTTATAGTGATATTACTCCTTTGATAAGACGGTGGCAAATTATTGTATTCTCATTTTGTGAACACAGAAAGAGAGGGGAAAAAAAAAGGTAGTAATCAGCAATCTAATTCCATACTAAAATATGAATTTGAAATAGACGATAGCTAGCTACTTCCCTTACACGAAGGACATCAACCCCAGTTTTACAAACACGAAATCAATAGTTAATGCAAAAGATCCCACTCCCTGTCACCATGATGAATGTAGATCTAAAGTCAATTATCGGTCAGTGCTTGACAGAAAACCGACCATCAAAGCCAAATAGTATCACTGCTGGCATCTTCCTTTGATCTAAACTAATATACTAGTAACAATCCGCCAGACGCTTCTTTTACCCGTCCGTCCCGTCAACTCGGTTCACTCAGATCAACCACAAACACCCCCAAGAACAACACCCAAAATTACCGAACTAAACAATTGGATCTGGACCTGTGGCCGTCAATTCCGAACACTATCTCCGAAATTCGACGATCTTACCTGGTTCGAGTTCACCACGTCCACCCCTTTTGAAAACGTGCATTTTTGGTGAAGTTCCCCCGGGGATGATTGGCCCTGAAGCCCTGACATGCAAATGAAGCGTCATCGGACTAACGAGGCCATCTTGCCAATCACAAGCCGTAGATGGTCCCAGACGGGAAGACGATTCTCCATTAGGGCCGCCCGACGTCAGGTGTCTGGACAATCATTCTGCCCAATATGGAGAAATAAAGATTAACTCTTATTGAATAAAATTATGTAGAGCCGCATATTCCCCTTTCTTTTACATCGTGAAGATGACTAATAATGAGATTATTATGATCTTTATTGCGATGGGGACAATAAACCCCTTGTTCCCCTTGTGGTTCAGTTTCCTTTTCCGGAATGTCTATCGCATATATAGTATGTATTACCAGCACCCTGCCTACCCAGTAGCTCCCTTAGACTAGTACATGTTGAGAATCCTTTTTGATTCTGTTCCAGGGAAGAAAAAAAGAAGCTATTGACCCCTTTCTTCCCATGTCGCAGAAACAAGTAGATGTCAACCATATCATGACGTCGTGACAAGTCAAAGAAGGAATTGTCACGACCCAACTAGTGTGGCTCATGCTGTGGCTGAGTTGCTTTTCCGGTATCCATGGTTCACCCTTAAAATACCCGACGGCAGAGCCGAGAGAGATTCGTATTTGTTTGCTGGAAACCACCGTTCCCCCTTCCCCCCCTAAAAAAAAAACACAAGGCGGGGAACAAGAACACCCGGAATACATAGCCCGTCTAGATCGACCCCAAATTTTATCGTCATTAATTTTTCATAATATTTTATTCTCGAGTAAAATGCTATCCTTAATTCCATTATGGAAACGGAAGAAATGGCCGGTCGGTAGAGTGCGATCCCAGCCTTGACCGACCTTTAATTTTTGTTTACTTTTAAACCGCAGCGCCTAGACAACCCTCAGACTCGGGATGCACTACTAATATGTGATGTATGATGAAAATTTCAGGCTAGCTAGTATGTTACACAATTACCATCCCGATGCGACCAGTACTAGTGAGAGTGGTAAGGTCAGTTCGTTACCAAAAGTGTTCCAACGATGAAGATGTGCGCTACAGTAAGGTCTTCCCTCTTCCCGGTCGGTGAGAAAAAGCTACCGAAGCAGCAATTAGCGCCACAAATCTGATGAAGCCACATCCAATAGCCTATCGCGTATCAGAGCGCGGATCTTCCCGCACTTCCATTGGAGATCTCCAGGCACTAATGTGCACTGAGGCGCAGCACACACCGCTTCATTTTTTGTTTGTTTTTCTTTTTTTTGTTCCCTCCCCAATTTTTAGTCCCATTTTTCTTCCTCTTACCCCATGTCATCGTCCCATGGTTGTACATGCATTGTTATGTCATAATGCTCCACCTGGCAACAACACGGTCAGGAACCATGCATCGTGGTTCGAAAACGAGGCCCTCTTTCGAATTCACCGGTTCTTCCATTCTTCCATTTTGCTTCCGGAACAACTTGGCTTGAATTCTGGGTGGGCCCATAAATGCTTCTCACCGTGTTGGGCTGTGTTCTAGAAAAATCGAGGTGGACTGCCATGGCGCTTTTTAATTTTAGTGTCATATGATATGTCATAGTTAGCTTCGTTTCATCTATAGAATGTCTTTGGTAGATGTCCACGCCAAGATTTATTTTGTTCTATGTGTCTTCATCGCCATATCAGAGAAATATTAGTTAGTTCTGTTTCGCAAAGGCGATAAGGACCGGAAAGCAAAGAAAAAACAAAAAAAAGGCTAAAAATTGAAAATTAAAAACAATGATAAAAATAATATTGATCCAAAAAAAAGCCACATAATCTATCAAACCCCGAACAATAATTTACCTACATACATCACCTAGCCTGGCGGGCAAAATAAACATCTTACCCAAATAAGAAAATAGCCCAGGAAATCCTCCATTTTCTCACCCTCGTTCGCCCACCACTCACAAAGCCATCAAACCGCGAGGCTTCTTCAGACCAATCACGTCTACAAAGGAGAATAAAACAAATGCATACCAGCCGGCGTCGCCGTGAAATACTTCTTTTCACCCACGTAATACAAGGTCGCGCCCAGATGCCTCATCTCACACGTGGCGGGGCAACCAAGAAAAGGAAAAAACATGACAGTTTAAAAAAAAAGAAAAAGAAAAAAGGGGAGCTAAAAAAATTTGCACCGTGCGACCCAGATGTTTCATCCCGCTGATCACCTCCATCCCCATTGACGAAAGTAAATACCCAACAAGCATTTTCTTTTCTCCATCACCCCCATGTGGAATGAGAAAAGTCTAACCCCGGGTTACATAATGGGGGCCAAACCCAAATACCTGACCGTAATGGGTAGGATACCCTGTTTCTTTGAGGGCTCGATGCATTCATTGGTGGTGATGGTTTCTCTACGCGGTTATTCTTCTATTTCTGGAAGTTATTTTTGTACAGCAGCAACTAGTAGGATGCTGTGCGTCTTCGTACGTAGGGTATGACAGGGGGCGGGGTTGGAGGTCAAAACGATGCGATGTGTCATTTACCTATGAGATGGGTGGACTAAGCCCTACGAAAGTTTGTTGGTGGTGTCAGATCATCAGATCCCTGTTCCCCATGTGCTAGATAGGATTACGACTCGAGAGGTGGGAGGCCTATACGAGGGAGAGCCTCTCGAGAGAAAAATTTTGCGCCGCCGGGGAATGATTTACGTACTGTACTATCAACTTTTTTTTCTACCCGCGTCGCTATACTTTGTTAGGACTCCATGTTGAAGATGTTGGTAATATCGTTTACTCTTCTGATCTTCTCTCTATTTGGTCCACAAGCACGGTCTAATAGAGCTGTCTTTACAACGGCCTTTGTTATTTCTTCTTTTTCCCCTTTATATACTTCTGGTTTTAGAGCCAATTCTTGGCTGAAGAATCTCCTGAGGTATGTTACGCAAATCGCCCAAAATTATAGAAACAAAATGCAATCTCCGCCAAATAAGAGTAAGCAAAGCAAGCAACTTAGTATGCACAGATCTGTATGTACGGCAGAATAGAAAGCAAAGGCCGAAATCCCTTCATTCCCCACTTCCGAGAAGCCGGGTTCCTCGCTAGTCTCAGATCCAGGCCATGTGCCCATCTCCAGGGGTACATACATACATACATACAACGTACGTGTATACATGGCCACGGATACGCGATCGATACCGATGGGGAAAATTCCTGGCCCCCAATCCTGCGCATGATCACGAATGCAAGGGAGCAACCACAGGCGGTTGTGTAACCCACGGAGGGACAAGGAACAGGCGTCACATTCCTGTCTCTCTCGTGGCAGTCAGGGAATATTAGACCTCAAACAAGCGCCGAGGGGATAGTAAATCGGCTAATCGAGGCTATAGATAGCAGCAGGAAATGCTCTAGGCATCGTGTTGATACTATTGTTGGGAGATGGTGTGCTGCTTACTAGTTGCAGATAATCCATGTTAAGTTACGCGCTTACTTAGCGACTTGGGGATATTCTTAGCATCGCTGGGCCACCAATAGGGTCGCTTGGAATGGGTTGCTAATTAGGAAGAATCAGTCCATGAAACTGGCTTGAAACATGGGGTGATCTTTTTTAACGGTAAATTTTTCTAAGTTTGGAGCTGGTGGTCACTGTTGACGTTAATTAAGTTATTCTTAGATATGACCAGAATAGGGAAAAGAGGGTTGACACTGGACGAATCGTATGTGAGTTAGTGTGTTACTCCGGGCTCTCTCCTGTATTAGTAGTTTCTTACATGTCAAGGTGTCAAAGGGACCCATGGATGCCGGTTTAGAGGGGGTGTCTGGACTATATTTCCCGTACCCTTTTTCATGAATTTTTATTTGCCCATTTATTCAAATTTCCACATTGCTTCAATAGGGAATTACGGAATTACTCTATGTATCTCTCTCATGCCGAATTTGGCAAATTCGCTCTTCTAATAGACCTGCAAATTAACCAAAATAATGGGGGCAAGACAAAGAGCAGTTAATATAAAATATACGGAGTACTCCGCTAACCAGGAAGAATTCCAAATCAACACCCCCAATATGTCAAAACCGGCCCGGGGTCCACGTTCCCCTGACCCGTCCCCCGTCTCTTTTTACCCCATCCGTCAAAAAAAGCGAGAAAACCTCAAAAATGCAAAATAAATAATTCAATCATTAAAAAAGAAATATTCCCAAATTAAAGTGGACTAAAGTAGCTTAAGGGCTCGGATCCATGGGACACCCGTCATCCAAACTAACAGATCTAGCGCCCGGACGGTCACATCGTCCCAGGCCGGGGAAAAGGTTAGCGCAAATAGTAATTCCCAAGCGTCCCCTCTCCCTAGGACTTTCGTTAGAGCCATCGAAGGTGAAAATTTTTAGATTGGTTGGGCAGATAGTGCTTACTACGTAAGATGGGTCTAGCTCTCGATGCAGTCCTGTAAACGAGCTCGAAAGTTGACAATTCGTTCTAGACATCGCGATCTGCAATACCTTGATCATTTCCTCGATTTGAGGGTTAGTCGTCGTCTGTCTGTCGGCCCTCCCATACTCATACTTAGGTAATTACTAGCCCATGGGTGGTTTTTCATTTCTCCATGCTCCATTCTCCATTTTTTAGGAGGTTGAGAAATCAAAACACAGACCGTCCTAGTAGGTCGATGCTTTTTCAGTTTTGTTTCTTTTTTCTTTTTTTTTTTTTTCCTTATACCATAACATAAGCCCCACCATATGTAGGTAGTAATACCAAGTAGTAAACAGCTAATGTACGTTGTCATTCATCTTATACGTACATCATCCCTGTGCGTAATACTCGCCACAATACTCATGCCCGGAACAGACTCACTAATTATATTTATAAGCACACCGATGCATTGGGGATCACTCGTACCTACCATACCCTTCACTGCGGCAGTCGCGGAAGTACGGAGATTCGCTGTTACTCGCTTACCTACATATCTTTTCCCCAAATAGGAAAGTAGTGGTCGTCACGCTTAAATCATAACTACCCCTTGCGGGGATTTACACTCTTGATACCCAAGACAAGTTAGTTGTGGTTAGAGTGGAGGGCTGCGGACGAGTGTTCCGCGTCGCTTGCAATAAGTACATGCACTATTGGCTCCAATGCGCAATATGTCTGGGTACGCTTGGGTTGGTGGGTGGATGTACATACTACATACGTACATACTAAAAGTGGAGTGTGCAGTACATACATATATGCACACATGTTGTCCGTGGCGACTTACGCACGGTTGTATCAGGTTTAGTTTAGTATTTACATAGATGTGGCTGGGTTCCCGTGACGAGTCAAGATAAGATTGTTAGTTGAAGAAAAAAAAAAAGAGGGCAAGGAAAAAGAAATATGAAGGGTGGAATAAAAATCTGTTCCTTGTATGCCTTAATATAAACGGCCCCTGCGCATCTGAACTGCAGAAAGATCTACATGGACTATGTATGCGCTCAACCACAAATGGATACCGTGGACCGAGGTACGACCAGGGTGCTGCTTGGTCGATGCAGGGATAGATTGATGGCCAAGTCGAGATCATCCAGCAGAATCGAAAAATCTTATCGTGCAGGGAGAGGAAGTCCACATAGTAGTGCGTGGGGACTCGAGAATATGAACCAAATCTTGCTTAACGAGTGTGATGAACTTGGAGAACCTAGAGCAGGACATGATGTAAAATACTTAGCACGAGTACTGAGTTTCCATAATCAAGGTACATACACATCTAGGCATAAGCTGCCTGTGGAAAACCTGGTAATGAGGGTGTTGGTCCGAAGGTGCTATGCTATTGGTCAACCGAAGATCTATATGCAACTGCTGATTCAGGATGATCGCCAACAACTTGCTGAATTTAGTCATGTGTAGCGCAGGCCGTGTATGCATGTACACATTGTACATGCTAACACCCGTGGTGGAATGTATGGTCTTGACTACTCGACACCTAGCACTGGTGTCATGCAGAATTCTCTAGCCCACATCAGTAGGGAAATGATATCAATAATTGCCTCCGACTTTGAGGAGTAAGTTCAATGGGAAAATAACCCGTGTCCTACCCCAATGGTCCTAGTAGCCAGCATCGTGCCAATAATCCCAAAGGATGATACCCCATGGATCTACTTATCACGCCACTACATAACCCCGATCGCAAATCCCAGTAGCCCATAGATGACGAACATCTCCGATCTTAGTGTAACCGCATCTTGTTTATTCCTCTGTGCATTGGACCTCCAACCAATCGATGGAGGGATTCTTGGCACAGTCGATCATCCCGAACACCACTAGTATTACCTTAGATCTCCCGGATTCGCAACCCGTTTGGGTAGAACACCCTGCGCGCTAGGTCAATGCGCGCTTTTAACTGGACATTCATGCACCCCAAATTTGAGAGTTTGGCTGCTTGCTTAATCAATCGGCACTAGTCGGGCGGAATCTCAACTTTCCCTCCCCCCGTCTGCCACCTGTCACCCGATAGTTGGGTTGATCTGCTCGTCCTAGGGTTTAATAGCGATCTGGTTCGAAAACAAAGTTTAGAAAAGAAGAAAAAAAAGAGTACGAATTGACAAATACTCCTTAAAGTGTCATTTCACATCCCTATAATTTTTTTTTCCTTAGATTTTCAGTCCAAATCCACCCATACACGATGGATGGAAATATCTTCCGGGAAGAATTGCTCAAAACAATCTGTGGTTCTACCATCGTCTAGCTTGACAGGGATTACAACAAGTTCGATGTTCACATTTATCCGAGGTGAAGGAGATATCTCTTTCCCCCCTTCTTGAACACTCTAGCAATATAAATGGTGGCAATGTGTGCCGTGACGTTCGGGGTACATGCATAACACCATGTAGCCCTCAGCAAGTGCTGAAGCTTTCAACCGCTCGAGTAATATATATGGTGGCAATGTGCGTAATGACCATTGAAGGACATACATGCATATGCAGTTCTCGACATGACAGAGAGCTAAAGCTGAGATCTCCCCCTAATGTACGGATGTCCACAAGTACTGTTCATGGGTATATTTTACCGTCCGGTCTAGAATACGGTATACTATCCGTTGACCTACGTGATAATGACCACCCTCCCCAACTATAGGTACGACTAACATAAGTGTCATTGGAGTACAATACTACCTACCAAAAGGAGTTGGTATACTGTAGGGCAACACAGATGCAATCCACTGATCGCTCGAACCACAACCAAGGGACCAAAAGAAAACACTAAAATCGAACCCCATAATCACAGGCCAAGCAATCGCGTTCCGACAACCGGAACAAAACTCAGAGAATGACATAACCAACAAGTGGGACCGACAAGGGTCACGAAAAAAAAAAAATACCATGATGCTAGTCTGTGGCTCAGCAACCCGAAGTGGATAAATAAGGATCTAGTCGCCATATTAGGACTAGCGCATGTGGCACAGTGTCAACACGGAATAATCTGCCGCGGAAAAATAAAGGGTTGACACTTAGTCATACTAATAATTCCTCAGGGACCGCTTATGACGGCGTGGACGGACTAAAGTTTCTTCTCCGAGATCTTGAAGCCAGAGGATGTGCTTTCCCCACCGATGGAAAATCCTCTTTTTTTTTTTTCTTGGGTCTAGTTCGGCTGCTAACTTCGTTTAGTCCCCGGTTTTCGCACATGAGGGGCGGTGTCATCCGTGTTGTCAACACGATAGTTTCGGCTTCCCCGATCTTTGGGTGGATTGTCTTATTTTATTTTATCCTTTTCTAATTTGTTTATCTCTAGTTTATTTGAGGATGATGGGTATGAGGTCATCTTAGTTTCCTTCCGGTCGGCTTTACCGTGGATGGATATGACCAGGGTTCCTTCATAATTTTCGAATTAAACATGTGGGAAGAAAAAGAAAAAAAAGTACGATGTACATAGCATGATCCTTGTGGACTGCATCAAGCACAGGTAGTCAATGCAGGCTGGGAAAAATTTTTTCTTCTTCGCATAAGCATTTCATCAAGGGTCGTGTTCCAGACTTTGACGAAACGCGGGCCAAGCCAAGCCCTCAACGAATTCCGCTGTGGCTTACATGAAGCCAATGAATGGCACATGCAATGTGTTAGTCAATTTGCACCATGTTAACGGGGCAAAGAAAATTCATTACTAGGAGAGTCTCGCAAACTGCAGAGTTGATGCTGTAGCCTGTGGTTGCACTCCTGATCTGATGTGCAGGGCAAGAGGATTGGTATCCTAGTGGGTTGAAAGTTTGGCTAACAGGAGGGCTCAATTGGGGTTCGTGGATTGTAAACTGTAATCCGGGGGAGGAAGTTTCCGCCATTATGGATCCCGAGATCCTTTTTTGTTTACGTTTTACCATTTGGGTCTGTTCTACCCTCCATATCATATGTTCAGTTCATAGGTCTATATCTTTCTTTGGCTGCATGGCTTTTCTTACAGTTCAACCCCTCTCGGCTCATATATAATAGAAGGGAAGAGCTCACATAATAAGACAGAATATCACGGAAAATGCAATGCTGGAACAAAGAATGAATGAAAGTATATCTATGCAGTGTTCACCATCTACCAATGCTGTTCGGGTCGGGATATGTAGGCTTGCAGCTGTCAAAAACTTGAGGCGCAGTTTAAGTTTTCTTTAGGTGGGCATGCTCAAAACAAAACAGAGAGATGCTTTGAGTAGTACTGATACAGGTCAGACGGTATGTTTTCAGCCACACAACGATCAATTTCTTTATTGTTCTTCCTCACCAACTTTCCACTGCAAGCCACCACTACCCGTTTTGGTGTTTGAGGATACGGGCCATGAGACATGAGGCATTCCCCGGAGGTGCTGGATCCTCTGCTCTGATTGGACACATACGATGGTCGCCGAATACTAGAATGCCATGCCCGAAGCTATCGAGTCCAACAGATACTAGTAGTACCATGATTATTTATCAAATTATTGTCCACTGCAGCATGGACAAGCCATTGCCTAATCGGGCCACTGCCGCGCACATGGAGCAATCACCATGCCCATATCCAGATGAATTCCTACGCCCAGCTTCTGCTACGACGCCATACTCCGTACTGAGCATTTCCCCCTCCAGATGAGTGGCAAAGTGCGCAATTACCCCTCATCAACGCCGAAAAAGCAAAGAAAACTAGCCCAACGACACGATGTCTGTTCGTATAGAGTGGCAAAAAGAAAGGGTAAGCAATGATTCAACCCATTTTGTTCAGATATATTCTCCCAGATCTTGCCTCTCCCCCTCATCTGGCATGCAGTGTAACAAGACCAAAGCACGTCGACATCATTTAACTCGTGGATCTGACAATTAATCATCCTCGCAGGGCCAAAATAATCAAAATAATAATAAAAAAGAAAAAGGGAAATGCCAGATTAATTAAGCAATCGCAATCCATATTCACAGGAAAGCGGAAAACAAATAGAACAAGAAATTATCTATCATTATATTCTGGAAGGAAAATACAATCATAAAATAAATAATAAAAAATCAAATATAATAATCGCTACCCAACCGCTGCTCCAGCAAACCCTCCCCAAAAAAAAAAGGAACGGAATCCAACCGCCTGAATTCCCAATCAATAAACTAGTAGTATCTTAGGGGCTTAAACACACGACTTCACGCAGTTCCAAGCACCAATTATGATTCGTCCGCCTGCACGCAAAGATAATCCAAAAGATCTTTCGACCTGATTTCCCACCTTTCCGTTCTTTCCCCACATACACTCTACCTTCATACACCCTTCCCCCATGCATCCCCTATCCCTCCAAAACAATGTAATCAACAGCAACAACTCGCACACGGCTAGGCTGGCGACCTGGCTAGCTGATAAACGCTCTACACCGCTTCCATTGTCCAGTTACGTTCATGAATCCTCCCCTCCTGTGGCTGGGCGACTCGCTAGGGAAATATTCAATAGCATTTATTTGCGTCCCTCCCCTCTTCCCCGAACTGGAATCTCGGGAAGCGCGAAGAATTCTATTGTTTGGTACTAGCTCGTTATTCTGCGAACGGTGATTTTCACTGCTTGTGGCAGTCTAGCTTAGTTGGTTTGCGCTGCGGCGCGCGAGTTGGGTCCCCTGATCAATTGGGCTGGGGGGTCGAATGTATCTTTTTGGAGGGTTGGTTGGTTTCTTTCATTTCTCCATTTTTCTTTCTCTCTCTCTCTCTCTCTCTCTCTCTTCTTTTTTTTTTTTTTTTTTTTTAAGACCTGAGGGGCTATTAGTAGTAAGTAGTACTTGGTGTAGATTGGATGTTTAGGATGGAGATGTGGTACGGTACTGTACCTTGGTGGTTGGTCTGGTGTGAATGTTAGGAACTTGGAAGGGATGTGTTGGTTTACTTACTAAGTGGCTGGGTACAAGTTCCACTAAGTTGTATTGGTTGTATGGTATCTACTTGTAGTAGATTATTGTTGTAGGTGATCTTTGTATTAGCTGTGGACATAGTGGATTATAGCAGTACATATTTGCAGGGAGGAAGGTACTTCATCTTAGTATAGTCATGTATGGGTACATACTTAGTTAAATGTGTAGGTATAGGTATTCATCGGATATGTATATAAGATACCCAGATTCACAGGCATTGTTTACCTGAAAGAAATACTGGACCCCTTTGTCATAGGGCTTATATAAAGGGCTCATAATCAATCACCTTGGATAGTTAGCAGAGCAATCAAGTCAGCTCAGGATCATTGGTTTGATTGCTTTTTGATAGTCAGATATGATTTGAAACTGAGCTGTTTTCTGTAGTATTGGAGCATCGTTCATATATGTACTGGGCTGGTTGGAAAGATGATGTTAGTTGGATTTGGACCTTTGGCGAGATATAGAGAGTTTTCTTCCTATAACCTTAGAGCTAAAGGGCTGGTTCAACACAGTGAGCGAGATGGGCTGTGGGAATGAATGGCCCAGTAGCAATCAATGTGTTTCAAATGTATGTGAATGCCCTGTGGGTATAAATTATATCAGGTACTTAAATGATTATATGTAGCTTGTAAAAGCTTAATCATAGTTAAGCGAATAATAATATCTAAAGAAATACCTTTCAATCAATGATATGTAGATTCCCTAATATTCTTTCTTGACTAATACATGAAAAGCACACATCACTTAATGAAATAAGTAATATATATATTAAAAGAGTGACAGCAAAAAAGAGAACTCATTATTTAGTGTGAGTGACTGATGACAAGGCTGAGATTCGACCACGCCATTCTCATGACACGGAAACTTTAAGAAAAGTTCATATACCCGAGCCGTGCGCCTTAGACCACTCGGCTACCTTGCTAGTATGTGTTATGTCGGGCTACTAAGGTATATTTTGGGACACTATATGGAGCTCATTCCTCACAAAATCATGACTGTCTGCTTCCTATCTAAGCTCTCTTCAGCACTAACACCTAAATCCGCTTACCGGCCGGATCATCCCACTGGCTGGTCTAATCAGGACCGCCAGCCGGAATCCCCAGCCAACAGTATATACCACTGAGGACGTGTATACTGACCAATCGCGGCTCTTTTGGATGCTCTCGATCTCGTTGGCGAGGCGTTCTTTCTCCGATTTTATCGTGCCGGATTTGGAGCCTTAGCACATGGACAGATTCAGAATGCCTTATCGCACAGGAGCCCTAGGGATATTGATGCCAAACAAGATCTTCGTGGTCCTTAGTCCTTCAGACTGCCTGTTCCAGAGCATTCCAATAATCTGACTGACACGGTTATTGGAAATGCTCCTGGAGACATCGCGCTGCTTTTTTCCTTTTTATTGGCCATCTTTGGATCTCCTCATAACAAGAGGTCTAGGCATTTGTCCACATATCTCACCCGGGTGGAAATATCCAGGGATGCTCCCCGTAGAAGTGGCGGGCGGACATTCAGCCCAGTACTGACGTGACTCCCTTTCCCGAAGTAAAATTCGAGATCTGAAGGTCGAAGGGACTGGAAAGCACGACACATTAGTGCTTCGAGGATGTTGTTGAGAAGGAAGATGGAACTTTTGGAATTTAGAACCCTGTACTTGGTAGGTATATAAGGTAGTATGTAGAATATTACCGCATGTGGTCATTGGAGGATCCTCGAGTATAGGCACATACTTCGTTGACTATGTATGCATAGGCATTGAAGTACCTTCAAACGTTGTACCGTCTTCTCATATTGGTCCTTAGAAGCAAGTTTGAATGGCTGTGGTGGGCTTTCTCACGCAGTGAGTGAGATCGCGCTGCGGGAATAGCTCAGTGGCGATCGATATGTATGTACGCTGTAGATCATCATCTGGGATAGGGCACCACTTGACGTATCCGAACGCTGGGGGAGCTATTTCTTGGATAGTAAGAGCTGTAGATTTATAGTTCGCAATGAGAAGGTTGCATTCATCTGTATATGAAGAAAGGATCGCATTTGTATCGTACAGAACGATCAGAAAACGATCAAATTGCTGATTCTGAGAACTATCAAGAAGGCCTATCTAGGGGTATCATAAGCCTTAATATATCTGACCTCATGACAAAGGAACTCAACTTCCAGCTCGATTTTATTAAAGCACCTATTCACTAGATATGGTCATATTCCTGCGATACTTAATAATTTCATGATACCATTCAATAGCACGGACCACGTATATAAATTCTTTGATTTGGAATTAGTGACGATAGGTTTTGGGGTTATTGAATGCTGATATTGCTTCTTGTGTCGTACCGAATTAGAGTCACTGTCTTACTGCACTGCCCATCGATGTTGCTACTCAAGATGTACTATACAAGAGACTCGCCATAGGAGTCAACGATGCACTTGTTTCAGAGAGTAGAATGCCTCATGGATTTAAGACACAACAGCTGCTTGAGTTATCTCATGTGGCTGGTAAGAAGCTCACGACAATTAAATAAGTAACAATGAATGCCTGATGAAAGGCGGCATTCAAATCGCTGGTATGTACATCCCTTGATATTATTACTCAACCGACGAAACGGAAGCCCAAAACTCAATTGAATCAGCGATGATGGCTAGTGAAGGGCAGTCTGGTCACGGTAGAGATCGCAAGCGTGAGGATGGTGCAGACAATACTTCGGAACCAGAGCTTGAGCCTGCACGCCATTCGCAACGAGGTATTCGCGGAAGTTGAGAATGCGCTGGGTCAGGAGTGTCGTGCGTTTGTTGCCATTAGCATCGCGGTTACCAGACCATACCAATTCTGCTAGAGCCGCGGCACGAGGCCAGAACATGCTGGATACGGTTACATCGTCAACTTGCTCGGTCCAAAGAGGAGCTGTCGCGCCAATAACATGCTTGGCTTGGGCCTCGGTGAGGTTGAGGGTGAAGTCGTAGTCGTAAATACGTTGCCAGGTTTTGTAAGGGGCGCACCACGATCCGCCTATGCCTCCGTAGTTGAAATTGGCGTTCTTTCGGTCCGGATTAGACATCACATTGTACCGGACGTCGTTGGTGACGAAGCCTCCATGGCCACAGTCCAAGTACATAAAGTCAGAAGACGACACGATCACGTCATAGCCTCTGGCAGTCAAATTCGAAATGTATTCCAAGCCATTGTTCCAGGACTGCATCACAATGTTCTTGGGCACATCATGCGCATGCTCCGCGGACAGAACGACGTCCTCCCACATGATGAGACGGCGCTCTTTACTATATTCCTGGAAAATTGGGACGGCATGATCGACCCAATATTGCAGTAGGTCATTGTATGTGCGTGAGGGATCCTCGGCAAACCAGTTGGTGACGTGTGTGCTGAAGTTGAAGCAGTTGGGTTGGATCTCATCTCCTCCAACATGGAACCAATGATCAGGGAAGATGTCCGACAGATCGTTGTAAACATTGCGTACGACCTCATAGGTTTTGTTGTTGATAATGTCGAGCTGGCCCGGATTTGGCTCAACTGCGGTATGGAGGGGCCACTCGTCATTAGACCACCAGGAATCAATGCAAGTCACTATTTCGGGGTCAACGCGCTTCCAGCCTGCTGAGGAATGACTTGGCATGTCAATCTCAGGGATAACACGGATACCACGAGCTCGAGCAAAAGAAACAATATGGCGGATGTCGTTCCGCGAGTATATCTCTCGGGGCGAGTAAGCATCTCTAACCATCTCGGGATAGGTGTCGATCCATATAGGCCAAGATTGCGAGTCGTCGATGTGCCAATGAAAGACGTTAAGCTTGGCAAGAGCCATACCCTCCAGCTGTTCGAAAATCTTTGGCAAGGAGATGAAATTACGGGCGGTATCAAGCATGATTCCACGGTAAGGATAGAGTGGAGAATCCTTGATGCTAACTGGCTGCTCGATGATCAGACCGCCGTGACCATCGAATATGATCAGCTGTTGGAGGGTGGTGAAGGCATGTAAAGCACCCCAGACAGTCTTGGCTGTTATACTGATGCTATCGGAGTCCTCCTCGACATCGAGAGTGTAAGACTCGTCAACACCATGCTGAAGATCGGCTTCAGTGTCTTCAACATGCACCTTGACAAATTGCAGCGAAGTCGAGGAGCGCTTTACCGGCTTGTGGCCACCTGGAGTGGGAGTCGGGAAAGGCTGAAAGGAGGAGATGGGAGCTTCCGTCGCAGCAGGAACCCATCGCAAACCGATCACGGAGTCCCAAGCACGATCCCACGCATCGGCTAGAATCTCGTCATCCGTATCCGTTTTGGTGCGCAGAGCCAGCTCTCCCGCGATGGATTTGGGGCCGGAGGAACCCCAGGTGATTTCACGCGGAGCCGGTAAGGGATTCACACTGACGGCGACGGTTGAGGTTACCGTGAATAGCACGGCGGCGATCCGGGAGATCCGCATGATTGAATCGCGTTGGTTGACTCAATCCTTGCGTGAAGAGGATGATATCGCAATAAGGAATGAAAAGAACGGAGGCAAGTAGCAGAGTAGATAAGGAAAGGAGTGCGGAGGAGTGATTGTGGTTTTAAGGTTAGGAGGAAATAATGGATCAGTGGGTTTTTACTCAAGGGTGGGCAATGTTGATCCTTTTTTCAGACTCCATTCCATTCACCACGGTTGCTCCCCTTCTTATTCACAGAGAGCCTGGAAAGGAAGAGAGGGATCGCCAAGCTGTTCGAGGATGAGTCCCAGGATTCCGATGGGTGCCTGAAAGAGGCTTAGACCCTGCACATCATTGTTTACTTTTCTCATACCGTACCATTACCCCGGCCTATGAGGGGGTCTCCTAATACCGAGCATACTTTGTTAGTACTGTACAGTACAGTAGCACTCAGTAACGAAGGTTACATTTGATTACACTGCGACCCTTCATTTTGACTGATTCAATTAATTACCATGGAGAATGTCAGTTTACAACTTACTATTACCTTGATTCCTGAAAATGGAACCCCACCCTTTCATTGTTGCTTTGACAACTTTTTGCCCAGAGTGTTACAGTGACATCGCTTGCAGCTTTTGATTTAAATCGCACTTGGGTTTGTTTGTTTGATGTTCCTATCAAATCAAATTAAAGGTGGAGAGAGTTTCCAACTTCCCCCCCACATGGCTTCATTAACCATGGATCCATCAAATCTTATAACGATGCATTGTAACAATAGAAGAAAATACCATCATCAGTCACTATACATCCTACCTCCAGATATACGAACTACATAAATTTCCGAGTCACATAAGCGGGGAAATATCCTGGCTATTGATAATAAACACGCCAGCTTGCACTCGCGTGACACTCTGATCAAATTAAGGCCTAAGCCTAGATGCATCTTGCCGAGAGGTGATGGCTACGGTGGGCATTAATTTCCGACGTACTGTATGTGTGGACTGACAACTCATGCAAGATCAAGTGCTACCTGAGAGGCATGTCCATCGACCAGAGATTACTAACCTTTTGTACGATGTCATAAGTTTCAGTACCCTTCATCGCATTGATTTGTATCAGGCCGATCTAATACTTCGTACTGTCTCCCCCACTGATGTCCCCACAATCACTTATGAGAATGTACCCCCAGAGCTGGAATGCTAGCCAGCATCCAATTAGGTGCACGGTTCTCTATAAACGTCGCTTAGGACCCGCGCTCTGAGGTATGGAGATGCGTAGAATCCGGGAACTTAAGATTAAGGTAACATGGTCCTTCGGCTCCGATCCGCGATACGATACACTACTAAGGGGCCCTTCTTGCCCGCAACTTGCCATTGGGGCTTTTATCAAAGAACAGCTTGGAGAGATTTCCACTGACAATCGGGCGTTTCTTTGTGTGATGATATCTAATCTTCTTTTAGTGGAGACTGTTTCGACGTCTGCACCCACACATCGTTTCACTATCGACATAGGACCGATGGCCTGACTCCCGGCAAAACATCGTCTCTTAGAACAGAATAACCCGAGAGAAATTAATGAGTGATAGTTATCTCGTATAGAGTCCGGCAAAACCCTAGCTCTACAGCCGTCTACCCACTCACTGCTCCTGTTCTAGGTCAACCGGAGGTATCAACTCTCTAAATGCAATCTCTGCTATCACTTGTCTAGGGAAAAAGGACATTCATCCCATCTACTCTAACTAATAAACCCTAGACACGTAAAAACAACAGACATAGAGCGGAGTGAAGCTAATTGTGTACATTCTATCCACTATAATACAAAGCTACCATTCATCCACCACCCCCTCCACCTGACACCCTAACCCTAAAAGAACCACTAAGGTCAATGGCAAGCCTGGCTCCAAGCCCTCAACCGGAAATAATTCCACGGCAACGGCGCCAAAAACCCAGCCCCCATAGCCGCCACCGCCGCAGCCCAAAACCCCGGATCCCCCAGCATAACTACACCGCCGGTAAGTTGATAATCGACGAGATTCTGCACGGACTCCATGGCCAGCATGGAGATGAAGCTCATCCCGCAGGCAGTCTTGAAAGCGTGTTTCCAGGGAAGCTTGTCCTTTCCGTGGATGAGGAGCGTTGTTTCGAGGGTTAGGGAGGAGAGGAGGCCAGAGGCCACTTTTTGTGCGTTTTAGTTATCTATTCATGTCTGGTTTGGGTCTCATATACTTACTAGAAACGCCCATGACAACCCCCATTCCCCAATCAGGACAGAAACTCTGTAATAGCCATAATGCACTAAAGTCGCCCATTGTACACCCTACCAAGCAGCGGAGGGTGTTGATACCGGCTCGGGACCAGGCTGGTTTGTCTGTCCAGAAGGATAGCTTCGTTATGGAAGGTGATGATGTTGTGGTTTTGCATGTTTGGGACTTTTTACATGTTGACGGAGGGGATACTTTTGGGATTGTTGAATGCGAAGTTTTTCGGGTGAAACGATAAAGATGTAATTTGGGTATGTTGGAACATGTGATTCTTCTTGGGAGGAGGATTGGAGGCCTCATTTTGCGGAGTTTATACAGATTGCAGGGAGTAGGTTGTAGGTTTATATCGGATCAGATCTTTAAGCCCGAGCTATCCGTACCGAACCGTTCCTTATTCGGCTGCCGCTACGCCGCCGCTTGTGCCGTGCTCACTACTATCAGGGTATTGCATCCTCCAGCAGATAAAGTTGAACACTCCGTCAGTTGCATGGTTAAATCCCGTATCTTTAGTGAAGTTGGGATTTCCGGTCTATCCTATCGCCAAAAAAAAAAAAATTTTTCGACTAACAAATTTTGTTTAGAAAGCCTTCTGTATTAGAGTTATTCATAGTGAATCTTAGGTTTATCTGTGCATTTTTGGTAGAGATATAATGGGTTTAGTAGATAGGTCAAGAAGCTCTTCTCGATCGGAAATATCTCAGGCTTCAGCATCAGGACGAGAAATTCACTAAGTTTATTTTAGGACTTAAGAGGCAGACGTAGCTTAGACTAGACCTGATAGAGTAATTCTGCCTCTTTCTGACCTCTTTGTGAAGCATTGCAAGCAGTTATTCATAACTTAAGCAATTCCATTGTGAGAATGTGGAAGTCCATCACGACGACTAATTTCAATCTATTGCATCCCCATCGGAATAACAAGAAGACTTCTAAAGGCCAATGAGATTAATTAATCAATATATATCCCTTGAGAATTTTATTTTTCTTTACGAACTCGGACTATAGAATAGTAAGATACCACGCCAAAGACTGCCTTCCCGTATCATTGAATTCGTTTCATAATTATATTCGTCGAGACTTGCGGCCGAAATCTAGAAGACTGGGAATATCTCGAATATCTTGGACATCCTCAAGATCTGGATCCCACAATATCGCTTGAGATAATAACCTGGCAAGAAAAAGGGCTGATAGACGATCGAAATGGCATGAAAGTCGCAAGCAAGTGAAGGCTCCAGCATCTATATCAAGTCGTATGCATCACTTTCCGCTGTTTCTGGGGATGAGTCAAAGACCAGTCACCCCAGTGCCCCGAGTGCTTACGCTGGAGCCACGAGCACACGAGCCAAAAGTCGGTGGTGAGTTTAGTTATTCGCTGCAGAGGCAGACCTAGTGGGCACATCTCTGTTGATGCGTCTCCCACATTAGCAAAGGCCATCCCAGATTATAGTCTATTTATGTGACGCACGGCTGACTCACTCACATGAGCAATAGGGGGTCGGCCGTGTGGCGTTTCATTGCTTGGTACTAAAGGTTCTTGGAAGCCAAAAAGTACTGCGAATGGGGGGCTCCGCCTGCTTTTGGAGTATTGGGATACTCAATCTCATCATTCCCATCAATCCAGGAATATTCACTAGTAGACTTTGACAATCCAGCGTCGACCTGGCGCTCTTGCGTTGTATGTACCATCTAGAATCAACATAATCGAGCTAAAGCCAGGCAGCACACTGGTTTTGTATCTCGGATCCAAAACCGGTAAGAACAATTCAGTTATTGCGAATACAAAAGACAACTCAGTCATAGGGACATGGCTTGGATGGACAACTTGGATTGTTTCATAATGTTATTTACTGTACAGCAACTAAAGAAAGATAAGAAACATTTGAGGCCACTAAAGCAATGCATGGCCAATAGTCCAACCATCAGGGCCATATAATCCCTTTCTACTTTGCAAATTAGGAGCACTTGAGTCTGCTCAAATGCATGAGGGCAATTCACAGTTTCCTAGTGTGGATTGGGACTAGGGAGTAGAGCATCGGTCACAACAACGAGGGTAGTAGATTTGCTCCAAAGCAGAAATTGCTCCGCAAAAGGAATAAGATCAGGAGTGATGGCATTCAGGGTATCTACTGACGCTAGCTCTTCATCAATGCGTCAAAATTGAGCATTAACCAGTATATTTTATATACTCAGCATCCGAGGTTCTCTGTCTAGTAACGAGTCTTAATGTTTTTGAACGTTGACTTGGAGGTTGATTGAAAATTGCTAGATGTAATACTTTGTTCTAGTATCGTATGAATGCAGCCATGTAATTACATGATGTAAATGGGAATCATGGGTAAATAGTTCAAGCCTTTTCTAACCGTGTCTCTAGTTCCACCGCTTCGCTGAATGCTTCCTTCAAGGCCGCCGCCTCCTCAGCAGACGGTGCCACACACGGCCGTCGCGGTTGGGCACCATACCCCTTATAACTCTGCAGTGCACTCTTGACAGCCACAAAGCCCCCTTTGATCGCATGCCAATCCGCGCGGGCCACCACTGCCTGGGCCTGCTGGGCCTCCTTTATCCTACCCTCATTGTACAGCTTCATGACATAGACACATGACCGGGGGATCAGATTGGCAGTACCACCGATGATTCCCGCACCACCAGCGACGAGGGTTTGAAGTGTGAAATCAGCGGATCCGCCAAACGTCAGAAATTCTGGTTTGGCCTGGGCGGCAACGCGGGCCAATTTTCCGGTGTTACCACAAGTCAGCTTGACACCAATTATGTTCGGGTGCTCTGAAAGCGCTAGGATGTCGTCGGATGTGAGGTCCAGACCGGATGATGCACCGGGGAAGTTGTAGATCAAGACGGGGACGGGGGATGCGGATGCCACGGCGCGGAAGTGGTCGCGCAGGGCCTCCGTGCTCATCAGCGATTTGTAGTAGGATGGCGGTAGGACCAAGGCATAGTCGCCTCCAGACTCGCCGGCATCCCTGCACAATTGAATCGTTTCACGGGTAGACGAGCCGCCGCATCCAACAATGACAGGCATCGACTCGGCTCCATGGGCGTCCAACGCCCGACGGGTAGCTGCTGTGATTGTCTTCCGTTCATCTCTGTCTAGGTGGACCGCTTCGCCGTTGCTGCCTTGTACGACTATACCAGTGACTCCGGATTGGGCGAGATAGGCGGCATGTTTCTCTACGGTGGGGACATCGACATCTTCATTGGGGCCGGTAAAGAAAGCGACCGTTGGGACGTAGAAACCGGGGGTCAAGGGGCGTTTTGCTGTTGTTCCGATTGGAGCCATAATGCTGTGATTGTAAGATCTGAAGAAGCTAATAATCTATTAGCTAATGATATTAATGAGCCGGATTTCAAAGTTGCTGGGGTGAGACTTACCTGAGGAAGGGATAACAGGGGAGATAGAAATGAAGTCAAAGATGGAGGGAGGTCCAGATTAAAGAATAGCAGACATAAGAAGGAATGTGGTTCCAAAGAGGGGGGTCGGATTCAGTGGCACCTTATGTCTAGTATAGTTCCCTCTCAATTGAGCCTATGATGCGGATGATTATTCGCACCCCCACGCACCCCACAGAAGGAGGGGAGATCCGATGGGGCTCATTCTGAATGAATGGGTGTTCTGCAGAGCATCGTTACTGGTCTGGTGAAGTCAAAGTAAGGAAATCTCAATGCAACTACCCCCACGTTTCTTTTCTTGGCCTGGGGTTCAGGGCAATTGAAACTGCCATTCGGGGAATAATTTAAGGAAAGGGAAGAAGAGTGTCGGAATAAAGTCCGAGCCTGAGAGAGGAGACATGAGATTTCTTGGAACGTGACAGTGGGATGGACCGGTTGGATCAGTATTGTTGTCTATTATTTCAATGCATTCTGAGGTGATTGAACAAGAGAGAAAAAGGAAAAAAGCAAAGTGGTGAAGAATGTGGATTTATGAAACAACATTCAATTGAATTGGTTGAAAGTTGTTTATTGTATTGTATGCACTATTGTATTTAAATTTGATAACCATACCATACCTCTCTAACGCTTGCTCTCATTCCTGGATCATCTAAATTGCTGTGGGATCATCGGAAAAAGGAAGTCGCCAAGAATAGAATACGGTAATGACCGGTCACAGAGCATCCCAAACAGCGCGACCGCAGCGTCAAACTTCCACCACGAGAAGACAAGGAAAAGCACCCTGAAGATCCGGCTGAAAGCGAGAATCTGAAGCTGGGGACAGGGGGACCGCATGAGACCGCCGCCAATTCCCGCCATTGAAATCCCCAATGACCTCAACCGTTATGGCTGTCCGGTCTTCGCTGCGCGTTTCTGTGCGACAAGAACAACCCAACGACGAACACAATCGACCGTCTCCATCGAAGCGCCCTCGCCTGAATACTCCTTCTCGTCGACGCAAGAGCTCCCCCGATCTCCTCGACACGACCTCCGTTGATAGTCCATCCAAGACCACTCCCAAGAATGATGTCGCCCACATCCGGTGCGCCCCCTCTTCACTTCCGCGCCGCTCCTCTGCGCGCCGACCGCTTCTCTCACCCTCCTCTCAGCATCACCCGACTTCCGACACCCCACACGCGACACATCTCCGACTTCACCGCAATGAGACCCCCGCCACCGCCCCTGCGACCTTCCTTTCGCGTGAATCTCCTGATCCCTTAGATACAATCTCTCCCACGATCACGGACGGTAAACATCGTACTGTGAAAACCCCCTCCACCCCTTCAACTCGCCGACGCCGTGTTACCGATACCGAAACGCCTCTTCCGGAGTCAACCACACAAAGTCGAGCCCAGGGGGCCTCCCAGCCCGCGGAGTCACTCAGCGACAGCATTGCGACTCCGTTGCAACCCCCTGCACCAGCGCAGACCACCCCCGCCGTACGGGAGCGTCGGTCGCTTCGCTCTCACGATGGGGGTTCCAGAGCGAGAAGCGAGCTAGCCCTGTATTTCCCCAACTACGAACAATTGCTAAGCTTAGAGCCGCCGAAGGCCGGTAAGCACCAACATCTGTTAAGGCCTTCTAGAACCTACAAGCTAATTCGCTTCTAGAGTTCCTCGCCGCCCATACTGCCATACAATTGATCGATGATCGTCCTAAATCTATTTTCTCATCAGATCTCACCGTACCCGACACAGACACCCCGTTCGGAAATCCACTACTCCAGCTACACAACTGCGAGTCGATCACTCTCCCAGAGCCACAACCAGGCGATACGCCTGGAGAGGACCCGTTGAATGAAGGTGCATTTTTCAAGGCCCACCGTCGAAACGAACGGCAAGAGAAGCAGCTACGGAACATTGAGCGCGAACGAGCCCAACATGAGAAACAGCAGCTGGATCGTCTACTGGACGAGCTACAGGGCCACGACTGGCTGCGCGTTATGGGAATCACTGGTTTATTAACCGACCAGGAGAAGAAACAATACGAACCGAAGCGAGACTACTTCATTAAGGAAATCTCCGCATTAATCCAGAAATTCAAAATCTGGAAAGAAGAAGAGAAGCGACGTAAGGTTGAAAAGGAGAAGGCTGCCGCTGTCGCGGCGACCACAGAAGCCGAGGAAACCACTACATCACAACAACAACTCACGGAACGTCAGTCCCCTGCCATTCCGGACTCCGAAGCGGAGGACTCCCCCAGTGCCGCGCTATCAGATGTCCCAAGCTACAGCGAGCCCCCGGACATCAACGATGTGGACGCCTGGGCTGCACGTCAATTACTTCAGGAGGCCCGCTCCGCAACGGCAGGGAAGAAACCTAAGTCAGCGGCACTAGAGGGCCGGAAGAAGTCTAAGCCTATTGAACCTGAACTGTTGCAACACCCACCTCCTCCCCCGGACGATAAGAAGCCGTTTACCTCGTTCTACGCCAAGCGCCATCTGCGAGATACGGCGCTGTCGGCGCATAGGAAAGGCCGGATCCGTTTCGCCTTCGGCTATCCGGTTCCTGAGATGGAGGAGAAGGAGTTCGACTTACCGCTAGAGATACTGACGCCTGAGGCGATCGACTCCTGTCGACGGAAACGGAGGCGCATGAAGCGGGCTAGTCGGGGTTCGGAATAGAGTGTTGATTGATGTATTATCAGAGATTAATTGCATTCGAGAGTTTGCATCGTTACTGTTTTAGTGGCTGGCCACACACCATGATAATAAAGCACTACCTTATTCTTAGTCGTCTTACGACCTTGTTCACTATATAAAAAGACACCTCGTACTGCGCTGCATCTGTCAGCAGGCTCAGCACCTGTATTCGCGAATCATCCAATCAACTTATTATCCAGTATCCCTAGAACGAGACAACCAAACACATAAAGCTTAGTCTACTAGTTCGCAACCACAAATCCGCTTCCTACCTAACTCCCAGAAATCCCCAGCGCAGCAAGTATTGCACTTAGACTAGACCCGAACATAGACTTCCAACCCAAGAAAGATAGGACTCCTAACTCCGCACCAAAATAACGAGACACGGAGTCATACGATATACACCCCTTATCCAGGAACTTCAATCCCATACACATACACAATCACCGCTACCGATATTTACCAAGGACCACAAATCCCAAGAGAGGAATTATCCATATCAACATTTGAACCAATGCCCTGGTCTATATACAACCGTGTAATCTAAAGATAAGGTCTCACATATATACAGCCATAATATAACCACAAACGCCTTTGGATCCCAGTCCCTTCTCCAATGTATATATACGTGTGCTATACGACCCTGCAATCTCATGCATTGTTCGCGCAGGAGAAACTCGCGCTACTGGGGTCGTCGTGGATGGCTTTGCCGGAGACGTAGAGACCGAGTCCGCACTGTGTGCTTATTAGCTTTCGGGTCACTTGAATAGGGGGATATGGTACGATAAGAGCGGGAAAACATACAAGGCAAACACCGACGCCAATGGCAAGCAAATTTACCATAGTAAGGAGGATCTTCCTCGGGGAGGAAAACCAGAGACCTTTGTTCATGTACAGCCAGAACATGCCGCTTAGGCCGAAGGTAAACCAGCTGGCAAACAGGGCAGTCTGGGGGTTGCTGTTAGTGAGAAGGAAAGACGTGGGGATAAAGTAGGACGTACGATCAAGCTGAGAAGGTTGCTGAAGACCGGGATAGCTTCAGCGATGATCCAGGCAAGGATCCACAGACTCAGAGCAATTGCGACCCAGGAACTGACGGCGACCCAGTCGCGCTTGTGCATACGGTCGGTGCCGCGGAAGAGGCGGATGTAGATGTATTTGAAGGCAATGTGGCCGTTGATGACACCGGCGATGATGATCTGGTTTTGTTTTTCTTGTTAGTTTTGGTGTGGGTTTGGGAGCTTTGGCCGGTACTTACGGTTGGTAGGGCTATGCCGTAGGCCACTTTTGATACAATGGGGCTTGCTGAGCCTAGAGCAGGGGATGCTACCTCAGCGCCACCATAGCGGTAGATAACCACGGCTGCGATGATGTACAGGCAGATATCGATGCTCTGGAGGAGGCATAGGGCTTTGGGAAAGTCGCGAGGATCTTTCAACTCAGCGGCAAGGCCGAAGAAGGCGGCGTGGCCGGCTAGTACGGTTAGTTGAGATTGTCCATGTAGTCCGAATGAGAGAGAACATACAGAAAGCAAAGACAATGTTGGTAACGGCTGTAAAACCGTGAACTAGGTCGGTATCTACCGTAGCCTGGACTTTACCATCTCCTGGAGATAAGACACCCACACCGATCATGGTGATGATGACGGCGGACAGGATACTGATGAATGCTGCTGGTTGTTAGTAAAGGCACAGGATATAAGGGATCCAGATGGAGAATGCGTACAAACTAGCGATAGCCAGGACATCTTAGCCAGCGTACGAGGCAGTGACAACACGAAGGATACCACCATTCCAACCACGCCAAAAACAATTGAGCAGGTGCCATGGTCCGTGAGCCTGTTCATAGCAATGACAAATGTGAGCAGGTGACTGGCCATAATGAATACCAGGAACAATAGCTGGCCAATCCCTAGCAGTTCACGGCCAAACCTGCCCATAAGCACCTCGCCCGCGTCGGCCATGTTCGAGATGTGAGGATACCTCCATTTGAATTGCCCAATCACATAACCTGTGTATGTGGCCAGCATACCCAAGGTCACTAGGATAATAATGGCACTACCGTTCATGATGTCAGTGGATGTAACCTCAGATGTTGCTGTCTTCTTGAGTGCACACATACGGGACTAAGCCTAAGCCGGCGACGGCTTTTGGTAAGGAGAGAACGCCCAAGGACACTGTTTCGGCCACCATGAGCAACCCACATTGCCTGTAGAGAGGACGAAATGTCAGAGACGTCACTCAGTAACCATCAGGGTTCCTCAGTACACACCACCACTTTAAGACCTTATACTTAACCTCGGCAAACTCCTCGTCGCCGAAGGCATCTTGCATGTATGGGGGTGTAATTTCCTTCTTCTCGTCTATGTTTAATGAATCGTGGTCTGTGGGTAAAGCCTTCTCCTGCTGCTGGACCTGCTCCACATGGACCGCAGTAGGGGGCAACGAGACGATCTGAGGAGGACTCATTATGGCCACCTCTTGCTATGTAGGAACGAATAATGTTAGGAAAAGAAATGTGGCAAGTGGATCTTGCGTGAGGGCAAGAGAGGGAGAGGGAGAGGGAGAAGAGGTCCTTCGCCCAGATATATGAAGAGCGTGAGAAGGGAAGCAGGGCAGAAGAGAGCTGCCTGATGAGCAGATTGGCAAAAGTGGTCAGGAGACGGGGGGGAAGCTAGGAAGCAGTAAATCTCGCAGCTCAACGTATCCTGTGCCTCGGAGCTTACCTGTTTCGAGTCAGGACAAGCCATACCGACTCCCTAGACTTTCCTTGACCCCAATCTCCACCAACGTAGTAGTCTGTTTCAATTCACCCGTCATCGGTGGTGAAGATCGCATGGTTTCAGTGGGCCGATCGTGAACCAGAACGAATCACGAATATGCGACGTAACGGAAATTTGCCAACACCGGGTCTGGGCTGTTGGAGGCCCGCAGTTACATTCCAAGGTGGATCTGGGGAAAGAAGAAGTCAAATAGCGGCCACTGCCCATCGGTGCAAGCTAAAGACACTGTCAGTTATTGCATACAAAAGGAACCCGTGGAATTGAATCAGAAAACATCTCTATACATACTGATATGGATGATCCATGTCGTTAATTTTGAATGGTTCTGCAAGCTTCCATCAGATGGTACAAATCCGCTTCAAGCCGGACCATCCGCATTCGTCCACAACGCCATGCCGAAGCTTATCCCGTAATATCCAGCCATTCAGGGTTTCATTCTCGAACTACTATTTGTGCCTTTTGCAGATCTACCGCTGCTATATGACATAAGGGGATTTTGTTATTTCAAGGGTAGGAGGTTGTTTTTGGGGGGGGGGTGGGGGCAATGCCAGTTATGTAAATGTTTAACTACTTTCCAAGAAACAAATATAAATCACGAAATAAACAATAGCGAGATATATTCTATAGGTACTCTTCTATATGCAGGAACGTGGCCAATTACTATCAAGTCAAACACCATATGTTGTTGTTGTTCTTTTAGGTAGAAGATATTAATCAATTTTTACATTCTTTCCTCAAGGTTCCGGATCCTTATAGATATACAAGGGTATGTTTAGAGCAAACCAACCACTCGAATTGTCTTTAGTGCTCCTTCCTCCCTTCTAGAAGAAGTTCACTGTCAATCTAGCGGATATTTCTTGCATTTTACCCAAAGTTTAAGCCAGTTGACCCTCGTATACACCGGCTAGCCTCGGACCTTAAAAATATCTCATCCTTCAGCCCGACTCAGGAAAGGAAGATACATGATTTGGTATCACTATCACCATTGAGACTCCCAAAGTGCTCAATCTCTTCCATGGAACACGTACCCCAGATCAGCTCAACCCCAGATTTCTCTCCCCACCGCGTCTCCATTGAGGCCTGACACCCCGTATACGACTCGATGGGGCGGTTACCATTAGTTAATAGAATCGCCCTGACTGGCCAAGACAATACTCATTACCAAATGGTTATCCCGACGCCTGCCGAACAAGCTCTCCCCCAACACCCGATTGTGGAGTTGGTCAATCTCCGGGAGTTTATTCTCCATCCCGACTTCTACTGCGGGTATTTTCCGCCAGAAGGAGAGAGAGAGGAAAAACATCCGTTGTTTTTCTGGGGTCCGGGGTAGCCGCCCGGCGATTGATGCGCGATTTACTAATATACTACGGCCCCGGACGAATGGGCGTTTCGATGATTGTCTCTTTCTTCCTTTTGTATCTGGGGAAGTTTCTGTTAGTCAAGGTTTCTGTCATTGAGGGTCTCTGGCAACAATGTCGTTTTTGTAAGGCTTCTTTTGATGGGAATAAATTAAGGCCACACCCGCCGATGTTGGAAGGTCAAGGGATATGCCTCCTAGAGATAGATCGAACCATTTGCGCCTCCGAAAGGTCATTTGACTATGGAGGCCACGGAGGAATGCAAGGGTCACAACCTCCGACCGCGAAATGAACGGCTCTCGGTCCTGTTTCCGTTGTCAAGCCATGCGGTGTGGTACCGCGGTCGACAAGCACTTCATATGAGCCTTTTCATAACCTTCCGGTCTCTGTGGCCCTTGGATAGATTAGGAATAAGCTTATTTTAGGCACAGTTCCCTTAAGCTTTATAACTCTGGTACTTTGTCCTTATGAAGTGTGGATGAACCTCAGTTTCTAAGCTTCGGGTTAGATTTCCGCATCCGAACCTTCTTCGGCACCGATGCAAGGAGCAAGTGTAGTACTGCTACTACCAGGTCGTACCTAGTAGTACTTGTACAGAGGACCTGAGCCGAGGTTGAGTACCAGAGTCTCCGGACAGGGTACCTATTGGCTAGTAAACCTGGGCAGAACAGCAATTAACTGTGCAACGATCTTCAACTCTGATATCCTATCCTCAGTCCTGCCGACTAGAAGTCTGCCCATTAATCAATAGAAACAGGTCCATGTAGCTATCAATACCTGCTGGATCATGATCTGCCCCTCACATCGCCAAGGCTCGTGTCAGCTCGCTTGGACCTTCGTGTGTTCAGTTTACCCCTCCATTGTATCATTTGAGGAGCTGAGCAACCGCGATAGCCTAGCATTTGGTTTGGCCAACGTGAGTCCGACAATAAAATACTTCAAATTCTCATCTGTCCTTCTGTCGGTCTCTGCAGCAGGTAAACATTCGCAACCATGGCTACTGTAACGGAAAATGGCCGTATTGCGCAGGGTGAGGAAGACTCGGCTCATGAGCCATCCTTCTATGACCAGAAGGACGCTCGCCAGGTCATGGGGAAGATCTTCAGTACAAACTTTGCAGTCATGGTAGCTGGACTGAATGGTCTGTTTATTTCTTGCCTTTTGGGAAAAAGTGGGGAGTTCCGAACTGACCGACAGTAGACGCTGCCACCGGTGTTCTGATACCATACATCCAACCAACGTACCAGATAGGCTTGCTTCAAGTCTCATTTATATACCTTGTGAATTTTGCCGGCTGGCTCTGCGCCTGTTTCGCCAACATCCATGTCTGCTCCAGACTAGGGACGGGAGGAACGTTGGTCCTTGGCGCAACCATCCAATGCATCGGATATGCACTGATGTTCTGGCATCCGCCCTATCCTCTCTTTATGGCCGCCTTCTTTTTTTCAGGAGCGGGCGTCGCTTTTCAGGATGCGCAGGCCAATGCCTTCACTATCACGGTGAAAAACTCTCATAGGTGGCTTGGCATACTTCACGCTATTTACGGCTTAGGAACAATCATTGCTCCGTTAATTGCGAACACAATCGCCTCGCAGACGCCGGAATGGCATCATTACTACTTGATCACATTATGCGTGGGTGTATTGAATATCTTGTCTCTGTGTTGGACATTCAGGCGGGGGCTTTTCCAGCCTAACGTGCGGAACGCGAAGGAGACGGCCGGTAGTGAATTGAGAGCTACGCTAGCAAACCGGTCGGTATGGATCCTGAACGGATTCTTCTTCCTTTATGCTGGTGCGGAGGTGGCTTCTGGTGGTAGGTTTCCCGAAACATGGCCCCAATAATTTCCACTCATCAGTCCCAGCTGACATTAGACAGGGTGGATTGTCCAGTTCATCGTCTCAGTGAGGCATGGCGACCCAAAGAAGGTAGGCTATATCGCCTCCGGGTTTTGGACAGGTTTTACCGTTGGTCGAGTTCTTCTCGCGGACGTCACCCATAGATTTGGCGAGCGCCGAATGGTCTTTGTTTATCTCGTCCTGGCGGTGATGATGCAGCTCATGTTCTGGTTTGTCCCGAGCATTCCTGTTAATGCTATCGCGGTTTTCCTCTTGGGTATGGATCTTGAGCATTCGCAGCAGATATGATCGGTTACTGACAAGTGAAATAGGGTTCTTTATCGGACCGTTTTACCCTGTTGGGTTGTACGTTCTCACCGAAATCGTTCCCCAAGAGCTTCATGTCGGGGCAATAGGTGTGTTATCTTGGCACCGTCTTTCTTTTGCATGTACTGCAGTGTCAGTTTCGCTTTTCTAACCCCCTCGAAATAGGTTTCACTGCGAGTCTAGGACAAGCTGGTTCTGCCGCTTTTCCTTTCATGACAGGTGCAATAGCCTCGAAAGCTGGTGTCCAAGTCTTGCAACCGATTATGGTCGGTTTGCTGATTGGCATTGGCATTTTCTGGGCTTTTATTCCCAAGCAGGGGTCCATAAGGCTCGAGGACGACGAGAACGATCGACTTATAGAAAATTAGAATAAGCAGGCGATGGACTTGTTGAGATGGTTGATCTGAATTCGGAAGTGGATCCTACACTAGATTTGAACATTGCATTGGTATATTGTTTGTCTGTCTAGTTGTTTTCTATAGACCTCATACAAGATTGAACCCGGGGACGGAACACTAAGGCGTTTGATATAAAAGATGCCCCTGATGTCACCTCAGGAATGATTCAGTTGGTTCATCAAAGAGTGGGTTTACCCCGACGTTGCTGCGCAAGCCGCGGTGAGACTGACATTCATGTCTATGGCTCGCTTTGTGTGGCTTATAGGTTACTTGGCAGGTTGTGACTAAGTAGACTCAACCTGGGTAGCTCATTACGCCAAAAAGCACACGGGAGACGTCCAGGTGAGGATCCAATATAACTCCAGCACCGATGCAAGGTTGAAGCTACATGTAATTGTACAGTAATCGCGTGGTGTTCCGAGCTATACGGAATAATTCCTGCTTCGTCTGGCCAGTTAGCATCATAGACTCTACATGGATCAAGTTTGAACATATTTGAAAAAGGCTCAGAGAGAAGATTAAAGTCGCCATAGTCTTACACATCCGCAGATGGTATGACGATCCGACTAAGGATGACTGATACGAAAAATTTTCATCATAGCTGGGGAACTGGGATCAAGTAGAGGAGACTCACAGAACGCTGGATGATGATTCGAGACTCGTATCTGTAGTCGCCGGTAGCGGGATTTAATAACGCTCGGAGCCCACAATGGGCTTCTGTTTTCCCTTCTATTTATTCGTCTCATAAGTCGACGATTAATCTTCATACGACACGATCCTGCGACCAGCGAACTGAGCTCTATACCCAGACGGAGTAGGCTTGTGGGAGGTATTCCCATCAGCCTCTTCATCATAATCTAGGGTGGAGTTCGAGCTATTATGTTCGGTTTGCATCTTAGCCAGTGGTTGTTTAGGCTCAGAGCGCAAGGTTTGTATTTTGTGCTCCCCTGTTGATTGATCAGTTTCACCGACAACAGCACCAGATTGCTTGTCAGCTGTGCCAGATTCATCTATATCATCATGGGATTCAGATGACTTTTGAGCCAGCTCTTCCTCCCTAAGCTGTCTTTCACGTAGGATTGAGTGTATCTCGCTATGTCTGAATATTTTGATCTGCTCATCCGTTAGGGTACGCTTCACACCATCAGGATAGTACCCGAGGCCGTCATCATCGTCTGCGGGCTCTTTCGATACGTTCTCATTATACGAGTATTCAGATACAAGGGGCCGTCCAGTTCCGGGAAAATGTTGGGCTTGAAACGCTTGTAGGTCTTCCTATAGCGAAGGGCGTCAGTTGTGGGTCCGGACGGCAGAGGTGACAACTCACTATCGTTACAGATGGGAGATTTATGTTAGACATAATTTGCAATGCAAAGCTTCTCGCGTCAATTGAATCAAGATGAGAATGTAGTCTAGTTGATCGACGTGGCAGCTACCAGAGCAAGTGGAAGGCCGGCGGGGGGGAATTCCGATGCACGCGTTTCTTAGCGCGACAAACAGTCCGCTTTGTAATTTATTTTTCGTGAATTTGCGTCCTTAGGCATCAAACCACCCTTATGGATTGCTTTGTATGCAACTTCGATGGTAAATTCAATCTGCCGTCTATTTATCCGTGATGTCGGAGCAAATGGCAAATTGCCTGATGCACTACTATACCAAAGGCTTACTTTTGTACATTCAAGATAAATAGATCAATCAACCTAGCTTCTACAAGCTTCATCAGAAAATACACGATCTACGAGAAATGTAAAAGGAAGGTGAATATATAGCTTCGCATTCACAATGCAGACCTCACATGCAGAACGCTTTGGAACCATCTGCCTGAAGAATATCTAGACAAAACAATTGAGACGCCTAAGCAAATCGCTCTACATCCACCCCGTAAGGGGGCTCGCTCGCAGCAGTATGCTACGGGATGCAGCCTGCTTTGAAGCCACCTTGAATAAATATTCCAACTAAGGCTCTATAGAGGAATTCGTCACAACAAAGTCAACCGATCGAATAATTTAAATGTGGCTATAACCCCAACTATAATCATTCTACACAGGCTGCGAACGAGGTGAGCGGACATACCACCTTCCCAAGGGTGTACTTGCAGCAATGTCATACAACAGTCTCTTGCCGATCTGTAAGAATATCTGCGATGAAGCTCGGTATTCGGTCGTGGTATCAAGGGCTCGCAAGTCCGAACACCAGGGTGTTCGGACCCCAAGCTTCAAATAATGAAAGAAGTGCCAGAAATGTGGGGCAAGTTATTGGATCTTGAAACTTCTGGGGACTCTTTGGCACGGCGAGGTCCTCGCTCGTTAGACGTACGAAAAGAGTAGGTTTCAACTGTCCTTAAAATATAGCACTAGAACTCATGTGACTGTTGAATCAACTCGAGCGAAGACATCTTTCCCGTGTCCGTCCAGTTGTTGGACTGCGAAGAGTATGAATATTATTGAAAAACGAAAGTTGGTTGCACAACAGATAATAAACGACGTGCAGTTCAACAGTGCCAGATGATTGAAGGCATAGTATCATGGAGATAGAAGATCATAGATTACTCTTGGAAAGTACTATTCATTATATGTTGCATTGAGCAACCCAGGGTGACGTAGGTTACTCTTAGTCTTTCTAGCCTTTACCTTTCCTAGATTTACTCAATCTAGCTGATTCTGGTGACACTATAGATACCGTAATTGATTTAGGAGGAGGTACATGCACCTTTTGTGAAAAGCACTTTCCAAGTTATATTTTCGAAGCATCGATACTACTTGTAAGAGCGGCTTCGACTTGTTGATAGAGCAGATCCAGACATCTCTGGTATATTATATTTCTATTCCACTACTTTGTATTTTGCTGTCGCACGGTTCTACAATATATACTATGTTTGACTATGAACCAAAAAGCGTCGGCCTCTTTCTTCATCTCTTTGATCCTTCGGCCGAAAAGAGCGAATCTGTTCTATTGCAAAATCCTAATGACCCTGATGGGCTCTTCTGTATAGCACCGCAAGCAAGCCAATTAGATCATAACAAAACACACACCTGGTTTATAATTATGAATCTACCAGTTAGGTATGAGCCACGGTACAATTCTCTCAAGCCATGTTGCGCAATTACATGGTTTAAAGTCCGAGGACCTGCTGGGTCTCAACAACGGATTGTAGAAAAAGTTCAGCAAGGGTAGACATATCATGACTTTCATTAAGTTTCATTTTCTCCGTTCCTTCTTTCCTTTTCCTTTTGTCACTTTTTTTTTTAATTTTGTTTTTAATTTCTTTTTTGCTCGGCTGATCGTAAAGAGATTTTTTTTCTACCGTTTCCTTGGATAAAGTTTGAGACTGAAGGGATGTACGGGGTATGGCCAATGGAATCAGTACAAGTTAGCCTCCAGAGCACCGGACTACTCCACAGTTATGCACAGATATGTTTATATACCATTAACTAATCAGCTGATCTCCACAGTTGGTCGTGAATCCAATCCAATTGCACTAGTAGTTCTCTGCAAGGCATCGATCAATTTTGTTCGCATGTCACAGGACACATGAAAATCTTCCGATTCTAACTTAACCAATCATTCCAGTAGGAAGTGGTATACTTGTTATATTGTTGCCAATTTTGGCTTTCACGCAGTCAAAGCGAACGCTAAGGCCACATAGATCTTGGAGAACCATATTCGCGATCTGATTCCTCTCATCGGCGGAGGGTTCCGTCAGGCTCCATGCGAGAGAGATATGAAAGCAGTGGGAGTAATCTGGGAAATCGGTTCGTCCATTGGCTTCGTTTCGCCGCGGTTGCATGGGGCCACTGGAGTCTGCATCTGCACTTGAGACATGCGGTGAAGCCTCGTAGAGCGGCGGCTGGCCAAATAGAGCTAGGGACCGATTTGAGAGTCCGAGGAGGCGGTTCAGAGCGTCATTTTCTGGCCTTTTTAGGCGAAAAACATAAAACCACCGTGTCTTTTCGTAATTGGGTACACAGTGCAAGCCATCTGTTGCAACATTGAACCTTGGGCGTTGTCAGAAACGTTATAGCCCTGCAAGGAGGAGAATGCAACTTACTCCCTTATATTGGAGCCTCGGATAGCTGATTGAAAAGTCTCCAAAAATGAAAATCTCTGTTCTGTCCGAAGAACTACCGGCCTCGAGAGGCTGATATGCAGAGGGAGTTGTGCGCCAAGATCACTTCGTAGCAAGCTATTAAGCTCCACTTTACTCTCTCTAAGCTTTCTCTTAATCTGCGCTATAGCCTTGCCCAATGTGGCCAGCTCTTCTTTGGATGGATACCCTATTCGTGTCAGCTCGCAAATTGGGAATAGCAGCGGAGACTGAGGCCTTACATTCTAAATATATATGAGTAGGCCAATTCCCTTCAACGTGCGGAATGACCCTTTTACGGCCGCCATGGAGGCTTGGGTCATCCTTTACACTAATACGAGTGCTTGACGCATATAGATCGTGGAAGGCTTTGGGTAATGGGGGGAGGGCTGAGACTGGGGTGGCAGTGCTTTCTTGACGCAGTCTCTTGACTGGTCTTGGGGGTATTTCACTTTGTGAAGGATCTTCTTCGGACTCGGAATCCGAATACTGCACCAAAGCCATCATATGATGAGTCGTTGCGTTGGGGGAAAACGGTTTGTTGTTCAGCTCTCGAGCCAAGAAACGTGTTGGTAACTTTTGGTATTTCTGGGAGTGCCAAGCCTGCCGCTTTCTTTACCCCAATGAAACATTGACAATACATACTGGCGACTTCGTGTATGCATCTCTTGGTCATAATTCCGTACAGCCTATTAATATCAGAAATTGGAAATACCTCGCTATTATACGGGTTATGCCTTGCATCCCGAGCTGCCAGTAATATAGTAGTAAACTGACTCGTCCAATTACTTGCCGTAAAACTGACCGGAAGTATGAGCCAGGACTCCCCCCTTTCCAATGATATTCGGACACCGAAGTGATCCTCTCAAGTTTCTATTACCGTAGACTATAGTATTCTTACAGGCTAGTTTTCTACATTTCGGACGCCAGAAAGCTAAATATTCGTAATGCTTGCCACGGACCGATTAGTAGGCAAAAGGAAAAGGTAAAACCAATCGTATGACTCAGATTTGAACAAATATTTTTAGCTTTTTTAATTTACTAGATCTCAATTTTGTTGGAAATATCGGAAAATGTTCCAGCACCTGCTTTATCGAAATTCTCCGGACTTTGTTGCGGTACGGAGTACATAGGAACCAACTTCTAGTGATTAAAAATTTTTGAATGAAAAAAAGTGTCCAATGGCTCAGGGCTGAAGGTTTTGGACTCTGAGCTGAACCGGTGGCTCGTGCGAGTGAACTAAACGTCATGGAAGCGGATTCCACGGTCCTTCTAGACCCCTCGCTAGTACTACATCACAGAGTAGCACCTGTACTACGCTACGTTACTGCGATCAGCACGGACGCTATAATCGTGCTAGGAATAAGCTTAAAATCGAAGAGTATCTTGTCTTTGTAGAAGCGATTCCATAGATACATTGAAGTGTACTATAGTTCGAATAAATAAATTGTTAAGGAGATAGATATGCGCCTCGCCAGGTGGAAACTGCAGACCCTCCGTGAGATCATTATATGACGTGACACTAAGAATTGGTCAGCAGTGATCTGCGACCCACCGGAGTCATCTAACCCAGTCAGAGTCAGAAAGTCGAGAATGAGCAGGAAACTGTTAGTTGGGTTGACGTACCTCAAAAAATTGCAACTGCCTTTTGGTACCTAAGGTCCCCGCGGATGAGCCGGGCGATGGTGGCAGAGGATTCCATGGATTATAATGTTGGGTAATAAAAAAAAGCGAAAAATCTACCATTCTAGACTCGTCTTTTCATCATTGAAGTCAGGGCAATGCAACCAAAAGGGTCTAGTCTTCCGAAGGGATCCTGACGCTAAACCCAGACAGGGGCTGACGTGCCACCGTTATCGATAAGCCCCCGGACCCTGTGGAAAGATCATACGCAAGTCGTCACGTCACTCTCGGCCTCCGGTGGGCAGTGATTACTCTTAGATGACTGTTCTCGCTCAATAAAATTTCTCTGCTAAATCTTCTTCTCTTTCCTGTCCTCTCCTACTTCTTCTTCTCAGATAAACTCGTCTCTGTCAACTTCATATCATCGGATTGCACTTAAGACCCTTTTCGTGAGGTTCTACTATTTTCAATACCTAGCCCCACATCGGATCGTGACACTAAACGCACTATCGCAATAGCGTCGGGGTGCTATCACCTACCTGCATACACCTATCCAACTCTATTCAGCCATCTGAGCTGTCAGTAGACTGGCCTCGCTTTTATTTTACGGCACCTTCACCGTCTATTCGAAAAGATGTCCTCCGCCGGCGAGGCGATCTATATGACACCCTACTCACCCTATCCTTCTCACCAGCAGCAGCGGGAGATGGAACTGAACATGAACAATGCCTACTGCCGCTTCCTCTCTCCTTCACCAACCCGCCAGTCACTTCGGCGTCAGCGATCCTCTTCTATCCCTTCCGTCTATTTCGACGGATACCTCGAGCACGTCCCTGTTGAGCCAAGAAGAAGACGCGAGTGCCCTAGCTACTATAGCCAGCACTCCCGCCGCCAGTCTCGCGGAACACGACGCACGACGAGGTATTCTCGGGATAGTCAGCTTGTTAATCCTGATATCATCGACCGCTTGGATAGTGCCAGCTTTTATCAGTATCATCACGAAGGACCCTACGATGCGGTTTACCCTGAAAGAAATATCGACAGCAAAGCGAGCCCGATCGAGGCCGTCAAAAGAACGAACGCAGAAGCCTTGAAAGCCACCCCAGAGGATAAGATCAAAGACTGCATCAACAGTCATCGTCCTCTCGATGGCGTGGCTTTCTACCCCCCTGGAACGATAGATCGGGAAGGACAAACGTACAACTATGAGGAAGGTACCAATATGATGAACGATTATGGTAATTTTATGCGTTGCCCCGGCATGGTGAGTTACCTATCTTGCCCATTTGCTTCGTCATGATCAAACATTAATCTCTTTGCAGAAATTCACCGATGAAGATTTCAAGAATGATCCATTCTACAACACACCCCTACCGAAGCCTTTCGCCTCCCTCAGAAAGGCACTGAGTCTGCGTCGTCGCAGCCGCAGGGATACTCAATAAGCTTGGAATCAATTTCTCCGCTTTCGAAATTTTAATTAAGGGATATATAAAGGATCATGATGTTATAAAGGACTAGGATGTCAGGGATTTGGACATTACAATGTGATACCTCATGTTTTATATTTTCTTCAGCATTATGATAGGGACGAATGGGTTGATTTACGGTTATGTTCGGAGTTTTGGGAAACGAGATGTCATTTACCCTGCATGTTGTCCGACTTTCTGTATTTAAATGTCTGTCAAGTTCAGATGTGCTTCTTCCTACGGCCGTTGGACTTGACCGCGGTCATGAATGGACATTTTTTTTAATGTTGATTCGACCTGTTCCTGTACTGAATGCCCATCAGAGAACCCGCTGGACGTACTTCATCCTCTCGGGTGTCGCATCTATACATTCGATAGAGTGACTTTACACAAACAAATAAACCTGTTTGTGCCGCTAGGAGTGACAACACATTCGACCGAGGCAATATACAAATCCCAGAGCATTACCATTAGTATCTTAATACCTCCCACTCAAGTAAAGTTATGCTACTCCGTACTGTGCTATTGAGTTTAATGTAAATAATCCCAACTAAGGAGGCAAAAATGAAGCGCGATAATGCATAACAGCGGAACAGCGTACGCATATATGTATACTAGATTCTGTCGGAGTCTCGATGCTGTAGCTCACCCTTGCATATCCCATATATTAGCAAGTCATTAATACGCCCAACCTTGCAGATGGTCATTTACATATAGACAGTATTACTCTCCTTAGTAGCCAAAGGTAGATAGTTGTGTATTATTATTATTATTTAAAAAAAACTTTTGGTCGTCCACCTTCCCTTGACCCCATCCCCTCAACCCAAAAATAGTAACACCATCTCCTTTAAGGTCCGTACAGACTTGGTGTGTTATAGCATTATGACAAGTTCCCTGGAGCAAATATGAATGCACCGAGCATGGAGGGCCCTTCATGATGATAAGCTCTTAGGGCTGGATTGTCTCCACGCGACGCCAAGATATTGGGAGCGGGGGAGGACGCTCATTGCGCTAAAGTGTATATGCGCACGCTAGGAACAACATGGGTGACAATAAGGCTGGTAGGGGTTGATACCATCCGAGAAAAAGAAGTATCACACCATTACATAGCTAGATAGCACGCTATATTTCCTACCCATCTAGATAAATAGTCTTTCCTGTTCAGGAGCTAGATAATCGTGTGACTTGCACAAGGACTATACACGATATTGTTAAGCGCAATGAGAGCATAAGGGATATTTGCCTAAGCACTTGAGCGTCAACTATGCTTTATTTTTATTCTATTACCTGGGATTCAATTACACCAAAGGGTTCTTGTTAAGCATGGGGTAGATTATATAGGCCGGGATTACGCGGTAAGTACTCCCATTACGGCGTGGTGACCTTAATCTTCTAATTATGATTACAGGTCGCCGAATAATTTCACGAGGTAGGATTCTTCTCTCTGATTGTTATTCCGATTACTAGTTAAATAAGATCGTTATGTGTCATCCTTATTATTATTGTCTCACTTTAAACTGAAACCACCAGTGAGTACAAGTCTTTGTTCGAATATAATGGGGCGACCAAATGAAGGTGCATCAGGAAAAGGCTTGGCGCGTGTTATTGATAATCATCCGACGATTGTCATGCAACTCCGCCACCAAGGACAGCTTGTCAACTTCTCTCGTGCTGCGCCTTCATAACTCATCCAATCCGCTCGTTCCGTCCTTGAAATTTCTTGGTCGCATTACATCTTATTGAACATTTTCATATTTATTATCCCTTTTTTTAAAAAAAAACTACAATACACATACAGCAGTCAGTGGACTATTACCGAGAGAAGATCATGAGTTTAAGACTTGTGTGATCTGATTGACAATCTTGAGGCCCACTGTTCGTGATTTTCATGTGAACAACCAAGAGACACCAATTTTCTATCCCCTATACATTCATTTATAACCGGCTTTCTTGCACGTCATACTGTGAATAAAATTATGCATTCTGCAGCCAAGGGATTTTATTTGGCTGTGTTTGCCTTCCTGAGCCTCACGAATGCCGCCTCTCATACGGAATCAAGTCTGCAACATGGCCATGATGCCTGCGCTGTGAGTTAAACCTCTGAAACCTGTTCCGAGATTGCTCTCGGCGCTCTCCAGAAACTAGCTTTGCTAATATGCTGTCTTCTTGTCTAGATTGACCCCAAAGCCACGGTTTCAGATGCTTGCGTTTCCTATACCACCATTGACTCGCTGAACGATAAAGTTTACCCTCTCCTTCAATCCATAACCCAAGACACCGACTTCTTCTCATATTATCGCCTAAACCTCTTCAACAAAGTCTGTCCTTTCTGGTCAGATGAGAATAGCATGTGTGGCAACATCGCATGCGCCGTTACTACCATCGAGGCGGAAGAGGATATCCCGCTACCCTGGCGCGCGGAAGAGCTAAGTAAGCTCGAGGGTCCCAAAGCTGGTCATCCTAGCCCTGGGCTTCGGGGGCAGCGTCCCGGCGACCGACCCCTCCAGGGTATGCTGGGAGAAGACGTCGGAGAAAGCTGCGTGGTCGAGTATGATGATGAGTGCGACCAGCGAGACTATTGCGTTCCAGAGGACGAAGGGGCGAGCGGCAAAGGTGACTATGTCAGCTTGCTAGATAACCCGGAGCGATTCACGGGGTATGCAGGAATGGGAGCCCACCAGGTTTGGAACGCTATCTACCGTGAGAATTGTTTCCTGAAGTCAACACCGCAACAGTTAGAATTGTCTCCGAACCCTCAATTTGGAGGGCTTCAGGCGGCCAATGACTTGCGCAACGTCCTCCAAAAGGAGCTCAAGCGCACTGAGGGATTGCCGCTGGACAATGAGTGCCTCGAGAAGCGTGTCTTCCACCGGGTTATCAGCGGCATGCATGCGTCTATCTCCACACATCTCTGCTGGGACTATTTCAACCAGACTACTGGTCAATGGAACCCGAACCTACATTGTTTCAAGGAAAGACTGCATGACCACCCAGAGCGCATCTCGAACTTGTACTTCAACTATGCATTGGTGTCCCGTGCCGTCGCGAAACTGCGAAAGCATCTCGAGAACTACACTTACTGCACCAGCGACCCTGTGCAAGACGCAGACACCAAAGAGAAGGTATCCCTCTTGACCTCTGCCCTTGCCAACCGGCCGCAGATCTTCGACGAGAACTTGATGTTCCAGGATCCAAGCGCCATCGGACTGAAGGAAGACTTCCGCAACCGATTCAGGAATGTGAGCCGCTTGATGGACTGTGTTGGATGCGATAAGTGCCGGCTATGGGGAAAGCTACAGGTTAACGGATATGGCACTGCTCTGAAGGTCTTGTTTGAGTACGACGAAACTAAGAATGGAGAAAACCCTCCTTTACGGAGGACAGAGCTTGTGGCTTTGGTCAATACTCTGGGTCGCATCTCTCACAGCGTCGCAGCTATTAGAAGTTTCCACCGCGCTATGGATGTGCGTGATGGCGAGACTCTTACAATTCCTGCTGACGTGTCGTCGGTCAAGAACCCCGAGGGCAAGAGAACTCGACGTCTTGTCAAAGACGGTGGTTCGACTTTCTACTACGAGGACGATGAGGACGATTTTCAGTATCTTACTGAAAAGCTACCCTGGGAGCGGAGGCCCCGAAACGAAGATGACGGCTTTCTGGACGACCTCAGTTCCGAGTTTGAAGTCTTCTGGAATACGTTCGTCTACGTCTTGAGGAGCTGGGCTCGTATTCCCCAAACTATGTAAGTCAATACCTAGCACAAAAACAACACCTAGGCTGCTAACAGTCATACCGTACAGATTTGAAATCACTGTGCTAGAGTTAAACCGAGTCTGGAATTATTGGCTAGGTCTTCCTGTGCCGCCGCGATCGTGGAAGATTCAACGACCGGTGCAGCCGGGCATGCAGAGTCGCGATGAGCTATAACCGGAGTATTTTACAGCATATACATTTTGGTGACTGGGTTGTTGATGGATCATTTGACTGTACTATAATAGCAGAGGCTCTCTTCATTGGCGTTTTCAGGCGTTGTTAACTACCAACGGGTGCACAGATTTGGAGTTATAGGGTGGATCACATCAACTCTGGATATTAGATCTGCTTTGAGACTTTTTGACCAAGCATCATTAGATCGAATTGATATCAATATTACTGAAGGTAATTTGGATAGGATTGCCTCATTCTAGAACTTCGTTCTTGGCTAGCATATGAATCAGCCAGATTTCGGATTTCGCTCGGAGTTTCCCGTCGGCAAGCATCCTGGGAGCCTCGGCATTTCCGGGCACATGCACCCGCCGGGCTTTTTGATTTCTCCTCCTTTGCGCCTCCACCGCTCTCTGACCCCATCTCCACCTAATTCCATTCAACTCTCCTCGACTCTTCTCTTTCCCCATTTCCAAGGCCACGCTATCTCCATCACCCTTAGTACGAAGGGCCCTACTAATCATCTTCGCTTGGGTCGATCTCGATGCGAGGGTGCTGATTGACTATCTCCGATACACTTATGGCGTCGGTTTCGCCACCCAAACCGTGGGAGAGAGCAGGTGCCGCTGCTGGTGGTAAGTCATTAATGAACTATCGATTTATGTGTCTCTCTTGACTTGAACTCACGCGCGAATTTACTAGGGAACGCATTGTCTGCATCGACTACCGCCCCTTCTGTTATGACTCCCACAACAACCACCTCGGCCGCGCCGGCCGCGACATCTACAACCGCCTCATCATCTACCGCCCCCGACCTTCCCTCTCGTCCTAATTCATTAAATACAGTGGTAAATCGTACTGCATCCAATTATTCGCCGTACGGTGCCTCCCGCTTCGGAGCAAGCCCGTATGGAGGAGGGTATGGCGGCTATGGCTCATACTCCTCGCCATATTCCCGCTTTGGCACTATGGGGTCAATGTACGGAGGTTATGGTGGCATGTACGGTGGAATGGGAGGCATGGGGGGGATGGGGGGGATGTACGGTGGCATGCCTGCAGATCCCAACGATCCCAACAGCTTGACCAATTCTTTCAGTCAAAGCACACAAGCTACATTTCAGATGATTGAAAGCATTGTGGGCGCGTTTGGTGGATTCGCGCAGATGCTTGAAAGCACTTATATGGCGACTCATAGCTCCTTCTTTGGTAAGTTACTATTATCTACCCTGACCAGCGGTCAAGGTTTAGCCTTACTAATACTTTTGGTCAGCTATGGTCTCTGTCGCAGAGCAGTTTGGAAATCTGCGTAACACCTTGGGCTCGGCCCTCGGAATTTTCACTATCATTCGGTGGTTTAAGACATTGATCGCTAAGATCACCGGTCGTCCTCCGCCAGCGGACGCTACTTCTCTGACACCCACCGCATTTGCGGCATTTTTGCACGGTCGGAGTTCTCCGGCTACCCTTCCGGACGGTTCCCCCGCACCACCAAAACCATCGAAGAAGCCATTTATCATGTTCCTAGTTGCCGTATTCGGCCTTCCCTACCTGATGAGTAAGCTCATCAAGGCACTTGCCCGTTCACAAGAAGAACGTCAAAAGCTCATGCTAGGGCCAAACGGCGAACCCCTGCAGCAGGCACCATTAGATCCATCGAAACTCGACTTCTGTCGGGTATTGTACGACTACACCCCTGAGACTCAGGAGAGCAATGGCATTGACTTGGCCGTGAAGAAGGGCGACATCGTCGCTGTTCTCAGCAAGTCAGATCCCATGGGTAATGCGTCTGAATGGTGGCGCTGCCGCGCTCGAGACGGCCGTGTTGGGTACCTGCCCGGGCCATATCTGGAGACAATTCAGCGGAAACCACAGCAGCAAGCGATCACATCGGGCAGCGAAGCCGGCAGCCGTGCCAACAGCATGCAGGCTAGTGTCTCGAAAGACATAACGGCTGACGAGAAGAAGCCTGAGCTCAAAGGAAAGATGGGTGACATCTCTCCGGAAAGTTTCCAGAAGAGTGCTTTTTACTCGTAATGCCTGAGCGGGTGTGATAAGCCCTGCGTTCTTTCTTAATTATATCATTAGTCCACGAGCAGGAGTTCATGTCGTGTTAACTCTCCTGCCGCATGGATCTTACTACTAATGGGCGGGACCTTATGACTACTTCACTTCACTACTGGATATTCGAGCGTTGGGTGCTTAGAGGTATACGGACTCTTTCATGTTCATCTCTCTTTTCTTTTTTCTCGCGTGTTTCGTGTTCTACGTTTTCAGCGGCCAGATGACTATTTATATCATTTACCACTTCATACCGTGTACAGATTACCATCTTTCCTTCTGTTGGCAAGACAAAAATTGATCGGTTGATAAGAGAGCTTCATTTCACCCCCCATCCTTTTACAGAATAACACTTGTAACCAAACACTAAACACCGAGCCACCCAAAAAAAGCCCCAAATTCCAACCTCATATAAGAAAATCACCATAATCGGACCAGTTCAACTACACCTATTAGCCGAGAATCGAGTCTAAAGGATGGGATATATGTGCCGAAATGGAATATGGAATTGATCAGATCGGTGGCGAAATACGATACTTGCTAACTATGTACATATATACATACTCCTAGTACATTTGATAATGGCGATTACATACGTATGTACATATGGCATGAACATGCGGACTCATAGATCAACTTGGTACTTAAGTATGTGTATCGCTCATTGTGGACATACTTACTATATATAGTCTGGCTAGGAGGGAAAACGTCTATATGTGAAAAGTGAAAAGTTAAGTACGAAAGTATTCGTTCATCAATTAGGAATTACTGTACTGTACCACTAGTTCACTATTACGTTCAGCTCGAGATACCAAATGAGTTAGGTTGATTATAATAAGTACCAGCACGGAGTACATATTACTCCCACTCTATCACCCAAAGCAACATATATATACTCCGTCCATATGTACATATACAAGTAAGTGTCCAGCACCAACTACTAAAATACCGTAGCCTAGTCCACACCCGACCCTATCCGACCTTTTCTTTTCTAGAAACCAACCAAACCAGATGATATAGTCACGGGGGAGTGAAAAAAACAAAAGGGAGGGCCGCGCCAACCAGGACTATTCGCTTACGTCGTTTATGGCGAGAACCAGGTAGGTGGCGAAAATGTAGAAGCAGGTATTGAGGATTATATTTATATTTATGTTTATGTTTATGTTTACTTAGTGGCTTGATACAATGAGTTAGTGTGGCAGTGACTGCACTGCGGCTTACGATTTGAAAAGTGAGTGTTTCCTCTTTTAGAACGGGCCGCAAAAGTACCGATGGTAGTATTCGGTATGCACTTTGCTTTTTTTACTTTGTGATCGTCTGCTGGACGATCACTCCGGATTTGGGATCTTGTCGATTGGATTACATCATGGTGCTTGCAGTTTGCAGGTTTGATGCCCGACATAATAGTACTTTTTTTTAATGGCTGGGGTTATTGTGAATGAAACAGATTTATACCTTGGGGGTTTTTGACGGTTTGTTGGGGAATTATGGGGTCGAAGGATGTGATTGCTGCGAGACACGGACGTATGTATTGTTGGGGGTTGAACTCTGGTATTTGCAAGGGCCTGGGCGTAGAAACTAGTGACAAAGTACGAGAGACCTCCAAAGGCAAATTATATAGAGATCAACTATCCAGTCATAGGCGACGTTGGGATCTGAAACCACCGGCTCTGGCGCTTTGATCGACAGCTGGACTCGAGTCAAGAGACTTACGCCAACACCCAATCGGGAAAGGAGGTGGAATCCTTTCCCCATCTCTCATAGCCTCGGTGTAACTGATTCAGGCGCGGATATCGTTTCCGTCCTGGTCGGTAGGCTGCTTGTGTGCTATTAGTCAGTTCCTCTAGACAGGGGTGGATTTGTCGTTTGTCTGTTCGAGTGGCAAATGCCCTTGTTGACCGGCGATCGAGTCGTAATCGTGTGGCCTTGTTACGCAGTAGTTTTATGGACACTTCAGATGTTATTCATATGGTTGACAGCAAATATCATATATTCCAGGGCCCAACAAATCCCTCAATTCATTTCTCTGCCAGTGTTGAGGTCTGATCGGACTAGGAAGGTGTTGATGTTCCTTGCCCCTGTACCTTATTTGGCGATGCGGTGACCGCGAACCATTTCACGGGGGATTGTTGCCATCGTGGTAAGGGCTTGCGGCTCCTTTCATATGTCCTCAAAATTCCTTTTGGCCCCTTTGGTTTCGGACTATTCTGTGGATGCCAGCCTAGCCCCCCAGTATACCATCGTAATTTCCGGCAGTACGAGGTACGGATCGCTTTGTTGTATTGTAGTGAGTTGGGACGGTGCTTCCCTTTTCAAGTCAGGGTCTCTCGGTGTCTCATCATATATCAGTCTTCCGTTTAGATATGATACACGGAAGTTGGGCGGTGCTTTTATGTGGAAGAATAGTAGCTGCAACTCTCAGTAAGCCTCAAATAGGCACATCTGTACCCCGCAAGGCCCATGTATTTGCCTTATCAAATGTAAGCGAGCTTGTCTCGTGTGCGTGCGTTATCCTGTGTGTTGCATGGATGAGATGTCGTGGAGCTGCTAAGGGCGGCACGGTCCGAGCCGCTGTTGTACGGAGCACATCCAACAGTGGCAGGGGTCATAGAGACTAACTGGAAGTGTCATTGTGGTGTACCTGCTGCATTGTATGGTCGGTAATTAGTCCTAGAGGAAGGTACTAGATTGTCGAATGCATTGTCTGATAGGCCTATAGCGTCCTTGCGATGGAGATTCCGTGCAGCAGCACATACGGAACGGTATAGATAGTTTGGACCCTTCCGAGATAGTGGTGAGTTAGCTGCAGTATCCTTATAGATCCAAATGACATATTTTGAAAGTAACTTATCGGTACTGAATAGGGGCCCAGTGAAACAAGACGTTTGGATAGGGACAGCAGGTACTTCATCATCGATCCGAACTCTTGTCACCATGGAACCCCGTATACCTTGGTTTTTTTTTTTCATTCAAGGGAATACCATAACATACACCAGACGTTTCCCGGTTTGTTCAAACCATAGATGCTCTATATAGACGTGACACTGAGCAATAAAACAGAAAATGAGAGGAAAAAAGAAAGGAAAAGAGAAACAAACAAACATAGGCTCAGATGTTAAATGCAGAGGAAGGAAGTGTTACAGAACTGAGGAGACTGCGTGCTTAGGAATGAAGTGACTTTGAGATAACAAAGGGTGAAGTAGGAGAATTTGAGTTGATAATATTCAAGGATGAACCAAGAGGCTCGGCAACTCCTCACACTTCGTTTCCAGATAATCTGTGCCGCTTATATTAGTGGAGTACGGTTCTCATCGTCATTAGGGTATATAAATCCGGCCATCGAATCCTCGAGGGTCTGATGGAGAGCGAGGAGACGATTTTGAAAAGAATCGAGTTCCTTCCACGACACGTCTTCCGCAGTTTTTGGTGTATCGTTTGGTAAACTGGGACTGTATGTAGTCGTCAAAGATTGGGTGTCGTCCACCTCAGAAGCAGGGGTTTGTTCTATTTTTAGCTTGTCGTTACCTGTGTTTTGATTAACCAAAGTTTCTCTGTGCAAGCTAGAACTCACGAAGCTTTATATAGCTTCCACGGGTAGTATTAGTTAAGGAAAAGGATGGGAACATCTCACAGTGAGGTGACATTGCCTCCGGCAGAGGAGACAAGGTCGAACTCCTGTCTCTAGCATCAGGCTCGGGAGTATAGCAACTCATATCAGATGGAGTATCTGGCTCTGTATGAACAGCTGGAGCAACAGATATCTGATCATAGAGGAGCAACCTACCAGGCTCTGGACTTGATCGGTGGGTGTGTGATTGGGGTTCGGATTGGGGCTGAGGCTGAGGTGGAGACTGGGACTGGGACTCGGCGCGAGGTTTGTTGTCCCAGTGAGTGCCGTATCTACGGACAAAGCGTGCGATACGCTTGGAATCCACTTCTTGGCCACCGACTCGAAACCCAGTTTGCTTTCCCCGGGCAGCTCGTTTCTGTTGCTTCCGAATCATCACATGGACTTCTTTGGCTTTGATATTTTTCCGAACATGCCAGGCTGCCAGTCGATCTTTGTATTGTTTTTCACTGCGAGGCTTATGCGTTAGGGGTGTCTTTTAATAGCTCCGATTCGACCTCTCAAAAAAGAAAAGGTGCAAGACAAACAGAAGTTTCAGAAAAAGAAAAGCAAAAAATAAGAAGAATAAGAAAAATAGAAATTAAAAAAATAAAAATAAAAATAAAAGTAAAACAACAACAACAACGACGGCAGACAGAAACACTGTGAATCCAATCTCAAGCTAGCTAACAGGCAAGAAATTCGGTCTTGAGGTTTACATAGAGCACATCAAAGGCGTCGATGATGGCAACAGAGGTTGGATCTTGAGATTAAACTAGAAGATAGAAGGGAAAACAGGGTCGAGAGGAAAGGAAAGGGGAGGTCAGTACGATGCATGAAACTTATAATCACGCTCCATAATTCTCTTCACATCTCTGAGCTTTAATTGATTGTCACGATAGAGTTGCTCGATAATCGGACGGTACTCGTGCCAGTCGTCGGATCTGCGGGGGCGAAAGATAGACGAGGAAGAAGACGGGGAAGGAGAAATAGCGGACGACGGAGGGATGGAACCATCCATCGTGAGCAGATCCCTAGGAAATACTATCACTCATACTCCTGCGCCGTTCCGCGAAGTGGAATCAACTATCTTAGGTGTCGGGAACGGGTTAAAGCGATGGAAGTTGTGGGGAGGGAAATCAAAAACGAAAAAAATGGGGGTATTGACGGTGAAAAGGGAAATGCGAAAGACTTTATGTAGTTACAAGAAATAAACGAAAGGGAAAGGAAAAAAAGAGTAAAAATGAAGCAGATAGGGGAGGCGTAAGTGGGAAAATAGTAGAAGGTAGTAAGTAGTAGTCGTAGTTGCGATGGTGGTCCAAGCTGCCGCAACTAGAAAAGGGTGGTCTAGTAAAGTAACGGAGTCAAGGCTTGGGGAAGTGGGAATTGGTAATAATTATAACGGTAAGTGATAATGGGGGGGAACAGGTGATGTATTGTATGTTATGTTATGTTATCTACAGTAAAAGTTAGTGATGGAAGAAGGAAAATTAGAAAATCAACGATTTCCAGGAAATCGAAAAGGAAAGAACAATACTAAGAATCAGACTAGCACTGAGACTGAGAAGTACTACTACAAAGTAGGAGGAGTATGCATGTGTCTAAGTATGTTATACGCCGTATGAATTGGCTCGAGCATTTTGGCCCTTCTTTTTTGGTCTTTTTGCAATTTAGTCTACTCTTATTCCGTATACATGTACATACACTCTTTTTTTTTTTTTTCTCCTCCCTCCGTCCCTCTCTCTTCCAACCATATATTGCCAGCAAATCAGAAAAGTGGAAATCCAGTCAGCTGTCATCTAAATACCACAAGAGTATAAATAAAAAGGAAGAGAACAAATCGTCGTACCGAAAGCCTTTCCCCCCAATACATACAGCAGAAATGTACATACTGACATAGTACGGTAGGACTTCCGGCCAACGGGGCAACCGAAGTGGTTCGCCCGCTCGGATACGGAGCAGCTAAACCTCCCAGAGAACTAGTGCTTCCAACTAATTAAAAGTACTGCTGCTGACTGGCAGGGCCGCCTGCCCTTTGCGGCGACTTGCTGCTTGGACCGACTGCGGGAGGCTCGTTCCCTGCTTCCCCGGGCCAATTGAGGTATAGCTGCTTGGGTCCGTGTACTTTTGTCACGTTCTGACCACTGCATGTACATGTAAGTACTTGTCTGTGCTTCCGCCAACGAAGTCCATAGTACCAAAGTCAAAGGAGCTAAGCAGTATCCAGAATTCCAACTGAATTGAACGGCCTGAGACAGAGACTAAAGAAGAAAAGGGGTTCAAAGGGAAGAAAGGAAGAAAAGAAAATGAAAGAAAGAGAAAAATAAGAAGGAAAATTTCTGGAATAAACCCAGAAACAACTATGCCTTATGCGGGTAATATTAATGGTAATACCATCAGCATGCTAATTACAGTTCAGCTGTCGATGAAATTTACATGTACAGATGTAGATTGAGAGGAGAAGTATTTTTAATCTACAAGAAGACATGATTGACATCAACTTGCCTATTATAGAAACGTTTAGAGGAAAGGGCACAAAAAAATTAAAAGTCGAAAATAATGGAAAAAAGAGAAAGGGCAAAAAAAAAAAAAAATAAAAGGAACAACAACAAATCCATATCCACCCGCGGACATATGTACTACTACTACTTTGTCTCGGGACAAAGAGAATACAAAACAACGGTCTTATATAACCTTCTCGCATGGATACTGGGCGACGAAAAAGAAAAAGAAAATAATACGGAGTAAAGAAGGAAGGAATTAAAATCCAACAGAAAAAAGTAACGAAAGGAAAAGAAACTGGTTTAATACTCCGTGGAAAATACAAGTACCACAGCCGAAGGTGATCACTTAGACTGCATACGCCATTTCTGCAGGTGCAACATTCGAGGATTATCATTGTCGGTTGTTAGATCACCAACTATCAAGGTTAGACCCTTCTTTTGGGCTTGACATTGTCCGAAGTGGACAGGGATCGGCTTTAGTATTCCTTTTCCTTTTGCCTCCGGGATCTTCAGGTATGATCTTTGAGTTATTCTACTATTAGATTTCGGAGTTTCTCACAGCGTCGTCAATAGATGAGAGAAAAGAAGAGTCAAGTAAATAAAGAAGAGGACCAATACCAAGGGCGCCTGGGACAGTTTTAAACCTGTATCTTTTAAAGTATATATTCATTTATTTATGCTACATACGTATCTCTTTTTCATCTGTTAATAATATATTTTTTCTTTTCCCTCCTTCACTTTGCCCTACCATCCCCCAAGAAAAATAGAAACGATCTTTTAATTTATTCAAGCCCTAATTGAGGAAAACGCTCGAGATGGTGTGGCAAAGTTCGGATCGCAAGTTGAGGCCTGAGCTTCTAACATCCCCCAAATTCTCCTCGCGATGGAGTTGCGATATCCCTATTAAGTTAGATTATAACGGCATCCATTATTATTGTATATTAAACGATTCTAGTTAGGAGTAGTCGCGAATCTGATTTCTATTGACCGATACGCTAGAGATCATGAGCACAGGGAACTTCGGCCCGGAATAGCACAGTTGGGGAATGATGATTTTTGAACCAAAGAGGAAATAATTAGAAGTGTTGGAAAAAAAGGTGGAAAAAGGACAAGTAAACATTACTGATACATTGACAAAGCATCCACCAAAGATTTGCAAATACATTTAAAAAGAAATTCCTGCTAAACCCTGTGCATTGCCTGCAGATGGTGAGAGTTTTTTCCCCTAATTTTTTTTTCTTTGGAGGGGGATTCTAAAGAGTGCTTTTAGGAACTTTACTCGACTCTAGGTTACTTTCTCGTCTAACTTCTAATTGCGTAGTATTTTGTAGTATTTTGTCTCTTCCATTCTTGGTCATGGCAAAAAGATCCACCACGCAGGAAGTAAGTCTAGGCTGTGCCCCGTCCTCGTTATAACAACAAAACATCCCAACAGGCCAATGAGCAGTCGACACCAGAAGATAATGTCTTGTGGGTGCGGCATGAAACATGGTCAATGTGGACAGTTGCCTTAGTATACTCCATATCAAACGCATCATGTCTACCTGAAGGAATTTCCCGCATCGAACCAACGCATCGAGCAATTAGTACTTCTGGTACTTTTGCCGCCCATAATCCTTCCAGTATGAAATGCAATGAACAATCCTGTCGAACTTTCTAGACATATTCGCGAATCATACTATGATGTGCTATAATCGCTTGTGCGATATGATGTGGCGCCCGTTGGGGCTCAAAAATTTCAAAGTTTAGAAGTCGTAATGCTCCGCCAATTGATTCCCAATCTTGTCTGACAGATCACATGTACAAGGGCAAAAGCATACCCGAGGGGGGATAGAGGAAGAGATTGTGTGTGCGTAGGTGTGGACTTCCCTGGCTCATGGAGACCAACACGCACCTGACAGTAAATGGCATCAGCATCCAGCGAGGGATGAGCGATCTGACTGTGAATGTATGGAGGCCGCGTCAAGAAGCATTCTCACAGGCCAGTTCCTGGTCCAAGTTGCCTTCGAAAGTGCGGTATTTCTAGCGCTTAGGTATTTAGAAGGTCATGAAACAGACTAGGAGACGTAGACATGCACATGATCCCAAGGATCATTTCGGACATTCTTATACTACCGTACATTCGCTTGTTCACATTTCTAGTTTGAAAATTTGCCAAAAAAGTTGAGACAGTCATAACCGATTCCAAAGGACTGTTATATCTTGAAGATCTAAAAAGGTAAGGGAAGTTGACAAGATATCACACCGAGGTTATTTTGTTTATTGCCCATCATATTGAACTATCACGCCCAGTCATGACGCCTATCACCCGCCAACCAACACGCTACATATTTAAGTATTGGTTTAGCAGTTGGAGATGCCTACTCTACAAAAACTTTCGAGGGACATATTCCGTACTATATCTATAAAATCCCTGTAGAGGGTTATCGGCTCTCTGGACTCAAAGGGACAATGTTAGATAGTTCGAATGCGTAATCAACTGCGAATAAGATAAACGCATGGGTTGGTCGAAGTAAGCCTGACAGGGAAAAGAAGGCAAGGAAGGGAGAGAGGGAGGAAAAAAGTCTGGCACCGGTTCCCGGTCCATATACAATAGTTCCCATAAACGTTAGCTTACATCAGGACTAGTGGAAGTCCGTTCTGCACCTACTTGGGTACAGATATGTGGACCCTAACGGTATGAAGCGGAGGAGGGGTTCACCATGGAGGCCCGCTCAGTATGACTCTGATGTTCAAATTGTCTCCTGATTTTCGAGTCATGATTGATCGCTCAGGACTCTTGCAAGTTTACAGAAACGCCCAAGCGAATACTACTTACTACATATGATACGTGATTTCCATGTCGCCTCACTATGCCTCACTATGGGACTCCTGAAAAATAGATAGCACCCTTTGCTTTTGTTTCGGACCGAAAGAAATTGCCCTATTGCGCAGCATGATCTATACGGATGGGGAAGAAGGTAGGGAGTATAGCTTCATCATATCGGAAGAAGAAAGAAGTATAGACTGGAGCAAGTTTTGTTAAGCGCCACTAGTCCATGGCAGGTTATCATGGTCAAAACATATGGTCTAGTTAGATATTTGATGGGATTAGTCGTGTCCCGTAATCCTAATCCATATGGGATCCAATTATCATCGCGTAGATTATGTTTAGTGAACGGAATCCTCCCGCGAAGTAAATGCAACTATAAGACTCTGTATTAATGATGAGGCGTAAGTAACTACCCTTACTAACCGCAGTCAACCAAGTTGTATCCAGTACAGTACATAACCGTACCGAAAAATTTGAATTTTTAGTTATCTTATTTTATTGTTTTTTTCCATGTAAAGAGCGAGGGGAGAGAAAGAGAAAAAAAAAAAAGGAAAAGAAAAAGGAAAAGGAAAACCCTTCATCTTTTCTCTCTCTAAAGGTACTAATTAATGTATGCTATAAATGTACGCTATAAATGTATGCTAAAGTACGCCCGAAGTATAGCCCAACCAAGATGTAAGGGCCAAGAAGTAACTAAAAATTAACAAGGCAACCTGACAGTTTACATTTGATATTCGATTCGGTGACCCTCCCCCCTTCCTCCGCAAGCCCTGGATGATTCGCAGAGAGAAAATGGCCCATTATATCGGCAGGACATCGAAACTCTGCTAACAGCGCCTCCATAAGGCACGTACTCGTTTGGGCTAAAACAGAAAAGAGCAGAAGGATTCTCCCGGCCACACGAGCCCGGGAGCGGGCCGAAACATTCCTAGTCGACGTGTAGGATCCACGCAACCGCCCTGTATAGCATCGACAGTCCCAGCGCCATGGATCTGTCGAACCCGAGTCGAGGTGGCTGCATCCTTAGTCTTCTTTGTTGTCATTACATGGGTATCCTTGTTTTGTCTTTCTCTTCTTTCGTGTGCCCTGTTGCTTGAGCATGACGACATAACTAAGCATGGCAGTTTTGTTTCGTGAAAGAAGCGCAAGAGACAAAGAGTCGGTATGCGCTGAGACGGATGTGGATAACGTCAACCCGTGTTCATTTGTCATGTGGATAGCGGACTGTCAGTTCGTCGCTTTTGGACAGGTTAAGGGATGATCTCCCGTCATTTTTACCCTGTCCAGATACCCAGCAGTGCACCTAAAAGCGAGCCCTGCCGTCACAAGACACATGCCTCGTTAGAGCCTGGGATTTCGTGCTCCCACTCCTACTACCTCTAGTGCTTTCGAAGAAACATGTTTTTTTGCTCTTTTACCCGCCCCTTCTGTATCCTGGGTCATGGTAGTGGTATAATCTGGCCAAGATCACAATAACTTCACAGTATTCTCAGAAAGAAATATAATATCGGTACGCATGTGGTTATAATGGCAAAAATGTACTTCATAATAGTGTCAATGATATGCAGTCTCAGCCAACGGCATAAGCAAAATGCAAGGGCGTTGGTGTCTCGCGTATGTTGGTTGCATGATTGTGAGTAGACAAGGTATACACTGTTTCCAACTCGAAGACCGGATGCTGTGGTCATCTTACTGTGACAATATGCACTGGACTCCGCTCTCTTACATCAGAATGAACGCTGGAGGCCGTCGAAAGGAGGTGCGTTATCCAAATTTGTCCATTGTATGGGTCACCAGAGTAAGGGTCATCGTCTGCTCGCAGTGATAGCCTGGTTCTAATGCTGGTTATGAATGTTATGTCAGTCGCGTTTTCCTATGGCTGAAACGCTTTTCGTCTCTTCCTATACTACAGAGTTATTTCTTTGCAGGACTGGCTGTTGTAAGTCTGGCTTGCTCACCAGCTGCGACAGCGGCAGCTGCGATGGAAGCAGAATTAGTGGAGCCAGCGCTAGCGACATTGCTTGCATGCGCTAACAAAAACTTGCAACAGGTCAATGTGTATTTGCAAGCACGAGTCCAAGTCTCATCGTTTTGGTTGAAACCAAGTTTGATACTCGCATCGCCAATTTTATCTCGTTTGATAACATATGGAAGCTTCAATCCCGGAGTGGTAATGCCGGTGTGACCTCGTCGATTCGAGGATACAGGAGCTGGCGTGTTCTCCACAAACTCCCCGAGTTGACGTAGACATTCCAGGAAAGCTACCATTCCTGCATCGAACCGGCGGTGAAGCCAAGGAAGATTAAGCGGCAGGTCACCGGAGGAGAATAAATCAAGGGTAGTAATCTTGGGTGCTGCTGATGGAGCCGTACTCCCACCAATCGTGGACTGCGCCGGCGATCCTCGAGGAAACTCAACCTTTTCGATTCTGGACATCGATCCCATCGGCTTGAGCTGATACCCTTGGAATTGAAAGCCTAATTTATCCGCGATCGTAGCCAGTAATAAGGCTGTCTGGCCCCACGCAGCGTTAATCTCCGGCCAGTCTACGGATGGGTTGGTCAAACGGCCAAGTCGCAAGCCATTGATAGTCCCAAAATATCCGTCATGGCCGATGCAGAAAGCATCATTGTAAACATTCGTCCTCTGCAGCCTTTCGAGCTGTCGCGAATCATGGTCGTATTTCATATTAAGAGCATCACGCTCATTCTGAAAATCGGCCAATGTTAGGGAAAAGGCATTGCGATCCCGCCAAAACTTTTCCTCTTCGAGATCTAATTCACGACCTTCTTCTTCGAGACCCGCTATCTCTTCATCCAATGCTGCTTTTTCCTGCTCCAAAGCTACAAGTTCTGCGAACGCAGCCTCCTCTGCCTCTAGCGTTTCCTTCAAAGACTTTTCAGCTGCCTCAAGCTCTTCAGCCGTCGGTACGGATGAATTTAGGTTTCGTAAGAATGAGATATATGCATCCCGCTCCTTCGTGGCATCCACTAGCCGTTTCTGTAGCCCGTCCACAAGCATTTCCGTACATTCAGTACAGATCGGATGGTCAATGTCAGAACGAGACGAAATGATTTCAAATAGGCGGCTTGTTCGTTCAACTTGGTCCGAAAACGATCCATCATCCTGTTCACGATCGATATTTTGAGCGCTGAATGATCGTTTGCCTTTTGAGGCGTTGTCGCCATTGACGCCAGTCGTCCCATGTGGTGGTCCAAGTTGAGATTCCGTGAGCATTACGAAGGACATGTTGCCGCTGTCGCCTCGTCCTAATCTAGGAGGATTATTCTGGTTGCCACCGACTTGACGAGGAGCTGGAATTGATCTTCGATAGGCTGGAGACGTAACTTTCCTGGACACTCGATCGTAAAGCTCGCGCCTTTCTTGGGGATATGAAGCCCTGGAGGAGCCAGACCCTTGCTCCGGTAAGGATTTACCTGTAGAGCCTAATGAGATTAGTTGTGCTGTAGGAGAAAACCAAGGTATGATCGGATGAGACTATACTGGTGAGCAGATCGAAGGCAGCTGGATTGAGCGACTCCAGAGAGCTGTCTAGCTTCAACTGGGTCCGACATTTTTGGCAATACATGTTGATGGATGTTTGAAGACCCCCTTCCATTCATTATGATGACAGGAGTGATCATATGTTTGAATGTTTGCTTGGATAGAATTAGGAATGATGTGCGGCAGGGGAAATCCGTTCGCGGAGAGACGTCATGCGGCGATCCCGTGCCAACGGCGCGTGTTTTGGCGTCCGCCCGCAGAAGCTTAGGCTTCGACTGATGCTCAGTCAATTCTATTCTGTAATGCGGTCGGTCGCGTAACTCCCTAGCAGTATAGTACTGCAGACTTTCTCTACAACAAGGTTGTTGCTTTCTCAATGCCACTTCTTTTTTCGTCCCCTCTGCTGATGCCAATAAGACAACAATACTTGTCACACCTACTTCTCCAGCTCCATGAATCTGTAGGTAATACGAAGTATCGGAATATTTATAACTTTCGTTCTTTTGGAAGCACATTGCATTTGTATTGCAATGCTTATCTTTCTAACTATTTGCTAACATTTTCTATTTGCTAGTAACGTATCGTGTCAATTTTTTGTCCTATATACTCGCTTCTCTACAACATCCAGCAACTAAGCCTACCTCCCTCTATCGTGTGCGTCGTTCGGACTTACTCTTATACCTACAACGATAGAATGGATCGGCCGTTCAAGAGACCTAGGTTGTCCTTTTCTGCCACCCCGGATGAGTCGGACGACATAGACCTACAAACGGCCCGCGCGCAAAACGATCAACGTCTCAAATCGATCTTCGAGGGTATTTTTGAAAAGTACGGCAAAGACTTTACGGACGTGGGAGACGAGATTGATTTACAAACCGGAAAGATAGTGGTAAATAATGGACATATTCAGGGGATGGAAGATGGGGACGACACAGGTGAAAAGGGGGCTTGGCTATTCGACACGGAAGAATCCACGCCCAATGATGCAGTTCCGGCGCACGGCATCTCCCAATATTCAGAGGCAAGGACTAATGGCGACCTCCTAGAAGAGTATAACCCCGATCTACAATACCCACTAGCAGCTCCGCAGCTCCAAACGCGGCCAGACCTCGATAGACCTTGGGAGAGCAGGGAAAGTGAGGCGTTGCTCGCCAAGTCAGATGTCGACGACGACGATAGGTCTAGTGTGGACTCTTTGTTGGATACTGCACTAAGTGTCCAGAACGGCCCGGGCGATCCCGTTCGACAAAAAATCCTGATAGATACGGACGAGCCTGTCACGGAAAAAGCAAAACCTGCGGCTGAGACATCCGCCCAATCCGAAGATGTGCAGAAAGATGGTTTTACAGAAGCAGTGGATTCCGTGTGGCGCGTCCCTGAAATTAGTGGCAAGATTTTCACGCCTCCATTGAGCATATCACGACCAACAGTTCCTCTCAATGTCGTACGGTCCGCATCTCCTCCGGGAGTAGGCTCTATCTGGGCGCTGCCTGGGACGTCTAGACGTAATGCCGACATTACGCAAAAGCGATCCGCAAAGAAACACAGTACAAGTGAACGCAAGCGAAAGCATCAATCTAGTCCGATTGTGTTCGACTGGTCTTTCGCACAGACACCAGATGGAAGTGAATCCGACGACCCCTTACAGGAAAATTATCAGCCGTCGCGTACACCGAAGAGGGCACTGAAAATCAGAGGAAAATGGCTGGGATCAGATACCCCAAGTCGCAGGAAGGATCAGATTGATGGCCGCAAGCCATCTCTTTCCCGCGATGATCATGTCTCTCAGCTCCGCCGAGATTCACTCAATTCCGCGGAAGATCAGCACAGCACCGCAGAGGCAACGGAGCAATCAGGGACCATCGTTGAAAATGTGGCTGTGGATACGCAGCTTGTAACCAAGGGCGGTCTTAAAACCCATAATATTTCGTCTGAAGTTACGCAGGACCTGAAATCCAAGCCGGCTGAGAGTCAACCCAAACCCCAGGATTCTACTACCCCTAGTAAGCGTACTAGGACCAACTTTACACCAGACGAAGCGAAGTTGATTGTGATATTGAAACAGGTACAAGGGAAAAAGTGGAAGGAAATTGCAGACCGTTTACCGGGGAAAAAGCCGGCGCAACTTGTCCAGTGGAATCATTTACACTGGAACGAGCGTCGGGCGAATCCAGCCCCACTGTCCAAGCCTTGGTCGAGAACGGAGCGGGAGACTCTCGATAATCTCAAGGACCAACAAGGCCTTACATGGCAGATAATCCGCGCAGAGCTGCCAGGGCGATCTATCGCAGAACTAGAATTTGAGCTTTTGCGACTCTGGGCGGGTGATGATGTCTGGCGCCGTGAACAACAAAATTAGACTGTATCTTTCAGCATGGATCAGAATCAGATGGACACAAGGCAACTGAGTTGGGCCATCGGGCTACAGCCTCTCAACCGAAGCGGCGATGATGCGGGCCACAGGATCCGTCAACGCTGTCCCACGACACCCTACTTAGGAAGTCACCCATAAGCTAGCATGAAGGCGAATTGACCCGACTTGCACCCCTATCCTGCGGTCTCGAACACTGTTGGGCAACCAAACCTGCAGTTAAAACCCAACAAGTGAAGCATGGTAGCGGGGCCCTGCATAGAACCAAGTATTGCCAGCCACTGAAGATTCCACTTTACAGAATACCATCATCAAAGTGACGTTGCTAAGAGTGCTTTAGGCCTCACAGCAGCTCAGTGACAAGTCCTCTATCGCACTTAATATAATGTACAATAGACGGGTTATTATTGGTCATCCTTGGCATCCAAAACATCCTCCAGTTTCGTGTCTACCGCGCCGCCGACATCCCCGGCTCTAGCCCAGAACCTTGAAAGGTGTCTTGAACCAGAATCGGAAAGAACTGTGACGATTTTGTGGCCCGGGCCAAGTTTCATCGCTGTCTTAACTGCCGCGAAACCTAAGTGTCAAATGATCAGTATGCTGAATCGTAGAGGGAAAGACAGTAGTAATACTTACAATTTACAGCACTACTACTTCCGACAAAGATGCCATCTTTTTCTACCAGCCATCTGGCCATTGCTAAGGCCTGGGCATCTGTCACTCTAACAGCATCATCAACCAGCTCTTTTCCTACTTCGAAGTTGGCTGTCACACGGTTGATTCCAATACCTTCGACAATAGTGTCAACCTGCCGCCGTCTTCTAGTACCTTCTTTCTCCTTCAAATCGAACATTACACCGTAACGGACTCTGTTATAGAGCCCACTGCCCTGTGGGTCGGCAAGCACAACACTCAGGTTAGGGATTCTTGGCTTCAAAAAGAGTGCCACACCAGAGATCGTGCCTCCAGTCCCAGCGCCTGCAACAAATGCATCGAGACTTCCGTTACACTGAGCGTAGATCTCGGGGCCTGTGCCGTCAAAATGGGCGCGCCAATTTGCTTCATTCTCAAACTGGTCCGCGAAGAAGCCTCTTCCCGCTTTAGGCCCTGCAAACTCTGGCGGGTCCGGCATCAAAGATTCCAAGTTTGGCTTTGTCGTAGAAGTGGCTGTATGAACATTGGCTAGAGCTCGTGCTCGATTCACAAAGTTTTCCTTTTCCACGATTGGAGCAGGTGGGACACGATCGACAATAGCGCCTAGTTTGAGAAGCAGGTTTGACTTCTCAATGGCTTGGTCAGATGGCATACAGCTGTGTTATCATTAGTACGGGACACATGAGACGAGTAGTGAGAATAATATAGGTATTATTACTCACATATGAGCTAGATAGCCCTTAGCTCTTGCTAGAGTGGCCAACGAGATCCCGGTCGAACCGGAGGTGCCCTCGTAGATTGTATCCCCAGAATGAGGTGCCAATATTCCTCGTTCCTCAGCCTAGCCCGAATTAGGTCACTTCAACAAGTCAACGGACAATAGGACTTACAAGTTCAATCATGCTCAGCGCGACACGGTCTTTAGAGCTCTGACCAGCTCCGTTCAAAAACTGGCACCAAAGTCAGCACGTGAGCTCTATTGTTTTAACATATAAAATAGTAGCGGGAATGTCAAATTAAAGTAAAGAAAAGACCTACTTCAGCCTTTCCCAAAATCTCACACCCAGTTGCTTCAGACAAGGACTTGATTCGGAGTAAGGGAGTATTTCCTATGCAGCCCTCGATTCCGTCCACAATCATAGGAGGACCGGGTCTAGCTATTAGAGCATCTGCGGGAAGGTCCTGTAAGTCAGATGTAGACTGATCATGACGCCGAGCTCGATATTCTCGGAGGCGCTGCTCTAACTCTGGATAGAGAAGGTCCTTGAAGCCCAATGTCAAGAGGGCCCCAGCTATGAAGGCGGTGCCTATGTAGACACGCGCATGGTCATTCATCCTTGGAATTGAACTGCCCTAGAATTGATGAACGATAGCGAGGAAGAAGTTACGCAATTGAAGGAGGGAAGCCAGAGAAAAAGCTCGGGCCACACCCGACGTGAAGCAGTCTGCAGGTCGTTTGTTCTCCGCCTCTCGCAACTTGCGATTCCCCCATCTTGTCTCTCCCACCACCAATTCAGCTGCCCATGGATTCTCCAGTACTCAGTCAGCTGTTCCGACAGCTATTTCGGCATCCGGCTTGTCAGTCTCTTCGACCCTCGTCTACTCTCACTGGCCGCAGGGCGCACTGCATTCGATTATCCACACCACGTCAACAATGTCGTCCTTTCCTCACGCGACGTTCGGCGGCTAAAAGGAAGTCCGCCGATGATGGCATGAATTGGAATAAACGGGGTGATTATCCGAAAGATATCACGGAGGAACTGAAGGAATACCCGCTTGTAACGGCTAAAGACCTGCGTCACCGTCGAGAGCGGCCGCGGCAGGTTAAGATGTTGACTAGAGAATTCATTGACGGTATGCTTTTATCCAATGCACAACGCTTGATTTTACTTCTCACTATTTCCCCCCTCTCATTCCAGATAGTCTATATAACCCTCACTATGGTTACTTTTCGAAGCACGCGACCATCTTCAGCCCCGGAGAACCATTCGATTTCAATAACATCGAGGACGGGCCAGCCTTCCACCAGATGTTAGGAGACCGATATACCGAATTCGAAGACCGCTTAGATGATATCCAACCAGACATAGCTCGCCAGCTGTGGCACACGCCCACAGAGCTTTTTCGCCCCTACTACGGAGAGACGATCGCCCGGTACCTAGTCTCGAATTACAAACTGACACTGTACCCCTACCACGATCTGATAATATACGAAATGGGCGCGGGAAACGGAACCCTGATGATCAACATCCTGGATTTCATCCGCGACACAGACTACGAAGTCTACCAGCGCACCAAGTTCAAGATCATCGAGATCTCGTCCTCGCTCGCCGGCCTCCAGTTGAAGAACCTGATGGACTCGCTCAACGCCGCAGGCCATCTCGACCACGTTGAGATCATCAACAAGTCCATCTTCGACTGGGATACATACGTGCACTCCCCGTGCTTCTTCCTCGCCTTGGAGGTGTTCGACAACTTCTCCCATGACGCGATCCGCTACGACACCGCCACAGAACTGCCCCAACAAGGCGGTGTCTTGATCGACGCGGACGGCGAGTTTCACGACTACTATAATGCGCAGTTGGACCCCGTCGCCTCGCGGTTCCTCCGCGTCAGACAGGCTGCGGCACGCCGAGAGTTCCCCAGCCCATTGGGCCCCAGACTCACCCGCGGGCTGCGCAAGTCCATGCCGTTCCAGCGCCCCTTTACGCTCCCTGAATATATCCCTACTCGGCTCATGCAGTTCTTTGATATCCTGGATACATATTTCCCAGGACATCGACTGGTCGCGAGTGATTTTAGCGGTCTTCCTGATGCCGTTCCTGGTATCAATGCGCCTGTCGTGCAGACTCGGTACAAGCGCCGGACTGTACCGGTTTCTACGCCATTTGTATGTTTTCTCTTACCCTTTTCAAATCGATATGTATCTTAATAAAGAGCAAATCACTGACAAGACTTTCTGGTACAGGTTCACCAAGGATACTTTGATATTTTCTTCCCCACGGACTTCAATGTCATCGAGGACCTCTACCGGGCCGTTACCGGGAAGTTGACGCAGGTCATGAGCCACGAGGACTTTGTCCGACGCTGGGCGTATATCGAAGACACCGAGACGAGAAGCGGTGAAAACCCGCTGTTGACCTGGTACAAGAACGCCAGTATGTTGATGACGGTGTAATGTATTAGTACTTCCTGTATATGTGTTCAAAACGAATGAAGTCATAAGCAAAAGAAAAGAGAGACCGCTCGCTATTCTACCGAGTCTTGAATTTAGATAAATGTATCCTTTATCCTATATACAATATACAAACAACCCAATCAATCATATCTCGACTCGACTAGGACTATATCATAAACAAAAATCCCCAAATCATAGCTTAGCCTGACCGTCTTGGGCGCTATTTCCCTGCCATGCAAATCCAATCTTCTTCCCGATGCCAGGCTCAACAATCAGATTCACGATGGTCACCGTATCGCTCAAGAAACCTTCCCGCGTCGCTGCTTCAAGTTCCTTCTCAGTACGGACGAAACACCCCTTTCCACCGCACATGGTGGCTAGCATTTCGTAGCGCGTTTCGTACAAGAGACTGGTGGAGCGTAGACCCTTCTTCCCGTCGTCTGATCTTGTGTCGTTGGATGCTGTCTGATCCTGCAGGGTCTTCCAGGCATTCTCCGTCGTCGTGTCTCCGTGGTAGATCCCAGAATTGTTGACTACGTATATCAATGCTGGGATTCGGTAACGCGCTAAGGTCTCAATTTCCATAGCGCTAAATCCGAATGCACTGTCGCCTTCGAAGGCTACGATCTTCTTGGGCTTGGTACCTGAAGACGTCGGGAGCGCATTGTATGCTTCGTGGGCAGCGACGATGTAGCCCATGCCGACGCCCATGGTGGCATATGTACCGGCGTCGAGGCGCTGGCGGGGGTGGTTGAGAGGGAAGACGGAACGAGAGATGTCCATGGTGTTGGCGCCTTCCGAGACGTAGACGATGTTCCCCTCTTCGAAGGGGGACAATGAATTCAACGTAGTCTTGATGATGTGATAAGCGCGTTGATATGTCAGAGGGGAATTCTCCGGAGTTGGTCGAAGCGACGCCTTCTGGGCTTTGGCTTCATTCTTTTTTGCTGACTCTACGAGTAGTGATGGAAAGCTGCCTTCGACAGGAGAAGGAGAATACCGCCAGTTCGATAGAGAGGATACTAGCTGATCTACGACCAGCCCGATATCTCCCATAATTCCTAACTCCGCTGTTCCGGCGTTGCGTCCGATCTCTTCCGCGCAGATGTCGACTTGGATGATCTTTGCTTTGGGAGACCATTTGGGGGGTTCGCCGAAATGCAGAATCCAATTTAACCTTGCGCCGAGGACCAAGACCACATCTGCATGTTTCAAGGCGGCACTGCGTGCGCTGGACGCATTTAATGGATGCGAGTCGGGCACAACACCCTTGCCCATTGGTGTGGGCAAGAAAGGGACCTGTGTTTGCTCGACTAACCGGTTGATTCCGGACTCTGCTCTCGCATATGCAGCACCCTTGCCAACGATCAAGAGCGGCGAGCGTGCCGTCTTCAGTAAATGGGAGGCCTTGAGGATCAATGCTGGATCGCCACTCGCCTTCGGCGGGGAAGGGACCAGCAAGGTTTCTGGCTCTGGCAGACGAAATCCGGGGGCTGACTTGCCTTGGATAATATCGGCAGGGAGATCGACAAAGGTCGGGCCGGGACGACCATACCAGCAAGTTCTATATGCGTTCTTCACGGCGCCAGGGATAAAACTAATGGATGATGTCCGAACCGCAAACTTAGTGTGAGGTGTCAGGAACGAGATGGCATCCATCTCCTGGAAGGCTCCCTTAGTGACAGCGGTTGTTTCGGCCGATCCAGCGAGAACAAGGATGGGAAAGTTATTGGCAGAGGCATTACCAATCTATTACAACATTGACGGTCAGTACGGACCGGACAGTACTTGAAATTGCGAGAATTAACTTGCCCCTGCTAATGCATGGAGGACACCTGGTCCTCCTACAACGAGACAGACTCCTGGTCGTCCCGTCATATATCCATAGATGCTAGCCGCATAGCTGCATGCCTGCTCGTTGCGGAACGCTACAAAGCGAATGCCCAGATTGATAGCTTCCTCGGCGATCTCCACCACCGGAATCCCTACAATGCCGAAGATAACGGTGACCCCTAGATCGTGTAGCGTCCGAGCGATTAGCTGAGCCCCTGTTGCCACGGCCATAGTCGCTGATATCTGGTTCGACTAGATTAAGAAGATATTATAGAATGAAACATGAAAGAATGTTGGGCTGCTCCGCAGTCCACGGTGTCGGAAGCGGAGAGCGGCGAGAATGCGGAGAAGCTCTCCTCTTAAGCTTCCTGGTTGCCTGCTCTCTCGGGAAATGCCTGTGCATTCTCCTCCAGGTCTACGTCTCAAAAATCCGAATCATATCTCATGCTTCTGGATATTTATTAGTGTTTAGTAACCCATGAAAATAACACAGTCGTCCATTTCGTCTATTTCAGGACCCTCCCCACGGTCTTCCATGTGTTTTACAAGATCTATAACCCGAAAGCGCTGCATTTTGACCCATATATGGTATCCAACATATCAACAGTGGCACAAACCGTACAGACACCGCATCATTCCAGGTTCGGCCTAGAATCAAAGAAACACGTAATGCAAAGGAAAAAACAGATATGGCATCATTTAAAATTCAAATTCCTTCCGGAAGACATTCACATCCATACCAGCCACAACCATGTCTGCCAGATCCCGACGTCCCATTTGACTGAACACACGTCGCAAGGTGTCATACAAATTTGTGCTCTGGTTCTGACTGATATGAATCATTCGTTCAAGCTGCTCATCATCGACGCCACCATCTCCCCCGATGATTTCGCGGGCGCGCTCACGACCTTCCTGCTCGACGACACGGTGCATGGATAGCGCACCCAACAAATGCTGAGCAGCTTCTGGGTAACAACCGATGTTGATACAGGACACACCCAGATTATAGCGCGCGCGGACAAAATTAGCATTAATGTTCAGCGCCTGCTCGTAAGCTTCGATGGCCTCCTCAGAGCGACCTGAGTTGGCAAGGGTGGCTCCCAGACGGTTCCACAACAGATGGAGTTGTTCCCGTTGGTTCACAGTTCCCGATTCAGTAGATGCCAAGGCGGCAGAGAAACAGTCGACAGCCTTATCATACTCCTCTGCACAGTAGAAGAGAACACCCAAGCCGACCTGTACGTCTGGATCCATTTGCTCACCTGAAGGCGACAGCTGAGCGGCCTGAATGAACAAGTCTGTGACTCTGTCGTGGAGAATCTGGCGATCTGTGAATCCTAGATCTGCGTCCGCCGAAAGATCCTTGGGGTTAACGATCTGCGGATATTTCACTGACAGCCAACGTTCCAGCGTACGGTAGGCCGTTGAGTCGTAACCTTCATTTGTGTAAGAGACAGCGAGTCCCATAAGTGCATCTAAGTTGCTCGGGTCGACCTTCATAGCCTGTTCCAGAGCACGGATAGCAGGGAGTTCCTTCTCGTTCTGAGCTTGAGCAGATCCCAGCATGGTCCAGGCTTGTACGTGTTGAGGATCCTTCTGTACAGCGGCTTCGAAGGCCAGTGCGGCCAGGGAAAGGTTACCACCCTCGCGCATAATCTTCACACCTTCTTCAAATGGATTGGTGACGTTCTTGAACATGTTGTCTTCTTCAAACATGTAATCACCAAGTTGAGGGTCCCGAAAACGAGTGTTGAGAGAATCGAAGCCATCCCACTCTCCCATGTCTCCCATATGCAAGTTGTCGGTAACGTGAAATTCGGTATCTTCCTCTGCCAGTTTCCTGCTTGCTGCCGTCTCAGCTTGGACTTTTCGCCATATGTTTTCAAAAGCATCCATGTCTGCTTCTTTAGTTGCGCTGGTAGTGAAGACTGACCTGTCAAGATCGTTGAGTTCCGCCTCAATAGCATCATTAGCCTCGTCGTCCAGTTTCTGAGTATCCGCCGTCTCCATCTCCGCAAACTGTGCCTCCCAGTTCACATCATCTAACTCGACCATTCGTCCCTTCCCCTTGTCTTGCGTAGCCGCCTCCATCGGTTGCTGCATACCCATAGGATTATAAGCAGGATTCATCATACCCATTCCGCCTATTCCGCCCATCCCCATATAACCCATACCACCCATGGGACGCTGATAGCCCCCAATCATCGGTGACTGACCAGATGTAACGGGGCTAGACGTTTGGGGCACACCAGCCCGACTCTGTTGTTGAAAACGGGCAAACTCTGCTGGCGTGAACCCCGAACCATTATTCATCAAGGGTCCCTTGGGACCGGCAAAGGCAGCTTCCATGCGAGCCTGCTCACCAGGATCAAACTCGGCTGCCCATCCCGGAGAGCCAGTCCGAGGCGGTGTGTTCTGGAATTGGTCTAACTCGCGTCTCAAGTGTTCCATCGCAAACGGTTGTGGGGCGGCACCGGGAATTTGGCCTGGTTGTTGGGCGAATTCGTCCATCATCTGTGTATATTGCCGAGCTATAGTTAGAGACGGGGGAGGAGTGAATGAAATGGCGTAGCGTTCAGCTCGTTCATACCTGATCTTGTCCACCCATCATACCTCTGGACCGCATGCTCTCTTGCAGGCCTCCTGGGCCCCGGCCGACGAGCCGATCCCGCTGAAGGGACTTGTCATCTTGTACGTGTTTTGTGAATTGTGTCAACGGGTTTCCCGCCGTTGAGCACTCAGCGCCACCGAGGAATGACATCTTTCAAACAGTTTGGGACGATGCGGTTTCAGTATGGCATAAAATGTAGCTAGCTGTCGGTTGGATGTTCTATCATTGAAAGAAATCCGGGGAAATGAAGCGGGAAATGAGGTAGTGTTATCTCCAAGATTCAAACCTCTCTGATACTAGTGATAGGCCCAAGCGTGGGGTTTCGGGGCCGTCCTAAAACCGACCGGAAAGATTGGCGAATGCCGAGGCACCCTGGTAGTCACGTGGAGCCGCGGAGGTTCAAAAGATTAATAATTGTCAAATCTGGACCTTAAAATTGAGATGATACTAGTAATACAAAAGGTTTAATATAGGTCTATGTAGATATTGTACAAAGCATAGCGCAGAGTGTTCGCTACACATATAATACATAAAGCAACCACAATCTATCACACTCCACGAATAAAGAAAACCCCAAGTAAAACATCAAGACTAGGAAAAGTGATTTCGTCAAATCACTAGTTGTTAGCTTCCACCCGATCTGCCTTTCTATTCGTGTGGCTGTAATCCAGTCGTAACTTCCTACCATATGGCGCCTTTTTGCTGAGAATTTCTATTCCCACCCGTGCACTCTCAGCGTTGATGAACTCCGCGTGGGCAAAGCCTCTGGGCATCCCAGTCCGGCGATCAACAGATACCCGAACATCAATCACATTAATAACATCACGGAAGAGATCATTCAAGTCCTTATCGGTCATCTCGAATGGCAAATTGCCAATATATATCGTTTTAGAGGCGGGCTTCAAGATCCGGCGAGATGAGACATTGTTCAGCGCGAACTGTACAAGGACACGACGACCCTCGAACACCCGCATGTGCATTGCTTCAATTGCACGTCTGGCCGAATCAACAGTATCGAATTGGACATAACCGAACCTAATCCCCAGGGTTAGACCTCCGTACTTTGGTTTTATCCTTTCCGGTAACACGAGAGAAAAAAACACACTCACCCTTTGCTCAAGCCCCTATTATCAAAAGTAACATACACATGTTCCACAACCCCGTACTTCTCCATCTGCTTCCGCAAATCCTCCGCCGTTACATCGTAGAAAAGGTTCCCGACGTAGACCGTCTCTTTCGGCTCAGGATCCTTATTCAAAAGCCGCAAGCGTTTTGCGCGTTTAGAATTTTCATCCCAAGGCTGTCTTTGCGCTTCACTCTCTTCTGAGGCATGGTTCTGAGTTTCGTTGGCAGGAGCAGGGGTACCCTCCATGTACCCAACTGCGGCTTGTATTAATTGTTCGTCGTTATCGGATGTGGTTGTTGCGTCTTTGTTTGCAAGATGTGATTTTGTTTGTACATGTTGGCTGTTCCACCTGATCTTCTGGAGAAATTGCGATGCCTGGCCAGGGATGGGAATTTGAGTCGAGCTAGATGTAGTAACCCATGCAGACCGTGGTGTGGACGAGAGGAGCCGACAAGCAGCGCGCCGGAAACAATGCCTAAGAGAAACAGAAGTTAGTTCACCGAGTGTAATGTAGTCAGTCTGGATCTCTTAGTGACTCACATTTTCAGGTGACAGGTAATCCGGAGGTAATTCCACAAAAAAGTTGAATATGGGGATTTGGATTTATGTCATTCCAAAGTTTTCGCGCAAAAACCTCCGGCTTATCGATATCAAAAATGTCACGTGATTTACGATATCGTATGATTGAGCTGTAATGGGTGTGGAGACAACAGAAAAACGGAAAAAGACTCCTAGTAATCCTTTTCTAAAAGAAAGTATGTAATGGCCGATTGTTAACGGACATTTTTGTGCAAAACAAAAAGTTCAGTCTTTCGCTAGGACATAGATTCTATTAAGTAGAGTGGAGTGCAAAAAGAACTATATATATGTTGGCACCAGTAATATTGATTATCTACGCCAGGTAGATTCCTCGAAGCATTTTGGCATAAGAAATTCGACAACACAAATAGAATAGGCATCCAGCCAAACTCGCCAGTATGATATTTTACACTCTAGGACTGGCCAAACCTCCATGACCACATTAACATGATTCCCTTCAATCCTCATCAATAAAAACGGGTAAAATCCGAGAGAGCACAGCATGAACTAGTTTAGCGAGGGGCCGCATTATTGGGTGGGGAGTTGTTATCATAAGCGTTAGGTTCAGGGTAGAAGACGTTGGAAAAAGGAGGTAATGAGCGCATCTTATCCGCAGCACCATTCTGTACTGATGGTAAATTGGCAGAATCCAAAGGATTCTGGGGTTGCGGCTGTTGTTGCGGCTGCTGCTGTTGCGGGTCCATTGTTGGCCACCACTGGTTCGAGGCATCGAGTGATGCATTCTGAATATAGTTATCCCAAGTATCCTGAGAATCATTGTTAGTCATCAGTTAAATTGCATTGACATAAGGTGTTCATACCCAATCCAGATTGAGTTGCATATCCGGCATCTGCCCAAACATAGCACTCAAAGGTGAAGGAGCTCCTGGTATTTCTGGAGTCGTTCCAAATCCACCTTGAGTTGGAAGCGGTGTTTCTCCCATTTTGATACTACCATCACCAAAGACAGGAGGAGCTGGATTCATAGGGCTCATTCCACTGCTGAGAAGGCCCAATGTCATAGCGGCACTTTGCTTCTCATCCTGAGGCTCGAAGGTAGGGGCAACAGGATTGTTTTCGGAATAGCCCAAGTTTAGCCTGGCAAGCATCACTCCGAGGGCCCCCGAAGCTTTCCAAGCCTCCAGAGCATCATCACGAAGTTCATCCCAGATCTCCTTAGAGCGCTGTATTGCCGCTATCATTTCCTCGCGTCGCTCCCTTCCCCAAGCGTACGTGTCGCCGGACGCTCGGCCACCTGATTGCAATTGGTGTCCATGGTAGAGGTCAATAGAAACGATAGTTGCAGCGAGTAAAAAGTCCGTAGAGACAAGTGCAGAAAGCTTGTCATGCTTATTTTGGAAACGCGTAGTGGTTTCAGCGTGCAGCATTGATTGAAATCGAAGTAACTCCATAGCAGAGTCAATACATGTTCTCCGTGAGTATGTAAATCGAGGGTTTTCACGTGCTCGAACAAGGTATCGTCGGTGGAGAACACACTGAGCTTTGTGATACACGCTCATTGTCTGGAAATGGTGAGTAAAATATTACCTGGGAGCTGGAAGAGAACCTACAGCATATCGCGACATGATCAATTTCGGGGACTCCATCTGGACTTCTTCAACAGGGCGGACAAGAAGATGTTCCGGGACCAAATCTCTCGCTCGGCGAAGTTCGGCGTCAATCTCCATTACCTTATCGTAAGATGGAGTTTGTATGGAAGACGTATGTTCGATAACTCGGCCGAAAGCATATGCTAAGCGACCTTTTGCTATCAAACATGAGATAGGCGTGGGTTCATTTGGCGGGCGCGAGGGAGGAAGCTCCTTGCAGCCCTCGTCGAAGTCATCGTCATACAAGTTCCGTGGAAATTCCGTATCACTATCAGAAGAGCGGATCATGCTGGGCAAGCCCACTTGGAACGAAAACATTAAATCGTATTGCCGCACAATTGTCCATACACGTCGGCGCATTTCACCTTGGAAAGGTGTAATATTAGGGAACATCTTTGAGTCGCGATGGTAACCCATTCTCATAGCCAACCTCGCAATCACACCGACGAGTACCCAAACGGACACATCTGCATCTTTTGTTTGTATCCAATCTCCATGAAGGTGGAAGATCAGAGATTCAATCAGGGACGGATAAGGCTTGGTGTAATCTGCCAGTGTCAAACACTGCGCCATTAAATTCCGGAAGGTGCCTGCCATATCGAGTGTCTTCCCTCGAAACTCCGGTGGTTCGTCTCCCTCTCGATGATACGACAGCATGGCAAGTCGCATAATTGCGCAAAGCATGCCAATCCAGACAATACACGTCTGTGATGGATCTTCCCAGTGTTTGTTATACTAGATGGGCGGTTAGCACCGTCCTCGGGCAGGTCTAATTTTTGCTTACCTGTGCCTGGAATGTAGATCCATGGAGAATATCTAGAATTTTGGGTGAGTATCATCGCATAACTGTGGAGACTCTCAGTAAACTTACTGGTTGACGGGTCATAGCTGCCAAAATACCGAGCAACTAAGATATCTGTCGTATATTTCGAAGGAAGCGAAGACATAATCTCCGCACGGCTAGTTGTTTTCATAGCACCGAAGAGCAATGTAGATCCTGGCACGTCCGTCGGCAGCCTAGTTGCTTTGAGCTTCTCCGCGTGTTCCTCATACTGTTTCTTATGGGTAGTGAAGTAATTACGCACTTCGGCAATCTATAGTCAATGTGAACAATGCGACCCGAGGTTGAGCCAGATGAAAGTAACTTACGTCGTTAAGAACGGATGCCCAATGCGCTTCGCTGAAATAATATGATTTATTATTGTCAACTTTCATTACTCCAAATGATTTTGTCACTTGTTCTGTATCGCTCTCCTCAGGACCACCCGAGGCATCTTCATCCACGTCCACATCCAGATCCGTTGTATGTTGGGCAGAGCCAATACTGCTGCTGTTGCCAGAGATTGCTGCCATAGCCGCAGCGGGGCCGGCTGCCTGTGATCCATTGGTCATCAACGACAAAACCAAGCTTTCCAGCCGGTCTATCCTATTCTGCATATCATCTGGGGAGCTGGGCGATGCTCGTTGTGGGGCGTTCCTCTTTCGAGTATTCGCTTGGGCGTAAGTGCACGAAGTAGCATCCCCTCGTTTCACGCAGTTCTCGCATGGGTGAGCACGGTTACATTTAAGTCTTGATCACGAACTGTTAGAGGATACTAGGATACAAAACAAAGAGCGAGCAGGAATCTTACTTCCTATGTCGGCAGGGACCACATGAAAGCGGTACCCGATTTCTCTTTCGGATGACCCTGTACTGTCCTTCGGGTGAAAATGCGCCAACGCTTGACGAGGTGGATGGCGGAGTGGGTGTCATGGTTGCGAGTGGTTCCTCAGCGAGGCAAACCCTACCATAAACTTCCGTCAAAGGTGATTGTTTCAGTTACACACCGTCTTCTAAGCGGGCCTGCGCAAGACCCACGATGCGATACAGGGAGCTGCTGGAAGTAACACTTGAAGCTTCCCAGTCAATCGGGTCCCAACAAGCGCCGGGTGTCACTTAGCCGCTAGATAGTAACCGAATCTCACTAATAAACCCCTCCCGTTGAGAGGTCACCCCAGTCTCTCTCCTTCTCGGGTATGATGTGGCTCTAGGGACGAGGGACGTGATCCGAGATAAGCTGTCCGATCGCTAAAAACCCCTGCGCAATTGAATCGAAGGTTGTGGGAGGATGGGCAAAGTACACAACACTTTTGCTGATGCCTTGAGCCACGTTCCAGTGGTCAAGTCGGTAGCGACCTAAACTGCGACGCAATTTAAAGCGGGAGGCGATTCTGGAGGGAACTCGTCGCCGTTTTACCCAGCAAAGAGCCCACGGATGTGAGGCGCGCAAGTTTCCTCGGTAAAAAATGTTTGATAATGATAGTTTTTAGTATGCCGTAAATTCGGGGTTCACACAAATCACGAGCGTAAAGCGAAAAGGAGCTGATGAGAACGGTCGAGAAGAGGGGCCAAATTATAGGCGACTAGTCTATCTGCCGCGAAGCTTGTTAGACCGAAGACGTCGGGCGGGTAGCAGTATGATCACTACCAGGATCCTTTGAAGTTAGGGAAGACTGTACAAGTTACCCTTGATGCCTAATGAAGGCGTTCGAATTTTCAGGGAAAGGCGGAGAAAGTAGCACAAGAAGTTTTCCCGTCGAGCGACGAAGCCTTAAGCTTTTGATTAGTGAGAGGATATGGAAACTACCTCTAAGGAAGTCTGGTACAGATCCATACAGTACGCCATTATCTCCGTTATCACCCTCTGCTCCCTCTGTCGATGATTGGCTGAGGAGATTATGTAAGGACGGTGGGGTGGACAAGGCCGAAAAGGGAAGACAAAGAGGACTCGTATGTCTTCTTCCTCTCTCCTGCTCTACCCTGTCAGCAAGGTTGGATGTTGTAGGACGGAAGGTTACCTCATAGGTAGTATTACGAAGGACAGATACGGAACATTTACCTTCGAATCATAGGCATGTTCTAGACTTTCACGGTTGGCTGATCTCGGGCTAAAATAAACATCCCTATTTGCTCGCGAATGTGGCTGAGCTTTGAGTCATTGTGACAAGCGCTTACATACTTAGGAGCTACTACTAGCAAAGAGTACAGCTAGCACCTGAAGCCACTTATGAAAGAAGTACCAACCCAATTAAAAGTACTATACTACATACAGATATAAATAACAGACAGCTCCCAAACCCTAGTTATAGGAATCAAATCAAGTACACTGTGAACTATGTATAATCGAGTATCACTCGACATATAATAATATGAGCATCAACAAAGGTTGTCAGATAACTACTGCGGAACACTTAAATATAGCTCAAAGAACAACCTTTGCGGGTGGAATAAACAAAGCGTCATTTAAAGAGGCTTTACTGGAAATTACCCGTCTACTCTTATGTACGGCCTCTTCCAGTGCTTCTGATGGGTCAACAATGGTAGCAGGCTGCTTGATTTACTTCCCTGGAGAAATGACCACTTATCAAACAAGCCTCCTCTCCTCCATGGGAGCTGCTTCATTGTGATTGGAACGCAGTCTGCATCCGTGAAAGGGCGACAGCCACGAACCCATGTAGACCCTTTCAACGAATAGATGGCCCGTCTTCACTGTCGACGGGTCTTTGCAGCTCAATGCGGGGGCATAAGACATACTAAACCGCCCCCATTTCACTTGCTCTAACCGACCCGCTAGTGACTCCCTTATTTCCTTTTTGATTTTGGGGAGACTCTTATATTCTCGAGCTCCTCACTGGTTCGCGTCAAGTGATAATGTCCTCTCAAAGAGGTACCTCACAGCGAGGACGGGGTGGCGGAGGCGACCGTGGCAGAGGGCCAGGTGCCAGCCGTGGTGGTCGTGGATCAACCAAGGAGCTGCCTTTCCGCCAGAGCTCTCGCGGAAGTGATGACAGAGGTCGAGGGGGAGATAGAGGTCGCGGAGGTAGAGGCCGTGATCAAGGGCCCAGAATCTACTCGTAAGTGCCTACCCAAGTACTCATCCTCGGCGTGTCTACCTTCAAATCAAGAAAGGTGGAGGTGAATGCCGGATACTAACATCCCGCCGTCTCATATAATAGTCCAGGAGGGCAGGTTCCTCCCCCAAGTCCGCAGGTTGAGAAAACCGAGAATACTTTAGCCGCAGCTCTGGCAGCGAAGAAAACCAAGACAACTGAATACCCTCAGCGACCCGGCTATGGTACACGGGGTCAGCCAGTGTCATTGTATGCCAATTATTTTGACTTGAAGTCGGCTGGCAAGCAACTGTTCCGCCACCATGTTGAGATCTTGTCCGAATCATCGAGCAAGGCGCCAACAGGAAAGAAAGTTCAACGGATCTTCAGCCTCTTGATTGAGCAGCACTTCTATCAGTCACAGAAGAACATTGTCACAGACTATAAGTCAAATCTGGTCTCCAACATGAAGATCATGGGACAGGAAGAAGTGACTCAGTACGACGTTCGTTATCGCGGCGAGTATGAGGATGAATACCCTGCAGATGCGAAAGTCTATCGAATTAAGTGCCAGTTCACAGGACAACTCAGCCCAGCTGACCTTCTGGCGTACTTAACGTCCACCAACGCCGATGCCCTGTTCAATTCCAAGGCTGAAGTACTACAGGCCATGAATATTATCCTCGGATTTCACCCGAAAGCAAATGAATCAGTTGCTGCCGTTGGCGCAAACAAGCATTATGCCATACGCGGAGACCTGTCAGAAAAATACGATCTAGGCGCCGGGCTTGAAGCACTTCGAGGCTTTTTCGTTAGCGTTCGCGCAGCTACTGCTCGCCTATTGCTTAACGTCCAAGTCAAGTACATCGCATGCTACCAAGAAGGACCGTTGGGAAGTGTGATCAAGGAGTATCAGCGCTCTTCCCGTGATATCAACGAGCTTCGTCGCTTTTTAGAGAAAGTGAAAGTCAGAGTGACACATATTGAGAAGAAGAACAAAAGAGGGGAGATAATACCAAGAATCAAGACGATCGCAGGTTTGGCAACTAAAGCTGATGGCGCAGGGCAGCCTAACCCCCCGAAAATGGCTAGACACGGTGCAGGACCCAAGGAAGTAGAATTCTTTCTCGAAGCCCCAGGCCAGCAGCCAGCTGAAAGCGCATCCGGCGGTACCAAAGGCAAGAAGGGCAAGAAGCCTGCGAAGGCAGGCCCTGCACCGGCTGGAAGATACATTAGCGTTGCAGACTTCTTTCGCCAGAGTAAGTGCCTTTTCACCGGTGTATGCTGCGTATAGAGCTAACAGAAGCCAGATTATAGCATACACATGGATTTTAGCATGCCTGTGGTCAACGTCGGGACAAGGGAGAATCCAAGCTACTTGCCCGTCGAAGTCTGTGTAATCGAGCCGGGTCAGCCTGCCAAATCAAAGCTCTCCTCAAACCAGCCTAGAAATATGCTGAACTTTGCCGTCCGGACCCCACCGCAGAACGCTATGTCGATAATCAACACGGGTACCAAGGTGCTTGGTCTCTCTCCTCAAAGTCCTACTCTCGTAAGTACTTTGAATGGTACATAGCCCACCGTTGATACAGCTGCTTATTGATCTGGATAGGTAAACTTTGGCATACAGCCAGATTGCAACCTTATCACTGTTCCGAGCCGTGTGCTGCCCGCACCTAAAGTTTACTACAAGGATGCAAAGAAGACGTTCCAGAAGCCAGTTACACCAATGTATGGAAGCTGGAATATGAAGTCGATCAGGTTCTCGACATCCACCAAACTATCGACGTGGACTTATCTCATAGTCGAGGTTGCAAGGGTCAGGCCATACTTCGAGACCCATGACGACTTGAAACCTGCTCTGCAACAGTTTACTGCCAAGCTTAACGAAATGGGCGTTATAGCACAGCAGCCAACCCAGGGTGAAAAAGTAACTGTTGAAAGGGGTAACTGCGAACCCCAAATCACGGCAGCAGTTCAGAAATTGATGAGCAAGAAGCCCACATTGATCCTTTCGATCTTGCCATACAATGACACAGATATATACAACTGCATGAAGAGGACATGTGACGTAACGTTCGGCGTGCGTAACATCAACGTTCTAGCAGACAAGTTCAAAGACGGAAGCCCTCAGTACTACGCAAACGTCGGTCTAAAGTTCAACCTAAAGCTCGGCGGTGCCAATCAACTCCTAGGATCAAAGGAACTAGGCATCATCGGAGAAGGCAAGACAATGCTCGTCGGCATGGACGTCACCCACCCATCCCCCGGCTCGGCTAAGAATGCTCCCAGTGTCGCAAGCATGGTCGCATCAGTCGATGCAGCACTAGGCCAGTGGCCCGCAGAGATCCGAGTACAAAAATCCCGTGAAGAGATGGTCCAAGACGTCAGTGACATGCTGAAAGCCCACCTTCGGCGCTGGACCCGTTCGCACAACAACGCTTACCCTGAGAACATCATCGTCTACCGAGATGGCGTCTCTGAGGGCCAATACGAACTGGTAATCCAAAAGGAGCTCCCACTCCTCAAGAACGCCTGCAAAGAAACATACACAGCGAATCAAACAAAAGCGGGTCTCCCACGCATCTCCATCCTGATAGTCGGCAAACGCCACAACACTCGCTTCTACCCAACCCAAGAAGCAGATTCTGACCGATCCGGCAACCCCAGAAATGGCACCGTGGTTGACCGTGGCATAACGGAAGCCCGCAACTGGGACTTCTACCTTCAGGCACACACTGCGCTGAAGGGTACCGCTCGTCCCACCCACTACTACACGGTCTGGGATGAGATCTTCTGCAGACAGAAACCCAGCCCCCCATACCAGAACGCCGCTGATGTCCTGGAAGGCCTGACACATCATATGTGTTATCTATATGGTAGGGCCACCAAGGCTGTAAGCATCTGTCCACCGGCGTACTATGCGGATCTAGTGTGTACAAGGGCTCGTTGCTACCTCAGTGGTGCTTTTGAACCATCTCCGCCTGGGAGTGTGGTCACGGGTAGTGGGGCTGGCGTTCAGGCCGATAACGCGGACGTGCAAATCCATGAGAATGTACGCGATACTATGTTTTATATATAGTTCGGGTGTGGTTGAGACTGCCGTGTAGTAGACCTTTAGGAATAGTGTGCTTTGGAGGACATGACCTAGATATCTTGCTTTCGGGTTTACATTGTTATCACGTGTTGTTCCTTTGTCGAATTGAGCGTACAGTCAGATTGAAAGCGTTAGACTCATTATCGAATCTATCTTTATGAATCGTACAACTGGGTAACATATCAAGAACAAGCTAAACGGAACACGCGACAAGCAATGTAATAAAACAAGATAGGTAATAAAGATACCAGAAATGAATACAAGAAAAGGCCGAGCAAATTCGCAATGTAGAAGAAATAAAGCATCATTTCCACCCGTCCAAATCGCATTGGGCAATTTTGTCACCGTGATAACGGCTCGATTTATCGCGGGTTTGGTATGGACAATTAGATCGTTCAATTCTGTCGTCATGGGTTCGGGGAGTCTGTTCTGAGTTGGTATGATCTCTTCACTCATCACCACCAATATTCCAGCTTCTCTCGTTGACACTTCGCATTGCGTGGCGCTGTGGAAGAGGACGGACGGCCTTGCTCGGCTGAGGAGATTGATCATAGGATTCCCATGATGGCTCCATCATCTTGACGGCCCTCTGTCGATCCGCAGCGATGGGCTTTTTGTTCTCGTCGGCCTTGCTCTTCGCTGGTGATTCATCTGTTATGGTCCAGTGAGTCTCGAGGTCCTTCTTGCGGGTTTGGCCTTTCTGGGCTACGGACAGGGGCTGCTTATCCTTGGCCGACGGCTTGCTCTCGGCGGGCTCGTCTTCACCGGCGAACAGGTGGTTCTTGTAGAGGCTAAGACCCTTGTTCTGGAATGAACTGATGATCCGGGAACCACCCTGGGTTCCAAAGTCGTCTGACAATTGGAAATGGGTTTCCGCATCCCGACGGGGCTGGGTTACGCCAGACCTGGCTGGGGGTACCTTCTGAAACTCTTCATCGTCGCTGATACCGAAACTACGAAGCTCCTGGCCACGGAGCTGACGCTTAGGCTTTTCGGGAGTCACGAAGTCCTCGAAGTTCCATTGGGGTCCCTTGCCCTGGCTTGACACCGGACGTGAAATCTTCGGCTTAATCTCACGGTCACTGTTATCGCCGCCGAGCTCGAAATGGTCGAATCGTTTGGGATGGGCCCGGTAGGCAATCTGCTGGGGCTTGTCTTGGGTATCGACAGTCTCGTCATCGTCGAAAATGCGTGAGGCCTGGTAGCTCTTGCCCGCGCCTTTAGGAGCGACGGGCTTATTCCGGGAGGGAGATGGTTCAGGAGTTTCGTCATCCTCGTGACTCACGAACAGCTCGCTCAAATCGCGCTGGGGAGGCTTAGCAGAGGCAGGAGCCCGAGGTGGGCGCACGGGATCGGCACGGTCCTTGCTGGGAGAGAGAAGTTCTTCCAGAGACTCTGCCGCATAGGGGTCCTTAATGTATCTCTTACCCGGTGAGGCAACCTTGCTCTGTGCCTCGCCATTCTCTGTTTGCTTGTTCACGGGCACGGGCGCTGGGGAGTCATTCACGGGAGCGGAGGACGCGGCGGTCTTGATCAACCTAGACTGGTCTTTGCCATCGCGAATGGGCCAACCGCGACTACGCGAACCGATCACCTCGACCTGTTTCAAAAGCGACGCTTGGTCCCAGTAGACTTTAACCTGCTGAATCTGGTTCTGGGAGTTGAAACGAACGATATGAACCTTGAAACAGACAATTAATTAATTAGAAAACAAAGTCCGGGTACTGCCAAAGTGCGACGTAGTACAGTGGAACGCATACCGTGGGGAAAGTCGCAACGCGATCAGACAGGAAGTTATCGTCCAGCGAGGGGAGATACGGCCCGCCACCAGACACGAATTCCACAGTGGTGTCAACGTCTAGGGACAGGGAATTGAATCCCTCGACCGTATCGATCACCTGCTGGGACTTCCTTTTGAGGACGTGATCTTGCCTAGCGAGATGCTTGACCACGGCCTCAGCGCCGTCGACCCTTGTGGTCGTGGTGATATAGATCAGCGCAACATTGGAAGCCAGGGAAGCAGACCTGGGGTCGGAAAGGAATGTCTGGTACACTTGTTGGAGAGACATGGTCGCTATGATTGAGTCAGAAGGTATAACGAGTGTAGACAATGGGATAGCCAGCTATTAAAGGAGGGTCAGGGGAGGGATCCAATTGGGGAAAGAGTATGTGATGGCTCCTGGTTGTCGCAAAGGAAGGGGATCGCGAACCACACTTTCTGCCTGTGGCTCTCAACAACAAGTTTACGTACACCGCGGAATGGAAACATAGGATTGAATGAATGAGAATTAATTTGTGAATCCAGGCTAGCAGTGTGTGGAAATAAGCAGATTTTATTTTATTTCTGGAGGCCTAGGGGGGGCTTTGCTTGTCTTTCATTTTATCATAGGGTTATTATTAGACATTCACTATTTGTTCACTAGTTAGTTCTTCCCTTCTAGGTGCAGCTACACAATGCAATCAGAACATTTGATTGATATGGGCGCTTCTCGACCTCACTAATAATATTCACTTCCCCTCACAGTACTGTTAAAAGTGGATGACTCTCTGCCTCTAACAGGGACAATCACAATAAACAACAGTTGGTTTTCTCTGCCAAGATTGGGGAAAATTCAACCTTGAACACACCAGCGTTTCACCATCTGCTAATCGGGACTAGTGGAAACACTCCGCGGTGTGATATTCTACACATCCATACCTTCAGGGTATAGAGTAGGAACTAGTATTGGTGAAATATTGTAGAGAGCATTTTTACAGGCTTTACAATAGGTACATACCCAATATTTATTAACAAAAGAATATTACTTCAGACAAAGACGACGTGAGTAGACAGCATTGTGAAAGCACCATCTATTCTCTGTCGATTAATCGTTCCAGTTATATATAGTCTTCCTTGTCAAGCTGGAGGACATAGAGTGCTAAATTCCAACCAATTCCAATTTCAAGAAAGCAGTCAGAAGTGAAATCTCTCACATAGTGGGTATATTGCGTGTTGGAAACACATCTTATAGAAATGTTCCTTTACCAAGTCCAGTCATTGAAAGCGAAACTCTGGCGACCCCTCTAGCATGACTATGGCATCAGTAGGCCACATCCCGTACAAAAATTGACCTGTCCTGTTCGGGCGCCGTGCAGAGTGGTGGTTACTTAGTTGAATTAAAGAACCCTCGAGAGCAATAAAGTGCATTTCATATACATCTGTCTTCTTGCTTTTGGATATAGTGACATCTAACTGATGCCTCGCACACTCTAACCAAGATCGGCATCCACCTCCCTTGAAAAGTATCGCAGCGAAAGCCCATGGTGTCCGCATGCTCTATTTCAACAGGCTGCATTGCCTGAGCCTTGATTCTGCTGACCAGCAGCCCACTTCACCAGTGAGGGTTGTGAGGTTGTCTTCTCATTTGAGAAACAATTTTATTGAGCTGGAGATACTGACGGGTGTTCTTTGATTGGCCCGTGCTCGCATCTCCCCGGGACACCTGCCCCTTCACCGAGTTGTCCTTGTATGATGATTAAAAAAAGCGACAGAAAACCTCTCAAGCGCTCGCTGGTGGTAATATTGGTATAATCATTAGATGCGATAAAGGTATCTTCTCGTCAAAATATTTTACAGTGGTCTATGACAGGCAAACGCACATCAGCGAAGATCAAAGATTGAAAAAGGAACGGAAAGAAAAGACAAAAGGCCACATACCCTAAGTAATCCTCTTTTATGGTTCCAATGGCATTGATTGCGGCGACGTCTGGTTTGACACCAAGTATTTTAAGCCGTAGGCTTGTCCCCTTCTCAATGACCTGGTCCGCATGATCTGTGTATTGAGGAGGCACTGTATTCGGCTCCCACTTGATATCGGACGGAATATTCTTGTCACATCGTTAGTACCGCACAAGTGTTTCCGAGTTTCATCTAGCAAACTTACTTTGCGCGCAATGAAAACAGACAATGGACCCGCTAACGTGAATATACCGGTGGGTTTAACAGACGTAACGATAGCATCGACCTACGCGTTCACTGTCAGATCTGGGAGTAAGATTTCGGGGCTCGCGCTCCCCACGACCTACAGTCTCTCCACGGAACGGCTTCCAAATAATGGCTCGATATTTAATTGTGTATTCGGCTTGCCCACCACTAGGTAGAACCCGCCCTTCTCCGATATCTACCATGTCCATCACACAAATCACGAAGTGGTCTCCCGTACAACGTCCTTCTTCCTCCTCATTCAGCCGGTTTATGAGGTACTCTCGCACATTAGGTCCAAAATAGGACGGGTGCAATGTGATGACCTTGGTTTCCTCCTTGAGAAAAAACATGGCGCGGAAAGCGATACTTCCACACAAAGAATCGAGAAAAGAAAGAATAAGTGATCGAATCGGTGTTTCAAATGAATAGGCTTGACGCAAAGAATGCAACTTTTTGAAAATAATCGGTGGGTGGAGTAAGCTAGGTGCTCAAGATAGATTGGACAATGGCGAGTAAGCAATTGCAAAATCTGAAGCAGACAGGCAAAGTAGGAACCGTAGAAAGCGCAACGACGATGAAAGCGATGGGATTGTCAAAATTGGCGACTGAAGATCAATAATAGAACATTAGAAGCTCATGACAACAAGAGCAAAGGGGCTTTGCCTCGGCCAAGAAGCCAACAGAAAGAGTGCGTAGCTAGAGTGCGGAAGAAGCCGAAAGAATAGCTATAACAAACTCCAGCTCCGAAAGAAGGCTGGTGTGAGCGCCGTGTATGAGGTTTTAGTCAAGCAATCATGACTTGACCCGGTGGCCGATTAGAGCCTAAGCTGCAGCGAGTCACCTGATCTGGGAGTTCTCCATGACAGCCATGATACGCTAGTACAATACAATGTGCATAACTGCCACAAGCCCTACTGCATAAAGCCACGGCTGCATGACAATACATTGTAACAACCCCCGTATCCTCGGTATTCGACTCCCCAGCACATGACGTCTGTCTAGCAATACTTTAGGAGACTTGCTACAAGTAGCGCATTTAAAAAATGTCTGATTCTCCACCTCTTGGCTGGCCTGATCTGGCATAATTCTTATCCAGTCTAACTGGCAGAAAAGGGTCTCCTGTATGGTTACCTTCAAGTATCAACAATTTCCCTTCTTGGAGACGAAAAAACATCGGGTCTGATTACCAATATGGCTCTGAACTTGGAGAAGCAGCTCCTTTTTGTGAGTGCTCTTATCTGTACCTGATGCATATATTATATGCTTGATGATTGGACCACAGCTTACGTTCCCAGTATGGTGCCTACCATAACAACCCAGTACTTTTACCCTCTCCTCTACCCCATAACTGACTATGATCACTCATCGTTCGTCAGGTAAACGTCGCAATTCACGTTACATGTGTGCCGATACTCCTGTTTACGGGAATTGCCCTGGTATGCTCCTTTCCGCTTTCTTCCGACAAACAGTATTGCTTACCATCTCATGGATTAGGCCTCGAATTCTCCAGCACTTTTCAACCTCCCTGATGTCCTTCGTTTTGAGAACCTGCCCCCCAATTTCGGCACCATTGGGGCTTTGATATATTCTACATTTTACATCTTGTTGGAGCCAGTTGCTGGAGCCCTGATCGCGCCACTCATCATTGGTGGCGCGGCGTTCGCAAACCACCTTCTGACTACTCATGGCTCGGACATGAACTACTGGTTTGGTGGTATCCATGTCGTGTCTTGGTTGCTACAGTTCGTTGGCCATGGTGCATTTGAGCGTAGGGCACCGGCTTTGCTAGACAACCTGGTTCAGGCGCTCCTTCTTGCTCCTCTTTTCGTCTGGATGGAGATCCTCTTCTTCTTCGGGTACCGCCCCGAATTGAAAGCGAGATACGATGAGAGCGTTGAGAAGGAGATCGCCGCTTTCAAAAAGAAGAACGCGGGCGGCAAATAAACTAGCCGCGCTTGATCCCATAAGAGCTGCAGAGCTTGAGCTTCTTTAAAAAGTAGTTGGGTAATAATAGCTGTCTTCGAGATGGCATTGATATTAACTTGAAATTGACTTCAACCGGTCGCTGCGGTGGGATACCTGGAGTTATTGCAGATGGCTAGAAATTATCTCTTCAGACAGGTTGTTTAATTATTGTTACTTTGAGATACAAGCGCAGCCATACGTCGCGCAAGTTTAGCGGTTGCTACATTGGTTCTTACAGGTGTAGAGACCAAGCCGGTCAGCGGTTTGAAGCGGTGTACAGATTGTTTTAGGAGGAAAGGGAAGAGAAAGAAAAATTAGTGATTTAAACAAGGACCATGACAGGCTTGCGAAAATTGGATTCTCCAGATATCAGAGAAATCCAACAATTTCCTAGAATAGTAGTCAATGGCAGATCCGTGTGTTGTTGGCAGGTTCATGCAGACGGTTGCTGTGACGAAAATGAGCGGGAATGAGTAAGCTGGACTCAGTTATCCGCAGATCCGAGAAAAATAACAGCGAAAATTGAGATTGCCAGGTGGCCCGCAGGAAAAGGTCGGGTACCCGGAAAAACAGCCAAGAAAACATTCCTCAACTCCCACAACTTGGGGGGAAAGACGTGAGAACAATGGACATAATTACATAAATACCCATAGTGAAATCAAAATATAGACGATAATTTTATACCAGAATGGTCCGAATCTAGGGGCGTAAGATCGGTACGTCAAAGTAACGATGTTTTCTTGGGGCGGGTGGGTGTCCCGTGAACGCACTAGGGCGGCTTCGGAGGTTGCTGAGGCTCGGCAAACTGGGTTTAGTGGCAGTCCTGAGAATCCTCCCAACCCCGACGACAAAGCTCTCCTTCCACCCATCCACAATCCTCTCTCCTCTTCCACCTCCCCCCCAATTACATCTCTCTTTCAGAGAAACCACTCTCCCACTCCTCTGAACCCCCATCACAATGTTCAGAAACGCTTTGCGGCAGTCTAGCCGCACCGTTGCGGCTGCCACTGCTACTGGCAGGATCGCTTCGGTGAGTCTTATCCCTACTTGTATCGACGACATCGCATCAATTTCGCCTATACCATCTAAAAAGTCATCTCAATGTGACTGTCAATCGGATGGCTTCATATCGCAATACTTTCTATGTCATTTTGACGCGTTGTGGTCGCCATGTTCAGTTGTTAACAAATTTTGCTTCTCCTTTAGGTCCGCGCGGCTGCTCCCGGCCCCGTCTCTGGTGCTGCTAAGCAGGTCCGTTCCTACGCCGCTGAGGCCAAGGCTGCTCCCACCGAGGTCTCTTCTATCCTTGAACAGAGAATTCGCGGTGTTCAGGAGGAAGCTGGTCTTGCTGAGACTGGACGTGTCCTTTCCGTCGGGTATGTGGTCAATTCGTCCAATTGAAAATTCTGGATCCGGCAGCCATGTCATCGAAAATCCATCGAAAATCATCAGCAAGAGCCACAACGCAATTGCCTAGAGAGCCAATGACTGATTCGATTCATTCAACAGTGACGGTATCGCTCGTGTTCACGGAATGACCAATGTCCAGGCTGAGGAGTTGGTTGAGTAAGTTGATTTTGATATTCAGATCTCACCTGGAAAATTTCACTAACGAAAGATTAGGTTCGCCTCTGGCGTCAAGGGCATGTGCATGAACCTGGAAGCCGGCCAGGTCGGTGTTGTGCTCTTCGGTTCCGACCGTCTCGTCAAGGAGGGCGAGACTGTCAAGCGTACTGGAGAGATTGTGAGTAGTCACTGTTACTAAACGGTAGAAATTGGGAATATACTAACAGTGCTCTACAGGTTGACGTTCCTGTCGGTCCTGAGCTTCTTGGCCGTGTTGTCGACGCTCTTGGTAACCCCATTGACGGCAAGGGCCCCATCAACACCAAGGCTAAGAGCCGTGCTCAGCTCAAGGCCCCTGGTATTCTGCCCCGTCGTTCCGTCAACCAGCCCGTCCAGACTGGTCTCAAGTGTGTCGACTCCATGGTTCCTATCGGCCGTGGTCAGCGTGAGTTGATCATTGGTGACCGTCAGACCGGTAAGACCGCTGTCGGTCTTGATACCGTGCTGAACCAGAAGAGATGGAACAACACTTCCGACGAGTCCAAGAAGCTCTACTGTATCTACGTTGCTGTTGGCCAGAAGCGTTCCACCGTTGCTCAGCTCGTCAAGACCCTTGAGGAGAACGATGCCATGAAGTACTCCATTGTTGTTGCTGCTACTGCTTCCGAGGCCGCTCCTCTGCAGTACCTTGCTCCCTTCACTGGTTGTGCCATGGGTGAGTGGTTCCGTGACAACGGCCGCCACGCCGTCATCATATACGATGACCTTTCCAAGCAGGCCGTCGCATACCGTCAGATGTCTCTGCTGCTCCGCCGTCCCCCCGGTCGTGAGGCCTACCCTGGTGACGTTTTCTACCTCCACTCCCGTCTCCTTGAGCGTGCCGCCAAGATGAACGAGAAGCACGGTGGTGGCTCCCTCACTGCTCTGCCCGTCATCGAGACCCAGGGTGGTGATGTGTCCGCCTATATCCCTACCAACGTCATTTCCATCACTGACGGCCAGATTTTCCTGGAGTCCGAACTGTTTTACAAGGGTATCCGTCCCGCTATTAACGTCGGTCTTTCCGTCTCTCGTGTCGGCTCTGCCGCCCAGGTCAAGGCCATGAAGCAGGTTGCTGGTTCTCTGAAGCTGTTCTTGGCTCAGTACCGTGAGGTTGCTGCCTTCGCTCAGTTCGGTTCTGATCTTGATGCCGCCACCAAGCAGACCCTCGCCCGTGGTGAGCGTCTGACCGAGCTCCTTAAGCAGAAGCAGTATTCTCCCATGCCCGTTTCCGACATGGTTCCTCTGATCTTCGCTGGTGTCAACGGTTATCTCGACTCCGTTCCCGTCGCCAAGATCCTGCAGTGGGAGTCTGACTTCCTCGCTCACATCAAGAGCAACCACCCTGAGATCCAGGAAACCATTGAGAAGGAAGGCCAGGTCAGCAAGGAGACTGAGGCTCAGCTCAAGGAGGTTATCTCCGCCTTCAACAAGTCTTTCAACGCATAGGTGAGCAAAAGGCAACTGGGTGATGAGCCAACCGTGTATTGTTTTTTCCTGACTCTATGTGTATAGACAAGATTAGCTTGTACAATTTGAGACCACAGTTTTCCTTTCTTTCCCACCGAAGCTCCGAGGTTGGTCGAGAACACTGAGGGGGTAAAACGGGAGTCCTTGATGTGTAACAACCTGGCCTTTCAGTAGCTAGAGGGGAGGACAGAATAGTTGTGGGGGTAAAAAAACTCAAAGCTACGAATTAATATCCTGTACGTTTAGATCCTTTCGCGCACCTGGGGAACGAGATAAAAGATCGACCGGATTCGTCTCATACCCTTTGGACGAAATGGCGTATCATCCATATTCTCTTTCAATCCATGTTTTCTCTCTCCATGTATGCAGCCTGAATATGATTTCCTTTGTTCGTCCATTCCCTCGCATGAATATTTTCTAGGCCGTAGAGTTGCCTTTAGGAGATTGTGTGAGATGGTTTGTAAGTGGACTTGGACGCTGGCGGCACTTCATGAGGGTTTCTTTCCGGAACACCAACCGGAGGTATATTTATTGGACTTGGAGACCTCAGTTTATCGGTAGTTCTTTTATATTGTTTCTGCGCCCTGGTATTAGGTGTCTGCTAACTTGCGATGGGGGACTTGGTTATATAAATATCCAAGCCAGTGCTCAGAACTTAACCGCAACAGGAATGTCTTAGGATATATGCTTACTCTACTTGAAGACTACTTGATCCACAACAACTTAATGTTCCTGAATGGCGCGGATCAGCTTTCGCCTTGACATACGTTTGAACCTCTCTCGATCTATGGTGACTCAGTGGGCCGAAAGCGGCCTTCTTTATCGATAAGCGAGCAGCCTTTTCCGTCCCAAAAATTTCTCCATACCCCTCCGCAAAAGCCCACTTGACGCATAGCATTGACACATTCTCGACTTGTTCCAAAACATCTTTCACTATCGGGAAAATGGCTACTGCTACAGACTCAGCACCAGCTACCTGTAAGGTTGTGCTCTCTAAGCATGTCGTCAGCAGTCTGCTTTCAGAGGTCCAGGAGGGCGTGAAGACCCTGGAGAAGCCCCCTCACCTGGTGGGCTTTCTGGCCAACAATGACCCTGCGGCACTCATGTATGCCCAGTGGACGGAGAAGACCTGTGAAGAAAAGTGAGCACTCTCTCGTATTTACTCCTTCTCGCGCCAATGGCTCTTGATGTTGCGCCTGTGCCTCTACAATCTGCGATCTCGGAGGTCCTGGGCGGCAACTTCTTGGAGTTCCACTCGTAGCTAACGTAGTATCTTCTTTCCTCAATATCCAGTGGCTTCCGGTATTCCCTCCGCCATGTTGAGCGTGACGACCTCGAAGAGGCTATTCTAGCTGCTAATGTCGACTCTGACGTGGACGGCATTATCGTATACTACCCCATTTTCAACAACCGCCAAGACCAGTACTTGCAACAGATTGTCGACGTATCCAAAGATGTAGAGGGTCTAAGTCATCGCTACATCTTCAACATGTATCAGAACATCCGTTTCCTCGACCCGGAGACGAAGCGGCAGAAGTGTATCCTCCCTTGCACACCCCTCGCTATTATCAAGATCCTCGAGTTCCTCAACATCTATAATACGATTTTGCCGTATGGGAACCGTCTCTTTGGGAAAACCATCTGCGTGGTAAACCGATCGGAGGTCGTCGGTCGGCCGCTGGCAGCTCTGCTAGCGAATGATGGAGCCTGCGTCTACAGTGTTGATGTGACTGGTATCCAAAAGTTCACCAGAGGTGAAGGTATCAAGAAGCGGAGACACGAAGTTCACGAATTGGAAGGCAAGACTCTGAAGGATGTGGTTCCGTTGTGTGACGTCGTCATTTCTGGTGTTCCTGGGGATAAGTACAAGTTCGATACTAGCCTCCTCAGAGAGGGTGCTGTGTGTGTCAACTTCTCCAGTGAGAAGGTAGGTCGCATTAGTTATTGTTTTCTGCGTTGTAATTGTCTGACACCACTCTAGAACTTCGGACCGGAAGTGAAGGAGAAAGCCTCGATTTTTATGCCTTCCACTGGAAAGGTGACCATCGCTGTTCTACTTAGAAACCTTCTGGTGAGAGACTTGCTTAACTTTTATAAAGCATAATAGAGCTGACCGTTCACTACAGAGACTCATTCAAAACCGGAGATTGGATGACGTGAAGCCTGCTGAAGCCACCGAGCGTCCCGGTACCCTGGAAGCTGCTTCTGAATAATTGTTTCGGGAGACGATATCATTCAGAAACCATTCGAATTATAGAGCTTATTTTCCCTATTGTTATTCCTTTCCTCATTTTCTCTAGATGAATTATTATATACCTATTTTAAAAGTCATTTCGTGCGCGAGCTGTTAGGCTGATCTTGCTGGACTGATCAATAAAACAGCCAATGTCCTTTGTTTGCTTGGGAGTTGGAATTCTTGGGATAAATTAGAACAGATATAAGATTGTATGAATACAGTCCGTTCGCTGGATTCATCACGCTCCTTTTTATTAACCTTACAACAGACGGTAAGGATATCAGGCAGGAGGAACAGCGGGATGGCTGTAGCAGAAACGGAGACAGGCCGGAGCATTCTCACGCTAAATGTCCAAATTGCTGCACTTCGAAATAACCTAAACCGATATGCTGACTACATCCTTTCATGCAGGTCTGACTAACTTTTTATTTATTCTCCTTTGCCGCAAGTCGCAGGACTTCGATCTCGCTTGCCAGCCACTTCTTAAGGGGATCAGGATGAAATGTTCCATCTGCAGAAAACCAAGCCATGAACGGTGCCTCAATCTCCTTCTCCTCGAGAACCTTATTCGTAGCTGACGTATACTGCACACGGATTTTATACGATGGCGAGTGCTTTTTTGCGGAGGAGCGAATGGCAATCTAACCAGGTAGACAATTAGCTTAGTACATTTGGCTGCCGCCCTCATGTAATATCACGTACCGTTTCACCAGACTTCCGCTTTCCTCGGAATACCTCGCCTGCCTCCACAGCCCAAATCCAGTATGTGAGCAGGCTATTCAAGATAAAGTAGGAAACAACGGCTGCTATGACCCATGTTGACTGTGTTGCCTCCCACCCTAGTTTGCGATCAGCATAGAATGTAAAGGCTGCAATGGCGACGGCAGAGTAGCCCAGCAGGAAGCGGACGTTCGTCTTCGTATGGTCTTGAGTAAAGGCATAGGGCTTGGGAAGGGTAGTTAGATGTGGTGCTAGCGCGTCATCTGTAGTGGATTTGAGATCTAGAGACAACCATAAGTAAATATAGAGAAGAAAATCTTATAACAGTAGAGAGCTCATGAGTCGCAAGTAGGCTTAAATGGGTAGAATGCTTTGTGTACTTCTAGTACTGACCATTGACTGAGTAAACGGGCACTTTCTGTGCCTCTGTTGACGCCATTTGGGTTTTTGACTTTCGAGTAGAAGACTGTGTGCTCAGATTACCAAGTGATTCAAGAAGGCAATTTGTGGATTCTGTAAAAAGTCCGAGAATTCTTTGTTCTTTTACATAGATGACAGCGAGGAGTTGCGGCGAGCTGGCCCTTTCGGGAGAGCTGACTTAATGCGATTCGGCGGCGCTAGTGAATACCCGCCCCCCAGCTCAGTCTCGTGGGGACCGCATGTCGGGAGTTCTCTTTTAAAGCATAATTGAAAACCGTCCATCCCATTGCTCTCAGTGTTACTAGCCATGGCATTGCAGGGGGTCGAGCAGACAATCCTTCGGGATCCAGCTTTATTGTGGGTTTCCGTGCAATCTCAACCGAATGAGAAGAAACTGACTTGGAATCGATGCACAGTTATTGGATTTTATTCCCTATTACCATTGTCATGGTATGACCCATCAGGCGAATTAATAAAGAGTTTCATTCCGGTACTAATTAATGCATGTAGATTCTGACTGGTATCCTACGTCACTATGCCACGGTTTTGATGAACACTCCCCCGAAGCCTGCGTCTACTCTGGCCGAATCTTGCGAGCGTCTGTCACTCCTGCGCGGTGTTAACCTCCGTAACAATGCCTCAGCAGTCCTCTCAAAAGATGCATTCGAAATGCGGAAGAACTACCTCGTCTCATCTTACCAAAGCGGCGCTTTTCTGAAGGACCCGAATAGTCGCGGCCAGCCCCCAGCAAATCCGATGACTGACCCTGCGGGCATGGAGGCTATGATGGGTATGATGAAAGGAAATATGATGATGATGATCCCACAGACTCTCATTATGAGCTGGATTAATGCCTTCTTTTCTGGATTCGTTATTCGTATGTTATTATACTGCTCTCCATTCCATTTCCTGTTCTGACACGGTGAAACAGTGAAATTGCCGTTCCCCCTCACCGTCCGGTTCAAGTCTATGCTCCAGTCTGGTGTCATGACTCGTGACTTGGATGTCAGGTGGGTGTCCAGTTTGTCATGGTACTTCCTCAATCTGTTTGGTCTTCAGTCAGTCTTTGGATTCATTCTGGGTAGCGACAATGGTTAGTTTTACGATCCTGTACTCTTCTTCAGCTTCTGTTACCTGGCTTCGGTCCGGCTATTCATGTTGTGCTAATATCTATTTAGCTGCCAATCACATGTCCCAACAAATGGCCACTATGAACCCTACTGTAGGGGTTAACCCCTTCCAGCCTGGCCAAGACCCCGATAAGCTGTATCAAAGTGAAGCAGAGAACTTGGAGGTTGCGGAGCACTTTTGCATTTTGGATGGTATTGAGGACAGAATACTGCACAATATTGCTTCTAAGGAGGGCCTCATCTAATTACCTCTAATCATAGACACCCTCTGCTTTTATTGATGTTCTATACATTATCAGAATATTAAAAGCACAGTGATATACACAATTGATGAATGAACTTTGGTGCATCTTGAGGGTTAAATCAGATGCCTGCTCTAGACTTCGCCGTAGATACAAAGCCCATTCTTCCAAAAGCTCCACTGTGTTATACCTGCTGCTTAAGAAATGCGCGTACACTCGGCTTTAATTCAAATTACGATATGAAAAGGCCACAGCATTTCCAGATTATATCTACGTTGTTTGTATCGCCACAGAATTCGTAAAGAGAGTTTCAACGGTAATTGATAACACCGTTTAAGATCCATACTTCACCATTTGAAACTTGCTCTGCAATACTGTCGACCTCAATATTTCCAGGTTGAATCTAAAATGTGTTAGAACATAGAGCAAGTTCCTATAGGAAGCGGTGACCGTACAAAGATCTTATCTCCATCTTTCGTCCATTTCAGCCTGTCACCCCCAAGGGTCTCTACTTCATCCCCTTTATTCCAGGGACTCTTGGGTACTATATGGGCCTCTACAAAACGCTTTAGGTTGCGTTTCGCGCGGTCCTGGCCATCCTCTCCCTCATACGCATTCGCCTCCCCAAACTGTTCATAATCATCCGGGTTCTCCCAAGGCTTACGCGGAAGACCCTGAACTGCACTGTTGCGAGGGGCAAGGACGGTTAAATTCTTCGTCGCATCATTAAATAGAGATTCGATAGGCTCAAAATCCCTTGTGAGAGAGGCAAAGATATTGATGCCACGATTTTTAGGAAGAACATCAGATATCACAAGACCGTCATTGCCGGAATCCTGAGCAAGTCTGCTCCCTCCGCTAGAGCCAGTATCAGGCGGCATGGCAATATTAGGGGTCATAATGGGCTGTTGATTGTGCAACCACTGCTTTAGTTCGCTGTTCTCTTGTAGGTGCCGCTCGTGCCGTAAATGAGGTAGATCGACAAACGGACGCGGTAGACGCTTGCGAAGAGGGAGGCCTGGAGGGTTCTGAGCTATTAGTACTGCGCAAACTATTAGAAAGACCAGAAAGATTGGCGTGAGAGTTTGGTGTCGCATCTTAACGGACGATAAATGGAATTATCGATCGTTCATGCACACCAAGTCAGTGACCCATGACGCAACTATCAGTCATTCCCTATTCTGCCACAGGCCCCACACGTGATATTGCGGAGGAATTCAATTGCACGTGATATTTATCGATAAGGGCAATCGGCGGCCACAAAAAGCGTCATGTTCCGGTCGCGGAGGAGGGGATAGAGTCATTTACCCCTCTTTTGAGTCGCTTGTGAAGATGTCGGCGTTGCAGACATTCCTGCTGGTCGTGGACCATGACAAGCAGGAGGCTAAGCAGATCGCTGAACGAATTGCTCAAGGTAACGCTGCTCGACAGATCATTGTTAGGAATAATATGTTCTAACTATTGCTGGAAGATGTGGAGACCAAGAAAACGACCCTTATCGAAGTCGTCCAGTCGTTGGGAGAATATATCAACGATGAGGATCCGATTCTGCGAGGCAAAGCAGTCTCCTACCTGACTGCTGTGATTAAAGCACTGCCGCCAAAGTTCCTTTCGAGACAACAGATTCAGGTCCTAACTACCTTCTTCTGTGACCGTATCCAAGATGGTGGAGCTGTTGCTGGGCTGGACACACTTCAGAAGTTGGACCGCTTCAATAAGGCATTGGCGGAGGAAGTAGCGCAAGCGTGAGTGCATGCTTAACTTCCCGATCTGTCTACGCCTAGTTTCTCCATCTAGCACCGGATGACCATGAGTTGCGGGAATGAAGACTCAGTGGGGGAATAGAGTTGGCTAACACTTTGTATTAGCATCTTTGAGCATTTCCAAGACCTTCAATCCCGGTCGCAGTCCCAGAGATTCCAAGTATATCAATTGCTGAACGAATTGATGTCTAACCATCGCTCCGGTGCGTGCTCCAGGATTATGATCCTAGGTCGTAGCCTTCCAAGTGCTAACGGTACCTAGCTCTTCACGATATGGGTGATCGTTCGCTAGTGGGAATAGTAGATCTTATGACAGGTGAAAAGGATCCTAGAAACCTCATGCTTGTGTTTTCTATCCTGAAGGTCGTGATGGTAGAATGGGATATTACCAGCCATGCTGAGGTATGTACTGTTTCTCTCCAAGGCTTAAATCCAATAGCTGACGGTTAAAGGTGCTGTTTGACTCTGTCTATAACTACTTTCCAATCACATTCAGACCACCACCGAATGACCCATACGGTATCACAGCCCAGGATTTGAAAGATCGTTTGCAGGAATGCATATCATCGACGAGTCTATTTGCTCCACACTCTATTTCATCTCTATTAGACAAACTTGACTCTACATCACCAAATGTCAAGGTAAGAAAGATCTCGACTTGTCAAGGTATTTCTGACAAGTTTTATAGAAAGATGCTCTCAATGCATTGATTGCTTGTATCAACTCGTATGACCCGGATACTGTGTCTAGATATTCAATCACGATATGGGAATCATTGAAGTTTGAAATACTTAATGCGCAGGAAGAGTTTCTCTCCGAGTTGTCCTTGCAAGCCCTACAGGACATTGCCAAGAGATTATCGGAAGGTGTCACTCAGGTCTCTGATCAATTACCTCTTGCATACTACATGCGGCCTCTCACTAAGGAATGTAATGAACAATTACAAGAGCCACAGCAGAAACAAGCGAAGCCTGCGCAACAAATCCTTGGCTTCGTATCGGCCGCTTCTTTTGCATCATTTACTCTGGCCGTGCAGGCAGTTGTTGCGCCGCTCCTGACAATCTATCAAGAAGCCGATGGCATCGCCAAACAGAGGGCTCTCTTGGACACCTTGGTTGTGCTCTTTGACTCCGCAATCAAAATATTTGGTGAATGGACAGCGCGCACCCCTGAGACGAATATCGACAACCCCCTGTTTGAGTTTAAAGATCAATTTTTCGACATCTTTGGTCAGGCTTTAATGGGTGTAATCAAGGAAGAAGTGTCTTTCCGCACAACTGCTTTGAAGGGATTCCTGCGTCTTTCCACTTTGCGAAACTTCTTCCAGGATAATGAAGTGGGTTTATTTGTGCAGTATCTTGATGAGATACTCCTGAAGGAGGAGTCTATAGGCCGGGATGATCTGAAAAAGGAAGCAATCGCGGCTTTGGTTGAGATTTCGAAACATAAACCGAGGCTGATCATGGATATCACTTTCCCTGCCTTTGTGGCGACGCTTCCCGATTCCGATGACGGGACGAATCCCAACTATATAACGACACTTGAAACGCTCGCGCAAATAAGCGTCGAGAAGGATATTTTCGAGACTTTAGTTCGTCGGCTACTTAGCAAGTTGAGTATCTTGCTGCAGAAAGAACAGCCAGGCTCCGTAGCCTATCCTAAGACGATCCTAATAACAATTCTGTATGTTATGAGTCAAAGGAATATGGATCAGGATCCAAATTTGGAACTATACTACGACAAGATAGTGGTTAGTATGTGCCGCGACGTTGCTATTTCAGCTTCAGGAAAGGCCAAAAATGACATTCTGAATGATGCCACGGTTTTGGATACGCTTGGGAGACTCTGCAATCTCATTGTCCGGTCACTTCCTAGGAATAAGCAGAATGAAGTTGCAGAGAACATCTATACGTTATACTCTACCGCTGACGACTTCTCGCCGGTGCCGTTCTTGGATTCAGCCAGCGACGATCTACAGCGCACCATGATTATTTCGACATATCTTCTTGCAGGCCTTCCGACAGACTGCATGAACCTACCTTATACCAGCCCTAACATGTCTGCTTTGCTCTTCGATATTGTAAAGCACTCCACTACTAGACTTTCGCCTGCAACACATATTGCGTTTCTGCGTCATCTTGCCCTCTTGGTGAACAAGTTTCTGCCAAAAACCGAGCTAAGTCTTTCTACGGAGCTGTTCGACAAACTTCTCCCTCTTAATGTCGAGGATAATAAATTTAGTCCTGAAACAATCATGACAGTTTTCTGGCTTTCAAAGGCCTTAAGTTTGCGTCTTGCTCCGAAGACAACAAGTCTTCTAACTTCTTTACTAACACTTCTCTCATCTCCGGATGAAGTAACCAGCACGACAGCTGCTCGCGGTTTCGCAATCCTCCTTAGAGACGATGATGTGCTCTCTGCCATAAACGGAGCCAACATCCGCCTGCTATCAAAGCAACGTGTTTTCACAACCCTGGTGCCTCTCATCTCAAGCAAAATCCGCGAAGTCAACGTTGCAGGCAGTGACTCTCCTACCCCTGAACACATTAAACCCGCACACTTAACAGCCTTGTCTGGAATCCTATCCAGCATCCCCACATCCCTGGTGATGCCCGAACTCCCAACGCTTCTCCCCCTTCTCCTCCAAAGCTTGGATCTCCAAACGTCGGACTCTCAATCCGTCCGAGCCGCAACCCTCGAGACCCTGGCCGTCATCATCCGTGATAACGGCGTCAGTGTCATCGAGGAATGCGGCCACGTCCAAAGCTTGGTAACCCGTCTACTCAAGACCGCAGAATATAAACCCGCTGGCGACAAATCAACCGCAGTGAACAGTTCCCGGCTGCGCGTCGATGCCTTGAAATGTCTTTACCTGCTCGCGCAGATGCCGGCTTCCGATGCCCCCACTGTTACTAAAACAGGCAAGCTCTCCCCGCTTCTACCGGTCAAAGTTCAAGTGGTTCGCTCTTTGCACTCCGTTCTCGATGACCCGAAACGCGATGTGCGTAAAGCTGCTGTTGATGCTCGAGGAGCCTGGCTTAGGAGAGTGGATGATGCTCCTGATGACGATGAATAAATGATTTTACCTTGTTGGCCCTATATTATTGTTTCCTTGTCATATTCAAGAACTTTGCCTTGTTTACGTGGTGCGAAAGGGTGATGAAAATGCGCCTGATAAATATAGATTTTCGGGGTTCTTTTATCAAAACATTTTGTCAGGGCACACTGCATACAGGCATTCTTTTGCATATCATTCAAGGGCAAATGCGAAAAATACATATCTCTTAAATGAGCTACGGGAATGTAGAGCGTTCAAAAACACTATGGTCTTTGGCAAAAGTTGAGGGTTAATTGCTAGTCCTTAGAAAAAGAATTGATTTCCTTCCGTGAGTGACAATTCTTCAAGTCATGTTTTGGATTCAACCAAGTTTCAACGGCATGACATACAACTGTAACAGTATAACCATCGAGAATTTCTCTAACAGAAAGACTATGAAGCCTGCAAGAAAGTAACTGAGGTCCGAGCCAGCGCTCTGGTAGCAAAGGGATCCAATGAGCTCATGAAGAGATTAGTACTCTCATCAGTCTCACCGAGTCATATAGGAACGAGCGGATGGGTACTAATATATACATGACAAACACAGAACAACCACTGCAGGGACCATAACATCTGCCTCCGACCTGCAAGGGCAGGAAAAAGGATTAAACTGACCTTTTTTTTTTGAATGGGGTAAATAGCAATGGTTATATAAACCATTTCCGGTCCTAAAGGTTGAGGTATAAGATAGCAATGGCGGCCAGGATCAAGTCAGGCGACAAGTTTCGGGACGCATCGCCTGTCTGCATCTTAGCAGCCACGGCACTCTTACTAGAAGTGAGGTTATTACCAGTACTTTGAACCTCATCTTCAGTTTTGTTCGAAGGGGTAGCTGCCGCATTGTTGCCCTTCGCTACGCCCGCATCTGACGCATGGGGAGCCGTATCGAAGTTCGGGGAGTCAGGGTTCCGATCAGGAGGTGGTCCTTTTGATGAGGGGGCTTGGTGGCCCGGATGATGAGCGACAGCTAGAAGTCCTGAATAGTTGACTTCGCCGTTTTGTCTGATTTGCAGAGCGTAATCCGAGCCATCTTCTAGGTCCTCTCTGGCTGTCCAGGTGTAGGTGTTTCCACGAGCTTGATCGGTTAGGACCTCCACGTCGTCGAGATTGGTGGATGCGCCCCTGCGCAAGGTGATGGTAGCTGGCTGGAAGAAATGATTGTTAGCGCGAGTATGGTGATAGGGATGGGACCACATGGATACAACAACATACAACGTCGGGGTCCCCGATCCAGTTCACGGTATTAGGTTCACCAGCATAGATCGTGCTCGGCCACTCAGTGAAGGCCAATGCATTTGTGAATCCAATATGGGCTAAACAGACCACGGCCGCGAAGAGAGATTCGAATACGTGCATACTGGTAGTATTGGATGCCTTGTTAAGCGCTAGATGATGGATGATACACGGCACTTGTGATATGTAAGCGATGTACAGTAGACAGGAAAAGAATGGTATGAGAGTTGATGATGATGAGACAGGCAAAGAAAGATAACAAGGACCCCATGAGAACCAGGAGTCCATGGTCAAATAGAGCCTTCCCTATCCCTGACTTACAGTTATAGGCAAGCACGTCCAACGTGGTTGATTCCCTGACGCACAATTAAGACTTTCAACGGTATTCGACTTCGAATCTGGCTCTTTCTGTCCTTGAAGCCAGATATAGCCCAGTGATACCTGATTAATTGCTCAACAATCAACAGGATAACACGAGGAGGCCAGATCAAACATTGTACAGGCAGGTCCCAGGCATGTTTATAGGTATTTGCTTCTGCTCAAATCTTTTGACTCCTGGCTCGTTTATTTGGCAGCAAGCAATCCCAGAATGAGGGGTTAACATATAGTCGCATTCTTGATCATCTCACTAGCTGGGTTGGTTGGCTGGCAACTTATGGGATGAGCCCGGAGAATGTTGCGGATATCTTGTTGTTGGCGTTGCATTCCAAGCTCAACTCCCCCCCCCTCAACTATGGTCCAGACGGTATATACTAAATAAATAGACGCATATTATATTAGCTATCGTATGGGAAATCTAGGTCAAATAAATAATTTAGTGTCCAAAGGTTGTACTGAACTGAGGATCATATCCTAGGTTTACAATAGTATGCTGAAATACACTGAAGTCTGGATAGGGTTTGTGGTAGAGCCCAAATCAAAAGTCAAATAAACAATGACAATGCTCCTAGCTACCCATGCCTGCCCTGTCTCGGTCAATGTATCAGTAATCATCTGAGCAACAGGATGCATTGGTCAGTCGTGTCTATTAGGAATCAGCTGCATCGACCTAATTATATCTTAGCCGCCGTGTGGGGAAGAACCCCCTTTCAGAGAGAGTAAGTAGGCAGTGCAGCAAGAGGGGGCAAATTGAAGGGCTGCAGAACTGCCCTACTACCATAATAGTAGGGCTTTCTTTTGAAGTTGGTGTGCAGGATGGATGGGTGAAATTAGAGATCTGTCAGTCGATAATATTCAGCAAAGACCAAAAACAAAAAAGAAAAATACTACTGCTACTACTACTACTACTACTACTACTAGAACAGTAGATGAATATATCCTTTTTCACCGAAATTTCCCTGTTGGTTGCCTTAAATCTCCATACAGGTCACATTAGTCGGGAGGTACATGGTACATATGCATGTCCTGCATTTTGCAATAGGTGGTAACTAGTTGGGTATAAATTAAGTATATGACTGATCTCCCCATCCACAGCGGCAACTCATCGTATTATTTATCACCTTACTTTCTCTTCAGCTCTCTTTATTCCTTCTACTCGTATCGATCTAGTTCCTTGTAAATTGTTATTGTTTCAAATTATCCTCATCTGTCGGATCCAGATTTGTTTATAAACCATCCTTTACTCTCCTCAGTGGTTGGGCGGGACCGTAAGTTTATCTATCATCCACACCTCGCTCCCTACCACTTCTCGTCTCCTCTTATTATTGCCTTTTCCATGACATCCCCAACTCGGTCATGATGCCTCCGCGATGAATAAGCACTAATACAACTTTTTTTTTTTCGTAGTTGCTGCAGATCTCCTGCAATCAAAGGCCTCGTTCACTTTTTGGTATGTTCGTGGTTTTTTTTTTTTTTTTTTTTTTTTTTTTTTTTTTTTTTTTTTTTTTTTTTTTTTTTTTTTTTTTTTTTTGTCAAAGTTGGTCGTACCATTTCATTTTATGCATTCCAAATAGCCAAGTTCTGGGAGACTTCCACCCTTCTGCATGACTGAAGTTTCATGATCCCTGAAGGTAGAGAGTGTGGTGTAGGAAGGGTTGGATTGTTGTGTGCCTGAGAAGTGAGGTTAGCTCCTTGCATACAACCTGCCAGCACCTGCGCTTCTACTTCTGGCATTACTATTTTTTCCTCTGTGTTTCTGTTCCATTCATTCCACTTTTCATGGGTTCCCCTTTACGATCCATTCCCGTAGCTCCCAACATTCCAACAATACCCACATTATGCCGAGCATGGCCCGATTCGGTCGGGCCAAGAAAACGCCAAAAGCAGTAGCCAACAATGCTAACTCGGACATGCTTGTATCACCGACGTCAGCTCCTCCGCGACGGTCCCCTCGAGTTAGTTTACCCCATGTGGAAACGCAACTGAATATGCATCAATACAGCGGCCTTTTTGATTTCGACTCGTCGGATCGACAGAAGGCCGTAGATTCATCTGCAGGTGGGTTGCTTCTCCGTTGTTTTCGGCCCCCCCCCCGACTAGCCACTACTCTAAACCAGATTCTTGGACCTATTGCTTATGCGATGCTATGTCCACATTCCTACAGATTCGACAATCTCTCATTCTTCGAATACCCGGACAAATGGCTCCTCAACCCTTACGAACGGTGATTCGTTGACAACTGAATGGTCCTCGGCCGTCGGTCACGCAGCCACGGGCAAGTCTGGCCGTGTCATACATAATCTACAGGAGGAAATTGCTCGCCTGACGCGAGAATGCAGTGTCTATCGTTCCCGAGCAGAAGAAACACAGCGGACGAATGATGCCTTCAAGACCCAGGTACAAAACATGACGGAACGTCTCCGGAATCTGGAACAGGCACATGAGACGAACCTGCATTCGATCTCCCGAAAGGATAAGAAGATCGAGGAGTTACGCGCAGAGGTCCAGAGCGAAAAGGAGAGACGACAGCGGGCAGAGGCGGAGACTAACAAATTCCATCAACTGATGGATGAGACCCGGGATGATTTTAATCGGAAATGCGCGGAGTTGCAGGAGGTTACCAACCATGCCCGGACACAGTATGACGTACTCGCCAAAGCTGGACAACGTGAGCGAGCAGACCAACAAAGGAAGTTGAAAGCAATTCGAGATGAGATCGATACTATCAAGTCCCGACAAGAAGAGAAGAGCTTGCACCTCGAGCGCTTGGATGCTGTTATGGCGCAGAAGAACCGTGAAATTGAGATTGGCAGAGATAATTTCGACAAGCTCTTTGAGACATACGAGTCTTACAAAAGAGCCCATGACGAGGAAGTACACACTCTTGTCGAAAAGGGTCGTCAGGGCAATGCCAAGCTTGACGCGGCTTTGGCTTCATTGAAGGAAACTGAAGGACAGATGAAATGGGTCATTCAGGTCAAAAACGAGGTCAAAGGTGCTAAATAAAGGTGGATATTTAGAGCTTCTGGTGCACCAATTTGTGGCTTTCTCCTTATGAGCAGGCAGCTAACGCTGGTCGTGAACGCCTGAGCGGATGGCAGGTCTGTTATTCAATCTGTTTCAGTCGTACTGTCCCCTATCAGTCTGACAAGCGGCAGTAATCTTTCTATCACTATGCTGAGGGTCATCCTAGCATAAACTGACCACCTCCCTATTCATCAGGAGGCCTTAACAGCTCCCCTGGGTGTGTATCCTAGGCTGTTCTTCTCTTAGACTTGTCTATATCTCCTGCTGTCCTCCAAACGCATTTACACTCTAATTTCCGGTGAATTTTTCCGGGCTCAACTGCTGTTATCTGGAGTTTGGGATTGTTTGATACCCTGGGAGAAATACTTTGCCATATCACCTGTTTGTTAGATCATATTCACCTTACAAAGATGGCTGCAATGACTAGACTTTGATAGATATCGTCCAACATGCATATACAGGAATCCAAACATGGTGATAAGTTTGTCAATTCACATATGGGATAGACAACGTGATGTCCTTCCATATTCCGGCCCTTTTCTAAGTCACTGCTGTGAGATTCTATTCCTTCCCTAGGCTGCCTAGCGCCTTATTCCTATGTTTTGTTCTTCTATAACCGTGAATGGTCATCAATTGTTCGTGTCTTACAGCATTCTCAATACGGGTATACGGGTATACGGGTATGTGTGTATCAGTGGTTTCTTCACTATCATCTGTATCTAGCCATGTGGTGTTTGTCCTTGTCCCAGGGATCAGATTCTGAATGGCTATCTGGTAAACCCAAATATCGACATTCACCTTTCCCCAGGACTATTACTGTTGACTTGGGGATGCGGTGATATTTAGATCCGTTCCCCCAAATCACTCCTCCTTTCACAAACTCCTTCCCCTCATCTCTGAGCTCTGCTACCTTACCCTCTTTCTGTTTCGCATCTATATCTCTGCTAATTTACTCTAACAAGCCTCTTCTTGAAGACTACACCTCTGATGTTCCCTTAATACACCCTGAACTACCCCGCAGTTTCCCTCTATTCCTAGTTTCAAACACCGGGCAACGTGATTTCCCATACTGTTTATCTCATGACCCCCCCAAATTATACACTTTTTTTTTATTACAACTGTCTTGTTTGATGTGCGAGAGTTGTATCTAGAACGACTCAAGGATGACCTCCAAAAAGCGAGTGACTTTCGCATCCATGTGGGCGTTTGAGGATATTGGGGTAAATCTGTCATCCCTTGCTGTCAATGCAGGTCTTTGCTAACTATGGATTGTAACAGGTGCAAGATATTGACAATGAAATCAAGTTTGTCCCTAGCGTATCTACCGGCCTTTTTCACCAATACTGATGGCTGTTGTAGGCAAGCATTTCCTCACCTGGACTGCTACACCGAATATCTCAAGCCGGACGAGGTAAGTCCTTGTTGGGAAACAACCTTCTTTCTTCACTGCGTTACTAACGTACAGCTGACAGGTTCTCGTGGTGAAGGGAAATCTTGACGACTCTTCAATAAAGATCGCAGCTGTTGTCTCGAACTTTATCGAGGACCAGACTAACAAGGATCTCCTTGATGTACGTTTCCCCCTTAACTCTTCGAAGATAACTAGTTGCTAGTATGCTCACCACAAACTGTAGATGCCGCGCACCCGCCAGCTAGATATGCCAATTGTACTACAGGACGACGGAGCCTCTGCTGCCGAGGAGGACAAGCCGGAGGATCTATTAGGCCTTGACAACGACTCAGATGAAGAGCTGATACCTCATTCTTATGTCAAGTCTCGAGTTACCAAGCTTTGGCTATCACCAGATGGGGGTATTGGCTGTTTTTCTACTGGCTTTCGTGAATTCCTCGTGGAAATTGCGGCAGTGACAGGGACCAACATTGCGATTATCGACGATCTCAAAGGCATCCAGGTATCTGGAACTAGCGCTGGAGACGTCGAAGACGCTTTAGCAAAGCTTACTCGGATTGAAAAGCCCTTGGTACGTGATCTGTCTGGCCAGTTTCGGTTCATCACTAATTGATCATGTATCTTAGTCATGCCTTGGTAACCCCAAAGTAGGCAACATGGGCATAGCCCCAGGAAATAATGCAACCCAATATCGTATTCAGAATTACAGCAGTTTGAACAAAGTGGCTCTTCGTCGTGTCTTGACGGACCCAACAATGAATTCACATTTTGGTATCAGTCAGGTGTTTGTCACTACATGTCTTTCATTTGATGAAAAATCCCAGAGCTACAAGCTACCCGAGGATCTAATCAACCCACGATCGATTAGCAACGGACCAGGGAAGTCCAAAATTTGGCATAGTTTTACTTTCCAGGAAGTGGGTAAATGGCATGAAATTCTTCAAACGGAATCAGTCCTCGAGAATAACAATACAAACATTCTGGCTACAACCTTTTCTGTAGTCTCGCCCATTCATCCTTACTTGACTGCTGAAAAGGCTAAGCAGGTCAATGAATGGGTCGCCGAGGGGAATGAGATAGAAGCAATCAAAGAACAGCCTGAGCGTCCATCGACACCACCCCCTGACTCTTCGGAGGATGCAACATTGGTCCCGAATACTAAGAGAGGTCCCGCTATTAAGACAAGAAGGGCTATTTCCCCCCATTCCAATCCATCCAATTTACTGATGGCTCCAGTGACAAAGCCTGATCGTGTCAAGACACCTGATTTTGTATTTAAAGAGGATGCTGCCCCGACTCCTCGCAGACGCTGGAAAATGACGTATGGAACTGAATTGGGGAACACAGATACACGGACCAGTTTTCCTAGACCTTCTACCCCTTGTGAGCTACGTGATGTCGCTGATTCATTTGTTAATGCTTCCATGCCCGCTGGTCCCAGGGTACAGCTTCCCCTAATCTTCGATGAAACGAAGTATGGACTTATAAAGCCCCCTTATCTTCCAGACAGTAATGGTCGAAATGCCCCAAAGTCTCAGAAGAAAGGCGATACCCTACCCCCGCCGATAAGCCAAAATCTTGAGGTGAGAAACTTGCTAGTGGACGTGACCGAACCAGCAGCCATAGGCACGACTACTCTTCCAACCATTCGTGCGGATCAGCCAGCTTTGATACCTCTAAGTTCAAGCTTTGCTGAGATTCCAAATCTGGATGATTCAACTCTTGGAAGTAGTGCACTCTCAAGTGTAGATGACCTGGCTGGCTTGTTGTTCCAGGAGAAACGCGAAACGCAGAATGAATCTGATTGTCCTGATTTGAGTCAAGCCACAAAAACGGCCGGGGACAAGAGCCTTCTGGAACAAGTTCACAGACTCCGCATATTGGAGGAGGCTTTTCTTGAACGGACAAGGAAGACAACCTCAACCTTTGAAGCCCCTATGTTCACTGCCAGTTTTCCCCCCTCCCAGCATGATATAAACATCAAGCTGACTAAAAGACGGCTTGAAGAGCTCGAAAGAGGGAATAAAGCGGAAGACAAACAACCAACCGATGAGGTAGCCACCAGGGAGTTTCACCACACAATGAACCACAAGGCACCTAAGCCAAGTGGCAGAGCAGCGATCAAGCCCTTAAACAAAGCTCAGAGACAAGCCACTCTGGAGGATGCATGGGGAATACCAAAAAAATCTCTAAATAAAAAGACTGCCATTGCCCCCGAAGGCCCAGCCCCCTCATTTGAGACTAAAGTCACGTCTTCTCTACACACGGCACAAGACTATGTGCAGCAGACCCAAAAAGCGAAAGGAGAGCTGAGCATGAACGAGACTATTGAACAGCTTTTCGAGACCCTCAAACCCACTTTGGAAGCTGCCGAATATTTTCCTGGATCTTTGGCTCTGGAGTTCCAGATTGGTCTCGCATTGATTCCAATCTTACCCAAGACATATAGGGAGGGTTTAGTCTCTTTGAGCGAATGGACACGGATAATGCAACCACAGACTGGTGTTTCTGCCCCAACAACCAAGTTCATCGATAGAGTCACAACATCGGGACTCGACATTGATCATATTGTAGACTTGAAAACCTCCAAGAAGGAAGGGAACCGCCGTATGTTTGAAAGTGAGGACAACGAGTATAGTGTCTTCTACGAATTCCATTGCCGATCCAAAGCAGATCAACCCATCATTGTTGCTGTTGATGAACAGGGGAAGTACTGCATCAAGAAGCCAACTGAAGCCCTTGGCGCAGTCAATATCCACTTTCCAGGTAATATTTGGGATGCTCGGGTGGTTGTGCGCGGCAATACTGCGTATCCCATCCTCGACAACCAGGAATTTGAAGAAGCGGCACAATACATGGTTGACCACCTCTGGGTCCCGCCCCGCAAATCCCTCATTCAACTTTTCACTCGACTCTCTAAAGAAAAGCATCTGACTGTCGAAAAAGTTTTAATGAAACGCTGGACCCGTCATCGGTATATTCGTGCAGACGATACTTTCAAAGACATCATCACCCCTGACACCTCGTCGTCGAGCGGAGGAAGAGCAGATTTTTCTACTGACTCAGTGGGATCTACGAGTGCAAAAGCCACGGAGAGTATTACCTCCAGTGACCATACTGAATCGCAAGACATTTGGTTGCAAGTCACGGAAGTACAGGATCTGTACATTGGGTCTAGCCTGTCGGACTCTCAAGCTCTGAGAGCCCGTTGTGCCTCAATGAACGAGATGATACGAAGGGGAAGGCAATGGTATGAAGTGTCACTTGGTAGCTCTGCTATCGAGGCTATATTGAAGACAAATGCGAACATCGAAGTTGGGGAGCGGACAGAGGATTGGCGGGTTGTTGACCTATTTGGAAATGATGCTCTCTTCCTGGGCAGTAAGGCTGACCGGGATTCAAGCTCGTCACCTAGGTCAGTCGCAAGAGCCATTGGCAACGCAGGTATTGGGGATCTGCTCCGTCTCACAAAAGCGGTAGTTCGGAAAATGAACGGAGTTGGATTTTGGAATTGTGGTTCCTATGTCGGGATGCCAAGTGCCGGCTCATTGAATGCCTCGGGTATTCCTCACAAAGTCGGTATATCTTCTGCGATGATCAAGGTGGAAGAAAAGAGCTTGGACTTTGACGAACTAGAGAGTATCAAGGAAGTGGGAAGTGATGGAGACACCCCGGCAGCCAAAAACTCCAATTCTGCTTCGTCCGCACAGAACAAGGAACAGATTGAGAAGGAATACTGGTAATGAAACCTGGTTTCACTCCCTAGTCACCTGGCATGTGTTTCCGATCTTCGGTTAATTTTCCTTCGGTAGCTCTCTTATGGAGCACAAGAGGCGACATCACGGACTCACTTTTATAAAATGGTCGGCACCCGCACGGATGTTGGAAGGACGACAGCGGGCGAGGTGTTCCTGCCTTGCCTTCTTTGAATCCTGTAGTTGTGCAGACTATCTCTGCTAAGCAATTTGAATTTGAGGTCACGTATCTCAGACCTAGTAAGATCTAACACTGTTAGTAAACATGGACCGCAAAGGCTGGATGATGACATGTAGAAGCCTTGATGGAGAAAAGCCTGAAATATAAAATATTGAAACCCCCATTGACAAGAATCTATAGTGGTGACCCTCGGGGTCACATTTTGCGAAGGGGCTGTCTTGGATTTGGATTCCGCAGCCGTAATTCATTCCACACTAACCCCATATGTTGCAGCACTTGTATAGGCCTCAGTGAGGTCTGCCAGCTTTGTAGTATTCGCAATTGACATCTTTGTTCCAGACATCTGTGGGCCACATACCGCATTGCTGACTTCTTTGAGTATTGGGGCCTGAGAGGTGGAAATGCACTAACAAATTTACCTGCGACCCGTAAATCTGACCGCAGGACACATGGCATGGAATACTACACCTCTATTCTTTCCTGCGCTTTTGCCTTGCCAATGTCATTACACAGGATATACCTTCTTATCTAATGCTCCTCACCTATACAAGTACGTAGAGATAATACTAGTAATCACATTTCTGCCTTTCCCTATCGCCGGAATATACGTCAACCATGACTCAAAACTGGGAGCTCTATCCTAGTCGTCTTGGTTGTCTTACTTGCCGGTCTACTTGCTACCTACTCTGATCAGCTCGGTGGTTTCCTGGCCCTGGCAAATGAGTTTACTGTGACTGCAAGACAATCAATTTTCCCACCAACTGTGACCGACTCTGTCCGACAAATAAAGTGCTTGGGTAGCTATTCTTCCGGGGTTGAGTACCAGAGCATCTTTTATGCGGAGGCCCCATCGGGTAAGCGCCGCTTCGTACCACCCTTCCCAGTCAAGCCTGCGAAGGGATCGGTTATTGATGCCAGCCACTCTGGCGCCTGGTGTCTATAAGGAACCGGCGATGTGCTTCCATTCATAAGCCGGGTTGTAAACATCAGCGAGGATTGCCTGAGCTTGAGGGTTGCTCGCCCGGCCAGTATCAGGAATGATGCCAAATTACCGGTAGTAGTATGGATTCATGGAGATATAGTCGCGTTTTCTTTGTTGCAGGGAATCTCCCTGGTGATTGGATGAGATACTAATGTACATTGTCGCATTCCAGGGGGTCATGCTTTAGGCTTAGGCTCTGAGATCTTGTACAATCCAGACGGTTTGGTGCAGCAATCTGTTGCAGACGGTCAGCCATTGATATGTGTGGTTATAAATTATCGCCCTCGCTGTAATGTACCATACCCCTTGATGGAAGATTTTTCTAATGGTGTGCCTAGTCTTTGGTTTTGCGTCAAGCAAGGCAATGGTTGAAACCAAACAGACAAGTGCTGGTCTTTGTGATTAGCGGGCAGCTCTAAAGTGTATATGACTATCCTTGAATGTTCATCTCTGAGATGTGAGGCATACTAATATGGCGGAATACAGGGGTTGGCGATAATATAGAGGATTTCGGTGGCGACCCCCACAGAGACAATGTGCTCCGCGGAATTGGCACCTATCAACTATCGGTCTCTGGCTTCACGTTCTCAAGTGACCGTTGTTGGACAAAGCGTGGGTGCTAGCGATGTCAGTCTACAACTGCATCGTTTGGTGGAACACAAGAAGTTCCCTTTCAGCACTCAGTGTGAGTGTGAGTAACTATGCGACAGAGAATATCAATTTTGCGCGAAGTTGGAGTTGTTAGAATGATGTCGGGTGGACAAGGCTTGAACTTCAATACTATGCTAGACCTGGTGGCATATATCTCAGCGATTATCCCAAAGCAAGTTGGGTGTGCTACAGAAGATGATGCACAGTCTCTAGGGATCCTGGAATGTTTACGGGAGGTACCATTTCATGTCTTGACGAACCTTTCATTTACGGCTTCCCGGGAAGCTCGCCCACCGTTTGGAGAGGGCTTCTTCTCCCCGACATTTGATGTCAATTTCATCCATGGCCGGCCTTCCCAACTCTTGCGCGCTGTGAAATTTGTGAAAGGGACTCCAGTGATTGCTTCCTGGATGACAAATGATGGCGCCTGGTATGTAACTCCAACGACTTCCACAGACCAGGAAGTACTGGACAGCTTCGGACTGTGGCTGTTTGGTCTTTCTAATTCCACAAAGAAGAAGCTCCTACAGCTATACCCAGTTGAAGGTTTAGAGCGTCTTGTCCGGGAGGAATATGATGGTCCTATTTCTGCGAACTACTACCGTGCAGCATAGATGAACAAGGATATATGGTTCACCTGTCCGGTGCTTGACTTCGCATGGCAATACGTTAAGAACGAGGGCGCAGATCCATCACAAGTTCGGCTGTGTGAGCGTAACTCGACAAAGATTCACACCCGGTATTCGAGATGATGGGCGTTCCAATGTGGCGTGTTGCGCATCTTAGCGATATGCCGTATCTGTTGAATGTCCAGCACCTATAGGGCGGCGCAGACAACTCAGCTGGCGCTCGCCAAAGACCATGAGTGCAACTATTGCAAGATTTGTGGCCAGGGGTAACTGAGAAGGCCATAGTAGTGGCGTCAAGACATGACCTGGTGCCTTCTATGTTGCTGAAAAAGAGGACTTGGTGAAGGATTTCCTGGAAAAGCTTTCACTGCAAATTTTTGGTAGCCCGTATGGTACAGTACCAGTGACTGTTGCTGCAGGCCTTCAAAATAACGCCCCAGCTGCTGTTGAGGAGGCAGTGTATTGGGAGAAACTCTTCGATCGGTGCAAATTTATCCACACGCGACCAGATGAGGACAGAAGCGGGGGCCTAAGTCTCACACGTACCTTCATTTATGCTATTTTGGAGAAGAGCTGACAGATCGTATCTGTTACGAGGTCAGCATTTTGGTCCACATGTTCATTATGATTTACTATACAGTTATTTTCAGATGTTGTCAGGTATATAGATAGATAGACGCATAGAATATAAGAAAGGCCATTATTCAAAAGAAAAAGAAGAGAAAAAGAAGACATTATATGTGTGTTCACTCAGACCAAATGGTGACAGACAACGGTTGCTGTGCATACCTAGAGATCCAAGGGGCCTATAAGAAGAGAAAGATAGGGCTTATTGATCCCCCACCTGAAAGAAGAATGAATGGATAAATGATATTTGGAATGGAAAGAGGCATAGAAGATCAATTCCTTCTTTTCCAAAAATAAATCTGTTCACAAAGGGATGGTAACGGTGACAGTCCGTCTGCCTTATCGCTAGGGCTGAATCGTGGGATACCGAAAACGGAAACGCAAGCAACATCAACTATACCGGCTGTAGAAAACCGTGGCTTCACCGACCCGCTTAAATGGGCCGAATCCTGCTTCTAAATTCCAGTCCGGAAATATTCGGTTGCATCTGGTCCTGTATGAAGTTACAGTGGCTTTTATCTCGCTATCAACCCAATCACTCCAGCGTTCCTTCCGTTGCAGTCCATCCTCAGGATGTTCACAGAGGGTATGGGTTCTAGCAAGAACTGCGATCTTTCAAATACCAGTCATATCTACATTTCCCAGTTCAGTCACCATTCACTGAAGAACAATGCGCGTATCTCTACTCTTGACCTAGTCTGTCAAGTCGTTCTTTAATCCCACACTCGTTTGATTGCCATTTCGCCTGTCTTTCGTTTCTTTCTTCTCAGCCAACTTTTGCAAAATCACTACAATTCGCTTTATATGAGACCACAAACTATTTAATAATCTTGATTCTCCCATCGAGCCAGCTATTACTGGAATGTTGCACACACAACTGCCAACGGCCCCCAAACATGCCGGACCTCCATCGCAGACCGTCGAGACTGACCTCCCTCCTACCAGGCCAGCAGCGCCCGGCCCAGGTCCAGCCCATCGCTTCTACAAATCAATAGACAGCGTCAGCCGAGCCGACTCCCCAACCCCAGAAGAACCAACAGAAGTACCAAACGAAGCTGAAATCCAAGCCTCCCTAGAAGACACCCGCCGAGGAGCGCTCCACACCCTCGCACTCTGCCAGAATGTCATCACGACCCTCGAACTAACCCGCCTCCGCAAGTCCCGCACAGGCGTCTTCTACTGGCTCGCCTTCTGGGAGCGACTCTACCCACGGGCTTTCGCACGCACGCTCGCCTCCCGCGTCACCGGCGCCCTCACCAAAACCGACATCCTATTCCGCACTGTTGCAAGCGAACTCCACCAGATCACGCAGCGCATCGAATACGCGGTGGCGCACGCCCTCACGGAGAAAGAAATCCTCCTTCTCCTCGAACAGATGGAAGACGAGGTCGGCGCGCGCCGCAGACGACGTCGCAAAAAGGCCCAGGCGATTTTGAACAAGATGCGCGCGCATGTCGAGGCTATCCCCGTTAAGGTGAGCGATGAGCTCTTCGATGACATGAAGCGCGGCGTCTTTGCGCTGGATGTCTTTTGCGATTATCATCCTGGAGATCCGGTGGCCGAGGAGCATGAGTCGATGTGGCCAGAGTATTTTGTGCAGCAGTCGAATGTCGGCATGGTGGCTGTTTCGCCGTATCTTTATCGGCAGTGGCAGCAGGAGACAACGTCTGCTTCGGCTGCATCGGGGTCTTACATGCCTTTGGTGGCTTATACGGGGAATAATTCTTCGGTGGAGTATATGGAGGAGAGTGAATATTGGAGGCCTTCGGAAAGTCGGGCGGCGAGGCGTTGGTGAGATTGGATTGGATTGGGGGTTGGGGGTTTTTTATTGTTTTTTTCCCTGGAGTTGTGGTTCGGATAAATGGTTCGTTGCTTCGTAATGGTTTAGATCCATGATTCGAAATTAGCTACTGCTAGGTTTAGGGAGCGGCCCTATTAGTTAGACTGTATAATGAATAGGATTTGATGCAATTCTTCCAAGGTAAAGATTTGGTTAGAACGGGATCCACTTATATTCGTTGAACCAACCCCTTTTGATCAATTATATACGCTAAAAATAAAAGAGAATGAAATCTACCTGTGTATCGCGCGCAAACCTTATGCAAAATCCCACAACACTCTCATGAGGCTTCCCGGAGCCGTATCCACGCCTCCGTCCTCTTCCAACATTCGATCGGTAAATATCCGCTTGGGGATGTGATACTCGATGACGGGGATCCGCTTCATGGGCTTCTCTTCTGATCCTAGCTCTGACTGCACCATTCCTTGGTAGGTATAGTCTAGGAAATCCTCAAGATTATAGAACTGCTTCGTGAATTGCTCGGATATGATGCGTGCAATAGCCGCAACGTTGGGATGATAGTGTTGTTGGAGGGACTGGATCTCCCATAGACTGCTCTCGATGGCATTGGTGCGAATTGGCTCGGGCTCCTTGGCATCGAACGGGTCATCCATGCCTTCAGCTTCTAGCTCTGCTTTGTATTCCTCGTCCTTGATGACTCGATGGAGCATGAAGGTGCAAGTGGGGTGGGATTTGAGGAGATTGTAGATGAAGGGAACGATCACCACGATGGCGGTTGGAGGGGCGTTAAGCGCGAGACGAGAGAGACGCTTGATGAAGCTGGCGATAAGCGTAGCTGGCAAATGGGTGGAGGCGAGAAAAGTGTTCATCAAGCGGAAGAAGCGGGAACGGTGCTTGGAGTGGAGCAGGTCGGCGTCGAGCAGCGAGTACAGCTTTTGGTAGAACTGTGGGTAATCCAGGTTCTTCTCCTGGATGAGGTAGAAGAGACCGGAGAGGGCGAGCAGGGAGGTTGCGCCGCCGACGTTGTAGGAGTCTGTGAGGAAGTCCATGAGCAGTTCGGGTCGGCTGAACCAGGGCTCGATGTTGTGAACCATGATGCGGAGGAGGTTTTTCCGCTGGGATTCGGATATGTTGTTTCGGAGGACGGAGAGCCAGGCATCTTGGGCACGCTTCTTGTGGGAGTTGATCGAGACGAGCTTCTTGTTCTTTTTATTAGATTTGACGTAGAAGTTCTTGAATTCGTGTTCGGGGCCCGGAACTGCGTCGCATGCTGTGAGTATGGAGATGAGGATGTCGAGGGTTTCAGGACTTCTTTCCGATTCGGCAATGTCGCTGTGATATCTGTTAGTGCTGCGTTTGTATTTCTTTAGGGGTATATTGGGGGTATGACATACGCGATCTGCACAAATGTATAGAATCTTACGTCTTCGTATGCGTTGGCGAACTTCTCGATGAACTCGGACCGCAATGCGGTATCACTAGTCTCAACAACTGCTTCGACAACGTTCTTGAACAAGCCTGATAGCCAGACTTGAGTGTCTTCACCGGGTATATGGGTAGCACGTTCGTTGACTAGGCGCATGCAGAGAGTGAGGGCCGTGAGCTATGTGCCATTAGTATGGATCAGGGATGGGAACCAATCTGGGGGGTACGAACCTTAGCAGACGTGTCTCCTTCACGCAATATAGCAGAAAGAGCCTTCTGGTACTCGCGACAGCGTTCTTTCAGCCATGCTACAATAATCTTCTCATTCTCTGCAGCTCTATTTGTCTCCGTTAAATCTCCCCCGGCAATCAATCTGCTGAAAACACGACAGAGAGATACTGCGACTGCCAAATTCGGATTGGCAGCATTTTCGTCCACATCGAGCATCGAGATCAGCTTCGCAATGTTGTTGTAGTGCTTTCGCGACTCGGCAATCTGCTCTTCCATTTGAGAGACTTCGGCCATCATATCTACGCTATCGTTCTCTGCAATTGCACGGCGTTTTGACGACGGCACACCACTTTCTTTGGCGCTCTTTCTTTTCTTGGAGCTCGTAGCTCCGACCGTAAGGGCAGGCATTGTGATGAAAACAGATGTATAGCGCAGTAAAGAGGGAAATCGAACACCTTCTGCTGCTTTTCGTCTTGTTCCAACCATGAATTTTTGGAAATTCCTCGGTTAGCGGTTTTTCCGATATGGGCCGCTATACCGGAGAAGGTTAGTGTCTTCCCGCACCGCCCAAACCATCCCGACTTCAAGTCTCCTCAGTTCCGTTCACCCATCACATCTTGTCAAGGTCTTCTCATCGCTACAATGGCTTCGCGTCTTGCTAAGAGCGCCATTGGTATGCCTCACACAACTCTTTACGGCCTGCTTGATCATTCGATATTTTTCGCTAACCCCAGATAGGTGCTGCCCGGCTCCGGCCGACCCTTCCCATGCGCAGTGTCGCTCCCATCGCTGCCAACTTGACCGCGTCTCGTTCGGCCTCTAGCGTTCCCACCGAGGACCCCAAGAAGAAGGCCCAGTCGATCCTCGACTCCCTCCCCGGCAACTCCCTGGTCTCCAAGACCGCCATCCTCTCCGCCGCTGCCGGTATCTCCGTTGCCGCCATCAGCAATGAGCTCTATGTCATGAACGAGGAAACCGTTGCTGCTTTCTGTCTTCTCAGTGTCTTCACCGCCGCTGCCAAGTACGGTGGTCCTCTCTACAAGGAGTGGGCTGATGGACAGGTCCAGAAGTACAAGGACATCCTCAACAGTGCCCGTGCCGACCACACCAACGCTGTCAAGCAGCGTATCGATAACGTCCAGGAGCTCTCTGGGGTTGTTGAGATCACTAAGCAGCTCTTCGCTGTTTCTAAGGTAGATTAACCTTGCATTATTCTATACCTAATCGAGACGTCATGAAACAAGGGATTGCTGACGATCGATCAAAGGAAACCGCCCAGCTCGAGGCCCAGGCCTATGAGCTCGAGCAGCGCACTGCCCTTGCCCACGAGGCTAAGCAGGTCCTCGACTCGTGGGTGCGCTACGAGAGCCAGGTCAAGCAGCGCCAGCAGCGTGAGCTTGCCGACTCTGTCATCAGCAAGATCACCAAGGAGCTTGAGAACCCCAAGGTCCTCCAGCAAATCCTCCAGCAGAGCGTTGCTGATGTTGAGCGTAAGTTACAAGCGTAGACCTTACCTGTGTTTTCTTCTATCATCTTTCCTCTGACGCTTAAATTATTTTTATAGGCATCATGTCCTCCAACAAGGCCCAGTAAATGGACGTTGCATGAATAGCTTCGCTATTGGCAATATGTATAAATTAAGATCTGTTTTCTGTGCTACGTTAGACATACCAATACTAGTTCCTAAGTCTTAAAAAAAGCCAACGCCCCCATTGTAAACCCGGATTTGCTTTCTCTACCCCGTTGGAAACTCCCGAATATTAGAACTCACAAGGGATATGTGCTTTCGACGTACTTGTTTGGCTATCAATTTTGGCTGTGTATAACAGATTTCTTTCTAGGTATAATCGTAGTAGGCATCTCCTTTGGTAATTTCTTGTGTCCCTGGTCAATCTCGCCTTTAGTCCCTTTGACTTGTGCAGAATGGAGGAAGGCTACTTGAGAAGGATATGGGGAAATTGTATGTAGTTTAAAAGAATTGTGATCAAGTGAATTGATATGTGAACCAACATATCTGCATAAAAAAGGAATTCCTTCCTTGCATGTCTGCTGACAAACCCACTAATAATGCATTATTTTCTATTTGTGACATTTGAGACGTCATCGCATTCAACGATCTTTGTTGGAAATACCTTTCTTTCATGCTTCTGACGTGCTCCCAATGTTTTATCAGAGAAAACAAAACTGTCGGCAATGGTGTCTCACCTTCTTGATGGGTATCAATACTGCGCTCACAAGAAATCAAGGGAGATCTACAGATGAGTAACTCGCGGAGTAAACACTCATACTTGTGTGACCAAGAGCAATGAATCTGAAAACAAAAGAATGCTAGGATTCATGATCAATGCCAATTGAAAGGGGGCCAAGTCAAGACAGCGGATGCAAAAGATGAAAGAAAAGCAGGACACTGACTAACTTTAAAACAAATGGTTCCTTTTCATTTCATTGTACGAGGTTCACCTCAACACTGCCCCCAACCCCGGCGCTTCTGCCTGCTTACCATTCGACCACCAGGCTGAGGCTTTTGGCTTGTGTTTTGGCAAGATATTTCAACGCTGACTAGCCTCCAACTTACATTTCCGCTCATCTTCTCTCCTCCACATCTACTGAATTATCGAATCAAAAACAGCAAACGATTCGGGTAGAGTTCCCGAGGCCCGCTCCGCAGTCCTCCGAGCGATCATCAGCCACGAAAATGCCTTTGCGAGAGATTCTGCATAAGAAGGACAGGATTGGTGATACCGGTGGACAGTATTCGACCGGTGTTCCGTCTGCGTCTCTGAGTCCCGTGCCTCAGATCAAGTTCATTCGATCCGATACCACCACCCAAGAGGTCATCAACCCACCCATTTACGACAGCGATGAAGTCCACCAGCACCAGAATACGCATCTCGAAGCGTCACCGCCCAGTTCTTCCTCGCGCCGGCGGTCACTGAATCCATTTAGTCGCTCAAGAGCGCCATCTGAGTCTCTGGGGTCTCCACAGTCACAACCGCGCGAAAGAAGGCTGTCGCAAATGCTCCATCTTGATCGAGGCAGCTCACGGAACTCCAGCGGCACCTCAGTCAATATCCCGTCAGATCTCCCGCAGATAAACAATGATAGAGGTGATGAGCAGGATAGAGAAGCCCAGTGGGAGAAAAGGGCGACGGTTTTAGTGCAGCGCAATCCGAATCTTGCATCGCCGCTATCGCCTACTTCACCATCGGGGTTTGGAGCTGTTGGTGTACCATCGAGGTCAAGGAGCTCTAGTCAAAGCGGCTTTATTGATGCTGCAGGAGATGTAAGCGTTACGCGGCATTTGCGGCGGCGCCGGCTGTCAGTATCAGAGACTAACGGCCTGAATAGGTTAACATCCAAGAGGCGATTCGGCTTCATGAAGTTGGAGGTAAGGGACGACCCGTAACAATGATTAGTGTAATCAATTACTTACACATTAGTTCTGGCAGAACTGGAGAAGTCCACTGAAATGTTTCGTAGGTTGGCAGATCCAAAAGGCGCGAATAACGCGCTGAGCCAAGTACTTTACGGCCTCGCACTAAGGTAGGAACTACGCAACACGCTAGGTTCTTTGGAGCTCATCTCATTACTATCCTAATTCCTCGTGCTACTTTTCATCCTAATCAGTGCCGAGTTGTTTCTAACCAATTTTGTCTCCAGACATGGTTGGGGCTGTCCCAAGTCGGAAGAACAGGCAGTGACTTACCTCTCAGCCGCGGCATCAAACTCTGCATTGATCGAGTCCCAAGCTCTTCAAGCAGGTATGAAAAAAGGTGGTGCTGCCAAAGGAGAGCTGGTCCTCGCTATCTTTGAGTTGGGTAACTGCTTCCGCAACGGCTGGGGGGTCAAGAAAGACCCAGCGGCAGCGCGACAGTACTTCGAAACGGCCGCGAATCTAGGCGACACCGATGCCATGAATGAGGTCGCGTGGTGTTACCTAGAGGGTTTTGGCGGGAAAAAGGATAAGGTACGTTTGATTGCGTCTTGTGCATACTTCCAACGAGAAGACAAACTTCGAGCACCTCTACTAGACCGATCCTTGTCATCATGGTCTTGCATCTCGGGCATCAATACTTTGCGATTCGCATAACTCTTGCGCTTAGTCCGCTTGGGAAACCTCGTTTGTCCTGTCGACTAACCCGGTCGCGTCAATGCTTAGTTCATGGCTGCTAAATACTACCGATTGGCCGAACAGAAAGGAAGCAAATTAGTGGGGAATTCTTGGTACGTTAGGCAAGCCCTTGATTTTTTTTTTTTTTTTTTTTTTTATTATTTTTGGATCTTGGGCGTTTCGCTCAAGATGTGGTGAGCCGCCTGTATGGATTCGCGCTTCGCTATCACCTGCAGATATCATGTCAGGGATCAGCGGCAGCGCTTCAATCGATAGGCTCTCATCGCATCTTTCACAGCTGCGCCATGCAAACCGCCATCACGTTTCCAACCAACCACAACCCCAATCCGCCTATGAATTGTCCGAGTTTAGGCTGACATACCCGTTATTCGAATCACAGGATATGGAAAGAGAAATACGATCCCAAGTGAACGAACCCTCGCGGTATCTGGCCCTTACAGCCTCGTTCCACCGCTCCCACACCGTCACGTCTATGTAGGGCCCCGTGTCTTTGTTTCCTCAGATGACTTTCACTGGAGATTGAGTTATCTCCGAGACGAGAGGCAATCACCTTTCTACGAGATCGGACCGCTCATAGAACGAAGAAAAGGGGGTTGCGTGTGTGATCTTCTCCCTAATATTGGGAATATTCCCCAGGGAGCACACCACACTCATACTGGGTACACAAACGAGCATGTCTCTACCGTTTACCAAGTGACTCTGAACGATGTTGATGACCCAACGCCAGCCTCATTTTAATGGCAACCCAATCTATACCACCAGTACTTTTGCATAGTGATTAGTGTTATTTTCCACCATTTTCGGCTTCTATTATTATTTGATTATTTTATTATCTAGTGTCTTTTTTAGGCTGTTTGATTTCGTGTTTTTATTGTTGTAATATTGACCAACGGTACTTTATAGACTCAACCCATTTGCAATTATAATATCCTGTGTTATAATGCTTTGTATTCTTATCTTAACCGTTTACACAACCGCCTGTCTGTGGGTTTGTTAGTTTGACTGTACTTGTTGTTTGGTCTATGGTTGCTCGGTGCTAGATTCTATATTATACTGTGGGTAGGGAGGGTCGTTCCATGATATAATCATGGATATTGATATGAACCTGTCTGCCTATAGTATATATCGATAACGTCCGAGAACGACTCATGACTGAAGAAGTGGGGTTCATATACAGCTGCATGTAACGATGTCATCGTGCAGTGCTTATTCACGTCCTGCAGACGGGACTTACAACTCTACAACAGTCTCAAGGCTACAGTCTCAAGTTTGGAGAGGATGTGGAACTTAATATTGGCAATCAATTGCTCCGAGGGACGTATTAGGAACATATGCAATGCAAACCATGATTTCATGATACATAGGTTGGATTGACAAAGGAAATGCAATGTGATTGAAAGGAGTGGCGCAGGCCGGGGCCTTACAAGACAAAGGCCATGTACCCTGCTGGAGGGAAAGACCGGCGTAGAAGTAAAAGTATTTGACAAAGGAAATAGAAATGGTTCATCAAACAATGAACCAAAAACGAAGTTATGGAAAAGACCACCCATTTGTTGTGGGCTAGCTGTCCAGAAAGCTTCATCAACATAAAACATTAACAGACGTTTTTCATCGTGAACATATCAGTCATATCGTAAAATATAGTCGTAACAAGAAAACCACCATTAGCCCAATTCAGCTCACTCGCAATGCAACTAAAACACGCAAAATCAACAAGAGTAAAACAATATTTCCTAAACCATAATCAATGCAATGCTTGTCAAAAAGGCCGTTCTGTGGGACCGTTTTGCTGTTTTCGGACTGGAAACAGTGTCCAGCGTGTTAAATCAGATCGTGCCTCCATAACCCATAACCAAATCCATGAAAATAAAAAAAAGAACACGCAAGTTTGAGTATACATAGATGCAATGTGTTTCTGGCTTTCCGCGAGATTCATTCCCAAACCCAACCCATGAAAAATGGTAAATCATATATACGCCGAAATTCCGAAGGAGCGCGAAACATAAACACATCGCTAAATTGTGAGACAAGGTCATGAAGAGCTAGTCGGTTAAATATATCCAGTCGAAGTAAATGGTAAGCTGTCTATGCATGCATATGGCTAATGTCTGGCTTATTTGTCGTAGTTCCGTGGAAGGCAAAAAAAAGAAACGCGCTAGAGTAACTGGTCTGCAAACGAAAGAAGACGAGAGAGGTGAAAAAGAGCAGAGGAACCGATCAGGATGCTTTGAAGGAAGGCTAGGCAAGGTGGCTTTCTCTGGACATGGTGAGGAGAGTTGAGATGGATAGTGTATGGAGACCTGAATCTTAGTTATACTACTTAGGATTGACCGAAGCCGGGTTGTTCTTCCTTGACGGGAGTAACCCCATATTCCTGGACCATTCGGCGGAAGTCTCGGATGACCTTTTCAGGAACCCGATCCCACATGAGTGACCTTGAGTAGACATCGGAGGTGGCTTTGTTCGGCATCTTCTGGGCAGCATTGCCTCGCATCGCAGCCAACGCTTGTTGGAGATGGGAAGCCTGTTGCTGCTTGTATTCGGCGCCATTGTCATCATAAGTCGTCAAGGAGTTGTACTGGTCAGCATTGAGAGAGAAGACCTGCTCCTGTTCCTGCGCCTTGGTCGGCATCGCCAACGAATTGTGGAGCTCATCCAAGCTGGACGGAGGGGCAGTGCCAGCAGTCATCTGGGCCATCTCCGCCCCACTGATGGTGGTCGGGAGCGGGCCAGTTGACGCAGAGACGGCAGGCTGGTTTGAAGGCTGCGCGAACTCTGAAGGAGAAGAAGACAAAACTGCTTTCAGGACGTTGGCGGACTCCGCGCGGTATTCCTCCGACAATTGCGGAATAGCGCGAGAGGGGAGAGTAGTGCCGTTGGAGGCGATGAAGGCACCAAAAAGAAGACACATGTAGAAAGCATTCCAGCTGAAGGGGTAGTCGCTGTTTGTAGACTTCTCCGCGCCTTTGTCGTTAGCAGAAGCACTAGCAACCGGTTCAGCATCGAGGGAGAGGCTGTTGACCATGGTAAAGTCTTCCCAGGGAGTACTGTCCATGGTGAGGTTCTCAAAATCAGAGAAGTCGGTAGCCATATTGGGGGCGGAGGACCTGGCATGTCTCTCGAGCTTCTCCACGGTCTCCTTGAGGATGTTGTTCTTCTTGCGAAGCTCAGCCGTCTCCAAAGTATGCACACGGATCAGTTCGTTCTTTTCCATCTCCGCCGTATTGTAGTAATGGCTGAATTCTTGACGAGTGGCCATCCATTCGCTCTTCTCACGGAGAAGCTCTGCCTCACGTAGCCTCATGTTCTGCAGGTCCTCTTCGAGGTCGCTAATGATCTGGGTGAACTGTTTCTTTTCTTCCTCCAGCTTCTCAGTATGCAGCTTCTTCCGTTGACGGGAATCCAAACTAAGTGTAATTGTTAGTGAACTATACCGGGAACAAGTAGTGAGGGCTCTACATACGCTGCTTGACGGTTCCTTAATAACCGCTTCTGTTGCTTCAGCTCCTTGATTTCCTCCTCATTGTTCGATTGGGCGATCAGCTGGTCGATGTTGCTCAATGTCCGCTCAGCGGGGATCTCAAAGCGAGCGTTCTTCTTCCGGATTCCATCCCGTCGGACGCTCAGGGGAGAGCTATTGCGATAAGTAGGGCTCTTGGTGGTGCGGGCCACAGCGTCCGGCATGTCGGTGGACGCGGGCATCCATCCTTGACTAGACTGTGGGGACATGGCCACAGCGCCGGGGTGCGCAAAGGCCATCCCAGGACGGTAGGACATGGACGGGATGTTGATAGTGCTCACCGGACCAACGGCGCCACCAGAGAACGGCGCCGATGAGCCGTTGTCGAGGTCCGATGAGAAATGGTGGTCGTACATGGCGGTTGGTGTACAAGAGCCAGTCTCCTTGGAAAGCGCCCAGGACGCCTGCTGGCCGTACGCGGTGGCTGGATGGTGAGCACCGTCCAGTCGCATAAAAGGATTCGGAGCGGATTCAAAAAGATGATGGGCAACTTGAGAGTTATGCCGGGATTGGTTGCTGTGAACTGATTGGGAGAAATCGGACCAGACTGAATCACGATGTGAGAAAGCATCTGGCGCATGATCATATGAAGAGCGCCGGTGGTCGGCAATGGAAGAAGAAAGTTCGGGCGACGTCGAGTCGAGAATCTTATCATCCAATACACTCATCTCGTCTTCCTCGGGAAATGAAGGCTTTGCATCCAAAGTTGAAGGGGACTGTTGGTAGAAGTCAAATGACGGTTGAGAATACCTTGCCATGACTGTGAATATGTGTATAATGATAGAAATCGAAGAATGAAAAAGGTTGTTTTCAAGCGCCGTGATAGTTAGGTCAAGAGGCGGTGTGTAATATGATTGTACGGGACAAAACGTGCGGGGTTTTTTATTTGGGAGGCTGGATTGATGATGGAAATGGAGGACAGAAGAAGAGAGGAAGAGGATAATTGGGGGGGATGGTTATAGACAAGGAGTAGTTTAAAGAAGAGAGAACAAGAGCAGGACGAAGTGAAGTAGTGGTAGAAGAGTAAAAGGTCTAGGTAGAAAGAGGAAAGAGAATATGTAGTAGAAGGAGTTCAAGGAAGAAGAAAGGTCAATGCTCGTGAAGAGGGATAAAAGAGGTCACTTGTGATCCTCTTGGAGAAAAAGAGTTTGAAGCTCAAATCCGTTGGATTTTGAAGGAGGGAAAGACTGGACGAAGAGGGAGGGGGAAGTCCATATATCTTTCGGGATGATTTAGGGAAGGTCGTGAGAGGGCCTCAGGTACCAGTATGATCTGATAGAAAAAAGGAAAAGGGCAAAACCCAAAAGGAAGCAACAATAAAAAAATAAAAAATAGAAATAAAATAAAATAAAAAGGACTAACAATAATAATAATCCAAAAAAAATTATAATGCAAGAAAAAAAAAAAAAAAGGAAAACAGTAAATAATATTGACCATAAATCCCAATTCTAATCATACTCACCATTGCTCCATAGAAATCTCACAAAGAGAAGTAAGTCCCCATCGGCCCTAAACACAAAGGGCCCATACTTCCAAAGAGAAGGTCACTAAACGCTGCTACCAAAGACCTGAGTCCGTTCCAGCGGTCAGCGGAAAAGCTAAAAAGGCGAGGCGACGATTTCTGGCTGTTCCCGAGATTAACGAGCACCGGTCATTGGATGCTTCGTTGGGCAGACGTGCAGCTGGCAGGGGAACTTTTTTCCTTTGGCACCGAGAGCCTGGATGATTAAGCAGACATTACTCATCAGTGCTTTTGTCGAGGATGAATAATGAGTCTGACTGATTGATACCTGGCTCTGCCGCGGATTTCTGCGGTCATGAAAGTCACTGCCACTCCTATCGTACTGAGGACTCGAACTCGGTCAGGACAGTGTGGGAATGGTGGATCAGGGAGGAGACTCTCACAGACTATCAGCCTGCCAGACTAGTCCGGAGAAGGCACAGTAGCAATACTACTAGGTACTCTCATGTGTAAGCAATACCCCTCCATGCAAGCAATTCACTACCACTACATCCGACTTATACTACCACTGTACAGAGTTTCATGTACCTTGTATGTACAGATAGCACAATACAGGAATCAATTTGATATCATATGTATGTATGCATGCTGTAGGATAGATAATAGTATAGAGTATCGTATCCTCAGTTCTTTTTTTACTTCCTTCGAGTTCTCAATTCTATCTATCTCTCTGAATATCCTCATCAGCCGGAATAGCCGGTATCCTGATACGACGTAGGTTCTAACTATGGAGTATGTAGTCTTGGTACTGCCAGTGGTAACTCCAAAGTAGTCGGTATCCGAACCATGGAATGACCGCCGGTGGGGCCGAAAACCATCGTTTATCGATAGCCTATCGAATCTTTATCACTCTTCTAGTCTTGTCAATACCCATTTTCTCCCCTCCTCCTTCCGCCTCCCCCCCCAAATCCAGTTGACGGAACGGGTGCCCTCCGTTCACCTCTCGACCTTCACACCTGTAGGTACCGAATCCCGTCATACCAGCCTGACTCAGGCACCGTAAGTTCCTCAACACAAACAGAACAGCATGATTGGTAAGGTACAGAACGAGTCCCCAGACCATCCAAACCCTCTGTCCCTCCACGAAGCAATGAAGTACTATAGGTACCTGAGCCCGTTTGCCTACATATCTTAGGTTTCTTGGCCCTGGTGGTGCCCAAAAAAAGGTCTGCCTGTGCGCTTCACCACCGTCCCATCATCCCATGATCGAGTTTGAGAAGGAGATTGGTTTGCGGGTTACATGACGGTACCATGATACGTACGTCAACCCGTCCGAGGGTAAGAAGCCTGGGAGAGGGGCTTTCTCATGATCAGATGAACAAAAATGTCATACAATACTGTATCAAAAGTCCCGTCTTCTCGGTCCATCATGGCCAATCATTCCCGTGAATAGTGTGACCAGTGTGAGAAGGTGATTTCCAGCTTCATCAGCCACATGCTACTGATGCTGAGTCCTCCTTGTTTCATTGAGTTACATCTGAGAAGGAAGGAATGACTGTGTTTATGAGTATTCCAGATAGATCATTCTCCCGCTATGACTGCTTTACTGGCCATATCCTTGCGAAGACCTTACAACCCTGGTCTCTTCATCTCTGGTACAGTAGGCCCGGGCCGGGGGAAGATCCAGTGATCCACCCGATGAGGGAAATGGCCCATTCTTTGCTTTTTCGGTTAGTCCGCACGCCGCTGGCCATGTGCCCGTTCCGTCAAGACACCCGTGCATTCCGCACACAGTATGTACTAGATTCAGCACAGACAGATCAGATTGAAAGGCACCGACGACTTTGAAAAAAAAATTATGTAAAAGTGCAGAATAACCAGAACTGTACATATACCTGAAACATGGAACGGAATCAGTAGAGACAGAATCAACCACGACAAAAAGGTACTCCTGACGCTTAATTCTTGACTCTATAGGAGAAGCCCGCACCTCCTCATTGGTTAGCCACCCTATCAATGAACTTGGAGCTCCTCGCGATCGCATCACGGAACAACATCATCGGTGGAATGGACTCATAGTTCCAAAATGGGGGCTAACAACCGACTCGTCATCTCCAATGCTAAGTCAGCAGTTCTAAATCAGGTAAGGCATCATTGCTTGGGATTCTGCGGGGAAACATCAACCCTACTACGGAAAAGTACCTATAGTAAATTAATGGCCACAAAACTGGCGTGATATGGTTTTCATGCAGAGAAACAAGGCGAGCTTGGGTTGAAGCTGACTCCCGTCTCTCTTTGGTCAATGACTAGCTCAGGGAGCTGTGACCCTAGCTCGACGCAATGGGGCGACCATCATGCAGTTTGAAACCAGTCCCTGTCGTAGTGAATAGTTAGTAGTACAGGGCTTGAGGATCAACGGGTATTGGATTAGGGTGGGAGGGCTGCAGAGTCACGTTGATGGCATTTATCCCTTGCGTTATCTAATCCTCCCTCCTCGTCTATTCAACACGCCCAAGTATGGGCTGTACGTCGGTACAAAGAAAGTCAATTGACATCATAATCCCCTCTGGAACTATACAGCAGCTATTTCCCACCGTCGATATCAATTGCCCGTCCATTGCAATCGCATATGACTCATAATCTAAACATCCTTTTTCGGCCGAATTCACAGAGAAAAATGATAGCACCGCAAACTCCCAACCCAACCATCCTAATGAGAAAACGTGTTACTTGAATCTCGCTCCACCAGGGAGGAAGTAGTAAGCAAAACGACGATCTACCGATCCTCCTAACCCACGATGATTTTCTTTTATCCCTCCTTTTTACCGGAAATGAAGCTACTAACCTAATGGACCTAACAGGAAAGTCAACACTACCTATAGCAAGAGTTACCTATGGTACTAGCAAAGGCCGACTAAGGCAGTGAGATCCACAGCATGATACAGAAGGGTTTCCATCAATGAGAAGAGACAAGGAGGAACGAAGTGGCCCACATCCCCCAACGCAGTAGGTATGACTCACTCCAAACTGTCACCTTCAGGTCTTCTCGAAGCACAGTCTGCTCCTCTGGACGATTTCCATTTCCGGTAGTGCAATACATCATAGGTGTTTCAGGTTTGAAGGTCCTCTAGCCTTGATGGGGTAGTATGTGTACGTGCGTGCATATGGATGGAGAAATAGGAACTATCTACCTAGTTTCGATGTAGGTAATGAGGCAACATGGTGAGTGAGGTCGCATGCTGCTGCCACGTTTCCATAAGAGACAATTGCCCGAGCTTTTTTGGTATCACACGGTTGGGGGTGAGATTACGGAGGGAATGTGTATGAGGTTACTCGCGATAATCGCGTGAAATGCGTATGTAGGTCTTTTTTCTTTTCCAAGGGAGTAAGGAGGTGGGGGCAAATTAAGAGGGCCTAATGGGTGTTTGCACCATCCCTACGGCCGTTGCATGCAGCCCGCCCCGTTGTTCGATTACTTCGTGCCAAACTGCCGGAGTCATGGTGAGGATTGATATTCGACATGCAAATCAGGAACGGACAACAAAGACAGGGTAGGAATATAGGAATGAGACGAATCCAATCGGATTCTGAGCCCGCCTCTTTGAAACATGAGAGTCCCTCGAGGTAGGCAAATCAGGAGTTACGGTTATACCAACTCATTCGTCGTTCTGTATACTGTGTACTACTTTCTTCTTAGTCTTGCCTGCTCAGGGACCTGCTAAGTGACATGTGACTCGAGAAGAATGCTAAAAATGTCGTTTCTTCATTTGTCATCTCTTGAAGCTAGTAACGATAGACGCTTAAAGCCGAACAAAAAAGAAAGAAAAAATTGGACGGAATCCTTAGCTCTCCAGGCTCGGCGTGGTAGAGCCGATTCGGACGACGATGCGGATATGGCCATACTGGCGGTGTACAAGAGCCACTGATCCAATTGTAGTCCGCGATGCAAGCCGGCCCGCAGAAAGAGGGTCGAAAACAGTCTTACTTTACTACTAGTATACTATCTACTACTTACTCCCGTGACTAGTAGGCAGTCGCAATTTGGTTTATGCAAGAATTCATCATTCTAGAAAAAAAGGTTTCAGATTCCCCCTTTTTATTTTCTAATATATATGTATTTTTTCTCGTTTGCCTCATTTCAACGAGGCGGAATCAAACGGAGGTAGTGCCGAAAACGCTATACCGCTGATACCGACATTGTGCACTTCCTCTTCCACTTCCGGGAAGCTGGAAGATAGGTCCAGTCAAAGGACCCCAGGCCAGTGGGTCCAGCATTTTAGATTTTTTGAATTTCTCGGACTCGTGTGCATGGTGCAGTTGTTGCCCAACATGGTAATCTGCATACAATTGTTGATCTACAGAATTAATATGCTGTTCCAAAGCAAGCCACAGAGACCGGGAGTATGGAACTGTGGAGATAAGATACATTATTCAGATGTCAGTGAAGTAGTCTGATGTGAAGGATACTTCGATATTACCTACCAGGTAGGTATTACTAAGTAACCTTTGGGAGAGGCCTAAGCGGGCAGGAAACCCTAAAAACCTAACCGTCTGATCTACGGAGTACATCGGTATAGGATAGCGGTCAACACCAAACACCAGGAAATTAGCATAGGACGCCGTGAAGCTGATATCGTGGATTTCATTTTAACGCAAGCGACATTAACAGTGTGGACCCGAGTCATATTCTCGAATCTCTCCCTATCGGATCCAAGCTCCATTTTCCCCAGAAGCTAACCACGAATATCTCATCGGTTCGACGAAATATCGGTATTGAAGGAATTGCTGCCATTGGCTGCTTAACCTTCTCTGACCCTCAATGACCCGATTGGGCCAATAATCGTCCTGGGGGGCATCAGGCACAGACGGTGATCAGATCACTCTGCTATCCTACCTACCTTAGGACTTGCATAGGGACGTACGGGTACACTGACACTCAGACGTTTCTTGGGCGCGCGTGTACCTTGCCTATGGGGTGCAGGGAGACTGCCGATTCTGTGTGAGTCACATGGTTTGGCGAGTTTGACAACTTGTGGCACCACTGGTGATGCTCTGAGTGTGCAAATTCAGGATTAGGACTTGTTTCAAGTTTGAAAAAGGTGTGTAGAGTTTCAGCTTACGATACTACTATGTGGCTTTTCTTCCTCTACTAAAGCAGAATGAGCGAGCCTGTGGTAATGTCCCCCATACCTCTATTGTTTCTTCAGACATGTTTTCATTTCTTATCCCGGAGAATAATGCCAATCTGCGCAGACAATCGTATATTTCCAAGATTGGTCGCCGTCATGCAAGAACTCCCATCGGGTCCCATCGTGGTAAGACCTTTGGTTCCTGTTTTAGAATATCTCGGACCTCCCTTGAAACAAAGCGAGAATCAACCACTACCTGATACGTAAACTCGTCCATCCATTCATCTCCCATGACAAACCAACCCTTGTCTCCCACGACTTCACCCCATGAGTTTTGCACCCGCCATCGCACTGATTGGCCCCTTTCAACGTGGACACCCGTTAACACCATTGCATGGGTCATGGATGACTCGCCGGTGTTCAGTCTTTGTGCCTTACTCATCCGAAGTGTGGTGTTGAATCCCAATTTGAGGTCCAGTAACCCGTAATCCATCACGCCAAGCTTAGAGTCGTAGAATTTTCCAACATCACAGCCAAAGAACACAGGGTGCCCTGCACGGAGCATTGCAATCGCAGCTGCTTTGATCGTCTGCGGATGCGTTGGTCACTGCTAAAACACATAGTTTCCCCGTAGGGGCTCGCTCACCTTCATGCCCACATTGATGTAGGTGATCGGACGTCCTTCTACTATATTTCCTAATTTATCGACCGTCAAGAGTCGATCGTACTCATTCCGCGGATCATTCACCAAGCTTAACATCCTGCCAGGATCAACATCACCTCGGGCGAGTTGCGCAGTGGCCTGTTTCGCAAATCCCTGCGGGCTGTCGTATACTTCCTGAAATTTGCCATCAGCATCATAATACTCCCAGTGGAATGCCTCGTTCGGGCTCGGTGGCGGGCCCAACATGATAGTCACCAGGGAGTGGATCTCTTTCAGAAATTCATTCTTCTGTCTCGCCAACCTCTCGGGGTCACTCTGCGCCAACCGCCGCAGAGTCAGCGCATGCTCGCGTAACTTCACCGTCACGAGCCAGTTCATCTTCGCACTGTTCTGGGCACTAATGTTATCCGGGTAGAGGTCGTGAGGCACCAAGCCATATTTGCCCACCAGGTTCGCCACCATATCCCATTGGCCTCCATCCGTAACCGGGTCCTCGAGTAACTTCTGAACCAAGCGACTGGACAATTGTTCATCAGCCGTCTCTATGATCTTCTCCAGGAACCAATTGGCCTTCTCGATTTTATCCCAGTAGAAAAGGTAGGCCTGACTGAGCTCAAACTCCTTCAGGTTGTACTTTCTCATAAGTGGCACTCGGAAGACGTTCGTCGATGCAAACAGCCAGCAGCGGCCCGACGCCCGCTGATCCGTAATCGGAGCCCCTTCCAGTGGGATCCTGACATTGAAAACTGGCCTGTCTAGCTGTACAGCAGATTGATTGGTGAGGATCTGCGAATAGGGATTGGTGGCAAAACTAAGGATGGCCAGACGGTTCTAGGTAGTCGCACAGGATTAGATATCTTGTGCAAAACAATCATTACAGCATCCTGGTTCATATTGAGAATACCTTGTCGGAACTCAGGAGGCGTTCTTCCCAACTTCGCACTTGCGGGATGGAAAGATTTCTCGCCCGGTCTCCGGCATTGTACGGAGGTGCTGGGTTTATCAGCACCCATTTTCTATTTTTGTAACTGCTTTGGGCATAGATAGACAAGGAACAAATGGGGTCATGTACGAGCCTCGTGGTTTTGCTCGTTGGGTTCGTCCAGCTTGCCTCCGGAAGCGATCTGCTTCAACTTCATGGTAGCCGTTGCTGGACGCACGGGCTTTTCGCTATGCCTGTTATTGGTAGAAGACAATTTTGAATTGTTTGAACCCATTTTGAATGCAGATTCGGTATCCTTTTTTACTAGAAGTGCTATGGAACTTAGTGAAGAGATCCCCGGTGTGTTGGAATGATTAAAACAGTAGGTACAAGTGGAAGTGGAGGTGGAAGGGGGATCTATATTTATAGAGCCAGTCTTATCTCTGGATGCAACTTAAGCTTCAGATGCGGATGAGAACCTTGCGGCATAGTCACGGGCTGTCTTGCATGATTGGACACTCCTGTCACGTTCATTAATCCAATGGTCACAAGATTGCAAGTCAGCAAACCAAATAAGGGATTGATTGCCATTACCATCCTATCTATTCCTGATCTAGACAGTATACCGAGTAAACACTACAGTCCCTCCTTATCAGCGTATAGGTCGCCGCCCATAACATAGTCCAAATCATCTTCAAATCCTCTCCACTCACCAGACAAATGGATAAGTCGTGAAACATGCTGAATGGGTATCGGTAACTTCTTTTGCGAGTAGAAAACTTCAGTTCGTATGGCGTAAAGCCAAAAGAAAAAAAAGAAAAAAACCAAAAGCAAAAATCCTCCCAATTACTTGATTTTGACTCGTCCACCTTCTTCTGTCCTACTGTCTTTTCCTCGGGGCTTCTTTTTATTTCTCTTTTCTTTCTTTCTGCCTTTCTGCCTTTCCTTTTTTTTTTTTCTCCGGCTGAAACCAAGTCAAGTCCTCGATTACTAACACTATTTGTGCAGCTATGTGCAGTTAGTGAACATGTACAGTTAGAAGCTGATGAAATCCTTCTGCTGCGAAAGATCGTTACTGTTGTCTCTTTCAATGATGAGTTCCGGCTCATCATCGCTAAGCGCGTCAGAGTCAACATCATCAGAATCGATTTCATCGCCCTGTTCGTCCTCGCTAGAAGCATCAGACTCATCGTCATTCGTGGCAACGACCATGTTAGCACCAGTATTCTTCCGAATTTGTCCTGCACGATCAACATGGGGCAGCCGACAACGTTTCTTGTTGCATACACCCGTGTTGGCATAATCAGGGCATTCATGTACATGCCGATGGTCACATTCAGCGCCTTTTTCGCAGTAACCCAGGTTTGCAAATTCTCTGCACACGGGTGCGCCAGGAGTCACCCGGATATGGGCATATCGACAGTCCGGGTTAGAGCAGCGACCTCGGAGAAAATGCAGACAAGCAGGGCATCTGTGGGGCGAAGGCTCATGGGAGAGATCGCAACTTATACCTGCGGTGCAATTACCAGTTTGGAGGAAGTCTTTGCAAATGGCAACCTTATCTGGGTCATGGATATAGAGACATGATGGCCCTTTGTAGCAAGTACCTAGGCGATCATAATTCAATCAGTACAGTTCTTATGGGCACAAGACGACGTTGAGATAGTAACGCCTAGGCCTATTGGAGGGATAGCATCGTTACCAGTCGTGGTGAATCTGCGACAAAGCTCATTCTTCTTAGTCGCGTTAGGTTTCCTGTGTCTATTGTGAGTCTCCAATACTACTTTGCGAGAGCGATACAATCACCTTTTCGAAGTAACAGCACCAAGACGATGGAGATTCCCATTTTTGCTCCTAACAAAGGTAACACCGGCAATGGTCACTCTCTTTGGTGTGTTGTTGGCAGTATTCGGATCATCTATGAACGGTAAGCCAGCCCGCTTGGCCAGTGTGGCGCCAAAGGGAGCCGCACCAGATACTCTGATTAATTTACTACCACCTCGCGAGACCCGGAAAGGTATGTCATTGAGATAAACCTGATATTCCGCCGACGGCTCGGAAGTAACCTGAGGAGCAGTGGAGCCAGGGTATTGTCTACCAAAACCCTGCGCGTACCTCAACACTTTGGCCCGCTCGATATTAGCCCTTTTTTGCTCCTTAGCCTTGCGACTCTCTTCCATAGCCTTCGCTCTCGCCTGCGACTCTTGATCGTAAATAGCAGAGTTGATTAGCTGCATGTGCCGGTCGCGTTTGGCTACCCATCCATTTGGTGTTGTCGATCGACTCTCACTATCAATTTCCATCCCAGTGTTAGTAGAGGGTGTTGCGCTACCAGGAGTCCCTGAAGATGCCGCATTGTTGAGAATGAGGGTACGGTGTCGATGAGAAGCAGCGCCGCCACGGCCTCGAGCATACGGCCGTCCGCGATATGGCGCCCAACCAGCACGCCCTCGAGAGGGAATGTGGCGTGCTACATAGTGACCTGTATGGTAGTCATTATCGTAAGGTGCTGATGTCTGGGAGCTCTGGGTCTTGTGTCTGTTGATCTGGCCTACCTGAGGTTAGCGGGCGGAATCAATATACGTGCATCTGCTTACCAGCAAGCTGGCTGATCTTGGCCATCAAGTCCTGATCTTCTGTCATTTTGACTAAATAAATAGCTATTAATTGCAGTTAGTAAGCCACATGCACAAAGTTCGTTGTGTCTTTTACAATGTGGTAAAGAGGAAGGAAGTGGGTTAGTGTTGATGTTAGTGACGGGAAGATGATCGATCTGTGGCGGGTGCGGTCACGTGGATACTGGGTAAGTAGATTATGATCACAATGAACTCACAGTATTTCAAGTATCGGATGACTCCTTTTATTGATAGAAAGTAAATTGATGCATTTGATTGTATATATAGTTCAGCATCTAAGCCCGCAGTAGATAACTCCAGAATGGCCTTCATGAGGTCAACCTAAAAGATCCCCAAAACAAACGCCGTAACCTTGCTTATGCTACATACATCCAATAGTCTTTAAACAACATTTTCGAACTGTGTATCATCATTATCTGTGAACATCCCAGGTGTTGCCTCCTCCTCGGATGCCTCGTCGAAGTTGTAATCGGCTCCAGGTGCCATCTCTTCTTTGGCATCACCGTATGCCAACGCATTCGCATAGCTGCTCTCTTTTGCTTCTGGTTTAAGCTCCCAGGTCATGGCAAAATCGCCTGATTTAACAAGGTGAGCAACCATCTCCAAAGTTTGCTTGAGATACGCCTCTGGCTGCCGAAGTCTCGCTTTAAGACCCTTAAATGGCCAATATTTGTATTCTCGGAAGCACTGGTAAATAAGGTCCAACAATTCGTTCTGTGGCATACGCGTCGTCTTGTTTTCCTGAGGCTTGACCTTGGCCGCCTTCGTTGCTTGCTGTATCATTGTTAGACTCAAACCAACGTAGCAAAATGTACAGGGGTTGTATGCTGCTCACCACGAAAGCACCCTTTTCTCCCGGTAAAATATTTCTGGCCTGGAGGAGCTTCCCGGGGACCTTGTCGATAAAGAGAGTTTCGCGCTTCGGCTTAAGCGATTCCAAAACCTTCTTCTCTGACAGCCGCCGGAATTCCTCATTCTCCACCGGTAGACAGTTGAATTCTTCGGAAACACTTCCTGTAAGGGCAGTTTGTTCTGTCATAGCGTGAGTATTATCCCTTCTTCATTCCATTGCAGCCATCGAAAAAGCACATACTAGGCACTGTCTTCCGCACATAAGGCTCCCACTTCTTCTTTCGCTCCTTCTTTCTAGCATCTCGCTTCATCGACTCGTACAGGGCTGACCGTGCCTCGCCGAAAGTGAGCATCCGATTCTCATGACCGGGAAGGTCCCTTTCCGTGAAGAGATACGTATTTTGTGTAGAATGCGAAACATTTTCTGCGTTGAGGGTTTGTCGTTGCAGTAGGTAATCTTTAGGGATTTCGCGGTTATCCTCCCGTTCGTTAATACGCAGGCTGACCTACAAAGATTCGCACGTTAGACAATTCCTACTGAGGCCCAGCCATTTCAGCAATGGACATAATTGTGAGCCCTACCCGTTTAATATCATTTTGTGGACCCTCAATCCTAATCGTCCCGATCTGGATTTCCTCATCGTCATCGAGGTTGGACCAATGCTCCCAGAGCGTTCGGGGAATGCGCGAGAGCCATACGCTCTGCGCAGCGTTCGAGAAGTCTAAATCGCCAGCATCCTCGTATAGATCCTCGTCGTCAATATCAGCGAGAACAGCATCTTTGCTATCCGGGTCGGGTTTGATATACGGAGATGCCGCGTCGGGGTCCTGTTTGATTTGGGGAACCATGGCGCTGACCGCCGACAAGAACGAAAAGGAATGTGAAATTTCACCGACTGGTAGTATCAGGCAATGCGACCGGGTATGACAGAAATCTGAGTGCTGACAGATGTTCTAGACAGTATGTAGTTGGTGGTGTGATGTGATGTTGAACTACTCGCCATGCGTCCGCTCTAACAGCAGAAGCTGTCAAGCGGGTCAGCCAAAGGCGGTGGCGGCATATTTAACCACCGCCCTTCACTTCCTCATCACAACAACAATCACACTTGTCGAATGTAAGCTCCCCTATGAATGTCTTCAATTTATGTGTACCCATTGAATTGCTTGGGGCTTAGTTTACTGTAGGCATTGTGTAGTATTTACTCCTAGCATGGCTTTTATTCATATGAGAAGGGATATTATTGATGTCTTTCCTGCAAAGTAATCTCACAAACAAGTCATGTTACATAGGAGCATAGCTGACGTAGACAAATAGAATAAAGCTGCAAAGTAACATAGAAAGGAGGTGTTGCTGAAAGAATTCTCGAGGTAGAAAGAACCCCGCATGGTTGTGATGTTATTGTTGCAGCGTTCAGCCTCTTATCGATAAGCTAAGCTTCGCATCGTTTGTTGCCCGCAGTGGACTCAAAAAGTACATCTTGTTCCCCGTCATCTTCTCGATATCGAGCCGACAGGACAAAGAAAAGATCCATCTTTTACGCAAAGCGCAAACCATATATAAAACTCTTTTCTACTGTCGAACTCTCCACTGTTCCACCCGAGAACCTCTCTTATGGCTTCACAGAAGATCGCCTCCGCCCTGGCGGAGATCGAATCGTCCGCCAACCCCCAAAACAAGCTACAGCTTTACAACGACCTCCTTTCGGACGTGGTCTCAACAACAGCCGGGGACCAGCTCTCTGAAGATGTGAACTTCTACCTCGACTCCATCCTCAGCGAAGACATCAGTATCGTGGCCTCCCGCCCACTCCTCGACTCATTCATCGACGTCTTCCGGAAACTCAACCCCGAAACCCAGATCAAAGTAGGCCAACACGCCATCACACTCCTCCAGTCCCGCTCCACATCAGTCGAAGAGCAGGACTCCCAGATCCGCGAACTCCTGGCAGACGCATACGAGTCCGAGGAAGAGTATATCGCAGCAGCCCGGACATTACAAGGAATCCACATCGACAGCTCGCAGCGCCTTGTCTCTGACGCCGCCAAGGTGCGACTATGGATCCGGATCGTGAGACTGTACCTAGAGGAGGACGACACAACCAGCGCAGAGGCGGTTCTGAACCGAATCAAGAACCTGCCCAGCAAGATCGAGGACCAGGAGTTGAAGCTACATTTCAAGCTCTCCCAGGCCCGCATCCTAGACGCCCGGAGGAAGTTCCTCGATGCCAGCCAGGAATACTTCAACGTGAGTCTGGCTGCCGGTGTTGATGAGAGCGATCGTTTGCAGGCTTTGGCTGCCGCCATCCGATGTGCGGTTCTGGGCCCGGCTGGTCCGCAGCGCTCCCGGATTCTGGCGACGTTGTATAAGGATGATCGGGCGACGTCAGTGGAGGAGTTTGGTATTTTGGAGAAGATGTTCCTGGACAGACTGTTGACCCCGGCTGAGGTCGCTGCTTTTTCGCAGAGGTTGGCCCCTCATCAGCTTGCGCAGACTGCAGACGGGACTACGGTTCTCGATAAGGCGGTGGTTGAACATAACCTCGTGGCGGCGAGCAAATTGTATGAGAATATCACTACGGATGCGCTGGGTGCTATTCTGGGGCTCAAGGCAAGTGGGGATTTGACAGCTGGTGAAAAGGCTGAGGCCTATGCGGCGCGGATGGTTGAACAGGGCCGGCTGAACGGCAGCATTGATCAGATCGATGGCATCATCTACTTCGAATCGGGCACAGCTGGTACTGGAAGAAATATTAGGCAATGGGATGCCGGGGTCCAGGGACTCGCGGAGGATGTGGAAAGAGTAGCGACTAGTATTACGGAAGCGTTCCCGGTATGTACAAACATTACTGATCCTGCTGCATAGACTAGCTAACTCTGTGTTGTATTTACAGGAATTTGCGGTCAGACACACGGTGCATTGAAAGAAAAAGATTTATGAAGAATGAATGATGGATATCACCAGCTATAGCGACACAATTCTACAATTTCGCTCCCTTGATCACAAAAAACACAAAGTTTGAACATTAAGATACATCTTAGGGTATATTACATCGATGCCTAAGCAAACATTACGTTACACAAATGTAGAATGGACACGGTAGGTACGCTGGAAAAGAAACATGAGAAAGGTAACCTAGGCGTCGAGCCATACAAGACAGTAGGACATCATAGTCGTGAAAATAAGTTCGTGAAAGTGACAACGAATGAGGTGCTAATGGGGCCATGGGTCAAGGATTGATCGATATTAGGAAATGACCATCCATGGATTAAATCTCTCCGGAGCATATAAATATTCGCTACGAAGCAGACCGACTTCAAGAATGAGACTTCACTGAAGCTGAGTCCTTACTGATAGTAAAATCAGTGCGAACGGCAATACCCATAGGACCAAGGCGTTCCCTATCAATCGGGACATTGCTATCACTTGTGGCACGGGACACCATACTCTCCTCCATCTTGAAGTATGCCGAAGCAGGCGACTTCTGACTCGACATGACAAAGTTGGAGGTACTGATGTCGGTATTGATATAGTACGGCGCGGTGGCATACCTGCGAGTCCCGGGGATCTTGAATCTTGGGAAAAGACCGCGAATGATAGGGAGAGAGGAGCAGATCAGACCAACTGCGGGCTCGATATGAGTCCAGAGGGTTGCCTGGTAGACGGTGTAGGTGGTGTCCTCTGGTTTGATCCAAAAGAGCACAACGATACGGTAAATACTGGCGAAGCAGACGAAGGCGCCGATGGCGAAGACACCATTCAGGGCGAGCTTATCCTGCCATGCTCGCTGTAGGCCCCAGATCATCGGGACGGGGAGGGCGAGGATTATGAAGTCCATGAGGATATTGAAGGCTTGGTTGACGATGAAGAATTCGTTCCCGTTGAAGCAGTGACCATCGATGCTCTTGTCCCAATAGGCTTTTAAAGGACGACATTGCAGGGCGCAGGCGAGGAAGATACCAGCTCCCCATGCTGCGATTAGGGTGTTGAGGGCAAACGACGTCCATTGAAAGGGTTTCATGGTGAAGATTCGACGGTAGAAGCATATGATGGAAATTTTGATTGAAGGACAGAGCACGAAGTATGTGAATTGGTTTGCGAGGAAGATCTACAGTCAGTTAGCTTTCTGGGCTTTCTTGGCTAGGAATAATTAGATAGAAGATGCTCATACCTTTGAGAAATTTGTTAAAGTCTTCTTGTCCAGTTCTCCCATGTGGGCTCCATTGCCTCCGATAGTGACCCCTTGATGATGATCAGCCATGGCTTTTGTCAGATGGGCTTCATAGGACTTACAGAGGACCAATTCAATAAGCATAGCAATCAGAAGAATTGTCGAAACAAAACAGAGGTAGTCGTCCATCCCAAATCCAACTCTTCGTTTTAACCGGGCGAACACCCGCAGAATAACGGAAATTAGGGCAAGACCGACCAGCACAGAGACGATGCATATCATCTCGCGCCCCCTAGAGGTGACCGTCATGGTGAAAAGTTTTGAATGAATGACTTGTCAAATGAAGAAGGAAAAGAGTGTGAAGACAAGTGCCTGTTAAAGAAAATTGAGGATGACTGTATTCAAAGGAGTGAAATTCATGGAGAGAGGTTGTCAATAACAGTGATGCCCCTCCTCCAGTTGTGAGAAATCAGCTAACTGATGGTTAAACGGGATAGCCCCGGTCCCAGAAAAGTAGATTAAACTACTGTTAAGATTGACCGGAGGAAGATACGGAATCTTGAGGAACCCAGGGCACCCAGCATATATGGGCTCCACGACAGATATACTACATTTTACACCCACTATCTATGTGATTCAGGAACAGGGAAGACCAGAAGGGCGGGACAATACTATGGGTCTGTTCCCAAATTCAGGGTTGGGGATTCACAGTTCGCAGGTAAACGAGCTGATGAGTTAGGGCAACCCGAAAACTTCATTGGGAGTGACAGGGACCTATGGAGTACTGCACGCGAGACAGTGGAGACCTGAAGACCCGCTGGAATGACATAAGAATGCCGAAGAACACAATCTGATTTGGAACGACAACGCGGCCTTTGAAGAGACGGCAGCCTCGTGGCAACACTGGAGTCCCCACCGCAGCGACGATCACTCTGGTGTCGAACTCTAACGACTGACTATTTGATTTTAGCCGGGATGATTTTACGGGAAGTAGAGAGAGACTGGTTAGTGCCTGTCAGCTCCAAATTATCAATGTCAAATAGCGATAGGCTTCGTCACACTGATTTTGAAAAGAAGGCCGATGTAACATATGAGGGTCCCCGCGGGATCCCGTAGGTGTCTTGCGTTACTAGTAGTTTGTTCGATCTTGCCCTGAGAGCGCATCCTAGACGGGAATTGTCTTCGGCATATGCAGTGATGCTAGAAACTCTTCAATTGAGCTTCATACTTGTTGAATATTGATCATTTAACCCAGAAGTTGTTGCGTAAGTATATCTCCTTGAAGTCAATATAGATAATAGGTGAGATTGTAAGAGAACGAAAGGTTAGACAAAAGTCTTACTACAGACTCCCAGCCGCTACAATACCCATTGGCAGCGCAGAAACATATATTGCTCTTTCATCTCCCATATTTCCTACTGAGACTTGCCCTACTAGAGCGCATTGAAAACAATAACAATCAGTGTTCATTGTCTAGCATGGGATATCACATGAGACACATTGCACAAGCAACCGAGTTGTGATTCACAAGGTTAGCAGGTAAATTAATATTCAGAGTATGCCCCGCCTAATCTACTCTGTTCAACATTTGCTTGTCAGTCTGAGACAACATGAAGCGCAAAGCTCCCTGGGATGATGACTCTTCCAGCGTTGTTGAGACCAAGCAACATGTTAGACGCCCTGCTTCTTGTCCACCCTGTCACAAATACCTTAAAAGGCGTCGCTAGCTTGAAGACGTTAATCTATCTGATGAAAGCCAACAGCAGTTTCATCGTGGATTACCAGTACTTGCCTGGGCAACTACCAGTTCAGAAATGTTACTCTCCGATTGAGGGGCAAAGCTATCATTCAAATCCCTCGCAATCTGCCTTAGACATGGAGACCACCCTGCCTTCATCACAGCAGACAGGGGAAGACATCTCCTGAGTCAGTGTATCGCGCACGCCTCCACAAGGCCAGCGTACACTTCGATGTAAGGGATAATCTCCGTCAAATTCTCAAATCAGCAGAAGGCTGGGGTCAGAAGCCAGGAAGCTGCTCCCCAAGGCGCTACACCGTCAGGGTTCTATCCAAAGAAGATTGTGAAGGAGATGTCCTCAAAACCAAGGCATGCGAGCTTTGGGCAGTCTCGATCACAAACGCGGTAACTTCAGGCACAGGTGAAGCTGAGTGGATAGCCGGTTTACTTGATTGGAAACCTTGCTCCCATTTGGGAATCACGTACAATCAGGGGAAATGTATGTCACAACAGAGCCTTTCGTTTATTCGGCCTAAGTGAGGCTTTACTAAGTTTCAATACTGACTGTGACTACACAGTATGGCACCGGCAACTTCTACCACGAGTCACCTCCCTTGCGTCCATCGACGCCAGTGTAGTCCCTTCTCAGAATCGCTTACCTGCTTCTACCGAGCAACAAGTTATGCCTTCTCTTGCTCTGGCAAAGCCAGTTTAATACCAAGGTCACCAATCAGACTCCGATCCAATGCTGCGTCGTATATGCCCGAGTGTATATTTTAGTCTTCAGGAGCAAGCTATCATTGATGGTTTGTTTGAGAAGGCATTCGCAAGCAGTAGTCAGGAAGGTACTTCGAAGAGCTCCAAGAGAAAAGGGTCTTATTGTCAGAGCCTACCCAACGCTCTCTCAATTTACGATTCCCTTTCTTCACTATAGAAGGGAAATCCGGTGCCACAAATGCATTACGTCCCTTAGACTTTTCCCTAACCACACAAGGTCCTCTAGTTGAAATAGGGATCCATTACATGCAGGGTGCGCCTGCAGAACTCCGCTTATTTTGCTTTTTTTTTTCTGGACGGACCACAGTCTGGGAAAGTGCACAAGAATTTGTGGGAATATTCAGGGCAATCTGCGACTGGGCTTGCGACAAATACATGAAATGGGTGGTTGAAGCGCTCAGCAACTGTGTGGAAAACGGTGTGGGTATCCAGTGATTAGTATACTGGATCTGCATTTCAATAGTCAAGTCAGTTCTTTCACGTTCTGCTTTTCCTATGTGGGCATTCATCGTTAGATGATGCAGATCATTGCCAGCATTCGGCACTTCAGGGAACTGACCGCTGTCACCAACGCTTTTTGAGTGGTGGAAGGACCTGATTGTCTACAGATGCTCCACCATCTGTGGGCCATTTTGGAGCACTTTTATCGATCCACTATGGAGGAAAATCTATTTATTTTTTATGTTCTTTCCATGGGAGAATGTCTCTGATCGTCACCCCCAACTACCTAGAAGGTTAAGAGTTAGCTACACCAACCAAATGCACTTCGGGGACCGCAGCAACAAAACAAAGAAAATTCCCGCGAAATGCCGACATTCAGTTCCTTTAGCGACATTGGACAATTCAGACGCCTGGCACACTCCGCAATGTATTCTTTCAAGGACACTGCCTTGATGCAGTGGGGTAAATCTCTACTATGCGTTGATCCTGTATGCATACTAGGTAAAGTCTAAGGCTTTAGAATAAGTCTTCGTGCTCATTTTATGATTGATCTTCGGCAATGGTCACATTCTCCAACTCAATTAAGTAAAGCAGGAGATAGAAACGGTGTCAATTGGACCGAGTCGGGGTGGATGCAGCGTCTGGGACTCCATTGGGCCGTAATATTTGATCCTGCTAGTAATAACACCACTAGTGCTTAGGCTAGACTGGGGTTCCATCTGCAATCCCCCTCATACTATTAAGTCCTAGTGCCCCTCCATCTCGTGGAAACCATAGTTCTTGATATATACTAGAACCTTGATTAATTTTTTTTTTAATTCTTTTGTTTCTATCTATTTGACCTCTAGTCTCCAATTCTACAATCAAATCCCGATCTAGTTCACGATGGCCGCTCAGGACAGTGCCGCCACTGCACCCTCCCCTCCCTCGGTGATCCCCTTGATCATCAATGGCAAGGAGGAAATACCGGGATCTACGTTCGACGTCATCAGCCCGTATACCAACCAACGCTGCTGGGCTACAGCTGCGGCCTCCCCTGAGGATGCTGTTCGCGCGGTCGAGGCCGCTGAAGCCGCATTCCCAGCTTGGTCGCAGACTAAGCCCACCGTCCGGCGAGATATCCTGCTCAAGGCAGCCGATATTCTGGAAAGTCGCCTTGTCCAAAATGCAGAGTACATGCGGACGGAAATGGGCGCCGACGTCGGCGCGTCGCAGTACTTTATCGTGCCGCTTGGCATTCGCATGCTGAGGGACATCGCTGGGCGCATCACTTCCATCTGTGGAAGCGTACCTGTCGTCGAGGAAGAGGGGCAGAGCGCCATTGTTTATAAAGAGCCTATGGGTGTGATTCTGGGGATTGTGCCGTGGTACGTCTAACCCAATGAGGCGCTTTTGGTGTGGACGAAGTGCATGGCTCATCATTGACTATTTAGGAACGCACCATACGTGTTTGGCGTCCGCTCGGCCGCCTGCGCACTTGCTGCCGGCAACACTACCATCCTCAAGTCCTCGGAACTCTCCCCTTGCTCATACTGGGCGCTTGTCCGTGCCTTTGAAGACGCCGGCTTGCCTGCCGGATGCCTGAACCTGATATCGTGTCGGCCCCAAGATGCCCCCCAGGTAGTCAACAGCATGATAGAACATCCGGCCGTGCGCAAGATCAACTTCACCGGAAGCACAGCTGTCGGAAGGCAGATTGCTCGGTCCTGCGGTCAAAACTTGAAACCGTGCTTGATGGAGCTGGGAGGGAAGAACAGTTCTATTGTGTGTGAAGATGCAAACATCGAAACAGCTGTGAAGGGAGTATTGGCGGGAGCTTACTTGAACGTATGATCCCTGGTACAAGTTTTCCCGTGGTTGCTCTTGTTCCCTTCTAATCTCCCACAGTCCGGCCAGATCTGTATGGCCACAGATCGGATCCTCGTCCATTCCTCTGTTGCCCCCGCCTTCATCGAAGCACTCAAAACCGCCTTGAACTCGAATCTTGATCCATCTTCCCCACCGCCAACTCTCGTCACTGTAGCTTCTAAAGCACGAGTCGAGCGTCTGATCTTGGACGCGTTATCGAGCGGCGCTCACCTAATCCACGGATCCGCGGAGCAAAACTCGGAGGCACAGCCCGAGTCTGGCGTCCGCATGGCCCCTGTGCTCCTCGGTGGCGTCAAGGAGAACATGAAGGTTTGGCAAGAAGAGGCATTCGCTTCGCTAGCCGCGTGCATGGTGGTAGACAGCGATGAGGAGGCCATCCGGATCGCAAACAGCAGCGGATATGGACTGTCGGCCTCCGTGTTCACCGAGGATTTACGGAAGGGATTGGCCCTGGCGAAGAAGATACAATCCGGGTAAGTCCACTCATATCTTCAACCGGTTCCCGACAGGATGTTCATGTACTGATGGTCCGCAGCGCCGTCCACATCAACAGCATGACCATCCACGACGAACCCGTCTTGCCGCACGGTGGTGTCAAGAACAGCGGGTGGGGCCGGTTCAATACCTCTCAGGGCCTGGACGAATTCCTGGTGACCAAGAGCGTAACCTGGATGGATTAATGAATCACGAGGCACACGACGTTGGGCGTTTTATGGGTAGTCATTGTATTTAGTTTAGCTCATTGCAGCGATTGTCGTCAGTTGGTGATCACTTCTGGGAGCATTATGACTTTCACGCACAAAATCTTACAAAAATAGTCGGCATAGTGTAGATAAAACGTGTAATAAAGCCCCCGAGCCCTTAACACAATACTACCCTGCATATATGTACGCCACGGCATAAACCCCGAAATACCCGACCAGCATTTGCGGTGCTTCGGGACAAATGCCGCCGAGCTTTACATACCTTGCTAACCTACGGCTACCACGGATGATAGTAATACATAGTAATACATAGTAATACATAATACGACTAGATCTGTAGCTTAATCTGACAACATAGAGCAACATCTGTATTTAGCCCAGTTGCTACGGGACGATCGGGGAGTATATAGTACGCTTTAGATATCGGCTATTCATTACCCCCAAAGGAGCAATTCCAATAAACGGGTGGTGGTATGTCATTTGGTTGCGCGGCAATTGATTACCCCGCTCCCATTGGCGGAGCAACAAGGAAGGTGAATAGCCGGTGTATGCACGTGATCAATAGCCGACAGCAGCGGGTTAGTCGAAGGTTGTCAATAGCAACAAGAAACTGTTGAATGGATTGAAATTAAGAAATGAGATGCGAATGGGCGATGAGAGTTTGTAGAGATACTGGATTATTCTTATGGATATGGGCTGATGGGATGGATGGTGGAGTGAGTGCACAGGCTACCATCTCTCGGTCCGAGGTACATTCTACAATAGGCAAGGGACCGGTTTGGGTATGGGGTATATCCGCCACTGATCCTCCCGTCCAAATGGGTCTGGGGATGGCCCAGTCCCTGGGGTAGACTACTAGTCAATATGACACCTTGGTTATGGGGTTTTCCTTGTTGATGGATCTGGAGTGGATTGTTTGACGTTGTGGATATTAGTGTGTTGCTGTCTCTACTAGCTGTGAGGTATGACTGGCAGAAATCGATCATGCGAAGGAAGCATATACACAGTAGTGATTGAGGTACCGAGTACCACTTACTACCCCGGTTAAAATGTGGCAGATCTGTACAAGCTTTGAGCAATAAGCAGTGAAGAAAAGAGGACAGTCAGGTGAAACATGACGTTTCCGCTGACCTAAGGTTGCGCTCTTATTTGCTGGGGGGGATCGGACATGTGAAAGGGGAGATAGAGGTGGTGTCATGCATTGGATCTGATTACTCTTGAGTAGCTCAACTTACTACTAGTACCAAGTAGCTGCAGTGACTGACCATCCCTAGTATCTAGTTTAATCTAAAGCATGTGAAGGTTTCCTTAGTCCCCTGCTGACTGGATGAAGGAAAAACGAATGTACTGTGTACTTTTGATACCTTTTGTTGGATCTCATTATATCAACAATGACAGTGTCCACTGGGTCACTAGATCTCCAGTTTCATGGACAAACCAGAATGCTTGTAAATAACCTTTACTAAGGAGGGACCACTTTCCCCATCTCTTTACTCGGTACGGTATGGATGTATAGTAATTACCACGGAGGAAACGCGGTTCCTGCCCTGCGCTGGAGCGGTCCAGCAAGAGCGAAACGGTACCAGTACGGTACAGGTACATTCTCTCGATCGATGAGCCTCGGCCGAAAAGCATTGTCGGCTTCTGAACCTTTCCCAATCCTCCCCCCGGATCCTGTTGGCCCTTGGGACTGCTTTTTAAGAGCTCCCTGTCTCGTCCCTTTTCCCCCGATTCTTCTCTTCCCCTCAGACCTTATTCATCCTCAATCATTTCCTTATCCTGATCCGTTCTGTACTTCATTTCTTTCCCTTTCACAATGACTACCCCTCCTAGAGTAATTGTTGTTGGTGGTGGACGTAAGTGATCGACTACTATAACCAAGCTTTCCCCGCATTTGCTGACCATTACCTCGTCTCTCAGTGTCCGGTCTCTCCGCCGCTCATACCGTCTACCTCAACGGTGGAAATGTCCTCGTTTTAGATAAACAAGGTATGTCCTGATACCGCCGACAAATACCATTGCGAAATAAAAAGAGAAAAAAAAAAAAAGCGACCGAGACTGACTGTCACAGCTTTCTTCGGTGGCAACTCCACCAAGGCTACCTCGGGTATCAATGGTGCCCTCACTCGCACCCAGGTTGACCTGGGTATCCAGGACAGCGTCAAGACATTCTACGAAGATACCCTGAAATCCGCCAGAGACAAGGCTCGTCCGGAGCTAATTAAGGTCCTCACATACAAGTCCGCTGCGGCTGTGGAATGGTTGATGGATGTTTTCAATCTCGATCTCACCCTCGTTTCTCGTCTCGGGTAAGTGATATGCTTTGGTGGTTTTTTGAAAGTCCTCCTTTCTAACGGTGTCGTAGTGGCCACTCCCAGCCCCGGACACACCGTGGCCATGATGCTAAATTCCCCGGCATGGCCATCACCTACGCCCTCATGCAACGGTTAGAAGAGCTTGCCGAGAAGGAGCCCGACCGTGTAGAGATCGTCAAGAAAGCGCGCGTGACCTCGGTCAACAAGTCTGGTAACACCGTGACTGGCGTTACTTATGAGCATGATGGTCAGATTCACACCGCCGACGGTATCGTCGTCCTGGCCACTGGCGGCTATGCAGCAGACTTCGGCGACGGCTCGCTTCTGAAGCAGCATCGTCCCGACACCTACGGACTTTCCAGCACTAACGGTACCCACGCCACTGGTGATGGTCAGAAGATGTTGATGGATATTGGTGCCAATGGTATCGACATGGATAAGGTCCAGGTACACCCCACGGGTCTCGTCGACCCCAAGGACCCGACCGCCAAGTTCAAGTTCCTTGCCGCTGAGGCTCTCCGTGGTGAGGGTGGTCTCTTGCTCAACTCCGATGGCCAGCGCTTCTCGGATGAGCTCGGTCACCGTGACTATGTCTCGGGCCAGATGTGGAAGGAGAAGGAAAAGGGCAAGTGGCCCATTCGCCTCGTCCTGAACAGCAAGGCGTCCAATGTTTTGGACTTCCACACCCGCCACTACTCGGGCCGTGGCCTTATGAAGAAGATTACCGGCAAGGAGTTGGCTAAGGAGATCGGCTGCGGCGACGCTGCTCTTCAGAAGACCTTCCAGGAATACAATGCCATTGCTGAGGGCAAGGTGAAGGATCCTTGGGGCAAGCGTTTCTTCCACAATATGCCCTTCGATATCAACGACACCTTCCACGTGGCCCTGATGGAGCCTGTCCTGCACTTCACTATGGGTGGTATCGAGATCAACGAGCATGCCCAGGTTCTTAACTCGGAGAAGAAGCCCTTCGAAGGTCTCTATGCTTGTGGTGAGCTTGCTGGTGGTGTTCACGGTGCTAACCGCCTAGGTGGCTCTTCTCTGCTGGGTTGCGTTGTCTATGGTCGTGTGGCTGGCGACAGCGCCAGCCAGCACCTGTTCCAGAAGCTGGTCTCTGGCGGTGCCTCCAGCGCTCAGCAGCGTTTGGGCCAAATCTCTCTTCACATCGATCCATCGACACCCGGAAAGATCTCCGTCGAATGGGGCGGCGCTGGTGGCAATGGTGCTCAGATCCCCGCGGTCGCTGGGACTCCTGCTACTGCTGACTCTGCTAAGGCTCCTGCCGCTGCCACTTCGACCAATAGCCCCAAGAAGTTTGAGATCCCAGAGACAGAGTACTCGATGGAAGAAGTCGCCAAGCACAACAAGAAGGACGATCTATGGATCGTTGTCAAGGGCGTTGTTTTGGACGTGACTAACTGGCTGGACGAGCACCCCGGTGGCGCTAATGCTCTGTTCAACTTCATGGGCCGTGACGCCACAGAAGGTATGTATCCTCTCTCTTGTCACCCTGCGGAAAGAAAAAAAAAAAAAAAGAAAGAAAAAGAAGAAGAAGAAGAGATGTTCTAACTGGATTACAGAGTTCGAAATGCTTCACGATGACGAGGTTATTCCTAAGTATGCCTCTCAGATCGTCATTGGTCGCGTCAAGGGCGTGACTCCCACCCTTGAGATTTAGAATGTGCAATAGACTGGGAACGATACATTTTTGACAAAGAAAAATACTCTACGCAGCTAGTTCTTTCTGATACATACCCTTTTTTTTTCTGCGTTTGTTATTTATTACTACCATGATCACTTGTGATGATATACGGGGCAAGCCCACCGTCATGTCATGTTTAGTCTGTACGATAGTACAATTAAATACCTTAGAAGAATTAACTTCTTAGCCCGCGTCAATCATAGCAGTGAACGTTTCTCAGGAACATGACATAGTTTCCGTAAGCCATTGCATAAATACATTGCCTTTTACCAGCAATCTCGGTACAATACATGTACATACAGAAGAAGTGGTGTATATGGGTATACAGTACACATCCATCACAGCATCCCCCTTCTCCGACCAAGCCCCTCAAGCCCGCATATGCCTCAAAATCATCTTCAACCGCTGCACAGCCGGCCCATCCTCTCCCCGCTGGTTCCCCTGCTTTTCCTTCCTCTCCTCTATCTCCTTAGCAGCAGCCTCCAAAGTTGGTCTCAGCCATCCCCAAACCTCATCATGATACCGCTCCTCCACCGCAACCCAATCCTCCGACCCCGGTAAACTCCCCAAAACACTATCCCTTAAGGCCGCAGCATCCACATCGGTCTGTACGGCAGCACTCCCCAGTATCGTATCAATATCTGGAACGAGACTGGCAGACGTGAGTCTATGGGTCGAAGCCGGGGCCGGGGCCGAAGCGTCCAGGGAGGGCGTCATATGGCGGCGGAATGTCTCGAGCATTTGGATCTCGGCTGGTGAGAGCGGTTGAGGTGGCGATGGCTCTGTTTCGATAATGTCGAGTGGCTCGTGCGCTGAGGGTGGGAATGATGGGTCGAAGGTCTTGGAGGAAAGGAGGGAAAGGACTGCTGAGCCGTCGGTTGGGTTGAGGATGTGTTGTTGGTGGTGGTGGTAGCCATGTGTAGTTGATGTTTCAGTGGTGGAAGATATCGAGGCTAGGTCTCTTTGTTTTCCCTTTCCCTTGTCGGAGGGTTGGAGGAAGTCATCGCCCAGCCCCAGTGAGCTACTATCTCCGTGCGCGAATTCCTCCTCGGTTAATTGGGGGATTGTGAACCCGCCTTGTTGTTGGGTTGTTGTTGTTGTAGTTGGTGACCGGAATGTCTCTGCATTATGGGTAGTATCACGCAATTGAGACCTTGAGGAGGGGCCGGAGATTTGGGAGTATTGTTCTGCGGGTGCTAGGGCGGAAGAGGATGAGGAGGGTTTGCCGCTGTTAGCGAGGAGGGCCGCATCTGATGAGCTGGGCGTGGAGAAGGCTTGTCGGGCTAGGCCTGAGGCTGAGCTTTGGATGCGATTTGCGAGGGATGGGGTGGTTGGATTGTCTTTGTCGGTTGGTTTGGGGGGATCGTTGGAGGGTTTGTCGTTGTTGCTATGGTCGGTGCCCCGCTTCTTGTCTTCCGTCATGGTTTAGGTTGTAGTGTGGGGTTCTTTTGTTGCTGGGAGGGGAAGGATGGTGAGGCGGGTTTTGAGAGGGGTGGTTTATTGGGATTGGGTGTTCTTGTTGGATGGGAAAGGATAGAAGGACAAAGTATTATGGACGATTATGTATGCTTTGTATGGTTCTGGAAGGAGTTAAGGTTGTCCGTTCGGCTTAATGGAGTTTTTGGTCGGTTGCATTGGAATGGCATGTGAAGTGGGCTTTTTGGAAGGGTAGGTAGTACGTCCTATAGTCGTAGTTTGAGGCATTGTCTTCAGGGATTGATTCGAGGGTTGTAGCTCCTGGGAGGAGTACTTAGGCTCCGAGTATACTCTTGTTGTTCGTACCTTATTTTCTTGTATTGTACTGTAGGTATCTTGGATTTGACCTAATGTCTCGGAATATATATAGCGGGTAAATGTTGCTATGTTGTGATGTTTAGTCTTGTTGCGCAACACACCAGAGCGTCGCACGGAAGTGCTGGGTTTGTTTCAAGGATGATCCTCAGGACTTGGCCATTTCGGTATTCTACTGTTTTATTCTGTTCATTTTTTTTTGAAACTGGTACGCAATTGCTTTCATATATTGGCCCTTTTATGGCTATACTGTGGGCGTGATAGACACAAAAGCAGCAACTAGACCCCGGCAACTACCACGATGAATCTGTATTCCAGCTCCCATCGGAGGAGTAGCATGCACTTGAGCTAATGAGCACCAAGTCTTTGAGAGGTTGAAGAAGGTATCCTGATTTTGGGTGGGGATTTAAGGTAGCAGAAGGAACCCACCTATATATAAATCACGTGACACACGCCGTGATTCAATCCGGAAAGCGTAAGAAAAGAGTGGGCAAATAAATATATGAATCAAAAGAGCGTGAATTCTACCAATAAAGGATGATACACGGCGAAGATTCTGCGTTCAATTATTCAGGATACGTCAGGTGGTTTGAATATCTTGCTATGTATATAGATTTTACAGTGCTGAAGAGACTCTGTTAGACCGTGTTGCTTGCGTAGTTAGATTTTCGACGGGAAGAGAAAGAAGCTGTAGGAGTATATCGGAAAAGTAGTGGTTGATGTCAGCGCCCAGTTGGCGGTGCGGGTGGGTTGCGTTGGGTTGTTGCGTGGGTTCACGGGCAGCCACTCCCTCAGTCAATCTTCTCCCCACCACAAACCACCACCAGACGGTGCTTCCCAATACCGCCCTCACCTCAATCCAACACCTTACCTCCTCCACATCATCCCTCCCGTCTTTGCAACAACTACCACAACCTCCTCCCCCCCCACACTTCCTTTCTCACTGCTCTTCTCTTTTCACCTGGTGGTTAGTCTGGTCGTGGCTGTGGTTGTTGCTTTATCAGTGCCCTTTCCTCGAATTTTTGCAGAAAAGATCAACCACGAAAATTAATTAGAGACGTTGGAGGGACGGAAAGGACAAGAAAAACCCTTCCCATCGTCCCCCGCCATTCTGATTTCGTCAGCGCAGGCTGTCAATCCTTTGCCTTCTTCAGCCTGCAATTCCCTAAAATCGGTCTCTGCCTCTTCTGCGGCCTTGTCTGACGTTACAGCCCTCTTCGTCATCCCCCCATCCTCTCTTATCTCCACTCGAAGGACTTCGTATATCGGAACTGGTGGACTTTTTGCCATCGTATCCACATCTCGATCCTCTCGATCGCGGAATATTACATAGACGGCGCCCGCGGAAAAGTCTTGTCCCTCATCCCACAGTAACGACGTCAGTTTCTGGTGGCCCCGCTCTTTACCACCCCGATCAACCTACTGCTCCACGAGTCTTGTTCGTTGGCCAACTGCCCTAGGAAGGGTGGTTTATTGAAAGAAAATGGTAGACAGGGATCCAGGTACACCTACCTGGAAGTTCACCCAGTGAGTCTAGGCCCTTGGACCCCCCTGCTGCGGTGGTCAAGATGCTGTCTTGTCCGTGGTGCAGCTCTTTAGGCTGAATCTCACTGGCATCTCCGCCATGAAGTTTTTCCTATCGCTCTTACTGGTGTATCCGAGATAGTAGGGGATTACTAATTAGTTTGTTCTAATAGATGCTTTGGTGATAAGGGCGATGTGGAAGATATCACGGAAGGTATGCATAGATACCTGTTTGTTGCATAGGATCGGAACACTTCCTTGTCTGGAAGCATTCCGTATTTTTTTCGAGGCTGACGGGTCTGTTTCATTTAGCGGATATCATCTCTACTGTCGAGTTTGACCATACCGGAAACTATTTGGCTACGGGAGATAAGGGTGGGAGAGTAGTATTGTTTGAGCGGAATGAGACGGTAACAACACCCCCGCAGTATTACTTTCCGCAGGTAGAAAGTCCTAACCAATTGCCTAGAAAAAAACATGCGAGTATAAATTTCATACCGAGTTTCAGTCGCACGAGCCAGAATTCGACTATTTGAAATCACTAGAGATCGAGGAGAAGATCAACAAAATAAAATGGTGTAGACGATCAAACTCGTCTCACTTCCTCCTCTCGACAAATGACAAAACGATAAAACTCTGGAAGGTGTTCGACAAGTCGTTGAAGGTCGTTGCAGAAAACAACCTCTCGACCGAGCTTACACCCGCAGGCGTTGGTGGTGGAGGGGCGCCTCGCGCCCCTCGTTTGTCCTTCAAGGATCCATCAGCGTTGAAGCTCCCTCGGATGACACACCATGATACTGTTGTGGCAGCTGTACCTCGAAGGACATATGCCAATGCGCACGCATACCACATAAACAGCATTTCCGTCAACAGCGACGGGGAAACTTTTATTAGTAGCGATGATCTCCGAGTCAATCTGTGGAACCTTAATATCCAAGATCAGAGTTTCAACATCGTCGATATCAAACCCGCAAACATGGAGGAGCTGACGGAGGTAATCACGGCCGCGGAGTTCCATCCTACCAGCTGTAACTGGTTCATGTATGCGAGCTCGAAAGGCACAATCAAGCTCGCCGACATGCGACAGCGGGCTTTGTGTGATGAACACCATAAACGTATGTATCTCTGTGTCATGTCATTCTGACCACAATTTACGCCGGACTGACTCTAATCACACCGTATAGTTTTCGAACAAGAGGAGGATGCCTCCTCCCGCTCATTCTTCTCCGAAATTATCTCATCCATTTCAGACGTACGGTTCTCGCATGATGGTCGCTATATCGTATCCAGGGACTACCTAACTGTTAAAATTTGGGATGTCAACATGGAGCGCCAACCATTGAAAACGATCCCTATCCACGAACACTTGCGGCCACGCTTGTGTGACACGTATGAGAACGATAGTATCTTCGATAAATTCGAAGTTGTCTTCTCGGGCGACGCGGAGAATGTCATGACTGGAAGTTACAACAACAACTTCATGATCTACCCCACCGATCCTGCTAAGGAGACAGAGATAGTGTTGCAGGCAGATAAGTCAGCGTTCAAGGCGAAGAAGGTTGGCGTCCCAACACCGATGAACAAGGGCGCCAATGGGAAGAAGGGTAATGCCAGAGCTGGAAGTCCCGCTGGTCCTGGTAGCCGGATGAAGAAGGAGACCGACGCGGATCAGATTGACTTTAATAAGAAGATCTTACACATGAGCTGGCATCCGTACGAGGATAGTATTGCTATTGCTGCTACTAACAACGTGAGTGATTTCCGTTCTCTCTTCCGTCTTTCATCAGTGCTCTCATATACTGACGTTGTGGGACTCAATAGTTATTTGTTTTCTCTGCATTGTAAGTACGCTACAGGATGGTTCATATTCATAGTGGACAGGATGTCAATTTCGGGAAAATCAAGCATGAAACAAAGTATAAAACAGAAAAGAGGATACTAGCAGCAGCATCCGCAGTACCAAAATTCAAGTTGCCAGTTCAGGTTCAGATTTTCCTTCTACCCTTTCCCCCCTAATGTTGAAAATTCGGTCGTGCATTCGCCGCCCCGAGTTATTCCAACTTATTCCTTAACTCTCCACCGCTTTAACGCTCTGATGATGTGTCGGTTTCGTTCTTTTACTTCGAGTGGGTCTTGGTGATGTTCTGATGATTCATTTGGGGGCGTTATAATGGGATATCATAGAGAAGACGCGGAGCCTCTAAAGGGTAACCTTTTTTTTGCTGCCCAGTTCTTTCTATCTATTGAACGGTTTTGGGCATAGCACTCCTATTCGGTGACAAGGAGCAAGGAATCTCACCTAAACCATAGGCGCCGACCCGTCTATTGTGGCATTGGTTACAGCTAGAGCAGGATATTCTGACGGTCTGGCTTGGATTGGTTGCGGTGGTTTAGGTGCCTAGCGTTACCGAGTAGATAATGAATCTATGGATTTTGAATTAATATAGTCTCTCCACCTAGATGCGAATATGAGTTGCCTTCGCTACGGCTGATAGATCCGCGCGGAGCTAATTCCTATATGTGACGTCTGAAGTACTACAAGGCGGAATCTCCCGAACAGGCGGTACAAAAATGCCAACAGCTGCATAGTAGACGGTTCATATTAATTGAATAATCATTCTACAGCGGCCGAAGCGCATGGTGGATTGAATGCCTGGGTCAAGACCGATCTTCCTGAATCGAGACCTAACGACGTCGCCGGATTTTATCAGTCAATGACGTCGGGGTTTAAGGCTCTAAGGCTCAAAAGGTCGTCCATGGCACTGCTGATCCCGCCTCCCCGTGAACCAATCAACAATCCGTCACGTTGTTAATGCAAACTTCGGAAAAAGGATGGCGCCGGAGGGAGGCACTATAGTTGAAAAGGGGTTAGTGTAGTCAAAGTCACTCTCCGCCTTCTGTCTGGGACTATCCGTGATCGGTCGCGCGCAAACCATCGCTTCCAATCAAGTCTGCCGCTCGCTGGCTTGAACAGTCTCTTTTTCACCTCCTTATCCTCTTTTGTTGCCTTACTGTGCTGATCCACCGAGCTCTATACTCATTATTTCTTTATCTGTGTTGTGCTCGCGTGGTTGACGCTGTCTCCAACACAGTGATGTCGCTGTGAAATGACTTGGAGAAAGAGTACTCAACCGTGCGAAAAGGAATAACGACTTAAGTGCTCAAGTTGAAAAGTACCAGAAGCCTTATAACTTGCCTCCAGTCTTTAAGACTATTTTTGATTTGATCATAGAATCAGTGTTTGTTATTAGCAATTTATTAATGCGCCAATCATGAACTCCTCTGGGAATGATAACTGGCACCCGGGCAGCCTGCCATCGCACCCGGGAATGGATCAAGTGAACCAACAGCCCCGTCCTTTAGGATCTTTTAGGTATGTGCTCTCAAGAAAAATGAACTTCATTAGTGATGTTGAAGTACGTACTGGGAAGAATGGAAAGTGCTGACTTGGTTGCGTCCCGCTGTATAGTCAGAACCCACCCCCTCAACAAGGTCCGTCGTCGCAGCCCGTTCTTCCACCAGCTGGTTAGGATTCCCTCTTTGTGACATATTCCCGCATTATTGCGAAGATATATTGGTTTATTGACTTACTTTGTCTGCTATGCCAGGCCCCTATCATCCGGCGAGCCAACCTGCAGGGCACTCGCTTCCTGGGCTGGCGGAGTTGAGCCAGGGTCATGGTGGCGCACACCAACCTCCTGCATATGGCCAGCACCATTCTGCTGCTTCCCATAGCGCGGGTCATTCGCTACCAGGTATTGGACAAGCGATGCAGCATCCTTCTCCTCAATCCATCAACCGAGAGCGTGAGCTCGACTCAAGAGAGCGCGAGTTGATCGAAAGACAGCGTCAAGAAGAAATGGCCCACAGGGAACGTGAACAGCGTGAGCGTGAGCAGCTAGAACGGCAGCAGCTGGAGCGACAACGGGAACAGCAGCATCATCCAGTTCAGAGTCATACGGGGTCGATACCTTTACATCAGCCTGTGGCGTCGAAAGTGCCAAACTCCATACATGGCCCGAATGGGCTTTTGTCCAACTTGGGATCAAACCCACCCAATGGTACGCAGGGATCTATCCAGTCGTCTGGCGCTCCCGGACCCATGTATGGTCCTCAAATTCCACATGGGGAGGGAACTCCAAGGTCATACATGCAGCACCCTGGTGGACCACCGGGACAGCCTCTGCTGGCGTTCAATGGGACCGGTCCTCAAATTCCAGGGAATGTTGCTGCCCTTGCCCAGGGTCAGCAGCCGATCTTGAATGTAAGTATCTCTATGTCTATATCCATATTTAGCTTTGTCTTTATAGAGGGGCATGTTACTGACTTGCGTCTAGGATGCACTCAGCTATTTGGATCAGGTTAAGGTCCGTTTCGTTGATCAGCCAGATGTATATAACCGTTTTCTTGACATAATGAAAGACTTCAAGAGTCAAGCGTGAGTATTAGTCATCGGACCATATTCACTAAGTGCGTTCTGCTAATAGGTGACTGAAATAGCATCGATACACCCGGAGTCATTCAACGCGTCTCTACACTTTTTAATGGCCACCCCGCTCTCATCCAGGGCTTTAATACGTTCCTGCCTCCTGGCTATAGAATCGAGTGTGGGACAGATGACAACCCGGACGTCATCAGAGTGACAACACCGTCAGGCACGAACACTATCAGTATGCCCCCTCGCCCACGTCACTCAATGGACTCCTCTGGTGATCTGGGTCCGTCTGGCGGGATGGCCCCTCATGGACGTCCTGAGTTTTTTGACCAATCTCGACCTGGCTGGCAGCAACATCAACCCCAGCAGCAACAGGGTAGCCTCCCCGGCTCATATTCTCCTGGATCTCGCATAATGGGTCCAGGTATATTTGGCCAGCAAGGTGGACAGGGCCAGCCCCAAGACCATCATTATGATTATCCGACACAGCAGGAGCAGCAAGCCGCGGCGGGTGCGGCAGCCATGGCTCATGGACAAGACCAGCGTGGTGTGTCGCAACTTCAGGGTGCAGCTTCTGCAGCCTCTGCGGGTCTTGGCAGGCCTTCCCTATTGCAAGTGTCCCCCGCTTCTGGACAAGGTCCCAACCTAACGCAGCCGATGAGTAGCCTGGCCGGCGTCGGAACAGGCATGCTTCAGGGCTCGTCGCCCGCTGATCTAAAACGCGGACCTGTGGAGTTTAACCATGCGATCAGCTACGTCAACAAGATCAAGGTTAGTGTTTTTTTCGTGCTGATATATCCCGCTCATCCAGCTTCGCCTTGTTGACATTATTTTCGTATTAGAATCGCTTCGCGAGTGCCCCTGAGATCTATAAGCAATTTCTCGAGATCTTACAGACATACCAGCGCGAGTCAAAGCCTATTCAAGATGTCTACGCTCAAGTGACGCAGTTGTTCAATACAGCCCCAGATCTTTTGGAAGACTTCAAACAATTTCTTCCCGAATCTGCAGCTCACGCGAAGCAACAGGCGGCTGCGCGTCAAGCAGAGGAGGCAGCGCCTATGAGTAATGTACGTGGAGAGCCAGGCTACCCAAGCGCAAACGCTCTTCCATCCCAAACTCCTAACCGTGACGTTAAAATGCCACCTCTCGGCCAGTTCAACGTTAAGGACTCTGCTAAAGAAGGCAAGAAACGTCGAGGAGGACCCGGAGCTCCATCAACACTAGGCCCTTCAAACTCGGGTCCTTCTGCAGGTGCTGATACCGCACGAATGGCTGATGCCCAAGGAGGCCGACCACAGACAATCCAGCCTGTAAATGTCAACAAGGTGAGCCCTCTTTTCCTATGTACTGTTTTATATCGCATTTTACTGTACTTCATGCATTGGCTCGTGGAGCTCTTTCCACGAGCGGAAGTTCTATGTTGCCAATACCGGCTCTCTTGGCTGGTAGAGCACGACTGTCGTCTTTCCTTCGCGTTTGCTCCAATGCCACGACCGTTTGTAATTGTGTACTACGCATTTACTGACCAGCAATAGAGAGCCAAGGTCCACCATACAAAGCCAACCCAGGCAGAGGCCCCTGTAGTCTCTCCAACCCTCGTTCCCGCTCTTCCTGAGCCCATTCAGCCGACGTTCTCACTTACACCCACTCAGGAGGAATTTGCGTTTTTCGATCGTGTCAAGAAATACATTGGCAACAAGCAGACTTTCAGCGAATTCCTCAAACTCTGCAATCTTTACTCAACTGATCTCATTGACCGGCACGTGCTTGTAAAACGAGCTGCTGGCTATATTGGCTCTAACCCCGAGCTCATGGCATGGTTCAAGCGTTTCATGCATGTTGAAGAGCCCGAGGATAAAATTGTCGAATCCAAGCCGAAGCACGAACCCGGGGTTGTCAACCTTTCCCATTGCCGCTCCTTGGGACCTAGTTATCGCCTTCTTCCTAAGCGTGAGCGCCAGAAGCCTTGTAGCGGTCGTGACCAGTTGTGCTACAGCGTTTTGAATGACGAATGGGCTTCTCATCCCACCTGGGCATCTGAAGATTCCGGCTTTGTGGCCCATCGCAAGAATCAATACGAAGATGCACTGCACCGTATTGAAGAAGACAGACATGACTATGACCATCACATTGAGGCTTGCACTCGCACTATCCAGCTGATTGAACCGATCGTTCAGCAATTCCTGGTCATGTCCGAAGCGGAGAGGGCTGCTTTCAAGCTTCCTCCTGGGCTCGGTGGTCAGAGCGAAGCAATCTACCAGCGCGTGATCAAGAAGATCTATGACAGACAGCTTGGTGACAAGATCATTCGCGAGATGTTTGATAGGCCTTGCCATGTCCTCCCGATCGTTTTGTTCCGCCTGAAGCAAAAGTGTGAGGAGTGGAAAGCTAGCCAGCGTGAATGGGATAAGATTTGGCGCGAACAAATGCAGAAGGCGTATTGGCGTAGTCTTGACCACCAGGCTATCGCCAGTAAAGGAACTGATAAGAAGCTGTTTGTGGCGAAACACATTCAGAATGAAATTCAAAACAAGTTTGAGGAGAGCAGGAATCTACGCAAGAGCGGGTTCCAGGTTCCCAAACACCAGTTCGAGCTCACTTTCGATGACCCGGCGGTCTTGATCGATGCTACTCACTTGCTTCTGACCTTCATCGACCGCAACTCCGCTGGGTTTGGTGCTGACCCCCAGAAGGTTATGACATTCATCAAGGACTTCATCCCGGTCTTCTATGGTATGGACCGCGATACTTTCCATGTGTATATGAATGAACTCTCCACGGGCACCTCCCCGACCGACGAGGCGGATGATGAGAGTCTTGTGGCAGAGGAAACCTCGACTCGAAGTCGCAAGGGACTCAATGGCAAGAGAATGGATCTTCTCCGCGATGTTCTAGAGCGTCGCAGCGAGAAAGCCAACCGGACCGATAAAGAGAGTAGTACTCCTGCCAGCCGTGATGGTACTCCAGATGCAGCACTGGTCCCATCGACGCCTGTTCCTGACCCCACTGAGACATTCGACGTGGCGGAGCTGAAGTGGATGGAGCATCCAGGGCAGGGCAATTTCAACTTGGCACGGGAATACACCCTCAATGAGTCCTACGAGAAGAAGCAACATCACTTGTACGCCAACTTGAACATCTACTGCTTCTTCCGCACGTTTGAGATCCTCTACTCGCGCTTGCTTCGCATCAAATTGCACGAAAAGGATGCTCATGAGGATGTGCGCCGTGCCCTTATGGCCAAGCCCGCTCAGGAGCTTGGACTTATCGACAAAGTGCCCACCGATTTCTTCTATGACTGCGACCCAAAGGCGAACCTGTATACTCAGATTGTCCGTATGTGCGAGGAAGTAATCAAAGGAGACATGGAGTCCTCTCATTTGGAGGAGACCCTTCGTCGCTACTACTTGCGGAGTGGCTATCAGTTATATAACCTGGAAAAGATGTTTGCCGGCATCTCGAAGTTTGCCGGTTCCATCTTCAACGGTGACTCGAAAGATCGCAGTTCCGATATCATCAATATTTTCTTCAAGGAACGGGACAGAGAAGAGACCACGCACAATCAGGAGATTCAGTATCGTAAGCAAGTTGAACGTCTCGTTAAGGATGGTGACATCTACCGCATTACCTACGTAAGGTTTCTAGCCCAAAATGATTGAAGATTCTCTAACAGTGTCTTGCCTATAGCAACCGAACACCAAGAAAACTACTGTGCAACTTTTGACCCCCGAGGACGCTACCTTGGAGAATGAGGAGCTGAGTCAGGAAGCGCGTTGGTCATACTATGTCTCCGCTTACACCATGCGTGATCCCACAGAAGGCGTGCCATTCTCACAGTTGCGCATGCCATTCCTCAAGCGGAACCTACCCCCCAAGCTTGAACAGGAAGAAGAATATAATCGCTATTACCGCCCACTTGTGCATCAGGATGGCCTCATCATCCGTATCTGCGCCAACAGTTACCATATTCTGTACGAGCCTGGCAGCTACGATTGGTGGTGGCGTCCAGCCGCTCCCCAAGATGAGACGCCTGAGGAAATTGCCAAAGAAGCGGCGGCGATTAAGGAAAGACGTCGTGACCGGTTCACTGAGCGATTTGTCAACAATCCTACGTGGGCGCACGGACTCAGCAAGGACCAAGTGGATGAGATGAATCAGCGCTTCCGGTCTTGGGTCAAAGGCACCGAACCCGAGAGTAGTGCTCCTCCTCCTGAGGCATCTACTCCAGAGCAGAAGGAGGAGCAAGAAGATACAGAAATGGCTGACGCCGAGCAGAACGCTTCGGATTCTAATAAGGAGGAGTAGGTTCCTCAGTGAGAGAGGAGGTCCGAATTCAGACAAATGACCTATGTAGGATGGAGTCCCTCCTGACATGAATGAAGCTTTGCATATGACCGTTTTTAGATATCCCTAGCATTGGAATGGAAAGGGACGACATGGATAGGGTTTCTCTTTTCCTTCCAAGTGTACAAGGAAGGGCGGGGCGCGCTTGTCAATGTTCCGTGTTTATCGAAATCTGTTTGCTCGCTTGTTTATTTGTTCGAGAATAGTGGATCTGATATCTGCATGACCAGCGAATATGTTCAATGGCTTACACGAATGGGTTTGTCGCTTATTGGATCTCGGCTAGGGGAGTTTCCTTCACTTGCCGGGGAAACCTAGTCTGGGGTTGGGGCGGTTTCCCCGGCTTTCAAGGCCCCACGGACGAGATCTTCTGGTTTGGTGTAAGGAATTAGGGATGGATCACATATGGGTTGCTTTTCACTTGTACTTTCACTGTACTTTACTTAGGGAACTCTGGTCGATCAATGATTACGTCTTATTTGTTACGGTTCTCTTGCATCTTGCTAGTCTATCTATGTCTATGTTCTGTTAAGTTCTCATTTACTCCGCATGTTCCTGGGACAACAAAGAAAAAGTCAAAAGATAAAGCTCCGGGTGTAGAGAGTAGCGATTGGTTCATATTCTTCTACTAGTAGTATTATCTGTTAGTAGTAGAAGGATCTTCGTGGAGTGGACATTGTCTCGGCATTGAGGATGGCCAATGATGGCCACGGACGAAAGCTCCGTGTGGCCGAAGTTTGATAACCGATACAGGCCGAGACTGGGCCGATGGGCCAGACCGGACAAGACTCGGGATCAGCACGGGGATGTTCGAGAAGACGTAAGTATCTGACCACCAAACACTCAGGTTGCAGAGGCAATAAATGGGTGAAAATTAACGTGATAATTTAATGAACTCCTCTGTAAGGATTGAATCCTGAATATGGAGCATGAAATAACATGGGTCCCCCTGCTTGATATCAACGTGACGTCGGGCAAACGGAAAGCCGAGAATATGCCGAGGTGACGTCAACGGCGAAGCACTCCGCTGAAACGATTTTCGAATCGACTTTTGGAGAGAGAAAAGTTATATAAGATGAAAAAGGTAATTTTCATGTATTTACTCCGGAGCACGGCACATAGGGCTGTAATTATAATTAGTTTCATCAGAAAACCCCTGAGATCATCAGCACTGTATCGTTCGACCATGATAATGCTGGTCTCATAGCTGTCATTGTATAGGTAGAACTATTAGGGATAGATAGGGATCTACACACATACTTTGTACGGAGGTCCTAGGGGAATGCCCAATGAACCGCCTCAACACAAATCCTTCCTCGTAAAATCAAACTTACTAGCAGTAATTAATTGATTCGCCTATCCAGAATTAAAAATGTCATCCTTTTGTCCCCGAGGGGTTTCAGCGCTCTCCACTTTGGGGTTATTGTGGCGGGGGGGTATTGGGTACCTGTACCATATTTCTATCCTCAAAGCTCCCCCATCCGCGCGCTTACTTTTTCCTTTTCTTTTTCTTCTCCATTCCCTCAATTCCTCTCCTCTCCTCTCCTCTCCCCTTCTTCACCATTTCTTTCCCTTTTGTTGATTTTCTCTTCCTCCCACAATGTCTGTTTCTGCGCTTCTAAGAAGCCGTGTCAGGCGGCCTTCCTACCTCAAAAAGCTCGCTAAGGCAGAAGACCTCGTTGAATTTTTCCCCCATGGCTCCTACATCGGCTGGTCCGGATTCACGGGTGTTGGATACCCCAAGTGCGACAACCCTCTGATGTCCTGAATCATTGAATGGAACTGCGCTGACTGTCCGTCTCTCGCTATCTAGGAAAGTTCCAACGGCGCTGGCCGACCATGTGGAGAAGAACAAGCTCGAAGGAAAATTGCAATACACTTTGTTTGTCGGTGCTTCATCTGGTGCGGAAACAGAGAACCGCTGGGCGAGACTGAACATGATCGAGCGTCGGAGCCCTCACCAGGTTGGCAAGGAGATTGCCAAGGGTATCAACTCGGGACAGATCAAGTTCTTCGACAAGCATCTGAGCATGTTCCCTTCGGATCTTGTCTACGTAAGCTTTCTGAGAACCGGAATTCCAAGATGAGGCGTCTAATATTTTTTTTTCTAGGGCTGGTACACGCTGAACAAACCCAAGAACAGGCTGGATGTCGCTGTTATTGAGGCATCTGCTATCACCGAGGATGGCGGTATTATTCCTGGTGCTTCCGTCGGCGCATCGCCGGAATTGGTCCAGATGGCCGATAAAGTTATCATTGAAGTGAACACCGCCAGCCCTTCATTCGAGGGTCTCCATGATATCACCATGTCTGACCTCCCTCCCAATCGCAAGCCTTATCTCATCATGCAGCCCGAGGACCGGATCGGAACTCCTCACATCCCCGTTGACCCCGAGAAGGTTGTCGCCATCGTGGAGTCAGATTACCCGGATCAGACCCAGCCCAACGCCCCAGAGGACGCAACCTCGCAGGCCATTGCGACCAACCTGATTGAGTTCCTGAAGCACGAGGTCAACCACGGCCGCCTGCCCCAGAACTTGTTGCCGATCCAGTCCGGCATTGGAAACATTGCCAACGCTGTCATCGGTGGATTGAGCAAGGGTGGCGCTGATTTCACCAACCTGAAGGTGTGGACTGAAGTGCTTCAGGACTCGTTCTTGGACCTGTTCGACAGCGGCAACCTGGATTTCGCCACTGCGACATCGATCCGTTTCTCCCCAGACGGATTCAAGCGTTTCTACGACAACTGGGAGCGCTACGCCGGCAAGCTCCTCCTCCGGTCTCAGCAGGTGTCTAACTCCCCCGAGATTATCCGTCGGTTGGGCTGCATCGGCATGAACACCCCCGTTGAGGTGGATATCTACGCTCACGCCAACAGCACCTGTGTCATGGGTTCCCGCATGCTGAACGGCCTCGGTGGTTCCGCCGATTTCCTCCGTAGCTCGAAGTACAGCATCATGCACACTCCCAGCACCCGGCCCAGCAAGGTTGATCCTACCGGTGTCAGCTGCATTGTGCCCTTCTGCACACACATTGACCAGACTGAGCACGACCTTGACGTCGTTGTCACCGAACAGGTAAGCTTTCTTCCGCTCATGTTACTAAACATTGCAATGCTAACCTTTGCAGGGACTTGCCGATGTCCGTGGTCTGTCTCCTCGTGAGCGTGCTCGTGTCATCATCGACAAGTGCTCTCACCCCGACTACAAGCCCATCCTGACTGACTACCTCGACCGGGCCGAGTTCGAGTGTCTGAAGAAGGGTATGGGCCACGAGCCTCACTTGCTCTTCCAGGCCTTCAAGATGCACCAGAACCTGGCTGAGAAGGGAACCATGAAGATCAACGGCTGGGATTAAACTGTTTACATCTCACTCAAATTCAGCGATCAAAAATACGTGGTGGATAAAAGCATAGATGGATACACTGTGTATTAAGATCTATTTGATATGCTTGGGTTGGCGAAGGGTTCATTGGGTCGGGAGTCTTGTGTATATGTTCAATCTCGTTATTTGTTAGGCAGAGTACATAATGAAATCGATATGCCATAAGTAGTATTCTTGTGTCCATATAGTAATGCGGCCTGGCCTTTGTTCTCTCTGGCTTTAAAAAGCCGGAGTTAACGCTAACTACAGACAAGAGCGGATTAGAAAGCAATGTCAGACCCAAACCGGAGATAGGACGTCAACACGGAGATAACGCTAGATCTTAAGCGCAGAGTAGCGAGAATGTATGGAACGACGACATCATAGAGAATTGGACCCTATATTCCCTAGAAGACTATAAAGATGAGCTTTCCAATGCTTTAAACCTACTAAGCATTGACCAGATTGACTGCCCAATATCTACATCTTCCGCTACATCTTCCGCTACATCTTCCATCTATATCCCACATCGACATCCCCAAGGACCTCTACATCTCTACACAAACAAAACCACCATGACCACCCACATCTCCACCAACAAGCTCGCCAACACCCGCGTCCTCATCATAGGAGGCACATCCGGCATCGGCTTCGCCGTCGCCCGAATCGCCCTCGAACACGGTGCCTCCATCATCGTCGCCTCCTCCAACCCCGACAAAGTAACCTCAGCTATCACCCGCCTCAAAACCCTCTACCCAGATGACCAATACACAGCCCGCATCGCCGGCACAGTCTGCAACCTCGGCGACCCAGCCTCCCTCGAAGCAAATGTCCTCAACCTCTACACGTTCTCCACAGCCCCAGACACCTTCCCAACCCAAATCCAAACCAACCAAACCACCGACAAAGTCCCCCTCGACCACGTCGTACTGACCGCCGGCGACGCCCTCAACCTCCGCAATCCCACCGACTCGTCCTTCGACGTCCCCTACATCCAGTCTTCAGGCACCGTCCGCTACATCGGCGGCCTCATCCTCGCCAAGCACGCCCCGACCTACCTGCGCCAGGCCCCGTCTTCCTCGATTACCTTCACCAGCGGCGTAAATACCACCCGGCCGATGCCTGGGTGGACGATTGTGACTGCGATGGGCGCGGCAATTGAGGGTATGGCGAGGGGCTTGGCGGTGGATTTGGCGCCTATTCGGGTGAATACGGTTTCGCCGGGAGCGGTGCTGACGGAGATTTTTGGGTCGTTGGGGGCGGAGGATATGGAGAAGCTGGTTGAGAGGTTTCGGGCTGGGACGTTGGTGGGTGAGATTGGGAGGCCGGAGGATGTGGCGGAGGCGTATCTTTATATTATGAAGGATCGCTTTGTTACGGGAGAGGTGGTGGGGAGTAATGGGGGGAGGTTGTTGAAGTAGATTTGATCGTATATTTTATTTTATTTTATTTTATTTTATTTTTATTTTTATTTTTATTTTTTTTAATTCTTTTCTTAGAGTTTTTATAGAGTTAATAGAATGAATACGGAATGGTTGGCTTGGAATTGTTTTGCTATATTTGGGTGTTTTGGCTAATTTGAGGCATCCCTTATGCCTGCAAACATCTGACTTATGCATCCTATCCGCGAAAAAGGGAAAAGTAAGGTACTGTATAATCTTCCAAGCAGATTAAAAGGGCGAGTATCCCAACGCAACGCTCCCCAGGCGGGAGTCCTGTCAGCCCGGTGCAGGGAAGCTGGGCAGGCAGCAAATATACCAGGAATAAAATCAAGCAAAAGGGTAGTCAACCATTGCTGTGACGACAACTGTTGGGAAGTGACGCTTCCTCTATATCCGTCCAGTCATTCTTTAGGCCACATTCCTCGATTTCGGAGCGATAGGGGATGGGCCCTTGTCAGGAGTCCAGATTGTATGGCCTAGATCCCCCCTCCTTGAATGTATCCACTTGGATGATTTTGGTTACTCGTGGGTTCCTTGTGAGGGCAGGATACTCCCAGCCTCCCCATACTGAAGTAGCTGGAAATGCAGTACCATCAAAACCCCGATCGGGTAAAAAAGTATACATCTCCCTGAGCAGTCTCAGCAAACGCTTGAGAAAGTCGACGTCCAAACCGGTCGACCATTGCTGGTGTCTTCCTTTTACTCATTTGACCCAAGACCACTTTCTATCTGTTATACGATCAACACCAAAGCCTTGGCGTCCTGTAGTCTTCTGAGTATAAGTCTTGTAGTGTTCAGTCGAGAGTTTAACTCCATTTTGACCACCGAGACTGCTGTAAAAGAGACCGCCATCTTTTCCTACTTGACCGTATTCTCGTATTTTTCAAATATTTCAGTCCCGGTGCGCGTTTGCAGTTTGCCTGCGAAGCCTTGTCGTTTTCGCTCCATGTACTTTCGTTAGCTTCATCAAACTCAGCTTGATTTGCGGCTTTGAGCTCGGCATCTTCCACAATTTTTATACCTTCAATTAGGAATGTAGGGAACTTTGACGGTCGTGGCGTCATTGTGGACATTGAATTCCCCTTCCACAGGTTGGGGGTTACCTTTAGGCGGCGACCCTTTGGCATGTTGTTCAACTTGGTAGTGTACATCGCTGGCTGCCATGATCAAATCAATGACGCCTTCTCCAAGGGTTTCAATCGCACTGAGAATAATGCGCATCGGTGCCGTAAAGGGATCCAAATGACTCGCTGGCGGCTCATGCTATGTCCGTCAGCTACAGGTTCTTAGCTATCATCAAAAAAAAAGCACTTACTCTAAGAATCTGCTGACACAGCTTGAACTAGCTTGCATATCTATATCCCTGGGCACATTGCCTCCGACGCGGCATACCTTCAAGTGAAGGGCGAGCTTCCGGATTTCTCGCCTGCGACACTTCAAGCCCCAGCTGTAACAACATACATCAAGGACTTTACGACAACCCCCCGCAACCTCATTGATATGGGGTATCGGTACCCTGGTGCACATTCATATCTCAGAGGAGAAGGAGGGTCGAAAAACATCAGACCTTTCTCCTCTACCACCGGTGGGGAGGCCACAGCTGTGCCGAAGACAGCTAGGCCGCCGATTATCTATCTGAGAAGCAATATAATGCGTAGGACCGTAGATGGCAATTCCGGTCAAGGCAAAGACCCAACTAACTGCCTTCGAAGCAAGAAAGATCATGGAATAAATGAACTCCGAATAGGGAGAGGAAAGGGAATTTATAGTCAAGGATAAAACCAACGGAGATACCGCAGAGCCTTAATCCGGCTATTTTCACCAAAACGGAATGAAAGTATTCAGAGGCCCTTAATCAGCCTATGTAATATAAATTTCTATCTCGAGTCCCGCTGTACCTAGTCTTTAGCATGTAGCATCTTCTATATGCCAAGTAAATTGAGTCTCTATACTTTAGCGCAAGACCCTCAGCCTCAAAAGCTTTCCAAGCCAGGTTTTCTCCATGTGAAACAAACCACAAGATTCCTTTCTTGGATTGGCTTGGCTAAGGATAATACTGATACTTGATAGTATACACTGTTAGAGCATTGTGCAACATAAGCTTCTATACCTAGGCATATGCGGTGCTCCTTCTGTAGTATCTAATATAGTGTAAATGATATACTAAATGACTTAGGCATAGCTATTCTATTCATTTCATTTCTGTTGTTCTAGACCATCAGCCTCCAGACCTCTGTGAGTACAACCCGGGCAGCCAAACACCAGAAACCGGAAACCCTAATCTACTCAGTTTCATCTGTTCCTTCGATACCACGCACTTGACCACAAAATGCCCAATGTAATCCAGATAAGGGTATCGAAGTTTGCCACTCGCATAGTTACCCTGAAGAGCCGGGTTGCCCAGAGAAAAAGAGGCTGGGATGTAGTACTCGGTCAGGAAATTGTATGAACAGGGCTGGTCTAGGCTCTGACCAGAACCAATATCCCTACACCTGGTGTATTTTGCGCAAATATACTCATTATGTAAGGAACACACTCTTCCAGAACTTAGAGCATTCCAGAATTCGTACCTATGGCTCACCGTGAAACCATTAATGCATTTTTCTCCCAAAAAGGAGCAAATCTGGCCGTTTCACATCTTCCATCGCAGATCAATAGACAAAAGCAAGATATAAATGTCTGAATGACCCCAGATGCGCCCTTAAATATTCTCTACATCCCCTCTATATTTGTCGTACACAGGCAATTTTCGCATCAATCACCAGGCATTTGCCCAAGTTCAACCATGCGTTTCTTCAGCCTCCTCCTTGGAATCCTCAGCCTGGCAATCACTGTGAGCGCAACGAATTATGACATGCCGCCGAAAGATGTGGAATGCCCGAAAGAGTGCACCCCTCTTCCAAGCGGTGGCTGTTTCGACATCAACACAGGAGGCTTTATTGAAGAGGGAAAGGGCGGCGAACTGACCTGCGGATGTGTGAGTGATGAAGCGTTTGATTAGGGTGACCTTCTCCATCCGATATAGTACAGACGTCACGTCATTATTCGATTGATAGATCTGGGATTAATATTGCTTTGATCGATTGTTAATTGTGCGCTCCTTAAGAAAAAGTGACTAGTGAATATGACACTAATATGAAGATGAGGGCCGTAGTCGTAATCATCTTCCGCCGGCTTACTCCCAAAAGCTGCATCTTTAATCAAGAACATTTGGTGTCAGATTTATCTTATTTGTAGTTTCAATCATTAGTACAACAGTTAGATAAATTTTTTGTATCAGCTTCTTGGTTCCTTAGATCGAAATCCTCAGGGGCACGTAGAGTAAAAGCTAGAGGATTTTTACGCTGGCGCTTCTTCTGCTTATTTTGGAGAGCATTTTCAAGGCCCTGGCAGCGTAGCTTAAGCAGGATATTCTCTGTAAAGAGATGGTGCATCGTTCAGTTCAACTTCTTGGCGTTTTGGTCATAAATATCAAAAATATCCTGCTTAAGAAGCCTTTCAATCCTTATCCAGTCTTCCGCTTGTAGAATAGAGCGGAGGCCTTTGGTCCTCTTCTCTGCTAAAGCGCGCCAAAACGGTCTCTCGATCCCAAGGCTATAAACCAACCGATTTCCAGGCACTGTCAATATACTTTTCAGATAACGCATTATTCCCACTTGGCCAAAATAGCCTAAAAACCCCCGCTTGCTGATATTGCTTAGGCCCTGATCTTCGTGCAAAAATGCCTCTAGTTCTTTCCTGTAGGCCGTAGATATAGGCCTAAAGATACTAATATCAAGAGGCTGCAGGGAATGTATAGAATGAGGCACATATATGGCAAAAAGGATCCTATTAGCATAATAGAAGTTAATAATCTTTATGGTAATGTAGGATCCATGGCTAACAAGAATTAGAAGTCTCTAACGCCTCCTAGCTTTAGCTTTTGCTTCCCGATCAAAAATATTCTTAAGCCACGCAAATTCTAGCTTACCATTGGCCCAACTTGATAGAGAAGATGTGAAGAAATATCAAATAGGTGACTTGTAGATTTAAAAGCTTGAAGCCAGGAATCTTGTAGTTTGCAAAAAACTGCTTAGTATATCAAGCTAGGTGAAAGAGAGGTCTTATCTGTATAGATATAGGAAATTGTAGTAGTCCACTACCGATTAGTACCCCGTAGATATTGATTAAGAGTATCTTTCTCATACCGTTGTCTAGAGAAGATCCTTTTGTCTTTAGGAAGCATTCGGATAAAAAATCCTTTCTGGCCATAGCCTCAAAGTACAAAGTATACTCTGGTACAGTATCGGCCCGCTTGCATGCAGTATCAATACCAGTTATATAGCGAGAGATAAGTTCTTTATCATGCTTCTTTAAGGAGCGGCCGGGCCAGTATTTTCCTGGCTTAATTCCAGTAATTTCTTTAGCAAAATTCCGCAGCATTTCATGCGTAGGATAGAGGCCTCGATCGGTAAGCTTATTCATATAGTTAATAAGCTCCCTAGCCTGCTGGTTGTTGAGAACTCGTTGGCTTTCATACTGGTCTTCCTTCGAACGGTGCACTCCGCGGTGATGCCTTGAGAGGGTTGGTCGGTTCACACTAAATCGTTTCGCAATTTCAGCATAGTTAATTAATTCTCATTGCTCCGAGGAATCTACTTTTTCTAAAGCCGCTTCAATAGAGCCTATATTGAATGAGTTGTGATGGTTCGAAAACCTACGTTCTAAATTTGGTCTATATAGAAATCGGACGGCAGGTGGGACCGGGCGTCAGGTGATCAACTACGATATCATGCACTGAGGGCAAGCGTAGAACAACTTCAATTTGAGAAGTCATAAAGTGACTGAACAGGTCAAATCTGGAATTACTAGCTAGAGAGTATTTTGTTTAGCTAGTTCTATAAGTCACGCTTATCGTTGGAGTTCGAGCACTGCACTAGAGAGGCAATGTTACATTAATTAATTTATAAGTCGGACACATGACATTGAGATGCCCTCTCCCATTAAATAGCAACAACTGGACAACTTGAATATACCAAACCAATCATACAAAGATTAATTACTCAATATCATGACCATCACTAAAGAAGATAAACAATTGAGAGAAAGTCAAAAGCCATAAAAAGGGTCCAAAACCCACCGAATGTCAACGGAAAGGACCATGATCATGCCATACCCCTAACACCACACAGACCCCAACGCACCACACCACCAATATCACACCACACACAGCAACGATTTTCCCTCTTCCGCCACCAATACTCACAATCCCCATTGGCCATTTGGCGAATCTTCCCGATATCATATGCCCAATCTACGCTGTACTCGTCTCCCAGGTCTCATGGATAGTATACCGCCAGAACCCAAAGGCTTGGTTCTCAGCCGCGTTCTGGTAGGGTGATGCCATTCGGAATCCGGAAGAGCGCCTGGTCCATGATACCAGATTGTGGCATCATGGATGGTGAGAGGCTTGGGTGATCGACCGAGCTCTATATTGATGTTAGATATATAAGGGGATAGAGCATGGATGGACCTGTTTGTATCTATTCTTCATCAGCATCGACAAGCAAAACAAAATCCAAAGCTTTGGTATCTTCACAGCTACAATCACTCTTACACCCATCGCATTCAATTTCCACTGGGTTGATTCGATCCTGCCCTACTTAATCCTCTACCACCAACAAGCGAGTCCATTGGACAAAAGAAACACAAGACAACATGTCATCAAAAGCAACATCCGCTCGTCTCCAGAACGACTACGGCGCAGATCTTTGGGTGAAGAACCAGACCCAGGCCCGTGTATGTCTCACGCTTTAGTCCTATTTACCTCCTTCACAGCCCTATAAGACATCTTATGCTAATCAAAAGTCAACATACAGAAGGCAACTGCCGGAAGAGGTCTCTTTGCCGGTCTCCAAGACGTCAAGCACTACAATGTTGAGGAGGGATGGGCGAAACGCACAGCCGCCAATGAACAGCCGGGCCTCATAGGCCTCCTGTGGAATAGGTTAGTATATCCTATTCCTGAATGGTAGTCGGTATAGTATACTACGCCGGACACTCTCATCTCTATCTCTCTGAAACCTTCAAAACCGAAAAAAAATTCCCCTTCAATCTCCACTTATGCTTAACATGACCTGGTGTGTCTAATGGTTGGTATGTTATAGGATCACCGGACTTGGCTACAATCCTCCAAACCATTAAGAAAACGGAGTTATCAGATCGGACTGGAGTTAATATGTTGGATTGAATTGTTGGGCTTTTTCTTCTTCTTTCTCTTTTCTTGATATCATATCTTTGACTAGCGTGATGCATTGACGATAATAATTTTGATCGAATATTGTTCCAAATTCTAGCTTTTAACTATGAGAGGGTTACTCCGCATTTGTACAGTCCACATTTGTACAGAGTAGTCGGTATGTGGTTCGATAGGATCAGGCCCCGTGCAGGAAGTGGTAATTGTACTTCCCAGAGAGCTGATATATGTATAAATATATACCTAGTTCACAGTGATTTTCCTGCTCTCACTCACTCACATATATATCACGTGTCACCATTCTAACCCCGAATCTAGGCGTTCTAGGGCAAACTTGACCGATATAGTTCTGTTACGTATGATGTGCGAGGGCGATATCATAACCGACTGATTCACTGTTGAATATCCCTTTGAAAATCAACTGCTCCGTCTGCCCCTCCTACGACATCCTTGACCCTCTTGTATCGGCCCTCTTACCCTTCGTACCCTCCCCCCTCCCCCCAGGCTGGGGACCCGCAAGCCCGCTATGTCGACGTGGGGATCTGAGGCGAGTCTGCTCCGAACATGCGCAATTGGATTCGGAAAGGTCGGCGAAGGGCCTAGACACGAGAAGGGAGGGGGGAATAGGTGGTGGGGCGGAGATTGTGTAGTAGGATGTGAGAGGCCAGCTTTGAGCGTGGAGAGCTACGTAGGTTATGATTGTTAGGCAGGGGGGATAGGGCGGAGAGAGATTGGGAGAGAGGGATGATGGGTTCGAGAGAAGATTGTCGTTGATTTTAGATTGGGAGTTTGTAAGGCTGATTTTGAGTATGGGGGATAACGATGCAAGGTTGCGATTGGATTGGAATGTTGGGATCCGATACATCTACGTCATGGAATGTGTCAATCCGCTACATCCTATCTGCGGAGGATAGTTTCCATGCGGGCTATCGTGTTCTTCCTATACATACTGATCTGGCGTCGAGGTGTTCAGGGGTGGACGGGGTTCTTCTTCTGACCCAAGAGATCATCACCTAATAGCGCCTGCATGTTGAAATGATGGATCCAAAGCTCCGCGCTGATTTAAACTTTGTCATTCCGTGAAAGAAGATAATAAATTATTGGCTTTCGGAATGATAAACTATCGGTGCTATTGAAGTATGTTGTTATGGTGTACATATAAGGGAAGGGGAGAGAGAGAGGGAAAAAAAAAGGAGGGGGGGGGGAAGAGGATGTTCCTTCGCGGCCCAGCGAGGTTGAGGGTATGCACTGCCTTGAGATCAACCGTGGGTCTCTTCTTCTCTAACTGTCTTCTTTTTCACTTGAATCCCACACGGAACGGTAAACATCCACGACTGTATTCATTTATTTACTTCTCTCTTTTCTTCTCCTTTACGGAGTACTTCGACCACCATGATTGATAAAACCATGAGATTGAGACAGGGGCTGAAAAATGCACGAGGAAGATCCATGACAGGACCGTTCATGAAACTAGGCCGGACAATCTCCATAAGCCAAGTCCCTTAGATTGGTCATAAATCCTAGACTTGACTTGGGGCAGGTCTCGGGATTGTCGGCATTTTCCGTAGGGAGCCAAACGAAGGTTGAAAAAGAGAAAAATGAGATTGTTACTCAAGAGAAAATCAGTAGGGTCTGTTAGATGGAAAGGATCGGCATAGAGACAAGAACGGATCCATTGGGGAAAGTGATCTGGATTTTGAGATCGACTGATGGCCACCTCTTCTCTCCTTCTCTCTGCCTCTCTCTTTTTTTAAGTTTTTTCTAATCTTTTTAAATCTTTTCTCTCTCCCCCACTCTCACTCTGCCTCAGAATTGATTAACGGGAGGAGCCTAGAGTGTTTCATCCATGCATATGGTTACTCCATGATGTCAGATTCCCTTCGGCAAAGAGGAAAACAACATCCCTACGCCACGTATAAAAATTAAACTAAAATAAAAATAAAAATGAAAAAATATAAAAAAAAAACTGAGGCTGAGGATCAAAACAACCCCTGATGATTGATCGAACAAGTGTGGTAATGGCCAAACATCCCGTGGGGCCCGGAAATTAAAGCTCACCACGTTGATCCAATCACCGATAAATGAAGGTCCTGATCATTTCCCTTTCCGATGGTCTCCCAGAGTTTCCCCACCCTCGGCCGTCGGTTCAATTCGTTCCTTGCAGTTCAAGAGAAAGTCTGTCCGGGGTGTTTGCCTATTTTTCTCTCTTTTCTTCCCCCTTGGTCTCTTGGTCACTTGGTCACTTCCTGGAGTCTGCACAAATCAAGATGGAGAAGTCCTCGTACCCGAGTTGAGTTCGGATCCCTTCAGGTGCATGGGATTGGATCAATCGTATAGTCTGTGTGCACGGTCGGGACTCCCGACTTCAGGATGGAATGTCTTTCTCTAATTTCCCTAATCCCATGGCCCGTATCTTGTCCCTATACTCTATATAGTATAGTATTTTGGAGAAGAAGGACTAGATCCATTTGGGGTAATTCAGCTGAGGGCTGGCTGACTCCCCCATAAGGATAGGATACTGGCCTGTTTGTCTCAACGGTCGGCCTCACAATTAGTATCTGGAGTGAGACAAAGTAAAAATACTCTGGGCCTCCACATCTACCCGAGCCGTGCGGAACAACCACTGGACGAAAGAGACTGGATCCAGCGACCCGGCCACCAATAGCGGACGCTTGGTGCCTGACTAGCCTTTCTGTACACCGCCAACAAAACATACAGAACAAGCCCTTTTGAGCCAAAGTGGACAAGCCCCCCTTTTGCCTTGGGCTAGACCCGTGGCGTCCTTCCAATCATCATCGCCCGTGCTGAACTCTCCCTCCCTTTTCCTTCTCTTTATTTCCCTTCTCTCTCCCTCCATCTCTCTCTCTCTCTCTCTTCCCCCTCTCTCCTTCTTCCGCTTCGGGTTCGTTCGAAGAATTTCTCTCCATCTATATCCAAGTAGAAGAGGCCGTGTGCCCCCTCCCCTCCTTTTAGTGTTTTGTTTTTTTTTTTTTCCCTTCTCTCTCGAACAAACTTGTTTGACCACCGCTTCACTCTTTCAGCGGGCACTCATTCGTTTGCGAACCAAAATACGCAAAAATCCGTCCTTGAATTTCCATTCTATCCAACATGAGGGGTGCTTTCTTGGCCGCCGCGGCCGCCGTCGCCGGCACCGCAATGGCTGATGTCGCCCACATGCGTCGTCATGGCCATCAGTCTTTCCACCAGAACCGTGCTTACCAGCCGGAGCCTCAGCTTAGGGGTGACGACAAGTGCGAATGCATCACCAAGGTCATCACCGTCACCGGACCTCCGACTCGTGGGTTCCTCCTCACCAAGTCTCTTTTGAAAATTTGGGGAAATGAAGACTAATGTCGCCGGTAGTGGTTCCCATCAACACCCCGGCTCCCGTTCCTAGCAGCAGCAGCAACACCGAGGTCCCCAGCGTTCCCAGCGTTCCCAGCGTTCCCAGTGTTCCCAGTGTTCCCAGTGCCCCCAGCAGCGAGAGCAGCCCCGTGACCTCCGAGGCCGTGACCACGCTCCACTCCACCAGCACCGCCACCGTCACCGTGGTCGAAACCCCTACTGGTGTTGATGCCACCGGCTCGAAGACCCCCACCGGCGCTGTCCCTGGCGTTCCGGAGGCCTCCTCTCCCTCTGCTCCCGCTGGAACCCCCGCCGTCCCTGCGACCTCCGCCACCCCGGAGGTTCCGCTCCCTACTCCTGGAGTGACTAGCTTCTCCTCCACTGGTATCTACACCATCCCTGCCACTACCGTCACCGTTCGGGACACCACCACCGTGTGCGGTGCGACCACCACTGAACTGCCCAGCGGTTCTCACACCTTCGGTGGTGTGACCACTGTTGTCTCGACCAGGACCACCGTCACCTGCCCTTACGCCACCGTTGAGCCCAGCGGTTCCACCGTCACCAGCAAGATCTACACCACCACCTATGTCTGCCCCAGCGCTGGTACTTACACCATTGCCCCCACCACCACTTACGTGCCCACCAGCACCGTCGTGGTCTACCCCACTCCTGCCACCATCACCCCCGGCACCTACACCCAGACGGAGCAGGTCGTGACTGTCACCCGCACCGATTACACCTACGTCTGCCCCTTCACTGGCAATGACGAGCCCACCTCCGCCCCCGTTGCTCCCTCCACCTCGGCTGTTCCTGTGACCACCACTGCTGCTCCCTCCACGACCTCCGCCGTTGCCTCCAGCAGCGCCAGCAGCTCTGCCACCGCCGTCCCCACCGGTGTCAGCGGCAAGCAGATGGGCATGACCTACTCTCCTTACACCAACCAGGGTGGCTGCCAGCCCAAGGACCAGGTCCTCAAGGATGTTGCCATGATCAAACAGAAGGGCTTCACTCACGTTCGTGTCTACTCCACCGACTGCAACAGTCTCGAGTACATCGGTGAGGCTGCCAAGCAGCACGGCCTCAAGATGATCATCGGTGTCTTCATCTCCAGCACCGGCATCAGCGGTGCCCAGGAGCAGGTGACCGCCATCACCAAGTGGGCCCAGTGGGATCTGGTCACCCTCATCGTCGTTGGTAATGAGGCCATCCAGAACGGCTACACTGATGCTTCCAGCCTTGCTGGCTTCATCTCCTCCTGCAAGTCTTCCTTCTCCGCTGCCGGCTACTCGGGCCAGATCACCACCACCGAGCCCATCAACGTCTGGCAGCAGTCTGGCAGCGCCCTGTGCGGTGCTGTCGACATCCTGGGTGCTAACCTCCACCCCTTCTTCAACGCTGATGTCAGCCCCGAGAAGGCCGGTTCCTTCGTCCGCGCCCAGATCAAGGATCTCGAAGCCGTCTGCAACAAGGACGTGATCAACCTCGAGACCGGCTGGCCCAGCCAGGGTAACCCCAACGGCAAGGCCATCCCCGGTACTGCCCAGCAGGCTGCCGCCATCAGGGCCCTCGTTGAGGAAGTCGGCTCCCAGTCCGTCTTCTTCTCTTACTCCAACGACCTCTGGAAGGACGCCGGCGACTTTGACGTCGAGCGCTACTGGGGTTGCATTGACCAGTTCAAATAAATGATTCTGGCAATGTCAATAGTTTAGGGATATTTGAGGCTTGGAGTTTTCATTCTGTGCGGGAGATCCCGACAGAGTTTCTCTGTTTACTACCCCTTTTTTTTTTCTTTCTTCATATACTTGAATTAAGTAGATATAACCTTTCTATTTCATGTGTCGATTGACTGGAGCATTCTGTTTTCTTTGTTTGTACATGTCTTAATCTACGTCACGATCATGTAGTTTCCTTCATTGTAAACAACCATCCGTCTACAGTAACATTGTTCACTGGTAACATCCACTTACCGGGTCATGCAGCTCCCAGGATACGGCCAGCCTGAAAATTATGACCCCCAACGCGGAGTGCAGCGTGTTTGTACAGAAATTCCTCGTGGCAGCATTATCAAAAGATATTCAATATGAATATCTCTTGTATGATCTCTGAAATAGTTCTTAAACCCATGGTTTTGCGAAAACATCGAACGGTCAAACTAGTCACGTTTACCATACCTTTCTCGAGCTTTATACATAATCATCCCATAGGATTAAATCACAGTATATTATCGAAACAACCCCCACCACTCAAACTACCCCAAGTTGTTAATCCTTAGCTCACCCCGAACAGTTAGTTAACAAGGAGCGAGATAGGCCCTCTCAGGCTACTGAACAGTACAAATAATACCCGCGGCGGCTCTTGACCTTCCCGTCGACTTCCAGCACCAACCACAGATCCGAACACAACCCAAGATCCAAGCTAGCCAGTTTCGTCTTGAGGATGACCCTCAGACTCTGGGCACACAGGGTAGCTGGTGGGAAAGACAACACGGAGGAGAGAAATCTGGCTTTTTGGAGATGGTTTGTCGCCTCGCATAGTTCACTGAGGTGCTTGTAGCACGAAAAGCAGTTGTCGTACTAGAAGAGGTATATATAGCCTGAAGTATTTAATGATCTTGCGCTGCTCCGAGTATGAGCATTCCTCATTGTAGTCAACGTTGCTCAAGGGCGCTGATTGATACCTTCGATCTTGGCGTCTTCAGGGTATGCTATTCCTTTCGCTGTTTGTATGGCTTTACTAGGATGGGGTTGCTTTCTAGGCGTGAATTTTAGGGCGGGGGGAGGTTTGTTGGTAACTGATCTCGGTAGGAGGCCCAGGTTACTGGTTTTAGCCCGTTTGTCCTAGTATCCTTCTCGCTAGAAGTGTAGTAAAATCAGGTGAAGACGGAGGAGTATCTAGGAGCCGTAGTCGATTGATCGGTTTCTGGTTTGGTTCGACGGTTTCCAGTGGTCCGGTCCGGAACAGTTGGAATATCGATAGATTGGTCCCGTGGCAATGCCATCTGTAGGTTCATTCGAAGTCTGCGTTCAATATTGTTATCGGCCTAATTATAGTCGGCTGGATGGGTACTGTATGCGATGTCTTCAAAACCAAAGTCTATCTACTTCCAAAAATGAGCGGTGCTGTGGCATTCTCCCGGGGGGCTTTTGAAATTAAAGAGTGCATCGCTGGATGGGACGACACCCCCCCTTCTGAGAGCACGCTTCAGAAATCAGCCATTGATATACGCGCTGCGAGAACGCTAGGGATTGGCTGACTTCCAGCAAAGGGAACATAAAAAAATTCTGTGCTTATAAATTAGATTTCGCTCCATTGCTGTTGAGGCAGAGCTGGCGCCGATGGGCCTTTTCAGCGCTGTCAAAAGCATCGCAGAGCTAAGTGGTAGTCCCAGAGATATTCTCACGACCCGTCGACGGGCAGCTTAACGAATTACGGGTGATCCACCTCATCGTCGTGGGAAATTCCACCAGAAGTACTAGACAGGTTCACCCAGGTTCACCCATCAACAAAGATAGAAGGCCACAATTTCCTCCCACATTTGATCCTCCTCGCCCTTAGGGAAACCAAGCTCGGATGTATGCGTGGTTTGGTTCTCGTGTACTGTGATCAGGTATGCGCTGAAGGTTGTCCATTCCGACTATGCGAATGTACTTCATCCCCTCAACACCTTCCGTTGTAGACTTGAATTCCGAACGTGTCATTCCCGGCTAACGCTGCTAGACGTATGTGAACATCTTTCTGACCCCCTCCAGGACCCTTCGCGAGAAGTCAGCCATGTACTTCCTGAAGGTCCGACCCCATTATTTACATAATACCCCCGGTACATCCGATATAAGCCTTGTTGTCCGGTCCGCATAGAAGGAATGGCCCGAAAAGGACCGTCGTGGTTCAGAAGTTTCCTGAGGCGACGAAATCATATGACCTGTTTTGCGTCCTTTCCAAGTGCGTCTTATGCCATCTTTGTATGGTTTTTGTAGTTATGGAGAAGGTCGGTGCAAAACCGGGTTTTACCTTCTCCCGCCGGCATGGGAGACTGGAAACTTGGCCAGGTACAACGGGAGCTCATATCTGAGTCTTAGGAGAGGTTACTGTGTTGCTAGAGCGTGCTCTGGATTCAATGTGCCCGCATCGTGACCACAATCTCTTCATATACTATTCTGGTCTGGCCGCGCTAATTCGGGTGAGACTCCGGGCATAACCCTTTAAGATGGTGAGCGACCATGCTGACATTGTGGATGAACAGCAGTGCAATCCAGTCCAATCAAAGAGGACAGACACGCATGAGACCAGGAGAGCGGATGCGCTCTCTTGCCTAAGGCGATATTGAAAGACTATCTATCCTACGCCCGTAGAGTATTGGCCAGATACGGTATCATCGCCTGGCTCTTAGCCAGGTTGGGGACCATCTTTATGATTATATGACCTTGTGTAGTCTACATCGCACTGGGTTCGAAGTTATCCCAGCTGCCGAATTCATGCTATCGACCCATGCAATATTGATTGGCTGTCCCTAAAAGAAGATCGACGCATGCTTGAGGCTGGGAAAGTTGCGACGGCCCTTGTTCGTGAGCTGCTTGTTTGGAAGGTTGCTCAAGGCCACTGATAGCAGCCTTCATAAGGCAATTTGGCTAGTTGCTTATCGAACGTTGCGACGACATCATTGCTAGTATTGGATAACTCCCGGCGATATTGCTCGTAGGGGGTATCTGGAAAATGTCACAATCACATCGTATCCAATAGATGATGGGACATGAAACAGAGCTTAGGGAGTCATAAATATTTATCTAGCTATTCTTTGGACTTCGCCAAAGTAGCCAACATATTGATAAATTCAACATGAGGCATACTCAAAACCGTTAGGTACGACTCGGTACTTCGTCGGTTTCAGGAGCTGCGGTAGTCTGATTTATGGCCCTTTAGATTTCCCTGGTTGATCTCCTCTGTATGTGGCTGGGAAGTGGGTAAGTAGAATTTTGATGCCCTAGCTAATGTTGATCGTCTTCGCAAAGCGAGGGCGCAGGCTATTCATAACAAAGAAAACCAAGGTCGCGATCTTCTTCATGCGATAAAGCTCTTGCGTAGGCTTACTACTGAGCCTAGAGACACATATCCTTGATTCAGTATGTGTCGAGCTACTTTACGAGCCTGGTTGGGAGGCCGGAATCTGCTCGTTATATGTGACGTCTTGACTTCTGCTAGGGTTATGAACCAGAAGCCCAACGCAGTGGTGTCATCTGGCTCTTATTGACCCTTTTGTGAGGTATAGGCATGACCCCCAGTTCGTTGTAAGTTTGGGAACGATGGTCGCTATGTATTCGATGTTGGAAATGCCCTTGGCACCACGTCGGCTGCTGGTAGGTATGGTTGGTGGAAAGTCTTGGGTTTCCGACAAAGCCCTTGCCAAGTGGTTGTTGGGCGTTCGACACAAGGTGTCTGCGATTGTAATAATGGTTGAGGTAATAGCAGGGTACACTTAACCAAGAGGAGCAGCTCGTTGCTTTGCCATACAACCCGGTATTGGCAAAATACCGGTCACTGGTACGAGGTGTAATGGACACCAATTGCTGCAGGGTACACCGTAAGATTGGCTACCATTCGCAGACACCGGGTACGCGCAGAGATACTCTTTGAAGTCAAGGCATGTCGCATGCTTGCAGTTGAGGATAGATAGGATTAGCGTCGTGGGTTGTTGCCTTCTTCACAAACCGATGTACAGAAGCTTTCTCGTGGTTGCGTTAAACGTTCGAAAATGGGAATAAGGTCGGCCGTCTGTGTTCCTTTATTCCAAAGGTGCCAGGCCCCCTAAGTGTCTGCAAGTACTTAGGTACCTGATATTCGCGGTCAGATACTGTTGAAGGTGGCCGTGCTGGTGGATCTATGGCTCCTCTCAGTATCATCTAGGCGTGTAGTCCGGTTTCGCTCAGCCAGCCTTCATCAAGGAGAGTCTTGCATCTGCTGAGCATGCCAGGGCATAGGGAGTATCATATACGGGCTGGATTGATATACTGTATCTCAGAACTCCATCCGAGAGCAGATGAACAATCCAAGATAGGGGTAGTTCGAGAAACAGATAAGAAGTCGTAGAATAACTAACGTCCAATCCCTACTCATGTTCTGTAGTTCCCTGGACCTGGACCCCATAACAGCTTAGACTCTGTGAGTAGCAGTTTAGCCATGGAGGCTCTCGTTTTAGGTAAGCTCACCTTTCCATACTGAGATTGAAAAGCCTTTCGGTCTTGATTATGGTAGTCGCCTTGCTGTAATGTAGTGGGGAATTCTGGGTGAGAATGCGACAGGATTTCTCAATGCATGACTTGATACCGGGCACCTGTTCTAAAGATACGAGGCTAGGGCCTGTAGCCCACCTTAAATAGAACTTTACTGGACTCTTAGTTAAGAGAATAATACACATTAGTGTCTGTGGTGATGATGCCTGACTTGAGCGCAGCCGTGCCTTGAGGATCGAGTTGTAATGGATCAGCTTCTCATACTCTCCCTTGGGCGCTACACTCCCTTGTGGATATTAAATCCAAGAGGTGGAGGTAATTATAAACATAGGAGAGTGGGATAAGGTATGATGATAGTGTGTGTAACTTGGAAGTTGTATAGTGGTAAAGGGAATCCTGAGGTTGGGGTGATTGCGTTTGATTTGTCAGTGTTTGTCTTAGGAGAAAGAAAGAACATTACGTGACCGTGCTCTGAGCCTTTGTGGGGAGTGAACAAAAAAATTTTCTGAGATCGCTTGGGTGACGGAATGTTTTTATATGAGGTCCAAATACAGGATTCACGTTTTATGGCAGGGTTTCAATATTCAGGGTAATATGATGAGATAACCATTCCCAAAAATCCAATGTGGACCAGCATATTCACAGAATATCTAATAGAGATAATCAAGGTATATAGATATATTGACAATTATCGAATAGTAAATACAAAGGTGGTGTGATCACTTCTTATCGATTTAATTCTGCTTCTCAACTCGATAGACGTGTATTCTATTAGCCCGCTGTGTCCGTGCATGCAAGGATAAGTATGATTTCAAGACGTTTAGTGATGGCATTTCTGTCAATTCATAACATTAGATCTCCACATTCCCAGTCTCAATTCCGACATGACAGGGTTGACAACTTACGAAGTCACTTCCACACTTGAGAGGCGTGCAGCACGCGAAGGCGCCGATAGTGCCGTTGGTATTGCAGTAACGTTCAACCTTCAATTTCCAATCATATTAGCGTGCAATCCCCATGACAGTGACTGGGTAGAGGGAATGAATGTGAAAGGGATAGTCAATGGTAAAGTGTGATGGGAGACATACACCCATGCATGATGCCTGGATGTTGGCTTCAGAGGGCCTGGCGACAGCAACGCTAGCGACGAGGGCGAAAACAGCGAGGAAACGCATATTGAATGGGTCAAGATGATTTGATAGGGAGATGGTTTGGGATCTGTCAAGTAGGGAGCTGGTTAGTTTATTATTATTACGACCAGTTCGATTTATCCCTTGGGTTGAATTAGGGTTGGAGGAGGTTGGTTGGTTGGAATGGAACAAACATACCAAACTTGCACGAGGCGGGGAAACGTGGGAATATTCGATTTACCAGTTCGAAAGAGAAGAGAGAGAGAGAGGATGAAGGTCAAAACAAAAATTCCCAGATAGGATCAGCCTCCACTTTATACAAGGAGAAAAATATATCCCCCCATGGAGCGCAAAGCGGTGGAAACAAGCCGTCCAACATCTCTCTCTAACCAAGGTAACCGAATATATTTAGAACCCTGCAGCCCAGAGGGGCGTGAAACGCGGTCCAGCAACTTACACCAAGGTCACTGCAAGCCATTGGCCCGTGGGGCAAGACCCAACTGGGCCTCAGCAAGTGACAGCTCGCTCATCTCTATCAGCGGAGTTGGATCTGCACCTTGAGCTAATAGTTTGCGAGGGCCGTTCTTGGCATCGGCTGATTGTTACTGTGTCTGTCGGTGTGTGTAAGGGATGAGAGTCGATCTTCATGGAGTAGGGATCGGCTATTAATTAGAACATTGAAAAATAGGGAAGGATAGACAGGAGTGCTTTGCTGCAGGTACATGTTATTATCGCCAGGGGGAGGGTTTTAGGTGCTGCAGTAAGGAACCGGTTTTTCCTTGGTTCGTTCATAACGATGATGATATATCTAAAAATGTTCGTTGGATTTATTGGTTTGTTGGGATCCACTGTTTCATCGTGGACCATCCGAAGATTTTCTCCGACTCTTGGGATCATAATGGATGATTGATATGATAATGCTTATTTGGACATGCGAGAGATGACGTCACCATCTTTGATGAGAATCGATTATTGATTCATGCTGTATAGAGTAGACCAATGTTCGTTAGTTGCGTGGAAATGCATCCCCAAAGAGTACGCCGGAAAAATAAAAATAAAAATGAAAATGTGTCACGACATGCAAATCACATCACGTGGTCCGAAACATGCAGCAAAATGACTCCAAAACGGACCCTCAATATGCTCTGTTGTCTCATAATGTATTGAAACAAATTTCCCCAATGAGATGAAAAAGATGAAAAACTATGAAGTCCGTTCCCAGAACAGTCGGATAAAACTATATACGGAAAGGACATAAACCAAATGTCAAACCCCAGGGAACATGCTGGGTGGACTGAAAAAAGAAAAAGAAAAGATCCATTTTGTCACCAATGCGTCGCCGACATTATATTATATTCCAATAGGCCACCCCCGATTAATTTCGCGTTGAGTGATCATTATGCAATGCAGGGCTCAATGTAAACAGTTTCGTAATATGTCTCAAAAAATGCCGAATCGTTTCGTCTTCCCCCCTTCTGTTTTTCTCAATTAGCGACGCAATCTCCATTAATCGACTATAAAAACGTACCCTTCTTCGTCTTTTCTCCTCGACCATTGATAGCAGCCTGCGTTGGGTCCACTCCATCTGAAGCAGCTCGAATGGCAGCAATCCGTTGTGTCGCCCGAACATCGCCTTGGTCAGCCGCTTGCACGTACCAGTAGTTGGCTGCCAGAATGTCACGACGACAGCCAATACCCATTTCGGTGAAATAGCCCACTGCGTATTGGGCTTTGGCCAAGCCTGCCAGGTGCCGCGATCAGTAGAGGCTTACCAACTTCAGTTAAACAGTACTTACCAGTCTCTGCTGCTCGCTTAGCCCATTCGTACGCCTCGCTCTCGTCTTTCTCTAACACAGGCTCTGCACCCACCAGATACCACGCACAGAGAGCCATCATCGCCAATGGATGGCCTGACTGCGCAGCTCCGGTGTAGAAATGAATGCTCAAGGCGGGGTCTCGAGGGCAGTTCAGTTTTCCATGCTCATAAGCGTCTCCAAGGCGATAGCTGGCCTCGATATGCCCCAAATCCGCCGATTTGGTAAAGAGCTGGGCAGCGTAGGCGGGATCTGGGAAGACATCATCACCATATCCCTCCACATGCATCAATCCCAGCTCGTATGGGGCAGAATTGTACTGTGAGTCGGCAGACTCGGTGGCCCGTTTCATCCATTTGATGCCTTCTCGATACCGCTTGCCGAGACCCATGTCACCCGCTAGGCAAGCCTTTGCCATGCGCAGCATAGCACCCGGATGATTCTTAGACGCGGCTTGGCGGTAAAATTGCTGGGCTTTCGCCGCCTCAACCCTAGTCCCCCAACCAAATTCGTAGCAAAGCGCGGTGCGGTAGCATGCTTCCACATGGCCATGCTTACTAGCCGCTACAAAAAGGGGAAACGCCCGATCGTAATCCTCCTTGCCTTTGCTGAAAAGTCCCGATGCGTAACCGTCGCCTAAGTAGTATTGCGCAAACGGATAGCTGCGGTCAGCTAGGCGCTGAAGAATTGACTTGGCTTCTTTGAGCAGGCTTGATCGAGTGATCTCTGGCTCTTTTCGGCCATAGACAGCCGCCACTCCCTCGCCTAGTTCCTCGGCCGGCATGTCCAACATGGCATTGACCATAAAGACTGCAAATTCATACTGTACCGCCGGGTTATCCGTCTTCTTAACATTGCCAAGGTACATATCAAAAGTTTGTTTATGGCTGAGCAAAGATGCGTTGTTACCGACAGATGAGCGGAGATGTGCATTGCCGAGTTGCACCGGTGCGGGACCTGGCTGGGGGTACGGTGTATTGAGGAGATCAACAAAAGACAGTGGCCGAACGTCGGGTGACGCACTGGACGACGAGCGCGCGTGTAGATACGGAGAAGCATGGGGAGAACTATTCCGTCCGTCGAGGTCCGAACCAAAAGAATACGTGGAATGCGGTCTGCGCGGCTTCCCCACGGCAAGATGACCGGTTGTACTAATAAAATTCTCGGCCGATCCAGTCGCGGGGGTAGCCCCCGAAGCAGGCTGGGAGCTTTGATAGGGGCGGTGATGGTAGTGTAAAGGTTCATAGGCCTCCGGTTCCTGAACCACACTATCCAAACTACCGCGAGAGCTGTTCTGGCCAGCACTTGGTGTATCTTGATCCAACGATGAACCGCTTGTCTTTGCCAAATTGTTTGGTTCATCCTTTACCTGGGCCTCTACGACCGACCAAGAGCCACTACTGGCGGGCGTATGATGGACGGAGGATTCAGCAACGCGTGAGGTAGCATACGAATCTCGCCGTGGTGGGAACGGGCCACTTGAGCTTCTTGCATGGGTAGGCGGCCGATCTTCAATTGACATATGAGTGAATGCATTGGTCGGGATTGGTGGTATATCGTAATCACTCTCAAAAGTCGCATGTGGCTCTTCATCCCCGTCAATCCTCACCGAAGGTGTAAAGGACTCCCGGTCTCCAGGAGTAGCCGGGAGAGGTTTTCGTGAAATAGCCATGCTCAATGGTCGCTTGGAGGTAGTTGGAGAAGCAAGCTCACGGTGAGGAGGGGGAGGGGGCGGAGAAGATCGAAGGTAAACCGGAGGAGGGGAAACGAGCTGAGGATATTCGCCTGCCACAGGACTAGCCATTGTTTCAGACAGACCTGTATCAGCTACTCTCACCAAGCCCTTCAAGCGTATGTAGGTGTATACAGGGCAAACGTCCGGTATTTCTACTGTGACGGAACCAGGCGTTAAGTGCCGGAGAAGCGGAGGTCTATAGACAGTGCATAGAGTCTGTCATGGAGAGAAGAAATGCAATGGTTATTCAAGCTCGAGCGATTGTAAAACAGCTCAGAAGCGAATGAACTTCAGGACGAGTCGAAGGGTGGGAAAAAAGACATGTACCGTGGAGAACTGGAGGCCGGCTGATGGGTCGACTGGAGAGGAGGTTGGGGTCCACTTGATAAACGTTAAATCACTAATACCTTTTGACAGCTAAGAGATACGCATACCGCGATATCCTGAGAATGGAAAGGAAGCCTGAAACGAGCGAGAAGAAAGAAAGACGGTCCAGACCAAGCGAAGGTGTGAAGTAAAAGAAGAGCAAAATGGACAGGATATAAGAGGGAAAGAAAACGATCAATTGCGTTCTCAATGGCGGAGATGTAGCCTTTCCGGATGATCCTTAGAGGAAGTTAGTATGTATTTTCGATGGTACTGTACGAACAATCGTATTTCATGTATCCATACCGAGTGATAGTACTTAAGCCGCACCTCACTAGCCTCGTATTAATGTTAAAGAAGGCGGGAGAGAAAGTGTGTGAGGGAGATGTAGAGAAGGGAGAAAAAGAAAAAGCACAAAAATGGTTTGCGAACACCCCCACTATCGACCTTCGTCCCTTGGCTTTTTCTTTCACGCTCTTCCTCTGGTTTGGAAATACGGAGTACGGAGTACGGAGTACTGAGTGCTTGCACTGTTCTCAAGTGGGGTTCTCTCTAGATTCCATGCTGAGTTGTTCTCTATTTTAATTTATTCAGAGTACATAATTATGCTTGTTCTTCCCTCTGAGAAGCTATTTAGTCTCAAATGTCTCAGTAACCCAAGTAGTAGCGGCAAATCATGTAAGTAAAAAAAAAAAAAAAAATTTCATTCGGACTTGCGGCGGCTTTACCGAGAGGTTTCAGTTAGAAAAAAGTTTGAGGGAAATAAATAGAATCTCAGTTCAGCGCTTAACCACCAGAGCGTCTGATATGTATGTTTCTGCAATATAAGTGCTTGACAATGGAGAGAAATGTAAAGTATGCCTGTGTGTACATGATCAAGAAAAGAAAAAAATACAATAATAAATGCCTTTTCCCTACAAGCTCGTACATACTTACTGTAGGTAAATGGTATGTATCCACTATGTATTCAAACTATTATGCATATGAGCCCATCGATGGTGTCTTCATGGCTCACCTGTGGATCGCCTCAGATACAGCACGGTTGGCGGAAGATGACAACGGCAAGAGATGTCATCAAAGACATACATGATTGACTGTTACACTGACCGGAGGTATAATACTACTACTGTACATTGTATATTTGCTACGTACTGATACATACAGAACCTACCAATAGGTGCCAATTACTGTAGCGCATGCAGGGCTATGACACGCCCATTCCAATGACCAGCCTTAATTCCGACGCAAAGCAATGCATGGAACCTGGGGCGGTGCGGAGTCAATCTCACATTTTACGAGGAATTATGCCTGATGTGCTGTACATCAGGTTGTTGCTTTCAGTGAAATAAATGCACACTAAGAATAGCAATGACCGGTGCGTGGCAGAGATAGGTAGTCATCCACTTTGAGCCTCGTCTTACTCGTAGTGGTTCTCTTAACCGAGAATGTGGCTTGTTCAATCGTAAACCATCGGTTCTTACTTGCATATGGCCATAACGCTCTTGTTGTTCTTCCTAAGAAAGCCCCAAAGGTGTCCGCAGAGGTAATGGGCAACAATAACAACGTTATGTTTAAGGTTCATGGATTGATCCATACAATGAGAATTAAAATCCACGGCACGTTGGCAATACATTTTCAGATCACGTACATACATTACCAAACGTAGAATAGGTCCTTCAAAAAGGTGAGATGAGTTTCATCAGTCAGGAAACACACGTCAAAACTGTTCGGTTGCCTTCTCCACCTTTTGGCTCGAGAGTCTCGGGATGGATAGATATGCATGTTTAAGCGAAAACGCAGCTCCTCCCAGTTGTTTTCAGAACAAACGTGGCTGACTAGGTATTCCTAGGTAGAAGCGTTCAGTTCAACCCCATGTACCGATCCCAGTCAAGAACTCTGGGGGCGATTGCTTGTGAGATGGCGTCATGGACCTGTTGGTTGCAATTTGATAAGATGGAATGCAAGAAAAGTAGTTCTCCACAGCAGGTTCGGTACCTAGACACTAGCAGACTAGCAGACGATCTACTGTCCCTATATCCGGTCCGGTTGCCTCCCAGGGCTTCTCGAATTTCGATACTTTGATGGGTGTCTATTCTAACTCCTTTCTTTCCGGGAATAATGAAGGACTAGCAGCCGGACTACATATTCTTGTCACCACTTCGTTGACTTCCGGAGAATTAGGCTGAAGACACTTGGCCTATCTAGATCCATGGCGCCTTACGACACCCAGTACATAACCTTTTCTCATACTCCATCGCTCAGAGCTTAAGTTATAGATTGAGTTTACCGAGTGAAACGATAGACTGTATTACCCACTAGGTGATGTTGCATAAGCACCAGGTAGCCATACTAAGGCTGAAAGTATAGTTATTACCTTAAAGATGTGCAGTGTAGATTGCTTCCAAGATAATAGCCATCGCTGAACGTACAGGTTAATCTTGCAACGATCTGTGGTTTAATACCCATTTAAAACTAAACTATCATTATTCAGATCATAGATACCTATCGTAGAACAAAAATCATTTCTTTCTTTCTATCCCCCTTCTGCTAACTTATTTGTTACATGCTTTGTCGGTTGGACAATGGCATCTAAGATCTATCAAATTTTAGGAATTTGGTGGATGTACATACGGTATGTACTATACTGTACTGTACATGCAGATGAAAGAGGACACTACTTCCGCTTTCTGATAATATTGCGCGTCTAAGTCTCTTTTTGAACAAAACAATAAAAATTAATAATAAAATAAAAGCTGGGTAAACCTTTTGTCCTGCACTCTATAATACCAATAGATTGTATCAGTTTTCTGTATTTCTGATATATCATTATTTAGTATTGGACATGAATCTTGGGTTCTGTTTCATTCATGTCAAATATATCCAATTACAACTTTCTAGTCCTAAGTCAGCATCACGCCCCATCCGAAGAATTTATGGTGTGCTGCCATCCAATTAGTGTGAGGTGTTTGAGCCCGAAAATAGAACATGGTCTCACTCAGTCCATTAGATACAAACTTTGTATGATGAGACGAGAGCAACACTAGGCTACTTAGGTCCAGTTCAACCATTTGAGTCTTCTCCTTTCTAGCATAGTGCAGATAGGTCATGTGAGGTACGATTTTTTTTCCCCTTATTTTTCCCCCGAAGGTAGTAACACCACCCTGGCTAATGGCGTCTAACTATTGAGTATTCTTGAGAAATAATAGCCCGTTGGGGCGCCCATTTAACCTTGATTTGGGAAGAGAGAGGGGCAAAGCGAGGAAAATCCCTAATGAGAAACCATGAGGAAGTATGATTGGCTGGAGGGTGACGGTCCTTAAACCTGATCTGGTTAGTGCGCTTGAATTGGGGAAACCAGTACCCAATGAGCGATGGTCAGCCGATAGAAAGGTACGAGTAACCTTTCCAACACAATTTTTTTTTTTATTATGGTTCGGTCCAAGTTGACGGTTTCAATGATCCCATGAGATCTAGCGAGTTAATTCCATTGGTGGCGACCCGCTAAATCTGGACCTAGCCCCGACCGATTGCCCCTAGCGACGCAGCAGCACATGGATGGCAGTTATTTGTGTACACTAATGAAAGGTTCCCGTGGTCACTGCCAAGTTGTTTTTATTATTCTGAGTTATTCTACTCCGTATCGTACAAGATGACGATGACTATCTAGTCTAATTTTATTACCCCTTTTACTAGATAGCATCTATGCACTAGTCAACTATTACTAACTAACAAAATCGCAGTGTGGCCGGACTCGTTTTCTGGCTTCGGCCGGGTACTTCTGTAGCTAAACATGTATGCACTCTGTACTCCATATGCGCAAATCTATCCTATGGACGGATAATATTAATTCTAAATGATTAATCCATCAAGACCAAAACAATAATACAGCAGATAACGCTATCGCCTCAAACAAATTACCGGGTACAGCAGGTACCCTCCACCTCTCAGGGACGGTCCATTGTGGTTAGGCAGGATCTGGCCTGAGGTGGTATTTCCCATAATGTACCACCAGGTGATCAGCGTCTGCTCCGCACCATCTCAATTCATTGTCCCGCGAATTTCCTCTCCCATTCCTCTTCTTCTCCCCTTCACTAGCTCCCTACATTCAAATCTCTCGCTTATTTGGATCGTCCGGAGTGTGGTCGCTCGATCGTGCATTTTCTGACTCGTCTTCCAAGTTGTTCGCTCGCTTTATTTACCGGCAGTCTCTTATTCGCTACTAGTTGCCCTCTTCCTGCGCTCAAACATACGGCACTAGAATTATACGATCGCATTCTATTTCATTCACTCGCTGTCATTTTGTATCGCTATCTGGTTTCCGACATCATCGGTCGATCCCTTGCAGCTAGCCATACCGCGCAGCACAACATCATCGCGTCGCTCACTGTCTATGCTGAGATCCAGCCAGTGAACACCGCATTCGCAACCAAATACTGCCGTCTATGCTCGCTTCGGTTTGACGGTGAGTGCATCGCTATGTGCACTCCATAATTTGCCCGAATTGTACAATTGCCCGTACTTCGTGCTGATATACTAGTTCATCGTGTAGAAAGATCATGTCTTTGCCGCAACGGCCGGGGAAGGTTTCTCCGCGACGAGAAGAAGTCCACTCTGCTTTTCGAGAATCGTCACGCAGACGACGACGAGACAGTGAGACGGGTGGTCTCACTGATACGCTATCAAGCCCCACATCACATCGTCACCATCATCACCGACGCCATCGCTCGCATAGTTCTCGAAGGAAGAAAGATGTAGACGAAGAAAGGGCAGACACGGGCGAGGATATTAGGCGCAAGAAGAGTTTTGTTAAACCGGAGCGCAGTCGCATCGATCATGAGCATCCCAATTACCACTACAGCCAGCGATCACAGAATATGCCCACATACCCATCGGCGACAGGACATGAACCATTAATGGGTGGAGATGGCGAGGTTGATACGAGCAGTTCCCGCAGCATGGATAGGGCCAAAGAAGGACTAGATGGTGAGCATGGAAACATCAACAAGCCTATGGAGCGGGCTCCGAGTCGGCGTCGGACCAAGAAAAGGAGGCACTCTCGGAAGATCTCGAAAAAGGCAGCTGCACAGGAAAGGAGACGACAAAGGGCGCTCGAGCAAGCCCGCCCTCCCAGTCTGTGGAGTACGTATTGCGCAATCATCACTTTCTGGGCCCCGGATTTTGTTTTGCGGTGCTTTGGAATGCCGCAAAAGGCACAGCGGAGTGCGTGGCGCGAGAAAATTGGTCTTATCAGTATTATCTTACTCATCGCAGCGTTTGTCGGTTTCTTGACTTTCGGTTTTACGGCCACTGTATGTGGTACCCCCCCAGTACGGCTAAAGGTCAATCATGTTACCAGAGGCTATATGATATTCCACGGGAAAGCCTATGATTTGTCTAAGTCGAAGCACCCCGCGGCTGCTGGAATCCCAGGTGGTTCCAACGTCCTATATGATCTACCCGACAAGTATGGTGGTCAAGATGGGAGTTTCTTTTTCCAACAAGTTAATGGGGCATGTAAGGGTCTGATCACGCTTGCGGACGGGTCGGACGTGCCCACAAACGCGAACGGGGACTTGGCCTGGTATTTCCCATGTACAGCTTTCAACCAGGATGGCTCGTCGGAGCCAAACTACACGGAACCGTACTACAAAGGATGGGCATGTCACACATCTGGAAATTCTCGGAAATCATTCTACAGCCTTGGAAGCTCTGGTGATGTGTATTACACGTGGGAGGACACTAAGAACAAGAGTAGGAACCTGGCAGTATACTCTGGAAACGTGCTAGACCTCGATCTCCTACGGTGGTTCAACACTGACCAGGTGAAATATCCGGCCAAGTTTGACCAGCTGCGCAAAAATCCCGATGTGCGCGGCGTTGACCTTACATATTACCTTCAGACAGGAGAAGAGAAAAAGATCGGCAAATGTCTGTCTCAGATAATCAAGGTCGGGAGTATAGATACTGACACAGTTGGGTGTATTGCCTCTAAAGTCGTTCTCTATGTGTCCCTGGTCTTCATCCTATCCATTGTCGTCGTCAAATTTGCATTCGCCTTAGTCTTCCAGTGGTTTCTCGCCCCGCGGCTCGCCGCTCAGAGGACGAGCATGAGCTCAGACCCTAGGAAACGTAATCAACAAATTGAAGACTGGTCAAACGACATTTATCGGCCCGGTCCTCGTTTGACAGACACTGTGGATCGCCCCGGTAAAAGGGCCAGTTTCCTCCCAACGACTTCTAGGTTCTCTAGTCCTTACACGGTGAGTAATGGCGGGAAACAACGCCCACAATGGGTGACGATGGCAAGCCAAAACTCTACCAGCCGGTTAGTCCCTGGTGGTGGCTCTATGTATAAGCTGAGCCACAATAGCAGCGGTGGGACCTTGAGTGCGGATCCTTCTCGTCAGAATCCCACGGCTAGTCGAACGAGTTTAGTACAAGACTCCCGCTACTCCACTGCCAACCCTGACTCTGACGGCGTTGGAGGGGGTGGGTACATTCACGAGGCTGTTGTTCCTCAGCCACCACCTGAGTGGCAGCCCTACGGGTTTCCCTTGGCTCATTCCCTCTGCCTGGTGACTTGTTACTCTGAAGGTGAAGAGGGTATCCGTACTACTCTTGATTCCATTGCGATGACAGATTATCCTAACAGCCATAAGACGATTGTCGTCATCTGTGACGGTATGATCAAGGGAAAGGGGGAGGAATTTTCTACCCCCGAAATTGTGCTACGCATGATGCGTGATCCAGTTATCCCCATGGATGAGGTTCAGCCGTTCTCTTATGTAGCAGTGGCAACCGGCTCTAAACGTCACAACATGGCGAAAGTCTATGCTGGCTTCTATGACTATGGGGAGACGTCCATCATTCCAACGGAGAAGCAGCAGCGTGTTCCAATGATGATTGTTGTGAAATGCGGAACACCGTCCGAAGCAAAACAATCAAAGCCAGGTAATCGGGGCAAGCGAGACAGTCAAATTATCCTGATGTCTTTCCTGCAGAAAGTGATGTTCGATGAACGAATGACGGAACTTGAATTCGAAATGTTCAACGGTCTCTTGCACGTGACCGGCATACCACCGGATTTCTATGAAGTCGTACTCATGGTCGACGCTGACACCAAAGTCTTCCCGGACAGTTTGACTCATATGATCTCTGCCATGGTTAAGGATCCCGAAGTCATGGGCCTATGTGGTGAGACTAAGATCGCCAACAAGATGGACAGTTGGGTGACTATGATTCAAGTATTTGAGTATGTTAAATGTTTCTGTATGTTGCCTGTGCTTTATTGACTGTCCTTCTAGGTATTTCATTTCCCATCATCAATCTAAGTCGTTTGAGTCCGTCTTTGGCGGTGTGACTTGTCTCCCTGGATGTTTCTCCATGTATCGAATCAAAGCGCCAAAAGGTGGCCAGAACTACTGGGTGCCGATCCTTGCTAACCCCGACGTGGTGGAGCACTATTCGGAGAATGTGGTGGACACTTTACATAAGAAAAATTTGCTTCTGCTAGGAGAGGATCGGTATCTATCGACTCTGATGCTGCGGACCTTCCCCAAGAGAAAACAGATCTTTGTGCCGCAAGCCGTCTGCAAGACACAAGTGCCCGACAAGTTCATGATCCTTCTTTCGCAGCGGCGCCGCTGGATCAACAGCACAGTTCACAATCTGATGGAACTGGTCTTAGTGCGGGACTTGTGCGGAACGTTCTGCTTCAGTATGCAATTTGTCATTTTCATCGAACTGATTGGAACACTCGTCCTCCCTGCCGCTATTGCGTTTACCTTTTACGTGGTCATTTCGTCTATCGTGAAGAAACCTGTGCAGGTCATTCCGCTGGTCCTGCTGGCGCTCATTCTGGGTCTCCCGGGCGTGCTCATTGTCGTCACCGCCCACCGGTTGGTCTATGTCTTGTGGATGCTTATCTACCTAATCTCCCTGCCCATCTGGAACTTTGTTCTTCCGACCTACTCATACTGGAAGTTTGACGACTTTAGCTGGGGCGACACGCGGAAGACTGCCGGCGAGCAGGATAAGGGGCATGATGATGGCGAAGGAGAATTCGACAGTAGCAAGATCACTATGAAGCGCTGGCGAGATTTCGAGAAAGGTATGTGCATGTTGAGAGGATGCCATGATAACATAGCAGCTAACATGACTGGTAGATCGCCGGCTTCGCATGCAAGCTGCGTGGGGGCAACCTCCGATGGGAGGATATCCTTCGCGCTACGAAGAATACTCCGATTATTAGGATAGTAACGTGTGTCTTGTGTTGTGCGTTTTCAATCTTGGGCCATGAGCGATTGGCTTGACGTTGTATAATGTTTTTTTTTATCTTTTCTATTTCTTTATTCGGGATTCGTCTCCAAAAATATTATCAACTGTAGCTTCCAGTGGAGGGTAAAGACCGTACACTGGTGTTATTGGAGATTCTTCATCTGCAAGGATGGTTGGATTGTGAATTTTTTTTTGATAGTATTTGACTTTTGTATATTTCTGAGCGAGACTAGCGATGAACCTTTTGGACTATGTACGTAATGAATGATATGGGAAGATGAGACTCACCTCGAGAGTATTAGGAACCTCCGTACCTACCACTAGTCCTAGTATAGATCCCTTAATAACGAATTATGGAAATATTTTATATTAGTATAGTTTCTTTTTCTTGTTTTTTAATCTAGAAAAAGAAAACGAAAAAGAAAAAGGAAAGGATCGGAGCCAAAGAAAATAAAAAGCAATTATGATACCGGAGTCAATAGTAATATTCGTCCTTTAGCTCTCCTAGTGAGCAGCATGTCAGATCTTAGTAGGATTCCCGAAAAATGACCCTTGCCACAGCTGCCGATGAAACTCGTGTGGTTCCTGTTCTGAAGATTTATGTTACTGGATTCTTCGACCTACAGGTATATTTCTTTTGCCACTACTGTACGACTCCTGAAAATGTTTGATGTTGGTCTTTCTGACTAAGGAACCCACCATCCCAATACAGTCATACCATATCTCTCAGGCATTCAACGAATTCTTGCGGATCATCCCGTCCATGTGACGGCTCATGCACGTTCTTCTGTGTTGGTTCTCCAATTTTCCCCCTCCACGGGTATCTTTAATTTAGTTTTCGATGTCATATAATGGAGCCTGACTTGACCTTATTCATTCTTGACTTGACTCCCTCCCAGTTATTATAGACCCTTTTTTTTCTATCAAGATAAAAAAAAAAAAGAAAAAAGAAGAAGAGAAAGAGGCTGGAAACTACATCCGATCGGCAATCGTGTCGTTGTCTACCGGTAATCTTCCACCAGAAGGTGAAATAAAAAAAGGAAGGAAAAGACAACCAGTTATCCAAAGGCAGAGACAACTTTTTTCATTTGTGTTACCGTACATATATTCACGAAACTTATCATCGGTTTCCTTCCTTTCTTTTCTTTTCTTGTCTTGTCTTGTTTCAAGGTCTGGTCTGTGTTCCCATTTTGGGAGTTGAACATCGAACTACTGCAACTTGCTGGGTGTTACATTTTCTTTTATTGAACGCCCCCCCCTCCCCCCCTCGCTCTCTCCGAAACAATCCATTCTTTTGTCCTTGTCCCTCTCTTCGATCACTGTGCGACTTCTCTAGTCTTACACAGAGCCGCAGTTTGAATTTGCGACACCTTACGGAACCTTTTACACCCAACCTGACCTCGTTCTCCGCGTGGGGGGTTGGTGGGAGACGAGCTGCGGGGTGACCGACGGCTGCAGGGCCAAGATCTCTGATCCCGATCGAAGGAAACGTGGACGGCTTCGTTTCTTCCTGTGCGACTCCCGGTGCCAATTAAATTTCAGCCAGCTAGAACACGCACTCGTCTCATCCGTTGGCATTCCATTTGCCTTCCCGCGGCTTGCGCGAAGCTCTTGTGTCGATTTGTCGGCATCCGAACGGGGGGCGCTCCATGAACGGCAATGCCTGAACAGAGTGGATCCGATATCTCTTTGACTTCGTCCAGCTCGTCAGTATGCCCGGGTGATCGCAATACGAGGTCCGACTCGTCGTCATGTGACGCCCTGGTCCCATCGCAGTATCGTCAGCCTTCTGAAGGGGTCCCGGTGACAAGGGAATCGCAACCCATGTTGAACGATACTGATGCGGCTTCCCCAAGTGCCTTCGACCCGGTGGACCTGGGTATCTCTGCCATCATGGCGCTGCCACAGTACCCGAGCGTCGCCACCAACGAGGCAAACTTTTTGGCGGTGTCCGAGGTCGTGAATGCCGTCATCGATCGCGAGGCATATTTCCGTCGTGTCGGGGGAGGGGACGAGGGAACCCTCCATCATCCCTCGTCGCCGCCGACCGACTTGTACATGTCGGATTCGGAGATGACGGATGTATTGTCCGACCTGGGCGGCGTACCTCTAGGGCCATATGAGAGCGGGCCATTAGGCATGGGAACACTCGTTCACCACTTGATCGACCATTCAGCAGCCAGGCGTGCCATCTCCACGATTTCAGAAGACAGTGAGGATGAAGATGAAGACACCGCAGCCCTAATCACAGACTACGACACTCCAGTTAATGAACTTCTCCCAACACCGTTATCCGAGCAAGACGATCTCCTCGACGACGCAGAGAAGTTCTACTCGGATGATGATGATGCCGAAGACTATACTGATCATGCCCAGACTCATCATGGCGAGGATCTATCAGAGGTTGATTACGATGATTTCTACCGAGGCACGGAACATGACCTTGGTTCACAGGCAACAGAACTTACCAGCCATGATGAGCACAATTACCCCTCAGATGGTGAGGATTGGAATGGTGGAGATTTAACCGGCGATCCTCACTTTCCAGCTTCCGTCATACATGGGACAAGTATGTATTGTAAACGCCTCATATGGGCCTTCCTTCCCTCCCTTCCCTTCCCTTCCCTTCCATCCATGGTATTACATAAACCGCCCCTAATTATGGTTATGCTGATTGTCTTTGTACGCGATAGCCCATGAAAGGAACTTCACTATCGACCAGTTTATTTCTCAATGGCTTGTCCAGTCGACTGCAGCTGCGATACCGAATCTTCCACATATATCAAGCGCAATACCACCAAGTCCCATCTGCAATATCCTTGGATGGAAACCTCCAGCAAAGATCGCGCGGCCAAGCGGGTATACAGGAGACTTTTATGATATCCAACAGATCCCGTGGTGGGAGACCCTGCGGGTCAAGCGCGCCGACGCCCGAGGTCTGCGCGATCTTTGGTATACGTCGTATCACAACCTAGAGTACTCAAATCAACGGCCGGGCTTGCGACTATCCCAGGGGGAATTCTGCTTCCGGGAGAAATCAATGTACACAAAGCACAAGGCTACGATCGAGCACTTTCAACTTCGAAATCTAATGTCGGTCGCAGCCTACAACACCGTCCACTTTGCCCATGAGTCTAAATTGTATTCCTGGGTGCCTGCGTATAACGACTTGAGTTGTTTGATCGACTTGTCCAAGCCATCTACCGAAACCGGATTCCACGGGCCGGTGAAGATTTCCACTATGAAGTCGGCGCACGATGTTGCTATCGCTGGTGGGTTTTCAGGTGAATATGCTGTGCGGGCGGCGAGTACGCAGGAGCACGGCGTGGAAGGCTTCGTAACGAAAGACCCAAACGGGATCACTAACCATATTGATGTGGTGCCCAGTCGCACAAGCCGGTCGCCGATGGGCATCTTTGCTTCCAATGACCGACACCTCCGCGTGCTGGACGTTGAAACCAACACATTTGTTGCAGACCATGAGCTGTCGCGCGCCATTAACTGCACAACCACTTCGCCGGATGGACGCCTACGGTGTGTCATTGGTGACTCGCCGGAAGCTTGGGTCGTTGAGGCAGACACGGGACGACCCGTTCATCCCCTCCGAGGCCATCATGATTTTGGGTTTGCCTGCGCGTGGTCTCCTGATATGCGGCATATCGCCACCAGCAACCAAGATAAGACGGTGATAATCTGGGATGCGCGGACTTGGCGCGTCCTGGAGAAGATTGAGTCAGACGTAGCGGGGTATCGGTCCGTCCGATATTCACCGGTGGGCGGCGGCCCACGCACGCTCCTGCTGTGCGAACCTGCTGATCGCATCTCGATCATCAACGCGCAAACATATCAAACGCGGCAAGTACACGACTTCTTTGGGGAAATCGGCGGCGCAGACTACTCTCCGGACGGTAGCACGATCTGGGTTGCCAATACGGACGAGCATTTCGGTGGGTTCATGGAATACGAGCGACGCCAATGGGGCCAGCGGTACGGAGTGCGGGATTTGCCCAATGAATGGCTACGAGAATCTGACTTGAATGAGGATGAACGATGCATTCTTAGCGAACGGGAGCGTCAGATGCGTTTCTGGTGGAACTTAAGCGACGAGGAACATGAAGAGTTATTGCTGGTGTAGCGATCGCATGGGAGATGGCGCATATTTTCGGCATATCTTTCTGCCCAGTTTTTTTTTTTCATTTTCTTTTTCTAATTTCTTCATATAGGTTTACTGTGCTTGCACCATACTGGGCGGATGACTGACTGCATTACGAGATACCACTGAATATTATTTATTTATTCCCCTGTTGTTTGATACCTACTAATACTGTTTGGTGATAGTATAAAACTGCCTACGTAATACCCGTGTGGCGGCCAAGAATCGTGGATCTCAATAGGAACCAATGATCACTGTGGCTGGGCCATCCCCTCCACCTGCCGATCTTTAGCTCAACCAGCACAGCCACAGCCCCTCATCCCGTCGGGAATAAATACCATATCATACATACTTTCCCTCCTGAACCCTCCCATATTATCTCTCAAAATAAAAAATAACATCAAATCAATATTCACAATGGGTTTCTCTAACATCCTCCAAGACGCGGTCTCCCAGGCCGTCAGCCACGCCACAAACAACAATAACAAAAACTCCTCCAACTCGGGAGAGAACTACGGGGGCAACAACAACGACAGCAGCTACAACCAAGGGCCCCCATCCTACGGCGGTTCCAACCAAGGCTATGGAGGAGACTCCTACGGCGGCTCTCACCATTCGAACCAAGGCTCCTACGGCGGCGACTCCTACGGCGGTCGTCCCTCAAACCAGGGCCAGGGCTACGGCGGAGACTCCTACGGTGACCGCCCCTCCCACGGCAGCTCTCACCACTCTCAGGGCTCCTACGGCGGAAACTCATACGGCGACCGTCCCCCCTCCTACAACGACACCTCCTACAACGCCCCTCCCCCCTCCCACGGCGGCTACAATAACAACCACGGCTCCTACGGCATCTCCGACTCAGACATCAACCCCGCCCTCTCCCACGCCCAAGCCCACCACTCCGACTCCAACGACTCCTCCCTCTTCAGCTCCGCCCTCAACTTCCTGAAAGAGAAGCAGGGCCGCTCTTCCTCCCCCGACATCGATGAGAGCCAGATGATCCAGTCCCACCAGCAGCTCTACAATAACAATGATAATAGCAAGGCGCATGATGCCAACTCGCTTGGTGCGGGGGCCGCCATGCAGGCACTGAAGATGTTCACGTCCGGCCAGAGTGGGAGCTCTGGGGGTGACAAGAATGCTTTTATTGGGGTTGCAATGAGCCAGGCAGCTAAGCTTTGGGATCAGAAGAATTCGAGTGGGAATGTTGTAAGTTTCTTCCTTTTTTCTTTGTACTGGGTGGGTGGTGGGTAGGTGGCTAATCAAGTTTATAGTCCGATGATAAGCAGACAGCTGTTAATAAGGCTGCTGAGATGGCGTTGAAGATGTATATGAAGAATCAGGGTAGTGGGTCGTCTGGCTCGGGGGGTCCGGCGTTGATGAACTTGGCTAGCAAGTTCTTTAGCAAGTAGTTTTGGCTTTCCTCTTCTTGTGTTTATGTGAATATGGTTGATTTTCTATTCTTCGACAAGACATGACAGAATGATATGCTACCCAAATGAAGGATGTACAGTGAAGTCTCCTGGAGTGTGAATTTACACCAACAAATCTATTTATAAATCTAAACAGCCAGGGTTCATGCAGCGCCAAACAATGAATCCCACGGTATCAGTAGACCAGCATCCAAAGCAAAACTCTAAGCTAGAACTGAAGAGAGAGAAATAAAAAAATAGAAAAGAAAAGAAACGGAAATTGGGAATGAAAAAGCAAAGATATAGAAGGAAAAGGGAGTAAAAGCAAGTCAATAATCACCACTCGTCATCGTCATCGTGCTTGCCTTGCATTGCATGTTGTCGTGCTCTCAATGCCTCTGCAAGGCCTCCTGCTAAGCTTGCGTTCGAAACACTGTTCGGCGTGGCGCGACCACTACCGCCAGATGAGTCGTGTGAATTCATACTCACAGCGCTGTCCCGAGGTGCGGGGGGAGGTGCCGGCACCGCCTTTCTTCCAGCCATGTTCGGGCGCTTAGCAGGTGGTGCGGGAGGCGCTGGTTTAGCTTTGGCTGCGGCTACTGCTCCGTTGGCTCCCGGCACCGGGCTTGCCCTAGGTGCGGCTGGGGGTGGCGGCGGCGGAGCAGGCTTGGGGGTAGGCGCAACCTGCTCTTCAAGATACGCCTGGGGAGTCCAACCCTGGGCAGAATTTGCCATGTTCATGCACAACCACCAACCTAGTACATATTAGTCTCGTAGACGCAGAAGACAAGAAGTCAAAAAGTCTTACCATTTCCTTCCTTTGACACGATTTGCACTATCTCTCCCGCCCGAATATCTAACTCGTTGGACTGGGCACTGGTAAAATCATACAGGACCTTCGCGGTAGCTTTCTTTGGTGCTGGGGGACTCGCGGGCGGTGGTGGTGGAGCTCTCACAGAGCCGGATGACGCAGTCCGTATGTGAGAGGCGGCAGCGGCTGCAACGGGTTGGGGAACTGGTCTAGGAACAGCAGCTGGTTGAGGAGCGGGCGGCGGTTGCACCGCGGCTGGCTGGGATTGGGGTAAAGGCTGGGGTTTGGGTGTAGGTCTGGACACCAGCTTCGACGGCCCGCCTCCAGGACCCCCGGGACGCAAGAGTTTTCCTTTTGTGACCGGCCGTGCCGCAACTTGCTTCGCTCGCGGCGTCGGTTTCGAAACTGAGCTCGGAGGCTCACCAGGGCTGGTGTGAATTGTGTGGCTCTTGTAGGTATCAACGTTCGGGGAAGCAGCGGGGTCCTTGACAGCCTTGACGGTAGCCAACTTGCCGGGTTTCTTGTTGTATTCAATGCTGTTCTTGAATTAGCACTGGAAAGCTAAAGCATAAGAATGTAACATACTTTTCGGAAACCTTCAGGTTCAACTGCCCACGCAAAGCCGTGTTGAGATGGGTGAAAAACTCCGTTTTAAAGACACAGTTAATCAAAGGATCAGGTTCCTGCCCACCAATGACCAACGAGAACCAGTCATCTTTCAAGTTCGAGGTGCTGACAGATTTAATGGCACCGATCGGCACCGTTCTTTCGGACGCAATCACTAGTTGGTTATTTTCGAGTGTTTGTGCCACAATATATACATGCCGATTCGTCTGCAACTGTTAGAATGCGATCGCTGAACCATGAGACCACTTACCAAAACGAGGATACGCGGAGATGGTTTGCTGGACCGACCAAACTTGGAGACCAGGACCTCACCACGGCAAGAAAAGAGAATATCCTCCGATCCTTGAGTGAAGTCAGCAAGAACTGTCAACTATAACGTAGCATGACGCACTTACCGTTAATGCCTGCACCGTTGCGGATCATCTCTCCGGGACCACCCTTATTACCGATTCCAATATAGTCACCAAGGAACCGCCGAGAACCGAGTAAACTCATTCTCCGACGTTCCTTGCGACCTTGGAGCACTTGATGGCCTGAATCACGCACCTTGATGAGCTCAAGACCACCAGTGGTGCGACGCCAGAATCGCTGAATACGGATGGCGCACTCGATACGGTAGCGAAGATAATTACGCCATGCGCGCTGGATACGGATAGCCATGTTGTGCCAATACTTGTCACGCATGGCCTCTAGGGCAAAAAGCGTCTCAGGGGTCTTGACGAACACCTTTGTGATACCCATCTGGTATTCTTCTGGAGGAATGCTGGTGTCCTTCAGGATCTGTCGAGCGCCAGATTCTGCGTCGCCAGTCCATGTGTAATCACCAGCGTAGGACGTCTTCGGGGAAAGAAGATAGAAACGCTCAACGAACTTATCAAAAGTTTGACGATACGCGAAGCCAGCACGTCGAATTCGAACGTTCTCCTGAAGACCGAGGTATTTGATCTGGTGCAGAACGTTTCCGACATTGTACTCCTTCGGAGCCTTGTTATCATTCGGTTTGATGGTTCGAATATATGATGGCTGAGCTTTCATCAAAGTAGCCACCAGGTCGTTAGCGGATGCCTTGATCTTATCGCTAGCAGTAGGTGGACGTCTCTTATCATCTTGGTTGACTTGGTTAGGGAAAAGAGTATGGACAAACTGGTTGCCGCTAGACCCGACAAGGTTCAGTAGGTCCTTCAACAGCTGGTCTTTGTTCTTGTCCGTCATGCCCTCGACCGAGTAACTGACATCACCGGCATAGTGCTTGACAATGAACTGACCCTGGCGGTTCTCGAAGTTTGGGTTCTGTCCGAGGAAGTTAAGCCTGCCCACAAAGGTGTTGTCGGCAGCGCCAGAATCGGCATGCGCCGTTGCGCAAGCATCGTTGAGGGCGGCGAAAACACCTGGGGGCCGCTTGTCTTCTATCAACGAACACACGACCTTGTTGTCAAAGTATTTGATGGGTGTCCACTGGATCTGCTCACGAGCATATTCATCTTGCTCCGCCTTCAATGTCAACTGGATGAAGATTTGCTGTAGTTTCTCATTGACATAATTAATGCACAGCTGCTCGAACGAATTCTTTTCAAAGATTTCAAACCCGTAGATATCCAGAATTCCAATCGAGTTCGCTACAGTTCCCCTAGCAGCCAATGACTGGTTGACACGTTCCACGATCCAGTCGAAGAGATTGAAGTAGATTGCCTTGGATAGCGCATCACGCACGGCAAGGGCTTGGACGGTGTTCAGAGGAACTTCATAGACTGATCCCCTACGACCTCCACGGGCGGTCTCCATTACACGAATGGTGAGAGCTTTGTTCACCTGACCAGGATCGACTTCCAGCAAGTAAGCGACAAAGTCAACCACCGACTGATCTGAGATAGCAGCGTTTCCAGAGTCGTCTTCAACGAACTGAATGTTTCCAAGCCACAGAATGGCAGCCAGCATTCGGAAGACGTTGTCCTGCTCGGGCTCGCTCATTCCAATTACTTCCATTGCATTCAGTGTATCCCTGAACTCGGCACTATCGTCAACTCCAGGCACGTCGAAACACTTCGAGCGACTCGTATAGAGGTAGGACTGAGGCTGTTGCAAACCGAACATATCTGCCATTCATTAGCCCATTGCTGCCACTGTAGGGGCAGACGTCGTACCTCGATACTTCTGAGGCGCTGCCTTTGTGAACTGGTAGAAGATATGGAAGTTTCGCTCGTTGGTGATCTGACCGACAACTCGCGATTTCTCCAATAAGTAGTTGGTGATATTGGCACCAACCGGCTCACCATTGGTATTGAACTCTAATTCCAGGTACTTTCCGAACCGGGAGGAGTTGTTGTTGCGTAGTGTCTTTGCATTACCGAATGACTCGAGTAGCGGGTTTGTAGCCAAAACCATGTCCTTCGTCTGTTGGATGGACGAGTCGCTTCCCCCGGATACACTAGCGATGTACTGCATGATCCGCTTCGCGGCCTCTGTTTTCCCCGCCCCCGATTCTCCAGAAATAATCACACATTGGTTATCTTTGTACGACTTCATGTTATAGTACGATGATTCTGCAACCGCGAAGACGTGGGGTGGGACCTCGAGTCGGTTTTTACCCCGGTAGGAGTCAAGGACACGGTCGGTGTAGATACCCACTAGAGAAGGTGTCAGTAAGCATTGGTCCGCCCCCTAATGATTCCTCCCACGAGTCCACCTACAGTCTCGAAACGGGTTCACGGACACCAAGACATGTCCGATGTACGTCTAGAAAGAAGAAAATGTTAGTCCCGGACCGGCGCATGCCCCGCGATATCAACTTACGTAGATTTCGTCATGTTCAAAGCGGAGTTTAAGGTTATCGTTGATGGCTTCATTGGAGATCTTGCTCAGTAATGTAAGATCCGAAACACCAATCTCCTTCTTCTTTGTAGTCTCGAACACAGCCTTCTTGACCTGAGGCTTCCCCGCTGCCCGTCCATCGCCTACATCAGCGACTGCCTTGGAGCGACCGAAGCCTCGACTCTTCTTCTCCCCGCCAACAGGACGTCGTGAGTGTCCCTAATTGCGACCGTGTGTCAGCGGGATTGTTTCTTGTAGTTAACTCCAAGCAAACACTTCATGCAGAAAGGCTTCAGACAAAGAGGAAGAGGCGACTCACCATAGTTGTTGTTACCGACTACCCCGGATTGGGCTTCCAGGCGTCAAGATATGTGGTGTATAAGTTTAGTAACGGGGGTAATGTAAAGTAAGCGATTTAAGGGCAAAGAGGAACGAGCGCGAATGAAAGATCGTTCATTCCAAGTGTATACACACACGAGTAAAGAAAGTGAAAGTGTAAAAGGAACAACGCTCGTAAAATGAGTGATGCAAGATAACAGAGGGGGGAATGTTTAGGAGGAATGACGAAGTGTACCTGTGGAGGACAGTCAAGGCACTACTAATTGTTACTCGGCGGGACAGCCGATGGAACTCCGTCTGCGCCACACTACACACACACTGTGTGGCACCGTTGGGTTCTTCTTTCAGGTGGACAACGCGCAATCCCTTAAAAATTCCGAGTCTGGTTCGGGTTAATAATCTACACATTATTCGCCTCTTCAAAGGTTGTCACGACAGATTGGTGCCTTGTCCCTGGAGGTAGTACTGCAATCTGGCATTCAATATATTAATTACTATTAATAGCTTTTTCTTTGCCCTCATTTCTCTCTGTGTTTTCCGTATTCATTTTATGTAAGGTGGTTTGTGTTCTTATTCTATGAACTCACATTGGCCTTAGGCAGGCATCTCAAATGGTGTCCAAAGAGTCTTGTCTTTCTACGTCAACCCTGCACCCTATAGTTTATTATTATTCAACAGTAAATGTGCCCGATGTGGGAGTTCCCCTGGATAAAATCCAAGTCTGGTTAATGTGCACAAGATTCGATTTGTCATTATTAAGAATTAATTTGAGGCAATAAGGGGTGGTCCTGGATTTAGTGGAGCTGAATCTACGTTACTATATATTTTGACCACATCCGAGGACCGAGTTCAACCTCCAACACTTTCAGAGTGTAGTACAAAGAGAAATGGAAGACATGGTTTGGTTTTGTCAGGATCACTCACCCACTGTATCATGACCCCAGAATCCAGCAATTTCTTTTGCTCGGGCCTCCCCAAGGTAGTCCACTAGAATACCCCATCCTTCCAAGGTACGCATGGCCTGACTCAAACTCCGCAGTGATGGAAACAAATCACTCAAAATATTGGTTTCCTGTTCCGAGAGTATGTCGGGGCTTTCAGAAGTGACATGAGATAGCAAAGCCAGGGAGTCTGTGAACGATGGGCTTTTCACAGGTATGTCGGCAAGGCGAGTCGTATACTCTTCAATGCAAGGAAGCAAATAAGACGAATCAGGTATGGGGATTATTGAGCTTGGGGCTGGTAGAGATTCAGCGACCCTGCCGGTGTGTAGTGTCTCGGTCAGTACCTAAACCAGATCTAGTTGGGGCGATGGTAGGTTTTATACAATGCTTGCAGAGTCAAGAGCCCGTCTAGATTGCACTCTCCGCTCGCTGTGTCGAACGATTCTTCGGAAAGGAGGAAGGTGATGATGCCTCTTTGAGAAGATGAGCTGTCCATGGTATGATAAAATGATTTCAAGCGAGAGATCGTGTGTTCTTTGTGGCAAGGTTGAACGGAGGATGGCTCCCAGAGATAGTGAGTAGGACTGTAACTGAATAATGAAATCACAATCCTGTAGCTCGGATTCTGAAGTAATTGTTAGACTCGTAGTTGTATATAGAAACGGCTGAGATTCAGTAGCCAGCACAACACACCTTGCAGTCCTACTGTGGGGTTTGTCAAAATAGGTCCAACGACTTTCCATATGTCACGATGCCGAAGCGCGGTGCTGTAATATCCTTTAATCAAGGAAGGCGAACGACTTACTTGGACATCCATCGTTGCATAGTGTTGTATTATTGGGGTAAATAGTAGGGCTAAGTTAATGTACACTGTGGATCGCGAATTATAAGTCAAAAGTAAGAGAGGAGATTAAGGTCATCTGCTTCTCCCTTGTAACAGAGAAGGGTATCTAAATGTCACATCCCAAATATTAAAATACAAAACACCAACACCCGCACTCAACAATGAGCTCTATAGTAGTATTTGCTTGAAAGAAATGCCAAAATTGTCTAATCATGGGTGCAATACCTGTTAAGCTTTTTTCGACTCTAAACCTTGGTCGTGGCTTGCTGGACTCTGGGGTGGTACCATCGCACCAACCGTTAAAGGCGCTTTGGGGGTCGTTTTTGTACTTTCCCTGATGACGGATTCTGCTTGTTGCTCTGGAGTTAGTCCAAAGGACAGGTAGGACGTGATTTGTGTCCACCAGCTCTGCTCTTCGGTCGGTTGTGCCTCCTCTTTCTCGACGTCCCAAACCTCGCGAGGAAGAATTCTAGGTGATGACTTCGACAGCCCACTATGCTTTGCCTTTTGTGCGAGGAGTTCTTTCTCCACCGCTAGAAGAGCTTCTCGGGTGGCCTTTTCAGACTTTTCCAGCTCGACCAATCGAGCCTCGACGTCCTCTCTTCGGGTGTTTTCTTTTCGTCGAGACCTCCACGATTCAAAGACAATCAACCCACCCGCCACCATAAATAAGAATGTCTCGCTGATGAATGTCGCGCCAGACTCGATCGCCTTCGATTCAGAGAGTGGCCGGATATGGGGCTTAGGGGCTGGTTTCGCTGCTTCTTCGGCGGCCGCTTTGGCCTTCGCGACAGCGTCTTCTTCTGCTTTCGCATCTGCCTCCGTCTTGACTGTGGGGGATGTGGGCTTATGCTTCCTAACAGCGGCTTCGGCAGCCGCTCGTCGTTCAGCGGCAGCGTTATCACGAACAGCGCCTAGACGAAGACGCATATCGAATCGGTGAAGCGCTTGCGCCATAGAAATGCAGAGTTTTCGGAACCGTTCATGTTCGCGAGCTTGAGCTTTGATATGAGTCTACTAGCTGTCAGCACAGGTACGATGATGTACCGACTGAGTGTCACCTACAGCGATCGGTTTTGACAGCGTTCGAATTGCAAGTGAAGAGAGTTTTAAAGTGAGGGACATGGTGAAGGGATAGGGGAAGTAGAGAGAGGGGAGAGGTTAAGGGTGGAGAGTTGAAGAAGCGGGTAACAACGCAGTGATAAAACAAAGCCATGACTGTAGTTCAGGTGCGTCATCTTGTGCATGGACAAATGAGGGAAAATGTACCTGAGCTTATGCATGCTGATGTCAGCAATGCCCGTTGTTCCGGCATTCGGATCAATGTTTATCGATTGCCGTTTCGGGCAAACAGTTTGGAGGGTCGTGGGATTTCCTCTCGTTGTTCTAAGTCATCCCTTCGTCTCAACCCATTCAACCCCCACCCCCTCACAGGCTTTCACTCTGGTTGGAGCGGCGTTGGATGCATATACTTGTTTTAAGCGGCATTGTTTGATTTTGTTTGGTTTTTGGTAAGTGTTTCTCTATGCAACCGGATTGTTATTTCTTTCTTTTTTACTTTCGGGTCGGTGTTGGCACCGCCGAAACACTTTTTCAGGTACATGCCTATGAGTGGTGCGCGAACAGAGGCATACCACTGAGAAGGCCTTTTTTAAGTCTTCCTACCTCCTCGATTTACTGATGACGCATAGGCATAATCACGCCACTATACCCCTTTTCGTATTTGATTGTCTATTCTTGATGACCGTTACGACTGCCGTGTCTTGTTTCATTCCGGCCTTATGCCCCTGCGTAATCGCGCGTGATCGTCATCTTTGATACCCACCAATAGCGAGACAAAAGAGAAAAGAGATCTCAAAAGAATAAAAAATGGAGGCATTATCACCGCGATCAACAAACCAAGTGATCAAGCCCAAACCCATGGAGCGCAAGGTCTTGGATCGCAATGCTGCAGCTGCAGCTGCAGCCCAAAAAGCTGCATCTTCAAAGAACCATGCGCCGCCACCACCGTCAATGATTGCAGAGCCGGAAGAAGATGGAGAGCGATATTCGACGGGGGCATTTCTCGGCAAAGGAGGGTTCGCTATCTGCTACGAGGGCACTTTATTGCGCAACAACCGGGTATTTGCAATGAAGGTGGTCAGGTCTGAGATGGCGCAGAGAAAGATGCAAGAGAAGGTAGTTGGCGCACCCCTGCAGGAATGAGGACTGAAATTTACTGATGACGCATACGACAGTTTCGCACCGAACTCCAAATCCATTCGAAAATGCGACACCCTCATATCGTCACATTCCATCGCGCTTTTGCTTTCGAGAAGTGTATATACGTGATCCTCGAACTTTGCCCCAATGGATCGGTCATGGATATGGTTAAAAAGAGGAGATCCCTCAGTGTACCGGAGGTTCGACGCTTCATGATACAATTATGCGGTGCGGTAAAATATCTGCATAAACGGAATGTCGCACACCGCGACCTGAAGATGGGGAATCTTTTCCTGGATCAGAATATGGATATTAAAGTGGGGGATTTTGGCCTGGCAGCAATGATAATGTCTGAAAAGGATGAGAAGAGAAGGAAAACTCTATGTGGAACGCCGAATTATATAGCACCTGAAGTTCTCGATAAGAGTAAAGGAGGCCACACACAAAAGGTTGATATCTGGTCATTGGGCGTCATATGGTAAGTGTTTGAACTTTCCCTGCGAATGCTCGCGTGGAACACCTAAAGAAGACTGGGGCTAACTATTTTTTTCTAGTTTTGCAATGCTCACTGGGTACCCGCCTTTCCAATCAAAGACCCAAGAAGAGATATATAAGAAAGTGAGGAGTCTCACATACGTCTGGCCTAAAGACTCAGAATGTTCCAACCATATCCCAGATGAAGCCAAGTCGCTTGTTAGTTCTTGCCTCAACCTTGCGGAAAATGAACGGCCGGATCCAGATGACATCGTTGAGCATCCATTTTTCCATATGTATGAGGGCTGTATACCGAAAAGACTGGATCCCTCATGCTGTCTCGCCAAACCGGTATGGCTGAAATCAGATGAGCCTCGTGGTGATCGTATGATGTTTGGATATAGCTTGGAATATGATGAGAAGCTCGCGGGATATATAGAACATGTTGATGATCTAACCCAACGGTATCCTATATGCAAGGCAGCTTTCTATAGTCTCTGTGGCGTGGGCCGAAAGCCGGATGGCACTGCTCGCAAAGCTGCCGGGAAGAACTCCTCCAAATCCGCATTTGCAGAATGTCTAGTAGAAGAGGAGAAAGGCCTCCAGCCAATGGTTCCACTCCCCGAAGACGTTGTGTACAGGTATCCTCATGCGCCGGAAGGAGATTGGAGCATCCCTGAAGCGACCTTGCTCAGCCGCCGGGATGGTGCTCCACTTGATACTAGTGTTCTCTCTTCAAGGAGCACTTTATCCTTGCGAAGCACCTCGGCCTCGCTCTCACGGACACAAGCAGCACTTGTGGCAGCCCAGCAGCGGCGACAGGCCTCGCAGAGCCATGCGGCAACCCTTCGGCAACAGGCATCCACAGGTAGGGGATCTGTTCGGAAGATCACAGCTCTCTGCGACCCACCAGCCTCAACAGCACAGGCTCTTCCTGAGGTAGGAGAGCTAGCACCAAACGTCGTACAAGGGCCAAGTGGTGGACTTGCCGAGCGGCCTATCCGTGCGCGACGTGGTGTAGTGGCATCAACCTCAGGGCCAGTACGTGATCTGGAGCGAAATATGGCGCCGCCGGAGTCTAGAATGAGCCATGAAACCGGTATCTTGACTGTCGGCAAGACGCGTTCGCAGTCTCGGCGCCTAGAGGCAGCAAGTCAGGTGACATCTGGCCTGCCCAAAGCTCAAGAACGGCCTGTATCTACGGTTTTGGAAAAGTTGCCGACTGTCGCACGGCAAAGTTCCTTGCGCGGCCCGATAAAGCCCGACCCTAGAGATCCACCGAAGGAGAAAGAAGACGTCAATGTGACCGCAAAGGACGAATTAGCTGCTCAGAGCCGTCGCTTGGCAGCTGAATCTCAGGCGCAACCTGTGATCCGATCCGGTAGCAAGACATCACTGTCATCCGGGAGTAAACCACGATCCTCTATAGGCTTGCACGTGCTTTTCCATAAGGACGACTCCTGCGAAGTGCTGCCCCGAACCTCCACTGCCGACACTAACGCTGACTTGCGGCATATGCTTTCGAACCTGGTACCTTTTTCATCTGCTCGGCGACGAACAGCTTCGAAGCGTGCGCCCCATACGTACGTTATTAAATGGGTCGACTATACAAATCGATATGGTATCGGGTATGTTTTGGATGATGGAAGTGTCGGATGTATTTTTAAATCCGGTAATGGGCAACCAGCGAGCGGAGTTGTAATGCGCGATGGTGAGAAACACATTCGTCGTAAAGCTCGGCATGAAGAGCAAAAAGGAAACGGCACGTATGTATACTCCGAGGCTGGACAACTCGTTCCTCGCAATGGAAGACTAGTCGAGTTCTACGAAAACTGTGACAACGACCTCCCGGAATGCCGTGGTGGCATCCGCCGCGCCTTTATCTCTCCTTCCGTGTTTGAGCGGGAGAGCTCGTCGAGTAGCTCATCTGGTCTTGTATACAAGGCCCGGCTGAATGCCAGTGTTGAATGTGCGCGCGCTGATGCAGAAAAGATCAAACGTGTCAAATTGGCTCATCAATTTGGCGAATATATGATCGGATCTCTGGGCCGAAATGAAGCGTATCTTGAAGACCAGCTGCCCCCTGACCATCACGGCCAATTCATCAAGTTCTACCAGCGCTTTGGCAACGTGGGTGTCTGGGGTTTCGGCGATGGTGCATTCCAGGTTTGTGTATTATTCGTATCTGTTCTGAGTCGCGTGCTGATAATCTTGCCCTCTGTAGTTCAACTTCCCTGATCATACAAAGATTGTTATATCACCGGGCCGCACTAGAAGCTCTTCACCGTGGATTGACTTTTATCACCTATCTCCGTCCGCTGCTCGCTACTTAAGTTCCAAGGGAAAAATGCATCCGTCTGGATTCGATAGTCGATCAATGGCATCCGACGAGGCTGGCACCTTCCTTAGTATCGCTTATGGTGCTGGCACTAGCCCCAAGGATGAGCGACTTCGCGACATCCTGGAGGCCAACGCATTTTTACCGAAGATTACCTTCATGAAAGCCGTTCTCAAAGGCTGGATCAGGCTTGGTCGCCTGGGCGAACGACCCGCTCCAGACGAGAAGCCAACAAACGATGGGGTCTCTGGCCCACTTGGGTTGTTTTGGGAGGGTGCTCAGGAAAGACCGCACCCCGGAGGAAGCGGTGGCAGATTTGTCTGGGTCACTGTAGGGGCTCCAGGAGGGGACACAGAGTATCGGTCCGTCTCCTTGAAGAAGGCCGAGAATGAAATCGACGGGGAAATGGATGCATTGAGAGAGCGCTTGCGACGGTTGGGGGCTCCATCGTAACCGATGGGTTCTGTTTACGACGACATGATTGACTTGAACTTATGTGTGGTTGGCTCTTTTGTATTTTCATGGCGTTTGGCATTCTTGTAGAGTTGATCCGTTTAACATTTGACACTTACTACCCAGCATTATAATTACAAGTCTGTCTGATGTATGATACACTTTGTGCGAAACTTATATTTTCCTGCATTAATTTTAATAATTAATCATTGCCAACCATGCCCTTTCTTTTATTCGTTGATCAGAATCGAGGGATCGTCCAACTTCAGCAGGAGAGAAAGTCAATATACTCTCCCGATCAATGAGCATCTCGCGCCGGTATGACAGGCTTGATCCACGGTTCGCTTCGGCACAGACCAAATGTTTAGCGCTGCCGATCAATACCAATTGAGATCCGATCCGCCGTCACTGTGTTCATGAAAATGTTGCAATTGTTCCTCGTGCTAAGGGCTTTTGTCCCTGTCTTCCAGCGGTGTCTCCATGGCTTGGGGCTGAGCGAAATAAGGACTCCAAGTCTAACCAGTTCGACTACCATACGTACATGCCGTTCACGCGCCCGTCTCTAGTTGCTTCTTGGTGACAGGGTCTTATTCACGGTAGTTCCCTCCGGCATTAGCTCAAGCTAAGTGTGCATATGAGCTCCCCCGATTTGGTCCAATTTCAAATTACCCACAGCGGATCCGCAGACAGCGTCAAACTCCGAGTCACGCCTGGCTACGAGTGGCTGTTTCCTGCTAGATCTTTCTCGAGTTCCCGTCCGGTCTATTCAAGTGTCGGAAAGCTTGCCAAAAGTTTCTCGATCTGAAGTGATTAGGGTCTAGCCGTGTGGGTATTGATTCAAAGTTTGACACGTTCGAACCTCTCTCTGGCCCAACGATTGGTTTTGATTCATGTTCCCTTCTCTGTCACTCACGGTCTTGTCGGGGCGTCCGTGCCACTTGCAGAACAATGTGGTCTATCAAACAGTGCCTGGCTGGCTGAATCCACCCCAATTGGTGGGAACAACCCGAGAGAGTAAGGGAAACAAGGATCATGTTGACCCATACGCCGGGATTCTACCGGGTTGTGGGAGCGCCTGTCCCTGCATATATAGGGACTTCACTCAGCTTCGCTACTTTTGCCCCAGCTGATCAACAAAATTCCCTCACCACCCTGCCGCTATGTCGGGCGAACAACACCCACCCCGTCATGGCCTCCCAAGACGCCTATTAGCCGCCTTCGTCGGCCACCAGGAGCCTACTCTTCCAACAGTAGCACCCCATGGCACCCCTAGGATGGCCAACCAGAGTGAAGACGTAGGATTGCCAGCAGAAGCACGTGCAAAGCGCCTCGCCATCGCGAAAACAGATGCAAGCGCGTTAATCCCACCAAACGACAAGCTTCTCGTGTTCCGTGCCCTAACAGGCATAGACAGCATCCCGACGCTAAACACTCTCCACCATTACCACCGTACTGCACCCAACGTGGGCATCTACACACGAGTGATCCAAGCAGAACAATTCACTGTCCAGCGATATCGCTTCTTCAGTATCCTTATCAACACCTGTCTGGGAATTCAGATCGTCGTCGCAGCGTCGCTAACAGCCCTCGGGGCCGCTTCTGGCCCGCACTCTGCGGTGACCGCGTTTGGTGCCATCAACACGATTATGGCCGGTATCCTGACCTATCTCAAAGGATCTGGTCTGCCAGATCGACTGAAGCACTACCAGAATGAATGGCGCAATATTCGTGAATACATTGAGCAGCGAGAACGCGAACTCTGTCTGGATGGGTGCGAGCTTGACGTCCAGGAGGAGATCCAGTACATCGAATATCTGTACGAAGGCGTTAAACGGGAAATTGAAGCAACGAAGGGTGGTGGCGAGAGTCGCGCGTCGACAAACCATGGCCAGCATAATCGAAGGTCGTTTTTGCCTTCCCAACCGCGCAGCCAGGATGCTTCCAGTCGTGGTCCTGTGACGATGCCAGAACGGTCATGTGAGAAGCCTTGATGTGGTTAATGCTTGTATATGGTGTTGTGAAGGATTGACTGTGATATCTTTATGAGTGTCTTGGTTTTGTCATTGTTATCTGATGTTTAGTAGGATCTTATATGTGTGTGTGTGTGTGTGCACAGTTATATCTCTATAAGGCTCCCAATCTTACGAACTACTGCCATCTTGTACTTAGTGCTGTCGCTCTCATGGTTATATACTGTACATAGATTTGGGTGTAAGTAAATAGGAAATGAATTCTGCTTTCAACTCCTAGCTCCTGTAAGTTCGTTACCGATGTCTTACTCTGTCGAATGCCGCTTGATCGTTTGAGAAACAAGAGTTTAGGGCAGACACCCAGCCAGCACTTGTGTAGCAAGTAGTACACAGCAAACAAAACACAATACATGAGCCTTGACAGGCAGCAAGTATATCCATCCTCCAAGAATCCAATCCCCTATCTCCTTACTATATCACACCAACACCGTAGCCGGGCCCATCCGACTAAAACCGAACATGGAATAGAACCAATGTAACCACCTAGACTAAATAAATTAACTAATCTTGGCACAAACAAACCCCATACAGGCTTCGCTTCCAACACCATACCATCTCGAAACCCTCACCCTATACACCCCCCTCCCCCCCATAACAACCTCACACAAAGCTAAAAGAAAAGGGGAGAAAATGCTATTAGAACTCCACCCCGCCACCCAACCCGACACGCCCACCTTCGCAACCCTCTACTTCATCACATTCTCCGACCCCTTCAACAGAAAGCTCTTCCCCCGCACCCCCGACGTCCACGCCTGATGGACAACCGCCCTAACAAAATACGTGACCCCCGCAAACGCTTCCTAAAAGTAATCGACACAGACGCTGACCCCGCCAAAAACGAGCCTCGGATCATCGGCTTCGCGCTCTGGTGTCTCCCAGCCCCTATCTCTGCTGATGACGCGGAGCCGGTAGAGGATGGGTTCGCTCTGCCGTGGTCCGTGAGCTGTGATGCGGGGTTCTGTGAGAGGAATTTTGGGGAGAACTGTGAGAAGCAAGAACTGGTTATGGCGGGGAGGAGGCATTATCGTATTTCTCCCCTTTTCCCTGTTTTTGGTTTTTTTTTTGGGGGGTGGGGGGAGGTAGGGGGTAAAGGTTGTGTGTGTGTGTGTGTGTGCGGATGAAGCAGATGTGGATATTTAGGGACGCATCCCGGGGCAAGGAGGAGGGGGTTTGCGACGATGCTTGTGCAGTGGGGGGTTGGAGAGGGCCAGGGAGGAGGGTGTGCCGGTTTATTTGGCGTCGACGGCCCAGGGCAGGGCTGTTTATGAGAGGTTGGGGTTTGAGGTGAGGTTGGAGAGGGGGGTAGATGGGTCTGTGCACGATTCGATGGTTTGGGAGGTGGATAATAGGGAATAGAGCTGCTGAAGATTGTATGTATGGCCGTGATACATTCAATGGATTTCAACTTCACGTTGGCTGGGCCGGTACACTGCCCGATCAGCAAGCAGCTGAGGCGTAGTGGTATCATGACTCGGCAGTACAACCACATCAGTCCCTCTTGCAAACTCATTGATGGTTTTAAGGGTCTGCACGGCACGCTTCGGATCCTCATTAATACCGCCCGGGTCCTCCTTCTCTAGAAGATCTAGACTGAATGTCGCATCTCCCGGAAGGAAGTATGTGACCTTTCCCCCTCCCTCGCTTTCGTCATCACCGTAGACGATAACGCTGACATGACCGGGTGCATGCCCAGATGTATCCACAATCACAATCTTGCCATCCTCCGTCAGAGGATAAGACTGCTGCCACGGCCCCACCGGATGGGACTCAAAATCTATTTTTCTCGGTGTAAAGCATTTCGGCCAGGGATTGGATGTTGCGCCCTCCATGCTTGCGAGCAGCGGATGCTTTCCGAAAGCTTCCCAGTTTTGACGACTGATGTAAACGGGGAGATTTGGGGCTTCGGTGAGCAGGTCATGTAGGCCGCCGATATGGTCTTTATGGTGGTGGCTCAGAATGACGCTTTTGAGATCAGCCACCCTGATACCATGCTTGTGGAGCTGCTCCAGGATGCCCTCTTGACGCTGGATGGTGAATTCGCTGTGACGGCCTTTGAAAAGCGCCAAGCGAGGGGGAGGGCCTGTGTCAATGCAGCAGGGAGATTGACCGGTGTCCATAAGGAAAAGTCCTTCTGGGTGGCGGATCAAGAAGACCCCAACTGGAAACGGCTCTGTCCATCGCCTGTCGCACAGCGACTTTATCCGACGAAGCAGCGCAAAGCTGCTCGCAGATTGTGAGCGCATCGTGGGTCTGATGCGCAATGTTCCTGTGCTGAAGAAAGTCAGCTGCACAGCGTCGTCATTGTTCGTAGCCGTAGCCACTGTGTTTTGGGTATCCATTCAAGAGGCTCTCCTAGATAATGTGGGACCTGAAAGAGAAAATGTCTAGGGAGGATGAGAATACGAGAGAATGTTAGTCACTAGCACTAGCACAGGCCTCACAGAACGACAGATTAGCCGGAATGAGATTATAAAACGCAACGGTTACATCCGACCCCTCTCGGGTGTATCTCCAGATCACAACGGGTCTTTGACGCCCTGTTAGTCTGATAATTATGCAACTGACAGAGACACTTACAGTGAAAGCATGGTATGGCACGCACACGGCACGAGCCCGGGGTTGCGCGGATGAACCCGTGCGTCTTCGGCATTCTAACAGTAAAAGAGTCACTCTTGTATAAACTCTTGCCAAGAATACGGGGAGAATATGTTCAAAGGCAGTTTCTCTCTCTCAAGACTAGACTTTGGGATGTGTGTAGACTCGTTGCACCGAATGCTCTGAGTAGTCCATATTTGGTCACTTCCTAGCGAGCTGATTAGCTGACCAAGACCTTTTCAAGCCGTGTTATTGATAAGGGCGTATACTGTACCTCTAGGAAAAGGAAGCCTATCAGAGCGTTTAGATGTGGAGATTGCATGGGATTAGAAATCCAATCCAAGAAGGTGTGGAGATTGAATTGAATTGAATTGATTATTGATAAGGAAAATTAAATCCTAAACCCCACTAACAAAGGACCACGTGCGATTCCCTTTCAATTGCGACATTGTGTACCTTTTATCACCTGGGCTTCTCCAATTCTCACATTGCACTAGATTATCGAGAGAAACATCAGCTACCACAGACATAATGGGCGACGCAGCGCTGCCTAAGGAGCATATACTCGTCGCATTCTACGAGGACTTGGCGCCGGACGTATTGGAAGCACTCCGGGTGAAGTTCTCCCCAGTGGAAGTGTCGAGTATAGCGTTGAAGCGAGGAGAGGCAATTCCCAGCGGTGAGATCTTATGTTGAACGAATGTATCCATATAACCGATACTGATAAACTGCGGATAATTGTGTAGAACTGGCTCGCCAAGTAACCTACATCGTCACATTCACGAATCTGCCGAACCCCGAGGATGCCGAGAAGTACGTATTCTACGCATGCATCAATGCAACAGCGCACGGATTTAACCCATAACAGCATTAAACTCATCCATTTCCTCTCGGCTGGCCTAGACCACTCCATCCACCATCCCATTTTCACGGAAACCACGATCCCCCTAACAAGTAGCTCCGGTGTTCACGGGCCCCCGATTGCCGAATGGACGTTGATGAATTGGCTCGTTGCCTCGCGCAAATTCGCCTACACGTATGAAGACCAGAAGAAGCATGTATGGCGCGGTAATGTCGACGGTCACTTGCAGCGAATCCACGATCAGGTCGGGAAGAAGGTTGGGATATTGGGATATGGCAGCATCGGACGACAGAGTAGGATCTACACCTATCCTGCGCAACGAGATCGAACTGACAAAAGATCACAGTTGGCCGAGTCGCGCAGGCACTAGGAATGGAGGTCCACGCCTACACAGCCTCACCGCGACCTACGCCGGCATCCCGACACGACAACGGGTATATCGTGCCTGGGACGGGCGACAAAGAAGGCACAATCCCGGTCTCCTGGCACCATGGCACTGACAAAGCATCCATCCACGAATTTCTCTCTCTGGGCCTCGATCACCTGGTTATTTCGCTCCCGTTAACACCGCAGACAACGCATCTTCTCGGCGCCAAGGAGTTCGCGCTCCTGGCAGCTAACACGCGACCCAAACATCCGAAGCCGTACCTGACGAATATCTCCCGTGGAAAAGTCGTGGATCAAGATGCACTGATTGCGGCGCTGGAATCGGGCGACTTAAGCGGTGCTGCGCTGGATGTGACGGATCCAGAGCCCCTGCCAGCTGAGCATCCGTTGTGGGAGGCCCCGAACGTGCAGATTAGTCCGCATGTCAGCTCGTTGGGCGTGGAGTATCTCCCAAGGTCATTGGATATTCTGAAAGTAAATATCGGGAGGATCGAAAACGGGTTGGATTTGCTCAATGAGTATAAGAGGGGGAAGGGGTATTGAATTCCTTTGGTATAGGGTTTTCGGTAGATTTATGTTGCTTTCGGGTTTTACTTACGATATGACGTCTAGGATTCGTTGAAGCACGGAAACCTGTATGCATGAAAGCGATTTTGTGATCGAAGTACAAATATTATACATCAATATATGGTATGCTGGTATGCTTCTGCTTCGAAATTACCGAAGGGCCCACCCCCGGACTACTTCTTCCACAACCACTCCAACTAATCCACAGCCGAGAACGGCCCAAGTCCATGGGTTGGCTAATTCCGAAGGACTCGGCCAGAAGCTGTTCTTCTCACGACGCCACGTCTGCAGCTGCTCGTATTTATGCGGATCTTGCTCCTTGTAGCGGGCCTCCTGACTTTCCTCGTTCTGCTTGTCGCCGCCTACGAAGCGGAGGTAGACGTAGTTTGCGACGGGACCAAGAAGGACAAGAGGATTAAAGTTGCTAGCGGCGTTGAGAACGACGAAAGAGATGTGGACTAAAGCATCACCCAAGTAGCTATTATCCCCGTTAGGACTGACTCTTCAATTGAGAGAGCGTTGTAGATAGGACTTACTTCGGATGACGGACGATACTCCAGACACCATGGCGGCACAGGTCAGTTCGTTCCTGGCGGTGAAGTTCTAGCTGGCAATCGGCCATAGCTTCCATCGCGAAACCAGCGCTGAAGAGTGCGACGCCGAGACCACGAATAGTTGCCGCAGTGTCAGCACCGATATTCAAAGATGACTCAGTCAACCGGAAAGGTAGGGTAAACGGAAGGGTGATTAGAGTCAAGAAAGCTGCCTCAGGAAGGAAAAGCTTGAAGAAAGCGGATTTCCAGAACCCGGGGTCTTGCGATTTTAGCTCGTCGTATCTCGGATCGTCTTTTCCGCGGGTAATGGTTCTCTTTGAGATACGGTAGAATAGTCGAGTACCCCAGATAGTTACGCAGCTGAGTAGTATTTTCTCTGTCCAGGGGATGGCTTCCCAGGCGTTTGAAAAGGAGACATTCTCGTAAAAGACCTGGCGGCCAACAGCGCTCCACCAGGCGTTGATCACTTGACTGGATGGCCAACACCAATCCTTGATCTCGCCTCTGTCAGTAGTTTTCGCCGCGATAAAAGAGGCAATTGAGAGCCCGGTGTGTAAGGTGAATGAGGGCAAGATAGTCGATTTGAAGATGCCGACGTCGCCAGTGGTTAAGCCCGGGGCGGGCTTTTGGCTGCCTAATCGGTCAATTGTTCGGTCGATGTCGACCATGGGCTTTTTTGAGCCGTATATATCCATTTTTGCGATATTGGGTGCAATTGATCCAAGGGTGCATGATCGGCAGGCTTTTTATGGTTGTTGTGTCGGGGTTGATGTCATACTTTGGTAATTTTTGCTGTGACGTTCCGGTTACTAACTCCGGTAATTATCTCCACTCATTCATGTCGTGGTGTATCTTGTTTTCATGTTAGGTAGGTGTCGTAAATAATTGTAACACAGTCTGTCTCATCGATTCAGTCCAAGGAAATCGAATGGACACGAGGTTTGTATGTCGCTCTCTAGACAGATAGATGGGTAAAGATGTATCAGTTGCGGCAGTCGCTCGATGCTTGAGTCAAGGCGGAAAAGTCAAATTGTGGTGCAAGAATTTCATATCCCTCAATGTTGTATGTGTCTTTGATCAAAATGGTCAATCTAGATGTCCATAGCGAAATGAGATTGGGTTGTAAATCAGACGTAGAGAATGCTTCGAATGGTTCTCCACACCGGGTATATAGATCGTTCTTATATGCTTGCTCCGATAATACAAACAGGTCCGGAAGTTTAGCAGGTAGATTGATACCTACATCGTGCAACTTAGATCCTTCTGGTATCTGTTCAAATGGTAATTTATTGGTGTTAATGCGGCGAACTTTGGCATCTTTCGATTGCCCAACCTGTCGGCTTGTGTCCTGGCTTCGCATAAGGTAAGCTCTTGGGTCATGAGGGTCCAAGACTTGTTTCAGCGTGACTTCTGTGAAGGGTGACGAATTGTCCTTGGGGGCTGTGGATCCGTTTGGCTCGGAATGAAGATCCGCACGCGCAGCAAGGTATCTGCTCAAGTGTGGTGAGTTAGTCGAGCTAGATTGTCTCGATTGACCCTTCATTTGCTCTCGTCTCTTTTGAATAGCTTCCTTCTTTCGATTCTCGAAATCAAGGGCAGTTTCTAGATCCGACTTTGGATCAATCATAGAATGGTTATGCAGTCTGGAGGACCATTGATTGAGAACAGGAAAGTCTTGACGTCTGCTCCTCACTTCTGAAGTTGAACTTTGCAGTGGTACTCTATAAGTAAGATCCTGGGGTGGAGTACAGGAAACAACTGGGTTTTCAGTGGTATTAGAATGAGAGCCTTCCTGAGTAGGCGTTGCGCGGCTCGCACTTTCGTATAACTCAGGCGATGACTGCTCCTGCGATTGAAAGCGCTCGTGCGCTAACTGACTCAACGGACGCTCTTCCTGATCGCCGTCCGATCGCTTTTCAGTAGCCATCCGGGAAAATGCCGCATGGGTAGTCTTCCCAAACCAGGTGTCTAAAGCTCCATTGCCATACCTTTCCCTGGCACGTTGTCTCGAGGCCCTTTTAGCTTCTGCGCAGCAAGGATTCGTGGGAGACGCCTGGGGAGCTCGAAGGGATCGTGAATCTGGCGGAAAATCCGACGCTGATGCCGTTGATGTGGTTGGACTGGGTAAAAGGGAACCTGCTGAGTACCTTCGCGGTGTCTCTTGTGAACCCCTGCGTCTTTCTGCGGATACTAGTGAATGCTTATCCACTGTCGGTCGATGGACTGTTTTATTTTCGCAGGCTTTGCGAGACGGAGCATCGCGCTTTGTGATAGACCATGGGTTCCCAAATACCTGACCGTTTGACCCTCTGCGGCTCTCAATACCTGATCCTCCATCCATTCGAGGAGAGGCTGAGCCTTGGCTCCTTATAACGTGTGAACCATGCGAAACCCTTTTTGGCTGAGCTAGAGAGCGAGCTGGAATAAAGCTAGTCGGAAGAAGGTCTGGGTCCGCATTCGTAGGAAGCAGGGAGTCTTCAGATGGGCTTCTTCGGGCTAAAAGGAGGTCAAATGTACTGCTATCTGATATATTACCTTTATCTTTTGTACAGTTCGATCGCTTCTCACGACGGGTCTCCTTTTCACCGTACATACTCCGGAGGAGGTCCTCCACAAGTGAGAGAAGTCTTTGGGGATTCTCGAATAGCACATCATCTTTCGCTGGCTCTATATTGACATCATAACTTGCTTCAGGGCATTGAATATGCAGACAGAGAAACGGATCAGTTATTGACGGATTACCCTCGATGCGGGAAAGAGCCGAACGAAGATAAGTCTTATATAGCTTGGAGATCTGTTGACCGATTCCTCGAGAGCTGGATATGGGTCTACCATCTATAGTTAGGTACTGGCCAGTGCTGCTCATTTTTGTATAATCTGCCATTGTTAGATATGGTTTTGACAGATAAAAGGAGGACATACCGGCATTGAGATCCAGAAGAAGGGCCGAGAGCCTGAATTGGGACGTATACTCTGCTTGTGATCGTTCCAGGCTTATATCGCCTTCAGCGGGCCACTCTTTGACAACACAACCAGAGGTAACATCATTCCCAATAACCTTAAATGCTGCGCCTATAATTGTTGCGTCCCGCGCCGGGGCGTAGATCCAGTTATTATTTTCGTTTTTAGCTTTTAAGACTTTTAGTGAAAGTCGCTTTAAGGGCTGCGCCATAGCGTATGCCTGTATTAACTTCTTGATTCGCGCCAAAGTCTTCGTGGCGTTCTTCAAAGCAGTTTGTCTCCGGACAGGGATATGTTTAAAAAGATCAATTATACGGACTGTCGTGCCCACCGGGTGCGATGCACGTTGAGAGCTTCATGCACCAAAAGTTAGCCACAAGGCCGTAATTGAGTGGAGACCACAAGTACCTGATGAGCTCTCCATTTCTTCCATACTTGATGGAGGTGCCAACGAATTCTGCCTCAACCCGAGTAGTGACAGTTACACCACCCGATACCTCGGCAGCACTGGCAAGTGCTTCTCCTCGAAATCCTAAAGACTTACCTCCAAGGTTTCGAAGATCTTCAACGGTTTGGATTTTGCTAGTAAAGGCAGGCTTGCAAACGAAACCATGGTCGCTGGAAGGAATTCCATGTCCATTGTCTTTTACTTGTATCACATCAACCGTGTTCGGAGAGATCTCAATGCCTATGGAGGCTGCGGAAGCATCTAAAGCATTGTCTAGCAGCTCCTTCACAACCGAACATGGGTCCGATATTACAGATGTTGAGCCAATCGCCCGGACTGTGGTTGGGGGAAGGGCCGTGATGGGCATCCTCAGAGGCGGTACTTATACAAATGAGGGACCATTGCTCGTAAAATACCTGATCAAACCAATATTGATAAGGTTATGGGAAATGTTTTTTTATACAAAGGAATTGGATGATTGAATGATATGTTGGTGGAGGATAGTTAATTCGGCAGAGAAGCAAATGGAGGATAGTATTTCCACGCACATGATTGGCGCTTGCCACGTGAACGGTGATTAGTCAGCGAATTCTGGCCCATTCCTTCCAAACTCAACATTATTATGATAGCCCAGTGTCAACAACCATGTTGCATCTTTAATAAGACACTGCGTGTTGTGCCAGATCATGCCCGGACAGCAGAATGCTTTGCTCTTCGTTCAATATATCGCGACTCGCGATTCCAGCGGTCTGTGTGCTGATCAGCTTTCTCGCATATACGTCGCTGTATTTCTTTAAATATTTCGAGCCAGCGCCGCTAAGGGAACAGGAAGTGTGGCGCATCAACGCTCTCGCCCTTTGTATCTGGGTATGCTACTATAGATCATGCACTGTAGATCCGGGCCGCACTCCAAGACACTGGAGACCCTTAGACAGCAAGCAATCGGAAGCGGACCGTGCTAGTGGCCGGCAGCGATGGTGCCGTCGATGTGAAGCCTTCAAACCACCACGTGCACACCATTGTAAGACATGCCAAAGGTGAGCGATATATGCAACTGGCATCTGAAGCTTTTCGTTAGGCTAACTTTGTGTTAGATGCATTCCCAAGATGGACCATCATTGCCCGTGGACATCAAACTGCGTTTCGCATTTCACGTTTCCTCATTTCGTACGCTTCCTGTTCTGGGCAGTCGTGGGCATGTGTTATCTCGAAACTCTCTTGTTTGAAAGGGCGTCGATTGTCTGGGCGTCTAGGAACCTTCCTAGCGTAAGAAGATGGTTTTCCCAGATTTCTGCGTTGCGCTGACAGTTTTCTTAGTACCTTGGCCCCAGTGTCGTGCAGTTAGCTCATCTGTTTGTTCTCTGTGTTGTAAACAGTCTAACCGTGTTCATGTTGTTGATACTTCTGGCGCGGACTCTCTATTCACTTGGCGTTAACACCACCACCATCGAGTCATGGGAAATTGAGAGACACGCGACATTGCTGCGACGGGCCCGTCACTACGGTGGGTACTTGGAAGGTCCTGGTGGTGTCCGCGTGCGTATAAGGAAACAGGAATTTCCCTATGACATTGGAATCTGGTCAAACATCAGAGAAGGAATGGGCGGGAGTGCGAATGTTGGTCACCTTGACTTGGATTTCTTGCCATCGCTAACGATCGACTTTAGGTCTTAAGCTGGTTCTGGCCATTTGCCAGAACACCAGATCGTAGTACAGGGCTAGAGTATGAGGTCAACGGGTTTGAAGGTCGGTCACAAAACTCTGAGTCATTCATGGCTCAAATAGGCGCAGGACCGAGGCTAACAGGCGCTAGATGCCAATGTTTCATGGCCGCCACCGGATCCAGATCGTATTCCCTTACCACCCAAAGACTTCAGGGATAGCATTGCCTTGGCGGGTGCCGAAACCTCTGGCTACGATGTCCAAGCATTTAATGACAGAAAAGCCCAAGACCTTAGACGTCAAAGAGCTGGAGTGGAAATCGAGCGCCGTAAGCGTTTTCATAAACGGCTGCAGGAAGATCTAGAGGAGGATGAGCCGCAGCAATCTGACAGTGATCATGAAAAGGAGTCAAACTATGGTGAAGAAGGCTGGAGGAATTCTGAGGGTGAACGGCTACGTGACTTCGGCGTTGATGAGGACATTGAATTCTATGATGAAGAAGACATCCCGCTGGGCGTGTTAATTCAGCGGAGAGCCCAGGCCGCTCTGAAGGAGTTGAAATGATATGAATTACCTTGAGGTTTATGGGAAGTCTTCCCGTTCGCCCGCGTCTCCAAGGGCCTGTGTTGAGCCACGGGAGCAGGTATATTACTTAGCGTGGTATGAGCAGTTATATAAACTACAGATTAGTATTAAGTATTCACCCGGTCAACTTTGTCGACGTCCCCAAGTCCATCGTAAAACTTACATTAAAATGCTTCTAAAAATCTGTAGTCGCCAAAATGATATTTGGACTAGGTATATTGCCGACTATCATACGTCCCCTATCGGATCATTCACTTCAGCAGAGTGCAACGAACCCGTCTGCCCAGTCGGCAATCGACTTCCACAATAACTATTCTTATACGTGATGTCGGGATACGTGGTAGCCGCTGACCCGGGACCAGAGTGATAAACATCCTCAAGATGATAAGATGAAGGTACAGGGCCCTGAGACCGACATTGGCCTTGTATCCAGCCCCGACCCATTATCGCCACATCCGACATATTCATCGAGGTGTTGATCATGCCCTGTGCTTTCTTATTAGAATGTCCAGATCCGCCTGACTTATCCGCCCCAGCCGGACCCCATTGAGAACTAGACCTAGACGTCTCCGAGTCCTTCGAATGAGAGCGCCTAATCTGTACAATAGCCGTGTATATGACAGGTGCAGCGGCACAGACATGCGCCATGGCTGCCTCGGCACAGCTAAGCAGGAACGCGGGGGCTTGGGCGTGAGGTGGGTCGTAATATGTGCCCATCTTCGCGAGGGCAGGCATACGCGCCGATGCTATTGCGATGACCCTGTTTCGTTTGCTTCTCGTTAATGGTTTACACATACTGTAGGTAGAGGGAGAGGGTTTTGCCATATTGCATACATCACACCGGCGCTGAAGACAGAGATAATAGCGATTTTTTTCCTTAGTGAGACGCGGAGGGTTCTCAGGACTGGTAGGGGGAGGATTAAGATCAGGACTTCGGTTATCATGTTGACGATGGCGTTGGCGTATGCTACGGCTGCGATATTGAGACAGCGGGCGTTATCCACTTCATAATCCCAAGCAGCGCGGAAGGGCTTACACTGCCAGATTGCCATGGGCGTGGTGACTAGGAATGAGATGATCAAGAAACAAATGCAGAGGAAGTCGAATCTCCTGAATAGGATGATCGGGAAGATACGGAGGTATAGAAACAAGATGGACATTTTGACGAAGAAGATAGTGAACGGCCAGAAGATCTGACACATGTACCCTGCGAGACCTCGGATTATTAAGAAGTGTCATCGTGAAGCACATTTGGCACATACACCAGAAGAAAAGCTCATTTATCCGAGAGAAGGAATCGAATTTGATGTCATAGAGGTGCTGGCCGAAGCCTTGATTAACACCTAAGAAATAGCCTGTCAGTCTGATTGACATGATCTAAGGGCTACATATGAGAGACTAAGCTTACAAAAGTTTCCAAAGATGCTCAGTGGTATTGCGAAAACCTTTAATAAGAGCAATTAGAAAAGTGAACGCTAAAGGGAGTTTGGGATATCGAACGTACCCCAGCGAGGATATGCATGCAATCATCCCACCACAACCTCCGAACCGTCCATAATCTGGATAAGACACGTAGAATAACCATAATAAACGTCAACGTAGGTGTACCGATAGCTAGCGCAACCATCACCCTGTGGCGGTCCTTTTGAGACCGATTACATTGTACAGCGTCCGCTCGGACTAAATCTGTGGGAACCGATTATTAGCCACGATGAGCTTGTATACCTTCGAATAACGATATAAAGAGGTTGGTATACCTACTCATTAGATCTTCTAGGGGACAATGCTTCACCGCGCAACCAGATGCGTGCTTTATGAAATCTCTATCTTCACACTGACAACGAATGTCAGAAGGCTCACAGCGGGAAGCAGAAACGGCGCCATGCAGGCATTCCAGCTAAATCGAGTCAATTATAGGATCGAACCAAGGCATATAATGCAGGAAACGCATACGGCACATGGCGACAAACCGTCTGGAGTGTAACTTCCATTGGAACGTTGCGTAGCTCCCACACTACAGAGACCTAGCAGCAGCCATGGGCTGAAAATAAGAACGGAAATAGTGGAAGGTTTCATGTTTTATATTAAACGCCACAGTCACCTAGCACAACAAATAGTGTAATTATACATTGTCATAACAGAGAAAAGAAAGAGAAGGGAAAGTGTGGAAACGGATGAATCCCAGAGCTAAGGTGACAAAAAAAGCAGGCCTGCCATTTATATAGGATCAAGGTATGTACAAATACAGGTAAGTGCCTTTGATGGTCGTTTGATAGTATGAACGTCATGGAATCCCGAACAGCGCCGACCGAAATCAAAGTCAATTTTATCCCTTGAATCAGGGACTCGGCGTCTATGAAACCAGACATGCCCTGGCTAGGTATCCCATGAGATCATGTCTACACGAATAATCCATCATGATTCGACGCCGTGTTGCCGTAATAAGGAGTAGCACCAAGAAAGCTCTGCGAAGCTAGGATATCGGTTTCCTTATTCACGCGTTCATCTGGCAAATCAGAAGGTAACCGTTACCTTCTATTTGCATGGGACAGAATGCCACCCAATGGTTTCTTATAGTCTCCCGGAATTTCTCACTATTAGAGTTGAGCCACATAGTCATTATCGGCCCGGGGCTGCGGGGCCGTTCCCCTGATGCACTGTTCAGGCTCTAGTATCGGTTCCTCCTCATTAATTCCTTCTGTATTGTGAACAGATGCAGCTCTGACTTGGTAGGCCTTTCTGGGGGGCAGCCCAGCCTCAAGTCTTTACCCATCCTTTTGGCATTCGTGAAATGATAGTAATGGCCCTCATATGCTTTTGACAGATACTATAGCTTGTATCACTATCATATAGTATTCAACGGCAAGGGACGAATGAATATATAAAGCATTGCGGTATTATGGCGTTTCAAGGTATATTTAAAAAGCTTTCTCCTACTATCCGTACCAGACATCAAGCAGTCCACTAGAATTGCCTCCTTCTAGAGTGCTCCTAGACAATCCCACCAAAATCCTCAATGCGGGGACCTGATGCAAAGTCATACAGGCTGTGAGAGTCTCGACATTGATGTGTATTGTTCCAGCCATCGACAGCTCTTACGGGAGGTCCATCTCCTCCCAACACTTCAGAGGTCTCGAGTGTCGCATCAATCGCACACATTATGGCCTAACATGAATGATTGTTAGTGCCAGTGGTTTAATGAGTAAAGCTTCGTACGAAAACCTAACCCTGTCGAAGAAAATTGATGAATTGTTGGGTATGATCGCCATGATTATGTCTGAAGTCGTGACCTGAATGTTTCTTCGAGGCTTGGGCATTATAAATAATAGCCTAGTAGTTCAGCTGAGCAAGATCGCCTCACGTATGTAGTACTTAACAGCTTGTTACCCACCAGATAGTGTATTTGCTGGAAGTCCGAAGTGAATACTACTATTTGGATGCGTCTGTTCCATTTCGATGCCAACGTGTGCTTCGAAGGATGAAGTCCCTGTTTCTGTCCGCCTTATTATGACCAAGCCTCGACTGGCTGGTGGTATCTTAGCCAAATATATACGACATATGCTTTATGCCCTTGACACTTACGAGGTATCGATTTCTCCCATGCCGAGCCCGGCCCTTGTGGAGGCTGCCGTGTGTACTCACTCTGCGGGCGGAAGGTCACTGCCCGAAGAGGGACTTCTTGATTATAAGTACTAGCTATGGCACATAATGAAAGCAACAATAGAGACAGTGACTGACCCTTGATAGTGGATGATTCAAGTACGTATCTAGCGTTACAAGCCGAGTTTCTCTGCAGGTATAATGCCGTATCTAGGCCCGTGCATAGAATGAATAATGCGGTAGTGAGCAATAGCAGGCCCTTTTGTGTACGTGATTGCCGCTTTTCGGCGAGCGTGCGTAAAAAATCTGAGGGCAAAAATGTGTCCTCTGTGCTGAGAGGCGTATATAACTTTTTCTGATGGCTGTCCTTGATAATAATATTATTGTACTAGATCTGTTACAGTCAACAGGATAGGGAGAACAATGTGCTTAGATAAATGAAAAGAATTTTCTCTCACGCATCAGATACGCTAACATCCCGTCTTTCAAAATAGGCTCTGTCCACAAGAGCAAGCGAACAAGCTGTTGGACCCTACATCGTGGATCACATTGGTGATAGAGATTGAGCTACCAAAATAGCTTTCTTTGTTCATTTGAGGTATATCCATGGTTCCCAACTCTTGGCTCGCTCCTCTGAATAGTCTATTTGTCGAAATATCTCAATAGAGCTCCAACTTATTGAGTGTTCCCTTACGTAATGTTGCGCAAATTCCCAACTCCTGTACTGTGTCGATCGTAGGATGAGGTTTGTGGAAACCTGAAGAACCAATTTGACGATATCGACGTCGATCTGGGACACGACTTGATGTACAATACGAAGTCGCGAAGCCACCTGGAACCGAGGCTCGTAATTGATATATTTCGACTCAGTTCTATTGGCTCTGACGAAAGAGTGGCTGGACAGTTTACACCATTTCTTCGGTAGCGCCCCCTTATACAACAGCGTAACTTAACCTCCCTAATCTAGATCATTCCTACCAAGAATACAATTACTTTATACCCCATTCTTCTGTATTCCAGCAAGCCTATCGAACTGACTGACTCATGATTTATAACTTATAGGTGTATCCTATGCACCGATTGTTTATCTCACAAGTTAGGGCTGACATTGGTATATTCTATGCCAGGGCGGTTATATCAAAGTCGCTTATATAGCGCTGACTTCACGGATACTACAGTTGCTAATAATAGAGAAAATCCCTAACGTTTTCCACGGCTGAGTGACGCGGTTTCGCCGCACCCACTACTATTTGACGCTTTTAACCATAAAAATAAAATTCAACTAATTTAACCAGTAGTGAAATACGAAGCTATTTACTAGGGTAATTTCTTATAGTATGTCCAACTATCCCATAGCTACTGCAGCGCTGTGGAGCTAGGTGGTGGGGTAGATTTCTCAGGCTGCTCTTTAAGCTGCGTGTTAAGCTTCTAATCTTGATTTTAGCCTCTTTGTACAGATAAAAGGGTATTATTCCCTATCGTAGCACATCTTCTAGCCTTTTTTTCTATATTTTCGCTTATTCTTAGTTCGTAAAGTTTGGATTTCTTGCTATAAAAGAATATTGGTATAGCAATTTTTTCAGCTTTTTTAAGATATTAAATATAAGCAATTAGTCAGCTAGAAAGCCTTCTTTTTATCTTAAGGCTATTTACAGACTGCGGGTCTTGCGATCTAGCTGACAGGTAATCTGATAAGTTTAAAAAGTAGAAGAAATTGAGCCTTTAACTAGTAAGAGCGTAAGTGTCAAGCCCTAGGCCGAACCCTGCCTGAGGCACCAGGTCTACTTTATTCACTGTTGATCCGACCCTATAACACAAGGTCCCACATATTCTGTATTGATAGAGTTCCTTCTTTCTTACTCTCTTCCTTCTCTACCTTTGGTGTTTCGTTAGATCGCCACTTTGATATAATTCATACATATTGTCAAGGTGTATACGACCGTCACAGTGTATATAGTTAAAGATAAGCCTAGAAGGAACGCGCTCTTGATCAAATAGCTTAAGCTCTTTCCCTACAAAACTGTTACAAATATTTACTAAAGTAAATACTTTAGCAAGAATTTTAGAATATAGAGATAGAAGGTCTTCTTTTTCAATATACTTGCTACCAGCAATTATACGTTATTCAAGAAGCTTTCCGTACGCGCGTTTAGCGGGCCAAAAACACCAATATCAAGCGGTCGAAGAAGCTGTGAAGTATAGGTAGGTATATAGAGATAGATAATTTCGATGTCATTGAATTCAGCAGTCAGAAAGCTGCTATAGCTATCAAGAATAAGCAGCCATTCAGTAGCGGTCATATAGCGCTCAGAGTAGGGTTTAAATACATTTCATAGCGAGTGAAGACCCATTTTATCTGTTATCCAGCCATTCTGACTAGTTAAAATCCACCAGTCTTTAGTAATTTTAGATTCTTGAAACCAGGCAGCTTGTTAATAGCTTATGTTAAGTATAGTGACTGGCAGTTTAGAACCACAGTTTTATTAACCCTTAAATCTTTTCGCTTTATACACTGATAGATTATTCATCTTATATATCATGTACATAGCTCAGGATAGCATCTAATAAAAAATAGGCCTAGTTAGCTCTTAAGAGATACAGTAGGATCTTGTATTCGTTCACAATAAAATCTATGCCATTCCACACAGAGACCCCGGCCAGCTTAGAAAGCCTCATTTATTTATATCTAGAAGCCTTTTTATAAGGACTTCTTCTTTAATACTACACATGGTTTTATTTCTTGTAGTCGTCGACGAAGCGTAGCTTCAGATATCTGAAATATATCAGCTGCTTTTTGATGAATTTGGTTTTTTAATTTTTATTTTGAATGGCTAAAATAGCCGTCTGCATCGATTTTCACGAGAAAGAGGCATTTTTAATGATATAATGGTATAAAGATAGGTTAAAAGAGGTGTTAGAGCAGAATATTTTGGTGTGGCGGCCAAATCGCGTCACTCGACAGTGGAATACGTTAATATTTCCAGATACCCCAAAACGACACTGCATTTAATCTCATCCTGTCGGTCGCTATAACATACAGGTATCTATTGTGCGGTATGGGCTTGGCCAAGTGATGCACGTCGGACAATTCCAAGCCGTGAGTCAGGAATCACAGCCCCGCCTAAATGGGAGATAAAAAGATGCATTCTTGGTAAACAAAAATTATATAATAGGGATACTGATAATTTCTTACAAAACTTGATGTTGGAAACTTCATGCTGTTCTTTTCGCTCTAGTCTCTAAGATTTGGGGCACCATTGAACAACTGCATGCTTCGTTACACTGCAGGGGGTCTATTGAGAGCATTGCACGACAGCCGAACATATCTTCTTAAGTTCTACTCGACATTACTATTTGGAAACAATCTCCCCACAAAATCCACTGCCCATGGACATGCCCAAACATGCCCAAGGATACCAGAGCTATCAGAAATGCCGGTCTTACGGTTAGAACCCTGATGAGGCATCGGACTGGCCTGTCCATCCGGTTGGCGCGCAAGGATATCGATGTGTACGTATTAAGTTATAGAATGCATTCACAAGTGTTTTGTTCTTCCAATAGGATCTAATGCTTTAGATATAGTTGAATTGAACCTAGTACTATAGTCCCCTTTAGCTCTATTGGACGGAAATATGACGGCCTCGTATTCCCCCTCTGCGTCAGATCCCCAAGTGCTTGAATGTAACCCCGAGACAACTGACTCATGCTCTGAATCATGCTGAACGCATATAAGCTCTCTAGCTATCGTTTTATGTTCGTTTTTGTTTCTCTTACTAAATAAATTCTTTTTTTATTTTTTTATTTTTTTATTTTTTTTGAATAGAAAGCGTTCCAACTTCCCACGATGTCTATTCCCCCAGGGCGGACAACAGCCGACGTTAGCAATATCGTGCCTATTCCCAAGGAGTACACCCATCAAACAGATCTAGAAACCATAGTCACACGGTACAAAACTCTCCGGTTAAAAGGCCTTGAAGAAAACCCAGAAGCCTTCAGCTCTAAATACGAGGACGAAGTTAAATTCCCATATGAGAAGTGGCTAGCTCGGGTGAACAATCCACAAGCGCGTACTTTTATCGCGTTGGCCTTGGATACCGACCAAGTAGGACGGAAGTACGATGTTGCAGATCATCTAGCGCTTCTCTTAAGTCAAGAATGGCTGGGTACGGTCACAATAGTAGGGCCTAGAATTCTACCCGAAGACGACAAAACTCTTTCAAAAGCACCATGGGATGTATTCCTTCCACGGGAGGTGCCAGTTGCATCTAGGGGGTTGTTTCGCAATTCTACTTTGACGTATATGCTTGGCGGAATGTTCGTTCTTGAGGCTGGAAGACGAAAAGGGCACGCCCGTCGCATGATTGAACAGGCTGTTAAGGAGGTTCGGGCGGAAGCTACTGGAGTAGGGGCCAGTCGTGCTTTGGTGGTATCTATTACAGAGCGAAATAATGACGCTGCACGACGGTTGTATGAAGGTTGCTCATTTGATGTGTGGGATGGTGAGCTTGTGCTGCAAATTCCACGCGAGCAGGAGTGCGTTGCTATGGTTTTGGATGTTCAACTCTAGAGTTTGGGAGAGCAAGGAAATGTGGAGTAGTTAGGTGTGTTTGATACAATCATGCAAATATTCTGGGTATTTATAGTATATAAGCCTGCTTGCACTTCGTCCTACTAAGCTTATAATAGGGATGGCATAGTGTCGGCACCTGTGCCCATGTCATGGCCCTATATAGGCTTCAATCTTGGCCTTGATGAGGCTTGGACAATGGAGTAGACGGGATGGCGAACGGTGATCACTAAGGGTAGTGTTCCTCTCTTGATTCGAAATCCTTGTATCCGCAACTAGTGTCGCCCGGAGAAGGGACAGCAATCGATAATGTGGATCTGTTATGACGGCTGTACGGTTGAAAGGCCGGATACTATCTTTTGATACCCGGTTCCCTACAGACCTATGTTATCCGCGCAGTTAGACATGGTAATATATGTGCTCTATGGCTTTCTCCAGATGGATCTAGGTTGTGTGAGACCAGGGTACATTATACTGCCCCAAATCCGTTTTCTCATTATAATTGCTAGGTGGAAGAATTGAAGCTATCATATGGGGTCCAGAGAGAGACTCCTTGCAAGGGTAATGTATGTGTCCGACCCTCAACAACCCGATCAATACGCGTTTGGACTATAATATGTCGCGTAGGAGACCATGTTGCCTCGGGATCATAACAAACTTCTGACCGTACCTCTGAACACCCGCCACGTGACAGCCCAGTACCATAAGGCCAGGTTGTAAATATATGGCAATAATCAGGGTTGTGAGCCTGTTTGACCTTACGTGGGGAACAGAATTTCGCTTTCCAGAAAGAGTGACAGCGATGATAGATCGGCGTCAAAAGAAGCAGGCAGGCACAGGCAACGCCACAGTGAAGCTCTAGCACCGCCCAGATAGTTTCAAGGGCTCCACTAGCTGTATAACACGGTAATAATGTGAGTTAAATCCATTAACCTGTAAAATGAAACGATACATACCTGTCACATTTTGAAGGTTATAGCTCTTCAATTCAACAACCCGCAAGATGCTAAAAATACAAGCCCTAGTTAGGGTAAGGGCATCCTGTTAGCCAGCAATCTATTAATGGCACTTGTGAGAGAGAGAGAAAATGGGTCCTTACAGACAACCAAGCGACAGAAGTAGCATTATTTGAGCTTTTTGGCGCAGTGGCATGCGCATTCGCCAGACTTCGACAAGAGGAGTAAGGAGAATCAGTATATCTTCAAGGACAGATAGTGACCCAAAGATTAGGAGGATAGCGTGACTTTGCATGCAAATGCCGTCGATAGTTTTGATCCAGAAATACTGCGGCGGCAAACACAGGAAGATATCGCCGACAAGGGCTCCTACACCCCAGACTAAGGTGAAGTACAGGAGAGTGGTGATAGTGATTTGCAATCTTCGGACAGTGATAAAGAGCTTTCGTATAAGTTCAAGGATAGAAAGCTTAACAAGTATTTGTGAGAGTATCCAGAACTTTTGTCCTAGCCAAAATACCTGGGCAGCTGTCAGCTTAACCGACAGATCTATTCTCATATCCCTCTGGTCCAGCCTACCAATGTCACTCGTCTGCGTGTTTCCTCTGGCAGGTGCTCGATATTATGCCCAACTCCATTGAATACGGCTGATAAAAACCAATAGTGAATTAGTCTAGCTAAGCTTCCAGAGCAAGAGATTTCATATACCCACATATAAGTGTGCAGGCTACTAGACCATAGGAGAAGAGTAAGCCAGCTCCCATCAGAAAGTCTTCCCGTTTTAGACCCGCACTCCCAACGTGACGACAGTATAGGCGAAGAGCAAATATAATAGTGGCAATTGTGCCGCTAATAATGGTGACAGATATTAAGACAGAACCCCAGTAGCCGACCCCAGCCATCGTCTTATAGTAGGTGGGATAGCTAGCTTCACCGGGGCTGTCTTTCTTTGCGGGTCAGGTCGTGTAGTTTAAACCTGAAACAATATCACTCTTGCTGCTCTCTGTCCAATGTTTTGTTTGAGTTGGCAATATATAGGTTATCTCCAGAGATCCATGTTAGCCTTTTATGCTGCTCTGTTGGATTCTATGCTTTATGTATTAAAAGTCACAAACCTAAACAAATGCCGTAGTGGTTCACCTTCCGCTTCTGGTTAACACAACCAAAGACGCTGTTAGACGAAAGAATTGGATTTTATCAACGTCCCATGGTTCTGTCAGGCCTCAGTCGCCGAACTGTCAACTCTATTCAGTCGGCGGGGATCTTCGGCCGAGGATCCACCTAACCACTTAACGGGATTTTCAGAACCAGATTCTCAGGATGAATTGTAACTCGTCACCATAATTGCGAAATCTATGTTTAGTGCACACAAGATAGGCAGTATTGTCGACTGGAGTATTGGTGGTAATGAAAACATTAGCACGTCCGAAGGGCTGTGAAGTGTGATACTGAATGTTGATGCTAGAGGGCTGTACAACTAGGTATCAAGATGTCGAGTCTACTTTGAGTAGAAGAATTCCTCCTCTAAAGTAGAGTAGCGATGACTCCAAATAACGGACGTGTGAGGATGAAGAGTTTATCAGAACTGGATGAGAAAACTGATTCGATATCTCGAACTCGACTTGTCTCTCTCCTTCTGGCTTTTTTGTCCTGAGGTCGACAAAATTGGCAACGATGTGACAAGACAATAGGGAATCCGACTTAGCTCAAACCACTTGATCTCCATTTGGCCTATGGGGTTTCCTTCCAATTTCTTCTCCCTTCTCCACACTGCTCGCCACTGCTCAAGTCTGTAATGACATTGAGAGATTTATATCTGGTCCCCGGTGGTTGCATTAGGCATGCAGCGCAACCACCGACACCAGAGCGCTCGCCTAGCGTACGGGGTGTTCTATAGCATACCTCCTATTATTGGAGGTTGGAATGCTCAAATTGCTTACCTACTTTTAACAAGGTCCTCAAATATTCACCTAATATGGATTGTGGTAAGGCTCGTAGACCTAGAAGTTCCAATTTTGTTTAAATTAGTGTGACGAAGTTTGGCCATTTCTTCTTCACCCAATTAGACAGTGAGCTCCGGCAATCGTAATGATCTTAGAACTCTGAGTGGAATGAATTTATTTAACTGAAAGCATAAAATTCTATTATAATATATTTAGTTGAAGCTAGGAGGCTACTTAGTGATCAGCTTAGAATACCCAGAGCGTACTCACGTCTACTCAGTAAACAAAATGCAGTGAGGGGTAGGCCTAAAATAGAAAGGGAAAGCCTTCGAGCTGTCTAGGAAATCCGGTACATAGCTATTATCCTATACAATATGGACTAAAAAGAACTATGTGAAGATGAGTAGAACTACCATAGAGACAGGTACAGCAGTAAGTATAACTGTTACAAATGCTGCACCGACAACATCGCCCGTCATAACATCGGTTGTCGAGCCAGATTTTCCCTCATTATCACTCTCTCCCGCTGATGGATTGCTGGTACTGTTTCCTCCAGTAGTCGAAGTGACGGGAGCCCCTGAGGTATTCAGCCCGATCATATTCGCTGCCAAGATACTGGTCACACTCATCTGCTCTTCTAGCCCACTCCAACCATCCCATGTTGAGTTGTACCAAACGACGCCACAACTGTTGTTGTTGTGCCCGGTGCAGGTTGCGGCAGCCGCTGCACCAGAACCTTGGAGTTTCGGGAGAATGGTGCTATATGTCGACGGTACTAGCAAAGCTGTGAACGCGAGCCACATGGAAAGAAGCCCTTTGAATATTATCTCATTGTTGTTGCAGACTTGAGTTGGTTCGCAAGTATAGTCAGACATAATGTTTCCGCCCGATTTAGCAGGGAAGAATCCGTCCACAACCGCATTAAGAAGCCCATTCACAGCATTGAGCCATTTTGTAGTGCCATTCGTCTATATGTCCATAGAGAGTCAGTTCGACCTGTTGAGGAATTCCATAGACTGCGAGAAGCGAGCAATCTTGAGAAAACAGGATGGGCCCAAACTCACATAATTATACATATAGGCGGCACCTCCAATATAAGCACCATAGTTGTAAGTCCATTGCGTATTCCCCTGCGACGTACAGTTGTCATCCACATCTGTCGAGTCGGCCACATTCCATGTGTTGGTGTTCAATAGAGGTGTAGAGGCCGACCAATTCCAGAGCTTCTCAGCCCAATCTGCGTATGTCTGGTTCGATGTATAGCGAGCGAGGCGTGCAGCCAATTGAAATAGGCCGCCGTTCGAGATAGAATTCTTCATACGATATCCGGCTTCGTAGGTGTATATCTGCCAGCGCATTCCTCCGGCACATGATGAAGTATCCCACCGTTTGATCTGTGTGTTGAACACTCCTTGTGCAAGCGAAAGCCACGAGTATCCGTCGCTGACTTCGGGAAACTGCAGCTCGGCAGCAGTCATCGCGGCCAATCCCCAGAACATTTGATCGTCATTCCCCTGCTTATAATTAGGGCTTTGTGGACAGAGAGCCTGACGCAGTTGATGATCCTCACAAGATAGGAACTCCAATTCGAAGGCATATAATCCCCATCCCCCGCTTGCCATTGCATCCCCACACTCACTTCGTCGTTGTATGTCGTGTCGCCTGTGAAGTGCCAGTATTCGATGAGGGTCATAAACATGGCGCCGCCTTCCCACCACGTATCGGGAAGCTTTCCAGGGATCCTGCCGGACTCGTTTCCGTGATAGTAGTGCATCATTCCATATACTACCGTACTGGCCGCATCTTTGACGGACTCTGGGATCGCGGTCGCCTCAGGTAAGCATAACTGCATGGGCATAGATGTAAACGGGAGATGAACGTACCCTCAGATCTAACATCTACAGAGAGAGCCTTCACTGTGTGCAGAAACCGAAATCCCAAGTATACCAATGCCCATCCATTCAACCATTTCACTCCCCGAAACATCGCTTCCAATTTGGGGCGTACAAGACCCCTGATAAGTGAACAATCGCTTCAGACGCACCAAAGCAGGGAATCAAAAAGTTCGAAAGAAAGAAAGCAAAGAAAATTTAAACTTTTAGGACAAACCCAAGTAAGAAGTCCATCTTTTCATTAACAAAAAATTAGCCTTGGGGGGAGATGAGGTTGTGGAGTTCCTTCCTTCTACCAACGAACCTGCAGTTTTTAATGACTTCTGAGTCTACGTCAGCAGTCAAGCAAACTGAAGCTTTAGTGGAAACTCCTTGGCTTTTTCTACAGACCGGCATTTGGCCAGTGACCAAGGGTGGAGTGGCATTTCTTACGTCCTTCGAGAAGGTGGATCACCGGTTCTTTTTGAGGCGTATTATATCCCGTGCAAAGAATTGACGTTATAAGTTGTCTAACGTAGGCTCATAAGATTAATACCTGACCTTATTTGTGGAATATTCTGTGGGAGAATAGTGTGATTGAAAATGTATTAGCGATGCCTGAGTAGTATCTGCCCATGGGAGAGCATTCATTATTTAGTGATTATGACTTCAAGCCAATTCTCTCCTCTTTTACGTATTGGAGTACATTCAAGACGCACAAAATCAGCATTATTACTAACTGGATACCAATATATAGCCTATATCTTCCGTAGCTATGTGAGAAGTTCAGTACATATCACCCACCCTATGGTCAATTGCGAGTTGGGAGTGATCGTGGAGAACGATTCGGAGCCCCTTACGCTAATAGGTTCTTCCATCGAATTAACACCTCTTGGGTTTAAGCCGTAGGGTTTAGCCGGAGTCAATTGGTTTTAAAGGGGTAGGAGGCACTGTTATGAATCTGCCCGATTTACAATCCGTACGGCAGAGCCCTAGTTAAAACATACATAGTTCAGGTTGACAATCGCTACACATTATCGGCAGCTACGATCTTTTTGCGGTATATCTTCTTTTGAGTCTATTAATACGATTCTGAGGACTACTTTTCATTTTCATTTTTCATTGGTTATTTCTTTCAGTTTCGGAACCGCACTACTTCAAAGTGCTGGCGTAAACACACTGACTTGGTTTAATTAACGCTGCCAAAAATACTCCAGTAGTGGGCCCCCATTCGTTTATCATCCTCACCATTTGAGTACGTCGAAAGGCTGGAGAACCCAATGCAATGGCTTTTCTAATGGCTTTATATGGTACTCTGATATGTATTTTCAGATGTGAATAAGCCAATGGAGATTGTTGTCGATCGATGTGGGCTTAAATGCATATGAGACTTTGGTCTCTTTAGGGCAAAACAAAAAGAGCGGAAGAAAACTCAAGCGAGGTATACGTATGCTCGGATATCAGATACCGGAAAACCACGCAATCTGCACTGTCAACCGGGAAAGACAAGCTTTTGGTTGGATCCACTTCGCATAGGCTACAACAATACTCTCAACGATTGACTTGGATCTTTTCACTGTTCATGGACCAATTGTCACTCCTCCACATCGATGCTATGGCGGGGGCGAGTATCTTCTACAAAGGGTTGCTGGAAGCGGACCGGCAGTGACAAGATATCATGACTCAACACATCTAATGATCGTGAGCTGCTATTATATATCCGTGGTTTATATTTCAGTGGGAGAGGGAAGTAAAACAGTATCACTTAAATGTCTTGCCACAGGGCATGAATGGGTACGACACTGTGAAAGCTTGAAGACTTGTCTTACTGTTATTCGTATCTCAGACCCAATTAATTCTTATCCATTTTCCAGTCATATACGCCAAGCCTCTCCTGATGCTTGTCTTTATATAGTTCACCCTTTGTCAACTGCAACCCCTACAGCGCTTCAAACTGGTCATCTCTTCAATACCATTTCAGAGACCTCCCACCCCACCCCCTCCTTAACTCTAATATGGCCCTTGCATCAATCTTGAAGTTGTCTGCTATAGCAGTTGCGCTTGGAGCACAACTGGGCGCTGCACAAACATATACCAGCTGTAACCCTATGGAGAGTATGTTGCCAATTGAAGTCTCCTCCTTAAACGAGGGTTTGATGAGAGTGCTAATGGGTATCCTGCAGAAACCTGTCCGGCAGATGTTGGTCTGGCCAATTCTACCTTGACTACTGGCTTCACCTCCGGGGAGTCAGCCTTCAAGTACTGGAACACTACGTCCGGTACGGTGAGCAGCACATCGCTGGGTGCCGAATTTTCCATCAAGAAACAGGGCGATGCTCCTACCATAGAGAGCAAGTTCTACATATTCTTTGGCTATGTAGAAATGAAAATGAGAGCCGCAAACGGTACTGGCATTGTCAGCACGTTGGTCATCGAATCTGACGACCTTGATGAGATCGACTGGGTATATCACCCGTTCCTCCACCGGGTTAATAACATACCTAACGATGAATACAGGAGCAAGTTAGCAGCTATGACAACCAAATCCAAACCAATTACTTTGGTAAGGGCAACACAACTTCCTATGATCGCGCAACCACAGTGACCGTCTCCACTCCCGACGAGATATTCCATACGTATGCCATCAACTGGACCTCAAGCAAGATTGAATGGGTTGTCGACGGAAGCGTTGTGCGAACCCTTAATTATGCTGATGCGCTTGACGGCGAAAACTTCCCCCAAACGCCTTCGCGGATCAAGATCGGTATCTGGGCCGGAGGTGACCCCGACAACTCCGAGGGTACCATTGAATGGGCTGGTGGCGAGACCGACTACGATGACAGCCCTTTCACTATGTATGTCGAGTCGGTCAAGGTTATCAACTACAACCCTGCTAGGTCTTATACCTATACCGATAAGACTGGTGCCTTCACTAGTATCAAAGCGTCGAACGTATCGACTGCCTCGAACTCATCCACTTCTACGACCTCCCTGTTTCGTACAAACACGAAGTCATCAACCAATAGCAGCACCTCTTCCTCTGTCAGTATCGCATCCAGCACTGCGTTCAGTGGCGCTTCCACTGTCTTGAGTTCGTCTTTCGGCTCTCTGTTCGTGGGTTCAATTGTCACTATCACTACTGGTATGCTGGGTATCTAGGCTATCCATGAAATAGCGGCGCTCTATTATGTCTATCTTAGTACTAGACCAGATAAGGAGGCTTCTTAGATTTTCTTTGCCTCTGACTTTTGAGGTCTACTTCATTTCGAATCTACGACATTCATTCTACTTTAACCGCTGCATGTTTTATTGACTTGCTTGAGAATAGCGACATATAACGATGTAGTATTTGAATGCGGTTAGCTATCTCATGCGCTCTACTATGTAATCTGCATCAAGTGATACATTCATACAGATCACTAGGGTTTGGAAGATAGAGTGACTATATCAAAGACACGTTGGGGGATTTCCGCGGTGCTACGTCAGCATAGAACCGGAACAATGGAATGATCCGGATCCGGATCCACCATATTGCGATCCTCGCCCAACCAACTCACTCTCCAATTCTCTTAGCATACCTTCCTATTTCACAGACACAATGCCATCATCTGCCGAGAACTCTCCCTCCAATGGGGCGACTGATGAATCCCCGAGTGAGTTCCCGAATGGGACCCCGGACGAACCCTCGGATGAGCCCGTTCCGCATCTAAAAATTCCTCCGCATATCCTAAGTCTTCGTCAGAAGATCTTCGCGCTAGACTCACCTCTCACGATACCCGTGGCCGAATTTAACAATGCTTGGAAATATTTAGATAACATTTACGTTCGGAACCAGTCCAGGTACGGACAAAGCAAAACAACCACCTACTATTGGTGTCGACTATGGCGTACCAAAGCCTACGAGTCGACCATTACCGATGAACAACGCAAACGAAAAAGAAAGGTCCGGGAGCCAATTGGCTGCCCATGTCGTGTCCGGATTGTGAGTGATGGTTATCATATGAGCGTCACCCGTGGCAAGGAACGACACAATCATGATATCTCCGCGCTCGAATATAAACTCACCACTGCAGCTCGGGATCTTGCTGCCAAAGCAGTCTCAAAGGGCAATAGGCCGAGTCTGGTTGCGCGAGAGCTCAAAAACAGCGGTATTGGTCATTTTATAACTTCTAAAGATGCCTGGAATGCTGGAAACCTTTGGATTACTCGGAAAGAACGGCGGCCTCCTTGGCAGATACATACTCCTAGAAATGTAGGTTCCTACGTGAATAAAATTACATATACTCTCTCCCTTTTTCTCATTTGTGTAGGAGATACATTAGTGTCAAACTAACGCTTTTTCCCTCTCCTTGTCATGTCGGCCTTCTTCTCCTTTTCCCCTCACTCTTTACCACTGTTTCCTTTCCTTTTTTCATTGGCTTTCCCACGTGTCTATAAGCTCGCTTGATCTTGGAGGCTAAATAATTCACCTCATCAGGCACTTATGCAAGCAATTGTGGCCAATGAACCAGGTCCTCCCGAAGTACTGCACATAGAGGAATACCCCAAGCCTCCCCCGAAATTCGGGGAAGTATTAATAGAGGTCAAAGCGTTTGGTCTCAGTCGTGCCGAAGTCGTAGCCCGGCAAGGCCACTCAGCCGATGTTAAGTTTCCGCGAGTCATGGGTCGCGAGGCTGTTGGGATTGTGGTTGAGGGCTCCTTTGCGCCGGGAACCAAAGTTATCGCTACGACAAGAGATCTACCTCCAGAATATTCAGGGAGCTACGCACAATACACCCGCGTCCCTGTTACTCATGTTCGAAGAATCCACCCATCCTGCCAGCTCTCATGGGAACACCTTGCTGCGTTCCCGGAAATGATTCAGACGGCGTGGAATGCACTGTTTCGGGCTCTGCGTCTTCATCCAACTGATCGTCTTTTGATTCGGGGTGGTACAACGTCCATTGGGCTCGCAGCAGCATGTATCGCTAAACGGCATTGTTCCTTCATAGGTTCGACCACTCGCCAGGGTTGTCGGCAGGAGATTCTTAAAGAAATGGGGGCTAACCAGGTCTTAATTGATGATGGCTCTCTGTCAGAAAAGATTAAGTCAGAGGAGCTCGAGTTCACCAAGGTTCTAGACCTGATTGGGGCAAAAACCATAGCCGATTCCTTGCAATGTGTAAGGCCATACGGGGTTGTTTGTATGGCAGGCACGGTGAGCGAAGAGTCAAACATTTCCAACTTTAATCCTATGGACGCTGTTCCATCTACCGTATGCTTTACAACTTATAAGAGCTCCACGGACGACTTTCAGAACTTTCCACTAGATGGGATCTGCCATGATGTTGAGACTGGTCAACTGAAACTGCCACATATACGAATTTACCTCGCTGGCCAAATTGCTGGAGCACATCAATGCCTGGAAGAGAATCGGGCAGAGGGCAAAGTCGTGGTCCTTTGGTGAGTAACTAGGGTCTCGTTGCTTCATGCGCGATAGCAAATAGTGTCATACTATTTACCCTAATAGCTTTGTATGATCCACTTAACTGAGTTTTACCAACCTTGGCCCTCATATTATTAGTTGATCATAGACTACAGGATCTTAATTTCCTCTGTCGACCATCGCCGGTCAACTGAGAAAGACTGAACTTGATTATGGCCGCCATACACGACTCTTGGCATGAATACAACAAGGATGCCAAAAAGCATGCCGGAGAAACTCGTACTAAATGCCTTATAACAGCCCAACGCGAAGCTATTGTTCAGAAGAGCCCTGGTTGCAAAAGGCTATTGAGAAGTTACCCATAGGGAGAGTAAGAGATAAAATTAAATCAAGCAGTCTGACATTGCTCTGGAAGATCACCAACATTGCTGTCCGAAGACCGTGCTTTCTATCCCCGAAACTCATACTTTGATGTTTTCTGTTGTGGTAGCTGCGAAATATAATATTAAACACCTGGATAGATATAACAACGATGAAACCGAGCGTTTATGAATGGAATGGACAACCGCTGGGGATATCTCTCTTCTTAAGGTCAATGAAGGTGGCCTCGGCTTCGGCTTGTCCCTTGTTCCTCATCCTCTCGGGTCCGATTGTTTTCATGTCATACCCCTCGTCACGAAAAGACCCATTCTTGGTGGGAACCTTTCCGGTTCCAAAAAGCCGTACCGATAAGGCTTTGAGACCCCATCGGTTCGCCAATGTCGGCTTAACGTACCATGGATTGTCTAACCATTGAGTGGTAGTGTAACGCCCGGTGGATGGATCCGGGGCTGCCTCCAGAACTCTGACGGCCATAAAATCTGGCCGAGGCAGGCTGAGATATCGCAGGAAAAACTTGCGCATTGCTACAAAACTAGTAACCATGGAGGAAAGAACAAAGCCCGGTTTTTGGAACCTTCATGTCGAGTTAGTACACAAAGATTTTCTGGGACAGAGCGCCTTACCCCATGCTCACTCGGATGTGTTCATCCAGCCTGGTCGCGACCACACGTTCGGCAATCGACTTCAGGATGGAAGGGTAGTTGGTCGTCTCGAGACTCATTAAGCGTCCACTAATCAATAAGGTCGATTTGGTTGGCTTGGCTGTGAGTGTTTGATATTCCATCGTGAAGTCACAGAGCTCCTGAGCGAAATGAACCCCATCAACCCATCCAATCTTACTGGACGGAAGGCGTTCAAAGGGTATTTCCATTGCTTCTCCCATAGTCCTATAGAATATGCCAATGGCGCACTTTTCCGTGTTCGTCAACTGGCGCCACTCGTATCGGTTTATTGACTGGAAAACATCGAGAACTGCAGAACCAAGAGTATGCAGCATATCTTCATCAAGGATTTTCCCCGCCTTCCTATACCCCGAATGTATGTAGTTCAACCGGGCGTACCCCATTAGATGGGCGTCGGAGCCAACCTGACGATCATGGATCTCATTCATTAGCACCTCCGTGTCAGCGCCGCGTTTTGTATTGTTCTTCTCGTTCCGCTGACCGGTTGCAACGAAGAGATCGGCCACGGTAGGAATAGAAGCCGTCTAAATATGCGCAATCGTTTAGCCTATGGCACTTCCCGTACCAGCTTCTTGAACATACCTTGAGTGTTGTCATTCTTGTCGAGCTACGCATAATGTACGGGAATTCGAGCTCTCTCAATTGCCGCATAATCTCATGGGCCTCCTTGACACTCATGCTGGATAGAGGGCGGCCAGCTGGCATGAACTGTGACTGAATCCGATCACATCTTTGGAAACGGAAGTATTGTACAAGCAAGACATACAGTCCTGTCAACAAAGAGGTAGCGATGAGTGTCTCGTATGTACTCAGCATTTTCGCAATGCCTACAAGGTGAGATGAAAACAACCTGCAGATATGAAGGACAAGGGCATCGATGAGCTAGGCACCACGCAACCATATGAACACACCGTACGTATACCTTTTTATAGGATAGGCATCCCTGTCCGGCTTGCAGATGGAAATCCCGGATCGTGGGTCTCGGCTCCTTCCGATAAGTCGGGAAGCTACCGATAAGCTTGGCTTTATTGTGGAGCATTCGATGAAAACGCACGTTGGTCATTTGTCAAGTCCCTGCTTGATCCCTGTTGTGCATGAAAGTCTATCGCAATAAGGTAGGAGCTGGTATCATAATGCTTGCTTCCTGGTGCTGATCCTCTCTGTTCCAGGCCGAGTCCCTGTTCGACAGGGACTGGTGTCACGGAAACTTGCGCGTATCCTCTCTTGAGATCATTTGTGGCAAAGCAGAACCTAAGCGTAAGCCGGGTGGAGAAATTAGTATCCTTATCTTGTACGAGATGTTGATAGTGTGGGATGGATCCAGTCCTCTTCGTTGCAAGTGGCAAGAATGCTAAGAAATGGGCAATGCATATCATGTCCACATACCGCTATGTTCTAGCCGGCATCAACCCAGCACACAAGAGTTGTAGTACTTTTGTAGCTGCAGGGTATCTAGTGAGATTGATTATGTTTATCAAGGGAGGGCCGGACTCAGCGCACGAGACTTGCCGTTTCTGTCATATCCAGCCCCAGAGTTTGCGCATTGAGTCCTCGATGGGTTAAATTATGGTCTTCAGGAATCCTAGAAGCAGAAGTTAGACCGATTCGATGTATTTCATTGAGATTTCATCTTATGTTAGTACGCCTTGCCTTTGATACATCGAGCGAGCAAGTCAGTGTGTGATATCTGAACCTTTAAACGTACCGGGTTGCCACACAAGGGAGTTTCAGTCAAAGAAAAAAACAATAGCAAAAAGGTGCAGGTATAACTAGCATTCTGCCCCCAGTAGCGGCGAAGACAAGAGATAGCGAATACTGATAAATTACTTATCAAGATATCCCACGACTTACAAACATGGGATCAGTGATTTAAGCAGGTGAGACAGCCGACAGCTACATGCACCATCTGAAATGTTGTGGAGATCCATACTGATGCCTATTTAGATCAAGGGAGCCTCGCCATGATATTTTAGAAGATGCGAATTCACTCACTGCCACATCTTAGCCTAGTATTGCCAGGCATCGCTAGGGTTACGCAGATTAACAAGGCCACATATCACTGATCGGTGAACATGTGATCCCTACATAACAAAAGCATTAAATCTTTCTTCTCTTTGTTCATGATTATATAAGAGTAGTTGTTTCTTAGGAAGCAGTCCTTAACACCTCTTCACCCTCCTACATCTCAGGTCATGTTGTCTCCCGTACCGTAACATGGATCCCTTACTCGCGAACCACGAGGTTCGCTCAAGCTACCGCAAGGCTCTTTCAGAAGTCCAAAGCACGGTTTACAGACTCAACACCCTCCAAATCGACCCAGAAGAAGCAGAAAAGGCAGGTATCCACCAGTTGCGCATGTCTAAGGGGAAATATATGTCGCTCGACCAATCCTCACCCGACAGACCCTACTTCTTTACCACCTACCGGGGGAGCATCGACAAGCTAAATGACCCAGACATCCTGGCGACTTGGTCAGACTATCAGCCTGACAGCGAGATATCCTTGAACACCTACGGCATAAGCCTTTTCTTTGCGTCCTATCTGCGCGAATCTGTGCTCGAGCATCCTCCCGGCGTGTACTCTCAACAGTATGATACCCTTTCACACAACTCTTTGATGCTAATACTTACATGGCACAGATGGAGCGGCCTCAACTTCGGTAACTTGTTCGAATCCCTCGAAACAGGATATCACTGGAAAGTCCACCGCACGTGCCTCGCGCTAACGACCTTTCGCATGTCCACTGGGTCTGACGAGTCGCTCCCCCATATCAAATGCCTAATCGAGAGTGAAGCTATCAGCGACGACCGTCTACTCCGTGGTGAGCTAATGGCAATTATCAAGATCATGATCGGTCGATTGGATACAAAATCACTTGACACTCATATCGTTGCTCCCGTGGGTTTCATCATCCCTTATCCCGTACAAAAGGTCCGTTACTTATCTGTGCTATAGGTCATGTTGTTGTCTGTGATGGGCCCACAGCATGTTCGGATGCTGGAAACGTATTTCAACGGCGTGGAACTTGTCGTTCGCCAGTCACGGCTTTATGATATGAGAAAGTTTGATCTTGGGGTTTTGGAGCGGTTTACTCGGTGGTGGTTCGGTTATGCTGTTGGGGAGACGAAGGCGATTGCATAGGGACTGTTGAGTGGGTTTGTATGATTGGTGCAGAAAGATATACTTTTAGTGGGTTGGCCCTTGTGCTATGGGTTAATATAGAGGCGTTCATTAGTGACGCTTTTTATGGCTTGTCTAATATCAGATGACAACCTGCGGAGCTTGATCCGATTTTTCACCAACTCTCTTCCTTCCCACGGGAGGGATTGCTAGCACTTGTGGAAATAGACCAGCTGCGAGAGCCCTACCCAGACACTGATTCAGTTCCTAGCGTCGGCTTTGCGAATCATACTTCTGAGTCCATAGTGCGGGCAAGGATCGAGATGTCGCTACACATAGCCAAAGCGGGAAGGCGTTGTGGAGATGACTTATTGTTGCTTCATTATCGGGGTCTTTAAGCCCAGTACATGTTACTAGTCACCACTATAATGTTAATAAATACTTGTCACGGTATACCTTCCAAGTTAGTATGCGGAGGCATGGAGTGTAGGAGTGTACATTCCTAGCTGTTGCTGCATTATCAAGATCCCGGTGCTGTTTATAAGGTCATATTTATTATTAATTCTCTGGTCCTCTCTGATACATTTCACTTCCTCAGAACCTGCACAAAGACTGCTCAAAGATCTGGCGATTATCTATCAAATACACTAGCGGCAGCACATCATGCAGAATCTTATCTATGCACCAACGTTCTCGAACTTTTTTAGCCTCGGAATGGAGCGCCAATATCGACCGGTGCATGATGGCAGAAAGGTGATCAACCAAGCCATAGACCGCGTCTTTGAGACGCAATACCACAACTCCGTCTGGCAGTACTGTGGTCCACACCATTCTGAGACAAAGAGACCAGTCAATGCAATCAATAAATGGCACAAGAAGCCTCGCAAAGAAGTACTCGGGTCATTTCGTCCGTGAGATCGACTACTTCTATGTTCTCTGCTACCCGGCTATCTTGATTGACCGACTGCAGACGAAGTTGCGGCTGTCTAGGTGTTGGAGGCGCATCAGATTAGGAAAGGCAATCTCGTCTTGACGCAGATTATTGTTTCCATGCTCGGATCTCGCGCGCACCTCGCGCGCACTTTGCACAGTGTTAGAGATCTTCAATGTAGTGTGGTAGTTGCACTCTTAACAACCATATTGGGCGCTTCCGAGTATCCGATACTCCCCAATAAAGTCCCCCTGCCTTTTAATTTGCCATCCTCCATGACGGAAAGGGTGATCTATGACCACAAAGACATCGATTATATTGCTTGGTCGGTACTTGACAAGCTCTGAGCACATTCTATGCAGGACCGATGTATGATGTGCAGCGCCATTTGGAATAATTCGTCGAATGTTGTCTGGGGTATGACAATTTGAGGATGAGAATCGCTTTCGGAAGTACAAAAAATTGCTCAAGCCAACCTTGGCCGAGGAATGGGGTCTGTTTTGAATCGTCTGCTAAAGTCCCGATACCATGTGAGCGGCCCATTGTGTGGTGACATAATGTGTTTGTGAGTTTCTCGTTAATGACCTCTGCCTTTGCGGAAAGTGCTTTCATGCGAATGTCGAAATGAGAAATATCTTCTAGTACTCCTGCTCTGAGGATTGATCGCGGTGTGAGCCGGTCGCAAAATCTCCAGTATTCATGCGTAGGATCCATTTTGGAAGCACAATACAGCCCATCCTTTACTTCATCGCCCGAAAGTATTCTTTCTGCAAGGCCTTTATCACCCACAGGTACTTGTACCTGCACCGATCCATCAAGGCCAAAGTACTGGCGTAGCTTATGCGGATTGAACCCCATGCCGGCTCTAGCTGCTTCGCGGATCATCCAGACGAGCGGTATAGAACTGATTCTCCACTTCTCATTCGTGTCGGAGCCAGCTACTCCACCAATGTCCTGCAGCAGTTAGAGACCCACCGTTAATTCAAGGTCTTGGAGAATTACTAACTGCGTGCCCTCCTGGAAACCAAAGTTCTTGAAAGTCATGCGTGCAGCCAGCAATTTCGTTTGCTAAGTTTGGTCGCAATGCAGGATGCTGTTCGTCAATGGCCACAGCATGGCGGACCACAAGAGCTGGATGTATAAGAACGGATGGTAGGTCTTCCTCCTTCAGACGGCCACTGGTCCCTCTTGCCAACTTGCAACCAGGTGCCATGTTCACTGAATCAAATAGGCCTAAGAAGGTGACCGTACATCCTTGGTTCCAGCTGCGGAGAGAAGTCATTCTTGAAAATTCACTTCTTGCCATGTCCCGATTACCACGCGACGTCGCAAGGTACCAGGCTAGATAAGTGTTCCATATCTCATGTTCATTGGTGGGCAGTAGTGTATCCAATTTGACTCCGATATATTCCAGGATTTGAGCCAGCACCTGCGCCACGAAGCCTCCAGTTGAAAAACCAAAGATGTAGTATTTACTGCCGCTGGAATAGTTGTCCACACACCACTGTTTCCCAGGCTCGTTTCAGCATTTGCAGCAGGTAATTGGTTTGAAAAATTAAGACGAAATCTACCTTATATGCGCGCATCACACGCATCTCAATACTATCGACCTCGTCCGCGGCGGTTTGGTCAAAGCAGCAAATTTGCGAATCACCCGTATCGCTGATTAGGTGGCGCATAGCCTGGATGGTGGATCCAGTCCCTGTTCGATGTCGATTACGGCATCCGCTATCAAATAATAATATCAAATTATGTTGAGATTTTGCTGCCACAGGTTCAGTGCCCTGAATAAGCGTTGCTCTAGCAGGCTTTATAACAGCCTCTTCGAAGCCCCAACAGATCTTCCTCGCGTAAATGGTGGACGGCTCTGTAAATCGAAGGTGGCCCCATGCCATATGCTTTTGCAAATTGCGCCGGATTCTTATAAATTGAGACTCGCTCCCAGACAGTTGGCCTAGAAACACCACCACAGGGTTAGCACATTGACCTGCTGATATTTCCTGACATTCCAAAATGAGCGCTTTCTTCTCAGTGATTGTTTCCATCCCAAAGCTCCTGCCTCCTCCTCTTTTCAAGGTGGCAAGAGGTAGCTGTAATCGAATTCCCTTGTTAGTCACTGTGAAGGGGGAGCTGTTCTTGAGAAATCGGAAAGGGACGATATTCTTAGAGTTTTTGAAGAACACCGGTGTTAAAGCCAGTAAACCAGTAGCATTAAGCCCCTCAAACTCAGACGCGTCCCACGCAAAGAGGCTCTGATCATCAGACACCTTCATAACCTCCTCCTGCAGTTGATGAATGCCTTCCTGCCCTCCCCATAAAGGAGCGGCATATTCACATTAAAAATCCCCATAAGACAATATGCCCTATCCTCAACCCTAGTTGTGTTTCTCGTCGAAGCCCACGACATCCGCTTCGCTATACTACAATCGCTCAGCGGGTCTTCCCCCGCAGAACACCCTCATCTATCATAGTAATCCTAGATATCAGCCCACTCAAGTCATGCTTCTCGCCTATCTTAGTCCAGTCTGCTGCAAGAAAAACCATATTGGACGGAGCAATGAGTTCCTGCAACGTCCACCCGCACTGGAACCATTCGCTATTCTCGACTTCTTTGTTGAGATCATCTTTGTTCTTATTGGGCTGCACGTCCTCCAGATACGCATAGCATACATCCGCCAACTGGTACCAGCGGAACATGGAGTTGATGGCCTCGGACAACTCAGCGCTGCTTTCTTTGTTGATGCAGCAAGTGTCAATCCAGGCGCGTACTCGTATCCCTCTCTCGCGCCTATCGCTAAAAAGCGTTGGATCCTGCGGTAGCCTTTTGTGTTTTCTGTATTGCTGTTTGGATTTATTAGATCCTGGAAGCTGGTGTCGGCGTCCCCCCATCTGTGTGACAGTATTGCATATTCGATCTCGCAGGTTCTGATCTTGTCCTCGCCGAATTCCTTTAGTTGTAGGGGTGTGTGTCTGGTGTGGTGTAAGCGCATTCTCGTGGATCATTTAAGTTATACGTTGGATGACACAGTAAGACCAATCCAGTTGTGGGGCATGCCATTAACAAAGCTACCTTTCAAAGATCAATCCGGGGTAGGAATTTGAATTCAAATTGTGTTCTCGAAATAGATGATTCCTCAGCCTCGCGGGGCTTTTTGTGTGATTTAAAATGCCCAGCCGCTAAGCGTTTCCCAATCAGGAAAAGAAAAGAACCTATCTGATCACGATCTCTCTCTGGTATACATATAGCGGCATGTCTTAATTTATGTAGAATATCTAGTAAGGTAATCGTAAGGTACGATGTCCAAGCGGTCAGACTTATGATCCTATAGAATTATCAAGAAGGCCCTATCTAGGTGGGAATCATGAGCGTTTTATATGTGGGCCGATTACCCAAGTATTCAACAATCCAGCATAAGACAGGTGTCTGCGATACGAGGTACACCAAATCCACCCCAAGCTTTGGAACCTGTAGTCTTACATTTGGGAAGTGATTACAAATGACCTCCCATTGTCCCATCCCAGAATCGAACAAGAGCTCTGGTATCTAACATTACTTAGTATTATAGCTCTGTGAACCCCCGAACCAAGACCACCAAACACCCCAATATCCCACTCTAAATCCGCGCCTTCTCCGATAACCCAGCCTCACTGTCCGAAGAATCAGCATGCCGTACCTCCCGGTAACTTTTAAAGGTATACAAAGCACTCAGTGCCATGCCCAAACCACCAAGCCCAATAGCCAAATACAGAGCCCCACGATATCCCTTCAACACATCACTAGCCGTATGACCCCCATTATTAACATGCACTTCAACCGTCCCCGCAAACCCCAGAGAGAGCGAAATACTATAGTTCACGACGGTAGTAACCAGCGACGCCGCAACCCCCTGGTGCTCCCTGCTCGACGCATTCGAGAGCATCAACGTAGCTGCGGGGAACGACATATCCATCCCCCATGGAATGACCAGAAGGCACACGAAAGTCAAAGCCCAGTATGTCTGGTGCACGGGCGAAATTACGACGAAGATATTCCCCAACGTGAAGCAAGTCAGGGACATGAGCATTATCCATCCGGGGCGGATCCGACTCATGAGATAACCCGTCACGAAGCAGGCGATGATACCCACTATTCCGGGGGGAATGAATTGCGCCGATGCGAGGAGTGGTGAGAGGTTGCGATACTGCAGTTGAAATCTCCAGAAGTAAAAGACCCATATGCCGAATGAGCCCCAGCCGCAGGCTACACAGCCCAGGATGTATGTGACGTCTGGGGTGAAGGCGCGCATTGGGAGTAGGGGGTTCTCGGAGTAATGGAGTTCTGCCACAAAGAAGGAGGCGAGGAGGAGGATGCCGATGATGAGCAGAACGTAGACGTACGGGGTACTCCAGCCAACGATCGGGGCTTGGTTCCAGGCAACGTTGACCAGGATGAGCCCAGCGATTCCTAGGGACGAGGCTGGTATATCCAGGATGTGTATCAGTTCGGAAAAGGTGTGCTTCCTGAAATTCGTATGCTGAACTGGTTCGATGACTATGCTGCCTAGTAGCGCGGACACTACCGAGACGATCGCCATGGTCCAGTATGTCCAGGGCCACCAGGCTAATTGGGAGAAGAGTGAGGAGAACACGGCGCCCAGGATGGCGCCGTTGGGAGCTGTCGCGCCGAAGATGGCGAAGATCATGTTCTTCTTCTTTCCTGGAGCGTACGTTGCCCCGAGGATGGCCAGTCCGTTGGGTAGCAGCATGGCCGGGCCAAGGCCCTGCAGGACTCGAGCGAATATGAATAGGACATGGTTTGAATAAACACTCAATCCTGCGACTAAGGACCAGATCGCAAGCCAGATGTACCCGACCAGAAACATTCGGTGATAGCCGAAGACATCGCCGAAACGGCCGAACACTAAGATGAACGTGCCCACAGTCAGGGAATAGCCCGCCATGAACCAAGACAGAACACCGGGTTCGGTGATATTAAAGCTGTCTCCGATTATGTCGAGCGTCGATACACATACTCCTATGTTTGTCTGCGTGATGAACTGCGACATACAAACAATGATAACGAAGGCGATCTCCCGGGCCAGGGAGAAGTCGCCCGCGATAGAGTGGGCCGAAGGTATGGACCTCAACTCGTCTGACATCGTGATAGGTATGAGAGTTGCTGTGCCACTAAACCAAATGGCGCACTAAGCTATTCGGCCATTTAGCCCTAGGGTGACCCGGTTCCATATATTTCTGGGGTATAAGTAGGTCTTCTACGGGGTTCCCCACCCACCTCGACGACCGCAAAGGAACAAGGAAATTGGCAATTCAACTAAGGAAATGAGCACAGGCCCAAGTGGGCCTGAAGAATCCTCCCGATACCGCAATTCAGAAGCTAGACCCGCGTCGGCTTTTGAATTTGCTGCGCAATCGGCAACTGGGACAGTGGGTCATTGCCGAAACCAGGAATCCTTCATTGCCACTGACTTTAGGCTAAGATATAAGCTGCATAAGTCAAGTAGGCTATAGGAAGCCATCGGTGCTATTAGACATGTTGGTACTATATTAGGCCATTCTGGAACCCACAGTGTTTGTTCTTAACCACGCACAAACGTGCGGTGTGCAACAAAATGATATGTCACTAATGCAACAGCAAGCATACGCACGATCAAACTTACCATGCTTGATGCGGCTATTACTCCTGCAGTGTATAAATAAAGAAAACTTATAACTCGTATTTCTCTAGATATGTGTGGCCTGCTGATCACAAGCCTCAAACTGCCTAGTATGCCAAGTACGCAAACTATGCAATATATCTGCACAGCAAGCGGGATCCAGGGTCAATGGCTCTAGGTATGTTTGCGAGAGTAGGTGTACCTGAACTAATATAAGATTGCTGATCCAAGAGAGAAGAGCCCCAATAACCGAACTGTTAATGTTGCACAAAAATTAAAATGGCTTGAAAATTTTATCGAAGGCGTTTTTATTTCCTATCCCGACTCCTCCTATAGTCAAAGAGTTGGGAAATTTTACCTGGACCCGCACGTATAAAATGGCTCAATTCCTCAACCCCGTTCTATTACCAAAGTTCCGACTACGATCAACCCGTTAGCCCCCCAAACAGGCCTATATAGGTCCGATTTGCGCACTAGACAGCCTTCCCGGCGCAAGGGACCCGCGACCAAGGTTCTGGAGTATACACTTGCATAGTTGCATCTGTACCTTTGTGCCGTGACCTGTCAGAGACCTTCGCGACAATTAAGTTCTTACACATGTGTGTTTATGTATGTGTAGCGATGTTGCGTAGGCGAACGGTCTATATTAGGGGCTGTCATGTATGTGAGATGATTAGAAGACAAAAACATTACCTCTCACAGGGTTTGCAACTATCGAAAAAAAAAAAATATCAACGATATCATTAAATCAGACCGAGAAGAATACTGGCGATCAGGCAACCAGGAGGCATCGGACTCAATCCACACTACCCTATCCATCACCATCCACGAAGATACATAATCAAGGCAAAAAGGCAATAACCCTAAGCCCAGGCCAGACTTATCCCATCCCCATACAAATATATCCACAAACATGCCGATCGCCCCACGCACAGAGCCTCATTGTGAAAATTTTATACAGATGCAACACCACATCCCAACCATAACTCAACCAACCCAACCCCCTCAATTCGGCACCACAATACTCCAGTCCCCTTCCGCCCAAACAATCTTCAACTTCCAATGCGTAATCTTCCACAACCCCTCCTGTTCATCCCGCACAAGCTCAAAGGAATATAAACTCCCCGCCAAGAAGTACGGTGTACCCGCCTTGATCCCATCCCCGGGACGATAATGCTGAGCCAGTGCGGACGCAGTCAACGAAGCCTTCGACTCGCCGTCCTTGACATTGACACGGATATTGTTTGTGTAGTGTGTGGTGTCAAGCGTAGAAATATGGTCGTAGCAACCCGTACGGATAGCGTCAAGGCCTTCCAGGAGCCGGCCGTTCAGGTTGAACGTGGCATCTTCGGTGAAGGCTGAGTCGAAGAGGGCAGAGTCGGCGGTGTCGAAGCCCAGTATGCAGCGGTGGAGTGCGTCGGTGATGGCTTCTCGGGTGGAGAGGGAGGGAAGGTTTTTTGGGTAGGACATCTTGGGTGATGTTTGTTACGATATTAGGGGGGGGGAGGGGTTTAGCGGCTTGATGTGTTGCTCTCTCTGTGTGCTGCAGGGTGTGTGGTGTAGTTGTTGGGTGCACGGAATCAATATTCTGGAGTGGAGGGGGCCATGTAGAATGGCAGATGTTATTATGTTGGCTGCTTATATTGTGCCATTCAACGTGGTTTGGATGGACTTAAACATGGTCAGTGTTGCGTAAGTCCGAGTCCAGGATTATCTCCGAAGTGTCAAAATGGGGCCAAGAGGATGCTGAGTAATGGCGCTGATTGAGTTTCCTCATCAATCATAAGACCTGAAATGTTTAGGGCTTCCTTAGCGCAGCATATTTGATGCTCGTGGCAGTAAGGACGGAGATAGTATACCGGGCGGAGATAGCGGTTGGGTAGTGTACACTGTATACCTAGAAATATCTTGAACCGAAGATTCCCGCGATTTGATGAGACCGCAATACCAGGTCTCCACTTTGATATTTGAAATGATAGACTACCATCATACCAACCTAGCCCTCTGAGCATAAGGGGGCTATTGCTTCACGGAATCAAGAGGCATTGTTATAATCTCACGCAGAAAATGAAGTAGATTTACATATCAGAATTGTAAGAAAGGCTCTGAGTCCATAGGTACACTTCCTCTGGTACTATGACCATCACTTGTAAGTGCTGAAAATATAGGTCTCTATATTGCCTTGCTTACACACGCTGTTGCTTGTTAGGGCTTGTAGTCCAAGATGATTCCCAATAGTTACACCTGTATAATAATTCAATATAAGCATCAAGGAAGTGGCATCCGTGTATATAGAACAACCATACCGGGATCTCGCTAAACAGTATTTGGAAATTAAAATAAACCAAAACCATAGGAACATGATAGATAGTCTTTCAAAGTCTCGCTCTGGTTTCTTCTATCTTCGCCGTGCTGAAAATCCCGCTGCGGAGACTAGTCCTCATTGAGACGATGGGATAGCGAACCCGCGAAATGGGATCCGAGTTTAAGCTTGAATTTGAAGCTATCTACTATCTATTACCAAGCATGTCGTCAGAAAAATTGCAAAAGTGAAATAAAAACATGTTTACTAATCATTTTCTAATGCAGATTGGCCAAATATCATCACGGATCAGCTATGATCGAGCCCAGCCTGGCTACAATTTACTCTGCTCATTCTTGACAACACCTCGTATGGAATGGATGACGGAATCGAATGGGGGATTTGTAATCGGATCGGAGAGTTTCTAACCTTCGAGTGAATTGTCGCATTCGAGGCTTTGCTACTATCGACCTGGCTGTATATAAGCCCTCATCCGGTAGCTGAGCTTGATCCTTTGTTCATCCACCCCACATCCCACATTTCAAAATGACTACCCAGAAGGCAATTGTCGTCACCTCCCCGAAGAAGGAGAGTCTGGTTACTGACCGACCCATCCCTACTCTCCGTGATGATTATATCCTTGTCAAGACCGTTGCTGTTGCCTTGAATCCTACCGACTGGAAGCACATTGCCTTCCTATCCCCACCAGGTACCCTGATCGGATGCGACTACGCCGGCATTGTCGAAGAGGTGGGCAGAGCAGTCAAGAAGCCGTTCAAGAAGGGCGATCGCGTGTGTGGTTTTGTGCACGGAGGCAATGCCGTCCAGCCAGAAGACGGCGCCTTTGCCGAATACATTGTCGCCAAGGGAGACATCCAAATCTGTATCCCGGACAACCTCAGCTTCCAGGAAGCCGCAACGCTCGGCGTTGGTATCACCACTGTGGGCCAGGGCCTGTATCAAAACTTGAAGCTTGCGCTCCCAACTGAGCCCATTAAGGAACCTCTGCCGATTCTGATCTACGGAGGCTCAACCGCTACCGGTACGCTGGCTATCCAGTTTGCCAAGCTATCCGGCTATAAGGTCCTGACTACATGTTCGCCTCACAACTTTGATCTGGTTAAGAGACTCGGCGCGGATGCGGTGTTCGATTATAAAGATCCCAATTCTGCTGCGGAGATCCGCAAGTACACCGATAATAAATTGAAGCTTGTCCTGGATACGATCTCGCTGGAGGCTAGTGCTAAGTACTGCGATCAGGCCATCTCTACTGAAGGTGGAGATTACAACGCCCTTCTCAGTGTCGGTATCGAGCGTGCCAATGTCAATGACCGCAAGACCTTGGCATACACTGCTATGGGTGAGCATTTTACCATTGGTGAAACGGTCGTGTCTGCCGAACCTGAACACAAAGCATTCGCGGAGGAATTTTGGTCCCTTGCTGGGAAGCTATTGTCCGACGGCAAGATCAAGGTGCATCCACCCAAGGTGAGCCCCGGCGGGCTGCAGGGTGTTCTGGAGGGGCTGAAGCTGCTGAAGGAGGACAAGGTTAGCGGAGAGAAACTGGTGTACAATGTTGCCGAGACGCCTTAGATTGGCGGAAAGAGGATCTGTGTGAATAGCGAACTAAGCAATACAATCAATTGGTCTCCTTCAAGCATTTCATCGAACAACCACGCGCCCTTAGCAAGGAGGATGTTTTCAACAACGGGAAACAACTAAGTCTACAAACAATAGAAACTTAATCAGAAATACCCTGGACTGGAATTTATTCTTTAGATTATGTTATATTATATTACTTCTATAGTGGATATAACTATATTTTGTTTGATATTAATAAGTGTTGCGGGCTAAATAAATTCGAAGTCATATCCTGGAGAAGGTGATAGGAGACTTGGAAAGTATTTTGTCTTGTCCATCTAATGCGTATAGTCCGACAAATAAGCATATAACAGGCAGGGTGGCGGAGTGGTCTAACGCGTTCGACTCGAATCATCAATGATACAAGTCATCGAATCTCTTCGGAGGCATGGGTTCAAATCCCATCCCTGTCGGTTCTTTTTTGAAGATCATCCGACTTCTCTGTCCAATTAGCATCTTGCTCTCATTGACCGATTGCCTCCACTAGTGCTCTTTTCCCAGCATGACTCGGCAACAAAATTACCTTCGTAATCAAGGTGAATCGAATCTCTACGACGGAACGTTTCGGTTTTATGCAATGCTATGTTCGGGATACAGCCTAGGGTGGGCAGCTTTTGCTCAGCGTGGATTAGCCTTCTTAGCCTTAATTGTCCTTCCCAGATTTGCCTCACATATATGTATTGATCCTTGAAGAAGCGTTTAACGATAGTAAGTAGAGGTAGCCACACAGAGACTTGACATTAGAAAAATAAAATAAAAATATCAATTGCAAGAGCTAGCTCTACCAGACGCGATATTAGGAAGCAGTCTCTCCATCCATGGATGTAAAGAGAAAGCAACCGATCAGGCTTAACGGCCGCCCGAATGGAGGTCAGTGGAGACTAAACTGCTTTTGGGAGAGCAACCCGATCTATGTCCTCTGCTAATACCAGAGGACAGCGGATTCTAAATCATCATCTGTAAGAAACTGGAAGGCCCTGGGAATCAATCCTATAGCAAGTGTAGACCTACTATGGTTTCAAGATTGTTACCACGATAGGAGATGGAAATGTCGACCAGATCCCAAAGGAGTTTAGTTCATTGACATATCGTGCTAAACTGCTTTGGGTGGGCACAGTACTTCTTATGATTTCACTATGGGTGGCGGTGCCCCAGAAAAGGTTTAAATCGTTAGTTCCATGCTTGGCTAGCGAAGAGGTCTAGGTTAGACCTCAAACACGAAATGATTTGCGCTTGAAGAGAGTAGGGGTTTCTGGAAGTGTGGCTCTGCAGCGATTGCGCAATCGCCGTGGGCGCTGATGCGGCCCGCTGATTGGCTGGTAAGGTGGATGAGCAGCTGTCAAGCGATTTAGGGTGGCACTAAGCGATGATGTGTATCTATAAGAGATCGGAATCGGTAGTAGATAGATAGATACATAGTATGTGACATAGAGAATGATCGCAGCTCAAAGCTGGTGAAGGTGAAGAAACTTGTTTTCTGTCCTGTCGGGCCAAAGCAACCAATGACAAGTCCGATCACTCGGCGATTGACGGGAGTCGCCGACGCCGGTGAAGAAAAAAAAATGTCACGTTAACTAACCTCTTCTTCATGGAATGCTTCCTTGCTTTTCTCATCCCTTGCTCTCACGAAAGGACCGGCCGCAATCCTTGATGGCCCCCCTCCCGACAGACAATGGTAGACCGGTCCGACCATCAAACCCATCGGGATGATGACGCAGCCAATGCACTCAGACCTCCATCGCCTACGGCCCATCCTCGCGGTGAGGATCGCGGTGAGGATCGCGGTGAACGTGACGCCTTAGAGCTCCACGAGATCGAGACACACCAAGATATTGGAGACGGCACCTCATCGGCATCCATTTCCTCGGGGGAATATCGCATCACCACTCGTCGGACGCTATCCCGAACCAGTCAACGGACCGAACGAAGTCAAGTACCACGCAAGGGACTCGCGGGGATCATCCAGCGCTTTTGGACGCGCAATGTAGTGTTGAGAGTTCCGCAGAAAAGTAACCGCGACCACTTTGGTGAGCTTCCTACGTTTTTCATATGCGTCGGCGTTGCGCAGATACCACTTCAATGCAACTCGGTCGCCTTATGCAGTCCTGCGTTATTTCGTCATCTTTCGATTCTCTTTATTTCCTCACGTATCCGGGGCATATCTGCTAACTACCTTTAGCTCTGGAACGTACATTCCTCGCCTACATCCGCACATCTGTTGTCATAGCAATGCAAGGCGTGCTCATCGCGCAGCTTTTTCGCCTTCAACAGCAAAATTCGCCGGCCGATAAACTGACATATTATGAGATCGCTATCCCACTGTCGGTAGCTTGCCACTGCACCGCCATCGTCGTGGCGATAATAGGAGCGAGTCGCTTTTGGAAACAACAAAATGCAGTCGCGTTGGGGACCATTTATGCGGGCGGTTGGGAGTTGAATTGTATTGGATTACTCATAGCCTTGGTAAGTTAAGTTACCGTCCAGTTGTGAAGTGAAGACAACGCTGTGAAAACAGCAACTGATCACTTATAGATCATCTTGGCGATTTTTGTCTTATCTATTGTGGTTATGGTTACAATTGAGTAAGAAGGACCAAAAAGTTGGTCCTATTTGATACCAAAGCCTGAGCAGCTGTCAGACAACTGTCGTGTCTCCCACTAATGATATAGCTTTAATAATTAATAATTACGATCTGCAAAGCAATGCAGTCAAGATTCGGGCAACCTTGGCCAATTACGGCAAGCTCGTATCCAATTCATCAATGGGGCGTTATTTGTCACCAATTATCCTTAGAATACGAATAGGTTGGATCCCGCTTCGGGCTCACAGATCCAGGGATCCAGACTGTTCCCGAGACTCTTTTCTCGTATCGGAACCTCTCATGACAACTCGATACATTCGGTGGCTTGAATCTTCCCGCCGACCATCTTTCTCTCTATGCTGCATTCTACTATAAAGTGACATCGCCCCACATTTGACATTGTTCAACGCCACAGCCTTTACCTTTCCCGATTCCCAATCTACTAACATCATAATGCACCCTAAATACCCAACATGCCCCAAGAAAAACCCTACCTGAGGGAGACCGGCTCCGCACAAGAACTCACCTCAACATACTATTTCTACCGCGAAGAAGAGCACGTCCAAATAACTCAAGCCCCTAAACCCAAGCCCAGGCGACGTTGGCGCAGGCAGAAAGAAGCATCGCTCCTCCCGGAAGACCCAAATGGCTATATCATCCACACCCCCTATGTCAGCTTTCACCAGCCTCCACAAACTCTCCGAAGGGGTGGCTCTAAAACTGCACCCCCGATTTGTCTAATCCACAACTATGGGCTCTGGAGACGCTGGAAGGTGCAGTTCGGTGACCGGATTGCAGACGCGATTGATCCGAGAGGCGTGGTTGGGTGGGGATGCCGGACTAATCCCGACAATAGCGTGGAGGATGACTGTGCGCTGAAGGGGTATAGGGTTCGCTCGTGGCGGTTATGGGCGGAATCGGGGAAACGGTATCATAAAGAGGTGAATGCGAAACGGAAGGAAGGGGTCTATTCGGAGGATGATCTGTTTCCACATCAGCCGGTTCAAGCGGACGAGGCAATTAGCTTGAATTGGACGCGGCCTTTTTCGAGGCGGACGCGCTGGTATCAGTTTCAGTATGGCGGTGTTGAGCTTTGTTGGAAAGGGACTAGGAGTTTGCCTGAAGGAAGAAAGTGGGCTAGAAGACTGATGCCGATCCATCATTTGAAGCTCACCGCGAAGTCTCCTGGTGATGGCGGGAGTGAGGTCGTTCTGGCTCAGTTCTTCTGCAGTTTTGATTGGAGTGAATATGGGGATTTGGTTATTCTTGATGAGGAGGTATCTAGGGTCTTTCAGTGTGATGTGCTATCGGACGACGTTGGCCTGTATGAGAAGAAGGGCGGTGTACTTGACAGGATTCATGAGGTGATTATAGCGACTTCTTGGTGCATGGTTTTGGGGGAATTCAGGAAGCGAAAGGCCACGATTGAGCTGTTGATTGAGATTGCATGTGCTTGGAGCTGAATAGGCATTGTTTAGTATCCAGTGCGTATGGTGTCATTTCGTCTACCTAGTCGATCACGATGGTCATGAGGCCATTTTTTGACGGTATCCTTCGAAAGCTGGCTCACCTTTTGATCAATTGTAATAGCTGGAGCAAATGAATACCCAAGGACTGTGACCTGTCCCTAGTCACTGTCCCCTCCTAGCTCTGGAGTCATCGGATGAGGTTCTGGGTCCCAGCCAGAATCGCTATCTGCTCAGCTAGGTTGGAATTACTCTCACATCTATTTTAGATATTCTAGATCGATAATAGCAAGGCAATAGAATGTTATCGTTGTTTGAATTCTTCTAGTTTTATCAAGTTAACTATATTGCTTTTGTTTACTCCCTGATTTACTCCGTATTAGATATATATGTACCTTCACATATGGGACCTTTTTTAGGATATTATAGCTTTCCTGTATTGGATGCCGCTGCTTTAGTTAGCGTATTAAAGGGGCTTACTCAGTGAGTTGTAGGGAAAAAAGAACAATCAAGATGAATAGTGAGGCTACAGATCCACACGAATAACTTCCGCCTCGCCAGCGGATAGCACCACGTGTCGACCTTTTCGTCCAATGTTTATTGATCATAAATCATGCGAACTAGGTGTGGCAAGGGTCATTCAGCTAACGATTTTCTTAACGTAGAACCAATACAAGAAAGCCACGGAAGCGCATATTAGAAGAAGGCTGGCACCAAAATCTCATACCCTTTCAGCCAAGGCTACAGCCACCCTCACTTATATATTCGCGTCGCATGCCTCTTTGGTTTCGTGTCAAGTCTATCCATCTAACCAAACACAGAAGTACGAATGGAAACCCTCGTAGCCTACAGTGTCACTTACCTAGTAACCAGCAACTCCACTCTAGCAACCCTAGTTGCTGGCCTGTATGGACTTCTCCTCAAGCAGGCCACGAAGCACCTGTCCATTAAAGCGGTTCTACTCTGCCAATCACCAGGACCCGTCTTCTCCGCATCTGATATCGATAGCTTTGTCCGCAAGATATATAACAGCAGTGACTGCGAGTGGTCATGCTTTCGTGTTAGCATGGACGAGGATCACCAAGGACAGGGAAGAAAGACCATCCATGTAAGATCATCTTTGTTTCTTTCTTTCTTTCTTTCTTTCTTTCTTTCTCTCTTTCTTCTTTTGTTTTAAAAAAAAGTAGGACGCAATGAAATCATGGTCTGGAAGTAACTAAGATTGGATCTCAGGTCGAGCTCGAGCATGAAAACATGCTCTATGACGACTTGCTCCGCGAGCTACCAATCCGAGAGATATGTAAAAAGCTCGTTGGATTGCATAAGTTCAAAGGGTACTGCTTCCGGATCGTACCGGAGCGGGGAGAGAAAGGTCTAGATGAGGTCGGTCAGGTGTTTGGTAGCTGCCTGCTGTTGATGCATCTGAGAGAGCTTTATGATAACTGCGTGGGTGATGTGAGTGGTGATGAACGCAGGTTGGCGTGAGTAGATCGCTGAGGATAGCATTTTGCGGTCATGACTGACTTGTACAGTAAGATTGCTCTGTATTCTGAACGGTTCACTAATGAATTCGGGGGATATGCGGAGTTTCTATCTAATGAAGACATTGTGAGGGGCGTTGGGGCTATGGAAGATCCAAAGCTGGCGAGGATGATTGAGATTTTTCAACGCTTACACCGGGAATACAAAGAGAAGCCCCGGAGGAGTGTCTTGAAGTTAACCTAAAAGCTATACGTGAATAGTTGAACTTAACATGCTGCCAATTTGTATCTAGGAATGTGACAAGTGTACGAGGGTGAGTAGTGCTCAGAAAAAAGCTGGGACCTGTATGTTGCGCAATGATTCCTTTCTTTAAGTACAGAAGGCGATGGATGGACTTATACTTGAAATCCTATATATTATTATAACCGCATGTTTTAATACTAGCTTTTATTGAAAGTATTGAGATAGAAAGTGCTCGATTTCGTGCCGCGAGGTTGATATTATCGCTTCCGCAAAGCACCAACTGGCTTTCAATGTTGCCCGTGGGAGAGACCGGCGCTTTCCAAGGCCTCTTGTACCTTGGGCAGATGCCCCCTTCAAGCGTCCGGCGCTGCCGGACCCATTTGTGGGCGTGAGAAGAAACAGTGGTAATGGTAAACCAGCCGGGGGACCAAAAAGAAGAGACAGGGAGCAGCGGGGCACTTAAAGTCCATGAAGAAAGGAGGCCCAGGGTTATACCATCCCTACAAGGTGATGCTAAACGCTCCAAGCGAAGGACTTCCAAAGATCCCAAGTCTCTCTTCTATCAGATATGTTATTGTGTTCTGTCCTGCTAGCAGAGGATCTGATTATTTCGGTTTCACCGTGGTTCAAAATGTAGGCCTTTCGTTGTTCTATCCCTCTTGTAGCAGGCACGACTTGTTAATTGCAGCATCCAGTCAATCGACCAACTTTGTGTTCCCAGAATTGGCATGATTCCCACCCACAGAGTTGATAATACACTACGCATCGCCACTCACTCCACTTTACATCTATCTTCCATGGCTCTGACAGTGAGATGAACCGTGAGTATCACAAGAACTAACTATAATCTTGCACATTCATTTCCAAATGAAATCCATTGGCAATCTATCAAATTTAACGCGTCTCTTGTTGGTCCTGTGGTCGGTGCGAACAACACACAACCAACAATGTTGTCAACGGGCTACAGGCATTCTATGCGGGCTGGGGCTGCTTGTAGGTTTATGCATCTTTTAACCATGCAAGAAATGTAAGCTAATATGTTTAATAGGGACTTAAAACGGAGCGGACGTTGTCCCTGCTCCCCAAACGAGTCTAATTTTATTGTAATAAGCGGGGCCATATACATGCCCACTGTACAAAGGGGCCACGGGATCTATTCAAAAGACTGGCAAGGTTCACAAGGTTATGCATCTTAACTTACAAGTGAGCCCGTTAATAAATGATTGAATAGGGAGGGGGTGACGCCCTTAAACGTCTCTCTCCAGGCACTGTTTCCCTCTCCTCCCGTGTATGAACAAACCACCTGCGGCCGAGCCAGATGTCCCTGCGAATGAAGATGGCGCTATGAAGAGTTGACGGGGCTCAAATGATATGGACCGGACTGGGATGGGCTATCAAGTTCAGACTTGAACGGAATACAAACAATGGGCTGAATCAATAGCTCATATCCTTGACGGAAGTATTTCCTTCTATTACCCTTCTTCTGCTGAGCAAGCCTGCGTATAGTAGTAGTTAGTTCTGGTATCTGTCCTTAAGGTGGATGTCGTAGTCAAGATTCCCCTGTTTATTATTTGTAATCAGGCATTTTAAACATAAAATCTTTGCTATTCCAACCGACCCACTCTGCACCTCCAAAATGTATCTAGAGATTGTCCTTGCGCCCTTGGCCAATAGTAGACACCCACTTTCGCAATAGTCGTAAGCATGTGCCCCATATTTGCACGGGTAACAGTGTCCTCTCGGCCACCATGGGTCTCGTAAGCGCCCCAGTAACTCCATGTAGATAGACATGGCTATAGAAGTGGCCATACACCTAGTGTAGGGTAGGTCATGCCACACCACAATCATTGAAATGTGCGTAAGGCGAGTATCGGTAACTTTTGGCATGATTCGAGCTGTCGTACCATCGATATTTGCGTTGACCTTCATCGTGATATCAGATATATACTGAGGGTTTACGTCTGAGAAAGGGAATCTGCGGTAAACAAAGCCAGAGGGGACAGCAAGAGTGGTTTGCCATCAGGGTATTTTGTGCACTGTTATGAAGTTGTCTTACTCGCATATCCAGCAACACTCCCAATGTTCGATTCGAACTGTGCCTTTACAGAATTGATTAGAATCTAGATTCTCGACTCATCAGGAAAAATCTGGCGTCACCTCATTTTCTCTATTCTATATCCAGCTACGTCAACACCGGGATCATCGCGCCAACACCGGATCCCGGAGTTCGGAATTCAACATTATCCCGCCTATAAATAATCGCTCCTCTTTGTCTAAAGATTCGTAGATATCTTCTCACATCCTATATATTATAATCATAAGAATTCATGCTCAGACTATGAACGAGCAGACACCGTTGCTCGTCTCCCGCGAAGCCTGCCCTATCTCAGTACGCCGAAAAGCTTCTTATCTTCCACAATGGAGACCTATTTGGGAAACATGGAAAATCCCAATACTATGCTACTCATTTGCATTCTGTGTCGATGGGTCAGAGAATATGCGTTCAACCCCAAGAACCCGTCTCTTCGAAATAATCCTGTGTCGGCGCTACTACGCTGCTCTGAGAGCTGAAGATGGCCCTCCCTGGGCTCCTCGATCTGACATTCCGGAACACATGTGCAAGGTTCCAGAAGTGCAGAGCGCAGTTGTGAATGCCAAACTGTGGTTCAAATTAGTTGAAAGCCTATTCGGTAGATCGATTTTATCTCACCTTCTATCCGACCAATATCTGACCAGTTCCTCCAGCATTAATCCTAGCCATCCCCTTTGGAAAATTATCCAATACAAAAGGCCGTAGATTTGTCCTCTTTGTCGGCATAACTGGACAGATCCTATCAGAGTCTTGGATTCTCACGGTATGCCATTTCGACGACATCTTTCCGTTCGGACTTTTGTACGCTGCCTCCATATTCAAGTCTCTCGGTGGCGGAGACATGGTCCTTTCGGCCATTGCCCATGCTATCCTTGCCGACGTAGTTTCTGAAGACAAACGGGCACAAGCATTCTTCCACATGGCCTCCGTATCACTGGTATCGGAAGTGATTGTACCTCCCTTGGGATCGATGCTCATGCAGATAAGAGGAGTCTACGCGCCTCTCCTTTGCGTGTTTCCCCTGCAGCTGCTCGCTATCATCGGCCTAGCCATAGCCCCTCATTCAATCGACGCCATGAAAGGACACCATCTAGACCAACCCGACATAGAAGAACTGTCCACTGGCTTCTCCACCAAAGCACAAGGCATCAAAGCCATCGTAACAGCCGTCTTCCACAGACTCAGAACCAACTGGACCCTAATCCGCGCCAACGGCCCAACCATCATCGCCACAATCTCCTTCCTAGCGACATATATAGCAAAAGACACGCTAGATTTTCTAGTGCAATACGTCTCGAAACGATTCAACTGGAGTCTGGCAAAGGCATGTCATATCCCCCTCACCCACCATCTATCTATACAAGAAGTCTAACCAAAAGAAAGCAGGCAAACTATCTCATCTCCTTCCGAGCACTCACAAACCTCCTCCTCTTCCTTTTCGTCCTCCCCACAATCACCAAAATCCTCTCAACCCAACACTCCATGTCACCCCCGAAGATCGACCTCTGGATCTCCCGCATAAGCTCCCTATTCGGCATCCTCGGACCAGTTCTCCTAGGCCTGGCACCAACGCCCGCATTGATGGTTCTATGTACGTATCATATCCACACCATCTTATTCACCGTTAATGAACGAGAGCTAATCCGATTTGGAAAGCATTAATCCCATTCACCCTCTCCCTGGGCTATCCGCACGCCATCCAGTCCTACGGAACATCCCTGGTCGGACCGGTTAATGTTGCGCCGTTTTATTCATTCCTGGCTATGGGTCGTATTGCGGGGACGTTGGTTGCGTCGCCGCTTCTCGCTGGGGCATTTAACTTGGGCTTGAGGGTTGGAGGGGTGGCGTTGGGGTTGCCGTTTTATGTTGCGGCGGGTTTGTTTGGGGTTGGGGCTTGGGGGGCTTGGAGGTTGGGGTAGAGGGGGATGGCTAGGATAGGTGCTTCATGAGTGATACTGTGTAGATGTTGGTATGCCTGTTATAGTTTGTAATAGACGTTAGATGGTGAGGGCTGTGATTATGCGGGATATGTGCTTTGTTGCGGCGTTAGGTGGGATATACTGTGATAGCTATACGCTTTATCATGTGTGTGGTTTGGAATATATGGCATGGTACTTAATATATGTCTGGTGGCCAGGCCATTTGGATTATATTCGGCAATCGTCCATTCCCTCGTCTCGTATTCTTTACCACCTTGTCTCCTTTCCCGAAAAGGCCTGGAAACCTTTACCGAAAACGACTAGACGCATAGTTATCGAAACAATGCCGACGGAAGCGTTTCCGTTGAAGGAGTGCAGGCAGTGTCCAGATGACTAGGATGGCCGGGAACGAGCCCGATTGTGTTCCCCCTCATCGTCGGACAGCTTCCCGTGCATGCATGGCTCCGTCCCAGAGTTAGTGGGTCTATACCAGAGACTCATGTTTAACGCCGGATAGTTTACTGCGGATAGATGGTATAGTATTGTACTGACGACGCAAAGATGAGGGTCCGGCTAAACTGTATTTAGTATGCAGAATGAGAGCATGGTAGTGGTATCTCTTGACCCCTCTCGTTATCCCTAGCAAGACAGTATATGATAACGGTGTAGAGACATCAGTGCTATTCGGTCTCTACTACCGTAGTGCAAAGATAATGGTTCTCATATCTGATTTCGGTAAAAAGGACCCGTGTAAGACTGGCTATCTTTCCCCATGGGGTTATTGGATCCAGACATGGTGTAGTCTGATTGGAATGGAGCATATCAGTAGATAACATCAAGGCTACAAGAGGTATATAAAAGGGTCGTGGTGGCCATCACTGGCGAAGGTCTCATGCCTTGACCAAGTACAGTTCCTACTCAGTCTACTAAAGCCTCTTTCTACAAACAATCATGGCAAGCTCACTGCTCCACTACTTCAACTTCGGCAGCAACTCGGCCAAAGACCCAGGCCAAGAGAAAGACACCCCCGTGCGTGCTTTGCCCGCATCATGGTACACCTCGCCAGAGATGTACGAGCTCGAGCGACGTGCCATCTTCTCCAAGCGGTGGCTCTTCATCACCCACAGCACCCGCCTCAAGGAGACAGGCGACTGGCTCCGGTACGAGATCGCCGGGTACGACTTCATCCTCACACGCGATCGCCAAGGAAACATCAATGCGATGCATAACGTATGCCGACACCGAGCGTACCCCGTCATCGAGAAAGAGGGTCACGGGAACAATAAAATCCTAGCGTGCCGCTATCACGGGTGGTCCTACGGATTGGACGGCAATCTCGCCAAAGCACCCGGATACCAGGAGCTGGAGTTCGACAAGGCGCAAAACGGCCTCTTCCGAATCCACGTCAAGATCGATGCCAACGGTTTCATCTGGGTCAATATGGATGCGAAGGAGACGCCGGAGGTCCCTTGGGAAGAACACTTCGATCATGTGGACAAGCAAGCCCGGTATAAAGACAACAACATCAACTTCGACGACTACGACCTGGACCACACATACGAGTTAGATGGAGATTATAACTGGAAGATATTATCAGACAACTTCAACGAATGCTACCACTGCCCTACGACTCATCCAGATATCCCGTCATTCTTGAATCTGGGCTCATTCGACAGCGACGTCAAGGATGGCCATATCCAGCACCATTGCATCTCCACCCCCGAACAACTGGCCAAGGGACTCAATGTCGCGAGTACATATTACTTCCCTAACTCGTCTATGTCTGTTTCGTAAGCATTAGCTACCGGACACTCATTTGAACCTAATATCTGATAAATATAGTGCCCACTTCATCATGGTCCAGAAATTCCTCCCAAAGAGCCCTAACAGGTCAACCATGTCTTATGAGATCTACCGCAACCGCAACTCCTCAGACGAGGACTTCAAACTCATCAGCGAAATGTACGCGCGCGTCATGGCCGAGGATAAAGTGCTCTGCATCAACGCGCAGAAGAATCTCGACCGCGGCGTCTTCGTCAACGGTCAGCTGCACCCTAAGTACGAGAAAGCGCCGCTCTTCTTCCAGAGTACGGTGCGCGAGGTCATCACAGAGCACTATAACCGCGAGAAGGCCGAGGGAAAGGAGATTTGGCCTGCAAGACAGAAGTTGCCTGGTAATGCGCAGGTGAGTGAGTCGGATGAGGCGATTTGTGCGGGCATTAGCTGTGGCGCGAGGAAGGTTTTGGCGTGGTGATGATCTTTGTTTTGCTTTTAGCGTTGTTCGAGGGATCCTTGTTTGTAAATTGTTTCGTAGTGGCATTTTTAATGTGATTTGGCCTGGATGTGATTCATACGAGAAAAGGTGAATAATGATATTTGGCTCTATTAGATAGCTGTTAAGAATCTGATCTCAGGAGTTGGACATATTCCACACGGCTAGGTATAGATTATAATTCTAGAAACTTTGGAAGCCAAAGCTTTGTCAGTTTGTAATATAACACAATTTCTTCCACCAAAGAATCGCCGAGCTCGTTGAGTGACCAGCAGAACCCTGGCAGTTATACATTTCCAGTCACTGCAGATGCCAATTCTAAATTATGAGAGTAGCGCAAAATGCAAGGCTAGAACGGCAGACTTCCAAATACAAGAAAAGGAGACATGAGTCGCTGTCCGTCCTCGTACAGACGGAGCATGATCGGATTCAACCAAACTGGCGTCACCCAAAGAAGAAACAATGCCACCCACGCGTACCCAATAGCACGCTTTAAGACGGGACTCATCCTCTCAATCTGAGCGCGAAACAAGCTCTGGATGAGAGACTCAAAAATAACCCCAACAGCTTGGAGGCAGAAGAACCATACTGCACCGGTTTGGGCGCGCGGTACGCCGAACGCTAGGTCCATTCCCATGTGGACAAATCCAGACACAGTGAAAGCAAACAGCAGCCGCGGATAGCAGGCCCACAGTGACTTAGAAGGGATCCGGAGAACAGAGAAAGAGATGAAGTCTGCATTTGAGACGAGGAGCGTACGAAGGGTTTGGTGCCATGCCGTTCTGCCATGTGTTAGCTGATGCTGATCGAATACTGTTGGAGAAACTTACCCCCATAGTCGTCTTAAAGACCATGCTTCCGTCAGCGAATTGAACACCGGGGGCCATTCCGCAGGGTCATAAATGCCTAAAGCTACCAACAAAACAGCGGCAAGGGTATACATTCCCGTGATGGCAGACCTGCACACGATTCCGAACGAGAGAGTGATTCTTGCCTGAGTCAGAATCCCCTGTGCCGACGTCCCGTGCGACCAAGGGGCCAGAACTGTCTTGCTGTCCGATAATTTCTCAATAATGCCAGGCACACGCGGATCGCTCGGGTCAATCGTGCAAAGGTGTAGCAGAGAGAACGAAACGCATACTTTCAGAATACCTTGCAGCACAAACTTCAAACGCGACGGGACATATTCCGGATTTGCCTTGTCGAACACGGGGATTCTCGCGATTTGCCATGGCGTGTTAATGCGGCGAAAATTGAACCCGATATTCTGGGACCAGAGGAGTCGGCTACGTAGAGTCGACTTTGGAGAATGAGAATCCGCCTCTTTTACAGCTTTACCGCCAGATCTTTTCCGCTCCCACTCAACCTGCGCCTCATACGAGACGCGACTCAGCACAAGCATGTCAATAGCGTTCAACACGCTCACCCAGGACATGGCCACCATTGGCCCTCCCGCTCGAGTATCCAAGGAGGACTCGGTGATGCGCTTTTGGAGAGAGTACGCGAGCGCGATTACGATCACCGCGGCCATAGACCGGACTACGGACTGGGAAGGCGTCAGAGCTACCGCTAATCCCGGTATAAGCTGGAGGAGGCCCCATTGTGTCAACGGGACTCTCCAGGCCTCCAAGGCAGCGGGATCCATGGTCAGGAATGCTGAAGAAGGTTACGAAGGGGTACGAAATGGGAGACAGCCTTTTATGTTGATTACGCTAGCGACTAATTTTGCAGCTTGCATTTGGGGCTTACGATTTGGTTGGTGATCAGCGTCTAATTGCGAAAAATGGAACATATTTGTGGCTGAAACGACACTGATTGGTTGTTCGCGGCAATGGACTATTGATGGGTCTTAAACCGCCCCATTTACGACTCCAATATCTTGGTTGCTTCTGGTTGGCTAGCCCGCTTATGTTTGACCTCCCTTGCCTGTTTGGAGTCGAGGGCTTTGGTATGTGGGCCACTCGTACTTAATAGGTCCCACCGGATTCTTGTCCACTTCCTTCTATTCTCCAGTCTCGACAGAGTCCGGTGGGTTATGAGGACTGTTCTTTTGTGTACGATGTATTATGTGAGTCTAATAGTTGGAATATATTACGATAAACTACTTTGACTCGTGGTTATATTTAGCAGCCATAACTAGCACCATAGACTTCCATTACCCCGAGTGGTTCTAGCTGGAGAACTGTAGAAATATCTCTGATATGGAAAAACGATAGATTTCAACTGCCTAAGGTGCTTAAGTAGAAATTTCTGAGGGGGGACGCCCTTTATGTAGGCAAGACCGTGCAAAGGTCCTCAAGGTCCTAGAGACCCGCTTTCACTAAACAACTTTGAAAATGGCATAAAGGCTTGATCTAGGGTGCGGTGCCCTAGGATTTCGACCGCCAGTGGCGAGAGGATAGTCCAGGCATCCGAAGAACTGTTCGATTATTCAGAGGATAACTATATACTTATCTAAAGGTTGCCTAGATTGTGCCTGGAGATTGGCCGCCTTGTTTGTTTGCTCGCTGGGGAACGCCCTGGCCCTATGGTGTATCTTGACGCCCGCAGTTCTGTACGCCCCACGGATTATACAAGTTTCCTAATCGGAAAATCAGTTCTGCTTCATTTTATTTTTGGCTTTCTTTGGCTCTAAGGCTTACAGGTTTTTAAAGGGGCGAGATGGTTTGTTGAATATCGCTGTAATCCCCAAGCCTTTATGCCATGTTTCAATGTTGTTTAGTGAAAGCGGGTCTCTAGGACCTTGAGGACCTTTGCACGGTCTTGCCTATATAAAGGGCGTCCCCCCTCAGAAATTTCTACTTAAGCACCTTAGGCAGCTGGAGTCTATCGTTTTTCCATTTCAGAGGTATTTTTACAAGAACCACACGCGATGTTTGAAGTGCTAGAGGACCAATGTTAAAACCTTCATTAGGTATAATATAGGACTTGATTTGGTTCATACACAACGGGTAGAGCTGCAGTAAATTATAGAGCCGAACTTTTTGCGTTGATTTAACGCAACTGTTGCAAGCGAGCCGATGACCCAACTTTTCCTCATGACTACGCTGGCGGCACTTTCGATTAAAGCTAGAGACAGCCCGAGAGCTTGTGTCTGGTTACAGAGCACTCCGGAAATGCCGGAATGGTCAAATCGAAAGCGGATATGCCGTGGAACAATATTCGCCGTCTTGATCTCCCACAGGGAGGCCTAGTCTAAACGCGCCTTTATTAGACAGCGACGGAAGACCTCCATATGATCGGAAACATAACCTGGATCTCGATAGACCGGTAAAGCTAAAGTCTATCGTACTTCCCCGAACCTCAGTCAAGTAAAGGTTGTCAACTTCTAGATTCTGTTTGACTTTCAAGGCGAGCGATCCTGATCGCCGGATCGAGGTTGTGTGGCAAGCGTAAATAAGAAGAAATGCGATAACAATGGACGGTCGGCATCGAGCTATTCCTGAAGAGCTAAAATTGTGCATGTATGTGGTTATGTTTATGGGAGGATCGCTGGTTTATGGTGCATAATCCATGGTTCATGGCATTCGTGAGGTCATATCTGACCTCACCAACCGAGTCGGACGAACAAGCACAGTATATGACAATGAACCAGCCTTTTCAGCTGAGAACAAAGCTAACCTTAACGGAAAAGCTATAATCTGTCTGCTACTGAGATCAAACCTATAAAACAGAGACTCTTCTTTGTTGATTGAGATCAGATTTGTATGTCGCACTAATTACCATTACCATAACCAGAGAGACAGCCATATCAGCTAAGACAACATGACGAAAGATCTAGTAAGATATTGTTCTTCCAGGTAGATCCCTTCAGTTACTTATAGGTTCTCAGACATTCGATATCCGTTACGACAACGAGCTCGCTCACGAGTACTACGGGGAAGGAAAGAAGCTGGCTGACAAGTATATCTTCAAGCCATCCATCAAACCCCGTCGAGCAGTCGAAGACTAACACATTTTAGTTTGCGTAACGTCTACAAGGACAAGCACCTGCAATTCCCGGATGATTTTGAGTCCACTTTGACTACGCCCCCAATTCATTTCATGTCGTGGGTCTCCATGGGACTATCTGAGGACTGGAGCTAACAGATACAGGGTTATTGCACCGGATGATACTGAAGTCGAAGATTTACAGAAAGTGAATGTTCCTCCAGGCTTGAATGTTGAGATTATCGACTTCCAAATGTAAATGCTCGGACGTAGGTGTACTCAATATAGGGTGTGAAAACATTCGGGGATGGTTGAATTTATGCTCTATAGGAGTCAGCTTTAATATAAAACGACATATCTTTTGTTACGAATATTAAGACATATACTGGAAAATCGGCTCTAATTGTGTATTCAGCTGTTGGGACCTTGCTATGCTGTGCATGTACGTGCGTGTGTATACTACCGCACCGTTAGGCGCCGAGAAACACCTTTGCTAAACCAATGAGAGTAGAACCCGTCTTATGGCGGGACAAATACAGGCAACAGCATCAGTTCTAGGCATTCGAAAAATATACCATCTTCTCAAATGCGGCCAGAAGATCCGCAGTCGACTGATCTCCCGGCGGTAAAACCTCTGTAAAGAGAAGACCGCAGATTCCGCTTATACGATCAGCCACTACTCGAATGATTAGGTAAACGAAAATCAATATATTAAGAAGAGAAATAGTCTAAGTAACTCACTCAAAAATAATTAGGCATTCCCGGCCAATGCAAAGGATGAGTCTTGCGACCCGAATGGAGTGTCAACCAGAGTTAAAAGGCCCCCAAAGCCCCAGCTGATTTTGGTATCCGGGGACGGACAGCCCAGATTGATCATACGCACCTGGGGATCCGCGTCATAAACTGCATATTTATAACATGTCCGAGTCTACTTGAGGGGTAAGCATCTCGTCCAGGCTGCGACTACTAAGGATTGCGCAGTTGTCCTAGAGAAGGGACCTGAGAACATTCAAGAATTCCGTGGCAGTCGCATATAGACCACTACCGCCGCCGAATGCATCTTGGATAGGACCGTGGAATGGAGTCTTTCCAGTTGTCAGACTTCCGTTGTCGGCGCGAAACCAGGAAGGTACTAAACACGCCCGCATAGCATCATCAGTTAAGTGAAAGGCGATGTCCTTGATTCCAAGCAGTTGAAAAATGTACCGTTGGGAGTAGTCACCTAATTCCATATGTCTGTTCACCCGTTCGACCTGAGTGTATCAAATAGTCAACTGATATGTACCGAGAACGGCTTTACAATTAGTACCACCCATTCAAGTGCTGGTGAGTACTCCCAACGAGAGCCTGGCTCATGGAGCAGAACAGTTGAGAATGATCCTTTCTACATGTATAGTCAGTTTGGCCCTGTCAGAGGCATAAGTTCAATGGCTTCGACAGCTCTATTCTTGTCGAGAACAGCCTAGTTAGACAAGGCGGGGGAACATCCTCTTGGGCATACAGAGCGGACAGTAACTATATGAGGGTCAAATGACTCGACGTCTGGTATGGAGGTGCTGTGAGGGCGATCCAAACCACCTGGAAAGACGAAACCTCAAGCAAGTGGCATGGCACTCCAGCCACGAGAGGCAATCAAAGTGACTATTTTGTTTTTGAAGTGGACAGGGACGAGAACATTTTGGACATGACAATATGGGATGGGGACCGAGTGGGCAAGGTGGTCCAAAACCGACCTGAATCGCACATTCAGCGTTGGGGGAGATGGTGGTTCGGAGATATCGCCAAAACGAAGTTCTGATTTCCTGAAGGGTTTTGAAGGAAGGCCAGGTTATGAGGCTGACTCTCTGGCGCCGATTTTTATTGCCAACTGAACGTCCAGCTCCAGCTCAGGCCAATTGTTGTTGAAACAAGATAGCAAGTTATGTGCGTCGGAATTGTGCAGCTTACTAGGACAGATTTATGCTGTGCTTTTTTTATTTTTTATTTTTTTTTACGAAGAATCAACAATTCAACACATTCTTAGAAACCATTCTTGGCCTAAGACAGGAGGTCTAAAGGGATAAGAGATCGAGAAGGCCTAGAAAAGGAGAGGCAAATGGCTCCGGAGCCATGGATCTCCAGCCAACCAGGCGAGGATATAAATGCCAATTGTAACCGGTAAAGAATGATAATATTGTTACATCTTCCCTCTGCTAATATTAGCATTCCAACGCTACTTAAAACTCTATCTCACCGATCTATTTTCATCCGAAAAATCGTGGTGTAGCTGAAATGGTCTGTATGAAAATGCTCCGAAGTGGTGAGGTCATCGTCTAACGTAAAACCCCAGAATGTCGTACAGCCAAACGCCGAGGGAAGATGTGAAACTTATTATTCTGTTGAATTCACAAATCAAGAATTGAATATAATCCGGGTCCGATCGCCTCTTCCCTTGCATTGATCTTCTCATTAGCATCTACACAATGGTACACTTGTCCAAAGTCAAAAGGGGCAAACAAGCCCAAAAGCCTCAACAGCAACACGATGATTCGGAAACTGCAGCCAATCCATATGTGTACGGGACACATTATGCCGCCGAAGAGCTCCCGGAGCATGCCATGTCGGAGCGGGAGATGCCCGCCGACGTCGCCCTTCAATTGATCAAGGATGAATTGAGTCTGGATGGGAACCCTCTGCTAAAGTTTGATTCCCCTTCTCTATATCCTCTTGACCTGATCTAACAATGTGTAGCTTAGCGAGCTTTGTTACCACTTATATGGTAAGTTGGCTGTTGGCTGCACACAGTTGGTTAGATGATGCTGATTTCAGTAGGAAGATGAAGCGCAGAGTCTCATGGCGGATGCGATGAGCAAGAATTTCATCGACTTCGAAGAATATCCGCAGACAGCACATATTCAGAACCGCTGCATTAACATGATCGCAAATTTGCTGCACGCGCCGACTTCCGAAAGTAATGGGGAGCAAGATTGCCTGGGGACCTCCACGGTCGGATCCTCGGAAGCGATCATGCTGGCGACACTTGCGATGAAAAAGCGCTGGCAAAACAAGCGCAAGGCAGAGGGAAAGGACTGGATGCGCCCGAATATTGTCATGAATAGTGCGGTGCAAGTATGCTGGGAAAAGGCTGCGAGATACTTTGACGTCGAGGAGAAGTATGTGTATTGCACAGAAACTCGATATGTGATAGACCCGAAAACGGCGGTGGATATGGCGGATGAGAATACGATTGGAATTTGTGCGATTATGGGCACAACGTACACAGGGCAGTATGAAGATGTGAAGGCGATTAATGACTTGCTAAAAGCAAAAAATATCGACTGTCCGATCCACGTTGATGCCGCGAGTGGCGGTTTCGTGGCGCCGTTTGTCAGGCCGGAGCTCGAATGGGATTTCCGGCTGGAGAAGGTTATATCAATCAATGTTTCGGGACATAAATATGGATTGGTGGGTTCATTACCTATATGCTTTAATGGTTATATGTTAACTGGACAGGTCTACCCCGGCGTCGGCTGGGTCTTCTGGCGTTCTCCTGAATATCTCCCCCAAGAACTCATCTTCAATATCAACTATCTCGGATCAGACCAGGCTACCTTTACTCTGAACTTTTCCAAAGGCGCTTCGCATGTTATCGGGCAGTACTATCAGTTGATTCGACTAGGAAAACATGGATATCGTTCCATCATGGAGAATCTAATCAAGATCTCAGACTACTTCGCAGATGAAATGAAGAAACTTGGGTTCCTTATCATGAGCGAGGGCAATGGTCGCGGCCTACCACTTGTGGCATTCAGACTGAAGCCTAACGACGATCGACTGTACGACGAATTCGCGCTGGCCCATGTCCTTCGTCAGCGCGGATGGGTCATTCCCGCATACACGATGGCTCCACATAGCAACCAATTGAAGATGATGCGTGTTGTCCTTAGAGAGGACTTTAGCTTGCATCGGTGTAATATACTAATCGCAGACTTCAAGGCAGCACTAAAGTCCCTGGAAGAGATGGACCAACAGATGATCCAGAAGTATACGCAGTATGTCCTTGGCCTGTCTACCATGGCGTGCAGACTAACAAGAATAGGCACCTCCAATCTCACAGTGCAAGGAAATTGCCACAGAGCCATCCGCATTACAAAAACGAGAAACACTCCCTCCAAGGCAAGACCGGGAAAACATATGGTGTATGTTGAATGTTGTGCGTTGTCGTTGGCCAGTTTGCGCGTCTCTAAAAATACGTTGTGTCAAAAGGTCGTTCATTGTTATTTACCTAATCAAGCAATTTGCTCGCGATATCAGTATCTTGGAAAAATTAAAGAGACCAGTGGCTTTGGAATTCTGTAATAGAGTGAACGCTAGAGAGTCATATCAGACTTGTCATTAGAGTCAGCGTGTAAGCCGCCAAGAGCATGGGAATACTTGAGAAGACGCCCAGAGCACACACAGCATGAGAGCCACTGCAGTGGAAACAAAGGAAGTTAGAGTCTATTATTGGCATGAACGGCAAGCACAATGCAACATGAAACAAGGGATAAGTCTAACCATGCAGTCGACATATTCATTTGAAAGCTTTGGGCGCCACCTGCGAGAGTGTAGGTAATCATGTACCACCAACTCATGGTAAGCATTCGTGAGTTGGTGATATTCAATATTATCTCCTGTCAGGGAGGCATATCCTTACATAGTACTATTCTGGTTTTCTTTGCCTGGCTCTGATGATCTATTCCGGTTGAACCAAGTTGACAAACTCTCCCGTGAGATATGACGAGTATACATGCACAGGCAAGGGTACTCATACTCAACACATACTGATCTAATTAACGCACTCACTCGTGCCTGTCCACGTCAAAGGCTAAACGCGTCTGTCCCAATCTGCATGGACTCTAGCCCATTTTGTAAAAGTCAATTGCCATCCTACATGCTCTGGGTGTCACAGAAAATTCAGACATGGGAAGTCGACTAAATGTCGGTAAGCCATGGATCAAGGCCTTTTTTGTGATGCCTAGCCAGTCACCATAGCCATGCACCTGCCATGGCTAACTCACAGCTTTTGATAGAAGAAATTGGTGGTGTGGTCAGCATAAGCTGATGGCGTGTTTCCGAGGGATTCCGGGCTACCTGGGTTGGATACCTATTCATCCGCACAGCCGACTTCCGATCTAGAGCCGGATTTGACCATAGGAGCATGATCGCTTCTTGTTAGTGACGCAAAGGAAGATCATATGTAAGTTCTTATAAACGAACTGTCTTGGCTTGCTCGTGACAGCATGGTTGCTTTTCTTTCTGGATGCAAGAGAACCTTCTCCGAGTTCACGGACCATTTGAAGCAAAATATGCTAGGCCTACTGCAATTTGGTCTGCGGGATTCTGGGCTAGATATGGGACAATCATTAATAATTACAACTGCTTTTGCCTAGTTAGTAAAGTTTAAAAGGCGCCATCATCTGATATATCAGATAGGGTCCGTATGACGGCAGATCAACAACGATAGTTTCCTGCCCAGAACAGCAGGTATAAACTTTCGCTATCAATAATAGCGCCCGTGCACACCTGGTTGTCACCCTTCGGATTTTCGTAACGCATTCTATGGAGTACATGAACTCCTATTTGCAGACGACCACTGGACTACTGAGCAAACGCCTGCGTGAACGTCCCCAGAGAAGTTTTCTTTAGGGGATTTGGCTCGGATAAATTTCGATGCTGCAGCTGATATACAATAGAGCACGTCTAATATTGATTCTTGACCGCTTGGGAGCGCAAGGCATTCTTTACGGAATGGAGGATGCCATAAATCTCATACTTTGACAATTGTATACCGCAGTGTACACGAGCGCTATTAATGCCTCTGTGATTAGTTTGCAATATATCGGAGATAGATCATATCCCACCAAAATAATCGAAATTTATGAGAACAAATAGGGTATAAAGATGGGCATTGCAAGTAGCTTGCTGGATTTCGCCGGATTGCCTTCATTGCTGTTGAGTCCGGGTGTCTGCTTTTCTGGCATTGTTTCTCTTCCAGGAGATTTGTGACAATGCAGCTTCTCTTCCTGCTGACTTTGCTGGTCAGCGCCTGCCAGGTGCAGGGAAAGGCTGTATTTGCTCACTTTATGGTATGCTTCTGTCTATTCCCTTAACTTACTCCATTGCCCTGACGTCCTGCAGCTAGGGAATAGTGACAAATATACGAAAGCCAACTGGGAACAAGACTTCTCCGCGGCCAAAGAAGCCCACATCGACGCTTTTGCACTCAATACAGGGTTTAATCCATCAATTCATGATCAGATCACCGACGCGTTCACAGTTGCTGCCGACCTAGACTTCAAGCTGTTTCTCTCCTTAGACTATTCAGGGGATGGGCATTGGCCACAGGACCAAGTGATCAAATACCTGAAGGAATTCACCAAGCTACCAGCCTACTACAAGACCCCTGACAACAAGCCACTCGTATCGACCTTCGAAGGAGGGGAAGCTGTGGATGATTGGAACAATATTAAGAAAAAGGTGGACTGTTCCTTCATTCCGGAATGGTCCGGGCTGGGTCCGAGAAGATCTATCTCCTATTCACAGGTCGATGGTCTGATGAGCTGGACCGCCTGGCCGAACGGCACGGACAAGATGACTACGGATACCGACAGAGAATTCCTGGATGCCCTGAACGGAAAGCCGTACATCATGCCCGTCTCACCATGGTTCTACACCAACATGGATCGGTTCCATAAGAACTGGGTATGGCAGGGCGATGATCTCTGGTACACTCGCTGGCAACAGGTCCTCGAGATTGAGCCAGAATATGTCGAAATCCTCACCTGGAATGACTATGGCGAGTCGCATTATGTCGGACCCATACACGAGAGTGGCCTTGACGTCTTCAGATATGGGCAGGCACCCTTCGATTATGCCAAGGGTATGCCCCATGACGGTTGGCGGAAGTTCCTACCGTACGTAATAGACCTGTACAAGAACGGAGGCAAAGATGCTCCGATTGAGAATGAAGGGCTTGTCAGTTGGTATAGAATCAACCCCGCACATGCATGTTCCTCAGGACACACCACAGGAAATACGGAAACGCAAAATCAAAAGATATTGGAACCAGAGGAGGTCCTACGGGATGAAATTTTCTTTTCCGCTTTACTGGAATCCTCTGCCGATATCTCTGTCACTATTGGGGGTAAGGACCGGGCTGCGAGTTGGACCAATACCCCCAACGGCGGCAAAGGAATCTACCATGGCAGCATCCCTATCAACAACCAGACAGGAACTGTCGTGGTAACACTCACACGAGATAACGGCTTCTTAGCGGAAATACAGGGCCATCCTATCACCACTGACTGCGTCAAGAATATGACCAATTGGAATGCATGGGTTGGAAATGCGACCTCAACCGCTCCTAAACCTTCTTCCCCTTCGCCATCATCGAAACACGAGTCATTGTCAAGTAGTATGGTAATGTCAGATCTTATTCATGTTTCAATGGTCTGCACTGCTTTTTTGGTTCTGATATGAAGTTGTGACGACGTGAATATTAATTGATGTTAGCTGTACTTGCGATACTATATGGGGCAAAATAAATCCTGGGATACCCAATGTATGGTCTAGACCTAACGTGCATCACAATATATAATATCTAATATTAACTAAATCATATTAGACACAGCTCTCTTGCTCGCGCCCAGGAATCTAGACAACCAGCATGCTGAAGCGGGCCGTCGATTATCCACCCAGTTGGGGCCACTAAACTAGCCAAGCTTCTATCTTCAGTTAATGAAGAAGGTTTGGCCTTTGTAAACAGAGTGCGAGCAACGTCAATCTCTGGGTCAGTGGAGCCTGTCGATACGACATTCACCCCAACCAGGAAGCTGTCACCGATGGACAGTGCACGGTCGTACTTGGGTCCAGATCCTACAGCCCTTTCCAACTGATTAGGGTATGGACACGGTCGAGTTTACCGCTACAGCCTCTATTGAGGGTTCATCATGAAGAATCGTCGGCAGTACGCCGGGGCTATTATTCCCGATAACGCCCGGTGACCGCAGAATAGACTGTTATGTCTCATATAGATTCTGCAAGGGGAGAGACTGGTTTTTCCCATTGCAGGATTCAACGTTGCATCCATCCAGGACGATCTTTCACTGCTGTTGCATAACTATTTGATGGAATTTATGATAGTAGCCCTGCGGAAGTGCTGTCAGTAATTGGAAGAGCTAGCAAACTTTGTGTTGGGATGTAAGCGGGCCTATCCACCACCGATGATAGAATATGCCAGGAATATCTAGTAACTTAATCCAGTTATATCGGAGGGATAAGTGAGGTGTGAAGAAGACAATGTTAATATCATGACGTTAATATCGGGGCTCCCCGATACCGACTATTCCCTAATTAAGGAGTTCCCTAGTTCACAATCTACAATGAAGGGCTATAGAAGCCTTCGGCCAATCATCATTACAGTCACTGAGGCCGGAACATCGTGACTAGGTGACTAGATCTAGTCGATGACACTATAACCAAACCTTATCTCGCCACAGTGGCGGCTAATTCGGCCCACTGTAACCCTACGCAGTCAGGAGAAGTCAACACCAGCCACAGACCACAGTGAAATGTTCGAATTAAGTTTCATGGGTAAAGTCTAGCCTAGTCTAAGTGGGGTACGGTTATTCGGCTCTGAAGAGCAATCTGTGGCGATGGCCTAGACTTCCCTTCCGGGGTGCAAAGAATAGTATAGTATCAAAAACTTTATTCTTTGACTTCTGTCCCATTGTGCAGCCAATGGATCTATAAATCCCCTTGTTGTACCCCTGGCCTTCAGGGGGAAATCCGGCTGCTTCAACCTTCATTGTTCTCAAAGACAAGGCAGAGATAGTCTTGTATATACTGTCTAGATCGGTTGTCAGTATGTCAGGGTCTATCGAGACCCTCACCAGGCCCTCTTCCTTCTTTGTGCGCCATGCCTCCCGCACAACTACTCGCATCCATTCCATTGCCCGTCGATCTGCTTCACCCTTTCCTTGTCGCATGGTTATTCTCTCCCATGACAAGCTTCATCGAGAAAGTGCGGCCAAGAATCCTGACTTGCGTCGTTGCTTAGGCCACCAGCGACTTCTCCGCCATTCTATCGAAGTGGCCCAAAAAGATATGAAGAAAGCCATGGCACCGTTTCGATTAGATGACAACGGCAAGGAAGACGATGGAATCTCAGGGGATGGTTTCTCGAACTTCCCCAGCCCTATTATTCGGGAACAGATCACAAAGGCCGTAAAGGCAATGGTCAAGCGCCGTGCAGCTAGTCAAACGCGGGAGCCAGACAATACCAATGCAGCACCACGACTCATTCGGATGCCGACGAAGAATACTAGCAGTTGCGAATTGGCGTCATCGAGGCAACCCAATACCTTCTACAAGGTTTCATCCGTCACAACGAAACGTAGCAAACCTTCAATAAGCTTTGCCTTCACTCGACACTTGTGGTCGTCCGGGCAGTCGATGCAGACAATTGGCAGTTGACAATTGCTAAAGCGTCGCTTGACTAGACGCACATCTGTCGATGCACCTGCAACTACAAATTCTTGATCAGGCCCCCTTATCACGCTATCTCTGCCTTTACAATGACCATGGCATGCCAAATTTTAGGTATTGATGACCTTTTGATCTCAACGCTATTTCTGTTTGTTTCCCGCAGAAAGTAGATCACATCCATGCCTATCAACGAGACGTTGAAGACATCCATCTACATAGATACTTCACCTTTGCTTGCGGATTACGATTAGACGAAGTGCATTTTCTGAGGCGTTGGCTTGCCTATGTATATTTGGAAGATATTCTTTTTTTTTTTTTTTTTAATGTGTTCATGTATGGCCCTCTTGGTGTTGGAGCTGGCTAACAGCCTTGATTATATACAATGAACGTTATCTTTTCTCAACAACACCATTTCACTACCTTTGCTAAATTAGGAAGAAAAGGAGAATTAAACATATCCAAAATGCGTAGGTGTATAGCTTCCCTCATGATGACCAGAGAAGCTTTTGGTAGATTACTTGTATCGATATTTAATTATCCAGTTATATTATTAACAAGATAATCAATCAACTTTATGGCCTGTGCAAACCAGATAACTTCCTTTTTTTTAATGTTCTAATTCCGATTCCAAGATTGTACCTCCTTGAAGATCAACCCCGTCGTCCAACTCTATCCAGATATCCATCCGCACTATACCATATACAACATCCATCTGACCCACAATTCTTGTGGAGGCTGTGCAGTAGATATATACTCGGCTAGTTAAGAATTCTATATCAAGGCTGTTCTCCGCTATCGGCATCATGTCCAATAAAATAGTAAAAGTGCCACGAAGGCTTTCCGATTTAGCAAGTGTATGGCAGCCGGGGCCCCGTTGAATTGTTAGCACCTCAGCGGCCGGAGCATAAGCTAGCTCTAGAAGAAATCAGATGTCTATACGGTGACTCAGTGAAGAAAAGGTCACTACATGGCGTGCGTCAGTTTAACTGAGTGAGTTTTATTGGGATGTGAGAGGAAAATATACACCTGTAACGTATCTTCATGACGTTGGAGAACATTTCACACGTGGGAGTAGGCTCTATAAGTGTACTCCCTGCATAATACCCGCTGGAATCACTGACCTGGCGCTTTCAGATCGGAAGAAGCTCGGGGAGTGTGGTAATATTGTCGTTTTGGCCACTCCTTCGCCCCATTCCGGCTAACTGCTAAAAGGGATGTCTGATTGCCCTCCCGCCAACTTCTCGAAGTCACCGTAGGCGATTACATGCATAATGCGTAATAGTTGTCCATTTAGAAAAAGCTTTCTATCCCTGAAATGTCGCAATACAGTGACCATACTTATTCTATCCGATTATTCATACGTTCCATTGCTCCAAGAAACACACACGACATGGCCTATCCTTGTCAACATCACTACTACCAATCCAGTGACCTCTTGACACTTCACATGCACCATGTCTGTTTAGAAACTTCCCCTGAATCTCGTATTATCTTTGTGGAAGCATATCTGTCTGTAGCCCTTTCAGGAAGGTGAACGCACATCCATTCCAATCGTGTGGCAGTCGTTATCTCCAAACCATACAGACCATTGTCCTGCGTTGGACGAAGAATAGTATGGCTACCCCGGCTCTACAAGCGCGTGCTACGGCTTCGCTGCAGTCTCTAGGATGGCACGCCCGCCCGAACGTACATATCGAACTAGCCAAGGAAAGTGAACAGTATCCAAGTTCCTAGACAACTGGAGATATAATTAAAGGGGTTGTTTCCATCACAGTGGACCGTGAGACAGACTTTGATGAGCTGGGTATCATCTTTGAAGGTAAAATGACACCTTTCCACATAATTTCCTTCGCATCCCCTTCTCTTTCGCTATTTTCGGGACGAAAAAAAGGAGTTGCCCCTTAGGAGTCGGGATATTAACCAAAGAGCTACAGGATCTTCACATACACGGCAGCCACAAGTAACAGCATTACCGTGTCAAACGAAGGCTTTTCATAGTTTCGTCGAGCTCTACCAACCGATCGAAGATGCCCAATATCCTACACCGCGGGCGTTTCTGCCCAACGGGCCATAGAGGTTCCCCTTCATCTTCGTTATCCCGGAACGACTCCCTTCTACGACGTGTGATCACTTCAAACGTTCACGTCGAGCATTCTCACACCCGTCTGCACCCAACTTTAGGCGATCCGATATTCGCCAGCGATGGTCGCTCTTTGCTCGATGATTTGTCGTCCGAGACGTGTCAGATCTCATATAGGATCCGAGTCGTCGTGACGAGAAGGTGCCCAAGTGACTGTAAAGCGAGGGAACATTACGAACCGTCGCGAAGAAAGTACGAGTCATTCCAACGGCAGAAGAAGAACCACTCTCAGTCCATGAAGTTGGGGGTGATTACTACATGCAAATCGTAAAGGATATCAAGACCGGGATGACGAGAACGAAGCGAACCCTAACGGTCTCTGCGTCGCAACCAAAACCCCTTCAACTGCGACCTCCAGGCTCCGGATCAACATCAGACGTCAGTACGACAGCTACGGTCCATTTACGATTTGAGCCGGTCGGAGATGAGTAACCCCTTAAGTTGGGCTCCTTGTTCGGTAAGCTCGGGACGTCTACATTTTATATCATCTCGCTGTGGGCCGGCTTTCCAAACTCCCTCGTATGTCGATCCCCTGGAGAGACATCACTACACGAAGACCATGTCACTCTTGTCTAATATTGCAGATATATTTTTTAGATTTGAACTTGTCTTACCACACGCCTAAACCTAATCCGTTGACCCCATCTATTTCTCTCCGGCCACCGGTTCAGGTCACTTCGCGGGGTATATCGCAGTCTTCTATATATCCGCCACTCTATACCGAGCGAGACACCATTTGCGATTCGACTACGACTGAATGGGTGAAGAAACTACGCCAGTCTCACTAGGACGTGTCCTTTAGTGGTTGATACTTTATGCCTACGTTTTTAAGCGCTTGGAACGAATCTTGAACTGTTTGTTTGACTTCTTGTACACTGAAAACCGCTCGTATGAAAGGAATGGTTGTTATTGCTTTTCACTTTGACACCCCTTTTGCCTAGCACTTGGCTTCCAGGTTATTATTTTGCTCTTAGTAGTTCGGTAGCGCTATCCACATTCCACCATAGAAATACACTCTCACTTCATGGATTAGCAGAAACTCAATAGCATATAGCTGTATCTGACATCGTAGATTGATCTACAGTAACCCGCATACCGTCTGATGGATGTGGAGCACTGCAGCATTACAATATGGGAGAATAGTGGCGATCACTTAGACGTACCTCCGTACTCAAGATACATTTGGATTTGTGGCTCTTAGTACCAAGGAGTACATAGTCAAGGTAAGGTCTCCAGATCGCCCGCTTCCCAAGCTTCAGCGGTTATACAGACCTCTCCGTAACATTAGGATGACTTGGGGCAAAAGGACCTCGCGCATCATCGTCTTTCTATTGTGGTGTTAATCCCTTCGGTGAACTGGGCCAAACCCGAGTTGTAATAGCCACCAAGTTCGCAACAGACATGAGTCTGCGGTACTATTTGCAATCATCGCCGACTCATGCAACTATCCGACGGCGGTGGTGCGAAGGAAAAGGCGGGATGCGTTACACGGTATATCGTCCTTGTGACATCTTTAGCGGGTTTGGCGGTGTGAAGGAAGATGCAGTCGGGGAAGCACGCATTCCGCGAGCTGGAAAGGGAACCGACATTCCTCTAGAACATCTAAAGTTCGCAAAAACATCTCGAATCACAACGAAACCCTGATTATGCAAAACGTTGGATTGATCATTGTGAGAGTTTGCTTTGAATGTGATATTCGCGTTGCGGTTCAAGCTGAGGGGATTCGAACGGTGGACGCGGCATAGATCAGCAGTGAGAAATCGACATGGCTGGCGAGGTAAGCAGAGCAACCAAGAATCCTGAGGTGTTCAAGACATTCAACGACGGAAAAGCTCTTTACGACGGCAATGATATGACGTATACAAGACTCGCGGATTTCTTAGTGGCTGGCCGTTACGAGCGACGGTTTCCGAAGATGTTTGAGAGCCGGCCTTACTCCTGCGATTCGCGCGCCGGTATTTTGGCTTTTGTGGCGAGGTTAACCTCCAGCTAGGGGCGGCAGGGGTGCCATGGCAGAGTTCAACTAGTTGCATCCCAAATGTCAGGGATCTATCAACGTTGCCGATACCCGCGGTTTCCTCGGCCTGACAACAGCTCCGATTCTGGCAGCTTCAACTCGAGAATCGTTCTCCGACTTTCAGAAGTAGATAACGCTGAGATCTACTCTCGCGTACTGAGGCCTTCGATCCAGTCAATTTCGCCTATTCATTGCCATCAGGACCGCCCCTGTGTAACACGTTCGCGGTCGGAAGCTAAACAACATGGGTCGTGTCGGTCGGCAGGAAGATCTCCCAAGCGACAAAACGAACTCAAATAGTGTCATGATTCGATCAAAATTTAACCAATATATTCTGGAAGAACGAATTGGTGATTTCTGATAATAAGGAATCCGTTTATCAAGCAGGCGATAGTCTTTCAGTCCATCATGACTTCGCGTTAGGTTTCTTGATTTCTTGTTCGTAGAAAAGAAAGTCAAGTTAGTGCCCGCAAATGAGAGCGACATAAGCCTCGAGTAAGGATCTAGACCCATTGGAACTGGGAGTCTCGTCTACATCGCCTGTGAGATAAGAGACGTGAGATGGGGCCATTCTCACACGAGGGACCAAGTGCCCAAGTTTACTATACTCCCGTTTTCAACTGGTATCGATCCTTGTCTTTAAGGCGAGAATATCTTGAGAAAAGGAGGACGCGTGCGAGGATGAGGATTGTGTAGAATCATTGGGCAGAAAAAAACCCCGCCTTCCGCCCCGACTGATACCCCCCCGAAAACGGCTGATTTGACTCGTGACACGCCGCATCTAGTACGGAGTACTTCTTTGTACTATACCTTATACACTAGTAGTCCTCTGTACGGGGGTACTGCTTACAGAGTACAGTACAGTACAGTATGGTTTGATGGAAGGGACTTGACTGGTCAAATGAACAAAGCCCCCAAATTTCGCATGACCACACGGCTTTAAATTTCGCTCTTACAGTGCCATCGCATTGGCTTTTTATCTCTCACTCTCTCGCTTTCCCACGGCCAAGAGTCCGTTGACAACTCTATTAATGATACAGAGTGTAATCAATCTTCATCCACCATACTCTATATTTGTCTATACTGTCGACTTTGAGGACCGCCTCGGTGGTAGGAGGGAATACCATCCGCAATCCGGCCTTCTTGGCTCTCCCGCACTTTGTTTGCACCCCTAGTGACGAATGGACTCGTCAATTAAATTTTTATATCGCTGCTTAATCATTACCCCTATTCGCCAATCCAAAGTTCGAGACTCGTAATTTGCGAGGATACTGATCTTACTAGATACGGGTTCTAGATCTAATCTGCAAGGGTCCCGAGAGTCGTGACGAATCGTAGTTAGATATTTATTTCGGATACTATAGATGTACTACGGTATGTTGAGTAAATAACGTTAGTGTGGTGGGTCACCGAACTGCATAGAAATAGGATGAACTCCGTGCCATTATCATTTAGGGACCATGACCACCAACATCAATTCTTTACCAAAGCATTATGGCTCCTTCTATACCTCCTCATTTTCAACTAACTAGAGATGAGCGCCTGCAAATCCTAACCCTGCGCTCACTAAATATGAAATATGAAGATATTGCAAATTATCTAGGGGTTTCTATATGTCAGGTCTAACTAGCCTGCCAGGCTGGTTATTCTACCCCTTCTAAAAGATCTGGTCGACCATTAGCAATGAAGGAAGAGAAGATTAACTATCTTATTAGATTTATTATCTCTTCAAGATATACAAGATATCTTACTTATAAAGAATTAGCCTTATATCTTGATCTAGGCTATTCTTAATAGGCAATCCAATTAATCTTACTTTCTAGAGACTATTGAAGATATATTACTTGAAAGAAACTATCACTATCTCCTGAGAATAAGTAGAAATAACTTCTCTAGATACACGATTACTTTAACTGGTCTTCTAGTCAATGGGAAGCCATACTATAGTCTGATAAAACATAGATAAATCCAGGTCACCATACACGTATGTGGGTTACTCGCCGGAAGAATAAGATCTTCCATAAAGACTGTATTATTGAATGGCGCCTATATAAGATAGGGTGGATGTTTTGGAGCTTATTTCATGGAACTACTAAAGGCCCTATAGTATTCTGGGAGAAGGAATGGGGTACAATAAATACTTTAAGCTATATTTAATATATAGTGCCTCTTATAACAGAGTATATCTATTAACATTCCTATCTTTAACTAGTACAAGATGGTGCTCCAGGCCATAGTACTCAATCTACTATTTAAGAGCTTCAGAGAGGTAGTATCTATATAATTAGATAGCTACCTTTCTTACCTGATCTTAATTTTATTGAAATGGTTTGGAATTGGATGAAGAACTATCTTCAGGCAAATTTCCCTGAACATATGACACTGTCTGAACTTAGAATAGCCCTTAGAGAGGCGTGGGAGGCTATTCCAGCTGATTTTCTACAAGATCTACTAAAGTCTATGCCTGAAAGATACTGTGCAGTCATTAAGGCAGGTGGTGGTCATACTAAATTTTGAGATATCATTATGCGTGTATATAGGCTGGAAACTCAACTTTACCTAATAAAGTAGTGATTTCCAGTGGAGCTTACTAACATTATTTACTCAATATACCATAGTATAGTTGCGACGATATTTCGAGTATCCAATCCGAACATATGATCTGCAACTATTACGGATTTCGATGTAAAACAATACCTATCGCATCTCTTGCGGAGTCCAGGTTTGCCGTGTGGGTCTTGCAACTCTAAAAATGGATTATAAATTTAAGAGAGCGCCCGCTTACATAGAATCAAGGACACTCTTGTGAAATGCCTCATAGGGCAGTCTGGCTCTTGAGATAGCTAATAGTGTACAACGCTGTTTTTCACCTTTCCATTAACAATCATGTTCTTGGTCCGTGGGCTGACGGTGGCGAGGTTATCTCATACCATATCTAGACATGGTATAAGATGAGTAGTAACTTAATCTGCTCCGAAAGATCCGAAAAGGATCGTGTCGTCATGGAGCATCGAATTCTGTAACCCTATGCTTCTTGCTAAATGCTTGAATGATGACATATATCGCATTTTTTTTTGTTACGTTATGGGAATGCTGTTTCTACAGACATAAAGGATATAATCTCGCGTCTTCGGCTAGAGCCTGCCCTCTGTTATGAGAACATCTAAGTAACTCAACTCTTCCACTTGGTAGGTCTGCCCTCTGAGATTAATGGTACTTCGCTTACCCTAAACCCGTGTTAGCAAAATGAACCTCACTTACCTTTGCTCCGTTCTCGGTTTGGCCGCCTTTGCCGTGTCGCAATGTAAGCTCTCGTTTGCGATGAGTACTCCCTCCAAATAAGATCTCGTTACTGACACCATTGACTTAGACGATGAACCTTGCGGAAGTGCTAAAAGCTGCATCTCACATTGCCCCAATCAAGATTTCTTCCCGATGATTGATTCATGTGACAAAGACAGCGATGGCAGCCCCTATTGTTACGTCAACTTCTATTGTGCTTAGGAGGGGTGGCCATCGTCAGCAAGCGACGAGATAGAGCTTATTGTCTGTACTGTACTAATTAATGCGACCTTAGTTTGTCAGTTGGTCAAAACATTACAGCCCGAGTCATCCACGCGAAGCATAACATACAACATATCATGTTAATTTATTCTCCAGGTAGACTGCGGTGTGCAGATGTTCCCCTTTCTATGTTAGTATTGTGGCCTCCTAACCACACATGTAGGGCAGACGAGGAGTGGGCAGCAGACAGGATAGGCCTTCGCTTGAAATTACCGGATCCGGGTAGATCTCCATCTATATATAATCAATACAAATACTCTTGCAAGTATAGAACTGGATATATTACTATATACTATCCCGGTACAGGTTTGCCTAGGGGTGTTAGCACGCCGTCTCGCTAAGAAAAACATCCACTATAATCAACTCCAGTTGGAGTGGGCTCCCGCCCCCCGATGCGGTATACATAGTATCGCGCTTACCATCGAGGCCTTAGAAGACCTGTGACAGCCATCTCCCCTCTAAGCAGGGGCCTGTCTCCAAGTCCACACGAGTTGAGACTCGACAGCTACTAGTATACATACAGGTGGAAGACCTTCAAGACTATACATAGACACTCGAAGGCACTTAAAGATATTTTGATAAGCAGAATAGTCAGCTGACGGCTGCTACCTGGCTTAAAATAAACTTTATTCCATATTGAGCTCTTAACTATTGGTCCATCCGGTCGAACTGAGTTGATCCCCCAGACACGGTACGCATACTAGTATCGCGCTCTGCTACCTGTGACAATCCCCATCGAATTGCCATGTGATCTATGATAGTGAAAAAATATCGTATCGATCGATAAACGGAACATAAGAGAATAAAAAATAAAGGAAAGCAATAAAAAGTTAGGTATCTCGTATCTCTTTAAGCGGCGCGCAACAGATAGCTTTATAACTATTCAGTTAAGCGCTAACCCTGTATATGGGACACCATAGATTACTGAGTACTGTACTGTACCTTACTTGTCAACAAGTCTCGACTCCGTATTGAAAATCCCCAGATTTCGCATGACCCACGTGGCTTAGATTTCCCCTCTTGGCATTGCTTTGGACCGCATTGGTCATTTTCTTTTTTGTTTGTTCGTTTCTTCTCTCACTGTCTCACCGTCTTACCTCTTTTAAGTTCCTTATCTCTTCTCACTCATCCCTCTTCAACCTCACTTCGTATCCTGGTTCATATCCTCTTCGACTGATTTATTTTCTTGATTATCCGGCCGCGTGAGTTAGGCATTGCGGTGCCGTATCTCTCCACCATGGCCGCCGACAATTCGACGAATCGCGCAACCCCCCAAGGTGGCATCCTGGAAGGGGGAAACCCGTCGCACTATGATCCCAAAAACCCCGTCGTGATATTCATCATTCAGGTGAGAGAGCAATTTGAAATGGACCTCTTAGACGTATTACCATTCCAATCGTCATTAGGCTAGTATCATCATCATTCTGTGTCGCGCGCTGCACTGGCCGCTATCTAAAATTCGCCAACCTCGCGTCATCGCCGAAGTCATTGGTGGAGTGATTCTTGGCCCCTCCGTCATGGGACGCATCCCAGGCTTTACGCAGGCAATCTTTCCGCAAGCCTCAATCCCCAATCTGAACCTAGTGGCGAACCTGGGACTTATTTTGTTTCTGTTCCTCGTCGGTCTAGAGACCGACCTGCGATTCTTGTTCAGCAATTGGCGCGTGGCTATCAGTGTCTCGGCGGCGGGAATGATATTGCCATTCGGCTTTGGTTGCGCCATCTCGTACGGTCTTTACCATACTTTCCGCGATGAGCCCGGTACCGTCCATATTAATTTCGGTACCTACCTACTATTTATCGGTATCGCCATGGCTATCACCGTACGTGGCCCTGGGTCATGCTTGTGATTCCCCCGGCTAATAATCCCAGGCATTCCCGGTCTTATGTCGGATTCTCACCGAGCTAAAACTGCTTGGAACGAATGTCGGCGTGATTGTGCTGTCTGCTGGTGTCGGTAACGATGTGGTCGGCTGGGTTCTTCTTGCGCTCTGCGTCGCATTGGTCAATGCCGGGTCAGGATTAACGGCCCTCTGGGTTCTGCTCGTCTGTGTGGGATACGTTCTGTTTTTGTTCCTCATCTTCCGCCCCTTGTTCATGCACTTCCTCAAGAAGACGGGAAGTCTCCAAAAAGGTCCCAGCCAATCGGTGGTCGCTCTCACCCTTCTTATCGCCTTGGCCTCGTCTTTCTTTACTCAGGTGATCGGTGTCCATGCGATCTTTGGTGGATTCCTCATCGGTCTCCTCTGTCCCCACGAAGGTGGGTTCGCGATCAAATTGACGGAGAAGATCGAGGATCTGGTTGCGGCCCTTTTCTTGCCCCTGTATTTCACCTTGTCTGGCCTCCAAACCAATTTAGGACTGCTCGATAACGGCACCGTTTGGGGTTATGTGATTGCCATTATTGCGATTGCCTTCATTGCCAAGGTTGTCGGTGGCGCGCTGGCATCCCGCCTTTGCGGCCTCCTCTGGCGTGAGAGCTTTTCTATCGGTGTCTTGATGAGTTGCAAGGGTCTCGTAGAATTGATTGTCTTGGTACTTCTTCCCTGGTTGCACCGCCGGGCGCGTACTGTGAGCTCTCTACTAACAGTTTACAGAACATTGGTTTGCAAGCGAACATTCTAAGCACTCGAACCTTCACCATGTTTGTTGTCATGGCATTGGTGACGACTTTCGCGACGACCCCGTTGACCACTACCTTGTATCCGAAATGGTACCAGATCAAGGTCGACCGCTGGCGCCGTGGTGAGATTGACTGGAATGGAAACCCTATCCAGTCTTCGTCGCGCGTGGATAGTGTCGCGATTGCCAAGGAACAGCTTCAGAACAATGCGATTCGGAGGCTTCTTGTCTACTTAAGGCTCGATGGCCTGTCCAGTATTTGCACAGTAGCTGCTCTTCTCGGGCCCAGCTGTCTAACGCAGCCTCCTCTGCCTAAAGTCCATCCGGACAAGAGAAGGTCTCAAACAATGTCCTCGGAGCCAGCGGTTGAAGAATCTGCCGCAACGGAGGTTGAAGATGCCCCCGCGCTGCGAGTGCATGGGGTTCGGTTGATGGAACTGACGGATCGTGATTCCAGTGTCATGAAAGTATCGGAGATCGACGAGTATACTCTGTGGGACCCGGTGGTCAACACTTTCCGTGCCTTTGGCCAGTGGCATGACATGTCAATCATGGCAGGCGTGTCTGTGGTGCCAGAACATTCGTATGCGGATACCGTGGTAGGAATGGCCCGGGAGGAGTCCAGTGACCTGCTCCTGATCCCGTGGAGCGAGACCGGTGCCATGAGCGAGCACCAAAGCGGGCTGGGTATCGATGAAGCGAGCCGTTTCGCAAATGGTCCATACACCGACTTTGTGTCCAATGTGATGTGTCAATCCTCATCCAGCGTGGGCGTGCTCATTGAACGCAGCGTCTATAGCCGCCAGTCACGTCGGTCTCTGCTGGCAAAGCGATCCCTTGGTGCAATGAGCGTACGTAGCTCTGTCTGGAACAGCGCGCCGGCGGCGGCACGCTCCCACCACGTCGTCTTACCTTTCTTCGGCGGTGACGATGATCGGTTTGCGGTGCGCTTCGTGTTGCAACTCGCCCAAAATGACCAGGTGACCGCCACTATTATCCACATTGATGTGACACCGTCCCCACAGCGAGTCTCGGAAGGGGAACAGAGTTCACCCAGTGAGACCACCAGAGACAAGTCCTCAAGTCACGTCAAGACGACCGTCCCGACGTCCGAATCGGACGGGATCTATTTCAGCGCGATGAAGGAATCGCTATCCGAAGACCTGGCTTCCCGAGTTGTCTTCCACCGCATATCGCCGCACAAAGACACCGCGGATGCCGTGAGCCTCGCTGTGACCGCCGTGAAGGAGGAGATGGGTAAGATTCAGCAAAAAGCTGGAAACCTCGTCGTGGTGGGACGACATAACAACCGGGTGGATCTGGCCGACCCTATTGGATCGTCGCAGGGAGAAATTGGTTCTGAAGCGAGCCGGGTTCTGGGAGCCGTCGCACAAGCGATGGTTCGCACAGAGAACAGGATTGTTGGTGATGTCCTTGTTCTGCAAGCTGGTCTCAGCGGTGCTCGGTAGAGAGATAATCGCTTCAATCATATATATACCCTATACCCTCGTTTTATCTATGATTGGGCTTGTTTGGTGTTATATAGCTTTTATCTTTTGCCCATAGGCGGCGGATCGTTGGTTCTAGCTTGTCCTGCATTGCACTATCTCACGTACTGTTACGATTATGGCGAACTTTCACAATTCCTCCATACCGCGACCAACATGAACACTCTCAAATAATGCGTGATGTGTAGAGACGAACATGATAGTCTACTTGTTCGATAACTCCTGCTACAATACAACCCTTTACACAGAAAGAACCCATCACACAAAAGTGAAACAAATGTATCTTCTCAAAAGAATCGCTATTATACAGTCATAAGCGCATCCATGAAAATGATTATCTACAAGAGCACAACCAACATATCTACATTAATCATCGACACCCTTCTCACTCACTCACTCTCTCAGAACCCGGTATTAGTCGAAGCCAACTTAGACCTCTTCCGCAACGCAGGCCCCCACCAAAACAAAACATAAGGAATCAGCGTCAAAAACGTAGCTATAAGAGCCAGGATCAACCCAGCCCACTGACTGCCGACATTATGGAAGAACTGGCTCGCGAAAAGCGGCGACACAGCACCCAGCGTATTCCGCATGAAACCCTGACCCGCGATCGCGGACGACGATGACTCGCCATAGCAATCGGAGGTGAACGAGTAACAGGACTCGAAGATGAAGAAGATACCGATGGTAATGAGGACGAGGGCAATGAAGGGGCCGATCCAGTGAAGGAAGGCGTACTGGGTGAAGCTGTAGATGAAGAGGCCGACGGGGAGCCAGACTGCGCCGAAGAGGGCGCCGTAGAGACGGGCTTCGGGTGCGGCGAAGCCGTTCTGCTTGATGATCGAGTTGTACTTTCTGATCTGGAGAAAGTTGAGTCCGAAGCCGAATGTTGTGCCTAGGCAGAGGGAGATGTAAGGGAGGCCGGAGACGCCTTCGCCCCAGCCTTTCTTTTCTTGGAAGGTGATGGGGATCACGGAGAGGAAGAGGAAGGCCAGGAACCAGGCGAAGCTGATCCAGAGGCCGAAGGCGAAGACCACGGGTTCCGTCATAAGCATCTTGATGGCCTTTACCGAGGAGTTATGAAGCATTTTCTTGATGTTGGGGGCTTCGAGGTCGGTCGCCGCGGCATAGCGGACGTCGCCGGTTTTCTGGCGGAGGAGCTCGGCGCGTTTGCCGAGGGCGACGCTGCCACGGGTTTCGCGCAGGCAGAAGAAGCAGACGACTGCGAGGGGGATGTTGGCGAGACCTTGGATTCCTTCGACCCAGCGCCAGCCCAGTGCTTGGTCGATGAAGCCGGCGTAGATGGGGGCGCCGACTGTTCCGAGAATGGCGATGTAGGAGAAGCAGGCCATGGGGATGGCACGCTCTTCCGGACGGTACATGTCACCGAAGGTACCACCGACCAGGATAGTGCCAACGCAGCCAAAGAGACCCAGCAGGGCACGGCAGATGACGATCGTAGCGATGTTCTTACCCAGGGCAAGACCGATGAACATCAGGCTGAAGCAGATGTATGCACCGACATAGATGATACGGCGACCAGCAAGCTCGCAGAAAGGGGCCAGGAAGAGGGGAGCCAGGGCACATGTGAAGTTGAAGGTGAAGAGACCCAGCTGCCCGAGAATAGTGGATACACCGAGGTCTTTTGTCATGCGGTCGATACCAGAACTGTAGGCTGTTGTTGCGAGACCGATGAAGAGGGTCATGAGACAGAGGAGCACCGAGATAAAGGCCTTGTAACGTGGGTCCCAGTTGAAAGGGTTCTCCTTGTCACCGTCGACGAAGTCAATGAGGATACGCTCCTGTCCATCATGGACGGTAGCCTGTGTAGCGGTAAGGGGGATATCGAAGTCAAAGGTCTGGAAGTTCTGTTCACTTGACGATAGGGAAGTGCTGTCTGATAACGTTTGAGCGTATTTGCCGCCGACTACAAGGCCTGTCTTGCTTGTCGCCGGGATGTGGTGTGAACTAGAGGCAGCATCCTCTGTGTGGGATGCGAGACCCGGCTGGGTCTTCTCATTAAGCTTCTTGTTCTCCATGATGTCGGAGATGGAAGGTGAGAGGAATGAAATGGAGTACTGGGAGGGTAAGAGGAGACGAAGAGGGAGGGAGAGTTGAGGAGATGGGGCAGTTATTAAAGTAACTTGACAGAGAACGGATCCGTCTTTCCGCTCTGCTAACACGCTGCGTCATTCTACTACGGAAAATCACGCGGTGGCCAGCTTAGCAATCCACAAACCGCATCAGTTGAGCAGTAAAAGTTTGTCGGTCTCCGTTCTCCACGGGGCTGCTGTCTCCGTTTAGCGTTGGGGGAAAGGCGAGTAGTCAGGAACCTCCCCGGTGGGTCGAGGAGCCTTCGCTTTTAGGATTGCCTGTAATTTTTCGGGGAAACGTTCATTACTCATCTGGACTTTGCATTGGCAATTCACTGGCTAAGCAATACGGATATTCACTTCCATTCATAACTCTCCCACGGTTAAATCGCGGATCTCGTCTTCTCACAAATCACAGCTCGATCCCCTGAGACGGCCAGGAACAAGAGACTGAGGCAAACACCAGGTTCAGAGTGAGTGATCGGAATCCGGCCGAGATTATCGGAAGGAAATGAGGCCAACCCCCACGCCCTCCCCAGTTCGGCATCCCGAGCCAGGACAGACACAGCCCTAACTCCATAATTCAGTTGCACTTCCCCCGGCCCGACTCGGTGTGTTCAGTGTTGCCACCCCATGGGCCTCATCATCCCATGCTATTCGATCAGGGGGTTCCCGTATGGATCTTCGGGTCATCTTCGGGGAAATAAACCGAAAGCTTTCACCGCTAGCTGCAGTCTATCAGCTTTCCTGGCCAGCGACTGTAGAGTGAGGTGATGCTGCAGCATGATATATCCTCTATGTCCTCGTTTGCACCTGTACACGATGAGAAGCTTGACAACGCAATATATGACCAGACGTGTTACGATCGAAGAATCGCCACGGGGCATAATGACCCTTATTGAAGTTTTGCCCACATTTAAAAATCTTTTCAAAGCTTGGGTTGGGGTTCGGATCCACATCTCAAACCTACATGCTCCGACTTTCCCATTAGGTTTAAGTAAGAGTCTCGGCATTTGCTCTGCCGACCGAAAAGATCTTTTTCCGATTCCGAAAAAAAAAACCAGAAGCCTCGTTCATCCCGTAAAGCCCATTGGCCAGTTAATGGTTTTCCGATCCCTCTGTCCAAGTACTCATCACCATAGAGCGGTCGGCCCGTAAGTTCTAGAAATTTTGCTATCATCTTCGTCACGAAAGGGCGCTGCGATATCATCAGCTAGACTTGATCAAAAGTTCATCAAATCTTTGTGCGTTGAAAGTTTCTGTCTACTGTGGATCTTTGGAGTGGCCGATCACAACGTCGTCCAGAATCGGAATGTTTCGGGTATTTACCTCTGCACTGAGATGCGATTACAACTTTGTGACTAAACATTTTTCTTACATTTGGGGTTCTAGGATCAGAGACCTCCGTACACTCATGCCTTGTAGTATAAAGCTCTTCATCGTACTCCAATACTCCTCCCATCAAAGGTATGGAGGCTAGTAGGGATACCCAAACGATCGGCTCAGCTGCCGTCCCATCGAAACTTCCATGGCGTATTTCTTGCCGAAACAGTTATAAGAGAAGGGCCATTCCCATCCATGTCGAAGCAATTATACACTTGATCGCATATCAACTGGGTTCCTACTTGGGGATATCCATTCATTGGCCGCCTCCCAGGTGCCCTAAGAAGTAATTCTTCCGTAGATAGAGCAAACCACCTAAGCACAGTAGACTATACAATAATCAGATGCACAAGCAGCTCAATGCATGCACTAAGTCAGTAAAATCAATAATAGATAGAATCCATCGGCTTCCGTATCACCCAACAAGCCACTACACCACCGGCCTGGTCCATATAATCCATGGTTTGCAGATTTAAATATGTCATATGACCCTTGCTCGAGACTCCCAAAGATGCCCCTTGACCTGTTTGTTTACCTGGTGATCATCTCATCAGTCGAGTCAGTGTGTTCTAGGCTACGTCGATTATCAATTTACACCCGCTTCTCCACCGTTGTATGTGGTGGACCATATACGGAGTGCATATGTCCGGTACATATGTCCGGCTAACTTGCCCCTGTGGAAGGTTCTTTCTTGTCGAAGTGGATTTTTCAGGCCCGTCCTGGGCACGGGACATGTCATCTTGGCGGCTGGCAGTGATAACTTGTATGGTGATTGAGTAGATCTTTATTGATGGACGGCAGGCCGCGGAGTCCGGATTCCGGTGAGCTTTCTTGTACGTCCGAGAAGTCCGCTGAGGAAACACTTGAATTGCCTGTAATTTATCTGGTCGAGGTGGCGATGAGCAAGATTGATTCATCCAATATACATCCACCATCCCTGCTCCACGTAACACCCAATCCTATAGCTAATATTACGAAACATCTCCAAAGACACTTGATATTGAAGTATATACGGAGTAGTATATAAAGAACCTAGAGACAACCATATATAGTAAGCCTAGGCAGGCCTAAATATACCGAGTCAGCATCTCAGCATGACTCTTTCTACAACTAAAACAGGGTCCCATCGCCCAAAATCAATATTGGGCTCGACCTAGTCTCCGGCCGATACTCCGCCGCCAACTCCCTCCCCGCCTTCCACGATCCTGACTCCAACATCTGAGCTAGACTCAGCTTCTCCTTGCCCAACTCCGTGCCCTTCAGTGCACCGTGCAATTTATCCAGCAGAGCCACAGTCAGCGCACGCCATTCCACAATCTCGTCACCCGTCGCCTCGAAGGCAGGCAGGTTAGCACCCGAGTTCGCCAACCCACGCTGTAGACTCTCCTCTTTCAGAGTCAAAACACCCAAATCGATGAACACGCCCCCGTTTCGGTATTCTGGTAGCCCGGTGGCGATCTCAATATTTTTCCATGTCACGCCCAGAAGACGGTCGAATGGGACGGTGAGCGAATAAGCAAGCCATTGCGTGAGCTTGTGGAAGGGCTGGATATGAGAACATTTGGTTTCGCGACCGGCTTGCTGCGCGACTTCGGCGAGACATTTTAAGGGCCAGGCGTCGCCGATGGGATGTCCGTCGATCTGAGTACGGGAGGACGGCCAGATAGGTAAGAGCACGCTCTGCAATGTTTCCCAGAGCACTTCAAAGTCGAGGCGCTTAGACTCGTCGGCGCGGGAGATAAGGTAATCTTGATCGTGGGGAGTTACTTCTTGTTGAGGTTCACGGGATAAGTACGGGGTACCTTACCGACTAGGTTCCCGGGTCGACCGGTGTCACCGAAGATATTCGGGAGATTCACGAGTGAGCGACCAAGAGATTTGATGAGCTCGACCCGTGCCGGGACTCCAACGAACGGGTTGTTGTTTGTGATCTGGAACCCGCGTGACAGGGTTGCTTCGGAGAAGTCCTTAAGGGAGGCGCCTAATTCTCTTAGCGGAGGGCCTAAGCCTCGGGGAAAGAGACGTACCCAGAACAATATCTTTTCGATCACTACCTGGGAGGGCGAACTCGCCCTCGCTGAACATATATAATGTCGCCACGGCGATACCTTCGCTCCGGCCAATGGCAAGATTACTGCCCGGCTCGGTAAAACGCCATTTATCCCCTGCACCCGCATCGAGAAGCACGGAGACGAAGAATAAATCGACCAGGCTGCGAGCCTGTTCAACCTTGTCATACCCCGCTGCCTCCCATCGTGCAAGGAGGTCCACTATGCGGGCTGTACCACCGACGTCGAAGTGCTGCCACCGGCCATGGGGAGGAATCAGATGATATTTGTCTGGACCAAAGTCCCGCTACGACGTGTTAGCTTTCTGGTTTGGGTTGTATGGGTGGTCTGAGGAAATCTCCGAGGTGACATGCCCTAATGATGTTGGTTACATATTGAACTGCAGCGTCGAAACGGTCCTCGTGATAGTCGAAATGGGTGAGTTTGTTGGCTTCGGCAAGATGGAGGACACGGTGAGCCCGTTCACGCACAGCCTGGAGGCTGAGTACGTATTTGATTTCCGCGTCCATGGTCATAGTGACTTTTGTGGAGTAGATGTTGACCTTTCTAGTTTACTATATATGTCCTATATAGCCATGGAAAAGGTTATCAGGGTTATCAGGGGATTATCTCCGTAAATGAGGGGAAAGAGATAAGATAGGGCATTATTTATCGCCCCTGACGGAAATGCGGGGTTGCTGCCTCATTATGTCATCCAGGTTTCAATGACTAAAAAGTCCACGTTGGACCGGTTTATACGTTGCATTCTTCCTGCATGATCATGCTGAGGAATGGGATGCGTTGCGCTGTTCTTGTTGCTGCCTGAGGCCCATAATCACCATCTGGCGATAACCCTGAAGTTGACCTTCACAGTATCATGTCCCGCCCACCACAGTCACTATTGGAGCCTGAAGACTACATCAGTGAATAAAATGTGAGACATTCTTTGTTTGCGCGGGTTCCTGTGATAGGTCGGTATATATAGGGTGCTCCGTTCCGCTGGTTTGGAAATTCTTGCAGGCTTAAGCATTACGGGCAATCGATGAGACATTAATCTCCTCCGGTTCCCGTCGTTGCCTTGTGCCCCGAGCGCTTTCTTGAGAGCAAAAGATGTCGTGGCTGAGAAAGAATCGACATGTCTATCTCTCCCGACAAGAAAAGGAGGCTGAGGTCGGTTCTCGCCAAGCCTTATGGACGACGCAAGGGGGTTTTCCACTGGACATATGGTCGTATCAAACGACCAAACTCATATCGAAATAGACATGTCAAGACCGCCACCATCAATATATTTCAGGAGACTACTAGCTGTACCTGGGAGCATTCCTACTGGGGAGCCATTCTGGTTCAGGAGAAAATTTACGGAGGGGTAAGTGAGAAGATAATCGATAATGTGGCTTGACTATAGCCCGGGATTGGATTCTCACACCAAGAAAGTGACGGAACAGTGGAGGGCTATTTGCGTTGAGTTCAAATGGGTTAAGAATATAGGCTGTCTTTGATTCTACCTAGATCACCCGAATTTTCTAGGTTATGCCCTACATATTCAAAGTCTTCGATTATTTGCTCCTATTGGTCTTGGCTAATCCTTCCCGTTCTTAGTCTGGTGCAAGGAAGACTTTTCCTTCCTCCATATATGCTGAGGCTTGATCTGCCGATCCGCCAGAAAAGCACATTGATTCACCGCCAGATGCTTTTCTGCCCTTTCTGGCTCTTGTGAAGATTCACGTTGGACGTGCTCTTTGTGTGTTTCCTATAAACAAGTCTCCTGTCTGTGTAAACATCAGCTTTCCAAGATGAGTAAGCCATCGATGTCTGCCATGGACAACATCCCTCTACAGAGAAGCAGCTCAGTCTGTAAGGACAGTAAACACTCCTTTACGGAGTCTGTCTTGTCATCCTTTCGCCAGCTACGCGAGATGGTCGACGGGGACAAGGAGGTTGTTCTCGATGGACGATCTCTCAATTTGAGCTCTGTCTTCGCCGTTGCTCAGTAAGGCGCTTCCATTTCTGCTGGCTTAGATCAATGCTAATCTTGATTCCCCAGCAATGGTGTTTCTGCGTCCATCACGAAGGACAAGGACGTACCCAATCAGATGAGTCACAGTGTTGACTTACTCAGTGCAAAGCTCGCACAGGGCGAAGTCATCTATGGTGTCAACACAGGATTCGGGGGCAGCGCAGACACCCGCACAGACGATTATGCAAACCTCCAAAAGGCGTTGATACAGCATCATAACGCAGCGATACTGCTCCCAACTGACCGTGGCATCGTGGATCCAACATCTAGTCCACAACACATGAAAAGTCATGCCATGCCAATTCCAATCGTTCGAGCTGCCATGCTCACACGTTGTAATTCGTTGGTGAGAGGACATTCGGCCGTTCGCGTCCAGGTTGTTGAGCATATCCTCACTCTTCTCGCTCATGGAATGACTCCCGTCGTCCCATTGCGTGGTAGCATCTCAGCTTCCGGTGACCTGACCCCTCTAGCCTACATCGCAGGAGCGTTGGAGGGTAATCCAGATATCTCAATCCATTGTGCTGGCAATGGCCAGGTCATGCCGGCTCACCGAGCCTTGCAAGAGGCAGGCCTAGTTCCTCTTGACTTTGGTCCCAAGGAGGGCCTTGGTCTCCTGAACGGCACTGCTTTCAGTGGTGGCGCAGCGAGTCTTGTCCTCTTCGAGGCCAATCAACTGGTTTTACTTTCTCAGGTGCTCACCGCTATGGGCACCGAAGCCCTACTTGGGATGCGATACAATTACCATCCGTTCATCGCGAATGCGCGTCCTCATGACGGCCAACGTGAAGCGGCAGCCAACATTTTCCAGTTCTTGGCCGATTCTAAGTTGGCGATGAACCCCACTCATGGAAGCGAGACGGCTAATCATGGCGGACTGGCCCAGGATCGGTACGCCCTGCGAACCTCTACACAGTGGATTGGACCGCAGATCGAGGACATGGCCTTGTCTTTCAGACAGGTTGTGTGTGAACTCAACTCCACGACGGACAATCCGCTGCTTGATCCCAAGGAGGAACAGATCCATCATGGAGGGAACTTCCAAGCGGCGTCGGTCGCGTCTGCAATGGAGAAGACCATGTCAGCGATGCAGATGCTGGGCAAAATGATCTTCTCCCAATCTTCTGAATTGATCAACCCCTCCTTGAGCAAGGGTCTGCCTCCCAACCTCAGTCCCGATGATCCTAGCTTGTCGTTTGCCTTTAAAGGGGTGGACATCAACATGGCATCGTACATGTCGGAGCTTGCCTATCTGAACCATCCGGTCAGTAATCATGTTCAATCGGCAGAAATGCACAATCAGGGCTTAAACTCGCTTGCTTTCATTGCCTGTCGCTATGCCGCAGATAGTGTGGAAGTTCTGTCAATGATGGCGGCAACGTACTTGTACACACTCTGTCAGGCACTCGATTTGCGAGCGCTCCATTTGGAGTTCGTGAAGGACGCCCAGGAGCAGGTCAACAATATCCACGCCAAACTCTTTTCCCCGATCGTTGGCGATCGCTTGGCCGTAGTTCAAAAGGAGGTCTGGGAAGCGCTCATGCATCACTGGTCCCATACGAGCACAAGTGATCTTGCCGACCGATGCCAGTCAACCACCAGCTACTCCGTTGGGGTCCTCACGAGCTGCCTGCAGCGAGAGGGAAATCCTGCGAGATCCTTCCTCATTGATGTCGGATTGGTCAAGGATTGGGAAACACAAGTATGCCATGCTTTGAAGCAAAGCTATGCGGAACAACGGGAGAAGTTCTTTGAAAATCAGACGACCAAATCTTATCTCTGCAGTGCGTCACGCAGCTTCTACTCGTTCGTTCGGGAGACACTTGCTGTGCCGATGCACCGAGGTATCGCCGACCACCCTACGTATGATTCTGGAGAGAATCGCAAGAAGGAATGTATCGGGACGCAGATTAGCAAAGTGTACACCGCACTGCGTAAGGGTAGATTCCAAGACGTTCTGCTCAGTTGCTGGGAAGATCGTCGTTGACATTTTCAGGGGAATGTTAAATTATCGAAAACAGTCAAAACACAGTACACTAGTTGATCTTAGAATCTTCTGTGGATGCTCAGTATCGTAAATTATGGAGTTTCTTTATTTCTCGACGCTCTAGAATCGCTGAGAGTTCCACTCAATCTTCTTTTAATAAACCCGGCTAAACGCTACTGACTTTTCCGCGCCGCGTCGGAATATTCTACAGTGTGCTTTTTAGCTTGAAATCTGTTTGAAATAGATACATTAGATAGCCTGTCTAATCCACTTGAACTATTTTGTCCCAGTTTCTTTCTAAGTAAGTCGTTAGGCAAGGTGTCGTGGCATGATGAATCAACTAAAAATAGGTGACCTACATCCGAAACGATTCTCAATAGTCTATGGAGTACCTTCAACCCCTTCGTATCCAGTTACTATTCTCGATATCCACACCCTTTCTATACCCCGGCACCAGGTGGCTGACCCTACTCCAGACTATTGAATCTCACATGGGGGGAGGAAGAGAGTAATTTCCCCTGAACGAACCAGTCCCTTTCATCTAGAAGCTTTCTCCATGGTGGGCGGGCACAGGTAACTACCAAGTCTAGCGCGCAGTTGATAATTTCCGGGCTGTCGAATTTTATATTAACTGCAGGGCGGTAGGCCCCTGTTGCGAGATGATCTTGAATGCTGCCGTCCTACGAGCATCTCACAGGCTCAAGGCGTTCTCATGTATAACTATAGCTAGACACTACTTGTGTCAGTGTTCTAGCTAGAACATCTACACGAGAAGGGTTTCGTATACCCTGGCGCCATGTGGCACTTCAAACTGGATGGATCATACCGGAAGGAAGGGCTATCAGCTTAACTAGATCAGGGACGGGTGCTCCGCACCTTTTATGGCATATCCCATTGGTGGGGTAAATGGAAGAGTACTTTGGTTGAATTTATCCGAATCAGTCTGAGGAAGTTGTACTTTGAAACGCTTCTCCCAGTGGCGTCGGAGCATATCTGTTTTAGGCAATGGCCGATGCGCCGCCCAAGTGGAGAATTAAAATGGACCCTTTGCTGATTAACGCTAATATCAGTCGGAACGGATCCGAGGGCGAGAACGGCTTGGAAATTTCCAAGGATCTAAAGGAGTATCCAACGTATTCATGGTTCCTGGCGGCTAACGTGCCCATCACTTCCACTTTACTTTATCGTCCCGTCTCTTTTCATATTGACTTGTTACAGGAAGCATATTTTCCATGACGATCATTCGCCCGTTAGCTCCATAGTCTTCTGAGTATCTGTGTCTATCTACTTCTAAGTTCCAGGTACATACACTGTAGTCTCCAAGCGTTGAATTTGTTCGGCTTCTCGAGGTAGTTTCTCTCTCATCGCGTTCTTCGAACTACTCCCTACACGAGTAAGAGCAGGTATGGATGCAGGTACCGTGTCATTTCCCACAAAAGGGGTGATAATACTGGTATCATATAACCCGGGATATTAATTCATTAAGCTATGCTAGCGAACCATAGGAACTGTCAATATCGGGGTGAAACAGCGCAATATGCAAAGGCCATGCCAAGACCGCCCGCTGCAGCACTAAAAGACCGGAATCCAATGAGGACTCGGTGGGAGTTGAAGTGGTCGATGCTTTGACGGAGCCATGATTCGTGTGCAAGTTAGGGCATCTCATTGTCTCTGCCGGAATTGACCCCTCCAACTGTATTTCCCACCAGAGGCCAATAAGCCATACTTGCCAAGCCGGATAAATGAAGCAAAAGCTTTAAACTAGTCTTGATGTGAAATTTAGCTGAAACGTCTTTCCTCTTGGCATCAGCGAGTTGACGCTCCTTGGCAGGGCTCCGCTCATCTCGCCTGGTCCCATCCCGGAACCGTTTAATCTATGAATACCATGAAGGCAGTTGGACGCCAGGATTGACCATGTATAAAAGGCTCTTGTCCGATCTCTCGTTGCCTCTCTTTCTTTTCCTCAAGCCTGGATAGCTAACCAATCATTCCTTTCTGCTTTTTGTTTTCCTACTTACCTTCACATTCTACATTCTTTTAACACGTCCAAGTCGACGCCTTCCATTCTTTATCAAAATGAAGTCCTCCACTGTTGGTATGCTCGCTCTGGCAGCGGCTGCTAAGCTCGTCAGCGCCCACACTACCGTCCACGCCGTCTGGATCAACGATGTCGACCAGGGTGAGGGTAACAGCGACAGCGGATACATCCGTTCTCCCCCCAGCAACAGCCCCATCACCGATGTCACCTCTAAGGACATGACCTGCAATGTTAACAACAAGGCTACCGCCAAGACCCTTGAGGTCAAGGCCGGCGACAAGATCACCTTTGAGTGGCACCACGACTCCCGCAGCGCGTCTGACGACATCATCGCCTCTTCCCACAATGGCCCCATCCTTGTCTACATGGCCCCTACCGAGAAGGGCACTGCTGGCAACGGCTGGGTCAAGATCGCCGAGGACGGCTATACCGACGGCACCTGGGCCGTCGAGACCCTGATCAAGAACAGAGGCAAGCACTCCGTCACCGTCCCCGACGTTGCCGCCGGCGAGTACCTATTCCGCCCTGAGATCATCGCCCTCCACGAGGGTAACCGCCAGGGCGGTGCCCAGTTCTACATGGAGTGTGTCCAGGTCAAGGTCACCTCCTCCGGCTCCAAGACTCTCCCCGAGGGTGTCTCCATCCCCGGTGCCTACACTGCCACCGACAAGGGTGTCCTCTTCGACATTTACAGCTCCTTTGACAGCTACCCTATCCCCGGCCCTGCCGTCTGGGACGGTGCTTCTGGTTCGTCTTCCTCAGGCTCCGCCTCTGCATCTGCCTCTGCTCCCGCAGCCACCAGCGCTGCCCCCGCTCCTTCTAGCTTCACTACCATCGCCAAACAGCAATCCACTACTGAAAACACTGAACCCTCTTCCACTACCTCCGCCATTGCCTCCACCACTGCAGCCGCCTCTTCTACCACCAGCACTGCTCCTGCTACCCCTTCCACTACCTCCGCCATTGCCTCTTCTGCTGCGCCCACTAACTCTGCTCCTCAGCCTAGTTCTAACGCTGGCGGCCGTGTCAAGGCCTACTACCAGTGCGGTGGCATGAACTACAGCGGTAGCACTGAGTGTGAGGAGGGTCTTACTTGCAAGAAGTGGAACCCCTACTACCACCAGTGTGTCTCCGCTTAAGCGATTTCGAGTGAAGACTTTTATTTTGAGGGGTTGATAGATCCAGATTTTAGATCAAACAGACGTTAGTGTTTGCGTTGTCTACTTGATTGTCCTCTTTGAAAATTTACGTTAAAGTTTTTGTTTGTAATTCTTAGAGCTATTTTTACCTTCATATATGAACAATCTTGGGTGCTGTACGTTAATTGTCGCCAACCGTCCACCTAGGTGGTTTACGTTCTTGAATCATAAAAGCAAATGTGAAAATGTGCAAATCACACAGCCATGAACTTGCCCCTAGTCGGTCATTTTATAGGTACCGTAGGTGTCATGACTTGACAGATTTGAGTACATGATGAGAAGCTATGGCTGTCTCGTTCTCTTAGATTCAAATGTAGAGGTTATAGATAAATATGTACTATGTATAATCAAAGTAATATTGATTACTACTTTTGTTGTAGGGTATCGATCTGTATCGCATGCAGAAATATATATTTCCCCTTAGCTACAACACCCCCCACATTCGACGAACTCGCCATACCAAAAATGTCATTAATTTAGTTAGATCATCACCATTCACTATCTCAGACATAGACGTAACGTTGTCAACCCCGAATATCAATCCACATTTTAATCTTAATAACACCGAGCAACCCCTCACCCACCAAAATAAAACTACAACGAATATTAAAGTCTGGTTGCTAATAGTGGAGACCCGGGATTACCCCATCTGGACCCGATCTTCGACCTATACCGGAAAAACTGCGGATATGACCCACCGTCGTCAGAAGGACTCTGAAACCGCAGGATTACTGATCATGAGTTGTGACATTTCTATGGATTGGACGTGGTTGCCTTCTTGGAATTTTTATATTAAGGGTCAGTGTGACGACAGCGAGAGGGGGAATTGTTTGTTAGAGACCACGTGATATCAGTTTTGATCGTCAGTTGGTAGAGGGTTTTGTAAGAAGGGCTATTCGGAAAGAGGTCTCTAATCGTTGTTGTCTTTCCCTTAGCCGTGGTGGGTTGGATAAGCTAACGTGTGTGTGTATTTTTTTTTTTTTTTTTGATTTTGTATGGGAGTGTATAGGGCCATGTCCTCTTTTGATCATTAAGGGTTGGATTGAGCTGGCATGCGCGGTGCTGTTCTGATGATGTATGATAGGGTTCCCCACATCTATGGACGAGAGACTTCCTCAAAGCTTAAGGGATGTTGAAGTAATTAGCGGCATGACGATATGAATATGTCATAGAGGTCAGAATCTTCTATCACTTATTCCGAATCATGTCTCCTGGCAAAAGAGCACAGTATATAGAATTCGCAATGAATGAAGGAAGACGATATCACGTATGCAAAACCTGAACCTATCTATAAAGATTGACAATCTGCGGGGACGCAAATGTCTCCTCTGTGGACTTGAAATCGGAGGCCAAGCCGCACCAGGCGCGGTGGGAATCCAGGCAAAGCCAAACATGAGGAATAGGTTGTTCTCCCTACGATGCTACTGAACTGGGAAACATGTACTTTCACCCCAACCAAGAAAAGCTTTGGTTAGATTGTTATCGTGTTGATATATGTCTAAATGAGAACCGCCATGGTGACAGCTCTGACAATATGGTCTGAGCCATCTAGTATACCTCGACTAGGAACGCAATGAATACACGATAAGTGGGATTGGATTGCACACAAAAGGCTGCAGGGTAGGCAATACTCTGAGCGACGAGGAGCTTGCCATCACGAATGAGTCCCTACGGGTTGATCAAATCGGAGAGGATATCCTGGAGATAGCGATCCATTAGATCAGTGTTCTGCATCTAATGACAGGCTACACCCCGTCTCTGGAGAGTCTTACTATGACCTGAGACTTCTGGGCTTTTCAGAGGCCCTCTGTTACGTTTGAACATTTCTTGATGTCCTTCAGCACCCTGCGAAATTTGGAGATGACTGTGTATCCTTGGCCAATTCGTGCAGTTACAAACCATCCGAACTTGACTAGGCTTTGGACCCATGTGGAGTACACAGGTAGTAATGCTCAGGGATTTTACACGCCTAGAGATCTCGAGTAAGTGGATACACAATGTCCAAAGCTGGAAGACCTGACACTAAATGCCAGCAGGGGGGATTATTGGGCAGGTACGAATCCAGACCAAGGTACTGCATGTCTAACTCTTCAGCCACGTGTTCGAGACTTAATCTCTACTTTTTCGCAACGCTTTGCCTCCTTGCGTTATCTTTCACTGTATTTTGGCATATGGCACGGGGACCGTGTCTTGCGAGGGAAGGGGATGCTAAGCTCCGCAACTGCACAAGCGATCGGTCAAATGTTCTTTGACGGACGCAAAGTTTCTTCGCATAGCCGGTCCTCTCCGTTTCCAGGATGATCCCAAGAATTAACCCTGTGGGCAATCCAGTGATACAACCTTGAATGGACGAGACCTCGGGAGGTCATATTTATATGCTAGCCCCCATCTAGCTAGCTCACCTAGGTTTTCGACGATTGTATACTCGCCCGAAGGATCAGTTCGGTCAGATATGTTGCAAAAAGGAGAGGATAAAGCCTTGACTAGGTCTTGGTATTTGGCCGGCTTAAGGAGATATTTGCGTGATTCGGTTGGGCTGTGAGAGGGAATGAAGCACTTTAGCAAGGCTGTATACAGAAGTTGATTTCCCATGTGGCCTAGGTACTGCTCTTATTTTCCAATTATGTGTCGTTTCCCATTTCTTCCCGGTGTTTCTTTTCTATCCTAACCTGTTATTGAGAGTGAGGAACGTTACTGAAGTGATACATCTGATGTACCTTTCCTTTTTTCTTCCAAGTTACTAGGCTGTCCTATGGATCAAGAAGATGTATAACTGGCAAAAATCCCAGAGGCAAATTCGGACCCCGAGTACAAGTCCACTTACCTCGGCATCGGCCCGATAAGGCTGTTCAACACCGACCACGCTCAGCCCTACGACACAGAACAACAAAAGCCCAGCAAATAGCCTACCTTTCTTGTTCCGAGGTAGTCAAGTCGCATAATAATCACAATGAAAAGTGGAGCCCAACCGGATCATCATGGAAATTCCAAGCAGAACAAGGGTTCGGGACAACCGGTGATCAACCGAAGCTAATTCCTCGCTGTGACATCATCATGGGTGGAACCCTTTTTTATCATCTTCCCTCACACCTTGTTCCTTTATTATTATTATTATTATAATTATTTTTCCTCCCTATGCAAAAGGCAAAATTTCAAAATTCTCAGGTGTGGGAGCGAGATATATCAACACAATGGCAACAGACGCAGCATCGCCGCGACCGCACAGACATAGTATTACCGCGGACGACTGGCCGGAGGAACATCTCAGTCCCAGGCGTCACTCGTTAGGCGGCAGTCATGCTCATGTGAGGGAGCAGGGACTGAACACCGGAGTCCGGGTAATGGGTGTGTGTTCTATTACTCAAGCGAAAGGGGCATGAATGGGACAATGGTTAACGAGAAGTGCGCAGATGATGGACGACTGGACATCAAGATCCGTGAACACAAGCCCTGGCTACTCAAGTTAATCAACCAACTCGAGAAATACCCGAAGCCCCTCGTAAACGACCGCAGGCCATCATTTATTGTTACAGAAGGACAGGATAAGTTCCCGCTACGACTGAACATTGTCATTCAAGTCGTCGGTTCGCGCGGCGACGTTCAACCCTTCGTCGCGCTGGGAAAGGAACTCCAAAAACACGGTCACAGGGTACGACTCGCCACGCATCTTTCATTCCGCGAATATGTTAGCGAGACGGGGCTGGAATTTTTCAATATTGGCGGCGATCCGGCGGAATTGATGGCGTTTATGGTGAAAAATCCCGGGCTGATGCCGGATATGCGGACGCTTCGTAGCGGAGCGATTCCCAAGCGACGGCGGGAAATGAAGGCTATTTTCTCCGGGTGCTGGCGCTCCTGTTTTGAGACTGGGGATGGGACCGGGATGCATCATATTAAGGAGGACCCATGGAGTGAGACACCGGATTGTACGACGCGGCCGTTTGTCGCGGATGTTATTATTGCCAACCCGCCGAGTTTTGCGCACTTGAGCTGTGCGGAGAAGATGGGGATTCCGTTGAATATGATGTTTACGTGAGTTTTTCATATTTGGTTTGGTTTTGTGAAAGTGGACGTTTTGCTGAGAGTGTAGGATGCCGTGGTCGGCAACACAGTCGTTCCCGCATCCGTTGGCTAATGTCCGGACGCAAACTACGAAACCGTCTGTTGCGAATTTTGCCTCGTATGCTATTGTCGAGGTGATAATGTGGGAGGGGCTTGGGGACCTCATTAATCGCTTGCGCAAGAGGGAGCTGGGTCTCGATCCATTGGACGCGATCCGCGCTCCTAGTATTGCGCATCGGTTGCGAATACCATATACCTATCTTTGGTGCGTTACTCCTATATTATCACGATATAATCACTAATCGCCATAGGTCTCCATCCCTTTTACCTAAGCCCCAAGACTGGGGCGACAATATCGACGTCTGCGGATTCCAGTTTCTACCCAGTGACACCGACTACAAGCCGCCCGACGATCTCGATGCCTTCCTCAAAGCAGGCGAACCCCCAGTTTACATCGGATTCGGTTCCATCGTAGTTGACAACCCAGCCAAACTAACCTCAATTGTCTTCGAAGCCGTTCGCCTAACCGGGAAGCGAGCGCTCGTATCCAAAGGCTGGGGCAACATCGGAGGAGGCAGCGAAGTACCTGAAAACGTCTTCCTGTTAGGAAAGTGTCCCCACGACTGGCTTTTCCAACATGTTTCATGCGTCGTCCACCACGGTGGTGCAGGTACCACCGCAGCTGGGCTGGTCCTGGGACGTCCGACAGTAATCGTTCCCTTTTTCGGCGACCAGCCATTCTGGGGCTCGATTGTGGCCCGAGCAGGTGCCGGGCCGCAGCCAGTACCGTATAAACAATTGACGGCGGAGAAACTGGCGGACGCGATCAATACAGCGTTGGAGCCGTCTACGCTGGAAAAGGCCGAGGAGATAGGCAAGGGCATGCGGACGGAAAGAGGCGTGCAGAATGCTGTCTGTAGTTTCCACCAGCATTTGGATTTACGGAGCCTACGGTGCGCAATTTGTCCTACTCGTCCGGCGGTGTGGTGGCATCGCCATATGCATGTCAAGTTGAGTGCTTTTGCGGCGGCGGTTTTGGTGGAGGCTGGGATTGTGAATCCGCATAGTTTTGAACTGTGAGATATTCCGTCCCTTGTTTTCGGTCCTGACGCATTGTGTGGTTGATTACTCATATCTGCTAGATACCGTGCCAAAGAATATGACACCAACCGCGACCCTCGAGGACCGCTGTCTGCAGGTGCTGAGGTGTTGTACGGAGTAGTCAGTGATTTCATCAGTGGACTTGCATCTGTGCCCGCTGGTGTAGCTGGGGTGTTCTCCAATGAGAATCACAGAAAAAAAGATAATCACCGTCATCGTCATCACCTCAGTAACCGAGACTGGGTAAGAGATCACTGCACGGAATCACTGGAAAAGGCGCGTGAGCAAGAAAAGGAGAGATCTTCCCGGGGCAACGCTAATGGCCATACTGGAGTGGCCAGATCCGAAGCCGACACCAGGTCCCTTCAATCAGTGTCCCCGGAGTCGGCGAGCGATAGTGAATACGCCTCAGCGGAGGAAGAACAGTCGCAAAGCAGCGAAGACACTATAATCGATGCCTCCGATGACCTTGAGAATGAGCTAGACCTTGAACGGACAATAACTCGGAAACAGGCTAAAGAAGATAAGAATGGCACGAAAGAGTTTTTGACAGAAACAGGGTACCATACTACCAAGTTCGCAAAGCAGGTGCTCAATTTTGCGCTCATGCTTCCCACCGACTTGACGCTCAGCTTAGCGAAGGGATTTCATAATGCACCCAAGCTTTATCATGATACGACGGTGCAGAAGATTCCGAGAGTCTTGAACGTGAGGAGTGGGTTTCGAGCAGCTGGGACAGTGAGTGCTTACCTGCGTATGGGCGTTAATCAGTGATGCTGACTGTTGGAAGGAATTCATGGAGGGGTTTTACTATGGTATTACAGGTCTTCTCACGCAGCCTGCGCGAGGTTTCCAGAAGTCTGGCGGGAGAGGTTTAGTCAAGGGGGTTGGAAAGGGGATTGGTGGTGTGTTCTTTAAGCCAGCTGCAGGTACGTCGTCCTTCGTTTATACCTCTCCTTGCTCTTCCTAGTTTGACATATATGACCGGTAGGCATCTGGGGCTTAGCAGGATTCCCACTGGACGGAGTACATAAGAGTCTTCGCAATTCCTTAACCAAGAATAAAACAAGATACATCCTACGGTCACGACTGGACCAAGGAATCGAGGAGATGTGTGTAGCATCAACAGAGGAAAGGGCCATGGTGATTCAGAAATGGCGCGAATTAGAAGGGAACCATCCTCAAAATCAAAATGGTGACGCTTAATAAAACGCGAAGTATACCCCTTATCTTTGTAATTATATTATGTCTGGATATTAATGCACATATCTTTACCAAACAATAGACGGAATACAAGATATACACCTTTAACATCCACCATTCACTCAATAGAAACCCTACCTCCATCAATCTTGACATTAGCCACCCACATCCCCCTCGCCTTATCCATATCCTGCCCGTTATTAAAAGCATGAAACGCAATCGCACCTCCATCTTCCCGGAAATCAGATCCGCCAGGTCCCCCAAGTGATCCCACATTACTACTATCTCCAGAGCCCAGCAGTGGCGCATTTGGCGCCAAGGCCTTGGTATAGGGTCCAGTTACCGCCGACGCGACAGCATAACTAACGTCATACTTCAGGGTGTTGTACATGTTTGACGAGAACGACAGATAGTACTGGCCGCCACTCTTCACTATACTGGGTGCTTCGACAAGGGGTCCGTCGGCATCCTCGCGGTCAATCAGCTGCACGGCGTCGCCGTCGGGAGTCACGGCATCGGACTGCAGCTTCTGGAGCATGATAGGCGTGGGGTGATAATCGCTGCCCGTGTTGAGACTGTTTCCATCGACCTTATAGACAACATAGTATGTTCCGTCGTCATCTTTGAAGCCTGCGGCATCGATGGCACCGCCTTTGCTGATATCACAGGCAAGGGCCTTCTGCTCGGGGGTGTAGGGACCGGTGATGGAGGAAGAGGTCGCGGCGCCAATACAGTGTTTGCTATTGGCTTCGCTGGTAGAGGCGGAGTAGTACATGACGAAAGTGCCATCGTCCTGTTATCTTCCATTAGAGCCTGTTAATGAGAAAGAAGGCCAAAGACAGACTCGTTGGATAACATCTGGCGCCCAGATAAGGGGATGTTTGCCGTTTACCCAGCTAGGAAAAGGACCGGGAAGTGCGTCCTGGCCATCCAAGACACTCCAGGTGTTGAAATCCGCAGAATGGGCGATCTGGGCATTGACGCCGTTGGCGGAAGTCGCAAAGGCGTAGTAGCCATCATCTATTCTTATGACGCTGGGATCGGCGAAATCTGCATCGATCGCTTTCCAGGGCTCGGCCATGCACCGACCAGGAAAAAGAGAGAGCACGAGAGTAGGAAGAAGAGCTATCCTTGATGTTGACGGCGCCATTGTGGTGGACTGGTTGTTTTGATGCGGGTTGGGGTCGGGGAGGAGGACCAGGAACTATTCTATACTTCGCCTGGGATCCAACATGAGGGTTGGGGGAAGTGATGGTAATATCCATAACGGTGGATCTGTACTGCCCTATTGCGAATTGCCCGATCAAGCAGCTAATTGGGGGGATCAGCGCCATCTGCCAACACTACGGGAAGAGATCGGCATAACCAACACCGGAATTGAACGCTGATTGACTCTGGACAGGGGAGGCTGTGCATTATGTAACCGTTAATCTATTAAGGATTCTGCAGGCAGTGTTGTCCAGCTAAATTACGGGTTGATGTGATAGTATACAGTAAAAGTCCACAGTCCTAGAAACATGTCAACTGCAGAGGATCTTACAGCGTTCGACTATGAATACTGTGTTTCCCTGAGTTCTCCAACCTATGAAGCTTGGCGTATGTGTATCAATTATTACAAGCGCTTCATTCCAGTGCAGTGGCTATGTAACAACTTAGCAAGTGGCCCCTGATACATGAACACCTCTTAGGCAAATCTAAGCCGACCAGCTACGGCCAATCGACTGAAGAACCAGATTGTCGATTCCATTCAACTCAAAGAGAATAACAAATTGACTTGCACTATGGGGAGAAATAAGAGAAACAGAAGCGAGAACTATGCTCGTCAGAGTATGGATATGCATCAATATCTAATCCATGTCTTCGACCTCAGTGAGCTCAGCGATCGTGGTTTCCAGGAAACCTTTCTGCTCCGTTAAAAAGTTTACCATGTCAGAGATACTGAAGCGATGCTTTCCAGACTGCCTTTGCTTCTCGTCGTTTAATTTTGCGCGGAAACGCTCTTCCAAGAGCTCCAATCGATATGCAGTGTACCCAGTATAAAGTTCTGACCCATTGCTGATTGCTCTTGACCCTGTCAGGACGAGCTCATCCCTGATAAAGGGGGACCTGGGACGAAAAGGAGTGACCATGCTGATACGTTCGCGGCCGCCAAGGGCTTTCAGCGCTTGATGCTCGATATACCTCCCTTGCATGATGACTGCAGTTCCCTACAAGTTCCCATAAAGAGAAGAAACGCCTTCAAGTACCCCAGGGCATACCATGGCTGGCCCACGGATCTTTTTGATTTCCCCAGAGGGTGTCTTTATCGCTGTCTCTCCGCCAATCATTCCAGTGCAATCTGAAAGCATTGTCACGCAAACGAAAGGAAAGCTGTCATAGTGCCACGAAAAGGCCGGTGGCTCATTGTCTAGGGTGTTATCCCCATTGTGCAAAGCCGCGCTGGCCGGATCGTCCGCTGAGATGTTGATATTAGCGATTTCATAGTCGAAAGCCACAACGAGGTCAACTCCCACAACCTCTGAAAACTTGGAAAGAAGCTCCGGAGAAGACCAGGCATCGCAAGTAAATGGAGCACGCCTGCGGAGAACTCAATTAGTCCGGTCTATGGTATCACGCTTAGATGAACTCACGCGCGTCCCATTCCTCTAATCATATTTGAGGCAAAGCTCGATGCATACTGGCAATTTTCAAGCACTGGCTCGCTGAACAAGCATGGGTCAAACAAATTGCATGTTTCTTGCCCCGAGAATCCCGATGCATGGCATTCACCTAGTCGCTGAAGAGCATCATTTAACCCACCCTGTTGGAGCTAAGACTCTCGAAGATAGCTAGGCAATGCTGCCAAGGCAGGTCTCAGATCCTTCGGGGTTCCCATTCCTATTCAGTACCTAGTTTCCTTCCTATCCACATAAACCAGATGTTGAGTTTCTTTAGCTCCTTCTCTTACCCATTTGAGATTCTTGCTCGTCAGCCGTTACCGAGCCCTGTATACATGCCGTATGTTGATTTGGCAACCCATAGAGCTCCTATCATCTTCTTTCCTACTGATCCGAAGCTCCCGAGCACTAGGTTTCTATACCCGTCGTCATTCGTTGCGACTTTCCTGAAATATTTCACACTAGATAGGGTACAGACACACAAATTACGCCGTACCCCACCCTCGGATTGAGGAAGGGATAGCTGGGGAAAGCAATGAGGGAGCCCCGTCCTTATCTTGTTTCTATCTCGGACTTGGCCACTTCTGCACGAACCGTTCGTCTCACGTGCTATTCTCTGCATGGAGAATATGCGTAAGGCCTGCATAAATCCTAATATTTGCTCTATATTCCCAATTTCATGAACTATTAAATTCATACCAAATCCTCTTTCCCCAGATGACTCCTGGAAACCATATCACAGGCAGAAAAACAACCCGCCCATTTCTTTTGGACCCAACAACAACCAACACATACCTAGAGAAGTTGAACGTGATATTGTCTTCTCTAACTCAGAGGTACTGAGGGTCTCTGTCTATGACAACCGGGCCTGTCGGAACAAAAATTGGGCAATTGGCAGATTCACCTGGTTGCCATCTGGGGTACGGTCACGACAGCCCTCTTCGTGAGCATTAGCCAAACTCTCCAGAAATTAGGGCCAGCCAATCTTTCTATAGCTTTTATTATTTATCATATCATGCTTGCGATAATCAGCAACTGCATAACAGAAATGCCAATCTTGTTAGTGACGGTTTTAATCGCAGGACTAGCAAGTAGATAGATGACGCCTCTGGCTCCATGGCTGGTTGGAGTTATGTCTTTTACCAAGGAGCATGATCTTATCTGAGGTGACCGCAGTTACCCTAATACTCTTATATTCGAGCGGCAGCATCCCTCCAGCAGTACCGTGTAGCTTGCATAAAGCTGTATACGTGAGACTCCCCTCGACCCTCCTTTTGTTATCCCCTAAGTCAACTGAACCAAGAGCTCTAGATGCTTGGATATTCTAATCGAGGCAGTCTGCAGCAAGACTGGCTTCTGGCTATCCAGTGGCAAGGTGTATCTTGCGCCATCGTGGTCTCATCTACATTTATAAATATGGTGAAGCAATCCGATAGGGAATGCCTATGGTATCCAGAACTGGAAGTGCCTAGGCCATTAATCGAGTACCGGGACGATTCCAGGGTGCCCTGGCAGCGCTCTAGTCAGCTGCATCCACTATTGTTTTATGGGTACAGAAGTCTTGAAACATGGGGTATGAAAGACCTTTTCCAAAACTGTACTTTTGTGTTGATGATGCGCCTGTCTTTCTCATTGGGTGGAACTTCTTTCAACGCACGAAGTTTCTGGGCCCAAAGAAGTCAACCTCGGCTGGGATTCTCTGGAGATAACCGGCTGTGAAGAGGCCTTATTCGGTACGGAGTCCCCCGTTGGATTTTAAGCTAAATTTATGCGGCCCTTTAGGAGGCTGAAAGCTGGGATAATTGAGAAGCAACGATGGTTTAAGAATGTGGATGGTTTTGGCCAAGATATTGACGGTCGTCAGATGATTACGATTTGCCCTAGCAAACTGCAAAGCCAGACTATCCGTTTAGCAGAGACACGAGAATATTCCCAATATATCAAACACTACTGTAGTATTGCAAACAAGAATGATTAGTCTATGATATGGGTGTTCCAGTGCAAATTTAAGTTGCTTCTACCGAGATCCGGGTTGTCAGTTGGGGCTGCATCGCATAAGAACTCGCACACCCGACGTGATATCCGAACTAGATGTTGATCGGCTGTGATGTTTCCTGGCACCTAGTGCCTGACATCCCTTACCGATGATAATGACTATGCCTTGGTCTCCAATTCCGTCGCAGAAAATTCGCGTTCTCTTACGAGGGTCTAGCCGGCCTCCAATCCCAGCCGCATGGCTGCTTAGTCGCCTCTAAGCCACCATGCTCGATCATTTTCTTTTGTGCCGTACGGTGTAGGATCGCATCTTCAAAATTTGTCATACTAGCAGAGTGCTACCTCGGAAGCACTCGGAAGGTGCAACAGAAAGTTCTAGACTCCCCTATTCATGATCATATTTTAACATGGCTATTACCTACGAGGAAGGGAAGACCGCGACTAGCGGCGGTGAAACGATTCTACTTAGCTTCATGGGCTAACGCAGGGGGAAGCACGATGGATCAAAGCCGTGATCTGCTTCGGCATGGAAACCGGACTTGCGGAGTTTTCACTCAAAGGATCGCCCACGTGGCAAAGGATTCAGTCTAGTGATAAAACGGGATTCATGCTTTAATTAGAGTTCGTCTGATGAGGATTCTTTGCTTCTAGAGGCCGACAATGATGGGACTGGCCAGTGAACAATTATCCTTAGCTCAATCCCTTTACAGTCTTTTCCCGACCTTGTTTCTCCTTCAGCCTCGGACGTGAGATCTTCTTATTCGCAGACATAGACCGTGTGGAGACGCAGGAAGACTGACCTATAAGACACATGATAATGACCGTAATTGACTATGTGATCCAACAACCAATAGTTCCCCGGCGCGCTGTTTCCGAGCTTTAAAACGGTCCCTGCGTGTTCATCCATGATGATTCCCATAGCAGTAATATTATTATTGATGAAGTACTCAACTTGTAAGGGCTCGCCGGTTCCCTACACTCGGTACAATTGTACTTCTTTCACAGTGTCAGTGACTGGGGCTTTAACTCAATCGTACCATTACAAAAGGCTGCAGCCTTCCCAAAGCTTTTCAAATTTTCTCACAATGTTCCTAGTGCCGCGCCCCCGGGTTTACCAAGAGTCGCATGCATACCTTGACCTATCAGTGGATAAGAGTTATTTCCCGGCCATTCTGGCGGATAAAGAAAGACAGCGGACAAATAGCACGTCCATCACGAAACTTACGGAAACCAACAGTGTGCGAAACCTTTTTTGAATGTCTCATCATCGTGCTCCGGTGCACTGTGAGTTCATCAGCAGGTTCTGTCACCGTACGGAAAAAATTTCCGTGCAGCATTAAAGGAGGTTGGGCATTTTCTTGATACCAATCCGATATTCAAAGCTAGTGACGAGGTTTCTAAAATGACTGTGCGGAGTTTCGAAGAATACTTGAAGTAATACAAATAGGATAACCACAGGCACAACATAAGTGATAGGCATATGTGATCTTAGGGTTCTAGAACAGCGGACTATTACTTCGACGCATTGGTCCCATTGTACGGGGAGCAAGCCTTATGGGTATCGTCCTACTAATATAATTGCATATTTGGGAATGATAATTATAAATACATAAGCATAGGCATAGCGATTGGTCACAGCCATAGTCGAGACCAAGCCACCTCAAGCCACGAGGCTGGCTAGTACATGTCACTACGTATTGAGAAATTAGCGCCGAGTAGGATTGAAATGCGCGGTCGTAGGAATGAAGGACTATAATAGTCTCGGAAAAGTCCCTGAAACATAGGCCAAAGGCTAGCAAAAGGCTCTCCAAGCACTCAGATAGATCCACATCTATACGATCTCTGTCTCGTAATATGAGTTCACTACAAAATGTCAGGGGAATGCTATGCAAAGCCTCTGCCCCACCTTTTTGGCTGCACATAGCCAAAAAGGTGGGGAGGACGGCCATCTTCCCTGTCAAGGTTTGGCCAGACGCGTCACTTACGCTGGTTTAATTAAATTCTGTCGGGATTTTGTGGGAAGTTTGTGACAATTCTATGAGCATTGGTGAAGAATTAGGGCTGTGCGTGATGCCATTTACATTTGTGGTTTCCCTTCTCCCAGGACTCCATACTTTACCTACGTTAACTTTAACCTCGTATATTATAGTGAAAGTTTCATAGATACCATTGTATTGAAGCTACTCCGCGCTGTGCAAGGCTGTAAATACGAATCACCAGCAACAAGGCTGAGCAGCATAGCTACCAGCTGCTCCCTGGGCCCCAAACCCGGGCGATATGCTGGTCAAGTGTTGGTAATAAACACACTGTCGCCTAGACGGCCATCTGATGTGTTTTACAGACCCTTTAAGCAACCAAGACTTGAACTGGGGCCCTACAAGTCTGGGAGCGGGTCAAATACTTTTGGGAACAGGGACGGAATTTTCCACTTTCACTCCATAATTTCTCTAGTGAATAGTTTTCCAAGGAGCTTTGCGATGTGGCTCTTTTCCATTCGGTTGGCTAAAACAGCGGTACGTGTCTTAAATGTGCCGCCCAAATTGGAATACAAGGGCTTCTGTGCTTTGTTCACAATTTCCCGCATCTGGTAGAAGTGATTTTCGTCACATTAGGCGACCAACTCTCAATGCTGCTTAGGTCTGAAGACTGTATGAACTACTGCAAGATTATCGTCTCTTTTACTACATCGCATCTTTTCGTCATTCCTTTTCTCCTTGTTTTTCTCCCTTCACTCTCCCAAATGCCAATCTTCATTTCTTTCATCATACGGGACCTACCGTTTCTGGCGCTCTAAATTATCTCACTAGCTGATGATCGACATATACTGTACATGACTGAAATTAGCATCGACGGTATATCTGCCACATGGACTGAGATTGGGCTAGTGGAGATAGAACAAGCCGACTGGGTATGAACTAGACGAAATCCTCCACAAGAGATGAGCAAGTGCCTAACTAGGTAAGCGATATGCAGCTCTCTCTACTAGTGCCTTTGAAATAACTAAAGCCACATGGTACTTACTTGTGTGTAATCAAGAAGGTCTCTACTGCTATGATCTTCGTTCTCCACTCACTCCGCCCGGGGACTTGTCGAATGAATGAACAGATTCACCGCTAGTTTAGTCGATTTGTATCATGTTCAAGGGCCGTAAACATTCCAGTTATACTAGACAGGATTATTATCTCTTTAGTCAAGGCCTCAGCGTAGTAGCGAAATCAACGTCGAATTTAGAGATGCATCAGCGTCTCCGAGACTATTGAAATGGTCCTATGGAGGCCTTTGTTAAACCCCGACCTTATCATATTCTTCAGTTCAATTTGATACGAGATTAGTACGGTATGCATGATAGCTACCTTCCAGTAAGGATACCGTTCTTGTCTGTAATGCTTCAAGAAAGCCATTGCAATGCACAAATTATATAGTAAGACACCAGTGTGTTGCCTTGTTTTGATGTAATCGATGAACCAGGGCTGTCATTGCTCTTGATCCACTCCATACCCGCCTTAAATCCACTCGATCACTACCCCTAGTAGCATTATCCTATCATCGGGCGTATTCAAGAGTGGATATAGTGTATCGTTGGATTTCAATTGGATTAGCGGTTGCTGTTCGTCCCAACTTCTCATTGGTCCATGGACATAATCTGACTGTGCATAGTTCCTCGAGCAAAGGTACTTTCATGAAAGTTTCGGTATTTTAGCATATGGTGGTGGCTCTAGAATTTAGGGGTTCCTCTGTGTCCTTATTTACATTGTTCTAAGGTATTCTGAAACGGGATCTGGCAAGCCATGTAATCCTGTGCACAACTACTTGGAGTGTCTCCGACATAACGGGGGTTCGATACTGCCCTACCGTACCTTTAACTCTCATCAATTACACCCTCAACTCTTCCAGACCAGGTATAGATCGGCATACGGTCCCCGAAGGTATCATGCCTCATCACACAATAGCAAGGAAGAGCATCACGCTCTTTATCCGCGATAGCACAGACAATCTATACTGAGAGAGACGTATTTAAGCACTCCTTCTCCTTATATTTCCTACTTCCTTTCCCTCCCACATTATTCCTCATTTCCTGTCTGCATAGCCTCTATCTTGTGGGACAATTGCTTTGGTCATGGCCCTCTCAGCCGAAAGTATCATTGCTATCTCAGTCGGCGTTGTGGGAACTGCTATTATCGTCCCATCGTTCATCTTATCCTTGCAAAAATTTCAGCAAAAGCGGCACAGGAGTCGTGCCAGTAAGTACTTTGAGTCATTCTGTATGTATGTCTCACTGCATTCTGAAACCGTATATCTATACTATAGGTCCAAGAGAAGTTTCTACAGATCAACACGCAACTATACTTGGGGATCTCCCGGCAAGCTCAGGAAACACAGAATTACACTTGGAAGCAGGTGTCAAGTACCATTATTTGTCTAGTATGTCGGAACCTGAATATATGGCTGCTTAATAGCTGATATATGCAGGGAGTCCTCGTTCAGACACAATGCGAGGTGATGTGCCTCTACCACAGGTTCCCGCTACTGTGGTTGTGCGATAATGTTCCACTATCCTTGACCTGCGCATTGGCCTACTGCACTCTGCTGTTTTATATTGGGCTACGGTTTGACTTGGAGTCTTGATATAAGGTAAAAAGGACGGTCGATGGCTGCATGATCAAGACCCATTCGGGGGCTTTGGCAACTATTCGAGAAGAATCGAATTTTCATCTGCAAAGGTTTCAAGACTTCATGAGACCCCAGCCGATATCAATGTCAAGCTTACCATTCGTCGAACGCCAAATTTCCGAGATAATCCAACATTTCTTCACTTTTCATTGGCCAGTTCCCACCGTCCCTAATCCTGATCTGCAATTATAAATATAGCGGCTTGCTTTCGAGTACAGTCCTGCCCTCTCATACTTGTAACGAGAAGATTCACATCTACAACAGATTCATCTAGACTCAGCTAGAACGAGAGCTTGTTACGTAGGAAAATAGAAAACTCTTCAATGTCACGGTCGGCTATTAAAGATCCAAGCATACCCGGCCCTACTAAACGTTTCGAGTAATTGGTATCTAACATGTGTACCGAATTGCTACTACATGATACGCGCATATCTGTTGGGTAACTTAGAGAAGCCCTAGACAAAGACGCACAGATAGCAGACAGTGATAGCTATGCTAAAACGGTTCCTCAAGAGCAATGCTGAGATAGAATACAGTTCAGTGCACAGCAACAGTGGTTTCCGGAAGAGCTGGGCTGCGAGATACACAGCATAGCAGGCCACTTGCCCACCGCAATACCATGTGCAGACTAGGGGAACGACATTCATGTCCTCCTTTCTTATGTGTGTAATTTCGCTTTACTATACTAAATTCTTCTGTGATTGTGAGGAGGGAAGATCACGGTCATAGCCGCGTATGAAGTCCATTGAGAAAAGGTCCATGCTCTGACGACAAGTGCAGCATACAACCCTACGAGTTCGAGCTCTTTCAACATACTTAGACATTGCTTACTTTGCTCCTGCCAGATATTATAAATATAATCATATTACCTGTTGAATAACTAGAGGAGATAAAATATTTTATAGCTTGTAAGACATTTTACGAGAATATCTCTAATAACTTTAATAGAATTTATAGTAGTCTGTATACGAATCAAACCTTACTATCTATTCTAATAAGAGTATACGGAGTACTTCTACAAAAGTTAAGACAAAACTCTAGGGCGTGACATATCCTTTGCCTACTCTCAAAATGGGTTTTGAACCCACGTCACAACTTGTGACGTGAGGACTAACCTCTTTTGGTCATTTTATTCTAGTCCTCGATAAAACACTTCGCATCGACTTAGGGCTATGGAGTCATGTGCAACTCGATCATGTCATAAGGACTAACTGATTCCAGGTGTCTTCGTGGACATTATGTAGACCACGGGACGTCTCTAGACTGAAACTGACAATTTTAATATACACAGATTCATAGCTTCCTTAAGTACCTCCTAGAATCATTAGAAAATACCACAATTACGGCAAGTTGCTGTTACCTAACGAGAAGCGCAACGTTAAGTTATTTAAAACATTCACTTCAGTGAGGGACCGAGAAGACTGTTGAATAAGCACGGATAAAATGGTTGATGTCTTTCCTCTTGGTACACCGTGACCGTCATTTCTTACGGCAAATCTATACCTTAAAACGATAGAGAAACCAAGGGAAATAGTATCTGATTGGCCTCCCGCAAGACGGGAGGTTAAAAGGTTTGGGAGTGGACGCCGGAATCAATTGGCTAGAACCTTTCTTTGCTTCAAAGTTTAAGACATGGACCCTTATTTTAGGCCAGCGCTGACGTTTGGTTCTCTTCTAGAAAGTCTTGGCTCGCAAACCCATGCGATAACACGGGAAGAATGGTCCAATCTATGGCTGCCATTCATGGAACTGCGGTGGAATGATAGACATAACCCATAGTCTGACCAATAATAATTAAGTAATGATGGATGGACTATCCGTGGTGGAAAGAGGAGGCCCACAGGTGTAACTCTACCTTGAATTGTTCTGCCTATTCGTGGGAAGTGCTTCGATGCTTGGGACAAACATCGACATCCACTTGAGGTCTCCGAAGGCATATCTTCAGAGGAATAGCTGGCGTTCTGTATCCCAAGGTACCACAGCATGGGACCACCAGGCTTGAAATCAACCGAGTATTGCCTGACACAGCCCAAAACACACGCAGCAGATAAGATTTGTTTAGGTTAGGAAGCTAAGCTATTTTGGATGAAAGCTTGGCCTCCAGTTTATGGAAAATAAGCTCTCCAACTGTCAGGGCAGGCAACCATATTTTCCCCCTTCGTCTTCTCTTTGTTTGCTTAATATTTCTCTCTTTGATATCTTGTCTGGCATCTTGTGCCTATAGACATTAAACACTACATCCTCTGCTCATGATAGAAGTATTCTTTGATCAAAACACACAAAATGCCAGCCACAGCAAGACCAAATACCGACTACGAGCGCTGGCTCCAAAATCACAATCCAGACGTCGAGTTCCACCCAAGTCCACAATACGGCCCTCATCATGGCAGTCGTTCTAAGAAGTTTCCCCCTTTCCAGACACCCAAGTAAGTTCAGTCAATGTTCTCGGATGGATCTTTCTCACAATTGCTCCAGGACGGACAGACCTCGCAACCCGTTCGCCGGACCTCAGATCCGGTTCTCGCCTACAGACAAAGAACTCGGGTCCTCTTCCAGGGAGACGTCAAATTCACCAATATTCATGTTGCTCTTTCTTTTCATTATCCTAGTTGCTGTTGCGTACGCTCGGACACAACTTGCCCATTCTTCCCGGGCCCGACCAGCTGCGAGAAGGAGCGAAAAACAATGATACCACATCCACGGTGCACACGAACCCGACAATGACTTCTCTCCTGCTTGAATACGACTCAAAGTCTTGCCACAGTGATGCCAACGGCAGGGGAGTACGAACGCCCCGACTAGATACCTTTCAAATTCTGATACCCATATATCATGCAGACAGATCAATGGCACGTATTGTTGGAGTCGGACTTCAATCCAACATGTAACAATGTTTTATCTCAGCATAGGTGGTAAAACGCTTAATGATACTTTTTAACCTGCTATGGCGTATTTATGCAAAATACCCGCATGTGTATGTCTACAGTGCTTAAATAAAAGTTGTTGTCCGATGATGAACAAACATGGCTTTCTCGCTCTTAATATTAATGTAGTGGTCTCTGCTTTTCATCCCCTCGAACGCATTAAAGCATCATTGTCCTCAAGAACGGCAAATATGACAGGTCGAAAACAACTAAACGGGGCCTATTACTCGAATACCGAATCTCCAGTATATAAAGGTGACAACCGTTGAGTATACCTAGGAGAATGCACAGAGATCTGTATACCAACATGCCACTATTCTAAGATAAAAAAAAAAAAAAGAAAAAAGTTCCTTAAAAAAGACCACGCAAGGAACACCTACATCTAATAGAGTGGCAGGTCAATGGAGGAGCATAATTAAAAGGAGGGATACACTGTCCTAACCTTTCTTAGTATTCATCTCTTCCGCTCTCTGTCCTGTGGTTTTCCCTTCTAACCCTCTTCTGAGACAATCCCCACATACTAGCTAGCCCGCGCTGCCGACATTTCAACCAACTGTTGACAAAACCACCACCACCGCTGGGTAGTCTTTGACAACCAACCATTGTAGAGTTAGACGAGTAGATTGGCCTGTCACTCCCGAACTGAGCAAACAGAGTCGCCGTTCAATGACCAACGATCAGCATAGGCTATACGGAGTGAAATCGTCTGCCTGCCGACCACAATATCGACAAATTCACGTATGAACTGGGATCGATGGACTCTACTCTATGCATACGTATTCTCAGTCCGCCAAGGCCATCCCCAGTCAGTTTTGAGGGTAACTCAGAGAGGCTGAAAGTGAACGACAACGAAATATATATTGAATAAAGTCTATCGGTGGCCACATTGTAGCGTCATGCGCCAAGGTGGACTAGACGCCGACTGAGTCAATGGCGGAATATTCCGGTTTTATTATTCCATCTCAAAATGCAGCAGGAAGGAGGCCTATCTCCTCTCCGATTAATGCTGATATCTGGATATGCTGTACAAGCGGGCACAACTCCTCTAAAATATTTGGCTGATAAGTCAACAGCCTTGCCTATGGATCAATCCGTTCATGTGATTGATCAAAGCTCTGCCCAACGCAATTTCCTTCTTCATATCATAAATCCATCACCATGCTAAGTTCTCCAGTTGCTTCGCATGGCTTTCCTCCCATGGATGCTCCACTTCAACCGCGCGGATCAGTGCTTCATGTGCAGCGCTGCGCGGGGTAGTTTCGAAACTGAATGGCTTGGGGTGACTGACAACGCCCGGGAGAAATTCAGGCTTTACATCGCCCTTCTTCTTAATGTTAAATACAGCCAGGGACTGCGCGATGGTTAAGAACATTGTGGAATCGGCCATATGTCGACCAGGGCAAATGCGTCTGCCAAAGCTGCGTCTGCCAAAGCCGAAGAGGGGCAAATGCGGGTCCAGCTCAGGCTTGTCACCCAGATAACGCTCAGGCTTGAATGCATCCGGCTCATGGTACGTCTCAGGATTATGGGTAAATTCCCTATAATAGTCAGGGGGCATGTCAGGTTGAATCCAACAGGGTTTAGCATACCAGACGTTCGGGAGAATGATCGCGCCCTTTGGAATCAGATAACCTTCGTAAATATCATCTTCTGTAGTCATGTGCGGAAGACCCATGGGACCAATTGGGTGCCACCGGAGGGTTTCTTTAACTACTGCGTCTACATATGGCAGGTTGTCGCGATCCTCGAACGCGGGAAGCCTATTGGGGCCAACAACACGATCAATCTCCTCTTGGGCTTTCCGCTGTACTTCAGGGTTTAGTATCATTGCCAAGAAGAAGCACGACAATGCCGCCACGGTCTAGAGCCGGTTAGCTATATGATATCCTGCAGGTATCTTGGCTTGGTCGTACGGTGTCTGCTCCTCCCAAATAAATCGCTCCAGCTGACCACTTGTGCACATGCTCTTCTTCGGCGGTGAATTTGCTTGTTTCTAGCATGTTGGTTAGATATGAGGATGGGAACAAGCCGTGCTTCATGCCCTGCTTGACAAGCTGATATGGCCGCTCAATAGTCTCAATCATAACCTTTCTCATGGCCTCGCCGGTCTTCTTGAACCCGGCACCTGGGAACCAGGATGGAACGTGTTTCACTATGTCAGTTAGCTTCCAGCTGTTCATTCGACTGGGCTGTTGGGCGCTTTACAGATCGGCAGAGTATCTACCAGCCAGCGTCCTGGAGCAATTGCCTCGCAGAATAGGTCCATCGCTTCGTTAGCAAGGTCAACAAGGGGGTCAGGGCCATGGGGCTGAATAGTATATCCATATGCGACTTTCAGAATCACCGCACCCGCCTCCCTACTGGGAATCAGCCAGACTATCAGTAATAAAAAGCACATAGACTCACTTCCTAATATGCTGAATCAAGTCATCCGGCTTTTCCAAAACGCGCAGGAGAAATCGGCGCGTTTCCACCTCCTGTACTGGATTCAAACGCGATGCCAGAGTCTTGGTGCCCATGACACGATGCAGTGCTTTGCGATATTCCCGAAGACGATCGGAGTATTCTAGCAGGGCGAATGAATTATTCCAGCCCACCCTGCATGTTGTTACTTTAAGGTCTATATGATATCCTTGTGGGAATACTAACATCTCTCCGGCAAATGTCAACCGTGGCCGGGAGGAATGCTTAGCGGACCGTTTATCCAAAATGTCGTAAGCCATGCGCCAATCATTGACGATGACAATCGTCTGACCGAACATCGTGACCGAGCTAATTGGGCCTGGCGATTGAATTGATCAGATTACAACTTGTTCTTAACATTGGAGTAATTGATAGCAGACCATAGAGCTTCTTGTGCTTCAGCCAATGTAGCCAGTCTTTTTCTTCTGGTTTTGGTAGATCTCCCAGGTTTCCAACAATTGGCTTGGGTGGTGGCCCCGGGGGAAGGGGCGCAGATGCTCTCTTCTCGTGAACTAGGGCTATTTTTGTGACATATAAAACAGCCAGCCCTAGAAGGGCGGTACATATTGTCGATAGAGATATAGTGACTGCCATTGCTATACAACAAGTACCGATGAATCAACAATAGGATATCAACAAAAAGCAATATTAATAGCTCCAATAGAAAATAAATTTCTAAACAAAGGATGGGGGGAGCGGGCCATCTATCTTATGCTAGAAACTACCTAGATCAACCAAAGCGTTGCACATCTGGACCCGAGTACGGAGGCCTTACTCATGCAAAATGGCCTGAGGTTGGCATGGGCGGAGTTGCATTTGCCACTTTGTTTGATCAATTGTCATACCCATCTCGTATTTATCGGCAGAATTGAAGAAGACTAGAAGTTGCAGGAACAGCTCATGGTGTGGGGCAGCCATTAACTTTGAAGTAGCACTGTGACTACTAGTTTTCTGCTTATGATGAATACCCTGCCTTTAACTCTGTGAAGAGACAAAGATATCACATTCTTGGTCTATCGATCATGGCTTGGGGTTAAACATGCGAGCAATAGAATCCCGAGTAGAAAAGAACCGACGCGGGCCCAGAGAGGTATGCAGGGTCCAGAACGGAGCCTTGTAAAAATTCACTTTGGTCGTCAGCCCTCCACACTCTGAGGGGGTTAGTTTCGATCGAAAATCGAAAGATTAGAATTTCCTATTTTATTCATACATGTTTCAATTGTGGAGTATTTCACAGACAACAGCTCTTGCTCTTGCCTATGAATTCTACGTGTCTCCTCGTTTCACAAAACCCATCTATCGGCACCCCCGACTAGTCTAGAACCAAAGCTGTTCTACTTAGTATGAGTACCTAACAGGTCAATCCATGTATCCATAAGCGATGCTTTATATCCGCGCTTACAGGGCCGTTGTGGGGGCTTCAGCTGTCAATCTAGGTGGTTTATACAAACATCATCAGCGTTTGGCCGAGGGGAGCTTTCCTGTGTATTAAGCATGACACAGGATACTGATTTGGCCGGGACATCGGGCATGTTAGCGTTGAACATAGTCATCTAACAATTCATTCAACGTGTATTGATTAAGAGAGTCGTTTGGCTGGGGCGTTGGGTTGATCATGATGGCATTATTTTCAGTCAACGTAGCTGACACATTTTCTAACTAATTGTAGGCTTTAGCTATACGCCATTGACTATATGGTCTTGCTTCATAGATCCCAAGTCCATAACCAATAAAGGAGACATATCAGCACTATTCCTAGTTCCAAGATATGGTTTCGGCACAAACATATAGACCGTTCATTGATTCAGCGATATCACACTGTAGTTGTGGGAAATAGCTGTGTCTAGTAGATAGTACTTCTCATTAACACTTCCTCATGATACCACACAGCAATGCAGAACGTTATGGAACTAACCATTATCGCTGTACCCCTTTCGTCACTCTCAATGCTCTCCTACTACAAGACGGGGAGGGGCAGAAACTAGGCAAGTTCCTTTTTCTATACTAGCTGTTTGGGAGATAGCTCGACCATAGGCATGTACGTCAACTAAGAAGAGTGTTTGCTTTAGCAGGATGACCATAGTCAATTGACGTCAATTGACTTCGAGTGAGATGTTTCCCGGATCGATCAACTGCAGCAGTAAGTGTGCTGAGCGTGAGTATGAAACTCTGGCCTCAGCCATCTTTTTGCTAGTTTCGACTTATCACAATGAAACTAAGAGAGGAGGGGTAGAAGGAAGGGAGCAAAGGCCTTCAAGATTCCTCGGTAATGTTATATGGGAAAAAAAAATCTCCCCGACTGGGAGTCGAACCCAGGTCTCCCGCGCTTGTTCTTGTATAAGATGACAAGCGGAAATCATGACCGTTAGACCATCGAGGATTTGTTGAAGGGACTTTAAATTCTTGATTTTATAAACCAAAATCTTAAGAAGCAGTCAAAAGTCACTCACTAGTCACCATCTTGAGGATATCTCATAGAGCAAACATGATGCCCATCAAACTTTATCCAAAAAAACTAGATAGACATATAGTAAAATACAAGAAAATGAAACGTTATCATGCTTCCAAATCTCAAACTTGGAGCTTAAAAATAAACTTCATTGAGACTTTGGGCACAAAACTAGTGAATATATATTTCATCCCTATGGTTCGATATCTTATGGGTAGTGTATGTGACGGCGCAGTCCCTATACAGGCTGCTGAGTTCATAGTGAATGTCAGCAAGTAGTGACGTGATTCTCGTTTGTTCTGTTTGTATTCGAGATAGACAATATCCCGCAGAGCTTCGCTCGTGGGATATTCTCTTCAAGCAATTTTCTCGTATTAGAGCTACTCAATTAGATCAATCTATCTACGTTGGCCTGAGCCGTTACAGTGTACTCGTAGGGCAAAATTCTTAAGTATAATATAAGTCACTAACATCACCAGTAGTTAGCGTGTGTTACATAAGGTATCGTTCCTAACTATTGGTAGTAAAGTAATCTAATGTGTAGATCCCTGACCAGCAAAGGGACAGCTCCCTTTCGCCCCTTGCTGGACCGAAGTGCGACGCCAAACACGCCTATACCAAAGGCACTGCAGGAGCTGTTGACCCTGATACTGTGCTGAATGCAAGAAAAACCTCCACCAGAACCTTTGAAACTGTCTTTGCAGTAACTAAACACCTCATGCCTCTAGACTTTTAACAAAGCTCCTTCACTCAAGAGAGATTTGACAAAGATTGTAATAGCGCGAATGGCAATCCTCGCAATTTTGTCCCCATCACCCGCGTCTAGATCAAAGGAGCACACCGTCAACGATTTCGGGGTAGTCATCTTAGGGACCAGTTCCATGCAGGAGACCAGGTCAGACTCAAGCAAGCCACCGGGTGATGGAAAGTCATTAACCTTCCCGTACGAGTCGTCCAGAACGTCGAGATCTAGATGAACCAGAGCTGGACTGTAAGACCTTTGTTCCAGCTGAGTCTTGGGCTCCGTTGCAAAGTCGACTTTTCTCTCAGTGCCTCCCCAGATACTGTGCATGCCAGCATCAATAACGCGTTGTCTCTGTATGCTTGACTGGTCCTGAAGACCACAGTATAGGAAACGGCTGAGATCAAAAGGCTCAAATCCAGGTACAGGTCTCATCAGAGTCTTCCAGCTTTCACCACGCAGCATGGACAGGCCCATGGCATCAAGGTAGCCGTTTTCATTGACGTCTGGTGAGTCAAGGTCATCATAAGCATCAAAGTAGATAAACGCCAGATCTTTGGTCTGCAGCCCAAGGCTACCGCTGCAGTGGCCATGCAGTTCCCTAAAAGTATCAATGGGAAGCTCTTATTCACAACAGAATTGCTGATGGCCTTGGAAATGCGCCGCATAACCTCAAATCTCCGTCCAATCTCGCCTTCATAATCATCCACTGGCTCAATCTCAACGAATTCGACCGAAACACCCAAATTTTGAATTTCTTGCACGAGTCCGGTAGATCAGATGCGGTGTGGACCATTGCCGACCCGATGGTCGCGCAGACCAACATGGTATGGCGAAAATATGATACTGATAGTTTGAAAAGCATCCATGGTCATGGTTAGTAGTTTCAGCTCGACTCACATGCCTCAATGGCGACTCTAAGTGACCTGCCACACGAGGTGCTGACGATTATTTTTCAGGCTCTGTCTCCCTCAGCGATTATATCTACCTGTCTTGTTTCTAAACGCCTCTATGAAGCCTGCCTTCCTGTCCTCTACGCTTCGTTCAGAGCGAGCGGCAACCCAAAGCAAACTTGGAGAAGATTCCACTCGTTCCTGAACATGATCACAAGAGACCACTCTCTTGGTCGACGCGTCAAACCAGTTCTTATCGATGACATCAACGACGATGATATTGCAGCCTTACGGAATTCAATTGTTCCATTACTATCTCAGGCATCAAACATACAACAATTTTCAATACCTGGACACCCATATCTGCTGCCCGAGCTGAAGCGACCGCTCTCTTCAGGCGATCTTCCCCTCCAACGCCTACGAGCCTTTCAATGTGTGAACTGTGGGCCTGAGATATGGGAAATCACACCACACTTTCCGCTGTTATCTCGGCTACCTCTAAGGAATCATTCGTGCGAGCCGTCGGCACTGCATCTACAGGCATCCAGTCTACCTATTGAGCATATCTTGCTTGAAGGATGCAACCTTGGTTCACAAGCTATATGTGTGATGATCAGGAGCTGCAAACGTCTAGTGAGCTTCCAATATCTTCGTCCTCTGCTTCGCCAAGAGGCTTTTATAGGCATTATGCCCCTCAGTGCTTCAGATATATGAGGCTTTGCTTCTTCACAAAGATCACCTGGGAGAATTTCTTGTGCAGGATCATGACCCCCGAGTATCATACGATGAGACCCCAACGCTTGGATCTTTCGGAGACTTTCCTGGTCTTCAGAGGCTTGGTGTGGACCGTAACACACTCTCCGTGAAAGCGTCTTTACCGCCGTCACTGCATTCGATAGCAATCCGGCACTGCAGCTCATTTACATCCATAGATGTGCTGCTCTATCTGGCTCGCCATCCCTCAGTGGAAGCGATCCAATTCGATGATTCCGATGGGGGGACCGCTATTTTCTTCCATCAGTTGCAATCATTGGGGCGGATACGGAAGGACATCCAGGTTCATCTTATGTCTACGTATGCTATCGCTAGACAATCCAACCATCTAAGCCTGGTTACTTATCCTTTGCCCTGGGTTGGTGTCCCAGAACTCAGCTAAGGATCTCCGATACCAAATTCAAATTTATGGGTTAGGTGTCCAGCTTATACAGTGCCCGTTAGGCTAATTGTCGGTCGACCACTGCTAGTTTACGTAGAAAAGCCGTATAGCTTCGGTATAGGAGCATCTGGACAGTTTTCTTGAAGCCATGCATAGGCTCCCGCCTCACACCGGATCTTTTCGTCCCCATTTCCAGGTCGAAAGGCATCACCGACCCGATACGGAAGAGGGAACCGAAGCAAAACGCGGCCTCCAGGCTGCTGTTTCTGTTGCCAACCGCCAACAACGACTGGGACACATAGATTGAAGCTTCCATGGTACCAGTTCTCGACATCATCCATACGGCAGGAGTTGGATGATCCTAGGTTAAGGTGATGAGCAACTATGGCTTCTATCCATTTGAGTTTTTCATAAACATGTGCAAAGAATTTGTCTCTTTCATCATGGTATCTTAATCGGTGGAGAATGTTCACCTCTTCTCTTTGAGCAGTTGAGTATGTGATCTGTCCGCGAAGAAGAGGACGCGTCTTCGGCATGTCGAGAAAAGAAGGGCCGTTGAGTAATGCAACGCAGAGAGGTTTAAAGATTGCGCAATGGTCGGACCACGGCTTGCGTTCTCTGTTTTCTCATGGCTGAGGACCCCTTTGCGTGGCCCTGTTTCTACACAGCGGGGCAGTGGTTAAAATAGCTGCTGTTCAAGGGAAACTTTCTGGCCAGCCGGCGTTTTGGCGCTATCCCTTAATAGGACGGACGTTTCCTTTTTTGGACAATACCCCACATAGATCCCTTGGGGTAAGGGACCCATTGCTTCCCGTAACGATTGACCAACTCCATACTCAGCTTCCCCATGTCAGACCTTTCGTTGATATAAGTAGCGTCTGAGCCCTTACTCTTTTTTTTTTTTTTTTTTTTTTTTTTCAAATTTTTTTTCTTTTTTTTTTTTTTTTTTTTTTTTTTTGGTGCACATCTGTACAATAACAGTGCCGAGTGTCCGGAGGAGGCCCCGGTGGATATTCAGAACCGGGCTCGCCACAAACGCTCAGTCAAAATAGAAATTGCCCGATGATTGCATCGATCGGTCCAACAATGTCATATCCATTGCCCTTCTATTGGGTCACGTGATACATTACCCCCTCACACCAAACAAACAAACCAAAAACACTTAAAGCTGGCATTGTCCGCTCTCTGCTTTACTGTCAGTATCTCGTTGCTTAGACCTATAGCCATGATGACTAAATTTCAGTTCGTTGGCCAACAGCTAGATAATGACCTGGTTATATCAATTTCTTGTCTGCTTGATGCGGCGAATGTCCCGAATCTTCTTTGGGGCAACTATCTATTGACCATCTACGGAATTCCCACGATTGTTGACGTGAGCTGCCTCTCCAAACTAATTTCTTTTACTGGAAGAACACTGACGTTGCGGTAGGGCGTGTCCTTCGTCGTACCTGATTCACTCATCGAAACCTCCTTCTCTACCCTTTTCGAAGCTGGCTTCCTTCCCTGCCCACGACACACAGATTGCCTGCGTTCGGGTTCGGCACAATGCCAGCCGCCTTACAGGCATCTACATATCGACGATGAGCTTGTGATATCGTTGTATCGCAAGTCGGATACTCTTTGGGAATTTCCAGACTTTGAGGCTGCTTTCCACGACGCCGGTTCGGACATTATGTTCGCCTCTGACGTCAGACTTCCGCCAGCTACTTTAGGTCGCGGTCGAGGGCGCTTTCTACAACCGAGCCCTGTCCGAATTCCAAGTGCCCTGAGATACTGTGAATCCCTTATTCTTTTGCTTTGTCGTGACCACGGCAGTGCCTGCGAGACTTACTGGATGGCAATCCTAACTTACATGCTGGAGTTCGTTGATGGAACGGTGATTTTCAATGAAGAAGGTCTAAGAGAGGGATACAAGCAATTTTATCATGCACTAGAATTGGGCGATCCAACGATGTATCGAATTTTAGAGGGGCTCCGCCGTGATTTGACAAGGAAAGCGGCTTCTCCCAGTCAAGGAGGATTGACAGACTCGATTCAGTTCAGGTGTTCCGCTTTCACTCAATAATTCTTGCGTTTGAGTGTTGCTGGCCAGAAGGGGGATTTTTTGGGCTGATCTTTGCCCTTTTCTGAATTATTTGCCGGAGTATACCAACTATACAGCGTCACACGATCAATTCACGATCAAGCAATTGGGCATTCCTATGGTGGTCACTTTTTTTGTTCATTTCGCCGAGGGGGCTCGACGCTCCGCTTGACACGCTGCTTGAACATGATGAGCGGTCGATGGAGTCCATCTGCGCCTGCACTGCGTCAAGATCCTTTGGTAGCGCCCCGTCTTATAAATGCTATCGACCCTTTGGCTTTGCCCAGGGCAACCAGCGAATACACCATCTGATCTGCTTCCCCTCGCTTCTCTTCCACAACTGCCATAACCACTGAAACTCGCACCCGCTGTGAGCCAGGGAGCTTTCGGAGATATGCAAGTGAACCTTGACCAAACAGAGTTCTACTATGGCCCCAGCCCCAGGCAACCTCGAAGCACATTGCCCTCTACCAGTGAAAGGCGGCCAGCTCTAGTCTATGCGCCACAGTCCTTTCAGCACTCTTTCTTTCACACCGAGACTGCCTTTATCCAAGACGCACCGGCATCGATGAACACAGCAGACTCTTCCGCATCCCTAGGACATGAATGGTCCTCCACTGGTATCACAAAGCCATGCAATGCGTTTGATGTCGCAATATCCGATTTCTATGGCGGAGCTTCATCTCGACCACAACTGATCACAGACTAAACCTTGCTTCTACAAAAGAATCGAGGACAGTTCAGAACGCGAATGCGTTAGACTAGGCCTATCATCAGTAATCAGTTCTCTCAAACTTCTACACTTCTGAGAGAGGTGTCATTTCAGGTGGCAACGCTTGACGCGGAAAGTAAGTTAGAGTAGAAAAAGCAAAGAATAGACAGAGAGGAATCAAATTCATAACAAGGTAACCCTCCTATCGCCCCTTCGAGATAGACGGCTGCCAGGCATACTTGCGTTCAAACTCGGTGAACTCTTCTTGACGTCTTAAATTCGCAGAAACTTTCATAGAGAGCCGGGCAACCACCAAAGACTGCCCGTCCTGCAACAAGCTTCGGTTCCTCACTGATGGGCGGGAATGTAACTCAGGGAAACAAGCACCAAGCTGGCAGGTTATTACGTCTTTCCTCGGCGCTTTCCTCCGCATGATCAAACTCAAGGCACAGCTCTGAGAGCCAGTCTGGACTGCACGACTGGGGACATTCCGTATAAAATTCAATAACCGGATCTTACATATTATTGGTTTGTTTCCATATCTAGAAAACGAACCGAGCGATGTGGTACGAACCAGCTATGTATCTTGAAGTATTTCAAATTTGACTGCTCTCAGCCAGCCACCATTTCTGTAGTCCGATCGAGTCTGCATGCCGGCAGAGACAAGCTGCAATCGCGATGAAGAGTTGAACCAAGAGTAGTGGTGTTTGAGGCCTCATGGACTGCTTAACGCGTCCCTACGCTGGCATCCGGAAAATTGAATATTTTGTTTACCGGATCGTTTAGGTACCGAGGGAAACGCGAAGAGGTCCTCTAGAATCTACCCTAGAGCTACTTCACTAAGACCCGCACTCCTTTGCTATCCATCCTCGGGAATGGCAGGAAGAGGTCATGCGCAAGCGTCACATCATCAACTGTAGTTTCGTACAACTCAAAGTTTAGCTCCCTGAGGATCTTGGGAAGCGCAAGGAGTATCTCAGATCGGGCAAGGCTGTACGGCATTAGTATAGGAATAGAAGACGAGATAGCAGGTTAAGAGAGCCATACTTCATGCCAAGGCATTGCCTGGACCCTTTGGTAAAAGCGACCAGGTACTTCTCTAAATATTTCCGGTGTGCCGTGTCCATCCAACGCTCGGGGATAAATTTATATGAATCCGGGAATATTCTTTCATCGTGATGCATTAATGTGCTTGTCATACCAACAGGAGTCTGTTTGGTGAGCTTATCATTCTTCAATAATTCTTGAAATGGAGATCCCCAGACTCACCCCTGCTGGGATAGACCATTCTCTGAATTGTAGAGATCTATCGGGGGCAACTCTTTGTAATCGGGTGCTGAGGCCGTATGATAGCCTGAATTGAAAGGTTCAGTAAGTGCATATGTGTTTAGTGTATGCACAGCAGTTAAATGGGTGTACCTTAATCCTTCAAGCATGACTGATGTCTACGCACAACGGTCAGTCGATGTTTCTCCAAGCACAGATACATTCACCAGACAGACGTACTAGGTAAGGCATTTTCTCAAAATCCAGAAGCGTAGCCGTGTGGTCAGGATCTAGCCGATGAAGTTCCTCTTTCAACTTCTCTAGTTTCTCTGGGTTATGAAGAAGGTAGAATATCGTCCAAGTTAACGCCTTGGCAGTAGTTTCAGCCCCTGCCCCGATCACGACTTGGACTTCCTGCCACAGGCGCTCTGGTGATTTTTCTTCCGGTGGAAGATCACTATTTAGTACATCGTGAAAGAAGGTAGGGTGACTGAATTGACCTTTGACCTTATCATATCCGTTGGCGTTTTGCTCCTCCGTGATCGACCTTATCATATCACGGCAGCGACGCTGAAATTGGAACGTTAAGTCCATTTCGGGATTCACCCATGACAACCACTTTTCCGGCAGAGCATTAAACACGGTGACAAGCCAGGGGAACGGCTTGATGTAGGTACTCGACTTTGCAATTCCACTTAATGTCTTGCTCCACTGAGGAACGAAATCCGGTTCATCGAGGTAGTGGAATCCCACACCCATGGTGTAATCCGAGACAACATCAGTTGCAAAACAGGTAAAGGGGTATTGGAGAGTGATCGAATACCCAGTTCCTTTGTATTCTCTTAGACGATCGCAGAGCTTGTTCACCAAAGACTGAATCAGAGGTTCTAGCTTCCGTATGCGAGCTATTGCAAAGTAAGGGTTCATGTTGGAGCGGAGGAGGCGATGGTGATAATGATCCACGGTCGCCATGGCCGTCTTGGTAAGTCCGAACTGTCTCGTATAATACTCATATTTATCTCGTGGGCTATCTCGAGAGTATAGAACTTCATAGTAATCGGGGTCGCTGATATGGAGTTCCCAAGGGCTGATGCGTACGATGGGCCCTAAGAGTCAGGTATACTTAGCTTCCGATTTCTGCGTCACTCCGTATCCAGAGCGTGCTCTTAGGAGTACCATATTTTTCATGCATCCTGATGATTTGAAATGTATACTGGCCAGAACAGTAGATATCATAGTACAGCTCGTACCATAACGTAATTGCAGCCAACTTGGGGCCTGGAAACTTGGCCAATGGGGACAACCATAATCGGTACACAACCAGTGCCACCAGATAACCTATCCACGCTAGAGCGATGGCCCAGGGCTGAAGCAAGGACGGAAACATGCCTCAATCTCGTACAACGCCAGCACAGGGAACTAAGAGAAAGAAAAGAAAAAGCAAAACATGGGTGATTGGCTTCAACAGGAAACACAACCAAGATTAAGATGTTATTTACGCAGTCCAGTTTTCCCGTCTACGAATCCCGAAGGATGCGCCATCAAGCGTTAGTATTTCGTCCCCGCCCACATATTGGAAACGGCATTGCAGTTATCCCCACCGTCTAGTCTTGGATTGACCTCTCGGAGCAGCCGATCCCTCGGGGGAAGTACCGTTTAATGAAAACTTCCCGGCTGACAGGCGGACTTGGCTCGTTAGTGCAGCACTGTCGTTCGTCAAGCCCAATCATGCAATCCATAACTGGATGTATTATATCCTGGCAGTCCGGGACAGGGGTTTCGCAAACGGTTTTTCCTTTACCGAATCTTCGTGTAGCATGTGTTCGCGTTTTGTCATGGACTAATACCTATGGCTTATAAACGATCATGGCCCTCTGGCTCATTTGTGATCTGTCATATTAATCTCGTTGAACATTATGTCTTGCTCATTTCCAAGTGCCGATGCTGATCCCCCCATCGACCCGGAGGTGAGTGTTTCTAGAAAAATAGGGAAGAATACTTTTAGAACCTTATTTGGACTGACTAATTTCTCCGCATTTAGGCCGATGCGGACCTCTATAGTGATGAGGATTACTCCAGCGCGTACGTATGGCTTAGGGCTTATCTGCTCACCGACTAGCAGACTGATTGACCGAATTCCCCCAACAGAGTCAGTACAACGACGTCTCTGTCGTCAAGTATCTTAAACTATCAGTGAGTATTTTGCGTTATCTCCTGAAGGCTAAATTTATCGTTTAATATATAAGATACGAGGTTTGAGTCTCGCTGATCGCCCACCCCGCTCCACGACTGACACAAGGTTGATAAGAATGGACGGCGATATCATGCATATCGCCAAGGCGAATATGTCATTGTACGTCCTCACGAGCACCTTCCACAGCCTGCCATAGATTAATCAATAGCGCACAGCCAAACGATGAACGAGAACAAGACCGATTGGACCTGGTACTCTAATGCATCAAATCCCTTTTGTTTGGTACTCCTCTCACCTCGAATAGGGCCATCACATATGGACTCTCGCACTGGGCGGAGCACTATACCAATCTCCCATCTCGGAGAATCCACAAAGAATCTTAGACTTGGGAACCGGAACGGGCTTGTGGGCAATAGATATGGCTGAGTACGAAGCAATAGTTGCCTTGAAGGACCTCGCTAACAATGAACAGCCAATATCCGGAGGCGGTGGTCATCGGTTGGAATATTCAACATCCTTATTCTTTTTACCGGCTCTGATTGGTGATAGGAACGGACCTGAGCCCGATCCAACCTTCATGGTATGGGCCTGCTCTACTCCGAGCACTGAAAAGCGGACGAACGCGTCATAATAACTATGTACATTAGGGTCCCGCCGAATTGTGTCTTCGAGATCGACGATTTCGAACTTCCTTGGAACTTTACCCAACCTTTCGATTTCATCCATGCCCGGGGCATTGAGGGATCGGTCAAGGACTTCCGACGACTCTTTCGCCAAGCACATCGGAACCTTGTACCCGGCGGCTGGTTTGAAGTAATGGAGCCTACCGTTGATATCTTTTCCGACGATGATAGTGTTTCGAAAGCACCGAATTTATCAGAATGGCGGGATAGACTGATAGAAGCGAGTGGGAAGTTTGGGAAGCAAATGGGATCGGCGAAGAATTATAAGCAGTGGATGATCGAGGCTGGCTTCAAGGATGTGACGGAGGAAATACATAAGGTCAGGGGCGTTTTGGTGTCACTAGATCAATGGTGTTGACTATTTCAGGTGCCTTTCTCGCCGTGGGCAAAAGACCCAAGGCTAAAGGAGCTGGGACGGTACCAGCAAGCCAATATGTTGGAGGCTCTTGATGCGTATTCATTGGCGCTGTTCACTCGATTCTTGGGATGGAGTGTTGATCAAATTCAAATGCTCTTAGTAGGGGTCCGAACAGAGTTGTTGGACAGGAGGCTACATATATATTCGCGGTACTATTTGGTCTACGGTCGGAAGGAGTAGAACTCGTAGCGTTGGACGTGTCATATATGGTAAGGTTGCCGGCATATTCTGATAGCTATTACAAGTGGACCCATGGGCTAACAGCATAGATAAATCAGGGATGCCTTTTCCTGCTGCTTTGACAGATATAGTGTATCCATTATCTTCTGCGCTTAAGCACATTACCGCAAAAATAACATACGATCCATAAAACCCCCCGCAAATGTTTGTAGTTTTAAGGAGAACAAGACAAGAGAAGCTAGGTTAATGGACGTATGGGGGTCCACACACGCGCATACTCCGTGATACGGTTCAAGGTCTTTGGTGCACAGTACCAATCTAAGCACTCGACAGATAGCGCCAGGTGAAGCCCTTGACAATACTGTGGGAATACTGCTTCATGCCTTTGTTTGACTAGTAGAGTTCAAATCATATCTCCAGGTCATGTGATCGCACCTTATCATTGCATTAGTGGCTGCACTTCCGTGTACTGGCATTCTTGCGGTAATGAACGTGGAGATACTTGCCGGTTTGCCCTATAGGTGGGGTTGGACCGGGATCATCGCCGAGCAGCAGTGGATGATCGATGGGATGACATGTACAGGCATGGAGCTAGCCGTAATTAGAAACATGATTCAAACGCTCAATTCGATGTCGAAAGCTGTAGACAAGAGATTAGCAGAGGAAAGATCGAACTATCAGGTGTATGTGTAAGGAACAGAGAATCATGCCTGAGGCCAACTTGCTATACTCTGTAACGCCACTCTCGGCCCGGGATCGGAGCACTCCGCCTTCACCAGGCACCAATTGCGACTAGACAAGGGTAGTCACTTCTAAGCGATGATGCTACCGATATAGTACCTGTTTTTTTTTCTTCTCTACGTCAACCCCTTCTTCCCTTTCCGTCGCTCTATAAATCTCATTCTCCTGTCATTTCTGCATACCCCCTAAACATACCAGCACGTATCGCTTGGTCTCCCCCTAGAGTCGGTTTGTCGTCATCTTCTTTTCGCGGACTCGCGCCTCCTAGCGCGCCGCATCAACCTCACCACAATGGGTCTCTCCAAAACCAACAGGATCAAGATCCTGCTGGCCATTGATACAGCATTCTTTTTCTTGGAACTGATTGTTGGTTAGTCTTTGTGTGCGTATGCCACCCTGTTCTCGATCTCACACGTTACAGGCTATTCCGTCCACTCGCTTGCCCTTGTTGCGGATTCGTTTCATATGGTATGTACTTGACACAATCTGTGTGTCGTCGCTGACCCATAGCTAACCGTGGTTGTGAAGCTGAATGATGTGTTGTCATTGTGCGTCGGTTTATGGGCCGTGAAGGTCGCCAACCAGGAGACCACTTCTAAGATGTACACTTACGGGGTAAGTTCTGTCTTTCGGTCTGCGCGGGGTAGGGCGAAACAGGGGCTGACTATTATCATCCCAACTTTAGTGGCAACGCGCAGAAACCCTCGGTGCCTTAGTAAACGGTGTCTTCCTTGTCGCTTTGTGTTTATCGATATTCTTAGAAGCTATCCAACGACTGGTGGAACCTCAGGAAGTGCAAAACCCGAAGCTGGTCTGCATTGTCGGCTGCTTTGGCCTCTTGTCTAACATCTTGGGTCTGGTGTTGTTTCATGACCACTCCCATGGTCACAGCCATGGGGAAGATACAGAGGACGTGAATGCCGCAGAACAAGGCTATGTGTCTCAGGCCGGATGCGACCATGCCCGTCCAGATAAGCGGGGGATTACAGTAAGCTTAACTCCGCGCAACTATACGATTCGTGGCCAGCTTTTGAGCTAACTATCCAAGAACGAGTCCACATCCTCTTCCCCTGATACTCGGAGACGCCGAACACTCGATAGCCAACACCGCGGGTCCCGCCGATACAGCAACGCCACGAACCGTGGTTTCGTCGGTGTGGAAGACATCCAAGTACACCCAGCTACCATGAGACAAGAGATTATTGCGGCCAGTCGCAATCGTTTTGTTGATGAGGAACAGTCTTCTGAATCGGATAGTGACCAAACAGGCGTTGCTGAAGTGGATAACTTGCAGCCTTCGGAACGATCTGCCCTTCTTAGCCCCCAAAACCGCGGGGCCAAGTATACGGATGAAGTAAACGCGCCCTTTCTACCAGGTGCAACGACCGATGACGACATTCACAAATTCCATAATCACGCCCAGCCAAAGTCGAAGGATTCCAAACACGGTCATGGCCACGGCCACGGCCACGGCCATGGCCACGACCTCAATATGCGGGGCGTTTTCCTACATGTTATGGGTGATGCCCTAGGCAACGTGGGGGTCATCGTTTCGGCCCTAGTTATCTGGCTGACTGACTATGACTGGAGGTTCTACGTTGACCCTGGCATTTCGTTGTTGATTACAGTGATTATCCTTGCCTCGGCCATTCCTCTGTGTAAAGCCGCGTCGAGAATTCTTCTACAGGCCGTACCATCCAGCATAAGTATTGATCATATCAAGGAGGATATTGAGAGACTCCCTGGTGTCATCGGCTCGCACGATTTACACGTTTGGCAATTGAGTGATACGAAGCATGTCGCTTCAATTCACATTCAAGTGGATACGGAGATCAAAGGCGAGGGTTCAGAGAGGTATATGCGCCTGGCTAGACAAGTGAGAAGATGCCTGCATGCCTACGGCATTCACTCAACCACGATCCAGCCCGAGTTCGCACTAGGAAGCGACGCCGAAGACAATCAAGCCGCTCCACCGGATTCCCGTCGGGGCAGCAACGATCCTTCAGCACCCGGTCAGTCTTCGAACCGCATCAATAGCCTGCGGGAGGAGGACCCGCGGGCATGCCTTTTGGAATGCGGCGATGGCTGTACGCGAGGTGGAGAGTGCTGTCCTAAGACTTCAACATAATTCGACATTGTACACTACGTACTGTTCATCGTCGGTCAAAAGCTGGCCGTCGTTCCTTATTCATACCCCCTTGTCTCTCTCTTGTTTTTCATATTTTACCTGGATTGTATGTTGGTGCCTCAAGTAAAATTCTTATTATTGTCTTGGGTGGGCTATTGCTATTTCATTACGACCTAATATACTGCCAGTAGATATTCCGATATATCTATATCAATGGTGTACTCATAAGAGCACTTTGTCTCGCTCATCTTTTCTCTGCGTTCCAATGATATTAATAGAATCCCAACGAGATTTCTTCTACTTTTCTGTACTCCGTAATTATAGATCTGGTCTGGAGTACAGAGTAAACAAGAATCTATTAATAGACGTCTGGACCCACGACAGTCTAAGCTTTACTGCCGTCACCCTACACGTGACCCCGCATCCGCTGGTCAGTGGAGATCAAGAGGAAAAACCCCCCTGTGTTGTGAACTTCACCCTCGGTTGACCAGTGGCCAACTATGCTTCGTCTTCAGCGTACTGTATTCATTTACCAGTACTACTAATTGTCACTATTCCCCTTTGGAGCATGAGAACCAATCACACCGCTTGCCGACATCTTGTCCCAACTTCCGTTTGAAGGGCGGAGCAATGTCGCGGACCTAGCTTGACTTTGACCACTTTCGGGTTGAGGCAGCAGACATGAGTTATTCGTATCAAAACAGCACCAGTGCGGAGGCCTACCGCCCAGCCCGTCGCGATTATTACGCCGACTCATCTCACGTTCAAAGCGGCCTACTCAACGCGTTGCCACCATGGCTCCGGCAATGGGGTGCCAGACTCCAAACTCGTTGGATCTCTCCGATCCTCCACGGAACAGAAAGCTCTCAAGATAGCAGGCAGCTGAGCGCACGGCCATGGAGGATTCTTAGGCACATTTTCACGATCACGAATGGCCTGGCCATTCTCTGGTTCTTTACGTTATGGTGGGGGGAACGGACGGTCTTCCAAGATAGTGTAGACAAATGTGTTTGGGAAAATTGGGAGAAATGGGTCAGTATCTCCATCATCGGCAATGTATCTGGAATATTGGGCTGGGGCTGACATGCTACTGTTATTCGCAGCCCCGAGATGCAACACCCCACCACGTTGCCTTTATCGCGGATCCTCAATTGGTCGATCCTCACACCTATCCCGGTCGACCCTGGCCCTTGTCCACATTGACAGTGAAGTTCACGGATCAATATCTTCGACGGTCGTTCTCATCAATCCAAAGAAGCTTAGGTCCCGACTCGGTGTTGTTTCTGGGTGATCTTTTTGATGGAGGAAGGGAGTGGGCAACAGCGCAGAGTTTCAGCCCAGAAAAGCGTTATCAGAAATATAAGGACTCGTTCTGGAAGAAGGAGTATCATCGATTCGTGAAGATATTCTCAGAGCAGTGGAACGAGGGTGATTCGCACTCGGGCAACCCTCGCGGCCGGAGAATGATCGCTAGTCTCCCTGGAAATCATGATTTGGGGTTCGGAACTGGGGTTCAGCTGCCTGTCCGTGATCGATTTCAGGCATATTTTGGCAAAAGCAATCGTGTTGATGTTATCGGAAACCATACCTTTGTTTCTGTCGATACCGTTTCACTGAGTGCCATGGACCAGCCGGACCCGGAGACCGGAAGTTCTGGCTCTGGGGACGGGCATCCTCCAAATGAGCGAATCTGGAAGGAAGCAGAGGACTTCCTCAATAATATGAACGTTCATCGCGGCAAGGCGGAGACGGAGGAATTACGGACGATGAGGAATCAAAGTGAAGGTCACTTGTTCCACCACAAGGTTGTGGACATGTCACAGCCTACCCTCCATCGAGGACTTCAATCAGAGGTCGTAGGATTCCCTGCGGTACTACTTACACATGTTCCGTTATATCGCAAGCCGGCGACGCCGTGCGGGCCTTTGCGGGAACGCTACCCACCTTCATCAGGCGGATTGGAAGAAGATGAACGAAATGCGCTCTCAATTTCTGCTGGGTACCAATATCAAAATGTCCTTACGCAAACCATCTCCAAGGACCTAGTCACAAAGGCAGGCCCGAATCTTATCCATGTCTACTCTGGGGACGATCATGACTACTGCGAGGTCACCCATCGCGAGTTTAGCGGTTCCCCCAAAGAGATTACGGTGAAGAGTCTCTCCTGGGCTATGGGAGTTCGACAGCCGGGTTTTCTGCTCACCAGTCTCTGGAATCCTGTTGACCCAGCCACAGGGAAGCCGAGTCACCAAATGAGTGCTGGCGCTACTTTGCAAAATCACCTCTGTATCCTACCGGATCAGATATCCATTTTTATTCGTTATGGCCTTCTATTCGGTATTACCCTTGCTATTCTTCTCGCACGAGCCTTCATCCTTGTGCTTTACTTCCCCTCAGCGGACCCCTCCACTCCGATCCTTCCCCTCTCTGAGTTCCGCCCTTCCCTCCACGTACACACAGGCAAGATCCCAAGCTCCAGTACCTCCAGCTCCACGTTTCCATCGCCAGGCGGCTTAGCGAGCCGTATCGCCAACGCACCCCCTCGATACTCTCAAGCCTACAGTGATACTAATCTCGATGACGTGGACAATGCGAAGTGGAAAGCAAGGGTCCCTGCTCCCCGGGGAATCCGGGGGGAATTTATCGACTCTGTTAAATATGTCGCTACAATTGTGTTTGCATGGTATTTCTTTTTGATCTGGAGGTGGTAGATACCGGATCGGAAGAGGCGAAAAGTCTTCAACCTGGGATTGTACATAGGAATAGCGTGTCTGATCTTTATTTATATTGCATGGAGGACCTGGGACTGGATTTTAGGGTTCGCCCTTTGTTTGTCTGAATAAATATACGTATATATATACCAATCCGTCATTCCCTTGACTCCAAACTGGGGTAATCCCCCAGAATCATGCGATTCAAGCAGCCGTAAGATATTTTTCTCTGTTCTTGTCTTAGGTGAGAAGTTGTGTTTCACCTTGAGAGAGTAACCATGGATCCACCCCATAGTCAATAATTGTCTAAAAAAGTCAAATGCCATTTTAGTTTCCTTCCTCATCCCCAGGCCGCAGAGAAATTGCCAATTAGACGACCACAACCGGGAAAATGTCGGAGATTCTCCCACTCGATCTACAATGCCGCCCAATCAGAGTAGACGCTATCCCTACAAGTGTTTGAGTGGCAAAGCCCTAATTTGCTTGAACCATGTAACGTCACCCATATCCTGTCCCGAACATAATGTCATTGTGCGCTGAGCCGAGAGTCTCTGCCCGAAATGGTACCGGTGAGACTCCAGATTGTGGTGAACAAGATTCCCCTTTGGCGTCGACCTACTTCATTGGCCTCTACTTTTCCTTGCGTACTCCATGTTTAGGGTCCCTTTCCCCCGTCCGGGGTTGGATGGAAACGTGGAGACTCCAGTTGGACATGAACGCCATGGAGGTCGTGCATTTTCCCCTTTTGGAGATTGAAATTAACTTCTAGGCACTGACACCTGGCTACAGATATACCAGAATAAAAACCGGGATGTGAACAACAGCTTACCGACAGGATTGTGATTATTATTACGAGAAAAGTTGGGGATTTCGGGATTGTCACGAGGATTGGTCGGCTTGACCGCGTTCGGCATCCTCCGAATTCTCTGCATTTTTTGTTGATGAGAAGGTCTTCCCGTTCTCGGCTTCCCTCCGCCATCTCTGCCCTCAACACTTTATTTTTATCCTTTTATTGCCACTGTTTCCTCAGGTCCCGTGCCTCGGATTGCCGTCACGGCGCGACTCGCCTAAAGGATCCCGTAGATGGGGGAGGTCTATCGTATTAGGAGTCGAGAAACATCCACTCCGCTTGCCAAGTTCCAGAATCATTCGACGTCCGTGGTTTGCCTGAGCCTCGGCCATATGTACCTTCTTTCCTCGAACCAATCATTCGTAGTATCTTCGTGCAAACCTCCTCCACTTCCCACGCCGTCGAACGTTCGTCTTCTCCAGACTCGGGGCTATGGCGTGGAGAGAGACACATATCCTAGGGCTAGGGCCGAAATTACCAAATAATCCCTCATGCAGACTACACCAGCAGCTTCTAGCCTGATCCCGTGCCCTCAATTGGTCGTAAATGCGGGATAGCGCTGGTTTCGGCCGGCTCCCTAATGAAGTTTTTCCCCCATGATGACCGGATACGGTCAAGGTTGGCTGTTGTGGCCTTCGGCCTGGAGGAGTACAAAAACTAGTCCACGGCCCCTTCCCCATGGAGATCGTCTATCTCATTCTTCTCTCCGCTTGTCATTCCTGCTCCCTCTTCTCTCTCGACTTCTAGCGAAACTCTTTCTCATAGACTGATACTCGACTCATTTCTGCTTGCCCTCCTTCACGATGGGCCTCATGCTAAAGAAGCCAGATGATGCAGTGGGTTCGGCTGCCCCTGCCATCCTTATTGGCTTGTTTGTGGCCTTTGGTGGTGTTCTGTTTGGGTTAGCTGGCCCTGCCTGTCGTCGTTTGAAGTGTCTCATAGACTGACATTGTACTCCTACAGTTATGATACCGGCACCATCAGTGGCATTCTGGCCATGAAATACTGGCGTCAGCTGTTCTCCACCGGCTATATCAACCCTAATGACAACTTCCCCGATGTGACCTCCTCTCAATCCTCCATGATCGTGTCTCTGCTGTCTGCGGGCACTTTCTTCGGCGCTCTGGGTGCCGCCCCCGTTGCTGATTACTTCGGTCGTCGCATTGCTATGATCATCGACTCATTCGTCTTCTGCTTCGGTGTTATTCTCCAGACTGCCGCCACATCCATCCCACTGTTTGTTGCCGGAAGATTTTTCGCCGGCTTCGGTGTCGGTTTGCTCTCCGCAACCGGTATGTCATGGGCTCTCACTCTAATATATATCTGGCATAGGTATAGAGTACTAACAAGCTTTAGTCCCTCTGTACCAGTCCGAGACCGCTCCCAAGTGGATTCGCGGTACCATCGTCGGTGCCTACCAGCTGGCCATCACCATTGGCTTGCTGCTTGCTGCCATCGTGAACAATTCCACCAAGGACCGTTGGGATACTGGCTGCTACCGTATCCCGGTTGCTGTTCAGTTTGCCTGGGCTATCATCCTGGTTGTCGGTATGCTCCTGCTCCCGGAGACACCTCGCTTCTTGATCAAGAAGGACAGGCACGAAGCTGCTGCCAAGGCTCTCTCGCGCCTTCGTCGCATCGATGTCAACGATCCCGCCATTGTGGAGGAACTCGCTGAGATCCAGGCCAACCATGAATATGAACTCAGTGTGGGCAGTGCCAGCTACCTGGAAATCCTTCGTGGTAGCATCGGCAAGAGACTTGCTACTGGTTGTGCCGTTCAGGCTTTGCAGCAGCTGGCTGGTGTTAACTTCATCTGTATGTTTGCTGCCCCCCTCCCCCTCCCCCTCCCCCTCTTTATCACCTCACGTATGACTCGGTCTAACATGTTACAGTCTACTACGGGACAACCTTTTTCGAACACTCCGGTATCAAGGACGGATTCATCATCACCTTGATCACTAACATTGTCAACGTTGTCTCGACCTTCCCGGGTCTCTACATGGTCGAGAAATGGGGTCGTCGTCCTCTTCTCATGTTTGGAGCTGTCGGCATGTGTGTCTGCCAGTTTATCGTCGCCATCGTTGGAACTGCCACATCCTCCGATGTCTCCAACAAGGTGCTGATCGCCTTCGTCTGCGTCTACATTTTCTTCTTCGCTTCCTCCTGGGGCCCCGTCGCTTGGGTTGTGACCGGCGAACTCTTCCCCCTCAAGGCTCGTGCCAAGTGTCTCTCAATTACGACGGCCACCAACTGGCTCCTCAACTGGGCCATCGCTTACGCCACCCCCTACATGGTTAACTCGGGCCCGGGTAATGCCAACCTGCAGTCCAAGGTGTTCTTTATCTGGGGAGGCTTCTGCATGATTGCCGGTGTTTTCGTCTACACTTGTATCTATGAGACCAAGGGTCTTTCGCTGGAGCAGGTTGACGAGCTCTACGCCAAGATCCCCGTGGCATGGCGCTCCAAGGAATTTGTCCCGTCCGTTAACTACGTCGACGTCCGTGACGTTGCTGCGGGCAAAGGTAAAGCCGACCTCAATGAGCTGGAGGCTGATGCCCAAGCCAAGCGTGGTTTGGAGCATGTTGAGAAGGCTTAGAAGCATAATTTGGCGTTTGTCAATTGGGTTTTGCGGTCTTGGTTAGAGGTGTTTTTTTTTTTTTTTTATCCTGTGCGCTTCCATAACAGCCTTTATACCTAGCGAGTGGTTGTTTGCAATTTTACTCTGGTCACGAGAGATGCGGTATGATGATTGGGTTATGGCCAATACCTTGTATTGTATAATATACGTGAATTTTATTTTATCTATTTATTTTATTTTTGATCATCGATTTCTTCCTTACCTGAGGCCTCAGGCACGGCATGTATAGACTAATTGCTGATTGGACAGCGCCAGGGATGCTTACGTCGCTAGTCCCCACCTTCACGTGCCCATCCCCTATTTGCAAGACCTTCCCGATCAGGAAACATGGGGAAACCTGGGGCATGCCATCTTCCCCCTTCCCTTCGTTAAACATCCCTCTTTCCTCCCACTACTCGCTACCCTTTCCACAAGGAAGATATGATGAGGCACTTCCCCCCCTTCTTCACAACAGCCATCCCCTAAATACGATCATGTTGATAGGCTCGCCTCCGGAGCATGATCCCGATTCCGCATACAAAGTGCCGCTCCTATCCTGCGAGTCGACGGGCTGCCCAGCGCATTCCGAAACGATGGCTGTTTCAGCCAGCCTCACTAACACAAGTCCCGACGCCTCTCTGACAAATGGAAGGCGTGACCAGTCCGCTATCGAGCTACAAGAGTTAAACAGTGAATGTACATGCGAACGGGACGAAAAGAAGACCGGCCGTGCCACCGGGACCGGTAACCTTTCCGATAACAAGAAACAACATCCGTCGCAGAAACAGTGCAAGAACTATGCTTTTTCCTCCCTAGATCACCCGTTATTTCCACCGCTGCCTGTGTACGGCCCCCCTACCTTCGTGTTTACTATAAAGTGTTTGATGCTTCAATGCCTGTCATTCGTGCTGTCGCTGTTGTTTCTGGGCGCTGTTATCGTTGGGGCGCTGTTTTGTAGGACTGTGCAGGCTGTTTCTCATATCAGGGCTCGTTTGAGTGGTCAGGATCCCAATCAGCACCGGGCTTTCTATGCAGAGGAGCGCGCGCGGGAATTGGAGAGGCAGAAGAACTTGGAGAAGTGGAAGCGTCGTCAGGAGAAAAAGGAAATCGACGAAGAAGCACCGGATGAGTGTCCTCCGTTGGAAGGAGGGAAGGATCCGGTCGTATGCGACGTGGCTTATTATGCGAGAAGGGTTGGCCTTGACGTCGAGACATTTCGCGTGCAGACGGAAGATGGATTCATAATTACCTTGTGGCATGTTTATAACCCTCAAGAGTACATACCCATGCCCTCAGATTCAAGGGGGCCTCGCGGACCGGATGTATTTACAGGGAGGAGGGATCACGGGCCCTCTCCTTCGAAACGCAAATACCCGGTCCTCCTCATGCACGGGCTGCTGCAGAGTGCTGGTGCGTACTGCACCAACGATGAGGATAGCCTTGCCTTTTATCTTTGCAAGTCTGGGTACGATGTCTGGCTGGGTAACAACCGTTGCGGACTCACTCCTGAACACACGACATTATCGACGTCGGATCCACGCATGTGGACGTGGAATATCCGCCACATGGGCGTACTGGACCTTACGGCACTCGTGTCGCGTGTGCTATACGAGACCGGCTTCGAGAAGCTAGGCTTGGTGTGCCATTCCCAAGGGACAACGCAAACATTCGTGGCCCTAGCGAAGGACCAACGACCCGAACTCGGGGAGCGTCTTTCGGTCTTTTGTGCATTGGCTCCCGCTGCGTATGCCGGGCCATTGATCGATAGGAGTTACTTTCGCTTCATGCGGATCATTTCTCCCGACATGTTCCGCATTGTATTCGGCATTCATGCTTTTATTCCCTTCATGATGACCGTCCATCGGTATCTTCACCCGAAAATATACGGCACGTTGGGGTACTATGTCTTCTCATACCTCTTCGGCTGGAGCGATACTCGCTGGGACCGTGGTCTACGTGATCGTATGTTCCAGTTTGCTCCAGTATATGTCAGCGCCGAGACCATGCGATGGTGGCTGGGCCGCGAGTGCTTCGCGACACAGAAATGTATCTTGTCCACGCGCGAAGTCGGCCTCCTTGAGACAGAAGAAGACCATCGTTTTGAAAAGGGTATAGACGACGGAAGTCCGCGCAGCGACACTGCATGGTATGGATGTCAGGCTCCTCCCATGGCTCTTTGGGTTGCGGGAGCGGACAATCTGGTTGACGGCAGAAAATTGCTTCGGCGTTTCCGGAACGGACGTGAGCCACATGTTCACATTGTACACGAGAAGATCATCGGGGAGTATGAGCATCTCGATGTCTTATGGGCCATGGATGTCATTGAGCAAGTGGGAAAGGAGGTGCGACAGGTTCTCTGGACGACGATGCCAGATGATGCCCGCGCTACTTGTCGGGTACCTAAGGGTGTGCAGTGATACCCTGTTGACATGAGATATGAGGCACGACTAGATGTTACCCTGCTTTTGTGTATTCTTTTGGCCCGGAGCTCACTGATTGTATATGTGCAGTGTACTCCAGATATACATATTCATGAATCGTTATAGATAATAGTAACATAGACTTAATCAATGTTGGGTTTAACCTATTACTACAGTCGGCTGTAGCCGCCGCCATTACCTGTCTAAGCCCTATTCTCAGCCATTGGAGGTATTTTCTGTTTCTCTTCTTTCGCCTGGGTGAGTGTAGGGATGGAGAGTCTTTGAGAGAGGGTTAAAGAGAGCGTGAATTCCTGGCATGCTACTCAATGAGTAAGGTCGTTTCCATCCGGTGACGGCAAATTGTCGTACGAAGTGAGAGTCGTCTATGCCATTGGATAATCTCTCCGAGTGCAGCAGGACTATGAGAACCTCGGGAAAGGAATATCTTTGCATCACAACAAGACCCTAGAGCATAGTGTAGGAAATAGCCAGTAGATGCTCTACATCTCGAATAGAGACACAAATATGCCAACGCCTTAAGGTAGCATACAAAAGTATTCTCCCCTGATAGACCTACGGCGAGCTATACATGCATCGTGACAAGTACAACTACTGGAATATTATCGTGAATACGAAAGGAAGATAATACCATTGAAGAACATCAGTATAGAGGAATATTCTCCAATATCTACGTAGTTAATATACGCTTCCTCCCCATATCTCTTTTCTCCCACCCCTTCTACCTTTCCGACTTCTTCTCCTCCACATAGCATCCTTCTTGGCCACCAAACAAGCTTCCGAGATATCTATATCTCAAGGCTTCAAGCATCGCCGCCAATAGCGAGTCAAGAGTACGATACCAACCTAGATATCAACCTAAGTGGACCATTTTAGGGGTTGCATGGTATCCCCATACCGGACCGTGGTCTGTGGCCGAGCTGATGATATCTTTGAGTATCATCAACTTGATCGTTTTGGGATCGACCGTTATTTTGTTCTTTTCTCCGTTTCCTTGATCCTCAACCTAACTATCTAACCTTCCAACCACTGTTGTCATGCCTGATGCTACTGCCAATAACAACGGATTGGCTGCAAGCCGCCACGGACCAGTCACTGCGGTGGGAGCCTGTGGGAGGCGTTCCAACCAGGATGGTGGCCGTGATCGAGTGGACAGGGTGACAAAGGTGCGTATCTTCCCAGAATAACCCTTCACCGGTAGACAAATATGGCCAGAAACAAAACTAATCTAAAGAGACACTCTGCCTACGCGAAGCAGGGTTATCAAGAAGCCTAGCGGTTGCGACTGACTTCAGCAACTCTACAGCTTCAACCAGGGTGTTACTACAGGTATATCAATGCGGAGCATTGGGACTAAGCCTTTACAACGTCTGATCTTGATAGATCCTCCGGGGGAACTGCAGAGGTTGTGTAACAGACCCACATCATGCTAGAGGCAAGCATCTGCAGTGGCAACGTGACCAAGTCTACTGCGATTGCAGTGTGAGGAGGACAACGAAGGAGAAGGAGGAGAAGAAGAAGAAGAGTGCAATGTGACAGTCTCTTAACGCGGATGTTATAGGGGTTATTTTTTGGGTAGACGACTACCTCACCAATCTGATCAAGAATAGAATATAGGTCAGAAAGAAGAGACCACAAAGAATGACATCTGGGAAGGACGAACGACTACCAGGAAAGTCGTAACATTGTTGTCCGGAAAGGTTGTCGAGAATTCCAGAATACTGCTGTGAACAAATCAAGCTATGGATTCAGCCATTGTGTGCAAATACGGCCATGCCCTTAGGGACGATAACTTCATACCTTGAGGTACTCTCTTGATAACTGACAGAAGTTGGCCAGAGCTTAGAGCCTGATGTATCCTTCGACTGTGAAGTGGTCGCGGTGCATCGGGGTCAGATGGAGGTAGGAGTCCATGTGTCCATGTTTGCACCGAGGCTATACTAACGGTGTTGTGGAAACCCGGAATCACAATGGTGAGAGTAAGTGCTACTATTACAATGCTACTTTATCCTCCTTGTTCTTATTCTCCTTTTACTGTCTACAAGCAGCGTCAACTTGCTACTTCTTTTTCAAACTACTTTCTATATTCACAAAGGCCAAGCGATTACTTATGTTATTACGAACACTATGCTTTTACCATTATATATATAGAACAAGGTGCGCCGTTGGGCTTGTCATAAGAAAGGGCATACCTACAGCCATTGCCCTGTCTGGGTTCAGAACTTACTCAGAGGTCTTGAGTTACTAGCAAGTCTATATATCTTTAACTATTTTAAGATATTTAAGATATTTATACTAACATACTTAACAGGGAGTCCGGAACCCCGTGGGAGACCCCACACCAACCCCCTGCCTCCTCTCCCGGTGTGCTCTTAGGGCCTGACGCCGCTCTCCCCTCCTCTCCACCCGGGACGGCAATGGTGCTCCCGCGGGGGGCTCTAGTAGGCCCCCTCTGCCGAGGGAAATTACGGAGAACTTGCTCTGCAGTAGCTTCAAGAAACTAGTGAATCAGATGAGACTCTGGCCGATCACAATATGACGAGCTAGTGGGTTTCCTTTTTTTCCTCTTTTTTTTTATTTTGGATCGCCCCATTAATTGATTGCTATAACTCTAAACCTTGTTCACGGTAGATACTTTGATAGCTATTTACATGAGCTTCTGGGTAAGAGTACCTTGCCGTCTCGCTGATAATGGAGTCCCATTAGCCATGGACTTTACTTCCTTGACAATATAACTCAAGGGTATGTACTACTTCCAAGGTAGGACTGTGACCATGGCCGCGGGAGAATATTATCTCTGCGCAACAGCTGTCTCATTCGACCCAGCCACCACGTACTGCTTCTCCGTCTTCAACTTACTCAGAGCACTCTCAGGCAGGCTCAGCGTATCAGAAACGATCTGCTTTGGAGTCGACCCTATCCACTGGCCAAGCGAAACATCTAACCATACCCAATCAGTACCCATCTTTCCACCATTCTAGGACAGGTAAAGAAGAGAGAGAGGGAGGGAGGAGGGGGGGGGAAAGGACAAACCAGTAAACTTATCTGTCTGCAAAACCTCCAAAAACATCAAATCCTCATCCCCTGTATTCTCAATATAATGACTATTCGACTGCGGGAAATACCCCACATCCCCGGCCCGATAATCGAATGTGGTCGCCGTCGAGGGCGCGGTGAACAATGTCGCGCGGGCCTTCCCCTTGATGAAGAACGTCCACTCATCGCTCGTCGGATGCCAGTGGATTTCTCGCATGCCGCCGGGCTTCACCGTCACGACGGCGGCGGCGAAGTTGTCGGCGATCGGGAAGGTGACGGGGTCGACTATTTTCACGGAACCGCCAGCCACTTCGTGGGCTGGTTGTTCAGAGAAATGGTAAGAGTAGGATTTGTTTAGGGGGACGATGCCGGCTGCTGTGGTGACATTTTGCTCGGAGATGTCTTTGGGGGCGGGCGTGCCGGGGAAGATGTAGAGTTCGCTTTCGGGAATGTCGTTGAAGGAGGATAGGGGGAGGCCGAAGTTCTTGGAGAGAACGGATCTCTTGGGGTTCTTCTTGTTAGTGGGATGAGGGTTTTCGATATGGGATGAGGATCTAGGGGAGTGGACGAACAGGGTTATGCATGAAGACCTCAGAGGCGAGGAAGGTGTTGTCTTCGGAGAATGAGCCGTCGTCGAAGACGAGGAGGAACTCGACTCCTACGTCTAGGGCTTGGATGGAATGGGGGACACCACTGTCATGGTTAGAATGTGAGGAATTGACCGGAGTTTGGATGACAGAAGGGACTTACGGAGGGAAGAACCACACATCGCCTTCGGTTACATCGTCGACGAAGGTTTGGCCGTTCTCGTTAACAGCCTGAGACGGTTAGTAGATGATTATAGGAGAAGAAAGGGTAGACAAAGATGAAATACCTGGATACGACACGATCCGTTAAGCACTAGAGACCACTCGCCTGCGACATGCCAATGCAGTTCGCGATACGCTCCTGCTTCTAAGCGCATATCGACACCAGCCATCTTGGTCGCGGCGGGCATGACGACGGTGTTTTCTTGACGCGCCCATCCCGAGTTTTCCTTGCCGTATCTACTCCCGAGTAAGTTTCATGATGTGGTGTGGCACAGTAAGCTCTTGAGGATACCTGTTGTGACTGAGGCCTACCACTTGTTAGAAATTGGAAAGGAATGAGATAGGCTCTCGACTTACCCATGGGCCATTGAGCATTGATTGTCTGTCCTTTATCAGTACCAGGAGGTGCTAGCTTATCGCTGTTGATTCTATCATAGTAGTAATTGCCTAGCCAGTCAGTGTAAACGACACTGATTGATAGAAGACCAGGACTCACGAGGGCCAGGGTCGCTTGCTCCCAGATCACCGCGGATGGGCTGGGGGTTGTCGACCTTCTCAAAGTCCAGATATGATCCTATCTTCGGGTCTTCTTTCTGTGCGGGAAGCAGTGTATACTTGATCTCTTCCGTGGAATGCTCCGTCAACTTGTTGTCTGGCGAGTAGCCCAGGAGATTCTCCGAGCCTCTCAACGGAGGGTTCCCAGAGCCTCGGATCACGTTTCCGGCGGGGGCACCATAAATGGCCCCAAGAAGCGAAAGTATGCCACAGGCATAGTAGATGACGGATTTCATGTTGAAGAGTGAGGATGGAGTGTCGATTAGGGGCTGAGAGGGGATGGTTAGCGGAGGGAGCAGCCCGGGAGGTTATGGCGGGTTTATAACACCAGGACTTGCATGGTGTGAAATGGGGACCCCCTCAACCCGAGATAATAGAAATATAATGAGAGATTAAACGTGACCCCTCATGAGGGGCTATGAGGAGAGGATCTATCGGATTATGGGCCATTGCTCGAGCCGGACACTCCTTGTCCCGGTCGAAGTGTCAGACGGTAAGGCCGGACGGGGCCCTCTGCATGCGTCTGATATAAATTCCCTAAATGGGGTTAAGGAAGGCTACTCCATGAGGGGAGTAATCTACTAATTGAGCGGGATTTAAAATTGCCTTCGCAGGAGGCCAGCCTGTAGGGCGTCCAATGAGGCTATTATGTTTTGCGACTTCCGGTCCAGAACCAAATTTAGTTCTGCATGATGGCATACTGAGGCATTATTCTCCTTCCCACAAAAACACCGCGCAAGAAAGGAGATCGTTCCCAAAGACAAAACCGCATAGTAAGTAAACACAGATGCCAATCAGCGTGGAGGCAACTCCGAAACCAAGCTTTTGGCTAAGGTTTTAGACAAGACTTTTGTAGGGCTGTATAACAGAGCTTGATGTTAATTAGGGAACCCCACTCGAACCGTTTGCCTGGTTGCAATGCATTGGGGCGCAATGCTCCCTCTTGCATTAGTGCTCTTTTCGCTTGCACACCCTTGGGACTTCTTAACAACTCGGGTATGTGGCCATCCGGCCAACAGAAGGTGAAGTTCAGTCCCGAATACAACCTGCGCTGCCACGTCACGAGGCCAATGTGTTTCAAACTGGGATCTCTCTGATTGCTACTGTCGTACCTTATTACAAATCGCAGGGCTACTAATGTCTTCTCCGCACTCATGGCTTATCTTCAACAATCTTGCGGTCGGGGAAGATCCACTTGAGGCAAGGAATCAAGTTTCATGATTTGCCACTGGTTGGCACTGCTGCCTTGTGCCTCGATTCTTCGGGGTGTGAGGTATGTGGCTTTTAATTCCTATCATATTATCTCCGAGTAGGGAGGGAGCACTGGCCTCTATCGATTTATCGATTGATCACTTCCGTTATACCCGGGGGGCCCCATGTGACAAGCCCTAAAATTAGAGCGCAACCTCCAAATCTGTTCCAAGTTAATGCATACTAAGACTAATAATTGAGGACCTTGCTTATAACCGAGCCCCTAAGGCCGACCAAGAGATCGGTTAGCCTGAAATCTGGACTTGTGGAATACTAGGAGTGATTGGCCTAGGAATATTGAAAGTGAGAGTGGTCGACTCGACAGAGAACGGCAACGCAATGCCGTTGTTGCGCGTCCGTTCGAAAACGAAGTGGCTCATATATACTTCGTTCTCACGGAACTGAGAGTTCATCGCCGAAGATAACTCCCTGACCGCCTGTTCTGGGTATCCCTTTCTTACTCGTAGTAGGTGAAAACGAGCCTTGGGACTAGTTTGTGGACTGAAGTCAGTATATGGAAGCCCTGGGCAGCCGGTGTGGCCACAAAAGCATTCCAGTTCCCGACCACTCCGGTTCACGAGCGATCGAGTCAATGAAGGACGGGTATCTCGGACCGGCATTCTTGCTGTATCCGTCGAATTATGTGTCCGAGTCATTTTATTCTTATGCAATGCTAGATTTAGTGGGACTCTGTCTGATCTCATCTATTGGCATTCGGGGGCCGAGAATGTGATTTGCTCGTGGCCTGCGATACGATATAAGCGTCCGAAAATAATCCCCTTGTCGGCAAGATTGCTAAATATATCACAAGGTAAGGTATGGGATAACAAACATCGTCTAGGGAGGAGGTCCCACGCTCTATTAATATCCTCCTTGCAAACTCCATCTACTGGGCATCTATACCCTGCTTGTAGGCGTATTTAATTCTGCGTGTTGAGCAACAGGAAGCAGCGCAACTTACCCCCGAGAATATACTCTTATTATCCAAAATAGTCTGGATACATCTAGTTAACTTATTCTATAATGGCAATTAATAAGACCTCGGCAACCCTAATACCCTCTCTGCAATATGGTTGCAGATCATCTCCCGACTGACCGGCGCAATCCGAGGAATAAACACCTCCCGCAAGTACCTCTCGACATGATACTCCTTCGCATAGCCCATTCCCCCATGCACCATGACCGCCCTCTCACAAGCCCGGAACGCAGCTTCTGCCGCGAGGTATTTGGCAGCATTTGCATACTCACCTCCAGCATAGCCGCCATCGTACATGCGGGCAGCATTGAGAATCATTAACCGAGCAGCTTCCAGCTTCATCCAGCTATCCGCAAGCGGGTGTTGAATAGCTTGATTCTGACCGATAGCGCGTCCAAAGACCTTTCTTCCCCGCGCGTAGATAGCCGCTCTCCGCAGCGCCGCATATCCAAGTCCGAGTGCCTCTGCGCCGATCAAGATGCGCTCCGCGTTCATACCGTGTAGGATCATCCTGAACCCCTCATTCTCCTCTCCGATCCGATCGCTAGCTGGTACGTGCCAGTTGTCAAAGAACAGCGTGTTGGTGTCAACGGCCGCCCGACCCATTTTTGGGATCTCCGTGATCTCCACCACGGATCGATCGAGATCGGTATAGAAGAGGGAGAGACCTTGCGATGGCTTCAGCACCTGATCGAGAGGGGTAGTCCGAACAAGGATGAGAATCTTGTGCGCGTTCTGCGCCGTCGAGATCCATATCTTCTGCCCTGATAAAACATAGTGATCTCCATCTTTGCGAGCTTGGGATTGTAGCTTCAATGTATCGAGTCCCGTGTTTGGTTCTGTGACGGCGAAGCACGCCCTCTCTCGGCCCGCGATTAAGGGTTCAAGCCAGCGCTTCTTCTGCTCGTCGGTGCCGAACTTGACGACCGGCTCCAGACCGAAGATGTTCATGTGGACGGATGAAGCTGCGGTCATCCCGCCTCCGGACTCGGATATTGTCTGCATCATGACGGCTGCTTCGGCGATGCCGAGCTCTGAGCCGCCATATTCTTGTGGCATACAGATGCCTAGCCAGCCATTCTTGGCGAGGGTTGTGTGGAAATCAGCGGGAAATGTTTTCATCTCGTCTTGCTTTTGCCAGTATTCTTCTGGATATGCGGCGCAGAGCTTTGCGATGGACGCACGGACGGCTCGTTGGGAGTCCGTTAGGTCTGCGTCGTGGTTTGGGGCATACTCGGTTGCGCGGGCGTGGATGTGTCGTACTCTCTCTGGAGTAGTGAACCGACTTGTATGGCAGTATGGCTTTGGTCGTAGACTTGGTGTTTTAAGCTGCTCTATTGTTAATATCCGATTTTTACATATAATGAACATGGCAACGTACAATGGAACGGCGTGCTCGTGATGCCATCTTGTAGAATGCCCTTTGTTGAATCAATCCGACAACTACTAACCTGGTCTACACCACCGCTTTTATTCATTACCTCTATATATACAAGCTTTTAAGAGGATATGACAATCACTGGAGGAATGCGAAGGGCGCTAGTCCGACAATATCCATTCGTTCTCCTATCACAAGAGGAGATATTCCATATCCATCCATGATCGGCGATGCATGTTCGGCGCCCTAGTCCGAAAGACCGTCTTGGCTCCCCGCAACGGCGTAAGATGCCGTACAGTAGTAATGGAAAAGAAAGTGTCGTCATGTATAATCATGGGGTTGATCCCCAGCCGAAGATCTTGTAAAAATGAGGCCTGGAACCGAGGTTGTGCGGGAGAGTATACAATGCAACAAATAAAGAACCCCATTCTTGCTTCCTTGGGGCCCTCAACCGTCTCATTTCCAAGTCATATCCACCATGCAGTCTTTTATTCAAACAACCCTGAGGAGGCCGATGCGCACGGCAATACCTTTTACGTACCCATTTCATATACTTCTGATCACACGCAAAGCGCATGGACAGGCTCCTGCACACACCATGGCCGGACCACTCGCTGGAGTCAAAATCCTAGATCTGACCCGGGTCCTCGCTGTACGAGTCCTGATAGTCCCGGTTGGTAATTTTGTGTACTGAAACTACTAGGGTCCATTCTGCACTCAGATCCTTGCAGACTACGGCGCGGACGTGATCAAAGTCGAGCATCCACAGGGCGGAGTATGGCCATCCCTCTTCTTTCGGCTTAATTCCTAGTATCTCAAACGGTTTATCTTACCATGCATGCTGAGACTTCATAGGACGACACTCGTCTATGGCGTGAATCAGGAGAGGAGAGGATTTGGAAGCCAGAAGCAGGCAATACATCTCTATATTTTAACACAATTAATCGAAACAAACGCTCCATCTCCGTTAACCTGAAGCACGACAAAGGGAAGGAGATTATACTCCAGTTAGCACAGAAAGCGGATGTGGTGTAAGTAACAATAACAGCTTCTGTACGAACGCGCGTTGCCGCTGTTGACATGGCCACGAGTTTCAATAGGGTAGAAAACTTCATTCCCGGAAAACTGGACACGCTAGGCCTTGGATATGACGCTTTAAAACGCGTAAACCCGTCCGTCATTCTCGCAAGTGTTTCCGGTCCGTTAACAACTCCCAACATTGTTTGGAGCCATAGTGGCTAACTGATTCTGAGGCTACGGAGCTGACGGTCCATATGCTCAACGCGCTGGATACGATGTTATCGGCGCGGCCGAGGGTGGTTTGCTTCACATTACCGGTGAAGCGGACGGCCCTCCAACCAAACCTGGAGTTGGTCTGATGGACATGTGTACAGGGCTATATCTTCATGGCGCGATTGTTTCTGCATTGCTCACACGTGAAAAGGCCGGCCATGGGCAGAAAATCGATACGTCCTTGTTCGAAACCACTATCTCGATCCTGGCAAACGTGGGTACTTCGTGGTTGAATCTCTCCAAAGAGGCGCGCCGATGGGGTACCGCGCATCCCACAATCGTACCTTACGAGGCGTTCAAGACGAAGGATTCTTATCTGGTCGCTGGGGCGGTTAATAACCGACAATTTAAGAACTTATGCAAACGTTTAGGTGTAGAGAACCTGGCGAATGATCCGCGGTTTGTTGACAATACTCTGAGGCTGAGGAATCGAAAGGCACTGAAGTGTGTACTGGAAAAAATATTTGCAGACAAGACCACGGGGGAATGGGAGACGGTATTTGAGGGAAGCGGCATGCCTTACGGCCCAATCAACAAATTGGAGGATGTGTTTTCGCATCCCCAAGTTTTGGCGAGAAACATGATTGAAACAATCGACACAAACGCAGCCGTCTCGGGTACACTGAAGGTCCTTGGTGAGCGCTGTGGTCATTATGTGCTCATGAGCCATTGCATTAATATTGTACATAACACAGGCATGCCAGTCAAGTTTAGTGAGTCGAAGCTGTCTATCAGAGCGGGCCCACCGGCCTTAGGGGAGCACACTGACGACGTGCTGCAAGAACTGGGATTACCTTCTACCAGAATTGCGGAGCTAAGAAAGAGTGGCGTGATTTAATATCAGCCCCGTAGTATCTGAAAGCCTTTGGTCTAAGTGTTTCCATTAGCCCAACGCAGAAAATTCTATCCGCTGTTCGTCTTTCCCTTTCGATGTGTCGCAGACCGCAAGAGGCTATCTTTCAAACCACTCCTGCGAGAATCCTAACGTGACTTCGTTGGCCTGCACCCAGTCGGTCGTATGGATGGAACTTTGCAGATCTTGAAACAATTGCTGAAACTCAACAACAGGGCTCAAGTTAGGCAACTGGCCGTCAAGGAAACCATCTAGTGTAGTAGCTGGGTCTGTACAACCCGGTAGAGATGATTCATATGACAGCATGGAGAAATTATCGCGCGCAGACCCCTTTTGCTGGTGCGCAGCAGTCGCTGATGTCTGTTGTCCTATCGTATTATTGCTTCCCAATTTCGCCTCTGGAACTTCGGTTGCTTCATGTTTCTGCTGAAAGCTTACAGCGGCAAGCTCTTTTAAAGCACTCATGCTCAGTTGGTTAAAAATATCGCATGACACCCGCGCATCATCCCATCTCTCGCATATAGCCGTCAAAATACTTGAGCAGTCACGGACATCTAAGACAACATCAAGGTATGATGGAAGGAAGGCTTGAATCCCCCGGCTTCGCCTTTGTGCGCAACAACCAACACTATGCACATTTGCAAGCCCGGCCATGAATATCGTATATAAACATACCCAAGAGTAGTTTAAATGGCGAGAACGTAGCAAGTCCAAATAGCTAGCTAATACATGACGAGATGAGCTCCAAATCGTTTGTAAAACATCATTGATGTCTTCGTCAGATTCGTGCCCTTCCGTGGCAGGAAACGTTGCAGAAGGTCGGAATAGTAGTAGACACCCGCTGTAGTATAGAGCTTGGTACCAGTTTGGATGAAGAAAGACTGATGTGATTACGGATGACTGATCTATTGATGGCAGTTGAAGAAGGGCAACATCGTGTCTCCAAGCTTGAAGCTCACTGAAGATCTCCCTTCGAACAGCTTGCTTTTCTCGCAAAGGTAGGGCTTGAGTGAAACGACTGGTATACATAGATCGATGGATTTTGGCTTGGATTTTACGCAATCGAACATGATGCAGAAAGGGAGACACTGTTCGACAGGGAGGGCGCGTTTCCATGAGGGCTCGGTCGAGCGAATCATCATCTATCGCAGAGGGCAACGGTACATGGATGTCGTCGTCGTGGAGAGCCAGTGGTCGTCCGAGGGAAATGCTCACGATCCTTTTCTCATCAGCAACTGCGGTCGTTAAGACCAACAATTAGCTCACCTTTCCAGGTTATAATAACACCAGAAGCACCTTCGCTGGAGTTCTACCTGCATTGAGGCTGGTATGGACCCAGTGAGATGCGTTTCACACTTTGGTAAAATGGACAGGCTATATTTGTGCAGGCCAAGTTCAACGCACAATTGAGTGGCTCTACCCAGAACTTCCCACACGTCGCTAGAGGTATCGCGCAGGCTCGCATGGATCCCATACTTGCAATATAGTAATAATGCCTGCAGCAATCGGATATCTCGCAGATGCGACAAGGAACCTAGATGAGTCAATGCGCGAGTAAAATGGGATTCCGTATGCACAAAAGACCACTCGACTGTCTTTGACGCTACCGAGCCGAGGGCCAGAACCATGTCAAAGACGAAAGCATTTGCGGCATTCCGCTGATAGATACTGGGATCGGAATACATTCGCTGCACCATTTGCATAAATGCGACTGGGTGAAGTAACGGAAAGGTGAGGTGCCAATGGCTGAAGTAAGCCTTGATCAAGGGCATTGCCAATGCCTCATCCACCAGCACTACAGATTGAGGTATAGGTGGGAGAGCTACTCGCCTGGGTATACCTCGGCTAGCGCTCATTCGCCCGAACAGGCCACCAGTATGGGTTGCATCGACAACTCGTCCAACAACGTCGACGAAATCTACGCCATTACTTGATCCCAAGTAGGACAGTTCCTCTCCCGGAGTCCGTGACAAGGGATCAATAGGCTGTGTTAGGTAATGTAAAGCGCCAACCGGACGAGACCCAGGCAAACTGTGTCGGTTGGCAGGTTGATGAACCGGCCTAGAATCTCCACAGTCTTGTCGGATAGATAGATGCTCCCTGAGCTGTTCATTGTCACGCGCTAGCTCATGGAGCCGCGTCTCAATTGATGTTAGATATCCTCGTTGAAAGTGTCGGTCTCTGCGCTTGTTTGAGTACTGGCAGAGCGATCGGCTTTTTGTACATGAGCTGCACTGGGGCAGACGACGGTCACATTTCGTCTTGCGAGAATAGCAACGCTCACATGCAAACATGTTGGGATGTAAGCCGACCAGAACAAATAATGTAGTTGAAGCAGTATCATTTGGGTCTAAACAAAATGCGGGGATCGGAGGGAGGATGAAGATCTAAATGTGGGGATCTATAGTGCCTCAGGCAGCAGAATTTACCCTAGATCATATCCTTCGGATTGGACAATGGATTGGTTACTGCTATAGATAATAGCATAGGTAGTAGTCCTACTTAAGATTTCCATGCCCCAGATGGCCTGTCATACTGTTAAGAGACTCAAGCAACCATATATTCCTAGCAGAGAACTATCTTGGCAGTGTGAACATCATCCTCTTCACATCGACAAGAGCAGGTCTTGAAGCAAGATTAACGACTCGTAACTGATAACAACTAAACTTGTTGCAATTACCTCTCAGCCATATGTTCCACGCACTAGGACTAAGCCGTATCGGCCCTGAGAATGGTTATGAAGTGGGCTGCGGTGGTGCCATGTACAAAGGCAAGTGTAGATCTTCTGTGCTACCATCGTCATCCAATCTGTCGTCGGAGCATTCGTTGAACCATGAACAAGCCTACAGTTGTCAGCATATACATCTTCCTCCATGAAAAAGTTAAGACATACAAAATTTGTACGGGAATAACTTGGTGGAAATCAGCTCACTGCAGTCCACCCAGATCGGGGGAAAGCATGTTAGCCTTCAAAGGTCCGCGCTCGATTATTTCTCGCATTGTCAATTAAGAAGACACTTACTCCTCAGTCAGCTCCCATGCACAGTGAACCGGCCTGCGGATCACACCTCCATTGGGAGTCTAATGTAAGAACAGCGCCTTGATTGATCCAAACCTAGACGCTATCAGCTATAGTCATAGTGTTCAGCTAGCTAGACATTGAGCAAACTTGGTATTACCATTGAACTTGTCTACCCAGATGAGACCAGCCATCCAATTACCTGGCGAGAATGAGCGTTATTCTGTCCCTGGGATCTGGAGAGCACTTACCATTAACGTCCGCCCGAAGATGGAGGTTAAAACTATGTGGATCATGGTATATATGCCGAAGACTCACTTGCACGATCATAATTCTCGCTTCGCTTGACTGGCCCGATAAAATTGAAATTCTCCTCCCCTTTGCTCAACCAGCCATCTGTACAGCCATCCATACTAGGGACGACTTAATTAACACATCGGCTTTACAGATGAGTTTTCGAGAACAAAGAAGCGCTTACTGGATGCAGAAATGGTCTGCACAGCTATCACCACTGTTCTCGGTCAGTTTCCCAAGCACTTTCCAGAAACAAAGAACATACTCTATATCGGCACACCGAAGGCCAGGGTCGTACTGATCTACTCCCCATCCCTGGTTCACTTCGTATTTCCGGTAAGAGAACATCCTTGTATTCGAAATAGCCACCCTGAGCGTTTTCGCTCCCACTTATTTAACCAGATTTCGGCTCCCCCTGTGCTTGCTTCACAACCCAGAAGCCACACTGGGTACCAACTATCCGTCAGAGGGAGTTCCTTATGGTCTGTAGCTAGGGATGCCTGTCATTGTACGGCTAAAATGCAAGGAAAAGGGGATCACCTACCTTTCCATCACTGGGCCCAATGATGGTAGTTGTATTAGAGAGGCGAACTAACAAGGTCATGTTGCACCTTCTCACTACTCAGATAGCGAGACGTGATAGGAGCTGACCGTAAAGAGCTAGGAATGGAAGAACCGGCCACGAGGGTCTGGAAGATAGCAAGGCTGAATGTCAGCCCACTAAAAAAATTCTTCATCTTAAAAATTGCTCGTGAATCGCGGTTGCAATTGACTGAGGAGAAGGAGAATAGATAGAGTAAAACTAACGACAACATGATTATCGTTTCCAATCGGACAATCTCCAGCAAATAAATAATCCCAACTTCACTAACTCGTGACGCATGCCCTGAACTGACTGACAGCCACCAATAGTCCCACGTTCATGACAAGGCAGAGTCCCTATAAACTAATTAGTGTGTGCCTAGCGGCTGCATCGGAGTCAGTTTCACCAGCTTCTGTGGCATTGTTCCCGTTGGGTTAGAGCCAGTAGTACTTGAGATTAGCACAACAGTGACAGACATCTCTTAGCTCTATGTTAAGTAGATTCTAAACAATCATTCAATTCCAAAATTATGCTCCTTTGGGGTATATTTGGCTATGCTAGGATCACTTATTTCCATTTATTATATAAGTTGGGTGGGGTGTAAAGAATAGAGTTGTTTAAAATCTACCCAAAACTGTCTCGATCACCGCGCACTAGACCTCTACGACTGCTGAGCTGTAAGCTCACCTGGGCACTTGTGCTGCCAATTCCCTGGCACTAAATTCTATTAGCGTAACCATCGCGTTCGATCAGCCCGTGTGGTGCAGGCGATGTGGGGCCTGAGGCTTGTCTGCAACTTGCCGTAAGAGTCTTGCTGAACTTGGTAGACAGATAAGTATCTAAACGTATTCCCGTTGTGATGTATTCTACTGTAGAGAAAATCCAGAGGGTTTCTATACCAAGGGCATACAAAATACAGCATACCTCATAGCGCCAATAGGGAGTAAAGGGTACGCATTGTCTTTCGCTAGATTTGTAGGCACGAAACCCGTCAGGGCAGGGGAGGCCAACCCAGTCTTGTTTCTCTCCTCTTGATACTTTCCTGAACCTTCCAAAGCATAGGCAATAAGTTCAGCGAGCCTACAGAGTGAACCACATCGAGCTTCGCTGAGACTGACATACCGTACTTTCTCTGACAGTGCTGTGTGTGGAGAGTCAGTTACGTTCCACTCCTGACCCTTCATCCCAGGCCTACCTTTCACATCTGCGGGGGATGATTCCCAATGTATCTCGGATTCTTTCAAAAGATCTAAAGCTAGCCAGAAGGCTATTAATTGCGACCAACTATTCCCTAGCAAACTAAAACTTGATATAACCAACTATTACAAGGTAGCGGCTCCATTTTCTAAGTAATAGCTAGAAGGTTGAAGTCAGATAGAGTTAGTTAGGATACCATTCAATCGATGTACTATTCAGCTGCCAGAAGAAAGGCTAAAATCTGAAATCATTGGCAAGCTAGGAAATAGGAAGCTAAAATCTAACAGACAGGATCAACAAGGACATGATTTGATAAATTTAATTTTGGGACAGGCGGCCAGGGAGCTAAAATGTAACGTGGTCAGCAGGGGGGCTGGCGATTCAGTCAACTCATTCTTTCACCGGATAGTGACACTCATACGTCAAACCTTAGTTGTCTTTGCCGCTACTTTTTTTGTCCCTAATCATGGCTCCACAGAAGGCGCGATTGGGTTCCCACCCTTCTATCGAGGGTCCTCCGCCTCCGGTAACCCATATTTCCCATGAAGTACGACTATCTGACAAGGTCAAGGATGCCTACAGCCAGGCATTGGACGAGCAGCATGGCCCTGTCATTGTCGTCCCTCGACGCGGCCGTAACGAATAGGTTATCGACCACCGATACGCCCATGAGGTTCACATAGACACTAAAAATTTCACCTTCGAGAAAGCTGCCTTCGAATTGCTTCACTTGGGTTTTATAGCGCTCTTTGATAACGGCCACTTCGTCCATGATGTTGACAGCCTAGGTGAGAACAATGTACAGCCACGTATGAACGCCATTATAGACCGAATCTTCTCTGCCTTCCAGCCGCATTTCGACCAGATGACCCTTCGTGTTACCGAACTCAGCCAACGACAAGACACCAACCGAGTTTCCCAATATCTTCTCCCGCCTTCAGCAAGCCATCGCTCAAGCTATGGTAGTCATGATTCTTGGGCCCGCACACTCTTCCCCAGAAGCAGCAGGCCACTTCGCTGCCGTGGTAGTCGCGATGGCAAACATGACCGGCATGCACGAGAACACGCATGAGTGGGTATGGTTCCCCTCGTTATGGGTGTTCCTTAACGGACTCTGGGCCGTCTTCTTCACTATCATTCCCCGTTTCTTCTTCAGCATCGTTCCCACGCTCTGGAAAACCCGGCGTCAGCGCCTGGCGAACGGCCTTGCCGCGCACCATGAAGAATATATCCCATTATTCGACATTCTGTTAGTAAAACACTACCACATGAAAACCGGCTTCCATGCGCTAGGCGGGTTCGCATGGTGTGTCATTCTCTGCTTGGGCATGATCTTCGCCTCCATTCATCACTGTCGTTGCCGGCTTCTGGATCATGATCAAACTCCCAGAAAAAGGATGAGTATTTGCCGGCCATCCGCGATCAATGAAATACCATAGCCCCTGCGAATGGACCACTGAATGTGAAACGGCTGGGCTAGCTCACAATGCTGGATTCATTTATTCGCGAAGTCCTCCGGACGAAGGGTGATTGTTGGGGTCCTGTTCGTCAGACGACGGGACCTGTACGTATCGGGCCCTATGTACTTCCCAAGGATGCTATGTGCATTGTGCTCATCTCGCGAGCACACCAACACCCAGACAACTACGGATCAGTAGGAACCGTCTTTGACGGCTTCCAGTGGGAAAAGAAGGGACGGCCGGCCGTGCAGGGCAGTGCGGATTTCTTAACGTTCGGGCTAGGAAGATGGGCGTGTCCGGGCCGTCAACTGGCGATACACGAGATCAAAATCCTGCTCTACGTGTTTTTCTCTAAGTTTGACGTTAAGGTTAAAGAAGGCAGCTTCCGAGTAACCGATACGATAAACACGACTTCTGTGCCGCCGGAGGCTACTTTGCTGCTGTGGAAAAGAGAGTAAAGTTCAAGAGTCTTTGAATCTGTGCACAGGTGTATTCAATATGCGGATTGAGTGAATCGAGACGGATGCTCTGTATGCCTTGGGGTTGTCTCATGGTGTGGGTCCCAGCGATATAATATCATTTGCTGTGTCGGATTGGGGCCACTCATATTCATATTGGTGATGGGATCTTAATCCCCCATCATCTCAGTGTGGGCAGCCCGTGTCGAAAAGACTATCCGTAATCCTACTTGCCAATCACTTCATAGTTGGCATCTCGCAGCTCATTGGCAATCAGGGTGGTAATAAATCGTCCAATACATTACACTAAACATACAATTTTCCGGGTCTTAGCAAGATACATTTGCATAATAGCATATAACCATGAATACTATTGTTGTCTTCTTTCTAGGTAAAGAGGGAGGACTCCAATGGTGTATGCACGGTGTGAAATATTACTGAGCCGTGAAGCACCTAATGTGAGGCTATAGGTGGGAAAGCTCGCGTAATAACTACGCTGTTTCTGACAACCTTGTCGGGAATACTATGTCCTTTTACGGCCGCGCAGACAGGCCTCAACCGCGTGACACATATTTCTGTCTTGTTTTACACTCTGGGATAAATCACTGAGTGAAAAGCGGGCATGATCTAGTCCTAGGGAAGTCTCAAGGCTTCCGCAGAAAAACAGTTCGTTAGTCTCCCCAAGAATCGCCGTGCGCGGGCCTCATCGAAGGATTTAACATACCTCCTTGCCGTAAGTTTCTTTAGTGTTTTTTTCAAGCCTTGGAAGTATTTGTCAAGTCTCAGATCATGAACACTGGGCTCTAGGGCTCTTCGGTGAGGCTTTGGTCCTCGACCCTCCCTAGAGGAATACTGTGAACGGTGGCAGCTTTTTAGTTGCTTCACATGACTGATGTTTCAAATATCCTATTATATTAAAAGCCAATCAACAGTCTCACCTTATTACGAGCCTGGTATCATGAACCTAACATAAGTTGGCCATAGCATATCGTCGAGGAGCATACCAGCAAAATGGATACCCACTACATGTAACGAGGGTATCAGAACGCCAAATACAGCAGAATTCAATTCATTTGACCTGAACCCTGATAAAAGGCCTTGAGCACAATCAAGGTCTATAAGGAGGCGGAAGGTCCTCCGAATCCACGCTCTCCTTGTCCGAGCTATCCGAGTCGGGGTCATTATCCGCCCATACCTCGGCGTCTTGTGTGACAAGCTTCTCCGAAGGGACATCGGCCATGTTCTGACTCTGTCAATACACACTTCCAGAAAAGTAACGAGAGGCTGATAGATAAAACAACTCACCGTCCCATCCTGAGTCGTCGCTACGACCTCGTTATTCCCCACTCTTCCAACTAACCTCCCTTTCTTCCAGACCCCATGCCGCAGCACCATGCCCGTGAAATCCGTCTTGATAATCACACAGTTACTGACATCACACTTCCGTAGAGTCGACTTCTTCACCCGGCTTCTAGCGACTTGGATATCCTCAAGCTGACTTCGCCGCAGGAAACTCTCCTCTGTGACAGATGACCCACTGACTTTGCTCTTGTTGAGCGTACTCTGGCCAGTGACGGTGCTGTTCCGCACCGAACTACGGCGCACTGAGCGCACGTTTTCGAATTTGGAGTCATTGGCATCCGTGGTTTTAGCAGATGTCACATCGACAAGTTCACAGTTGGTGATATTGCAGCGTCTGATGTATGAGTTTGCGATGATGCTATGACTAATCTTACTGCGCTGTATGGTAGTGTTGGCCGGTGATGTCGGGGTTATCCTACTGCCTTCGGGGAGAGTCTTGCGAAACACATTGACTGAGTCGAGTACACTTCGACGGATGGTGTCAGCGGCAGTCAGATCATTGAAGCTGCAGTGGTTGGCGGTGGAGCGGGTAATAGAGGGACCAGAAGAGTTTGGGAGGTTGCTGTTGGTGATGGCGCCTTGCTTGGCCATTTTACTATGCAATGAGCTTATAGTAATGGCGATCTGTGGCTTATGTACGGTTATACAGAGATCTTGAAATCGGAAAGTAAGTAGTTGAGAAGTGCGGATATTATAAATCCGGGGAAATCTTGTTGCCTGTTACTCATGCGACAAGTTCTCGTAAGCCCAAAATATCATAAAGTTGTCAGGGTACCTACTTCTTAAAAGTGGTCAGCAATCGGCTATGCCTTATTTGGTTGTTAGTACTTCTACCACGACCAATCATTCAACAGTAATTGTCGTTAGCAGGGGGAAACTGCGGCATGATTGGTGCTTTTTTTATTCCACCAGCCAAGATATCATAACCAATATTTTATATACTAGATTTGTAGATTACGCAGAAGAGATTCATATATCCTATATTACTGTAGTACTAAACCTTCAGTCTTCTGGATAAGTCAATATATAAGGTTCCCCAACCCAGTAGTACATCTACAATGTATACATCGACCAAGACTAATGTCATATGAAGAACACTCAAATCGCACCCAAACCCAACTCGTCCCAGTATTGACGCAACCTACACCGATAGCGATGGCCATACGCATATACTACCTCACTCACAACCACCATCACCATCCACAACATAACACGCCATACTAGCCCATAACAATTACCCTAGACTCACTCATACGCAATGCCTGCACCGCTGGAAACGTCAAAACAGGCAAGACTTGAAAGCGACTACGAGCGCTGGATGCACGATGGCAAACCTGACTTCAAACTTTCCAACAAGCCTCGGAACGGCCCAGGCTCTCCCTCAAGCCTTCACCATACCAGAGGAGATTTTTGTCTCCTTGAAACATGTTACAGACTCACAGCTTGTTCTCTATGTTACTTGCAAGGTAGGGAATCTGGACGGTGGGTTGGATGTCCCTGGATGAGTAGAATGATTGTTAACCAGGTCGTCGTGTTTATGGTTCTTGGGCTCTTATTCTTTCTAGTTTGGATTGTGAAAGCAATGAGAAGAGCACTAGGGAGTGTTTCATGTCGGGAAAAGAGGGATGTCTTATTCTAGGGTTTGGTTGGGGTGTCATATTTCATACATTAGTGGTTACTGCACTCTTGCGCGGAAAATTCGGTATTGCCATGATAAACCCTTCAGAGATTCATGCGGAGGGCTCCTAGCTTCAAAAAAAGATTGAAAATACAAAGAGGGGCTTGGAACACTTTCGTCCTAGTTATTGTTCATTGGGTTCGAACATCGACGAATTCCTTGTTGAGTTCTAAGAAGGGGGCTGCTTTCAAAGTGTGCCAGGCGTCGGGGGTGAGCGTCAATTTATATATTATCCGTCAAATTGGATACTTGACCCATTCTACACAGCTTTCTAATATTCAAAGGCTTATGCCTCATAAATAGACACAATTACAGTGAATATAGGAGGTATAAGCATAATCATAAGTCAATCGCGTTGAGAGGGGGAATAATATATTCCCATTAGCGATGGTCAATGAGATCCCAGAGGACTTAGAAATCGCGATCAAGACAGTGGTGATAAAGAAGTAAAAAGGTATATAATACAAGATGACTTCGAACGAATAAAGAGATTCAACAGAACAAAATAGAAAGAAAGGTCTAGAAACGTATTATGAAGAAACCCTAGAATAACTTGAGGGAAAGACAAGAGATAGTAAATTTATAATTTTATATAATTTTCTCTACACTAACCGATCCATTTTCAAATCCAAAACTACCTGTCTAGACAATTAAAAGCTTCTCCGATATTTCACATCAAGCTTCTTTTCGAAATTGTTCTTTCGAATTATGGAGTTCTCCCTCATTATAGCAAGGAGAGCCAAATTCCACGCCTTTCCCAGGGAAGCAAACGCAGGATATTCGGGCCAACAGAACCAAGGAGATGCGAAGCTATTCGCAAGGAAGTAGGCACTGAATAAAACTCCTACTCCGTTGTTCATAATCATCGTCACTTTTCCCTCCTTTCTTGGATTGGAAAACTACGAGTCAAGTGTTTCTGTTAGGCATAAAAGAAAGGGCCCGATCTTTGGCTATTAAACCCAGCGTAGTCATTTAAATCTACCACAGAACACCTACTATATCACATCATGCGTCACAAATATAGGCCTAGAACCATGCCAGACGATACAAATCAGTTAACTAGAACATGGTGGAGGTAAACAATACAAGGGCTAGAATTCGCGCCGTGCAAGCAAGCCATCACAGATCTGAACCTAGGCAATTCTTCCCAAGATATCGCCGAGACTTAATTGGTGGCTTAATGCGTCACTCATGCTATAATCCACGGTCTCCTTTCACCGACATTTGAGAGTATTCAACCCACCAATCCCACATTCGTATCTAGTATGCTGACAGAGGAAATGCATGAAGGTTTTCAGGTAGCAGTAGGCTCGAGCACTCGAATGTCCCGTGTTTCATGTAACCCCGATGTCACTATCTCAGCAGGATAATAATCTATCATCTACTCGTAGTAAACAGCCGAGTCAGCCCAGTGCCGTCGGGCCCTTCTGTGAAGCACGCTCCTGGCGTTGAACTCAGATGGCCAGAGCACAGCCATGAGTATGACGGAACGCATCTTTATATTAAAATTATTTTTAGCGTCGGTTCATGTTGATTCGGTCTCGCGTTCTCCTATCATCTCCAATGTGCTCGGGTTAAGACTTCCCCGGGGCCCGTGTCAGTCGTTGAAGATGATCTGCGAAGCCAAAGCCGGGTGTATGTACTCGCTTGGACAAGATTTGCAACCGCCTCGTCATGAGGTCGGGTCTCCTCTGTTACGATTTTGGGACTTGGGTGTTACGTAAGTGATGAGCTCTTGCATCGAATAGAGTATCAGAAGAGGTGAGAAGAATGAGGAAATTTCTCAATGGGGAGATATGCCACGATATTCCTTCGTTGATGAGGCCGCGTCTTCTATCACAGACTCTCCTTGGACGGACATGATTTTTGTGGTCTAATCTTGCGACTTCAGTGACAAGTTACATTTCGAATGAGGGACTTCTGAGGTAGATCCATGTGGTGATGTCGCAGTGAAACAGACAGTCACGCAAAGCATCATCTCCATCGACCGAGGAATATAAAAGTCCATCAATAATAGAGAATGAACGATGGACTGGGTCGACGGGAAAAGCCGCCCAGTTGGCTGAAAGAACATCCCAAGTCGCCCAGAGCGATACCACCATCTCAGATGGTATCATTGAGCCATTGCACCCCCTGCGCGACGACCATCCGGATCCCATGTCCGACCAGATGCATTGACATCATTCCATGCCCTGGGGAAGTAAGCGAGACGTGTCAATAGATCTCTCGCAAGAATGGCGACCTTCGGTCAATGATCTTCGTGATGGTCGGGGCGTGGATGATGAACCAGGCAGTTCTGGATGATAGATATACTGTCGCGTCTTACAAGGTTGCAACCTCACCGAATGGATCGTTCTTCAGGCACGGAGGTGTGGTTGCACTGGGGGGAAGAGTGGCACCAGCCGAGACTGCCTATCCCCACTCAGCAATGACTCGTTGGTCAGGTAGCTTAGTCTGAAGCACAATTCTCATCTACGGCTAGCTGATGCGATTGGCCTGGAGAATGCATAGAGTTAGTTTAAATTCTCCGATGGAGTTACCATGATTGAAGGCTAGGCATCATGCATCGGGTCGTGTGTGACATGCTCAGCCCCGTTTTCTTGGGTGTTCATAACAAGCATTGGTTGGTCTACAATTTGCGAGACATTATTTCTGGGGAGGAGGGGGTAACAAAGGAAAGGTGAGACATGGGGAGTCTCTTGAAACACGTCATGCCAACCGCTGCAATAATGAGAGGAAAGTTGAGAAAATGGAAAAATGGGTATGTTGTTGAACTGTGACAGCTACCCACTTACCAGACAATATCCAATGGCTGGGTGGTATGCGAGCTTGGAATCTGGACAATGATCATTGTTAGTTGAAACTAAACATTCATTATTTGTTTGTTGTTTGTTTTTTTTTTTTTTTTTTTGGCCGCATTCAACCGAAGTTTCCCCTTGACTGGATTTTGATATTTCACATCCATAGGACCGGAAAAGGAAGTTAACTGGGCAGTTCCTTTTAAAACAGCTCAATTATCTAATACACGCATTTAGCCCCCTTGCTTTCCGACCGTTGGGGTTTAATAACGCCCAACTAGATATAATGTTCTCCAGATATAGCTTCAAGGATAGGGCAGCGAGCGACTACTACTAAGGTACCCATACTAGGCGACGGACTACTACCGAACTGACCGTAGCATTTGAGACCCTCAAATGGTAAGAGTCTCATGCGGACTAACGGGATCGGGACTAGGAAGATCAGGAGGAGTACGCGTGTTGCAGCCTCCATTTCCTTGGCAGGGCTTCTGGAATGCAGACAATAAATATGCCTCGAATGGGGGAAAGTGGAGGTATGTTTGTACATGTATATGTGTATGTATACTACGGCATGTATCTCACCACACTTGGTACCAATCCATCCATTACTTAACGTTAGGTCTCACCTTATATATCGAATCGGGTTAGTTGAGCGAAATGAGAGGTCATCGATAACCGTTCAGATGAGGTGATCGATTGATCTAATATTGATCAGAGATAGTTAGTCGTCTCTCGATCCAAACTAGTACTTGATGCAATGGCTGAAGATGTGTGGTAGTGGTTGGTGTGGGTTCCAGCTCAGTGTAACAGTCTCGGCCACTCTCATTAGACCGGGTACCACCGTTGCACCCATAGATGTCACATACCACACACACTTCTCTCTCTCTGGCAACTTCGGAATTTTCTTTTCCTTCAGTCTTACCCCTTTTTGTTCAGTCAATTTCCTTGTCAACATTGTTAAAGGCTTAATGCCTGGACAAGCCACCCCGCAGAATTCATTTGATTGCTACGGAATGAGGGTGCGTGACAGATATCCATCCCAATTCGTCACCCGATAAATATAGTACAGTTACACGAATTAAACTAGCAGACTATTCAATGCAAGCAAGCTGTATGGTTATGGATTGCACATTAGGGTCCAGCCGGTAAGGCGGTAAAGCCGAAACCGGTATAGTAATTTACCGGTAACAAAACCAGAGGGATGAAATGCTCTGAATGTAACTCTCTGGTCGCGGGCACAACGTGGTCCATGCGGGCTGAGCCTTCCAAGATCTTCATTCGCCAAAATTCATTCTATTGTTCACTCTTTTTTTTTTTTTTTTTTTTTTTTTTTTTTTTTTTTCTCTTTTTTTTTTTTTTTTTTTTTTTTTTTTTTTTTTTTTTTTTTTTTTTTTTTTTTTTTTTTTTTTTTTTTTTTTTTTTTTTTATTTAACCCGCGCTGGATAGGAAGCAGCAGTTGTTGACATCCATTTTTATGCTTAAGTATATTTTCGAATCATGACCAGGCGGTTAAATGATAAGAGAGCAGGAATTATTCCCCGCAGATGGTCATCTTGCATATGGATGATTTGAAACGATGTAGATCACAGTCCTTTCTTTCGTTCCCATGCTGTGTGACTGATAGGATTCATGACTCTGTAGATTCTGCTAGGATTGCGTGTTGATTGATGTCATGATTCAATTCTAGCGTAGTGAACAACCTGCAACTTTCTGCGGAGCCATGGTATTGGGTTTGCCCTTTGTTTCCCGTCTCTACCTAAGTAGAGAAGGTAATCCTATTCGATCTAGTATGAATTATGCGCAGAGATCTTTCAGGGTAGTAGTGCTGAAACTGGATCCTCCATTAACTGTGGTGTAATCAACCGGTGTTATGACGATACCGGACGGGAAGATATACCCCCTTTGGAGGATAGGATAAGGTAAACTAGTTTACATCCATCCCCATACACATACGTTACCTCCTCGTCAGTACGGAGTCACGCACTCTCTCCGACTCAATCTTTCTCTTCTTTCTGCATCAATCAATCGCCCCTCTTTTGGTAGTTCTTTTGATCCTCTTTATTCTCCGTTGTTTTGTCCTTCACTGTGTCTGCAATTCTAAAACCTTTTCTCCATCCATTTATCATTCCTTTGCGGTAACCCATTCATTCAGTTGGAATGGACACGCGTTGATCCATGCTTCGAGTGCCTATGGTCCCGTCACCCTCCGCCGCCCATTACCACTCCAAGTGCTACTACTGCTACTAATACTACTTCCTGACTACTGGCGATACTACTACAACGGGAGAGGAAACAAAAACAACAACAACCACCACCACCACCACCACCACCCTGACCCTTCGTGCAACTACGGCAGAAGTGTCTTACTTTTGCCCCATTCATTGCCTAGCACGGTGGATGAATTTCGTCTCTCTGGCACCACTTGTTTCCTAACCCTCTTTCTATTATCCTCCTTCCCCCCCCAAAACCTAAACACTTCTCTCAATCTGTGCCTTTTATTTTATTCTATTTTATTTTCACTCTCATTATTTTTTTTTTTCTCTATTTATTTAGCCCCTCACTGGGTCTCGTTCTCACAACTGTCTCCACTCCAGCTGTAGTACGGAATACTTTTTTTCTATCCTTTTTTTTTTTTTTTTGTTTTTTATTTCTTTTTATTATTTTTATTTTATTTTATTTTCTCGCCGGTGTTACCTCACGTCTCATACATGCAACTCGACTCCATCGTGGGATAGAGTCTCTTGAGTCTCTCATTCACCATTCTCAGTGAATATCACCAGCGAATCGCGACACCCCTGGATCTCTCCTCCTTCACAACTCCCTCTATAATTACCCGCATCCTCACCCACTGCATCCTTCCTTCTGCAGATGCATACAGTTGTCAGTACACATCAACCTGGTCTTCAGTCTGACCTTCAAGGCCCACTCAACCCTTTCTATTGTATCTGAATTGAACTATCGTCACCAGCCTTTGTGACTGGGATAAAGTAGACACTTGACGATCTACTTTCCCTTACCATGCCGGCTTCCCTGGGTAAAGTTCTGCATCGGATGCAAGAACTCTTCTCAAACATTGTCGCCGCGCTAGAGGCAATGCTATTGTTTCCTTCACTCTTTCGTGATCCCTCTCGCAAGCGAAGACCATTTCACCGGGCATCATGGCGCCGTTGTACTCTTGATGAGCTTGCCAACGAGGTCGAGCACTCATTCATGGCACCTTTGTCGCTGCAGAACATGGCCATGATGTCGGAAAAGATCCGGGAGCAACTGCGAATCCGCCTTCAGTCTAGCCCAGTAAGCATGTTGCCGTCCTACCACCATGCGTTGCCGACGGGAACGGAGAAAGGAACCTTCCTTGCCCTAGACGTGGGGGGCTCCACGTTTCGTGTGGCTTTGATCGAACTACGTGGAAAAGGCGATGTGGAAATTCTCCGGGTGAACTCGTCCCCCATCGACAACGAAGTAAAACTACTGGAGGGAACCCGCTTCTTTGACTGGATGGCGGAAAAGATCGACTTGGTGCTGTCCGAAGTCGATGCACGTTACGGTCGAGAGTCTGCTCCCTTGTCTATGGGCTTATCATGGTCATTCCCGGTGGAACAGACGTCCATCAACAGTGGCTTGGTTATTCAAATGGGCAAAGGCTTCCTGTGTTCGGATGGTACGGAGGGACAGGAGCTGGGAGAGTTAATTGTCCAGTCATGCCGTAAACGTAATCTCAACCTCCAAATGGGTGCCATTGTGAACGACAGTTCTGCCACTCTTCTTTCCCGGGCCTACGTAGACCCGAAGACTCGCATGTCCCTGATCCTGGGAACTGGAACGAATATGGCAATCCATTTCCCCGTGCATGCGATCGGATTAACCAAGTTCGGCACCAGACCCGCAGGCTGGTTTGACTACGCCAAGCACGTCATCATCAATAGCGAGCTGAGCATGTTTGGTGGCCAAGTCTTGCCGATGACCCCATGGGACAAGGTGATCAACAGTACGCATCTTCGGCCGGACTACCAGCCACTGGAATACATGATCACAGGGCGCTATCTGGGCGAAATTATCCGATTGATCATCGTCGACGCCGTGAACGCCGCACAGTTGTTTGGAGGCGAACTCCCTCATTCGATGCGCGATGCCTATTCGTTCGATACGAGCATTGTCGCTGCCATCGAGGCAGATACATCCGCGTCGTTTTCGTCCTCTGCGGCCCTACTTCAAAAGGAGCATACATTCCTCCGTGCCCCGTCCGTGAGCGATCTCAAGTTCTTACGTCGCGTCTGTGAGACCGTTTCAAACCGGGCCGCAGGTTACCTGGCAACGGCTATCCATAGCATGTGGTGTTTGCGTAACGAAGCCGAGTTCTCCGTGGTTACTGCCTCAGCGACATCGATCAAGGAGACGCAAGAGGTAACTGTGGTCGAGAGCGAACACCCTCAGAGTCTGACCATTGCATGCGATGGTAGCGTCATTAACAAGTATCCCGGCTTCAAAGATCGCTGCCAGGGCTACATCAACCAGCTTCTGGAGGAGACCAATGCTTCCAAAGGCAGTTTGGATGGCGCTACAAGCCCTTCCGTCCGCCTCGATCCCGCCCCTGAGAGTGCGATTCTGGGTGCCGCGGTTGCGGTTGCGGTTGCGGTGACCGAAAAGCCCTCCATGTCGAAGTAAATCGGTCGGGAAGATACAGGCTCACATCTCGGCCTCTCTTCACATGTTTGTCTCTGAGAAACACGATACCACGGTCATCTCTTAGTCTTGTTTTTGCGCTGTCGATTATCAATGGCGTTCGTCTTGCATTACCCGGTGTTTTGGTTCGTCTCATATCACATTGTTTGCGTCATGTTTTATCTGAATATTGGTTGGCTTCGGGGGTCCGGACATGTGTGCATTTCTTTGCTTTTCGTCTTGTCACACGGCGTGGTCGATGCATTGTATGCTTATGGATTCGCTACTTGCATATACGTTTGGCTTGAAGATTCAGGAGTCGAGCGTGAACCTTAGGCGAACGGAATAGATGGTTAAGCCGGTGGTCGAAAATAGAAACATTGGTGTACATAATCATAATCATAAATCCAGGGCATCCATATTTCTCGGGCCTGCTCTCGACCGTAACGCGATCACCCGACATGTCATGGGATATCAACGAATAAATCACTCTTTACAAAGATCCTGCAATAACTCCAACATCCTCCGCCGTAGAACCGCCAGGTCATCCCTCCCGATACCCGGATTCAGGGATTCCGCCGCCTTCCCGGCGGAGTCAACGACCAGACTCTGCTTAATACTAAAGAATGGGATCTGCAGCGCCCGCAGCTCACTCATCATGGCATCCGCCATCTGCTTCGAGGCCTTGTAGACTTTCATATCGTAGTTAGTCAACTCCGCGCGGTCCTCTTCCACCGTCTACATCACCATAGGTTAGCTTTTCTTCGCCCGCCCTCCCTCCCCGAAAAGAGAGGGTCCAAGCCAGATAAAACATACCGAAACCTCCTTCTCATCAACCGGCGCCCCAACAGACCGTCTACAATATGTACACCCCGTTAGCCACAAACCCCACAACCATACGCAAAACAACAAAAAGAAGCCACACACATATATATAAAAAAAAAAAAAAAAAAAAAAACTTACAAAACCGCATCCAACTCCTTCTTCTTCTCCACCCGAGCCTTCTGCTTCCGGACCAGCGCCTCCCGCCCCGCCCACCACTGCTTCTCATGGTCGTGCTGCTGTTGAATCAGCCAGCGAATTTTGCGCTGGAGGTCTTCATTTTGCGAGACGGTGCGCATGACGCTTTTTAGAGCCGGGGGCCATGTTGTTATGGCGGAGGTGTCGGGGAGGGGAGTAGTTGGTTTGGGTTGTGACTGTGGTTGTAGGGGCTTGGGATGGGATTGGACTGGAGGGAGAGTAGGGGCTGGGTTTAGGGGTATGACTGTCTCTGAGGGTTCGTAGGTGTCGTTATTGCTGTCTTCTAGTTGGATGGTTTGAGATTGGGATTGGGATTGGGATTGGGATTGGGATTGGGACAGTGCTGAGAGAGTAGCTAGCACGGAGGTGAGGTCTGCGGAGTTGTAGGGTTGGGACATTTGCTTGTCTTTCTTTCTTTGCTTTTTTTTTTTTTCCTTTTCCTCTCTCTTGTAGAATGGGGTGAGGTACACGAAGAAGATATACTCCAATTGAATAAGAGGACCAATCTACCAAATCAAGAAAATGCAGAGTGAATATAAAAGCCGAAGTAATTTGAAGAAAGTATTAGTTAAGTAGTAGTTAGTTGTAAGTTAACGGTCCAATATCTCCAAACCGATTGGCCCAAACCGGGGGGGAGGACGACCCAGACTAGCTCCTTTAAGCAACACTCACTAAACGGATGAAAATTTCCCGGAGATCTCATTCTCACCGTTCCGCGCCCTACCAATTCAAACCTCCACCTAATCTAACCTACCAAAGCCATTGAATGACACCTCTCTAACTCCCAAATCCCTACCTCGAGGTGCCTCTCAACCCCCCACTCCCCCCTCTATCTCCTCTCCTCGAAAAAATACCACCCAAAAAAATCCAATCCCCCCCCAAACAAAAAATAACCAAAACATCACGCCATGTCCCGATCCGCCGCAGACGCAACTCGCTTCACGGCCACAGGCCCATACGCGCACTCCAAACCCGGTGCCGCCCCCTACAAGCTCCCAGGCTTCATGGCCGGCGCCCAATCTCAGCCCACTGGACCCAGCGGCGGTCGTCCGGAGACACCGAAGGAGAAGGTCGAGCGGCTGCGGGCCCAGGCCAGGGCGGCCCGACTGGCGCAGTCGACTTCGCGCGTGGACACAATGATCGATGTTGGGAGACGGTTTGCGAATAAGGCGCATAAGGCGATGGTTTATACGTTGATTGCTGCTTCGGGTTTGTTCTTGTCCCTTATCTTACCTTTATTTCCTTATGGTATGACGTGTTGGGCGGAGGGGAGCAGCAGGGCTAACTTTGTTATTTTGATGCGATTTACCAGGTATCTGTGGAGCGTTGACGGTCTACTCCATGGTTTCTCTTACGCTATATAACCGTCGGCAGCGGGCGCTGTGGATCGAGAAGGAGCTGCAGACGCTGCAGGATGCGAAGACGGCGTATGCGAGCGGCACGGCTACGTCGGAGCAGTTGGAGTTGCTGAAGAACGAGAAGATCGGCGAGATTTACCAGCAGAAGAAGGAGGAGGAGAAGGCGCAGCGGCCGTGGAATAAGCTCAAGCGGTATCTGTTTGATGGGTTGAGTGCTGAGGAGGCGGCTGCTAAGAGTGAGGCGGTGGCGGCGGAGAATAATAAGCCTAGGGTTCTTGAGGCTTTGGAGGAGGCTAATAATGCTAAGGTTGCTGCTGCTGCTGTTGTGCCGCAGCCGGGTCAGTTGGATGCTTTGGCGGAGAATGCGGAGACGGCTGCGAAGGAAACGACGAGGAGCTGGAAGAGTTGGTTGACCGGTCGGTAAAGGTGGGGTTTTTTTTTAATGATGGGAGGATGGAGGGGTTAGTGAGTGTGGTTGTTTTTCGATGATGTTCCGACTGGGCCTTTTTCTCTTTCCCTTTTTCCTTTTCCTTTTTCTTTTGCTTCTGTTGCATGGCATTTGGTCTCTTTCCCTTCTCCTTGTATTCCACCGATTTGGGCTTACGGCGTCTGTTAGGTGTGTTTTGAGCCGATGTAATACTGTTGTGTACATATACTTTCCATCAGGGTCTCGGTCATAGGTTTCGGCCCAAGATATGAAAAATTAGAGCATGGGGTGCGAATCTATAGGGGCGAGTGTGAATAAGATTGGATCATAGGGTCATTGTCTCTTCCAAATCTGCACTACTACGTATGATACCGCACAAAACTACAGACTCATCCAGCATAACAGCATCTGGTAAAAAAGGGGTGGGAAAAAAAGTGACTTTTGCAAGATCATTGTATCTACCCCGGCCGCCAAATTTTCCGATCCAATAACGTAAACTGCCCGAAAGAAAAACATCGTTTGAAATGCTGGTACTCAAAAAGAAGCCGACAGAAGAAGGGAAAAGACACTACTACAGGTCTGGTATCTATAACGAAACCGTCTCCGAAAGAGACAAAGGGCAAAGCTTCTTCAGCTAACACAGTTCATGATCACTTTAGTTAGCGCCATTCGATGCCTTGGCAGCACGTCTAGCACGGACAGCATCGGCGAGATCTTCCAAGACGGTGACGGTGGTCTCCCAGTCGATGCAGGCGTCGGTGATGCTGACGCCCTTCTTGAGGCCAGAGGGACCCTCCGCGGGAACCTTCTGATTACCTTCATGAATATTGGACTCGATCATGACACCGACAATGGCGTCCTGGCCCTCGCGCATCTGGTCTGCAACTTCCTTGGCGACCAGAGGCTGGTTGCGGTGGTTCTTGTTGGAGTTGCCATGGGAGCAGTCGACCATGAGGACCTCGCGCTGCTTCTTACCGCGCAAAGCTTCCCGAGCCTGACGGATGCTGTCACGGTCGTAGTTGGTGCCCTTGCTGCCACCACGCATGATGACGAAACCGTGCTCGTTACCCGAGGTCTTGGTGATGGCAGCGAGACCCTGCTTGGTGACACCCAAGAAACGGTGGGGGTGAGCGGCGGCGCCGATGGCGTCAATGGCGACGGTCAGGTTGCCATCAGTGCCATTCTTGTAGCCGATGGGGAAGCTCAGACCGGAAGCCAGCTCACGGTGCAGCTGCGACTCGGTGGTACGGGCACCAATGGCTCCGAGCGAGATGAGGTCTGCAAGGTACTGAGGGGAGATGGTATCGAGCATCTCACTGGCGATAGGAATGCCCATGCCAGTCAGATCAGCATAGAGCTTACGTGAGATGCGGAGACCCTTGTTGATGTTGTAGGACTCGTCAATGTCTGGGTCATTGATCAGGCCCTTCCATCCGACCGTGGTGCGGGGTTTCTCCAGGTAGGCGCGCATGATGATACAGAGGTCGGAGGAGAGCTTCGCAGAGAGCTCCTTCAGACGGGATGCATATTCGAGAGCGGTGGCTGGGTCATGAATGGAGCAAGGGCCAACCATCACCAAGAGACGGTCATCGCGCTGCTCAATAATTTCAATGGCTTGGTTGCGACCAGATCGGACAGTGGCGGTGGCTTCCGCAGGCTAGATTGCAACCGATCGACGTTAGCCTGGAGAATTCCATCTGCCATTGTCTTCGAGCTCTCCCATACCAGGAGATTCTCTGCATCTAGGTGTATGCCCTACTGCTGTAGGAGTGAAAAGAAGAGTGACTCACAGCTGGGATCTCGGATTGAAGGTACTGAGGGGACAGCAAAGGGTCGTATCCAAGGACTAGTCGAGAAATTAATCACACCGTTCGAAAAGAATGTTTACTCTGAGTAATGGACACTTACCACGGGTGTCCTCATTGACTTCTGTTGTGTTGATGAGGGGCATTGTGTGTATGTGGTGGGGTGATCAAGGATATTATAAGTAGTAATATTTGATAAAACTTGAGGAAATGATAGAATATTAAGAGGGAGGACGAAATCAACAGACAGAGAATTAAGGAAAGATCGGGTTGGATCTTTATAGGGCTTTAACAATCCGTTGGAGAGAGAGAGAGACTGCTTTGAAGAAGAAGAGGTTGCGATCAAATAAATGATCGTCCCTCGAATAGTAAAAATGCGTACCGGGTGCCTGGTGGGGCCTCAGGTTATGATTCACACACTGAAAAATTTTAGGTTGACCACTCACAGTGGAGCTACAAATACCCTTTCTTTATTCTCGTCTACATTACTTGCTAGTATTCTACAGGCTGACTTAGTCTCGGCTGAAATACAGCAGTCTTGCTGTCAAAAAGGGTCCGATTCAATTGCTGCCCGTATTCGTACTACACATGCCGTATATGCACCCGCTGAGTACATTCTTCTACCTGAGACGAGATACTAATAGTTAGACCTTGAACTCACCCTGGCAGGGCCCATCGGCTGTGAACACCCTGATAGTAAGGGGTCTGACACGAGAATATCTTTGGACTAGGTTGTCAGTTCTGATTCCCTAAATGAGATTTCGCTGACCGAATCGATAAGTAGAGCCGAGAAGTCCTTGTCCATACGCAATGCACAACTATTGTCCACTACTCTTGATATATAATACTTTTATAGTGCTGTGTATTCTGTAGTCCTTGTAGTCCAATCTTACCTACCTAGGAGTTCTTCTAAGAGTAGTCAGCCCACTATACTAAGCAGTAATACATGCAGACGTCGACAAATGAGAGTTTCAGCTCTCGTGAGCTGACCAGGTCACTTTTTCTTATTGGATGCCTTAATTTTCCGGTAACCCAGTCGGGTAAGTGCTTACTTGGTCAACAGTCGTCACCTCATCATATATTCATGTTAAAATGACTGAATGACGAGAAAGTTTGTTCGTTTTGAAGCAACTATGGATACTCCAGAGCAAGCTCCTTACATAGTTCATGACTTTCTCTCACCTTAGATCACAGTAATTAATACATATCATAACAGAATAAGGATGGGAAGAGAGAACAAGGTTTTTGCAAATGATAGATGGCGATTTGAAGATAATCAAGCGGCCAAAAAAAAAAAAAAATTTAAACTCCACATCCCACTAGTGAAGAAGAAAAATATGGGGTGGGCCGCTTTCCCCAATTGGGCGTTACCCGTCACGCTAAACCTTGCAGGAGTAAAGAAAGGTCATCATCCAGACTGCGTCCATTCTTACCCTCCACTTCCCATCTTCTATCCCCCTGATTGTTTATCCCCTACCTATTGTGGTTTATGATACTATTCGGTATGATTTCGTGAGTTTGTATTCAGTCCACAATTATTACTGGAGACTGTATCTGTTAGATCTACTTCGTTTCGTCATCGGAACCGAATGATCTTGCCGTCAACAGGTCGAACGGTTTCTGATCCACTAGATAACTCTCTCATCTACCCGTGATCTACGGGTCAGATCGCAACAGAGACATGTTCGGCTTGCCCTCTAAACGTCAAAGAGGTTCTGAGGAGCTTGCCGATCTTGACAGTAGCGCAATCCACGAAAGAAAGGTCAGTCTGTCGGGCAACCCTTGTTCTCGTTCCCTGCCACTAACCGTCGGTCATGTAGAAATTCCGTTCTTTAGCTCTGCGCACTTCCCCACAATGTTTCCAGAAGCTGTCCTTCGCCCATATGAACCACACGGTTTCTGATTTGAGTTTATCTACCTTGACCCCTGTGGAGTCCTCGGAGGATGACGATGACATCGACGGGTATCCCACGCACGTGCACACCGGCCGGACAGATAGTAAGGGGGAATTGCCCCACCAGACGGCTCACGCTCATATTCCACATACGGCAATGGATATAGATCTTGATAGAGAAATGCTGCATCCAGTCAGGGGTAGGACCCAATGCCCGTGGGCAGCCAATGCACCCAGCAATCGAGATGTTCAACCGTCGCCGATTCCCCACAATCTAGTAAACCAGTCTCTCACCATCAGCGAGCGGCAGGCTGAAAACTCTGCATACGAATATGCTCACCCATCGATGAATGAACAGAATCCTGCGCTGTCGATGTATAATCAGCCTTCTAATGACTTTATCCCATCCTGTTCTGGTATCCAGCGCCTCCCCAGCCCAGTCAGTGAAGGTGAAGATACCGTGGCAAGCATCAAAGACACTGTTAGTGATGACGTTGAAATGGCGTACAACTCATCTCGCCCGGCTTCTTTCTCTTCATCGACTTGGTCAGGGATAGAGGACAGACCCCCCAATATACAGCAGGACATGCCACCTACGGATGTCGGGAAAGATAAGCAACACGGCTCCGCACCCAAGGGCGTGTCAAACAAAAAGAAAATCTCCTTCTCAATGGGCTTTCGAGCTGATTGCGAAAAGTGCCGGTTTAAGGTCCCTGGTCACTATAGTCATATCATCCGCACCTGATATGTCTGCAATTCACCGCTGTTCTCACGACCACATCAATTGTACATTATTACATGCGAAGATACCAGGATCGGAACGGAGTCAGGTAATGGGATCCGATTATTACATCATGTCATTTCAAGGCGTTCGAGAAGAAAAATCCAAGTTTGTACATTTAATCGCCTAGATGGCAATGGCAATGAATGGGCTTGAAGACATTAAGTTTGCTCTCGGGTATGGAGTGGAAATCCCATCTTCCGACCAGCCGTTCCGATGCGGCTGACATAAGCAATCATATCCGACGGACGGAAAACAAAGAACCGTTTTGACAATCACTTAGAATAAGTAATCATACTAGTAGTCGCTAGCAGTGGTAGACATGATCACTGACCCTAGTGAGTGGAATGTCGAGTATGGTATTTCCTTACACAGACAAGCCTCTTACACGGGTACCAATGGCAAGAAGGGAGGATAGATCGCATCTCCACACTTTTCTTCCCCAACCTCGGCGGCAGAGCACTTAGCCGATCTTCCTTGCCGGCAGTTTAGATGGCAGCTCCTGAGGGAAATGCCCACATCCAATGGGCCCGCTCTCGGAATATTGACCGGCAGCCGTCTTTGTTCATATAAATGTTCCTCTACTCCCCGTTTTTCCGCGACTTTGAGTGAGTGTTGAAACCAACTCCAGTCCGTCAGTATGGCTTCTCCAGTGCCACGGGGCCTCCGCCATGTCCTCCAAAAGTCGCCTTCCGATATTGTGATCCTCTCCTCACTCCGCACCCCGGTTACAAGAGCGAAGAAAGGCGGTTTTAAGGATGCGTACCCGGAAGAACTCCTTGCACATGTCCTCAAGGCGACCCTCGAAGCAAACCCCAAACTAGACCCGGCCCGAATTGACGATGTCGCGATTGGTTCCGTTCTGCAAGAGCTCGGCGGTGCGAAGGCTGGCCGTATGGCTCAGATCCACGCAGGCTTCCCCCACTCGGTCCCATTCCATACAATCAACAGACAATGCTCGTCGGGTCTAGCTGCTATCACAACGATCGCCAATGGAATCCGCGCAGGCGCCATTAACGTTGGCATCGGTGGAGGAATGGAGTCTATGACCCGGAATTACGGATCGCGTGCTATTCCTACTGTACTTTGGCCCGAGCTCAAGGAATCGCCGTCACAGGATTCTAGGGATTGCATTATGCCTATGGGGATCACCTCCGAAAACGTTGCGTCTCGTTACGGCATCTCGCGAGCGGACCAGGATGTCTTCGCCGCCGAGTCGCACAAGAAGGCTAGTGCTGCGCAGAACGCTGGTCTGTTCGATTCCGAAATCATCCCCGTCACAACACTCTCTTTTGACCCTGAAAATCCTGATGCGCCCCCGAAGGAAATCACCGTCACCAAGGATGATGGTGTCCGCTCCAACATCTCTGTTGAGAAGATGGCCAGTTTGAAGCCAGCTTTCTCTGCCACCGGTGCTAGTACCGCCGGAAACAGCTCACAGGTCAGCGATGGTGCCGCCGCCGCCCTACTCATGCGTCGTTCCACCGCGACGGAGCTTGGGCTAGCATCTTCCATCAAGGGCCGCTGGGTCGCCACCGCCGTTGCTGGTTGTGCTCCTGATGAGATGGGCGTTGGTCCTGCTGTTGCTATCCCTAAACTCCTTCAACAGCTTGACATGAGCGTATCTGATGTTAATATTTGGGAGATTAACGAGGCATTCGCTTCCCAGGCGTTGTACTCTGTTCGTAAATTGGGTATTGACGAATCGAAGGTCAACCCTAAGGGTGGTGCAATTGCCATCGGTCATCCGCTGGGTGCTACTGGCGCCAGACAGCTCGCAACTTTGCTGCCTGAGATGGAGCGTACCGGCCAGGAAGTCGGTGTTGTGAGTATGTGCATTGGCACGGGCATGGGAATGGCTGGTATGTTTGTTCGGGAGTAGACTTGTAAAGATTAATGGCCGAGTTTGATATGATATGAGCGGGCGTCTATCTACGCATGTATATACAGAGCAAAATATTTTGTATCCATTTTTCCTCAAATTACTACGTAAAATAATGCCTATTCATCATTTCAAGTGATTTATTTCATAATCTTTGGTAATGTTTTTAATTCCGACCCTCTCGCAGAAATGCCAAGCCCTGTACTATATCTCACGTGACGCCAGACGGGAATCTTGAAACTTTTCGAAGCCCGGCTGCAAGTCCGCAAATCGTGTCACTCCGCAGCCATGCGTCCCTCATTGCGGTTGTTAAACCTGGAGGTATCATCCCTCCAGGGTTCTCGATCCCTATATGTCTGCTCAATTTGCAGACAAGAAACACGCCCCCGCCCCGTGCTCGCCCGGCAATTCCTGCGCAATGCCTCCAACGCAGCCCCAATCACCGAACGAGTACGCCGCAAGATCTGGGGTACGGACAACCCGCCCGGTCTGAAGGATCCCTACGGAGGAGAAGGTGTTCTGGAACGGAAATTCAGAAAAGACCAGCCGGCAACACAGGAGACGCAGACGGAGGGACTGCCCCAGCCTGTCGAAGCTGAGCTCGCGGGTGAGGACGAGATCACTCCTAGCGCTTCGTACGAGCCTGCAACCGATTTCCACGGACTGCCACGTGTTGGCCACCTGGGCGAGTGGTACAACCTTCCTCCTACTGAGGCTGATGTGTTTGATAAGTACGTTTTTCAACGTGTTTGTTTTGCGGTCTGGGCCGTGTTTATGCCGGTCAATGGTAGTCAAAGGGGTGGTTTCTTATTAATTGATCGTGTAGATTTGCGCTGAAGAAGAGACTCACCAAGAAAGGCCATGTGTCCCTAGCCGCCCACCAGGCCGCAGTCGAGATCTGTCTGATGCACGCCCTGAACAAGCCCTTGGTGAAGGTCTGCGATGTCGCCGAGCACGAGCAGCCTGTTTTCAAAATGATCTGGAAGTGTAAAGTCAAGGCCGATGCGAGCGGACAATGGGGACAGGCTATTGTCTACCCCAACAAGGAAGCTGAGGAAGCTCTCGTTTATATCTTCAAGCAGATTGGCGGCGAGGCCGAGCCTGCCGTTGAGGAACAGGCAGCAGAGGAGGCTGAGGAGGCTGTTGAAGCCACGGAGTTCCAAGAGTACCCTGCCGATGTGAATGGCCCGGCTGCTGGATTTTTCGGATACCACGATGTTCAGGACAAAGGATTCCTGTCTCTGCCATTGAACGACCCAGCTACGAGGTTTGCTGTAAGTGGTCATTCTTTTAGGATTAGTTGCATTGTCCATTAGTTGACTTCGTCATGGTATAGTTCTTCAAGAGATTCTCTCAACTGAGTGGCCACTACTTCCCGGACACTGTTGTTCATTCGGCCGCCACTGTCCGCCAGGCTGTGGAATACGTCCAGTCGGTTAATAACCCCAAGCCCCAGAAGCTGGCAGATCACTTGGCAAACAGCCCAAGTCTCCGGCACATGTCTAATGTCAAGCTCTTTGCAAAGAGGCAGACAGTGCGCGACCGAGACGAGGAGTTGGGACGGAAGAAGCTCATCGAAGCCGAGCTTCGAGATAGGGGGCTTATCGAGTAGGCCGCTGACCTGTAACCTGAGCTTGCATTGAGTCATCGTTCTTGTAGCATGTTATTTCAAGGATATTTTGTACTATAGAAATGGAAACCTTTCAGTCTACCTTATGCTACTAATGTAACCAGGCATGTACAATTTTCGTCTATTCGAGATTATATGAATATGAACAGAAACCGGTCCAGTAGCCGATATAGCCAGCCCAAGCAAAACCTGTACGCCTTTGAGACAATTGCGCTAAAATCAATCACTTCCGAGAGTTCGCTGGAAGAGTAAAGCCTCTAGTCATAAAGTCGGCGTTTGTCTTCCCATCTTTGTCCTTCTTCGTGAAAAGACTGTTTAGATTCTCATTCAGCCCGATCATCTTCCGTCTCTTCTTCTTCTCATTCTCCTCCTCCAAAACACGGGCCGTCAGCATCGCCGTTGCCGCATGCTTAATCCCATTCGATGCACTAGGTGTAGGAGTAGACGTATTGCTCCGACTCGCAGCCGCACCATTCTCCTTGGACTTCGATCCACTTTCCGCCTCAGCAGAATCGCCATTAGCCTGCTTCTTCCGCTTCTTCGACCCAGACGCCTTCTTCAGCGAATGCGTCAGCCCCTGCTCAGCCAACTTCTGCGCCCGCGCCATAAGCAGCTCCTTATCTGCATCCCTCGCCGGTAAAATCGGAATAACATTCTCCTCTGTATACCCCTCGTTGCACTGCAAACACTTATCCCCTTTCAACTGGCGGACTGCCTCCTCCGAAAACACATGTCCACAGGGTACAAGATACACGGCCTTGACATTAGGTCCGAGCTGCTTAGCAGTGACTGGACAGATCCAGCCCTCGCGCTTCTCGTGCTTAGCGGAAGGGTGCTGGCTCAGCTCGGTATCGATTTCGAACTTTAGTTCCACCACATCCCGGATACTCTTCACCCGTCCGCAGAGGATCTCCTCGCAATCGGCCTTGGAACTAATACCCTCGATTTCTTCGCCGGGAAGGAGGAACTTCAGGATCGCATCTTTGTTATACATGTTTCCAGCGCAGTCGGCCACGATCGGTCGCGCAAGGGGCTTGTGCGAGAGTGGGCATGTCGTCCAGTAGTGTTCTTGGAGTTCGCGCTGGACTTCTTTCACCTGTGCTGTGCTGGGGGCGCGGGCGGCTTCGCGGACGAGCTCACGCCGGGTGGGGATACTGGTATTCTTTCGTTAGTTTTGTGTTCACTTATATATAATTTCATAATGAAAAAGAAGAATGCTCACCTTCCACCGTCATTACCCATCTTTCGCAGACAGCGTTATTTGTAAAATCAAGTAAGATTGAAAGGAAGTTCCAACGGATAAGTTACTAAAGTAAAGTAACTGCGGTCGCCACCCTGATAACGCCCGCTGACTAAGAGGTTCCAAGAGAGGTTCTAATATGGGACCCACTCCCCAGATCCGTCCTAGTCTAGAGTAGCATAACCAGCTAAGGTGGCCAGAAGCTCTTTCTCCGCATTTGGATCTGTGTTTGTATTTGTATACAATACATTGAACGGCTACCCGCATTGGACGGACAAAAGCTCAATGCTCCCATCATGATACTACCTCAGAGTTCGCTGTTCTTCGTGAGCTTGGCGGCGTGCTCGACCGTCGTTGCGGCGAGTAAGGACGGCGCTCGGCCGAGGGGTGTTGGACCTGAATGTGAGTTGTTTGTTGTCTTTATATAGTTCAACTTACTGGTGTTTGGGACTGTTTGGGTTGCGTTTATTGTGATATGACTGGGTTAGACTCGTGACGAGCATACAGGGCTAACATGGCAGTGTTGTTGATTGACTAGTTGCAAAGTTCTACAAGGACACTGATACATTCACCTGCATTTCGCACCCGGCTATCAAGGTTCCGTTTTCCGCTATTAATGATGACTACTGTGATTGTCCGGATGGGAGCGATGAGCCCGGGACTGCGGCGTGTGCTCATTTGTCCCGCCATTCGCCGCTGACGGTTGCTGATCGTCCTGGGAATAATGACCTCGATTTGACGCTGTCCTTGCCCGGGTTTTACTGTAAGAATAAAGGCCACAAGCCGGCTTACGTGCCCTTCCAGCGGGTTAATGATGGGATCTGCGATTATGATCTGTGCTGCGATGGCAGTGACGAGTGGGCTCGGGTTGGGGGCACGAAATGTGCAGATAAGTGCAAGGAGCTTGGCAAGGAGTGGCGAAAGAATGAGGAGAAGAGGCAAAAGTCGATTACGACTGCGCTGAAGAAGAAGAAGGAGCTTCTCGTTGATGCTGGGAGGCAGCAGAAGGAAATTGAGGAGAATATTAAGAGGCTGGAGGTTGAGATTCAGGGCCAGGAGATCAAGCTTAAGGGTCTAGAGGTTGATCTGGAGGAGATTGAGAAGCAGGAGCGGAGCAAGGTGGTGAAGGGTAAGAAGGCAGGCAAGGTTAACGTTCTTGCTCAGGTGGCCAAGGGCCGCGTTGAGGAGCTTAGGACTGCGTTGACTGAGGTCCGCAAGGAGAGGGATGAGACTCGCTCTCGCGTCAAGGAGCTTGAGGAGATTTTGTCCAAGTTCAAGGTCGAATATAATCCCAACTTCAACGATGAGGGTGTTAAGCGCGCAGTGCGCAGCTGGGAGGAGTATGCTGCCAGAGGTACCTCTGACAGCCAGGAGAATGCCGCCCGTGACCGGGATCTAGATGAGATTGCTAAGCCCGATGATGAGCATTCCGGTGTTAACTGGGAGCAATGGGAGAACGAAGAAGATGGATGTGAAGCTGATGCCAGTATGTGTGTCGGTTCTGAGATTCGGACTTCAGAGACTAACTGCGATCCAGTCTACCAACTAGCGGCTTACCTTCCTCCTTCTCTTGTGAACTTCATTGAGGACAAGGTTCTTGCCATCCGAGGCTTCCTCGAGAAGAATGGCGTCCTGCCTGCGAAAGACGAGGGCTCCGCCTCCGAGTCCAAGGCAGTGACCGAGGCCCGTGACGCCGTCAATGCGGCCCGTAAGTCCATCGAGGATTTGAACAATCAGGTGAAGGACCACAAGGAAGATCTTGATACGGACTATGGTGTGGGATCTATCTTCCGCGCTCTTAAGGGCGTCTGTATCGAAAAGGATGCCGGCGAGTACACATACGAACACTGCTTCCTAGATCAAACCAAGCAGATCCCGAAGAAGGGAGGATCGACAGCACGCATGGGCAACTTTGTTCGCATCGGATCTGTCACTGTTGATGAGCTCAACGAATCCGGTGAGATTGTTCCTGAGCAGAGGGTATCGCTCGAGTACGCCAAGGGACAGACCTGCTGGAACGGGCCTGCACGATCCACGACTGTTGTCCTGCAGTGTGGCGAAGAGAACGAGATTATTAAGATTGCGGAAGACGAGAAGTGTGTCTATTCGATGCTTGTCAACACGCCCGCCGTGTGCTCAGGAGGAGAGGAGGAAACCCGTACGGCGTCGGGACACAAAGACGAGTTGTGATGTGAGATAGTATATATACTGCATCTAGATAGTACATCAACTTAGTTAACTTAGATGATACTATTCTAGGTAGATTAGCGCTACTGGGTTCCGGCTAGATCTAGACAATACAGACATTCTCCAAATCGGCTCGCCCAAGATCCTTCATTGTAAATTCCTTCCTTAATCCCACAGATTTGACCCTTAAGGATACAAGAGGATACTGATCTAACTTATTCATAGACAAGCGCAGGAATCAGAGCAAATCAAGGCTTCTTTCAATCCTAACTATTGAATCACTGAAAATGGCGGATTGACCCCTATTTCTCCTCAAATCATTCCATTCCACCCCCGGATTCACTCACGTCTGAGCTGCTGGCGAAAACCTACCTCTTCCAGCCTACGACGCAGCCCTCGCCAAGTATGTGAATAACAACACTACGGGCCACACAGGCTGCAGGACCAGACTCAATACCTAGACAATATTCGAACCCTGATCTCTCAATCATACTCGAGTCATTGGATTGTAAAGATGGAGACAATGTCTGCGTCCACGCGGACGAATTCCCTAGTCTAGTCGGACCTTTTGCCCTCAACAGCTAGTGATATCCACAGAAGCCTGGACAATACGCAAACAACTCCCCAGAAATTCGGTACTACAATGACGATAATCTCAACGACATGGAGAACAAGAAAACACGCCTCATTGCCGTCAGCTACGTTTCGTATTTGAATAGCCCCCAGGTCAATCTCTCACACTATCCACAACTTGCTAGCTTGGTCAGAGCTATCCTTATCGTGGACTTCACTCAGGCTGCCGGGTATGCGCCTATTGATGCATCTGTTGCCGACTCTGCATTCTCGGCGTGTTACAAATGGCTCCTAGGCACGACCGCGGCTGCAATTACGTACTGGAACCAGACAAGAATGCGGGATTCAAGCCCTGCCACTGGAGGGTGACACACATTCTCTCTTGGAGCTGTTAGGCCACAATGGGAAACGACTCGCCTTGAGGTTCGTAACGATGCTATGTGCTATGGTCATGGTAATCCCGCCCACCTCCCTATCTATATTTTGGGGAAGCTCTACAATCCCAACATGTTCAGATTTTGACAACAACGCTACTCGAAAGGCTACAGCGGGAAGATATTCCTTCCTCCACGCCAGTTGATAAGGCGCGTCACGGTGCCAGTGTGACGATTAACTGTGTAGGAGCTTCGGAAATTGTGGATGAGATGAGGAAGGATGATGTTTACGCGTGGAATAGTCAAGATAGAGTACGAATTAGCTTTCACGGCTGCAACTGCGTCCAGATGTCGATCGGATCATGGAAGTCCTTCCGTCTTTCCTGGTCTTTGGAGGAAGTTTAACTAGAGATGTGAAAATAGCGCAGCTCATTACTGGTTTACTTTGCTTCAGGTTGTTGGACGCTAAAAGGGCTTTCTTTGGATTTAAATAGAATATCCCCCAGCCTTTGAGGGCGATGCCTTGTCGGGATGAGAGGAAAGTGAATAGCCCAAGGGATAAGCAAAGAATACTTCATTGGATAGCATTTAACATGCCCTGGCTAGGGTTGGATAGTATGTATCAATGGAACAACGCCTTATGATTCAATGTACTATAACTCCCCACGTATATTTACATACTACCTTTGCGGATCCTATCCACAAAGAGCATGGCGCTTAGATAGATTATTTATTATTCACTCACCAACCTTGGGGATAATGATCTCTAAGGCTGCTGAGAGAGGACTCGCCGGGCCTGCTACGTCGGGGACAGGACAGTGGGTACTTTTTAAACTTTCGCAACAACCACGAATGCAGTGTCTGCAGTATTCTTCATGATGGATTCGGTCTCGATCATGCCAGTTAGCAACAAACAAAAGACCTTTGATGAGAATAATACCTAACCCTACAAATCGTTAGACAGCTCGTCTATGTTTAGTCCCTGAATCTACAAAACTACCGTCTCCTCTAGTGAGCAAGTATAAGACGAATATGCTCTTTAGTGATATTTTCTAACAATTCATGTTACAGAGGCAGACATCTATGCAAAGAAACCATTACATCCGTTCAAACAAACATGCCATAATTCTCTGTGGCGTCGACCTCGGCAGATCTAAGACGATGTACCACGCAAGACATCCTGGCCCTAGATATGATTCCGTATGCTTTCCAATCCATCATCTGGTCTTACAGCTGGATTGATGTTAATACACCAAATAGGTCGAGATGGCCACCGTACATGAAACCAGGGAAGTATAGGAACCATGGGGGTAAGAGAGAGTCTAAGCGCAAGCCCATACAATCCGTTTGCTCATGAACTGGAATTCACCATCACGGAAAGACGTATCACAGTAGGCTATTTCGAAATTCATCTTAGGGTCAGTAGTGGTGGACTCATGCTAGATTAGCTTTCCACCTCTCTACACTTTCTAGCCTCACTTTTCTTAACCACTTAGAGGTACCACCTCTACTACTTACACTACAGTTACCAGGAGTAGTCCTAGAGCCAGACACTTTCTAGAGACTCTCGCTACTGTGTTCATCCCATCTTGGATGACTTCCTCAATATGGCTGTTTACATCCTGAAGCACATGGCATCTGGCTCCCAGAGTGCCTCAAAGAATTTGTCAACTTCAGCAAAGTTGAAGGAAAGGAGCAAGGTCTGCTTGATGGCCCAAGCTTGCAGACCACTTCCGCTCGCAGTAAGGGTGGGGGTTTCGCAAGATGGCGCATCCTCTACAGCAGCCATATCTAGGCCTAGGGTAGGAACGGACGCAACTACATATATCAAGACATATATTGCATCTACCATAAATGAAGTCACGTTGAGAGGGAAAAGCTAGTGTGCGATGGAAGCTATCGTAGCTATTCTTCTGATAAGACTTTAGGAATCTCCCCTTGCCATGTACGCGTTATCCCTGAAATAGTATCACTTCATATTCTCTTCAAACCAAGTCAGGTTAACAAACTTTCCTCTGAGACATTCCTGGTATCAAATTTGACATATACAGCAGCCTAGGCTCTCTTTCATGCCTCTGAACCCCATACCAACGTCTATCTAACCTGGCCCTGGGACAACTACAAGACAGAAGGGCAAGCTTATTTTACCACTTATACCATTCCTAACGTCGACTCGACACCTGTAATACATTGCAAACTCACTACCTCGCACTACCCACACGCAAATGTCATGTAACATGCAGCACCGCAGAAAGGGACGCTTCATGCTAAAGTCCGGTGTAACCACTACACTCGCACCCACACCTACACCCACCGAAATGATCAAACAAAGCACAACCCGACACCAATCAATTAATGAGAAGAAGAAAATATATTCAGAAGTAGAAAAGAAGACGCAAGAAGTAAAAAGGTAAAATCCATCATCATCATCACCCATACGCGCAAAATCCACCCAACTTCTATTCCCCGAAGAACAAGAAATGAAAGATAGAACACTACACTTCATCGCATCCTCGGTGGTGCTGTCCGTCGATGGAAGGAATGAAAGTCAAGGCATCATCGTAGTCCACGGCATAGATCTTGTCTTGAGGATTGTCGGGTCGATATCAGGGGTGATATGACGCATTTAGTGCTGGTTGGATTGTTAGTTTTCAGTTCTATTACTGGATGAGGGATAGATATTGGGTAGGTAGGAGGGTACATGCCTTGCAATCAGAGCAAGAGCAAGAGTTGCACTCGCCGGAGCAGCAGTTGCAGGTGCAGGGAGACATGGTGACTGATTGAGGGATTGGTATGAACTGGGTTGTGCGAAGGAATGTAGAGAAGATAGACTGATCTAGATTCTCAGAGAGTGATTGTCTTGACTGACAAGTAACTCGAGTGGAGGAGGAAAAGAGGGAGTTTATATAGCTTCAGGGCACAGCATATCCAGACATATTTACAAGCTAGCTGTCGTCATACAGTTCAGAGACCCCACCTACCCATCCATGCCCCTCAGCCACGCATGACATTAAGCGTCTGCTGACTAGGATAACGGAAAAAAGAAAGAAAGAATAAAAAGCAAGGCTATTACACATGGATGAGGCAAGCTTGGACAGAGGTTGATGGGCACCCCACTGGGGGATGAAGATTTGCCTTCCTACTATCGGACCATTCAGTTGGGGTCATAGTTGCATTAGCTCGTTGAGTCGGGGCGTTTGCAGATACGACGATCTGCGCTGTTTTTACTCTCTCTCATTCTTGAAGTGACCCTTCTTTCTCTGATCTTGAGGTCATGGGAGCTTTCTGTGAATGGGGTACGCCTTAGATCGGCGAGGTGTGGGTGTAGGAAAATATTACCCGATTGCAGGCTGCCTTCCCTTGTCGGCATGGATATGTTACCTGAGCTGTCTGTCTCTACTGCCATGACACCTCGATTCCTTTACAAATCCGTTGGAGTGTCCTTTGTCATGCCACGTTGGAGTTTGGGGTGGGGAGACATTTTGGAGGTGAGGCAGATAGTGAGGCCTTTTTCTTTTTGAGGCATTTTGATTGATTGCATCAGAGGGTTAGTCATTGGGGTTTGCTTTCATTGAACACCGAAGTGGAGTTGGACAGAATGGATCCTGGAGGCCAACTATGTATGGCTTAAATTTATTCTATGCATGTCACTCATGCGTGGCTTTGTTCTGGAGGTGGGGGCTGTTCTTAGGGTCTCGTCGCTATTAAAGTAGCCCCGAATAGTAGAGAAATGTCTAGTTAATGTATTTGAGTTCAGATCAAGGACCTATCTGATCCCTACACCTTGATAATAATCAGGAAGGCCTATTCTCCTGCACTGTATATAAATCGGAACCGTTTTTTCTCCGCATGGTGTAACGAGCAAGAAGCATGAATAGACTGATCCTGCCAGGGACATCGGGATCCCTCTTACTGGTTCGCAAACCTTGCTAGTAGTACATTGATCTCTTCCAAACAGCTCGCTACGTTACGCGGGAGCCTGTCACCCGTGGGAATGAACAACCGGATAAATACACGCGCGGGTGCCGCAGGAAAAGAAGCGTGAAAGTTAAGTTACGTGGGTGGATTATGTAGGAAATATTCGGGTTGTTCCGATTTAAAGTTGGGAATGGAAAATATTTGGCGGATTGAAAAGATAGGCAGTCGTAGTAGTAGGCTAGGGTAGACGTGGCAGTCCGGTAGATCTACAGACAGTAGTATATCGCAGAGTAATAGAATTATATAGATTCTTATACTGTTGGAAGGCATGATGCACCTTTGGCGTGGTGTCATTAAATTGATTAAATACCCCGCCTTTCGGGTGCCTGAGGATTTCAATCCAAGACCACGATAAACATGCTAGAGATAACCCTAAACCTCAGACCATCTGGTAGAGGGGCGATCGAAAATAGAGGTTTTGGACTAGAACAAAACTACGGAAAGGCATGGATCCTCTAATACTTTACACACTGTAACTCTCATCAACTCAATATATTCGTGCTGAAAAGCCTATGGTGCTGTATCCAGGCACACGCATGAACCCCCATCCTTGCAACCCCAACTCCTTTTCTATGTATGATCGTGTGTCGCAGCCAAGCTGAACGACGTTTCATTTATTTCTACCAGGATAAGGGGGGTTAGCCAAATCACCGTCAGTATGGGGAATAGTAATAATCACGTACGGGGCACTGGCACTGGCCGGCGGGGCACTGGCAAGAGGCGCCACAGCTGCAACCGTGATCGGAACCTATTAGGGGGACATGATCAGTAAAGCCGGACTCTCAGTATATCTTTTATTCGCGTAGAAATAGAGCAACAGGCTTAAAGGCGTATATCCATGGAGGGCAGCGATTGACATTCGGACAGGGAGGTGCAGAGATGCGACGATAAATAACCCCCGCCAATACCCCCCACCAATGAACACAGCCGAGGAAGGGGACTGAAGGTACGGAGCAGTACTCACCCATGATGAATTCGAAGGATTTGGTTAGTATCTTGAGAAAGATCGAAGACGATAGTTTGTAGGGAGGTGAGTTTGGAAAGAAGACTTGAGAGAGAGAAGGCGAGGTGGGGGGTCGCACTTTTTATAGCCAAGTTCAAAATCCAAAGGGTATTAATAGCCGCGGCGACGGATGCTTCCCTTTGATTGACTCAAAACTCCATATCGCCCCATCGAACCCGCTTTCTATCAGTAGTGCGCTTGCACTTGAGCAATTTGACTCGGCCCTGTTAATCACCATTTATGGTTTATGGTCCACGCGAAAACGGTCGGCCTCGTGTCGGATTCATCTACATGGGATACCGAGGTACTGTCCCAGTTACTAGAAGCGGGAAGACGCAGATAACGTCGGATGATCATGTCTATAGTCCAGTCATTGCGCGGCCAATGCTGATAACGAAACTCTCGATTATAACGGCCTCAAATAAGCACTCCCTACGATTTGCCCACTAGCTGGCTTCCACTATGCACACTGACGAGGTGATCCGTCACATCTCCTGCTTGTGTGGAGAAGCGACGCAGGAGGTTGTGTTAGGGACCAACACTTCTGTGCTTAACTTATGTCATTGTATTGCGTGTAGGGCGATCACCGGGCAACTATATTCTTCATATTACCTGCTACAAACTACCCCGACGAACATTGATCGCTTGCGGAAATACGAACAATCCGCCGGGACAAGTCGATATTTCTGTATGACCTGTGGCGCCCATGTATTTGCTCGTGTGAGGCACACAGGCCAGCACTTCGTCGCGGCCGGACTGATAACGGGGGAGCCCCCTCGAACCAAGACCATACGGCACTGGCGGGCCGGTGATACACAGGATGGCGGTCTGACTTCCTTCCTTCCCGGTAAATTAGAGGAAACAGTATCCGCTTGTTGGCTCGAGCCCAATTCCAACGGCCAACGACATTTGTCCACGCAGAGAAAGACCGAAATACCCCCGGCGAACGACAAGAGCCACGGCTTGCGAGCCGGTTGTCACTGTGGGGGCGTTGAGTTCTACATCACTTTGCCAGACTCCACATCCATGGAGCCATCCTCCCCGTGGCCGGACTTACTAGTTCCTTACCATCGCAGCTCATCGGAGAACGCCCAAGATGTGAAATGGTGGCTTCGAGATGAAAACTCCCGGTACTTAGCTGGAACCTGTGCCTGCCGATCGTGTCGGCTAGCTAGCGGGTTTCCCATTCAGACATGGGCCTTCATTCCCAAATCGAACATTGTCAATGCTAATGGGTCGCCTTTGGAGTTCAATGAGACTACGATGCAACGATATGAAAGCTCACCAGAGATCTATCGAGAATTTTGCAACCGCTGCGGCGCGACCCTCTTCTGGCATTGTAAAGAGAGACCACTGGTGATCGACATAAGTGTCGGTTTACTCCAGGCCAAGAGTGGCGCAAGAGCCGAGGACTTGTTAGCCTGGCACATTGAGAGAGTAAGTTTCATGGAAATGGCATTGGATCAGCAGTTGATGCAACGACTGGAGTCCGGTTTGCGAGAAAGATAGTCAGAGACTGAGTAGTCAATATTTATCCCGGGTAGAATTTGAATTTCATTTGTCCTTTGGTGGTTGTTCTCCATCCTCGTATCATTTCTTTCGCACACTCTGGGGCGTCTAGGACCATCGTCTGCGGCTTTTTGAGAGTCGAAGATATGACAATAGTGGTACACCATTCACCGCCTACCTAAAATGGTCTGCTAGGCAAAAAAAAGTAAAAAAGTAGAAATTAAGTTGACCAACTCCGGTCGTGAAGCCGCAACTAGCTGTCCATCATATTGATCGCGTCCCCAGTTGTTTCTGTCCTTTTGATTCATAAACCCCATCGCAGAGGGGTCCATCGCCATGCCACCAATGTTTCAGTTTCGTGGCAACGACCGGCGGTCGCACAATCCGAATCACCAACCGAAGCATGAGTTTACATTTCGCTATTCGCGACCCCCAACATCCGAACGGCCGCTCTTGAGAAGGAGAAGGGAAACAACGCCAGAACTTCTAGTTGCCGAAGGAGATACCGACGAAAAGCCAGCCTTGAAATTCGCCTCTCTCGAGAATCTTAGCGACAGCGAAGAAGCGGACATGGACGTCTCCTCCGACGAGAATGACGGCGAGTCGCGTCCTCGCAAAAAACGCGCCCTCGACTCCAACAACTCTCCAGCCGCGGCACCCACCCCACCCCCCGCTCCGAAGTGGTCTAATCCAGACCCTTATACAGTACTACCGCCACCGGATGAGAGTCAGGCGAAGAGAGTAGATGTGGTCAAGTTGATTCGCAAGGCACGGGTAGCTGCCAGTGCGCAACCGGTCAAAACCGATGCAGTGGCCGACAATGAAGATTTCATCTCACTGGGTGGCTTAGTAGATGAGGAAGAAAGCAAATACCAGCCTCCACAGGACGCGCCTGTGGGACCAAGAAGCCAAGTGCAAGGAAGAGATTCCGCAGCAGGAAGCCGCAAGAGAACACATGACGATGAATTAAAAGGTGTCTCTAAGAAGACGGGCAAGCCTTTGAACAAGTACTATTCGGATGGCTCGATTATCGATGAATGGAAGGTTCGTCCATCTGAGACAGGCACGCCATGGTTTAACCAGATGGCGCCTACATTACACTTGAATACCAGGTTAGTCCCTACCATAACACATTAGTCCATGCCATCTATTTTTGTCTGACAAGCACAGACTTCACAATGAGATCTTATCGTTCTTTCATTGGGTGAAACCACTGCAATACGAACAAATCGTCCGAGCGGACTTAATCGAGAGACTCCAGTCTGCATTCCAAAACAGATACTATGGCGTGCAACTCCGTCCGTTCGGGTCGTTCGCTTCGGGGTTGTATCTTCCAACTGCTGATATGGATCTGGTCCTACTCTCGTCCAACTTCATGCGCCATGGAATCAAGACTTTCGGTGAACGAAAGGGACAAATCTACGCCTTCTCCGCATACCTCAGGAATCTAGATATCGCTGTACCCGGTTCAATAGAGACGATTGCACATGCTCGAGTTCCAATCTTGAAGTTCGTGGATAAAATGACGGGCCTGAGAGTCGACTTGTCGTTCGACAATGATAGCGGACTAGTCGCCAATAACACTTTCCAGCAATGGAAGTCTGAGTATCCCGCAATGCCCGTTATTGTTTCGGTCATCAAACAATTTCTGCTACTTCGGGGTCTAAATGAAGTTCCCTGTGGCGGATTGGGAGGATTCTCAATCACCTGTCTTGTCACGAGTCTTCTGCAGCACCTTCCGCATGGCGGTGTGTCGCAAAATCTAGGCAGTGTTCTCATGGATTTCTTCGAGTTCTATGGTCAGCGGTTCGACTATGAGACTGTTGGGATACGGATGAATCCACCGGGCTATTTCAACAAGGTAAGTGAGAGCTGCACATACTCATATCTATATAACCAATGGCTGACCCAGTGTTTGACAGAGAGTTTACAAAGTCTACAGAGACAACAAGGATGCCCGACTCTCCATTGAGGATCCAAATAACCCCGACAATGATGTTTCCGGAGGAACTCGCGAGATAGCACTGATCTTCAGATCATTCAGAGATGCATACCGACTTCTGAAAGATCGCCTAATTTCTATGGCGATGTCAGGAGACCATCAAAGCAGCATTCTAGAAAGTATTATTGCTGCAAACTATGATGAATACGCCGAGCAAAGGTGGCAATTGCGCCAAGTTTTCCAGAAACATCCCAGATTCGCTCAGTATCAACAGCCACCCACACCTCCTCCACCTCCTCAAAGTCCTCCTCCGCCGAATGAGCCGGCTCCTCCACCCTTGCCTCCGAACTCTCCAACCCCCTCTCAGGAGCCTAAGGAGAAGTTAACCAAATTGCAAAGGAAACAACAGGCCTCGCGCGAGCGTGCCGCTCGTCTAAAGCGACTGCGCCCAGACTTAACTTCCGTCCCAGACTCTATCACCAACGAACAAGCTTTGAGTCTTGGCGGCTATAAAAGCCAGTCGGACATGGACCGAGACCTTGCCAACCGTGATAAAGAAGTGAAAGGGGGAGACCAAGACTAACGGCATCCACAACGTGTCGAGTTATGTACAAAGACTTTTCTTTTCTGGGCGCACATCCATGTATACTTTCTATCTTATCCACACAGGAACATTTCCCGGTTCCCCTTTCATCATGCACTTATTTAACGTCAGATACCCATTATCACGAGCGTGCGAGAGTTGTTGGGTGGACTGTTCTAGTTATGATTATCGAGCAATACTAAGCTTTTGACAGTGCTATCACATCGCGTTATCTATGCCTAACCTTTCGCAGTCGTGACGACGCAGAGACCTGCTGAAGCTGATTCCTTACGTACTTACAAGTTGGTTACCTCTCCTATCATTGCCATCGGTGTCCTTCGCTCCTCATAAGGACACTTTTTTTTGGTTTTTTTTTTTTTTTTTTTTTTTTTTTTTTTTTTTTTACAACGTCCGCTAAGTGTCTCACAGGTCCTTTGACCACAAGTCGACCGCATCACCCATAGCAAGCGCTTTTACTTCAGGTAACCTCAACCAGAAGATCAAGCTTGCTCGTTTCTGCCAGGGCAGACGCTAGTTGAAAACAGACACAAGACTCAGAAATTGATAGAAGAATCAATCGAATTTGGTACAGTGATGGATGGTACTCGCCGTCACTGTTTTTGTTCTGCACATATTCCCTTTCCACATCCTTCTCATCAAGGGAGCGCTATATGCGATTGCTTGGCGAGGATGGTTTGGATTGGAATTGATACTTGTAATATAACTTTATTCTATTCAGGTGACATAGATGGATAGTTGCTATTGACTTAATAATACAGAGTTACCCCAAAAACACATGTGGTATTCTTTAGTAAGTGGGACATATGTACTAACATTTTCTACCCATAGGGATGATGTATTCCAATAGCATATCTTTTCATATGAACAGGTATGTTGCAGACAACGTCACTCATAACAGCCACTCGGTCGTAAAGATAATTCTTTTGTATCGTGAAGGGGAGAATGCAAAAAAAAAAAAGAAAACACAGCCTCCTTTCCCTGTCTCTATTTTTGGGTACAACATGGACGTCGTAATGTGTGGGATATTTACAACGCGATATCCGCAACGATGGGTATCTTCGTATCTACTGCATCCAACGGGGGTGTAATCATGGGCTGAGCATCACCGGCTGTACCATCTGCCTTCTCCTGCACAGCAGGGGTAGATTGGACCAATTCCTTTTTGAACGCGAGATGCTCGGTGGAGAGGGTGTTAATGAAGTCCGTTCCAGGACTCGGCCAGACATAATCCACCCAGTCGGATCCGATGATCGCCTGGATCTGCTGGGCAAGGTATAAGATGCGCTGGCGCCGAGACTGTGACCATGCACGGTCAGTAATGATCCCCTCTGAGGGGGTAAGAATTGTTGGGGCTTGCAAGGCCGAAGGCACAACTGCAGGCGTGGTTTGGCTGTTGCTAGCATCCGCGATTTCCTCATCGTCTTTGTTCTCCAGCCCCTCAATGATACTGTGCCAGACACGGAGCGTCTCGTTCAACTCATCAACGTTGCTCACGCCCATGACGCTGACGCCCAGTCGCTCTCCAGTTCCCATATTCAAGACGGAGAGGAACCCTGGATCTGCGTCTGCAGACCGCGCAAGGGGCGGACCCAGAGCGCCTGCTTTCGCGGCCTTGCGGAGCCACGACTCCAGCGCGAATCGAATGGCAATCACCTCGATCTTCTCTCCCTGGGCATCGGCCCATTCCGCGGCGCGGTGGATTGCACTGCGCAGCCCGTCCGGAGCGGGGTGGAAGTCTCCCATACTACCAATGGGGACGCCCGATCGGCGCAGAAGACCCATTCCCAGAGGTGAGGCATTAGGAACCACGTCGACTCCTGCAGCCACAAGACGGGGCAAGGCTTCTGTGAGCAGTCGAGTATTCTGGAGCGTAAAATTGGCGTAAGACATGACGGCGTCGAGCGGTTCCCCCGTCTCCCGTAAGACCATTTCCGCCAGTTCGCTCAGCACGTCAACCGGGTACCCCGATATCCCAACGTAGTAGATCGTGCCCTCTGTGTCGCGGATGCGGCGCAATTCCCGGACAGCCTCCAGCACCTCTTGTGGGGAGACAAACTCGACATCGTGGCAGTAGACTACGTCGAGGTAGTCGGTGTGAAGACGACGGAGACTGCGCTTAACGCTGTGCCGTACCCATTCTGGGGAGTAGTCGAAGGAGGAGGAGGCGATCCGGCCGACTTTCGTGAGCAAACGATATGTGTAGCGGGGGAAGTTGGACCGGACGAAATCGGTCGCAAGGGCTCGACCGAGGAGTTCCTCCGCGGGGCCGTAGTAGGGTGATGTGTCGAAGGCGCGGACGCCACTAGTGAGAGCTCGATGGACTAGCTCTGTGGTTGGGAGGGCGTAGGGATCGTGATTGTACTGGGAGTTGAATGTCGCAGTGCCCATAACCAGTGGCGGCAAATTCGCCGACAGCGGAACTGAGGGGCGGCCCATTGTCGCAGTCGAAGGAAACAGTACAACGAGGGAATCGAACAGGATTGAGCAGTGGTAGACTTCCCTGGAGTCATCGACGGTATGTAAAACCGAACGAGAGAGGGGAGAGAGAGATGGGAGGGACAACGGCGTTGATAAGCGATCGATGGCCGGGCTGTTTTTAGATTTCTAACCATCGGCGCGGAACCTCCGCTCGGGATGGCGCCATAGCTGGAACCCCGTTCAATGATCGGAGATCCATTTGTTGCTGTAGGAGGTCTGCGAATAGAAGACTCCAAGAGAAACACGGGGTAAAGCCCCCACAAATCGAGGGCGATGGGGTCTAGTTTGTGTGGTTATAGTAGTGATATCGACTCGATTCCTTTATCTCGGCTCAAGGCGGTGATCAACAAATATGGGGGGTTTAAAATTTACGTTTTATTTCTCGTACCTTTTGCCCCTCGGACTTTAAATCTTCCGATAACATTCATTTATACAGTGTTCTTTTATCATCGCCCACATCCCCGGGGCAAAGTATGGGTACTTATACACAAACAAACGCTGTCTCTAGAACACATGAGTGGAGTAGAGGTCATAACCAAAGGGGGCCAGAAGAAGGATATAGAAGGGATAGACATGGCGAGCACAGAGGCCGGTGCTCTGATCCCGCTAATGCCCTTGTCCTTCAGCAAATAGTATACACAAAAGGACATAATCCGAATGTCGTCGGTGGGGAAGCATCAAATGGCTGAATGGTATGCCAATTTAGCCATCCGAATTCCGACCCGAATGTCCTCCTCCACTGCTCCTGCCGTGGAGAGTAATGAACAAGGAAATTAGAAAACAGCAAATCTAGAACTCTCTCCAACCCGAATGTCGGAATCACCAAAACGCCATGCTATGCTGCAAAAAACCGAGAGGGGATATGTGGTAGGTTGATGGGGTTTAAAGGTTTCTTGCGGTCTCTCGTATATGCTCGACCCGGTCATCGTGACCGTAGAGGGCGTTCAGTCAAATCGGCCCGAGATCGGAAGGCATCTTCGAACGCAGTCCGCAAAGTCTTCCATCTCGACAGGTTCAAGCGACACGCAGTTGCCGGTCAATCATTAGTCCTTGTAAACCTTGGGTTTCCAGCCTTCGCTCAATTCCTTCTCTTGGGCAGCCTTCCTCTCAGCCTGTCGGATTTCCATCTCTATCCTTTCGCGCGCGCGGAGGATTTTGCTCTGAAGATAGAAGCTGCCTCCCTTCTGCGGGTCGTTCAAATCGAACAGTTTCTTGAATCGTTCCATGACCTGTTCCAGGTTGGCCTCACCACCCTGGGGAGGCTTGACATTGAGAATCTTGCACGCCTCATCAAGGGTCAGCCCGGACGACGAGAAGCTGTTGCCGCCCTTGCCCTTGACGGCCTTGTACTTGCCTGTTGCCGAGGCCTGCTTGTAGGCCTCCGCGAAGGCTCGACCGAAGACGCGGGCGCCCGTAACAACGACTTGGGAAACGAGACGGTGGGCCTGTTAGGAGGTAGGAACGCCATTAGTGAACTGGTCCCAAGGGATTTAAGGGACATCAAGTCGTTGCTGTCGAGAGGCGAAGAAATCGGCGACTTACCATACTGGCTAACTGCGAGTCAACGGCTGCTGTATTTCAGACCCAACAAATTGCACGAATATTTGAAAGACAAGGAGACGCGATAAAGGGCAGGTCCGCGGATGTGGTGGGATGAATACACACAGACAGGCAAGGTTTGCGACTTTTGACGGTCCGAAGGAGATCAAGAAACGTTGGATGGCGATGGAAACCAACGGAGCAAGTTTGAAGCCGCAACGGCAATGGAAAAATTTCGGCGGCGGTATCGCGGGCGTACCAGGTACCGCCCTCGGAGTCGGAACCAATGAGAGCTGTATTATAACTTACCCAGGAGTATGTTTTACATACGGTACATAATACTTACTCTGCGCTACATACAGCCATTGTATGTATGTAGAACTAATACTGTACATGCTAGAAGACTGCAGGATTAGTGATTCTGGTTTTGCTAAACTTTGTTATTTATTATTAGGAAAACAAAACAAAATAAAATAAATATTTAGAATCAAATAAGGGGGAAAAAAATGCATACTCTTCTCGCAACTACTCCCCCATTGAGTTAATGTCACATGTCCCCGAAAAGCTTCAGAACTGCTCTCTCCCGCGGAACTTTTCTGCAGTGCTGTTTTCCCACCCCGCAGGCGATCATACTGTGAGATCTTCGATTCAGCCGGGGTCCCTCGTGATCTCCAACTCTTCTTCCTTTTCTTTTCTTTTCTTTTCTTGCCTTTCCTCTAATTTCTTCCCTTACTTATATTTCTTCGTTTCTCTCTATGCGTGTGCTCACCGCCCGCAATGAGCCAACTGGTTGCATATGACGTCTCTGTTGGATGGCAGCACTCGGTATGTTCTTATTTTACTGCTGTTACTACTTAGCCCACAACCCCAGCTTCTTTTATCCTTCCCCCTTGAATAACCGCCCTTCCCCACATTCTTTCTCCGCGTGAGAGAAGTGTTCTTTAGAGCACTTCTGGATGGATGGCTAATGGCATGGCAGACGATATTCCGTGGATAGATTCCATGGCCCCATCAACTTCCGCGCAGGACCACGCTGATTCTCAGCCCCCGACGGTCGCTGCGTTCTCCCCTACCACCATCTCCGGGTCTTCATTGGCATCCCGACAACGTTCTAGCATTATTGTACATCGCAAATCTCCTCTACTAGTTGCGACTCCTCCACCGATCACCCGTGCATTAGCCTACTCCCACCCCTTTATCTTGCCATTGAATAAGCTAGCGGGCTTGTTGACCTGGACCTCCGACGATGCATGGCAGAGCTTCCTCCTAGTGTCGACCTTCTGGACGATTGTCCTATATGGCGATGCCATCATTCTTTGGGCAGGTCCGCCCCTCTTGGTGGTCGGTCTCATTCTAGGCATGTATTGGAGACGTTACTCCCCCTTATCGACCAGATCCATATCTGGGGAGAAACCGGCCCATCAGAGAGCGCCTTCGGAGAGCTCCCTGCGCCACCATGACAGCTTAGATGAGATCGTTGAAACCATGCGGACTTTCACAACTCGCTGCAATATCTTGCTGGAGCCGTTCCTGGAGCTCACGGATTTCTTGTCCACCCAAAGGACGGCGACTTCCGCGACCACCAGACCAGCCCTTACCACACTCTTCTTCCGCATTCTCTTTGTAACCCCGATCTGGATTGCCTTAACTCTACCGCCCGTGCACCTCATCACCACGCGTCGTGTCATCTTGATCATGGGCACCATTATCCTCACTTATCACTCCCGGCCGGCCAGAGTATCCCGCGTCATTCTGTGGAGATCACTGACTGTCCGTCGGATTTGCTCATTGATCACGGGTCTGTCTTTCTCCTTGAACGTGGACAAGTCGCCCTCGTCTCGGACGCAAAGCCATGGCCATGCTGCTAGTATTGCAACCCGCCGGCGGGGAGAATCCTCTGGCGTCCGTTTCACCTTCATTCTATATGAGAACCAACGCCGTTGGCTCGGAATTGGCTGGACATACTCGCTATTCCCCAACGAACGTGCTGCATGGACCGACGAGCATTTGAACGCCGTGCCCTCCAAGCAAGAATTTGAGCTGCCTGAAGTACAGAGCGGGAATGCCAAGTGGCGCTGGGTGCCGGGCAGTGAGTGGCATATCGACGGTGTTGATGACGCGAGTGGGAAAGCAGCCACCAAAACCACCGACGGTAGGGGTTGGATCTACTACGACAACAAGGTAAGCCTTCCACATTGCATTGATAAACCTGTCTTGGTACAAGCAATGACATTTTCTGACCTTGGAAACCCCATAGTGGAACGACGGTCGTCGAGGCCAAGATGGCTGGGACCGATATACTCGTCGGAGAAAATGGTGTCGCGATGCTGAACTCGTGGAGGTCACACCGACAGCCGACTCCACGTCGGTGGAGGCAACGTCCGGCTTAACCCAGGCGCTGGAGAGGGAGAGGGAGGGAAGAAGGGAATCCGGAAACCTTGACGCTTCAACAGTCGATGCTGATTCCGAGAGTCTCGCCGGGTCGACCTCCTCCAACACACGGAGACGACGTTGGTTTGGGAATTCGAAGACTGTAAGCGACAGAACCAGCAGCATCTCCTCTGCTCTGCCAGCCTCCAACAATAACTCGTCCGTAGATCTCGGAAGAATAACCTCTGCCACTAATTCCAGTCGTCCCGGCAAAAGCGCCTCCAAGCCGATTAGCATCCCGTCTTCGCAGAAGCTCTCGTCCAGCCATTCCAGTGGTAGCGGCAGTTTTGGCCGGGAAGGAAGCGTCCACGGTAGTGCAGCCCATAGCGATAGGAGTGCACGAGATAAGGAAATTGCACACTCCCAAGACCGCTTGGATCGCTGGGGTGCGCGTGCTACGGGGGGGATCGAGAGGGCAGAACGAGAGATGGGTCTAGGCGACGAAGTCAATATGGGGTTAAGTTAGAAAGGGGGGGAGGGGTGGGGTTTGCATTTGAGAATGGTATCACAAAATGTCGAGCAGGTTTTTAAACACGAGGCGAGGACCTGGCCTCGCCAGCGCCTTTTCCTCGGTTACACAAAGCAATGCTTATGATATGTTTATACCCTTTACTTCGTTTCATATATTAATTCTTATATAGCCTGTTAAATTGTTTATGGCTAAAGCAACACCTGACTCACGCGACAATGAATGATTTGTCCGATAAATCTCCTGTAATCCAATGTGTCCATAACTAAACCAAAACGCCCATTATGCAAAGCATCCCTGGACCGTTGGCAACGCTAATCAAACGCCCAACCAACCTTTGTTCAAACCCCTAATAACCTCTTTTGAGAGCCTCACGCAAGAATCAAATCCCATTTCAACCGCTCCAATACATCCAACCAATGCATCTTCTCCCCACTCCAAAGTATGTTCAGTAGCTCCTTCGCCCGTTTCACATTCCCGATCCCAAAATTCATTTCCAATTTACCCAACGACTGGCTCACCAGCTCCCTTTCCGCAGGGCTCTCGCTCTCACACCCCGCTATGAAAAGCGGGAACGTAAGGGCCGAGTACTCGCAATTCTCGTCGAGATGGAAAGACTGGATCCTGTCCAGACAACGGCGTAGAGCGACGGGTTTTTTCCGGGAGATGAACGACGACCATAGGCTTGGTAAGTTGTGGGCCATGGAACTCTGGCTCATTCGTTCCAAGGTTGAATGGAGGTAGATATATGCTGCGTCGCGGAAACACTCGGCGACCATGCGCAGGCGGAGCAGACTTCCATCTGTGATTCCCTTTGGGATTATGTATTGTCTTGAGGTGTAGGTCCAGTTGCGGAGGAGGGTGTCTCTGGTTGGGAGTTAATATCTGGTTTGTGGGGTAGATAGGTGTTAGGAATGGCTTACATTGTGTGGATTTCTAACCCCAGCGCGACGGGGTCGTGGCTAAGTAATGGTAGGTCGGCGATGCGGGGGCATAGTTTGATGATGTCTTCTGTGTATCCGATGTATATGTCGAGTTTTGTGAGACTGAACGTTTCCATGCCTGGGACGTGGTTTGTGATTTGTTTGCGGTTGGTGACCCTCGCCACATTATGCGCATACATAAATCTATAGATTTTGGTTAGACTTTCATCGAAAATGTTGTTTACTAAAGGCAGGTACATACAGTCCCCATAGGAATTCGGCCGTTTCGTGGTCGAAGGTCGAAAACCCGCCGCGAGAAACCACTAATTTTTCTAAAGCATTCAGATGCACGGCCCATTGCTTTACACTTCCTCGTACGATCTCATACTTGCAGAGAAGAGCTACAGCTAGGACCGAATCTGTGGAAAGAGCTTCAACGGGGCAGTTTGAAAGGGCGGAACGGAGCCCGCTCATTGTGCGGACGTAATAATTTGCTGCTGCGGTCTGCGCACCCAAGCTATCACGGGAGCGGTTTGCGAAGTGCATTGCAGACACGGCACATAATGCTTTCATGAGGAGTGGCGATGATAATGCTCGGGGAATGATTAACGATCGTAGAGGGTTCTCATCACTTTCCAGGTTCGCCAGGAGTTTAGATCCTAATTCCATGTGGTATTGAAGATAGTGCGTTTCGAGATTCGATAGGTGGCTGAGGGCGCAGCGCGGTTTCGGGGCAATAATAGTAAAGTCGTTATCATGTGTAAGATCAAGTGCTAAATCGTCGCTTTCGTTGGGATCTTTCTCTTCAGTTCGTGGAGTGTGTAACTCAATTGCGCCATACTCTGACGGCGTCGAAGGGATGGTCATATAGCCAGAGGACAGCGTTGAGTTGGGAGATGGCTGCTCTACTGATGTCGCCAGGGAGCAGGCAGATAGGGAAGGCGACAAGCTCACTCTTCGTCTCTTTGGTGGTACAGCTTGCTGAAAGACTTCCGCAGATGGCTTAAGTGGTTCTGCCCACATCGAGCCATAACCCTCGCAGCTTAACCCCAGTCTTACACAACTACGACAGCTACCACAGATTGTCAGTTCCACAGTTGCAATTCAAGCATCATGCAAAATGTACCTAGGTTTAGTTTCATCGCAGCGCTTGCGACGCCTCTTGCAAGTCAAACAACCGGATCGCGTCCATTTCGAACCCTCTCTTCTGGCACGTTTTTTCGTACCCTGGGCTTGGCTTTTCCCGGGGGTGTTGATAATTGTATCAACTTGTTTCATAGTCGGCAGATTATATGTACCATTGCGCAACAATCTTATCGGTATCAGTATCAAGTGCTGGTTAACTGAACTGATAAGTGCGGGGAGTATATACATACAGTTGTATATTGGAATCGCCCAACCCCGATCTTGCCCCTCCCTTCGTCTGCTGAGAGGGTAAATTGTGTTAAGCAGACTCAATGCTGATATTTTGCAGGGCCCAGAAGAATGATTCAGCTTGAGCAATCAGGATTATTTCCGCCGCTGCGATACTAACCGATGGCCCGTCACGGGGGATAGGACCGAGGCACTAGACCCCAAAGGGAAAATAATACGCCTAGGTCAACTAGTTATCTATCGGGGATGGTTATGTAAGATAGTGAAGTCACTGACTTTTATCTACGGGAGACAATTGGAGACACATACCTCTCCGTACAAGGTATTTCGTATTTCCGGGGGATAGTCCGTAGTCTAACCCGAAACGGCATGTCCATGCGCCCAGTGGGACTGGTGGAACGGCAACTCTATATCCATTATCTATCTATACTCCCAACCATTCATTCATGCTGCTGGGTGGCCAATTCGATCGCATATATAAAGGTCTCTCTCACCTCGCTGAACAATGCTTTATCTCCCACTAAAAACCTCTTCTACCTTATACCCCCAGGACACTTGTTGTCTATCTCTTTATCTCCCCACATAGATCTATATCTCGGCTTCCTTAACCCTCCCACATCATGTCTCTCGCATCTCAAAGGATAACGCCGACAAGCTCGGTGAAGCTTCACCCATTTGACCCTGTACGACCGGAAGAAATCAGACTCGGCGCTCGAATTCTCGAGACATCGTTCCCCGGTGTCCCGCTTCGCTACAACCGCATTGATATTCATGAACCCATCAAACAAGATGTCATCCCCTACATTGAGGCAGAACGACTCGGGAAGCCCCTCCCTGCTAGGCCAGCACGTCTTTTGTATTCCTATTTCAATCGTCTCGACACAGGTGTCTGTCTCAAGGCCCTAATGAATATTGATACTAAGTCCCTCATCTATGCCAAAGAGCTTCCAGAGGGAGTGCAGGTGTGTCCATGCTCCTGGTCGTCTCTCTCCACCGGTCTGTACTAAATGCCCCAATAGCCACCCATGGATATCGATGAAATAGCTGGTATTGAAGAACATTGTATGCAACATCCTGCAGTGCTGGCAGAAATTGAGAAGCTCAAGCTGCCTCCTGGTATGACAGTCTGCAACGACCCATGGATGTACGGGACAGACAATCAAAATGAGAATCGGCGACTCTTCCAATGCTTTATGTACATTGTGGAGGTGGACCACCCCGAAAATAACCACTACTCTCTTCCCTGCAAGTTCTGCCCTGTCTTTGACGCCCGCACAAGGGAATTAGTCCGCATGGATTATCTCCCCGGTGGCGCAGATCATGAGACTGTCGAGACACAGCCGTGGGTACCAGTGAAAGCAGTCCAGTATGCTCCCGATCTCCTAGATGAGCCACTTCGGACAGACCTCAAGCCATATATTGTTCAGCAACCCGAAGGCGCTTCCTTCTCAGTGGACGGCAATTCCGTCTACTGGCAAAAATGGCGTTTCAGGGTCGGATTCAATAATCGCGAGGGCCTAGTCCTTCACAATATCACATATGACAAGCGCAATGTCTTCTATCGTTTGAATGTCTCCGAGATGACTGTTCCTTACGGAGGTGAGCACTGCCATAACCCAGTACCAAGCATTGCCATCTAATGTATTCCACCCAGATCCTCGAGCCCCATACCACCGCAAGCAAGCCTTTGATGTCGGCGACGTCGGCTTCGGTCTCAACGCCAACCAGCTATCTCTGGGCTGCGATTGCCTCGGCCACATCAAATATTTTGACGGTTACAGATCCGACTCCAAGGGCAACCCTATCCTCTTGAAGAACGTGGTCTGCATGCACGAGCAAGACAACGGCCTGCAATACAAGCACACAAACTACAGATCCAACGCAGCAACCGTCAAGCGCAACCGCCAGCTGGTTCTCCAGATGATCTGCACCGTTGCAAACTACGAATATATCTTTGCCTACATCTTCGATCAGGCCGGAAACATCGAGCTCGAAGTCCGCGCCACAGGCATTCTGTCCACCGTCCCATTCGACAACTTAAATGGCGAGACCGTCCCCTGGGGCACCAACGTCGGCCCCGGTGTCATGGCCCCCTACCATCAACACATGTTCTCGCTCCGCATCGACCCCGCGATTGACGGCTTCAACAACACTGTCTACTACGAGGATAGCGTCCCACTCCCCGAAGATGAGAACAACCCCTACCTGGTCGGCTACACCACAGAGAAAACCGTGATCCGTAAATCCGGCTCCGCAACCACCGACATCAACCGTAATCGCGTCTTCAAAATCCGCAACGACAACGTCATCAACCCCATCACCTATAAGCCCGTCTCATACAAGCTCATGGCAGCCCCCAGCCAAATGCTTATCCTACCAAAGCACGCAGTGGGACACCAACGCGCCGAGTTCGCCAGCAAGCCCATCTGGGTCACCAAGTACCAGGACGACGAACTTTTCGCCGCAGGCGAGTTCACAAACCAAAGCAAAAAGGCCACAGGCGTCGAGACTTGGGTCCAGAGAAACGACGACACAGAGAATCAGGACGTGGTCCTTTGGCACTGTACGTATCCCGCCCCTCTCCCACAGGTAAAATGGATGATACTAACTAATTCCTAGCGTTCGGTCTCACTCACAACCCTCGTATTGAGGATTTCCCTGTCATGCCTATGGAACGCATTAGTGTCATGCTCCGGCCCGATGGCTTCTTCACGAAGAATCCGGCGTTGGATGTGCCCCCTTCGACACAATCGTTCAATAAGTCAACACTTCACCCTGGGCCGGCGCCGGCTGCACCATGCTGCTCCGGCTCTGGAAACAGCAAGGCAAAGCTTTACAAGCGGGTTGACTAGACAAGGTGCCTGGCTGGCTGTGTGTTTGGGTGATTGTGAGACGTCCTCTATAGATATCCCCTTGTACAATGATATGAATGAATGGTCCGTTAGTTAAAAAATATATATCCTGATCTGGCTGGCTTTAGCACACTTCAGACTGTAGGCATACGCAGATATAACAGAGCCACTTTTACGTCTCGTTAAATTTTTTGATTGATCGATCTAGTCGCATTCGTCCCTCTTTGTGTTCATGTATCAAGAAAACAAGCTTTCAAATAAGATCTTATGGCCCGTTTAACGAGATAGGCCTGCTCCAGTTCAGAATTAAGTCCTCACGTCATATTTTGACGAAGTGAGCCATTTCTGTCTACACGCATACTACCTTCCACATGAGCAATTTTACCATATACGCGTCAGTTCTATTCTCATTAATACATCTCTTCGGTGATTTACAACCTGCTTTGCCCCTATGGGGCGGAAGGCACACAAATCTGGATGGCTATAACATACATAACAGCTACCAATGAAAACATACGTCCCATTTTTCCCTTCCTGGGGAAACGTTTCCTGAAATATTTTCTCCTCTTCCTCTCTGGACTAATAACACAGTTTTCCATTATCACTTTAAGAAAAGGGCCTCTCCTCCATCATTCCATGAATCATGCAATTTTGGATCCAAAAGGCACAAGGATATAGTTCGACCACGTGTAGTGAATCTGCAGTCGATAGGAGGCTCTCATATGGGGACACTATACTTATGCCTTAGGGGTAACGTGAGCGCTAGGAACAGCGCCGTTACCGATAGAGTCGATAGCAGCTTGACGAGCACCCTTAAGGCCGTACTGCGTCTCGATACCCTCGATACGGTGGGTGGAGTTGATGTTCTTGACAAGAGTGAGCTGCCAACAGGTAGCACCGCCCTGGCGGGAGGTGATAGTCGAGGAGGCCAGGAAGTATTCCCAGATCTAGCATACACATGTTAATATTTTTCCAATTCGTGATCATACATAATGGGAGGAAACTCACTCTGAACCATCTCTTGCCATATTTGGCCTCCACCTTATCACGGTTGCCCATCCAGTTACGGTACCAGCGCCAGAGAGTAGCAGAGTAATGGACACCAATAGTATCAACAGCCTTGATCTCAAAGCCGGCGGCCTCGAGACGGTCGACGACAAATCCAAGAGGGGTGCTAGCGTCGGCACCGGGGAAGATATACTTGTTCATGAAGAGACCCCAGATGAGATCCTCGTACTGCCAGGACTTGCGGAGACCAGCAATTTGCAAGAAGAAAACACCATCATCGTCCAGCATATCGTAGACCTGTGACAAAAAAGTAGTGAAGTGGCGCACACCGACGTGCTCAGCCATCTCCAGGCAAGTGATCTTCTTGTAACCGCCTTCAATCCGGGGAGCGTCACGGTAATCCATACACAAAACACGGCTCTGAGAGTCCTCAATACCGGCCTTGCGAAGACCATTGTTACCCCAAACAGTTTGATTACGGCCGAGAGTGATACCGGTGACCTGGGCGCCATAGTGGACGGAAGCATACTTAGCAAGAGTACCCCAGCCGCAACCAAGGTCGAGGACGGTATCGCCAGGCTTCAGACCGATCTTCTGACAAACCACAGCCAGCTTGTTATCCTGCAGCTCTTCCAGAGTCTCTTCCCGCTCCGGGTCGCTGATAACACCAGAGGTATAGATCATGCGTGGGCCCAAGAACCAAGCATAGAAATCGTCACCGCGGTCATAGTGGTCACGGACCTGCTCCTCATCTGCCAAGTGTACAGGTTAGAAAGGCAATTGCAATGAGATTTGATTACAGAAACAAAGTACGGTGATCACATACCTTGGGAACGGGTGTGCATAAGCATCTCAGGGATGAACCCGAAGAGGAAGTGCTTGAACAGGCCCATGGTGAAGCGGAAGTTGGCCCAGTCGTGGCGGAACTCGAGGACCTCCAAGGCGTCGCCTTTGAAGTCCACCTCTCCGTTGAAGTACTTCTCGTAGAAAACCTCCATGGGGATCTTGCTCTTTCCGCGGTAGGTGGCACGGTCATGCTCGCTGTGGAAGTGCAGGTAGTGTTCGACGGGGCGGCCGGCATACTTGGCCTTCTCGGTCTTGCGCGGGGAGATGGATGAAGCGACGGACCAGAAAGCCATCAGAATGGGGACAGTAGTGAAGATCGCGAAGAAAATAGTGGTGTAGAAACCACCACCGATCTGGCGAGCCAGATACCACGGGACGAGCAGGAGCAAAGAGAACAGGAGGATGTTGGAGAAGCTGTCGCTACCCGGGGAGTCCGCTGGGACGGGGGCATTTTTGATGGCCGGATACTGGGCGGGAAAACTATCAGCGCCAGTGTACACAATTGATGACCGCAATTGAAGCGATACAAGGTACGTGTTCTCTATCTAGGGACCAGACTTACCGACGTGGTCCGCACACCGCAGGGCTCGGCGGGAGTAGTGCAGGGAGCAGGGGGAGTTTCAATGAACTCGAACTCCTCAGGAGACTGAGGATGAATTTTCGTCTCACCCATGACGAATTGACTGACGGCGGAAGAGAGGGGAGGGATTGGGGGGTGAGGGGAGGGGATGAGAAGGAAAGAGAAAAGGTGAGGAAGGGTGTCAGAAGGTGTTGACTTGAAGGCGGCCGGGGGGGTGGCTTTAGCTTCCGTTTGGTTAGTTTGTCTTTCCTTGTGTTTGCGGTGGGCGCCGAGGAAAAGGAAAGTGGACGATCAATTGATTTGAATCCACTCTCCAGGGACCCAGTCTAATTTTTTCCTTTTTATTCCAAGTTCTAATTCCTTTATTTTTTAATTCCTTTTATTTTTTCTACTCGGATGCAGCTTCCGCTCTTATAAGTCCCGTATAAAGGAGGTCTTGTCATAGAATATACTGTTCTGTTGTTGTATCCTTCACCAACTTCGTAATAATGAAGTATGGATTTATGTAGAGCTCCAAAGTAAACAGTACCGACGAACCGATTGGGTCTAGACAGTGGATGTGTTAACTAGGGAGCCGTGAAGAGATCTGATATGAAGGAATACTACTAGTAGTAGTACTGTTTCATACAGTGACTCGATGAAGCATCATGGTCAATTTGAATTATCTTGCGAATTCCGTGTTCTTGGATGAGATGGGGAGAATACTAGCAGGCAGAGTCCATGCATACGCACTGGACCTCCCGTACCTGGAGGATATGACTGGTCCCATGGGTTAAGGTCTGGCCGCAGAGCTTCAGCTGCGTCCCCAATCACAATCGTCCGAATCAACCATTCCCGAGGGCGAGCAACCCGGGAACTGCAGCGGGAAGGGGTCCCTGAAACAAGGTCGATCTAAATTTACTTTACAGTACGGAGTACTAAGTATTGTAGTCTACAGCACAGAGCGAATCCGAAGTCCATATATCAGAATAACACTGATCTTCTTTTCATTGATTTAATTATCGAATCGCTAATTCCGTATTTCGGGAACTCATACATCAATTCTAATTCTGTGGAACGTAACCCCGCGATACTTCAACACACACATGTAATCATAAAACGCCCCGCGGAAGTCCTGTATCATGCAATAACGTACCGTCCCACCATCCCAGCCTACCATAAAACTATATCATAATCCCATAAAAAAAGGAAGAAAAAATGAAAAACAGAACCATGAACACGCTGACCGTTTACTCCGGGATATGGATTTGTGCTGGTAGAGCTTACAAGGTCAGCTGAAAATTCAAGCTTTCCTCATCTTCCTCGTACACCGGGAGCTCTTCCTCAAGGTCAGTGGTGAACTGATCATCTTCGCGTGAAAAGGTCCCTATATTGGTCTCCAGAGGTGGAGTCCCGGAAGGCCGAAGGTAAGTGTCGGGGGCGAAGATTCCGTGATGAACTGCCTGTTCTTTAGTAGTGGTGGTCGCCTTGCCATGTAGCTTAGATGACACGTCCCGGCCCTTCGTGTACCCTAGGGTCGTTCTAGAGTTTGCTGCGGCCGCTATGTGGTACATTGAGGATGGGTTAGTCGGCACCCTGGGCTTTTTGGACGGAAACAAGGACGATGCGATTCTCGATTTGGGCTTGGGCACGGAAACTGGTCTCGGTCGGAGGGTGCGTTCGCTTCCGGAGAGAGCAGCGGCTGCATCACGAGCTCGAACAGTTGGGATATTGCTAGTATGCTTTCCCCGAGAGCTCATTGCCCGCGTGCGACGCGTTTCAATGCGATGCTGGGGTGCCTCCTCCACGTAAGGTTCGCCGTGCCGCTCCGCATCACTAGGCTCCTCGAAGCCAATGCTCTCGACTTGTTTCAAGATCATGTCATCTATCATTTTGTCATATGCGATAGAGACCTCTTGAAGCTTGCGCTCCCTTTTTGTAAGACCATCGGGTCCAATCTCGGTATTTCCATAAACTGTCTCTAACCCCAAGGCTAAGTTCTTCGGTTGAAACTGAGGGAATGTGGTGTCATATGTAATCTCATCGGGAACATCTGGAAGCTCTACATGTTGTTAGATTTATGGGCTCCTGGCGCAGCTCGGACTTGTTTTCTTTTGATACATACCTTTAGGCTTAGGTGGCATATACTCAATATCAGGGACATCATCCTCTGCTGGTTTATCCCCTACCTCGAGCTTGCTCTGTTCCACGAGCGGGGTAAACTTTTTGACTCTCTGTGAGGAGCCTCTTTTGCCTGTCCTCTCCGGCTTCACAGTCCCGGCGGGAGGCGCGGGGGTTTGTAGACCTCTCGCTTTCGCATTTGTCGTTTTCATGCCCAGGGGGGCGCGCTGGCGAGTATCCGCTATCGCATCTGTCAGCTTTGAGCCGGGATACGCGATGATGTCCGCAAACCCATACCCACTGGTGTAACAAAAGCATCCTTCACGGATGGTTTGGCATTTCCATTCTGTTTACCCAGTCCCTTCACCGTTTTCTTTCCAAATGCCAACGGATCATTCTCGTCGTTCAATGGCACCTTGAATGGGGTTTTCGGTGCGCGAGCTCCTGGGGTTTTGGGCTGCAGAGATTTGGCGCTTTGGTTTAGAGGTTTGGACGCAGCAACGGTCTGATGAGCGTGTACTAGATTCTCCTGGTCGCGGAGGGCCAGCATGGTGGCGGATACGGAACAGTGCTTTTCATACACTGACAGATACGTGGATATTGATTATCGAGATGGGATTTGGAGGTCGAACAGAGCCGTAAGGTGAGGGTTTGGCGAAGTAGTGAGGAAAGGGCGTGTCTAGGTTTCGAATCTAGACACACGACGCACCTGTTTTCTAGTGGTTGCCCGTGGAGACAGGCGGTCGATCCCTTGGAACCGACATCCGTGGCTAGGGCGACTAATGACTAAAAGGGGTTAGACGCCAACCTGAGTCGGGCTGACCGCCAGGAGACACTCACTCCACCTTTCTTCCTCTCCCGAAACCAACTCCCAACATTTGAACACGTTATTGATTCCATCGGGTTTCTCGCTGAGCGAAAGCCTTTACACCTTATTACTCGTATAGATTCTTCTTTTCAAATACATATTTGTCTTCCCTCTTGCAGATAATTTTAACCTCTTTCGTTGTCAACATGGAAAAGATCAAGGAGGTGAGTTTCTTTTTCCCCCCCTGTTGGCGGGGTAGCTTATAATAAGCTCCCGAAAATGCACATGCATCATCCTCTCCCCTTACGTGACTTTCCCTCGTCATGCATCTCAGTGGAAATCTGTAGCTGCTGATAAAGGGTCTTGGTCTCTACTCATGTTGATCACAAATTGTCAAAGTAAAGATGGGAAAAGGGGCTGACGGACCGCATCTAGAGAATGAACGCCCTCCGCCTGGAGGCCGACGATGCCCAGGAGAAGGTGGAGGAGTTGAAGACTAAGGTCAAGACTCTGGAGCAGGAGAATCTGGCGAAGGAACAAGAGATCACATCCCTCAACCACCGCAACCAGCTTCTTGAGGGTGAGGTGGAGAAGTTGGAGACTGCCCTCAAGGAGGCCAAGGATGCTGCCAACCAGAGTGCCCAGCACGACACTCAGAATGAAAGTCTTCAGAGACGTTTGCAACTCTTGGAAGAGGAGCTCGAGCAGGCTGACAAGAATACCAGGGAGACAACTGAGAAGTATGGTTCCCTTTCTGCCCCCTTTTATTACCAGCGAAACGAGTACTAACCACGCTGGTGTTCAATAGGCTCCGCCAAACTGATGTCAAGGCTGGCCACTACGAGCGCAAGGTGCAGGCTCTCGAATCGTCTCGTGACGAATGGGAGAGCAAGTATGAGGATATGGCCAAGAAGTACGCCGAATTGCAGAAGGATCTTCATGAACTGGAGGTTTCTATAAGCAATGTTTAAGGCCAGGGTTGCCCGCAGATGCAATGTTCTGGAAATGTTCGGCTCAGCCTTTCTTCTAACATAATAACTTTTTTGTTCCCTGCGTGTTGCAGATTACTTTATTTAGCATTCGCCTTAAGGAGCCGAATCCAGTAGCATCTCTGTCACTGTAACTTGCCATCCACCTGTCCTTTGCAAAATTTTCCTGTTCAATGGAGACGTACGTAGTAAACAGTGAAAAGTGCCTTGAGGGTATTGTAAAGACGATCGGTTCGGGGATGTAAGGATTTGAGATCAAAGTCCGCTACTTTTCTCGTCGCGCCCTCGCTTTCCTGTGGTTTGAAAGTCGTTCTTTTCTGCGAGCAACCTGGCGATCCTCCTTGCTTTCGTACCGGAATTTCTTCTTCTTTTTAGGCTTGTTTTCCAAAGCCTTCTTGGCCTTTTTTACTGGCTTTGGCTTCGAGTCCGCTTCGGCTGTCGGTTTCGCCTCTTGCTCTCCCTGTTCTTCGTCCGAGTCGTGCTCCTGGGATCGCAGCAAACCCTCCCTGGAGGCATCCATCTCTTCTACTGTTACTGTCGTATATTTATCTTCGTCAATATATTCCGCCTCGTAGTCCACCGCAGGCGGCTCCTCGAATCCTTCCCATTCCTCATTATCGTCATCCTCGCTCCCGGAGTCTGAGCCCGAATCGGAACCATCCTCTTCTTGCCTAAGTCTCTTCAATTGCTTTTGATGCTCCTCAAGCGCCTGTTTAAACTGTAGCTCTCGCTCCTCACGCATCTGCAAAATTTTTGGCGTTGGTAAACTTATGTCTACTCGAGGAACATAGTGTTGGAGAAATGACTGACTCTTTTCCTATCCTCCCTTTTTGCTTCACGAGCCTTTTGCTCTGCAACCTCCTGCGCATGTTTAATTCGCTGTTGCTTTCGCTTCCGGAAGCCTGTGAGGAATTCATGGCGGGCAGAATGATCGAAGTTGATTTCTTCGACTTTGCTAGTCTTTCTCCGTTTTGCTTGTGGTCCCATATTTCTGTTCAGACGAAGAGGTATTTACCGTAAATTGCAAATTCAAGACAAATCCCAGGAATCTTTCCTAGTATTTTATGTAGTGGTTTCAAAGTGAGGAAGGTCCAAACAAAAGGCATAAGGAAAAAAAAAACTATGCACTATGATCGAAAGTGAAGCTAAGCCCTGTCGGTGGTTTGGGTCGACCGCCTCCGAGCCCCGTCGGGCTAATCCTCCAGCCTGTCTCCAACCATCATACCTCCGGGGCTCCTTTCACCGTTCGGACAGCCGGTGCTTGTCTGAAGCTACATCTAAATCCACCACCATGCATTTTAGCAGTTTTTCGCTGCTTGCTCTAGGAGCGGTAACAGCTAGCGCCTTCCGTGATACCTCGCCCTTCTTCCTAGCATCGACGTCTGAGTATGTTTTGGCCGCACTGACTTGCGGCGTTGCGAATAGCTCGTAGAAGGACCAGCTAACGAGCTCCTCTAGGATCCCCTCTACTTCAAGCCAACTCAAAACTGCCCCATCCTTACTAGATGACCTCTCCTCGAAGCTTAGTGCTTGTCCCTCCGACTACTATGTCATTGCTTCTCAGCACGGTGTTCACAGCACCGATTTCTTAACTCGGAAGTCCGCACCCCGCCTCGGCGCGAAGATGACGGGGAAGGACAAGTCCATCCGCTCGACTCTGATGATTAATGAAGTTGTCGGCGTGCTGGAAGCAAAGAAAATCCAAAGCGTTATTGAGAAAGAATGCGGGGCGCAATCTACTGTCATCAATGGTGCCTGTAAGTCCCGCAAAGTCGGAAATCTAAAATCCTTGAATAATCTCGCTGACCGGACTTTCTAGCTGGCTCTTATCCGTCCGACTTTGGTGCCGATCCCCGAGTTCTTTTTATCGATTTCCCTGCCCTTCCTTTGGGAGAAAATAGGGCACAACAGCTTTCTGACAACGGTTCGTGAGCAAAGTAATAATACTACGAGGGTATCTGCTGATCATACTGCAGATGGTCTTCTTTCTGATATTATCGAACGGATTCCTTCGTCGAAGAAGTACACTATTCTTTACGTGACATCACCGAGGGAATTTGAAGACTCCGAGTCCGGTATCTATCAATCCGACGCTGATCAATATCAAGACCCCGTCCACATGGACTTGAAGAGAGATTATATGGCACATGGCCGTCGGGCGGAGCCTGCGTCTAACAAGTCCCTCTTCCAAACGTATCAATACCTCACACCAGGTGCGATCCCTAACATACACTGTCCCTTTGGAACGTCGTGAGTTACGGAACTGACGTTGACAGGCCTCTTTATGGGACTTATTGCCACCTTTATCTTCATTATTATCTTGTATGTTGGTTTCAGCGCTCTTGCTAGTCTTGAGGTTCCCTATGCTGCTTTTGAAAAAGACACGTATGCCAGTGTGCAGAAGAAGCAGCAGTAATTATCGGTTGGTGTTTCGATTAGGTCCTGGAAATATTTTTCTGTTTTTAGTTTGACATGATAAAGTGGCTGGAAGCTAGCCATCAATTGTTCTAGATCATTGAGACTGTACTGTGTACGCTATGCTGTATTTCGGCGTCTGTGTGTGGATCTGAATGCTACATGATGAAAATCCCAATTTCGCTCAAGGAAGTACTTTTCTCTTAGGCCATTAAATCTGCCATATGCTATGCGAAACTAGCGCAAGGTCTTTGTTGAGACAGAGCTATATATAGGGCCATCACGTGTAGTGACTTCTCCGCAACATTGCCGCCTAAGGCAGAATATACGAGGCACGGGGCAACGGTAAATGATCTCTCGGATCTCCTGTCACCGATCTTTGGGGGGTAATCCCACTAATCTTTTGTTCTCATCCTTCGTTTCATGTTTTAATCTAACCAACTCGATATTGGTGATCAGTGCCAGTCACTTACTTGGCCACTCTCTGTGCCCTATACATTCGTTGTCTCCTGGAATAGATCTGGTTGCTGTTGATCCAGTGTTTTGGTGGAGACCATCTGATAGAGATCCACGTCCCACAACTTGCGACAGTCGGCCGTCATTGCATACCAACATATCATCGATTACGGAGGCCAGTGACCTTTCACAGCCTCAGAATTTATATATTCCCCGGGCTCGTCAGTGTGACCTCCCTAACAAACTCACCACGACCCAAAATTTTTTCTCGCTGGGATTTCTTCACATCCGGTCTCGCTCGTTCGCTCGCTAGAGTATCTTAGCAATGAATTTTCGTGCCGCGGGCCTTCGCAAGGCCCGCCGCCAACCTTCCTTCCCATGGCTTTTACTCCTGGTCGCTATCCTGATGATGGCGCAAATATCGATCGCCCAGGAAACTACCGCAGATGACTCTACGACCGACGCAACAACCGCTAAGGACCCTACGACCACTGCTACAACGAAGGACGACCCCACCACGACAGCGAAGACCACTACGGCATCTACCACGGAGAAATCAGCAACGACGACGACCTCGGAGTCTAAGTCGACGACTTCAACCTCTGAGTCCTCAAAGTCGACAGACTCCTCGGCAACCTCCACTGCAACGAACGATTACCCCGTGGTAACAGTCCCTCCACTCGCGGATGCGCCGTACATGCAAACGTCAGATACCCCAGAAGGAACACTTTTCATCGCCGTTGGTGCAGTGCTAGGCTTTCTCGGCGTCGCGGTCCTCGCCTGGCGAGGAATGGTCGCATGGTCCGTCAACCGTTCAGTCCGGAAAGCAGCCATAATACAATCCTCCGAGGCGAAAGGGCTCCTCCGCTCAAAGAGAAAGAGGTCTGCACATCGCTCCCATGCCGGTCCTACAACATCCGTATCAATGGAAAAGATGGCCAGCAGCCACCGTGCCAGCTATGCAAATCACCGTTCCTCCAAAGCCCCTAGGTCCAACAGCGGTCTGTTCTTCTCTCCCACGGCTGGAATGCACAGTGCCGCGAACAGAGGTTCAAGCTATCTTCCCGCAGGTTATTACGCGGCTGGTAGTGCCGCCGCCGGTAGTGGGAGTCGTCAGAGCATGCATTTCTCCGCATCTGATCTGCCAGGATTGGGCCCGCAGGCGCAGGGGTATACTCGGACAAGATCCGGGCCTAGCCCACCTGGCACGCCCACCCACACTCCCGGTGGCATCTATGAGCCTCAGTACAATACCTCGAGACATTCCCACTTGGCCTCGAATAGCTCTGTCAATCTTGCCTCTCCTACGCAAGGAAGGACGCCTAGTGCCTACCTGGAAGATCTCTTTGAAAACCATCCTCCTCAGAATAGACAGTAGATTTGGGTGAGCTCCTTTCCCTATGAGGAACGAGATATACCCCGTCACTCTCTCCCTTTCCTTTCCCCAATCCTTCCCTTTCCTCAATCCTTCCCTTTTTGTTTCTATATTCGATGGCAAATATCATCTACATAATCCTGTTATATAGTGTATGTACATTCGTCATGTCATGAGCAACCTTTTTCAGCGTTCAGGGCTACGCACCTTTCTGGATAGTTTCTAGTTTACCCCTTCTGTTTGGTTTATGCAGCGGGTATTTTTAGGCGAGGGAGTTCACTGCAGCTCAGTTGGATCATTTAACGTGGGACGTTGGGCTCTGGTCTCGTTAAGATTTTTTTTTTTTTTTTTTTTGAAATATCGTTTTGAGATCTAACTTTGTGGTTTTCGTATTGTCTGTCGATATTGCAACTTTTTATAACCGATTTATCTGCAGACTATTTGCTCGGAAAGAATAAAAAGAAAGATACTGACACTATATACTGTACACAACACTGTCTCGCGGTGATCTAGCGAATGAATACAGATGCGGATGGTCATTTGCAAGGTTTGGTAGCAGATTCTATATACCTGATCCAAGAAACGAACCGAATTATGAGCAATGCGCTGGAAGGGCATAGCAGAGAATAATAACTGAAGTGAAATACATACATAATCAAAGTCCTACGTCCATATACCAGGTCATGTCATTTATGGAAAGGGTGGTGTTCAGTCTTAGTCTTGGAGTACAGTTGCGGTTTAGTCCGCATCCAATTTACCGTTGAATTCACCGAGAAGAATGTCATCAGGGGCCGGTCCACGGCTGTTCCTGACTAAAGTTGTCAAATTAGCATATGTTTTAACATGGGTAAAAGGCTACTTACCAGATTCGGTTTCCACTCGTAAGAATATCCACATCCACCGACGCGCAACTTCAAGGAACATGAGCAACCAAACGCCCACTTCCGTATCGCAAAGCCAGACAAATCCTGGAATGAACCGGGACAACCATGTAAATCGAAGAACTAGATCCACGAGAATGGCAAGGTAGTACTGCCGATCTGAAAAATGGCGGTGCCGACGCAACCCGTAAGGATAATGCGCGTCGCGGCGCGATGAAGTCAATAGGGTCAGATCCCAATCTTTGGTGACGTCCCAGTAGAAGGAATAAGCGGAATTAATAAAGGTGCACCAGTATCTGGGATATAGTTAGCTAACCTTTCCCCTACCGACAATCTTCAAAGGCAGACCACATACAATAGGCGTGTCAGGCTCATCTCGCTATATCCGTACATCTCCAGCGGGTTATAGTTTCTCAGCTTGGAGGCAAGGTAGATGACCGGAAGTGCTGTAGCGTATTTCAGAGCGTTCGCCAGATGCTGGCCACCCTGGTTCTCCGACTTGAAACTAGCCCGACGCACACGTACATATTCGATCAAACATTGCCGGAATCGGATAATACTCGGAGTAGCAATTATCAGGGGGACCACCCAATCGGTTCCACAATTGCGATCTGGCTTGGATGTACTAGAGACACCCGAGGTGAAAAACATGCAGAATGTGACAACCAAGTCCGCTAGGACCTTAGAATAACTGGTCAGAGCATCGGCAAGTAGGATGTCTCCAAATTTCCCATCTTGGGTTTCCGCTAATCCGCCGATGCTGATCCGCCTCAAAGTTACGAACAAGCGATGCCTGCCAGAGCGCGAAAGACGGTTGAAAGGGAGAATGATGATCATGAAAAAGATAAAGAGGTATGACTGTGGGATAAAATCGAGAGATTCCACCCGTTCAGCAGAGCCATGAGTAGCGGACCAGAATATGAGCAGCGATAGCAGGAGGGGGATGGTCAAGAGGGTGGCTAAGTGGAATGTTGAGGTGTGGTGGGGTCGCTGGGACGAAGATTGACGAGCAGGATATCGGATGAGAGCGGGAACATCCTATTCAACGGCTGTGAGCTATTGTTCAAGAAGGTTGAGGGGAAAGGGTAGAGGGGTTAACCTACAATGTTCTTCTTGAGGAGGTACTGGAGATTAACCCCCCAACCCCAGAAGCCTGTATATCAATAAACATCAATGTCGCTGTCAAATATATCGAACAGACCGAGTGTTAGGACCGATTTACATACCAGCAACCAGGATCACGGCGACCCGGTAGGGGAAGGGAAGAAAGAGACTGAAGCGATCCAATTGAGCATGTTGATCAGGACCCATATTCCATTGAAGCGGCGCGGGAATGCAGCGCCTGCACGGAGAAGATAGGAGAGATAAGGAACAACAATATCAAAGAACAGATATCGCAATCGATCGATCTCTGGACGAAGAGGAGAAGCGAAAATGCGTTGATTCCAGTAATGAGTGACTAGGGGTGAGATTGAGAACCATAAAATTACACTTTCATAATTTCTTCGACGAAAAAAAGAAGACGCTCAGGGACGCTTTCAGAGTCCAGGCGGTTCCGCGCGGCTGATCGGGGTTAGAGGCACTTGACTGTTTCGGGTCTAACTCCTTGCAGGTCTCGATGTCCAAATTTGGGCCCAGCCTGTCCAAGTGTCGTCTAGTCACGTGAAGCGATCTGCCGAGGTATACCGTATCGCCGCTCATTCTCCGGGGAAATGATAACCACATCGGATGCCAATGAGGAACAAGGTAAAGCCAGCTTCCTTGGGTCAATCTGGCTTCCTACTGTCACTCCACATAACCTCACTCCTCCTTTACTCACGTTAATTATGGCGGACGAAGACTTCTCTTTCTCTCCTACGACGCCCGCCTCGGCTCCTAGTCCCTCGGCACATTTCTACCCATTCGCGACGTCTCCGGATATCATTCGCTCTCATGAGAAAGACATCTTTCTTACCTCAAATCTAGTACAACAAGCCCAGAACATTATCCGCTCGCTCCGCGGAGCCCGATTTGCTCATACCTACTCCAATACAATCAAAAACCTGACCGAGATCCTATACTTTTCCCTGACTACCCTGATCGGCAACCGAACATTGGGCGAGGAGTATTGTGATCTCGTCCAATTGGAAGATGACACACTCCAGCTACCTTCTTTCATTAGGCGAGCGGGGTATATCGTGAGCAGTATCATTGTACCCTGGATTCTTCAGCGGATTTTACCAGCCTTCCGCCAACGACTACGGGCGAAGTTAGAGCGGAGCATCGCACGGCAACAGCTTAAAGCCCAACAGGCCAAAGAGGGGGCAAACCCTACCCGAAATAATGCGTCAAATTCACCATCCTTCTTTACGAAGTTACGAATTCAAAAATATATTCTGGAACATCTTGATTCGATCACGTCGTTGAGCCCAATCTATGCTCTGAGCATCGCGACGTTTTATTTCACTGGCGCGTACTACCATCTGTCGAAACGGTTTTGGGGTCTGCGATATGTATTTACAAAGAAGCTCGAAGAAAACGAGCAGCGGGTCGGATACGAAGTGCTAGGTGTACTGCTTGTCTTACAGATCGCGGTACAGAGCGTGCTGCACGTCAAGAAAGTGGGGCTCAGTTTGCAACAAGAGGATGATCTTGAGACAGAGGCTACCCATTCTAGACGTCAGGACGATGCATTGATCCACTCTATTGAGAATCCGTCGAAGCTGCCTCTTCTTCCCGCCTCTGATGCCCGGTATGATCTCTCAGAGGATTCCAGCGCAATTCCTTGGATCCCATCAGGACAGCAAGGCAGGTGCACGCTTTGCCTAGAACCCTTTAAAGACCCCAGTGTCACCACATGTGGACATGTTTTCTGTTGGACATGCGTGCGAGATTGGGTACGAGAGAAGCCCGAATGTCCCCTGTGTCGGCAAGACGTTTTACTATCTAAAGTACTGCCTTTGAGAGGTTAGTCCGAATCATGTGTATATATTAAAGGGTATGATTGCGCACATATCAGCATTTGATACTTGGTCCACATATATTCTTGCTTATACGCCCGTTGCACCTTTTTTGCCCGTTTACCTGGTATTATAAGAATATACCCGTTTCTCAAATAAATATATACATCATATATCAGCCACCTCGCGGGCCGTCATCACATTGTAACTTGACCCTGGTCAGCTGTCTTAGGCGTGTTTTGATAAGTGGCCTAATAAACGCTCTAAAGCTCCTAAGGTTTGAAGTCTCAGAGTTTTCGATATCAGCATTTAAGAACCCACGCGTTCTTTCATTATTTGTCGGATAGTTATATCTCCGCGGAAGAGTAAAAAGGTGTAAAGACTCATCAAACCGGTCAATATCGACGTCAAAGCCGACATTCGAAGTAATCTTAGCTGCTTGATGGAGCTCTTCCACGGCGATGCCTCATACGGGGTACGAATGCTGATTTCTACAAATTTTGGCATGGCTGTTGCAGACTTGGCACAATAGCTCCTGGCAATGTGAGAGCCAGGTAATTTCATGGCTAATTTTAATAGAGATGGAAAGAAAGTCTATAGACGAGGGAAGTTCCTGAAATTGTAGGTAAATTGTTTTGTTCAACGCTTTGTATATGAGAATACTGTCTATGCATTAGACCTGAAACAGAACTTAGGTATAGTGAGTGACTGATCAGAGCTTCCTCCGATCAGGACCTTCGAAGGTACTACACAAACCATCCACATCACAAAATGAGTTTAATTCAAGAGCCTCATTTAGACTGGTTTATTTTTTGGGTCAATTACCTCGACATCTTGAGCCTCAATATTCACAGTGGTCTTATGCACTATCTTAATTGGTAAATTCAGCTCAGCATTTGCGGGCAAAGGGGGTATGGGGTCTAAGGCAACCCGTTTTTCATCCATGGTGTTGAATAGACGGAGGCATGCGTATGGATCGGATGCAGCATCTACATTGACAGTATCGCATTAGACTTTTCGATATCTTTGGGTAATATATGACTTACATTGAACCTGCGAGTAGTTTAGTGACGAAGCCCAATCGCTACATCGAACCTCGGCATCTTTCGCTAGAGGGAGTCCGAAGTGTTCCTCGACCTGGGTGCTCAGATTGACAAGTCTCTTATTTATCAATTCCGGGTTCGTCTGGCAGTACTTGACTAATTTGTACAGATGGCTTAGTTCGAAGATACCGCATGTATCGATTTTAAGGAATTTGCGCAATCGAGTGCAATCTGCTTTGATCGATACGCCGACTTTCCGTACATGGGGGGACTCGAGAATGCGTTTCAGGGTAGGGGGGGTAAGGTCTTCGATAGCCCTCGCTGGTTTAAACATGGCGATGTGAAAAAGTGCGATTCGCGTTGGACTGGCAAGCTGAATCAAAGAGACGTTGTTTTGTATGGTGTCCGCCGCAGATACACTAGCTTTCCATTCCATATCGAATCCAAGTACTTCATCATCTAAGAAATGCTTTGCCACTGATTCGGCGCTTTCCAGCGTTTTGCAGTAATGTACTGAAATGTCATTCCCATCTGGGGTCTTGTACATTCGATGACTCCAGAATCTGTGCATGTCTGGAATACGAGGCGTATTTGGACTAAGGCTGTGCACTTTTGATTGAGGCCGCGCACCCTCGACTGAGGTTGAAGAATTGGCTTGGACGACGTGCTGGATGCTTTCTGTATCTTTGATATGCGTATTTGCCAACCGAACCCCTGAACTGGAGGTGCATAGTCTCTTGGATTTGAGGTCTGGGGGTGGTATCCTCCTTTTAGAGAGGTCTGCCATCTGCGATCGTATGCATCGACAAGTACCGAGGCCTAATGTAGTGCCTGGTGACTTTGCACTGAGTGTAGAGCAAGCGTAGTGACTTGGATACCTCTTATTATTGTGGCGTATGGTCGGGAGCTTAGGTCGTTCAACGCCCTTAGGCTTTATGCTCCTCTCTGCATCTCGACTAGAGAAGAAGTGAAAGGTACTCCATGATTGCCGCTCATTTTCAACATTGATGTCGGCTATACGATGGTTTCTGAGCTGGCTTTTGAAACCTGATTTAACCCATCTCGTAACATGAGCTAGCGTTGTTCGAAACATATTTGGAATGGTAGATGAAGCACGACTTCCGCCAGCTTTGACATTCAAGATTGCCTGGTTGTCAGGGAGACACGACCTGCGTGTCAACGTTGAGTAGGTAGCAATAGCCAAATAGTTTAAACCAACTTGAGGTTGAAATTTTGCAATGGCAATGGAGCCCCAGGACATCGTAGGATCCTGTCTTTTATAACAAACAGCATGCCGACTGAGAAACCGTCAGCTCAAAGATCAGATGAATGGAAACATAGACCAACGAGGCTCTTTCGAGTTTCTGGATAGGCGCATCATTATACACAACAAAGCGTTGTTGACGCTTTGTCACCTGCCATAAAGGGTGTTTCAGCCCTCTTGGAAAAGTCATACGGGTCCTCATAATTCAAAGCAATCATACTGAATGCGCCCCTGACAATAACCCTTGAGAACCGCAAGTAGACTGCAAATATAGACTCAATGAACCATTCCAAAATTAAGTTGCGACTAACTTTAAATGTCCGTGAAGATGGATTGGTAGATCTGATTGGCGCAAGAATGCCGGATCGGATAAACCTCCGCTCCATGCCCGCCAAGATTGTCCGAATCGGAATGATCGAGGATCCGCCTAACAGCGTGCGATTTCTATATCAAGCCTGACGAAGCTTTCTTTTACAAGAGGAGCTTTAGACCGTTCAAATCTAGATCTTACTCCTTCAAAATCTTTGTATTATCTCCCTTAACTACTTGCTTGGTCTATCATGGCTTCTCAACTCCTTCCCCTCGGTAACCACCCAATCATTTGTGTATTAGTAGAGCTCCTCGCTAATAAGTCCTATAGAGCTGATCGACAAGTGTGTCGGATCCAGAATCTGGGTCATCATGAAGAATGACAAAGGTTTGTCCATTTACATGAGAAAGACATCCGTAAGCTGACCCTCCTCCAGAATTCGCTGGCACTTTGCTCGGCTTCGATGACTACGTCAGTAAGTTACCTTCCCATTTTGTCTCAGCACTTCACAATCAACCAGGTACTAATGCAGCCTAGATATGGTCTTGGAAGACGTTACTGAATTGTAAGTACAGTTAGCCTCATAGCTCTTTCCGACCTACTTTATCTCCCCTCTGCTATCCCATCAACCCAGGAACTAACAGGAACGCAGCGACTACACCGGCACCCAGGTTAAGCTCCCCAAGATCTTGCTAAATGGAAACAATGTCTGCATGGTATGGACACTGCCACCTAACTCTTCTTCCCCCTTACATACCTGATAGCTAACATAACGACAGTTGATCCCTGGTGGCGAAGGGCCAGTTAGTAGCGCTTAGCGCCTGATATCCCATGCTGTTTGTTTCTGTTTTGAAGAGAAAAAAGAATTCGCTTTGATGAGCAATGATATCTTATAGAATTTACTATAATAGGGAAACCAATATTGTTTTTGTTTCTTTAGCCCTTACTTGTCCTGTTTTGAGTCAGGGGGTTGGGTTAGGTTGGGCTGTTTGTGCCACGAGGCCCCTTTCGTGCCTTGCAGCATGCATATCCTTTTCTTAGGTGTGGGTGCGGCTTAGAAGGTGCACTGTCAGCGATTGGAGCCGTGCTTTGAGTCTAGAACTACGATTTACGGATTGGTCTAGGCTTGTGTAGTAGTGAATGATATGGCGTAGGGGGTTGATTATGGGTGAATTCAAAGGTAGGTGGTTGACTTTGAAACTATGGAGAGATGCACAGTATGTGGAGACTATTGCTGTGGCTATAATCTCTGTAGGATGAAGTTCTCAATGCTGGTATTCCATATGTAGAATGTTGTGTATGGGGTTAATGATACCGCTCTTTCGAATTTCGTAAGTATCCAGCAAAGATCGATGGTGTGCAAGCAAATGGGGAGAGAACTGGACTTTTCCCCCACTTTTCGGGGATAAGATAGGCTTGACCAGCAGAACTCATTGCAGGTCGTGCAAATAAGGAGGGATGTCCTTTCACCCTGCTGCTGCAAAAGGATCATTCCAGGGCTTTTAATTTTGTATTTGGATATTGGCGGTGGAATCATTGATCGAGACGATCTGGTATAGATAGAGTCCGCAGAAGCGATAGAGATTGTCTTTAAAGTTCCCTTTTCGACTTCACTCTCCGTAAGATGGTAGCTACTTGTGCAGTAAACAACTTATGATGAGATACCCATTAGACAAGGCACTGTGTGAGACGGATAGAGATTTGGAACGATGAGGGACACAATATCCAGTCTATGACATGGAATTGAAGGGGGACGAAAGGAATCTACACTTGAAACCTCGCTCATCCATGCCATTTCAGTCAAAGGAAGCCATGAAAGAGTTAGTCAAAACAAAAAAGAAGTAACACACGCCGCGCAACACGCTCAGCATAGAGAATTAGGGGGGAAGGGTCCCTCGAGCGACAAGTTGGGCATCGAGTCGCAACGATGTCTGACGTAATCCTCCCCCGCTTCATCAGAGAAGAACGATATGGCAGGTTTAGGTTTCCATAAACACCTCAACGTTTTAGACCTCGAGGAACACTGATTTACGGGATTTCCTTTAGTAACCGATATTGCTAAGTGCGGTTGGCGATAGTATCATGAACAGTCTCGCCCCACTGGCATCTGCAGGACCGGCCCGGTTGGAGGCGGGTCTTTGGTTTTGACGACAAGGAGTATTCGAATCCAAAGGCTCTTCGTTGTTCAAGAGGCGAATAATGAAGGTTACGCCGCTACCCCAGATTCATGGGGAAAGCTGCTGACGATCCAGAGTGGAAACTGTTATGTAACGAATTGCTTCCCCGCGTTATGACCGTGGGAGATGTGGGTTTGGAATCAACTTTAACTTACCTTCTTCCAACTGTCTGATACAGGCGGAAATAAACGAGAAAAGTGAACAGGAAGAAGAATAAGTGAAGAATTACTCTGTGACAAGGTCTCTTGATATGCAGAGAGGAAATTAGATAATTATTGGCATTTACAAAATTAAATGGTATATGTTTAAGATTGGCGGCCGGCTTACTACGAAGATCGTCAAGATTGGCAGCGACTTGTATCGACATGGTAAAAAAAGAAAAAGATACTTGGCCGGTTGTATACCGGGTAAAGGTAAAGGAGAGACTCTTACGCGTCGCTGACCAACTTCCTACGTACGGAGTAGTAGTTTCATTTCTGCGAATTCTTTTTTCCCCTTTTATTAACATTGATTTTTAGAAACCGTCGTATTTCGGTGCCAGGAGGATTATCAAGACCAACGGACTCCGATCATCCCATTCCACCTAAAGTAGACCATGCCACCGTTAGAATAACCATTGGCTGGAATCAAGAGCCACGAGGCCTCCCATCACTTTAGGGTAGTACCTGTGGCCACGTCTGATACGAGGATACTCTGGGCGTTTGGGGTGCGCAGCTCTCTCAAATCACTCCTTTCCAACTGTGAAAGTCATTGACGCGCTTGACTGCTAAGGTGGTGTCAACGCCACAGGCCAGTACCTACTCTTACTGAGTGTAGTATTACAGCTGATATATGGTGTGGCCTTGATTGGTTCGGCAAAGGAACATGGACCACCCGAGACTCTTTCTGCCTAGACGCGATGTTACCGTGCCCCTCTGCTCGAGAAAGAGCTGTTCGATCCTGAGGGTGGAGATCCCCCGTTCCATGGTGCTGCTCAATAAGGTGCGCGGTTTATACCCTTCGCCCGACATACAAAGAAATAAGGATTAAGGTTGGTCTCACGCATTAGGAGAGAGAACCTAACCAAGTGGTCCGTTCGTTCAAAAATTTCCGCAGGTTCTCTCCTTCCCTTTTGCGTTCTTTGCTTTTGGTTTTCCTTTTTGTACCTACTCGTGTACCGAGGTTAGGGGTATTTTAGTACTACCGGTTTGGGGGGTTGGCACGGATCCCAACAAAGAGTGTGTGGGCCGAGGCACTCTTGGATCGATCTAAGACCACTTGTGGATGTGATATTACCCGTAAAGAGAGTACAGTCCCAATCTCGCGAGACACCGAGAACCTAGAGAGTTGCCTGATGCGCCAAGGTTGGAAGCACGGGTGTTCACCATTCTTATTACATATTGAATGGCCTTGTCAGGGACTCAGACTGCAACCAACATGAATGCGAGAGGTCTGATCGGGGCGCCAAGGCACACTGGAGATTTCCGGGCTTGCTACTCGAAGAATCCTTTTGCCCGTAGGAACACTGTCAACATGATCAAGGCTCGTAGCGTGACCGGGTCGCCTCAACGAGAATCAGTGTATGGAGCTTCTTGTCGAAGGGGTGAGCTGGACGGAGTAAAGGTCTGACATGCTTGAAGACCCCTTTTCCAGGACCCTATCCAGGACCAACCTCTTCCCGTGGTGATGTTCTCCCGTGCTTCCATGCATTGGTCGTTCCTAGCACAAGAGGATCGAGCGAGTAGGGTGCTCTCCGAACCGTCTCGCTCGAGGCTAGAAGGGGAAAAGAAATATGAGGAGGTCGCATTAAGTTTCAACTAATATAACCTACGGATAGCTAGGCGAGGATAGCCGTCGTGATGGCTTTTTGCAGGACGTGTATGCATCGAGCAGAATGTTTGACCAGGTACTAGAAACAGTACTCTGGACATACACCAAGAAGCACGGAGCAATCCCCGAAAAGAGTTTATCGGCGACAAGGCCCCCAGGCAATAGTCGAGCAGTTGAAACCATGGAATCCACCATCTGTGGCACGGCTCTGGATAACGCAACTCTTTCTCTCTTATCTATGAGATTGTTGGGGATATGATTGGTTTCAGATGCCAATCGCGTGGAAGTCGAGTGGGGACGATCAATTCCCAAAACGCCCTGGTCCGGCGGGGAATGGAAGGTGCAGTCCGCGAACGGCCCTCTTCCTTCACCCTCCTTTAGCGCTTCTTCCCACTTGTTCATAAGATAGAGAGATTTTTAATTTGCCTATGAGGGTTGGAAGGACAGAAAAGTCGTGGCATTTGCCACTATTCTGGAAGGATTTAAATTTACGAGTATTCTGGGGAGGTTGGGCAGGTACCTTTCAGGTATTAGTACATCTTGGTAGTGCCTCATCGGGTTAGTACTTCTTTTATGATATTCTCATCTCACCTCACATGCAAAGTTGATGTAGGATTACAGGGGAAAAGTTCTCCGACATGTAGTGAATCTTATGGTGCCAACATCAAAGTCACCTCAGACAATATATTTACCAAGTGGATCAGGTGTCATCTTGGGATGATAATCACTGATAAACTGATAGATAGTGGCCAGATATGTAGATACTAATGAGGTACTTGCCAGGTTGGGGGAGATAAGCAGCAACATACAAAAAGAGACGGGTAATAAGACACTACCCCACTCATTGAATCAGCTTAACGTCAACTAAAATTGACCTAAAAAGAAAAACCAGATAAATTAAATTCAAAAGTAAACCGGCACTCATTCGAACCTGTAGTGGATTGATTCTCGTGGTAAACCAAGCTTCAGCATAATCGGTACGAGAATGGAATCACGCGATATATGGTTCATGGAAAGGTACTGTACACCACAACCTGTGGCTCGGTGGCGTTGAACGGCTTCATATCGATGGCGTTGCGGGGGCAGTACAGGAAGAATCACTCATGTAACTAGTACTAACGCGCTCAGCCGCCCTCTTACCAACTGATTACGGCGAGGGACTAGGAATGTGTTTACAAGAAGAAAAAGAAATAAAAGATACTTTCACCATCCTAGATCTTCTCTTCTGGCATGAACCCTGTGATAAAAGTCCGTTACCTACCTGAAAAGAAGAGACGGGAGGATTCAAGTCAAATATACGACCTAAGCCGGGGTCAGACTAGGTTGGGTTAGTAGCAAAATAAGTACATTCTCTTCTAATCTCTTAACCTTTTGAAACGTCCTTGGGTCGCATGAAATTCCCGCAAATCCGGACTTATCGATACGGTCAAGTAATGGTAATGATAATGAAATGAGAAGCAATCAGTCCGCTATCAGAACCCCCGTCCATTGGGCCAAGTTAAGGTTTTCCCCATACTGCACTTGCGTCCACTGAATTGTCCGGTTCCAGATCCTCTTTCCAGTAAGCCACATGGGCTAGACTAACACAGTAAAACTGCAAATCGGCATGTCCGCTGCTCTGCCCGCCTCTCCTCCCTCTACCCTCGTCAATAATAGGCCAATGCTACGGACCCTTCCCAAGGAGCGGTGGTGTGAAATCAGTCCATGGTGTTTGATTCCCCCAATGCCCTCAAATCATATTTTTTTTTTTTTAAAAAAAAAAAAGGGATTTAATTTATTTCGTTATTTCATTAAGAAAATAAAATATTATGATTGATTTCCCCATTTGCTTAATATAAATAACGCTGATGATCCCACCGTCATTAACAAGTAGACTTCCTTTATAGATTCGCCCATTTCCCTCCCGCTCCTCTTCCTCACTGGATATACACCTTCTGACAATCCTAAACGGTCGCGGGGCCCTTTTGTCTCTCACGCGCTCCTCCAAGCATTTGCCCTTTTTCATCCTCTCTCAGGGCTTAAGATACATTCGTTCCCCCTCCTTCCCTCTACTACTATTAATTTATTGATTCGATTTCATCTTTTTACCTCCTAAATAGGAGGAGTAACGGAATCCAACATGGAGAAAGACAAAATTGAGACCAAGACCGAGCCCAGCGTGCCGTCCTTCGAGTCACCGCCACCTATGTATGGCGAAACAGAGACAACACGGGGAAGCCTGGGTCAAAGAATATGGGACAGTTTCAAGAGAGATCCAAACGCCCACGTCACGGCTAATCCATCCTCCGGTGCGGACGGAAAGTCCTTCGATGTTGAAACCGCCGCGCACGCAACAGCGGAGTCGCCATTGCAGCGTAGCCTGAAGGGCCGTCATCTCCAGATGATCGCCATCGGAGGTTCTATCGGTATGCGTAGCCCGTTTCATGCTATTGTACCATCAGAGTTATAAAAGAGATTCGGCCCTGACCTCTATCCTTGTCATCTTTAGGTACCGGTCTTTTCGTTGGTTCCGGAAAGGTTCTGGCCACTGGAGGTCCAGCATCGGTTCTCATTGCTTATGCTTTGATCGGTTGCATGCTTTACTGCACCGTACACGCGCTTGGTGAAATGGCGGTTCTGTTCCCTGTGGCAGGTTCGTTTTCCCACTACTCGACTCGATTCATTGATCCCGCATGGGGTTTCGCCATGGGTTGGAACTATGCCTTGCAATGGCTCGTAGTGCTGCCGTTGGAAATTGTGGCTGCCTCCATCACTGTCGACTACTGGGGTTCCAGTATCTCGAACGCCGCGTGGGTAGCTATCTTCTGGGTCTTAATCGTCTCAATCAACATGTTCGGCGTCAGGGGCTACGGTGAGGCCGAGTTTGTCTTCTCGCTCATCAAGGTAATTGCCGTAATTGGCTTTATGTAAGTACCCTGATGTGTTGCGACGCATGTTCACCTCACCGTGTGTAAAAAACATGACTGATGTAGAATAGAATCCTTGGTATCATCCTGAACTGTGGCGGAGGCCCCGAGGGCGGCTATATCGGTGGAAAGTACTGGCACAGTCCCGGTGCCTTCCATAATGGGTTCAAAGGCCTTTGCAGTGTCTTCGTCAACGCCGCGTTTGCCTTCGCTGGTACTGAGCTCGTTGGTTTGGCTGCAGCTGAAACTGCTAATCCTCGGAAATCTCTCCCGACCGCGGTCAAGCAGGTGTTCTGGCGTATCTGTCTTTTCTACATTGTGTCGCTCACACTCGTTGGCCTCCTTGTCCCCTACGACGATCCCCGACTCATCAGCGGACAATCTAGCTCTGACATTAGAGCGTCCCCATTCGTCATCGCCATCAAGAATGCTGGTATTGCTGTCCTGGATTCTATCATGAACGTCGTCATCATGATTGCAGTGTTGTCTGTAGGCAACTCTTCGGTTTACGGCTCTTCTCGTACCCTTGCAGCCCTGGCCGAGCAAAAACAGGCTCCCCAGTTCCTGGCATACATTGATCGGAAGGGTCGACCGCTTTGGGCAATCATGGTTGCGTCGACTCTCGGTCTGCTCAGTTTTCTGGCTGCATCGGACAAACAAACAGTTGCGTTTGAGTGGATGATGGCCATTTCAGGTCTCTCGTCAATCTTCACTTGGGGCTCGGTTTGTTTGGCACATATTCGCTTCCGCAGTGGCTGGAAAGCTCAGGGCCACAGTCTGGATGAGCTCGCTTTCCGTTCACAACCCGGAATCATTGGCTCCTGGATCGGATTCATTTTCAACTTTCTCGTCCTTGTCGCACAGTTCTGGGTTGGTTTCGCGCCAATTGGATACGGCGAGATGACTGCCGGCGAGCTCGTTGAGTCCTGGTTTTCTGTGTATCTCGCTGGCCCGGTCGTCCTGCTGTTCTATATCCCCTACAAGCTTTGGTTCAAAACACCCATTATCCGAGCCAAGGATATGGACTTGCACACCGGCCGTCGCGATCTTGACCTGCAGTATTTGATCGAGCAGGAAAGGGCAGCGCAAGCCGAATGGCCAGCATGGAAGAAGGTGTATAAGTTGTTCTGTTAGCATCGGAAGTTTCGTAATTTATTGTTTGTTTTGCAGGACTGAAATTCACTGGGCTGATTCTCTGCTGTACAATTATGATTAATGTGCCTATATTCCGATTCCAATAACCAATCTCATGATACCAATTTCAAGCCTAAAATCAATTACTTCTGTATTCCTCGGTAAAACATTAGTGACCGTCGAGCCGTTTATCCATATCATGTCGCTGCGTTAAGCTTTTGAATTATTGACATTGACTTGCGTCTTCCTCCAGTCTTGGCATGTTTGGGTCTGGAGAACGTTCCAGACAGCTTTAGGTAAAGCTGATACCGACCGTATGGACAGTTGTATTGGCGTCTCCTCGCGCCAATTTATAGTGGCCCACAAGCCGAGTAATGTACTGTAATTACTTTGTCAAGTCCTTTTAAAAGGAGCGAACGTGTGTAATATTTCACGGTGCAACCAAAAATAGCAACCCGGGTGAGACACGTGAGGCTGGGGCGGCTATGGACTTGGTTGTTTCACTACGGTAAATTACAATCATGGAGCTGGAGCGATGTTTTCCTCTCTGATCTCCGCCAGCAAAGAAATCGTCTTCCCCTGTTGTCATCCATTTCATACTGTAGAGAATCCTAGTATCCTCTACCCTCACTTGGATATTTCATTCTCTTTGTGCCTTGTTGGTATTTCTTTATTTTGTTTATCACTTTTCCGGGGGTCCTTCTTTCTCGGCATCTGGTTGCTATATAGCCGCCCTACCATAGATCCTCCAGTGCCTATGTTTGCTCGCCGCCGGTCTAAGCCACCGAAAGGATTTGCTGTTACTGTTCTTTGATTCAAGCGTTGTCAACGAGGCTGGTCACTCTTTGTTTATTCACCGCCCGCGTAACTGCCCTTCCGTTTCGGATATATCCAAACCTCAGCCTGGTGGCTAGTTTCGAATCATTAGTGGCTTTGTTGGCGACTGAGGTCATTCATTTTCTCTAGCTTTGATGCAATTCTGAGACACCGGCGCCAGATTTACGGTTATCATCCAGTTTCTTTCGACTCTCAATTTCAAGGTCGCATTGCCTGATATCCGACCGTCACCATGTCCGGTTTCGCAGTTTCGTTCTGGACGCCGGACTACGCAACCGGCCTGGGGGTGCTCTATGGGAAGCTCCAGCAAGGCGTTGTCGAGAACAAGCAAATTATCACAATCGCGTCTATGCGTGCAGATGCAGAAGAACAATATGGCGCGCGGTTAGGGGATATCGCACCGGCCGTGGATCGGTTGACAGGGACGGGGTTTGGGAAGGACGATGGGGCAAGTGTGAGGAAGGTAGGTTAGCCCCGACCATGGATAGAGATAGGTGGTGTACTAAGAATCTTGGCCTACGTGAAGGCTTATGAAGGTGTTCGCACTGAGATGATCGAGGCCGCCAAGAATCACCAAAAGATCGCTGCAAACATTCGCGAATTAGTTGTGTCACCTTTCAGGCGTTGGTGCGATCAGCATGAGGCACGAATCCAGAACTCACACGACGACCTTCAGGCGCGTATCAAAGAACACACTAAACAGGCGGACCTTGTGAAGAAACTCCGGAGTCACTACTTCAATAAATGCCGTGTGGTGGAAGACTTGGAGGAAGAGAATAAGCTCGCCTTTCAGGCTCCCGAGACTAGCCCGAAAGTCAAAGCGCCCCCCAAGATCATACTCCCGGAGGAGACAGAGGAGGAAGAACCGGTGGAGATCGGAGACCACGTTTACACCCCTGAGGGCCTCAAGCAGCTGTTGGTTCACATGCTGGATAATATCAAGCTAGGCGATGTGAAGGTGCCCATTATCGGTACCTACCAGAACACATCGACCGGTGTCGATATCGTGGAATACACTCAGAAACACATGAATGCAACCAGCGTCAGTTATGCAGAGAGGATCGGGCAGGATCTTGTCGACAATGGCTTGCTCCGGTTGGTGGGCAATATGGGTAGCACATTTGCTAACAGCAGCAAGATGCGATATCAATGGCGCCCCAAAGTATTCCAAATTACCGGCATTCCCGAGAAGAACAAGCCTCTGATGCGTGTAACCTCGATGGCGAATAGTGAGGACGGCAGCGAATCACCTATATCTTCTGTTTCGGAGATGTTGGCGGGCTGGAACCCTCTCAACAACTCCCATCCGAACGAGACGCCGTCGGAGAAGCTGCGCAGAGAAGCACGCGAAGCTGATGAACGGTACAAGGCTGCGGTGCGGAAGCTAGACCAGATCAGATGCAAGCTTGAGGAAGAGATTTTGGAGAATCTCCGGTTTATGGAGCAGTGTGAGCTAGACCGGCTCAAGGCGATCAAGGCGGTTGTCCTTGATTTCTCGGGTGCTATCAGCAACGTCATCCCGAACCTGCAAAGTACGGTGGATCATATGATGCTTTACCAGGAGACTATTCAGCCTCTCGGCGATCTTCGGTATCTTCTTGAGAATTACCGGACCGGAGGTTTTGTACCTCGGGTTCAAGCATATGAAAATTACTACGGCTCCGTGGAAGGTAAGATTTTAAGAGCTAACTCCGTATGAGATGTACAATAACTGACCCGTGCAGATCAAAACTTCGGCGTTGATCTTGAGGCTAGAGCAAGAGCTGATCGCAAACGGGTCCCCGTCCTTGTTACTACCCTCTTGACTTATCTTGACAATCGTAGGGCAATAATATTCTTGGTACGAAGGATTGTTGCTAACGGAATATCAAAGGTTATCCGGAACTCGAGGGCGATGAGGCACGACGTGCCATCTGGCTTTATGATGTTCCTCTGGCAGCCACCCACCAACTCCGTAACATCTTGAACAACAGCAAAATAGACTACCAGGAGGTTCTAGACAAATACGAGGTACCTATTGTTGCAAGCGTCTTGAAATTGTATCTTCTTGAGTTACCAGGTCCGTATCGCCTTAAAGAAAATCCGCCGCAGTCTCGCGCTGACTACATTTCACAGATTCCCTTGTTTCTTCGCAAGTTTACGAAATTGTTAAGACCATTTATTCTACCACCGCTCATGAGACGACAGAGGAAGGCCGGATCAAGGTCTTGCAGAGCACACTTGGTCAGCTTCGCCTCAACAACATTGCCACGCTTGACGCTATCATGACCCATTTCACGCGCTTGATTGACCTTACGTCTGCCGATGAGGCTTACATTTCTGCACTTGCTCAAACACTGTCTCCTTGCATCCTTCGCCCACGCGTCGAGAGCAGTCTTACAATGAACGAGCGCCACAGCTACCGTCTTATCCGTGACCTTTTCGCTCACAAAGATGCAATCTTTGGCGAGTTGAAGCGCCAATCCAGTGGTCTTGGAGTTACAGGTTCCATCAGCCGTCCTCGTGCCATTAGCACAGATGAAAGCAATCGCCGCGCAGCTATGGAAGCTCGGAACCGTGCTATCATGGATCGCAGCCGGGCTAACAGCCCTGCGCCTCCCCGAAAACATCGGCGGGATCGCTCTAGCGGACCCTCGGAGGTTGGCCGTTTCCCTGTTAATGTCACCAGCCCAACTGAGAGGCGAACCGCCACCCGTAACAGCCTAGATGTTCCTAGCAGCAACAGCTCCCCGACCGCCCAGGAACAGCTGTCCAATGTGAACATAAATGCTGCTACCGAGGCTACTACCAATGGGACCTCCAGTGATTCCTCGGCCTCTGCTACCGCCAACGAAACGACTTCCGACGGCACTACGAGCCCCCCACCCATGGCGACGTCAGCAGCAGACGACTCTCCTACGCCTACTCCTACTCCAGCCGCCGATGCCGAGAAGCGCGCTTCTATCACTCGCTCCTCATTCACCCGCAAGCCCGGGCTCGGTAACCGATCTAGCTTCCCCGTCGTCCCAAGTGGAGAATCTGGGACAGACAGCAAGCGAAACAGCCTGGCTGACAGCGAACCCAAAGGTGTAACATTGGAAGACAAGCCAATGGATGATGACTAAATATATTACCCATCAAAACTCATATCTCCTTAGATTCATTTTGGAATCGAAAGGAAGCAAAGTATGACCATATAAGATGCACATAAAACCCCCAAATCAAAAAAAGAAAGAAACTGGAATTTCAGGTGGAAATGTATGTATTTAGTCGACGTTTCTCGAACTTTCAGCAGGCCTTGTTAGTTGAGATGATGTCGACAGTCGCGATATGCTCTTTCATGTTCCGAAGTCTTTTTTCCTATCTTTCACCATTCTTCTTCTATTCAAGTATAAACCATATCATACCATTCGTTTATCGTTTCGCATACCCCCACCGCCAGATATTTCCATATATGTTTATCTTCTTATTTTTCTCTAATGTATTCCTGTATGCATAAAGTATTTTCTTTTATTATTTATTGTTTTGCGTGCTTTCGCAGTGTTCTCTTTCCAAGCGATCTTTGTGGAATTGACTATAAAGTCCTTTCAGCTTCGACAAGCTGATAGCTTATTCATATGTAGAGATGTGTTCTCGATTCATGACATTTTATAACCCAAGTCTTATTCTCACTAGCATTATGATCGTATCTAGATAAACTATACAGAGCTGTGTCCGAATGCTATGATAAACGCTAAACAGGATAATGCCGAACGCAACACCTATACAAATGGTCGATGACAAAACTTATCCAATAGACTCCGTCAGTGTGGTACAGTTCATTATACATATCACAGCCCTTGGCCCGTGAGCAACCGTCTGAGGATGCCCTCTCCTGGGCCAGCAAGCTGGGTTTCGATCTCTCTCTGGGATACGAAACAGACGAGTCCCTGTTCGTCCATGGCTCTGCTGGGGGTCATAGGGCCGCTCATGGACTTGGAGGGAGAGCGCCTAATGTTTGAGCCTCCGGCCACAGTGCCGCCTCGACCCTTTCCCTGATATTCTCCGACTAGCCCCAATGTCTCCAAGTTACTGAGTACATCTCTGAATTCGGTTGCTGTAAGTGGATGGAGGATATTGTCTGCTCGACACAAAGTACAATATGTATCGAATATTTGCTTGATGGTTGGAGCCAAATTCTTGGTCTTCGAGGGTGTACCTGGAACTTCCCCGTCACGTCGTTTCCGGTCGAGTGCAATTAATGCACAAATGGCGGCTTTTTGTTGAAGGTTAAGGCCCTGTAGCCGCTGGACAGTCCCTTGTCCAAACGTCGCTGAAGTGATACGGGCAACGTGAGCAATGCTGGCCCGTGGCGCGGTAAGCGTTGTATAGGCTGTTGTAGAATTATCTTTTGATCTTGCGGGAGATGAAAGGTTGTTATTTTCAACCAGTATAGTTTTGGAAGGGCTGTCTGGGTTCTCATTTTGTTTTTCCAGTTTCTGCAATGTCTCTTGTTCGATAAGATCAAGAGCGCGCTTAATGAGCTCAAAAGCCTTTCGCAAATCGCCGGTCTGAGATGCAACCTTCTTTGAACATAATTGTATAGCTGCCGGTTGAACGAAAGGAATGAATTTTGGGTCATCGCACTGACCAGAAGGAAGCAACGAGCGGAGTCGTTCAGTAACCACGTTGGCGATCTGACCGGCATTGTAAGGTAAGAAAGGAAGTAAACGAGGTTTCAGGTTCTTTGCCTTCAATTGTGGCAATGAACGGTCGGTTAAATCCAGTGCATTAGCGATTCCGATAAGCATGAGCTTGGATTTGCCGTGCAATGACCACTCGAACAGAGATTGAAGGATACCCGCATCCGCCGTAAGGAGGTGATCTATTTCGTCCAATGACACCAGAAACATATCGTCTTGCTTCTTATCGGATGTGAACATGGTCTTTAGTCTTTCTGATTCGCTTTTCTTGAAAATTTGCTGGTCATCGCAAAGATCTTCGATGAGCTTGCTGTATACATCACGAGCACTTCGCATACTAGCACAATTGACATGTGTGACCTTCACAGACCCAAGGTCAAGTTCATCACACACTTCCTTGACCATGGCACTTTTGCCTGTTCCTGGAGGACCACTAACATATAGACAGCTACCATGTCGGGATTTCAGACTATCCTGTATGAACGAAAGTAGCTTTTCCCGTTCCGCTTCACGGCCGATAAGACGGCCCGAGTTTGCGCCCCGGGCAAACAATTGTCTAGCTTGGGTATATACCGTTTGTGTGGTTTGTGTGGCCGTTGGGGTGAATGTTAGTCGCGGCGTACGTGGGGTTAAGGATATTCCTCCGACCTGAACCCGGTGCTTTGGTGTGATAGGCGGCGAGTCAAGGGCGTCTCGATATCTGGACTTTGAAGGGGTTTTAAACTCAACGGGTGTAGCATTTTCGTCTGTACTGGTTGGCTGAGGCTCGGCGCATCTTTTCGTCGATAATCTTCCATTGACCGATTTAGAGGTACGGATACGTGGATTGGTCTTTGTAGGAGATGGCGCTTCATGCTCCAGCTCTGAGTGCCTCACACATTCATTCTCAATGGGGACGTCCTTAGCCTTGACATTATTTTCCTGTTGAAAGTTGCCGCTACTTTTTGTCTTTGAACGCAGTTGACGTGTTGTCGATACAGACGGCGCATTCTCTTTTCGAAGAATGCGCGGCGGTTGTGTCCGGCGCCTACTCGCACTGCGTGCTGGCAATACTGGAACTAATGCAAATCAGTTAGTATTGACAAACAGCATCCAAGTGGACGCACGAGGAAAGAGAGAAGATAGGTGGCTCAAGATCAACCATACCTTCCACCTCAAGAGTGTTTCGTTGGCGCTTGCCGAGAATCGAAGCTGTCATTGTGAGCGAGCTATCGTCAATGGTTGTGGCAGGAGCAGATGAGGATGAAGTATGGATAGGCAAGTACGAAGGAGGCAGTAGACATAAAAGTTGCGTGTTGCTACTACCTATCCATCAATGACAGGTACTTGGCAGCCCCGTCGGTATGGAACTTTGCCCAACCAGGCATAATTTCTTTCTCACGCGTTGTCGCGTCACGCGTTGAGCTACTCCCGAAATGGAAGGCATCATATCCCGGTCGCACTACGGGAGGCGAGAGGCCAAGGAACGCAGTTTACTAATAACTAGCGTAAAGGCCGCTTATCCCCGCGGTAGCGGAGAATCTGATTATCCAAGTCCACAAGCAAGTGCGTCACTCGATTCTACCTGATGATGCGGGTCAATTCTACAAAACCATCTTTCAGATTATTCCGTTGGCGCCAGTGATCAGGTCAAGTGACAGAAAGGTCATAAACTCGATCCATCATTTTACCACCTAACTGCCTGCATTAGTATTAATCGATAGTCCAGTCAGTGGCTTTGGCACCTTTCCTTTCACGGGGCAGTTACGGAGTACAGCTCATTATTGCAGTTTGCAGTTGTTTGCATCACATCGTCACAACTCAATACACTGAAGCTTGCGGCATAGTTCCTTCTACCTCATTACGTTCATCCTCCTTCAAGTCGCGTTCTTGTACACCTCCCAAGCTTTCTGCCCGCTATGAATGACGATGTGGTGGCTCAGTTCACCGAGATCACGGGCTCGAGCCCTGAGTTGGCCACTCAGTATCTGCACCTAGCCGATTACGATATCGAACAAGCCATGCAGCTTTATTTCGAAAATGGTGGCGCACCACTAACTGATGAGCCAATGCCATCTACATCGGATGCTCGGGGAGCTCGTCGCACCGCAGGTGACAGCGGGGTTGTACATGTTGACTCCGATGACGAGGTTACTGTCGACGAAACGCGATCGACTCCTCGACACCAAGCGCCACAAAGTTCTACTTATGAAGACGACGAGGCCATGGCTCGGCGTCTCCAGGAAGAAATGTATGGTGGGGGAGCGGGAGGGGGAGGAGGGCCAGGTGTTGTTGATGATGATGGCGTGCGTGCTCCGATGGCCCGCACAACAGAAACACTTGTAGGGCCCGAAGCAGACTTTGACGATGGTGATATGCATGCAAGTATATTGGGTCAATTGCGCGCTCGTCAGCAACGCAATAGTTAGTGTTCTCGTAATATCGGCATGCTTGTACGTTTACTAACCTTCACCTCTGTTAGGTCGACCTGGTATATTCAACCAGAGAGATACTGCATCGATATGGACAGGAGATGACGAAGCCTCGCGCCGCGAAAGGCTTTCGGCAGCCACAGGAGGCGCGTCTGACGCCTCGAATAAGTCAAATATGCTTGCCGAAATGTATCGTCCGCCGTTTGAGATAATGTCACGGCTCCCATGGGATGTGGCCCGCCAAGAAGGCCGTGAAAATGAGAAGTGGCTGCTGGTTAACATACAAGATCCCTCGATCTTCGACTGCCAGCTGCTGAACAGGGACTTGTGGAAGGACGCCGGGATCCGAGACACTGTCAAAGAACACTTCATCTTTCTACAGTACTCAAAGGATGACCCACGCTCTGCACCGTACATACAATACTACTTTCCGGGTAGCGACATTTCCGATAATTACCCTCATATGGCGATTGTCGATCCACGCACTGGTGAGCAAATGAAGGTGTGGTCCGGACCGCCCGTGATGAAAGCTGCGGAGTTCCTCATGCAGCTACATGAATTCCTCGACCGTTACAGTCTAAAGCACAACGTGCGGAATCCAGTGGCCAAGCGGAAACCAGAGAAGAAGGAGAAGAACATTGATGCTATGACGGAGGAGGAGATGATGGAATTGGCGATGAGAAATAGCCTTGGTACAGATGCCTCGCAGCCTCAAAAGTTGGAAGATCCCGACGATTTGACTCGTAGCGTCGAGGATGTTAAAGGCAAAGGCCGAGCAGCGGAGACAGAAGATGTCGGCATGGGTGAAGCAGGCCAGGGTAGGAATGGCGAAGCCGAAGCCTCCCCATTCTTTTCGATCCCTGACAATCGGCCACACACCGAGCCCTCTGCCGACCCGGCTACGACTACACGCATTCAGTTCCGCCATCCATCTGGGAGAGTGATTCGACGTTTCGCTCTGAAGGATCCGGTTCAGAGAATCTACGAATGGCTCAAGGCTGATCCCCCGTTGTCAGATAAAGCGGGCGTAGAGTTCGAGCTCAACTCCCTAGGCCATAACTTGATCGACTCTCTCGACAAGAGTGTGGAAGACGCTGGCTTGAAAAATGGAACGGTAATGATAGGATTTGTTGAAGAATAAATGCACATGATTGAGGATAAGATACCTGCATTTGATGAGGCGTTGGGTTCGGAAACTTGTGGACCGGCCGGTTATGGGTTCAAGGAACAATCGAGTTCCACTTCTACACTATGGGTTCTCACCTAGATAGGGGGCATGTCTTGCCTCATTTAGAATTGTCGTCATTTCGCTTCTTTCTACTTTCTCCTGTTTATTGACAAGCTATTACATATCTTGTTACATGCTAGGACCAAGCTATAATCATGCTACCATGCACGGACTGCACCTTCAAGTGATGCTCCTAGAGGATTTGATATCACAAATATCATCGCCATCCCAATAAATGGGGAGCTTTTTCCACTATTAAGCCTTTGGGCATCATGAATATCTTCCTCAAAAGTGAGAAATCATCTCGCCAAAATGTACCTAACGAATGTTTGGGGGCTTTATGCCTAGTGAAGCTCAGTTCTAGTTGACATCAGAATGGTCAGTTTTTCTAGCCAGGAACCGCATGAAGCGCCATAGAAGGTGGAGGAGTGTAAACAGAAATTGACTGCTTATGCAGGATACTAAGTGACACCTAATCGTAAGAAGCAAGCCTTAGTAAATCAAGAAAAGACAGAAGAAGTTGTACCACGGTAAATCCAACTACAAATGACATTTATTCCCGCAACCAGGTTTTAGCCTTGTTGTGAAGCGAAGATCTTTTATCTCGTAAAGGAATCATACCCACAGGGTGGTGCCAGAGTCATTAAGTGCAATCAAGAAAAGTACCGAATGCTAATCATAGGATTAAGACAGCATCAATTGTCTTGCTTAGGATCTAGCTCGAGAGGTAATGGCCGACACAGACGGCTACATTCTGGGCAGGAGTGTATCTGAATCCGTTCGGTGGTTTCTTCGACTACTTGTACGCCGCCGCTACAGATAATAGTATTACTAACTAGAAACAGGTTACACGCTCAGCATTTACTCTGGAAACTTCGCAACGGCTACGAACTGAATCCCCAGATCCCAATCACGGACGGCATGAAGATAGCGGAACTTGGGACCAGAACTGCGTAGACAGCCTACTTCTACTCTTGTTTACCCAGGGAACTCAAGACGGCTGATCCAATGACGAACAAGTATCTGGATGAATGACCTTGCGCAGCAGCTTCCGGCAACAGACCAGCTTCATGGATTTGACATATCTGACAGCCAGGATCCACCGAAAGATCGGTTGCCGCCAAATGTTGCCATATGGCTATTGGACTCCACGGAAGATCCCCCATCGCCACTAATTGGCCGAGACGATGTAGTACATCTCCGGATGTGGGAGAGTAACCTCCCAAACGGCGATACAGGGCCGGTGATTCGCCATGCAAAGAAATTGTTGAGTATGTAAAATGCGGCCATTTTTATGGTAACTTCTACTCTGATGCTGCAGAGCCTAGAGGATGTATCCAATGGGAGGATGCAGACCTCATGCACCAGTTGGCTGAGGGACTTCCGGTGATAGAATTCGAGGTAAAAAATGAGAGTTATTTCCTATGCCGATCTCGACTATAAGTAATTATCCCGTTTCTCCTACAAAACCCATTCCAGAAACGAGGGCCGATAATGAGGGCGCTATATATAGTAGCTGGGTGTCTGACTTACCAAACCGCTTGAAGAACGAGGGCTTTCATTTTCTGAAATTAGGAACGGCAACTTCGTACCTTACTTGACACAGCTGTGTACGAATACATATTTATTAGGTCTTCAAGAATTATTCCAGGGCATCAAGAGCAGATGCTCACAAGATCATTAATCACCTTCACTAACCGAGCATGATAGTGACCTCTACGATCTTGCTACTACAACTGCTCGCCTAATACGGGTTTGGGGAAACTTTGGTAGTGCGGTTTTCATAGCTTATTTCGGCAAATCGCCTGGTAGAAAAATGAGCGCTTTCATATAGACAGTCTCCACAAGGAACATCAGAGCTCTATAAGGGATTTTTCGAAAACAAAGGATCGGTGGTATCAGCACGGAGCTCATATGAAACGACGTTTTTATCTGTTGTGATCTCAGGGGAAAGATAGGCAGAATGAGGCTGTATCAGCTACACGTACGTAGCCTACTGAGGACCGGATGCCATTTCGATAGATACTCAATTCTATGGACGACTGCATCTATTATCTTGATCGCTTCCTTCTCTCTCCTACCAATAGGTAAAGCCTTCAGGGGCTAAAGTTAGTGATCCGGCCAAGCCACTAGGATCACGTAGTCTCATATAGATTCATATCATTATCAAGTTGAGATATACTACTAAACCCAGAGACCTCTACTGGGAAAGTGGGCTGCGGCGGCGAGGGTAATCTGAATAAAAGGTTCTATATTTAAGGCTTGACGAATCTCTTGTGCGACTATTTCATATCAGGTCACTGGATGCTGTACACTCGCTTGATTGCTTGAGAGAGGCTCTTTAGCTAGTCTAAATCTTTAGACATTCAACAGCCAGCAAGCCTTTCTTTTCTTTCAACGCAGGAAACCCGCAAAATTGCCACCATGGGTGAACCAACCCATATCCTTGATCCAGATGGAGAAGCTATCATAGTCCTGCAAATTCAAACGCCCCTTTCACAGTCTTTGATGAACTACCCCCCATCAATACCCGCTAAAGCCTCGCATAAAAATCCAGTCAAAGCAAACCATGTCAAGTCGAAGTCATCAAGAGGGTGACAAAAAAGCCGATCTGACCTTTCGTATTAAAGTCTCCGCGAAGCATCTGATTCTTGTGTCGCCTGCGTTCAAGAAGATACTGACTGGTGGTTGAAAGGAAAGCACTACATTCCTCCAGAAAGGCTCAGTTGAGATTACCACCGAAAACTGGGATCCCGAGGCGCTATTGATCCTACTTAGGATTCTTCACTTCCAACTTCATATTGTACCTCGACGGTTGATCCTTGAATTGAACGCTAAGGTTGCCTTAATATCGGATTACTATGGAATGCAACGCTGCTGTGAGATATTTTACTGACATATGGTACCCCCCCTGAAAACAAGCTTCGCTACGACATACTGTCGAGAATTAAAGCTGTGGCTGTGGATTTCCTGTCTTTTCCAGCTCAGGACTAAGTTCAAAGAAGCTACCTCCATTTCCATGTCACAGAGCAACGGGTGGATTGCATCTTCTGGTCTTCCCATTCAAAGTACTGAATAAGGACATGGATCTTTATATAAAGCCCCCACTCCTATAAAACAGATGCAGCCAATTGGCCTACTTTGCCCACGGCCCAAAGCTCCATTCGAAAATCTGAACTAACAAGGGTCTTGTAGAAGCAGTGATGGCATTAACGTCTCCAAAATGGGTTCGGGAGTCAGAGTATTCGTCTTACACAGGCTTTATAGTTCACAAAGGTTCCACGTCATTGTTTGGCCGCTGTTTCAGACAAGTTGAGGATAAAGTACCAGGAATTTGGCAGGTAAACTTTCAATTATGACAAGGTTGGCGCATATATGTTATACTCTTCTTTCTTTACGCAACAGAGGTGATTCGTACTCTATAAACAATCTGATAAGACAGGGGTGAGAGCAGCAGTATATGAATACTATGGACTCACACCTCGTAGTCATGGACCGATTTTCTTTTTCTATCGTTGCTTTGTGTAAGACAGGGTAGCCAATGAATTACTATACTCTCGTTAGATTTCTCAAACTTAACAGCACTCATCAATATTACTACTGAGGTCTCGAAGTCCCAGAGTTATTATCTAGAATTTCAAGACGGCTTCCAAAAGCTATTTAAGTAGGGGTATAGTTTGTCTGATTCTATCAATGTTCTCCTGCTTGCTCATAATAGAACATGTTATATTAGATATTTATGTAGAAAATATAGCCACTCCAAATACTCGAGGATAAGGCTGTCCAAAATGCCTTATATGAGCACTAGAAAGGAAACAGAAAACTAGCGCAACATGACTCAGCCTGCACAACAACACCGAATGCTCTATACTAGACTATTGAATTCTAGACAAAGCTGGTCGAAGTAGACGAAAATCTACTAATCACTATTTAAATTTCATCTGCCCTAGAGCTCTACTCAACCATTTCAACGAGCTTGATGGTATTGACATTGTACATACCAAGTATCAATGCCGACAGATTTGGAAACGTATTTACTACCACTCGGGTAGTTCAGCCTACATTTCAGCTATTTGACTTGTTCGTGAGTTATAAAATATAAATGATTGGTTCACTATATTAACCTTGCCACACCTCTGAAGAATAAAACGGACATTATGATTAATTGAAAGCATCACAAATCTCAGGGCTAGGCGTTTTAGTTTGGAACGCCACCAACGTAGGGGACCGACGATGAAGGCTCTATAACTATCAACTCCTGGGCGAAAGCTTGACCATAAGCTCCGGCTTTTCCCACAGGTTGAATACTCGTTGATTATCCCAGCTCTCTGAAGCCGGACAGAGTTTGAGATCAAAATTCCAGAGGATTAGAGCCATGATCAAGCGCATTTCCATATAAGCAAGACTGTAATTCGTCAGCAGGTACCAAGTATCAGGGAGGAGTGTGAGTCTTTTCGGGAATGCTACGCACTTTCGACCAATGCAGTTGCGAGGGCCAACATGGAACGGCTGTAATGCGTTCTTGTGATCATTCTCGAAGCCCCGTGCATTGGGTAACCATCTTTCGGGGATGTACTCATTGGGGCGCACGAAATTTCGAGGAGAACGGTAGGTCGCCCAGTGATTCATTCGAACAATTGTCTAGAGATGGTTAACAAGTTGGGTGGAAGAACAACAACGTGAATCGTCTAATATAATGATGTTGTACCTTTGGGGGCACTGGCCGGCCCATTATTACCTCCATGTTAGATTCTGTATTCCGGGGAAATCCGTCTGCTATGGGTGGATAGACTCGCAACGCTTCGTTCAAGCAAGCTAAAAGATATGGGAGCTTGTTTACGCTGACGAATGAGATCTCCTCGGCTGAATCAAACTCGCTCCGGACTTCTTTTACTACTCTCTGCAATTTTTCGGGGTTCTTAAGGAGGTGGAAAGTGACACCGCACAGCAATGATGCGGTGGTCTCGCTGCCTGCAATAATCAATGATTGTACCGTCGAGTGGTATTCCAAATCAGTAACACCGCTGCCGGGCTTGAGGAAATTCGCGACCAGATCATTCCGACCGTCATTGATGGTCTTTCGATATTCTGCCTTCTCCTTGGTTAACTGTTTCTGCTCCTCTCGACGGCGCGGGAAGCTCTCTGGAATGAGCAACTGGATGGCCGGGCTGAGCAAGGGCCAGAACTGGGCGCATCGAAACAAAGAACTGTAGAGGACGCTGTCAAATATGAGCTTGACCCAAGGATGATAGCTAGAGCTTTGAAGGCAATTAAAAGACTCTCCGAAGACCAACAGAGCCATTACGTCGAATGTGAAGTACTATATAGCATGTTTTAGTTTGTCGGTTGTGAGAATCTTGCAACCATCTAGAGGTACGTTCACTACTCACATTGTACCAACGGGTGAAGTCCACAATGTTCTCTTTGAGTTCATTACATTGGCTGCTCAGATTTTCAATCATTACGTCGGCTTGGGATCGAATGGTGGCCTCTTGTTCTCGCATTGACTTTTCGGAGAATCCATGTGAGATTTGCCGTCGAAGAAATGCGTGACGCTCTCGGTCGGCACGAAAGATGCCGTCAGGGCCAGAGGCAACACTCGCATAGAAAGCTTTGTCTTTCATGATCTCGGATTTCCCCTGGCGATGGCCATATATCTCAGTCCACCCATCTGGGTGAATATACGAAAGCTCATTTGGAGCCACCCGGACTACATCACCATATCGAAGATGAAGCTCATGAATGGCAAAAGGCAAAGAGCCGTTAGCACAGTGCCAAGCGTACCAGACTCTAGTCGCTGCAGTAAGTCGGGGCCCAGGATAGTTGGACAGTGGGTGGATGTACACGTTGTACAGCCCCGAAGCAATAGCTGCAATGGAGACCTATAGCGTTTACGTCAGGTAAGAAATCCACTGTGGATATACTAAGATTATGGATGATTGAATCATACCAAAACTATGGCCCCACCTATAAGTTTGAGAGACCCCGTGGGGCTCAGAAGGAATTCTAAGGTACTAGTGGACACCATCATAGTAGATATTTTTAGGAGTATCCGTTTACTGAGAGATAAATAGAGTTCAGTTGGAAAGGACGAAGGATCAGTAGATCGACGTGTCTTACGGGCGGAAGGGTTCGCCTTAAAAGAGGAATGTAGTATACCCCCAAGTTGAGTTATTTCGGAACTGATGAGACCTTTATCCTGCAAAGTTGTTTCACTATCCCCGCATAAATAACCCATGATCCGGCAACAGAATGCCGAGAGGTGCATATCACGGACATAATTATCCCTTGAATCCGAGGGGTAACATTCACATGGTCAAGATATGTATCTATGAGAGTCTCTAGTCATACTGGGGTGAATGTTGATTTACATCGAATATCATTGCTTATCGCTGGAGATTATTTGAATATCTATTCCTGGTAAGCATATTCCTCGTGATAGACCCTCCTTTTATGCCTAGTTAGAGGATAAAACAACCCTGTCTCCTAAGATGTTGATATCGTCTTATTAATGGTAGACATATACTGCCGGATAACGATTGAAAAATTCCCGCTAACATAGCCCCCAGGCGGACCACAAAGGAAATGTGGATCGAAGGATTTCGGAATCAGCAACGCCTTGCGATGATGGCCCCCATGCTAGAGATGCCGATCTTCGTGGCTGACGGTTGCTGAAACTTCCACGCGGCCAACCACGAAGCTATAAAGGCATGCACTGAGACCCTGAGTAGAGACAGATCAATCAATGCATTTGTGCGCAAAGTTGTTCTATCAGATTCTAACGGGGAACAAAATGGCTAATTCGTACCCTCTTCTCTTTCTTTGGTTTCTTCTCTTATCAGCCGTGTCTAGCACCGCGATTCCTCTCCGCCAAAATTTCGGTAATAAAATAGAAACAAGAGCCGATAAAGTGCCCTTGAGGATCCTTCCACTTGGCGCGTCGATAACTTGGGGTGTAAACTCTGCTACCGGCAATGGCTATCGGAAACCTTTACGGGATCAACTCACTTCTGCCGGCTGGGAAGTCGACATGGTCGGAACCAAACACCATGGTAGCATGAAAGACAATGTTCGTTCACCTCTCTACTAAAGAAAGGGGGTTGCTTCAAGATGTGGCTAACATCAATGATCACCTCTAGGATGTCGAGGCGCACTCCGGCGATACTATCAAACAGGTCGAGGAAGCAGCCCTGGGGTCTCTGAAATATAAGCCAAATTTGGTTCTGATCAATGCGGGAACCAACGACTGCAGACTGAACGTCAGCATCCCAGAAACCGGTGAACGTATGCGGCACCTGATCGAGAGTATTCTGGACGCCGAGGACACACGCGACACAACGATAGTCTTGTCCACTTTGATTCCTTCCGTGCTGAAAAAGATTGAAGCCAATCGGCCTTCCGTCAATCGTCAATACCAAGATTTGGTCAGGAGGATGCAAAAAGAGGGCATCCGCATCGTCTTGGCTGATATGGACCCTGAGAATGACGATGATGGGAACCGGCTCTCATACCCTGAGGACTACACCACCGACGGTGTTGCAAATGATACTCATCCGAACGATGGCGGCTATGCTAAGATGGCCAAGATGTGGTACAAGGCAATTTTGGAAGCATCCGATAGGGGGTTCATTAATAAGCTGTCTCACTAGACAGCCGTCAAGACTCGTTTACGGGTATACATTGGTGGTTTCACTATCAGGTTGTTGTAATAGAGATGTATATTAGTTGGGACATGTGATAGATCAGACGCCATCCTATAGATTAGACGGAGATTTTTGCTGTTGTTGTTTTCGTTCATATGTTGGTCATGCATCCATGCAAGCACTTATGAAAGGTTTTTCAAGAAATGTATATTTTTTGAAGCCAAGCTCGTTCATACATAAAGCGTGTTAAGAAGATATACTCATTCGACAACCATACCCCCGAAGCCAGCTAGCGCAATGTCCACTCTCTGGTCGCTAGCTGTATATGAAGGCTTCGTTGCTACCTCATCGTTGTGCTATCCCTGAACTCCCTGGGGCCGCCGGGGGGGGGGCGGCATTTTAAGTTGGGGAATATTAATAATAGCAAGACCTTCAGGAAAAGAGGCATTGAGGCGGGGAGAGAATAATATGGGCAGGAGGGGAAAAGATGGCATTTTGTACGCGCCCCCGATTAGGGCAGCCGAGCCTATATCTGAAGGGATATGTAACTAAGAACAGAAATGTTTCGCAACCGTATGAGGTTCATACAAGTACCAAGTATAAGTGAGTTGTATGGTAATCCTTCTCATATATATTCATGTAACCGACCTTGTGCCAGTCGAGGTCCATCAATTTGACGTGCATTTTGTTATGATTACATTAGAACATTCATACATGGAAGGGTGACCTCTGTAGATATGACAGTAGTATATCCGATAATCGTAACTCCTTCAGGTTTAGCCTACACCTTGCACCATTCAGTTTCACCGCCTAAGGAATCCCGATGCATGACTGGAGCTCCTCAAGGGGAGCTCCACCGCCCGGCAAAAACGACCCCGCGCTGCCCCAATCATCAGTCGGTTCCTGTGGTTGCTGCTCAAAGGATCAATCAATGCAAGGGAAAAACAATCCTTTGTTCTCCCTCGAACTGTTGTTGCTAAGACTCGGAGCCCAGTCGAACCCCTTACTCCTATCAGTACTGCTGGCTTGGAAACCCTCGGGGCAGACTGATTCAACCTCGTTCATTCGTGTTCCTCTAGCGCTTTTCGCCGCTTTGTTGATGGCCTACAGCTCCAGATCCCACCGGGCGAGGGATCTCATCAAAACAATAGTAAGTGGAGCATTAAGACTAGCGACAACATTCGCAGGGATAACTTTGCGACTAACCTTTTTTCTATCTTCAATAGTATTCTTCCTTGATGAGCCTCTATTGATTCCTACAATACTTCAATGTCTCATACCTAGTTGTCTCCTCATAACATAGACCGGCTCTCCTTGTTAACCTTATCGGTACGTTGTTATACTGGGCCCCCCTTCCACTGATTATGCACTGTCAACATATTTGTCTCTGCCAACCAAGGTCTTATATCTCATTTGCTTAATCCATCCATTTCTCTGCATTACCAATCTGTGCTTGCGCGCCTCGCTTTTTGCATAGACTAACGGAATAAAGTGCTACAGAGCCACGTGAACTCTTGATATTCGATTTCCGCGGACAAACCTCGCACTCAGCAAAGATGGAAGGATTAGTGGACCCAGAGACGATTTATATGAAGCAGAATTGTATTGGTATGTTCCCATTGATCATTACCTTCGCATCACAGTGGCAATGTTCCTAACTCGGCACATAGGCGGTGGGAGCTTCGGGCGTGTCTACAAAGGGTATGCTCTAAACTTGCGCTCATATCCTTTGTGAGTTTTTCTCTGACATCGCCTCTCTCGTCTTAGGGTTGATAAGCGGACCGGCTCCTCTGTCGCAATCAAGATTATCGACGTGGAAAATGCTGAAGACGAAGTTGAAGACATCATCCAGGAAATCGCGATCTTGTCTGAACTCAATTCTCCATATGTGACGAGGTATCATGGCTCTTTTTTGAAAGGTTCAAGCTTATGGATCGTCATGGAATTCTGCTCTGGGGGCAGTTGTTCTGATTTGATGCGCCCGGGCACGATTCCTGAGGAGTATATCATGATTATTCTCAAGGAGCTTCTTCGGGGATTGGACTATCTTCACAGCGATAAGAAGCTGCACCGTGATGTGAAAGGTATTTTTTATTCTCGAAAACTCTAATCTTTGCGTTAGCAACTAACAGGATTGGTAGCTGCAAACATACTTCTAACCTCGAGCGGCCAGGTAAAATTGGCGGACTTCGGCGTGTCTGGCCAACTAACGGCAACTATGACTAAAAAGAATACCTTCGTAGGCACTCCGTTTTGGATGGCCCCAGAGGTAATCAAGCAATCGGGGTACGATTATAAGGCGGATATCTGGTCCCTCGGTATCACAGCAATTGAGCTAGCCAATGGAGAGCCCCCTTACTCTGATATTCATCCCATGAAAGTTTTATTTTTAATCCCCAAGAACCCTCCCCCTGTTTTGCAAGGAAACTATAGCAAAGCTTTCAAGAACTTTGTTGAGCTATGCCTGCGCCGCGATCCTAGAGAACGGCCATCAGCTAGGGAATTACTTGAACATCCATTTATCAAAAGGGCGAAGAAGACAAATTACCTCACGGAGCTAATTGAACGCTATGAGCGTTGGCACGCGGTCTATGGTAACAAAAGTGCTGATGACGAGGAAGAAGCTTCGCATGAACCTCCACTACAGCCCGCAAACACTGAAGACGATGATCTTTGGGATTTCGGGACCGTTCGCCCCGCAGGACGGGGCCCTGGTTTAAAGCCTATGAAAGAAGCAGACATGAACACACGGGGTCACGAATCTCCAGAGTGGGAACCCAAAGATCGACCGCAAAAAGAATCGGTGGAAGCAAACGGCAACAACCCACAAAGGCCTGCACAAATAAAGAATATCCAAGCCGCTGCATCAAAGCCATCGTCTCCTACAAAGGTTCCTTTGCCACCATCACCAGTGAAACAAGGGCCATCAGAGGTCAAGCCTCGAACACCTTCTCATCTCCAGAAACCAGCTCCTCAACAGCTCAAAGAGAGTCCTGGGAGCGAATACGATAAAGCTCTACAACAGTCCTTAGCTCAAGACATATCTTTTCTTCATATCGACGCTTCTCCAGAAAGTCCATCCCCCTCAGTAAAAAGTCGAAGTGCTATTCCGGTCCCACAAGAACCTAGAAAAGTCAACACACCTCGCTCTTCGGGGGTGCCCTCACATCAAGAACACTTGCCGGCACAGCACTTGCGGCGTCCTTCAGACCAAAGTTCCCGACCTGCAGTCGAACCCCGTCCCCAACACCAAGCATTCCAGCCACATCCTCGCCCGCCACCAATACCAAGACACGCATCTCCCCAGCCACAACGACTCCCGCAAACACCGATGCAACCGCCTGGTCTTGGGCATAGTTTCAATCAGATCCATAGGGGCACGGATTCCCATCAACAGGCTACTGGTGGAGCACCGCCATCAAACGAGGTTACGGCTCTGAATAGCGTTCTTTTACCTGCTCTAAAGGCAGCCATTCGCCGTCGGGCCCGTCGCCTAGAACTTCTTTCGCGAAACGCTAGTATAGAAAATGGCCAATCCAGGATGGAAACATACGAACTGCAATCAAATCGCGAATACGTCCAGCAAATGATGGAGTCTCTCGTGAACGACCTGAGCGGTATATTTACGAGGATTGAGCGCTGGGACAACGAAGCACCCGTCGGAATGGGCGCAGACGTCTCTTCATTCTTAGAAGGATTTCTTGAAGAGGTACTTGTCAGAATTGAGCCGGCTGATGAAGAACCTTCGACTTCCAGAACCTGAAAGCAAGGCGCTTACGTTCCTTCCATTAACCATTTCGACGATTTCTTATGTTTAGCTCTATACACTAGAAGCTGATAGTGCACCAAGGTTTGGTCTTCTTCGGGCTTGAGATTTTCATAAAAGAAGCTCATTGTCCAAGTGCTTGTCTTGAACTGTTGTTGAAACACGATACATCCAGAGTCAGATACCGTTCCATGGTGTTTGAATACGCCTCTTACGATACGTGAAATGCATTCTTGCTTGTTTGAGCATTCGTTTTCTTCGAATTTGAATTGTCCGGGCTGGATCCTAATTTGAATACTGAGTTGCTTTGTGGGGATTCTATGGACTTCTCTTTCCTTTTTCTTTCCAATCTTGTCTTCCTACTTCCTTGGATTGCACTTGTACATACGATGAATTATTGAAATACTCTCTTTATTGTACAAGTGCCTTGAGGTGTTTCAGGCATCAAAAGATGATCATACATATTTCCCGGCACCTTGTAATCTCAGAGCCCTCGATAGTTAGACACTATCTGATATAGTAGTGATGTAGTAATATTATCCAAAAAGGCCGCAGTGACCTATGTTAAATGTAACGGTATGTCGGGAAACCTTGGATCTGTCTCGAATTTGGTAACGGCGCAATCCAAAAAGCAAACAAAATAAGGGTGAGTAGATTGACTCTAGTGCAAGATTGCATCCCCACAACGCTCTTGGTCCTGGTTCAGCTGCAAAACAATAAATCATCAGTAGCACCTTCGCAGTATTGTGATACCAATTAAGCTCTATCAGATGCAAGTTTGACTGCGGTTGCGCATTTTGACAAAGGTCGTCGCCCTGTGATCGAATCCGCAGCGGAAAGCCGAATTGTATCCATCAGGCAAGTACAAAGACTGCATACCACGCATGCTGTTCTAGAGTAGTCCGAAAATAGAATATGTCTCCTTTATTTTCGTTATGTGGTACAGAGAATATCCGAAAATGTAGTCTGTTATGTGGTGGTCATTAGCCCTCTGGTCGGAATAGCCAGTCTGTCTCCGGAGTCGGAATCAAGTAGTTCGTAATATTGAATTCGTTTGTATTTGAGGAAGCACCATCTACAACAGTCCCCGTTAGACCGTGTATTGACATAGGATTGTTGACCGTCTCGCTAATATCAAGACCAGCGATATCAGGAGCTCTGGCAGCAGGTACTCGTGGCACATTGAAAAAACCGAAAACATCGAGATATTCTAATTCATTAGGCGCAAGGTTTCGTGGATGCGTAGCAGGCGTTGGTACAGTTAGTTGGCCGCCAACAGGGGAGGAGCGTGGCTGTCGGGATATCAAAAAGTCCAAGTCAAAAGCACAGCGTCTCATATCCGCAAGAATCTTCACGGTGGATGGCGTTACACGCTCGGCTTCATCAATACCAGATTGTTGATATTCGCCATATTCGTCAAGAACACGCTGCAGGATTGTGCTGTAACGCTCAGCCACCTTCCAGTATTTTCCCATCTGAGCAAGCGTGTCAACAAAGAAGATTATATCAGTGCTCACGTTATGAGCAATCGTAGAACCATGAACAAGTAGTAAGCGCGCAGAGACCCAGAGTGTAAAGGCAAAGGGAGGGCCTAGTTTGTCAAGCATGTTGTTGTCTACGACAAATCGTGTCACAGAAAGAATATTCTCGACCGCAAACAAGCAACGCTGACTAGCACTGTATGATGGAGTGAAGATCGGAGAACGCGTTGTCGGGTACGCGGCCGATGAATGGAGTCTGATGACCGCACTGTATCCATTGGGAACTGTTATCACCAGAGAAATTTTGGTAGAGAAGGCTTTAGGTAGGAGCCATGCTTACGTTTGGTATGTGGCATGAAGCTGTACCCAGTCACAAGAGAGGCCTTTATTTGCTTTCGAACTATTGAACAGCCTAGAGGAGTTTTCGAAGGCATATTCAGCTGGAAGACCAAACTCCCAGGCAGTTAGCTCACTGTCCAATTTGCGATATGTTGCTTGCCACTCTTCAACGTCCGATAATGCCCCAATGTCCACCGGTCGCTTCAAAAAGATATGAATGCGGGAGAGGACTCCGAGAATCTCGACGTAAAGTCCGAAGGAACCAACATTTTCGGCGCACTTGAGGTAATCAGCGCGGTCGCCTGAGTGGTGAAACCATCTAGTTTCGACAGGCTGGTTCTTCATGAAAAAAACTTCCTTGCATGGGAGCTTGCGGTCGATATCTTTATCATCCAATGCAAAATCAAATGCCGTCGCGATGGTGGAATATCGGTCCAAGAGATATACCATCCAGAAAAGCCTGCGCCTGCTTTCATCTTCAATCCAAGACTCCGGCTCTGGAAGAGTAACCGCTCTTAGTGTATAAATCGATGGGTAAACCGGGGCGATGAGAGAGGATTTGGACTCAACAGCCAGCCCCAACTGAACTATAGATCGTGTAATCAGAGCAAGCAATTTCCACCCGGGAGGTCCATTGGAAGAGCCCACCAGGTCCAAGGCCAATATAACTAGGGCTTGGAGTGCCTTCACCGAGGTGCTCTCCAGACCATAAAGTAGGACTTTCTGCTTCGAAGAATCATGGTATCGTTTCCTATTTTGTTCGGTGAGTCTGTTGTCGCTCGAGAAGCGAAGGGTAGTTGCAACGATGGCATATAGTACCATGCGATCAGCTTCCTCGAGAGGGGAGGGGCCGAAAAAGGTATCTAAAGTCGTCCGTCGGTGTAGAATAGGGCACCATGTATTTATATGTTCGAAGAAAAGATCCACCAGGGCATATAACAGATCATACGGCGGGAGATCGAGTTCCGGATCCGAGAATGATTGTTCTTGGTTAGAGAACAGATTGACAGGCACCTTCAATGAGGATTCGTTACCCGTGTAATCATTTGGGTGTGTAGCATCAGGGGCCTGTGGGACGGTAATAGGGTGGTTTAAACCACCTGTTAAATGACCATGCATCACATTTCTGACAGAGTTGTCTGAAGGGCTGGTTATTGACGCTTCAGACTGACGTGGCGGCGCTAGCACAGATACTGGTTCTTGGAAGTAAGCTGAATTTCGAGGACTTGTTCTGTGAGTAGCAGAAGGCTCTGACGGGGAACTGTAAGAATGGGGGCCAGGGCGGGAAAACTCATGGTTTAACCGAGGTCGGGTTTGTAGTATATGAGTTTCAATGAGACGCGCCTGTGTCTGAATCACGACCTCTAGCCTATCTATGCATTATATGAGCAATGGTCCGAGAGTCGAAAGTGAGCAGAGGAGGGTTGTTTGAGCAGATTGAAAGGAGAGGATGAAAGCATACCTAATCGCTGTTCCAATTCTTTCCCATACCCTGCTCGAAGGCCCGGCTTCTTTCGTTCTTTGTACTCGCATAACTGACCATTACGAGAGCACCATCCACAGCTTGGTTGAGCTCGGTCTATTTACTTTAGACAACAGCACTATCCATGACGGGAGGAAGAGGGTGGTGAATGACTTCTGTGGAGTCACTAAGGCAGGAATTACTCACCACATTTGACTTTCCGTTGTTTACACAGCTCGCATCTTGAGCCGTTAGTTTGACTGTTTCATAAGATACTATCGGGTACTAGAGCTGGACTAGAGGACGAGGGAAAGGAAGACGATAACTCATGCTCCGGGCGTAGGTACATACGACACTGTGAGGGGGCGTTTGCGTTTCAATGCGCGAGACGCATTTCCATTATGAGCGACATGGTCATTTTCGGTATCACCAGCAGACCACGATTCATCTGCGCTCTGATCTCTATCGTGATCTCCAAAGGAGCGCGTTATCAGAGGAGTCTGCTGCGCAGAGACGGCAGGTGCAGCGTTCGGCATGGTACTGTAGCGAGGTCGGGGTTATAACAGCTCCACGACCAGATCCCTACAGCGTCATGACTGGGGCCTGTATCGGTGATCACTTTAGCTCGGTCCGGCAGCCGAATGATTCTATGAAGAACCAAATCTAGTCTGGCACCAGTCACAGATCAAGAAAATGAGATTCGGGAGTGGGGTATAGAGACAAAGGAGACTGAAAGAATCAACAACCTGAAGGGAAAGGACGGTTTAATTGATGCCTGAGGCAAATATCGGTGATTAACCCCGCAAAACACTAAAGAATTCTCCACAAATCGGACTTCCTGCCAATCGGAGTCGCACTTTCTGTTTCTCCCACGAGTCCGTCACGCGGACGATGACTAACAGGTCGGAGAGAGGGATCATCCATTTTTGGAAATTGAGACAGTTTCTAGGTTCGGGAGAGCATTGCACCGAGACGCAGCATCTTGACCGAGGATACCCCCTCAAGACGATGACCACTTATGCGTTCAAATATGGCCGGGTTCCCCCGGAGCAACTTTGCAATCTATTTGGGTGCTTTCTATTCTACATCCTCCATAGATCCTTGAGCTTATTCTATTATACAATTCCTTAACTCATCCTCATCATCATGGGCTTTATATCCCCCTTTCCCCGTATCAAAGAAATCCGGACCTTCATTATTGATGGTGTAGGATCTGGTGGTGACTATCATAATGTATGTTCTACCCATGCTCGTTGATGCGGAAAGATAAAACTACTAACCCTACGTCTAGGTTAAAGGAGGTCACTGGTTGATCGACAGCGACATCTCCACCCCCATGACCAAATGGGCACAATATCGCGGATCGCGAACATCATGGGGAATCAATGTCTTGGGCTCATTCTGTGTGGAAATAGAAGCCACCGATGGGACCAAGGGTTTCGCGACTGGTTTTGGTGGCCCTCCAGCTTGCTGGTTGGTGCACCAGCACTTTGAGCGTTTCTTGCTCGGCGCAGGTTCGGACGGTCTTTAGAATTGGGGCGCAACATATTTAGACTAACTATTCCATCGCACGATAGATCCTCGCGATGTCAACGACCTGTTCGAGAAGATGTACCGTGCGTCTATGTTCTACGGCAGGAAAGGTCTTCCAGTTGCCGTGATCTCGGTCATCGATTTGGCACTCTGGGATCTCCAAGGGAAGATCCGCAACGAACCTGTTTACAAGCTCATCGGAGGAGCGACTCGGTCACGTCTTGACTTCTACTGCACCGGACCTCAGCCCGCATCAGCTAAAGCCATGGGATTCTCTGGAGCTAAGGTGGCCCTGCCACACGGTCCAGATGAGGGTACAGAAGGACTTCTGAAGAACGTGGCATACCTGTGCAAGCAGCGAGAAAGCGTCGGTCCTGATTTTCCCTTGCGTGTGGACTGCTATATGTCGCTGAATGTTCCCTACACGATTCAGCTCGTGAAGAAATGTGAAGCCGAGGGAATCGACATTGACTGGTGGGAAGAGTGTCTAAGCCCTGACGACTTCGACGGCCACGCCCTCCTCAAGCGAGCCCACCCAACCGCTAAGTTCACCACTGGTGAACATGAATACTCCCGCTACGGTTTCCGGAAGCTCGTTGAAGGCCGGAACCTTGATATTGTTCAGCCTGACGTTATGTGGGTGGGTGGTTTGACTGAACTGCTCAAGGTCTCTGCGCTCGCAGCTGCATACGATATACCCGTTGTCCCCCACGCATCTGGACCCTATTCGTACCATTATGTGGTCTCGCAGCCCAACACGCCATTCCAGGAGTACCTTGCGAACTCTGCTGATGGGCACACCGTCGAGCCCGTCTTTGGAAACCTGTTTCTCAACGAGCCTATTCCTACCGAGGGCTATCTCGACGTCTCTGTCCTGGATAAGCCCGGCTTCGGTCTCGAGTTGAATCCTTCTGCTCCTTTGATCCCAGCTGCTTCTCTTCTCACACCTGCGCCCCAGAGAAGCCTGGCTCCACCTACGGATAAGGAAAATGGAGCCAACGGCACAGCTCACTAAGCGTGGAACTGAGGATTCTACTTATACGTGGGGGAGATATAAAGCTGAACCTTCAATTTCATTGCATTTTTTTTTCTCATGTACATAATCATGGATTTCAAATTAGAACTGCATAGACAGGAAACTAAGAACCCATTTATGACAATGAATTGGAACGACCACCTACATATCGATATGATACTACATGCCTTAGAGCCGGGCCAACTCCCCTAAACGTGAGAATGTGGGGTAATGCTGGTAAGCTCGGGGTATCAATGCCACGAAACCCCCGAACAAAGCTCCACCAATTGCCCACTATCTTATCGCGAGGCGGGGTTTAGAATGGGGAAAGCGAAAAGAAAGCAAGAAGACAAGACGAAGTCAATTGGAAAAATAATTTTCTCATGCTATAAAAGATAATCCTCCACGACAGTTCTCAATCGCATCCTCCAACCAAAACCCCCCAACAATGCCTCTCCCCCAAATCCTAGTTGGCAAAGTCGCCGCCATTACAGGCGGTTTAACTGGAATCGGAAGGGTATTTACCTCCATCCCCTACCCATCATAACCCCAACCTAACACCAATAAAAAAAAACAACAGGCAATCGCCCTCGAATACCTCCGCCACGGCGCAAAAGTAGCCATCAACCACCTCGGCGGCGCCCAAGAGGACCCCCTTCTCGAAGCCCTGCACAAGGATGTCTCCAAAATCACCGGCGCCAACTCCAACAGCTTCCTCGCCGTCGCTGGCGACGTCACTCAGCCCGAAACTGGACGGGACTTCATCGCCAAAACAGTCGCGGCGTTCGGCCGCTTAGACGTCTTCGTGAGCAATGCCGGCGTGTGTAGATTTGAGGAGTTTTTAGAGTGCGTTTTTTTACCTAATACCTATTACCTACCCTACAACATTCCCAGACGCAGATAGATGCGTGGCTTGCTCTAAGGGCGTACAGATGCTTACTTCTTTATTTATGACAGGGTCGACCCTTCCCTTCTCGGTCACACGTTATCTACCAATCTCTCTGGGGCTTTCTATGCTACGCAGGCGGCGGCACGACAGATGGCGCTGGCGCAGTCGCCGCCCGGGGGGTCGATTATTGGGATCAGTTCGATTTCGGCGCTGGTTGGTGGGGCCCGGCAAACGCATTATACGCCTACTAAGGCTGGGGTTTTGAGTCTTATGCAGTCTTCTGCAGTGGCGTTGGGGAAATATGGGATTCGGTGCAATGCGCTGCTGCCGGGGACGATCCGGACGCAGCTGAACGATGAGGATATGAGTGATCCAGTGAAGAGGGAATATATGGAGGGGAGGATACCTTTGGGGAGACTCGGTCAGCCGCTGGATTTGGCGGGGCCGGCGGTGTTTTTGGCATCTGAGGAGTTGAGTGGTTATGTGGTAAGCCTTGGCATTTCCTTTTCTTCATCTTGGAGGTTAGGGCGCTAATTATGAGGTTGCAGACGGGGGCACAGCTTCTTGTGGACGGTGGACTGTTTGTAAATCTTCAGTGAGAATATAATGTATAGATTGGAATTGGTATATCTCATCATGATAGATAGTGTATATACTACCAGGGCTCTTAGATTAGATTAAATTTCGACCCCATATGCTTTCACTGCAACTCCACCCCATACGCCCCTCTTCTCTTCATCGGTCAATCTCCTCTGCTCTAACATGTTCTCAACTACACTCGTCCAGCGTCTCCAGGAGACTTCGTTGCCGCCTCCTCCAACATTGCAGACTGGCCAGTCAGATCCAAACATCACTCGCTCGGCACCAAAGACATCAAAGACGACATCAGTCCAAGGACGAATTCTCTCCACGATAGAAGCCATATCGGGCTCAGCATGTGAGGAAAGCGGCGGTAGCTCAGAGAACCCACCAGAAAGCTTCATATACGTCCTAGGATACTGCGCCATCGCAGTAACCAGAGACGACCACTCCAGGAAGTCAGGGTGTGTAGTTACCGAGGCGGGCGATGCATCAGGTAGCCGGAGATTTGGCTTACAAAGATGATCTACAAGCATGTCAGTGATTAAAAGCGAGAAACAGTATCGAAAGAGACAAATGAGAAGGGGGATCAGAATCAAACATACTAATCACAATCACAACCTTGTCGGCCTCCTCTACGCCATCATAAGCCCTCTTCATCATTTCAACTGCCTCCCTCAACTGCCAAAGCCCACCTTGTCTCGCATCCACCCCCAGATCAAAAACCAACTTCTCTTTCCCAAGCCACTTCAGCCCCTCAACAACACCATCCTCCAGCATAACACCCCTCGGCTTATCCTGAACCAAATACCTCACGCCCCGGATCTTCTTCCACACACCCTCTGTCTTCGTCCGTTCCCTCACAAGGCCCATATACTTCTGCAGCGCAGTAGAACCTCCGGGTACAGGCGCCCACGGAACAACCCCCAGACAGAGATCTTGATCTACATCGCGATGGCCCTCACCCTGAATAGGGGTTCCGGTTATGATTCTCGTGAGCAACGAGACTTCATCTAGAGCGTGAGACCAGCCTTTTCCAGTTTCCTCGACGGAAGAGATGCGATCTGTTTCAAGGAAGATGAAGCCGCGGAGATAGGTCGAGTCAGCGGTCTCTGGGATAGTGGAGGCTGAAGATGTCGCGAGACGGTACTCGTCGATTGAGTGCTGGGACCCTAGTGGAGATTCGGGCCCATACCAGGCGAGAGTTGAGAGGTGGGATTTGGGGAAAAGATGAATGTGAGAATCTACGATCGGAATAGCCATTTTTGCGGTTCTTTTCGTTTTGAATGGCGACTTAATTATTAGTATAGTAGTTGGTGAATCGCGATGATGTGGGGGTGGATTGCGGGGTAAAAGGACGTGTTGTTTGATACAATTATAGGAGAGCTAGCCCCGTCACCAACTTCCGCTAAGCTCTGTTGTTTCCCTGCATTAATCGGGAATGGAATTGAGCTGAGAGTGTGGGGAGATCAACTTATTTGACTTGTCATTCGGTGATCATTGGGCCGAAGGATTTGGGTACGGTTTGTCCAGGGCAATCACACAATTGCTTGTCTTACTGGTACCTTTGGGACATTGGTTAGAACCAGGTATATATTTAACACATTTCTTGCGATTTTCCGCTCAAGGATAGAAGGGCCAGTATCCCAAATTTGAGTGATGTGCGGTGATAACAGTCATACCTTGCCGAGGCCTGCGCCACGAAGCCCTCGGCCATCAATTCCCCCTCATTCACCAGAGACTCTCCGCGGAATCCGAAAGTGCTCGCCTAATTGGCTTACCAAGTCATTGAATACCACACTGCGACCACTAAGAATGCTTTCACAAGCGCTCGATGGACGATGATCACATCCCCGCAGTCGGATCCGCAGTCGCAAGGAGATCTCCACCTCTTCTTTCCACTATGGGTTACACATCAACCCACCACACAAGATGATCAGGCACTTGGCGTGGCTTGTTCAACAAAGATAAAAAGAGCAGCGTCGAGTCCACAAATCTGCAAGGGCACGTCTCACAGCATCTGTTTCTATCACACAGCTTCTATTATCCAATTGGTTTCCAGCCAACCTCACACATTGTCAAACATGGCCACTTCTGAGATTCCAAAGAAGCAAAAGGCTATTATCTATGATAAGCCTGGAACTGTGTCAACCAAAGTAGTGGAGATAGATGTCCCCGAGCCTGGCGCAGGCGAGGTACTGGTCAATCTGTAAGCTTTGATATGTGCTACAACGAGAGGGAGAAAATTCTGTCGGTTTCCAGTTCCCACTAACACATCAGTAGCACGCACTCTGGTGTATGCCATTCAGACTATAGTGTCATGACAAATTCTGTACGTTGTTGAACTCCCTTTCGAAGATTTACCATCCAATGCTCATAACCACAAGTGGAAATTCCTCCCACACCCTACGCAGCCCGGCCAGGTGGGTGGTCACGAAGGTGTTGGTAAGATTGTGCAGCTTGGCCCCGGAGCTGAATCCTCTGGCCTCAAGATTGGAGACAGGGTGGGGATCAAGTGGCTTTCCAGCGCTTGCACGAACTGTCGTATGTACAATCCTCGATTATATAAGTGGGACAGATACTGACCTGCGTATAGAACCTTGTCAGGCTGGCTCAGAAGGTCTCTGCGTCAACAAGAAGGTTTCCGGATACTATACCCCAGGCACTTTCCAGCAATATGCCTTAGGCCCCGCACACTATGTGACTCCTATTCCAGAAAGCCTGGAATCAGATGCAGCAGCACCCATGCTTTGTGCAGGTCTCACGGTGTACGCTGCTCTCAAGCGAAGCAATGCCCGCCCTGGACATTGGATCGTCATTTCTGGTGCTGGTGGTGGACTGGGCCACATTGCCGTCCAATTGGCCAGCAGGGGCATGGGACTGCGTGTAATCGGCATCGACCACGGCAGTAAAGAGGAGCTAGTCAAGGAATCCGGCGCAGAACACTTCGTTGATCTCACAAAATTCCCGAGTGATGACAACGGCGAAGCTATATCCGCCCATGTCAAGTCCCTTGCTGGTGACCTAGGTGCTCATGCAGTCATCGTCTGCACGTCTTCCAACGCAGCCTATGCCCAGTCTGTGCAGTTCTTGCGCTTCAACGGGACAATGGTTTGTGTAGGACTCCCTGAGCACAACCCTCAGCCCATTGCGACTGCGTTGCCCGTAACCTTGATAGGCAAACATTGTTATATTACAGGGTCAGCTGTTGGAAATCGGACTGAGGCAGCAGAGGTGTTGGAATTTGCGGCGCGGGGCATAGTAAAAACGCACTTCCGAACGGAGAAGATGGACAAATTGACCAATGTCTTCAAGGAGATGGAGCAGGGTAAACTACAAGGACGAGTTATCCTAGACTTGTCTTAAATCAGTATTTCTCTTCCTTTCATTGACGATGTGTCATTTGCGAAACACGATGAAGTAAACAGGATGTAATAACACAATCCACCGTTTGTAATCTGTGCATAGGGTCCGTCTGATACAAGACGTTCTACTTCTCCAATGTAGCATCAGTGCGATTGGTTTTAAGGTCACCGGCTCGTCGCTGAGAAATTCAAACATCTCCACGCTTCTTAGGGTTTGAAACGGGTATGTAGCTGCGAAGGTCGAGTATCGAGGACAGGTAGCATCGCTAAAGGAGAAGTGCTCAGCATCTCGTTCAATCCAGCTCTAGGACGAGTAACCGTGTTAGCAGCGGCGGGCATTAAGAGGGATCTGTGTTCGTCATCTCAGCGACTTGCCAGTCAGGGTGCAATATGCATCTAAAACGAAAGAAGAGAGCCATGAAAGGACGACTCCAGGAACTCGCGAGGCCGAAGACGAAGTGTGAGACCGGGGGAAGCCCATGGCAAACGCTATAAGTATACCAGACCCTAGGAAGTTGGCTAGCGGCAATTTGAATAAGGTGGGCATTAGCTATCTGACTGGTAGTCGATTGTTATTTAATACGCCCATGAAATTACCTAGTATCGCAGGCACCTAACATATACCTGGTGAATTGACCACCTGCGGTAGTACGTGGACTGTTGAATACTATGGTAATCAGGCCACATATAGATGGCCTCATGATTCCCACCTAGATAGGCCTTTGAGATAGCTTCATAGGATTGTAAATCTGATCGGTTTGATATCATTTAATACAAATGTCTTACAGGCTATTCTAAGATTGTTGATATGAGTTGTGATAACCAGGTAGTGGAATTTGCATGATGTACTTCATGAATTAAATATGATTTTCTAGACTGTAGTGCCTTTGGAGGAATATACCAACAGCACCTTCGAGCTACATATATCCGTAAAGCTCTTATCGCATTTGCGATCTAGGTTGCATTAACCTAAAGTAGCATAGCCCAAAGAGTATGTACCAGAAAACAAACAACCTTAAGAACTTAAGAGAAGGGAGCCAAAAAGAGAATGTAAGAAAAAAGCGTAGGGTGTGGCTAGTAGGAAACGCGACAAAAAAGGGATAGAGAAGGAAAGAAGCAGAAAAAAGGTTGACCGACGCAGGATTCGAACCTGCAATCTCTTGATCCGTAGTCAAGCGCCTTACCATTGGGCCAGCCGGCCAATTCTTGAATGTGGAATTACTAAATTAGTAAGATAGGTAAAAAGGATACGTCAATGAAATATGATCATAGTGTGCAGGGATTGGCATGTGCGATCGCTTCAATTGTGGATGGGATGCATTCCGGCTTCAACAATTGTTCATGTTGGTGCATATTCGTAAGGCTACAATTCTACTCTGTACGTCTAGCCGCTCTTCGCCACATGACGAGCCTTTTCTCTTCTTCTTTCTCCGAGGACAACGAGAGGAATGATGTCAAGCAAGGCAAAGAGCCCTGGAGAGGCCTAAACCAAAGCTCCAACCTCACTCACCATCCCCCCTTCCTCGGAATGTGATAATGTGATAACCACGGTACTGGTACAATCCAGTACCAGTCCGCTGGGTCCGGAGGAATGAAGGATGTCGTAGCAATAGAGTTGGTGCATTCCAGAGCGCCAGATAGAGTTCACGGAAAACCATGGTGCGAATTCGGGTGTTGTGTCACCATAGAATTCTGGGGAAGTATATAGTGGCAAATATTCATATTTGTTTTTTTAGTGGAATGCGAGGCAGTGCAAAGCTAGAGAATACCAGGCCCGCTGGTATTTGACTGGGTCACGATTCATTGGTCTATCGTGTGAACCAAAGGGGAAAACAATGGAAGACAGGGAGGGTATCGACAAAAACGTCTAAAATGCCACTAGACATTAGCGAGTCCTTTTGCTTTGACCGTGACCTCCCGACGTAGCCGTTGCTGGTCGTTTCTGGCCGGAGCCAGAGGAACTAGATTCAGCTCGACGGATCAGCGCAGTCAATTTGAGAATGTATGCCTTTGGCGCGCGGTTGACCTCATTTCTGCGGAGAACCGCCTGAAGCCTTCCCCTGAACTGGTGAAGATCTGAGCCTGCTACCTGCTCGAGGGCGTCCAAAATGAAGTATTCGCCCGTTTCCTCGGTCTTCCCGATGAGCTGATGGTATAAGTTACGTTGATCCTCGTCCTCTCCGTGGAAGGTCACTCCGCCCCAGCGATTCCCGTCCAGGGAGTCCTTATTGCGGTTGCAGATGTCCTCCAACAGCGTCACCAAAGCTTTAGCAGCTCCCTCTACACCGTATGGCGCTCGTGTAACAATGTTTGCTTGAATTCGACTGACATTACGCTGCAGTTCTCCGATCACGTTATCGACGTCCACGTTTGATCCCGAAAGCGGTCCCGTTTGGCAGTAGCGATCGAAATCAGCCAGCAATTTCCGTGAACTTTCCTGCACTTTATCGAAATAAATTGCCGCACAGGCCCCGGGGGGCATGGCCTTGCATAGGCTCGCGAAAACGGTGTCATCGTGTACGGCGAGCCGAAACATGGTGGCCACGAAGTCCCCTTGGACCACGCATTGCTCTGGTGTGCGCGATTGGCCAGCGTCGTCTATAAGGTCGAGACGGAAATCTTCGGGAAGCACAACTGTATCAAAGGCAGACATGATATCTCTTACCTTCTGCGGACGGCTCATGCCACCCTCCACTTCTGAACGGACATACTGCCAGCTCAACTGTTCTACAACCGTTTCGAATTTATCATCGAGGAGTCGTTCGATGCGGGCAAATACTGGGGGATGGCCATCGCTCGATAAAGGGACATCGTAGTTAGGGATTTGAGGGATGAGACACCCATGGAGCTGGTCGAGAAGCCACTTGTCAGAGGTTAGCAGAGGTTGACAACTGGAGTGGGTCGTGCTAGAACTTACAAAAATGTGTTGACAGGCAATGCCAGGTCGGCCTATGAATGTCGCGCATGTGCAAGTATAACCGTCTGAGTCTATATGAACTCGTGGCCGCTCCGAGAACAGGAATTCAAACCCTGTCTTCGTTTTACGGCAGCCGATGACGTCGAATCGACTCGTCAAACCGACAAGGGCTCTCGCTTCGGACTCAGGATCCAGTTTTCTAAGGTCATAGGTGATACCGGATTTTCCTTGTAGTGTAGAGAATTCAGTCGACTCCCCTTCTCCTGCCTCATTCTCGTCACTTTCTGTTTCCATGATTCTATTGCTGTCTTCGGGACATGCCCCTTCGGGCTGAGTTGGCGTTCGTGGCATTTTGCCGCCGATAGATAGGCTGCGAAATTGTCTCGAAGGAGCGGTCATAGGGGGTAGATAAGTACAATGATCTAACCTTGGATCAGGACTCAAAGGAAAAAGGATGTTTGTAATCTTGAATTCAGATGAGCAGCAGCCAACCCAATATTTATAATTTTGTCGCGAACCACGGGTGAGTGCGGGTACACTCCCAGAGAGCCCAAACATGCCGTAGTCAAGTAGGTGCCTCAAGCGAGAAGGGGACTATACCTTCAGTATGATCTACTCCTAGCCTCCAAAGTTAGTTCTGGCAAGGGCTGCGATCTGGCCTCTGCCTTTGCCGCATGATGAGACTGAAGGAGTAGCATTCCATATAACCCAGAGGAATCCGGTCGTTACGATGAATAGAAGTTTCAAATGGCTCGAGCTTGCGCCGTTACTCCAACAGTGTCCTAGGAAAAGGTGTCTAACTGGAAAAAGGCACCACGGCAACTGGGCACAGGCGGCGTAGAAGCCTTAGGACCAACGATGGAGAATAGGAATCATGACAACAAAGTTAGGAGATAGCAATGTATCACAAGACCGTGGACTTGAATCGAACCGCACAAAAACGGACAAGTCTCGGTGCACACGGTGGCCAATTGCGGGACTCAACCGAGCCGGTGAGGTTCCGAGCACGAAATAGTCTTAACCTATAATGCCCAGTAAGGTTGATGTGCAAACCCATGGGATGGCACGCTACTTAGCACCTGCTGCGGCACAGACATTGGCAACTGGGGTAAGACCGAAGGGGAAAGGGACCGGGCGAGATGTACCGTCTCCTTGGTCAGAGCTGTCTTTCTTTTTACTTTCGCGGGTCCCATAATGGACAATGTTAATAAATATCCCAAGCCTTGATACGACACCATAGCACATTATCCAGCGCCACAAAGGGTGGTTGACATGTCTAGGCGACAGGTAAGCTGCTAACTCGAAGAACCGTCCGTTAATCTCATAATGGTTGCATTTTGGCCATAATTCAGAGTTTATCTCTGGCGTGTAAGGCGATAATAATGTGATCTGAATGCCTCCGATATTGATAGCACAGATGATCAGGTAACGCCCCTACATTCAATAAATCAATATTGTGTTGAAAGGATCATGATTAACCATGTAATAATAAAACCTTCACACCGTTGCGAGGAGATCAAACTCTCATTTCATGAGCACACACTATTGTAAATAATGCTCAATGGGAGAAGAAGGCTCGTGTAGAGCATGGTGGCTTGAGCGGCGTAGGTCCTGTGCCACCTGCTGGGCGCAATTTAGCGTACAGTTGCGGAGGTTATTTATTGTGTGGCACAGCAGTGACTGTTATCACCGAATGAGTCCCTAATTCGGGTACAAAATGTGTCAGCCATAGCCTTCTCTTACGAATGTGGAATACCTTTAAACTTAGCCATTTAGCTATAATTGCGTGCTTTGTATCCTATATTTCTTAGTCTGTATCGAACTGTATATTCAGTGATCCATCTGCTCTTTGTATGTCACACGGAAACATCTGGTAAAATGTTGGCGGGTCAGTTAAGCCAGACTCAATACATACAATGCCGAGTTCACTGGAGACCCCTCTAATCCTTTTTTTCTGCATGCTTTTATTCTTGAAGGGAGGAGGATTATGCGGCACACCATGATTCACACTGCCCCTGTTGGACTCTGGAGGGTGATACTACACTAGCGGTTACTTGAGCCCTATGACCAGTCACTATCAGATAAATGACCTCTAAGGCAGTGTGACAAAGATGAACCATATCCTATATGTTAGAATGAACCTTATTGTTTAACTAACAGACTGCATACTTATTATCGATCTTTCATGGGGTTGATAGATCTATAATAAGAGGCCCTGTAAAATCCCTAAGAATAGAAAACTTCCCAAAAAAAAAAAAAATCATGACCGCATAAAAATTATAGTATTTATTATAGAAGGTAATAACCTCCAACGGTGCCTAATTCTGCGGTTGCGAAGTATTTCTTGAGGCATTTCTCTTCTTTGCATTTTCTAGAGCTCTCCGAAGCCGCTCCTGGTGTTCCGAATCTTCAGTAGGCGGTTTGGGACCAGCACTGGCAGTAGGACGAGGGCCAGGGAAGAGGATATCGATAGGATGATATGTAGGGACAGAGACTGACGGGCGGTTTGGCTTGACAATGGGAGCTTTACCTGAAGCCTTAAGGAGATCGTTTATGGTAGCAGTTATTTCGGCTGGTCCGGCGCGAACACTATCCAGCTTAGACTTGAGGTCTGCCTGGATTCTAGAATCCTCTTTCTTTTTCTCCTGCTCAAGTCGTTGGAATACGTCGGTATCGGCGTTGGCATAACGCGCTTCTGCAACGGAAACGCCGTAATCAGCATCATTGAGAACTAGATCTGCAATACCAAAATTGTGCAAGATGGATTCGGAGTCTTGACGGAGCGAATCCACAAGATTGTAGACCGACTTCAACATATTTTCGATCTCAGAGTCAGCCAAACTAGACGAACGAATGGCTGCGGTATCAATCTTCGATAATTTCCCTGCAACGTCGTCGAGAAGACATTGATTCTCACCCAGGCCGTGCATGATTGCATCATCGAATGAATCCATGAGCCTGTTAGCCCTCTGATCTCGATCTTTCGCCGCTTCTAAAACATTTCGCTTCTCCATTTCATCGAATTCTTGATCCAATTGCTTGAGGGCTACTGAGTCACCAATGAAAACGAGGGGCCGTCTTTCGGTCTTCTTTCGCCGGTGTTCACGGTCTAAAGCAATTTCAAGACGTCTCTGGTATCGATTCTCGAGTTTTTGGTAAATCTCATTGACCGTTTTCATCGTATGAGACAAGTTGTACTTGTCCGTTACTGAGTTCTTGATCTTGCTGTTCTCGTGGTCAAGCTGGCCAAGCGCAGAGTCATACTGGGCTTGGAGTGCGGATATTTCTTTTTTCAGGCGCTCATCCAAGGGGTTGAACACTTCTGCAATATAGTCTTCCAGTTCTTTTCTTTCCTCATCTAACTGGGCACGAGCCTCCGTTTGGCGGAAATCCTCCTCTAGGACATTGATGTCTGCATATCCTATCTCTCTTCCATTGAACAACTCATCAATTCGCTTCTCCGACAGCTCTTGGCGATGCATACGTTCCTTGTCCAAATTCTCTCTGCGAGATTTGCTCGCTGTTTCCCAGGAGTTGACTGCCTCTTGGATATAATCAAAGTCGTTTGAATACTTCTCTAGGTCCTTTCGTGTTGTGATGTGCCATGAGCTTTCTGACTGCTTGGCCAGGGGTGACGATACCATAGAACGCAGGTCGTCAACTGGGCCAGTAGGCCTCCCCTGTCTGAGGGACATTGGTAAAGGAGGCGGGGATGACTTTCTACGCGACGCCTTGCGATATGTAACGCTTTTCTCCCTGATTAGGCCGATGAAAGTTTCATCATGCCCATTATTTCCCGCATGAGTAGTCGTGGAATTTGGATCTTCTTGAGACCCCAAGAGAGGGGCGTTCGACATCACCCGTCCGCTTTCTGCTGAGGCTTGTCGCAAGGCCGAGTAGGCCTGGTATGCAGGGCGACCAACCACAAGGTGATCAGAGCCCCGCTGAGGGCCTTCGGTGTAACGAAACGGTGTGTATATAGGCTGCGGAGGGTTGCTCATTAAAGGAGACAGCTCCTGTTTACCAAGCAGAGAAGGCGGCACCGACGTAGCTCTTAGTGCCTGAGACTGATGTTGCTGCCCTGAGTTATGGCTTTTGCCCGGTGGTTGAGAGGCAGGCCTCTCGAGACCAAGAGTACTAGGCGTGTGAACCCTAGGAAGAATAGGACGTCCTCCCGGGCTATACTTTCCGTCCTCCAGGTCTTCCGAAACATCGGCTGATTCTACATTGCTTTCCTCTAGCTCAACCGGAATCAAGCCTGACTCAATCGGCGGTGTAGTTCTACCGGACTGCTGCAAATCTGATGTTGGTCGTTGATCAGCAACATCTTCAAGTTCCGGTTCATGCTCGATGTTGTACAAAATCTCACGAAGTTTCGTCTCCTTGGACATAAAGGCCGTGAATATCTTGAAACGTTCTGCATCAGAATCAGCGACGGCCTCCTTACGCAACATTGCCACATAACGCTCTAAGGAGGACTTTGACCATGGGTCCAAGTCGTCATAAGGGTCTAACAGCTTGAGCTGTGGAGAAGATGCGTCCACTTTTGCGCTCACTTCGTTGGGAGTATTGCTTGATCGGGGGGTATTCACACCCGACTGAATCTCTTTTCGTGGTATACTGAAATCTTGTTTTGGTTTAGGGATCTCAAGTGGGCTGAGCTTCTGCATTGGTGTTGGATGATCCGTCTGAGAGGAAGTGCGCTGATCGGATTGCGAGGCTGAGGGTTGAGGGTCTGCAGTAACGGGCCGATTCCAAGCTTCAATGACACCATCGATACTCTCAGAGGTTTCGGTGGCAGATGCAATACTATATATCGATTCGGATGTGTCCATTCTCACTGGTCGAGGCGGTTCTTGGGTACCCTGTGTTATGCTCGAACTAACAGGGGTGTTCTGGCCCATTGTGCCGTTCTGTGTATGCATAGGCTGGGTTATAGGTGACACATTTGGAGACGGCGTGTAATCTATAGTCTGGCTGTTTGAAGTTGTACTGGGCATGGGTGCTGGATAGCTTGGCGGTAGCTCTGAAGTAGCACCCAGGTGAGCAGCGTTCTGTTTAGGCCCAAGAGCTTCTACATCATCAATGTCTCCTGGAGCGGGTGTCAAGTGTTCCCAGTCGGACGGGCCCCAAGGATCCAATGGAAAGGTACTTGTGGGAATAATATTGGCGCTGGTTTTAGGAGGGACTGGGGGAGCAGTCACAGGAAGGGCTCCTCCACATGATGAAGTATTTGCAGCGGACACTGGAACTTCCCCCAAAGGTGTTGGCTGAAGCGATGGGGCGTGTGTAGAAGAGATTGAAACATGCTGCTGGGCGCTACTATCTTTTGACTCTGCAGGAGGAAGGACCGAATATGGTGGAGGCGACAACTGTTGTGGTGTTTGACAACCTTGCTGTGGCGTTGGGTTTTGGTATCCAGGAGGAACTGGAGGCGGCGGCGGCGGCAAAGAATTAACAGCAGGCAGTTGTGATGCATATGGAGCATTTGTCGTCCATTGCGGCTGGTATTCCGCGGCAGACGACAAAGGGCCATACGTTGGAGCGGCTGCTAAAGGCTTTGTTGTACCAGACGGGCTCACTATCGGAGACTGTGCACTGGAAGAATGGCCAGGAGTACTTGAGGGTCGAGGCTGTAAGATACCGTTAATCAGGCAATACCTAAGGTGGAACCGAGACTTACAGGGAGCGGCGGAGGTGCGTAGATAGGATATTGCTGCCTATTGTACTTTACCCCCCAGGCAGTCGTATCTACAGTCGCAGAACTAGCGCCTGGCGATCCACTTGCACCGACGTTAGACGCAACTTGCGAATGACTAGATATAGAGCCGTAGGTGTTCGGATTATAAGAAGATGCCGACAGTGGAGGATGTGGCGGCGGCGGTGGAGGAGTAGACCCAGGCGTAGGCTTCCGTGAGGGCCGCTGTTGCGCAGTTGATGGAACTCGCCATTCTGGTGCCGGAGGCCCTGAATTTTTTTGACTGGAAGAATTCGAGTAAGGGTGAGATCCGTACATCTCTAAAGCAATATGTTGGTGAGCGGTTATGCGGCTTGCAGAGGTCATTGTCAACTTACTGAAGTGAAGCAGGAGCGCGGGGTTTAAATATTAGGTCAGGGGAGCACGATTCCCGAATGACGAATGAACTGATCTGCTGACCTGTCGCTGAATGGGACGAACAGCACAACTCCTACATGAAGAGCTACGTTGCAGTAAGCATAAATGGTATAATGTAGAGATGAACGGGAGAAGAGCAGAACAAGAAGGCTGTGTTAACAAACTATGTCAGGTATCATTTGATCTCCGACTGCGCCTAACACTTATCTCCGGTGTTCCCCACCTGTTTATATTTAGACGAACTATTGTTTACCATTCATTGTTTAATCTGGCCCACGACCCCTTTTCTGAACCGCTGGACTGTATGTAGTCCAACTATGAGAGAAGTGACAATATATATTTTCAAATTCCATTATATGCATACAGAAATGCAGAAACCCTAATACAACTAGTAAAATACATTTATTTTGACAAAAGCCGAGTCCATCCAATAGCGCTGCATGTGAACGGGATGCGGTGACAGAAAGGGTACACATGGGACAGAATAGCGGGAATCTAGAATATACTAGGGATGATAAATGCAATGACATATCTAGTCGGTCACTCTCAGTCGTCTCCCCAATTTCTCCAATTCGCCAATTATACCACCGCCAGCCAAGCTCCACTTTTCACCAACCCACTCGTCATTAATCTTCTCTCGCAGAAGACCACTGCGGGCAAAGTATTCCATGAAGCCCCTGGATTCTTCGCGGGTGAGTCCACCAAGCGTCTGAAGCTGCAGCATGCCTTCCTTTGTGATAGTGGGCTTCGAAGAGTCAAAGGCATCAATCACACGCTTGTCAGCTCCGCTGTATGGATCAGCTTGAGGGAATTCGGGAGCCGAAGAATTCAGGCCAGCCTGGCGAGCAGCGATTTGCTTGAGCGCGACTTCAAAACCGTAGATCGTCGGATTATTGGAAGCAGAAGTGGCGTAAAGTAAGAGACCACCGTTTGGAAGGGCGGGCTTTCCGGTACCAGGCTTCAACAGCGAGAGAAAGTGTCGCACAAACACCAGGTCGTGAGCGTGGATAGGCTCAAAATCCGCGGAACGATATTCGCTGTTTTTCATCCAGTGAGACAGGCCATCCACGGTAACAAGCATAGGGGGCCGAGGCTTGTAATTCTTATCAAAGCCAGGGGCAGGGGAAGTTGCGGTAAGCTCAGTCCACAATGCTTGGAAGACGGCCCAGGCAATGGCGTGGTCCTGGATACCAAGTTTGGCAAGCTCCTCAAGAGTCATACCAGCCTTAACGACGGACTTGAGAGCCGAATGCTCCTGGGAGATATGGAGTGTTTTCAGAACCTGCTCATTGGCGGCCACTGTGCGAGACAGCAACGCAGCAGTCATGTCGTTCTGAACATACAAGTGTGGCGTTTCATCAGAAAGTGGTGCGTAGCTAGAGTGCGCAATGACCAAATCCTGGGCTGAAGGGGTTGTTAGAAAGACTACACATATAGAGATGTGATCAACTCACGCTCTGGAACAGTGAACACGACCCATTGCTTGGTAAAAGCCATAGCCATGGCCTGCAGCAAGTGAACGGTTTTCCCTGACCCTCTGACACCGGTGACAATCTTCTTAACAGACTTTCCCTTGTCTTGTCCCTCGTTAGAGATAGAGTCAATCAGTCTGCCCAATTCTAATGACTCCCGTCTCACCACTGTGCCCGGCCGGCGGAATATCGACCAGCCCTGTTTCGGCTTGAAGGCCTCAACAGCCCTCAGCTGAGTGAGCATCGGCACAGGGAGACCGAGAACAGATCCCCGAAGGCGTGCGTCTATCATATTCTCCGATGACAGGTCCTGCATACCCTCGACCTCAAGGGCATTGGGGTTGCTGAGAACGATACGCTTCCGCAATGCTTTCCGTTCTCCGACAGGAGGCGGACGCGCCTTTTCAACTGGCTTCTTCTTCTTCATTCTAGCGGATTTGGCCTGACGGTACTTGGGAGGACCATCCAAGCTGTTTTTCTTTTTCGTTGGCAATGCATAGCGCACCGTTGATGTGTGAAATGATGCTGCTCTAGGTGCTGCTACCGACGGAGGTAAAACGGCTCGAGGTGTCGAACGAAGCCGTGTCAGACAGCTCCAACAGAAGGAAGAAACCATTGTGCTGAAACACACTGGCACAGCGGCCAGTGGTATGTCGGTCAATGGGAACTGCTGTGGGGTTAAGGAAGGGGAGGCTGCGCGGAGTGTTGCCCAAGCGTATGAATTGGATTGAGATTCGGAGCACATTTTGGAACTTCAACTAAGATTCCTCAGTTTACCTGTTCAGGATTAGTGTAGTTGCCGCTGAGTAAATTAGGAAGGCGGTCTATCGAAATCGTGCTCCCCTTAAAGCGGCTCCCCAAATTTTATCGTCAACTTTTTTTTTTCCACTTCAGTTTTCCTATCGGGTAGTCTATCTTACAACTGTGTCCCACTTTCTTTAGCGCTTTTTCTACCTCCGTGACTTCGAGTGAGGTGCGCTTCAAAATGTCTGCCGCAGAAACAACAAGTTCTGCCTCCGCAGTGACAAAATCCAAGCCAGAGAGATTGTGAGTTGCTCTCTATAGACGCTGGTATACACATCGCTTTCACAACATATGCTAATTGCCATGGCACATCAGGCCTATCACTGTTTCCAAACCTACTCCATACACCTTTGATCTCGGCCATCTCGTTGCAAATGATCCCAACCCGCTCGAAATCTCCCGCTCCGAACCAGTAAACGTTTCTCTAAAGGCCACAGCCCGCGATGGTGTCCAGTCTCTCCTCAACCAACTTCTCACTACCTGCCCTATTACTTCCTCACAAGAGGGTGTGCTCTTGACACTTCCTGCTCCCACGACTGTCCTTCCAAGACACAAGCCATTGCCCACGCCCAAGCCCCCCACCAAGTGGGAGCTTTTCGCACGCAAGAAGGGTATTGGCAAATACAGTGGCAAGCCTGGCGCTGCACTTGCGGACAAGGAGCGCCGGAAGAAGTTGGTCTATGACGAAGAGAAGGGCGATTGGGTACCTCGTTGGGGCTATAAGGGGGCGAACAAGACGGATGATGATTGGTTGGTTGAGGTAAACGAGAAGGATTGGAAGAAGGAGGAGGAGGCTGCAGCTCAGGGAAGCTCAATTCGTGGGATGTCGCGGGCTGAGCGCAAGGACAGAATACGGAGAAATGAAAGAAAAATGAGGAACAATGACCGGAAAGCCAGGAAGTCCGGTGGTGGTTAAGAGATGTGCTTCCTAACTTGCATCTTTTGTTAATCAAGGCTCTTTCGTCGGGCTTTGGCCAAATTCCCTAACTCTTTATTTGTCTGGAATACTGGGCTTATTAGGCGTTTGGATGGAGTCGCGGTCTTTGATGTCTCATGTTACCTAAATGGACTACTGCCATTTAGGTTAAAAAAGCAACTGTCGGTTTTAAAACATTTTCTTCTGTTCTTACTTAATGACCGAGAACAATCCTTGTACATTCTGGTAGCATATCCTTGTGGGTTCTATAGTTAGATTCTCGCCCTTGCAACGTAATCTGAAGCGTTTATCATTCCATTAGACTCTTCAAGTGTGACGTATGCCCTAATCATTGATCTATGTTACAAAATATGTACCAGCACAGCACTCCAAGAACATGCAGTTAAAAATAAACCATAATTGAAAAGGCACCGAAACAAGCTCCTATGGGGGAATATCAACGAATGTATAAAAACGTTAGAGCAAGAATACATGCATGTGGTCTTATAGAATTCTGGAGCAAAAACCCGCCAAAGATACATGTTAAAGAAATAATGAAGAGAGATAGAGGGCGAAAGTAGAAAAAGGCCAATTCCAATCTGTACAACAAACAAGGGAGAAAGTAAAGGTAGGCAATATCAACGGACTCCGATGGCGCCGGGCATGCATACTAATATAAAAGGGAAAAAGGGTCGCGGGAATCGCTAGCAACAGAGAGCAGGGAAACATAAGCGAATCAGAGTTTAATTAAAGAGAAAATATTGCAAAGATTCGGACTCAGGGTACTGAAGTAATGCTTGCTCAGCGGATCCAGTCCTAAACTTTAATCTAGCAATCCCCCAAAGGTCTCAACTCAACAAAAGGGGGGAAGGGAAGATGCAGGCCAGCCTGATCAAAGAGCTCAAATGTGTAATGCAGGAGTTGATGTGCCTCAACCCATGTAAACCATACAGCGGCTTTGTGCTGGAGTATTCTCATATCTGAATAGGAGACAGCGGAGGCCCCAGCTCAGGAAGCTGGGAAACACTCCTAGTATGTGTGGTTTCAATGTTCTTAGGTCTGTGCTTGCGGCCCTTGGCCGTTTCGGGACGAGAAGGTTGTTCTTGGATAGAAGGCTGGCTGCTACCGGACGAAGATATAGCTCTCTCTTCGATTCTCGTTGCTTGTGGAAATCCCGAATCGTTGTCCTGTTGTGTATGCGATGAGTTTTCCTTTTCGTCCATTTCTTGTTCGATCTGAAGATATTCCTTCTCCGTCCAGCAACCCTGCCAGCAATTTTTCCAGTCACAGACAAGGAAATTGAAGCAGAAAGCATCTATCTTCATGCAGGGCTGAAAGCAGATGCAAAGATTGCGGTAGTCCATTTTGTTTTGATCGACATAGGAATGCAAAAGGTTTAAGTGACATGTGATGGCGAAAAGGAGGTAGTAATGATAGGGTGGTAGTTTTGAGAGCTCATCTTTAAGCATCTGTGGAGCAGTAGTTGCGCCCTCGCATTTTTCGGCGATCATAGCCTGCGTTTCCTTAGGGAAGAGTTCATCGGGTAATTCTCGAAGCCAAGCCTTGAACATGGAGCCAATCGTATTGATGTCATAAAGGTCCGGCTCATCAAAAAGGTTGATGTCAAGCTCTAGAGGGAAATACTATTAGATTCTTACCTCAATAGGGCAAATCTTGGTAAACCTACCGGTATCAAAGCGTCGTTGCCAATGCTTGACTTCTTTCCCACTACCCGGAACACGGTAAAGTCCCTCTTCTTCACAGCCTTTGAAATTAAGGTAACTGATGTAACGTTAGTTACCCACCTTCAGAACGGAAGCGTTCAACTTACTCAACACAGCGATATGGTAAGGCTGGCATCCAAAATTCTGTCTTGTCCTTACAATCCTCGAGTCGCTTTGCTATACGAGTTCGCCGGGCTTGTTCAATAAGCGGCAAGTTGATCACAGAACAGACATAGTTGTCGTCATTAATGAGTTCCCGCTCATTGGTACTGCCGCTCCTGGTGATCTTTCCAAAAAATCCCTTTCCTGCCTTCCCAATCCGATCCGCAGCACCACTTGATGACTGTTTAATGTTATTGAACAGCGCTGCCGAAGCGCCCGACACTTGACTCAAGGAAGCTGAGGGAACCATTGACCCTCCATGTCGTTCCTTTCGTACTAAGCCACTGTGAACTTCTGTAGGTCGATCAATGGTGTAACTGCGGACATGAGGAATCGCTGTTGGCTTGGCTTCTCTCTCTGGACGCGTGGGTGCTGCTTTTGGGGTCGCCTGTGCCTCCCCTTTGACGCTTTCTTCTAGTCTCATAAGGCTGGTTGACGGACGTCGATGCGTGATCCTGTTCACAGCGGAGTCGTCTAATCTTATTGAGCGAGAACGGGAAAGGAGGTTGGCAAAACGGGGCTTTCCCTTCTTCAGGGTATGACTAGGCTCGGATTCAGGGCCAAGCTTCTTGAATTCTGATGGCTGCGCGGACCGGTCTTCAAAAGAATGGCAGTCTAGAAAGTGTCAGTATATTTTGAACGAAGTGATAGCCATGTATTCTGTACTTACTGCTCTCTTGTTGCGCTGCACGTTCAATTGCACCAGGGAGATCTGGCGTTGACTCGTACAGCTTCGATGAAATCTGTGTCCTGCGATCTCTGGAACTGCCACGGCTCCTAGGCTTATCACCCGAATTCCCCGAGCTATCCGATCTCTGAGCCCTATGTGAAGCTTTTGGTGCCTTTAGATTTGCGAAGAACGAACGTGAGGGGTCACGGCAATGTTTGGGTGAGTCGCGCGGAGAGGGAGGGTACTGAGGAATGGCCGTGACTCCTTGAGTAGGTGACTCTGCAGTAAACGCCGGGGAGACCGGTAGGGTAGGGCTATTCGAGCTGGTATTATGTTCTTGTGTTACGGAGCGGATTGTGGTGCCCTTGAAGAACGTTGAACTTGACGAAGATTTGGGAGACCGCGGTGTCAGGGGACTGGGTCCATCTGAGCTTGCGCCGGGTGTATGTGGGGACGAAGACTTTGTGCTTGTTTGGAGTGTGGAAGGGCTGAGATCTAAATTGGGAACAGTGGACTGTCTAGACGGCATTTTAGACGTTGATCGCGGGTCAGATAGCGGCGTTGGCAATTCGTCAGGGGGAGACCGGCAGAAGCGATACTCCAAGCGCTAACTGAATGCTAAGGAGAAAAAAAGATCGATCTATTATTCACAAAAACATACGTTAGCACGGGATGCACGTAAGTTCCCAATTGAGCGGTGGTATTTTTGGGATGCTGAAACAGACTAACCGAAGAGACCCCAGATTCTAGAACTTACCCTTGTTCTAAAAAAAATTGGCTCTTTCTTAATCTTTAGAGCCTGAATATCCTAAAATTATCCCTTCCTCCAAGGACCCATGTATTCTGGGAAGATACCCCGAGAGAGAGTAGGATGAATGAACCGACTGCAATGGGACCAGCCTTGCCAATATATTTCCTAAATGTCGGTGTCGAAAACGCTGTCAAAGCAAACAATGATCGTACGTGGAAGAGGAAAATATCTCGGAGCGACCGCGTCTAAGAAATAGTTGCATGGCCATCAGCGATCCTGGCTAGAAACAAAGATGGCTTTGCGTTAGGGAGATAGGAAGAAAGAGTGGCGTGCAGCATTTAACGGTAAGGAGCGTTGATAAAAGAAGGGGAAAGGGGGGGCTATGAATGCATGAAGCCATCACGAAGGCTGACATCGTCATGGCTCACCCCTTGGTATGCGTCCAGAAAGGGGAGAGAGCGAGCGACTTGAAGTGAATTTATCATGTGGTCATGGGAAAGGGAGTTTTGATAGAATCCATGGCCATGTTGCCATCACAAGTATTGAAATTGATAGGACATACCAGAATGCGCAGCCCCTCATATTAAGAATTGGACGTTCTTGATTGATTCTCTTCCTAGTCCACGCAGGAGGTTGATGGATAGGTTTTCTGGTAAATTCCTTGGGCACAGTTGAATTGTTGAATTATTGCTGCCCTACTAGGCTTTCTCTCTCGTCTCTCTCTGTTTCTTTTTATTTTTATTTTTATTTTTTAAATATTTTTTCTTCCTCTTTTTTCTTTGGCTGCGGAGCGGTCTCAGAAGGGCGGTCGGTAAAGCGAGCGAGGAGTGACTAGCGTGCTGTGCTATGTTGTTGGATCTGCTAAGGGGCGGCAGAAGGGCACCGAAGTAGAAAAGAGAGAAAAGAAAAGAAAAGAAGATAACATCTAAGAAAATTCAAAGAGAACGGAAAGGAGAGAAGAAAAGCAAATCCTCAGTATGGAGCTTTCAAGGGGACTGTATGGACTTGGTCGTCAAAAACCTTGACACGAGAGAGCGGTACCCGCACGGTTCTGAAGGTGCTCAGACTCGACACATTCCTTGACAGCGTTATGCAAGCGCGGCTGTGTGTCAGGCTAAGAAGCTCCGTTCTTTAAGGGGGCAAACTGATAGTGGAGTTGGCGTTGTGCAAGGCTCCAGAATTGCTACTGCGTGGCTTTTGGAGCGCTATGGAAAAGCCTATTTGCATCTAGTGCACTGATGGGGATTATCATAAGAAACGCTGTTCCAATTTTCTTGTCCGTATACTTCAAATCCTTATATGGAGCTTTCTCTCTCTCTCTCTTCTTCTTCTTCTTCTTCTGCCATTATTTGTGCCCTCTTTTAAGTTTACAAATACAATTCGGATCCGACCAGAGTTTGTGGGTGATCGATGAGCCAAATTTAATGGAAGGGGCAAAAAAAAAGGTGGCTTGTAGTGTCGACGGTGACGTTTGGTCCAACCCACCGACCGATCGTCCGTCGGGTTGGAGTATCAGGACATGTTCAGGTCACTGGACAATACTTTGTGTTCGATGATATAGAGAGGTCGGCCTTTTCTAATATAACTTCGAGACATCTTAAACCGATTGTAGAAGAATTACTAGGTATACTAGTATAGTTTTTCATTATTATTATTTGTGTTGCAGCCTACCACAGCCTCCCAATATACAATGCACAGGGACGCATTGTGTATAGTAAAGCGAATGTGTACAAAGGTATACACCGAAAGATCGGGAAAACCCATCTAAATAATGGATTGGTGACAATGATTGGCTTAAAAGATCGGGCCTGGCAGCTAGTGTCTTGGGCGGGATGATGTACGCTACGACTAAGAATCAGCGTTTGCAACAAAGGATTGGCCGACCAAATATCGCCCTGGGGCAGCGTTCCATGGCACGGGCGAATCAGCGGAGGATGCAATCAACACAAACGAGGTGCCTGGCGCGGAGGCGGTCATAGCATCAAAGTTGTAAGTATCTTGACTACAATCTGATACCACTAGTAAACAGTACGCTCATATGGTGAATTGTGTCTGCATAATTTTCTACTGATTTGTGCTGCTACATGTAAAATTCCGTACCTAAAAGGTCAATTCACATCAAGAATTTTTTCTTCTTTTTCAATACCCCATTTTCAAGTATCTAACGACTGATCCTTTTGAGCTTCAAGTGGGTATGCTACCACGGTTCACACTGGACATCGTGATACCACTAGTGGGGCGGGTATAAAAAGTAATATATACTAGAGAAGATAGAAGGGTAGGTACTGAACATTTATACACAAAATGCCCCTCCAAGCATCTTTATTTACCTAAAAGAAAACGGTAACAGAAAAGGAGAGCAGAAGAAGAGAAAATATTGGAATTATAAAGTAAAACCTACTATCTAATGTGCCCGAATAAAGCTTTACCAATTACGTACCCCGGCGCCGAATGATCCTTTTTCGCTTCTTTCCTTTTTTATCCATTTTTTCTTCCTACCGGGAGGACTCGGTACATGGTACATTGCGGTATATACTAAAAAACAGTAATAAATTGAATATGGAAATTAAAAGAATTATATACATATAATATATTATTGGGTCACAGAATTTATACCCCTCATTTGCATACATTGTAGATCGTACTCGTACCTCTTGTGTTAAACATTGAAATTGGAGACGGTACTCCGTACACGTGGGAAGGATTGATTCCATGAGAACAAGGATCCGCTTTTGCACTAGTACGGTCTCTCTCAAGAATAACTGGAACAGTGTTACTATTCTTACTTACGAAGGAATGCTTCAGCAAATACTGGATTTACGTCTACAGCTTTTGATCAGCAAGAGTCTAATCCCAATAAAACCACAATAGCGAACTGAGCGACAAAAGAATCAGCAGCCACTGGACACTATTAAAGTCTCCATCAATCAATGCAGTATTGAGATAAAAGCAGGGACCCAGGGGCAAATTGTAAGCGCTCAGGGGTTAAGTTCACACCGCTGCCCGCCCTGGCGATCCCACCCTAAAAACTGTCTGAAACATGGCCCCGCTTCTGCGCCGGCGGTTCACCCGGTGGCGCCAAGTCACGTGTGAGGAAGCCCTCGGTACCCGACCACACTCATCCCTGCAAAAAAGCTTTTTCTTCCCCCCTCACTAGTCTGCCGAAAACTTACGCAGGCCTTGTCTGCCCTTGTCTGATATAGACATTATACATGCACTGGAAGCACCGTGAAAGTTAACTCTGATTTCCTAAAGACGATGCAGGTCTCCTTCTTGGTGTAACCTCTGAAGTGCCGGTTCTTATCATCACCTTCTTTTCTTTTTCTATCTTTTTAAGTTCACCTGATCTTAGCTGGCTGAGTACTGAGCCGCTTAGAGAATTGCCTTCCGAACAATAGGTCCCCCCCCAAAGCTAGCTTGCTTTGTGCTAGTGACTGAACTACTAACTGACACCACCCTCCACGTAAAACATGTCTTTAGTGTCGGGGCCTGGTAGGGCTGTTGAAACTCAGCCCGACCAGATTTTATGTGTTCATAAACATGTGGAGTATATCAAAAATTTGGACAGCGTGCGTTGTTCCATTCATCTTTGGATGATGGTGAAGATGGTTGACAGGTGATGCTAGAGGAGGGATGAGCTTGAATATTGGCTCACGGAGCATCTTCGACTTAATGGAGTCTACTGGGGCTTAACAGCTCTGCATCTTCTCAACTGCCCCCAAGCTCTACCTCGTGAAGACACCGTTGATTTTGTCCTCTCGTGTCAGCACAGGAATGGTGGGTTCGGGGCAGCCCCCGGTCATGATGCCCATATGCTATATACAGTTTCTGCAGTTCAAATCCTTGTAATGCTGGATGCCGTGGATGAGTTGGAAAAGCGTGGACTGGGGGGCAAGCACAAAGTTGGCTCGTTCATCGCAGGATTACAGGACCCGAAAACTGGTTCATTCATGGGTGACGAGTGGGGTGAGTTAGACACGCGATTCTTGTATGGTGCTTTCAATGCATTGTCACTATTAGGTCTCCTTGATACTGTTGACGTCTCAAAGGCCGTTGCCTATGTCCAGGAATGTGAAAACCTGGACGGAGGCTATGGGATTCGCCCTGGAGCCGAATCACATGCTGGTCAGATATTTACATGTGTTGGAGCTTTAGCGATTGCTGGGCGCCTTGACTTGGTAAATAAAGACCGCCTCGGTGGTTGGCTGAGCGAGAGACAAGTGGAAAAGGGGGGGTTTAATGGACGTCCAGAGAAGTTGGAAGATGTCTGTTATAGCTGGTGGGTTGGAGCCAGCTTGGCTATGATTGGCAAGCTTCACTGGATTAATGGTGACAAGCTTACTGCATTCATCCTACGTTGTCAGGTAAGTTTCAATTCATTCGCCAAAATGCCAATTCTTTTTTTAACTCCAACCAGGATCCGGAGAATGGTGGCTTTGGAGACCGACCTGGTAACATGGTCGACGTCTTTCATACACACTTTGCCATTGCAGGGTTGAGCCTCCTAAAGTATGGCGGCGTACAAGAAGTAGATCCTGTCTAGTGAGTTATCTAACTTGGATTTCCTGCATGGCCACTAACACTAACGGGTGATTAGCTGTATGCCCAAAGCAATAACAACGAAGTGCTTGTCGATGTGATATCAGCCATTTTACCTCTATTTCTCGTAGTTCGCACCTCCTGCAATCTAATAACCCATCTTACCCTGCTTTCAATGGATTATGGGATACAAGGCAGGAGAAGAATGATTGGTACTGTGACTTATTTCCGCTTCATACCCCCCCACAATGACCTTGTTAAATGGTCGTTAAGACACAGTGGCACATGAAACCATGTAACTCTTAATACTAGCAATGTTTTCTGATCTTCCAATATGAGTTGAAATCGTATAATCGACACCCCTAGTCTCTATTGCTCGACCCTTGACTGAAGCCCTTTCGTTTCTGTCTAGGTAATGTACCCTAGTTTCCCGCTGGCCGTATGTATGAACTTAAGCCATAATACTGGAAGTCACGGTACGGTACCTTGCAAAGTAGGTGCCTGCCCGTTTAGAAGGTTTTCAGGGGTTCCTTCTCTAGTTGCTCGTGTAGACAGCAATATTATGTCTTCTTCCCACCATCCTACAACTTGCCCTGGCGGTAGTTGATTCTGCAGGGCAAGTTTGCTGGTAATTTTTACCAGCTGCCACTATCTCAATCCTCAAGGAATCTCGAATATGTAACACGAAGGCCAGTCTTTCTAGTTCGGTCTTGTGTCCAGTATTTCCAGCGGTTTGTTCAGGTTTCGTGCATGCAACAACTTGCCCTGGGTAGCTCTAACTTCTTGCCTTCTTTGAATCTTGCCCTACTTGGTTCTTTCATTTTTTAAGGTTATCTACAATGGATGCAGCTGCACTTTTGTGCAATATTTGCCCTAGGAAACCCAGATTCAGTGATGTGTCTCATTTGTTGACCCACGTTTCATCCAAGGCTCATCTTTCTCATTACTTCAAATTGCAAGTCCGCAGTCATCAAGAGCCCCAAGCCGTCATTCTACTCGATGAGTACGACCGATGGTATAAGGCCAATAACCTTGCGAAGTTGCTCTCTGACCGTTTATCCTCGAAAGATGCTCGCAGGAAAAAGAATCAGGGAAAGATTGCAGCTCAGGACAAATCATGTTCTATAAAGAGTCATGGATACAGAAGTCCTCCAGCGCCGGCCTGCCCGCTGCTTGATATCCCTCCTCCTGTCTACCTGGATCCTCGCCTTGTTGCACCCTATTCGAATATAGAGCATAAGGATAGTAACCAGAGATCATCCGTCTCTGCGAACTGCATTACAGTGGCTGCAGCTTCGAACCACCCCCCACATGTTCACGCGGAGTTGGACTATCCATTGCACCCTACGCTTAGTTCTCATACTCTTATTGAAACAGAAGCCCATCAATGGAAGCAAGAGCCTGTGTTTGATTCTGATGACGAGGGAGCCTCCGCCTTGCAACGTATGCCAACTTGGACCAAAACGTTGGGACGCACTGCGGAAATGGCCTCACAGTTACTTGATCAACATCTGGTATACGACCCCTTCGTTGACGACACTGAGAGCGAGGTGGACAAGGAAAGAGTGGATGAAATTGCTAGACTTAAAGGAGTGTTCTGGCCAGGAATGGATATCTTCGACTCTGCCACTGAACAAATGAGGCGCAAACGCAATCAAAAGAAGGATGAAAGCACTCTTAGGATGATGGAAAAGACATCTATGGGTGTAGCACCTACCGAACTGGTCTTTTCCCCTACCGGTATATTACGAAAGCAGCGTGTGATCTCTGGAAATGTAGAGGACAGCAGCCCTCTTAAGGGGGAGACACCGATACCAAAGCGGAGAATGACTCGTCCAAAGCGTGTCCTCTCCCAATCCGACCCAAACGTTCAGCATAAACGAGACAGGAAGAGGAAGAAAAAGGTAATCAAGCGTGGCCCGACCACTGTTAAAGAGGTCTTTGGCCATCGAGGTTTACATTCTGCACGGGGTGCCTCGATCGAAGAGCCAACTTGTGGCGGTAATCACCTACCTCGTGGAAAGAGTACTGACGACTTTGTATTAACATTCGGCGGGAACGACACTAGGTCTAGCAATGAGTTAAAGGTGTTTTGTGACACACCAGATCAAGATATGTCAGCACCCAAAGACAAGTATTGTGAGGATGGGCTGCAATATGAGCTATCGGCACCTTCTGATTTCTTCCTCCAACAAGAAGCTATGACCAATCGCACTCCAAACTCTGTACTTTCGGCCAATTATATCTCAGAGTTTACAGAGAGGCTCTGTCGTTTCACCACAGACAAAGAGAATATTGAGCCGCTCCTAAATGTTCATGGCCGAATCGATCCTCTCGTGGGCTGGCATTCCCCAACAACGGAGCGGCATTTAGTCAGTGACGCTACTAGCTATCAATCGCAGGTTTTATTTAGCAATGGTCAACGAATCGGGCTGAACATGTTCGACGGTCAACATGGTCATGCAGGATATTCTTATAACCCATTAGCAGCTTCGTTTCCAAAACCGCCAACAGACGAGAACCCTATATACACCACCGACGCCAATAGCAGTCTGGCTTCTCAGGGTGTGATCCGTGCGACGTCTCCCGAGGCAACAATTTCCGATATTGAAGAAGAAGATTTTGAGCGACTCTATTTGGATGGGAGCATCTACTAGGCTTTGTCCTTGTAGCGCGCCTTTGTTTGTTTACTTCCTGCCCACTTGATTACAGCTTGCTTGCCGATTGTTCCTCTATACTGCAGCCTCACTTCACAGATTCGCATAATCGGCCCTAGAACGATCTCGTGGGATCCAAAGCATTAGTCGTCGTGGGTCGGATAAGCTCTGAGAAGCTGTCTGTACCTTCCAGCCATCGCGACAAATCATCGCTGTATATTGATCAGGTTAACCTTCCACGAACACATCAGTCGAACTTTAACGGGAAAATGAGTAAGACTAGCTTCGATGTTGGAATTTGATGATCATCAATTCATCAATCACTTGCGCCGACGTCGTATGCATATATTTATAACTGACGTTTTATAAAGTATGAACAACTACTAGTCCATTGCGATCGATGCAGGAGGCTGGATAAGGTATAAGTGCCTATGCACGCACTATTGTCGCAATTAGCACATGTATAGATTATACTTAAGATAGATAATAAGTGTTATTCCGTTATCACATTGTGCTCAACTCGTCTGAAGATGTAGCCCTATTCGCAGCTGGTCAACTGTGACTGATTAGATAAGCAGTATTTAATTAAAGGGGGAACACGGGTACCGCGTCACGCGTTAAGCTCCAAAGCGGTGGACTGACAGGAGTTCATTAGATCTAAGAGACACTATTACTATGCGGGAACTTAAAGAGCGGGTGACAGAAGATTAATTGGGTGCATATTTGCCCATTGACTAGGTCTATCACAATTGTTTTCTCCGCAATCTGTTGCTGAGCATCCTTTGCCACTGATCCCGACGCTGATTCACACGCCCAGTCTATCCTTTTCATTTCGGTTTTTTGTTGAAGTACTCTACAAATCGAAGGCCTTACTGAAGCTTCTGTGGCTTACGAAAACCTCCAGGTTGGAAATGATGCCTGTATCTTCTCAGCCGTCGCCTTCCTCCCCGGATCTGAAACGAAAACAACCGACCATCTCGAGCTTTTTCACTAAGAAACCACAATCCTTGCCGAAAAACTCACCCAATAGCGCTTCAGGAAAGGACGAAATAGATCAAGTGGGTGAAGAGGTTGCAAGTCCGGAAGAGAAACAGAGGGGAATTGGGAGCGCTCCGACAAACAACATCGATAATGCCGATGAGGACGACGACGATGACAATGTTATAGCACCTGCACCAAAGCGCGCTAGAACAAATGGGTCGCGTACAAAAGATACAGGGGGAAGCTTGAAAGAAACGCATATCGAGCGTCCGTTATCGTCAGATAGTAGCCAGAGAACAGAGCTGTCTAAGTTCGCCAGCTCCCCCAATGCGGAGCCAGAATTTGCAAAGGAACGAACCAAGGAAAGAGAGAAGCTGCATCAGAAATTTGTGAGGAGATTAGGCGGGGCCGACTGTCTGATTGGAATTGGCAGAAATGCGGCCACTGAAGCTGTTTCAGAGGACGCTGCAGAGGCCGACGAGGACGATGACCCGTCGCCGCCCCCTCCACCGAAAGGGAAGGCCACGGCGAAGAAAGGTGGGAGCAAGCTTACTCCTATGGAAAAGCAGGTTATTGATATAAAGCGCAAACATATGGATACGGTTTTGGTAGTCGAGGTGGGGTACAAATTCCGGTTCTTCGGCGAGGATGCCAGGATAGCCGCGAAGGAGTTGAATATTGTCTGTATTCCCGGAAAATTCAGATTTGACGAACGTAAGTATCAATCTTGAGTTATGTAGTACCCTTCTTCTGTTGGGCTCTGCTTAAGAGTACTATAGATCCTTCGGAGGCCCATCTCGATCGATTTGCATCGGCCAGTATACCGGTACATAGACTACATGTTCATGTTAAGCGTCTCGTTTCTGCTGGCCATAAAGTTGGAGTGGTCAGACAAATGGAGACTGCTGCCCTGAAAGCCGCTGGTGATAACCGCAATGCGCCCTTCGGACGCAAGCTTACCAATCTGTATACAAAGGGCACGTATATTGATGATATGGAAGGCTTGGAGGGATCTACAGCTTCGATATCAGGGACCAGTACTTCGATGACAACTGGGTATATGCTCTGCATTACAGAGTCAAACATGAAGGGCGGGGACAATGACGAAAAGGTACATGTGGGAATTGTCGCTGTTCAGCCGGCAACAGGTGACATAGTGCATGATGAATTTGAAGATGGGTTTATGAGGAGTGAGATTGAAACCAGGCTTCTTCATATGGCACCCTGTGAGATTCTTATAGTTGGTGATTTATCAAAGGCCACGGAGAAGCTTGTTCAACATCTCTCTGGTAACAAAACTAATGTTTTCGGCGACAAGATTCGTGTTGAGAAGGCCTTCAAAACAAAAACAGCCGCAGCCGAGTCACACAGCCATATATCCAGCTTTTATGCGGAGAGGATGAAGAAGGCCAATGCTGCAGACGATGCGCAAGCGAGCAGCCTGCTCCAGAAGGTGCTCAGTCTGCCCGAGCGGGTAACTATCTGCTTGTCTGCCATGATTAAACATATGGCAGAGTACGGCTTGGAGCACGTTTTCCAGCTCACAAAGTATTTTCAACATTTTTCCTCTCGGTCACACATGCTTCTCAACGCAAATACTTTAACAAGCCTCGAGATCTATCTTAACCAAACCGACTACTCCGCCAAAGGCAGCCTTTTCTGGACGTTAGACCGGACGCAGACTCGTTTTGGCCAAAGATTGCTGAGAAAATGGGTGGGGCGCCCTTTGCTGGATAAATCCAGTCTTGAAGAAAGGGTTAACGCCGTTGAAGAACTGAAGAGCCCAGAAAAGGTGGTTCTCGTAGAACGGCTGAAGGGGCTGCTTGGAAAAGTCAGAACTGATTTGGAGAAGTCTTTGATCCGGATATATTATGGAAAGGTAATTTACCGCCACCCAAAATATGCGATAACGTCGATACTAATCAACGCATAGTGTACCCGGCCCGAGCTTCTTACGGTTTTACAAACCTTACAGATGATCGCACAGGAGTTTGCTGATGTCAAGTCTTCTGCTGATACTGGATTCACCTCGCCTCTTACTAGTAAGGCAGTAGCGTCTCTTCCGACAATCCTAGAAGATGTCGTGCGTTTTCTGGGCAAAATAAGCATGCATGCAGCCAGGAATGATGACAAATATGAGTTTTTCCGGGAGTCGGAGGAGACAGAGGAGATTAGTGAACACAAGCTCGGGATTGCCGGCGTGGAGCACGAACTTGAGGAACATCGCTCTGTGGCCGGCGAGAGCCTCGGGAGGGGAAAAGTAGAATACGTCACAGTTGCGGGCATTGAATATTTGATCGCGGTTGAGAACAAGTCATCGTCCATCAAAAAGGTGCCAGCATCGTGGGTGAAGATTTCAGGGACCAAGACGGTTTCGAGATTCCATACACCAGAAGTTATCCGGCTTCTGCGACAGCGGGACCAGCACAAAGAAGCATTAGCGGCAGCCTGTGACAAAGCGTACATATCCCTTCTGGCTGATATATCTGCTAGCTACCAGTCTTTCCGTGACAGCGTACAGTCCCTTGCGGCACTTGATTGTCTAATCTCTCTTGCGACCATTGCTACCCAGCCCGGCTATGTAAAACCTGAGTACACGGATCATACCTGTATCCAGGTCGATCAGGGACGCCATCCAATGGTTGAACAACTTTTGTTGGATAGTTATGTCCCCAATGGCATTGACATGGACAGCGACAAGACACGTGCTCTCCTTGTTACAGGTCCCAACATGGGGGGTAAGTCCAGCTACGTGCGACAAGTAGCACTCATAGCCATTATGGGTCAGATTGGCTCTTACGTACCTGCTCGGTCAGCGAAACTAGGTATGCTAGATGCCGTGTTTACCCGCATGGGAGCTTTTGACAACATGTTGGCTGGTGAATCTACATTCATGGTTGAACTTTCTGAGACAGCGGATATTTTAAAGCAAGCAACACCTCGCTCCCTTGTCATTTTGGATGAACTGGGTCGAGGCACATCTACCCACGATGGTGTTGCGATCGCGCAGGCAGTTCTGGATTATATGATTCGGACGATTCGAAGTCTCACACTTTTTATTACCCATTACCAGCATCTTTCCACAATGGTGCATTCCTTCCCCGACAATGAACTTCGGAATGTGCACATGCGTTTTACCGAGTCAGGTTCTAGTGAAGAAGAAGAGCTCACATTTCTCTACGAGGTGGGAGAGGGTGTCGCGCATCGCAGTTACGGGCTGAATGTAGCACGTCTGGCAAACTTACCAGCACCCCTACTTGAGATAGCCAAGCAAAAGAGTGCCGAACTAGAACAGAACATCCGCCGTCGGAGACTTGCTGGACTTGTGAGGACGGTGGGAGATATTTTGGCAGATCCTGCAAAAGCAGATGAAAGCTTGATCGAACGACTCATCAGTAGCGCAGAGCAGCTGTAGCTGGACACAATTGACTAAAACCTACCGTGTTTATGCAGCAACAACTGGTATTCTGAAGCATTACATCTTAGCGCAGTTTTTTGTAAAGACTACCGTATGTATGATAGGAAAATGCGTTTCCTTTCATGCCTCGTTTTGACTTAAAGCGACGGAATATTGGCAATTATTATGAATGAAGGACACCTATTGAAGTTCAAACATATTAAGTCGTAAGGTATGATATCTGCGTCCCTTTGACTCTCCAACATTGTAGTGTTTAGTGGTATATAATAGGGAGTAGATGTATTCACTCCGTAGCTTGGACCCAGAAAGCCGCTTGCGCCAAAAAGAGTGATTTAAGACTAATTTTAGTGATCAAATGTTATGCTACCTTAAAAGCCGCTGGGAACCTGCATTTTATTCCAGCCAACCAATTAGATTACAGGTTCCGGGAACATGACCTATTGAGCCTGATTTGTAGGGCATCAAATACCCCACTCCTCACTGATTCAGACTCTGTGCTCCGATTTCGTTCCTTTCTCCGGTCTAACTCTCCCCATCTCTGCGAAAACCTCCTATTTAAGTCAATTCTGCACAGTGTTAGACGTATTATATTGCCTACACCGGTTTGTTTTCGCTTTATACTGGCATACAATAATCAACCCGCCCGCCATACTTTTCCTTCCCTCTCTCAATTGTTCCAGCAACTACCCCGCGCAGTGATCGTCATCAAAGATGGATCTCGTTAATCAGTGAGTCAATCACTCCCATGTTTCTATACGGACCTCCAGATAGGCAATGGCTTTGAAATATAACCTGCAAATACTAACATTTTCGTCTCAGCCTTGAAGGAAGACTCCTTTTCGCCGTCCCTAAAAGCAAGTAACCCGCCATGACTCACTCCACTCCTATATCGCAAATTGAAGCATGAGCCCCGTCACACCAAATCCATGAAAATAAAGATGAGCTCCAGCTAATACGAGAATCTCTGGCAACAGAGGGTCGGCTCCAACAGGCGACCTTGGACCTTTTGGCCGGTGTTGACATTCAATTCCGTCGCGAGACCCGCCTCGACATCGCCCTGGTGAAGAACCTCCCCATCGCGCTTATCTTCCTCCCTGCCGCAGATATCCCCACTTTTGTCGGCGAGGGTCGCGTCGACCTTGGTATCACCGGTCGCGATCAGGTCGCTGAGCACGATGCGCAGCTGCCCAACGGCGAGACCTCCGACGTGGAGGAGATCATGGATCTTGGCTTCGGAGCCTGCAAGTTGCAGGTGCAGGTGCCGGAGAAGGGCAATGTCACTGAGGCGAAGCAATTGATTGGCCGCAATGTTGTCACCAGCTTCACGGGCCTCACCGAGGCGTTCTTCGCCAAGCTTGAAGGTGTCGATGATACCAACAAGCTCAGCACTAAGATCAAGTACGTTGGTGGTAGCGTTGAGGCTGCTTGCGCTTTGGGTGTTGCCGATGGCATTGTCGACCTTGTCGGTACGTTCTCTTGAACAGATCTATCATGACTGTTTATGAAACCGAGCTGACCGAACCTCACACAGAATCTGGTGAAACTATGAAGGCCGCTGGTCTCAAGGCCATCGATACCGTTGTCGAGAGTACCTCTGTTCTCGTGAAGTCCAAGAAAACCCAGAACCCTCTCGTGGAACTTATCACCTCCCGTATCCGTGGTGTCATCAGTATGTCATCATTTTTTTTTTTCGAACTTCCTTTCGCCTTTGTCCACTTCTTCTTACAACAGCTAATCTCTTTACTATAGCCGCCCAGAAATACGTCTTGTGCCAATACAACATCCCTCGTAGCGAACTCCACACTGCCGCCAGCATCACCCCTGGCAAGCGCGCCCCCACCGTGACCGCCCTCGAGGAAGACGGCTGGGTCGCCATCAGCTCGATGGTCGAGAAGAAGAAAATCGCCACTGTGATGGACGAGTTGACCAAGGTCGGTGCGACAGACATCCTAGTCCTGAACATTGCCAACTCGCGGACGGGTTAGACCGTGTCTTCTGTTTTTATTTCTATTCTATCATGCCTTGTTTAGCTCATGTTTTGTTTTTCTGGCATAAAGGCGTGTTTTACATTTTACCATTTTGGTTCTTTCTGGGGGTTCTTGTTTGTTTATTTTTCTCTTTCTTTTCTTCGGATCTCGGGACATTTGGGTAAAATAACTTATAGACTATGTGGTTACGGTTCCATTGAAAAAAGAAAAGAAAAAAGAACAAAAGAGTTACATTCAATCCGCCTATGCTATGTTACAGATAGATTCGATGTATATACAATTTTTTTTCTATATAAATAGTGAATATATACAGATATAGCCGCAGCACTCTATGCAAGAGAGGGGTTTTCTTCTGAATAACGTGAAGATGTAATGCAGATTTTGTCATTTCTCGTATGATAATCATCATAAGCATGAGTTTGGTTCATCCAAGATGATCGGTCAAGAATAGTCATTGGAGAGGTTCATTGGAAAGGTGATGGGAAGAGGATGAGTTTCTATAAGCCCGGGGGTGGGGGAATGTATGGGTATCGTTGCAAAAGGCTAGATAATAAGAAAAGAGAAGAGGAATCTTCAGGCCAATGAGGACGATTCGTTGATTCCTACGCCCTCTCGTCTTCCGCGCACTAAAGCCCGAAGACATTGGCCCACACCTTCTAGATCACCCAATAACCCGACGTGACCGCGATCGCTTTTGACCAGACCGTGTTTGATGATTCGATAACCTGGGGGTAGCATTGCCGCAGATGCGAGGCAGACACCGTCACCTGCAGCGAAGGCGAGATCATCGTAGGCGTCTTGGTGTTTGATGTGTTCGCGCGACGCGACGCGCGCGCCGTAGAGGGTAGGAACAGATTTACCGTATAGAACTGCGAAAGGCGGATAGCGGTTGTTAGATTGATGAGAGGGGTTGAAAGCGAGTTCTTGCTTGAAGCGGAGGATCTCGGCGAGGGTGCGCTCCAGATAGGTCATAGCTGAAGCTCGGGGGATGGTTACGGCAGTGGTTGCTTTGACGTTGGCCGAGCCCCGTAGGTTGGACGTGGGACCGACAACGCCCTCGATGTTTGGAGCGAGAGCGGAGGCCTTGTCAGCTGGGTCAGTAATGGGATTCGGATTGCTGCGACCGGTCTGATTCGGGTCTTGCTGCTCGTCTTCCGGTGACTCCTCCGATGGCAGACTCTCCTTGCTGCTTAGAACAGCGGAGAAGCGTTTCCCAATGTTGTCCTTAAGGCCAAAGCCCTTGTTCGTCATGGGTGGAAGGGCTGGATTGATGCAAGGGGAGAGCCGGTATTCATCCCAATTTTGAGCGTTGAAGAAGTCCACCCGATATTCTTCTTTGGTGCGCTTATCGATAAAACAGTGCCCATCTTCGGGAAGAAGGGCAAAGCTGGTGCGGAATGTGAAGTTCACTTGAGCTGTGAGGACACGAGAACTGAGTAATACATCGTCACCGTTGCGAAGGGGACCTAGGATATTGACACAGTGTTGCGGGACACCGGCGTAGAGAACACTAGCGAAGAGTTCTGGGCGCTGGTTTACGGCGTGTCGGGTAATCAACCCTCCCAGACTGTGCGCCACAACATGGGCACCCCGCTTCTCGGGCGGAACATTGGGCGCATTGCACGGCAAGCCCTCGAGGAACTTGATCAATCTTTTTGAGAGAAGATGTGGACTCAGACGCCAATCGTAACCATAATCCCATACGCGGAGGTCACCTTTGACGGCATTATCGCACTTTCGGAGGTGCTTCAATAGCCGACGGCAGATGTCCACGGGCCCAATATGCGACAGAACCCCTGAGGGAATGATCGTTTCCTCCATGCGCTCCTCGTCCTCCGGGTTCAAGCCTACTTCAAGGTCCACCTTGCGGAGGTTTAGCCCGACTTTCATCGGAACCCACAGTTGACGCTGCGGTGGCTTCGCGGAACGCAGGATGGATCCTCGATAGCCTCCCATGATGACAACATCGCCACTTAACTCAGACATAGCTTCATTTAACACGGGATGCCACGAATTGGAGTTAGCCCGCGGCGGACGAGTTCCGAGTTGCGATGACATCTGCTCTCGATATGTTTCACTCGTAGCCGGCGGTTCATCGGAGTAATTGTTGCCTTTACGATTCGCGATATCGCTGAGGAAAGGTCTATAGCCCCAGTCACTCCGCAAGTCTTGTAGGTGCAAGCTAGGCATACTAAGCAAGCGGCTACTAGAGTCCTGAATACTGTCCTTGATGGCTTTGAACCGACTGTTGACTTGAGTGTGAATATGCTCATACTGAGGTCGCTGATCAAGCGACGATGCTGTGGATGACGCTCTCAGATATAAGGATTGGTCTGAGGATGATCTCCGAAGCATCGACGGAGCAGTTGCACTAGGGCGACGGGTAAACGAATGTTTGGCCGCCGTCACGCCATCAAGAGGCTTCAAGTCAGAGATCGGCTCATCCACAAGTCCGTTGCAAGGATCGGAATCGTTCAACGATCTCCGCCGCGTCTTTGTATGGGAGTCCTCCCCTTGGTCCAGCGTCAGCTTGGACGGGCAAGGCTTTAGTGTCTGACTACGAGAGCGATTCTGCGAGGAGCGAAAAGGTAATGTAGTCCGCTTAGTGAGATACCCAAAATCGGGCAAGAATTTCTTCATGGCGTCGCCCGACCAGGCTCGAGGTCGCAATGGCAAGCCACTCTTCAAGATCGACCGGGTGAAACTGGTGCGACCGTTGGCACTATCCTTAGAAAAAGACGTTTCGTTCTGGGGCGCCATACTCAGGGCAGAAGCTGGAGGCTGACTCGCTTCTGGTAGGGAGGCCTCCGGCAATTGCTCTGGCTCCGCGGTGATATCGGAGGTATAGAGACCGCTCGAGTCCTCGGTGTCGGGAATGGTATCAAAATAGCCCCCATTGCGTTCCATCGCACGGGACTTTTCCTCTGCCGGGGTGGAGCGGGACTTCATGCGACTCTGGGTGCGACTGATGCTGACGCCAACCACTTCGTCGGCTTCATCCTCTCGAGCGGCATCTAGGCCGTTCACTATCGGCTCATCGCTGTCTGAGCTGGTATTTCCAACCGGTAAGGGCCATAAGTGAGCCCGCGGGGGCTCCCCGATGGCATTGACTAGATCATGGCCTGCAGGTGGAGCTGCGAGGATAGCCATAGTCGAGGAAATTGCGAGGGAAGGCGGCGGAGATCCTCGATTTACACATATAGGGAAGGTATTGCAAGTTAGACTATACAAGAAGAAGCTGACATAATTCAAGGGCGAGGGGGAAGAAAAAGTATAGAGAGAAGAAAGAAGCAAAGAGAGAAATATGCTAAGAATAACAATAATAAGAATAAGAACCAAACGGTATGGAGTCGTGAATCACATGTAAAGAGAGTGTTAAGAGTCGAGATGGAGATTCAAACTAGTAGTAATAATGAAGGACTAGAATGGTCTTGGGAGAAGAACTTGATCGTATTCGTACTGGCGATTTAATACCAAGGAAGCGGAACTGTCCTTAGCTGTAACCCGGTTCGGTTCCTTTCTTTTCTTCCACTGGTTCTGTAATCAATCCTCAGCTAGGGTTGCCTTCGGTGGAGAAACGTGAGCAATAAGAACAGAGAAGAAGAGGGAAAATCTGAATTCAAGTATTTAATGAGGAGGTTCCACTGCACAGCCCTCCGGCAAGCCCGGAAGATGCTTCCTGTAGATTTTTTTTTTTTCTCATCCCCTCATGGCCGCAAGTTAACAAGCAATAGTTTCAAATCTTAAAAATCAAAAATGGTTTAGCATGAATGGAAGATTGCTCCACAATGGATCTTTTGTCCATTGCTTGTCCGATACAAGGTATAACCAATCCTGCATAAAGAATCGGAGGGAATGTGTTCATCATTACATCCAAGATCTGGATGTGAAGTCATTCTGCATTGGATCAGTCACATCAAGCTCTGGTTCCACTCTTATCTTACTACTACTTAAGTTGGTTTCCATTCCCGCCGCTTCCGTGGATAAAATGTCCTACTACGGAGTGGATACACCCAACTGACTGAATATAGAAAACTGTGGTCATTCCTACTATTCCACGTATTGTCATAAAAAAGCACAAAATCAATAGATATTATACACAAACTATTCATAACATCGTGAACTCATACCTACCCAGTAAGGTCAAACTCAGTGATTGTTTCCCTTGCTGAAGTTTCCAGTGCGCATCTCGCGTTCGCCTCGACTGGCAATGGCATCGTTCTTAGCGACGCCCTCCTCGTGACCGAAGGTCTTATCAACCGCCGCGTTGAGACCGCCACGCAGAGATTCTCCCATACCCTATCCATGGCACACGTTGGTCATGTTCATCCATAACTGGGAGTATCACTTACGTGAGCACCAGCGAAAACACCCTTTACATCAGAACCAACGTTCGCGCCCTTCTGAGCGGACCTAGATCCAGGTGCGCTGCCGGAAGATTCCGCCGGTCGGTATCCTACGCCGCTGGACGCGAAACCGGTCCCGGTGGATCGTCCGATGGTATTGTCGTCGTATTGAGCACGAGTAGCACCCGAGAATTGGGAGCCGTGGGATTGAGTAGTTGTTTTGTTAGACATGTCACTCGTCTGTGCGTCTACGCGAGGGTCGAGTTTATTCATCATGTTGGACTGATGGGGACCGGTGTTGGAGCCGCGGCTGAACGAGGTATCCTGCGTAGCATACGGGTTCTCATTTCCTGTCTTAGTCATGCCTGGTGCATACTGGGCGCGGTTGTCGAGGTCGCTGTCAACCCGGGGGTCAAGTTTGTTACCGATTTTTGAGTCGTGGGGACCAGTTGTGCTCGTGATGCCTCCTGCCTGAGTGCCACCCAGATGAGAGGTCTCGCGATTATAGGAGGAACTTGGCGCATGCTGCGCACGGTTGTCCACATCGCTATCAATGCGAGGGTCAAGCTTGTTACCCATATCAGAGCTATGGGGACCAGCAGTTCTTGGGGCAGGCCCAGTGCGAGCATCGCTGGCAATAGTGCCTGGTGCGTGACGGGCCCGGTTATCCACGTCGCTATCAACGCGGGGATCAAGTTTGTTACCCATATCAGAATCGTGCGGACCAGCCGTTCGCTGAGCATGTGCAGCGCGAGTGTTACTCGACACGGGTTCAGATGCACGGTTGTCTACACCACTGTCAATGTGGGAGTCAACTTTGTTACCCAAGTCAGACTCATGAGGCCCAGCAGTTGTCTGGGCAGGTCCTGTACGAGGATCGCTCGATACAGTTCCCGGTGCCTGTCGGGCACGGTTGTCCACATCGCTGTCGACGCGAGGGTCAAGCTTATTGCCTGTGTCAGAGCTGTGGGGACCAGCCGTCTTCTGAGCAGATGATCCAGTGTAGGTGTTGTCAGCACCGGCGCCGCCAACACCGCCAACACCAGCGTTGCTTGACTTCTTCTGCTTGCTCAAGTCGCTATCGACGCGAGGATCAAGCTTGTTGATGATGTCGGACTTGTGTGGACCAGCTGTGTGTGGAGCAGGTCCAGTTCGAGGGTCAGAAGGGTCTGCAGCCCCAACCTGAGTGCCAATTGGCTGAGAAGAGTTGGGGTGTTGAGTGGGGTCGCCGAAGGAGGAGGAATAGTAAGGTGGCTGAGTGCTATTCATGGTGGATGTTTTGAAGTTGACTTTTCTTTCAATGTCGTTTCGACTCTAGGAAGTATATAACAGAGAAGAATCTTTCCCAGAGGAGTTGTATTGTCTTCAAGCCTTTATATATTCGAGATATTCAAGTCGTCATCACAGCACCTTTAATCTTTAATTCTTCGACATCATACCTGATGTGCCTATGACGTCAGGGTACAAACTCAGGGGTAGATTGAGGTTTCTTCACCATGGAAGGGGCTGTAGATCTTCATCTTTCTCAGACGGACAATAACTATGAATAGATCCCAATTGCATCAACGGCTGAGTATCCGCCTCAACGTTCCGCTGAAGAACAATGACGACTAAAAGTCAAAAAGCAATGGAAACAGGTGGTCACGTTCCCCTTATCGCGATAAGGATCAAATGGGGAAAAGTATGGTACTTACATCATCATGGCTTCATAAGTTCGTTAACTAGCTTTAAATACTCCTTTCTTATTATTGTGGCCAACGTTGTGTCGCTGAATTAGCACATGTGTATTCATTCGTTTTTCCCTTGAGAAACTCTCTGTTTCAACCAAGGATGTATGATAGGCGAAGGTTTTATTGACCTTGGGATATTTGGGCTCAGAACAAGGCGTTATCTAGGGTGGCCAAACGTATCTCAGAAAAAGATAGTGATTAGTGATCTTAGCCAATTCGGTTATGTATCAACAGCCGAGGCTCCATGGTCAAGTGACAAAGGAGGGCTGAATCTCACTCCTAGACAGAACATATCATCCATTATATGTATCTCTCTCCTTCTGCACCCACTTTTAGCGAATATCGTTGAGCTCAATCAAAATGCCTATTACTAACCGACAAGCTATCTACGCCAATACGCCCTCACCGGCAATCGATCCATCGCCGAACGGCACCTTCAAGATCTCCTCCACAACCATCCCCGACGATATTCCCGACGATAAAGTCCTCACTCGCGTCCACTACCTTTCGCTCGACCCGGCGATGCGCCAATGGCTCACCGCTAAGCGATCCTACATCGCCCCCGTCGAGCGTGGTAGCGTCATGCGCGGCCAGAGTATCGCCCAAGTGATCGGCGTCGGCAGCAACCTTAAAACCCAATATAAAGTTGGAGACTGGGTGATCGCTTACTCCGGCTGGCAAGAGTACGCCCTCCTGGGCCCAAAGGAGGCACAAAAGGTCGTCATTCCCCCGGGATGCAAGCCCACCGACGCAATGTCGGTGCTTGGCATGACAGGGTTGACCGCGTACTTCGGTATGACGGAAGTTGGACAGCCGAAACCGGGCGATACAGTCGTCGTTTCCGGCGCTGCAGGCGCTACGGGCATGGTGGCCGGACAGATTGCGAAGATCAAGGGCGCGAAACGGGTTGTTGGATTGGCGGGTAGCGCTGATAAATGCGACTTCCTGCGCAACGAGCTGGGCTTCGATGCGGCTATCAACTACAAGGACAAGGATTGGAAGAAGCAGTTGAAGGATGCAACCCCAGAGTATATCGATGTGTTTTTTGATAATACTGGGGGTGAGATTCTCGATGCGTGTCTTGCGCGGGCTGCGCGCGACGCTCGGTTTGCCATCTGTGGTGCGATCAGTCAGTATAATTCAGCGAAGCCGCAGGGTCCCGCAAGCTTTATGACTGTAATTGTAAGTTTATTGTGCGTTTCTCTTCTGTGAGGTGAGTGATTGCTGACAATGTTTTCGATAGTCGCAACGAGTGACCATGAAGGGCTTCATTGTCTTCGACTACGCTAAGAAATACCCGGTCGCGTTGAAGGACTTGTCGGAATGGCTGATGCAGGGTAAGCTCAAGCGCAAGGAGCACATTATTCCTGGTGGACTAGAGGCTGCGCCTCAGGGCTTGGTAGACCTATACAAGGGTGTCAATACGGGTAAGATGATGGTCGAAGTGGCCCCTGCGAGTGAGGCGATCGGGGCCAAGGCCAAACTGTAGGCAGCTGGACTGTCGCATTTATCTATTTCTAGTTTGGACAATAAGCTATAAATAAAATGAGAGAAGTGATACTTAGTTGAATGCTCCGTAGATGAGAGTTAAACCCGTTTTACTTCAAATATGTAAGCTCGGTGAGTAAGATATCGGGGTCACGATACGGGCAAAGTTGAGCAGATCCGAGACAACATAGGTACTGAATACTCCCGTTGGATCCTAGATCAAGGCAAGCAAGGAACCGTTGCATGAATCTAGACATAAACCGTGACCCACAGTCTTGTTGGTGAATTGGTCGGTAACTCATCCAACCCCATCTCGACGTCATACCGATGAGGCAATACTTGCCTCACCACGTTCGACAAACAGAACATCCACTTCTAACATGTATATAAAAACATTTGTTTCTACACCTAGTTAGATTTCAATTCCATCATGTACCGACAGAATCTCCTCCCACGCCTTCTTAGATCAAGCTGTCCAATCCGATATAACCTCAAATCAAGCTATAGCGCTCTTCAGAAGCCTTCCCAAGTACATTCTACAGCTCAATTCTCTACATCTTCCTTTAGCCAATTCACTACTATACCTCATCGAGTAGTATCTGAAGCAATCAAAATGGAGGCCAAGGCAAGCAACGAAAACTTCAAGCTTGAGAACCTCTTCAATGTCAAAGGCAAAGGTAAGTAAAAACCCACGCGTTCTCCACAATACGACTAAAACATTAACAAAAAAAACCTCCCCAGTTGCCCTCATCACCGGAGGAGGCTCGGGCATCGGCCTAATGGCCACGCAAGCCCTGGCCGTCAACGGCGCAAAAGTCTACATCACAGGCCGCACCTCCGAGAAACTCGACCGCGTCGCAGAGCTCTACAGCAAGAACATACCGGGCCAGATCATCCCCATCACATCCGACATTACCGACAAGAGCTCAGTAGACAAGCTAGCACAGGAGATCTCCTCGCGCGAAAAGTACCTCTCGATCTTGATCAACAACGCCGGCATTAGCAGCCAGACCCAGACAACGGAGAAGGAAGACCCTACTGAGCTGCGCAAGGAGCTGTTCGAGAGTAGTGCACTTGATCCCCAGGAATGGAGTGATGTTTACCGCACCAATGTCACGCAGCTGTTTATGACTACCACGGCGTTGTTGCCATTGCTTCAGAAGGGGTCCGAGCAGGAGAAGGGCTGGTCGAGTACGGTGATTAATATCTCGTCGATTTCGGGGATTGTGAAGGTTTCGCAGCATCATTTTGCGTATAATGCGTCGAAGGCGGCTGCTATTCATTTGACAAAGATGTTGGCGCATGAGATTTCTTCGTCTGGGTTGCGGATTCGTGTTAATAATATTGCGCCCGGGGTTTTCCCGAGTGAGATGACTGCTGGTGAGAGTGATGAGAAGCAGAAGAGTGAGCTTGCCAAGGAGAAGTATGAGCAAAAGGTCCCTGCGGCTCGACCAGGTAAAGACGAGGATATGGCCAACACTGTTCTCTTCGCTACCACGAACCAGTATCTCAATGGGCAGACGATTGTGGTAGATGGAGGATATGTGCTGGCCGCTGGAACCGTCTAAAAAGGTTTATGACTAGGTAATCTACATACCTTTTATTCTATATAATGTAGAATATCGGGTATGAAAATTGTAAGATATAATGTCAAAATGATCACATTTACGATCCAATAGGACTATCAAGAAGGCCTATCTATCTAGGTGGGAATCATGAGCGCTTTTTATATGGGGCCTGATTATCAAAGTATCCAACAATTCACACAATATTCACCAGGCATATGTCAGGTGCCTGCGATACTAGGTAATTTCAGGAGCGTATCCAGTATATAATCCTACACGGCATATGGGCACTGTAATAGAAATGACAAATTCACAATTTGATATTTCATCATAGACGATTCGTTATTTGCTAACCATATTCAAGGTATGGAACCAGCCATTATATGTGTAAAATATCCAACCAGAGAAGCCAGCCACACTTACCACCCCATTTTCCCTGCATCGCACACCCGCACCCCATATATCCATTCCGACCTCAGCACCTCAGACGCCCTAATCCTCCGGACAGGATCGGGATGCAACATCGCATAGATCACATTACGACACCGCGTCTAGCCCCCAATTAGCACTGACAAATCCCAAGCAAAGAGCGCAAACTTACCTCTTCCAACTCCTCAATCGGAGGATATCCCTCGTAAGTTTGCCGTCCCCTGAGATACGCACAGTAATTCCCATCCTGGTCCACGCATGGCATCTTCCACAGCAACCGACCCCACCTCATCGCCATGTACACAAGCCCTGCAGCCCAGACATCACCAGCCCGTGGATCAACCATTGCACAATCTCGATATTCCTCCGGGGCAAGATAGGGCGTCGACCCCACGGTCTTCCGCGGAGGCGAGGAAAGCGACGACAACTGCGGCCGTATCCGACTTTCCGCCTGCTCGCCCCCTGCAACCTCATCTAGCAGCCACTCCGCACTCCCAAAGTCAGCAACCTTCACCGCGCCCCGGGCCGTAAGAAGGATATTCTCCGTCCTGAGACCACGATGCGCAATGGCATTCTCGTGAAGATACACTACTGCGCGCATGATCTGCTTAAAGAAACAGTTCGCATCAGATACATCTAGGGTCTCTTCAGACGTCGCGATAAGCGTGTTCAGATCGCCTCCCGCACAATAATCCATGACCAGGCAGGTCTCGCCGCGGTCATTCTGAAGGACCTCCAGAGTCTGGAGGAGATTGGGATGAGAGACGGCCGATGAGAGGGATTGTTCGAAGCGATTAGTAGCTCTGACGAAAGCGTTTGACGAACGGCGGAGGACCTTGACGACGTGAAGTTGTTTCGGGGCACCTATAGACGGTGACTGTTTTCGGGCATACAGTCTTACGCAGCTGTGGGAGCCATAGTGGAGGATTTCGGTGCATGGGCCGTATCTCTCTGTTAGGGAGGACGGTACCACAGAAGAGGGAGACAAGAGGTTATGTCTCTCTTCGTCATCAGGTGATTCGTTTCTGGGCGACCAGCATCGTGTCAGGACGTTGGGGAGGGTTAATGCGGCGAGGAAGTTAGGGCCTGTTTTGTGGACGGGGGAGTGCAGTTGATGTCGATGGGGAGTACATGTACCGTAGGTATTTTGTCGTCGGGACATTGTGGTTTGTATGATTTCGCTACGATGCGGTTTTTGGATTAAGGAATCTATCTTATGGGCACAGACGGCCGAGCTCATATAAAGGCTTGAGCATATGCGAGTACCGGGTCAACTGACCATATCAATCCCATGGATGCGGCTGCGCTAATTGGTGAGATTCTATGTAGGGGGGGTGCGGATGTGGCATTTTGTTTTCTCATCAAAGGGAGTCACTAGGCTTTCTGTTTAAGGGAGCCAGAGGTGCAAGGGAAATTCGCTCGTCAAGATCGGATTGGGCGAAGAAAGCGCTCGTTGTGAGTTGTTATGTAAAAAAACCTGGGGAAACCGCGGGAGGGAACTTAGATTTGGGTATAGTCGAGCACGCCTCTCATTTGATTTGCGGTGAGCTTGGGCTTTTATTTGTTTCATTTTTCGTCCTTTATAGCGTAATGATAGGGTTAGCATTCGGTCAATGCCGAGAGCCAAATTTAGCAATCGATTTTCATAGCCATATATGAATATGATTTGTCTGGCACGTTTGGCCAACACCGTTGGTAAAACTGCTATATATACATCGAGTAGCGGAAAAGAATGTGGAATATGCACAATCTATCGGCATTTTAGTTTCCACAACATCAATTCTGAGAGACCCCTGCAGTAGTTCAATCAATAACAAGACAGAAGAGAGAGGGGAATAAGCCATTATAGTAACAGCCAAGAACACCGTGACTCTTACCTAAACTGTTCGACTTGCGCCACGTGCAAATGGTTCTGGATTCCAGCTCCCTAAAAGATCCTGTCAAGTACAAGCTGACACACATACCCGGAAGGTGGATATCAAAGAGGGGGAGAGAAAGGAAGGAAATACAATCCTGATTAACGAATGGTAAAAGCCCGCGAAGGATAAACTCCGGAGGGAAAGAGGAGCGGAGCGGGTAGACCCTATCCTGGCCGCGAAAAACATCATTATCAAAAAGTACTCTCTTATATCATTCGATTACGAGAGAGTTATAATGAAAACAAACGTGAAATTTGGAGGACATAAACCCCCTGAATATAGTACCATTGCGGAGTTGCTATATTAAGGCTCAGGTGTGGTGTGTGTGACTCGGGTTGCCTCTCTGGGCTGTGACTTGAGTCAAGGTTGGATAACAATATTCGATTTCTATTCAATATGACACATTCCCGTGTACGCCTCGGGAAAAGTAAAAAGATAATTCAAAAAAAAGAAACGGAGGAAAACGTGGGAGTTTTGAAAACTCGAATGCCTATTGGTTCCAATAAAAGGCGCAGGTGGTAAATTCGAAAGCGGCGGCGGTTCGTTTAATTTCAAGCAATCCAAACATCTTGAGGGATTTTCCTCAACCACACATTGGCAGTCGGGGAATAAGCAAGCAAAGGTCGATCACAATACGCCTGAGCCTCGATGGTCAACCAAAGTACTGGGCTTACTGTGGCGCATCCACCGACCTAATCTGAGCTTGATCCAACCTTAGAAAGGTTTCATAACGGAAATGGCTGCGCGATTTTTACTCTGCCATCGAAATCATCATCTCAGGAGCCGACGACCGAGGTCGTTGGATGGAAAAATTCCCTCGTACATCAGTTACAAGCGATTCAGGTAAATATAGAGAGTAGCCATGCTTTTACCAGAACCTGAGGCAGCCCACTCTATTGCCTAAAACGGCAATCCCTCTGTCATGGAATCCCACGAACTCTGGCGGAGATGGCTATTCCCATCCTTCGTGCCCGCCTAGCCCACGGACTCGTCAATTTCGGCATACTGTCTCTATGGCTGGTCTTATCAGGCTAGCTGTTCAGCGCCTTCCTAAGCGAAGGCCCGTATCCTTTCTCCTCCTTTGGTCTAGGAGCAGTGGTTGCCTACACAGTACCGGGAGGATAAATACCACCCAGCTGTGAGTGAATCTCTCTGTTCACGATCTTACCTCTTCTCCCTTCCTCCCTCTCTCCTTGCTATATCATTTACGATCCGGCAGACTCCTCGAAATAATCCCCTTGTGCTCTCGTTGTCTGTTTAATTTGGTGACTTGTCATATCTGCCATGGCCGACTCACCATCGTCTTCAGATCCTGCCGAGAAGGATTTAGAAACGGGTGCTGCACAGCGCTTGGGTCGACCGGAGCGACGAACAACCATCAAGTTCGACGGTACCTCGTCTCCGGAGGCCCAGGGAGGCGTGTATCAACCCCAGCAGCTGGGCCGTCCTCGTTCCCTGAGCAGGGACACTGCGAAGAGCGGGCGAACTGGAATACAGAACTCTGGGACTGCCGGTATTCCCATCGAATTTCGGACTCTGTCAATCCAGATATCAGAGACACAGAAAGCGACTGAAGAGGTAGTGAAGGAGAGACAAGAGAAGGAGAGGCATCCAGATCAGGATTACTTCGAGAGCCTAGACTTCCATATTCTCAGCACTGACAGAGTATCTCAGCAACTCAATGTCGACTGCAGATACGGTCTCAGTTCATCGACTGCTGCTCAACGGCTTCAACGTGACGGCAAGAACGTAATTGCACACCACCGAGAGAATTACCTCAAGAAAATCCTCGGATATGTCTTTGGGGGTTTCTGTTCGGTGCTGTGGGTTGGTGTTATCATCTTCTTCATCTGCTGGAAACCTTTGAGCGACCCCCCCTCGGTGCCTAGTCTTGCGATGGCAATCTTGGTTATCATCGTTATTGTTCTGCAAGCAAGCTTTTCTGCCTTTCAGGACTGGTCTACGAAGCATGTGATGAACTCGATACTCAACCTGCTTCCATCGGAAGCACTGGTTCTTCGCGATGGGAAACAGATCAAAGTCCCCTCTACAGAGCTTGTCGTTGGTGATATAGTTTACGTCGCCATTGGAAATAAGGTTCCAGCAGACATGCGTCTCTTCCAAAGCTCCGGAGATGTTCGCTTTGATCGTGCTGTCCTCACTGGCGAGTCTGATGAGATCGACGGAGCAATAGACGCTACCGACGACAACTTTCTGGAAACCAGAAATATCGCCTTTATGGGCACCAGTGTGACAAATGGGAATGCAGTTGGCATGGTTGTGCTTACAGGCAGCGGCTCTGTAATGGGCCGTATAGCCAAGATGACTGCTGGTGTCAAGGAGAAGCCAACTCTCATCCAAAAGGAGATTACGCGGTTTGTGACGATTATCATTGGCCTCACCCTTACTTTGGTCCTGTTGATCTTACTTACCTGGGTCGGTTGGTTGCGCGTTGACCACTTCGCCTTCATGAATGTCGTGGCAATGTTGAACAATGTCATGGGCTGCGTTGTTGCTTTCATACCCGAGGGCATGCCAGTCGGAGTTGCTCTTACTCTCATGATGGTTGCGAAACGCATGAAAAAGGCCAATATCTTACCCAAGGGTCTTGCCACAGTCGAAACATTGGGCTGCGTAAATGTCATTTGTTCGGACAAGACAGGCACTTTAACCCAGAATAAGATGTCCGTCAGATCACTAGGCCTACTCGATACCGCGCTGGATGTGGATCAGCTCTTCAGCTTACAGCGCAATGACATGTCAGAGCCATTGAAAAGCTTGGTTCGAGGATCATTGTTGTGTAATGATGCATTCTTTGACCCGGCAACGATTGCTTTGCCTATTAATGAGCGAGATGTCACGGGAAATGCCACTGATGCCGCTGTCCTACGCTTTGCCGAAACTATCATGCCCGATGGTCGTAATCAGCTCTCCTCGTTCGAGAGGATTCACCAGATCCCCTTCAATTCGAAGAACAAGTGGATGCTAACGATACATCGGGATCCTACCAATACAGACGGGTACCTTGTTTTCGTTAAAGGTGCACCAGATGTTCTACTTCCGAAATGCACCTCATATCTATCTGGATACGATAGCACGAGCAAGGCTCTGGACGAAAAGGCAAAAGAGATGTTCTCAAATTTCCAAGCTGAATTATCCAGAAAGGCGGAGCGTGTGATTGTTCTCTGTCAGCGGCGCTTCACTCCTCGCGCTGCTATTGGGTCAAATGATTTTAACGAGGAGGTTTTGAATGAATGTGTCCAGAATCTGACGGTTACTGGGATTTTCGGGATCATCGATCCACCACGACCGGAGACTGCAGATACGGTAGCCGCTTGTCGAAAAGCTGGTATTCGTTTCTTCATGGTTACAGGTGACTTCAGTTTAACTGCGGCAGCTATCGCAAGAGATATCGGTATCTTCAGTGGCACCGCTGAGCCAGATACTGTGGATGACCTGAAGCCCTTCACTAATGACGAGAATGACGAGAAGCATTCACTTCAATCTCACCACAGCCTCCTGGTTGACGGCAAGCATATTGCATCCCTCAACGATTGGCAGTGGGATGCTGTGTGCAAGTATGAAGAAATCGTGTTTGCTCGAACTTCACCCGAACAAAAGTTCCGCATTGTAGAGGAACTCAAGAGCCGTGACAACGTCGTCGCTGTAACGGGAGACGGTGTCAATGATGCTCCGGCATTACGTGCAGCCGACGTTGGTATTGCGGTGGTCTCCGGCAGTGACGTTGCAATCGAGGCAGCCGATCTAGTACTTCTCGACAAATTCGATTCGATTGCTCAGGCGATTCGACTGGGTCGACTCGTTTTCCAAAACCTCCAAAAAGTGATCGCATATTTGCTGCCTGCCGGCAGTTGGTCCGAGATATGGCCAGTCTTGATGAACGTGTTCTTCGGCGTCCCACTGCCCCTAAGCTCTTTCCTTATGATCATCATCTGTGTGTTCACAGACTTATTCTGCTCCCTTGCGCTCATCATGGAAAAGGAGGAATACGACCTTCTCAGCGTACCCCCACGAAATCACAAAAAAGACCACTTGATCAACCTGAAGATATACGGACAATCATACCTCTTCGTCGGTGTCATGGAGGCATTCTGTGCGCATTCAATGTTCTTTCTCTACATGTACAAGAAAGCAGGCATCCCATTCCATGCCCTCGTCTTCGCATTTGAGAAGTACTCAGATGGTTTCTATGGCTACACACAGGACGAGCTGACCAACTTCAACAACGTCGGCCAAGGCGTCTACTTCGTGAGTCTCGTCATGCTCCAGTGGGGTAACATCCTCTCTGTGCGCAACAAACGCATGTCAATCCTCCAAGCAGACCCCGTCCGCAGGCAACGCCGTAACCCCTGGCTCCCACTGTCGATGGCCATATCCCTTGTCATCGCCATCTTCGTCACCGAGGTCCCGGGCTTCCACAGATTATTCAACACCGCACCAGTACCCATCGAGTTCTGGTTCATCCCTCTGGCGCTGGCGCTAGGTATCCTACTCATGGACGAGCTTCGAAAACTACTGGTCCGGCAATTCCCAAAAAGCATAATCGCAAAAATAGCTTGGTGATCGCTTTGCCGGTGCAAGAAGGAACACAACACTACACTACGCTATTTGTGTACCTTTCGACCGCTGGATATCTTCCTTTCAAAGATGATATAATAGACGGTATATCCTAAATTCGGCGGTAACGTCGTTTATGAGTCCATGCACAAGTTTGAGGGCGGATATGTGATTTCTAGAGACGGTGGTGTTTGTATCTTTGGCCAGGTTGGGAGAGGATTTATTTGAAAATAATGTCTGTTTCTTGAAAATATTATACGGTAGTAAATATCAGCCACACTTCTAGGTACATATGTACATACATACCTACATGTCTTTTCCAATTATTTTCCTTCTTATTGTAATCTAATACACGAGTCATAAAATACGCTGTACAAATGTCAACCGGATAGATTGTCAAATTGCAAGCCTAGATGCAACCAAGACTAAGCCCAAACCTTAGCCTGAGTCAAGTCTCAAAGAGTAGAAGAGTATTATTACCTAACCCCAGAGCTTCTGGCAATGTAAGGAAGACCGGGAATCTAAAAATAACTTGCAATAGATGGACTAGGAGTTGGCATGAATACGTGCATGTCAGCCGCGCTAGGGATGTGCTGTACATTATAAGTTGAGGCACCGTACTCTGTTGCTATCAGAGATATGCAGGCATCTCGAGATCTAGAGACAATGGTGATCACTTTCGATGGGGTGTTCAAGGGGATATCATGAATAAATTGATAATTAGCTTGGTTGCGATGAAGTGCTTGAACCGCCTAGAGAATAAGAATATCCAACGAGAGGAGGATGAAGGAATAAACACGGGTCAAACGAATGATAGGTATACACGTGGTAGTAATAATACCCTCGAGGGGTCAACAGTGGCTAGATGAGATAATAATAACTTCAACTGCCCAAACTCCTAGTTCCGCACTTTGCCCGCTTCCCTAACTTCGTTCATAAATCCATCTTCATCACCGGCGGCCGTCAGTATCCAGTAGTCACCAACGCCGGCATTGGTAAATTGACCACCGCCGAAGCCCGATGCCGATGGTTCAGGAGCACTGTGACGCTCCCTGGGCTTGGCTCCGGCACTGCGGGGGCCCCCTCCAAGGATATCTCTAACCATAGCACGAGTCTCGTCGTCCGGTTTGTTAAATCCAAACAGCTGCGGCTGCAGGCAACCAAGAACTGCGACTGCAGCGCGGATCATAATGCGATCTCCCTCGAATACCCAGCAGTCCCAAACACGGCTGACACGGTCCAAGTCTAGACCATTTGTCAGGAGAGAGCGGAACATTGGTTCCCAAATTTCTGCATCCGAAAGTTGAAGCGTTTCCGAAAGGTGAGTGGCTAGACGAGGGAATTTATAACGGAGCATCGCGGCCGCTAGTGAAAAAGTACGACCGATTGCTCCGCGGTCTAAGGTAAGAAAAGCAACAGGCAGAGACCGATTGAGTGCATTAGCCATGGCTAGGAACGCAGATGAAGGGGTTGGGAATTGAAGAACGAGAAGAGCAGCAATTGTCTAGTCGATTATTAGCATAAACGACGCACGTGAGATTCGCAGCCGTGTTACTTACGTGGAGGCCATTAATATAGCCCACATCACTCCGATACATGGAGTACGCCTGCAACACATCAATCAATGTCTCCCGTAAAGGTCCGCCTTCCTGGAAGAGTCTCAATTCCGGAAATGCTTTAGATGCGTCGGCTTCAATTGCCTCAAACCACTCTCGCATTCTTTTGTTGCTCTCTCCAGCATCACTGTCGGGCCTTGACAGGACATCTTTGGCCCGCTGCAATGCTTTCTTGTACGTTTCCTCCGATAAAGACAGCTCATTGCCGATGGCACGCTGCCAGGTTGTTCCTCTGTTGCGCGCAGGTACACCACGCCACCACAATTCACGTGTTCGGGTTTCACTCATGGCTTGATCCCAGTTGGTGTATACATAATCGTCCCAGATACGCTGAAGCGTTTCTCGAGTGTTGTCCTTTTCGCACTTGGCCGAAGCAGCCTTGGCGGCCCGACGTTTGTCTGTTCCGTCAGGGTCAGTGATAAACTTGCAAGAAGTCCTATCAGAAAAGAAGGATAACTTACCTGCTTCCCGTGATAGTGCCATCATTCTCTTATACTCCTTCAGGTGCTTCTTCTCTTCTTTCTGGTCTTTGGGAGGAAGCCAGCTAGGCCGCGTTCGCGTCAGAACCTTCTCCTTTTCCTTGCTGATGGGTAAGGGATCTATCATTATATTGGATTTTTGAAGTGGGGGCAGCTCAATAGTGCCCCTAGACCCTCGCTTTGAGTCCTCGCTTGACCTTAGGGAGGATAAACCGCTTTGCAGATTCTCTCCCCGCTTCCGTTCGCGCTCATCTGCATGATGCTCTAAAGCCTCGGTTATGATCTTTGCTTCTTCCGATAAATCGGACATCATGCTATTATATGAATAAACACGGGGATTCCGCGGGGAGATCTGACCGCGTTCAGGGCCAGCAGAGCTGGATCGCACGGGTGGCCGAGCGCGTTGGGATCTGCTTGGTGATCTTGCAGCCGGTAATTGAGCGTCCTTAACGGAATGCGACAAGGGAAGCGGCCGAGGTCCTGGGCTCCGGCCGTTTGGGCTCGCGCTTCGAGAGGTAGAACGGTCTTCAAGCGGTCGAGGCGATATAGGAACATTCCACAGACTCGCATCTTCTGGTAATTCCTCATCCGAGTCATGGTATTCTTCCTCTAATTCTTTCAAGGTCTTCCGATGTGGCTGCCAGGACTGTTTTCGGTTCAGAGTGGGCCGAGCATTAGCCGGCGACAGCGACAAGCTATGAGTAGATGGTGATGATCCCAGATGAGACGTCGGCCGAAGAGGAGATGTAGATCGTGCACGCTGAGATTTCGGTGTTTGCAATGGCTGCGACTTGGTGTTACCGGAGTCACGCTTGTTCCCAGACTTCGGTCTAGAGCTACCGCGTGTCTGCAGACCCAGTATTCCATTAGCTTGGGCGTGAGGCTTATGCAAGCTCTTCGTTTGTTGTGAGGCAGTGGTCAGTTCCCGCGTTGTGATCATCGGGGTCTTTGCCTGCAATCGGGCCGTCGATGACCGTGGAAGACCAGGTCGCCCATACGGCGAAGCGACAGCATTGTTATAGGCTAGGTCCGCATCGTCTTCGAGGCCGATGTCTTCAAAGTTGGATATATCCGTGAAGATCCCGTCAGGGCCGTCGAGTTGGGAGGAGGAGCGGAAGGAGGAGGATTTGGAGGACTTGGAACCGGATAGCTCGGGTGGGGAATTGGGCGTTGTACAAATGGTTGTCATATCGTACCGCGAAGCGTTTGGGAGATATCACGGAAACAAAGCAAGAGGCTCCGCTGTTATCGATATGGGGAAAAAATAACAAAGGGTTGGGACTGGCTTGATCGCGCAGCGAATGCCGAGTCAAATTTGGTAAGGAAATTGGGAAATATAAGAAATGAAGGAATGGCAACACCATGCAGTATTAAAAAAGTAGTCCACTATTTAATGTGACACCAAGGAGCATCCAGCACCTGGTAATGCCCAGACCAGATAACCGGTAAAAAAAAAGGTGCTGGCGATGATGTCGCCGGTTTTGGTGATTATCGTAACGGGGAGATCAGGAGAAACTCTAATAGGACATTAGATGTTCATCGAAACACAGAATAGGAGTTAGTTAACGAGAGAAAGTTCAACGAGAGGATGAAAAGGGTCAGATCAAACGAAGGAGGGGAATCGATGAAGAAAAAGGAAGAGAAGGAGAAGGACAAGGTGGGGAGGGAAAAGGAAGGATGAGGAAGAAAGAGAAGGGGGATGGAAATGAATGATGGAGACTTGAAGCTGCAACCGGCGTGGCCGATGCCCACCAGGGGAAGCCTGAGGCTGCCAGGTCACCGTCTTTGGGCGCGGTCTGGCCAATCCCACGACTGCGGCTGGTGCGATGGACTATACCGAAAGAATACCATCCCAGGCGCCGATCGCTGACCAAGGATGCCGTGCACGCAGGGCTAATATACCGGGATGATACTAGTTCCTCTCGTATCTTTACCGTTTCCAAACGGTGGATTCAATGCCACCTCGTCACCGAAGCGTCATTCAGTGAGAGAAAAACCAAGGAAGATCGTGAGCGGGCAAAATGATGAAAACCAAAGCTTGTTGTTGATATTTACCTTCTTTAGAAATTTAAAAACAACAAACGGAAATATTTCGCCTCCCCCTTTTTCCCACCCCTTCTACGCCCTTGGGTCCAGTCACATTTGCATCCACGCCCAAGGGTTTCGTGGTATGCGAGGTTCGTACCATGGATCCTAATCCACACCCACAAATTGGGCCATATACTTAAATTCTCTTTCGCCCGAATGCGCAGTTCGCTTTGTTTATGGTCAACAACGGTTGATAGAATCAATTGGCTGCTACATAACTCGTCCAAACTTATCTAACTACTGTGGTACCTGATCGGAGATCGATCTGAGACAAAACCATTTTGCCACCCTCGCTCCACTCTTACCCTGAAGCTTTTTATCAATCCTCCCTCTTTCTGTGTGTTTCTATATGATTATGCCACATATAGCGGAGACCCGGTATGGGAAAAATTTTTTTGAAGATAAAAATTAAAGGAGGAAAGAATAGACGAAAAACAAGAACAAGAATAATAATTCTCTGTAGTGGTACCGTACGTAGATATATAACTTCCTCATATCTGTATTTCCATTACTCGAGACAAAAAACCAATCTTATCTACAACATCTATTTGTCATACCGTTCAAATCTTCGCAAGTATCGGATAATAACACCAGACTTATCCACACTAATTCAAGCTGCGGAGATTAAGTAAAAATCTTTTTGCAGTAGAAGTGTGGGCTAGGGCTGTATATATCCGGCTAAAACCTCCAGCTACCATACATTACATTCCCCTTCTGTACTACCTGTGCCAGCCGTATAGCCTTCGCGTCAGATCTTGGTCGACTACCCTTCAGGACCAGATCCAACCAACGCAACACAAGTGTGTATCGTGTTTGCTTACGGCTCAACACAAACTGAAAGGCCGCAGCTGCGAGGTACTGGATCTGTGAATGCTGCAGAGTGCATACAGAGAGCGAGGACGATCCCACGGTTGCGCCTCCTCGCGGACCGCATTCACGTTTACTCTGAATCAGTCGATGAGCAAGCTTGGTTATATCTCGGATGATTCGTATGATAACCTCCACAGGAGGGTGCGCTTGTCCTCGGAGTGACCTTATATACTGATACATCTTCATAGCGGTAGTTAGGTAATTCGCATACAAATTAGAAAGAACCACGGTAAGTGAATTGTGGTTTGTGTCCAGGTACATAGGGTGCATGAGTAGCTTGAAGGATGCAAGCAGCTTCCTGTGCAGCGTACGCCCTGGGGCTCGTGCGGACTCAACGGTTAAGGAATTTGAGAGGGTCACGGCAGCGGCTTCACCTCCTTCGAGTATGCGGTTATGATCTTTGTAGATCTCTAGAGTGCGCGTATCGATCAAACTCCCACAGTAAGGGAAGAAAGAAGTGTCAACCATCCGTGGAATCTGAGTGCCCTCCACGGTGGCGGCAAAGTTGACGAGGCTCTTTGCTGGATTCACAGAGACGCCATACGCCGGCTGTCCTTTAATCATTACTTCCAAGAAGCATTTGGCAAGGTCAGGGTTCGAGGTGATCAGCAAAAAGTCGTCAACAAGGCGAAGAAGTAATGTTTCGTTGGACTGTAAGAAGCCCAGGATCTCCCTCTCCATTTCTGCGTAGAATAAGTTGCAGAGAAGACTAGAAAGCACTGAGCCCTGAGGAATACCATTACGTTGGCGGAAGTACTTCCTGCCGAATCTCACCAGATTATTGCGGACGTGCTCATCAAGCAAATCCAGTAGATCTTCAGCATGGTGCTCGTTTTGTCCTGGCATATCAACAAAAACCGTGTTCCTCCTGTGGCTAGTTCCACCATTCCCGATTGCTTCCATCAGATGCAGTGGACTCGTAGCGGGCGCTGCTCTGCTCACGAACCTGCGGAAGGCCTTGTTCGGCCATGTTTCGCGCATCGGCCACATGCTGCCGAATTCATCTGGCGGTCGCATTTCGACATGCTTCGTGAGATGATACGCTTCTTCGGAGACCAGTGCTTCGACGAGACGGACTAGTTTATCCTGAGGAATTGTATCGAAGCAAGATTGAATATCTAGTTTGACAAAATAGAAGGCCGGCAGCGAGTCAACTCTCTTGTGGACCGCTAGCAAGCTTTCTCTGAAATATTTGAGCCGCAAATGTATGTCCCCTATAGAGGATACACATGAGCCCATATCATTCTGTTTTCGCGTCTTTTCGTAGTTCAACATGTTGTAGATGGGAGTAATGGTTGAGTTGATGCTTGGCCCCAGGAAGCCCTTACTTCCGGTCCATTTAGCTTTGACTAACATCCTTCGTCGTAGATTCAAAATTGGACGAATCCCGGTCGTCTTTGGAAGAAGTCGCAAGGTGCCGTATGGCAGAGACCTGCGATTGAGCATGCGCTCTGCTTTATCTGACTTGAGCTCCTCGAAAGTAGAAAGCTTGAGGTCTGCCATGGGTTGTTCAGTCAAGCGACGCCAAACATCGTGCCGGAAGTAGAATAGACGGTTCCGATGCGTTTGAGATTCAGTGACGTAAAAGTTGGCCCGTATGAGTGGTATCAGAATTGAATCGAATATGTAATAGATGAATTCGTGTAGTATTTCTGTGCGCTTGTGTAGATCGGATAATGAGATCTTATTCTGGCAAGAATTCTGGATGTGGAGTGTGGGAGGTTCAAGCCAGGGTATGCATGTGACCTATTAGGGAGATATTCGCATTAGCAATCCATCCTTGGTTGGATGTGATCTATTCGAACCTTGATCCCCTTGCAGACTTCATGAACGCTGAGGCTTTCAAACCGTCGCATGCGCACGAATCGATCAACATGCCTGAAGACAACCATTTGGTGGGTAATTTTGTGTTGGCGATTTCCATAGAATTGGAGTGGGATTAGGCTTCGCAGTACTGCCCGACAAAAAGCCGATACCGACGAAGTTGGTGTCGCGTAATCTGTCATGCTGAGCTTCGGCCTAGTAACGTTTGCTTTCGTGTCAGGACTTTCGTTCTTTGGGCGCAACCACGTCTTCGCCGATGACTTGGATATATCGTCGGCTGCTGCTTGCTGATTCTTTTCTCGAAATTGTGTTATCAACTGTTCTGATGCTGATTTTTTCAGGTCCTCACTAAGTACTCCAATCTGGGAATCGAAGTGATCAAGTTTCCAGAGGCCAATGCGCTGAGATCTTAGTGCTAGTTCAAGGGTGAAAGACTGTATGACAAACCTGTGGTGGGCAATAGTAACGTAACAGCTTTTCATATGAGCATTGCTTATTGCGATTTTGTAACTGTCGTACCAGTTCCACAGCCTTTCCTCGAAGCCTTTTAGGCACTTTCAGTGACCCGCTGCATTATCCATCAGTCATGGCAAGTTTTGTTACAAGCCTTTTTTTCCTGGCTCTTTACCTCTGCTTCGCGATCTCTTGCTCTCGTGAAGAGTAGTTGTTGACAGGAAGAGTAGATGTACGGGCATCAAGCGGACACGTAAACACATTGTGCAGGCCGAATTGTCGAGGGAATAAATATTTCATCACATGCACAGTTTGCGTTAATGAATCTGAGGATGGAAAGCGATTCAAAACGTCTCCTCTAGCCGTTACTAGGAAGTCTATTGATATCAATCATCTTAGGAACACTCACGGCGGCTTGACAATCCTGATTGAACCATCCCCTTCGCATCAAAAGCAGGGCGCGCATATAACATATGCCGTCGGAAGAACACTATGCTATTTGGCTTGGAAATGTCTCTTCTGTGGTCTTCTGTGTTGCCTTGGACTTTAGAATTTCTAGCAGCCCCTGCAGGTAGCAAAGAATTGCTTTCAGCAGTTTGTGCAATCTTAGAACTCGGATCGTGTTCCCTAGGTGGCTTGTTCACTGGTTCAAGAACCGAAAGTGGAATTCCTGGGCTCACGCGTAAGCACTCATTTTCCAGGCCGTAGATAGCATGACTTGCCACTCAATTGATAGTAGATGCCCTTCCGGCAATCTATGGGGATAAAAACCCCACAGTCGAATAAGAGACTTGACATGATCTCCTCCCCATTGCTCCCTAGGAGTCCAAGGACATTTGTCCACGGCGCCCGCTTTAGAACCTGAACATTCTTATTGGGGAAGCGTGCCACTATCCCAGGAATACTACAAGCAAGAGCATCATTCTGCGTGGTGACTTGCAGCCCAGAAGCACGTTGGAATCCATGAGCCAATATGTGCTGCGGTTTCTGGTACGAAAACCCGCAACGATTGAACAGCGTCGATATAACAAAATCCACAATCTGTATTTAGAGTTAACAGAAGCTTGCGCAGCAATCACGATTATATGGACTAATATCACCGCCAGGACTGGAATGGTAGAGTTTTGTATGTAATCTTCAAGGACTTGTAGATCGCGGTGTCCATCTTACCTCTGCCTGAGGACAAGGAGGCCCAGTATCAGTACTGATAAGCAAAGACCTATCTTGCGATGCCGTGAAATCAGCTAATTCTCGTCGTAGCTCTTGACTGCGCGCCGGAGTTGGCTCTTTCAACACGCCTACTAGAGTGGTGTCAAGCAACTGTGACAACCCCCCTAAACCGCTATTAGTTGGGTCATAAGTAGGTACCGATGCAATCCTTCTGCGACGAGACTTGGATGACAAGGGTATTTGTTTGAGGAGGTACTGTCTCAGTGTCACGACCTGGCGGTAGTATATCGAAATCACGGGATGGGAATATTCAGACGCCGCATCCTTACTGAGGACACAGGGTACTCCCACTCGGCTGCTGGTCTGCGTGGAAACTTGCGGTAGATATTCCCGCGATTGGCCTTTCTTGATGGGCCTCTTCCTTTTCTTGCCCATTGAGGAGAAAACGAACAATATGGATGGATTCAATATCACATGGGCCCAATACGCTAGACTATGGGTTAGGATTGAGTGGTCGGTGATACTAGTTAAAGGACTTGGCGAACGCGACGCGCTTCGAGAAAGTGATCTAACCTCATTTGGGTGGCCCCTACTACCAAGTTCCACCACAATCATCGTACTAGTGACTACATACTCTGTATAGTATGTACAGTACATGATCCGCTAGAACCTACATTGTATCCTTATATATTTTAAATAGTCCCTATGTACATAATACTGCCTACCTAAGTCGTCTCTCAAACAGAGCCTACATAATGTTGGTGCATATCTAGGCAAATGGCTTGAGCACTAATTATTGAACAAGGACTATGGAAGGCCCTTTTAAAATCTGGAGTGTGAAGCAGTGTTTGCTCATATGGGACGGCCTAGAAGCGCGCGCGCGAACAACTCGACTGGCGAGTCGACTGCTTCTCAATGTTATAAAGCTTTGATTGCTGGATCTCTAGCTGCCGCCCGCCCAAGGAAGCATAGAACATTCGGTCTTGCTGAGGACCCATATAGGAAAGCATTATGATAGGAAAACGCCTTTCACCTGGGAATAGAAACTCGTACTTTTGAGCCTCTCCCGGTCTATCTAAAAGAGCTTCATGTTCATCCTCATCTTCTACCTTCTGTTGGTTGGCACGATCCGCGTGGCAAAAACCAGTGTATACAGCTCTCCCCATTAAATCGAACCCTCGCTGCCGTCGAGAGGCTGGGGATACTAGATTAATATTGCTAAGTCTATATATCTTGGTGGTAGGAGAATGCAAGGCTACTAACCTTACTACTACCCGCAGCTTCAAATATCCGAGAAGCGACAAGTACCCACAAGACAAAACTGGTTGCCCAGTTGTCAACTTAGGAGCAGATACGATGTGTACAGCTTCCTGTATCCCAGTGGCGAGTGCCAGTCTTTGTTATGTCATAGTCAATAAAATGATAGTCTATGCCCTTTCCATTGGGCTCGACAGTGTGGCTGCTGAGTGATTTAAGGCGCAGAGGTTCGAACAGATCGGCGGGCTTGGACCTGGGCCAGCGAATGCAGAGCACATGCGTTCAAAGTCATATGGGTCAAGATGAATGTCTAAACTGCTTAGACTTAGATCAGCAAGATAGCCTCGACTTGTGATTTTGCTGCATCTTATGTTCTCCCATAAGTCGGTTAGCCGCTTGCGTGCGGATTGGCTCGTTTGAGGCATTATGGTAATTCACGGAGTATGATCTGGGAGTAATTATGTTGTAGCGATAAAACAGTGTTGCGAGTGGGACTTCTGGAAGGGCTGTTGATAGAAGTTGAAAATAAGAGCAACGGGTGAAGTGTTTTGGGTGAAGGGCCTGCAGTGAATAAATATCTCCATCAGAGTGACCTCACTACTCCCTCAACACCTACTATTCCGTGTATGAAGGGTTGCGACTCCAACGCTAGAAAAAATATCTAAATATACTTCTTGTGCTTGTACAGACTTAACACAGGAAAATCACCGCTACACATCGAATTTTCCCCATTCGTTGCCTTGCATACAGCAAAAGTCCGCGCGGCGAGGACGAGAGCTGCTCTTGAAGTGTGTTTTAGCCGGTATGTGAGAGTTTTAAAATTGTTGATAGGGAAATTGTAATCTTTGAGGGTCGTTGCATGTTCTTATCTCCCACTAAGATATACCTCATCGCACCTCTCCCTCCGACCTACTACATCACTCTTATATTCCCCAACACTAACCACACCAGAACCACCCCTTAACCCCGCCGAGTGGTCTATTGTCAAGTCCTATGGCGGATGGACGAACTCCCTACTCAGCTATAGATCGAAGCAATATAAAAATGAAGGTGCCGAGGAGGGTCTGGTAAATCTGAAGGCGTTAGTTGAAGATGATGATTAGGGGGATGTGCATGATCCCGTATCAAGAATTGATGTGTCAGAGATGGATTGAACAATGTGGAGAAAGTGAAGTCGTCTAAAGGATAGCCTTTGCTGCTAGGAACTAAGAATGAGAGGACGGTATTGCTCTTCGGCTGGTCTGGGGAGCGGGTGTCCTTTATTATACTATGGTGCGTAAGGTGAGTAGGGTTGTAGGTTGGTAGAGTCAGATGGAGAGTATTTTTGTGGGTTATGGTAATTGTTGTTGTGGATGGTGCGCATTAGAGGTAGCTATTACAGTTCAATTCACTGAGAGTAGTGATTCCCAGGGAAAAAGTGTGAATCATTGTGTTCCTCTTCCTCTTCTCCTCTCTTCTCTTTCTCAACCTAACCATCCAACGTTCCAGCCACCGTTGTCATGGCTGATGCTACTATCAATAACAACGGATTGGCTGCAAGCCGCCACGAACTAGTCGCTGCGGCTGGAGCCGGTGGGAGACGTCCCAACCGGGGTGGTGGTGGAGGTCACCGTGGTGATCGTGATCGGGTGGATAGGGTGAGGAAAGCGCGCAAAATCACATGTAACGAACGCCGAGCATGAGCCCGGTTGTTGCACTGTGGCCACCGACCTGCAGGCGGTGGTAAGAATGATGAGCCAGAGATCCCTACTGACCGACCCATACTAACAAGCTTTGCAATAGGCTTGGATGGTTCGAGAGAATGCCGCCGGTACGATACTCCCCCTGTCCCGGCTGCCCGTGTTCCCCGGGGCAACAGCGCCTACGCGTGCTGGGTCCGAAATCGCGCGAGCGACGCCAGGCCCGCCGGCAGCAGCAGCAACAACAACGGACCAGCTTTGAGCAGATGCAGTGTGAATTGCAAAGCTTGCGCCTGCAACTGTAGGAGAGAAACGCGCAGCTCCAACAGGCTCGGTCGCTCGCCCTGGTACTGGCACATAATCCTGTGGAAGACGGGGCTCATGATGATGGGGAAAATCTGGTAAAATAGGAACCAGGAGACAATCCGACGGATACTACATAATTTAGACCACCGGCGCTGAAAAAGTGCCCGTCGCCTTGAGACGTCTCTCCCTGTCCCTGACCCTGACGAGGATCCGAGATGGTGCCACCGCGCTGAAAAGTGCCGGTGGTTAAAATTCCGCGGAAATTTGGGTGCCTGGTCGTCGGGCGTGGCCGACACCAGGACTCCAGCGACGAGCTCGCACTTCACCGTGGTGCTAGAGTCTAGTAGCCATTGGCGAAGCTAAACGAGCTCCCTTTTAATTTACCCTATCTTGCCTCATGTCTAAGGAGGAATGAAGCTTCAAGTACGTTAGCGTTGCGATTTGTAGTTTTCAAGACGAATAACATCGAGGCGAGTGACATTGTTATCTATACCTAATGAGTGTACGTACTTAACTAGGGCTGGGACTTGCTGATATCTGCAGGAAGGGTACATGTGTATATAGGTCATACTTGAACCTTCTCTGCGTGTTGCCGCAAATCAAGTGTCAGACTCGCAGTCGGACAACGAGGAGATACCACTTTCGGGACTGAGACCCACCACTAGCAAAAAAGCGTTGGTGGGAAATCTGGTGTGACCTGATCCTCAGCTACAGCGGATGAGGGTGTTGAGTAAAGTATGCCAGTAGTCTATGGAGTACTGGACCCTGTGACGGAGCAGACCGATGTTTGAAGTTGATGGATAGTAGTCTTCTAACGGACAGCGCTGTAGACGCTGGAAAGCCAATAAACGTCCCAAATAGGCACTTTTGTTCCGGATATTGATATCAAGCCAAGAATAAATGTATAATGGATGTTTCCTAGAAGACACAAGCTCCACGTAGTATTGAGAACCCTGGGGCTGTGCATCATCTGATATCACTCCTCAACCCCAAACAGGGTAGGAGCATAGTAGGCTAGTCGCAAATATTGACAGACTACCCAGGGGTATGGAGAAATGTTTCGCAGGTCGCATCTGACATGGAGAGCCCCCCTGTTCCTATCGAATGTTTTAGCATGAGACTGGGTTAGTCCCACATGTCAAAGAAATATGAACGCCTGAAAGACTATCAGTTAATAGTTGCAGAGTTCTGAAACACACGCAGATGGTTGCCTCAAATTGCCCCGATTGGGAACCTTGAAGATGGTAGGTATCTACGGGAATAGAAGCAGGTTCTATCTGCTGTATTCAGTACTTCGTCTCCTTTCCCATGCCTTGCCTGTTTGCCACTTTAAGGGGTAAGTTTACGGATAAGATGGTACTCTTCAAGTGCGGTATCATGATGAAAAGGTTGTTTGCTTCGTTTGCACTGTATCTTGGCGCAATGCAATGGAAATTTGATGCTCATAGAAATTGCATGGAAGCAACGATTTCTAGGTATTGTGAAGAGAGCAATTCTTTTTGTGTCTACTCAAGTGCTGCCGTAATTAATGTGAAAACTGTTGGGCCATACACTATACCACCAACTATACTCTCCTAAATTGCCACCTTCCCGAGCTATTATAGAGGATATTGTGATGTGGAGTATTGTGTGGTTATTACAAACCGCGCCATAGCGTAATATTATCCTTGATCTTAGAGGGTTTCGCGACCCGCATGCCAGAGAGGACCGTTTCTGCCAGAGATATGCGGATGCAAAAGGGCTACATCCGGCGGGCCGGACGGGTAACTATTGTTCATTGGGGTTTGAGAAAACACCCGATGGGCTCGACACCGCCAGAAGCCTGCCAGTACTAACATACAAGGTAACCCTTGATTAGAAAAATTTATTGAGATAATTATGACTCGCATTACTTGTACGGAAGGAATTGGGCATCTGTGAGTAGCGTACATACACATAAGTACGACCAGCCTAGAGCATCGTTAATGGGGCCGAAGCGATGGAGAACAGTAAAAATTTTTCTACCAATATCCAATGTGCGGCACTGACACTGTAGGTAATCTACGGATCGGAAGTCTCTGTGGGTCAGTAGAATTCGTAGTAAATGTGTTAATAGGATCATCAGCCAGGACAGGATAATGGCTTGTCGATCAATTGTTGTTCCTGACGATTCTGCAGGGAATTACAGAAAGTCATAATAACCCAGAGTGAGGAGAAATCGTGGGTTGAAGACAGCATCCATCGCCAGTCAATGTGCTTCGCACGGACATGGAGCATCAACCCAGATCCTTGGAACGACGGTGGTCTAGAAAAGTCCCAAAACGCTAGTAGCATTCCCGAGGAAGGACAATGGTAAAATAATTTATCCCCACTAGGTCAGCCTGACCCTGGAATGTTTCCCGTCTTCGTCTTGCGGAGTCTGGGGACGTTTCTCTGGTACAGCCCCTGGGAGATATGTCATTGACTACGGAGCAATGCCCTGACTTTCCATTCAATCAAATCAAGTCAGTGGTAGGGAACATTTCCTTTCAATTGCTCCCACCCTTGTGGCTTGTTGGCGGGTTGGTGTTGGCCTGCAGAATAAAGATTTTGTTGTTCTCCGTACTTTCCCCCCCCCAATGCAAGGCATTAGAATTGCGACCACAATTTCTAGGTAACCAGCGGTGTGACCGCAGACGGACGGGCTGGCAGGAGCTGAGAAATTACGGACGAACCAGTTAAGCAAGAGACATGAATCTCCAGCCAGTGACATTATACACATGAGAGGGTGGGTGGTAGTGGAGCCAATGGAATCACGATACACCACCGGACTTCACCAGAGGGATCCTTGCATGCAATAATAAGCAGGAAGAACGTTGACAGATGTCGGCCACAATCGATAAAGAAACAATTATTGCTGTGAATTAGATCTATGCTTCTTGCCTGCTAGGTACAGCATATGGGTATTGCTTTTTTTTACCTTATAGGTAGGTTAACTGGCTTAGCCTGAAGAATCGCTTATAGTTAAGCTGGTGTTGGGCCGGAAAAAAAAAACAAGGATACAGTTTACTAACCACTCTATCTCTCAACACCCAGATGGGACAAATACAAATGTACGATAAATACGCTTTTTCTACCTAGACTAGCGTACAGTATGCTCAGCTTCCTTTTTCTGTACTTCGGACGGCACATCCATGATTCATGCAATGGTTACCTAACCCGGCAGACTACATAATAAGATTAAACTCTCGAGATTTCCCCTGCACATTCCTATTCTAATATGCCCAGGTCACGAGGTAAAGGATGTATGGACAGGGTCTAAACTGGGAGGAACGGCATCGTTTCACCGTACTACTGCAAAAGCACACCGACCTGGTATCGAATGACTTTATTACTCTTCCTCCCTTGCTCATATACCGAGGATTGTAGTGCGTCGAAACTTAATATCGGAAGAGAAGGGGGAAAAGAACTTCGGGTTTCCAGGCCAGTCAGATGAATTGAATTGTTCTCGAACGATTGTTTATCTTCTACGTGGCCCCTATGTGAGGGGTCAGATGTATGGCATGATCGGTTTCTACTGGTCACAAAGAATAAGGGATAGGGCCCCGGCTACTCACTACCTTATCGATCGTCTTGTCTTCATTTGATCTTAGGCTGATCTCAGATGTTAACCCGGTTCTTATGCAGACACATGGGAGTAAAGCTGGTTGTTGGTTGAACCCAATTGGAACGGACAAAACGCAATACGGTGTAATTACCTGAGGTTGACCCTTCATTTTGTTACCTTGGAGGTTTCCAATACTCCAACGGATCCAAACGGAAAAGAAGCATGAAAGCCTGGTTTACACAAACTTTATCATAAAATTCAAAGCAGTTCAAGTAAAGCGAAAAAGAAGAAAAGCTGTCTGAAGTCCAGAACCTAAAAAGGAACGAAAAGCCGAAGGCCCAAGTCAAACAAAAATGTGTGGCGTCCCGAAAATGATAGTCCCAAGGAAGCGATACAAAATGATACATGGACAGCCAAAGGCTCGAAGAGAATGGTCAAACCCCGGCCAATCAATATCAATTATATATTGGTTATAAGAATATACTCGACCTAATCCTCTGGCCTAGTAGCTACTAGCGTTCTTTATACATTTAGTTCAATAACAAATTACAATTTTTTTCCCGCACCAGAAGCAGACTAGGTGATCCGGCCGCTAAAAGAAAAAGTGCTAAAGAGATTTTTGAACGATCGAGTCAGCAAGCATACCTATAATTGTACGTTGGATGTTGTGTACTGGGTAGGAAGGACAACCCACGGGACAAGAAAGAAAAGAATATTTATCTCTCTCCCTTTTTTTTTTTTTTTTTGTAATCATACTATGATTGGATTTTATTGGTAGGAATATGTACTGGCACTACTCCCAATATCCCCTGACGTCCATTTTTATTTTTATTCTTTACAGACTAGGTAGTTTCAAATTTCATTGCCTTACTCCGTACCTTTTCCCACACCCGAGAACCACTTTTTGAAGATCTACTTTTCGAGAACTCCGTACTAGATTATGGGCCATAAGCTGGTAAGGTAATAAACAATACCACAATACCCAAACATTCAACACTTTCTCTCTATGAAATAAATGTATGTATGTCTGACAAGAAAAAACAAAAATAAAGAACAAAAATCCATTTCTTTTTGTTTCTGATCCTTGCTCGTTTGCAGTAGTAATAGACATTAGGTTAACACGCTATGTCGAGAATGTACGTTGAAGTTTGATCGGTATTCCCACCTCCTTCTGCGTCGGGCAATTATGCCGTGAGGGTGTCATAAGAATCATGATTAGATCAATCAGACTTTGCTTGCATGAAAAGTTTTCTTCTTTTTTTATTTTCTTTTTCGGATCTTCCCCTCCCCCTGGTTCTTCTCTGTTTTCCGCGCTTACTGTCTGAAATTGACTCCTGCAAACGATGGAACGAAGTAATGGTTACGGAGGAGTAGATTGTTAGTGGGCTAAATAAAGACCGTGTGGGCACGGTCAGAGATTCAAACAGGAACAGGGCGAACTAACCAACTGTCGGCCCACCGAGAGCCCTTCCTATTTGATAGGACCACAGGATCGATGCCCGGTCGTCATCGATGACTTATTACTACCTATTTGATTTGATGGGCATCATTCTTTCCTAGACCTTACCTTAACGTACATCCCATACGTACAGTACGGCGCAACAATAATATTGCTGTGCGCCCCCCCCCCCTCTCAGGTTTATTGTGGTCATCACTATCACTTTTCATATTATTCTTCGTCTTTTTCTCCCACTTCAACCTCAATAACCCCTCTCGACGACCCGCTTGCGATAACTCTCCACCTTTAGAAACCAATATCCTCCCCCTGGTAGACGCCGTGCAAACGTTCGTCCCGCCTGTCTTACTTGAGTCGTATACCTCGCCGGTCTTTTAGTCTTTCATTGACTTTCAAATCAAACCCTCGACCGTTGTCACATCCACAGTCGGTCGTTTCCTTTTGCTGTCCACCCCTTCCTACTTGTTCATTGGGTCGAGCAAGCATCAAAATAACTCTTCGGGGCTCGTCCAAGGACGCCCAATCTACAGGATCACACCAGTGGCTTAGTGGTCTTATACTGTCTCAAATATGACGCTGTATTGGCGTGGTGCTACCCGGTGATGATTGCCTTGTAGTTCCGGCCGGTCAATCTGCAACCTACCAGCTGTGAACAACGCATCACAAGTCTAGTACCCTCGATCAGGAAGGATCACCACCATCCATCCCGTTGGGAGAAAATTGTCTGTTTAAATTTTATTTTTATTATTTTTTCTTTTTTTAATATTTTTTCTTTAGCGAGAAGGAAGAGGTAACTCAAGAAGAAAACACTTTTGCGCTGACCATCTGCGTGAAAGAATGCAAGATGTCCGGCAGTGATGTCGAGCACGTTTCTTGCTTTCTTAACGGCAATCCTCATGAGCTCCGGCGCCAATCTTCTCCGACCAATAACGAGTACTATTTTGATGTCCCGACGGATAACTCTTTTGAAACCTCACTAATCGCTTCGTCCTCTGCCGCACCACCTCTTGCAAGTACCACATATCCTGCGCAGCTAGGTCTCACAAAGTCGCCAGTACTTCCTGCAACCGCGAACCTATCCTCGAACGGCCGATCCTCGCCCGACCCTGACGATTACTATCGCCCACACCCACCCGCGTTGGTTGCAAATGATAATACTGACTCCTTAATCCTTGATGTCAATAACGCTGACCTCGCCGAAAATCGTCCCCAATTTCAACGCGTGTCCTCTGTGCCAACACACCCTCTAGAGCCGTCTGCTGAAAGGACAGGTTTCTATCGTTCTGTCTCGGATTCATCATACAGAAGCCTTGCACTCGGATCCACTACCGGGACACAATCAGCGCGGGCCTCCGCAGTGAGATCAAGACAGGTATCGTTCAAGGATCTCGTGAACAAGTTCAACAACAACCCGGATCAAGTTCTCCCTGTACCGTCAACAGCTACGCCAAGGACTGTCAGCCCAGGTAGCCCCATTGACGGATCGATACCATCCAAAATCTCACATCTAAAGGGAAGCCACGATTTGTCTGCAAAGGAGCCCCCGGTTCCCCGGTGGAACTCGACAGGCGATCTTAACGCAGATCTACACTCGGGGCCCTCTCTCCCTCGACTTAGGACAAGCGATCTCAAAGACAGTCATCCCATCCCTTTGAACTCTGCTCCCCGACGGCCCCCGTTTGGCGAATTGCTTGTAGTGGATACGGATTTCCACAATTTAGGATATGGAACACCGTCAAACCTGCGGCGTCGAGGTTCTGAAGGGGCCATCCCTAGCCCGAACCCAGCATTTCTAGACCATCGTGAGTCTACACCCGGCCTGGCACCCTTAACTCCTACCGCCTGGTATCTAGGACGCACGCCGTTTTTGGAAGCAGTGAATACCAATTATAACGCCAGTAATCACCGACGGACAAGGAGTGATTTTGCTGGAGATTGGCCTGGAGGCTCGACGGTGTACCCCCCTGATACCCATATGGCGGTCCAAACCCCCTTGCAGCCGCACCCCGGGACACCCCTTGAGAGCCCACATTCCAAGTCGCGCATTCCTATCTCTTCCCGCCGCCTTAATTCAGCTCCTGAATCGGGCGCTTCTTCGCCGTCTTCACCCACCGCAAGGCCTGAGCTAGCTTTCGGCAACCGATCTGCTGCGCAAGTATCTCTGCCGCCGAAAGGCGTTAGCCGCCTGCCTAAGCCATCCCCCAAACAGTTACTCAATTCTGCCCATGAATCGAACTATGATGGCGAGGCAACGTTTGCGATAACGCCGCATGCAAGGCGGGAAATAGCCCCTGCTCGGTCTCGTCAGCACATCCCTGAGAAAGGCGCCCTTCTGGAAGCTTACATAGCCGCTCCTCCCCCCAAGAAGTCACCACCTTTGCGTAGTTCTCGTCCTCGCCAAGCTGTCTCACAAACCTCTCCAGCCGCACCACGTTCAAAGGTGGTAGAGACAGTTTCTAATTTTCAAAAACAAATAAATCGTGATCGTGATTTGCGAAACTCTAGGACAAGAGACCGACGGCTGCCGGAATTGGGTAATGTTGACTTTGCGACCCGGCGACAGAGAATTCAGCAGGCCTTCAATCGCACAGTCGAAGAGAATGAAAGAAAGGAAGAGAAAGCAGCGGAGCTCCGACGTCAGGTCAAAGCTGAAGAAGATAGACAGCAGTCCGATCAACCGGCTACGCCACAGCAGCAACGTGTTGAGCCTGCAGAAGTGATTATTTTTGCACAGCCGGATGATAGCGTGACCGTGATCGAGGAATCTGTTGACATTGGTCATGTAACGGAAGATCTGACACCTGAGCCGGAGGTGCCCAAAGTGCTCCCACAGCTCCACGTTGATACAGACATCTCTACACTAGAGAATTCTCACACAACAGCTGAATACCATCCGATGACAATGGATTCGCCGACATTAGGCCACCCGGAAATAATTCTGAATGGACAAGGGCTAGAGTCGAAACCTTGCCATCCCCCGCCTATCTCTGCTGTAACGACGGGTTCCAATGAGACCAATGTCACCGCGTTTGACCCCGAACCCCAGACCGAGCTTTCTAGGCAGAATTTACATGCATCACACAGAACTCTCCTAAGTCAAATAATGCGCATCCGCGACTCCAGTCCTAGCAGTTCATCTTGCGACGAGCAAGACTATGAATTTTCTGATAATGACGATAAGGAGTCCATACCCATCGTCCTGAGAGATGCATTAGCTCTTGAGGGTTCTATTGACAGCAGTGAAAACCAAGAGCACCGTGACCTTTACCTAAAGCGGGATGCCCATGATAGTGAGCCGCCAAATCGTTGGAGTATGAGTTCTTGGTCATCTTCCCTTCATCACGAGAATTCCTCGGATGGGCAATGTGAGGGCAGCGATGATGACCTGTCTCACATGCAGCAATGTACGGAGGATAGTGAAGAAGCTACCACTCAGTCATGCTCTGCATCTTCGAGCACTCCGTCCGTTACCGATACTCAACCTCGTTTACTGCCTCAGACTTCTAGCGTGGGACCTGAGCCCAGAAAGGAAGTTGCGTCACATAGAACTGGCTACGGTCAATCGAACGCGCCTGATCTAGTAAGATTAGGTGGCTGGGATTCTAAGCGTGTGGCCCAGCTCTACATGGAGGAGCTCGCCAATGGCAGGAGTCATAATCTTCCCATGCCGGCAATACGTGCATCCCCAGAACCGCCACCTTTACGGACGGACAAAAGGGAAGAAAGGAATACCGATTGTCTGGCCGACGACCCGGTTCTAATAACGGAAACAGACAGTATCCCATCCTCGGAGAGAGTGAGACATTCAGCGAGTTTGTTCTTGCGCGATGACTGGGAACATGCATCTCCATCCATCATGGATTGGATGCAGATTGCTGCCGACGAACGATCAGCCTCACAAGACCCGAAAAGTGACGACAGTTCGAAAATTGATGGTGTTCCAACACCGCGGCTATTGACTCCTAGTTCGCATGTGCCACGCCCAGAAGATACAGATATAGGCCTGGGCTTGGCAATCAACGTGCAGTCGCCTGAAGAGCTTGATACTGAGGCTATTCCACCACCTCCCATACCACGCCATGACCCTCCAGCACCCCCCACCGACACCAAAGAAGGCGCTGCTCGCCAACCCCAGGGCCCTTTGATCCATCAATCTACTTCAAGCATTTTTTCTAACGCTATTTTTGCGCCACTGGGACCCGTCCAGAGCACGGATAGTAGTGAAGACTCTTCTCTCCGACGAATTGAACCCACACCTTCTCCACAGGCTTTAGACTCGTCAGCCACTTCGTTAGCTCCTTCGATATCAGGACCCCCACACCCAGAAACTGCATCGCCGTCTCCAGAACAACGTCGACTGAAGAAGCGGCGACATGTGATAAAAGAATTAGTTGATACCGAATACACCTTCGGAAGGGACATGAAAGTCGTCGACGATATTTATAAAGGTACTTCAAGCTCATGTTTGGACCTCTCTGCTGAAGATGTAAAGGTTCTCTTTGCAAATTCCGATCAAGTCGTGCACTTCTCGATGGCTTTCCAGGATACTCTTAAGGAAGCAGCTAAAAGTGTCTATATAATGCCTAAATCACAACGGTGGAGCAGCAGGCGCAATGCAAGAAACAACACCATCAAGGCAGACCAAGAATCTTCAACTGGACCTATTGTTTCAGACCTTGAAAAAGATAACACGACTTTTATTGGGCAGGCATTCTTGGCGCATATAGCGAACATGGAGAAGGTCTACGCAGATTACTTAAAGAATCACGACGCCGCCAACAAGAAACTTCAGACTCTGCAGAAGAACCCGAAAGTGGCTATTTGGCTTAAAGAATGCCGGGACTGGGCATCGGACCTCACGACAGCATGGGATTTGGATTCGTTACTGGTCAAACCAGTACAACGCATATTGAAGTATCCCCTCCTTTTGAGTGAACTACTTGACTCAACACCAAGCGATCATCCAGATCGTGTCGCACTTATGACTTCCTTGGAGGAGGTTACAAACATTTCCGTTCGTATCAATGAGTTGAAAAAACGTGCCGATCTAGTAGGGCAAGTCGTTGGCCGCAAACGAAAAGAATCGGATGTCAGAGCAGGCTTGTCCAAGGCATTTGGGCGTCGTACCGAAAAACTGAAGCAGCAAGTTGGCCTCTCCGATCTAGTCGAAGACAAGGAATACGATGCCCTATCTCAGAGGTTCGGCGACAACTTTTTTCAGCTGCAAGTTGTCATGCGGGATGCGGAAATGTATACGCGCGAGGTGCAGGGTTCTATAGATCGCTTGAGCGAAATTACTCTTGCTATAGGAGAGTTTATCAGCGTCGCTCCCACTATTTACTCCGAGCTTGAAGCCAAGTCGCGTGACCTGAAGACGGCTGTCCAAGAGTTACTGACAGAGGCACTACCTAATCATGTGAGTAGAATTATCTGTGCAAGCGTTAGTATTATGAAAGTACCTGACAATTTCAAGCTCGCCGTCGTTCGTAAGAGTGTCATTGACCCAATGGTCACATTGCTCAAGCTCCACGATGGTCCCCAAAGGGTGATGAAAAAGCGCGACAAACGGCTCATGGATTATGCCCGCTTCAAGAGCATCAAGGAACGAGGGGACAAGCCAGACAAGAAAACTACGGAGCAAGGGGAGCAGTTTGTCGCTCTTAATGAAGCCCTCAAAGATGAACTTCCGAAGCTCTATTCTCTTACCGCCAAGTTGATGGAGGCTTGCTTGAGAAACTTTGTTCACATACAAACGTCATGGTTCAAAGTTCTACAGGAGAGACTTGCCCCCCTGGTAGACTCGTTCCCAGATGATAACCAGAAAATCATTGGTGATTGGACTGCCGCGTTCAGCTTCTCCGAGGCACAAGTGCTGTCACTCGGCGTCTGTAACGGGTCGCTACTAGCCGACGCTATCAACCTCGTTAACTTCAACACTCCATCAACCGGAGCAACTATTAGTTCGCCGCGGCGCCCATCAACAGTCAACAGCACCAGCACTCGTGTTGGATCCACTATGGATGAATCGCCTAAAGCCTCCCACGATTTCGGCGGTTGCAGCCATCCTGTTAAGTCGCCGAGCTTTGATAGCCAGTCTCAAATATCGCATGGGCGCAAGCGTGCGGATTCAACTTTCTCGGGTCGCGCTGCTCCTGAATCGATTGAGTTATCCCGGAGTCAAATGTTGCAGCAAATCACTAGCTCTTCATCGGCTTCCAGGCCTCAGTCCAATTCTAATAGGGAATCTTGTCCAAGCCTCCCTCGGTTGAGCCTTGATTCTCCATTTCTTGTCGATGTTATTGGGCCTTCGGAGAGTAGCGACAAGCCAATTGATGAGCAACCCGCCTCCCCTAGTGGGGGTCGGTATTCCGGCTTTTTTTCATCCGCAATGCCCATGTCGGACAACCCACAGGAGAATGCCCCCCCGGAGAACGAAGCCCCTAAGGAACCTGCTGTGCTCTTCTTGGCCGCCAGTATTTATGAGTTCAACATTGACCGCGCCCGACGTGAGGCTGGGTACCCTTATCTGACATATGTTGTCGGAGAGATTTTTGATGTCATCGCTGAAAAGGGCGAGCTGTGGCTGGCCAAGAATCAGGACGACCCTACTCACCAGGTTGGCTGGATTTGGAACAAGCATTTTGCCAAACTGTCAACCTGAATCACTGTCTGACGAAAGTATTACTTGTCTCAATATTTGTACATGTTGTATGACGATCGATCGCCAGCATCATGATCTGCTGGGTCTGTTGTTCTTAGACCGGATCTAAAAACTCCAGAAAACATCGACGCTCCATAGAAGGCCACCCCGGCGTTATTGGTCTTAGTATTATACATTATGATGAGTGTCATGAACCTTTGGGCGGCGTTTCTTCATGAGTGTCTTGATTTTTTTGTTTTTGTGATTTGATGAATGTTAGGTTCTCTGCTTTGAAATGTCTGGGAAATCCATGGTACTCTCTGCTTTTGCGATGGTGTTTGTTAGTCGCGCTACTGAAGACACATTCTATCAGAAGCCCTCAACTGTACGTTTAGATACCCCTTGATTAAGTTCTTAAATTTAACTAGAAGTTAAATACATACCTCGGCTATGTCATTCAAGTATATTACTAGAGCCAAAGAGAAACAATTTATCCTTGGAGCAGGACATGAATGTGGTGAATCCGAAGATGCTCTCTCCGTACTAGCAAAGGAAACAAGGGAAAAGAGAGCACATCACGTGCACATAAGCCACAAGGAAAGCCACAGTGACGTCGTGGGACCTCGGGACGGCTTCAAATCGTATCGCCGCAAGGGGCGACCTTCTCGTGCATAACAGGTGGGAATAGCCGGTCATTCGGCTGCTGCTCTGCTTTGATCTGTTCAATCCCATCCTAGGTACTTGACTTTCCTGTACGCGTCGGCACCAGCCCTCGATTTTTTTCTCTTCGTTCTCCGACCGAACACTAGTTGAGCAACGTCCCGCAATCCCGGGCTGTTTTATTCTTTCGATCAGGCGATCCTCCCTCGCTCAACTGAATCTTCACAAGGAGCTACGGTGGTAATTGATAAGAAAACGAGAAACAACAACAAAAAAAAAGGCGAAAGGTTGATTTTGGCCTCGGCGATATATGCCTAATAGTTATCGAATACAACGCCACTGTTTCCTGCTCCTCACTCCCCGCGATCTAAGGCTCAATACGACAGAAACAAGCTCATCGATTGCCCACTTTTCCAGTGAGATTTGTGGATAGACAATACAGTTTGACTCAGAAACGCTGCGCAAGCAAAGACAGGCAGACAGGATGCTTGATGGCGGATTGGGCAAGTTGCAGAAGAGGATGAAGCGATTTGGTGACACGGTAGGCTTCAGTGCTTTGGCCTTGATGTGTCGGTTCCGTGATGAAATACTTATTTCCAACAGTTGAACCCCGATGATGCGTATCTGAGCTGTGAGTCCATGACTACTTGGCATTAGCCTTCGAAAAGGATGATGTCTGACTAGATCGGAGCATACAGACTATGACATTCGATGTATGTTGCGACGTTCTTGGCGTTTGGGTTTGTTATCATATATCCTGACGTGTTATAGTGACGAGAGAAGATATGCAATCACTGAAGAATGACTGGCTCACAGACAATGTGGGTGTGATCGCACTATCTAATGGGTCTTAGCTAATTCATCATAGATTATATCCTTCTGGGAGGAGTAAGTCAGCTGCGTCTGTTTCACCATCGCCTCAACTGATGTCTCCAGGTACCTGGAACGCGAGTTCCTCGTGAACTATAAATCCTCCCACATCGTTCTTCTGCGACCTAGCATGTCTTTTATGATATTGCAGACACCTAACCCCCACTCCCTTCGCGAAGCGTTACCCGACTTCTCGCGCACAACGCACGTCTTCCTCCCCATCAATGACTGTCGCAATGTTACTGAAGCGGAGGGTGGAACTCATTGGTCATTGCTTCTCATATCCATTGTTGATGGAATAGCATTTCACTATGACTCACTTCCTCCTGGAAATGTTTGGGAAGCACGGACGGTAACCATGAAGTTTGGGGCTTTACTCAATCGATCTATTCGATTTGTCCATTTGCAGGACTCGCCGGTACAAGAGAATGGTAGCGACTGTGGTGTCTTCGTCTGTCTGAGTATGCGGCATTTGCTGCTGAAACGGCTGTTAACTGCTAACGCCAGCGAAAAGGTCAGCATGAGCCTCGGGGGTATGAAAGTAGATGCCCGCGGAGGGAGAAAGGAAATGACCAAGATCATCGAAGGATTCCGAAAAGAAGGTGAACGGCGGAGGTCGTACGTTATTGCAGGCCATCTTCTGTGAATTGCTGGCTAACTCTTAGATCGACAGAGCTAGCCTCAGCCCCCTAGGGAAGAAGTCCGCAAGTCCTGGTCCTCCGCGGATTGAATGATGGAAGTATAGCTACGGTTTGGTGGGTATATACGAAAACAAAAATGGATAGGCGAAGGCGTCTAGGGGATGTCAGGATACTGGAGTTCGAAGTTATGGATAATGCATACGGTGATTAGGATATGATCATGAGATCAAGGCAGGGACCTTATAACCTCACGCTTTTCATCATCCTCGCATTTCGATGCTTTGATGGGCTTTCTTTTCTTTTCTTTTCTTTTCTTTTCTATTTTTTTCTGGACACTTTCACATTGTCCATCACATCTAGCATTAGCTGCTATTATTACACTAAGACCACCTATTGTTATGCCAAATAATGTACTTTACGTGGTGGAAAACACCCATCGGCATATTAACTATCCATATATATATATATACATATATATATTTTTCCAAATGTAACGTTTGTTTCTCTTCATCTTACAAGCTTTGGAGTGTTTTCAATGAGCCTCGCTCGTTTTCAATAGGAACAACAATTTCGCAAGAGTACTAGTATATCTGCGGATGAGTTCTTATTAAGGGAGTGGTTTGGTTTATACTAGGTTCAAGATTCAGCATAAATTATTATATAGGATATTTAGAAAACAGTTGGCAATTACTGTATCCAAAGTTTAGGAAATAGTTCTGCGCAATGGAATATAGAAAAATTGCAAGAATGCAGCGGTATGGAGCATGATGCTCTCGGGCGTTGATACACCTTATCTTGCAGCTTGGGCCTACTGTTGTGTGATATAAAAAACTTGATAATAGACGACTTTGTACTGATGAAGGGGCTATTCATTTACAAAGACGTTTTCTCTCTATTTTGACAATCGTTGATTAATGCATGAAGATAGTGGAAGAAGTACTATTCTGGGTAGCAAATACTATATTCACTCGCTAAGGGGTGGATTTAATATTTATGCAGGGACATGTCTCTGGAATGCATGCTGTTGCGGGATCTAACGAGATTAAGTTTAGTTAAGAATAGGCAATCAGTCTGATATGTAGAATAAGGATTCTATAGAGGGACTAAGAGTTTTGACCTGCCTATCTCTTTATCGGATATCTCCTTGGCAACAACCAGCCATACCTATCGCCCAAAAGTACTTGCTTATAGTCCATGTAAACAGTCTTTCCGTTTCATGATGTTGTCGTTGCAGTTGCCATTTAGCTGAACGCCTGTAATCTGTAGCAACCACTGCTCTCCCAGTCTCTTCAAGTGTATTCTCCCTTCCTCTGTTTCTCCTCTTCTCCTTCTCTCCAACACCTTATGGTCGTTTGATGCTAGTATCCTTTTATTTGCAATATACGCCTGTCACTCCACCTTTGGCGTCTCTGCTCCCGCTTAACGGCGACCCTGGATCCTGACCCTCCATTTTGCTACTCTTCGCTCACCTTCACCACCATTTTCTTCGTTCTTTGACCAGACTTGTACAGATGGCTCGCCTCTGCATTCCTGGGTTCCTTTCCATGCGAGCAGGCCTACTGCACGATTCAAGACACAGCTGGCCGTTAGTTCATTCCCCAGTCGTATTGTCTACCGTCAGAACCCTCCTGCTACACTCCGCTCCTCTGCTGAGATACGCAAAGGTTCGCATCTCACAATCCACTCAGTAAAGGCCCTTCCACTCTTCTTTCGGCTGTTCTAGTGGGAGCTGATACAGCGACTGCGCTGAATGGCTCTTCTTCCAGACTCTCGGAGAGAAGGGCAGCACGACAGGCCCGACCTCGACCCTGAGCTCAACCTATGCCGACCAGTCACAACAGGTCCCTCGAGGGACACCTGTCGACCACTACCACCAGTCGACCGGTGCCCACCAAGCCTCCAATCCTAGCTATACATACGACTCGTGTTCAAAGGGCGATTGTGCCAGTCGACGCTGGTCCTTGTCAAACCTGTTTCAGGCCGTAAGGCGGTGGAGAAGAAGCGCGTTCGTTTCGGCGAAGCCACGGTCGTCTCCATCTCCTCGCTGGATTGAACTGCCCGATCACATCTTCGGCGTCTCGTCGTGGTTTGGACACCTGCAAGGGTGGGGCGTAACACCTCTCTCCGAGCCCGACGCGGATGGTGACTTGAAGTATACAACTTCTAGGGGCTCCGACTCCTATGAGATGCTTATTTCTCATGACACGGGCCCTTGTGACGGGCAGAAATGTGCGTGGAATGCCCAGGGTCACATTTGGTGGAGGCACTCCATGTAGACTCCTCCTATGGTCTTCGAGGAGTGGCTCACTCCGAGAGATCAAATAGAAGAAAGGAGGATTTGCTTTGTAAGTTATTCATTTCGGACTCGGGTCTTTCGTTGTAAGACTCTTGCCCACGTTACTTGCCCCGTATTCATTACTATGACGTTTTATGTTGTCGTTTAATTTATTAATATCCCTCTTTCCATTTTCGGCTGGCTCCGGTCTTCATTGAAGACCACCCAGGTACTGCTAATGGTTCTCAGATGCTGGCGCAATGTTCTGCTGTGGTGCTGGTGGTGCAATTGTAAGCATCGATAGGTATTATGCCTTCCGGATGATCCTAAGGACCAGTAACTGACAAAGACAGAGGATATCATAGGTCCAAGGGTTCCCTCTAAACAAGGGTAATGACGCGCACCTGTACGCGGGATCTAGTCGTAACCCCTTGCCAGAAGCTCCAGCCACCTACTCGACGAAAAAAGAACGACGGCGGCACCGCCGATGCTCCTCAGGCGAGCTTGTTGGTTCAACTAGATGGAATTGGGCGTAAGTCTTAGTAGCTCTTCCAATACACCATACTAACGGTCACAGATGGATGGTGGGCCGCAACCGACACATGATAAGCTTGGTGATAGAATGAGGGGGAAAAGAGATAAGTACAGTCGCCTTCATTGTTCCAATGGCTCCGGCTAACCGTTTAACATTCTAGATGTACCCTGCGCCTTGTGATAGGGCAGGGGTATGCCCGGACTCATGTGGATAAAATGGTCTGTGCGGTGTGGAGTCAGTCAACCCTACATGCATCAAGCCTTGTGTAGTAACAGACCTGACAAGGTTGACGGCGCTAGGGATCGACCTCGTTGGTCGCGGATCGATGCACGAGACAGGCTTCTCAAGCATGAGCGGTACTGGTTAGTCAATGACTAGCGAGCACTTGTTTTGTTCTAGCTGACCTCTCGGAGGACTGAGTGGTAGGCTACAGGCCTTGTTAGGGATGGGTGGCTGCGTGGGTGCATAGGAGCCGATTCTTTTCTCTTTCATCTTTTCTTGAGGGTGAGTGGTTGGGTTTTTGTTCTATTCTTTTTCTTCCCTTTCTCTTTCTCTTCTTTTTTGAGGGTGGCTAGGTGGCGTTTGCTTTTGCTTTTGTTTTGCTTTGATTATCTTACCTTTCCTTTCTCTGCTTTTTGTACCTAGGGTTGGGTGGATGGGTTGGATCTTCAATTTTCATTTTCCTCTTCTTTCCATGCGACGCAGACATGCTGCTAATTGTCATAAGTGCGCCCAAGTAAATACGAGTTATAAGATGAACAGCGTTCTTCAGATCTATAATTTCAAACAGCGAAGCTCTATCTTTCTCTGACAAGCTAACTATTAACTATGACATTATCGTATAAGAAAGATTGCTTGCGTTTTTCCTACAAAACTGATCAAGCCATCAGTGAATTCCACAAATCAGAAGCCTCCTTCCCTTGCAAACAACTACTGCTAACCTGAGCCGCAGCCGAGTAGCATTGGTCAATCGTAGCCTGAGGAGCATTGCATGGACGCCGGAAACGACTACAGATGAACTCAGTCAGAGTATTAATGATCGTCGACAACCCCATGCGGGAAATTTGTTTCATTATTAGTGGTCCACGAATACTCCGTTCGACTATCAAGACCATACTCTCAGCGGATGGTAGGGTCCGAGCAAGTCCCGTAGTCAAGACCACCAACACGGCCGCCGCAATTAGTACTACCGTCCGTCGGATAGGAAGTAATAGTGGCGGTGGCCGTCTCGGTAGAAATGATCGTCGCAGTGTTAGTGATTGTTTCTATGTCAGTTACAACTTGACTGTTGATGACTTCAATGACTGTCTCGGTCTCTGTCGCGGTGACTGTTGAGATTAGGCCTGGTGCTGTTACGGTTGTTGCGCCTGTGTTGATGGCGCTGGTGCTTCTTGTTGTTGGGCCGGGGATGATGCTGTTGAACCGCTGTTGTAACCAACAGCGGTTACTGTAATCATTTCGGTGAGTCCGGCATGCGGTGGGCGTTGTGCTGCCCCCAATCGTGGTGGCGGTCACTACGGTGATGATGGTTGTTGCACTGTAAGTGGCACTTAGCTTTGACCGGGGTTTCTCAAGGTCTAAGCATTCAGACTTACCCGGGGGCATGATCGGTAGTAGTCATCGTCACTGTCTGGGTAGTGCAGATCCCACCGCCGTTGCCCTGTTCCTTTCCCTTATCCCCGGGATTTTCATCGGTTTGGTCATGATTTCAGGTCTCATTGCGGGCTTTTTCTGGACTACTGCTCTGGCCGCAGAGCACTTTCTTGAAAAGCTCAGGAATGTTGATAACACCATCGCTGTTAGGAGCAGGAGGGCCCACTGCGAACGGTAAGGTGTGTAAGAGTAGGGGAATGGCGAGAAGCATACCCCGAAAGACCATTTTGCTAGGCTAGTAGTTACTAGAGTACGGAATTGGCGGTGGCACCGAGAATTCGGGAGCCTTGAGGTAGGATATTGCAGGGATATAGGATCACAAGGTAGTAAGTATGATCCTCGAGCTAGGGTTATATACTATGTATAAAACGAAAATTGTCAGACTATCGTTCGCATGGCGGTACACCTCTCCCTTAATCATTGGATTGGCGTTATCTTACAAGAAAGATTGCTATCGTAGAATTTACTATTCTCGAAAGCATCTATTCAGTATGATTAGAGATGTCCGGTGCAACATAGACTGAACTGGGAACACTGCCTGGAGGATGATTGAGCTGTCACGTTGTCCCAAGTAAAATCAAATTTCTCAACTCCTATGAATGATACACTATTAGTGTGGATGTAGCGCTTGACAGACATGATGATCTTACTGATACATGGTGCATGTATCTCATCGGAGAACCAAAAACAGCTGTAAGCTGAACAAGCATTAAACTTTATTAGTGACCGATACTGGGGTTATACTGGCGTCCGGTTATACTGGCGTCCCACTTATGGTTGTAGAGACTACATTCTGGAGGTGTGCTGGACAGTTGCGGAAGGTTTTACCATTCGCTACCTCTCGATGGGACTCCGCGCTCCATGTGGACACGTGTGGAGAGATGACGGAGAATGAGTGAGAGAAAATAAATATAATAAAGAAAAAGACAAAAACCCATAACTTACAGGCTATCGGCCCTACAGAAGGAACACGAGTCAGAGGAGAGCTTAAAGTGCTTTTGGAGGGTTACACAACTGACGTATTGAAATAGGAAAAAGTTCATCATTTCTAGCGCCATATGCCTAGGCGATTGTGAACGGAGCAAAAGGGTAGCAGGAAGAATGCCTCTGCAGGTTAATTTAAGCAGCATATGCGGCCTATCTGGTTGTGAGATCCATGCGTTGAGATCTTCCTGCAAAACATAGGATGTCCTCTAGTAATGGCAATCCGTGAATCATGATTGTGTAAATATCTATAGATGTGGAGAAGTTTGCTGGATGGAGCCAAAAAACCATTCACTCTGAGCGTTGATAGAGAAAACGTAGTCTTGGCACACTGTTTAGAGAACAATACCCACGAAGTTTCACTCGGCCATTCGTGATGCAGCCTGTATGTGACCAACCCATCTACACTTTTAGATGCTAGCTGTTGTATCAAGAATGCACGTACCGAACGGCTATTTCCCTAGAGGAAACCACTGGAAGTTACAGTCTTTGACAAATTTGTGACGAGAAATGAAGCCCTTGCTCGGTGTTCGATTTTTAGAATAAGGCGACACAGATGTGAAAATGGATCAGTGTAGATTAGGAAAAGAAGAAGACCAGGTTATAAAGATGAGACATTTCTTGCAACCATATAACCCAACAATAGTGAAACGCCTATGAACACCGGCCGATGTCAGGGTAGCATATGCAGAGATAAAAAGAGTTGTGTACAGGAAGTACCAGTCACACAGGATACTCGAAATCCACGAGGATCAACAAAATAATATACCAACATGCTAGCAGCCAAGAGTCTATAAATAGAGAAACAAGTGTGACCCGAAGATGCGCGGAATTCGACAGACAAAAATAGTGAGGGTATGTGACGTCAACCGGAGAGAGGCAATCAATCGTTGACACTAATAATCGCTTAGAAGCACAACTGATATCATCCTATCGAAGGATTCGCTGAACCGTGAAGATAAGAGACAGTCATGTACTCCATAGCTACGGTGGTGTTGGGGTTTGTTGGATCTCTGGTTGATCGGAGCGACGTCTCTCGTGAGGACGCATATACATCGCATCTGACTGAGGATCTGACGCTGTAGAGGAGCCGAATGGACGAGGAATCTCTGCCTGAGATACAGTCTGATGTTGCTGTTGAGAAACAATTTCCCGGGCGTAAAACTCGACAAGCATAGTTCCGTATGCTTCCAGTTCTTCAACAGGGATCGAGAGACGAAAATCGTTCAGGAGTAAAAATTGAAGTTCAAGGTGGTTAAGCTCGACCAACGGGAGACCACCCACCTAGACGGAGGAATAAGCTAGGGAGAAAAAAAAAAAAAAAAGGAACAGATAGCGTAATACCTTTGCGTATCGGGAATTAGTATAAAAAACATCGGAAAAGAATTTACTAGCACAGGTCACGCCCGCGATGACCAGCCGGTGAATGTTAAAACTATCGACAACAAAAAAATGGGAAAGATGATCATCTTCCTCCTGGGGGTTCAAAGTCGGCGATATAGACGAGGGACTCGTAGGGTCCTGCGCTCTCATGCTAGCAGAGGACGGAGGAGTCACCATGGGTGAGACATGCGCAGGTTTTGCTGCTGACGTCTCAGACTCTGGCCTTGAGGTGGAGTCTGCTCGGACGTGCCCCCAGCGCTGCTGGAGACGCTCCAGTTGGCCTTTGTTCACTAGCTCGGTCATGCGATCAAAATAAACTAACAGGCTGAGGAAGACCTCATAAGTAGTGGGACAGTACTTATGAATCCGACTCAGGTAGCTGAGAATGCTAATACTGGGTACATTTTTGCCATGGAATGCAAGCACACTCGTGGCTTGCGGGGTCAAGCTAGCCGTGCCATCAGGGGGCGGGATATGTCGATGGACCTGCTCATGGTGCATGTCATTGGTCGTAGTGATTTTCGTAAGAAGCCCAGCAACCATCTCGATGATATCGGTGACCGGCATGGAGCTGATCTCATACTGGCGTTCTTGAGCCCACTGCCCTGGAAGCCGGTCCCTCTGCGACTGGGCCAAGAAATCTTCACTGGCCAAGCTCTGGATATGAGACAGGTCACGGACCTTGATGCGACTTGGAGAGTTCGCTTCCGATCCTCCCAAAGATCGCAGAGACTGGAATGTCGGCCTCAACCGAGGCGAAGCGGGAGACGAGTGAGTCTCCCGGTGAGAACCTGTGATCGGCGGTGCAGTAGTCTGGTTTGCACTCACATGTTGGGAACGATGGAACGTGGGGTAAGTGGAAGAGTCGGGATGAGGTACATGGGTGGAGCTCATTGGGGGAGGGTGGGAATATGTCGATCCTGGCGTTGTTGAAGAATCTCGCGTGGAGGGTTGGGAGGTTGTGTGAGATGACCGGTTGATATAAGCAGGCACATCATGCGAAGAGTGGGAATGCAGGCGAGCAGAACTGGCCGCGGATGTTGATGGCGGGGCTATGGACGAAGTGGGGGTGGTATTGGTCGACGTGGACCTGGAACTGCCAGTGTCCAAGTGAGATGATGGGTGAGAAGTGTGATGGGATGAAGGTCGATAGACGGATTCAGAGGGAGTGATGGCGCCTCCCAGCATGGTGTAGGAGCTGTCAATGTGATCTGGCCGCGGATGGTTGAGGAGGACTGATCCCATGTCAAGGCGTCGGGGCGACGGCTAAAACACGCGATGGAGCTATGCTAACAGCCAAGGGCCGAGAAGCTGCAGAAGTCAGCGACAGAGCCCCATTGGAGCGACATCGAAGTGAGGGGTCATAAGAGACCAACAGATCGGGCAATGAGGAATCATTCAGAGGAGAGAAGAGGCGAATGATTTATCAGAAAGGGAAAATACATAAAAGAGGGAAAAACAAAACAAAAAGAAGACGCAAAATATTGTACAGAAGAACAGGCGGAGGATTCAATATACTTAATAGATAGATTATCGCGAGAGAGAGAGTGAGTGAGCCTAGATCGATATCGGGTGAGGGAGCACTGGGGACGTGCAAGTGAACCCAACCCAGGCTGGTAGCGGGAAGGGAATCACAACCGATACACAAAAACAGGGCACTCCATTGCGCTCGTTCAATGAGAGGGGGGAATGGACTCCGACTTAAATTCAATCAAAACTATCTTTACTAAAAAAAAATGGCCCCAAGGAAAACGAGAACTGAGGATTGGGAGGAGGGGAAGGAGGAGTATGCGTGGCGAAAGAGAAAGAGGTGATCAAAGGCAAGAGTGAGGGAGAGAGAGCGATTGATCAGTGACTTCAAAGGGCCCACCGGCAAGCAGTGCTCAACCAGTCATGCAGGTCTAGCCTGGACCTTGCTCCGAAATATAAAAATAACCACACATCATCAATTCGACATGGAGAACAATCAGAGAGAAAAGGTCTATAATTTCCTCTTCTGAATAATAACATTCAACCACTGACCTCTTGGTATGTACATAGGTACTGTACTTCCCCATTACTAGTTAGTATGGAAGGGGTAAAAAGCCTTCGGTTGTCAGTCGACCCTTTCGCAACAGTCTAAGACCGCCATCTGAATTCAATTCTAGCCACTGGATAATACATACATACATACATACTACTGTGTACTAGATAAGTAGTAACCGCGCGATGACGGCTCGGATTCTGATCATCCACAGTATGGGCAGACCAATGACGATTCTCCGAACGCGCAGGTGTGTGGATGAGCGAAGAACGATTGGCGGTGGCCTTGTGTCATAGTGTTGAAGTTCATCCCTCCTATTGCTCCAACCCGATTACTTAGTCCTAGTTATTGATATCACATCCCTTATAGATCGTCCCTTTCTCCGGTTTTTTAAACCCCGACATTAATGTTCCCACAGAGTTACGCTTTGGGAAAATTGCTTTTCAGCATATTCGGAGAATGCAATACGAAGTGCGTGAACCCGCCCAGAACCTTTTCTTTTTGTTTGTTTTCTCCCCAAAATAAAACATGAGCCTACCATTGTTGAGGAACCTTACCAGGGAGATGGTATCACAAGCTCGAAAAACGGGAATACTCATTTATTTATTCGTTTCGCCTTTGAATCGGTGCGTTCAGATACTATAGGTGGTATTCGTATGGGACAGACAAGATAATTATCGTTCCCCTACCCAAAATGGAGATTTTGATAAGCTAATACCGATTGAATTAAAAGTCGAACACATCATCATTCAATACGATTATATCCATCATCTAGTTAGTAACACCTGGTCCGCTGTAGCCTGTGTCGGGCAGGTAGAGATGTCTCTGGGCTCCTCTAGCCGTCAGTACTACCAGACGGATCACACCTCCCGAGCTTCCATCCCATTTGATAGCCTCTGCCAAGGCGCCCCGAACAAAGTCAATTCCTTCTTGCTCGGTCATGTTCTCTCTCCAGTTCGCATCACAGTAGCCGTAAATGTAGGTTGAACCGGATCCACCAATGGAATAAGCCTGCTTGTGTAGAGATCCGCCAAGCGGTATCGAGTATACTTGACCGCCATGTCGGGGATCATATCCCGCGATGATGATACCAGCGCTGCAGCCAGTCAGATTAACAATGGCTCATTGCTCCAAGCCTAAGAAACAGCGAGGACCTACCTCAGCATATCCTTGTTCTCATAGCACAGCTCTTGAAACAACGACGCGGCAACCTGGGTGCTAGGAGCCTCGTTGTTCGTGATCGAATACATGTTGAGGTGGTAGGATACCATATCCGCCACAGCCTGCGTATCTGCAGCGGACCCAGATCGACAGCACCAAATGGTATCATGAACCTGAGTCAGCTTGTCGGTAACTCGATTGGCAATATAAGCTCCCGTCGTTGTCCGGCTGTCGGCACCTAATATAACGCCATCTTTGAAGTTGATCGCCATACTATCGCCCCGTCAATACGCCATCTGGAAGCATGCCTCTAATTGAACAAACTTACATCGAGGTACCTAGGCTGTATAGAAGGGACGGTTAGCTAATATATTAAAACAATACCTTAGTAGTCTCGGTATAGGGTGACGACATACTTGACCTCGCCGCTCTTCAGGTGGTTCATATCAACATGAATGCCATCTACCATAAATTATCAGCGACTGAACTGCTATACCGCTCTCGATCCGATCGAGTCTTATCTGACCTTCACCAAGCATCCCCGAGACACCGTGACCGACCATATTGTCTGATGGAGAAAGTATACTGAGGTTTTGTCAAAACGCCAAGCGTAACTCGCAGTGTTGAACACGCAGGAACTGGCGTATACCGATGGTAGTAGAGCGAGAAATGAAGGAGGGAAATCAGAAACGCAGGTGGAAGGAGGTGTGAAGAGGTGATAATGGAATATTCCAAAGAGCTCTGACGGAGCTCAAGGCAGGCGAACGCGTTACGTTGGCAGCTGAGAAGCTAGTACCGTCGGGCGGTGAGTGTACCCGATATCCCCATTGGCCGGGTCCTGTCTCCCCCCCGCAAGCCTCTTGAACAACTTCCCCCGGCCATGGTTTCCAGCCGGTCGAAGAGACGCCATCATTACCGGCCTTGGAGCTATTGAGACCCATTCCAAAAGCTCCGCTTTGAACGCCTAAGCTTCTCTTGACTACTTCTTCTTTACCTCTTCTGGTCGTCTAAACTACGTCGTGTCTCAGTTCTATCGAACGCCCAAGACTGCACGTCCACCTCTACCCGTACTAAGCTGTTCACTATAATGTCCGAGTCTCCGCCGCCCCCACCGTCTTGGAGTATCACCAGCATGGCCAACAATGCGGTTCATTTCCTTAGGCTACCAGTGTTGGCATCGTCTGGTTTGGCGGTTGTTGCAAGTGGTCTGTTGTATTTTAAACAAAAGTTAGTGCTACCCAGGATTTGGCGAATTGATAACGGGGTCTGTCCAAAAGGTGCATGGAAGTTGACAACGTGTGCAGTGAGCTGATCTATCCTCGTAATGTCCCTACCGATGCCCGCACCAACGTTCCCAAACCCCGACAGTTTGGGATTACCGACTATGAAGATCTCCAGATTCCTACGCCGGACGGGGAGTCATTACATGCCCTCTTCATTCGCCCCTCTAACAAGGGTCTTGCTCGGGATGTTACTATCTTGATGTTCCATGGAAATGCGGGTAATATTGGCCATCGAATTCCCATCGCAAGGGTCCTACAAGATATGCTAGGATGCAATGTGTTTATGGTGGAGTATCGCGGCTACGGACTCTCGACAGGTGTCCCGGACGAGGCAGGATTGAAAATTGATGCGCAAACTGGACTCGACTATATTCGACAGCGAGCGGAGACTAGGAACACTAAGGTTGTAGTCTATGGGCAAAGTCTGGGAGGAGCAGTCGCGATAAATCTTGTTGCGGAAAACCAAGACCAGGGTGATATTAGGGGCCTGATCCTTGAAAATACCTTCTTGAGTATCCGCAAGCTGATTCCAAGGTATGTTCACTATCTTTCCATTTCGCTCCAAGCACCTAGGCTAACTTACATTTAGCGTTTTCCCTCCTGCCCGATACCTTGCTCGTTTTTGTCACCAGTATTGGATTAGCGAAGAGATCCTACCTAAAATTAACAAAATTCCCGTTTTATTCCTTAGCGGATTGAAGGACGAGATTATACCGTAAGTCGCTCTGTATTTACTTCGTAATTTGTTAAGGGTAGGACTAACACGAGGTGTTGCGCAGCCCTTCAAACATGACACAACTCTTTGCTATTTGTCAATCAGAACACAAAGTATGGCGCACTTTGCCGAACGGTGGCCACAATGACAGCGTCGCCGAACCAGGCTACTTCGATCATATTCATTCCTTTATTAAGGAAGAAGTCGTCGATCACGACCGATAGAAGTTTGTTTCCTGCATGGATGACACGCCATCTTACATCAACTTCCAGTATGCAGCTTTGGCATCTTCTACTTTACACAACCACATTACCTCTCCGTCTTCTAATATTCAGAGCTTTCCTCATAATGGAACTCCGGGAGTCTACTCTACGATCCAAAGGTGACTTCAGACCTCAGTGCTGTCCTGTTACCATAATAGAATTACGATCTAGTTGTTCCGCCAAACGTCCCTCCCCTTGACTTGCCTATTTCAGCCTCATGTTCATACCTCAGCCTTGCTTTTTTTGCATTCTGCAGGCCGATGTGTTTGCTTTAGGCTTTGATGCATTGTATTCATACGGGTTATGTTTCGGCGAAATTTCATGCGCTTACGATGTTGTCTTGTCTCTGGATTTTATACGGGCATTATATCCTATCCAGCTTTGATTTTGCTGGGCGATTGGTTTAGAAAGTTGACTGTCTGACTGTTTCCAAACTACAGGGTCTGGTCAACGGCCCCAAGAATGCCCAATTTGCTATTTTCTCTGTTTATTTGGCTTTATTCTTTGATACACAATTTTTCTAGACTCTGTTGCTCTTTCTAATAAATCTACCTCAACCTGAATAGGCTGCCATTGTTTTTATCTATTTGATTTATTTTTTAAGATTCCGCCGTAGCGGTACGGCAAATTGTCAGATAGAGCCAGGATCTGACCTACACCCTTAATAGCAACTTCAATTCAGCTGTACATGTTGGGATACGTCTACAGCACACTTTCATACAAACTAGTGTCCAAGAATGAGCTAAAGAAGCCCTATCCACTGGCGGAAGCCCATGAGTTGGGCATAACCATAATGACTATCATAAATAATCCATCTATATCATACAAATAATGCCGTGCTCTAGATCTATACAGACACAAACAAGCGCTTAAAAAAAACCGTTCTAGAATAATACAAGGCCAGAAGTTAGAACCAAATGACCCGCGAAATCTACAACTTCTCCGCCTCTTCCATCAATGCCTCGATCTTAAATCCCTGAGTATCTCCCCGGGTGAATGAGCGCAGCAGCTCACCCTTGCGTCCGCTAGCCTGGCCACCGAAATCATAGAACCGCTGAACGCAACTGGCCAACCAGGTAGCCTCAGTGGTAGAAACACCCGAATCCGGCATGACCTGGCCATGCATAAGAACCAGGCCCTTCTCATCGGCCAGGTCGAGGTGGTGTGTGATAGTCGTGTGAGGCTGGGCGTAGGAGCCATGCAGTTGGTACTGGGCCAGGTGGGTGAAGATGATAGTGGAGGTGTGAGAAGTCGCTAGCGGTCCGGAGGTAACGGTTGGAGCGGCCGGGTGGAATCCCCACTGGAGGAAGTGGATATCTGCGCCGGTTTTGGCGGCGTCATCGGCCTGTTGTTCGGGTTGCTGAGCCTCGGTTTGCATGCGGGGCAAGGGGAGAACGAATTGGGGATTCTGCCGAGCGGCGGATGCAATTCGCTGGTATGTTTCTACTGGGATGGTAGCGCAGATGGAGTTGGGATTGCTGGCGTTGCGGAGGCGCCAGATGGCCTCGATCTCCTTCGCTGGGAGTTCGAGGATCTTCTCAATGTCGAGGTAGGAGCTGAGAGGCTTGATGCCTGGGGACGATTTGGCTGCGGCTGCAGCTGCGGCTTGAGAAGAATGAGGCGGGGGAGGAGGAGGAGGGTGGACTGCGGATGCTGATGGGGAGGAGGCAGGTCGTGAGGGCTCTGGGGTGACAACGGTGGACGCTTTTTGACGGAAGTCGTTGATCTTCTCTTGATAGGCCTCCTTCAGAGATTCGACGGATTCGTGTCCTTCTCTGTTAAGTGTGTTAGGCACATAATGCAATGGAAATGAACTACTTGGTCTATCATGTGGGTAGCTGACTGTTTGGCTTTCTGATCTAGCTTAGATCGGTACCTCTCGAAGACCAATTTTGGATCGTGATGCGTGGCAAGGAAGCGCACATCATGTACTTGTGCCCATCGCTTTTGTTGGACTCGCAAGAAGGGCGTTTTGGTATTCCGGAGCAAGAATTGGAAAGTAGAAGGCCTCAGAGATGCCATCTTCTAGGTTGTAGAGATGTTCTGAACAGTAGTGAACTGAGAATGGAAAAGTTGAGAAACCTCAATAACTAACTTAGACACATTGGATTATCTAAGCGTTTCTCCGTAATAACTATCGTTTGCGGTAACAAGAACGACGATCATCCATTCATGACATTATACCCCGGAATTATTCGTAGCGATTATTCTTTACTTTTCATTTGCCTGTAGTGCAATGGAATTTAAAGCAAGTCCAAGTCTATAGTGTCGAGTGATCAATGACTCTAGGTTAAGAAAAACCATCGGTCCTTGTTCTGCTATTTGTCCACTTGATATTATTATCCATCTACCTCTCTACACATGTTGCCTTGATGTTAGTCGTCATCTTTCAGCGAAAGAGAATGAGATAGGTGTCTTCTTTTCCATATAAAGTAGCTTTCTCCCAATCTTAAATATACCTCAATTCATATCTAGTTAGGAGCGTCTCGCCCGCATAACAATGGCTGCTTATCAGTACTCGGTAGTGTAAATACTCTGTGAAGTAGATCTCCACATTGCTACTGGCTGCTTGGCATACATGTCCCATGTGCACAATACAATTTACTTTAAAGAGTGCTCACGTATAACCACAGAATAGCATAATCCTTGACTAGAAACTTTTCTATAACATAGAAGGTATAGAATTGTGCCCATATTGTTTCATGACTAAGCAGCAACAAAGTGAATCATCATGCTATCTACACGTGGACTGATCTCCGGAACAAAAGGATACGCCACATCATGCAAGGACATCGCAATAAACACCCTTTCTCTCGCTAAGACTATGTCCTTGTAGTCTCTCTTTTCATTTTCTTTTTCATTTCGTTTTTCTGTATCTAGCTTATATAATTCAATCCCAAATCCAGACCTTACTCGAGAAAATCGCCATTCAACCTCCGTCCGCCCTCGACCTGTCCTGCGATTGACAAGCGCTGTCTCACTCCAAGCTCTTCCTTTCCAACATGGCAAACCGTCATATTACCAGACGAATACTCCTTGGCGCTGCGGTATCAGTCTTCCTTCTTTTTATTTTCTTCGTCCGACCTCAAGGTCCACCGAGCCCTGCAATCCGCGCCCCCGGTCACCTGGAGAAGTCTCCTCATTCAACATTGACAAAGGATGATATTGTCAAAGGCGAAGTAGTAATGCCCAAACTGGGCAATGAGACGGCAAAGTACGCCACAAACCTGCTCTGGGATAGTATGAAGTTATACTGATAGTATGGGGTACTTTTTCTAGGGCGGAATTGGGGCGCGCAACGTGGAAGTATTTCCATACCATGCTAGCACGGTATCCTGAAGACCCCACGGACGAGCAACAAGAAACTTTACGCTCATTTATCTATCTATTCGCGCGATTATATCCATGGTATGTATCCTACGCATGTGTCGAGTCACCTATCCGATTAGACTGACCGGAATTCAGTGGCGAATGCGCATCACATTTCCAAGGTCACTTGAAGAAATATCCACCACAGGTGTCATCGCGCAATGCTGCCTCAGGATGGGGCTGCTTTATTCACAACGAGGTTAATACCATGCTCAAAAAGCCTATTTTTGACTGCAATAAGATCGGTGATTTCTACGACTGCGGCTGCGCCAAGGATCAAGAAACGGACGAAGAAAGCGAAGAACTCAAGAGTAGGAGCCATACGGACTCCGACGAAAACAAAAATATTGTCGCTAGTCAGCCTGTTGATATATCCAAGGAACCGTGGGTTTTCTCCCTTGCTTCCCCCCACACCTCACTATCGCGTCGGAGACTGACAATGAATTCAGAACCACGCGGGGTTGAATTTACTCATAATCTCCTGAATTTTGATCCGAACTTAACTAGCAGAAATGTTGTTGTAAATCACATCTATCAATCGTACATCGCCCACGCGGGTTCGTTGGGAGTATGATGGAATTGGAGAATGTACAGTACATATATACCTTCCTAGTGGTGGATTGACTCTCAATGGTGCACCCCGGTGTCCTGCTGATGAAAGCTCAGTGTGGTGTTTGCCGACACAAAGAAGATACTAGACGGTGGAAGGACCTTCTACATCGCTGCGTAACATCCAAGCGATAAGACGCACCGTCCAATTGTTGATCAGCCGCGCCAGTCACAGGTAGTACCAGGATGCAGTCATGCGCGCAAGTGCAGCTCTAGTGTAGCCTTCAACCGGACGAGCCACTATCATCTGCCGAAAACTTCTTTGGTTTCATGACACATCCACACACCTCTATCTGGGAGAATATGGTCCTTTTAACCCCCTGTATATGTCCTTGCTAGCACTACTGAATTCAGCACGTATTGGTGCTTGAGATGGTCGAATTGCAGGCTCTCCATGAATACAAGATGCTGAAACCCAACCCCAGAACAGGCGAAACATTAGCTTGCCGTGGTAATTATAAGCGTGGCCCGTATCCTTGATCCCATGGGATACAAGGGGTGGGCCCTAAGGACAGTAGATAAAGCTAATTCCATTCTGATATCAGCAAAAATTATTATTATCACCATCATCGCCTCAGAATCCGTGCTCAAAATCTTATTCCCTCGTCCAATGGCATGGCCCCTCCATAAGCGCTACGCTAACCGGGAAGCTGAAAGGCGAGAGTGTGATGCTGAATGGCTCGTCATCCTCCTTGGTCGAATGCTAACCAGTCTCCTGACAAGTCCACGCTGATTGCTGGATGTACAGACGCCGCACCCTTTTGAAGCCGCGATCAACAGATCATCGTATTATGGTGCGTGGTAATCCTGGTTCTTCCTGACCGCAATGTTCACTCTCAGATATTGGGGTGGTGTTCAGACCAGTCCAAAGTACTGCACATGAACGGAAGTACAAATAGCCCCTAGCCATGGGATGGTGTATATACGTTTCTACTTTTTGGAATTTCCCCAACCCTTCCAGTACATTGTTGTTGTCCTTCATCATTGTAATATTGTGGGGGCTTGTCTGCCTGGTTTCCAAGGCACCCAGATTTGGTCCGTCTCCACTTCTAAAAGGGGAATAGTGTCGTCCATTGTTTGGAAGCCTTCCTTTTTTTTTTTTTTTTTTTTTTTTTTAAATGAGCGCGCCAAAAGGCAAGGGACAAACAGACAAAGAGGCTAGAGAGTGTCTGACTTTTAGGCGCTGCATCCTTTGATCAAAGCGCTGTGCGATCCTTTGTTCCTTTCCATTCTATTCGCTCTAATCGAAAACAGTTTACATTCTTCTTGTTATCCCGACAACGAACGGGTTTCTCGGTCTTTTCGCTTTGAACTCATCTTGCGATTGCGAATCCGCGCGACAATTCCTTTATCAGTCGCAAACAGCTAGTCGCGGGGTTGATTTTTGTACCTGACAGGTGTCAGGTCTAGTCTGCTTTGGTTACCCCGTACTTTTCTTGTATTTCTCTCTTATAGTCTACTACCAGTGATTGCGCTGCCACTTCAATAAGTGGATAATCTAGCGGGATCAACAACATGGTATCATTCTCATGCGAGGTGAGTTGGCCAACACCACTATTCGTCCTGTGTCTCCCAGTTTGTGTGCATCAAATCCCCTATCGGTTATAGTTGCTGAGTTTCTCTTGTGAACTTTAGGCTTGCGGTGATATTCTCACAAAGAAGAAACTCGATCCCCATCGGAACCAATGTCGCGGCGCAACCTTCACCTGCATTGATTGCATGGTCCATTTCCAGGGAACTACTTATAGGGCACATACGGTATGGATCTACGCTCTCTTTCATCTCTTCTATCTATCGACCCCGTCCTACCTCACCGGCCTCGCCGTCCTGAACGCACTATCGGCCCTCAATGCGACCGCCCAACAGCTTTATCTTGCACCTTGTCGTAGGGGTCTTGGGTAGGCGTTAGTGGCGATGAGCTTCCAGATATGCGACCTATTGTATGTGTCGTTCATTGGTTGACGCTAACCTCGATCTAGTCGTGCATGACTGAAGCGCAGAAATATGAGGGCGCTCTATATAAGCCGAAGCAGACGAAGAACCAGCGGAAGGGAAAGAACGACTCCAGGCAGAATGCGAAGCCAGCCACCAATGGCCATCGGGCACCATATGTTGAGGACGCCCCGGAATCCGATAAGTCTAAGGAGAACGTTTCGGCGCTGCCCGCTGCTCCTACTCCCCCGCTAAATGGCAGTGAAAAGACCTCGGGTCCCGCTCAGGGCAATCCCAAAGGGGTCAACGTATTCGATTTCCTAGTTGCTGATAAAACACCGAACGCATCGAAGGTGTCACTCACTCACCCGAAGGAGCAGATGCAAATGGTGGATCACGCGCCTTCTGTCTTTGAAACCAGTAAGGCGCTGGCCCATTACGAAACCGGGGAGGATGAAGATAAGCAGTATGATTTGCCGTATGAAGAAAATGGGTACTCTTACGGCGCCGGTCCCATTCCACCATCGGTATATCAACGCAATGTCCCTAATGCCTCAATGGAATTCATGACCCCGGCCCCGAAAAAGAAGAAGGACCGCTCACGAAAGGCCGAGGAGAGCGCCATTACTAGCGAGAAGAAGCGGAAGCGTCACAATGAAGATCAGGAGATGGAAGATGTCGACACTCCAATCATGGAAGCCCCATCTAGCGTTTTGAACCACCCAGGCACGCCCATGCTAAACCACTCCGGACTAACAGGTGGTTTGAGCCGGATGCTCCGGTCTCCGTCTGTAGAGGCCGAAAACGATCATGCTGATCACCCTCGCCGGCGTTACCAAGATCCTTCATCCCCCATAAAGCGTACCCGTCGTGATGAGAGGGACGGTGTTGATGCTGGCTTGGGCATTTCGATGAAGAACCGTGCCGAACGCCTTGTCTCGTCTATGTTCGGTGGTCCTGCCATTTCAGAAAGCAGCAAAAATAGCCACGAATCTTCAAAGGAACTTTCTCGCTCGCGTCACCGTGGTTCATCGGACGATGGTGACGTGGAGGTTCGTCGATCCAAAAAGGCGCATCGTGTCGCGTCTGATTCGCAGAAGTCCAAGCGCAAGAGTAGCGCCCAGATGGATGGCCGGCCGTCGCGACGTCTGAAGCAGATTGAGTATGCTGAGGGTTCCCGCTCTACGTCCCCACGTGGCGACGATGGCCGTCAGGTTGTGGTGTACGGACAGCCAAACATTCCTAGCGACCTACAGCGACAGATGGGTGCTCATTTCTTGTCATTGGTGACCAAGGGCCCAGAAAGCCAACGAGGATTTTCTGTGAATAAGGTGTTAAAACGCTTCCACCGAGACTTCACGGACGAGTTTGATGATGACCGCGGTCGTGAACAAGGGCGGAGCCGTGCAGATCATGAGCAGAGAACTGAGGATGAGAAAGATCTTTGGCGTACATTGCGCATCAAGAGAAATGATCGGGGAGAAATTGTCCTCTTTATGTGATCATGGGTCCAACCGGGCCGCTCATTGGAGTGCTTATATTCATTTTCTTGTGCATGGTATTTATCTTTTGCATAGCGATATGACTTCGATATATTTATTATCAACCTCTGACAATGTCCTCTGACTTCCAAAGCATGTTTCCCGACCTTTTTGTCTATTTTCTTTTTTTCTCTCTACTCATGTCAGGCTCCACCACTGTAATGAAGTGTATCATTTCACATTGATATAAATAACTATATTCCAGAGAAGTGAGATGTTGTTTTGGTCATGGAGTAAAGCGCTCGGGAGCATATATTCTCTCAAAACCATTGATGCTGTTTCCTTTGCACCATAATTTGTTTGAGGTAGTAAGATGGTTAGACGTTATTTCCCTGGGATTCTGGTCAGACATAACACAAAAAAGCTCGATCCCGCTCACATATCGGTTCTGTTTATATTATGCTACCATGATGGAGCTACTTTGATATATATATATATATTTATATACCATGCTTATATTGGTTAAATACTTTAAAACAGTATCCTTGGAGGTTGTGGATATGGCTTGAAGCTAGTATGTATAGTACTTGGGAGAACTCTCTCACAGGTACAGGGAATATCTTCAGGTCGGCACTATTAAATTATACAATTATGGTGGGCTAGAGTTCAATGCTGAGACTATTTTTGAAATTAGATATTAGCAAATGAAATACGGGACTGACTCACAATTACTCACAACGGATCAATAACTATGAATCTTGGCAGGAACATTCCATGAGTCATGAAGAGTCACTCGTCATTGGGTAAACTTCAGACTTTCTCCTCCCTGTGATTGGAGGCTTTGACCCCGAAGAATCCAATTAACGGTAGAGCCGCAATGGAGCTTCCGCCACTCAAATCTGAAAAGGTTGGAGGAACAAACCTGTCCTGGCCATCTTTTGATCGCCTTCTCTTTACTTAATTTAGTCCCTATCGCCTCCGGGGGCTAGGTTGTTTTCATATATTTGTTTCTTCCAAACACTCCTCATCCCGTACAGGAAAAAGAACGTTTACCAGCCGGCGCGTTCTGTTTAGTCCGCTGGTCGCTTCCCGTACTAATCCCAGTTGCCTTTTTAATCTAGTGTATGACCGTACCGGACGCCGTTTACAATCAGATATCGATCACTGCGACTATGTCCGACAATCCTGCGCCCATTGCAGAGGGAAGTACATCTCGTTCAAGGCCGTCGAGACGTGGAGGCCGAGGCCGTGGCAATCGCAATCCTCACCGACGTCCTCAGACCCAGACCACAGTATCATCTCACGACACACAATCATCATCCCAACAGTCGCCACAAGCTCAACCTACACAACCCTTACCATCAGACCCTCCGCACGATGCGCCACGCTCTCGAAGAAGACCACGGAGAGGTAGAGGAGGCCGAGGTGGCGGCGCACCCCCGGAGGCTAGTGATTATCGACAAAGAGAACGAGGTGGAGACCGGGGAATAGCCAGTGCGGGCAGGCGTTTCGAGGGACGCCTAACGAAACCCGAGCAAGCCTCAGGGGATGATCAAGCCGGTACTACAGTAGGCTCGAACGACCTAGAATTGAGGGCAGATGCGCCTGAGTTTGTACCAGGAACACAACCGGAAAACGTTACTTCGTCGGCCACTCCTGCAGCCACAAAAAAGAAGTCCAAACCTAAGAGTACTCCACCTCCACCGCCAAAAGTCACCACAAAGTCAGTAGCGCCTGACATTGCTACTCGCATTCACGAGGATATTGCACACAATCTGTATGAATGTCCCATCTGCACTGCGGAGCTGGGAAAGAGGTCGCGTGTCTGGTCTTGTGGGCTATGTTGGACGGTCTTCCATTTAAGTTGTGTCAAGAAATGGTCAAAGAATGAAGGTGCCGCTGCGCAGGACCCTACCCGTCGTCAAGGAGAGGGCGACACGAATACACCTCGAGCCTGGCGCTGCCCTGGATGTAACCTTGCGCATGAAGTGTTTCCGTCAAGCTACACATGTTGGTGCCAGAAAGAAGTCGATCCGCGGTCGCTCCCCGGTCTCCCGCCACACTCCTGCGGGCAAACCTGTGCACGACCACGTAAAGGCTGCCCACATCCGTGCGATACGACTTGCCATGCTGGACCTTGTAAGCCGTGTACAGCTATGGGTCCCACTCAGGATTGCTTTTGCGGTAGGAACTCGTCTACCAAGCGTTGCCAAGATACCGATTATGAAAATGGATGGAGCTGCGGCGAAATATGCGGCGATATTCTGCCCTGCGGTGAGCATACTTGCTCTCGACCATGTCACGAAGGTTTTTGCGGTTCTTGCGAGGTGAAAATAGAGGCTCGTTGCTATTGCGGCAAGGTGCACACAGAAATGATGTGTAGCTCTAAGGATGAGGAAAAGGACAGTCAGATGCTTCATGGCCAGTGTGGCGAGGATAGTCACATTGACGAGTGGACCGGCTGCTTCAGTTGCGGAGAGCAATGTAATCGCCCCTTTGACTGTGGTGTCCATTCCTGTCAACAGGGCTGTCACCCCCAGGATATACACCCTGCCCACTGCCCGAGGTCGCCGGATGCCGTTCTTAATTGCCCTTGTGGAAAGACACCATTGATTGAAATACCCGGATACTCTCCCCGAACTTCTTGCGAGGACCCAATTCCCAACTGCTTGGAGGCTTGCGGAAAGATTCTCAGATGTGGACACTCATGCGACAAGGTCTGCCATACTGGCTCTTGTGGGCCTTGTTTCCGCAAGATTCCCGTACAGTGCCGCTGCGGACGTAACTCTTTTATGACCATTTGCCACCAAGGTACTATTGAGCCCCCTCAGTGTTTCCGGATCTGCAAAGCTGGTTTGCACTGTGGTCGACATGCGTGCACTGAGCGATGTTGCTCTGGTGAACAGAAGGCAGTTGAGCGCCAGGCTCTACGGCGAAAGCTCAAATCCCATCTTCGCCCAAGTGATGAAGATGTGGAGGCCGAACATATATGCACTCGGATTTGTGGCCGTATGCTGAAATGCGGGCGGCATACGTGCCCAGAACTTTGTCACAAAGGACCTTGCAACACCTGCAGGGAAGCGATTTTCGAAGAGATCTCATGTAACTGCGGCCGGTCTGTTTTGTACCCGCCCTTGCCTTGTGGGACCCAGCCGCCACCGTGCTCTTCTCCGTGTGAACGTCCGAAATCGTGCGGCCATCCTCAGACACCGCACAATTGTCATACGGACGAGGAAAGCTGTCCCAAGTGTCCCTATTTAACAGAGAAAACGTGTCTTTGCGGAAAACAGGCGTTGAAGAACGTACCTTGTTGGCTGGCGGATGCGCGTTGTGGCCGTATTTGCGGCGAACCGCTTAAATGTGGCTCTCACACTTGCAAGAAGAACTGCCATCGTCCAGGCGATTGCGAGGATGCCTCGAAGCCTTGCCAACAGCCATGTGGAAAGACCAAGACGATGTGCAGTCATCCTTGTACCGAGCCTTGCCACGCCCCTTACCCATGCTCGGAAAAAACACCCTGCTCCTCCATGATCACGGTGACATGTGGCTGCGGACGACTCCGTCAGGAGCGTCGCTGCAATGCAGCGAAGGCTGTCGCATCAAAGGGGCAATTGCAGCAGCCGCAAAGGCTCCCTGCTTTGACTCCATTGGCATGCGATGATGAATGCTCTCGGCTCGAGCGGAACCGTTCGTTGGCATCTGCTCTGGGAATCGACATTAATCCATCAACAACCGTTGCTCAAAATTTAACGTCCACTAATCTTCCCTACTCATCTGAAACCCTTGACATGTATATTCAATTGTCATCCTCCTCTCCCTTGTCTACTCTTCAATCTTACGAATCCACACTTCACTCCTTAGCGGCCAATACAACGCAGCGCTCGGTACGGTTTCAACCAGCCAAATCGTCACTGCGGGCGTTCGTTCATTCACTCGCAACCGATTGGGGCTTTGCGAGCGAGAGTTTTGACCCCGAACCCCACCGACACGTGTTTGTCCTGAAACCTACAGCGTGGAACCCTCCCCTTTTCGGGATGGGCAATGGCACAGCGATCGGAATCGGCGGCATGAGCGTGAGCGAATGCGTCAAATTGCGCGAACGCCAGAGACAGAAAGAACGGGATGCCCAACGTCTTGCTGTGGCGGAATCAAAGGCCCAACGGGAAGCCGCTAAAGCTCAGGCGAACGCTGCCAGCGATGGTGGCTGGGCTCAAGTCGCCGCCTCACGACGAAGCAACGCTAGCACACGAAGTACAACACCGAACCCGGGTGCAGCTCCCTTGTCTGGTTCGATGTTTGCAGCCCTTGCCGGCGATGATGGTAGCACATGGGGCGCTCCTAAGAAGGAAAAGCTTGTTCTCCGGTCTGGAGTAGGCGCCGGGAAGCAGTTGCGTACTCCCCCTGCGCCAACTGCTGTTGCTGAGAGTTGGGAGGAAGAGGAGGAAGAGCAAGAGCAGAAAGATCGAGCTCGCGAGCAGGAGCAAGTCATTGAACACGGAGATATTGAAAAAGAAACCTCCGAAGAGATAACTGAAACTGGGGAAGCTATTGCCACTTCCTCAGCGGTGTGATGCCGAATTAATCAGGACTGTACTTAATGATTTCTGATGATTGTTATTCCGCCAGACCCTTTTTCTTCTTGCTTTTCTTATTTCATACATCATCATACATACGGCCCCCATGTGATTATGGTGACAGCAATAGCATACGTGGTTTGCATGACTGGCGTGTTTCGCAGCGTGATATGAATGTCGAATAGTGTCATAGAGCTTAAAAATATATTCAATCTATTATAATATCTCAGTTTACTGGGTTCTCCGTCTTGAAAATTATATCAGAGAAGAACCTTGCCCAGTCAAACCCTAAACATCGTATTGTAGGGTGAAGGACTACGTCTTGCCATTTGCTAGGGCATCATCATAACCTTTGGGCTTTGGAATGGCCTTATTAACCATAAACACCTTCAACACAATATCTGGGCCTTCAAATATTAACATGCGCCTTTCTTATACCGGCAAGCAGTATTCAGCCTGCGTCAGTCAAGCTTTTGAGCCAACCATCAACGCTAATGAGAAAAACGGAATCATGATCGACAGACGGTGTGGACTACATAAAAGATAAATGTAAACAAATAATAGGTCCTGTTTCATTTACTAATATAATTAGAAAAAGGATCAGCTGCAAGTACGGAGAGCAACGTAAGCTTTATGCTTCTTTTATCCGTAGGTCTTCATATTGCGCTCCTTTTGCACTCCGGATTTAACCTGGGATTGTTCAGACTTCTGTGTCTACATCTCCATTACTAGTAGAGCATAATACAATTAAGTAACCGGAATATATCCTTGAAATTTGGCTCTTTCCTATCCTTGATTTCTTCTCCATCCCATGTTATCCAAAACTTGTGGGCTTGCCTAATGGCAGCAGCCAGATTCATTGCACGGCGGCAACGCCTGTGGCGAACTGTAGTTGTCCTGGTTAAGGAACAGCTTGCAGGGAACTACCTGGGGAATTACCCTGTTTCGATCCTTCCGGCATCTCAAGTCTGGTACGGTGCGAAGCGCTAGGCTAGCCCGAACGATCTAGGCAATGGAGCGCAATAAAAAAGGGAAAAGAGGAAATCAGAAAAGAGAGAAAAGTCCCTCAAGGCCTTCCACGGAGACTAATCCTTATGGCTCTTCTGTGCCTTACTTGGACGATGAAATAGCCCCCAAGCTATAATGGTCTTACTGTCTTGGCTTTGTTAGCTTAGGGCGAAGGATTGAAGGCAAATTTTGGATAGCCTAGTTCACGCTTGTTTTGGTTTTTTTATTTTTATTTTTACTTTTTTGGCCGGCAGCGCCTTGGCAACGGGCAAGCGGGGGCAAAATGAAGTCAAGACGAGAGTAGTTCTTTGGATCTATCGAACTAAGGAAAAGAACGGGAGGAGATTGTAAGCTCATAACGACAATTCAGAAAATTATCCGGGTTGAGAGAATATGACGAAACGTCCAAAAGTTGGGTTCCTTTGTTGGTTGTGCATCAGATTAGATTATCTGATTGATCTCAAAAATCTTATCTACCGCGGAACAAAGTTCAGCAAACAATGAACTCAATGAACTCTCTCAGTCGAAGGCGCCGACACCTAGCATGGTGAAAATTTTTTTCTTGTTGCATAGTTGACGGCGTTGCTGATGTGGGAACCAACTATGCATTCGAGTGGGGAATTATTAATGGGACTTGAACCTCAATACCAATGATTTGTGTGGTATGACAGGCAGACCATGACAGTCGCGGGTGCGACGAGACAGAGATTTTCGTTTGCCACAGCCACGAAAATCGCTATCAACGGGAGCCATGGCTGTTTTGATGAGGTTTCCCGATTTAATAGATCTGAGCCTCTCTCGACCTCGATACCTAGAAAGCAAACCATGTATGACTTTCACCGAAAGAGACGAAAAAAAGAAAATCTCCATTCTGGAAGAGTATTCAAAGAACAACCATGACATATTGCTACCGGATTAGCTGCTTGTGAAAGGAAACACTTCATCATCCTTTAGACACTAGAACGCAGTAAGTGGGATAATATTCTACGCCCCGTGCACTACGGTACCTACTTGGCTTCACGGCAGGGTAACCTGATCCCTTCTTGAGCTGAGTTTTGTTTTAAATGTCTGATACCTATCTAATACGTTAGGTCAACCCCACTTGCTAGAACCCATCGTCTTACGGGATAGAAATAACACACTCTCCTTTAAAAAAAAGTTACTTAGGCCTATCTTGTTCATTTGGTTTGACTTTTCGCTCCTTGGCACCGCGTGGGAGACAGCGTGTAATAAAATGCTTGTGGAGGAGACTACTACGTTAGTGGGGAAGTGTATGTCCACACCGGAAGTTTTCGTGTGATGCCCTTGTTCGATCATACCTCGCATCGCACCAGAACAGCTGGGTTTTCCCTACATAATCAATTTCAAGCAAGTAGAAAGGGGAAGTAAAAGCTCAAGAAAAGATGCGAAAGTGAATCGTTTCTTAATGTACCTGATTCATCATACAGTAGGATCAAAGAAGATCCAGAGTCATATTTGCGATGGGCCTCAGACCAGTAGATCACTCTTTGGCCAAAACTTAAGCGGAGGTGAAAACTGCAAGGGCAACAAACCGCTGGACTAGTGGCCACCCCTCCAAAGTTTTTATTTTCTCAGCCTGAACAAATAAACTGCTATAATTTCCGCTCAGGCATTTTCGGCTCCGATACTAGGGGTGACCAAAAGGGAAGATCCATATCAGATCCCCAAAATGTTATCTGATCCGGCCAGTAGCATTGTGGTTCCACGTTATCACTCACCCCCGGACCGTAATTGGCCCGATAGAGCACCTCCACCACTCAACGAACATCGTTTGGGCTCCACGTTGACCAGCGCGTTTTGTGCGGGAAGGGAAAAATGTGTTTCGCATGATTTCTGTGCCCGGCCCCATCCGTTATTGTTAGAGGATATATTAGTGTTGTATCCTTCGTGCGGGTCTTGCCCTTTTCTCCCTTTCTCCCTTCTTCTTCTTATATCGATATTATCTCCCCCACCCTTCTTTACAAGGTACTCAACCGTTTACCCTTTGATTATATTCAATTGGAGAGACTGCGCTATCTCGTTGTCTAGGAGGAAGCGTGGTTTTTACGTTCCGAGATAGAGAAGGAAGCGACGAAGGGATCACGCTTTGACGTGACTTATTCTAGCAAACATGGGTATATGGGAGAAGTTCCAGACTCGCACTGGTACAACGCCAGCTGCAGATACCGAGGATGCTGAAGCTCATAGGCCTAAGAATGCGGCAGAAGCGTCCGGAAACCAGATCCTTGCTGTTGATACAGATAGCTCCAGACTAAGTCTTGAGGCTCGCAATGAGAAGGAGGCACAAGAACATCCCGACCAGGTTACGCGAGATGCACTTATCGGTCAACAGAAAGTCGAAGCCGCTGCCCTTGTCTGGAGTAAGAAGGCGGTCCTCCTTACTTACGGCTGGTTAGTAGCCTGATCTGTTTATCGTTTGTTGTCTGTCACAGTCTAATCATGGAGTACCAATTATAGGATTTGGGTGTGTTTTTTCTTAATGGCATTTCAATCTGGACTTAGCAGCACTGTTATGATAGCCGCTTATTCCAACTTCCAATCCGCCCCCCAGGTCGCTACTGCCAACATCTTGTATAGTATTATCGGGGGCGTTCTCAAGTTACCTATTGCTAGAATACTCAACATTTGGGGTCGTGCGGAAGGTTTGCTCGTTTTCGTTGGAGTCTATACTCTGGGCTTGATTATCCTTGCTTCCTGTAATGGACCTGATTCATTCGCTGCCGGCAACGTCCTCTTTTGGGTCGGATATCAATCTGTTTATTATATCCTCGACGTTTTCATCGCCGATACATCAGGACTGAAAAACAGAGCCTTTGCTTTCGCTTTCGCCAGCACTCCTTTTATCTGCACTGCCTTTACTGCTCCTTTGGCTGGTCAGTCCTTTGTCCGCCATACCGGTTGGCGCTGGGGCTACGGTGTCTTCGCTATCGTGGTTCCAGTTACTATCTCACCTCTTGCCGTGGTTTTCAAATTCTACGAGCGAAAGGCTGCCAGCATGGGCATTTACAAACGAGAGCCTAGTGGCCGGACTATTATGCAATCTGTTGTTCATTATATCATCGAGTTCGATCGTATGTTGCAAAGCTTTCCCCGTTCTCCACCTATGTCGTCTTTTGCTAACTTTGTACGGTTTTAGTCATCGGTGCACTTATCTTGATGGCCGCTTGGATCCTTATACTGTTGCCATTCAGCTTACAAACCTACGGTCGAGCCCAGTATAAATCTGCAGCCTTCATTGCTGAAATTGTCGTTGGGTTCTGCCTTCTTTTCGTCTTTGCCGCGTGGGAGAAGTGGTTCGCTCGCATCCACTTTGTCCGTTACGAGCTGCTCAAGTCGCGCACAGTTTTGGGAGCTTGCGGCATGGCTGTTCTTACTTACTTCAGCTTCTACTGCTGGGAACAATATTTCCAACAGTTCTGTATTGTCGTGTACGACCTGAGTGAGTCGATGGGAGGTTACATGATGCAGATATACAACGTCGGCTCTTGCTTCTGGGGTGTTGTCTTCGGACTGTGGGTTCTCTGGGCCAAACATTTCAAGCACGCCTGCCTGTTCTTTGGCGTTCCCCTCATGCTTTTAGGTGCCGGGCTGATGATCCACTTCCGTGGTGAAGGCGGCGGCGATATTGGCTATGTGATCATGTGTCAAATCTTTATCGCTTTCGGGGGCGGCACCATTGTCATCGGTAACCAAATGGCCGTCATGGCCTCCGCTGATCGTGAGGGTGTGCCCATGATGCTGGCACTGTTGGGTCTATTCAACAGCCTAGGTGGTGCCGTCGGATTCGCTGTGGCCGCAGCCATCTACAACAACGTCTGGCTCGATACTCTCATCTCCCATCTACCCAATGATCTGCTGCCGAAAGCCAACGAAATCTACCTGGATGGTTATCAGGGTCAGATTCTGTACCCTATGGGAGGTGCGGGGCGTAATGCTATCAATCTCGCCTGGGGTCGTACTCAGATGTACGGGTCGATTGCCGCCACATGCCTTCTTGCTTTGGGTATTCCTTGCGTTGCCATTTGGAAGAACTACAATGTGGACAAGAAGCAGAACAAAGGCACTGTGCTCTAAACCCTGATTAAAATAAGTTTTTCCCCTCACGCAAAAATTTAGAAGAAAACTAGCCCATTTATCTCATCTCGGACACCTATATGTTATGTTATGTATAAAATTGAGTAATTGATGGATTAGAACGGTTAGCAGGAAACATTGGGGGATAGAGCAAGAATATATTAACGCTATAATAATACTTATTGATCTACCTAACGTCAAATACATACCACCACCACCACTACTACTACTACTACTACTACTACTCGTAAGTCCTTATGTGAGCTCCGACGGTTTCTCACGCCCTGGTATTCGCATGCTGTTACTAATGTCACATGTTCTCCATTCATCATTTCTTTTGGTTCAGTTACCCTTGTAACTTTTAAATTGTGTGAAATGATGGAGGTCAGTGAACCTGTCTTTTGGGCTGATGCGAGTTTGTATATACTCTCGTTTCACCGAGGCAAGCATGCATATGTCTCTACAGTGGAGTGTAGAGACAATTGTATGAGTGGGTATTGCCCTGATATCATAATATCAGGTGAGTAGATACACAGTGTCATCTCCCAGCCATCTTACCTCTAAACCTTTTCCACTTACAGTATATAACCCCGCGGCACGTGCCCCCATCCCTTGCGAACGTCCGATACGCTGTCCCCAACCACTGTCGATCAGTCCATTTGTTCGGGCATAACTCATGTTACATTGCATTAGATCTGGTCCCATTCGAAGAGTTCGGCTATTTCCAGCCAATTCCACCACATCATGCTGTTCAAAATGCCCCTTCTCCAGCATTGCGGTCCACGGGCGATAGATTTTCCAACACTACTAATATGCTGTTTATTCTTAGCCAAATCTGAGGCCTTGCCTATCACTTAGACGCAATGTGGTCGCGACGAGAATACTTAGCTACCTTGATTGCCCAATTGGCGACGTTCGCTCGAGGAAGTCACCAATCGCGCACATCGGCGGCAGACCAAGATGTGCTTCGATATGTTAACCCGCTGATCGGCTCGAATAACGGGGGCAATGTCTTTGCAGGGGCTAGTCTTCCTTACGGTATGGCCAAGGCAGTGGCAGATGTCGACGGTCAAAATACCTCAGGCTTTTCCACCGACGGCAGCAATGTCACCGGCTTTTCTGCTCTCCATGACTCTGGCACAGGCGGTAATCCGTCTTTGGGGAATTTCCCTTTGTTCCCACAATACTGTCTTGAAGATCTGATCGACAACTGCAACTTTCCCAAAGCTGCGCGGGCAGTTCATTATGTCAATGACTCGGTTGTCGCCCAGCCAGGGTATTTTGCTCTTACGCTATCCGACGGTATTCATGCTGAAATGACCACTACGGAGCATGCCGCCTTATATCGGTTCAACTTCCCTCCAGCTACCGCAACGAATGGCTCGGAGTTGAGCCCGTTAATCCTGGTAGATCTAACGGACTTATGGAACAGTCGACAGAACGCGTCGATTAGTGTAGATGCCCAGACGGGAAGGGTCAAAGCCAGTGGTACCTTTCTTCCTAGCTTTGGTGCGGGGTCTTACATGTCTTATTTCTGTGCTGATTTCGCCGGCGCATCTATACGTGACACTGGGGTTTGGGTCAATAATCGGGGAGGGACTGAGCCTAAAGAGCTCTTTGTTACTCGCGGGTTCAATAACTTCTACATCGAGGCTGGTGGCTTTGTCAGTTTCAAACGCCCTGGTAATGGGACCGTGAGTGTACGGGTCGGCGTTAGCTATATTAACGCAGAGAGAGCTTGCGAGAACGCCCAGCGCGAGATCCCATACCCACTAGACGAGTTCGAAGATATTCGTCGTCACGCAGAGCATGCTTGGAGAGAGAAGCTCAGTCCAATATCTATTCAACCAGGTGGCGCGAGTGATGATCTCCAGACCAGCTTTTGGAGTGGTTTCTACCGGACGATGCTCGATCCACAGGACTTAACTGACGAGAATCCACTTTGGGAGAGTACTGAGCCCTACTTTGATTCTTTTTACTGGTACGTGGAACATTCACTCGTTTCATTGATAGAGGTTTACCTTTTCTAGTATCTGGGATTCCTTCCGAGCGCAGCATCCGTTCCTTACAATTGTTGATCCAGAGATACAGTCAAAGATGGTGCGCAGTCTCCTTGACACTTACAAACACGAAGGCTGGCTGCCAGACTGTCGCATGAGTCTCTGCAAGGGCTGGACGCAGGGTGGATCAAATGCCGACGTTGTGTTAGCAGATGCGTATGTAAAGAATCTCACAGGAATTGATTGGGATTTAGCATATGAGGCCATGGTCAACGATGCCGAGAATGAGCCCTTGGAATGGTCATATGAAGGAAGAGGGGGGTTACGAAGCTGGAAAGGACTAAATTATATTCCTTATTTGGACTTTGATTACCTGGGTTTTGGCACTAACTCTAGGAGTATCTCACGGACGCTGGAGTACTCATACAACGACTTTTGTTTGTCAACAGTTGCAAGGGGACTCCATAAGGAAGGATACACGAAGTACCGATCCAGAGCTGGTAATTGGCAGAATATATACAAAGCTGACCAAACATCTTTCGTTAACGGCACTGACACTGGCTTTGTCGGCTTTTTCCAACCTAGATATTTGAATGGAACGTGGGGTTATCAAGATCCAGTTGCCTGTAGTGCTCTTGCTTCGTGGTGCTCGCTAACAAGCAATCCCTCCGAAACTTTTGAATCCAGCGTATGGGAATACCAATTGTATAAGCCCCTCCCAAGTTTATCTTAACCAAGCTAACGAGAGCAGCTACGTACCTCATGATATGGCCGCCTTAATTGATCTTCTCGATGGCCCAGACAACTTTGTCTCACGACTAGACTTCTTTCATACATCTGGCCTAGCAGACATGGGCAATGAACCTGTTTTTCTCACAGTTTACGAATACCACTATGCCGGGCGACCTGCGCTCTCCTCCCGCCGCGTGCATAGCTACATTCCATCTTTATTCAACGCCTCGAATAGTGGTCTGCCAGGGAACGACGACTCGGGGGCTATGGGTGCGTTTGCCGTGTTCTCCATGATGGGTCTCTTCCCAAATCCTGGGCAAGATGTCTACCTTATCATCCCTCCCTTCTTTGAAGCGGTTCACATCACGCACCCAACGACAAAAAAGACAGCTACAATTCGGAACATCAACTTCGACAATACATATAAGAACATTTACATTCAGAGCGCAACGCTTAACGGACGTCCTTATACCAAAAATTGGATAAGTCATGACTTCTTCACTCAGGGGATGACGCTAGAGTTGACTCTGGGGGATACGGAAAGTGATTGGGGTCGGCGTGAGAAGGATTTACCACCTAGTTTGAGCAAACCTTTTAGGTGAAATAAGGTATATATTCTAACTTAAATCGAGATGTTCTGAAGAAATTGAAAGCTAGGTTGTATGGTTTCGGCCCTGATTACGTTTTATCTTCAACATCGCAGGTCACTATAGGGGTAGAGTAGACTAACTGCTTAAGGTATTATGCTCTACTGGGTCTAGGCTATATCTATATATTCGTATCTGGAAAGTTCTACCATCTGACACAGACGAGTCAGCTACTCCCTGCTATTTTAGGCTGAGGATTCTAACCTCGCTACCTCAGAATATATTAATAAATTAAATATGTCAAAGATATCTACTAAATTGACAACCTGTGTGGCAGAATATGCTAAGTACAGAGTGGGTGACACCGCGTTTTGGCCAGGTCCAATTAGGTCTATCGCCTATACTGAATTTTTATATTATACTCAGCAATAATAAGAGATAGCTAATCTATCCTGATTCTGGATATCTTAACTAAGTAAATTACTAACTATATATACACACGAAAAGAGCAATTTATAATTCAGCAATTAGAACAATTAAAGCGGAGTAGCCGGCTCGGCCCGAGGGCTTAGAATTGAGCCCAGGAAATCAGGCATCAATGGTACGCGACCCTTGGCTTTGCAAGCCCTTCGAGCAGGTTGAAATAATTCTCGCAATAGACCTGGGGGGTGCGACAGCTGTGGAAACACCTAAAAAGCTTTATTACTAGCATTTTCACTGCGTCCGTGCGTCTAGGCTATTATCCGAAGCAATGGCGGAGTGTTAAAGATCGCGGTGTTGCGGAATCCTAGAAAGCCGGATTACTCGGTCCAGGGAGCCTACCGCCCGATCTCACTCCTTGACACACTAGGCAAGCTTCTCGAGGTAGTAGTAGTCCGACGACTTTTATATAACCGAGAAAACTGAGCTCATCCACTTCACCAGAAAGAGGGCCAAACACCTAGAAGTTCAAGTAGCCGTGAATGGGACGGCCGTCCCACCCTCGCCTACGGTTAAACTGCTGGGTGTGGTGTTCGACCAGGAGCCACGGCGGAAGGGCACGTTCAACAGGCTATCAAGCGCGCAAACAAAGTAACCATCGCCATAGGCGGTCTACGATACCTGCGCCTAGAGCAGATGCGATAGCTCTACCAAGCCTGTGTCACGCCCTTCGTAGACTATGTGTTAACGGTCTGCCATGACCCACTGCAGGACAAGACTCACCTGCGACACTTGAACACGGTGCAGGGGACCTTGCTAATTCGTATTTTATCGGCGTTCGGGAAGGTGTCGACCATAACCCTGGAAGTGGAAGCCCATATCATTCCCACGCACCTCCGTGTCCAAGTCCTAAACTAAAGATAACAAATACTAAAGCCAATCATAATCCTTCTGAGCTGCGATATGCACATATGTTGCGATGCTGTATTTGTGCTGATCAGTGATTCCAGTTTAGTGAGTGGGTTAACTACATATCAGCAGTCTCTGGCTTTATGGTCGCATTATCTATACAAGTTGCATTTGCTAGTGAATTTACCAGAAAAGCTTCAAATAATAGTGGGTGCGGAGAAAACTAGTCGCTCAGTGTCAGGGTGCAGACTCGAGCAGGCAGGCTAACAGAGCTAATACACAGAATCTATACAGACAGATAGACAAGACCTTAGCTTGAGAAGCTGCAACAGGATCAGGATCAGGATCAGGATCAGGATCAGGCGGGAAGATAAACAGTCAGAATCACATGACGAAGCGGTGGGGTCAGGCAAAATGAGCGGTTGGGGCTGGCACCGCGACACTCGGTGGTTGATTACGTTAATTAACTAGTATTTAATTTTGACTATTTTAATTAGTTAAAGTTTTTAAATAAATTATAAAGTGATAGAGCTGGTGTAGCCCATGTGTGTGGGATTGATAGTCTTAAGGTCTAAATCTATCATACAAAGATTCCTTGGTGTTGTGGTCAGGTCACGTGGTTGGAGCCTTAGGCTCCCTATAGGCTCTGACATATAGTTCCAGAGTAGTATTCATAGAGTTTTAGAAACAATATTTTATTTAGTTAACTAAGTCCTAATCGCCGCGCAATACACTGTAAAGGATATTTCCCGGGTGCCTAGTGATTCCGGCATTATACGGAACTGAGTCGGGACCCTTGCTATGATATCATGGCTACTGAGATATAACCCTACTATTCATGGATGAAGTACTGAACCCCCAGCATATTCTGGAAGTGGTCTTGCAAGGATTAGACTTGTTTCAATTTTATTGTTTGGTATTAGTGATCATCACCTAATTGGCAGGTGCTCTGCCTATATAAGCAGATCCTTTGCATACACGCAACGCTTGCACTTGTTAGTATATAAAACAGATATAAAGTAAAACCTATTACAGCAAAGATTTCTTTTTTGACATGGGTTTGCGCATGTGCTTGAAGCCACTCTGCTACCTGGCTGGACCCGGAAGATATATGTTACTAGGTATTTAGACTGGATGTCAGCTTTAATTAAGTAATGCCTAGAAAAAGATTGCTGAGATGTTGGGGTCCGACCAACGCTCCCGCATGCGCGCTACTTTAACCTCCCTGGATAAAGTATGGTGTCGGCCTGGGGCCATGACATAATTACCCCGACCAATCAGATCCGCGGCTCGACGGGATCTTTTCCCAGGCTCCGGATAACCCCGTGATTCTGCGAACAACATCTTTATTCGATTATATCCATGGAACAGGGATGTAGGAGACAGGATCCTGCCTACTGCTAATGTCTTGTCGATCTTCCTGTAATTAATTTTTTGTCGGATAACTGTGCGACAGTGAACGCCTTTTCTCCTTCCTGAGGACGGACGCTTGTTCTAGTTTTGAAGCAGTTATATCTCTCCTGAGCTAGCTTAGTATCCCACAAAACGGTTATTTTAAATTCTCTGCCCTGGATGCCCTCGCGCCGCAGTCATACAAAGTCCCGGAAGGGTTGCCTGCAATGTAAGCGACGTCATGTTAAGGTCAGTTAACCCCATGGGCTCCCACCTTTATCTTCACTTCACCACTACATGCATGCTCTAGATGTCATAGGCCTGGTAATTGGCACTGAAGCCTTCCAATCAGTTTCTGAACTGCTTTGCTACACAGTTATTGACCCGGTATAGTGCGATGAAGAGCTCCCAAGATGTGGTTTATGCCAGAAAAGAAAGCTGCAATGCACCTACCCTGCCAATGAGGCTGACGGCCAAAACCCTTCTACGCCGCAGGAGGAATCTGAATCGATACATGGCTCAAATGAGCTATCCTTATCCACAAGGATGCTTGAAATGAGGCTCTTTCATCTTTATCTAACGGAGACGTACATCACCCTGTACCCCGGAAAACTAGACACGAATCACTTCCAATCCGCCGTTCCAGGGCTAGCGACTGCCTATCCATTCTGCTTAGATGCTCTACTGGCATTTTCAGCCCTGCATTTGGCCTCGAAAGAGACGGACGATAACCGTCAATGGGTCGAGTGTGCTCTCATGTATCAGAACCGCTCATGCTCTGCCATGAGCCGCGTGTTGGCAGAGTTTTCTGTCGAGTACTCCGGACCAGCATTTATTTGCTCCATCCTTATCATGCTATGTTCATACGCTTACCCTTGTGTTTCCCAAGATGAACAGCCATTCGACCCTCTGGCACAGGTCTTGGAAATCCGTCGACTACTTGCCGGATGCGCTTTCTTTTTCAACCAACTCAGTAAGATGGAGCATCCAGGTGAATTGGCAGCATGGCTGCGATACAAAGATGATGTTGATTCAGAGGAAGAAATCACAAAAGAGTAAGCTTCCCTAGCCCTAGTCTTGGGTTTCTTATACACAACGATTAACCCCGTTTCAGGCAACATGACCCAGACCTCATCCGATTGCGAAGGTACTGAATGTTCCCGAGGTATCACCGTGAGTCTGAAGAAGCTACTGCTAAGATGCTTTTAGTGCCGTCTTGGACTCCCTCGGTCGCATACGAGGGATGATTGACATTGTTGATGGATCCAACAAAGAAGTCTATCAGGATATCTGGGAGTTCCTCAATGAAGCAGTTAAGCGACCATTGGGCGGACGAGAGGGGGGAGTCATCGCATTGCCTATCAGGATCAGCGATGCTTATGTGGGCCTTCTCAAGTCGGGCGATTGGATGGCCCGTATACTATTTCTGCACTACGGTGTAGGCATGCATCTCCTTTCAGATAGGTGGTTCGTCAAAGACTGGGGACGCCGCCTAGTATCCACCGTTTTGCAGCCACTTAAAGAGATCCCGGCGGAATGGATTGAAACTGTTGCATGGACAAGACAGGCTGTAGACCTTGACAAGTGGTCACGATCTTAAGCCCAACGAACAAAAAATGACAAAAGAGACAAGAAAAAGCGAGATGCGTACGGAGTACAAATATGGATCAATGTGCACTGATAAAAGGATAACGGATCAGCAATAGAATGGTTAGAAAGGGGATATGGGGCAGATAACTATTATGTAATTGTCTGATCCTTCAGCCACCCAAGAGATATGTATGGAGCAATCCATGGGATATCACTACCCAATCGGGGGGCACAGTCAGATGACTTCATCAAACCGAAGTCGGATAACGATAACCGAACAGCTTATCTGCTGAATGCGGAGAACCCAATGACTGTTATCTCTGCCACTATATCGCTGGCATTCGCCTCGCGACGCGTAGTTAACCGGCTCCCTTATCTATTATTTGATTCTAATATATATATTTTTTTTCTTTTTAACAATCTCTCTCTATCTAAACTGCCATGGTATCCTTTTTCTTGGCTAGGATTCTGGACTTATCTGTTCTCGTTTTCAATATACCCAAGGAAGATCCTCGGCGCAGGTCCCACAGAAACGTGGAGGAGAACAAAGGGCCGGAATGGGACTATTTAGAATAGGCCAATTGATTGGGCGAAGGGCCCGAGGCGCAATGGGCCGAGATGTGGAGAAACAGGTAGATATATAGGCATTCATGGTCTTACCGTGATATTGCGCCATCCCCGATCGTTATTTCTATCTCTTAAATAGTATCTGATTGGTGTCCGTGGCAGCCACTTTTAAACCCGTGCAACCTTCCAGGCACCAAATCGACCACAGTCTCGCTGAATGCGGAGAGTGAAAGGCCCTCGACCATGCCTCGTCTTTTAAGAATTACAGTATCCCTCGCTTCAATACTAGTGCTAGCATTAATACATCTACCGGATGTACTCTCTTCTCCAGTGGTATCATCAGCGCGTCATGATCCTCGGAGGGTCAGTTCAATTGAGCACATCGGGGAGGGCAAGCTCGGGGCAGTGGCCAGTGAAAGTGCGATCTGCAGTCGCCATGGGACTGAAATTTTGGAAATGGGCGGAAACGCTGCTGATGCAGTAAGTGAGGGCGGCTTGCATATTTTTTTTGGGTTAGATCAACATGGGCTGAGTGATAATATAGTTAGTTGCGACGATATTCTGTGTAGGGGTCGTTGGTAAGAAACATCAAATTGTGTGAGGATGTTTCGAACTGACTATAACACCCTAGGGATGTACCATAGTGGAATTGGTGGAGGGGGGTTCCTGTTAGTGAAGGCGCCAAACGGTACATTCGAATTCATCGATTTTCGCGAAACCGCTCCTGCTGCTGCCTTTGAAGAGATGTTTAAAAACAACACCAATGCATCCACTACCGGTGGTTTGGCGAGGTAACGATACTTTCTTCAAACCAAGACACAGACACACGACTAATATTCAACAAGTGGCGTTCCTGGTGAGGTGCGAGGCCTAGAATACCTCCATAAGAAGTATGGATCTCTTCCATGGTCGACCGTCATGCAGCCTGCTATCCATACAGCCCGTGACGGTTTTCCAGTTGGTCCTGACCTTGTTCGCTACATGAACTCGGCAGTAGCGGGTAAAGAAGACTTTTTGTCAAAGGACCCGACGTGGGCTATCGATTTCGCTCCTAATGGAACTCGCGTCGGTCTTGGAGATACCATTACCCGTAGACGCTATGCGGATACGCTGGAAACAATTGCCAATCGTGGCCCGGATGCTTTCTATAGTGGCCCGATTGCTGAAACAATGATTCAAGCCCTAAAGGCTGCCAACGGAACAATGACGCTGGAAGATCTCCAAAATTATACCATCGCTATCCGGAACACCTCGCAGATTGATTACAGAGGATATAAAGTCACCGGAACAACAGCTCCATCGAGTGGTACTGTCGCCTTGAATATACTTAAAGTTTTGGATACTTATGAGGATTTCATGAGACCCGAGAACGTAAATCTGAGCACTCATCGCTTGGACGAAGCTATTCGTTTTGGTTATGGATTGGTATGCGGATACATTGTTCAACTTTCCCTGGCTACTTGGCTAACTCGACATCCAGAGAACCGAACTTGGTGATCCATTCTTTCTCAAAGGGATGGACGAATACCAGGAAGATATGCTGAAGCAGTCGACAATTGATCAAATCCGCGGGAAGATCTCCGATTATCACACACAAAACGTATCTGTGTATGACCCTAAAGGAATTGAGAGTCTTAACACGTACGCCCATCCTAGACAATACCCAGGAAAAGACCATACTGATAAATGCAGCCCTGGAACCTCACATATCGCCGCTGTTGATCATTCTGGTCTTGCTATCTCCACTATCACAACGATCAACTTACTTTTCGGGAGCAAAGTCATGGTACCTGAGACAGGAATAATTATGAACAATGAAATGGATGGTTCGTGTCGACTTGGATGACCTTCTTTGTATGGATTTATCACTGATACTTTATAAGACTTCTCAACGCCTGGCACTTCCAACGCTTTTGGATACATTCCGTCAGAGGCTAACTTCATCCGACCCGGAAAACGACCCCTGTCGTCTATCACTCCAACTATTGTAACACACCAGAACGGATCCGTCTTTTACATTGCAGGTTCAGCAGGTGGCAGTCGAATCATTACAGCGACACTACAAAGCATTATTCATGCCGTGGATGAGGGTTTGTCGGCAGCTGAGGCTTTGGCTAAGCCACGTCTCCACGACCAGCTAGTCCCGAACCAGGTCAGATTTGAGTATACATATGATAACGAGACCGTAGCTTTTATGAAAACCCGAGGTCATAACGTGACTTGGGTTGCTCCAGGAGACAGTACTGCTCAGGCGATCCGAGTGTTACCGAATGGAACATTTGATGCCGCCGGAGAGCCTAGACAGCTTGACTCTGGCGGGTTCGCGGTATGAGGACTATACACAGACTGCCACTGTACAGGTTTACAAGCTACCTACCGTCACATATATGGTAGTACGTACTATTGGACATAGCTTTGGATATAAATTTGGCATTTGAATGTGGGTTTTACGGAGCGCATGACGGAGCGGATGGAATATTCACTGCGTGTAAACATAGCTGCAGTATCGTCTCGATAGACTGAGAAGGCTAAACTGGTATAGACAGATGGATGACGGCTTTTTGGAATTCGAGTATAAATGTAAACAGATGCGAATCGAATGCATTACCAACTTAAGTCCGATAAGCAACATGGGCTGGCAATAAGCATTCGATACTTCATTCAACGTGACACCGACGGTTTAGCCAGCCAAAAACGGTAGCACTTGACGCTGTTTTGTGAGCTCCTTAACTGAAGACAGTCTGGGCTTGGCTGCTTAATCCCACAATTGGCTATCTCTACCGCCACATCCCTTCTCTACTATGGTACGGTCTCAGCTCGTCCCTGGTATTTACTAGACTTTGTACTCCTGATAGTGTCCGCTATAGGGCTGCTTTGCTGCTCAATCACACCTCGTCTTTCAACATTTGGCTCTCCGCCGTCCACTTTCCTCGCTGTGATCCTATAGGGTCCCAACTGCGGTGGCATCGTTCCACTTCTTTTCACAAGTGACTTGTCCTTCTCCCCCACGCTTTTTTTATCTACTATTTGTGCTCATACAGCTGAGGAAACATGACTTATATTATCTTGCTTTACCCTTTTTCTATTCGATATTCGCATCCTGTCGCACTTGGGCCCGTCATACGGCGCTTCTTCTGACAGATGAAGGCCGGAAACGACGGCGATGCTCCCGTCTGTTTCTTAGACAGTACACCCGAAGGACGAGAACCCCCCGCGGAACACTACCTCTAAGAGGCGACATGCCTGGATGTCTCGTCGCAGGTAGTAAGTAGCAGTGGCAGTATTTCAGGCCTACTATACCCACGCCGAGCTTATTCTATCCATTCCTTGCCACTTCGACGACATCCGGTCTTGCCTAACAGGATTGACGTCCTTGGAGATCTCGCAGTGGAATTGTGACTACTGGCCACCGCGCTAGAAGCCTCCAGACCCATCGTAATTCGATGCAAAGAATAGAATCGTATAACTGATTGATCCTTCAAGCTTATTTTCTCTTTGCTCAGTGGGTGGATCGTATTGAGCTCTTTGCAATACAGCTGAGATTGTTATCTACAGACAGTTGTAAGGCCAATTTTTGCTTTATAGGCTGTCATCATCCATAAAAGTTTAGATAGACATTTCAATTTAATTTTTATGGTATTGTTAGTTGCGCAGATTCTATGGTATTTGAATGATTCGCAGGGAACCGAAGACGCTCAAGGGTTTGTTGAGCCTGTGCATCAATTGGCGTCTAACATAAATGGAACTAGACTAGTTAGTATAGAGAGTAGGCTGAACGAATGCTATTTTCCTCAACGTAACCTTGGCGAAATCTATCTGCCGCCATTATATTCCCTGGTTTTCTGTAGTATATGAGTTTAAGCAGTAGTATCATACATTCAGCTCGTTTGAATTGCTCCAATTACTCGGATTGCTTGGATTGCTTAAATTGAGAAAGGAGATACATCATATATATACTACGTTTGTGGTTAAACAGTACATATACTATGGTAATTAAGGATATATATATATCTACACTTGACTTGCTCCCCTATTTCTATTAGATAATTGAAACTTTTCAAGCAATTTTGTGTGATCTAAGGTTCAATCCAATTGCGGAGATCTGAACGATCCAAAATCATTATGTTATACTTTCTAGTGTGTTCGTTCATTTACTCGATTTAGTTAGCTCGCCCATAAAGTCCTCTGTTGATTTAGCTCCTTGCTCCTTGCTCCAAGCTCTGGCATCTTGCATTGATATTGAGGATCCTAAGAGTTAAACAATTGATTTGTTAAACGTCGTGATGGCTCATTAGAACTACCAGTTTAAATGCATACATAGTATAATAGTATCACTTGCATGAATAATACCGTATCAGAGTGGGCTGTAGGCTAACGTGTATACTTCGTGGAATTTACTTGGGCCCCCTTTGGAGTCAACATTCGGTCCCACCTCGGTGGTCGATTATCGCCCCCTACATTATAATGGTTGCAATCAAATTTGCCATTTAAGTTAGTTACCGCTTGAATAGATGGCTGCATATTATGGTCTATATGTATCCTCTTATAGGGTTCTGAGCCTTGTGTTTTTAAGGATTTGTACAGAGTTAATTATCTTTTTATGGTGCTGGTGTTACGGCACCCAACACGCCTAGGGACCATACAAATTACCAAAAACTACCATTTACGACGCCAATCATGGACCGATATGTACAATAGGACACCAATAAGCTAGGGCCTAAGGGACCTGTTAGGTCTAAAGAGTGTTAGGTGGTGGTGGAGTGCAAAAATTTGGCCTGTGGGTTACATTCCCCGTGCAAGTGCGTAGCCTGGAACTATGGCACTATGATTTACGAACCGGCCAATGTAGTAGGGTGTCGTAAGATCCCTTAGTGGATCGCTGGGTGTGCTCCCAACACCCTTACCCTTTATGAATTTTGCTAGTCGTACTCTGTATAGATACTGATAGGAGGAGAGGCGAGCAGTGGATCTGACAATTCTACCACGATCATGTCCTACCCGGCCCACAATACTGTGCTGCAGAGTTTCCCTATTAGGAATCTTACTGAGCTCTAATAATGACTTATTTAGTGTAAGCTTGTAAGTGACGGGTAGGGCTCTAACGCTGAGACATACATGACACCCACTTCTCAGATCAAATGATCAGTTGGACAAACGGAACTCTGTATGGATATTGCCAGGAGCAGGCCATTGCTCTGGATGGTTAATGCATAATCTGACGACAAGAGTAAGCACCGAAACCTCTTGCTACATTGTGGTAGTGGGTAGCATCAAGCTATGTCCGTTGGGTCCTCCTAGGTACTCGTCATGCTACGACCTAGATTGGTGGACGAATGTCCTAGAGAGGGGACCGGATAGGACCGTGTCCGAGCATAGTAGAGTGAATTGTAGCTGCCCACAGGGTGTATCCCAAGGTATAAATAAAGTGGGAATCCCCCTTCAATTCAAGTCTATTATCACAACGACAATCTGCTTACAAAGCATACAATCAAATCCTCCAGTTCCAGCCCTTTCCTGAAATCCTCAACACGGTCTCCTTCGAGAATCTTCTTCCACGCGCACTATCCAACAATGCCTATAGACCTCTACCAAAGGGAATCCATGTAAAACAGAAGTCTCTGGGTGCTACGGCTCCCTACGCCTTCGTTCTCGCCGCTCAAATTACCACAGCTTTGCCGGTCCAAGATATCGACACCACCGCTGACGTTGAAGCTAGAGCTATGGAGGTTCTTGAGGCCCGTGGTGGCAAATTGACCTGGCGCGGATTTACACCACTGCCAACAGGGCATGGCCTTGGCTTGTGGTCCTAAGTGTGTATTCCAAGAAGCGCAGTCGCTGGGTTGTCTGAACTCTTGCCTCGCTAATACCGCGCAGGCCTGTAATAAGTGGTGCAAATGGCGGAACAGACCCCGGACTTGCAAGGAAGTGTGTGTTTGAAGACTTTGGTCTATAGATTTGTATGATAAAGCTGGTTGTTGTGTGAAATTGGGTACGGGATGGACTTATGACGGGACATCCAAATGACATGTTTATATTTCCTGTCATGGAACCATCCTCAACGGAAATCTAACAGTTATTTTGTTCTTTTCATCAATGTTACTACCTTTATGGTAAACGTGGATTGCTTTTGCACAAGTGAAGATTGTATATATGTAATAGAAGGTGAAAGAGTATATTCATGGAGACCTTGTTGTCACACATTCCCCAAGAGCTATAAGGATGATGCCGAATGTCCCTCCGGGTCCTACCAAGGGATGCTAGTGGAACACTCAGAGACAATAACGCCAATTCTGTAGGTGGTGTTGATGAGCTCAATTTGTAATGTATTATTACTAAACAAAAGGCTAGTTTGGCTCCTAAGGCGAGGGTTTTGTTAGCCATTACTTACGATACTAAAGTCAAAGTACCACACTTAATTCAAGGAGACTTCAAATCCATTGTACCCTTGATAGCTTAGGAATTGACGCACTCGTGGCTAATATCTGCTACCTTATCTTATTTAGACAGCCTATTGGCTGACAGCATTGCTTGAGAATAACGTGAGGCTCTTTCCCTTATACATTATTTACTTCTGGTGTTGCGAGCACTTTGTTCTTTGGGCAATAATATCGAGTTCTCCAATATCACCTAGATTAATGGCTGGAACGTGTTGTCTCTATTGTATATGATAAAGATGTCTTTGGGTTCTCTTCTGTTCTAGGTAGTTTAATCATATTGGCTAGAAAAGATAGTATAAGGAAGAAGCTAAGTTTTGAGTGTGAAAAGTGTGAAGGCTCTCTTTGTGCTTTGGAATCCAGAGCGGTTGTGATTTATTATTTAAAGAGCTTTGTAAAGATGGTCTCTTATCGGAGTCGTAGCAGTTAAAAGCAGCACGGGCATTTTGCCGGATCGGGCAGTGGAATCCCAGGCTCACTATGGCCGGCGGTGGCGGATGTCATTGGATATAGCTTTTTCAGGCACCGATTGATGTGCAATTGGTACGTGCGCACTTCCGAGTCGTATCTCCGCGTCTCGCGTCCACATATTCCCTAAACCACTCATGGCCTCCTATCGTCAAAGTAATAGAGCTTAAGTTCCTCTAGCCGACATCCAATTGCGTACTCACCTGATATGCTGTGCAATTGAGTCTATCTAAAAACAATCGTGTGTTCCTCCATTTCCAACCTATTGTCCTTGGCACCGAAACCATGGTGGAGCTTTAGCTCGCGCATAGCAGCGAGGGTCTACAACATTGGATATGACTGTACGTCCGGACCTCTCAAACAGTGAATATACCCTCCCAAATCATTTACCCCGCTAACAGCACAATAAATTGTGTTAGACTCTTGACTAGCTGTCTCCTTTCCTTATTCTCCGTTCTCTCGAGCAAGATCATGCCCGAATCTGGTACACCTTCCTACCACCTCTCTACCAGATGAATCGCATATTCGAGCGACTATTCTCTCTGTTCTCTATGAAAGGACCGCCGACGGCTAGTCCTAGTCCTCCTCCGGCTGGACTGGAAAGGACCCCCTCTCAGAGCCCGAGCACGGAACTCGAACCTGTCTCGGTCGTCGCTTATCCTCCAGCTGGACGGGAGAGGACCCCCTCTGAGAGCCTGAGGATGGGACCCAAGCCTGTCTCTGTCGTTGTCTCTCCTCCAGCCTTTGATCTAGAACCCTACGAATCCTTTGATGAAGATTTTCTTCAACGCACAGTTGACGAGATTCTTTCTGATCAGGCTAGTTTTGAGAATAGCTTTGACGAGTATTCGGGTGATAGGATGATGGATGGGAGTTGTGATAAGAGAGGAAGCATAGGGGCTAATTCTAGGGTTGGGGGCTCGGAATGTAACAGGTCGCCTTATTTTCCGAGTAAGGTTGCTGGGATGAGATTTGTGGCGCATAGGGTTATTCGGAAGATGGAGAGTACCGATGAGGAGAGTGAGGAAGAGGAAGAGGAAGAGGATGATGATATTGAGGGCTGGGAAGCTGACCGATTCTATGGTGGTCAAAGTGGAAGCAAGTTGAAGAGACGAGACGAATTGGATCGTACCGCTGCTGCTAAGATTAAACTTGAGCATCTGCCAGAAGATGAGATACGGGTGGAAGAGCTTGGCACTGCGGTCCCTGCTTCTACTGTGGTTAGTGTTGATGACAATGCCTGCGACGATGGAGATCTCGAAGAGGTTTCGGAGGAGAAATACGTTTTTGCTTCTGTTGGCGATGAGGAGCATGATCGCCTTGTCAACTTCCTTGCTGAACACCCTTTCATGTGCGCAGGCGCATATCCTGTGAAGCGATCTGCGCGGCGCAGCTTCATAAAAGATGTACGGCGCGAGGCCTCCATTTCTGGAATGGACGAAGGCGCCCTTAACGTGTTGTTAAAATGGGTCAAGAAAACATACCTTGAGGTCCTTGATGTTCCCAATGTGGACAAGGAAGGGTCGGACTTCGGTGATGAGATTGATGACGAAAATTTGGTTGATGTGCAGCCACCAAAGGCATCGAAGAAAGAGCGGAAGAGAAAGAGGGCCGGTGTTGAGCACACGAGAGAAAAGGCCCCGGGAAAGAAACGAAAGTCCCTCATGAGGGATTCTCACGACTCAATGACACCTACCGAACACAACGCGCGTATAACCATAGATGTTGATAGTGGTGACTCTGCGATTGTGAACTCCAACTCCCCTTCCCCGGACATCCAGGTTTTGGAAAAGGCTCCGGTTTTCCAGACCGGGCCTCAACGTACGCTTACCGCTGTTCTGGATAAATCGGAGGATACACAGACTCATAGAGCAAGAGCCGACAAGGTCGCTGCTACAAGACCAGCTACTCCTTCAAAGGAAAGACGCAATGAGAGGAGCACTCCTACCAAGACGTCCTCGCTGTCAAAGCTTTCTAGGTCACATGGCGATTGTATTTCTAATAATAGTATGGGCAGCCAGATGGGAAAACTGAGAGTATCTCAGGGGCTCTCTTCACAGGCAGACCCTCCCAGAAAGCACGACTTCCTTTTCGCCGCGAAGCCTCCAACTTCCAAATTGGAAGTTCCAAAGTCACCAAAGATCCCACATGATGATAACGAAAGTCGCAAGAAGGAAGCGAAACACAGAAAGCGTCAACGACGCAGAGAGAGAAGGAAGTCTAAACAGTCCGAGACAATGTCCGGAATTGGCCAGCCTTCTGGCAAAGACCAGCAGAACAGTCATACGGCAAGCCCAGTGTCACACGAGAAACCAGTGGTGAACACTCCGGTTGTGCATAATAAGATGTTCCTGGAAGACCCATTTTGGGATATGGATTTTTAGAATCCGATGATTCGCAAGGATTGACCACCTGCGCTGAGGTGAGGTCGAAGTATTTTGCAGGGTTACCAAGGCAGTCTATGAAGGGAAGAACCACCACTCTTAGCAAGGCGACAAAATCGTTGAAGCGTTCAATACCTGAAGAAACAAGACTTATTTTACAGCAGCTAGGACTATCATCCGACATTCTCTCGTCCGACTCTGATTTAAGTCACTTTTCTGATGATGCTAGTTCTATCCATGACAGCCCCTCCTTTTTCCATCTCCTACATCTATCCTCTCCGAAACACCCTCGCACGAATGATTTTGAGGAGACATTTAGGACGCCAACCAAGGGCGGGTCTCCGAACAAACTTTGCATCGTGCCTACAACACTATCACTTGTCAAACCACTTGTCAAACCCCCCAAAGTGTCACCCTACTTCCCCAAACCACTCGTGGATCCTGAGTCGTGCATCCCTTTCCCTCCCATCGACGCTCCTTCTTTCGGTTTGGTCCAAGAACAGCTTGCACACGATCCTTTCCGCTTGCTTATCGCAACGATTTTCTTGAATAGAACTAGAGGGGGTGTTGCTCTGCCCGTTCTCTTCCAGGTCTTTGAGCAATTTCCTACCGTTGAAGCAATGGCTACGGCAGACATATCCGACCTGGTTGCTATGATACATTGCCTTGGCTTCCAAAACCAACGGGCTAGGAAGTGTATTAGACTTGCGCAGACCTGGTTAGCTCATCAACCCAGAAAATGTGAGAGATATCGCAGACTCCACTACCCCTGCAAATCGGACGGGCGTGATGTCCGACCGCAAGAATGCATAGATGATAAGGACCCGCGTGTGGCGTGGGAAGTCGCACATTTACCTGGCGTGGGGGCTTATTCTCTGGACAGCTGGCGGATCTTCTGCCGAGACGAACTGCGTGGCCTGGCTGAAGACTGGAAAGGCTCTGGTGCTACCACACCTGACTTTGTTCCGGAATGGAAATCTGTATTGCCACAGGATAAAGAATTGAGGGCATATCTGACTTGGATGTGGCTTAAGGAAGGTTGGGTGTGGGATCGACACACTGGGCATAAAACCCGGGCTAGTGAGAAGTTGATGCGATCTGCGCGCCGGGGAGGAGTGGCACTCGAAGAGAATGGGAACTGGGTTCTAGAAACCTCGCCAGTGAAGAAAGCTGTGAATGGGCTTACCACGTGGTGTTAAATATGGTTCAAGTATCGAGGAGGAAGTGAATTGCATGGATATGGAATTGGTTCAGAAGTATTGGAGGACCATTGTTTAGGAGAGCTGTTATTCAGATTTGAATCAGATGATACCCTCGATTACCCATGTGGGTGATGAACAGACTTAGATATTAGTGTAGCTCCTTAGAAGAAGGAAAAGAAGAGCACCATAGATTGGTCTCCTTGCGGCCTAAGGCAAGTAAGTGACCCATCTGCCTTAGACATCACAAAGACATCTTCGCCAACAAACCCAACAAACTAACTTTCCAAACAATGGATGAAAATAAGTCTCTTTCTCTCTTTCAGTACTCCATTTCTAGATGTCAATGTGTCCGGTGGACTCCAATAAAGGGTTCATTTCCATTGACCGACTCGTCTTTGGGCTTCCATGCAGCAGGCCCACCACATCAGTCTTCCTAACACTAAAAGAGCCTGCGGGGAAGTCCAACCTCTTCACCCTTCACCGCAAAAGTAAGTGCTTTCTTTTTATGCACTGTTCCTGATTGTTTTCGTTTTTCTCGATCTTTCCCCGATCCTTTTGTGCGACCTAGCCTTACCCATTATTCACCCCTTCTAGATACTTATTTCTTTTTTTAGATCGTCGCTGCGACGGGATGTCGCATGCTTCCCAACCAGTTCTTTCCAGGACAGACTCAAGCGCCGTGTGATTGGTATTCGACCAGTGAGACGCGCATTCCTGCACACCCTGCTAAGCGCCAAACGAGACAACCGTTGAGTGTTACTTGATCGACTTCGGACTAATCGATCACCTGAGGATCGCCAGCCTTCGGTTGTGACACACTTCCGAGAGGTCTTTTGAGAGCTGACTTGTCAACCTCGGATACTTCTTCTGTTTTGACCGATTTACGAGGTAATTAAGACGAATAGCGGGGAAGAAGGACTGCAGGGGAGGAAGTGGTTCGATTTTAAAAAAAAGAAAATCACGACAACACTACTTGTGGCCTTCAACCAATTCCCTTCCCCCTCCCTCCTCCACCTTACTCGACCCTATCCATCCCACGTCATGTTTCTTCCCATCAGGCTAAATGACCGAGATAACGACAGGGACCGAGAGAGAAAAGTTTCGTCATCCTCTAACATATCCTCTAAATCAAAATCCAAACCTCGCTTGTCCCACGGTCGGTCCACCCGCTCTTCAACCAAGGAACACGAACGTGACGTCCCAACGGGCCGCTCCTCGACCCCTACGACCGCCAGCTCCCACAAAAAGCGTCGGTCCTCCATGCCGGGCGTCGACAGTGCCAGCCGTCCTGTTACGGCTTCCTTCCTCGAGTCGAGGACCAGCTTGCCTTATCCCACGTTCTCCAAAGCCCACAGTCGAGAAGCTGTGGCGCAACCGGACATACCTACGCCAGACCCGACCGACCTAACTGAAGAAAATAAGGATGCGGGAAAGAGACACAGCCAGCACCGATCTGATAATAATCACGCACCACCTAGCCCACCGTTGACGAGCGTCGATCAGCACTCACGTAAAGGAAGCACGGTTGGAGATAAAGAAGAGAAAGAGAAGCCGAAGGATGGGAAAACAAAAATTCGGATCAGAGCCGAGTCTACGAGGTCGTCATCCAGTCTACGCTCGAAGAGGGATGATGAATCTAGGACAAGCAAATCGATGCGACCCGACGCTACATCCTCCAAAACGAAACGGTCTAGCTACGAGAAGGATAGTCCCGCACGGACAGCGAGTCGCAACTCCACCAAGTCAAAAAGTGTCGAGGAAGCGACGCCGCCCAAGCGATCCTCCACTCGTGGTACACCCGTAGTGTCTCCTCCTCGATCCCCTGCGACCGTGCGTGACATCGGCTCAGAATCGGCAAACGGGTCAGATGCGACCATTGCAGCGCAACAGCAGTCCTGTCGAAAACCTAAGAGTCCGGAAAAGCCGCCTTCCCGGACTCAGACGCGGTCGTCTGCGTCCTATCGACCTAGTAGTCGCACGTCGGCCGATTTCGCGTTTGAGCATGGCCGATCTCCCACCTCGAACTCGATCTACGGCGCCCCTCCCCCGCCTCCTCCGCCGCCAGAGATGCCTATTACCATTCCTCGAGTTGATTACTTACTGCAAAACGGTGGCCTGGATCACCGAGTTCCAAAGTCTCTTTTACTCGCTGCTGGTTCTCCGGAAACGCCGTACCAACAGTTTCAACCTCAACTCGCAGCTTCGAAAATCTTCGACCCATTCAACCGAATCCTTGAGGACTTTCACAAAGTGATGAGTAAGAATGGCTCGCTGGCAGTCGCGACAGGATATCGATCGGTGGCACGTCGCCTGCTTGACCGACTGGAGGCTGTCTTCGCCCGTGACATCTCATCGGAATCATGCAACTGCCTGATGTGTGTCCATGAGAATCTTGAGCCTGAAGAGCACCCATCGGGGGTCAGCTGGGGCGAGGTGCTGGAATTGGTATCCGGTCGCCAAGAGCTAGCTAATTGGCCGCCCTTCATGCTATCGACATCTGTCAACGACGCGGAGCTGTCGGGTGATGAACACATTCCCATGCAGAAGATGGACATCGACATTCCAGAAGAATACCGCGAACATTTCATGCGGCAATCGCGTAAGACGAAAGTGACCGTTGATAAATGGCTTAATGAACAAGTTAGCCAGGCTACGAGTGCACCGGACGAGGTGGATGATGAAACTCTCACTTTCGCCATACTGACACACCTGGAGCCCGAAAAGCGTCCTTTGTTCCGCGCGCTTTTGGGCATCCCGGCCAACTCCCCTACTCCTCAACCAGACGGACAGCGTCGGCCGCGACCTCCGGCGCTGACTTCCTCTTCTCTCGCTATCCAACGCCTCTACCGACTGCCGTCCCCTCCACGGGACCCAGAGACTGCCATCTACATGTTGAACAACCCGGAACTCCACCATGTACTCGCGACTCTTGCGGCCATCAGTGATGACGAATGGGATATTCTGATCTCGGGTCGCTTCGATGGGTTCCTTCGTAGCGGTGCCGAAGATTCCTTTGCGACTGCTCCAGGGTCTGCACCCCAACGATGGAGCAGCAGCCGATCGAACACCCCATTCACCACAGGCGGCATCTCTCGCGGTCCGACTCCCAACCTAATGGATCCTAATGCCCGACCAGCCAGTCAGCCGTACGGCAGGGTTTCGTCGCCTGCAAACTTTGGAGGGCCGATCGCTCTAGATGAGGAGATGGAGATTGCAGCCTTAGCCGAGATCGAACGCGATATCTACCTCGGAATGGAGGCTCTAGAGGATGCCTTTGAGGCACTTCACTGCAAAGCTGAGGTTGTCCGCCGAGCCCTTCGAGAACGCGGCGCAGGCTTGTCTGTGGCTAATCAGCAACGGCGCGGATCGTATGTTGAGGCTCGTTTGGGCACCCCGGCGTCCGGGCTCGGTACGTGGGAAGATAGCACGGAAGACGATGGTCTGGATGATGACCGTTCTCTGGCCCCCGATGACTCAGCCAGTAATATCAGCTCCAACCGCAGACGGCGGCCCAAGCGACGTACCGAGCGACGGACGCCAGCACCCGTGGAAGAGGAAGACGAAGAACAGGATACGTACGATAGCCGACGAGATCGCGATCCGCGAGGATCTAAACGGAGATAATCTTCGGCGGAAAAGCAAGCTACGTCATCTTCTATTTTGCACACTCGTCGATAATCTCGTTATAACCCATTGCGTGATCTTTTTTTTTTTCACTCTTTATTTCTCCAGCGTTACGACTTTTGATGAGCGATAGTTGAGCCACGAATGCATGAAACGTGATGAAATGAATTGAACCCAGCTCACGAGACTTTGAATGGACCGGGACCGATCTATCGAACAATGGAATGTAAGTCACAGTACAGAGCCATTTGGTGTATGTATGTACATGGTACAGATTGACATGATCTTAATGTTACTGTATTTTACTTTACCCTTTCACCACAATCATCTACCGCGGACAGCACATATAGCATAGCTATTCTTTTCCTAGGGGCTACAGAACAGGCATACATTTTTAGACATACATACATACATACATACATATCGCACATCATAATAAACACTACTATTCTGAACCTGACCATCACCAATAACCTTTAGGATAAACCTCGGAGACACCTACCCTTTTAGCCCACCGTAGCACAACTTCGATAATGCCGCCAATCCGAGACTACCCCCCAAAATCCCGGAATAACCCCCAAACAAACCCTCTCTCACTCACCAACGAGTCATGTACCGATAAACCCACCATATTCCCGTATAGGTATAGGCAGGCTACACCGGACCAGCCTCTATCCCAAACAACCACCTACCCGTAAACCCAGAAATCAGAACCAAAAAAAAAAAAAAAAAAAAAAAACAGACAGAGAAATGTCTGAGAAGAGAATAACACCCTATCGCACATTCTTCCTCTCAATCTAGGTCCCCCGTCCAGTCCATGATTCCAAATCTCAAAATAAGCAAGTCCCCACAACGCCACAGCATACATCACATATCCTCCGAAAAATAAGATCCGGTTTTGAGCTAGGCTGAAAGAGTAAGGTGCTGTGTACCTTGGATGCCCTGTACTAGTCTACCTAGAGGTTAACACTAGATATCTTGAAGACTTAAGACGGGGACTCCAAGTATGGCAAACTATAGAATCTAGTGGTTTGAACGATTTTCGATGATAAACTCCAAACTCCATAGCTCCGAAAAGTACATAGGTCCCACAAGGCGGAGAGGGCAGGGAAATTTGGATCGACCGGAGCTGGGGCGTGGATAGTTTACGTACTAGGTATGGTTTTCGAGGTGGATGATGCCAAGGTTTGAAGGGGGATTGTAAAAGTTATTTGGGAGTGGGATTAGGTAGTATCTACCTGGGACCTAGGGGTGTACTGTTTGGGATTGTTGTTGGTTGAGTTGGGGTTGTGATTGGTGTAGGGTGAGGTGGCAATCCCTGTAGGAAGGATGGAAATAGTTCTATGTGGGATCAGAGTCTAGAGGATGGGTAGAGTAGGGCAGACTCGTCATTTTTATTATCTAAAATAGGAGATGTGGTGCAGGGATGCTTGAGGCTCTTCTGGAGTACGATCTAGTTAGTTTTGTGACTATTGGAGTTATTGAGTTTGGGGGCCAGTTCTGGCCTAAAGTGAGTGAGTATGCATAATTTATGAAGAGTTCTGAGTATGCGGAGTTCACTTCTGATGCGATGCATTGTTGGTGCTGGCTATCCCAACCTCTCACACACACTCTCTCTTCTTTTGCTTTTGCTCCTTTCAGGCTGAAAATTGTTACATGACCTTGCTGTGCTTTTCCCTCACACTGCGGCATCTGCCGTTCTGAACCACGGTTTGTCACTCTCTGCAACGAACCACCAAGAACTTGAAAGGGAAACTAAGTGAAAAAAAAAAAAAAAACACACAACACAAACACAAACAAAACCACAAACAAAAACTTTTTGGCAAGTGCAGTGTTCTAGCTAGGTTCCCACCTGTCTCCGTCAGTTCCATTTGATATTGGTTCTTGGCAAATACGCAACCCTTGGTATTGCCAACCGGGTGTCCCTTGCTCATCCGGCGCAATTTGTGGTTTGGAGCTCTAAAGTCCTCGGGAGTGAAGATTCCGAGAAGGTAAGATGGCGAGAATGAGAAAAGGGGGGTTACTGTAAGATCTTTAGAAGTTTATCTCTTTGCTTGATGAGTGGACTATTGAATGCGAATCATTGAACCACGGAGGGGCAAAAATCTCCCACGGTGGAGATCTATATCAGAAGTGTGTCAAACCAATCAAGATCGGTTGAAATCAATAGGGCCTATCCCCCGGATGCAGTGGTGGGTATAGGTGTGCACGTGCAATGTAGCGAGGAGGGGCTCCCTCATGATTTGTGAGTTTGCCTATGATTCATTTCGTTATGCAAAAACACCATCCCTGTGCTGATCAGTGGTGGTTAGGGCTGACGCTTGCAAGAACTCGTCACGAGCTTATCCGATGGGTCAAGAGATAGTTGAATTGGGCCTCTGAGCCACCAGACAAACGAGGAGGCCACAGATTGCGCCCATGGAAAAGCGCTCAGCCGTGGATAAAGGGCGACTGGAGCTAGTTAGCGGAACATCTCAAGCTTTGACATGGATGATTGTGACACATTCAGTACCAATCACCTTTTTCCGTGGAAAGCATTCCGAGAGTGTGGGACGGGAGAGATCGGGAGGGTAAAATTCGAGACACGCCAAGGCTTGGTTGGATCCATGGAATGCTCAGGGGCTGGGCTTCACTGGAAGAGCAATAATTCCCTCAAAAGCCAAGGGTATGTCGGGCCACGTCCGAGGATACTACGTCAAGGCTTGGCGCTTTCAGAGACAAGTGTATTTTTGGAGACAGCTATATTGCCCTGTTTTGCTAGCGATATCGGATACCTAGACAGTCAGTCACCCTGCGTAACAGTTCGCGCAATCCATTTCTGCTGCTAAGAATCTTCAGTTAGTCTGAGTATCCCATTTCCCTACCAGCTTCTTTCCAATCGACTCCGAACAATACCCACAATCATTGCGATAGCCCATCTGACTGCTCGGTGTGAGCTGCCGGTTTTTGCCGGATCGACACGATATCAAAATGAAGTCAATGGAAAGAAACCCCTAATCGAAGGTCGACCAACGACATAGCCTGGTCCATGAGGAAATTCGTCATGTATTCTGAATGTGAGCATACCGATTGAACTGCTCCAGATTGAGAATCCAGTATCCCAACGCAGCTTCAGTAGTTCTATCAGGTAACGATTACTGCCTCTCCATATTAAGCAAAAGTTTGCCTCAAACTCAAAGAGCCCGTGGACCGTGCTTTAAGTTGATGTCCTTCCTGTCGTCTCAAGTGGAACAAGATTTCGGTGACAATCTTGCATAGACACCCGTCCTTCGAACACGTCGTTACATACACACTTGCCTGCCTACATGCATGTATGTGTAATGCATATCAGTATCTCTCTCTACTGTGATGGCACCATAATTGGAGGGCAAGGTTTGCCCTGTAGTCTGTAGTAATGAACATCGTGATTAACCTATCCATAGAACGAGGATTTTTTTTTTTTTGATTAGATGGAGATCATGGTGTCCTGACAAAGCAATAAAGTATAAAATAAGGTCTCATTCTAAATGTATTCATGTAAAATATACTCCGCGTATGTGATCGACACCACTCCGTGTCGTGCAGTCGAATACGTGCGATCGGCGAGGAGTAACCTGAAGAAGGCAACGCTCCTTCAGCTGGGCTTGGTGAAGTCACTCCCCAGGCGTGAAGAATTTTCTCTGAGGGTTGGTTGATCAATGGCGTCTGTGGCTGCTCAATTGGGGTTCCAGAAGCATGGATTAAGTTTATTCCAAAGAGCTATGAAATTTAGCATAGGAGAAACAAACCCTAATTCTAGCTCGCGGTAATATACAGCAGGTATCCCTAGGACAGGTATCATTTAGGACAAACCCTGTGTCACGGAATCTCGGTAGGACGAAGTGCCGAGGCTCATGCTTGTGATCCATCAAACACACTGGGTCTACGTGCTGTTGTCCGGTTAGGGGGGACTCTTCTCTTTTTCATCGTTGCACACGGTGCATGCGCCTATGTGGCAGCCATAACTATCCCCAGTCGCAAGCTGCGATGATTCAAGGCAGCTGAAACTTGACACCTGGTGGAGGTTTCCGCCATACGGTTTTAAGTTCGAGGTAGTACTTTTTCGTTGTAGGATTATGTTAGTCAAAGTCAAACGAATGTCATGGAGAATTAATAAATTAATGATTAAGCTAGTTGACCCCATATCTCAGCACCTGTACCTATCAGAGGGGGAGAATGAAATACCCACAAGAAAGAACAGCGAGGCAAGTACCGAAGAGAAGGTACTGATGGGGGGGAGGGGTTGATAGAGTATCTACCATTCAGATATAATCATTTTTGAATTTTAGAACGATAATCACGCTGATCACTCGGGGAAGAGTAATGGCCAAACCCAAATGAACTCGCATCAAGTAGATATGGATGGAAGGATGACAAAGAGGCGAAAAGGAGAGTGGAATGAGACTAAACCCAGAAGAGAAAGTCGTGACCCAGAAAGGATCAAAAAGGCAAGACTGGTTCCCGTGCCAAACATGGAAAAGGGACCGAACAGCCTAGAAAACACATTAGGCCGATTTTAGAATAGCCTCACGTCATGCGGCAGTTGAACTGTTGTCCATTGTCAATGGAGGTAAGACGATTTAAGCATCAACAAGCAATCCAACTTCTTCTTATCGCCTCCCCAGTGATGCATACATACATACATACTATAATAAATATATCTAGTACTGCCCCCATACGTACAGTACGTTGTATCCGACCCTCACCAGGGGCTTCAAATATTCAGTTATCTTTCTGCTTGCTTCACTTTTAAGTGACCTACGACAGAGTATAGTATGCCAATGATCCTAACTCCAATCCATCACATGCAGCCTCATTATTGAGTGCTGTTCCTTGCACACTATTATTCAATAGAGTATCATTGCATTTAGCAATGTGCAATGTCTGTCGAACCTACAGATGCGAGGGCGATCGTCTGCTTTTGGGAGTGTAAAATATTACTATTGTATGCGCTACAGTGGACTAGTACCCGTTTTGCTTAGAGTGTGGGCTAATTCCCCTAGTCTCTGGCGGGAAGTGGGTTATGGCGAACTCAGCGACTGTTACTCCGTGCAGTACCCCGTCCATCAATTGTGTAATCAATTGCCCGGCAATTCGAGTGTCTCTCAGACCCGTGGCTACAAATTTGATATCAGAGCCATGACTATCGCACTCTACGAACTCCTAGATATGGATCCTTCCCAGAACTTTGATCGGTGTGCGCACGGACAACATCGAGCCGCACCCAAAAGAAAGGATCCAATGGTTCAGATGTGCATGACTATCAAAAACAGAAGCTTATACGGGGGTGCCCAGAAGAGAAAAAGGAAGAAAGAAAGAAAAAGAAGACGATCTACTTACCGTTCTTTCTCAAGATTTTCACTACACAGGCACGCGGCATGAGTGGAACATGATTACAAAGAATGCTCCAGTCCTCTGTGGATCTCCGGTATTTATTACCCACAACGATCGACGCCGCGGTCTCTTTTGAGTCTTGAGACGGTTGAATTTCTGAAATTGTCTGTCTCCTCCCTCCAGTTTCGGCAGCCACTAATGCAATTTTCGTGAGGAGCTCTTCTCTCTTTTTCCGCGGGAAGAACTTATCTTGAGGGAGCAAAGAGAGGAAAATATCCCATTATGCTTGACGTGAAAATCTGGCGCGGTTCGTAGGGCGGTTCATTCCTATCCTTGCCCAGTTCCAGCAGCTAGCCTCTGAGCACTACGTATGCGCCTAATATCCAATTTGCTCTTGTCTAGTTAGTGGTGGCAAGTCCGAACTACTCCTGTTTCGTGGTCTTCTGTTCAATAATTTCTTTCAGCCTGAGAGCCCACACCACTTATGCCACAATGGGCCCAGTTCAGCCCCTGCAGCTGCGGCGAATTGCAGACACCGGCTGTTTGGAACCCCTTTGGTCCAACGGTCACCTTTGGCCATTTCTAACTGGGCGACTTTTTAACCCTGTCAGCTCGTGGGAAGGTTATCTAACGTCGGATTACGAGAGCCAAGGAAAATTACTAGATACCTAGTCCATTTCTCCTCGATTCCCCCGCAGCCCAAAATCACATTCGTGTCCTTCCCTCTCTTGGCATGGGGCCTCGTGTCTAGAGTTTTCAGGAACCACCAGGACCATACTCAGGGCCCAATGGTCTGGTCCCTTTTATGGAACACTTTTTTTTTTGAGATTCCCCTTGGTTGTTCTTTTTTTTTTTTTTTAACACATACAAAAGCATGTTCTTTCCCTGTTACTTCATCATTGATCGTCTGGAAGTTTGCCCCTGTGGATACTAGTAATAGGTTCGGTCGCCGAACCAACTATTCTTTAGCTCTACCAGTTCTTGTGGAGTCTGTCCCTTTCATAATGGAATTGTCGGTCGAGGCGGAGATAACTAAGCCCATCAGAGTTTAATAAAAGCTTTGCGCGGCCTACGGATGAGAAGATGCCACTCCACACACAGTCCACTCAACCCATACCGGTAGTTTAGTTCCAAATTCCCCATTCTAGTAGCAATTCAGAGGAAAGGATTTAAAATTATAATATTAATGCACTACTACTTTTACTGTGGCTCTCAACCTTCCCCTCTTTTTTTTTTTTTTTTTGGTCTCTTTTCTTTCCTCATTTTGACAGTTAGTCTGAGTCTATCATGGAATAGGGACATGGCTAGCCCCTGAGGAAACAAATATAATAGATATATCTCCGCTTTTCACTGAATCTCGATAGCGTGAGGATTTGCATATTAGATCTGCCGGAGAAACCAGTGTCTCTCCCCCAGGGTGGCCTTCCTTTCTTTTCTTTTCTTTTTGTTCATTATCGCCCCGGCGCACCTCCGCCCTAACCCTGGGGCACGATATCCTCGCCTGTCTTCTGAAGAATGATAGCAGCAGAATCGGGAATATATTATTACCAGAGACTAAACGACAATGAGTCTTGTTCAGATACTGAATGTGCTGGCCAGTCACGACGATGAGAGTAACTCCCTTTCGCGGCGGCTAGCGTATACCGACGCTGGCCCTACCATGGATATCGATCCTCTACCTTCAGCTCAGCACAAGGGCCTCATCGCAGTTTCCGTCATGGCATTCCTTTCCTTTATCGCCACCCTAATCCTACTATTGTTCATCACTTACCGACTTGTCTTCTGGCGCTCAAATTACGCACGGTATATCGGTTACAATCAATATATCGTTCTGATCTATAACCTGGTCTTGGCCGATCTGCAACAAGCACTTGCGTTCTTGATATGTCTCAAATGGATTTCCGACAACAAAATAGAAGCATCGTCAGCTGCCTGCTTCCTCCAGGGTTTTTGGCTCCAAATTGGGGACCCGTCTAGCGGTTTGTTCGTGCTGGCGATTGCAGTCCATACCTTCCTTCTGGTGGCCTTAGGCCACAAGCTGAGCCATCGGGTCTTCGTTTCGGGCGTTGTTGGTCTGTGGCTTTTTGTAGCTATCTTGGTTATCATTCCGCTTGCGTCGCACGGGCGAAATGTCTTCATCCCATCGGGCGCATGGGTAAGGGTCCAACGTCTCTCCCAATACAGAACTCAATTGCTAAATGTACCATCAGTGCTGGATCAGCGAAGAATATGAGCCAATCCGTTTGTGGACTCATTATATCTGGATTTTCCTGGCTGAATTCGGAACCGTCTGCCTTTACGCCATCATGTGGTTCCAGCTACGACGTCGGATCAAGCAATCTGCAATTCTTGGAAGCAGCCATACGGAAAGTCTTAGGCGTCTGCGCCGGGTTATCGGATACATGGTTATCTACCCGATTGCGTACATTGTGCTGTCCTTGCCTCTTGCTGCGGGGCGAATGGCAACGGCTCAAGGCAAGACACCAAGTGTCGCTTACTTCTGTGTTGCCGGTGCCGTGATCACAAGTTCGGGCCTGGTTGATGTCCTATTGTACACGCTGACCCGACGAAACCTGATCCTGGAGTCCGAACCGAGTCGCGATCGCAGTTACAACCGATTTGCAAGCAGCAAAAACCGGAAGACTGACCATCTCACGACCATTACCGCCGCTGAAGGCAAGCACAATCGGACGGATATCAGCGTTCTCCGTACCCACCGACACCGCGAAGATGATGATGAATTTGGTCACACAGTGCGCGAAGGATCCACCGATAACATTGTACAGCCTACTGGCATGGAATTGGCCCCTCTAGGAAAGGTATACCAGCATACCACAATCGAAATCACCCACGAGCCTGCGTACCCGGAGGCTGAAGGGAGTGACCGGTCGAGCAAAGATTCCATTGGACACGGCAAGGGTCCTGAACAGGCCTCTCGGATGTGGGGAAGATAACCAAGCCCTTTGGCCTTGTACTTTTCACATATCCCTAATGCCATCGAGTTAATGTCGAACGCCTTTTTTTTTTTATCAAGTTTTTACGCTCTCTTCTCTTCTACAACAATTTTCTTTGGATAATACGGTTATTAGTGACGTCTGGCCCTTGGGCTTTCCGGAGGCTTTTTTTCCTTTCTATATACTCATGACGCTTCTATTGATATCCATACCCTCGGCTCTTCTTTGATCTTGATTTCCAGGGTGATTGGCCTATCCCTGCCTTTCCTTGTGTGCAATCTGCACTGTACATATATACCATTCCCTTCTATATTTCCCTTCTTCATTTGTGTCTATATTGGGAGGAAGTGGCTTTGATTGGCCATTATGAGCCTTCACAACAGTGTTCGTTGAATCCGCATGCTCGCCAAGGGCTTGTGGTCAATATCAGCGAATAGATTAGATATCATGTTTACATACAACCTAACATAATATACAAACGCATGATGTTTTTACAACCCCACGAGCGTACCGATACATGAATTAAGTCTTAAAATACCCACCGTGGGCCACTTCTACGCCTTTCTTAGTATTACACCCTATAGCGAAAAATACATACACATTAGTGACCAACTCCTAACGTAGCTAAAACTTGAATAGTCTCCAGTCCAGATCAGCCGCCAGTCGAGCACGGGGTCCCTTGCCCCCTGGAATAATGCCACGAAGGAATTAGTTTAAGAGTTAGAACCAAGTAGTCGGAAGGATGGCGTTCCGCACCGGGTCAATGAGGTGGAGGGATCTTCGTGATCGTCCAGACGAGGCAAAATTATCGGTGGCCATATCGGACACGTTCGGAAAGGGTTGCGAAGGTTTAAGTTAGTAGATGTGGTTTTCTGGGGTGATTGAAGTCAAAATGGCTGGAATTGCTGGTGTTCTTTCTGGGAACTGGTAGGATTATTTGGGCGAGGATTTCCGAATACTCCGTTTGCCTATCATGTGGCGGGTTTTCTTGGCAAATGATATGTAAGTTTGATGGGTCCTGGGCAGGCTTTGGCTGTAGTTCGTTTGGGATATTGTGAATGGATATGTAGAAGGCTTTCTAAATCATGATATAGCCCAATCATTGACACTATTCAGTAAAAACTCGATTCGTCTAGTATGAAGCACCTTATTTTTGTAATGTCCAATGTAATGACCAAGGTCGGGAGTGTAAAATTCCTCTTCAGTTGTTGGTAGACAGAGAGTCAGAAACAAAAGGGATATATTTATCACCTGTATGTACATATATAGTTCTTAGACAAAAGTCTACGTAGTTACCCGCAACTTCCAACATATATATATATATAATAATTGGAACATTATAATCTCACGCAAAACAACCAGACATTATTTATCTTACACTAGTAGCGTGTATATCATTCCTTTGCCTCTGAAACTACATTCACACAGCTCTCTATAGACCTTATTAAGGAATCAAAGTAATCCTTTCCTAAGCTCTTCTATACGTCCTCTATTACCTTGTACAATCACTCTTTCAATTGGCTTTTGGTTTCATCAAATGATTCAAGGTCTGGATAAAGCATATAGATACTGTCACGGTGCCAGCCCGAACTCAGTGATTCTGACTGTTCATCTTCCCGCCAGATCCTGATCCTGTTGTAGCTTCTCAAGCTACGCCGTGTCTATCTGTCTGTATAGAGCCTGACCAGTAGCCTGCCTGTGTATTAGCTCTGTTAGCCTGTCTGCCCGAGTCCGCACCCTGGCAAGCCCAGCCATGCTCAATAGGGTTCATATCGGGAGAGTATGGGGGCTAGTCAGCAAGAGGAATACTATCCTCACCAAACCAATTCTTAATAATATTGGGTATGAATAGGGGCATTATCTTGCATAATCTCTATACCAGGTTCCTGTATAGCAGGTAGATTATCTTCTATAGTTTCTAAATAAGAGCGTGAAGAATACCTCCCTCGGGCAGATTTCTTATCCCTACTCATTCGGTAGATTTCTGTATAGCCACCACCCCAGATTTGCCCAAATTATAATAGATATTCCTTTAGCTTTTATATAGGAAAAAATATACTTTTTTTTTAAAAGGAAAAAAGGTAGTTAAGCCGCCATACCTATTAATTTTTCTTTCCTTTACCAAGCTTAACAGAATATTTATCACTCCAAATAATCTTGCCCTACTACTTGTACGTCCAACCCTTGCACATATATATCTATTGATAGCGTAATTTGGCTATTTTCTCAGTTAACTGGAATCTTTTTTGCGCTCTCCAGTGGCTATATCCAGATTCTTTAGCATACGCGCAACAGTACGTGCAGAAATAGGCTTGTTAAGTAATTTACAGATATCTTTTATTTTAATAAAGAGATCCCGCTTGATTCGTAGAAGAATGTATCGTTTATCAGCAGCAGAAAGGACCTCTGGCTGTCCGGAGCGAGGAGAACTACTTGCAGTAGTAGAGGCCTGATATATTTCAATGGTTACCTGAGTAGTTGTATAGGATAAATTCATTGCCGCGTTGAATATCAGCCTTTTACTGGCCTGTAATAAATCGACCAACTATAACTCCACGCTGAAAGTTCTAATTCCTGTCTACTAGTTCTATTTCAACTAGGAGACCGTAAAGGGATGCGAGACATGATCTAGATGATTGAAAATATGAAGAATAATATTGGGTAACGTGGAATTACGTAACTTTTATCATGTGACTGTACATTTCGAAAAGAGCTTTGGCGTCTTTTTGTCGCCGTGATGATTCACACAGTCAACTATTATAACTTGGAATCAAGAGAAGCCAGTCAGGGAGAAAACAATATATATATATTTAAATTATGTTAAAAAGATAAAACGCTCAATTCCAACAATTATTAGACACGCGGTGTGTGTTTTCTGGCAGGGATCGGAGGGCGTGAACCTCTCCAGATCCCGAAGTTCAACAAGCAATTCAATCATCGGACACGGACGTGGGGAAACAAATCCCGACAGCTTAATTAATCCATGACAACATGTTGAATCCTTCTGGGATTTTCCATGCTCTTAATATTATACACCGATGACACCTGCCGGTCGGCTCGATCAACGAATCGGTGTTTCAAATCATCTGCACATCTCCGCACAGGGTGGACTGGCGATAACGATCTTGGGGTTGGTGTTGATAATTTATGCGACACTCGCTTAGTTTTACTGGAGAAGATACATGGGTTACTGGAAGGTTATTTTAGCCAGCACGAAAAGTCAACAGGGAATGCTTTCCGAGAGCCGACAATATCCTTATTTATCCTCCATACTCGCCGTTGCTTGGAATACTGTCCGACAGTCAGGGCCCTTGTTTGAAGTCTATCGCAGTGATATACGTCAGTTGACCGTAGAACATAACGAACTGCGTAAGAGGTGATCGCTCATTTCCCTTGACAAGATGGGATGGCAGAAATATATCGCCGTTGCGGCTGCACTTTGGTTCGGTCAGGTAATACATCTTTTCGTAGTATGGGCTTGTCCTCTTTTCTATTTCGTTTTTGTACCGCTTGCTTAATACCCTGTCTGCGACTCACCGTACTAGGTTTTGTACACGACGTTCACATCGCCTGTTTGGTGCGTTCTGGGACCATTATAGACGTCCTTGACTAGGCTACCTCTGAAGTTTGCAAGCCTTACTGGGAATCGTATATACTTCGTCCATGAGCTGCATCGGTTTTATGACTCAGTTGTTCGCATTGCTCCCAATGAGGTAGACATATCCTCACTTGCTGGATTCAGGGAAATACATCGCACTGGGTCACAATTTCTGAAGTCAAAATGGTCTGAAAAGTTCCTCTTCCTTAAGAAACCGGGAGTCTTCATAATGAGACCCAACGCAGCAAGCTATGCGGACACAATTTTTCGCACGGCCATTTTTGAAATCAGAGTTGCGCCGAGTCTGGGAGCTCGTAATCAGGGAGAAGGTTCAGTTGGCAGTCTCCCAGATTCTGCAGGATCTGAAAGTGGATGGCAAACCTGATCTGCTCAAGTGGTGGATGTTCCTTGGTACAGATGTGAGTAGACATCTAATGTTTAGAGTGTCATTTGACATGCTTCACTTTGGCAAAGTAAGTCATGTAGACGCACGATGTTGCTCTATTATTGGTTAACTCTTTTGTAGAAAATTCATCATATACACGTACTAGAGTCCGCTACCAAGGGGTCTGGGGTCAGGGCAGAGTTTCCGTTGCTCGCATGGCCTTTGTTGCCATATACCTCTTTCTTCCTTCCAGACTATGTTTCGTGCTGACGACTATCTCTTTCAATATGGACAGCGGGCGATAACAAATAGCGGATGACTGGTAATGCTAGTTTTAGCATCTTTGCCGGCATGGTGCAAGAATCAGAGAAGAATGGCAGCATTATTACGGATGAAGACATGGCATCAGAGGCCGGAAGCCTTATTGTAGCTGGTGTGGATACTACTGCCGCCAATCTAACGTGCCTTATATGGGCAGTGTTGCCGCAGCCAAAGCTGTAACGCGACCTAAAAGAGGAAGTCAGTAACCTAAACGCTGAATTCAACGACGCTTCACTGAAGGGCTACCGTTACTTAACGCGGTCATCATGGAAGCATTGAGGCTGTACGGGGCAGCGCCAAGAGGGCTACCTCGAGATACGCCTGAAGGTGGAGCAATGTCCAGTGGTTATTTCATTCCCTAAGGAGTGACAGTGAGCACCCAGAGCTATTCAATCCAGGGGTGAGAATAATTATGCAGATGCCGAGAGTTTCAATGTGGACCCTTGGCTCGCCACTGGAACGGACGCTTCTGAAGTCGCTAAGAAAGCGTTCACGTTTGGGGCCGGTAGTAGGATCTGCCTTGGGATTCACAACATACTCGGATGGAACCCTGACTGGCGGCTGCTGAGTTTTTCCAGAATGCAGGGGTCAGACTGGGGCTGACCGCGACGTGAGAGAGTATGAGGCCTGTTAATTACTTTTTAATTCTCCGCGACGGAGTCAATGCGAAATTGTGTCACAAGAATGAATGGATGAGAAACGTCATGTCAGCAAGGAATGGTAAAATACTTTCCCTTTCCCTTTCCCTATCCCTTTCCTATTAATAATTTGTCCTACCTTGGAGACGTTACAAACAAAGGAAAGGAAGCCAAAAAAAATTAAAAATTACAGAACCACAACAAAAGAAGCAAACAACTCCAGGTGATCCCACCTAAGGAAAATATATCCCGATCTGCAAGATCCAATCACTCGCCTTGTTGAACCCTCTCACCTTCCCCAGCAGTTAGCTCGGCTGATGCCGGATCATCAAAGCCATAACCGTTGCCAAGACTCATCGCATCAAAGCTCCACCACCTGGACCACTTGATTGTACGGTTGATTGACATGAAGTCGGGATTCGCTGACCCTCTTCGGGATTTGGATTTTTCTTGACCGGCCGATACAAAATCTAACCATGCCATGCGCAAAAACCCTCCGTTTCTGCAGGACGGTGTATGGTCCTTGCTTTTTAACTTTGCTCGATATTGACCGGGATTTGAGATATGACCGCCGATCTCGACTATAGGCGTTCGATTAGCCGGAAGTTCTATCGACCGCCAGTCAAACTAGCTTGTCTTTCTCGGTGCGTTTCTGACATACATGAAGCGGGTGATTTGGCTGAATGAGTCTTTTCCCGGTGGTAGTCGTACGTTGCGCATACGCTGTGATGGCCAGACAGTCTGCACCAACTGCGTCGCTAAAAGGAGATCCTGCTCTTATGTTCCCAGTCGGCGAGGTCCACTTTGTTGTTCCACTAGAAAGCGCAAACCCATTGTGGCCAGTTGCACGCCAATAACATCTGTTGTGGACCTGGGAAGTCATCCAGCGGAGACTTCTAACAAGACGGGGATGTCGCCCAATTCTGGCGATGGTAAGTTATTCTTGACCTAACGTGTGTATGGCCACGATAAGCGTCAAATATCCTCTAATGAATATTCTGTAGAATGGGTCTATCAGCTGGGAGGCTTATGCGGCCCAGGGGCGGGACTTCGCAGCGTCGAAATGCCCTTTGCGGATATCGATTCTATATTTGACTCCATCTTCGGACCAAATTTAGACGAAACCAACTCTAATGCCAATTCTACATTTGTGTCCAACCCTGTACGATTGTACGGCAGTAACGAGGATATGTAAGCCTCCGTGAGGGAGTACTGTCGCCGACCATCATATTGACGAAAATAGACTCGATGCGTATTACGTCTTCATCCATCCTTCTTTCCCCATTTTGCCCCCACCAGAGCACCAGCCGGTATCCAGCCGTCCATTGGCTAGGGGCCCACCGACCTTTGAACCGACGAGCCCTCTTAGTCTGGCGATTTCCGCCATCCTCTCTCTAATCCCCCATCCAAATGAGAGGAAACCTAGGAGGGCAGAGTACGTGAAGAGACGAAGAGAATATGCAAACTGTTTCGCTCAAACTGCGCTTGGCGTCATTGAAAAAGACTACGAGCTTCTTAGCAGGAAACAAAGTTCCCAAGCAGATTCGGCTGATGGTGCCAAAGCCTTTGACCGACGACCGTTCCATCCACAAGTGGAGGTATTCCTCGAAGGAGTTGTGGCATTGACATTACTCAGTACCTATGAGTATGGACAGACAGGACACATCGACAACATGCTCCAACGGGCCAACCAAGCTCTTGCCTTAGCTATGAGTATGGCTTTGCATGAAGCGGTGGAGGAAGAAAAGTTCGCAGACGCCAAACGGAGGATTTGGTGGATGACGGTTGGTCTTTCTTGATACTTACTGTTTGTCGGAAAGCCTTGCTGATGTTGAACAAGTATATGACTGCATGCCAAGCATCAGCTGTTAGTGGGACGGTCCGTATAAATTCCCCCTTTTATCCCATTTAACGCATGGCTCATCTTTCAAAGCCTCCAGCCTTCGATCTTTACGATCCATGGTTCGTGACTTCGTACCCGGAGGTATGCATCTTGATTATCTCGAACCCTGGTACCTTCAATTACTGATCAGTATAAAGGGATGGAAACTCCTCATTGAAGCACAGCAAGCCCTTGTCGAATCCGCCTTATTTGCTAGCGATCTTGATCGAACAATAAACACGACCAGCGACGCATCATGGGTTTCGAAACGCATGGCAGAGCTTGACAGGCAGGTATCATCTCTTCTATTTCGCTGTCGAGATGCCCCTTTAGTCTCTCAGATGGCCCCACAACCTGACTCCGTCGAATCTATGGCCGCAAAGATGATGAAAGACTTTGCAGAAATCAAATTACACACGTAGGCTCTTTCATGCCCGAACACAACTGGCCTAGCTAATTCCATAGTGCACGGATTAAATTGCACCAACTGTGTGCATTTCAAGATATCATGTCTGGCCCCATTCAACAGTCCGACTCTTCCATCCCTACAAGGGATAATTACCGGATGGATATGCCCCTGGAAATAAGCAACAACACTATGCTTGTCGAAGACATATCTTTATTCTCCCAGATACCCAGCCTCCAGATGCCCTTTTCTTGCGAGGAGTCATCAAAATTATGTTTGCACGCAGCCCTCAACATTGTCACATTGCTCGACAATCTTCCATATCCGAACCATACCAGTGACGTTTTAACCAACACACAATACGCCAGCGGGGGTTCTGGCGTTGAGCTCCCTCGAACCATGCCCAGCGTGGTATGCTGTGGAGTGCAGTCGAGCTATACAATGCTGATGCTTAGTCTCAAAGCACGAGCCATCCTGAACAGCACGGCGGACGAAGTTAATCCTCTCGATGGAAACTCTTTGTCCGACTTTCGGAAGGAGTTGTATCACAACCTACGACTGATAGTCAAGTGTCTAGGGAATTATTCCATTGCGTTTGAAGCTATACAGGGCATAAGTGGTACGTTATTTCTCTTCCTGACAAAGCACCGACTAACGTGCAGCAGATAAATTAGGTCAGGCGATAGAAAAGGAGTTCTTGGTGTAAAATATGTCTTTCTGTATTTATATTGATTGAGCGTCTGGCGTGTGCTTCGTTTTATCTCCAGTGACTTGACATTAGCGACATGGAAGATTGGATGACATTATACCGTATAGAGATTTGCTGGTGGTGTATATCACACTTGGCTGATCAAGTGATCCGTACCACTTCAGACCAACTGAACGGAGCCATAAACCGAATGACCGATAGAGAGCATCAAATGGTAAGGAAGTTTGGATATCTCAGACAGGGAAGTCACATGCTCAGAGGGATCGTGGCCTTACGATGGATATCCCTAAGTACGCTCTTCTCAACCGCTTCATCCATACACACAATCAAAGACCGACATCCGACAGGTATTTCCCTCGGCCAATGACATAATCGACTTTTCAATTGGAGTCTCCTTTATAGGTTCGTAACCCCTTGCCTGCACCCAATTGGCTGGACGTGAATCGGTTATCCGAAGTCGCATCTGCAAGGATCAGGCAATTGATATCCCCGCCTGACGCCCTCCGAAGAGTGTGAGGAGATGATAGGCTCAATATTCGCAGCGCTATCAGTTAGCTTCTACAGGGAGGGGCATTCTTGACAGGTTTCTTTGCCAAAAATGGCGCATGGCATCCCAAAGTGAACATCCTCGGATATCTATGATTATGGAGAAGCATTCGATTCTCCCTCGGAATACATCATCAGAAAGTAAGAAATGGTAAACGACGAATGCTATGATATTTTACAAGCCTCTGTAGTCAGCCTTCGAAGGGCTCAACTTACTGCCCCATGATATACCCTGTTTGATCAGCGGTCATGACAAAAGGCAATTAAACTAAGTTTCCCATATCTCGCGAACAGCGAGGAGGTTTGCATCGAGCTTACGTCAAGAGAATGAGGTGACGTCCCCAACTATGCCTTTTTATCCACCGATGCAGAGGACTTGAGTGAATGGCAAGCTGCCACCTGTTGAACTGTGATTGGTCTCCTACAGCCGTATCGGGAGCCTCTGGGGGTTACGGTGGAGATTGAAGGCATTGTGAGGATGCTGGGATCTTGATCTCGGTGAGACGAAGACACTGAAGGGCCCAAGCGTGGCGGGTGGACTTGTACGCTGACTTAACTCGGATAGGTGGATATGATAGAGGTAAGGGACTATTTTGTTCAAACTGTTTGGCTTTCCTTGGTGTTCTGAGTGAGGATACTGCATCCTATTTCCTAGTCATGATTGGACTAGCAAAGTCAGGATGTAGCGAGCTGTTTGGGTATAGTTTCCCGGAATCCCTCTGCCGAACATTGGGTCCCTTACCGGCCGGTTGGCTCCTCCAAGGTTCTAACAAGCATCAGTATGCTGCTATGCCGCAAGTCATCTGCTACGAAAGTAATATCCTCTCCAATCGCATGGTGAATGATGGCGGAGGCGCAAGGGACGTTGCATGTGGTGGACGAAGCAGCATGGGACATGTTCAGGAAGCATTGATTACTCACATATCATATCTGAGTAGGCCTGCACGAGTTCCTTGGGTACGGTGACGGCGGAGTGCTTGTGCAGATGCTCAATAATAATTTTATTTCGACCCGACGAACCGGCCGAGAAGGCCCCTTGCAGATAAATTTGTTGGCACTTCGCATCTACTTGGATGGGCGTATTCCAGGGACCCAAAACCACAGTAGATAGATATCGAGGATGACTCGTGGGTGCCTAGCTATTACCTGAGCTGGATACCCCGGAATTTATTGGATACCAAGGGAATGGCTGACATGAAAGGGTATAATGGTATAACATTTCCATAATTTGTTGGTGGGGCGTAAAGCTGACTGGCCTTTTAGTTGTCTAAAGCTTGAACATGGAACTGAACGTTGTCAGCCTTCGATGTTCAGGAAATCTGATACCACAGTCAAAGTCCGTGGTTTCTTCATTGCTAGGGAAGTCCATAATGAAACCTCTTGGAGATGGGGACAAATGTATACCTAAGTAAGTCTTATCAAAACCTAACTCTAAGCAAGAAGCGATTCGATGATCGACTCGCTATGTTCTATTCTGATACCCCAGCAATGGACTTAGGGGAGTAGTACTCGGAGATGAGAGTTGGGTAGCCGTGACAGTTCTACTACCAAGTCACGCCTACGGACCAGAACCCAAGATAACAAATAGACTCATTACCGATCCTGGATCTACGACGGATCGCCACATCGCCGCAATCCTCAATACATATCTCATCATGCGACAACACCAATAACGACGCGGGATGATTCTGCAAAGGATCGCAAGCATCTATGAGATACTATGATAGGTGCATCGCTTCTCTCATGCACTTAGTATCACAATGTCGAATGCAAGGATATTGCCTCTTCCTCCGGGTGATACCGACCAACACAACAATCCTCTATATTTATTTTATTGGAGTCACTACCCAATCAACATACATTTCACAATTTCCTAATGTGATTTGAGCTGCGCTTTGCGCTATCCACTTATCGTGTTCATCCCTCCCTCCATTTGAGGATGAATGAATCCGGCAATTTCTACACATTGCTCCTTTTCAATCTTTAATATAGGTATGGGGATGGTGTTTGAATTAAGAAATGATTGTCTCCCGCTGCCAAAAGAGATATAAACGGGGCCGAAGACGCATCAAGGCATGATCGTCACCTTATACGAGGGATAGCCCGTGTTCTATCAAGCCACGAACTCAGTGTAGATCTGATAATAAAGGTGTTGCAACGAACTATTCGCAGAGAGGCTAAGTCAAGATAGATATGACCAACACCTACAGGGCTATCCGAACCCTAATAACATATATTTGTTTCATTTACTATCACACTGCATATATGCCCTGCACAAAAGGGTTAAGACGACAAATAAAATAACCCATGATGTTGGGTTGACGGCGAATATGATTTCCTTTTCCTCATAGAGGTTTCCTAGAGGTGAATTGCTGATTACGATAGGGACTAAAGGTGCACTGTTCCTAAAGGTCGCATGGTTAAGGTCTAGGGAAATAGTATCGAGACGTTTGGGGAAAAGCTGTGTGGTTATGTTGCGAGGGTTGCTTGGTTGGAATATTGTGGACCGTGGGTGAGGTAATGAGTCTTGTTTGCTATGTTTTGAACGTAATCCAACTAAAGGGCATTGTCTCTCGTAAATTTTACTGAGCGAGACCAATATGTGGGTTCGCCTTACAAAATTGTACTGAAGATGCACTACAAGGGTAAAGGAGGACCGCATAAAAACAAAGCCATTTCTTACCTAGAGCATCATATCTTTCTTATTGATGCACCTACCATTCGACTTGAAATGCCACGTGGCGAATGGTCTAGTCCTGCACCGATAATGGGAATGCGGGACTAGCCAGCATCGCCTCCTGGACTATCCCGCCGTGCCTCAGGGCGCGGCACGGCTGTTTGCGGATGGCATCGTTCCTTGGTCCTCAGGCATCTTTCAAGAGGTTGTATAGTCGAGTTCACACGGTATGATGACACGCGTGGAAAACAGCACAGATCAGCGGAAGCGGCCGCCTGACTTCACCTCAGAGAGGGTGTCGGGCCACTGCGCTCATAGGAACTTCGCTCGATATAGTCCAAACATTAGGATGCGACTGGAAGGGATCCCTGGCTTCTGTGAGCGGATAACCTGCCTTCGGCCAGCGGCGTAGTGGCAAGTTACACTGAGGCCAATCCTGTCCAACGGACACAGACAAAGAGATATAGTGGTGTTACCGACAATGTTGTTCGAGACCGGGTTCAGATACGCGAGAATGACGACACATTCTTTTTGTGTGGTAGCGTGCAACTTGGGAGACGTGACGCCGCACACTGCCCCTAAGGGGTGTCCGCCTAGGTTAAATGCCCCGGGGCGGTTGGTTGTACGTGGGACGGGGCTTGAATATTGGGAGAATGCCCGCGCGGATATATTTTCGCATCATCGTGGGCAATGAATGGTTGATATAGGCGGTTGAGTAATCATACAGCAACCGTAGAGACGCCTGGGAAGTCCAGTCGTGATCCATTGTTACTCAAGGAGTTGGGATGGGCTTTTGTTGTTCATTTCGGGATCTTGTGAGGATATGTGGATAGTTTTGTTTATGTCTACGCCCGAGAGGATCTTTTAACAAAGGCTTTTCCGCAGTGACCTAAGGATCGGTGATCGCGACAAGGCGAATGGGGGTACTGCACGTATAGGAGGCAATTGTACAAAACGATTGGCTAGGCGATTTGGGGGGCTGTCTAGTGTTGTCTTGCTTGGATGGGGTGTAGGTTGAATCGGAGAGCAAGGCGGGCGAGGACTCCGGAGTACTTCAGACATGGACGCAGTGTAATAACCATTCAAGGCTTAGTGGAGTTCGTGTGGATGAAACGAGTGGAGATGTCGTCTCTCGGGGACCTCTTTCGGGAACGCGTCCTCGCCTATCACACCAATTGATGATTATCCACTTTGCCCCCACCCCCAAAAGCCCCAGGCGAAAGTGGTGGAGATTTGCGATCATGCCACAACCCTGTATAATTTTTGATGCTGATTGGAAACAATTGAAACCCGGAGGACTGGATCAAGGTCGCCGACCGTCTGGACGGCGTTTGACATGCGTCACCGAATACAACTAACTGCATGTTGTGTCGAATATGTGGTATAAGCCCGGACCACATGCAACCGGGTCTTGAGAGTCGCACGGCGTGTGATCAGCGGAAAGTCTCACAGTGGCTCGCACAGACACGGTCCTCGTCGACTTTCCTATGGCCCTGGACTGGTCTTTTAGCCACCCTCTCCTTACCTCGATGAAGTCCCGATCCCTTTATATGACAGGTATGCATTGTGATTCAGGCCAAAAGTCGGAGAATAGCCTTTTCAGCTGAGCTCGTATCCTGATTCTGCAGTTCTGCCGTACATCGGGAGTGGGTGGAGAATTTGAGGCGCGCCGGGATGGGATCCAATGGCCTGGGTCATTGTATGGCACGACCATGTGCTCGTACAGTAAGCCGAGCCTCCCGTGAAGATTAAGGCTGGACGTTGGACAGTGAGAGTCTAGACAGCCGGGGAAGGGTCGGGGAGTTGAAGGATTCCGTGATGCATGTCGTGTTGCTCCTAAAAGAAGGACGCCGAACAGAATCTCACGCTCTTATCAAATATTCGATCAATGAATCTTGGGGGATGGAAAAGAAGGAACGGGATCCATTATGAGGAATTAAAGTGGAACTTGTCGCCGAATGGTTGGTCGCCGACTCGGGGATCTCGGGATCGACGAATTAGTGACTGGCGGTAATGACATCCGAGATATCCATAACAAAGTTATCTTTATACATTGATACATAGATGGAACATTCCATGCCTCTTTTAGCTCAGAACCCCAGCTTTTAACTTAGTTCCTGCTGTGTCACCCATAAACGCCACATCCCGTCTTTGTTTCTTCTTTGAGCGATACTATTTTATGATACTACATACAGTATACCATGCAGGACCCAACCACCCCGTCCAAACCCCCCTCATCCCGGCCGCCCTCTTCTCTAGCTTGTGTCCCTTGTCGCCGTCGTCATTTAAAGTGCGATGCCCTGATGCCAACGTGTACTCGTTGTCAATCCTCCAATATAGAATGCCGTTATGTTCGGTCGAGACGAGGCCTACGTACCAAGCACGAGAACCATCACCCCCAACGCTTCGCTGAGGAGATGTTGACCGCAGAAGACTTCGCTGAATGGCTCAATGCCACCACGTTGGCCACAGACTTAGAGGTAGGCTGACAAGCTACCTATTACGGCAAAGAGCGGCAAGGGCTAACGAAAAAAACAGGCAGATCCAGCACTGCTTCAAGGGCTTGACACGCCTCCAGTATGGGACGTCCCTTGTCTCCAAGAGAGTACAACTACCTGGCCAGCGCCGGAGCCTCTCCCAACGACCGCCGAGATAGCTTACGATCCCATGGTCCAGCTGTACTATCAAAACTTTCACCGGTCGCACCCTTTTTTGGTTCCGAGAAAGATACTTCATTCTTCGCTCCGCCACCAGATACCTCCATATATCCCCGCAATTATGCGCTATATTGGCGCACATTACTATCCTGATGCAAGGTTCAAGGAAGAATTTCGACCAGCGGCGCACGATGTCCTGTTAGACTCCACCCCGCGGGACGGGTTTAAAGTCCAAGGACTACTGTTACTTGCGATCCTCGAGCATGCTCATGGCCAAGAAGAGACCGCCCGATTGAACATGCAAACAGCGATCGAGCTTGCCCTCGAGCTGGGGATGAACCGCTCCAATTTCTCCCGCGTGAACTCCCAAGGTAGCTCAGTGCTGGCCGAAAGTTGGCGCAGGACATATTGGGAACTATATGTTGTAGACGGTTTGTTGGCTGCCATGCGAGATCAAAGCTCGTTCCGCCTTTTTTCTCAAAAGACGGACGTACAGTTGCCTTGTGCCGAGACACTCTACAATTCCGCCAGAGAGGTATGAGCGCCCTTAAGACCCGGTCAAGATGAGTGAGAGTAGCTGACATGCGGAAGATCACCCCTACCGCGGGAACACTAGAGGATCTCAACGAAAAGTGGTCTATGGCCCAAGACAGTTCCACCTTCAAATATCGAATTGAAGCTGCGCGGAATCTCGGGTTGGTGATGGAGATTAACCGTTCACTTGATATCAACCTTGAGGCACGGGTAGAAACGGTTGACGCTATGCTCGTTTCGTCGCTGATGCAGCTACCCTCATCGCAGAATAATTCCTTGGACAGCTCGAACCTAGACGAAATGCTATTCCAAGCAGAGATGATCGACTATCTGTAAGGGCCCTTTCGCATACGCCACCCCGCCATTTTGGTACCATTCAAGGAGCTAACAGCATCAACAGGGCAATAATTTACCTGCATCATCCTCGTTCTAGCATGAGGTTTGCCTCTTTCCAGGCTCGCACATGGTGCACCCGGCTTCGAATCTGCAACACTAACCCGGCACCCACGGATCTGGATCTACACTCTCATAAGTTTCTGCGGGCAGCAGATCAATTGTCGAATCTTGTTACTCTGCCCAGTGCGATCAAGTCGCGTACGCCCTTCTTCACATGCGCTCTGGCAATGTGTGTGATTGTGCATACGGCGGCCTGCCTGATCAATTCTACTCCTGACAAGGTTGACTCGCTAAAGGCACGGATTCAACTGAGCATTGGGGGCTTGAACATGTTAGGGAAGTCCTGGCCGTTGGCAAAGATGGTGAGGCAGCAGATGGTAAATATGTACCAAGAGGTGGGGTTGCGATGAGCCAATCGAGCTCCAATCGAGTTCCCCCCCATTGCGGTATACCCCCCCATCAATGCCGCGCATCCAAACTCGAGGGAGACACGAATCAACTTTACCAGATATTTGCCGGTAGATCTGGAATGTATAACATACAAATACGTACCGGTACACATCCCACTCAAGTCCGACGAAACTGATCGTCTGACGACGATAAAGGAAAGCCGAGACCACCTAGCTCAGTCTAATAACAAGCGACTGATCTCCATTTGGGGGAAGCCTTTTATATCCTTGGCTACCTCATCAAAGAGCGTGAACGTTGGTCGATTCTTGTCTCTAAGAGGCCTCCAGTGTCGACTTGACCCTGCTGGACGCACACAAATTAGACACAGAACACATACTTTCGAAGCCACCGGCCGGCTAGGCTCGGCGACCTATAAGTGGCCAGTAGTATTTTTTAAAATATATGGTGGTAGCTCGCCTGTGTGCTGTGGAGATGAATTGAACAACTGCAAACAATGCTTCCAGCTACTATATCACCCATCGATGTGTTGTCAATGCAAAGAAATTCGGAAAGCGCCACACGGAGGTGATCAATATAGAATAGGATGGCCACTCGAGATAATGCGATTTTTGAATATCAACAACGTGAAGAGAAAAATAGGAGAGGCCAAAGGTCTGCGATTACGCGAAGTTGAACAGTATGAACAATGTCTGGCGTAGACGGCTTTACTTTTGATCGTAGCGAGATCAGTCAGTGCCGGATTGGAAGACTGCAACAATGCTGATACGTCGCCCCGGCACCCCCCTTAAGTCACATTCTCCTATTGGAATGCAATAAATCGGAGGTTACGCCTGTCGACAATAATGACGAGATCGAACTCGACTGATAATGGGGTTGTCCTTTCTCTCCAGAATTAGGAAAGATCGGCTTGAATGACAGGTCCTGTTTCAGGTATGACATATCTACTATGATATGCCCTTCATCCGTCGGCCCTATAGTGTATCAGCTTTCCTCGATGCCACTGGGAAAAGAAGCCGGATTCAACTCTGTTCTTCGGGTGGTTCCTCCTATAGTTCGACTCGTGATGTCGGTCTGATAGGTATAAGACCTCCTTGCATAGGAAAGGTTCATCTGATTGGATAGGGAAAGTGCGGTCACAGTTCTGCAGATACAACTGCCTGATGGTAGGAGGTCGCCCTGTCATGGTTCACTTTGGCATACAGTCGCCATGAACCGACGGAACCGATACTGTGTATACAACGAGGATAATGCGCATACCTTAATCACAATCGACTCGGTTGTATTTTTGATCTATTTGGTGCCATCCAGAGGATCCGTCCAAGGGTACTTTCCTGTATGGGCCTTCACAAAGCTCAGGTCGTTACGGCCCCGTTTGAAGAAGCCCGTAACTGAGCCGAAGCCTGTGCTCAGGACCATCCTCTTTCTGGAGAGCGTGGAGTACCATCCCATGGGCGACAGCACATCCTCTGTTAGGACTGTCGTTAAAAAATATCATTCTTCTTTCAGTGAAAGGTTGGCGCCCATCATAACATACGGTGCCGTTGCTCGGATGAGTTGAATCCTGGCTGTATTCATTCGATTGTATCGGTTTAGCCTTCTCTGCAGATGATTCACTAGCGACGAGCAAGCCGCGAATCCTCTGATGAGGATAACCTTCTGGGATATTCATCAGAGATATCAGAAGAGGAAAAAAGTCCGGAACACTGAATGTAATTTTTAACCTTCCCGGCGACACCTTTCAATCGTGCCTGATCAATCTGATCTAACATCAGAAGTGACACGCCATCTAGACATGGCTTGGAAGATAGCTTTCGAATCTTCCCTAGCAGACATTTAATGTTGGCTGCGTTAGAGAGAAAATGCAAAGGAGAAGCTTACTGGCCCAGATACAGACGACTCTTCCGAAACTTCTTTTCTTGGTTCGGCTTAAGACCCTGGATGAAGAAACGTTCTGGCTTCAGGGGTGGAGGAGAGGGGTGTAAATAGATGTCAATGTTTAGCTTGTGCTTCGTCTCGAATTGTAAGACCAAATCATTCACGATTCCCTCACTCTTCACATCGTTGCTCTCTAAGTAAGTCTCTTTTCTCAAGCGCTTGAGTATGAGTCTTTCGAAATCGCTCGTTGAGATAGCTGGATCCGCACAAGGCCCCTATAACTAAGTCAGCTATAGGAATCCCGGTTGGCTATCCAGGGAGAAGTTGCTTACCAGCCGGCCCAACCCCAACCCCTTCTCTCTCCAACCGTAAAGGGCCGTACTTTTCGGCTTTGTAAGTGATTGCGTCTACAGTTCCGCCTCCAGCGTCGACAAGGATGAAACAGTCGTTTGGCTGATAACAACAGCTAGATCAGACCAATAAAAAAGAAAGCAAAGTTAAAGCAGCCTGACCAGTACTTCATCAGTCTTCGCTAGGACGTATGTTAGTATTTTAATAGAAAATATATTATTATTTAATAATTAAAGCCTCAGAAACCTCCACCTCGCAACCAACCACTTCCTCTTTAACACCGATCACTACAAAAGTAACATCATTCCCACGTGGGCCTCGTTCTTGTCCCGTCGGCTGCCCAAGGCACTCGTACCGCTCGTTCCAACCGCGCCGGAAGACCATACCTATGGACCAAGCAGCCTTCAATACATGGGGGCGAATAGGACAGCGTATGGCAAGCAAGAGAGCGACTATTCGCCGACATATTCAACTCTGCCCTGAACATGAAATGCGAGCTCCTCACGAGCAATGACCGTTTCGAAATCGTGCTCTACGGATTCGGAGCCCTGTTCAACGAAGATGCGATGATCGCGGAGACTGCCAGTGGGGCTGGGTGTCTGGGCTCCTACCGGCCGTTTATGCGTATTCTGCATGCAGCCCTGGTCTCGTTCAGTCCCGGATTCCCGTGAAGTCGGACCATGATGATACGGCTCTGATGTATTTGCTCAGCAAGGCGATTGCGATTCTGAGCGTTGAGGGATATTATGTTCCGCGCTGGTTACTTACGTTCGAATTCTGAGATGGTTTCACTCGTCATTGAGCTTGAGGGAATGTAATAAATACCATTGAGTTGAAGATTGGGAGCCAGAAAGAGATACTAGTGCTGCTCAAGTAGCTTCTAATTGATGGCCTTTGCCCTCTTGAAGGTAAATATTACAAACAAATGATGTGAACCGACCAAGAGTAATTTTTATTGCGACGCTGTGATTTGGACTCAGCGTTGCAAGAATATTGTATTACACCGGACGCTTCAGAACGATCAACGATCATAGAAACCAGAAAAGCACCCAGCTCTGATTATCTCACCTCCGAATCCCCATCGCTACTACTTTGCACCGCCCTCCTTCTCACCCTCCCAGCGGCATCGTGCTCAGCATCCCAACTGGCTAACCGATCCTTAGGCACCTTAACCAACTTATGCGCGACCTCACCATTCTCGAGGCGCAATACTGTCTGCCGGAACTCGTATCCGCTCCATTGAGGGAGAACCTTAATCCAAAAGTAGTAGTACGCACAGCAGAATGCGATGCTGAAGTATGAGTTAGTATATTTCGTAAGAAAGAAGAGAAGAGGGAAAGACATACACTCCAAGCCCCACAACGATATACGTTGCATACCAGAAACTGACATCTCCGCCGGTTGCACCAGCTGTGGGTGGATACCAGGGGGCGACGATCATGTATAGGTTCGATAAGATCGAGAAGAGCACGGCGATGTCCCAGGCGCGGTATTCTGAGCGGGGGAATCGGAGACGTCGGCGGCGGACTCGGGTGATCACGAGGCCGATGGCGAGTAGGAAGGCGAAGAGATTCAGGGGGTATATGCTCAGGTCGACAACTGGAGGTTGTTAAATTTGAGGGAGATTTGTATGGTTAATGAGTGAGGAAGGGGGGCTGACCAAAATTGAAGGCGTCGCCGGCTGGCGGGGCGAGGATCATTAAGAGTGTTAGGGCCCATTTGAGGAAATATGGACCTAGGGGTGTGCCGAACGGTTTGGTAGACGTCCAGAAGGTGGTGAAGGGGAGCACACCTTGGCTAGTTTGGGTCAGAATGTGTCAGTTTAATTGAGATGGAGGGTGCCATACCGGCCACATTCTCGGATCATACGAGATTGTCCAATGAGAACAGCAAGTAGGTTTCCAAATGCACTGAGGCAAATAAGGAAGTTCAGGGCCCGGGATGCACCGTGGTTTCCGAATACTTTCTCGAAGAAAATACTGGCTGCAACGACCTTTGAGTTGAGTATCTCTTCTTTCGATGCGGCGGAGAAGTAGGCGACATTCGCTAGGATGTATAGGGCGGCTGTGATGAAAAGGGATAACGGGGCACTCCAACGGAGAATCTTGATGGGGTTCTATGCGACTTGAGTTATTGATGTTTGAGGTAAAGTTATATCGAGTGCTGTCTGCTGTCATGGGTGCAGCGTACCTTTACTTCATTGACAACATTGAAGGCGTTCTCATATCCCTGATAAGAGAACATAACCTTTACAAACGCATTGGTAGCCCCGTATACGGTGGCCGACGAACTGCCATCAAAAGCATTTCGGAAGTTGAGGGTAGGATCTTTGATTGAGGTGTGACCGCCGAGAACGACAAGACCAGTTATCCCAATACTACTCAAGGATTAGCCTTGCTCTATGACATATGGCAATCATAGAGTAGAAACGGACGTACAAAACCAGTGTAATGAGCTTGACAAATCCGATTGCGTTTGCGAGTCGAAGCGACCATTTTGTATCAAACACCAGGACTATTCGCGTTTAGTCAAGATCCCTAGGGATACTTAATGGCCAAGGACGAACATAGTACCGCCACTGTATAGGATGCAATAGCAACGCCTTTAAGCTTCCAATCAGTCGACTCTGTCTCCGCTAATTTAAATAAATACTGAGCCAACACTAGTTCACCAGTTAGTCTGGGTCAATTGCGATATTGACCAGTAGGGACTACATACCCACGGCGTTACTGCTGCTGAATGAAAATAGTACAGTCTGCATCGCAAACACCGTTGGAACGAGATACTTGGGTCGAGGATACGCCTGTTCCAAGTATACCACTTCTGATCCAGACCGACTGGGAAAATACGAAGCGAACTCGAGGTAAACGGACAACGTGCTGGAGGCCATCAGGTATCCAATTGTCCAGTAGAATAAGCTTAAGCCAACCGACCCGGCTCCACGTAGGACGGAAGATGCTACCGTTTGTCTTAGATTAGCTGCTGACAATCATCGGATGAAATGTGATTGGGCTCGACATACGAGTGGAGAAGACACCCGTTCCGATCATCTTGCTCAGGTTCAGAAACACCACAGTAACCGAGCCGACCGAGTAACCCAGCGGTGAATTGACTTCTATTGGGGCACCGCTCGCTTCCTGATACGTGAGCTTGGAGGAGTTGAGGCCTCCTTCTGCAGTGTACTGCAGGCTCCCAGTGTCAATGATACTGTCATTGTCGGATCGCTCTTCACCTTCTGTGGGTGCTGCTTTGGTGCTGAAGAGAGGGAATCCCATTGTTATTTTGATCCCTTAGGTTGTCTCAATGGAAGTCGGTCGCTAAGAGTCTCGGGATCTGCGAATAATATTTATCTGCACATGTACGAAGCCCAGTATCCCCAACCCCCAGTGCTCATGATGGGATTCCATGACGTGATTCTTTATCTATCACGGCTTTATCCAACCACAGCTGTTAAGTGTAAAATAATATTCTTGGAAGGGGCCCGAGATACGCGTATGAGTGGCTAAAAGAAGTGAGCCAAGGCTTGTCAGTCATGGCGGATAATAGACAGTGACATTTAAAGTTAAGTGGATAAAGACTGGGGTTACATTGACAAGCTTAAAGGGATTTCTAGACTCCTGGGTATGCAATGGGGGTAATTGGTCCGATATGATGAAGCGGCACGAAAGCGTACATTGAAACGTATGACCAAGAACCAGTCACAAAAGAATCAAATAAAGTCGAGAAGACTTCCCAGTGTTTTTGTGAGCTCGTGGGTGCTGTTAGGATTGCACGATCGCCGGGGTGGATGAGCGCATCGCCGCTAAATCTGCGCCATTCGGTCGCCATTCGCCGTAAACACGGATCTTTGCCTCATGTTTGGGCAAATAGGATTGCTAGAATTCAAGGAAGGAGGCCTAAGGAGCATAGACCTGTGTTTGTTCGATTAACAAGTTTGAGGGTCTTTTGTTCATGGAGATGAAAGAAGGCATTATCAAATGAGGAATGCAGACTGACGAGAAAAGAGAAGCACAATTTTCCGAGTGGCAAGGTCAACCATATTTCCAGAGATTGTTGACTGAGGTTGGACGCTAGGCTTCTCTTCTCGAAGGTAATGGGAAATGTGTAGTTACAGACTCTTGGTTACAATCATGAAATTCTCCCAGGAGTTCCTCCATTTCACCATGAGACTCGAATAAGGTCATCAGGAACCTTCCACCCATGTAATCGACACACCCTCACATACGCAGAAACAGCCTCGCCCACGGAGTAATCCAACGTGTGTTCTTTCTCAAGCCGTGCTGGTACCGGGTCCGTGCTGGTGAGGGCCATGCGAACTTGCAGCAAGACGCTCTCTATACTGGAAGCTGGTGACCAGCCGGAGCTCGTTAGTAGTTCCAAGCACATCGCCCCTCCAGCAGTAACATGGCCACCACCGCCTCTGCTAAACGGCAGGAATCTTGGGCGGATGACGCGGACGAAAGGAGGCGACATAGGAAATTGGGCCAGAAAACGCAATTCCAACACAACGGACGTCAAGCCCGCCTCTTTTAGGTCCTTGGCCAGCGGAAGGGACGGTTCAAAGCTATGTAGCTCCACAATCCATTGGTAAACATTATTCACCATGTTAGGATTAACGTACCAGCCAAGGGTATGCAACGGCTCTCGTTCCTGTAATTTCAATGTGGCTTGGAGATGCTTTTGAAGAGATTTAGTAGCCAATGTTGTCGCGTATTGGGGTGGACCTAATAGCTTCAGGGAAGACTCATCTAAGCTTCCGGGTCGAAAATCGGTCTCAGACAGGCCATGGAGATCTTCGTTTGTCGCCTCATTGTCACTATCATTGCTATCGTCACTCTCTTGACCTTCTGATTCAAGGAGCCAGTAATCATCTGCAAGTGTGGCGACACTATCCGGGTCTTCATCAGAGAGCAGTATACCATCATCAGAAAGCTGGCCATCAGGTGTGCTATTTTGAGTCGCTCTCCCAAAAAAGTTGCTACTGCGTGATTGACTATCCGATATATCTGAAAAGAGGGCTTTGTGGTGACTGCTCACAGCAGAGATTGGTAGTATGAGACGCTTGCTGTTGGGACCAACAGCGGCATGTCCAGGATCCTGGGTGTAAAAGTCTGATGGTTTAACACCCGATTCTCCCAGTTTTAAACATTCATTCTTGTATGCAATGATGAGGTATCTTGGCTGAATCCAATCCAGCTGATCTACCACGTAGTATCCATTGCAGGTCACAAATTGCATGGGAGCATTGACCACCTCATTTAGGGACAGGGCCATCTGTATATTCAAAATACTATTCGGCCAAGACAGGGAAGCGGACCCTTGAGAAGCATAAGTCACTGAGTAATTGAACTGTGGGGACATATACACGCCATCCCCTGAAGAGCGGCCGTGTGCAACAGTCTTAAAGTGCAGCCCTTCCCGTAGAATGCTATGCCAGTTATATAGCGGGCTTCCGTGCCATGCGAACAGAGTAGGATACAGTTGGTTTTGGCTGGATGGTTGTGACCTAACCGCGCTCACAAAGCGCTGTTCCTTATCTGGGGCTCCCTGCGCGAGCCTGAACTGTGCATAGCCCTCCAGCCCTGATATTTGATGTTCCGGATTGTCCTCATACCTGATACACGATCGGTTTGATGCAACAATCCACCGCAGGGCATAAAGAGCAGACGGGGATATTCTTTCACCCCATGATGCCAGCGACCTCTTGGAATTAGCGTTAGGATGGCTCAAAACAAATGACCGCATCTCGTCAATATTGGGAAGTGTGTCCAAGAGCATCACCATTGCCTCGCATTTAACATTGTCGGGTAGATCGTCGAAGCATTCTTTGTAACATACAAATTGCACAAGGTCCCCGCTTGTGAAAGGCGGGCTGTGGCCATGTAGCGCCCATCGGGTAACTGGGGATGATACGACGATAGATGGCAGCAGATCCGCGTCCTGCACTCGACAATGCCACTGAGGTTGACAGGTGCGAAGGTTTGAGCCGTGTCGCGTAATCATAATCCAATCACCCTCTCTCAAATCAGGCTTCCCTTCGGCAAGGAGCTCCATTTTGTCCAGGTTGAGCTTTGCACTGTATATTCTCTCTGTGCGGCGCTTGCCATAGGCTGTAGGAACCACCATTCCGAGGCCAGTAGGGAAGTCTTGAAGGCGGTTATATGCCGCTCGAGAATAAGTGAAACTGACAAGCATGTCGATAACGTACGGTTGAGATACTATTTTCCACTCTAGACTCGGCCCCATGCCAAGTTTCATGTACTGGTACAGACACAGACTTTTTGAGCAGACATAGGGCATAAGCGCCTCAAAGCCCGCTTCAACCTTGCAATAGCAGTTTAGGCAGAACTCCGTGCACTTTACAAATCTGCGAAGGGTGAACTGCATGGCAATCAGAGGAAAGGATAATTGAGCCTTACCCTCGGAGATATGGTCTGCTCGAAGAAAGCGTGGTGTGATATCGTTCCATGTCTCTCGAACAAAATACAGTTCGCGTGTTAACTCTTCAGGGTCTGCCATTTTGCCTTGGCTATTGTTTGAATAGAGCTCAGCCCCTGTCCAAGTAAAGTTATGTTGGAGACGTTGTCGCACCAAGCTGACAAAATGTGTGTTGAGTAGTGTATGGATTGAGTCGCCAATGAAGAAAGATTGCAAATCTGGGCCCTGATTTGCAACCTTCCCGGGTATCTCAGAGTCTGTGGAATCAAAAGCCTGTATGGCAGTTGCTACTCCAGGTTTGTATGAGTCGCAAAGACCGACACGCATCCGAATCTGTGGTGACCTTGAAGGAGATGTCCAAACAATCTCCTCTAGCTGACGGTAGCCTAATGGATATCGCAGAAGCAGCACTAAATACTGCGTGGGGTGAACATTCCATGCCTGCATCGCTACCTTTGAAATCGCAAGCTTCGCTATCCGACAAGAGATTGAGATAATTAGGGATTCGGTTACTTCTCCAATGAACCCGACCCGATACCCAGCCTTTTTCACAGCGCCCATGTCTGACCGTATTTGCTTCAACACCTCTAACCTGTCTGGCGTTGAAAGACATATGGATCCATAATCAACGTCCCAGTCGTCGTTATCGTCATCGGAAGGAGTCTCACTCTCTGTAGCATCGTCTTCTTGGATTGGATGTGCGCTGCCATTTCCCAGAAGAGCGTCATCTATACTGTCGCTGACGCACTCAAGAAATTGATGGATCGGGAAACCCGCAAATACTGGTTGTGTGCTATCAAGGACCTGCGATACAGCCTCAGGGATATTATCGCTCGCAGCAAATGTGAAGTATGTATGATCATCGGGGTAGTCATATGTATCTGTTTTTCTAGAGTTGAGTGACGCTGAATCGATTAGATCCGGATGTACATACCAAAGATTGAGGTCTGTAAATCAATGGTGTTGCTGCTGAAAGGTACCATGTAGGTAAAAAGGATTGAGCCATGCTCTTCACCCGGCCTCACATTCCTTAAACGAGGAAAACGTCCAGGGACTGAAGCTTGCGCAAGATCCCTCTGGAAGTCCTTGCGAGGCATGGTATATCACGTTAATGAGTAGAGTAGATATAAATACATTTATTTAAGGAACGACTTGAACGATGAAAAATAAACGGACTGCGGGGGGAGGCGTTATGAGGAAGAGATGATGGTAGGTTGATGTTGATATGACAATGAAGCCCTGCCACTCGACCGGAAAAGCCTGGTTGAGGCCTTGCTGCCTGGGCCATGCAGTACACTTCACTGTCCGCAACGTGGAACCCCTCATTAGCCTTGACTTATTGCTTTGGTTCCCTTTTCCATATTGTAATTTGCAACGCTATACTCTCGTAGGAATTCTCACACTTTTCCGTCCGTCATTCAGCCATGGATTTGAAGTCTTACCAAGCATCTACAGATATTATTTTAAAGGCCTTGGCGCCCATAGAATGGCCTTGTCCGTCATTACTGAGTCATCCATGTTTTATAGTCCACAACCACAGGACTATCTAAGTACTACTACTGCAACTACTTACTACAAGTAATTAGTAGTACAAGTTACTGGGTAACACTTGAGATACATCTCATTGGCTGGATGACATTACTAAGCTGTATATCTCAAGCCATGAACAAGTGTGCATAAAACCCTCCTTTCGGAACATTACTCCGCCCCGGACCTTGGATTTGCATGACAAATGTGATTTGTTCGACAACCAGCATCTTGCCAATGCTCAAATGCCCATGCCATACTCTGGTTCTACGAAGGCAGCAAATGTTGTCCATGCTTACAGCAATATGACGGAATAATCTACTCGGAATCTGAAGCCTGACTAGTAAACAATCACGTCTAAGAACGCCCTGGACCGTTTGATTTGACACGTGATTCATCAACTGGCTCTATATACATTGCCATATCCGATATACCCGAGATGGATGCTCACCTACCATCAAAGCGTAGACGGATTATCACTTCTTGCTCCGAGTGCCATCGCAGGAAACAAAAGGTATACTGAAGGCTGCTTTCTAGTTCTATTCAACTCAATCTGACTGACATTCGCTAGTGTGACCGGAGATCCCCATGTAACAATTGCCTAGCACGGAAGGTTGCGAAGAAGTGCGTGTATAATGCATTCCAGAAGTAGGTGCTTCAATATCGTAGTTTCTTTCTTTGGGTACCATAAAGCGTGATCTTCTAATGCCCTTAGTAGTCCTGGCCAAATACCGGAATCAGCAGAGGTGTTAGAGCCTGAGAATCCCCGAGGCTCGGGAGATCTCGGGTACTCCTTGATTGCCGGGAGTAATGCTTTTGTAGGGTTGAAAGAAGTCAGTTTTGCACGAGAACAGCCTATATCTGTGCATCTTCGTTAATAAGTGAACAGATCTTGCAAGACGATGACGAGTTTCAGCACATAAATTCCGCTCATAACCGTCCTTTCCGCTCGCCTATCTTGAAGACGCATGCTCGTGCGCTCATATCACAGTTACCCTCAAGTCAAGTACTGCAACAGCTTGTGGCTATATTCTTTTCTGAGGTGAACTGGCATTATTATATATTGGAAAGGTTTTACTTCGACGACCTCTTCTCACGATGGCAATCTTCGGAAGGGGGCTCTGTCAAGTACCTGACTCATCGAGAACTATCTCTGGAGTTGCAATACTTCGCAGCTGTCCTATTCCAGGTGGTGGCCCTCTCACTTCAGTTTTTACCACCTGATGCCCTTGCTTTGACTCAGTTATCATCGAATGAACTTTCTTCATCATACAAGTATAGCGAGATAGGGGATGAGCTAGTAACAGTATTAGGTAGACATGGTGTTGCGCTCACCGCTGTACTGGCAGACTTTCTGAGGGCATCCTGGCTTAAAAACCTTGGGAGGGGCATTGAAGCATGGCATAGTGCGGGAAACGCCATTAGGTAAGTTTCGTCTACGCCTGTGCCCCTTGAGATTGATAATTGATGCCAATTAAGGCAAGCACTGGAACTCAATTTACACCGGCACCACGAAATACACCAATCAAGCCCGGACAATATCGAACAGACCCTGAGCATGATCTGGTATGGCGAATACAAAAAGCGCATATGGATTAACCTGTTTGTCTGGGATAGGTAAGGGGAGAGCAGACCCGCTGGTGCTTTCTATGCTAAAAGAAATGAAGTCTCATGGCCATGATACTTGGCCGTCCTCGAACAATTCACTCCGATGATTGTGATATGAAACCGCCAATCGACTGTAATATTCCCAAGGATCCTTCAAAAACAGTACCAATGACGGTTCAGCCAGGTGAGCCTCAAAATGGGCCCACCACAGTATCAGCTTCTCTATTTCGATATGCATTGGCGGGCAAGTATCATGAGATGAGGGCCCTGAAAGCAGACAGGCCTCATCCCAAGGACCATGCTATCATTCAAAACCTGCACGGGCAGGTAAAATCCTTGCTAGAAAATGTGCCCCCTTATCTTCGATTCAAAAATCCGGACACTTTCTGGGACGCAGAATATCCGTTCCTACCCCAGTTACGCGAGGAGGTTTATATGACAGGAAACCTGTTTCTGATGTCATTGCACAGACCACATGTCCTTGCTAACGCAGAAAGCCGCAAGGCTGCATTGGAAGCCTCGTTGGCCACCTTGGAGTCGCAGCAGCGCTTTTTCGGACAAACGAGTGAACATCTCTATCCTTTTTTTGGGCTTGCCTTCTACACCATAGATGCGTCGATCCTATTGTCGATAATTGTGGCATCGTATCCACCGCAGGGCCATGAAGCGAGACAATACGTCTATCATATCCTCCAGCAGGCGGTTGAACGATTGTCCCAAATACAGGCTTACAATCCAGTAGCGAAGTCAGGGCTCGGTATAGTTCAACGTTGCTATGAAAAATTAAAGGAAGCCTGTCATACCCCTAACAACACTTCTATCGCACCCTCATCATCTGCTGCCTCGCCTCGATATGAGCTGCAAAACCTTCTTCTCGAGCTGAATAATCGGAATAGTGCAGCGCCGAAAGACTTCCAGCCAGGTTTTGCCTCCCCTAATAGGCCCACCGAGCTGGAACCTTTCATGCCAGACTTTGCTGCTGTACCCGATAGCTTCAGCGAAGCCTACTGGCTAGATCAATTAAATCTCATCCAGGCGTCACCCGCTATTGGGCAAGACGGCGATATGTTTTGGGATTCTCTGTTGTTCGGTCGCAACATTTTTTAGTCCAGTGCCTGTTTCAAATTACTACATATAAACCTGCCATCTCAAAAAGGTCTATCCATGTGCGCTGTTCGCGATTGGCGAATAGATATACATCGTTGCGGCTGATGCTCTGCAGTCGCCAGAATGACACTCGATTTCTGAAACGGGGGTTGGTTATCTCCATCCCCGACAATCAATTGAATATCCTCCTTCGCTCGGTTTCCTTTGCTTCAGCCGAAGACGTGAACCCCTTACCTTATCGTCGATCCAACGCACTGCAGGTTTTTGTTGGACGACATTCTTTTTGGGTTAGAAGGGAAAGTAGATCTTTTGAGATACTTTTTATTGTTATTATTTTTAATGCTATCATCATGAGTATACAAATTCCGGGCATGATTATATTCAATTTTATGAAATCGCCACCCATATATGACAGGATAAGCTACATGCAACGATAAATAATGGAAGCGTCCACAGCCTTTGTGCGAGGAGAACGAATGAATGCAGGCTTGTTTATAACACGTCTGGACTCTTCCGAATCCGATCTTCTAATAAAATTTCGGGCGAGATTATCGCCGATGGTAGCAAAAGATGTGATAACTGGAGTAATGACCCCGAAAACAGGACCCTTCGCCACGAGGCCTTCGGCCGAAGATCTATCAACCCCCTCGAACTACAAATACAAGGGTCACCCTAGTCGTAATTCATGACAATTCAATCATTATTACAAGTTCCTTCAATTATAGCTATGAGTTTACTTAATATCTAATCAACACTGCAATGTCGGCCATCACCATTTTCCAAAGGCCCTATCAACCTGGCCGGCCGCCCCTTCAAACCCTCCGCCACGACTACGGGTAAAACATCGGCTCTGATAGTCATACACCCAGGCGGTGGTGTTAAAGAGCGAACCGCTCGTCTGTATGCCAGAAAGCTTGCCACCAACGGCTTTACCACCTTCTGCTATGATGCCTCTTACCAAGGCGAGAGCGGCGGGTCACCGCACTCCCTGGAAGACTCCAGCGAGCGTCTTAGTGACATATACGCAGTAATTGGCTACCTCCAGAACCTGGACACCATTGATTCAGATAAGATTGAGGTTGTTGGAATCTGAGGTGGAGGCGGGTACTCCGTGGCGGCTACGAGGCGGACCATCGGCTAAAAGAAGTTGCTACAGTCAGCATGGTTAATATCGGAGATTCAGCACAACTGGGTTGGTACGAAGATGAGGCCCCATCGAAACATGTCGAGTCGTTCCTCAGCCGGACGACAAGACGCGACGATCTCAAAGAGGCTAGCTAGTGCTTATTATCTCAGCCCTCGTGCTCAGCATCCTCGGGCGGAGAACAAGATGCTATACCTGAGTTTCCCTCACGTTATGACCTTCGATGCGTCCCATATTGCGGATGTGTTCCTGAAGCAACCTTCTCTTCTCATTGCTGGTGAGAAGGCCGTGTCGATATGGCATTCTGACAAGCTGGATAAGCTCATTGGCGGTGCTACGAAAAAGGTTATCGTACCACATGGGACATATATGGACTTTACGGCAAGGAAGAATATGTTGGACCTGCTGTGATGGATATTGTTGATTTTTTGAAAAAGAAGTTGGTTTGAATATGGTATTTTCCTATGTGCTACATGGATCCTCTCTCCCTATCGGTGTAGCTGAATATAATACATACTAAGAGACAGCGATCTTCAAAAATTTGCTCGTGTCTGTATGGTTTGTAAGATATATGGGTACCGATAAACCAATATATAACCACTATAGATATGCGTTAGATCACCAGGGATTATATTTTACAACAGATCCATCTTTAGCCACCCGATTCAATAGAATCACCTTTATTATCACACTTATAAGAGTCATCAAGTTAGGATACTATGCTCATGAACCATCAAACACAAAACCAAAATGCACCAAGCGCAACGCAATGCTAGTCTCCAGCTTTCCCAAACCTTGCTTGGGAGGAAACTCGACCCTTTTGTTCGATTGCTAGTACACGTAGACAATAAGGGATAAGCGCCTCAACAATTGTGGCTACCCTCCTGCTCTGAATCCTTGCATCCGCTACTGCAAACCTTTGGGTGGCCGACAATGCCGGGATTCTTGCAATGGAAAAGGATGTTTTTCAGGTCCTCATTTTCAAACTCGGTGCCCTTTAGCACAGACTTGAGATCATCTTCTGTGAATCCTACGTCCAGTTAACATCTCCCAATTGAGCGTATCCCAGGGTTTATCTCAGCTTACCCTTCGATTTAATAAGCTCATCGGCGCAGTAGTCGAAGCTAGGGGTGCATACTTTATCCGCTACCGCAAAAGTGATCAGGGAGAAGAGAGCGCAGAGGAGGGAAGATGGCTTCATTGTGCTACTTAATGTAGGGAGGTGATTAATAGAATGGATAATAGCTTATAAGTGCGTATAATAGCTTAAATAGCCCTGGTAGTCGTCATATCGACGTTGACGGAATCCATGGATAGCGAGTTGAGAAATCGTGAGAAAATCCGATCTGCATTCCTCAACGCTTAGCTTTGGAATGTTGACATGAGACTACACGTCACGGTATGCGGTATTGCGTCACTAGCTGTACTTCAGGAATGTTTAAAACGGTTCGTTGACCTATTTTCAAGGAAAGGAAGGGTTCGGACTAGAGAAAAGGGGAAATGAATGTACGTCCAGTCTTATCCAGGCAAGCACAATAGCACAATGCGAGTTGCTACAGGTCAGTCCATAACCCCGTCCAAGTCGCAAGGTATATCCAATCCTCTCACCTTGCTCTCTTGCATACCAGTGGGATTAGGCTCCGTTCTTGGCTATTCAGCATTCCTTCTTTCAGCCGACGCTTTAAGGCTTAGTAGTTTTGCTCCTGATAACTTAGGCCTATGAGCTCTGGGCCAAGGGACAAACTCCCATTTATCTTAACCCACACATTGCACAGTGAGACATGGCGGTAAACAGCTTTTAACTAGAAGGAAAAGGGAGGTGGGTCTTTTATCGTTCAGAGTTTGTCTCACAAAAACCCCTACAAAAGGCTCCATAGAGGTTCTGCAACAGCAATCGCTATCTTGCACAATTTCTTCTAGTCTGTATGGCGAGGCTTTCGAGAAAGGAGGCCTCAAAGCATTTCTTTTCGGAATGTTGATTGTGAAAAAAAAAAAAAAAAAAAAAAATTCTTCGTAAACTGGAAAACTTAACAGCCATCCTAACTGGGACTTACAGGAAAGGTTTTTGGATACTAATATACTCATCTGTACTAGTAGGCTGTTTCTCTTGGCCAGTGGTAGTATCTCTCAGGTGACCAGGGACTGATAGTCTGGCCCTTTAAAATGCTGGACACTCCCACTGTGTTAGTGAATCTTATCCCTTGATCAGAATACGTAGTTAGGGATTATGTGTTTTTCAAGGGCCCTGCGTTCCTTTTCCCCGCTTGAGGTGGGAGGTAAATGCATTGTACACCCTCAAAACACTATCCTAACTTCGTAGAAAATTGGCTAATTGGCACATCATATAGGTGTACTCGCCTAACAACACGGCTCTGGATGCAATTATATGCCAAGTAAGTCTAGTCCACAATATCGCGGATGTATGTACAGAGTAATGGGGCGTCTCTAAGATACGTGCACGCCCTACAATTCACTATAGACAACTCGAGCTCTTAGAGAGCCTACCAAGGTGGACAAGCTTTACCAAGGGAAAGCTTCGCCTGACTTACATGCTTGAGTCAAGACACTTCATAGTTAAACACAAAGACTCGCTTACTACTCATAAGATTTGATATGTGGGTCTAATGGAGATTGCCGGCTCGGCTTGGCTGTTGAATATATTAGGCGATAAACGTTTGGATCGGGGCTGCCAAGGTACATAGATCTAATCTCAGGAATAGTCCTTGCCCTTGTGCAACTTATATATCACTTAGCTCGGAACGGGGTGAAAATGCAGATTTCGGGGAAGGGAAAGGCCATCAATCGTAAATATGCGCAACACGCTATAGCCAGAGGCCGGCACAATCATCTTCCCCCGGAAGTTGACTACGCACAAGCCAGTCCATATCTATGGAGTAGTGCATATGTACTATCCTGTTTTATAATATTGTGGGCCCATGTAACGGGATACATGGATCAATAATCAGATGTCCCCCCAGAATATAGAAATTTTGAGCCCCTGAAAAATCCAAAACTTCTGGCTGTCATCAACGATGAGTCGACAATGGTCCACCATGAGTCCTTGCAGAAATTTAGCGTTAGGGTGTCATTCTCTATAAACGTGCCCCTCTCCACCAGCATCTTGAACCGCTAGATACGTTACCTTCCACCATCCTTGACATTTGGTCCAGTATCTCCTTTACTACTTGATAACCATGAAGCGCGGTGCGCTCATCCTTTCGTTTGTCCCCTTTGCCTTCGCGTGTGTCAGCCCAGGTAGCCACGCCTGTGCATCAACCTATTCAGCTTCCTCTACTGCAGCTTCTAGCTTCTGTGCCACCTTCACGGCAAGCATGATCACAGCAACCACGGGCATCCCTGAGGCCTTTCTTAGCAACTGCGACTCTAGCACGATATATTTATCCAGTGCATGCAGCTACCTAGGTACTGCTGCAGCCCCAACCGTTGCAGCTTCATCCAATGTGGTAAATGGCAAGTCATGGTCGAATTGCTGTGCCTGCGTTACTGAACCCTTGAACTCAGATCCCCGTCTATCCTACGTCAGTAGTTCCTACTTCTGCGCCTTCTGCTCTCGTGACGAACACTGCCCATATTGCCAAAGTCGCAAAGGCTGCTACATCTTCTGCTGCAGAGATACCCACTTCAGATTCGGTACCAACAGCCAGCTCATCCTTTGCTGGCAATGGGGGCATGACCTGCACCGTCTCTGAGTACGCTGCGATCTCGTCCGCTGTCGCGTCTTGTTCCAACATTTTTTTTTAATCCGACATCTACGCACCCCCTTCCAGCACACTTGAACTCCACAGCCTGTGGACAGGTGCTGCAGTGATCTTCGCTAGGAAGACCGTGCGTTCCTCCCGCCCCTAGTTCATGAGTCGGGAACTGATCGGTGTTACAGACATCCGGTGATACTGTGGATAGTGGCTTCGATCCTATTGTTATCTCTGGCACCAGCGTTACCATCACCGGTGCTAATGGTCACGTCATTGATGGCAATGGTGCTGCTTACTGGGATGGATAAGTCTTTAACGGTGGCTCGGGCAAGTGGGTGTTAAGAGAACATCTGTGAGAACACAGGCTTACTCATATTTCTTAGGCCGGACCACTTCATCGTCGTCAAGGACATGTACAACCCTCGCATTGAGAACCTCAACATCCAAAACTGGCCTGTCCATTGCTTCGACATTGAGAGAACCGAGCACCTCATCATCTCCGGCTTGACTCTGGACAACTCCGCCGGTGATGCCGTTAACAGTAAGAGTGACGGCGACGCCCGCGGCGCACAACTCTGATGGCTTCGGTATCAAATCAAGCAACTACCTTACTTTGGAAAACACATGAGTACACAACCATGATGACTGTGTGGCTGCCACGAGCGGCACAGACATTGTTGTCAACGGTATGTACGGCTACGGTGGTCACGGGCTCCGTATAGGCTCTATCGGCGGCAAGAGTGACAAGACCGTCAACGGGGTCACCTTTCCGAACTCCCAATTCCTCGGTAGCCAAAATGGATGCGGAACCAAAACCAACTCCGGTGAGAAGGGTGACGTCCAGAATATCCTGTACCAGAATATCACCCTGTCTGATATCACCGAGTATGGTATCGATATCCAACAGGATTACCTGAATGGCGGTCCTACCGGTGAACCCGCCAATGGAGTTACGATTTCCATTGTCACCTGGTTGATGTCACTGGCAGGATAAGCGACGGAAAGGATTATTACACCTCTGCGGAGACGGCTGCTGCTCCAATTTTTCGTTTACCTGAGTTGATGTCACTAGCGGTAGAGGCGATAGTTGCACTATCCCTCGACCAGATATCCATGATTATAGATAATCGTGGTCTAGATATCGCGAGTCGGAGAATCGGTCTCATTGCAAAAGGGAGTGGAAGCAGCTCTGGTGGAATTAACATGCTCTGCTGGGAGAGGACACATAAGTGCCAGTTTGACGAAAGGTTGCAGGCATTCCTGTCTTTAAATAGCGCTAGACACCATAGCTGAATCAATACCTCAGTACCCACAAGAATAAGAAAAGTGCATATACAACATGTCCAACAAGAGTATCTTAATATGTACAAGTCAACGAACCCACAGAACCCCAACAACCCACCATAAACCCAATCTCCCATCTCCAAACATTTAAACGGCCTCCTTCACCCCCTTCAACGACCTCATTTCCTTCTCAACCCCCATCCGCCTCTGCGCCACATCACAAACCTCAACATCCCCACACTCACACTCCCCCTCCCTAATCCACCGATACGTAATACTCCACCGATCCCCCCGAGCCCTAAGGGTCCCATCCCCCAACACATCCGTCTTCCTCTTCTTAATCCCATGCGACCAAAACAACCTCGCATCCCCCGTCATCTGCACCATACACCTCGGCTCCAAATCAACATCCACCCTCTCCTCCCCCCGCCGAAACTGCATCATGATCGGTGCCCCCAGCGACAGTGCATAAAGTTGATCGTACGCCATGTGCGCATCTACATGCGGCGGGATCCCGCTGCCCGGCGGATAGTACTGCAGGCAGACCTGGTCTGGTGGTCGGGATTCAGTGGTGGGGAGCAAAGGGACAAGCCAGGACGGGAATTCTTTGAATGGGATGTCCGGGTCTATGCCAAAGGTTTTGTAGTCGAAGGAGTAGCCGTAGTGGAGGGCTAGACGGCCGGATCGGGAGGGCCAGTCTAGGGTGCGGAAGATGGTGATCAGTTCTTGTTCGTGGGTGGGCGTGATGAAGTTTGATTGGTATTTTAGACCGGGTGGTTTAGTTAAGGTGTTTTGGAGCTGTGCGTTTTGGAGGTCCATTTTGAGGGCCTTTTTTTTTGTCTATTTTAATTTGGTTCTCTTACTTGGATGTTGGTGTGTGAGATTTTTATATGAAGATGCATATGTACATAGTGAAGATAGATGGGGTGCACGTGATGAAGGCAGAGTTTGTTTGGCGGCCCCACTGCCCTAAGTTGGATATGGATTTGGAGTGTATGCCCTATGGATTTATTGTATGGGTCGGTGATACGACTTGTGTTGTTCCAGTAATACTTTATGTCCTTACTAGTAGTCGCAGGGCCAAATTTATTTTTCAAAAAATTCCGTCGGTGAATATTTGGCTAGCTATAACTTCAATATTCACTTCTTAAATATATGCCCCATCACTAGATCCCAGCCAATATATATTCCAGCAAGGTCTGCCCTAATCTACATCCCCTATAACAACCCAACGCACCCCGCAAAACCAAACCGCCGTACCACCCGCAAGCTCACATTCCGCGAAAGTGATATCAATCGACACAAGTCCAAACAACCCCTAAAAGAAGCCCGTAATGCAGATCTCCAATCCGCGGATCGGGGTCACGAAGATCTCATCTGTGTACGTGGTTAACACGGCCAAGCTGGACTGCAAGAGTAGCGAGAAGCATGAATAGACTGGTAAGAACAGCGATGACTGCTCCAGTATGCTTGCGACCGAGAAGCTTTGTTTGGATGAGAATTCCGGCGAGGATGGGGCCTGGGATGGCGCATAGTGCTGTAGAGAGGTAGTACCCGTAGAGGTAGTTCGTTGTTACAGTTGTGGGGGTTATGGAGAGGATGTTGGGGGCTGCGGCGAGGTAGGCGCTGAGGGAGGTTTTGTGTAAGGAGAATATGATCCCGGTTATGGCCCACAGGAGACAGAGGACGGGGAGGTCAGCGGGTCGGAGGGCGAAGATTAAAGAACGAAAGTGTGGCTGTTGACGAGACTCAGTGGCGTCGATGGTTGAGTCCACGCAGGCGAACGAGGCCTCGCCTAGCCAGGTGCGTCGTTTATAGTATGCGGCTATGTCGCTTACTACTTAGGCTGCTTCTGTGTCGCGTCGCTTGGAGAGTAGGTATTTGGGCGTTTCGCGGAAGGGGAAGAAAATGCGGCATAGATGAAGGAACAGGGTGATGCAGCCGAATGTCTACCACACGTAGCGCCAGCCTTTGTTGGATGCGTAGCGGCAGGATGCGCTGCTTTGGCTTGAATGCGTTGATGCTACAGCACGAGACGAATGCGTCAGCACAGAGCTTGCTCTGTGCTAACTGTGTCTGGGCCGGTACCGCAGGTATAGCCTGCTATGAAGTCCCTAGAAGGAATGAATATGTAATGCTTATGTATTTGTGGGGAATCAGATATTTACCACCCAGCAACTGTAGAAACCAACTGGCCTATGCTGCCCCAGAGCACCCCCTGCACCGTAAGTAAATATTGATGGGGATGCCGGAACCGACTCGATCAGGATAATGGCACCAACTAGCAGATTACCCGCAATGGCAAAGCCTACAACGTATCCAGCGATACAAAGTCTGGTGAATGAAGACATCCCCGCACCGACTAGCCCTCCCACGCCCATGAGGACGATTGTGTTGATGAAGACCCATCGGCGACCCAAAAATTAGACATCCACGGCCATGCAGTCGCGCTGACGTGGAGACTGATGAACAGGTAAGACGATTTATCTCCGGGGAAGAAGAACTGGGCTTCATTCGAGACGGATGGGGCAATTACGACAAACATCATAAACCAGAACTAGATATGTTAACTCTCCTCCCCACGATCATTCGAAGACCTACCTACACTGTCGGAAAACCGCACTACACTGGTAATGATGAGAGTACCCAGTGGTATAGACCCATTTTCATCTCCATCAATGCCTGGTTCATGAGATGTGCGTTGGCAGCATAGGTCACATTGCTGCCGGCTTGGTTGACGGGTGTATGGACTGATAAGCCTTGGCCATTCGTGTGAGGCTTTCTCAGGTCCCCATCCTTAGCATCAAGGATTTCTCCACATCTGGCTAAATTAGATGCAAATGCGCCTTGTGCCTCGATGTTCCTCTCAGAACCCCTCGCGTCATTGGCGACGGGATGGGGCGTTTCGAGGGCCATGATAATCTCCCGATCCGGCGCTGACTCACAAGCAGACTGAAAGGATGGGAGTAAGTGAGGGGAGGGGAAAAGAGGAGAGCAGGACCCAGCTAATATTGATGGAGGGAAGAGAATCGGGTAGATTCGAAGCCTGGCTGTGACTATCGGACAGCTACAGACTGGAGAGTAGATTTGCAAAACGGAATGAGTACGTTGATTATGGGCCAATCTTGAAAGGAGGTCCACGGTGATGTATGAATAAGCCCCTATCTAAGCCCGGCTTGTTGGGACAGCATCAATCTTCCGTCCAATGTTAGAAGAACTAGGCGTTCGTTACAAACATAGAACGGAGTAAGCTACACCATATTCGTGTCTGCCCCGAAGCTCCAATTATTGACAGGATGACTTCGAGATAGGTAACCTAATAGTGAGATAATTGAAACACTGCACCCTCAACTGGAGGAGAATTTATTCTACCTGTCGGACATGTGCCCCGCCGGGAGACATAGCTTGCCCTTAAGATGGAAGAGTGGAGTGGTGACTCGATTCATAATTGGTGTATACATGTCGGCCCATAGCATCGGTCGTACGATCGTGCCTTCACCTGTCTATCAAGAAGTAGCCCAAGAACTAGACAGAGAACCCATGGAATTGAACGTGAACTCCACGAAGAGGCATCATTGCTACCTGCCGCACATGACAGTTGTGAACTGCATTGCTTGTAAAATGTCTTCTTTTTTTCTTAACTGAAGCTGAAGCTGAGATTAAGTTGCGGCAAGAGATATTGACTAGCACCTGAAGCCCTAGGGCAGCAAGTCCAACTCGGCCTAGGTTACCAAATCCGGTAATACCAAGCGAGTCATCAATACCCCAGCTACACCATCTAAACCGCGGAGATTAGATGGGATGATAAGGTATGCTTAACTTAAAAAGTGAAGTAGGTCCTGACACGAAAGTGAGATGAACGTAGCCCAGGATATCCAGATGTTAGCCGCAACAGTGAATACGAAACCTCAGCCTGGCTCAACTGCGTTGCACGTTGCACTGCTGAATAGATCGGATGCAGAAAGACTTAAAAATGCTAGATTTCTCAAGCTACATGAGCGAAGCAGGTATAACTCAGCTTAGAAATACTAATATAAATGCTTCTTGCTGATAAGTAACGCTACGAGGGCTGGGAGAACAGATGGGCCGATTTTGCAGTGTGAACGGTAATATGGCATTTACCACTACGTTTTGTTTTCCATTTTATGGTAAAAGTCCTTTTTTATTCTTTCATTGGTTTGTTCTCGGGGCTATATAAGTCAGGTTAGGAGTGGGTGTGATGCAATTTTCATGTATAACGAGCCTAGCATAGCTTCAGAGGTATATGTATATGGTACACCCAGAAAAGCGGAAGAAAATGAGTAAAACAGTACTTATTTTGGTGTGCAAGAAACTTTTCACTACAGTTACATAATTCTCCGGCGCTCAAAAACGAACACTTTGACTAGTTCAACGTTTGTTTCATAATTTGTAGGGTTCAGAGACATCCAATGCTTGGCGGGAGAACAGCGGGCCGAACCTCAAGTTGCATACTCAGGGCAAAGTAGGTATCCCTACAGCGTTGTGCCACTAATTTCGTCTCGTTTTCGTCTTCTGCTTCTCTTCACAATATTTTCTCTGTATTAGCGATTGACTCCAATGTGAGCCGAAACCCAGACTTAACAGCTTCCAAGATAATCCCTACATACAAGCTGAAACCTGGCGTGAGAAGCGCTCCACTCTTTTGTTATCATGGATCCACAATGCCCAACATCGATCCACCTAGTAACCAACGCGTGTAAAAATTGGTTCACAGAAAAATTAACTACGTAAATCATCACATAACAGATTCTAGAAGGAGCAATAGCAGCTGGCTGGCATCCTACATATAATACACGCTAGCCGCACCGAGTGGGCCGAATATGACCTAATATTGTCCTCTATCCATCTCTCCAGAATGTACCTTAGCTTTTATTGACTGTCACAGAGAAGTACTTAGTCAAAAACGGAATCAGCTGGGATCGGCCCATCGGCCCGAGGCTGGCATCCCTACACCCATTTCAAGAGTCCCAAACAGCACACACAATTTCGCCATCTAACTCCTTTTCGGCAAGGAGCGGGCCCGCACGCCCCTTCCGGTCATCCCAGCCAGCTACCGCCACACGATGGCTGCTCTGCAATGCCAGCGCAATCGCCTTGTCGTCCTCCGATATTTCGAACTGACGGGGAACGGAACCGTAGGCTGGGTACAGACCGATATGAGTAACATCGGCGAAGGATGTTCCCCTAGCATTAGCGCAGGAGAACACAGAGATGGAGTCATTCTTAGGCCCAAAAGTGTTGTCACCGCGATTGCTAAGCACAATATGGTTATTCGCAGGCTATTTTGTGAAAAGAATGACAGGGATAAGCTTATCAGCATGCGTTTTCCTACAGTAAGACAATGGAACGAAGGAAGGGGGCCCACCGAGATCGCTATTTCTGCAGCAGTAGAACCACTTGGCGGTTCTGACCCACCGTAAGCGGTTGTCTCGAAGAACTTGTCAAAGGCGATCGTTCCGTTTCTAGTATAGTGCACTTTGTATCCAGTCAAATGGCTGTTCAGCTCCGATGCCAGGTAGAACCGGGTGTCTGTGGCTGCGCCAGGACGCGCTCCCTTGGGAGTCCAGAAAGTGCCATGCCTGGGTCCAGAGCCTGCAGAAACGGCCAAGGGCTGCTGTGGTTCCAGCAGCCCTGTGGACGGGTTAACATGGAAGATACGGACGAGATCGGCTCCTAGGTCTGGGACGAGGACGAATTGACCTGTCGGGTCAACAATTACGCCATGAGGGTGTGGCGCTTCTTGTCGGTCGGGGACTGCACCAGGACTATCCAGTTTATATGTGAAGGTCTGGAGATGAGTAAAGACACCGCTAGACTCAAGGGCATGGGTCGTAACGGATGACCCAGAGCTACAGTGGGAGAAAAAGATCATCAGACAGGAAGGCCTTCAGGATGGGGTCGTACCAAGGAAAACTTACTAATGAGCGATAGCGAAGTATTTGCGATCTCCTGCAGAATAGAAGTGGGACTGGACCGGGCCTAGTACGGTCTCTACGTGATGAATTTTGGACAGTGATCCGTCGGAGTTGATTTCGAAGGACGTTAAGGTGCCATTCGGTCCTTTGAGGCCCTCATCTAGGCAGAATAGCAAGCCGTTATCGGCGTCGAGCATCAGCCATGAAGGATTGGGACCGCCTTCCGTTGTGCTTGAGATCTTCGTTAATTCATAGCCAGCGTGGGACTTGCCGAGCTCCAGTGTAGCAATAGTACCCGCATATGACGCAGTGTAGAGCCTGGACGCAGCGGAAGCTGCGCTAAACAGAGCGGTGGTGAGATAGAAACCCTTCATTTTGTTGTAACCAATATTGTAGATAGGGTGCTTACACCACCACTGTGGTCCTTGACCCCTTTTAACTCGGACCAGCCACAATTTACGCGGGGGATCATTTGGCCGCCGGAGAAATTGCCACGTCGTGTCTTCCACATTCTTCACGACGGATCGCGGAATTTCACTTCCCAGTTCCCGGACTGACGGATGCCAATTGCACCGATGATTTGCTAGAACGGCCGATCTAACTAGAGCTTTCGCTGAGATAATCTTATGCATGGGCTTGGATATGGAGGCGTGATTGGTCATGTCTGAAGTTCATCTTCTGTGGGATCCGAATGTGGATACTATGCTTGGCTTGCATCTCTAGCGTAGTTAATGGCTCTTGGTCGCGTGGGGGTATCCTGAACATCATAATCTTCAATAATTCACGAACTAGTAGGTTTAACTCAATGGTCCTGGAGCGTGGGAACCTTGGCAAAGTCAACCTTGCCAAGAACGTTGACTGCCATCATAATATGAGTCTACAAACTCATCCATATCACGTAGTAAGGACCCCTAGTGTAGATATTCGGTATAAACTGCCAAACCTTGTATTCCTTTTCAAGTCCAACCAAGCATATGTGACATTTTAGAGAATTCTTACCAATGTATTGTAGCTTGCCGGGATGGCATGCAATAACTTCTTTGCCGGAGCATCTAAGGGTTTTATCCGGGATAGAGCTTCGGTGTGCAGTCACATGTACCTCGATCATAATTCTAATTCGATAGGAGCTTGAACTCAACTGTAATGAGGATCTGTATGCAGGAGTATACCGATGCACCTTTTAGGAAGCCATCAACTCCGAGCTCAATTATCGGCATGCCGAAACTCGGCACCATCTTGGCGCCTAGATGTTTCTCTTCCGACGCTTGTTTGGACACAGTCTTCAGCTTACTGATACCGACCGTCTAGATGCGTCCAACAGGGACTATAGTGATGGGCCCTGATAGAGGATTACAGGATGAGGCAGAGCTACTTGGCGTATCCGACCCTCATACCCCTAGTGTTAGTCGTTGATCCTACCACTATCTACTTGGAGAAGCAATGCCAAGTGCGTGGTTTACGCGCAACTGGGATATTCTATCTGTCTTAAGCTCATTGGGAGAGTCTAGGTAATCAAAGCGTTGGTCCAAGTACTGCAGCAAACATACATATAAAGAGGATGTCAGCCATGATCATGCCATTCATTCTCTTCCACTTATCTATCATCAAGATCTTTCCTTCTTGTCTCTTCCTTAGCAACTCTCCCGACTTCGAGGATTACCTCTTGTCTCCTTTCAAGGCAAAGGACTTCCATCATGAAAGCTTTCATCCCCCTTGCCCTTCTCATCCCTGCCGTAGTAGCCTTGCCGAAGGCATCGGTGAAGGAGGATGATATTTATTCACACCTTATTACTGACCCGCGCGAGGTTGCTGAGACGACCGTTGACTATATCATCGCTGGAGGAGGTCTGACCGGTTTGACGGTTGCGAACCAGCTTACTCAGAACCCAAATATTTCCGTCCTCGTCATCGAAAGAGGATTCTACGAGTCGGACCGCGGACCAATCATCGAGGACCTCAACGCATACGGACAGGTCTTCGGTACAGATGTGGATCATGCTTTCGAGTCAGTTCAATTGGCCATTCACAATCGCACAGAGATCACTAGGTCCGGCAAGGGCCTTGGGGGTTCTACTCTGGTAAATGGCGGCTCTTGGACTCGTCCCCATAAAGCCCAGCTGGACTCCTGGGAAACAGTCTTTGGAAACAAAGGCTGGAACTGGGACAACCTGATAGTCTATTCCCACCAGGCCGAAGCTGTCCGTTTGCCCAATGAGGTGCAGCGTGCTGCGGGTCATTACCTTGATCCTGCATGCCACGGGTTCAACGGCACTGTCCATGCTGGGCCCCGCGACACTGGTGAGCAGTTTTCACCCATCATAAAAGCGTTGATGGATACAGTAAAGGAGAAGGGTATCCCGGTACAAAAAGACCTGTCCTGCGGTGACCCACATGGTGTATCCATGTTTCCGAACTCGCTTTCTGAAACCCAAGTTCGCTCTGATGCCGCTCGCGAATGGCTTCTTCCTATTCATAACCGACCAAACCTGAAGGTTCTCACAGGACAGTCCGTTGGAAAGGTACTGCTTAACCAGACCGCTGGTGGCGCGAAAGCTGTTGGTGTGGAATTTGGCACGCATGCAAAGGCCAACTTCAACGCTTACGCGAAGCGGGAAGTTTTGTTAGCTGCCGGGTCCGCGGTGTCTCCCACTATTCTCGAATATTCGGGTATCGGACTCAGGTCCGTTTTAGATGGGGTTGGCATTGAACAGGTTGTTGACCTGCCGGTCGGTCTAAACCTTCAGGATCAAACCACGACAACAGTGCGATCGAACGCTACCCCTGATGGCGTGGGTCAGGGGCAGGCTGCGTTCTTTGCGACATTCAACGAGACCTTCGGAGATTTCGCGCCCAAAGCCCATGATCTACTCAACAACAAGCTTCAGCAATGGGCAGAGGAGGTAGTTGCTCGTGGTGGATTCCATAACGTCACTGCGCTTATGATTCAATTTGAGAACTACCGTGATTGGCTTGTCAACCATGATGTTGCGTACTCGGAACTGTTCCTTGACACGTCTGGACAGATTAATTTTGATCTTTGGGATCTTATCCCGTTTACCCGGGGCTCAGTTCATATTCTGGACAAGGATCCGTACCTGCACCGATTTGCCTACGACCCTCAATTTTTCCTCAATGAGCTTGACCTCTTAGGTCAGGCTGCTGCTTCCAAGTTGGCCCGTGAGCTCTCGAACTCGGGTGAAATGAAGCAGTACTTCTCCGAAGAGGTACTCCCTGGAAGCACCCTAGCCTACAATGCTGACTTGGATCAATGGGTAGATTATGTGAGAGATCATTTCCGGGCTAACTACCATGGCGTCGGAACTTGTTCTATGATGCTGAAGGAGCTCGGGGGAGTTGTTGATTCGGCGGCGCGCGTCTATGGTGTTGATGGACTTCGGGTGATCGATGGCTCGATTGTACCCACTCAAGTGTCCTCCCATGTAATGACTGTTTTCTACGGAATGGCGCTAAGGATCTCCGAGGCTATATTGGATGACTATTATGCGTCCTTGTAACTGGCCGCTCCAATGGAGGGCTAAATTTGGACAACATCAATGCCCCTATCTAAGTGAAACTTCCCTTTTATGCTCATAAAATCTCTCCACTCCCTGCCTAATGGACTCCCTGTTGAATTAGTACTAGTACTAAAATACTTAGAGTATTTCGCAGCTAGATTAATCAACGGCACCTGAAATTAACCGGCAAGTCCCTCATGTAAACCGAAGCTCCGATCTAACCACACAACTTCTAGTCGGAGTGTATAGCATGGCACATAGTCTGGAAGTATTGTATCAGTGGCCGGCATTTACTTCGTCCCATTTGGCTCTGTGGCGCTATTGTATTTCCGGTAATTTGCAGACCCGTGAATAATAGCGCCAATGCCTAGCATCTTCGGCGGAGAATTCTCCGAGATTTAATTCGTGGACCAATATGCAAATACTTCTTACTCAATTACTCCTTGAGATTTATGTCAGTCAATAGAGCCGTCGATATTCGGGATATACCCCCTAGCACTGCCCGCCGAGAAAGCGCCTAGCAGGCCATCAACTATCCTCTGTTGATAAACCAGGGTGAAACGTGAGACATGTCCAATTGAGCTCATATATTAGGCTAGGCATACCGTAAGATACTCCGTGATCTCTTAAAATTCTATCGCAAAGCGGTTAGTCGGTTGACAAATGACGTTATCTGTTCCTCGCTTTGCAAGCCATCCTTCCTCGTTCTAGTCTCAAGCACTATACAGATATACAAATGAATAGCTTACGGCTCAAGTAGCAGCCAATTACAAGAATCTGCTCCTCGTTTAATCCTGTCTTGTCTGAGGCCCGGGTTGTTGATTCAAGACCGATGGCTGTTGTATCGATCTTCGATATCAGCTTGCCGACGGGAAGGATGGCAACCGACTATACTTTGGACAATCAGCGATGTAGTCGATCTTATGTCCGCTAGGATAGGCAATACGGGACCATGCTAGTGACCGAATTACTAACCCATCAATTAAGTATTAGAGCAGTGGCCTTCGGAATGCTGAGCAATCCAATGGAGTCCGGGTCTTTCCCTCGTTTCGGTGAGAGTCCTGCGCTCGTGAAAGGCCACAAGCCTAACATAGTCAACATTGCATTGTACGTCTACATATGAAAGAGAACAGCATGTCAAGTATGTTATGACACCAAACGTCCAATTTTAGTCGCAGACTAAATAACTCAGACTGGCAAAGTAAGACAATGAGTACTACATTCCACCATGACCTAGTGCCTGAAAGTCCACCTCAACCGAGACATCTGTAATCCATATCGCAGGTTACTGCCAATCAAAGAGCTCATACTCGTACTCATAGTCGTAATCGTAATCGTACTCAAAATTGCCATCGTGATCTTTGCAGCACGTCCAGCAATGCTAATCCGTCATGTGAGTAGGCCATCTACGGGACAGACCAAATCCATGGATCCACAACACTTACGCGGTGCTTTTCCGGATGCTATAGTAGAAACGTTAGTATCGTGCTGTAAAGAGGAACACGAGCCATGGTGCATTACTTACCCAGCCATGGGGACATTGGCGCTTGTGGGGGAAGCACGATTTCCAACAAGTGTCGGTCGAATGGCGTGGTGCGGCACCTGCTCCGGTAAGGAGGACAGACGTTGCCACGATGAAAATGGTTGAGAGCTTCATGCTGGAAGGTTTACGGAGTCCCTTGGGGTTTGCGTGGAGGTCAGGTAGTTGTAGGGTTAGATTATCTCAGGATGATGTTGTGGGATGAGCTGGAACATTGAGAGGAATGTATGCTTATTTATGTTCGACCATGGTGTTCTTGGTTCGAGCTACATTAACCCATGGGTGGTGAGCTTTTGCAGGTAGTATGAACAGACCACTACGTAGCAGTGTTGAGATATCAATGAGAGTAACACATTGAACCCAATTCCATATGACCCGACAGGCGGATTGAACTACCGTGTGTACAATGTTGCAATCCCGAAGTCAATTGATCCTGGGTAGTCGTAGGTGTCCGAACAGTAGTGATGAAGGGTCTCACCAGATTCGAGGTTCCACAATCAATCAATTATACGAGATCTGTGTTACTGTCTAGTCTGTCTCCACGTACGTGTCATCCATAGGTGAGGTCTAGGTCTGCATTTCTGGTCGCTTATTACCATGTCTCATTCCTTGATATGTGGGTGGTTGAGTTCGAAATTACGTTTATATTTCACACAAGTCTAATAGGAAGGTAAAGGGATATATCCATCATTATATAATGCCTTTCTCTGGCCTTATATATCATTAGGTATGAGAACTGGCCATACAAAGGGCTGTTAGTTTGATCAATTAGATCCGTTGGTCCGTGGGAGCATAGGCCACGGTCGTATAGCATAGTTACCACAGGAGCGCCAACGTTGGCACAAGCTGTGCTCAGTTGTAAATGCAATGCGACCGGCCGTGCGAAACTATGGGGTAGCCAGGCAACTGCAAGCCTCGGCCAGCGAGGAGGCTTTCCGGTATACAGCCAAATTCAAAATTGCCGCCCGGGTCCCATACACTTCCGTTGTAACCGGTGCCCTAATGCCAAGATACGCTAAACTACTTAGGGAATTATCCGGAATAACTATATTCCTTGAAAATTACTGTATTGTATGTACTCGTAAAGCATCATCTCCGTCTATGAAAGATCCATGGTAGCTGGAAGCTTCCATGAAAACTAGTCAAACTAAGCCATGTACCTGTAGATCTGGGGCATTTTGAGCTTATATCTGTTGCCTAAATTTCTGGACGACCCATACAATATATATACATTGAAATTAAGGATAAGAGACACCTCCATGATATTGTTTACCATTCTTCTTGGCTTGTCAGCAGCAGCTTTACCCCCGTGCTAGACACTTTGCTCATATTGAAAGCTAATCCAGTATGGTCCAAATGCTAGACTCCTCGGTGGCGTTTATTGTCTTGAGGAGATGATGTACAGCCCTCTCAATGGCAACTACATTTCTCAGCTTGAAATATGGGAACGAACTCTATTGTATGCTCCCACTTCCGGTGACTTCAGCCACGCATGTACCCCGTCAGGATATAGCTCTTCCCCTAGCTGTGTATCTGGCAACCGCTCTCCAGCCGGACCAAGTAGGCAATCTCCACAAGCTTGATTGGGATAATGAGAGTATATATTATATAATCGAATGGAGAGTAACTCTTAATAAGCAAATCTTAATAAAAGACACTGAGAAAGACCTGAACTTAAAATCAAGTTTATACTGGCAAAAGATAAAGGAAAAGGCCAAAGACATTATACAGCGGAAAAAAAACTGTAACCAATAGGTAAGACCAGATAATACTATGGTTAAGGTTTCTATGAATAAACGCTCACAACGGAAAATAATAAAGTGCTTTGAAGCTACTGATGTTAATTAGACCAGCGTAGAAAGACAGCTATAGAGGTGGAAAGCACTATGTGACCAGGGCAAGATACCAATGCTCTCTATTTCTATTAACTATATAAAGGACAGCAATTCTCGAGCCCAAAAAGGGAATCAGCAATAATGAGAATGCTCGGGAAATAGAAAGTTCAGATTAATACAGAACACTTCTCTGGGCAGTCTTCTCCCTAGCAGCACGTCTACCGGGTCATGCGTTGTCCTGGTTGACCATGCCATCATAACGGGAAATTTTGCTGGCTGGACCCCGCAGGGAGAAAGCACTACAAGCTATTATAACATTACATAAGAAGTATTGTTAAGTATATAGAGAAAGGTGGTATTTTAGAAATATATAATGATATTCCTTATGATATCCGGGAGAGATTTTATACAGAGGAAGAGCGAAACCGAGAAAGGAGACGGAAGACTCCCATTATATTTATGTCCTCCGACACAGCCCTCTCTGCCCATGTTATCATCGGCAGATGGCGATGAGACTGGTCCTTCACAGACCATAGAGCCCGATTACATTGAGATTCCAGGGTTATATGACGTAGCCATGGAAGGGTATACCAGCTGGCAGCTCCTCAAAGTGAGTACTGAGAACTTTAAAGAACACATTTAAAACGCGCGTGATGTAGCGTTAGAAACCTGTCTTGACCTGGGACACATTCTTTATAATCGGGATCCGGACTTTTTCTTCCAACGTGGTGTGGCGATCGGGGTCGCTCGCAGGTTTGTTGGCGATATCCGTCGCTGCTTTGACAACCGTAAACCAGACGATGAGAGAGAGACAATGTCAGATTGATATTTTTGGACTGAAGGAAAGACTATATATACTTTAGATTTTAGCGAGAGACCGTTTTCATTGACAGATCAATTATTTTTTAAGTCCCCCTATAAGATAGTTGATAAGGAACATTATACGCTTCAGAAACCACATTCGAAAGGCCTATTGACTATGTCGATGGCGGTGGCAAATTAGCAGGTGATGCTAACATGCCTTGAGATATCTGTCAGGACCTAGTTTTAGAAAGTAATGAAGTTCAATTGTCTGTAGCGGGGGCACCATAACCCCACCCGTCTAATTGAAATGTTCTGCCAGCACAGACGCAGTGAACTTCCGTTGTTCCATCACCACCTGTAAGGGATAATACCCGCAACGTTCGGTAAACTATCATAGCTATCAAACAAGAAGAAAACACCGAAGAAGAAAGAAAGAGGAAAGAAAGAATCAACAAATAATGAGACAATGAGGTACAAGGCCACCCGAAACCGGATTCCATATCATATATACAATGAGTTTGTTTCCAAACCCTAAATGCGCAAATGCGCTATTCTATATAGGGAAAGGCCGTATTTTAAAGCTATGATTCGCAGACCAGGTGCTCTGGACGAAACAATCCTGTTCTGAAGCATGCTGTAGGGTGTCTGTATTATTACAACTCTAAAAATAAACCAACAATTACCATGACATTGCCGAGGTTAAGAGCCATTTAACATATCAATGCTCCTGTCACAAAATAGCTAAGAACATAGATTCCTGGCAGTGTAATATGATCATTCATATGATATGCAGCAAGAAAAGGCTCACGACGTTACAAATTGCCAAGGCAGTGAAATGTAGTGAATGTTCTGTCACTAACATATGCAGGAAGATGAGATTGTTTAGTAGTGCAAGATCTCTCCTAGTCCATATCGGCTGACCGGTGACCATCACTCCTGTAATGCTCAATGCTATCTGTGATCACCTTACCAGAAAACCTGCCCAATACATTGAAGAGATTGCTGTCTACCTGTAGAACAAATTTGGTGTGTTGCCTTCGCCGTCCAGTATCAAACATGCCCTTGCCAGTGCTGGTTAGACAAGGAAAGGAACAAAGCCCTGAACTACAAGATTTTACCAGCATAAACTAACTGAGTTCCGATCCTACCACTTGGTTTTTGTTGGCGAATTCGGGTGAGATAAACAGGTCGGATATCAACGGAGCGGATGGTCTCCTCTTGCTTGATAAGTCAAGATGACATTTAGGCTTATGATGCTTCGAGATAAAACGGGCCTGAGCCTAGTGAAGGGTTTAATTATCTATCCACTGCTGAGCAATGTAGAGTGTTGAAGTATTGTATTGCAAACAAGCCGCTCTTGATTGAATGAATGTCCGGGCCGACCATGCCGAGATCTGAAATCTAAGTGGGGTTGTTATGGATTGATACTTTAGGGAAAGCGTGGTCATACGCCCAATCATCATATATTTTACCACCTAAAACATTTACTTACCAGGCAGGTGAAGTCATAGTATCACGTGTTAAAGTTGGTATTTAGATGCTTTTCTGTCCTTACAGTCAATACCAGGTTACACCTCTCTCGTTCAATTAGAATTGCAATTTGCCAGTTGGAAATGGTTTATTCTCTTTACGATGGGACCATTGTGATGGCCAAAAGTGCCCTCACTTCATTGGCCCACATCTTGCATCAGGCTGAGCAACGCCCTAATGCCACTGACCTCCTTACTGCACGTTTGCAAGACGATATGAAACCGTTGACCTCCCAAATCCATATCGCTACTCAGGTCACGGAAAAAATGATTGCCAGGCTGACCGGTCGGGAGCATGTGGTTTTCGATGAGAACCTCAAATCTTTCACTGATTTACATGAACGCCTCCAAAACGCGATAACAGCACTCAATGAAGCCGACAAAGACATCGTTAATCGGCGAGGTGAAGAAGTGGAACCTACGACATTAGGGCCGGACAGAGTCTTGCCGATGAGTGGGGCCGCATTTGTCAATGGTACTGCTATTCCCAACATCTTCTTTCACCTCACTATCGCGTATGCGATTTTACGAAAGGAAGGTGTACCGCTCGGAAAGCGTGACTATATCATGAGTTTTGTTGGACCACAACTTGCTGGAAGCTACTAGGATGAGAAATCATAATCGGAAATCTGAAACCCGGGACTCTTTCTGGAACTGTACATACTGTATTTGCAAGAACACGTGTTGCTCAGTAATGCCACTTCGCTACTTTGCTGGCACACTATCTTGGATTACCGATCTTTGCCCACCAATTTGGCTTTAGATAACCCAGGGGTACCAAGGCCTCCGCAGTGTAACAGCCGCGAGATGTACAGGAGAGAAAGGAAGTTTGTTGACAGATTGCCGGTTCGAAGGCGATCTCGCTTAGTAGGTTTACATCAAAGCTTCCACTTAGTCTTTCAGGCATCTGTTTCCAGGCCATGTATTTTAGATACAAATATTTGAGGGGGTAAGCAAATCATATGAGGCTCCGCTGTCTCTGACCCTCTTTAAAAAAGAAACTAAAGAATAAAAGGAAGTAGTTGAGCGAGAAGTCATACTATGGTGCATGGAATCCTATGATAAGAAGTCGTCCATCTTCATAACCAAGGGCAATGGTAGCACCATTCACAGCTGAGCAACTATGTCGCGGATAGTCAGGTGGCAGGCATACCAGCTTTTCACCTGCCATGGAAACCCAGTTGCCTGATAAAGATACTTGAAATTGACTTGGGTTATTGTTTCTATGTGAAAATGGAATATAATGACCCGCTGTAGGTGAAGAGTTGGCCGCAGACCAATCCAAATGTGGATGGCCCGTCACTGTCTGCAGCTCTTTGCCTGCCTTGACATCCCAGAGTTTGATAGTCCTGTCGTTCGCGCCCGAGGCCAGGGTTGATCCATCAGGAGAGAAGGCCACAGAACTAACCCAACCTGAATGGCCTGTGAGTGTCTGCAGCTCTTTGCCCGCCTTGACATCCCAGAGTGTAAGTGTTGTATCAGCTGAGCCAGAGGCCAGCATCAATATATCAGGAGAGAAGGCAATAGATGTAATCTTATTTGAGTGGCCTGTAAGTGTCTGTAACTCTTTACCTGCCTTGACATCCCAGAGTATAAGTGTTGTATCAGCTGAGCCAGAGGCCAGTATTAATCCATCAGGAGAGAAGGTGACAAATGTAACCTGGTCTGAGTGACCTGTGAGCGTCTGCAGCTCTTTGCCTGCCTTGACATCCCAAAATTTAATGGTGTTATCATCTGAGCCTGAGGCTAGGGTTAATCCATCAGACGAGAAGGCCACAGAGTTAACTTGGGCTAAGTGGCCTGTAAGTGTCTGCAGCTCTTTGCCTGCCTTGACATCCCAAAGTTTAATGGTGTTATCAGCCGAGCTCGAGGCCAGGGTTGACCCATCAGGAGAGAAGGCCACAGAACTAACCCAACTTGAATGGCCTGTGAGTGTCTGCAGCTCTTTGCCTGCCTTGACATCCCAGAGTCTGATGGTCCTGTCAAGCGAACCAGAGGCTAGGGTTGATCCATCAGGCGAGAAGGCCACAGAGTCAACTTGATCTGAGTGACCTGTGAGTGCCTGTAAGTCTTTGCCAGCCTTGATATGCCAGAGTGCAATAGAGTCATCAGCCGAGCCCGAGGCCAGGGTTGACCCATCAGGAGAGAAGGCCACAGAACTAACCCAACTTGAATGGCCCGTGAGTGTCTGCAGCTCTTTGCCTGCCTTGACATCCCAGAGTCTGATGGTCCTGTCAAGCGAGCCCGAGGCCAGGGTTGATCCATCAGGCGAAAAGGCCACTGACTCAATCGCATTCCAGTGGCCTGTGAGTGTCTGTAGCTCTTTGCCTCCCTTGATATGCCAGAGTGTGATAGTGTCACCAGCCGAGCCCGAGGCCAGGGTTGACCCATCAGGAGAGAAAGCCACAGATGCAACTGGTTCTGAGTGGCCTGTGAGTGTCTGCAGCTCTTTGCCTGCCTTGACATCCCAGAGTCTGATAGTCCTGTCATCTGCGCCTGAGGCCAGGGTTGATCCATTAGGAGAGAAGGCCACAGCTGTAACCTTATTTAAGTGACCTGCAAGTTTCTGCAACTCTTTGCCTGCCTTGACATCCCAGAGTATAAGTGTTGTATCAGCTGAGCCAGACGCCAGGGTTGATCCATCAGGAGAGAAGGCAACAGATATAACCTGGTCTGAGTGGCCTACAAGTGTCTGCAGCTTTTTGCCTGCCTTGACATCCCAGAGCTCAAGGGTTGTATCAGCAGAGCCCGAGGCCAGGATTGATCCATCAGGTGAGAAGGCCACAGACATAACCATATTTGAGTGGCCTGTAAGTGTCTGCAGCTCTTTGCCTGTATTGACATCCCAGACTTTGATGGTCGTATCAGCCGAGCCCGAGGCCAGGGTTGATCCATCAGGAGAGAAGGCCACAGTGTTAACCCAATATGAGTGGCCTGTGAGTATCTGTAAGTTGGAGCTCCATGTGGCTTCCATTTGTGGTAATGGACATATCCAGTTTGGAATTTTATCGCTATACACCTTTCGCACAATACTTTTTCTTGGTGAAAATATCAGTCCAGAACAATAAAGTTGCAGTGGAGCAGTACTGGCAATAGAGCTGTTCCTAAGGATGAATCTCCTGGCGTCGTATAAAAATTCTGATATTTCATTATCTGTATTCTTCTGAAAGAGTTATTACTGATCGATTAGTCGGAAAGGTGGAGAGTCTTACGACAGCCAGCGCCTGGAGCGTATCTATCATCCCTACGATTTCAAATAGGACTCCCATAAGGCTTAGTGCCTCTAACCAATGGAGGAATTGTGTTTTCAGAAAGTGAAGGATTGGGAACTCAGAGATACAGCATTTACTTTGCTGAAGATGATGTACCCAGTACCGACAGGAGTATTGCAGAGCCGCGGAGAGATGCTGATTCATCAACTGCCTGCTGATATTGTCTCTCTCCGTCCCGTAACTGGGCAAACCACAGATATTGTGCCTGAGGCCGTCACTCATCACACGAAGACAATGCAGTCCTATCTTTCTGTGTGTTACTTGCTCATCCACATGGAATCTGTTTTCTGTTGTCAAGAGATATTCGCGGAAGGATAAGTGCAGGATACGGACCGGTGCCTCTGTATCGCTAGAGATATTAAGAACCGAGTGTAATGGATCGAGGATGTCACTGATAGTCCGTTTGGGCAGATGAAGGAGCTGTGTTAGTGAGTCAACTGTAAGAGGAGTCGCAAGATTAATGATAACACCAACAATATCCTGAAATTCCTGCAGAATTCCAGTTGATTCATCATCATTGTCCGTGAGGAGCTGAGTCAAGACAGGCTGGTAAATCTTATCCATCTGCGAGGCAGTAGTAACTGCTTGAGCTGCCAGAAGCTGCTTGAGGCGCCTTTCTGGATGCCTGCCTTGTTCAATAAAACGACATGCAGTGGCTGCAAAGATAAACAAGGGAACAGCCATTTCGACAAGAGTATGAAGACTCTCCTCCCCTGGCCAGTCATCAGTCATTTCCCGGTTCTTTCTTATCACTGAAAGCCTTTCTTTTAGAAAAATGCGAATATCCTCCTCAATCACTGGATTAGGAAGGTCATGCAGGTCCAAATCTTGGTGATCATCACTTTTCTTGAAACACAGACGGACTGGAATTTCAGGTCGGCTCGTCAGGAATATCCGGACATGTAGCACCTTCGACTTCTGTAGTTGTGGCAGCAGTTCAAGGATGACAGGTATATCTTCACTCTTGCACTCATCTAGTGCATCTATCACAATAATAGTGGTTGTAGAGTCGGTCGAAATCAGGTTAGAAAGTGGTTGAAGAAGGAGCTTGTCAAATTGTTCCCTAAGGGATTTTGCTGAGATGTCAGAATCGTCCCTGATTGCCTTCAAGACACCTGGAGCCAGCTGTCGGTGTCTGGTAACCAGTTGTTTTGTTATAGTCGGAATCAGGTACTTCGCATCACCACGGTCTGCCTCGCCTTTCTTAAAGAAGAAAGTGGCACCAAGCTGCTGCTTTTCTTCGAACGCTCGTGCAGCCGTTCGAGCAATGGTGGATTTTCCAGTCCCCGCCATGCCGTTTAACCAGAATATGATTTTGCTCTCTGACGACTCGGCCCACTCTGTGATCTGTGAACGGAGTTCGGTCCGGGTGTCTAGGAGGCAAAAATCGTCGTGTTGATTATCATACGAGTTGTAGAGTGCCCCTTTTGCAACGCAGAGATTCGCCAAGTTGAACTGCTCAGTAAGAAGCTGCATAGATTCGAGTACCTCATCCACCCGGTCTAAGATGCTCCTTGACCTCTCCTCGTAGCGTAGGTACTGGACTAATCCAACCCACCGGGCTATATTATCCCTTTCCTTCTCAACTGAGGCTCGGAGCTCGCTGAGTGGGTGCTTAATAATGGCAGTAACACAGTCCAGCAGCTTCCTCCCCGTGCTAGGGTCTTGAGCGGTTCGTATCTGTGCTGTGTAGTGTAGGATGGCCCTGTAGAGCCTGATCATGGCATTCCCCAAATCACGCTTTCGCCCGCCATCACCATTGATGTAGAATTGGTCCTCGATGTAGGCACACTGCGCGAGAACGTCCGCTAGGTACTCTGATGATTCAAACAACGCAACTTGTAGGTCGTGATGGTTCTGGGCGACCTATATATCAAATCACAGGTTAGCCTGTCATAACACATCCAGAATTATTCGCATACCGTCAACCCAAGAGACACAATTGCCCAAGCACTAGCTGCATGGTAAGTAGGATCAAAGGCCACAACTGCATCGACAATATCTTTGAATGACAACGCCGCGTTGATGATTTTCTGAAAGGATTCTCGAAGTCTTTTATCCGCTCTTTGCTGGTGATTCTGATACTGCTTTTCAGTCAATTGAATTACCTCGCTGATAAGAAGAGCGGTCTGGGGTAGGTTCTTCCTCTCAGTGGGCGTTCGAGGGATTGTTATTGTTGACAAGATACGTCGCTCCTCGTCGCCCAGCTGGTTATAGGCAGCTGACCACAGGTCCGTTGGCTCAGAATATTGTGTTGGCTGGTTTGAGTGACTGTTAGATTTGCCAGGAGAAGAAACCAGTAGTAAACCGTTGATGCTGCCACTTTTCTGGATTTCCATTCCACCAGTTTGAGCGTTCACTTTCTGGGGATTATTAGGCCTGTGGAATAGATTATGAAGGCGAAACCGGTTTCTAGAGGCCATTTGGATCTGTCTTCTAGGAACTTAGGGAATAATTTTCAGGACTTCACAGATCAAGTCGAGGAGCTGAGGGCTGTCGAGAAAACAGCAGAGAGGCTGAGGTCGTATGTGAGTCATGAAAGGCTACCCCGCTTTCTGATGAGCTGAACAGCGGTATGGCGACCTATATTGACCGCTCTCATTTACTTTCGCCACTTTCCTCCTAGACGAGATGGACATTGTCAAGGTGATTCGGTGTTCGTGCCTTTCCTTCATGAGACGATAACCTGGTAAAGATGGGTTGTAACGTACGACTGTGACGTGGATGTTGATTTGGTTTCCTTGACCCCGCCAGTGCGATAAGGCGCAACGGAAACCTCTCTTGGAAGCGCCTGGAGCAATCGGGTCTATTATCGGCCCGTGCCGGCAAGCCTGGAATAGTTTGGACAAACACTCGGAGGATTCCTCTTCCTGACATGCTGTCAACACCTTGACCCTCAGGAATTCTTATTGGGACATTTCTGCTATCTGCAGAGGATCAGTATGGGTTATGTGACCATATAGCTTTGAGCTAAATTAGGAGCCGTCGCAGGGTTAGAAGGCAGTGGTGGCCAGCAGCCTAGGCTTTTGTGGAAGTAGATAATTTAGACACGCAGATTATTCCAGGCTAACACATTAAACTCAAGGCACTTTTGGTTTTGATACTGTCACGTACTCTGTATTGCATATACGGATCAAAAGATATTCCCCTAGTTTCTCGAAGTGGCTTAGCGCATTCAGAGTTAGGGTTTCGGGAACAAGTGAAAGAATATAGATCTCCAGTTTCCAGAAGCCCTGTAACTAGAAAATCTTCTGGAACTTTGAGCTGATCTGCGAGGGTTCCGACCGAAGCTTCTTCGTCCAGTTCGTCATTGAGCGAGGGTTCAAATCGGGTACTACTCTTTATTTGTCAGTGACATTCACAAGTGGAACAAACATCTAACAAGAAATCTGGGAAACTTGGTGAAGATTATTATTGCCATAGTTGGTTAAATGATGAAAAATACTTGTATCTGCATAATAACTGATACTTGCGGGTATTTCATCGCAAACGAAGATCTTTGCGCGCCGAAGATGGCCGCCCCGATATTGTGCATTGGGTCTAATCGGACTGCTGGATCGCGACCTTTGCGAAGAGCGTGTAGAAGGAGGTATTATTGGGGTATCTGATAAACTGTGCGCCCTCTCCTCTGAAGCCATCTCTAAGAGCACACAAGGGGGAGAGATGGGTTATTGTGATTGTGCTCCTCAAGAGCATCATACGTAAGACAAGTGGTCGGGGAAACCGGCTTACGTTGCTTTATGGCTAAAAACGTAGGTGAACAAGAGCGTGACCGCTTCATTTAGGCCGGAACGATGACCTTTACGGTCTGAATGCAGGGCGAATGTGTAGCGCTTTTGACTGGCAACACAGAGAGTGATGTGGCAGATAAAGAACAGAAGCAAACAATCCAAGCTGGCCACTACCAGCTTCCCCCAATCTTTAGACATGAGATGTATCAATGAATACTAGTCCATATAGCGTTAGATCATACTTGGCATTGATCCTGAGGCATTGGAGTACCGTTTTGTAGTATGGAAGCTATTAGCCTTACCTATTTGTTGCTGTTTTGCTTGAGCGCGGGGTAAACAACATTCTCTGATACATGCCAAGACCCCTGATGTACGGGAAGCCAGCCATCTCTGCATGACGGGCTGCTCAACAATCCATCCTTATCCTAAAACCCCCTCACGCCTTTGGCCCACATAGGCTATATAAAATATCACTCAGTAGAGATGGCTTGCATACTTGAACCAGGAATCGACCAGTCTATACCTGATCTAATTATCCTGCTGCAGCTCGAAGATGTCGGTCTTTATTTCGAATCTTCTTAAGGTAAATCCCGGGAGCCCATAGATGAGCAAATTGCTTTTCAGGTACAGAATGAAGAGCTGGAAAGTATTTCCCAATTTCTCTTAGATAGACGGATGGCTATGAATTTTGCTGCCGCGGTCCAAGCTGATGAGAATATTCTGGATGAAAGCGTATTGGAAGAAGAGAATACAGCTAAAGATCGGAATATTGCCTGTCATTGGACAGATAATGGATGTTCTCTGGCTCCGGGGGACCACCAGTCAGATGCGGGATCGATGGCTCTAGACGATGAGACTTTGGATAAACTCCAGATCTTGTATATGTCTGGTCAAGAAGGCTACAACAACATTCACTGTGTGGGAATAGCAAGTGAAGAGACTGAACAAGGTGAATCATCTGCTTGGGCAGCCCAACGTGTTCGCCAGTCAATACCGCTACATCGCCGTGTAGCGTGCAGAGAAGAAGTGGAGATTTGTCAACGTCGCACGTGTATCATGTTGTCATGAGTATCGTCGTTCCTGTTTAGAAGATTTGTCCAATGCCTCGATGACGGTCGAGTCTCTATTTCCTCCGCGCTGTTGCAGAAAGCCTATCAACGTGAGCATCGCGCATATTCCTGAAAACTGATCTCATACAACGGTATGAGAAAAAGAAAGTCGAGTTCGAAACTCCAAACAAAACATACTGCCACTCTCCTGAGTGCTCCACTTTCATCGACATATCACATATTGGGCGTGAGGTAGCCACATGTCCCAATTGTAGGCGTACGACCTGTGCGAGCTGCAAAGGACGTGCTCATTTAGGAGATTGCCCAAATGAAAGTGCTATGCAGCACCTTCTAGTTCTCGCGGAACAGAATGGGTGGCAACAATACTATTCCTGTTGGCAATTGGTGGAACTAGTTCATGGTTGCAATCATTGCAATCACATGACGTGGGTGGTCCTTTGTTGATTTCCAATGATTGAGAGCTAATCTTAAGGCTGATAGCTGTTTTTGTGGTGCCCAATTTTGCTATAATTGTGGTGAGCGTTGGAGAAGCTGCGCATGTAAACAGTGGGATGAGCATCGTCTCCTTGCTCGTGCATATCAAATCATCAATCGAGAAGCAAACCCTCCGTTAGCCGCTACTCCTCCAGTCATTGCTGAGCCTGAACCAGAAACTCCTGTAGTTGAAGTGGGAGGGGCTTGGACCCAGCCGGAAGGCTTTAGGCATCTACCAGAAACATATGAGATACAAGAACAAGCTCGAGCAGCAGCAGAAACTCCAGTGTCCATCGAGAAAAGACCCGTTACCCATATATAGACGCAAAGAGATATTCTAGTTGCACACACAATCCAGGAGCTTCAAGAAAACCATGAATACACATATAATAGATAGAAATTTGTTCGCAGTCCTCACAGATGTGAGGAATGCTCCCATCGTCTACCTCAGTATATATTTGAATGTCGTCAATGCAGGCCCCAGGCTTGCAATCGGTGCAGAAGGAATAGGCTCTAATGGTATATACAGTATCAACACTGCAGGACTACATCAATACTCTATTGGTCGCAACAAGACAACTGAATGGAAACAATATCATTTGTTGCATTATTGCCTGAGAGGGTGACCCAATGTAGCTTTCAAAAAACGACAAGGCTCATCCATTGTATATTGATATTTTTTAGTTTAAAGTTAGCTATCACTTATGAAAGAAGGAAATTCATTTCCGGCACACGTGCAAGGCTTGCTCCTCAGCATCACGCTTCTTCAATAGTCAATCCGGCATTCCAGGAATTGCCCTTCTGCACTCTCCTTCTTCGCACCCACGACATTGACGCACCACGGGAGAAAATCACATCCTTGACTAGGATTCTCGGCATACGATCTCCAATTCTGTCAAATAAATATTTTCAGTTCCGCGGAGAATTCCTTGATAGGATTCAAGTCTGGTGAGTACGGCGGTAAATATATTAACAGGATATCTTTCTGCGAATATATTTCTTTTATCCTCTCAGAATAATGAAAGGATGCATTGTCCATAACTAGAATGGATCTAGATACAGGGTACCTTTCACAATAGTGCAGAAGTTCCTCAATAAAATCCTCAAATAGAGAGGCATCGGTAGATCCTTGAAGTATATGGCAGAGAACAATCCCAGATCTGGAGTATACTGGAAGGATATGATATCGCTGCCCATGATGAAACTTGGTAACTTGGACTGGAATGCCGCGAGGAGACCAACCTGTCCTTCTAATACCTATCCGTCTATCATACCCGGATTTGTCCACAAAAACAAGTTAGTCTGAATGAAAATCCGAGAAGAGGTTCAAGTATTTATCCTACAGGTCAGGATTCTGTTTACTTGCTTTCTGCTTGGCTTTCTTTTTTGACCACCCCTTATATAGAAGCGTATGCCTAATAGTGGAGGTCATTATCTCCTTTTCAAACATATCCCATATAAAATCGGACATCTCATCTAAGTACAAATCATGTTTCTGAACTAAATAATCACACAGAGCTTGAACTATATTTGGAGTAAGTCTTCACGGTCATCCAGCCTTATTTAGAGATGCTTTTACATTTCTAAATAATTGTTTGTTAGTACGTAGCCTTCTGATTGTACGCTCATGGCACTCAACATCTGCCATTTGGGCTGAACTCAATCCACTGTTTATGATCATGTTTTCAGCAAGCGCTATTTTCGATGCAGCTAGATTAGGTGCCATTTTTTGATACTGGCGATACAAGCATGATCGACGGATCTTCAACTAGCAGGTTAAGGGGGAAAGTTACCACTTGTATTATAGAAACTTGTAATATAACCGCAACCTGAAATGAGATACTCCGATACAAGGCAATACGGAGACTTGGAACGGGTGTTACTTGGAGGTTTCCAAAAGAGGTTTAGACTCTCTTGGCACTAGGGCACGAGTTACAACGGATGTGTTTGAGACCCGGGCGCCGACATTGAATTTCGTTGTATGCTGGGCTGCAATTCAATCTGGCCTGGCGTGGTAACTGGAACCCTGCACCACAGTCCGACCGGCGGTATTTGTGAGATGGTGATTGCAAAGCTAATTCTATTGGCATTTCATTAGTAACCCTTGGCAGTTAAGAGTCCAATCAATAACCTTTAGAACACAAATTTCAGAAGTGTCATTGTCGTTCTATTCTTGATCAATGAGAGAGCCAAGCCTCATTCGTAGATGACAACAAGGGATAGCGACCAACACAACAAACGCCCAATGTAGGAATATAACATCGATTCCCACAATCTAGCAACAGAAACTAATTTCTCCCGATCCTCGTTCCTACAACTCGAAGAGGTCGAATTCAGATTCGGCGGTGCCCGTGTCTTTGCAGCAAGTCCAACAGTGCTATATACCCTTTTAGCAGTATTCCTTTGCAGAGGATCCACAATGTGTTCTGCAGTTCTTACCCCGAATTTCTTAGCGTACTGTGGCACATGAGTTACTAATGCATCAGGGGAACAAGAAACAGCATTACTTACCCAGCCATGTGGGCAATGGGGCTTTTCGTTGAAGCATACCTTCCAACAGATACTATGGATGCTGTCGGCCTCCGAGAAAATTGGGTCGGCACTCGCGACGGAGATGAGAATGGATGTGGCCACAGTAAGCACAGTTGAGAGCTTCATATTAGCGAGGGATATTCTTTATGACAGGGCTTCCTTGCTAGCGGTGATCCTACAAAATTCAAGTCTCCGATAAGGATTGGGCGGGTACTTATATTGAGCCAGAATCCTGTTGACTTAGCATTAGTTTCGTGCTTGCTGTGTCATGAGTCGCGGAAATAAGAAATTACAAGGGAACCACCGTGAATGGTGCATCGTTGCAATTTAGGGGTTATGAGAAGGTAATTTCCGTGCTTAACTGATTGTCTAGACCATCAGCTCTCGAGGTGGCTTCCGTAGGAACCTTGCGCTGTTGGTTAGCTTTTCCATCCGATGGTCTGACATCCAGGAGTTGCATCATCATTCGTTTCTTGCTGCCCGTTATAGCCCGTCTCCAGTCAATGTTATCCATGAAACCAGGGAATGCTTTACTCTATGCATAATCTTGAACAGTATATTGGGCTATGAGATAGGAAACTAGAGCAGTCAGGAGATCCGTGCTGTTACCTCTTAAAGCAAGGGTACGTCAGCTGAAAGTCTCATCATTTGACTGGAAAGACAGGGGATTAATGAGATGCAGAGCCAGTTTGACATGGGATTCCCGACAAAAGGCCTCGGCATTCTACGCGCTCAAATCTTCGTTCGAGCATCGTCAGAAGTTCTCCCATAGTAAAAGTGGAGTAACTAAAGATGGTAAAGGCAGCCACTAAGCCTTTTCTAGAAGCCTACCTTAATCCAAGATAGGAGATGGAAGTCATGTGACCCAATTTGGCATTCCTATTACGGTCTAGCCTCTCAGACATCTCCCACGCGTCGCCTGAATATCCCCTTTTCAAGCGTACCAGTTGAATCTTGAACCAAGGGTTGCGCTTCCCCGACTCATAATACCATGATTCTTTTCCCACGGTATCACCTGTTTGAGATTGGCGACCAGCCTTGGTGTCCTGAGTGGATGAGAGCGTACATCCAATCGTATCTAACTCGTGTCTGGAATCTACATATCCCTCCATTCAGCAAGGCGCCCCCAGCGGGCGTGGCAGCTGATGTTATTCTTGAAAATATCCCAGACCCGGAATCCTTCACATTTGTTGATCTTTGCGCGGGGGCAGGTGGGCCAAGCGGAACCCTTGAACATGTTCTGAACGCGAAGCTTCGAGCAGAACGCAAGCAAGAGGCTCGATTCGTTCTCACGGACCTTCATCCTCGACTAGAAGAATGGTCTGCTGTCAGCAGGCGCCAGGAGAATATATCGTTCATATCTCAACCAACGGACGCAGCTAGATGCGAGAGACTTGCTCCAAAAGATCGAAAAGAATGCAGGGTATTTAACTTGTGTTTTCACCATTTTGATGACCAACATGCATCGACGATCTTGCGTAAGGCGACAGAGTCGGCCGATTCTTTTATGTAGGTCACCAAGGATTAGGCATTGCAATAAATACCAGGGACTAAACTATTGCATCAATAGAATTTTCGAATTCGCTCAGCGTAATTTTACGTCATTGCTGAATATCCCTGTCATGCTTCTTTTTCCTTTCTGGTACACTCTTTGCCGGTATAAAAGTTCCCCATTGCATCTATTCTTTACATATGTAATACCTCTATTGTCAATCCTTATTGCTTTTGATGGCTCGGTGTCAACTGCTCGGTGTCGGACATCAGAGGAAATTCAAACCCTTCTTCGCCGGGAGGATTTGAGTTTGAGTGACTGGGAATTTCGAAGTGGGCACCGGATTTTGTTCAAGCCCTTTGTACACGTGTACTACTTTATCGGTGTAAGAAACTACAAATAATGCTACAGGTGGGGACTGAACAACTCAATCTTCATCGGGATTATGGCTTTCTTCCAGTGTTACGCTTCGTCCAGCCGTCTCTTGCACTCTGCAAGGGCATCCGATGCCAGGCTCTGCGCCTGGCGTTTTGACATAAGGCCAATCCAGTCAGTCTCTTGTGTCATGCCAGAGTACCCCAAAACAAGGTCGCGCAGCCATTGCAGTATCCCATCTTGCATGTGGAACACTTCACGGTTCCTCAGAGCGCCCTTGACACTAGCTGTAGTGCGAGCCTTGCGCAAGTCCTCATAAATACCAAACGCGTCGCAGATGGTGATCTTTCTTTGTTCGATTTCAAGGTCTCCCTGATCTGCCAGACGTTTTGCAACATGTCCTAATAACATCCCCAACACAGCTCCGTCTTGTACTGCCATAGCGGCCCCCTGAGCTTGGTATGGGAGCGTTGGATGACACGCGTCTCCTAAAAGCGTTACCCGGCCCTGGTGAGTTGATATGCATTGGTAAGTCCTCTTTATCGAAAATTTATTCTGTTAGTAATGACCAACCTTAGTCCACGTCTCCAGCTCCGGAAGATGGCACAACTTCCACCTAACCACGGAGGATATGCAGGTGATTAACCTCTGAAGCCTATGAGAAGCATGAGCTTTCAAGCATCGAATCGGTGTAATGTATCTCACGTCGTGTCCCAGTCTCGAAAGCCCGATTGAACCTCTTCTAAATCCCCTTCGTCTGTGCGTACACCCGCCGGCATTTTGTCAGGCTGTAACAGAACAAGGTTAAATTCTTCACCACCACGGACCGGGTAGAAGACGGCATGTTTATCAGGCCCCAGCCAAGCCGTGACAGCGACCTTGTTACAAAGGCGGGTTACCTCCGGATCGCCTAGGGCTTCAAGTTGGCTCCTAGGAAAAACCGCCCGATAGGCCATGTCACCAGTCTCGATAGGTGGAAAGGACCGAGTGGACATTTCTTCCCTGACCGTTGACCACAGCCCTGTTTTCGAATCAGTCAGACTTCGTATACTCGTGGAGAACAGCAGTTGACAGACCGTCAGCGCCGATGATAACATCCCCTGCCACTGTCTTTCCCCCTTCAAGAATGGCCGCGGTGGCCTCAAAGTCTATACGTTGAAGATTGGCCCCGAAGCGTATCTCAACACCCATACTCGTAGCTCTATCAAACAGAATCTGCTGGTAGTCCGCTCTATGAATAATGCTAGTCCACTGTCAGACCACCTAGCCCATTGACCCAAAAGCTGGTGGGGCATTCATACATCCACGGGCTGCCATATTCCCGAGCGACCGTTTCCCCACATTCCATCGAAGTGATAACGCTGCCATCCTTGTAGCGACGAAGGTCCATTGACTCGACTACGGTGCCTTTCTCTAAGACCTGGTGTACCAGGTTTAGCTCCTGCAAGACCCGCGCTCCATTTGGTGGAATCTGTATACCTGCCCCAGCCTGTATTTAACAGAAACTCAGGTTCGTTAGGATCTCTTGCTTTGTGGTTGTTCCCGGATGCTTACGGGTAGTAGCTGGGGACTGCGTTCTAACACGACCACGTCTAGATTCTCGCGTCGACAGGCGATCGCACATGTTAGTCCGCCTAGGCCGGCACCTATGATGATTATTTTCATGGTGCTTGTTTTATCTTCGTGCTGTGTTGGGTGGATCTTACCCGCCACCCTGTCTTAAGCCACGTTAACGGAGGTCACCTGCAACTTGCGGCTGCCAACTATTTCATGCGGGGTTCAAAATACAACATCATGAAGCTTGGCACTATCCAACAATATATAGATGGGGGCTCGAATTGCGGAAAATAAATCCCTGCATCTTTTTTTCACACATAAGATGGAATGGAAATTAAAATACTGTGGTTGAGTTCCAGGTGGTCAACTAACAAGATGGCCGATAGCTGCCTTGACATTACGGAGGATATAGCCAACTGGCGAGCTCATGAGATTCCGGTGATATGAATTCGATGACCAAAAAGTCAAGCCACTGTTTAATTGACCTCCCCAGATGTGATCAAAGCAGACCTCTGCCCCCGAGTGCCCTTCACCCAGTCATTTCCCTATAGCCAAAGAATCGATGTCCAAGCCCCCACAAATACCTCTCCTCTCTTAGGTGTGCAGGTATTCACGGTCTCATTTTCGAGGATACGAAAACTAGAACAGTTCTACACTTTCTTTTCGCACGGCAGGAACTGATTAGGATGCTTCGATGTGCTCCTGTGGATTAGGGATTTGACAGTTTCCCACTGGTCGCTGGTGTGAGCGAACAGTTAAGGTTGAATCAACCTATGTACCAGAGGACGCATGTCAGGCTGGGACTGATTTTGGCCCCCTGCTGCCCCAATATACTGGGCTCAGGCTCTAGCTACGGCTTTTATTAGCGCGTCTTACAGGGATGTTGCTAAAGAAAGCGTTTTTCCGATCGTCATCTAGAGCGTAAGACACGTCTTTGTCCAAGGAATTGATAACTCCCCCCAGGGATCTCGCCCTCGATTGCCTCGATCATATCTCATGCACTGACGAGTTCCAGCAGAGTCGTCTCCCGGCTGTATGTGGCTGGTGGTATGCACGTTGAATAGTCCTGTTTACTACATCAGTCATGGACTATATCTGTCGTTAGGCTCGCTCTTTGCGCGGCCGAACATATCATTCTGCGGGGACTCGGTCACTAAACAATACCGAGTCCGACGCTAATTTCAAAGGTCAAATTTTGCCTTAAACACCCATAGGCGGGCCTATTTACACCTGGCCGAAGACATGTGGAGACGATCCTCCCCTGCAACGCAGCATTCTCGACTTTCCCTCCTTATACTACGCTCCTGCGAGGCATGGTATCGGATAGTTCTCGCCATCTAATTGAACTGGCAACCCTCGGAACTCCACCTGGCCCGTTCTTTCGTATTCCGCGGACTTGTATTTCTATACTAAGACTTGAAACCGAACACAAACTCCGGTGGATTTTCAATTTCCTCCGCTGTGGACGCAAGATTACGACTATGCATGAGTCCTGCAGGATCTCCTTGCGTATCATATCACCGTTAGCATAGATATAACATCGCCTGATGGCTGCCTTATAGAAAAGGCCATCAAGGCCCTTATCTCGCATGATCATTGGCGACTACAGTGATAAGTTCTAACAAAATAGAATTCTCAAGAAATTCGAAATTATACATAGTGACACTGATAAAATGACTTGCGAAGTCCAGACCAAGTTTCTCGTTGTGGGTGCCGGACCGGCCGGGCTGGCCTTAGCAAGTTTTCTGGGCCAAAACGGTGAGCATCCATATGGCGAGCAGCGGTATATAAAGGCAATAATAGTAACTTTGGCTACGTAGGTCTGAATGGACTTGTCATTGCGAAAGCAGCTACCACCGCCGATACCCCGAGAGCTCACATATTCAATCCCTTCGCTTTCGGTGAGTCACTGGTCTCAGCCTTGCGTATGGGACGCACTAAAGATGTTCTAGAATGCCTTCGTGATATTGGCATTGAGGACCAAGGCCTGCAGCATGCTGTACGTGGTCGCACTCTTCAAGCAATGCGCTGGGCCCGAAGCATGGCCGGTGAGGAGTACGGGAAAGTCCTTGGATTTAGCGAGCATCCGTCGTGCATTGTAAGATACATATCCCCTTAGCGAAGTAATTAACGAAACAGCTTTGGTATTAATTTAGATCGCTATTATAGGGTCATACACATGGTATCACTCCGAGCGAGTATGCCGAATTGTCGCAGTCTGAACTGGAGCCCATTTTGCTTCGGTACGCCTCGCACCACAGCTTCCATGTTCGTTTCTCCACTGAGCTAGTGGACGTCGCACAGTTCACAGATGATACCGGGAAACATGAATATATTTGCACTATCCAGGATCTCATCTCTCACGGCACCTGGAAAATCCGCACTCAGTACCTTTTCGGCGCAGATGGGGCGCGCAGCAACATAGCTCGCTCACTGGATTTCAAGTTTATCAGCAAGCCAAGTAGCGGCAAGGCGTGTAATGTCTTGCTTCGCGCAGACCTGGCGCACCTAATGTCCAAGGAGCGCCACGCTGCGCTGCACTGGATCCTGAAGCCCGATCGCACCACTTTCCGCGGTATGGTAGGCCACTTGCGCATGGTCCGGCCGTGGAACCTGTGGGTGATGGTCGCCTTTGGCCCGCACGGTACCAATCCTTTCGAGGGATTCACAGCCGAGAGACCGGAGCTGGTTGATGCTGTGCGGGACCTAATCGGAGATGATTCTGCTGATATCGAGATTCTGCGGGTAGACTCGTGGGCTGTGCGCGAGAGTGTTGCAGAGCAATACTCCTTGGGAGGGCAGAATGCCTTCCTACTTGGCGACGCAGCGCATCGTCACCCGCCTGCCTATGGCTTGGGGAGTAATACATGTGTGCAGGATGCGTACAACCTTGCTTGGAAGGTGGCGTACGTTTCTAAAGGCCTTGCGGGGCCACGGCTGCTTGAGCCATATACCAAGGAGCGCCAACCCGTCGGGGCTATGCTCGTTTAGCAGTCCAACAAGGGTCCTCGCCGCTCAGGTCGATGTCTGGCAGTCAGTGGGAATGTTCGAGTCCACACCCGAGGATGGGTCGAGGCAACTCGCGAAGCTTTCTCAGGCAACACCGGAGGGGGAGGCCTCTCGCGCAAAAGTGCGCAACGCCATGGAGCTTGTAGGGGAGGAGCTGCAGAGCTGGGGTGCGGCCTACAATCAATGGTACGTATCAACAGCCGTGTACTTGGCGGACGAGGAAGGTAGTAGGCCGGTGCTGGACGGAATCCAATTGTGGATGTAGAAATTTCCACCTATCCCGGCAGCCGACTTCCTCATGCCTGGTTGGACATCCCGATCCGCGGAAAGATGATCTCGACACAAGACCTGGCTGGCAAAGGCGCCTTCTGCCTACTCATAGGGATAGGCGGTGATGCCTGGAGACAGGCTGCCACAACTATTACCTGTGCAACAGGTATTCCAATCAACGTATACGGGATCGGCTATGGTCTTGAGTACAGGGATGTTCATCGCGACTGGCATGCCGCACGGGGTGTAGAGGAAACAGGATGTGTTCTGATACGCCCAGACAGATTTGTGGCTTGGAGATCCACTAAGCTGGTACCAGACTGTGAAGGCAAGCTGTTTCATGTTCTCAACACGATCCTGTCTAGGGATGAACTATGAATGGCTCCGAAGCTTCATTTAGATGTACCAGGCAACCACACTGAATATGATGTAGTCTCAACTGGGATAGTGGATAGGTGAACTGCTCCTGTTGGAGTAATAGGATCATCAGACCATTTATTACATACAGAAGCCTCGATAGGCTCTTTAAATAATGCAAAGCATAAAGCCTGTCTATGCCTGTGGTGTATCGCTTTAATTGTGAATGAGCATTGTATTCTCTGGTGCAATATTAATGGAATTTATTATAGCTCAAAGAAAGTACAAGGAGAGCTAATTTCACTGTCATACAGACAATGGTAACTATATCTACGGACCTTTTTGACGTTACCAAACCCGAAGCAAGAGGAATTCCCTATCAAATGTTCACAGCTAGACAACTGTGTGCAGGGACATAATATCCCTGCCAGTTTTGTTCGCTAAGTACTCTAAAAGTCCTGAGTAGACAGTGTGAAATCTACAATACTTTGAACTCAAAGTTGTAGGAACGAGCATTAGGGCATACTACCTCAAGTGCCACATGAGACAGATAGTGGGCTTTCTTTCATTTGACAAGGACCATCGCCGCAGAATTTGGACCATGGCAAAGTGGGCCTCTCCTTCGCCTTTCGGCCTTCGCAAAGCGGATCTCCGAGGTTCCCTGTGGAATATGCCTACGGAGAAGGAATCAGAGTCCCGTCCGATTTCCGAATCAAAAGAGTTTAGTTCAATGGCTTAGTATGGTACACTCAGTCATCGCCTGGGGTCGGGGCCCGATCCAGAAAGCAATAAGAATGAATGTACACCTTTAGTGGTCGCCTGGTAATGAACTAACGAATCTTACTCCAACCGTCCTTCGTCTTATTACGCTTTCTTGACAGCGACTGGAATTTGCTGTAGAGTTACCGAAACATGAGGTCCTACGCAGTGCTAGGCGGAACAGGTGCCACCGGATCCAGAATCACAAAGCAACTCCTACAGGAAGAGGATGTTCATCTGAATGTGTACGCGCGATCCAGGCAAAGGCTCGAGGCAAAGATCCCACTACTGGCTACATCGTCGCGTGTCCAGATATTCACAGGTTCAATAACCAACATCGAGATCCTCGCGGACTGCCTGAGCGGTGTTGATGCGGTCTTTGCCACTGTTGGAACCAATGTGAATGAACCTGGCTGTTCCGTTGCACAGGAGGTTTCCTCCTCCATCGTTGCCGCGTTACTCAGACTCCGCTCGCAGGCCCCGCGCAATGTGAGTACCGGCGCCGCTTGGACGTGTCCGACCCTGGTATTTCTTTCGTCTACCGGTGTCAATCCTCTCATCTTCGGAAAGGAGCCCTTTCTACTAAGGTTCATTGTTGCTAGGAGCTGTTCCTATATATACCACGACTTGAAGTTGGCCGAGAAATATTTGAGGGGCCATGACTGGATACCCTTGGCTTTCGTGCAGCCAGGCGCTATAGTGCACGACCAGGCCTATGGTGCGAGACTGGCTGAGAATGAGGCGACCTCTAGGGTCAGCTATGAGGACTTGGCCAGTGCTATGATCATGGCGGCTGAAGGGAAGGTGGATGGAAGTGATGACACAAGCAATAGAAGGAAGTGGGCCGGGAAGAGTATCGGTGTTGTTAGCCTTGGGGGGGAGAGGGTTGTGCCCGCCATTAGGAATTTGAAGTATCTGATTCCTGGTCTTGTCTGGTATTTCTTACCATTCTTATGGCATTGGTCAAAGTTTCTAGGACTGCATTAAAGGGCATATCCATTGTTCAGCATCGGGAGCTAGGAAGACAAAGAGAATGAGAACGATAAGGGATAACTTGCCTGTGCAAGATTGTCTACAGATAATACAGCTTTGAACTCTATCATCTTCCAGGGATTCAAGCGCTTATTATATCCCGATCGTCAACCCTCTCTGGATAACGGTTAATATCCGATGTCCGGTATGTAGTGCCCATGGTGAAAATAGTTCTATACGTATCATATCCGTGAAACATGAACAACACCTATGCTAACACTATACCTGTATGTATAGCCATATCTATTGAAATAGACGGGATTATCGAGAGGTCTCCTTTCTACCGCACTGTATATAAGATTGGCGAATTCTCATGATAGATTGACACCGCTCGGCAGTCCAAAGACCTGGTTATTTACTTCAAAGCCACAAACACCAAGGCCTTCACCTTCAGTCAAGCAAGTACCACTCTCGCCATTCTTCAAGTTGCCTGTGGTTGCGTAAGACCACTTCTGGGAACTTCTCTCCTTGCATGCTTCAAGCGACACGGCTTTACCGCTCCCAGTCAGGCACTTTGTTTGCTCGGATAATGGTCGCAGGACTCCTGACGATTCCACCTGCCAGATCTGGGATCTCTTACCGTTGCAAGTTTCAAATTGGGCGATTGATTTACTTCCCGTTAGACACTTCCCAGAGGCCGTGTTGAAAATGATACCGGTTGGTATGACTGTAGAGCATTCATGGCTGAGAGGTATCTTATATACACCGGTCGCGTGCGTATTGAGCTTAACGCGGATGTGACCCTTGATCGTGTGGGTAGATCCATCCCAGAGATCCTCGGCTTTGAACGTGCAATCGGGGGAGAGACCAAGAACATCTAGCGGGATATCCGTTTGCGACGGTTGGTTACCGTGGTTCAGGACTGTCAAGAGTCTGGAACCGTCTGCGAGGCTCCTCGTCAAAACATCAAGATTACTATCTCGACTCGCTAATGTTGCCTGCTCAGCCTTTGGATCCTGGTCCACCTCAATCAAGGCTCGATTTGTCAGGAAGTCAATGTCCTCTGAAGGCAAGTCCGGGACATACGCGCTGATAATTAAGGGCGCGGAAAAGGAAGCCCATAGGGCGAATTGAGATCGCCGTTCGTCTATCGACAGCCCCGGGTGATCGGGAATCAAGAAGTCCGGGTCGTTATAATATCCGGGGCGCTGGTACCGTGCGACAAGCGTGTTGTACCTATAGTTCGTCATGATACTGTCCCAAGCACTGCCTTCGCCACTATACACAAGAACATCAACCGAGTGCCGGGCCAGCTCGCCATATTCGGGAACCCAGCCCATGACCGTGTACCAGTCAGTGTAATTGTCAGTAATGGAGAAGTACGCAGGTGCTGACTCGGAGAATATAAGGGGGTTGTCCATCTTGCGGAGGATCTCGTGCCAATGGCCATAGAGGTATTCATATTCCTCCTGTAATGTTCTGCCTTCTGTTGGGTAAACGTTGCACCCATCCAATTTCAAATAGTCAATACCCCAGGCGGCGAAGGTCTCTGCATCGATTTCTTCGTAGCCCAAAGATCCCGGATACCCGCCACAAGTCAGGTTCCCGGAATCCTCGTAGATACCGAAGTTAAAGCCCTTGGATTTGACGTATTCCCCAAGCCAGGGAAGCCCGCGTGGGAACTTTGTGATGTTCCATTCCAGTGATCCATTCTCGGCGCGCTGGTAGTTCATCCAGCAGTCGTCAAGATTGATCCGGTTATATCCTGCTTCCAATAAACCATTGGAGGCCATCGCGTCCGCTGTTTCAACAAATAAGGTCTCATTGAGATCGCACATGAATCGTGCCCAATTGTTAAATCCCATTGGCGGCGTCGGTAGGAGATTCGGGTTCTCAATTGAGGCAACCACTTGAGCCGGCATCGTGCCCGCTAATGCGGTGGCTAATGATATACCCTTTGCTATAAGCTTCATTGTACGGGTCATTCTCTGTATATACATGGGCAACGGTACCAAGGGAACCACTGCAGAAATAATTGTGTGTGTGAGTGGTAATAGCACAGAACACCGTGAAGAAGGTCGTACTTAATCATGCCCTATTTATAGACAGAGTATTCAGAAATGGGCTGATAAGTAGCGGGGTAAGCAAGCATACGATAGCTACTTGACTTACAACTTATTGCAAGGGGTTGAGCCAAATAATTGGCCAAATGCGCCGATCCCCGCACGATATCGAGGATCTGCATTCCTCGATGAAACCTTTGGTCTCCCTTGCCGTCGGGTCCATGCATACATACGTGTACATGGTACTACGGTAGTATTCATATATAAATGGTGGTCCTGAGATGTACCTCCCTAGCTATGTCAACTGTACCGAATGCTGCTGTTATTCTTAATCGGCTGAACCATAGGCTAGCTTGCTCTATACAGGTAAACATACCGCGTATATCTCTTTCTGTTTCTGAGCATATTTCAACATTGCCGACAATAGTACACATGCTACACATATTCAGCATGATACAATCAAATAGCTCTCCCCGCATATCATTAACACCATGTGTGGGGTCATGAACAGCGTATATTAGCTGGCTACTTCATAAAGCACTTCATTATATTTTAACGCAGTCGAAACACACCACAGCGCGAGCTCTCTGTAACAACGCTGATCTTTTTCATCTGATAAGGATAGCCTCCAATATCCTCCATGCCAAGTCAGACGTTGTCAGTTTATCCAATAGCGATCCATCAGCCTTGCGGTGGAAAGCAAAGCGCCATATTGCACCGAGATTAGCGACTTGTACTAACATAGATGATATCTTCTGATCTGCAGCATCGCCAGTCTTGCAAAGTGCATAAAACTCTCCCCAGAAAGCAGACAATAGTCGGGGCCTGCACGTATAATTGTGCCATTGGCTAACAAGACTGAATATAAAACCATACCAAACGGTAGTACCTTACTAAAGGAACAGTCGAATACCGGAGATCTTGAGTGTCTTTCCATCCTCCAAGATGTTTACTCCAGTTAGGTTGTCATTGTTGAGGACCCCGGGCGTAGTCCTTCTTGCGGGGATCTGGTAACATGTTTTCCAACTATGAGATTAGCCGGTCGGGAATCGAGATGGTTAGGGCTTTACTAGTCTTTAGCTTTTTAAGATTGTGGGAAGTCTCCTCTTGAAACTCCACGACAATCTCTCATTTCCCAGTCCTATTCCTTTGCTACTTCTCTTGAAGCCAACTTGGACCTGCCAGCTTCCTTCAACCGCTCTCCACGTACACCCCGAGGCCCGCTTCGGCAAGAGGATTCATCAATGAGGCTCATTCTGCGATTCCACCGCAAATCCATGGGATATGGTTCAGCTTTCGGGGAAAGAAAGAAATGAGAAGGTCTAGAAATATTAAACGACTATACATGCCCAACTCATATACTCGAGTAGGGTCTGTCAACTGAAGGTGAATTCTACAAGGATCAGCCCAGAGGAAAAAGGCCAACAATAAACTCGAAGACGCACCGCCAGGTTTTGGCAGCAGTCTTTAAACCCAACCCCTTCTTAGCCATAGATAGTATCTTTTGGGTGACGGCTAGATCCATGATCGCCAGGCCCACGCATTTGAATACATGATTTCCGTGATGTAACTGAATGTCGTCGCCCTGATACAATGCCCCGGCCTCAATCAGTTGATCCCTTTTTACCCTGGCTTGGATCATTTCTCCAGCCTCGGCCAGACACGCATACTTTGAGTCCACCTAGACGACCCCCCCTGTGAAAGCAAAGTCTCAGAGTCTACTTCTTGCATCGAGGGCGTATACGGCCCCATTAGTGAGATAAATTATGTTCTGACTTTGGACAGGTACTCATGAGGGAAGTGCGGAGTTGTGGTGGGTGTGCAACAAAAGATGGCGTCGGCAACTGCAAGACGCACTCGTAATCGTTCCTCAAATTAGGAGTATGATCCTAACAAAACTACGAATTTGAGCTCTGGATGGCTTCTACCTAGAAGATCGAAAAGCTGACCTAGCCCTCTAGCATTGTTCTGTTGACGACAGTAATTTACTTCACATCATCGCAAAGAGGCAAGGCTAATCGAATGTGCCATTCGGCCTGTCTCCCTGCAGCAAATACAACAATGGAGGAGTTGCTATAAGGAAATCGCAAAAATAAGATTATGATGGCCAGAGATATGCGGAATCCAGTGAGTTCCTTGGCGTCTAGCAGGCCGATTAACCCTCCATTAAGTGTAAGAAGGCTAATACATCCTTCGACTCCTTCACCAACGGTGACAATCTTCACTGATGTTGATTCGGGCGTCGAGCATGGCATTATTAAGGCTGTTTGGCCTGTAGGGGAGATGATGCTTTCCGTCTTCCTTTGGCTTACATCGTTCGTTGAGCAGTATTTGTGCAACATGGTGTGGAGGCTTGCAAGGAGAGGATGACATTCTTGTGAGGAAAGCGATAAAAGAGTTTGTTTGATGGCATGTTTCTCGAGGATCAACATCTTTTCGGTGGACTGGGGAATATTGGAGAAACGAGGGAACAATTCAATAGAATATCCAGAGAATTTAAGGGTGCCATATGGAGGACGAGAGCTCGCTAGCAATAAACCTTTCTATAGTCAAGTATACATCTATGCAAGGATATCCCTTGGGCTTAGCTTAGGGTAACAATGTCCACGGTGGGCGATTTGCGGATGGAGTGAGCTCAGATTCACTTGCCTCTTCCAAAGCTGCTACTGCGATTTGTTGTGACGGTGGTTTTAACCTCTGGGTTGCCGGTGATGGAGCCCGCCGCCTGCTTTTCAGGGTCTACCCGAACAACTACCGTTCTGTAAGGGTTTCAATTCTGTTCAGAGAAAGGGCGTGTGCCCTAGAAGTTGAAGAACAAACCATATACTAGGTCAAGCCCACCTGCCGGAGTCTACTTTTACTCATACTTGCACATCATGAATTTATTTTATTCTAAGTATTTGTCGCAGAGTCTTCTGGCTGGTTTGAACCAACCGATTAACCTGTCGTTAATCCTAGCAAAGCAGTGGCCAGTGGTGTGAAAGCCTACAGACATCCATCCAAGTTACAGAATTTGTGGCCTGACCCGTAATATCCTGCCGATGCCACAATTCACCAAGTATCTCCCTACCTGCCCATCCAGATTTTGAGAAGGCTCTGTCCAGCCACGCGGTGAATCTGTCCCGTCGCTGCTTTGTCATTGCTTCCGCGCCTGCTATAAAAGCAGGCCACGCCGTGCCGGGTCCGAGAAGATTCCTTTCTTCCAGCGCCAGATCGAATGCGTAAAGCGCCTCACTGACATGGTTGACACTCTCTTGCAAAATCAAATTCACGTTCCGGATACGCTGATAAAAGAAAATAGCCAGCGCCGCGCTCAGGGCGCGTACCATGTGCACATGTGGTGTGTTCTCTAGTGATTCGCAAAGGTAGCTCTTAGTTGTCTTTGGCATGCTCATATTGTGGTGGACATTGAATGAACAGACCGCTTCTTCCAGAGAAGAGGCCTTGAGAAGGAGCGACGCCAAGGTCACGGCATCGTCCTCCTTCTGGTTTGGAGAAAGGCGGTCCATAAAATTGGCCAGGCGTGTGATTTGCGATACTAACGTTAGCCATGCCTCAGAAACCCCATATATCTGCATATACATGTTGCCTTGGTCACGGGGTGAACGAGTCAGATCGATATCGCCAATACTCGACTGGGGATCCTCGCGAGCAGCACTGCTCGCCTCGTGATGAAGAAAGCTGTCAAGCGTCAACTCCAGATTGACAGCTCGGAGGAGAGCGGTGTTTGCTCGCGGTTGAATAACAGGCCCAGCCGATGAAGTACCCATACCCACGCTCTACTGATCAGGAAAAGTATCCACCGCCTGCTCACTATTCTCGTGGACCATGTTGGTACTTTCCGAAACAATACGCATCCAGGCGTAGATGCTATGCAGCAGATGCGCTCGGCGAGATACAGCAAGTTTTGTGAGACCGCGAAGGCGAGCGAGACGTTCCATTTCCGTCAAATAAATCCGTGTATCCGCTTCATTCCCCGATAGAAACTTGATATCTAAATCAGGAGATGGCAGATGATGCCGAGAGATAACGTCGCCCTAACAGTTGCTTCTAGCACTATACATATTTTCGTTTGATAAAGTTGAATCGGGTGGCATGTTCCCCAAATCACTATCATGGCTTGGGCCCTCGGGAGACAATGCACCCTCGCTGGTAAATGATGCTTCGAGGCCTGGCTCCTGAGGCTTTTCTGCTTTGAAGACTCCAAATGGCCCCACCATAAGCCCGGTCAACTTTTGGACCTCAACGCTTTTGGATCCCTTATCAATGATGTTCAGGGCTGCAGCGACAGTTGATGGGATTGTCTCAAGTAAGGCGGTGCTCATAGACAGCCTATAGTACTCTTCATAAAGCAGTCAGTGTCTTTGACCTTTCATGCGAGCTGCCTCGTGGCACTGGCCTGTATACAAATGCCGCCGTGAGTATGGATCTACACTGACTTCCTCCCTAGATTGGCCCGTTAACTCGTCGACTTCTGGCCCGCTAGAGATCAGCCATCGAAAGGCAGGCTGGAAATCACAAGCGCGGCCCGCCGTGCGACAGCGAGTGCACTTTGGCATAGATTGGTCACACTTGAGGTGACGTTTCCGGCATGTCCTGCAGCCCCCAAATGAGTGGCCTCGATTGGCTTTTGACTTCTGCATAGTATCCTTACAACGGCGTCGCAGTTCCTAGAAATAACGATAGAAAGAGCTCCAAGGAGGAAGGAAGCCATGAGGTCGTCAAATCTCAGAGGAGGGAAGAATCCCAATTAGCCTCGGAACGAGGAGCCTAAGTTGGTGGGGGGGGGGGGGGGGGCTAGTTACTGGAGTCCCTCGATCTAGCCATTTTCACCACAATGTTCGCCCGTTCGGAGACACTTCCTCATTAAATATGCTCTATCTGAGATAATAAACAACTATACGGTAGTGCCTTTCAATGTCCTGCTAGAGCTACCCTGGCCGCAGCTGTCCTAGAGTCATATAGTCCACCCTATTGGCTATAATCACATAAGAGGTACCACAAACGAGACATGATCACTAAATTTTGGTATCGCACCAGCAATGATATAGTCAACCACATCAATGCCTGCGAAGCCAGGCTACCCAATATAACGCAGTGCTTGCAGTCAGCTCCCTGTAGTCTTGTAATAAATTAACAAAAGCAGTGTTTGCGCATAACGGTCCTACTTTGACAGGAAGACAGTGCTGTAAGACAGAGGACTCTAAGTCATCCTGGCTCTCAGAGTTATCAGACCTTCGATAGTCCCATCGAGGGTCGCTCAAAACCATCTCTCTTTCTCTTGTCGTTATTATCCCATTCTTTATGACTGAGAACACTGGAACAACCAAAGTTAGCCTAAAATAACTGCTGACTCGATCGGCGAAGAAAGCTCCAACACATGCGAAGTTTAAAAGAGCAACAAGGCAACAGTAATCTCACTCAGTAGTCCACGAAACAACCTCACTGCTTTGACAGAAAAAGTTCGATCAATTTCCCGCCGAGCGCTAGAATAGGATTGGCTTTTACCCCTTCGCGAATGACGGCAACTGGCTTTACTGTCGAACATCCACGTGAGTGTGTCGCGAGAGGACATGCACGAGAACTGTGGAATCGTATAAGTTTCTGGGGATATGAGGAAAATAAGCCTGGCCCCGCTATTCGTGCAGGTCAGATCAAATGCCTTCTCGGGGTCGCTTTCCTGTTTTAACCAAACTTCATTCGGTGTCATTATCAACCCGAGTGTATATCATTTTGCTGATTAAGATCTGAGCGTATCCAGGAGCGACGATCCAAGTCGGCTTCTCTATCCTATTTAATCTCCTAATTTATACGGTGCATATTTCCAGTCCTTCCAGGCCCTAGAGCTCAGTGGCAAGCAACAAAGACATGGACATACCCTTGCCACCGCAGACTGCATTAAGAATATCTTTCCGCATCAACAAATTCAATAATAGGAACCTAGCGGAAGCCAGGCAGGTGATACCGAATGCGCGAAATATATAAATAGGTCTATGGTGGTGTTTGCAAGTTGCTTCTCCCCCGATATCAACACAACTGTTACTTCCCGCTCACTTCCTTTACAGTCTCGGACTTTTCCAACCATGGCTTCTAAAGGTGCCACGCTAGACATGTCTCGGTTTTTTGGAACGAGGAAGGAGAAGATTGGATTTTGCCAAGATCTCCTCGGTCTACTTTAATCGCATGGCTGTGTGAAACTTCAAAACCATGACATTCCAGCAGACGATATTCACACATTATTTGAAATAGTAAGTCGCGACGGCTCATCTTCCATCAGAAGCGAGCTTACTATCAGTTTCTTTAACTTAGACCCGGGCATTCTTTAACTTGCCTCACGAGGAAAAAGTGAAAGTCGAACACGCTCCAGAGGCAAATCCGAATCGCGGCTGCAGCTATGTTGGCCAAGAGAATGTCGCGAACATCAGCGGGCATGAGAAGGGTGTAGGCCCGGGCACAACCCGAGATATCAAGGTATGGACCCGAGAGAGGCGTGTCTACCCTCAAGGCTTAACTAATGATTGTTCAAGGAGACTTTGGATATGGGATGCCCTGATGATAGTCTGGTTGACAACCTGTGGCTTCTGGAGGAAGGCTTGCCAGGGTTTCGCAGTTTCATGGAGAGCTTTTACAGCAAGGCTTTTCAGACCGAGCTAAACATCCTCTCTGCACTCGCCATAACCCTCGGTATATCCGAAGAACATCTTCGACTGCTTTATTGTCGCGCAGAGAACGAGTTCCGCCTCCTGCACTACCCCGCCATACCAGCTTCGGAACTCAGCGATGGCTTTGCTACTCGAATTGCGGAGCATACTGATTTTGATACAAGTACTATGCTCTTCCAAGATTCGGTCGGTGGACTTCAAGTAGAGGACCAGACTCAACCTGGCGTTTTCCATGATGTAGAGTCATCCGCATGCACTGACATCATCCTGAATATTGGCGACTCTCTTCAACGTCTTACCAACGACACTTTCAAGGCAGCCTGCCATCGTGTTACTTATCCTCCCACGGTAAAGGCCAACGGCGACGAGATTATTCCCGAGCGGTACTCTATCGCCTACTTCGCCAAGCCAAACCGAAACGCCCCTCTCCTTCCCTTGACGGAGTTCATTACGGATGAAACACTTTGTAAGTATGATAGTATTACAGCGTGGGAGTAGAATAACCTCAGGATCGCTGCGCTCTATGCATAATGAGCTGTGAGGTCTGATAGCCAAGGTCAGCAGTTGTTGTCGTTCCTGGAGATGAGGTTTGTGAAATTAGCTCGTGTGAATTGTAGCTTGATTTTTTTGTTTTCATGCAAGCGATGTCCAACTGCGTGGTCTGTATGGCACTATCAGGAGAAATGAAATTCAAAGTAACGACATACTACCTCTCAGAGAGGGAATCACGTTGTACATACACTGCCAGCTCTATCTCTTGAAATCGAATTACTACTTACAGTTGGTTCCTACCGTGCACTGCGTACACCCTAGTGGTCATTTGTGCAACTGTATTCACCAAAGAGGCTCACTCTGCGATTCCACTGATACTACCAGGCTTGCGGCTATCACTTGGTAAAAATCTGTACGGCTAGTTCAAATTCACTAGAAATTGACGTGCTGTCCAAACTGTCAAACCCCCCAGCTGTCGAGCAGCGGCAGGACCATGATTCCCTCAATCAGGGATAAACTCAACATCCAAGGACCTAATGGTCACCACGTCTGTTAGTAACTAGACCAGCGAAAATGAACCTCTCCGATGCGAAGAATGGGTCATGTATCAGCCTTTTCTAACTTGGGGTGGCCCGAGCATTAGCGGCGCAGCTCACGATTGCGATTCGATATATGCATGCACAAGAATTCGTCCCCGAAGGCCTTCATCGTGGGAATATCCTCTTCCAATCATTCCGTGGACTCAATCAGTTGTCTACTGAACAGCTATATGAACTGCACGCAAAGCCGATACAGGAGCCTGTTAAAGATTAGAATGCCAACGGTCCCCACCAGGGGTTCCTCAACATGGTATGTTCCCTGTCTAGCTTGGGAAAGCAGGTGAAAGCACTTCCAGAAATCAAGATCCTGCTTTCAGACTTTGATGAGGCATTTTCCCCGGTGCAAGAAGAGAAATTTAAGTCTCAATCATCTCTTCTGATCCGCCCTCCGGAAGCTCGTTTTGAGCCAACCAAACCGCTTATTTTTTTTTCCATCCGATATCTAGACACTTGCCTGCACCATTTAGGAAATTATTGCTCAAATATCGCTATTTGAGGGGTTTCTTACGAACAGATGATATGACTTACCAGCAGATCGGCACCCTTGGCCCGCAAACGAATGGTGGAGAAGCGACAGCCACGCCCAGGCAGATTCACCGAGCATGGAGACCCAATCAAGGAATATTCATGGCAAAATCAAATATGGGAAGATCGCTTTGCAATGGATGCGCAACGACCGCGAATATTGGAAGGATTGCAGGCTCCTGACTCCTGGGAATGATAAGCTTTTCTTTCAATGTTACGGCCGATGCTGTCTTTCAGGACGGAGGTTTGTCCTTCTGCTCAGTAGGTTCTCGAGTCTGAATGGATGGTGGACTTGCCTCTCCCTGAGTACCAGAGAGTTCGTAACTCTCAAACATAGCTTCGTTTATTTGTCGGGATAGTTTGCTGAGTTATATAATATTCAGGATTGGAAATCTCCAGGCTAGCTGTTCTTAGGTAAGGCAGGAAGGACACGCCCTTATCACTATATGGACGACCTCAAACTGTACATCAAAACTGTCGATAGTCGTATGAAACATGATCAATCACTAAAGGTAGGAACATCTTCTTCAGGATTATCAAACACATTACGCCAATATTCCTCGACACGATGACAAATACCAGACTTCCCCTTCCAGGATTCAAACACATGCTCCAAACTACAGCTGACCCACTTAATCTCCTCCCAATAACCCTTCTCCGCATCATACCCAAACCGTCGCAGTGTTTCCTCCGGCACAACCCAAGCCCTCCCAAGACTTCCATCCTGCTTCAACGTCGGAGCAGTCTCCCACTCATTCCCAAAAAGGTTTTCCGCCGGGTTAAACTTAGGATAATGCGCATGGACAAAGAACACCCGAGGGGCCTTCGCAACGGACTGATTCTTCACGCGCCATTTCCCCTCACTAGTCAATCGGTAGTCCTCGATCGGATCAGCCTGCACCATCGCAGACCCCGATATACCCCCTTCCGGCTTCTCATGACCGATAGCAGAGACCCTCTCACTGACGGTGTAGAACGGCTCGCTGATGGCAGCCGCGGCTTGGATGAATGTCTCCTTGTCGCCTTCTCCGGGGCCGCCTTGCGAGAGGAGCATAAAGTAATGGGATGGGCCGTAATAGTTGTAATATGCTGCCAGCAGCATGGTCAAGAAGTGGGTGTTCTTTGATATGAGAAATACTCCTGTTTCGGAGGACGCCCGTTCCGTCATCGGCGGAACAGGCTGTCGGGATATATTGTAGTATAGAGGAGATGCAGTTGAGGCCCAGAAGTCCGGCCATGTAACGAGCCCGGTCGCAGTAAACGGCTCAGCCTGTAGCAGCGTTTCGGGTTTATATAGCGGGAAGCCATCCGAGTCCATCCAGATGACATTTTCGAAGGAAGAGAATAGCACGGCGAAGATTTTTATTTGGTAGTGGGCGATCTCCACCATAGATTTTCCTTGGCCGGCGAGGATATCGGAAAGAATTATGCATTTGGCGTTATATTCCGGAAGAATGTCTTCGCAGATCTTAATCTCATACTCTGAGGCATCTTTGACGAAGAGCTCCACCGGTAGAGTTGAGCCTGTTCGGCGAAGCATTCGCAATGAGGTCACGAATAGCGGGAGATAGGACTTTCCCGCGCTGGACACGATCCCACTAGTCCCTCGGCTATACGCTCTATTCAAGTTCGAGTTTTTGATTGCATACACGAATGCATCATGCGCCTCTTGCATTGGTTGCTCGATATGGTCGGCGTTGATAATGAGGTCGGGCCGAGTCGCGCCTTCTAGTGCATTAAAGCCGATCGCCCCGGAGCTGTCTTGCCGCTCAGGGGAAGGGCATTTTGGCGCATGGCCCTCCAACAGTGAGTGCAGCTGTCTCCAAAGAAGCGTTTGCCTCTCTTTTAGTGGGGATAGTTCAACTGGTCCGATGCGTTCCGCGTCTGTCCTCCAGTATAAATATAACGAGTACAGGAACAGCAGCGCGCTGAGGGCGAGAATTATGGCTTTCTGTAGGCCATTAGGGCGCATGTTGCCAATTGCGGCCTTGAAGAAAATCACTGGTGAAGATGTGGGGCCGGCTGGGCCGGCAAAATCGAGCTGGCAAAATAGCCAGGATAAGGGGCAAGTTGTCTAGCAAAACTAGAAAGACATGAGTAAAGATTCCAAAAAAGAAATAAAAGACAAGAGAAGTAAAAAAAAGGAAGTCTGTGTGTAGCATCAGTTGTCTAGTTGGTAACGGCCAATTAGCCGTGGACGATCAGTCATGACACTGTAGCCACGTCAGCACCTGCTATAGGCGCGAATATGACATTGGATCGATCCAAGAAACACTTAATTCGGTATATATAGGCCCGAGTGGGTCACTTGGGGACATCCATGGATCCCATCGGTTTTAAGATTTCTGGTCAGCGGGATTGGACCGCGATAGGCCCTGCATCTGGCTTGTGTAGGGTCTCTCACCTGGCAAACCATGAGCATAAGGTATTGTACAGGAAGTAGTGCATGTAAATCCATGGGACGTCGGACTGGCTCAACCCGTATAATTTGCATGATTCTCCCATGCTGGACTATCTTATCTCGTAAATACATGAGTTACGGACTACAGATAACTGTATTCCGACGGGCTCAAATATCCAATGTCACACCAACAGGCAGCTACTTACTAGTTTTATGGTTAGTAATTGTGATGATCCGGTTACTTCTAATATGTTCAGTTTCCTCCGTAATCATTTAGGGTCGCGTCAGATGCCAACTTCATCACTCAATGCGACGAATATATATATACTCGAGAACGGGTGGTGACCAAAGTTATGACTAAGATGGTATGCCTTCCCCACCTAAATGCCACGCTATAAGAACGACCTCAAATTCTCGAAAGTAGGTAACCGGTGTAATATATGAGTGTTATAGATTACAACTTTCTATCAATATGATAAACCGAGTTGTTAGGAGGGCTATGCCATAGAAATTCTATCACCTTACTAGGGTTCGTTCAAACACGTGCTCCGCACATGACTGAATTTCCTTTCATAACTCTAGTCAATTGTTCATATTCTTGGTTAGTTTAGGCATGGCTTCCTAGTGCTACGGAAAACCCCCCCGCTCTCGGATAATTAATTAGACTTACGAATAGTTGGGCAGGTGTTGGAGATTAAGCGGAGAATAATGATAGTCTTCATTAGAAAATTGAGGGGAAATCCGTGCAGCAAATGGCTGAATAGCGGTAAACCACTATGCCCATTGGGTTGAATACATTGACAGGTACACAAGTCCAATCGTACCCGTCTGATGCAGTATTCGAAAGATTCGGGAACATCGAAGAAGATCTGAAGCTCTGTGGAGCGGGGAAGGATTGACATCGGAACCATAGGTCCAGGCCAACTTCCGCTTAGTAACAGGAAGCCGTGTGACTAGAACAAGTTTGTGGAGACATAGACTATGACCAGGATCAGTAACCGAGACTATATGCCAAGGTATGTGGTAAGTATCGCAGGGAGGCTTTGCAGCACTAGAACGTGCGGGTGCTGCATGGTTACTGTTATGGAACCAGTGATGACTTTCCTTCTCCACGCGAGTTGAAGGACAATCTTCCCTTTGTGGATTGCTGTATATGGGAATGCATCCTCCTCGCATATAAAGCCCTCCCATGACCACCCACAGCAAGGGTATTGCTCAGGAACCCAAGAAAGACATTATAGGCCTAGGAACGTTATTACTCTGGCGCGACATATTTTTAACGTCCTTATCCTTCCTACTGGGCATTCAGACAAAGACCCAAGATGCTAGGCTTGATCTTGGACTCAATCCACGGCATTCCTGTCGAAACAGTGATTGGCCTTCTACTCGGAATGTTTGCTATCCTATGGACTGTGCCTTTCTTTTATAACCTTTTCTTCTCTCCTTTGAAAAACGTGCCCGGACCATTATTAGCTCGGTTCAGCATTCTGTGGGAGTTCCGTGAGTTATGGAAAGGCCACTCGAATGAAGAGTACATCAGGCTGCACAAGAAATATGGTTCGCATTGCCTTCTCGTTGATGCTATGTCAAGGATTGTCATGCTGAACATAAACCAAAGGCCCAGTTGTCCGTGTTAGTCCGAAACGATACAGCGTCATCGACCCCTTGGATGTGAAGCAAATATACGAGTTTGGTGGCAGCTTCCAGAAAACAAACTATTATGATGCCTTAGGCGAACCAACGAATATCTTCACAGTGAGAAATATCGAGGAGCACAAGGACCGACGAAGGAAGGTTGCATCCTTGTACACCATGTCTTCCATGGTGGCCTATGAAGGCGCAGTCGACAGGATGACGACTCTCTGCATTAAGAAAATGGCTCAGTTCACAACTGAAAAAAAATTAATCTCGATGCCTCAGTTCATGCAGTTTTATGCATTCGATGTTATCGGGGAGATCACCGTAAGTTGGGATAATAACTATGTCGAACCCACCCCCTCGAGGAGTCTAGAGCAAGCTAATAAGACAATTGTAGTTTGACCAGAACTTCGGTATGATGGAAAACATGGGCGATACTCAAGGCATTATCCAAGATCTCCATCGCCTGAATAATACGACTGGTCATATGGGTCTATTACCGGCACTGCAACCGGCTTTTCGAGCAGCGCAGAGGGTTCTACTTAGTGGAACGCCAGCAGGTAAAATAACCGAGTATACCTGGAGCCAATATTGGAAACATAAGAACGCAAACAGTGGTGCCAAGCAGAAGTCTCAGTACGATACATTCCTGCGCAAGATACTCCAGTTGGAAGCCGCTCATAAAGTCGGACGCAACAATGTCCTGGATTCCTGCGGATCTAATATTGGTGCCGGTTCTGACACTACCGGTATCAGCCTGAGTGCGGCATTGTGGTACATTTATCGTAATCCTGACAAATTAGCTAAGCTGCGTGAAGAGATCGACACTATGACCGCTGACGGCCGGATTTCTGACCCAGTGACATACAAACAGGCGCAGGAGATGCCGTATCTGAACGCTGTCATTAAGGAAACATTGAGAGTGCATCCTGCTGTTGGCACAATCCTGGCCAGGGTTGTACCAAAAGGAGGCATGACACTCGCTGGGGGTCAATATATTCCTGCAGGAGTTAAGCACCTCCACCCTCCATATGGCTGATTCTGGCTCTCAGAAACTAACTGCAATAAAACTGCTAGACACATATTGGTGCCAATGCTTGGTCGTTACATTATAGTGAGAAGGCCTACGGCCCCGACGCAGACAAATTCCGGCCAGAGCGCTGGTTGGAGGACATGCCCAAACCGGATTACCGGGAGTCAATGATGTTTGCAGTAAGTAATACAGCTAAGAAGTGTCTTGCCTAGATTTATACAGGCGAAAAACAAATGAAAACCAGGAACTGACTTTCACCCTTCCCCTGATGATAGTTCGGTGGCGGCTCTCGAACCTGCATTGGCCGCAACATTAGCCTATTGGAGATGACAAAAGTCCTGCCACAGATTGTCCGCAAGTTTGATCTGAAATTCGATGAGAATAGTCCCTGGAACACATACTGCTCGTGGTTCGTGTATCCAAAGTATAAATGCTGGATTGAGCCCCGGAAGCCAGTAAGTAGCGAGGCTTAGAGCTTGGTGGAGAATTTGTTATAGAGATACTTCATTCCGTCTCTTGTATCTCTCCTTTTTTGGAAATCCCTTCCCTTACTACCTTCTGTTTTATTTTTTACTTCCCTATTTCATTTTCAGTAATTTCACTCCCTTTCTTTTCCTTTGTTCAGCTATTGTGTTTTCCATTTTTCTTCTTTCTTTTCAGGGTTGTGCCGTTGGTTAAGCATTGCCTTTTAGCACCC